TGGCCATGCGCTCGCATTCCTCGGGAAGATACATCGGGATTCAAGGCGCGCAACGAGTGATTGGTCGACCTGACGAAAAGACCAGCCCTGTTGAATATGATGACTTGACAATTTCTAAGCACGGGACTTAACTTGGGCTACTACCGGACAGAGGGAGTGGACACCAGACAGAGGGTAATGGGTATGTATGGCGATCTTGAGCCCTGTCCTCTTTTAGCCCTTTGCTCTACAATTGAGGTTGTACAATTCAAAACACTCGTACATCTGACCCAACTCCTGTTGGTACTAGGTAAGGTACTTCTATAGTTAGTTAGTCACTACCTAATGACCTGTTACGATCTATAACAGGATCGAAGCATCGTCACTGGAATGTCTCATACCTTTTTGAATCGAGGTTGAATCAATCTTGTTCGGTCAGAAGCGTTCATCAAAGATGAATATATGATGTTTGAGTCAGGCTGATCATTCCCGAGACCTCTGCCCCGATCTCTTTCCTTGGTAACACCTGCCCGCTCGTCGCTTTGGCTCATGCGAATGAGGTATGTCATGCTTTGTGGTTGCGTGGGATCGATCGCCTACTATACCATCACCTTGTGAGAAACGCTTCTTTTCAGTATAAATCATTTACCTAGTTCCGGGGGAAATAATCTTCGTGACGAGCATTGAGAAGGGTACATATCTACCTATTCAGAAAAGAGGAATTAGGAGACATCTGGATTTTAAAAGGGTTTGATCTGATTTCTGGAGAAGGCTTCCGTATATGTTGCCTTCCTACGCGGGCAGGCATATGTAGTTGAGAGTTTGGGTGCTCATGAGTTTTTTCCGGCCCTTGCTCAACCTGGGAGACCGGAGAAGATTGCCGACCGCTACCTGAGGATTGCTGAATTCATGCAGGTCAAGTCCGGATGGAAGTTGGATAAATAGACATCTCTAGATCCCCAAACATCTTTTGCGTTTCTTTAAGAGAGCCCTTTACCATAGTCTCAGTCAGGTCCATGTCAAGGTGCCGTACATCATTCTGCTACTGTGTTAGTTGCGATTGTCATGGATGATGGAGTTCCCCTTGGACTCATACTGTTAACCCAGGTACCGAGGGCGAACTGCCCAAGACTCCCAACCTTGTCCATGTATGATTAGTATTACATAAATTAAAACCAGGACACGACTACACGTGGTCACATAACTTACAGTATCTGGTACTTTACACTTTACAAGTTTACACAATCAGGACCCGAATCTTCACAGGCTCGTCTGTCGAGAGACTCAAGACTCAAGACTCGAGACTCGGCCGGTGGGTCTGGAACCCTCGGCCCCATTTTTCGTCTCTTGCTTTTTTTTTTTTTTTGGTTACCCGCGGATGGAGACAGGTTCTCCTCACAGATGCACACCACTTTCCGTTTCACAATCTCCGAGGAATGTGCAGGAAGGAGTGGTAGGACTAGGTGGGATTCGGGAGATGTTTGCACTGTGCAGTGGGAGGGTATAGGGCTCCTGAATCTGATAGGTGATGACACCATGGAAGTTATTAAAATAATTGAGATCGTCAACGCATGTCGTATCGGGAACTGGAGATGACATTGAAGCATGAGTTCTCCCGATCGGGATGACTTTCCTGAGCGCCCGTCAGGCTGACTATTGTCATGGGGCATCGCAGTGAGATTGGTGAGAGTGTCTCTCATCCCCATGATCCAGACTATTGTACAACAGGATGCAGTGCCACTAGCCACATGTCCATGGTCACAGTTGACGCTTGACAGTACTGGCACTCAGTCCGGTCATTTAGTCGTGGTGATAGCCTTGAAGAATTACATACACTCACAGAGTATTTTTTTTCTTCAAAATACAGGATCGTGCTGGGATTCTATTCTGTAAAGTGACTTGTATTGATTTTCTGTACCTCCGGCGTCCACGCCTCCTCTGTTCTACTACGGAAAAGGACAGGCTGATTGTTCCAACAAGGGAAAAGACATAGAACTCGGGTCGGCGGCCCATTGTCGGTCCTCGTACCGGGCAGTCGGGCGATGCTCCGGTACGGATGCATGGTATCGCAACCAAGTTCATCAACAAATGTGAAATCCGGAACGAGCCGTAGAATAATACTGAATGTGGACAGAGAAGTCCCGGTGGATGGAAAGAGGGGAGGGGGAAATGGTAGAAGCATTGTAGATGAGTGACAGGGGCTTGACATTAAGTAGAAGGAAAAGTGGACGCTATTCAGTAGTAGAATGCTAATGGAAGGGTAGGATCTTGAATAGAACCATCATTAATAGAATTATGTCAAGGATGGCGGGATTACAGATCGGACTGGATTCAGATTGTTCCAAAGGATTGGAAGAAGACGGATGCTGTAAGACTAAGCTCACAATGTACGCCGTACAGTAGTGTTTTTAACAATGAGTAGTCTCACTCTCAACTCTCAAGTTACAGCTCTCAAGCTCTCCAGTCCAGCGCTTACACAATATTACAGAGTCATATTAGCTACATATGGGAATCGCATTATTGCAAGGCTGTATTAAACATACAAGAACCACTCAGATAAGCAGATATAAGAATAGAAATAACAAAGGGTATATCCGCTTGAATTATATTAAAGATCTGATTCAGTACTATCCTGTCCGTTTGTGTTTGATCCGATTCTCGTTCACCCTTTGTCCTCCTACCCGGACAGGGGCGGGTTTTATCTTTCTTTTGGCGCTTTTACTGCGACTTTCACGTTGCTGTCCCTCTCTCCCCTTTCAATAGTCTCCGATGGAGCCAGTCTAGCGCTCTAATACATAGATAGTGATGATCTAATTTGGAAACATTTCAGGATCCGACTAACCCACTAGTGATGCACCAGCCTTCAATGAGACGGGTGCTCATGGAGCCAGGGATGATGAGACCGAACGAATGAGGTTGTTTCCGGACGGGCTAGTCTGGAACAAGGAGAAATGATTCTTCACAGTTCACAGTTCACACTGGTGATCGTCACCGGGCGGACTGTCATAGCACAGCAACGAGGGACAATAGATGAAGTCTGGACAGAGGGTGGCTTAATACTTACTAACCTACCTAGTAGTGGTATAATTAGATGAGTCAATACGTACTGAATAGTACATACCACATACTCCAAGTACAAGAGACATACTAAATAGTATGGTAGTTAGTACCAGATAGTGATACTACCTAGACTGAGAGACCTTCAGACTCATGAAAGCGTCAAGTTTCCACATATCCAGCACTATGTCTATGAGAAAAAAAGTCTCAGGTGACCGGCCAACAACTAAGTAGAAGCTGGTATTGCCCAGTTAAGAGCCGTATTGTAATGTACACTCGGTCATTCCGATTCAGTTAGGTAGATTGTAGAGCAGTCTTGAATTCGGAGCAAAACATTACAAATGTTAGAATGACTGATCCAGAGTCGATTATTGACACCTGACCAGCGGAATCAGGCAATCACGAGGGTCACTACGACTAAACATGAGCAATGATAATACGAGAATGGAGGTTGGGGGCCAATTCATTCGTTAATCATGAGTCGTTGATGGGGGGTTGGATCACGAGAGTTTGTCATTTCCGATCAGGCCAGTGGCCGTGCAGACTGGGAGATACTTGACAAGTTGATTGTACCTCATCCCGACCTGTAAGTCTAGGTAAGTAAGTTAGTGGGATTGCATGATTTGTCGATGGGCAAAGAGCCGTGTGACTGTTTAATTTGTCAATGGCCTTGAGACCTCTTTAATAGATCGGTGCCTGCCACTGCCTGGTGACACCCTTTTCATTCTTCTTTGTGTTTGTTTTGCCTTCATCAATTTCATTAGTGCCGTCAATAATAAATGAATGCTGATTAACGTTAGATCGCGCCCTGCGACGGGGACCTCCTCTGGTCGGTACCCAGGAAAACCGAAAAGGGAACAATAGGACAGACTTCCTCGTATTTCATCATAATACATAGCGTAGGGCGTAGACCAATCAAGAGTTACACACCGTGTACCTGGCAGGCTGGCAGGCTGGCACTGCACTGACTGTGTTGGGGCTGTATGTATTTAACTGGTACAGTACGCTGCATTGTATTGCATCGCCATCGTATGTTATGTATGTATCTTCACTTCTTCAGTGATTCTTTACACTTTACGGTACATGCATTCTGTGTACCTCCAAATAAAACTCCCGATAACCTCCTACCGCTGTTGGCTGGCTACTGAAGCGTGTACCCTTTCCGCCCGGGTTGTCTCTGCTTTGCTAATCCCCTGACGTGCGTGGAGGATGTGGTCCTGTCCGGCGTCTGCGCTTCAGCCTTCGCCGTACCTCAACCTCATTTGAAGCCTAACATTTTTGAACCTGGACAGAGCAAGACTGGTTAACCTCATTCATGGTTACTTCGATCAGACTCTTCGTCCTGAAGTTTATTGCACCAGGTGGGATTTTGCCTGTCCTCCAGACCCTGGTGCTTTGGGTCGGTACCCTTATGTACACTCACCTTCCGGTCAACCGCTACCCAAGGTACTGTACCTTTCGGAGTAATACAATAATACATCCAGTCCAGTCCAATCCAGTCCACCGGAGGTCGCCCAGGACCACCCGACTTTCCCCCCCCCCCCCTCAGCTACGCTACGCCCTCCCCACTCTCCGCTTCGCCTTGCTCGTCCTCTCCTCATTCCTCATTCTCTACTCTCTTACTCACCTCTTTTCTCTCACTTGCCCGATTGCCATTCTTTCTTTTCCTCTTGCAAAACCACGACATCTACTAGCCAGATAGCTTTCTTACCCTCTTGCAATCCATTCACATCATTCAGCTCGAAACTCCACCTCCTGTTGTCCTCGCCACTTGCCGGCACCATCTCCTCGGCTACTCGATCTGATGCCGGCGTTGCCTCACTTGCCCGTGCAGTTGGCCGCTTGACTTGCAGCCCTCACGCTGCCAGCCGACTTCCCTCCAGTCCACGGAGTAGCCCTTCAGTGAGATCTCAGTCTCACCTTCACGAAGATCGAGGGGGACTCTCACCTCCTCTTCTCTCACGATGGCCAGTCTGGAGATCCCCGAGACCGGGTTGACTCTCCGCCCGGGAGATCAGCCGGGTGATGCAGTCGCCAAACCCGTTCAATTCATGCGGCTGAATCTGGCACAACATACCCTGGATGAGTTGATATCGAGTCTCCGAACGGACGGTGCGGCCGTCAAGGTTCGCATGGGCAAGCACCCGTCGCTTCACTACGGCAATAAATCACAATCCTTCCATGCGTATCCCGAAACCCACCGATCCGAGATCTACAATGCCTCCGACGATAAGCAGAATCTCTACTTTGCTGGAATTTTGAGCCACAGCTTGGAGGTCGAGAAAGCCCGGGAGGATACCGCCGGGACCGATCAGGCCCTGGCTAATCTGGAGCAGAGTCTCAATGCTTTCAAGGAGGGCAAGGCTTCCAAGTCAACCCATATCATTCATCCGGCCAAGTTGAATGCTCTGAAACGAGGCACCCCTAGTCGGCTCTTGAATATTGGTCTCAAGTCCAAAGACATGACCGAGAAAGATCGGTTGTATGAGGAGTCCCTCCGGTCGCTCCCACCGAGTCCGTCTTTTGGACCGCCAGGGTCTCCTTTGCCCGGCATGACGGCAACCTCGGCGCCGTCCTCACAGGCGAAGAACGACGCTCGCCTCCAGGCACTGAGGACCCCGCTGATTCACCTCCTTGCGATTCGGCCCGTGTCGACCAAGTTCTTGGCCCGGCAAACTCGATCCTCCATCGAGGACTGCACCGCCTTGGTCCAGAAATATGGTGCCGAGAACCGCATCGATCGAGAAAAGTACGATCTCAAGGATAAATTCTACAAGGATCTTGACGTGTGGAATTTTCCGTACCCCAGCCAAGATGACCGACAGGCTGCCATTGACAAGGCTATTTCCGCCTTCGATCGCATGCGCCTGTCGCGATCTGATCAGCTATGGCAGGGACTGCTGCCCAAGGAGGAGCGTGGCAAAGGTAAATGCCTGTCCAGACTCAACCTGCAAAGCGGCTTGGTTGGCAAAAAGCCGGTGACATCTGGAACGGCCGCGGACGGTGTCGACAATCGGAAAGATGCCGATGCCGCTGGTAGTGGAACAGATCGCTCAAAGGCTGCTTCTACCTCCGCTGCCACCAAGAAACCGGGACAGGCGACCGCAGCCAAAGCACGCGCGGAGAAGGACTCCACCAAGCGACCGGCCAAAAACAAAAATGTGAACAGCACCTTGACCGGCCGGATCACCAAGAAGACGGGCGGAAAAGCCCCCGTCAAGGCTCCTCCCACTGACACGAAGTACAAGTCAGCAGAGTTCGTGCATGACTCCGATGTTTCTGACGATGACGAGATACCTGATGCTCCATCCCCTCCCGCGTCTGCAAAGGATGCTTCTCCTGCCCCGACCTCGGCACCAGCTGATCGCTCATCGAAGCCCGTCAAGACGAATGGGGCGAAGAAGACAGGGCAGCCGACCCAGTCCCCGGCAAAGAAGGCCACGCAGGCCGTGGCAAAACCCCGTCCCAAGGAACGGCCATCAGTGGCTTCGGCGCCGAAGCGTCTCAAGGCTGACGCTCCAGGCCCGCAAGTGGACGCTGCGAAAGCCGCGGGCAAGAGGCTTCCTTCCTCACGATTCTCCACGTCCCCCAGCAAACCCTCGCCCTTGACGTCCCCTCCGACTAGTGTATCTGACGCAATTGGTCGGAGTCGCTCCGACAGCCACAACCAGTCCTCGAGCTCCTCGTCCTCTTCCCCGCTTATCTCTCAACTTGGCCGGTCCAAAGTCCCGGGAGGCGTGCCTGCGCTGGATACTGCCAATCGACCGGGTGCTAGTGCTGCCAAGGGAGCCCCTGTTACCGTCAATCCTCTCAAGCGCAAGGTTGCGCCTGAGAAGTCGACAGCCCCAAATAACGTTGGTGCTCGAGTCGCGCCCAATAGCAACGACTCCAAGCGCCGCCGAGCTGTCAGTACTTCGAGTGGCGGTAGCACAGGCAGTGCATCACCACCAATGAGCTACAAGGTTGCACAACGCCGGCTGTGGGACAAGTCACAAAGATTCAAAAGAGCATACGCGAGATACCATTCCTTGCATGAGTCTCTGGCCTCTCAATCTAATCCCTCACCGGACTCCATTTCCAAGTTGGAGAAATGGCATGAGCAGTTGACTCGCATGAAGAACGAAATCTGGGAGGAAGACCGAAAGCTTCGCGATGGCTCCCATTCGTGACGGCCATTTACTACTGAGAACGAGTCCATTTTCCCTCCAAATTCATGTGAGGACTTTTCTCCCCGTAATTATGCATGGTGAAGATGACATTTTGTCCTCCACCCTTTTATTTTTCCTTTGTATTCCCACAAATACCTCCCCATGACTTCACCTGATTTTCCAACAAGCATATTCCCCCTTTGTGGTCGATTGTTCCTTGAACTGGACGATAATGGCCAACATCCACATTTTTGTACTCGACAGACTAAATAATGGGCGTTTCTCATGGATGTGATATTTCTGCATTTTCCGCATTCGGTGCATCTTCGAAATCGATGATATGAATACCGGTGTCTTACCTTAACTCTGAAAAAGTCTGCGTCGACAGTTGATACCAACAGAAAATGTTCTTCGCTTTCAATCAAGTCCTTGTTCCGTCTCCGCGTGTGTTTGCCTTCCGTTACTAGATATCTTTTGTGTACGTGACTCACATCCATCAATGTGAAGGTAGACTTACTCAATGAAGCCACAAATAGAGGACTTGTAGTCATGGCAGTATCTCCCATCCGATCTGCAAGACCCAGATCGTCATGCCGATCCATCAGGCAGTGAGCTTACCCCGGATCCTCGCATCTGCAACTGTCATGGTTCCGTGGTGCCGTCCTGGACAAGCAGAGTGTGATTGGCTGATCCGCCACGTGGCTATCGGTGGACTCCGTCGTCCAGTGCCAAGGCTTCCTGTAAAGTACTTGATGGTTTAGAATTTGGCAGGTTTACACTTTACAGTAACGAGACGGTAAGCTCACCCTGGTTACGTCATCTCAAAAGTCCCATCACGCTACTCCGCAAAGGGTCTAGCGCAAATGGGGAAACTGAGACCACTGACAGCAAGACTGATGATGGTCAAACCGCGTAGCACGACGGTTTAAGCCATTCCACATTCGCAGCAGGTCGATCTTCTGGTTGCGCTAACTTTCTCGCGAAGGCTTTCTGCAAGAACCATTGGGAGACCCTCTTGATTCAACAAGAGGCGCGCGAAAATGACTCCCCCAGCTCATGGTCGGGGAACCAGCCAACGTAGCCCGACCGTTCTGGTAAGCTCAAGCCGTGGCCCCAATTCCTGCCTGGATCGACGTGACGAAACGAAGGAAGGATGTGACAGTGAAAAGAATGCTGGTTTCATAAAGCTACACTCTTGCGTCTGCTTCCAGTCGGGTGGAATATAGCGCTCACACATGCTTGAACATAGGTCACCGACTCTCGCGATCAACAATCCGGACCAACCCCTCGGCAGCGTCGATCTCCTGCCACACGCTTCATCACGGTTGACAATGTTCTTCAATACGCCTCGGACGTACCATCTCAACAGCGGCGCCAGCCGCCGCCCATCTCGCGTTCCCGCCGACTTGCCTCGGCTGCCGGTGGACTGATCTCAAGCTCCGGTGGGAGTAGCTCTACGAGCGCCTCGGTAAACTCCATCACAAAAGGTGGCCGCCTCGCCGCCCAGCCACGGCTTCCTCCGCGGACAACAAAAGTCAGCGAGAAGCTGGTGCTGCTTCCGGATACTGGCGAAGTCGACGAGACGGACGATGGCGAGCAAGACGATGGCGAGGGTCAGGACGAATTGGTCGACGAGGAACTTGTTCAGCGCATTGCGCGAAACCAGCGCATTGATCCCGAAGCGATCCGGCAACAACTATTGGTGAAGAAGCGACTTGGAGGAGATTTTGGAATCGATAATGATGTTGCGCCATTGTTGGCCGAAGAGGAGACGACAAGAAGGCGGCGGATTGGACCTGAGCGGGCAAAGAGTTACGCGGAACGGTTGCCCAAGGCGCGACGAACTGAGAAGCTTGCGCGGGTCACTGCTTACTGTACGGCACAGGCGTATAAGATGGGCTCTGTGGCAGCTTTTGTCAAGGATGTGCATGGGGCCCGCACGAAGCTGTATGATGATTGCCTGTACACGGCGTATCACTTGCCTTTGCTGCCGGGTGATGATGGATACCGCTTGCGGAGTAGTCCGGTGCTGAAGATCCCTGGCGGCAAGTCCTTGCTTGACGAGGAGATTGAGCGGAACGAGTTGAGGGATCACCATGACGACTTCCTAGAGGAAGCGGAAGAGCATTCTGTTGTTGGTCATGGCCGGCATGAGCATGAGCATCATGATGAGCGTTCACCTGGCGAAGACGGGGGCCGCAGCACGGAGAGTGAACATCGCGCTGGTTACATGGATCGCATTTCCGAGGAAGATGCACCAGGCCAGGGCGGGAGGCACAAGAACACAGATGCCGATTCTGGGGCGCAAAGCAGTGGCGCTCAACTTGAGAGTGAACAGTCTCAGAACGCAGCGGAGACACGGCCCCGGCGGCGTCGCCACAGTTCCGACGACGGTCAATCTCGTATGAGAGAACGCAATTCTCCCCCTATCACCTCTACGACACCCCCAATTCCGGAAACCCCTGCTGCCCGGACTCTTTACAACGTTGCCGAAATGTTCGTCTTCACCTACGGAGTGGTCGTGTTTTGGAACTTTACGGAGCGACAAGAGAAGGATCTGCTGGCAGATCTTGCCTTTGCCACGTCTTCGGCAACTGGCATCCCCATTCCGCTAGCGACCATGCCTCTGGACGAAGAGGACTTCGAGACCGAGGAATTCCATTTCGAATATTCGACCGAGATCTCACGACCTCGTGTGTACAACGACATGATTACTCTTCGCAGTGGAGATCACATGATCAAGCTGGCTATCAGTCATGGCATCTCACAGAGCACGAAATTGTGTTTCTTTGAAGAAGTCATGGCTCGCCAGATGGCAGATGCCAAGGACGTCCCGCGTCGTCTGGCCACGACGGGCAAACTTGGAATGAAACGCGAGGAAGTGTTTCGAATTCTTGGCCGTCTCTTCAAGAGCAGAGTGGAGGTCAATCTATGTAATAACCCAAACCCCAGATTTTGATGGCTGTTTTCATTTGTTGTGTCCCAAATTGCTAACAATTGTTCGACTACACCCAGCCTCGAACATGCTCGACGTTCCGAACTTCTTCTGGGAGAGTGAGCCTAACTTGTACCCCCTATATATCGCTGTGCGCGAGTACCTGGAGATCAAGCCGCGGATTCAAGTCTTAAACGAGCGCTGTCGGGTGTTCTTGGATCTCGCCGAAATCCTGTCTGATTCGATCGCCGATAATCGAACTTCCCGTACGTAATACCCAGCTGTGTTCCAGGTGGACCTTGCACTGACATTCTCCTGCAGATCAAACGTGGATCATTATTGTTCTTATCATCATCTCTATTCTGGTCACGATTTCTGAGGTCTTCTTGCGTTTCGGCTTGTTGCATGCTCGTGAAGGTGCTGCTGCAAGCCCCGCGACCATCATTGCGCGTGCGATGGGCCGTTCTCCACGTATTGTGCCTTCGGTCTCGTCCAATACGTCCACGAACATGGCCATCCCGCCAGGCTGTATATGCCCCTCTGTTCCTCCATCCGGTGCTCTGGACACGAGTATTCGTGGTATAATGGGCGCGGACTCCTGAAAGAGCCCACTGGATCGTTAGCGTGATTTTGAAGGCCGACTTGTCGACTTTTGGCTGGAAATTGGAGTTTCATGGGAGCTTGACCACTCATTTTCGGAGATGAACAACCGGGGGCGTACTCAGGCGGAAAAACACTACTAATTGTATTTTGCTCGACCGGTCACATTGCACTCTTATTCCCTCCATTATTCTACTGAACAAAGACCCAGAATTCAAACTCTTGTCTTGACCATCCGAGAAAGTCTTTTTAAACCTCTACCGCCAATTCATGAAGAACCTCTTCTATCTTTTTCCATGCTGTCGCACGAGCTAAGATCTGGAACCACCAGTTTCCGTCACCATCCTTGCCAATGACAGTGAAGAAATTTCTTATAGACCTTGCAGTTAGAGGATCCGGCCCCGCATTGTTGATATAAACAGGTTTGCACGGCTTCTCACTTCGCAGACCGTCATCCACCCTCACTCTCGCCGCCGAAAAATCAAGATCAAAAAGCCGCGCACGGTACCAATTCGTGCCCATCATCGGAATATGGCGTGGGTCTCCCACGACGGGTAGAAACCCAGTCTCCTTCTTGGCTTTCCTCCGCATCGCGTCCATGGCATAGACCTGCGATTTGTCACGTTGCTCGAGCAGTGACTGACGGACGCGCAGAGCCAACGAGCTTACGGGATCCTCTTGGAGATTCTGAGCTCTGAGAATTGTCACGCATGGGATAGTGCCGTTGCCGATGTACGCGCCACGCTGGGAGATCCCGAGTATGGACCGCGCGTCGAAGACATTTGCTATGCAGACCTGGGTGGATGGGTACGCGTCCATGGCGATTCCGAGAGCTTTGCAGAGCCAGGCGAGAATGATGTCGCCTTCGCTGATGAAGACCTCATTGGAAGGATTTGAGTCCGGACCTAAGCCCTTGGGTGTCTGGATTCGAAGTTCTTTGAGAGCTTTTGCCCGTAGGCGCTCAATGTAGGCGTGTGGGATGACGACGGCCCTGTCCTCAACTTGGGGGTACCAGTAGGCTTCCCATTCTCGACAGAATGCAAAGACGCCGAGTTTCAAGTTCCCGCAGGTTTGATTGTAGAGGACGTGTTGTTCTGCGGGTACGGGCTCGGATGCGGCTGCGAAGACATCTTCATTGAAGCCGAGGAATGGCGGTACCTGGTCTTTACGTCCTGAGAGAATGGATGTCCAGGCTTTGAGGAAGTAAGACAGACTCATTGCGTCGAATAGAGTATGTGGGAATGTGACGGTGATCAAGGTCGTATCCGTGAATTTCAAGACGTGGATGAAGAGCTGGGGTACATCGGCAGAGAGGTAGTCCTGGAGTACGCATGGAGCGTTGGGATGTTTCGTGATTGAAGTGAAGCTGGACATTCGGCCCAAAACATGGATCCCGTGTGTTTGGGGCTTGCTGGGCATTCTGGAGGCTTGTGGGTGAGACAATATAGGCATATCATGCTGAGCTGTTGAGAAGCCGAAGCCTGGTCTGTCGCTGGAGAATTGCACGGGGAGGTGATACTCCAGCCTGCCAGAAGCCTACAGGTTCGGCATGTGAGCTTTGTGTTCTTTATTCACATTTGTGGGGCGCAAGATAGAAATAGAGAGCAATTGCTTCACTGACATTCTCACGAACGCGAGATCCCAACTTCCTCCACTCTGACCGTTGGAAAAGTTCGGTCAAGGCCCGCTCGAGTTTGAGGTGGTCGAGAACTTCATCGAAGCGCAGAGTCACGTTGAGACAGACACTACGCGCATAAGGCACATCATCCCAGAGGTGGAATGGAATGATCTGGTCGGGCACTGTGGTTTCCTCGGCAGACATCTTTGTGGTTGTTGGCGTCGGAAGTGAGACGTCTCGTCTGCGTTGTGTTTTAGCTCACGACATAATAATTCTTCATCCCCTTTTCTCTGTTCATCTCAGAAGTGGCGACGGCCGGAATGAGTGATGTCTGCTGGCATTAGCTCGACCCCGCCAGCTTCGCCAAGTTCAACCTGCTTATCATGTCGCAAAGACAGCATTTTGATGTCTAAGATCCCCGAGCACTCGATGAGCTACCCGAATATGGCACGGAGAATGGCAGTGTCCCCGCGTTGGGGGGCTTCTACACTCCACCATGCATGTAAGAAGCCAGTCAGCCCTAGCACCTGAGAGGGTGGATCAAAGCTCAGAGTTGCAGCGCGGCTTATGCTCGATCCTTGCCAATGCCTATCTGGGAGCCTTGACGATATCTGCGACAAGCCTGCGAGCTCAATTTGAGATTGGTCTTCATTCTTCGAAATTTGCGTCTCGATGAGCGATCCAACTCAACAGGATCATGCTGTCCACGAGTTCGTCGAGTCCCCAATCCTGTCGCAGGGTGGAATCTATTCTGACGAGGAGATAGGGATGAAAAAACTTCTCACACGGCGAAAGCAGAGGCTATTCAAGAAGCTAAAGATGTCGAATCTGGATCCTCTGAAAAGAGAATCGTGGAGGCTCCAGATGCACAGCATCAGTCTTCCCGGCCTGACGGGGAAGCAGGTGCCACGGACGAGGCCAAAAACTACGTCCAAGGTGTTCGCCTATACATGATCTCGGCCGCCTTTATCATGGCCGGTATCATGTTGGGAATTGACGGCAGCATTCTCGGTGAGGTCTTGCAATTCCTCTGTGAAACAATGGTCCTATGCGAATAGGAGTATTGGCTTCCTGCGATCTTTACTAAAGAATTGCAATAAGCAACCGCCATTCCACGGATCACCAGCGACTTCAACTCGGTCGATGATATCGGTTGGTATGCCAGTGCCTATCTCCTCGCCCAGATGGCACTGCAGCCGACTTTTGGCCGCGTCTACATCTACTTTGAAGCAAAGGTGACCTTTCTCCTGTCTCTGCTTGTCTTTGAAGTCGGGTCGGTCATATGCGCCGTGGCACCCAACTCCGCCGTCCTGATCCTGGGCCGCGGGATCGCAGGCGCAGCAGCAGCAGGGATGCTCACGGGCAATCTGGCCATTTTCGGGCAAGTTGTTCCACTACGGAGTCGCCCTCGAGGAATGGCTATCATGACTGGCCTGTTCTCAGTCGCAACGCTCGCAGGGCCGACTGTGGGTGGACTGCTGACCGATTCGAGATTGACTTGGCGGTTCTGTTTCTGGATCAATCTACGTGAGTGTGCACTACTACTTCCAAGTTCCAACGATCGAAATATCGAAATGTCGAAATGTCCCCAGAGAGCAAAACGAAAACGACCGGGAGACTCACCTACATGAAACTGCCAAGCATGATGGAAAGTCACAAGATGAACAATGAAACTAACAATAATAACAATGCTCTAGCCTTCGGTTTCATTGCGGCTGTGATCGTCATCTTTTTCCTTCAGCGCAAACCCGGCAAAATGGCTAATTTGCCACTTAAGGAGAAGGTGAATCGTCTCGATCTGGCAAGCGCCTCTGTACTAGCGGCAAGTCTCGTCTGCTTATTTCTGGGGCTGCAATGGGGTGGCTCGACGGAGCCCTGGTCCGCGCCTCGGGTTTGGGGCTGTCTGGTCGGCTTTGCGGTGTTGTGTGTGGCTTTCATTGGCCTACAGGCGTATCGCAAGGAAAGGTACGATGACTGGGGACGTTGAAGCGAAGCCTTTTTTTTGCATTTGAGACAATGGCGCAGAGCTACTTATCGCTGAAGACTACTAACATTGTCACCATGATTTGATTGATACAGGGCGACCATTCCACTTCGTCTTCTGCGACAGAGGACCGTCGCGGTTTGCTGCATTTTTTCCGGACTGTACGGCGTGGCAGTCGTCACACACGCCTATCTCCTCCCGATCTGGTTTCAAGGCGTCAAAGGCACCGATGCGACAATCTCCGGAGTCAATATGTTGCCCTCGACGATCGCGAGCACTGTCGCCATTCTAATAGCCGGGTTCGGCATGACCGCCACTGGGTATTATGTGCCCTTCATGTGGGCAGGTGCAGTGATCTATGTCGCCGGAAGTGCAATGTACACCATCCTCCGAGTGGATAGCACCGTTGGCCGATGGCTGGGCACGCAGATCCTGGCTGGCTCAGGATTCGGCACGGCCATCCAAGTCACCTTCATCGGTGTTCAGGTGGTGACCCCCGCAATTGACATGCCCACAGTTTGTGCACTGGAGGTCTTCTTCCGCCAGCTTGGTTCCTCGGTGGGAATCAGCATAGCGCAGAGTATCTTCCTAAACCAGCTGACTGGTCGTCTGGAAGGGATCCCAGGAGTTGATCCTGGGAAAATGATCCGCTCAGGGGTCTTGGAAGGTGCATGGTCTAATGAGTCGGTCGCAGCTTCGGTGATTCCCTCCGTCAAGGAGGCGTTGAATTCCGCCATCACCACCGCTTTCCTCCTGCCCGTTGGGGCCACTGCTCTTGCATCGGTAATTAGCCTGGGGATGGAAAGGCGGCGGATTGAGGATGACAGGGTTCCTGCTCCGGGGACAGAGATCGGTGTCCACACGGACAGAGCCAGTAATTCTTCGGAAAGCGGCCCGCCACAACCTTGATGCATTGGCCCCCTCGTCGCAGGCCTGTACTCTATAGTGGTGGAAGATTTACCCCAAACGAGACGGAGTCGAGAAGCTATAGACGAATGAGGAGCTCTTAGCGCTTACGCTTCGGGTATAAGCCGGTCGAATTAGTCGGTCCAAGCTCAACACTAGGGCAGCCTCGCCTCATCTGAGAATTCATGGTTCACTGTCGACTTGTTCTTTTTTCCCTTGAATGCTAAATCTTGACGTGTTCGAGAATCCTTTGATCGCAGGGAACCGGCGAGTCCACCCGGCAAGCCCAAAGTCTAAGACAGTTTTCAGAGTTTGATAGCGCAAGGATGGCTGTTGTTCTTCCATATCTAGGCATTGCGCCCAACACGTCGCATTCGCGACTTCTAGGCTGAATACGAAAATGTGAGAAAGGAAAAAGAATTCATACATTGGGAATCTATCCACGCACTAGTTACTACGAGTGCATCCGAAGTCGGGCGTAAGAGACCGCTTGACTCAGACCATAGCCCGCGGCCAGAATAGTTAGCCAGATTGCAGCGCCTCTCCACCAATACGGAGCCCAGCTGGACTTCATCGAGGCCCGATCATGGACTTGAGGGAAAGGCTTTTCGGGGATGGGAACGTCCAAGAACTTGCAGAGTGGCTCCCAGCCCTCCTTCATATCGAAGAAAAGCAATCGATCCTTGGGCACGACTCGCTTGAGGTAATCTGAGTGAAGCTCCATAAAATCTGCAGTAGTAGACAATCGTAAGAGAAGACTCAAGTGGCACATATTTCACAGTCATCAACTGAGTTACTTACGAGGGCCCAAAGGCTCAAGCTCTGCAGGGTATATTTGGCGCCTGCGCTTCACAATTGCCAACTTCCAAGCGAGCGAATAGCGCAGCGTCGGTTGCACCAATTGCAGCAGGATGAACAGGGGGTTGTCCAGGGTGTTAATGAGCTCTTGGTAGCTCTCCCACCATCGAGTGGGCTCACGAGTCGTGCACACCACCTTTGCATCAGGATACAGCCGAACCAGCTCTTCGACGAAGAAGATGGCAGGTGCATCGGTTGTCGCAACATAGCCGACGAGCAAGTCTTTCAGGGTCTTGTCGACTTCCTCTTGTGAGACATCCTTGGGAGGATCCAAACACTTGGTCCATCCTTTGATGATATCTATCGGGAAAGACGTCTCAGTATGGGAAGAGTTCAGTCTTTCCAAGTATTGTACTCTCAGGGGATGCATGCATACGCTCTTTTCCACGGAGGCAAGCAGAGCCTCCGTGACATACGTCGCCATGTAAGGCCCAGGTCAACGCCAGTGTTAACGAGATGGTCCCTGTGCGAGGGAGTCCAGCTCCAATCACCTGCAAAGTACGACTTGGGTCGCGTGGTGGTTCTCCGGCAAATGGATCTCTCCAGCGTTGTTGCTCTGTAGACTTCTCCATGGAGAAACGTCTTGTGACTTTTGTGATGTGTTTCTTGCTGTTCGCAATCAATCTGAGAGATTCACCAGGTCTTAATCATAGAGACAAGACTAAAGCATTTCCTTTTTCAGTGCAGACCGTAAGACGACCAAGTGACATTTCGGTCACGGAATCGGCCGACACTAATGAGCACCTGAAGTGCTCTCGTTGGAGGCTTACTTAGATTCTGCTAGTGTTGGGCAATTAGCGATTCATTGTCACGAGCGCTTACATGGTCTGAGTGTCTGATTTCCCTTGCCGTGCATGACTTGATTAACAGGATTCTCACACAAGTAGTAGACATCCACCGAGCGCTATCCCCATAGGTCGCTTCCTCTCTCGAGAATCGTGAACGGTCCGTTGCTTCTCCGTTTTACTCCTCCCTGGCCGTTTCCCCAAACTTGGCTTTGCTGACATGCGGCAGATTGTCCCCACGATTGGGGAGGAATGGGTCTCCGCCGTCGAACAAGGATCATCGCAAGATCGGGAATGGCCCGTCTAGCCCGTGATAGATTGGGGAACCCTGACGCCACCAACGGGGGCTACTTCTCTGATAGCGAATCTCAAAGGCTTCCCCTGGGAGGAGGTGAACGTCCGAGCGACTTGACTGACTAGGGTTGAGACGCTTTAGCCGGTTGTCTTACTGGATGAGCTGAGAGGTGTCTGATCTGGACGTCAATACAACGCGTTAGGGTATCGACGGTTGTGATGATCTAAAGGAAGACTATCATCCTGTTCATCTTCTTCGAGCAAAGCAAGGCCCTGGCTGATACTTGACACAAAGTGCGGGCTTCTTCTCTCTCTCCACGAAATCTTGAAGACGATCCTCTGTTTTGCATTTAAAGACGGTCGGCGCGATGGCAGTTCCATTGGTGTGTACGCTCAAGAACTGCCCGATCGAATGGGGCTACGTTCACTATCAGCCTTCGATCGGCGGCAATGCTTTCATGGCAGCGGCCTTTGGCCTGCTCGCGGCTCCAGCCATCTATCTGGGGATCCGCCACAAGGTCAAGCTGTTCACCTTTTGCTTCGTGACGGGGCTGGTGGGCGAGGTGGTTGGGTATGTTGGACGGATTATGTTACACAATGATCCATTCAGCAAGAACGCGTTTCTCATGTACCTCATTTGCACGACTATCGCGCCGTGCTTTACGGCAGCGGCAATCTACTTGACGCTTTCGCGCATCGTTGTCGTCTATGGCGAGGTAATCAGTCGGATTCGGCCACGAACGTACACTCTCCTGTTCAGCGGCTTTGATCTGATTGCTTTGGTGGTGATTGCCGTTGGAGGAGGCATGGCAGCAGTTGCAGTCAAACAATGGAAGGTGAGAGCTTTTGTCCCTTTACCCAAAGAAATCCGAGAAGAGTTATCATTGTTGACATGGGCACCTATTGCATCCATTTAGATCGATCAAGGTACTCATATCATGGTCGCCGGACTAGTAGTTCAGGTGATCAGCCTAGTGGTTTTCATTTCTCTCTGTTTCGAATACTTCCTGAGGGTTCGAAAGAGTCAGAATCGACTGAACCCGAACTATGCCACCCTGCGCCACTCCTCTCGATTTAAGCTATTCCTGTACGCCCTCGCAGCAGCGACCATCTTGCTCTTCATTCGAGCGGTGTATCGAGTAGTGGAGCTTTCGGGAGGATTCCGGGGCAGGTTGGCCCAGAACGAAGTCTTGTTCATGGTCTTGGACGGTGCTATGGTTCTGCTGGCGTGCATTATCTTGATCGTGTTCCATCCTGGTCTTGCCTTTGATGGCGTCTGGAAAGAGGCATCCTTCCATTGGGGTAAGAAGAACGAAAGCAACGAGTCCATGATGCAGGACATCACAACGCACTCTGTCCCTTACAATGGTAAGCGTTGATTTCCCCGGCAGGAACCAACCGGGAGGAAAGAAGCCACGAAGCGGGCTTTGTTTCTCAAAGACTGAGAGAGAATCGCTGGATCCGAACTGGCTCGGACGGCAACGCTGTTGTTGTGCTGGTGAATTGGATGTTTCTCGCCCTCTTCGACTTTGAAAATATCCTCGTGTATGTAGACATAGAGTGGCTTCTAGAGTGGCTTCTAGAGTGGCTTCGGCAATTGGCCGGCTTTCCACTTCACAATTTCACAGCCTCAATTTGCCTAAATTCAGCTCGGTGATCTTAAGCGATGCTACCAGTGCTCGAGGGACCCAGTAGTAGCCAGTAGTAGCTTCTCTTGACCATTCTCGCCACAAGTTGTCCCCGCTTATCTGCTGGACACCTCACTCCGTGAATCCCATCTCTGCATGTAAGCTCAATGTGGATCTAGATCACCCCCAATAGGCGGACCAGGAAATGAAACCTCATCAGACAGAATAGACTTGTGGAAGATATCGCGGTCTTTCCCCGCTCTGAATCAAGAGCTTAGCTCGACTTCAGTTAGTCTCCGCATCAGCGCTAGCAAAGATAGCGAACTCCGGTGCAAGTCGCCAAGAGAAGCACGCGCCGCCATGCAGACCACGGCCATGTGGAGGCGTGTCTAGTCTTCTTCCGGACTAGGTCTTAGGTAAACATTGCCGTTTGGCAGTCGATAAGCTGTAGAGATGAAGCCAGATCTATCCAGCTCATTCGGAATAGCAACATCAGCCCGCTTTTTCGTCCGTGTTTGCCTTAAATCTATACGGAAGATACTCCGCCTGATCGGGGGGCGAAGTACTTTTTGTGCTTAGCTGGTTTCAGTATTCGACGAGGTGGAGGTGTCGAGTCCACGCACAATAGGTCGTGAGACGGCTCTATCTTACCTGCCAATGTTGATAGCCGATGGAAAGTTTGGAGGCGCTAATCTAGAGCAATATCAATCCAACACGGAGACTTCACGACTTCGGGAGATGGATGATGGTCAGACGAAAGCCCCTCGAGCCATCTGGAGATGGCTCATGCCCTAGACGTGCCGGTCTGTTCGTTGCACAAGTGGATGTTACCACAATAGGTAGTTGGAAAATAGACGGCGAGTGGATTCTCTCCGGTGGACGGGAGATTAGGTGGAAAAACCGGCCCCCATAAGGTAAAGGAAGGTTGCTATTGATACCGAGAGGGATCGAGAGTGATAGACTATATATGTTACCAGGTCTGGCGTTCGACAAGGGTTTTGAAGAATCACGACATTCTTCACTGACCTGTCGAAGATAGGAGGATCTTTGGACCAATTCTCTAGCTCATCACACTACAATTTTGGATTTTTGTTCCTATCACATACATACATACACACCCGTCATGTCTGAAGTTACCCCAATTGCCGTCATCGGCATGGGATGCAGACTCCCCGGAGGAGCCAGCAGCCCTGAGAAACTGTGGGAAATGCTCGCAGAAGGTCGCAGTGGATGGGGTGAGGTTCCTGCAGAACGTTGGAACTGGAAATCGTTTTACCATCCACACAATGAAGCAAAAGAAGCCCTCAACTCGAAGAGTGGCTATTTCCTCGAGCAAGATATTGGTGCTTTCGACGCCAAGTTCTTCAATATCGCGGCTTATGAAGCTCATGCAATGGATCCGCAACAGCGCATTCTGCTCGAAACAACATATGAGGCACTGGAGAATGCTGGCGTTCCGTTGGAGAGCCTCAAGGGCTCAAATACTTGCGTATATGTTGGACTATACGCCCGAGACTATGACCGCATGGGCTTCAAGGATCTCCCACAAATCACAAAATTGCACATCACTGGAACAGGCGAGGCGGTCGTCTCAAACCGCATTTCGTACTTGTTTGATCTCAAGGGCGCTTCCGCCACAATTGACACAGGATGCGTAAGTAACAAGTGAAGGTCTTTGTGAAAGAATGAAGAAGCTGACTTGTCAATGGATAATAGTCCGGAAGTATGGTAGCACTTCACCAAGCTTGCCAGAATCTCCGGACCAGAGAATCAAACATGGCAATCGTGGGAGGAACTCAGCTTCTTCTTCACCCAGACCAGGCCATTGCCATGAGTACAGTGGGGTGAGTTTGGTTCAATCTGGATTATTTCTCCCTGTCTATCTTCAAGTCGTGCATCTTGCTGATACTTGTTAGAATGGTCAACCCACACGGTCGATGCTTTGTTTTTGACAGTCGTGGCTCCGGTTATGCTAGAGGCGAAGGCGTTGGTACGATAGTACTCAAGCGCCTAGACGACGCTGTTGCCGCCGGAGACCCCATTCACGCTGTCATCCGCAATTCAGGACTCAATCAAGACGGCAAGACGGCAGGCATTTCATTGCCCAACCCTGATGCTCAAGCTGCTCTTATGAAATTGGTATACTCGTCAGCTGGCGTGGACCCCCGTAGCACAGTCTATGTGGAAGCTCATGGTACCGTGAGTGTTGAACGCTCTTCTTCTGTGATACTAGCTCTCAGACCAATGCTAACATCACTTCCAGGGAACCCAAGCAGGTAAGCGGAGCATTCAAGCTAATCATCTCTTGAATGAGCTGAAGGGAACTGACTCAGAGGAACTCCAGGTGATAATGCCGAAATTTCCTCCATCAACCAAGTTTTCTGTGAGGATACCGAGCGACAATCAGATATCTATGTCGGATCAGTCAAATCCAACATCGGACATTTGGAAGCTTCCAGTGGCATTGCCGGATTAATCAAGGGTATCATGATCATCAAAAAAGGAATGATTCCTCCCAATATTGACCTCGAAACACCAAAGCCGAGTCTCAAGCTTGACGAGCGTAAAATCAAGGTGGGCAGAATCTTGAGAAGTGGTCCATCACTCACAGGACGCATGTACTGACTAGTTCTCGCAGATTCCCTTGGAGTTGACTCCACTGCCTCAGCCTGAACAACCAGGCCCAGGTCGAGTCTCATTAAACAGCTTCGGGTACGGTGGAACGAACGCCCATGTGATTCTTGAACCAGCACCAAAACGAAATCATGAAGCATCTGAACATAAGAAGACGAACGGCACCTTCTCAGCTCACCTGCAGGAAGAGCCCCAGACGAACGGCATATCCAATGAAGACAAGCAGGCCTCCGAGCCAAACGGCATTTCGGAGCAGCACAGCAGTGCATCAAGCCCTCCGCCGGACCCTCAACTGTTCGTGCTGAGCGCGACTTCCGAAAAGTCTCTACTTGAAGCTGCCAAGAACGTACAAGACTGGATTCGGGAGAAGAACGCTGATGAGGAAACTCTTCTCGATCTTGCCTACACTCTGAACGCGCGACGGTCACTTTTACCGCTTCGCTTTAGCGTGGTAGCCTCTACCTCCGATGAACTGGTTTCAGCCCTCGAGCCAAAGAATGTTCGTATTTCAAAGCTTCCTCACTCTGTGTCGGTGGCGTTCGTCTTCACTGGACAAGGTGCGCAATGGTTCGCCATGGGTCGAGAGCTCATCAATTCAGAATCCGTCTTCAAGGACTCCATTGTTCGATCGGACGAATTGATTCAGTCCTATGGAGCCCAGTGGAGCCTAGTCGACGAGCTCTCCAAGGATGAAGAAACGACTCGAGTAAGCGACAGCGAGCTCTCTCAGCCGCTGACGACCGCGATTCAAGTTGCAATGGTTGATTTGCTTACGGCCTTCGGAGTTCTCCCTCAGTATGTCTGCGGTCACAGCTCCGGAGAGATCGGCGCAGCCTATGCGGCTGGTGCTTTGACCCACGAAGCCGCAATCGAAATGTAAGACTCCGAGTTTCCCCATATGGCGACATTTCAAGCATTGCTGACTGAGTTGTCTTCTTTCTTGCAGCGCTTACCGCCGAGGACTGTGTTCAACCGCAGCCAAGAAAGCCAACTCTGTGAAAGGATCCATGCTGGCTGTTGGCCTAGGAGAGAGTGATGTTCTACCATTCATTCGACAAGTGAAGAATGGCCTAGTTACTGTGGCTTGTGTAAACAGCCCTAGCAGTACAACGATCTCCGGGGACGAGCCCGGGATCGACGAATTGAGCGAAATCTTGAACGCCCAATCCGCGTTCAACAGAAAGCTCAAGGTGGACACCGCATATCACTCTCATCACATGAAAAAGATCGCCGATCGGTACCTTGAGTCTCTGAAGCATATCGGCACCGGAACTCCGCAGAATGGTGCGACCTTTTATTCTTCCGTGACAGGAAGAAAGAAGGTCACCGATTTCGGTCCTTCTTACTGGACGGAGAACCTTGTTTCAAAAGTGCGATTCAATGATGCTCTTCAGCTGCTAGCTGAGGACATGGCTCGTTCGAAGTCGTCGAGCAACGTGGCTAATTTCTTCGCTGAAATCGGCCCCCACGGCGCTTTGTCAGGCCCTATCCGACAAATCATGGCCAAGTTGAGCGTGAAGTCCTTCAAATTTACTTACGGCTCAGCCCTTGTTCGCGGCAAGCATGCCCTTCACTCTGTTCTCGAATTGGTGGGAAAGCTGTTCGAGGCAGGCTGCGGTGTACAATTTGAACAGATCTTGTCTCTGAAGGGAGCTAAACGATGGACGGCTATTGGAGACCTGAGCCCGTATCCATGGGACCACTCACTATCATACTGGCACGAGTCACGGCTCAGTCGTGATCATCGATTGCGGCAATTCCCTTACCATGACTTGCTGGGCTTGTTAGATGTAGCAAGCACGATTCACGAGCCGCGATGGCGCTACCATCTCAATGTCGACACTCTGCCTTGGCTGAAGCACCATGTTGTTGATGACTTCATTATCTTCCCCGGAACGGGCTACCTCTGTATGGCGATCGAGGCAATGAAGCAGATTGTTCAGCTTCGAAAGACATCAGGGCGGATATCGAAATTCCACTTGAAGAACGTGATCCTCTCCAAGCCCATCATGGTTCCTGATCAGAGACCCGACAGTTTCATCCCCGACGTCGAAGTGCAGCTGACTTTGAGTCGCGTGAAGACCAGTGATGGCAGTCGGTGGGAGGCTTTCAGAGTCTTCTCCTATTCTGCGGAAGGCTCTGGGTCTTGGAACGAGCACTGCTCTGGACAAATTGCGGTGGAGATGGATTCCAAGATTGACGAGGTCGAAGGCTCGCGCGAGCAGGAGTATCTGGTTTCTTCTTTCGAGCGCAAATTCCAAGAAATCAGAGAAGCTTCTCACTTCGATGAGAAAATCACCCCAGAGAACTTCTACAGGTCTCTTCGCGAGTCGGGCAATGACTTTGGCCCAACATTCACTTGCATGACTGAGATGCAGCTCGGCAATCACCAAGGTTGGGCGAAGGTAGCTGTTCCTGATGTCGTTTCGTGCATGCCTCGTCAATTCATGCAACCTCACGTCATCCATCCTTCCCTTTTCGATGCCTTGAACCATCTTGCTGTGGTGCTCTTCAAGAAAGAATGTAGCAATGCGCCACTCATGGCGACCTTCTTTGGTGATATCGTGGTCTCTTCGGATATTACATCCACTCCGGCGGACGAATTGCTTGTTGCTCTGGAGATTAATCCTGAGGGGACACGCTCGGCCTCGGGAAACACATACGCCTTCCAACAGAATGCTGACGGAGAACGTTCTCTTGTGATGCACGTTCAAGACTGGCAGTTGAAAGCCATTGGAGAAGCACAAACTAGCAGCGAAGAGACCCCCTTCCATCGAAAGATGAATTATCGAATGGAGTGGCAGCCTGACGCAGCATTCATTAGCTCAGGCCAGCTTCAGGACGCGAGAACCTCAATCACAAGCACATCAATTCAGAAGCCGGCTCTGGAATCCGTTTCTGTCTCGGAGCATCACAAGATTACCGAGAAATTGACCTTTGAGCAAATCGTCGCTTTGAACGAGCGTGCAGCAGCGCTCTACATTCGAGACGCTTTGGCCCAGATGTCGGAACAGACAGTGCCTCCGAACGCAACACACCTGCATAGGCTACTCGAGTGGATGCAGAGCTCAAGCTATTCGGATGTTCGGAGGTCGATGCTAGCTGCGTTGACTCCTGCCGAGGAAGAACTTGTACTCCAAAGGTCAATTGCCTCCGGCGTTGAGGGCCTGCTTCTTTCACGAATCGGCCTTCATCTAGGCTCTGTCTTGACTGGAGAAACTGATGCTGCCGAGCTAATTCAAAAAGACGATCTTCTGTCGCGATATTATGTTGAGGATTTGTTCTCACTTTGCCACCAGGATATGGTCAATTACATAAAGTCGGTTGTATTTAAGAGGCCTCACATGAAGGTCCTCTTCCTTGGAGCCGGCATTGAACAATGCACGGCCACACTATTGCGCGCAATCGACAGGCCAGAAGGTCTCATGGTCGATCGATTTGATCTTGCGGATCGTTCAGCGGACGCATTAGAGCGTGCGAAGCCCCATTTCCAGAAATGGAACCATGCGATGGACTTCAAAACTTTGGATCTCGATGCAGATCTCAAAGATCAAGGATTTGATTATGAAGTCTACGACATGATTGTCGCAACCTGTTCTCTTCACACTGTCAAAAATGTCGATGCTTCTTTGAAGCGACTGCGACAACTGGCAAAGCCAGGTGGTAAGTTGGTGATGGTCGAGTTAGTCCGACCACCTGCCCTGTCGACTGAATTGATATTTGGAGTCTCGCCTGGGTATGTTTTCCTCGTTCTCATTTCATGTTGGATAGTGACTGACTTTATCTAGTTGGTGGGCGGCGGAAGACGATCGTAAAAACTCTCCTCTGCTTTCCGAGTCTGAGTGGCACAGTCGCCTCTTGGAAAGCTCCTTCAGCGGAGGAGATATTATGAACAGCGAGAACGAAGGTCCAAAGTCGCGATCTGTTATGATCGTTTCCACTGCCGTGGACCAGAAAGAGGTCACTAAAGCCAAGCATACTGGCACTGTTCAAGTTCTCTCTCTCCGTGCTTGGTCTACTGCATTCACACAATTGGCCAACGATATGACATCAGACCTTCGGGGAAGAGGTCACAGCTGTGCAATTAGCTCTTTCGATCCTCGTTCCATCCAGCAGGATATCACGTATATCATCCTTGATGATGTGGACAACGCTCTGTTATTTGATCCATCAGTCGAAGAATTTGAAAATCTGAAGAGCCTCTTCATCAACTGCAAGTCTCTGCTGTGGGTCAGCGGACAAGAGAAGGTTGACCAAATTCACAGCGCCGCGAGGGGACTTATTAATGGTATGGCACGCGTGGCGCGCCGTGAGAACGAAGGTGTCAAGTTTATTACAATCGACGTTCGGGAAGACATTGAGAACTGTGGCCCAGATCTTGTCAAGCAGATGGTGGATATTGCGGAAAGCTCATTCTGGCCTGAGTCTGAATCCACCCGTTCTCAAGAACACGAATTGGCCATCGTTGATGGCAAGGTCATGATTCCTCGAATTCAACCAGACACCAAGTTCAATGATTGGATTGATCGAGCGGTCGGCGAGGACAGAGTTGACACTCTCCCCTATCAGCAGCAAGATCGTGCGCTGAAGCTGCACGTAGAGACGCCAGGTCTACTGAGCAGTCTTCGTTTCGTTGAAGATGATACCATATCATCGGCCCTTCGCGATGACGAGATCGAGGTCGAGGCGCGGGCATACGGCGTCAACTTCAAGGACGTCTTCATTGCGCTCGGCCAAATGCTTCCGGGAGTGAACATGATTGGAGAGGTGGCTGGTATTGTGACAGCCGTTGGTGCAGGCATGGAAGGTCGATACAAGGTCGGTGACAGAGTGGCCGGAGTTGGGGCCCAGCCGTTCACCAGCAGAGCTAGAGTCAAGGGACTCATGTCTTGTCGACTTCCCGACTCCATCAGCTTCAACGTCGGCGCATCGATTCCCATCATCTATATGACGGCTTATCACTGTATTGTGGAGGTTGCTCGTCTGCGAAAAGGACAAACCATTTTGATTCATGCGGCATCTGGCGGTGTCGGTCAAGCTGCTATCCAGTTTGCTCAGAACATCGGAGCGGAAATCTTCGCTACCGTTGGCAGTGCAACGAAGCGCCAGCTCCTCGTTGACACATACAAGATTCCCGAAGATCACATCTTCTCAACACGATCCAGGACCTTCAAAAGCGGTGTTCTGCGTCTTACAAACGACAAGGGCGTCGACGTCGTGTTGAACTCGCTTTCAGGAGAATGGCTCAACGACTCCTGGGAATGTCTTGCTCGCCTTGGAACATTTGTCGAAATTGGCAAGACTGACATTTACAAGAGAAACCACCTCAGCATGGCCCCCTTCGACCGAAGCATCACTTTTGCAGCTGTCGACTTGGTGGTTCTGTTCGAGAACCAGATTGAGCGAATGAATGAGGAGTTCAACACCGTTATCAACTTGTTCGAATCCGGCGAGTTGGTTCCTGTCGCTCCAGTCACCTCCATACCAATCTCGAATATTGAGGAAGCTTTCCGCTTGATCGCTTCACGAAAACATACTGGAAAGGTCGTCATCGAGATTCAACCAGACGCTGTTGTGAAAGCGGTTGTCGCCAAGCCCGAGCCTCTGCAGTTGAATTCTGCTGGATCGTATGTCGTAGCAGGTGGTCTCGGTGATCTCGGCAAGCGGATCTGTCGATTGCTGGCAGCGCATGGTGCAAAGCACGTTGTCACTCTGTCTCGGCGAGTTCTGTCCGATGAAGATCGAGAGGCATTCGAGTCTGAGCTTGCTCAGTTGGGAGCACAGCTTCACATCGTCAAGTGCGATGTCATTGATCAAGCATCCATGAAAGACGCTGCAGAACTCTGTAGAAAGAGTCTCCCGGCAGTTAAGGGAATTATTCATGCAGGAATGGTGCTCAGGGTAAGTGACTAACCAGTCTTCACCTTGTGCCTTCTATTCTAATTATGTGTCTTAGGATCACCCAATCGAGTTGATGACGCCAGAAGACTACCTTACCGCAACTAAGCCCAAAACTCAAGGTACTTTGAACTTGCATTCAAGCTTTGAGGGTGCTGAACTGGATTTCTTCATCATGCTTTCATCCATCACTTCTATCGTTGGCAAGACTGGCCAAGCCAATTACTCAGCTGGGAACGCCTTCCAGGACTACTTCGCCCACGCTAACGCAGGAACATCTCGAACCCGGTACATCTCTCTCAATCTGGGTGCAATTGACGGATCAGATGCAATTGCTTCGTTGCCGATTCGCCAGCAGGAGCTGATGCGGCAAGGTGCAATTCTGGTCAAATTTGAGGAGCTCTTCAAGGTCCTCGAGTATGCCATGGGCCCTCAAGCCTCCTTAGACGGCTGCACACAGTCCATTATGGGCTTCGACCGAGACTCCATGGAGACAGTCCAGGACACTTTCGGACTGAACAACCCAATGTTCAGTCAAGTTCCTTATCTATCGGACGGCACGTCGTCCGGCGATGCCTCATCAGCAAAGGTGGATACAGAAAAGGCTATTCGGACTGCCTCGACTATTGCGGAAGCTCAAGAGATCATAACACATGCAATCGCGGAGAAATTCGCTCTTTTCATGGACCGGGCAATGGAAGACGTCAACCTCGACCAACCGCTAGCCGCCTTTGGACTTGACTCGCTGGTTTCAATCGAGTTGAAGAATTGGATGGTCCGCACCTTCCAGGTCAGTCTGCAAACATCCGAGATTGCAGATGCTACAAGTGTTGTTGCTCTGGCAAAGTCTATCGCATCGCGATCGAAGCTTGTCAGCGATGAGTTGCGCGGAACCACTGCAGCTCCGCAAGGAGATGAGGAAGCGGCCATGCCACAGGCCGCCGTGGAAGAAAGTACTTGCCCCAATCACGGCTTTGAATGTTGTCGATACGCAAAGGATCTTCCCAAGCAACCGCTGATGGATCTTGATGAGGCTCTCAATATGATCCTCGACGGCACACGTCACTTTGCCACTGAGGAAGAATATCAAACACTCTGTGAAGCGGTCAAGCAGTTTGGCCGCGATGATAGTACCGGGCGTCACCTGTACGATCAGCTCGTACGCAAGTCGCAGGATCCCAATGTGGACAACTGGATGGCCGATATCCTTACGGATGCTTTGTTCCTCAAGAGACGCTTCCCGCTGGCGCCTCTTCAAAGCTTCTTTGCCACACATCATGACAGTGCCGTTCCACATCCCCAGGCAGATAGGGCTGCTTTGATCGCTACAACTGCCTTCCGCTTCAAGGAAGCTGTGGATGCAGGCAACCTCGAGGCCCACTGGTGGTTCAATATCCCGTCTTGCATGGATTCATGGCAGTGGCTCTTCAACACTACTCGTGAGCCTCACGTTGAAGCTGATTGCATGAGAAAGTATCCCGGCAACGACTACTGCGTGGTACTGCGTCGAGGCCACATCTTCAAAGTCAATTTAAAGGATGGCTCCGAAGCAGCTTCGTACTCCATGATTCAAACCCAGTTCGAGGCCATTCTGAGCAGCGTTCAGGACGAAGGATTCTGGACTGGAATTCTCACCAACGACGATCGTGATGGATGGGCCATTGTAAGTGATGCCCTTTCTAGTCGTGAACTTCATGCCAGCGTACTAACATTTGCACAGTATCGCGAGAAGCTTATCGCTCAAAGCGCGGAAAATGCCGAAAGCATTCAAGTCATCGAAAAGGCGCTGTTTGTCATGTGCCTTGACGATGGCGCACCAACCACTAACTCCGAGCGGATTCGACAGGCGTATCTCGGCAACGGGTTCAACCGATGGAACGACAAAGGTCTCCAATTCACAGTTTTCGAGAACGGTTCCTCGGGATATCAGGTGGAGCATTCGATGATTGATGGTTTGACCGTGCACCGTATGAATGAATGGATCCATGAGGCCATTCACGCCCATGTCCCAAGCAATGCCACCAACGGACACGGACACGCACAGGAAGGAATCAACGGCACCAACGGCGTTTCCAATGGCTCTCAGCCGGTTCTGGAAGAGTACGCCCTCTCAACCAGCCCCGAAATTGATGAGCACATTCTTGTTGTGCGAGAACAGCACCTTCAGACCACGTCTAGTCGCGAATATGGCTACAAAGTATTGCCACACTTTGGTAAAAACTTCCTCGCGGAGCATGGATGTCCGATCAAATCTGTCTTTGATGTGACCATTCAACTCGCCAGCAAGCTCTACTTTGGCTATAACCCTGCCTCTTGGGAACCCATGTCCATGGCACACTTCCACAAAGGACGCACCGAAATTTTCCAGGGTGTGCTACCGTCCGTGGCTGAGTTCTGTGAGTCCGCGCGCGATGAAGCGATGCCCGCCACACAGCGACGCGACATGCTCATACGCGCCGCGAACGATTACATTGCTGGCCTGCAGAGGTCCGGCAAGGGTGACAATTACTTCCGCCTAATGAATGTGTTAGAGACCATGTGGCCAAGCGACGAGGAAGTCGCCCCATTGTTCAAAGATCCTGTCTGGCTAAGGACCTATCCTCAGTTGATCATGTCTGGATTGACTGATGGAGGATCTCTTGACTCGGCGTTCTCTTTGATCGACCCGGAAGGTGTATGGATTTGCTACTCGATCGAAGAGCAAGAGTGAGTTTTCGCCCCGTTGATAATTTCCTGTATGGAAGCTAATAATTTCGCCTTCTTTTCAGAGCACGTTTCTCGATCGTGGGTCCTACCGGCAAGGTTTCTGAGTTTGAGAAGGTCCTTGATGAGGCCACCATGGTGGTGAAGAAGCTGGTCGAGTCGAGCTAGATAAGCGAGGGGCAGCAGACTGAGATTATTCAGGGATATGACAAATAATGCAGACATCTCTCGTGACATGCATTTCCAGAATGATTCTAAGTCACGATAAAGCGTGCGCGTGCCAGTACATTCAGTAGCGCATACATTGTGTGAGTTGGTTGGAGAGTTCTTCCAAACAGTGTTCGTCTCGATCCATATATCGAGCGGTGTTAGACAGTTTGCGCCTCAGACATGAACCTCTTGGCTAGGCGCGGGGATTTCTGCTGCTGAGTGATCCGGAGAGTCACTTTGACTGAGGCGGCTGACACTCGTGGTGTAGGGTCACCCATGGGTTGTATATGGAAGGGTATTCGGTTGGTTTATAACCACGAAAACACTCTACCACTGTAGGCATACAATCACCCTGGACTTTTGGATTGCGATAATCCCAATACTACGCTTGCGACGTGATAAAAGCTTAAGAAAGGGGCTCATTGAACACCCCAGTAGACCCTCGTCCGATATAAATACATGGTGCGCGTCTTGGTTGACAACTTAGACCCCATAGGGCTAATTTGAGACCGGGTCAGTAGTAAATGTCGCCCCATTACCCAAGGTAATTGGGCGGTTGATCAACCTCCAAGTTTGAGAAACGCATGATCCATCAGTTCGCGAGCTGTCTTCCTCCTCTGCGGGAGCCAGGTGAGCATATGTCGAACAAAGGAGAAAAATGCCTCTCGATCAGTCTTTCAATTCATGATAGCAAAATTTATCTTGAACGTACTCAGTATGTCAGGTATTGACGTGCGAGATAGTTGTTAACTAACCCTCTGCATTGAAGAACGGGCCACCAAAGAATTCTTCAACATCATTGAAGAGTGCTCTAGTGTCTTTCGTGACAGACTGTGGCCAGTTATGCATTGCCATGGCTTTTGATTTCGCGAGCAATTCCCCGGGAGGAGGGCCGAGTCAGGCAATCATTTCCGCGAGGTGTGACTTTGCGTCGTATTGGCAGTTTGTATGATGTACCTGCTGGAACAACACCTTATTACCAAGGATGATCCATAACTTGCCGAATAAGATTGTTAGCCTTGAGCCCAAGCCAGAGATTGTAACCAAAACCAAGGGAAACAAAAAGCCTGTTATATTGCAAATAGACCTCCTAAAAACAGGTATAGCGTCTTACCAGCATACCAAAGTTCCAAATATCTACCCTGAAATCTCAACCGCAGCCAAGGATTACCTCCGGAGCACTTTAATAGTCCGGTTGGGTAGGATAAATACCCAGTTTCGGGTAGACAAGTTATTAAATCTGGTTATGAGCCCGAAATCGACCAATTTAGAAACCATATTCTTGATTTCTCTCCCGTCAAAAGTACCGAAGTCATTATAGCAGCGGTAGATATCCCGGCCACTCTCGTTATCAACCTTGTATTGCATGGGTTGTTATCGTTTAATGAAGTCGATAAGAATGTTTTCGTTTTCAAAGCTTATGAGGATATTCCCTAGCTTTAGATCTAACAGATAGATCAATCAGGTCTTCAAATTCCAGAACAGGCACAGGAGAACGGTATTAAATAGTTACCCGTGTAGACGACTTTGCACTCTGAGTGGAGATAATTAAGGCTAACAAGGAGAAACTAGATATAGGTCTTCGCAATAGGGAAAGGAATCTTACGATTAACGAAACGCCTCTGTAAAATCCAGGAGGCTCTCTCATCGGCTCCTACACAAGGTACATGTACTTTCTTTTCGGACCAGTCACTTCGAAGTCATCTAAGCACGTCCGTAGAATTACGCGGCTACGATGCTCTGAATGCTGCTATGTAATATTGCTTTCAATCTCCTTATTGTAACGAGCATCATCAGCGTTACTACTGTTAATTATTTTTAGGACCACGGTTCTTCCAGATTGATAGTTAAGTCTTAGTAATAAGGAACACTGTTAGTTTCTCGCGGTCAATATAAAGCAAGTACGCGTGGCGATAGTGTAGGTAGATGTTTGGAAATGTCTCGGGCGAGCCACACAGTTAATTGTGATCTCCATCCGATTTTGACAAGTAGTTGAAATTTCTTGGCAAATACTTTTCCCGGCTTTGCTGGGTAGAAAGTCGCCGAATTGTAGTCAGGACAAACCTCATCGTCAATAAGTTCCCGTTGAGGAATTGGCGGCCCTGAGTTGGGCGGTAGCTGCCAGAGTGACTTTTTGGTGAAGGAGAACATGGTACGCCTCGATGTCAAGGTCAACTGGCGAGGAGGTGACATGAGGCCATCCAAGCGTTATTGTAATGCTCTGGGAACAATCAAGCACCCTGGAGGAAGCTGAGCTTGACGTTCCTTCCATAGCTGCCAGGAGGCTGGTGAAAATGACTAAGCATCACCTGTCTTCCATTTGATTCACAAGACGTTTTTTTTAGAATTCTACCATCTCCTTCCGGTACGTGCTATCCTAGTCAGCTATAAATAGAAGATAGAAGTAGTTAAATATTAGTGAACTAGTCCCCCTAATAGGTACATGGTGTGCTTCCCAACTCTCACAGTACTAATCACAGGCTACTGGCTATCTAATGACACTTTGTGGAATCATCTATACGGGGATCTTGCCCGCTATACTACCTCTTCTTTCAAAGATATTTCTCGTGTATGAATCCTTATCCATCAAGGATTTAATTCTTGCCCGATGCTCACTCGCAATCGCGGCTTCGGGTGCACTTTTTACGGCAGCGCCCGAAGTTGGAGTCATTCTTTCCGGGCTCGTGATACATAGCGTGGGCTCCGGTCTCTACCCTCTCTGTCGGTCCCTTGCCAGTAGGTACGTTGCGTCGTAGATGACGGCTAAGCTGAGCTCCGCCATCGGTAATATAGAAACCATAAGCGCACTATTTGATAGGCCAGCACTGGCGTGGCTCTTTGAGACTGGAATGAAGCATGGAGATCTGTCCCCTTGGTCTGCCGTATATTGAATTTACTCAAATCCTTGCGTTGGGTCTCGTTGGTCTACTATTTGTACGTCCGTCTGCTCGGGCGTAGCCCGATGTCGAGGGAGGTCTATAACCGCGGGGGGAGATGTGCATGATAGGCGAGCATCTTCCTTCCCTCGCTTCACAACAAAAAGCTCGAGGACTCTCCAGCTCAAAGTTTTGCAAAGTATCATTACCGTTGATGGCGACGTAGTCTCCATATACTGTTCGAGCTTCAAAATTGTGATACTCAAAACATGGCGTGCTTGGACTAGATGTTCTCTGCTGGGCCTAAGCCCCGTAGATTCAAGGTCGATGGTTGGGGCCAGGTTCGGAACTCAGTTAGTATGAGGCCCCTTCAAGTCATGAAATTCTTGAACTCATCTATAAACAGTATCTCTCCGTACGCATAATCTATTTCATAGTGCTCTCAGTTGTCCAACAATGGCTGCTATCAGGCGCCGTCGATCGGCATGTGGCTCGAGGCTCCCGTCCCGCAATCTCCACTCCCCACAGTTCCACACTCCCTGAATCGAGAATAGCTGGAGACTGTATACTGCTGCTGGGGTTTACCTTGGATGGCGCACTTCCTGGTTGCACAATATTCATGTGCATATTCTCGTTGCAGCGTCCGCCTCATTGGTGAGCTTCTTGTGACTATTGGGCCACTGTTCGAGGTTACCGGTAAGCCCGCGATCATCATCGTTCACATCTCATCGCAAGTACAGCCCCCGCCTTGATCGAAGCCACCAAGTCGGATCTTTTCCGAACATGTCGAAAGTTGATCTTCAGACTCTTGATCTGCTCCATACGTGGGGCATACCATGACAGACACAGCTGCGGGCGGGTGCGGCGACAACCGCTTCGGCCCGTTCATTTTGATATCAGATTGTCGAGGGGGCTTCGACTTTACAATCCTCTTCGAGTCGAGCATCCTGAATGTACTACCGGCTGCATGCTTTCTAGTGCTGGCGCTGGCACGACTATACTATTTGTCGAAACAATCGGTCAAGGTGTCGTCTTCGATCTTTCATCGAATCACATTGGTGAGTTTTTCCGGCAGCGGCTGATTTCTCATATTAATCTGGACGTGGAAGTGACTACAGACTTTGATAGGGAACATCAATCGCATATGCAGCTATTCAAGTCGCTCTTGTGGTGCTGGTCACCAAACAGCACCAGGGTGAAGCAGAGAGCGTCGTCTTGGTCGGTGTGATCCTGGGTCTAGTGGCGGCACTGGGTATGACTGCGTTGATCGACCTGGAACATTTCCGATCCATCAGACCGTCGTTCTTGGTCTTCGCGTACCTATTTGTTATTTGATCTTGCGCGTCTTCTCACGGCATGGCTGATAGAAGACAACCAAGTCTACTCGGCGTGCCTCTCGGCGTCCTTTGCCCTTAAACTTATTCTGCTGGTCATAACCAAACGGCTCGCTCAGGAAAGGGCACTCCAAGTTGCTTCCTGAAGACGATCTGCCCGCGAGTCATGAGAAACTCATGTCTACTCGGGCGCTGTTTGATCTTTTTGGTGAACCACGACAAGTCTGTCTCTTTGCGTTGCTTACAATATATTCGACGGTTCAGAAAAGAGAAGATTTCCTCAGCCATCAACCAGCTCCTCGCTCTCGTCATATATATCCTCTGGAATAGAAGTTCGTCAGAGGGTACAAAGATCACGCAGGGACGAAGAGACGGTTCTTTCACTGCGAGACGTCCGCTTTGGTTGGAAGTCCTCGTCCATATCAGACACTCCGAGCATCACGCTCGACTTTGTATCTTCGGATACTGGCACACTTGCCATGCTCTTGGGGCCAATTGGCTGCGTGAAATTAACTTTCCTGAAAGGTCTCGCTGGCGAGGGGCCGGTATTGGAAGGGGAGCTCTTCATCACATACCCCGACATTACCTTCTGTGACGAGAATGCATGGCTGTCGAATGCTTCCATCAGAAGCAACATCATTGGCGAGGACGCTTTTGAATTTGATTCAATCTTGTATCGTACTGTGGTGAACGCATGCGTACTCGATCTGGATTTGAAGGGGATGGCTGCCGGGGATGAGAGTGTCGTGGGTAGCAAAGGATCTAAACTCAGTGGTGGCCAGCGACAAAGAATTGTGAGATTTTGTTCCCTTTCGGCGTCTTCGTTTCTTCATCATTGCGCTAAGTTTCAATCACTTTCAGGCTATCGCACGAGCCGTGTACGCTCGCAGACGCATCGCTTGCTTCGATGGTTTTTTCAGCGGCCTGGATAATGCGACTACCCGACCTGTATTTGACAATGTCTTTGGCTTCAACGGTCTGCTACGTCGACTTGGCTGCACAGTCTTCTTCGCAACCCATGATAGCATGTTTGAACATCAACTAATACGGAATTTTGCTCTTCGTGCCTTGTTTCGGAGCTAAGAAGCTTCTGACAGTGCATCACCTGTCCGAGGCCGACAAGATTCTCATGTTCGGGGGGAATGGCGGGATTGCCAAAATAAGCCGATTTGCTGACCTTCGGGACGATTTGGGCCAATTCACCTTGCAGCATGAAGTTGAAGCTACGGATGATCACGAGACACAGGCAACTGATGAGAAATTTTTGCCGATCGGCGAGAAACCAGTCAGTAATGCCGTAGTTAATTCCAGTCTGCAGACCACAGATAGGGCTGTCTACAAGTACTACTTCTCTGCGTTAGGCTGGCTACAAGTTTCTGTGCTGCTGTTCTTCCTCGTCACGAATGCTGGCGTCAACGCCTTTCGCTGTAAGTGTTAACTTAGCAGTCTCGATATCTCACGACTGACCTTGCAGAAGATGTGTGGGTTGATATTTGGGCATCCAGCCGCAATAACACGTCCAACTCACAGGTTGGGTACTGGCTTGGGCTGTATGGGCTGTTCTCCGTTGTGGAATTAGCATCCCTCATGGCCGCGGTGTTGTCAGTATCTCTGATACCCAACTGTCCCATTCCACCTGTACTAATTCTTTCCTTTGTCTAGCTCGACTTATGTTGTCATTGTTCCCGCTGCCTCGAAAAATCTGCACTCCGTGATTCGCGCGCTTGCATGAGGTTTGATTGCTCATACCTCTATGCCGCTTGAGCTCTTGCTAACAATTACAGCAAACCTTATTCTTTCCTTTGGAACATAGATACTGGAGCTTTGGTGGCCCGGTTCAGCCAGGACATGAGGCTTGTGGATATGGTCTTGCCTAGTGGGTTTATATCAACAAGATTCCGTGAGTTGCTCTAAGCAGTCTCCGTCAAAACACCGAAAAAAGCCTATCAACTCACTGGCCCAACCATCTCAAGAGCTCTTTGCGGCGATCGCCCAGTGTGCTACTGCTGTAGCTTCACTCCCATATTTGGCAGCAACTCTGCCATTCCTGATTGGAGTACTTTACCTCGTCCAACGATTCTACCTAAAGACCTGTCGTCAGCTACGATTACTCGAGAGAGTTCCACCTCCTTCATCAAACCCCAATCCAAGGAAAACCAACTAGACAGGCTGCTCACCTCGACGCTCTGCGCGCAGAATCGAATTAAAAAGTCCCCTCTACACACACTTCATCGAGACCCTAGCCGGAATCACCACGATCCGCGCATTCTCCTGGCGCGATACTACCTCCATCCGAATGATTTCTATGCTCGACACCGCCCAGCGACCCTACTATCTCTTGCTCTGCATCCAACGTTGGCTCAGCCTCGTGCTCAACCAAATAGCAGCCGTCATTGCAGTGCTTCTTGTAGGAACAGCAATTTCTCTCCGCACCCGCGTGCAGCCAGGTCTTTTGGGTATTGCACTTGTGATGATGACAGACCTTGGACGAGTCCTCTCATCCCTGGTGCAGAATGACACTCTTCTTGAAACTTCGCTCGGATCAATTTCCCGTATCAAGGAGTTTGCTGAGACTACGCCGAATGAGGAGAATGAGCTGCTGGCTTGAAAGATCTGGAGAATTCCAAAGAGTGGCTCACTCGAGGCGAGATCGAATTTGCTGAGACGAGTATTTCATAGAGTGATTCTGCTGCGAAGCCTCTGGTGAATGGTATTAATATTCACATCGGCGCTGGAGAGAAGCTCGGTCTCTGCGGCAGAACAGGAAGGTGAGTCTTGTAATCTGAACAATTTTCTTCCATCCCAAGTCAACTATCAGCCATTCTTTCTGGCTACACGCATGACCATAAAAGAAAACTCTATTAGCTAACCACATCCTCGCCCTCCGTCTCCCTCACCCAGCGGCAAAAAGCACTTTAGCCGTCTCCCTCCTCCGCCTGCACGAAATCGCGTCTGGCCAAATCCTCATCGACGGCCACGATATCGCGCAAAAGTCCCGCTCCTCAGTCCGCGAACGCATCAGCTGTTATTCATCTTCCCCGGCACCATCCGACAGAACGCCGATCCGCTTAATCAGACGTGCAACGCGCAAATCATTGACGCACTGCGATCAGTCGGGGTCTGGGGTTCGTTGGTGAACGGGTCCAGCGGCGTAGACGCCAAGCAAGCCACAGAGGAAGAATGTCTTGTTTCAACACTGGACAAGAATGTTCTATCGCAGGGCCAGAAACAACTGTTTTGTTTGGCGAGGGCGTTGTTGAAAAAGAGTAAGATTTTGATTCTGGATGAGCCGACGAGCAGGTAAGCAGCCAGCTCCCTCCGCAACAATCCCAGCATGATATCATCTGGTCCATCACCAGCGCAAGGAGGACCAAGAGGCGTGGAGAAGAGTGGAAACTAATTCGAATCTCTTTATCCTATAGTTTGGACCATGAGTCGGACGCCAAAGTACAGAGGATCATCCGCGAATCTTTCCAGGTTTGTACTGTGATCATGGTAGCTCATCGAATCCACAGTCTGTTGGATTTCGATCAAGTTGCCGTCTTGAATAGCGGTCGACTTGTCGAAGTTGGGCATCCTCAGCAACTGGTAAATCGATCAGGTAGTGAGTTTGCGAAATCGTTGAGCTTGGAGTCTTGAGCAAAATGAATTGGACCGGACTGGACTGGACTGAAGCTCTGGAATGGAGATGAAGCTGGATAGTGAGATAAGGGGGTTTTGCTGGAAGGGTGACTTTTGCAATAGATCGTATGTGAGTTTCAATTTCGCTTCAAATTCGATATCACTATCTGCCAACTACAAGACAGCCCTTGCGGAGAGCTTTGCAAACCCAAAGGATAGGTACTAAAGTTGGCGTTGGCCAGTTCCAGGCTTCCCAAACACTTCATTAATACACTGTAACCGCATCAACCGATCTCAAAGATTCTATTGAAATAGGTTGTCGCCAAAATATGCAACAACAAAATATCACGAAGACATTTAGATATCAGTACAAGGGGCGCTCGCCGAAGCTGTCTCTCAAGCTTCCTTGTGAGAACAACACATGGCCATATTTGATTCCATCCTGCGTTTTTATCTCGCCCTGCCTCGGCCACCCTCGGGCTGTTCGCCCTCTATATCCCACGCTCTTTTCATCCGTTTGAGTCTTTGTTTCTTTGCTTAACCAGTAACCTTGAAAATGGACTCGGCCAGACGCTTGACGTTGCCGGTGGTGATACCGGCGACGGAGATACGACCATCCTTGGTAGCATAGACGGAGTGCTGTAGGGCAGAAGGTGTCAGCTGACTGAAAGCAAAAGCTTGTAGAGCATGGTAAAATGGATCCACGTGTTTCTTTGTCGCACGCGATCGGTAGCTTACCTCCTTGGCGAGGACGTCCATCTGCTCGGGCTTCAGACCAGTGTAGGCAAACATGCCAATTTGGCTGGTGATGTGAGACCAGTCGTGCTTGCTGCCGAGTTCCTCCAGGTGCTTGCGGAGCAGAGAGCGCATCTCGATAATGCGGTCAGCCATGCCCTTGACCTCACCGAGCCACTGCTCGTTGAGCTTGGGGTCATTCATGATGGCGGAGGCGACACGGGCACCGTGAATGGGAGGGTTGGAGTAGAAGGGACGGATCAGAATCTTGATCTGAGACTCGACGCGCTTCTTCTCCTCGGTGTTCTCGCAAACCAGCGAGAAGGCACCAACACGCTCACCGTAGAGACCCTGGAAAACCCACAAATGATTAGTTTGTTTCCCGCGAGAACTACGACACCGAGACCTTGCAGAATGAAATTCATACCATGTTTTTGGCGAAGCTCTGGCACAGAGCGATGTTGTGGCCCTCCTTGACAAAGTGACGGGGGGCAAAAGCATCCTGATCGGCGTTGCCGCTGGCGAAACCTTGGTAAGCCATGTCGAAGAAGGCAAAGTGGCCCTTCTCCTTGACGACATCGCTGATCTGGCGCCACTGCTCCTGCGTGGGGTCAACACCGGTAGGGTTGTGAGCGCAAGCGTGCAGCAGAACAATGCTGTTGTTGGGGGCGGCCTTGATGTCGGCGATCATTCCATCAAAGTCAAGACCGATGGTGTCCTTGTTGTAGTAGCGGTACTTCTCAACCTCGAGACCAGAGTCCTTGAAGACAGCGTTGTGATTGGCCCAGCTGGGGTTGGGGAGGTAGATCTTCTTGGCGTGGGGATAGAAACGCTGGAGGAACGCACCGCCGATGCGGAGAGCACCGGTACCGGAGATGGTTTGAGTGATCACCAAGCGATCCTCAGTCAGAGCCGAAGAGTCCTTGCCGTAGGCCAGCTCGGCAGCCGCCTTGGTGAAGGAGGGAACACCAGTGATACCGGCGTATTCCTTGTCGAAGCGCGAGGCGACGACCTTGTCCTCAGCTTCACGGACGGAGGGCAGAACGTAAGGCTTGCCCTTGTCATCACCTATTGATCATCGAACACGCACGATTCCAATCAGTCTCAATTTGTCGCGATACCGACATTGATCAAGCATCGAGCGTAAGTCCAAGCGATCAATTCTAGGGAAAGACTCACGGTAAGCACCAACACCCAGGTTAATCTTCTCCTTGAAGGAATCGGCCTTGAAAGCCTCGGTGATGCCCAGAATGGCATCCTAATGACACGCGCAACTTGTTAGCATGTTTATCCTCTAAACAGGCATTTTTTTTCGGCACCGAGACCGCCCAATTGAAAGCAAAATGGAGCATCAGATCAGTTGAACACGTACAGGAGGACCCTGGGGCACATTGGACCAGGCCGAGGCATGTCTGGCACCAACGACCACGGTGCGCATGTTCGCATCACGGGCAGCCGCCGAGCGGCTGGCAACACGCAGAGTGGAGAGCATTGTGTATGATATGAGAGATCGGAGGGATGGGGAGAATCAGAAAGAAAGAAGATCGAGTCGGGGAAATCTGGGGGAAGGACAGGAAAAAGCCGGAGAAACAAAGTTCGGAGTTACTGCGTGTTTGGGGGGAGCAACAGCCTGACTCATGTGATACGATACTTGTGTTCTACAGAGCCAGGAAAGTACCGGGTACTTACATGGAGAGTGTGGAGAACGGCATAATCCGAGGTCTATTCTACTTCACCGCCCGGGTACACTATCGACGGAAGCGTCAACAAAAGGTCAACCGGCACGGCATGGCGCACGAGGAGTTGCATCATCCGCAGGTCCGAGTCAGTGAGATTCGGTGATGGAGAATCTGTATCTGACATCGGTCTCATCTTGTGATGTGGGAATGTACCTGACAAGCCAGTGAACAATGTACTGTACTTTGTGCGAGTTTCATGTCGATCCATGCACCAATTCGTCGTGGGGGCAATGTGCTATCCGCGTCATTCAGGAATCGGCAGTAGTAAAGTACAACATGTACAGCATCAGTACATAGTGTAGGTACGTACATAGGCAGGTAGGCTGATTACCTTTAGTAGCTGACTGCTAATTCAAATACCACCCAATTGTACAAGAACCTTACTACTGAGCCTTCTTGATGTCGAAACCAACTGACAACTGACATTTTAACATCCAAGCCACGAACTATGGTGTCGCGTAGCAGACACAGGGACCAGTGGACCACACCGACTTCTCCAAACAATGATGCAGCGAGCCTGTCCAGCGGAGGCAGATGTTCAATAACATTCTGCACCTGCCCTACTCTCTCCGATATGCTTCCTCGTCATCGTAACGTGGCCCGGGAACTGTCCAGCCCGGTGAGCTGAATGGGGACGAGCTTTAGCCAAACTCGACTCCACTCAGCACTAGACTTTCCCCTCACGCGCGGTTGGGGTAAGCCTCTCGTGCGGGCACTCCTTATGGGAACTGAGAAGAATTCGGGATTCTCGCTCTTGAAGTGTCGTCCTTGTGAAATCTCAGATCATGGGGCAGAGTGAGAACTGTGACCCGTTTAATGTAGAACGAGCGGTCGGTGAATAAAGCTACATCATCCTGCTTGAGAATCAGATGTGTAGGGATTTCTATTTTGCTGCGACACTAGAGCAGTTGAACAAGCGCGATCGGTCGCCGGTCTGCTGAAGAAGAGATGGATGTATCTGACCCTCGACAATTTAGGCTCAAGCGGGACTCGGGTAAATAGGTTAAGCAAGAGCTCAACTAATTAACCTACTTGAGTGCCCGTTTGGCCATCACACAACACCATTCTAGTTGCGGTTAATTACACGGGACCACCAGATTCAATGTGTTGCTCTACGAGTGTCGGTCCTGTCGGAAGGTCTGTCGACTTGATTACTCAAAAGGGACATTCAAGGAGATGATTTAGGTAGTAACTTGAGCCGGCTTCCAACATTGTGGTTCCATTCACGATCACACCGCAGAGCTTGTTCTAAATAGCCCAGCTGGTCTGGTCGACTTCACTATTAGGAAAGCTGTCCGCTAGGACTACTGAGGGAGACAATGGGGATCTCGCTACCTGGCTCGAGGGAAGTTTGTAGGAGAGAAGACAACGCTCGTCCTCGTTGTCTGATGGATCGACACGAGGTTGCAAGGATGATGTGGAATAGGGTATACATTAATGCAATGGCAAATATCTGATTCGTCATCGTCCGGTCCAGGAATAGTGATCAAGCAGACAGACCTGACGCAACAATCATTCCAATGATGAAGTCAACCTCAGAGGTGCTGATGTGTATGCCGACAATCAGCCCAGCCGAACGCCAGCCTGACGATTCTTTCGCGCTTGTTGGCCCATGGCGTTGTTCATGCCAGTCTGCAGACTGCTGTCCAACGCAGACATGGCCTCTCGCTTCTTCTCCTCTTCGATCTTCTTGAGACGCTTCTCCGTCTTCATCTTGCCACTGCCCTTTCCGTGGAACTGGTGACTCAGGTGCTTGAATGCTTCCTTCTGGTTCAATGAGCGGCCGAATTCGTCAGTGTACTTGAGCTGCACATCGGGTTTGTATTCCTTGTTGAAGATCTCAGCCATCTGGCGAGCCTCCTGTTGATCACGCTGCTTATTTTCCCAGCGAGCGTGCTCTTCGCGCTCGCGTGCAGACATGCGATCGAGCTTACCCGAGGCACGGTCACGCTCACGCTGCAAGCGGGCACGGCGCTCGGCCTCGGACTCCCGTTTTTGCTTCTCTTGCAAGAAACGCTGGCGATCGCGAAATAGAGCGTTTGCACTGGTACCGTCGAGACCCTTGACAACACCACGCTGTCGCAACATCGTGACGGCCGCTCCAAGACCTTGATCCAACGTACTTTCCTCTTCCAGACCTGTGACGGTAAGATCTTGTGGGACCTGGCTCGAGGTCTCGCGTTTCAGACGTTCTTTGAGATCCTCTTCATCTTCGATATCATTGTAGCTTCGCTCCATGTCCACGTCTTCCCGCTCCTCGTCTGGCTCGGACTTGACGTGGACATCTGCTGATGGCGTTGATTTTCGCCGCTCTTCTCGCTCGGGCAATGTAGGCTTCTGTAGGTTGGAAACAAATTCAGAGGTCTCGTCAATGACTAGGCCCGGTTCGTCTGCACCGTTTTCAGGTTGATCAGTTTCCATGGGCATTTGAGATTGCTCCTCGCGAAGTTGCCGTGCGAGGTCTTCAGGGCGCATCTTCTTTCGCTTTTTGAAAGCAGCTCGACGTTGGAGGGCAAGCGATGCTTGTAGGTCATCATCGTCTGCAAACGAGACATCCTCATTGAGAGGTTTCCGGACCGGCGCAACTGCAACTCCATTTGATGAATCGATATCCATGGGCGCTCCGTTGGGAGTGCTTGCAGTTTCCGAATCGGGAAGCAGGCCCTCGTCGTCAAACGGCACCCGCTGTTTCGTCGTCTTATTCTTTTTCTTCTTTGGCTTCTTGATCTTAACCTCACTGATGTCCATGTAATCCGAGGTCTGGACCTCTGGCTCCCCAAGATCGAGATTGAAGACACCTTTCTTCAAGCCCGCCGAGACCTCTTGCCGTTTGGCCTGTCGTTCCTCCTCGGTTGAGCCCTTGGCATCCAGTGTAAATCTCTTTCGCTTCTTCCCTTCAATCTCTTCGTCGTATTGAGCGAGTATTCCCTGATTCTCCGCTGTGGGGTCGTACACGGGCTTGCGCTTCTTGAGTTCAAGCTTCTCCGCAGTCTTGTCTTTTTCAACCAGATGGACATCCTCAAGTTCATCGCCCGCCTCATCATCGTCCACGGCGGTGTCTTTCAATGTCAGGATATGTTCCTCGCCCCCCTCAAAGTCACCCATCGCATGTCCGACCTTGATCCCAGCCAGATCTTCCGCAGTGTATTCCGCTGCCGCTGCCCGCTCGCGCTCCTCAAGTTCCTCGGCTAATCTGCGCGCCCGCTCCTTTTCGATTCTTTTCGAGCGTTTCTTGGACTGCATCAACCATGTCTTGGTATCCAGTTCACCATCCTCGGCCTCACCGAGCGTTTGACCTTGAAGTTGCAAATTTCGTTGCGCGATTTCGCGCGCTTTCTTGATAGCCGCATTCTTTTCCTCCCGTTTGCGCTTTGCGTCAGCTTCATCCTGGAGTTTCTTCCAGTTGTCGTAGCCCTGCGCTTGTCGGGTTTCAACCGTGCTAGCGGGCTCCTCATCAGAGTCTGAGCCGCTCGCATCGTCTTTGAACTGCGGACCGGTGGCGTCTGCGGACTCGGCTCCGGGGACGGGCAGTGGCTTTAGGCCCAGAGCCACGCGGATCTTGTTGTTTTGTTCGATGGATAATGCGTCCGCCATGATGACGGAATGGATAGACGATTTGGAACTGGAAAGGGAGACAAGAAACCAAAAGTCTGCGGGATGGAAGGCGAGTCTCACTCACAAGGGCTTCTCTCACTATCCAGCTCCACTCGGACAGGCTCTGGACGCATGACTACTGATAACGATAGATTGCATCATGTGACTCGAAGCTTTGACACGCTAGTCCCATAACGGACTAGTTCCAGAAATTTCTCCCGCGCATAAATATCAAGCAGCCGCAAGATGTTCTCATTTTCCTTTTCTTCTTACCACAACGGATCTGTGTCCAGCACTCCTGTTGACGGGGTTGTCAGTCTGACTGGCTTCTCTGTGTTTCGGTTGAGAGCTGGGCAGATCGACGACCTTGGAGCCATTCATCTTTTTACATGTATGGCAGCCTTACGGCTTCCTGTCGACAGATCTCAGATGAAATGTTTGCACCGGGAGTTCCTTGGGTCTTGAGCTCCCGTTTTTGGTGAGCTCGGCTTGAGGCCCTGGTCGCGAACGGCGTCATATTCCACCCCTCTTTACCGATCGGCCGTTGGCCTGTGAGGTTAGGGATAAACCATGACCTGCCAACATTCTAAATCATAAATCTTTATATTCGTAGAGCGAACCATGCACGAGAAGAGCGATCAAGTGTAGTAGGCTTCGGCCGACCATGCACCAGGCGTCTGCCATTCCCCAGGGCAGATATTGCAATCACGTGACTGTTGACTTGCAGACCAAGGCCTCGAGTAATATGGACTTTTGCATGAGACACCTTGAGTGATTGCATCCTGCTGGCGCAGAATCTCGGCCTCGTCTTTCAGTGTCGCCAATTTGGGCACCAATCTGGACCTGGGGCTATTAATATTGCACTGTGGTACTTTTGTGCTTGGAGAGCATGCGCTCACCACAGGTGTGGATGTTCATTTACGCCGTGCAGGGCATGCTTTGATATCCGGATATCACATCTCATCCATAATCTACAACAGTTTCAAATGACCCGTTACTCCATCAACCACACTCTTAGGGCCCAAGACACCGAGGACAGTACGGCTGCCACTAGCAATTTGTGTCCGGCCCGCGTCCTGAATAACGCGCGCGCAAAGTCCAAGACTCATGGCCTGAGCCTGCAGGAGCAGCAGATCATCCTCTGACTTGATCTGGAGAGCAATCTTGGCCTGTCCGCCTTGTTCCCAGCGGCGCAAGATCGGCGAGTCCGGCTTGTGGGTAATGAAATATTTGTAGCATGCGAGGGTCGCGTGTGAAGCTTGCGCGGCGATTTTACCTATCGGCAGCGCGGACGCAAAGATACAATGTTAGTCAAATCTAGCATTTCTCCGAGCAGAGCTGGAGGTATTGAAGTCCATTCTCTCAGAACTTTCACCGTAAAGGATCTCTGAGCGCATAACAGCACAAAGTCACATACCCTTCGTCATCCCGAGATCTGTCCGTACAACCAGCACCAGTTTCACTTCCTCCTCATTGTCCTTGAACGAGGCCAATTCCTCTCCGGTCCCTTCGTCCTCGTCGTCGTCGCCCTCCTCCTCTTCAGAGTCCTGACCCTCAAGCTCCTCGTCCGAGGAATCCTTGTGGACCTTGACGTCGTACCCGTTAGGCCAGCCCTGTTTTTCTCTGAACAGGCCGAGCGAGGCGCCCTGGCCGAGGAAGTATCCTGTAACGCCGGCGACAATGGCGGTGGCAACCACGTAGGCTGTCGTCGTGGGGGTTGTGCGGTCCAAAGGAGCTGCCATTTTGTTATTTGAGAGGGCGAAATTCAAGCTGGAGTTTCGATAAAGGGTTGTGTGAGAATTGTAAAGTCGCGGGGAGAATGGGCTTGTATGCTCAACTGACGCACATGCGGAATTGGGTTCTTTTTCTGCCTCCGCCAATCGGAATGTTGATGGGCCCGGCGGCGGAGATTCACAGTAGAGGGCCTGGAACTCGATGCTACATCGACACCCTACCCTCTTGATGGAGTCTGGCTTTCGTGGCGCAGATATGAATCTTCTCGCTATACATGCTCCGGTGTCCAAACTTTATGAAACACATCGTTGTCCGCTCCATCGTGGGTTTCTCAACTGCGAGGGGAAACGAACCCAACTTGATTCAAGAGCTTGAATCGCTTCGTCGTGAAAGCGTCGCCCAAAAACAATATGGCGCGAAAGGATAGTTTGTGTCAGTTGCTTGCACTTGCACTTGCACTTGCAGTGAGTCTCCTATCAATACAGTCCGAGGGTAACGATTCGTGACACGGACGGTCTATCGCGCTCAATTGATGTTGAGTCCATACGCGCGAGTACAGGTAGTTCATGATTATCCATATACGTTTGGACACCCAGCTCAAATTGCTGTCTCTGTTTACATGGTGGCACTGCCACTCCTTTCTTGTCACGACGTGGAATCTCGAAGCAATCCAAATTTCCCTTGAAAGAAGAATCCTGAACTAAGCTAAAAAAAAAAACAGCCAGTAAGAGACCTGCAAAGGCGAGAATAAAATTAAAAAAAAAAAAAGCAAAGAAGCAAAATCCCCCGTTTATTGAATCGATAGCCATTATTTACATCCCAAAAGTACAGACGTGTGGTATAGGTGCGAAGGGGAAAAAAGAGACCTTCTAAATCAAGCACGACGAGGCGCATTGCCAGCGTTGTTCATACGGCGACCCCTGTGACAAAGCAATGGATTAGCCGAGTTCATTGACGTGCCTTTGCCCGTCGAGCCATGAGTGTCGGACAGATAGCTTTCGAAGGCGAAGGACAAGCGAATAAACTCACATGATGGTACGGCTGAAGAAGCTGACAAGGATCATGAAGGACCAGCTGGGAATGGCACCAAGGGCCCAGATCGCATAACCAACGGGCACGTTGAGTTGGTACTTGGCGAGCCAGCCATCAGTGGGGTGCAAAGCACCCTCGTAGGCAGGGACGTCCTCGAAAGTCTTCTTGGAGTGGATCTGATACAGTTCCTGGGGCGTGATGGTGGTGTGGTTCAAGTAGACCACGTGCAGAGGGGTTGGGAGACGCTCTTGGCCCAAGGGCTGGGCCTGAGGAAGCTGGAAGTAGAAGACGGTGGGCGCGCCAGCGGACCAGGTAGCACAGAGGACGCGCTCTTCCTCACAGTTGAGCAAACCGAGGTTGGGGGAGGTGCGATCAGCGGAGAAGAGAACCACGGATTCCTTGAGCAGAGACACAGGTCAGCTCTGACGCGCAGGTCACGATGAATGCTAAAGACCGGGGAGCTGCCAATACCCCCACGGGGTAGCAACCCCCTTTTGAACAACTGATGGAACTTACATTGAACGCCTTCTCTGCGATGTCGCAGCGACCGAAGCAGGTCTTGTTGCCACCGGTCACGAAAATATACCAATCCTGAGGGTCCTCCGCAGGAGTCAGGATCGACTGCCAGTTCTGCATCGTCACGGGGGTGACATGCTTCTCCGAGACCTTCTCAACCACCTTCTGGACCGGCTCATCAGGGACGGGCGAGGGAACGAGGTTCTTCGCCTTGTTGAACCAGCCCTGCACGCGATCAGCGAGGGGCACCTGCTCCTGGGCCAGAGCCAGGGCCGGGAGGAGGGCGACAATTGAAGTGAAACGCATCTTGATGGCTATTGAGCACGAGGCGGTAAGAACGGGCAAACAAATAGCCAGACGTCACCAGCAGATGCTATGCAGTCTGTAGAGTCATAAATATCTGATGAAACTTACCGATTTTGGTTGTCACGGACGATCAATTGAACGGCACCCGAGGGATTAAGGGGAAGAAAATCGGAGCAGGTCAGCTTTGAGGCTTAACGACAGCTGGCCTGAGCGTTCGGGTCAACCGAGCCAACCGCCACGAGTGGTCTAGCCAACCACCGCGGGGGATCGACCCGGTCCACTCGGAGCTAGCACAAGCCATGTTTGGGGAGATTGTGGTAATGACAACTTGGAGGGTTATGTGACGGCGATCCACGGAGACGATATGGCCAGAACGACAAAGTTTTGTGCTGTCTCAACTTAGCTCACTCGGTAGATTTTCTCAAATCGGGGTCACGGACGTCTCGACCTTCTTCCTCCTCATCTAGGCCACGTATTATTTGCATGCTCCTCATTTGCATATATGTAGAGCGAACACGTATCTTGGACTAGGAACTGGGCCTATTTCGTCCTAAAACATGGTATCTTGCATGCAAACTCCTTGGCCTGTCTGGCATTGAAAGTGCCGTACCGCACCGGACTCGCCCTTCGTCGGCACTTGCATCGACCCGGATTTGTATAAAGTGCGGGGCTCCGAGGTACTGCTTCAACAGGCTCTTACGTGAGGCTAGGTTGAAAGGTCGGGGCCTCAAGCCCTGCAGCGGGGGCAGGTACCTAATACGGGGGGGAGAACACCCGTCCATCACTCTCGAACCAGATGTGGTTTATAGTGAATCACTGTATATATATTCCCGCTTCTGTCCCTGGTGTTCGGCAGTCGGGCGCCGCGGGACCACGTACACAGCGAATCATGGAAAAAACCGAGAGTTAAACAGCCAGCCTCGGTGGTGTGAGGCACTCTTGGGCTCGTGGAGTGCAGATGACCGGACTATGTCTTCGTCTTCGTGCTTGTACTCGTCCACCATGTTTCGCACCACTCGTCCGGATGAGTTGGTGAATCCTGATCGGCACCTCGGGCTGGCACTCCGGTGGTGTCGAGATCGCACGTTGAAATGTGGTAGTTAAAGGGTTCGAGCCGCTTCAACTTTCAAGTATGCAAGATCGGGCTCTGGCACTAGATGCACTTGCATCAGGGATATTGACTATTTAAGCTGATTTCATCATGTGGAAATGTAGGTGGTAGCTAGCCTGGCTTGGGATACCTCATTCAATTCATGGAGGCCGTCGAGAGCTGCTCATTCAGATCCATGGTAAACAGGATGTCTCTTTTCGGGTGAAGACCAGTACACTCTATATTACCAAAATACATGGAATCTTCTTGACAGTGCGAGTGTGGCCGAGTGGTCTAAGGCGGTCGACTTAAGTACCTTGAAGTATTAACACTCGACTGGGCAATCGCCCTCGCGCGTTCGAACCGCGTCGCTCGCATCATCTATTTTTTTCCTAACCTTTTCCACCACCTCGCTGAGAAGTTAGTTGCTCTTAGGTCTCTTTTTTTTTTGGATGGGGGAACGCTCACAATAACCTCGCGAACCTGAATCAGCATGGGTATCATCATTGTTAAATGTACTTTCATTTCCCAATCAGCCTAAATATATACGTCGCTACATAGAAAAGGTTCGTCAGGGCTGGTCCTAGCCTACAGGTCACGCGAGCTGATGAGACTACTGGGTCCTTCAACCCTTGTACAGTTTGAATTCAATGCCGTGCGAGTAAACATTAAGGATGAATATTCGGTATTATGGTAGAATGTAGAGTGATACTGCAACTTTACACGTCTTGCCTACCCTTTATCCCCGTCATTCCAATTTGAGGGAACAGATGCATACCTTTGTTCGACGAACCGTAGTCATTATTGATGGTAGCGGGGCCATGACGACAGCGTCCATCTCGCTTATCGACTGCCGAGCTTCAACAGTGACCATCTTGAGAACCATGACACTACTGTTCCGACTGGAATGCTGTACTACACCTACCACATTGTGCTGTAAATCAGCTTATCGAGGCCAGATGAGGTCCATGACAAAGGGGATTATTGATCAAGGAATGGTGATTCAGCGAATGAAACACCTACTGAACCACATTCGAAGGCTGGCAGCATGTGGGTATCGACTTTTCTCGGTGAGTGCCGCTGCTGGACTGGGAATCTTATGCCTGAGGCGAGCCCCCCGGAGCCCCCGATGTCGGGTGCCCGAATGATGCGCAAGCCAAGGCTGACTCTCTGCCAAACCAATAAGAAGGACACACTAGACCCTACGCAGACGGGTTAAGCTGAAAGTCTGTGAATAAGAACCTAAAGAAACTTTCGTCCATATATTGTATGAAGAAAACAGCAGGATCCGATCTGATCACCAGCAGGCCGTGAGGACATACCGGCTGACTACTATAGACTTAGGTTAATACTCACTCTTCGGACCGATTGAGTCATCGAGTCCAGTTTTCGGGGGGCCCCGTTCAACGCGGAGTGTGCTTGCTCTGTGCACTTGCAGCCTTTCCTAAATTCCTACTTTCTCAGACGAGAGATCGGCCCCGGACAGCCAGTGAGCGACTGCGGCGCTCTCTCCACCCCCGGCGCAGAAAGGCGAATTTTTTTTGCCGCCGCGAAGGACGATTACGCCGTTCGCAAATGGAAAGGCACACACCGCCCACTCCACTCTCGATGACTCTTCTTCCCTCGCTGGAAACAGACTCCCAGGTTTAAATATCATCCAGAGCCTGGAATTTTTCCTGTGTTGATTCCTTCTACCTCCTATCGTCCTAAAATTGAACCCAATTTCTACGAAAGCACTCCTGCTTCCTTGTATCCCCCAACCTTTAGTCAAGACCACCCCCGCCACTCCCGTCGGCCCCTCCCACACTGATATCCTGCATATCCCCACTATCTACATCGACGTACAATGTGTCCCGGCGTGGATAACGAGCCCAATGGGCAAGCCAACGGTGCCAATGGCGCCAACGGCAATGGCGGTATGTACTCAGCAACGCGAGCATGCTGTACGGTCTAGGTATCTCCCGGGACTCCAGCTCATGCCATCTCCTCCAGACCACCCCGGCTTCACTCCCATTGAGACCCGCCAGAACCCCCAACACACCTCCCGCAACCCCTACGGCCACAACGTCGGTGTGACCGACTTCCTCAGCAATGTCTCTCGCTTCAAGATCATCGAGAGTACTCTCCGTGAGGGTGAACAGTTCGCCAACGCTTTCTTCGATACCGAGAAGAAGATTGAGATCGCCAAGGCTCTCGACGACTTTGGTGTTGACTACGTGAGTCATCAATCGGCAGACGCCGCGTATCAGCCATTGAACCACACGACTAACAATCGACCCACGGTAGATTGAGCTCACCAGCCCCTGTGCCTCTGAGCAGTCTCGTGCCGACTGCGAGGCTATCTGCAAGCTCGGCCTCAAGGCCAAGGTGCGTTGTTTCACATCTCCTCTCGTTGTTCGAGAGAGATCCGAAATGCAAGATCTGACTCTCCAATAGATTCTTACTCACATTCGCTGCCACATGGATGATGCCCGTGTTGCTGTTGAGACTGGTGTTGATGGAGTGTGAGTTCCCCCCCTTCTTGTTTGAGATCCTGGCCCGGACGGTTTCTGACCTTGAATCACAGCGATGTCGTCATCGGCACATCCTCATACCTCCGTGAGCACTCCCACGGCAAGGACATGACCTACATCAAGAACACCGCCATTGAGGTCATCGAGTTTGTCAAGTCCAAGGGCATTGAGATCCGCTTCTCCAGTGAGGACTCCTTCCGTTCAGATCTGGTCGACTTGCTCTCCATTTACTCCGCCGTCGACAAGGTCGGCGTGCAGCGTGTTGGTATCGCCGATACTGTGGGCTGTGCCTCCCCTCGCCAGGTTTACGAACTGGTCCGTGTGCTGCGCGGTGTGGTGAGCTGTGACATTGAGACTCACTTCCACAACGACACTGGATGTGCCATTGCCAATGCCTACTGTGCCCTCGAGGCCGGTGCGACCCACATTGACACCTCCGTTCTTGGTATCGGTGAGCGCAATGGTATCACCCCTCTTGGTGGTCTGATGGCCCGTATGATGGTCGCCGACCCCGACTACGTCAAGAGCAAGTACAAGCTGGAGAAGATCAAGGACATTGAGGACCTCGTCGCCGAGGCCGTCCAGGTCAACATTCCCTTCAACAACTACATCACCGGTTTCTGCGCCTTCACCCACAAGGCCGGTATCCACGCCAAGGCCATCCTCAACAACCCCAGCACCTACGAGATCATCAATCCCGCCGACTTCGGCATGACCCGCTACGTGCACTTTGCTTCTCGTTTGACGGGCTGGAACGCAATCAAATCCCGTTGCCAACAACTGAAGATCAACTTGACCGATGACCAGTGCAAGGAGTGCACTGCCAAGATCAAGGCTTTGGCGGACATTCGTCCCATTGCTGTTGACGATGCCGACTCTATCATCCGTGCCTACGCTCGCAACCTGAAGCTCGGTGAGGACAAGCCCTTGATGGACCTGACCGCTGAGGAGCAGGCCCAATTCAAGGCCAAGGAGAAGGAGATTGCCCTCGAGACTCACGAGAACGGCGTCCCTGTCTAAATGCCTTCTCTCTTGATTCACATGTCCACGAGCGCCTCTTTGTGTTAGCTTTTGTTACCCTCCTTTCTGATTTCTTTTTTTGACTGGAATATCTACGAGTCTTGTATTGGCATCATACCCTGTCATGTCAGTCAGATTCACACAGCGAAACGTTGGATGATTTGATGTGTTTTTATGTCTGGGAAACTCCTGTCACTTTCCTGTTAATGGGGGTTTTGAGGAAAAGTTTTTTTCTTTGTTCTTGGATTCCCTTTTCATGTTCATCACCCCATTTTTTTTATCAGCAGCTCTCGTCTCGAGATCTACCAATGGACCTTCAGATAGTCCTGCATCTGTGTATAGAAGCCGGCAGTGTCACGGCTGCGGCAATTGAAAGAGCGCAATTTACAGTAATTTGCTACACTCATCCTCATAACCGTACAGACAAGGTTTAATTTGCGCTAGACGCTGGCGCGAAACGGCGCTCCGATCGATCAATTCTGTCGATGTGGCTGCAGGGTTGTCTCGCTGACATGTGTGTGTGTGGCAAAAAAGTCGGGGTACGGCCTTCCCCAGCCTCGGCGTGCGACATTCGCACGGGGTCCCGCGGGCACCGGATCCTACTTTATCTTGACCATCCGGCTTCCCGTCAGTGACCAGAAGTAATTTGTCTTTCCCCAGAGACAGTCACCCGGCCATCATGGGTTCTTCAGCATTGCCTGTTGCCCTGCAGAATAAGTTGGTAGGCTACGGTCGAGCCTCCAAAGCCCACCTATCAGCCGTGAACCTGGACCTGTAAGTTGTCAAGAACGTGCCTCTTTCGACGGTCGCTGCTCTGCTATCTACTCTCCGCGCTCCCATCGCGAAGCCTATTGATAACCCCCGCCGAAGCTCTGTATACTGACTATGTGAACGTGGATAGGATCCGGAATATCATCTTTGTTCTCTTCTTATTCCGACATGCCCGCAAGGCTTTCTACTCGCTCCGAGGCTATGGCTTGTTCGGCAGCATTCGCAATATCTACATCGCCATCCGACTGTTCTGCTACTCCGTCTTCCTGCGCGCCCCCGGTGTGCGCGGCCAGGTCGATAAGCAAGTTTCTACCGCGATCGAAAAACTCGAGAGCAAGCTTGTGAACAGTGGACCTGATATTGACCGCCATCTCACTCTACCTTTGGAAGGGTGGACTGCCGACCGGGTTCGCGAAGAGCTCAACAAGCTAGCCGGTCTTGAACATACCCGCTGGGAAGATGGCCGTGTCAGTGGTGCCGTGTATCATGGTGGCGAGGATCTGTTGAAGCTTCAGGCGGGTGCGTTCGAGCAGTTTGGCGTCGCAAACCCTATCCATCCGGATGTCTTCCCCGGTGTGCGGAAGATGGAGGCCGAGGTTGTTGCAATGGTTCGTTTCAAAAATCTCCTAATGCCACGTCGGTGCCTGTACGTGGGAATCAGGCTGACCAGGACTTGCAGGTTCTATCCATGTTCAACGGTCCATCAGATGGTGCTGGTGTGACTACCAGCGGTGGCACTGAATCCATTATCATGGCCTGTCTAGGTGCCCGTCAAAAGGCGTTCATTGAGCGTGGAGTGACAGAGCCTGAAATGTAAGAGTTGCTCGATGAAGCTTTGGTTCAACTAGAACGGACTTCCTGACACTTGTCCAGGATCATTCCAGACACGGCCCACGCGGCCTTCATCAAAGCCTGCAATTATTTCAAGATCAAGTTGCACCGCGTCCCGTGTCCCGAGCCCGAGTTCAAAGTTGACGTTAGCGCCGTTCGTCGACTGATCAACCCCAACACCGTCCTACTCGTTGGCTCAGCCCCCAATTTCCCCCACGGCATCATTGACGACATTCCTGCACTTTCGCGCCTGGCCACCAAGTACAAGATTCCTCTTCACGTGGACTGCTGCTTGGGCTCCTTTGTTATTGCCCACCTCAAGAAGGCCGGGTTCCCATCACCATACGAGGAGGAAGGCGGCTTCGACTTCCGTCAGCCTGGTGTCACCAGCATCAGCGTCGACACGCACAAGTACGGATTCGCCCCCAAGGGCAACTCCGTTCTGCTGTACCGTAGCAAGGCTTACCGAAGCCATCAATACTTCATCTACCCGGACTGGTCCGGCGGTGTCTACGCGTCCCCGTCAATTGCTGGATCTCGACCCGGTGCCCTGATTGCTGGCTGCTGGGCTAGCATGATGAAAGTCGGCCAGGATGGTTATATCAACAGCTGCACCGATATCATCACCGCGGCTCGCAAATTCGACTCTGCCATTCGTGGTCATCCTCTGATCTCGCTGCACATGGAGGTCATCGGTAACCCCATGGTCAGTGTTGTGGCTTTCCGCAGCAAAAACGGCGCGATTGATACATATGACATTGCCGATGACCTGTCTGCAAAGGGTTGGCATCTTAATGCTCTCCAGTCGCCTCCCGCATTGCACTGCGCCTTCACACTCCCCACCAGCAAGGCTGTTGATCAGCTTATCGTTGACACAGCCGAGTGCATCGAAAAGGAGTTGGAAAAGGCCGAAGAGCGCCGCAGGCAAGGAAAGGCATATATCCTCAAGCGCGGTGATGCTTCTGCACTGTACGGTGTCGCTGGCAGTATTCCCGACAAAAGCGTTGTGAGCCGCTTGGCGGAGGGCTTCCTCGATACCCTGTACAAAGTATAGGCCCTCCACGAACGGTTATGAAACTTCTACAATGCCTGTTGCGCACTGACTGTCATCCCATGGTCATGATTGATTAGCAATCAGGGTCACTCTGTATTTGCCGATTGACTCATCCGCGCAGTGTCTGAAGTCGTGCTTCGCTCAAGCCACTTCGATCGTTTTTGTCGTTTCTTTTGTAAAGAAAGCGTACGCATATCATTATCACATTGATTGTAGCTTTAAAATTATTCTTTCCTCTGGAGATTATCTCTGTTCGCGACAGGAAACAGATGTTGTATAGCATCCCGTATAAGTACAGTCGACGAAGAACTCGTCAGGAAATCACTGAGTATGAGTAAAGTACATGATATGATCCAAGGTAAAGCAACCCGCTCCATGCAATATAAAGCAACCAACAGAAGATGAAAAAGAAAGATGAAAAGAACAGACAGAAACGCAAGATCATCCCGTCTGGTATATCACAGAACGATGCAGCAATCGAGGCTCGACCCTCTGCCAAAATAGTCCCAGAAATGGACCTCTCATTAGATGTCCAGCTTCGGGATATATACGTTGAAAGAAGTCAAGGGTATCAAAGGCACTCAATCAAGAGCGCGAGAAGGAAGGAAATCCCGTCATTCCCTCAATCCAGGCTCAATGCCCACTCAACTCAGCCCGCTCATCGACACCGGACTTCTCAACATAGTAACCAGGATCCGGCTTCCTCTCCAAGCGAACCTCCTGCTTCGTCAAAGCGCGATCGACCTCCTGCACCGAGACAAGTTCCTTGACTTTCATAATTTGACCGGCGACCGAGGGAGAGACGGGGTGGAAGACGATGCCCATGCGCTTTTTCAGGCCGAGGGCTTTGAGGACGTCTGTTGAGCGTCGGGGGAGACCGATTGCGGAGCGGATGAGTTGGACGCGGAAGTAGCTCATATTGAAAAGTTCGAGGTTCTAAAGACGAGAAGGTGCCTTTGAGATATTGAGGAGGTTCTTTTATGCGGAGGTGGTGCCTTTTGAGAGCTTGGTAGTTGAGTGATTGACGGAGCCGGACTGAGGTTGAAGTTCCGTGATGGAGAGACTGCGGATTTCGGTGGCGGTAAAATTGTTGTTCGAGAATCAAGGCAGGTATCTTGAGAGCTCAGTCAAAAAGAAAACGTCTCACACCCTTGCGTTTTTCGTCGAGGAATGGTCAACTGTAAGTTCTGCAATAAATCCACACTTCTGATCCCTCAATCCCGCAAAGGGACCGCAAAATCAAGGAGCGGTAAATCACGTGTCTGTGTTTCTGCCGGAACTTGTCCATGCAGAAGCGCGACCAGCTCCGCGGCTTGGGACCCGCCGGAGGTGGAACCCCCCTCGATTGCAGCTCATGTCGACATTGTGTATGGTTCATGTCGAAAGCATGACTTTGATATCTCCGGCTTGATTACCACGGTACACCACAGTCAGCCGAATAGCGCGAAGCAAGCACTTGAGAGTGGATGAAGACTTATTGTCTCATTCACCGGTCATACCACATATTCACCAACCGCACCCTTACACTCTGAAAGCTACCAACTGTACTCAGGCCGAGTCGGAGGCCGAAACCAGCAGACTTGAACATGGCGCAAGACACGACGACAGATGGCACAGTGCCCATGCCACGACTGGAGGACATTCTGCGACACCCGGAGGATCTGGACAAAATCAATGGACTGAAAGCCGAGTACCAGCGCAAAAAGGCCGCGGTAGATTCCCGACTGCGCGAGGGTCTCCGCGAACAACTCGAGGCTGTCCAACGAAGCATTGGAATATTGACCGACGGCCAAAGGCAAGTGTATAAGACGCGGGACGAACTACAAGCGATCGACAAACTGTGCGCAGAGTCACAAGAGAGCGTGGAGGACTTTGCTGAGATTGACAAATTGGCGCGGATCCAACGGCATTTCGATGCGACGTTGATGATGAAAAAAGGGCTGGAGAACTTCGGTGCAGACCTACAGGAGGTGGAGGAGTTGTTACGGGAGGATGATGAGGATTTGGAGAATCAGCCGAATTTGCTCAAGGCGCATATGCAGATATCTCGTCTGCGAGATTTCAGGGACGAGGCGATGGATCAGATTCAGAAGTCCCGGGACACGAGTAGCGTGGAAACATTGAAGGAATACTTTGAAGGGCTTGACTCGGCGATTGACTGGTTCGATGATCATCTTGGCACAGCATGCATGAATTTGATTCCTCTGGTGCAGGAAGACAATAAGAGCATGGTGGTGCGGTTGGCGGTGGTTGTTGTGAACGAAGAGAAGAATGACGATACGGTCAGAGCCTTACAGGAAGCTCAAAAGGATCACAAGGATCTTGTCAGCCGCTTCAAATCGATGAACATTGGGCCCAAGACGGTGCGAGGCTATAAGGAGAAGTTTCTTCAAGCGATTGAGTTCTATGCGCAGAACCAGTTCAACAATACCAAGGAGGCATTCCTCGCAGATCCAAACATGATGGAGAAAAGTCTTCGGTGGTTTTTCAATGACCTGTTCACCGTCCAGCAAGGCATGCAACCCCTCATGCCGAAAAAGTGGAAAATCTACAGAACGTACACCAAAATCTATCACCGTATGATGCACGATTTCCTTATCGAGTTCATCGACGATCCGGAAATCCCGGCCGACAATCTGTTGAAGATCATTCACTGGAGCGACAAGTACTACAAGAAGATGAAAAAGCTGGGCTGGACCCCAGCTGAACTGCAGCCCAACATATTAGATGACCGCGAGCCAGAACTCGTGCGACAATGGCAAAGCGTTATCATCAACGCAGTGGAGGAATGGATGGAAAGAATCTTCAGCATCGACAAAAAGAGTCTGCTGGAAAGACAAGCGGATTCTCTCGACACCAATGCAGATGGTTACTTTCGAACCAAAACGCAAGCCGACCTGTGGCGCATGCTTCATGAACAAATTTCAGCGGCAGGCCAGTCTGAAAGAGCTGATGTTGTTGAGGGCGTGATTGACGCAATGTTCCGAGCCTTGAAGGGCCGTCAAGGCGCGTTGCAAACACTGATTGACGACGAGTGTCAGAAAGCCACGGCCCCTAGCAGCGACGGCGAAGGACTGCAACTACTGCAAGACTGGCTGGTCGGTATGGCGAATGACCAGATCGCCTGCATTGACGATAACGAGGAGACCGCGCAGATGGGCTACCTAACCCGCTTCAAGGCCGAAATTGAGCCCGTCGTGACTCCTAAATACATGGCCACACGAGCAATGACGGATCTCGACGCTCTCCGAGATGGCTACGTGGATCTGAGCACGCATTGCTTGGCCCTGTTCGTGAACATTGTCTTCACGGTGGATTTGAGCACTGTTCTCACAGATCTCTTCACACCAAAATGGTACGGTGAATTCGCGATCAAGCGTATCACATCCACCTTTGACGACTATATGACCGACTACAGCCCTGTCTTGCACCCATCTCTTGTGGATATTCTCGTCGAAGAACTTTCAGACGAACTGCTCGTCCGCTATCTATCCTCTGTGCGCAACAAGGGCGTCAAATTCCGCCGTCAAGCAGACCCCTTCACGGAGAAATTCAAGGACGATATTCTCACAGTCTTTGATTTTTTCCAAAAATTCCAAGAATCATTCCCGTCCATCAAGCAGAAATGGCGATTGGTCGATTGGCTTGTCCGATTGCTCGAGGCTGAAAAGGGACAGGCGATCGCAAACGTCTACGAGAGCTTCAAGCAGGAGTATTGGGATCTGCAACTTTCATGGGTCGAGGCCGTTCTCAGGACTCGCGATGACTTTGAGCGCAGTATGATCAGCTCGATCAAAGCGAAGGCTGCTGAGTTATCGGTTGAGCGTGGAGTGGAGACTATCATGAGCCGAGTGAGGTGATGAGTAGGGGCTATCCATCACTCTCTTCATTCCTTCCCAATGGAATGATCTTTTAGCTGTATGACATGGCGTAGAGCTCGTCTCATCGTGTATTTGGTTCGTCCTTACCATGCTTTGTGTTCTCGACAAGCCAGACGACATCATGTCGGCGCCTTGCTTCATGGTGACATGTCGACATGTGCGATTGTGACGGGCTGGGAGTTAGTACTGTCGTGCATTGAGTGGAGCTGGGAGGCGGAGCGTCAAGCTCAAAGACCACAAGTCCCACCATGCAATACTTTCAATAGGCCATGCGAAATAATTCGCAATTCCAAGCTGGCTTGGTTAGGCAATGAGGCTCATTTATATCTCCCAGATTCTGCTCCATGTGGGAAGCGACCATGGCCATGAAGATCATAGAGACTCTATCCATCATAACTACCGGAGAAACTAATCGATTGTTTCATCAGCTTCGTGAAAATAAAATAATGGAAGGTCCCTTCAATCGATGGCAAGATCCGTAACCAATTCGTGTGTATTTTCAAATATCAATCTCACTGGGCCTTTCCGACGATCACTGCGCCTACAAATCCAACTCAATCTTTTGCTCCGCGACGACAGTATAATTTTCGCCCAGACGTGCATTCAAACCATCGTCATCCCCACCGCCAATCTCAAGCTTCTTTGCTCCCATCTCACAGATACACACCGAGTCGATCGGAATATCCCTCGCCCATACAAAAGGGTAAAGTGGCTGCGAAATCGGTGTCAATGGACCAGTATCAGAGACACATTCCACGCCCTGGGAAGATGTGAGTCTTGTCTCGGCAGAAGAGGATATCTCCAGCACGGAAGTGGTGACCTCTGTGCGCGAATCATCGGCGGCTATTGTTCGAGCCTGGTCAACGAAGTAGTTCCTATACCTTTGGAGGATGTCCCGCGCATCGAATTCAAGGCGTTTGGAACCATTTTGCCCGTTCTTGCCGTTCCGGTTCTTTGGCTTTGATCGACCTCGCACGTAGATTGTGTTTACCAGCGTCGCATGCAGAAGCAGGGGACGTGGTTTCGGTTTACGGGCAAGAGCAGCGGTGTATGGGTCAGCGTGTGTGTGCCAGGCAGTAAGCTCGGATTTGCTCTTTTCCGCTGGGGATCCTGGCTGCTCTTTGAGGGTGGGCTTGTCGTCGCCTGGCATATATTTGCATTGGGAGGATGGGCTGGGGCTCGCGGCAACTGCCGAGTCACTCGGCTTATTGGGCATCTCATTCTTGGACTCGTTGAGCACGAATCCCGCCTCGATGAACTTGTCTCGCAGCATCACGCAGAATGGATAAAGTCTGCCGGTTGGATCAACTGGCGAAGCATGGAGGACGGTTGCGGCCTTGGCTCGGGGAAGAGCATGTAGCGACTCCAGCGAGACACGGAGGAGCTGAGGAGTAGCTTGACTGTTGTAGGACACAGGAGGGAGAGCCTCCGAGGCGGGTTGCTGGGGCTGGGGATGAGCCTGACTTTGTGTTGTTCTCGCCTTTTTCGCGCTCTTTTCGCCTCGCTCACGGGCTACTCTATCTGCTTCTCGAAGGAGGTCTGACAGGTCGAGTGATTTTAGAAAGGCTACGGCATCCTGTAGTCTCTCCTTGTTGGGCAGACTCATGACGCCAAGTGTGAGATGGATTGTGCCCACGGGTCTCACTGCGCCTTGGGGAATCGTAGGCGAACACCTCTGCTGCGAAAGCCTTTCAAGCTGGTGGTCTGCGGTAAAAGCCGCAATTGAAGCTTCCAGCTGGGGTAAAGAATGCGTGTTGATCAGCGGTAGACATAGGAAATGGGTCAATTGTGGCTTTTTGGGTCGTTTTGGAACTTGATGTTTCTGCGATTGGCCTTTTATGTGTTGATTTGTTATTGTTGACATGTCGACGACCCGACTGGGGGTTTTACTGCCAGTGATGAAGGGCACTCTAGAAACCCTGCCAAGTGGTGTTGGTATCAATGCTCGTCGGAGAGGCGAGCTCATGCGGGGCCGAGCAGGCTGGAGACTTGTCGAAAGGAGATGTAATTGATGGTAAGAGAGGGTGTAACTCTTTCTTGAAGGCCGAAGTAAGCTCTACCGATCACTTCGTACTCATTCGAAAATTGGCTGAAGACACCAGGAACAGGTGAAGTAAAGCGTAGATGCGCGGCTGGCCGGCTCTTGCAGATGACTTTCGGCAAGGTGACCCATCATTAACCTCATAGATCTCTGCTGGGTGTTCGGTACTTCTGAGTCGGCTGATGTGGGGATTCTGTCAACCAGGAGCAATGCATGTCCCGGGCCTTAATAGCATCTATCGGAGAACAAGAACACGACTACTTGATACCACCATCTTCGGTTCACAAAGTGCGCAAACCCCAAGATGTAACGATGAGCTTCATTCCGTCTTATTTTCTTGTTTGTGCCCTCAATCTGGTTGGCAAAAACATAAAAAAGAAACTCTCCCTCGGGGAATCGAACCCCGGTCTCCCGCGCTTTTCAGTTGTAGTGACAAGCGGAAATCATGACCACTAGACCAAGGAAGATGAGATAATCGAGTTACTGCTCGACCACTTGGTGCTGGTTGATGCAGGGATAGACTGTTTTGACTAAGTGAAGTCAGTCGCGTAACTGACGCACACCGTCCCAGCCTGATCTTGGTTCCATTATGCACTTAACTACGACTGCCACAACTTTATACTTTCCCATTAACTTTGGTACTGTTCTCCCCTGGTCTATACGTCGAAGACCTACGATGCACTGTGTAGTGTATACTACGTGATCTTAGACCTTGTAGTCGAGGTCTCAAAGTTGAAACGTGGTTGAGGTACGGACCAACGCCGAGCGGATGTTCCTACCGGTCACTGCGGCCGGGCAGCCCCAAAAATTATATATCATCAGTCCAGTAGGGATGTGTTTGACTGCCGTCTTAGTTGGACTCCGGCCCTGCGTATCCAAAAAACCCGAACATGGAGCGGGATCAGCAGAGTTGATAGGTCGTAGAAGGTAAACTGGAGGAACGAATACCAATGCTGAAAGGTTACAAATTGTCATGTCTATTCATGTTGACTCTAAGAGGCGAGGCTGCCTTACACAAGAAAAACGGAAGCCGTAGCAATGCACGACATCGGAATATCCAGTAACTGTGGCCACTAGCCACTACAGGTGACCACTGAGGTCCGCGGGATCAGTGATCTGATCGTTTGGACACACCAAACTTCTCAAGAGTTCCCGTCACGCCCACCTGTTTCCATTCGTACACCTCGCCCTGCGTCGCAACGGCGAAATACCCAAGCATACCCAAAGCATTCGTGGCTATCGCCTTGCTCAAGGCTGCTCGCCGCCTCGGAATCACAATCATCCACCGTCTAGACATGATGACATTGTGAGGACATGCGGCATCTGGCGGGGCCTCTTGCGCATGCTCAGAGAGTCCATCGCCTACCGAGGTGGCCTGCTCCAGGAGCCTGGTATATATCTCCTGCAGGTCTTCCACCTTGACGTCCGACGATGTGAATCTGTGATAGAACCAATAGAACGGGACCACTGGCTCGGAACTACCCTCGTCGCCGTCAAGGAACGATGCCAACGTGCCGGGCGGCGTGGGGATCAACTGCATATGCTTGTGCATTCGACTGCAGCCGCCATCTTGGCCACAATTGAAAAAAGCGACGTAGTCCGAGTTCATGGTCGTCAAAACGGACCACATTGCATGGAGATCGGTCTCGTGCAGACGTTGATACTGACGCTGGCCCGCATCCGCGGTGACGAGCAGGAAATGCGGGTTGGCCCAGCAGAACTTGTTGGCCACGAGCTGGTGGGCATCGCCCACCGGGCCAATTTCAAAGCCGGCGGTGCTGATATCGCTCCCGGGCTGGCGAGTCTTCTCGGAAGGCTCGTTTGACTCCGGCTGGGGTGATTGAAATGTTGGCTTCCTAGACAGAGCTGATGTTACGCAGAATTGGTACTATGATGACATGGTCAGCGGTCTGCGAGGTTGATGTGAACCGGAGCCCTTTCAGCCATCTGAAGAGGTTATGCTTGTGTACCTTGAGATCTCCCTCAACGTGTTCGACAATCCTTTGATCCTCGTCATAAAGCACGATGCCGGATTGGATGAGTTCGTTGAACTTGTTTAGTATGAAGGTGTGGTCCATGGCTAGTGATAGCCCTCGCGGAGCCACTCGGACAGGCAATTGAAAGTGCTCTTGAACCCTAACAAGGGCGATTGTTTCCCAATCAGTGATGTCAAGTGTACTGATGTTGTCGAACAATGATGGGGTCGAGGTCAACTGCAAGACATGCCAAACTTGGCAGCAAACAAGAATGCCGCATCGGGCGGGCTCCCGCGTGGATGGCGCTTACCCATGTTCGGGTACATCAGCAATGTTTGTTCACTACCACTCTCGTCTCAATGATACTGTCGACTGGCCGAGTAGCCTTTGTAGGCCATCATCTTGATTCACAGTCCCGAGTCCACTGACAGTAGGTACCGAGCCCTGGCTGCACTCTACAACGGGTGTGGGACGTTATGACCATTCCAATTTCTTCTCAAGAAGAGTCGAAGTGATAACTCGAAGTGATAATTAGTTGACTTATGAGTGGCTTAGTCTCAGCAGGGAATGCAGTTATCACCGGCAAGTCCTGCATCTCTTGGTAGTAGACCGTCCTTCATACTCGATGAACACTCAGACGACGACTTTGTACAGCGATAGGTTTCTCTGAAGCATGTGCTTAAATAAAATCATGATTTTACTAAGGGTAGTCAGATCCTAGCCGAGACGATAGAAAGACTCAAACATCCGCCACCAGTGAATTCTCCCGTTGTTGTTTATCGAGGCGCATCGAGAAACTCAATCCGCTGTGCCTGGGAACAGGTAACCCACCGAAGGCTCAATCTTTTACGAAAAGTTGCTGCACTGTTGCTCTCTCACTCTGTGGAATCTGTGTGAAGTTGAACAACCACCGCACCTGTTAACACCTCAGAATATCGATGAAGTCAATGGAAGTGAATGGACGAAGGAACGAACGAGAGCACAGTCGATCAATTTCCATTTCCAGGACAAGCAAGACAAGTGTGCGAGTCTAGAGCTTCCCCATCGATGGTTTCAAGCAACTTTGGCGAACCCCGTGACCCCGGATTTAAACTTTAAGACCAAGTCACGAGCCTCGAGTGGCTGAGACGCTGGCTTACCGTATCGGGTAGGTGGTGAAAATGAGTATGACTCGCCTCGAGGTACACCATATTCATTCCAGCACTGTATCCCCAAGGAGGACACTGTGTATTCACACTCAAAAACGACCCTTGACTCACAGCCCGGTCAGACTTTCTATCTTCCCTCTCTTCGACCCCCTCGTCGGGTCAATGTTGCAAGCGGACGGGCCCGAATAGGCACTGGCCCGCCATCCAGCTTGATCCGGCGTGGTTGAGCCGCGCCACATTCCACGGGCTGCTCCACGGGGACGCAAGGACTCGGAAGTCGGGAGTCAGTCGGTACACACTGGACAGGCACATGGTTCGTGGTTGAATCGACCTTTTGCTGAACCGTTTGATTCCATGCAAGAGAAACCCTACGTGACGGCGAGATATCGACAGTTCACACGGGCACAAGGATGTCATTCATCTATCCCGAAACCCGTTCAGAGGGCCAGGATTCACTTGTAGTACATCGAGGTGCTTTCCATCGTTCATACTGTAGTCTCTCTCCTCGCCAAGGCCATTTCGCTGCAGAGACTGTCTAGGTCAGATTCGGTTTTTTTTTTTTTTTTTTTTTTTTTTACTGTCGTTCTACATTATCGATTTCTCCTTAAGTTTGCAGCCCGTTCCCCGCAAATGGAGAGCACATGCTTCCTCATTTCGTCTAGTCCAGGGAAAATCCTCTGCCCTTCTCGCCTGTTCTACCCCATTCTTTCACTCGACCCCGACCACCCGAGGTCTGGAGTCGATGTAGCACCCCGGGAGACATGGACTGATACCAGGCTAGCAGGCACTGTTGAAGCGTCCGCTGTTCTCGCGTGCGATCCAGTTCCGCTGGGTGGATACGTGGACCGTAATTTTTTTCTGCGCTCTTGACCTCCGCACGTCTCCGAATCCTGGAAGTGCCCATTAAACCACATCCTAACCCCCTATTGCCATTGAACCTCCATTTCACCCGGTTCACTCTCCCCCCCCCCTCTGACCGGGCACGCTTTCCCCTCGGCTTCATTCCTGAGTAGTGACCGATCGTCCATCTAGCATCTCGTCGCACTCGAACATCTGCCCCGCGCGCGTCACCCCTCCTCCCCCTCAGCATGGCTGGTACCCAGGTGACCGACACCATTGCGCCGGCGGAGGTGGCCCCGCCCAAAGCCTTCGAGCATCATGATGTGCACGATGCGTGGGCGTCGGACTCATCCATGAAGTCGATCATTGCCAATGCCAAGGCGGCCACAGAAAAAGAGCAGAGTATGAGTCTGCTGCAGGGCATCAAGCTATACCCCAAGGCGTTGGCGTGGAGCGTGCTCATTTCGACCTGCATTGCGATGGAAGGATACGATATCAGTCTGGTGAACAATTTTTACGCTTTCCCGCAATTTAATCGCAAATACGGAGAACGAATAGCAGATGGGTCATACCAAGTACCGGCCAGAGTGAGTGCGCTCCCCCCGAGAAACCCAATGTGCGCGCAGGGAGAGAGCATGTCACATGGTGCTGCTCGTGTGCGACGAGCTAGGAACTAACAATGGTATCATTTCCGTGTCTAGTGGCAATCTGGACTGAGTAACGGCGCCGCCGTGGGAGAGATAATCGGGTTATTCATCAACGGTTGGGCCTCGGAGCGATTCGGATATCGATATACCATCATGGCCTGTCTCGTTCTCGTCAGTGCATGGACGGCCATCTTCTTCACGGCCCAGAATGTACAGTCTCTTCTGGCCGCGGAGATTCTCTGCGGTGTGCCCTGGGGGGTGTTCCAAACCTTGACCATCACCTACGCCTCGGAAGTGTGCCCGGTTGCCTTGCGGGGGTATCTGACGACCTACGTGAACTTCTGCTGGGGCCTCGGCCAGTTGATTGGAATCGGTGTGATTCGGTCCATGCTCAACCGCAATGATGAGTGGGCCTACCGTATTCCCTATGGGCTGCAGTGGATGTGGCCCCTGCCTCTTTTCATTGGTATCATGCTCGCTCCCGAGTCTCCCTGGTGGCTTGTTCGTCGGGGCCGGACCAAGGACGCCAAACGTGCGCTGGAACGCTTGACCACAAAGCGTGAAGACTCCCCGTTTGATGCCGATGAGACAATCTCGATGATGGTGCACACTACCGCCCTGGAGGCGAAAATCACAAAGGGGGCAAGCTACCTGGACTGTTTCAGAGGGACCGATCTGCGCCGCACCGAGATTGTGTGCATGGTCTGGGCGATCCAGAACTTGAGCGGCAACTCCTTCTCGAACTACTCCACCTACTTTCTAGAACAGGCCGGCTTGGACTCCTCCAATGCGTACAACTTTGCCATGGGTCAGTATAGTATTAATATGGTGGGTGTCTTTGGAGCGTGGTTCCTGATGACTCTGGGGATCGGCCGTCGTACCCTCTACCTATACGGCCTGTGTGGACTGTGCGCGATGCTCTTGACGATGGGCTTCCTGGGACTCGTCCCGGCTGCCCACCGCGATCAAGCATCGATGGCGACTGGAGCGCTTATGCTTGTATGGGCACTGTTCTACCAATTAACCGTCGGCACTGTCTGCTACTCATTGGTGGCCGAGCTTTCCACACGCCGCCTCCAGATCAAGACTGTGGTGCTCGGTCGCAATCTCTACAATGTGATCGGCATTATCTGTGGTGTGTTGACTCCCTACATGCTGAACCCGGGCGAGTGGGATTGGGGCAATTATGCCGGCTTCTTCTGGGGCGGTATTTGCTTCTTGTGCATTATCTACACTTATTTCCGGGTGCCAGAGCCGCGTGGTCGCTCTTTTGCCGAATTGGATTTGCTTTTCGAGCGTGGCGTGAGTGCCCGCAAGTTTGCGTCCACCCATGTGGACGTGTTTGACGAGACCATCGAGAGTCACGTCGTTGATGAATATCGGGCGGAAAAGGGCGCCATGAATGATCCCAGCCAGGTGGAAAAACACGCTGGCGCCGCATGACACGAACGCTAATGCCATCGTTCCCAATACCTCCCTTAATAATGTCGATGATGACCCCTTTTTGAGTTCCCCCTCCCATCCTCTGCATTGACTGGCATTCGGCTTGCCGTATTGTCCCTCTTCTCTTCTCCTCGCATGTTTTATCCGGCGTGGTCTGATTCGTCGGATTGTACATATTATTGAATCATGACCATGTATCTTACCACATTTAATCTGATGAACACCTTTTCCACCATGTTTTCCGTATACATGATTAGCCTTGTAGAACAAATCATAACCAATATATGACTGGGCTGCTAGGGCAATCCTAGAACTGCCCTTCTTCTCTCGCTCTCCCTGGAGGAACATAGATTCCAACCGTCTTGTCCATTTGACGTGAGCCTCCGGAATGAATTTCAAATGTTCCGTACCTTTTAGCCCCGGTCGATGCCGAGATCCACGGATTGACAGCCGTGGAAAAAGGCCCACTCGCCGCTTAGGTGGCACCAGACGAAGTCGCACCTCTTCCAGGTTTTTTGGCCTCCTCCAAACTTCGCTGCTGTGCCAGCTTGGGCATACCCCTTTGGGCATTCACAATCCACTCTCGAAAATCGCTTCCCACCGACGAGGCTTACGCGACGTATTTCCTTAGCCATTCTCAGCCCGAACCTGCCGTCGCCCAGGTCCTCACTCCATTGTAACCGCGGGGGGTTTAAGCGGGGGTTCCACTCTGCCTGCATGCCGTAATGGACGTCACTTTCATCACAATCCACGGCAAGTCGTCACCTCCCTGACCAGGTGGATGTTCTCTGGCTCTTCCTCACTGTCGCCAAAGAGGGTGTCTCCAGGGTGTTTGGCGACTGTCACGATACCCAGCGGAGTGATCTCTGGCAGTCGACCGTTCGCTAATCTCGATTCTGTGTAGATTTATCGCGTGACGCTTCGATCCTGTATGCGTCAGACAGCATCCAAGTGGTGCTCGGATATCAACCCCAGGAGGTGTTGAACCGATCTTGTTGGGACTACTTTCATCCCAAGGAATTGCAATTCGCTCGGAGTGTTCATGGGCGTGGTGTGAGACTCGACAAAGCGGCAGTCCTCAATTATTGTTCTATTCGCCACAAAAATGGCTCTTGGGTTGGCTGTGAATGCGTCTTCACGGTTGTCTACGATGTCTTGATCGCGAGTACGACCATTTATGGCCAGGGTCGAGGAAGTCAGAGTATGTTCCAATCGCTATGCTATTTGATCCCTTTCGTTCTGCCCGGGCGCTGACACTGGTCTTTTTTCCTCCAGAGCGTGCCATTGATGCACCCATTGTCCGCCAGCTTTTCGACTCCTCGCCGCATGACCCGCGCTACCATATGCTCACATTATTATCCGATAAATTCTCGCGACGGCTTGCCGAGCCACTTCACGAGCCCCGGGCGGCTCTCTTCGTCAATCGATTTACCCGAACTGCAACTATAATGTACGCTACGAGCGGCGTCACGGAGATCCTCGGCCTTCAGCCGCATCAGCTGGTCTCGAAGAGTTTCTTCTATTGTATACAGGAACGATGTCTCCGCGACGCCGTGCGGTGCCTGGAAAGTGCCAAGGCCAACGACTCGATTGCTTATCTACGATTCTGGTTCCGCAATCCTTTGCTTGATGAAGATGTCGATATGGACACTGGAGGCCATGCCGACCCCGCCTCTGGGACGAATAACGAGTTCTCTGCTCGGGCGGGGCCTCCCATTGAACTGGAGGCCGTCGTCTCTTGCACGTCGGATGGACTCGTAGTAATTCTTCGCCGCGCACGAGCTCCCATCCCCAGTGCTGCTCTTCCCCCCAGCCTGTCCCGGTCTACTCCAACGGCATCTTTGCGGCCCCCTGGGCGCTCGAGCCCGTTTATGCATACGGCACGGCATCATACCCTGCTGATGGCTGCGTGAACACCGCATATCCGGAAGCCAAGACAACGCTCTGCAGAGAGAATGAGATCTCGCCGCTGGGTCTGGGAGCCACAATCGCCCCGACTCAGAATTACAGCTCCAGACAGTTACCGCATCCGGCTGCATCGACCAAGACTGGCTTGACACGCGGTCCCCAGGAGAATCTTCTTATGGACACTATTCGAGATGTGGCTGTATTTGCATGGGGTATTGTCGGTATCAATCGCTCTCTGGAGCAGCATAAATACGGGTCGCCGTCTGGAAATGCCCATCCAGACGTTACGATGGATGAGACGTGGGAATTATGACGATGACGTTGCGGCTGGCCGTGGCTACGAGTAAAGAATAATTGCATATTGGATGTGACATAAACGACTAGCAGACCATCTCAATTAACCTTATTTCTTTTTGTTTTCCCCTCCACAATACACACCTTTCCGAAGGGAGGATGATCTTCGTCACAGATGCATTGACGGTCCATGGCTTGAAACCATAGACAAGTATCTTGCCCCTTCAAAAATTCCCGAGCCCCGTATCTCTCTCTCTATTCATGAGACCACTCGGGCTTCTTCTTCTCCGCAAAAGCAGTCATACCTATATTTCCGGAAACCAAAGACCTCGTTAGCCAAGAACAAATCACCGTCAAACACAAAGAGCATAAAAAACAAGAAGCATTCATCACAAACATACCAATCTTCTGATCCCGGCTTCCAAACAACCCATGGAACAATCTCCGCTCATATTCCACCCCCTCCCGAAGTGACAGCTCCTGACTCTTGTTCACCACCTCCTTGCCCGCAACAACCGCCACCCGACTGTAACCTGCAATCGTCTCCGCCGTCTTCATTGCGACCTCCAACAACTCCTCCTTGCCCCCCTCCACCACCTGCGCCGCCAGCCCCCAATCCCCCGCCTCCTTACCACTGAAGTTCTTGCCCGTGAGAATGAGTTCCATCGCTTTGCTCTTGCCCAAGGCGCGCGTGAGACGCTGCGAGCCGCCCGCGCCGGGAATCGTGCCGAGCTTGATCTCGGGTTGACCGAAGGTGGCGTTGGCGGTGCAGTACATGATGTCGCACATCATGGCGAGTTCGCAGCCTCCGCCAAGGGCGTAGCCCGAGACGGCGGCGATGACGGGTTTGCGGATGGTGTTGGCTAGGTGGGACCAGGGGGCGATGAAGTTGTCATTATAGGCGGCGGCGAAGGTTAGGGGGGCCATTTCTTTGATGTCGGCGCCGGCTGGTTGAGTGCGAGGGATGTTAGTACTTAATACTTAATACGATGCTTTTTGTGTATCGAGGTGGAGAAGACATACCGGCAAATGCCTTTTCACTTCCAGTGATGATGATCGCACCGATATCCTTGTCCTGGTCATATTTGCCCAGCGCGTCATTGAGTTCGGTGAACAGAGGGCTACAGAGGGCATTGAGAGCTTTGGGTCGATTGAGGGTGACTGTGGACAGTCAGATATTAGATCGGATTCGTGGAAAATTGGCACTTGTTCGAAACGATATTTTCAAGGATTATCATACTCAGACCAACTCCAGGTTTGGGCGTAGAAGTGAGGATATGTTCGTAGCTAGTAGGACCGGACGAGTAGGGTCGAACGCGAACCAAGTAGGAGCTTAAGGGGACGCATGTCCTTGACGCCACGAGGCGGGTACAGCGACGTGCGAACATGCTGAAAGATCTGATAGTACAAGATGATGGAATGTAAAACTGGTGAGTGACTTTAATCAATCAATTCATATAGGAGAGGTCGGAAAGAGATAAGCATAGGATGGTTCTAGAGCGTAGAAGTGAGTTAAATGAAGCTATGATGTATGGTTGTTCAAATAGGTCCTCCCCGCAGCCGAAGAGGCTCCGAAGTTAGCCGTCCCTCGGCCTGGAAGAATGGGCGCCGTTGGGTAGATTGAATACAATGTAAGTTATGTTACCGTATTGAAGCACTCGTGTATGTAATTATTCACGTGATCTTCGACATCTTGTTGAAACTCCATTGGAATGTGTGAGTTACGGCCTCGCGAAGACACCTCAGGCACTCAGGCGAGAGTGGCTGCACTGCCACACTCGTGCTCGTGGCTTAGTCGTGGCCCCCCCACCGCTGATTGGACCGTGCCCAGCGGAGGGGACACTTTGCCCTTGTCTTCCAGAACAGAAACGACTGCGTTCAGCCAGTGCGGATCTGCAGACACCTACGGAGATTGTGCTGACTCTTCGTGCTTTTTCTGTCCATCTTCTCCTCCACCCTTTTTTTTTTCTTCAACTATACTTGCTCTCTCACAACCAGCCAAGATGGATGTGCCCGAGCCCGAGCAGACGCCCTTCACTGCCGTCACGGCGCAGACTTCGAAGTTGACGCGCGTGAGTGTTCCTGAATTGTCCGTCGGCTTGCAGCTTGAGGGGTCGCAGTCGTGCGATCAGCGCAGCGCATCCACATAGCCTGTGCATCTGATATTGACTCGCCTGCATGATCGAGTCAGCGGACGTCGTCGCAGAAACATGAGGCGAATGTGAATTGCTGACTTTGTTTCGCGGGTGTAGAAATACCAAGCATTGCTTGATGCCTCGACTCCTTACGCCACGTACCGTTGGGTGGGATCCGGCGTCCTACTCGCCCTCTTCTTCCTGCGCATTGTACTTGCACAAGGGTGGTACATCGGTACGTTTTTGACTTCCAATGCTCGTCATACACCACTGGCTTTGCCTATGCTCTCGCTGTCTCAGTGTGTTGCATGGCAGGTGTCCACAAAAAGCAACTTGTTGCTGGGAATTTCGCACGGCAACAATCATGCAACATGCACCCTTGTCCGCTCGACACTGACCCTCGAATGCTCTTGCAGTCGCATACACGCTTGGCATCTACCTCCTGAACTTGTTCCTCGCCTTCTTGACTCCCAAATTTGACCCCTCCCTCACCCAAGATGAAGGTCTGGAGGATGGTGATGCCGGCTCTCCCAGTCTCCCCACCAAGCGCGACGAGGAGTTCCGACCCTTCATTCGTCGTCTGCCTGAGTTCAAGTTCTGGCACGCCGCTACCCGGGCCATCACGATTGGCTTCGTGTGCAGTTGGTTCTCCGTCTTTGATATCCCTGTCTTCTGGCCAGTCTTGGTCATGTACTGGATTATCCTGTTCGTCTTGACTAGTACGTATAATCCGATGGACTCCCTCAGGCTTGTGACAGCTTACTAAATTTACTTCTGCTGCAGTGCGCCGCCAAATTCAGCACATGATCAAGTATCGATACGTGCCTTTCTCCTTTGGCAAGACTCGATACGGCCGGTCCTAGACTTGGCCCCAGTCCGACTCGTCTCTCATGATCTCCCTTCTACCCATCCTCTTGTTATAATATTTCGCCCCCTTTTGCACGCGTCCATACATCCATTCCCTGCAAAGGGGAAGCATGAAGGTCAAAGTGGGCTCGTCTTTTGACATTGGTCTGGACTCTAAATCGACAAAAAGCCAATCATGAGATGAGCGTGGGTGTTTATGCAAAATTGGCCGGAGCCATGGAAGACTTTCACGGCGATGCATTTATGAATCTCTCTATTGTAATTCTCAATGTCTGTTTTCTTGAAGGGCAGGGGTTTTTCTTGCATCTTTGCAAGTCCTGCTAATTGCTCATTTCTTGCGATATTTAGTGGGTCGTCTCTACTGAAGGGAAACCCCCTGTAATTGAAATGTCAGATACCATTAGACTCTAAGCCGGCAACCCTGCTAGCCTTGAATGATATATTCAGCCTGTCTGCGTTATGATTACAGTGGGCTTTTGACCTTTTTTCCCTTTCCGAGCCCGCCATATCGTAGGTAAAGGGGGTGTTCATTGCTTGCCTTGTGTTCCGCTGACCCGGTTTTACCTGATATGTCCTCTCTCCCCGAGACACCCTACTTTGCCGGGTGCGTTACACAGTAACTTGAATTAAGCAATCATTCAGCTTGATCTCGCTCCCGACTCAACCGGGGAGGGGCGTATCGCCATGTGAATACCTACCTTCGCGGTCCCACGATTTTGTTGCACCGCTTCGTGCACGAGTCGAAGACGGAACTCCTGACTCTATGGAAGACCCAGCTTGATTTCTGCAACTCCACGGGATGCTTGATTCACTGACCCTATGCCGCGAAACTGATAGATTGGGGGAGAGGACAAGGAGCAAGAGCATACGTTGCACAGCTTTGTAGATGAGTCAAACAAACGAAGTCTGGATAGGTCAATGCTCGCTCCTACCTTAGTCCGCGGGACGTTCTCTGTTCACTGATCTGACGCCACCGGGATTGATACTCCGGGGAGTGAGCATGGAGTTTGAGCGTACGACAAATGTCGCTCAAGTGGCTTTCCAACTGCAGGATTACTACCATATTGGGACGTCACTGTGACACGAAGCTCTGTAGATTGCACACATCACACTCTACAGTTCCGTCAAATCGTTCAATGCTACGATGTTTCGTCCATCCACTGAAAATAACAAAACAGTGACACAGTCGGACGATTGACACTATCAAATGAAAGTGATCATCCCTATTTGACGAATGGAACTCGGTGGTGCCCCGAGCCCAGGCGTAGGTATAAGTAGTCGGTCAACGTACTGGACAGCATGAGATGGAGCTGTGACTTTCTTGGGCTGGGTTTTCACATTCGCTGGTCTCATACATAAAGCAGGCTTGTCTGTTCACTACAAGACTGTTCTATCAAAATTCCTGCATTTGGATTCTCTCCCAAAGACTTGACACGCCGAGTCTTGAAGTTCTCTTCACAAACATGATCATCACGTCCCCCCAAATGGGCCTCCTAGCCCTCAGCCTCCTGGCTTCGTCCGCCTTTTCCTCATCCATCGTGCAGAACGCGCCTTCAAAGCCAAAGGCTATTGCTCGTCCAAAAGGCTGTAAGGAAACCGCTCTTCGTTCTGTTTCACGTTTTAAGGTCATTCGTTCGCGAACGGACTGACTACTAATCAGTCTCCCCGTCATCCAGGTCTTGTTCGTTACCGCGTTACTCTAGGCGATGACTGCGTCCACATTCGCGACTCTCATCCCGATTCTTTTACTCTGGACCAGCTTTTCCAGTGGAATCCAGACATCAATGACTCTTGCACGAACTTGCAGCCGGGTGATGTGCTCTGCATTCAGAGATTGAAATTGCAGGAGTGTCCGACGCCTACGCCTACGCCTACGCCTGCGGTTGTTATCTGATTATCACTCAGTTAACTTGCTGAGATGAGAAATAAGGGAAAGAAGAGAAGTGAGAATGTTGCTGAGAAGTAGCAATTATTTATGGGTAGCATTGGATTCCATGAGGGAGTGCGTTGGGCGCGGCTGGGATTCTATTCCTACAGATTGATTGACTTTGAGCTTTCACTGACTACTTAGGTATGACTACCAACATATATTTGATACTGTTACTATGAAGTTCTACGCTATTCATCCAAAATACAGTCCAACATAAATAACGGTCATATTAGAACATCACATATGTTAATAAAACAAGGGCAAACGAGAAGAAGACGATCATGGTTCGACGGCAGTCGAGCCCACAGGAGGAATGCTCATCTCCTCCAGGCTCACATTGATGCACGAGAGCTCACCTGCGCTCCTCAGCTGGGTCCACATGGCATCAAGTTTGGCATCCTGAGATACAGCGCTCTGTATTTGGCTTAGCGATGATTCAACAAGTTCATCCGGTGACCTGGTGTTCAAGTAGCTTACCTCTGGTCTTTGCCAAGCGATGAAACCCACGACAAGCTCATCTTCTAGATTCTGACTCCTGCCATAGGAAACAATGACATCCTCTCCGTGTTGCTTCTTCAAATGCGAAGATATGCCTTCCCAGATGCGAATTGCAGATGCAGCAGCTTCCAGGCTCTGTACTTGCAGACGGAAAATGTCGAGGCTCAAGGCTCGAGCAGCATCTTCAGTACTGATGTTGGTCTGGAAGACCTGTGGTATTGGTGGACCGGTAAAGAGATGCCCGACTGACTTGGCAAAATCCCTGACTCTGGATGTTTTGATGAACGCAGTGAAAGATTCCAATTTGTCCCACTCTGGCGAGAGACAGGTCATTAGTAACGAGGCGCCCAAAAAGTGACATCACCCTCCATTCTGAGAGGGCTGTGCGTCTGTCCGGGAGAACATACCGAACAGAATGATTTTTCTGTTCTCATCTCGTACATTGCGTCCGTCTTCAGTCAGGACCCAGCCATGGAAGGCATGCAAGAATCCCGGGTTGGGATTGGTCAGCTTTGCCATGGACTGAGGCCAGTTTCGCACAAGCTCTTCGAGGGAGGCCTGATCAGGCTTGAGCTCTGGCAGAATGAGCTCTACGATAGCCATGGCGATTGTTCAGTTGATATGAGGTTGTGGAAGTTGATGATGAAAGATGTGTGATGGGTTACGGAAAATTCCTAGCAGAGGAGATGAGAGCCTTACTTATAGTTCCAACTTTGAGGAAGGATTTACAATGAACAACATAAAAGGGTCACAAGCTAGGCCAGCTAGACGATGACTAGAGCTGATTTTGGGGGGTTGTGCTTACACAAGACACGATAAACGCATCAGGCCTCACAGTGTGAAGCTATCGCCGTGGACTGTGGAGCGCCTGACCCTCAGTGGACTAACCCCGAACTGGAATGTATGGTTCGGTGCGGGCTGGTCTGCGGAGTTTGCGGAGTTTCAGCGGGCGTGGGCGGAGGCCCATCTCGTGCTTACTATTCAAGTCTTCAACGGTCCTACTCCAACTCATCTCCTCTGGTTACACCTGACGTTCGCGCAAACAACTGCCAACTGTCAATATGTCGACCAGAACTGCCAAGAGCCGCTCGCGGCAGAAATCATGCACGATCTGTGCGGAAGGCAAGCGCCGTTGCAATCGCCAAACTCCGCAGTGCTCGCGATGCTCAGAGCGCGGCTTAAGATGCACATACCTCAACTCGCCTCGGATGAAGACCCGGCCCTCCACAGTAGACTCCGCAAGTCCGCTGTCAGATATCCGATCGGATATGGACACTGATTTTGAGATCTCCTTTGCTCGGGTTTCTTCCCACCCCGATATGTGGACTGACTCATCCACGCTTGCGGCGTCGCGACATTTTGACAGATCCCCATCCTTGCCCACCATGCCGAATTTCTGCCCAGCTATCTTCTTCCCCGATATTGTTCGTCCAGATCAGTGGTCAACAGAGAAACTTCTTCGGAACATCAACTCATTTCCGGAATTGTTTGCTCGATCAGGGGCAACGCCATTCCTGCATCCTCAGCTATACGGATCTGACATGCCCACTGCCATGCAGGACGCTTTCGCGGTCACAGCGGCGTATTTTTCAAGGACTCCAGAGACCGAAGCCTTGACAGTACGAGTCCTCGAGAACAAGTCCAAGTCCCTGATGAAACAACTGCAAAAAATCTCATCTCTCAGAGAGCTTCTCGCCTCGGTCCAAGCGTTGCTCATCTTCCAAATCATTCAACTGTTCCAGGGTACCTCACGCCAACGCAACCTAGCCGAGCAGGATATGGAGATGCTACGGAGCTGGACCACGCGTTTGCAGATTCAGGGCGAGGACCTAGTCAACCCAAACACTTGGCAGGACTGGATCTTTCTTGAAAGCATTCGTCGGACTGTGATCATCTCGGTCCTGCTCGATAGTCTTTACTGGTCGCTCAAGTTCGGCCATTGCACCCAGGCGAAGATTCTCAGCATGCTCCCCGTCACACCTGTGTCTGAGTTATGGGAGTGTCCCACAAGCACGGACTGGCCGGGCAGTATACCGACGAGGTCACAAACGCTTCTGTATGGTGACTTCTCGATGGCATGGAAAGAAGGACGAGTGACAGGGGAGTTGGACGAATTTCAGAAATTTTTGCTGGTTCCATGTGTGGGTGCGAACTACAAGGACCTCCTCGCAGATTGACCTCAGGTGGGCATTGTCTTGAATATTGATCAGTCGGCGTGGTTCGTATTTGGTTCGGTCTTCGGCTCTCGACTCAGTCTGGATTAAAAATAACCCACGGTCAACCCGAGCGTTGGCGCAGCTATAGACATGCATGAAATAGGACTCGTACTCGCTACTCGGCCAGCCACCGTTCGCTTCCGTTCCTTCTACCCCAGTCCACTAGCTTGCTTCTCGATCTGAAGTTCCAACTTGTCTAAAAAATACTATGTTGATTGAGTGAACATTGAACTATTCACCGAATGATGCGCTCTTTCTGCGAATTGGATATTTGCCTTACTCATTTCGCCAACATGGAACTTGTGGTCTTCAAACCCAAGAGATAGAGTACATACGATCATATTTGAACATGCAGTCCAATCCTAGCACTTTTGCGACCTGCAAGTCCGGAACAAAAAGTGTCCGTTCTCATGCTACGTAGTGCGTGTCAGGTAAAATCTCCTCTTGTTCACGATGCAGCCTGTAGCTGACTGGATGGTTCGTGCTCTTCAGCATTCGTCGACATGAGCTGTCAGTCTTCAACCGGCGCCCCCCTCAGCGCACGAGCCCGTGCAGAGCGGAGCGAATCACGTGCGCCGGTTCTATGCCAGTTGATGCACCGTCCTGTGCCGTGCGTCGTCTCGATTTGGCACCAACCCAAACTCTTGAGTCGTGATTTAGACTCAGGCTCGCCAACGAGCGACTGACAGACATAACGACGACTTCCAAGTCATCGGGAGGGTATGGGGGGAAGACAAATCATTTGTCTGCTACCTCAGATGCAGGAAAATGTGCCGGCATCTCAAATCGCAAGGGAAAGGTTCTTCGCCTCGAAAGAGTCAGCCAGCCACACATGAAAGCATGAAGATGTTACCAAAAACACTAGTAGCACCTTCAACGAGCTGTGTTATTCTCCAGCGGCCGGCTTGAAGATGAATTCATTCACTTTCACAATCGGTTCTGTCACAATTGGTTTTTCGCTAGCGCTCAGGAGCTGCTGTCGGTTCAGCCAGCCAGGATTATGCTCAAGCCTCTTGTCACCCCCGCGCTGCTGCAGCAGCAGCAGACTTCCTCGCTGGGGAATTAAGGCCGACATGAGCGAGCTGTGTGTGTCGTCGCTTCAAGCCACATTTTTATGCTGCAGATTCCCAAGCTCTGTCCTTCTAAACTGGGGACGCGATTGGTTCCAATGCACCTGAAACGGTTCATCGGATCGTTCGGCCGCCGTGTCCTTCTCGTCGGCCGTGCTCGCAATACACTTCATTGCGGCAACTCCGGCCACCTCAGCTTCTGAATGGCATCCACCTCGATCGTCTTTGAAGACTGTGGGCGCCACAGGGCAGTCTAGGCGGCCCGCCAGTGAAGGTTATTCACTTATCCTCTCGTACTTGACGACGATTCGGATTTCGCCGATGATTCAGTATTGTCGTCGAATCGAGCGCATCAGGGATTAGGATCTAGTGTCGCGTGAGTCTCGGGAGTTTGTCAAATTGTGGCGGAAAAGTCAAATGAGAATATGCGCTTCAGTTGTGCAGCTCGCCTGGTTCAGCTTTGGTCGAACATGAAGCGCAGAGTATGAATGTCTACTGTTACATGGAAAAAGAAACATCCACCTACAAAAGCATTTTTGCATCTGCCTTTAAGGGCTTCTTTCCCTCAACTTTTTCTGAAGTGTGCACAGTACTCTCGTATCTCTTCCAACTCTTTCTCTCTACCGAAGACGGGTCTGCGTCGCATCTTTGACTGCCTCACGAGCTTGCGCTCGAGAGCAGTAGTACTCGATTCTTCCCCCGAACATAGCAGCCAACCCCTTCACAAACCACCACAACATCCGCCTGAGACTCCTCCCCAGTGCCCACAGTTAGAGCAGCCCAGTCTCTCACTGCGGACTTCCTTATCACCTGAGTCTGTTCCTTCATTCCCAGTCTTTCATCCCGTCGTGATGGCTCCTGGCATTATCTCCCCCTCCCCGGGAATATGTCATCGTCGTTCTTTGCCAATCGACCTGCAAACTCTCGCCAAGTCTCATCTTTTTCTGCTACTTTCGATGACAGTGTCTCTCAGAATGGCCGTTCGGCACGGCGTGAAAATGGGCTTGCGCGCAGATACAATGGCGTGGGCAGCTCGAATATCACCAATGTAGTTCAAGCTCTTCACCGTCGGAGCGGCAATGAGCTTGGCAATAGCGCATCCTCTCTTCTCTTGAACACTTCCTACCACTCCATTGTTGATTGGATCCGAGTTGAGCGTATGAACCACTTGCCACCAGAAGGTAGCAGTTACGACAAGGTCCTTTCTTGGGCTCAGCTCTTCATCGATAGGCTCCACTCATTTGACAATGGAATTCGGGATTTTGCCGGGGACAGTTATCTGGCTGCGCAATTGTCGTATGGATATTGTGCGATGCTTCTTGAGGTGAGTCGATTATGGGTTCAGTTCGTTGGCTGCACTTTACTAATCGATCTTCGGGTGAAAAATAGCTGGGTAAAGACAACGCCCCTGCTCTGATGATCTCTTTCGGCTTTTTTTACAGCACTTCTTCCGCACTGGTGAATCTTCTTGAGAGGACGGAGCTGTTCGCCGTCTCCCAAGAGATCAAGGAGCAGCTGATCTTGGCACTGTCCGATCTCGTCACACTCGTCGCTTCGGTATCGACATACTACCACAAAGCTATCCGGGGGCTCACTACTGCCTCTGTCTCGGTCAATATCTATGACACCTTCCCAAGTCAAATTCAATCCTTCAGGGATCGATGTAAAAAGATAACGGAGGCTATGTGGCGACACCAGCTCGTTAAGGAGAATATAGACTCTGAGCATGGTACGTCCTTATCCCGACGTCGTCTAACCGTCACAAGCACCGACACCGGGACTTTGAAAAAGCTGACCAGTGTCAATGAATTTTAGTTACCATTGTCAACGAACTACGATCATGGCTGGCTCCTGAGGACCGTGTGCTCACCCACCTCGTGGAGAATACATCTCAACTTGCTCTTGAGCGCGAGGAGATGACCTGTCTGTGGCTTGGCCCGTACTTGGCTCGTTTTCTGAAGAGCGACTGTCAAAAGTTATCTCTATACGGAGCGCCTGGATCCGGCAAATCTGTTCTTGCTTCGGTGATTGTTGATCGTCTGCAAGAGCATGTTGGCGGCGTAATTTACAACACTATATTCGTTCCCATCAGTGAGTGCTGGAATCTGTTTAACCCAGAGCAGTGCCTAAATTTCGGACACTAATTGTCTTCAGATGCCCGTGTTCCTGTTCAGACTACCCCAATCGCCATCGCAAAGACAATTTTGTCCCAACTTTTTGAGAAGCGCATCGGTAACATCCAGTTGCTGAACATCTTGAGGGATGCCTTTGATCGTGCACGCACCACGTTTAGTCTGCCGGAATACGAGGACATTCTATGGAACTCCCTCGAGCGTGCTCTGTCTGCCTCATTACGTGGTGCCAAGGAGCTCGTTCTCGTGATCGATGGCCTTGACGAAGCTACTTGCGGAGAGACTGCTTTGCTGGAGAGACTGACTACTGCTACTGCCAGTGCTGCGGGAGTGAGACTCATCACCCTTGGATCTGAGAAACCTTCCACCAAGGACAAAGCAATGGGGATTTCAGTCACTGAAAGCAGAATTGCTGACGATATTGCCGCCGTCGCGAGAAAGTCATTCGAGAAATGCCGAGTCTTTCATGAATTGGGTGAGATGGAGCAGGAGACGATTGTGGATCAAATTACAGAGGCGTCTCATGGCTCATTCTTGTGGGCTAAGCTTGCTGTTAAGCGCATTTGTCATGAGACCTCTCTTGAGGCCTTGCACAAGATGACGGATTTCATGATCAACGGCAAATGGGGCGTGGCTGACTTTGTCACTCATGTACTCGCATCCACCGACATCAGCGAGGAGAGTCGATTGATGCTTCTTTGGCTTGCAACAGCTGAGAGACCTCTAACGTTGAAGGAATTGACCACCTTGGCTCTGGTTCATGTCGATAAGCAGATCATATCTGATCGCAAGATTGACACTCTTGCCAATCTGAAGCCTTTCACCTCACTCGTCACCATACAGGATGCTCAAGTATCCCTTCGTCACGGGCTGATCCGCGTGGCTGTCCTGGACGCGTATGCAAAGGGGAAGCTTCTATCCACTGTCAAAGATCGACATGCTGATCTGCTGACTCGACTCTTGATTTATATCAAGGCTACCGTGATCGAGCAGCATGACCCTTCAATGACCGGGTTGGATCGCCATGACGTCAATATGCTTGTGCAGAAGCACACACTTCTTGACTTTTGCGTGCGATATTGGCCGCACCACCTCCGAAACACAAAAGGTTATTCGAATGGTGGCGAGGCTCTTGCTGCTAAAGAATTCGGAAAACAATTTCCTGCCAACGTCACTCTGTTGTTACTCCAGAGCTCGTTGTGGCAGAGTATCTCCACGCCCACGCTTTTGACGTATCTGACCATTGTCAATGGTATGAACCGCCACATTCTGACTCCAGATCACAAAGTCAGCTTGCAGTCAATGATATTTCTCGCTCTTCTACGCCGAGATATGAGACAGTTCTCCGAGGCAGCTTCGCTGCTCTATGAGGTGGCTGTAGCCAGCCGCAAATTGCTCGGCATCAAGCATATCATTACTTTGCAAATTTCGAGTATCTTCTTGGATCTGACAGTAGATCAGATAACCAGTACCAAGACTGAGATCATGAAGAGGCGGGAGGAGATCCTCTATCTCCTCGTTGAGTGCTACCAAATTCACTATGGTAGTAGCTCTGAGAAAGTTGTGGCTACTCTCAGAATTCTGCTTGACCACCACCGCCTACTCAAGGAAGACATCAGAATCAGAGAGATTGAAGCAAAAATCAAAGTCATCACAGGAGGTCGCTATGAAGATACGGACAGCGATGGCCATGGAAATCTTCACGTGCATTTGAGAGGGCGCCGGGCCTCCAGCGAGGGCGGAGCGCTTTTCACCTTGGATACTGAGCTGGATGAGTATCTTTCGGAAGCCTTCGACTTTGAGGCTCTGTTGCTGAAAGCGCAAACTTACGTCGCGCAAGGCCACTTTGTTGAAGCCGAGCGTGTATACGTGGAAATTTGGCAGCGATCGAGCATGGAGTGTCGCGTGCAAATCTCCGAGTACTGGGAGCAGATCAAGTTGAAATCGGTCACGGTCTACTCCAGGTTCCTACAATCACAAAAACGCGAATCCGAAGCGACTTCGATCCTGTCTAGTGTCTGGGAAGAATACCGCAGTACGAATTTCTCGGTGACCGAATCGACATCTGTCCATTTCCGGGAAATTGCCATGATCATGGCCACTGTGGGTCTGTCTACAACAGCCTTGAGTATCTACAAACACTGTGCGCAATACTACAAGAGTGTCAACAAGACCGAGTCCGCGGAGTACAAAGAGATCAGCAAAAGTATCGAGTATACTTCTCAACAAGTGGTTCACCAGGCAAGCTCTTCATCAACTGTTGTATCCGAAACTGTGCTTGAGGAAATCGTCTTTGAAGCTTCCACCTCCATCAACACCATCAATGAAAGCTCTTTCACCGCCACATATACGCTGGTAGAGCTGTACGTCGCCCAGCACCGTTGGAGAGATGCTACGCGTGTCGTCAAGAAGGTTTTACACGGCCTTTGGCCCTCACTGTTTGCCCCTTCCATTGAAGATGTCCTTCTTCCGAGCAAACACATTGAAAAGTGTGTTGAGCTCGCTGAGCGCCTCTGTCAGTGCTATCATTATCGTCGTCGCTTCAGCCGCGAAGAGGGAATCCGCCTCCGTGTATTCCGAGCAGTTCGTGCCACCAAACCCGTGGATGACAAGACTCGCGAGCGCGTCTCGACGGGCTTGCTACTCTACTACGAAGAATCGTGCCAGCTGGATTTGGTCATCAGCACTCGCCAGGAGATCCTCGATGATTATGTTGCCCATTACGGTCCCGAGCACCCTATCGTCATTAAAGCACTCTGGACCCTCGCTGAGTTGACTCGTCCAAGGCCCATCTCGATTGAGTACTACCAGCGTCTCATTAGAGCCATGAACAAAGACTCTCCCCACTGTCAACAAGACGCACTTGAGCCGCTCATTATTGTGTTGACCGAGCTGTGGAACCAGAGTCGCTACTCAGATGCCGTGTCTTATTATGCGCTGCTTTTTGGAACATTCCTACATGATCATAAGCGCAGCGCCAAGTTCCAATCGGCGGACTTTGTTCATGAAACTTTCTCGCGCTACACTTACTGCCTTCGTCATGTCCGGGTCGAGTACAGTGAGATACACAAAGTCTCGGTTGATTACCACAGCAAAGTGAAGACGATCTTTGGTGCTACGGCTTTGATCACCGTCAAGGCGACGTTGAGCCTCGCTAGAGTTTGCCAGGAGTCGAAGCGGTTCGAGGCTGATGCAATTGCCCTCTACGAGGAACTACTCGCAATGAAGGTTGCTGAATTTGATCGAGAGGAGGTGATTGCCATTCTTGACGGACTCTACGAAGAACAAACCACAACCATCACCTCAAAAACAGAGACAATGTCATCGACTCAAATCGAGCGGTTCTCGAAGGTTATGCGCAAGCGCATGACTACTGTTCGAGAGACTCATGGCTGGGCTCATGAAGAGTCGTTGACTAAGTTGAAAGAAATTGTGACGTTTCATTCCAAATACAGCGAAAGTTCAGAGGTCGTTCTGACAGAGCTCAAGGAATCGACCGTGCAGATTCTGCAGACGGAGAGCTCTTCCACCCGTCTCGTGGCTGCTGCGTCAACCATAGCCGAGGGCTACATTACCACCAAGCAGGTAGCCAAGGCGACGGAGATAACGCAAGAGCTATATCGTCAAGTTGTCATGAAAGAGACAAAGAATGTCAAGGTCTTCAACTTTGACCTCACAGCGAAGGGTCGACAAAGCTTGATATTCTTGGCTCAGCTCGAGCTTAGTCTACTCCAGCACAAGAAGACCATCACCGAAGTTCTGGCAATACTCACTGCCGAGTATGTTTACTTTGAAGATTTCCGCAGCTGCATTCGTGCGAAGAGTAGCTCGTTCCACACCGTCTCGCTTTCTGCCTCCCGGCTTTACCATTTCCTGCTCTCCAACAATCGCCAAGAGGCTGCAACCCGCGTCTTTGATGATTATACTGCGTACTTTATCGCCAACGAGGGCAAGCGGACGAAGCTAGTCGAGACCAAATTGGTCAAGGTTTTCCTGTCGACCATTCTGGATCATTTGCAGAATCACAAATCCACCAATTTCATCCGGTCCGTCGGCATCGCCAGTACTCATCGCGTGGTCGATCTGCTGCAGAAGAAGGACTATGATTGTGCATGCGATCTTGCTTTTGCATCGTTCAAGTATATCTCCGCCCATGACGAGTATCGATCGGCAGCGATTGTCAAGTTTGTTCTTTCGCTCGGAATCAACATCACCGGACGGACGGCCTCTCTCCGACCGGATCACAACACCCAGAAGAAATTGATTGGCGTCTCCAGTGTGATCGTTCAGGATGTTCTCCGTGTCGTTGGGGACTTGAAAATCAGTTTAGCCCACGTCAACCTCGAATACCTGAACATCTTGATCAGCGTCCTGGGCGAGCAAAAGGACTACAAGAACCTTTCGTGGGTTCTATCTGGGCTGTGGAACAGCCGCAATCAACAACCCGATTGGTCGCCTGCGGTGACCCTTCAATTAGCTCGTCGCTACATACTCGCTCGCTATCTGGCGGGTGACGTCCTCAAAGCGTCCCGTCTGGCCGAGGACATTGTATACAATTGTCGCCGTGTCAACGGCGCTCGCCACCAAAGCACGTTGGAAATGTCCACTCTTCTGTCTCAGCTCTACGCAGGCATCGCGCAGCGATACCAAGCAGAGAAAGGAGGTCAACACATGGCCTACAAGTACTACAAGAAGATCGCCAGCGTCCACGAAACCCTGCTGCGCACCTTTGTCGATCCCTTCCACGGCGACGTCGAAGGTGGCATCGATGGGAACATGAGCATGGATGGCTCGTCCTACGGTATCGAGATTGGAGACAGCCAGATGCAAAGCTCCATCTCTGACGTCGAACAGGTGCGCCAGCACATGCAGCTGCTTAAACTGGCGGTACAGCGTCTGGGCGACTGGCCGAAGGACTTTGCTGAGTATCAGCGTTTGAACGACGATTTGGTCGATGAATTCGGGGATGAGTTGTCTGGTGTCGAGAGGGTGGAAAAGTGGGATGTGAAGAAGTTTGGGGCCGGAAAGGCTTCGGGCGATGAGGATCAATTGAAGGTGGATGCTAAGATGTGGGAACTGGACTTGAATCAGGCTCAGGCTGAGGAAGTCGAGGAGGAGCTGTGAGATGGTGGGTCTGTGTTTCTTGGGATGGATTGAGTAAAGTTAAAGAATTAATGTTATAGTATGTTTTGGAATTTCATTGCCGATAGTTAGTCATTTCTGGTTTCCGCCCCGATCAGCGTAGTCGTGATTCTTCCAAGAACACTTCTGACAATTCGGCATCCAACATCTTCAGCACGACAATACCGAGTCTTCGCACGTCACAGTCATCGAGCAGAGATGTGATCAGAGTAGCTGAATGGTAAGAGTATGGCTAGCACAAGCGCCTGATCTCAGTCAAAATCCCACGTTGTCTATTCCTCTTTTGTATTTCTTATGTGGAAGATCCACCCGACGTGTAACATGTCTTGATCTCGTTGCCTCTCTTGGGGCAAAGTGGCGTGCCCGGCCTGAGTCTTGAGAAAACGATGTTCTTTGCATGTCTATATTTAACAGGTACCTCCTGTATCTGCATGCTTGGCTGCTAGTTGTTGAGGCCGGCTGTTCCATGTAATGTTTGTCCCCATTCCTGCTCGACGTATCCACTTAATTCTCGTGTATCGTGCTGGTTGATTATGTCGATTAGATCCCCGAAGCATAGTCATGAAGACAAGTTCTGTGCCAAAATCACGACAACTTGGAGTTTCCAACCCATATCAAGTCTTTCCGCGCATCACCAAGTGAGCTTTCTTTTTGGAACCGGGTCTGTGGTAATCCAATCACGGCGGCATTCTTGCAGTATCTTCACCATGTCTTGAAACGGCCCGGTAACCAGAATCGGTCCGAGTGCATATCAGAGGTGTCCGGGGATTTGTTCGCGGCGAGAAAGTGAGCGACGAAAGCCTTCGTCGGTGACTTTCGCGAGGCGCGCCTGTTAGGAAGATATCCCGATGGCTCTATACGCATGTTCGTGACAGGATTTCCGTCATCGCCAACCCCGCTTTATCTCTATTCTCTGCTGATCACGATGGTTACTGATTGAATTCTTCTCGGACTCCGCCTCCCCATGTAATCCGCTCAACCAGCCTGATATATCGGCCATCACTCTGAACACGAAGCAAAATCCTGAACGTGGATAGTGGGGATGAGGCTAAGTTTGAGATAAATACAAATGGAGCAATAAGTAGAAAACTTAATGCAGAAGGATGACGTGAAGTCGAATAAAAGCCAGGCAGGACATGGAGGAGAGGTGAGTCAGGAGTGACATGTGAGTAATACCTGATGGTGTGCTTGGGGTGCATACCAGGTAATAAGGTGCCACTTGATTCTATCATAAATTTGAGAAATTTAGCTTGGTGCCTGCTCTTTCCCACTTAACGCTTTGAAAATACACCTATAGCTGGACTACTACCAACCCACTTTCTAGGGGTGCTGGAACCCAAGTGATAGGTGCCGTTTCGCAACACCCGTGAGTACTCTAGTGAATCATTAGCCTAGAGTCATAACTTAGCTTCCAAGTGATATGTGGCGTCGAGAATGACTTTTGAATTTCGGAGGAAGCCAAGAAGGAGCATTCAATTTCCAGCTCGGAAAGAAACTCTACAGGGCACTTTCATAAATTCGGCTTGGAATTCATATATCCGTCGCTTTCAGAGAAAAGGACAATGTATTTTCCAGCAATCTCCGATCATTCAGAAATGACAGACATATATTATTCTTATTGAGTGGAATCGTCGAATGAATCAGTTGTCCATGTCAACTTGACGTTTTGCGCGTAGAGCCAAATGAGAAGAGTTACGACACTGGCTTCATCCTAACGTCGACAATGTCCCGCAATACCACCTCTTACTGTGGCTTCAAAAAAGTGGCCAGAAAGCATCTTCTTGGAAAGAGGCGAATGGTCAGCGAGAAGGTGCCTGAAGACTTAGACGATCTTCTTACTCGATGCGACGTAGGTCGTTACTTATAGACCATGAAGTCTTGACCGAGGTGCCTCTGAATGTTCCAAGATTCAAGTATGATATGAATCCTTCTAAGGGGTCGAAAGTTTTGATTACATGTCAAGACGGGGAGATCCCGATAGGAGTCTAGGTGAGCTTAAACTTGTTTTTTAAAATGTCTGTTTCTCCTCACGAGCCTGCGGTTGAACGCAACTACATCAGAGCTCGCAGGAAATCGCCTCCATGACCCTAGAATCTATGATTGATGAATGAAATCTCAGATGTGCTGCAATTGCATTGAGCGTCAAATCTTCAAAGTTCAGGTGATGCAGTATGTGCGACGGTCAGGCGAATCGATAGAAGCTTCTCATTCTGGAGCAAGCTCAAGTTGGCCAAGCTCAATGTCCACATGTCCAATCTGGTCAACAGAATTGAGTCGGTCGAGAATCGTGTCAACGCAGAGTCGAAGAGAGCCGAGGTTATCCAGTAATTCAACTAGAATGTCCGCAGAGAAGCGTGGTGCCGAGCGCAGATCATGATACGTTCTGTCGAAAGGCGGCTTCAGGTAAAAGGAAACAAACAGTTTGACCATTTCCCGGCGAACAGGGTGGTCAACAGGCAGAACCTCCAAAGACGCCATGTGTTCCTCTGTGACGTAGATGGCGATATCCGAGTGAGGTGAGTTCAGATCTGATCCCTCTCGTAGGACCATCATCAAAGACTCTGCAACTGTTGTTTCGAAGCCTCCCCGGACACCGTACATATCGGCACACCTCAAGAACTCGAGATTAACGGAGATGTATCGCTCTTGCCAGGCGATACCATCGGATTCGTCAAGGGTCCACGTCAACTTGACGTCCTTTGTGTAGATCCACATGAGGAGTGTTGCAACACTGGCTTCGGATACAACGCCATCGATGTCCTGCAACACCACCTCCTGTGCTTGACCCTCCTGGAAGGGGCCGAAGAACATCCTGGCGAAGTATGGTGAGTGTTCTGCGAGCAGCCCCCTTGAGACGTGAAAGACCCTATCGCTCGATGCGACGCGAATAGCCACTTGTGGGCCGTGATGGACGGAAAGAACACTAATCGAATGTCAAATCCATGCGTTGTACTGTACCTTCCAAGGGAGGAGTGATAATGTGGGCCGACTCACGAGTCCAAGGCGTCCGAGCAACTGAAGTCTTGGGGAGTCAGGTCTGGCTCGGAGGATACGCTATCTTGGGAAGGTGACTGATCCATAGCGCTCGGTACCTTCCACGATAGACGATCCGGTCGATGGGTGTAGGTAAGGGTGATGGTGATACAGCTTCGAGCCGAAAGACGTGCAGGAAGATGATAAGAGGAAGTGAACTTGAGCTGGAATTTTGAAAACCCGTCTGTGTGAACGGGTGCGTTGAGAGTGTAGATGAGGAGGTCGGAGGCGAAGAAGAGAGTGAAGAGAGTGAAGAGAGTGAAGAGAGTGAAGAGAGTGAAGGAAGAGAGTGAAGAGAGTGAAGAGAGTGAAGAGAGTGAAGAGAGTGAAGAGAGTGAAGAGAGTGAAGAGAGTGAAGAGAGTGAAGAGAGTGAAGAGAGTGAAGAGAGTGAAGAGAGTGAAGAGAGTGAAGAGAGTGAAGAGAGTGAAGAGAGTGAAGAGAGTGAAGAGAGTGAAGAGAGTGAAGAGAGTGAAGAGAGTGAAGAGAGTGAAGAGAGTGAAGAGAGTGAAGAGAGTGAAGAGAGTGAAGAGAGTGAAGAGAGTGAAGAGAGTGAAGAGAGTGAAGAGAGTGAAGAGAGTGAAGAGAGTGAAGAGAGTGAAGAGAGTGAAGAGAGTGAAGAGAGTGAAGAGAGAAGAGAGTGAAGAGTGAAGAGTGAAGAAAAGCGGAGAGAAAGAGACACAGAGGTATAGAAATACCTAGAACTCTCGAACTCTGGGCAGAAACCTACCTAGTCAATACTTAAGACCAATACAAGGTTGCAGTCTCCCTGAGTCCAGAGCAGAGCTACCTGAGACCAAACGAAGGTATGCTGCTTGATAGGAATGCCTTGAACGAGAAAGCGGGTACCTGGTGTTTTTTTCGTCGAGCAGATGCTAAATAGCAACTCTAGATGTTCCACTGGAAGCACAGAATACATAAATCAAGCATAAGCGGCCTATTTAAAACGGGGAGTTCTAGCACCAGCATAGTAGACTTGCAGCTGTTGCTAGAAATGGGTATTGCATCAATATAGCATTGAAGTGCTGACCGGTCGATCAAAGTTCCTTCAAAAGGATGGCTGCAATCATCGTCATAGCCTCTGAGTCAATGGTTGGAGAGGGCCGAACTCGATGCACTTGAATCAAACTTTGAAGTCTTGAAAACACCCCTTTCAATAGCAGTGAACGCGAGAGAAAAATAGTGCGGCAACAGTCTATCCGTCACGATCGTGTAGAAGCCCGCGCAGCTCTCGGTCTCCTTGGTCTATCTGGGCATGCATAAGTGTCAAATGCATTGACAAGCGTCTCCAAACAAACTCAGCGGAAACCCAGAGCTGGTAGCAGTTGCCCCAGAACATCCGCAGATAGGGCCGGAGAGGATTCAAAGGCACGATCAGGGCGCCAGAGACGTTCAGTCTGAGTAGTAGGAATAAAAGCGCTTGACCATTCCCCGGCGCAAAGGGTGATCGGTAGGTAGTACCTCTGGAGAAGCCATGTGCTCCTTCGAGATAATCGAGAATGCCCTCGATATCCGGGGTGGGAGATAGGGTTCCACGGCATCAATCAGGGATTCGCACATGCCTCATTCAAGAAACCCTCAAACTCTACACATACATGCGCAGTTGGCAAGTTCCAGAACAGCAAAGATGTGTTCCTGTTCCCATCGTCTATCGTCATAACCATCATATTGCTCTTCGTGGATTGTCCGCGTAAACTTGACTTCTTTGGTGTAAACAAACCCTAAAAAGACGTGACGCGACACTCGCTTTCGAGACAGCGCAGTCAATCTCCTGCATCACTACCTCTTGTTTTTGGTCTTCTAGGACGTTCTAGGAGAAGGTGTGGGCAAACATAGCGGTTTTCAACCACACGGATCTTCGACACTTTGAAAGTCTTGTCATATGATGCAACCCAGACAGTCATCAGGGGCCTATGGTAGATCGACCGTAGCCTGCTCAAGCGTCAGAATTGCGACTGTGTGATTGTATGGCGTGAAATATGATTGCAGGGTCTTCGCACTATTATACAAGTCGGAAGAAGAGATGATTTCAGATAGTCCATCCTTCCGTGGTAGGCGACTGATCCACGTTGATGTGGTATTTGATTGAATAAACTCCGGAGACGTCATTTGACGAGAGATTTCTCACATAAAGGTGCAGTATAGGAAGATTGACACAGAGTTCACGTCGGTTGAGGTTGTGCCTGGAAAAAAAGGGGGTGGACTGAATGCCGCACCCGTTATTGATCTAAAGCTTTGAGTGCGTGTCATACGCAGAAAGCAAACAATATGGCAACGGGAGACATCAGATACAACCAGATTAATAGGACTGAGAATGTGACTCAACCGGCTAGCTTAACCTCCTCACGGAGGATCGGGTCGAGAAATACAATCAAGGGCAACATGTACGGAATGTCCTCGCTGTTTCGAGTGTTTCCTGGAGAATAATCACGGCGAAACCAGGGAACGACTTCAAATGGTACCCCGTAATTTACCAAGATGATTGAAATTAATTCACTTTTCTGGTTTCCTTTATACGGAAGCCTAGACCAGCTAACCTAGTTTCCGCCATTTCGAACTAAGCAAAAGACGCATGTTTATGCTGCCAAGCTGCTTTTCCAACAGCAAATCCCCATGAGACTCAAACCTGAAAGCACTGTATACGAACAGTGCCGGTGGGTATCCAGCTATTAGTCGAATTTAAAGAGTAGTGGTGAGGATGGAATTCGTCAAGATCCGTATCTACCAAGTGAAACCGACAAGACCGTAAGCCTAAGATGTATGGATCTGAAATAGAGGCGCTTTGTTATGCGAGAGTCTATTCCACTACCTAGCCAAGAATAGAACCACGAGAATCAGCTTCTTGCTTTTCTCAAGCTATTGCCTCGTTCTTGCAGGCTTCAATTGATTTTTGGCACCGAAAAGGAGGGTCGCGAGGGGACCTAGCGGTCATTCCACACTGAGCAATGAGTCCACTGACCACCACACGACTAGATACTGAAGCAGGTAGTTCACGAGAATTAGAGCCAGACATGTTGAAGATTCCGGTCGCTCGGGTTACGAATGAGACCTGGGAGTTTCAGGCCACAATCCTTAAGGTTGATCGGATCAGTTATGGTGAACCTCGTAAACCCACGCTTGGGAGTTTCAAGTGTGTCCAGAGCTTTTATCGTTTCCCGTATTATCTCCACCGCGAGGTTTGGGTATGCCGTCAGCTGATCGGAGGCAAAATTTCGATAATCACACGACCTCATGAGACTTGCAACGAAAGTCTTTGCCAACGCTCGCCGTACAGGATGCCCCGCGGGGAGATTCTCTGAGGAAGCCAAATCTTGATCGTAAATATTCTCGAGTCCCGTATCACCCCATTCGAAGGACGAACACAGAGACTGTCTGATTGACTCTGCCAGCGGTTCTTCAAACCCAGTGACGCCGTACATATCAGCCAGCCTTGCAACTTCGATCGCGGCAGAGATATAGAGTGTAGTCCGGGAAGTCCTCTCCGATTCACAAGTTCCCAGGGTCAATTTGATCTCATCTTTGTAGAACCAGAAGATAAGTGTGGCAACGCTTGCTTCGGAGACGACCCCATCGATTTCTTCGAGGAGGACCTCATCTTTCTCACTTTCCAAGAAGCCGCCCGAAAACATTTTGGCGAAGTATGGGGCCTTCTCAGTCAACAGTTTTTTCGAGACCCTGAATGCCCTTCCTTCAGTTGACTTGACGCGAATGGTTACCACTTGGTCGTGGCATGAGGTAAGAAAGCTAGTTGGAGTAAGTCTTCTGCCTGGAAAGCATACCGGACTCACTTACGCATCCAGATTCTCCGCCAGATTCGGATCTTCAGAGACACTCGTTTTTCTCATGATGAAAGTGAGAAGTGCGGTGTAGTTCCAACAGGAAGAGTTAGAAGAGTGAGAAGAGATGAGTGAACCCGACTAAGTGATCGCTATTGATACTCGCAGAATTTTTCTCTATCGAGGCTTCATGCTGACGTACCGAGGCCCTGAAGCCTCTCCGCGTCCGCATGAAGGAATTCATTTGAATGATGTCAAACACATGGAATATCTACTTGGGAGCCGTCTTGCAGGGGAATTTCGCCTTGGAAGAAACGTGAAAACAAAACATGAATGATGATCACGATGAATTCTCAATTCCCCGATTTGATCATGTAAAACGCACTGCTGTCTTCACGGGATGATCTTTTAACCGATGTTCCTTCTCTGCGCCAATTCAACGCCCAAGCGGTCCCGTACCGGCGGAGCTTAGATTGCCGCGTTTCTTCTCGGGTGTCATGATGAGTTTCATTTAGACTGGGCACCGATTACAGGTCTCTAGATCGAATTTGGGTCGAGTGTTTCTTGATCAATGAAAAGATTTTTCTTCACTTCATGCATGTCCTAAACAGACAGGAGGTATCTTTGAACTCAAAACAGAAAGAGAAAGATGTTATGTACAAGTTGTCCCATTGGCAACCAAGCCAAATAGCCCTAGATCCCAACACTCCCCCACCCCCATCCATTTCTTCATGTGACATCATGTATTACAATCTAGCCGGCCCCTTGGAAGCACAACAAGACGTGGAAAAGGCATTCTTAGACTGAGTGTCGACGCAGACCGACGAAGGAGGCACCCAAAGACCGGGGTTCTTCACAGAGAAGTTCGAGGCTCGCAGCATGATGCTGACCGGCTCGGCAGGCATGACGGGGAAGTCCTCCGTGCGAGGGAAATGCGTGAGACCAAACTGCAAGTAGCAGACGATATCGGTGTTCTCGATGTTTTCATTGCGCTTGGCCCAGTCGACAATGGTCGAGTTGTGCGGGTGGTCTTCTTCGCCCTGGGACTGGCAGACGTAGTCACCTGCGGGGAAGAGCTCGTAGTCCTTATAGGGAGTGACCCAGAGAGGCTTGCGAGCAAAGCCCGCGCGCTTGTAGACTGTGCTCCCGGGCTTGGCGAGGAGAGGGGGGCAGTTGTTGTTAAGAATCTTGTACCCGATGGGCTTGTTGGCCACAGGGTTGATCCGGTTGGGGTTGATGATGTCCCACGAGCGCTGGGTCTCGTAGCAGTAATCGGCCGCGCCCTCGAGGGATGTGCGGAGAGGAGTCTTTTTGCAGAGGAAAGCGTTGCCGTAGGGGTTTTCGGGAGAGCCCACGGCGTGGTCGGCTGAAACAGCGTCGCTCTGGACGACGGTGTTGTTGGTTCCGTCGATCTCGGGATCGATCCGGAGGGAGAAGATGTGTTGGTGGTTGTGAGCAGTGACGTTGGGTGCCACTTGGGTGCCGTAGGGAGCGGCCTGTTCGGTGGAGTGGAGAGAGTAGGTGTTGAGCATACCCGTCAGCTTCATCTCGAGCTTGTAGGTGCCGTCGAGCGAGAAGATGTGATAGAAGCCGTACTCATAGTTGGCAGCGGTGATGATTTGGGAGACGATGAGCTTGCGATCACGAGCGGAGATCACAGATCCGTCGCGGAAGTCGGTGTGCTTGTACAACAGGCCGTTATCCTCCTCGTGGATGCAAATGGCGTTCTTGATCACGGCAGCCTCGCCCTTGGCAGTCGACACGACTCCATCCATATAGTGAATGACGCCCTTACAGTCACAGCCCAGCTTGAGGGAGTTGGTCATGAGACCGGACCCGTACTCGCCAACATCAAAGGCGTGCTTCTTGTGGTGGGGGCCCTCGGGACAACCATAGGGAACGACCATCTCGACGACGGAGATACGGTTGAAGAGGGTTCGTTCCCGGTTCTCGTACATATCGTGGGTGCGTACGTCGGAGATCACGATACCCTCGCGGTAGTTGAAGCCGATGTGCATCTTGAAGTTGGCCCAGGTCAGCTCGTTACCGCGGACCTTGAAGGAAACGCCCTGAGGCTGGATGATGTCAATGGGCTTGAGGCGGTCATGGTTGTATTTGTCGCCGATAAATTCGGGCAGGTAGTTGTGTTCTTCCATAGGGATTGGGACTCGTTCGCCATTGACGGTGCGCACGTCCACGCTGAGAACCTCTTCCGTCTCAGTATCTGCCACAACGCTGAAGTCCAGTGGATGAGCGTATTGGTTGTCAGACTCTGAGGCGCGGTAGTAGGCGAGACCCTGCTGAAGGCGGCGCTCAAAGCCCCATCGCTCATCGATGCCGATGGCCCACGCATCAAAGTAGACCTTGTTCATATCCGTGATGCCGATCTCCTCGCAGGCACGAATGACGCGGGGATCTTGGCGAGCGACGCGCTCCATGACATCCAGATCCTCCAGGGTCAAAGTGGGCATCACGTCCTTGACAGGCTTATACAACTCCACCTTTTGCGACTTCAAGTTCACCACCAATTCGGAGACCTGTTGGCTCTCGCGTTCGATGACGATGGCAAAAGCACGGCGGTCCGGAACCGGGACCTTCCCAGCACGATAAGCCTGATACTCGGCCTTCCGGGGCTCGCGCAAGGTAATGCAGTTGAACTTGACGGTCTTGGGGCTAAGGTAGTCTCGGATGATTTGAGCTGCCTGGGGAATTTCCTTGATGCTGAGCTGGTCTGTTGCGCAATCATCAGTGAGGTCCTGGAGCGACTGGTGGTAGAAGTGATAGAAGGGTTGGAAGTAAATCTCGGAAGCATCTACTGCTTCTCGGGATCTCTAGGCTGGAGGTGCAGGCCCATTTCATACCTAGTGGGTGTGGTGTAGTTTGCGGCAGCATCGCGGCAGCGGCCACACTCTCATAGTCGGTTTCCCGAAAGATGGTGTAACCGGGAATTGAAGTAGTATCGGGGGCAGCCATGGTGAGAAAGTGATTCCAAAGAGGTGAAATCTTGTGAGAAATTTGGTCTTGGAAGGATAAAGTCAAGTCTGGTGAAGTGTCGAGGTCCCCTTGGTCTTTATAGGGAGCGTATGGTCGACAGTCCACGCACGATAGAAGCCGCATAGACCTGCCCGATTGGGAGAAAGCCGGGGAAACTGTGGTTGAGCTTGTCTCGGCGAGAATCGCAGCCCACTCGGTGAACTCTTGAGCTCGTCCGCCTGTCGCTTGAGTGGAACTTGTCGGCGGCAAGTGTCTGATTGGTGGTATGGGTATGTAATGGATGCGCCTGTCCTCTTGCTTCGGCATCTCGGGTGCGTGGTCGTGGTCGGTCTAGCTTCATTCTAAATCGTGCTCGATGTTTACAGTACCAATCTATCCGATGAAGAACAGCCTTTCTTGTCCGGCGTCGACAGCCAATCATTCATGAGTGTGAAGATGAGTCGTTTGCTTGACGCCTTGAGTCGACTGTGTGCCGCCGGGGCGTCAGTCTTCATGACTTGAAGGGTTCTCAACATTCCCAATCGGGCAAGTCGACCCACACGTTTCGCTGAATGTCCATCCGCAGGCTGAGGATGATTAGCTAAGTATTTCAGCCTCAGAAACACGGACAACACCTGGAGACAAGATGAGAGAATCTCAGTCGTCTTGCCTCCTTATCTTTGAACCCAGCGGTGCAATCATCCACGGCGTGTCTTATCGTCGTCGATTAGACGCCAAGTGGCAACCGTCCAAGCTTATCTGAGTTTCGCGGGGGAAACCCACGTGATTGTCAACTTGAGGTTGCATGATGCATATGGTGCGGCCCCTCATCCTTGCTTTTTTGTGTCTAGCCAGACAGATAGTGAACTGAGAAAGTGACACTGGTTATAGTATGAATTGACTTGTATCTACTGTAGATGAGATGGACACGCGCAGAAGGGTGTCACAGCACTTGTCAGAACGAAAAGAAAAAGGGACAGTGATTCCTTCGGAACTGAGTCTGCTTATCTTCGGCAACAGCCATCCATGTCGGCGTGCTTATCGAAGGGTGGACTTACCACTTCGGGCTTAGCGTGTCATTTTGCGCCGCAGGAAAATCGACCGCCTCGCAGTTTCCACGAGGCTTTCACACGGCACTCACTCATCATGGCGAATTGACGGAGCGCGCAGATGCCTGTTCGACGATCCAAAGCGTGAGGCAGAGATTGAAATGTCGACAGTTGCAAGATGACTACAAAGCCTCTCCCTTTGGAAGTACGAATGTACCGACACCGATGCTGAGACCTTCATCCATGACACCTGCACGACCAATCCTGTGGTCGGTGACCCCAGATATCGGAGGAACTTTCATCATGGGATTTCCAATATTGTACGTAAAATATCAGTCTTTCCCCGCGTAGACGCGGGTCTAGCCATTTTGATCGGGGACTTGCAAATTCAAGATATCCGGGTTGATTGTGGTAAAGCCTGGAGTTTCCTAGTGGGGTATCGCGCTTGATTACAATCATAGGGATGCAATGCATTCTGTTGAACTCCACTGTCCCGTGGATCTCTCCCCACATATCGCATACAAGATTTCCACATCGGGCATGTCCAGCCGGATAGGTTTATCAATGGCCATTTGACAGGATGTAATTCCATAATTGAGCTGCATGTCGCCGACCCGAGGACAGTGACTATCATCTATTGTTTTATTCAATCGCTCGGATTCTTTTGAAAATTAGATTGCCGAACATCCCAAGTGCCATTCTACAGGACTCCCCAAGGTCACACCCTTTTCACCTATAATATGGCATCATTATCTGTGCAGTTGACTGCGCCAAACGGCCGCGTCTGGTCGCAACCGACCGGCTTGTTTATCAACAATGAATGGGTCAAATCTTCTGACGGCGAGAAGATTGCAACGATCAACCCGGCGTAAGTCGTTGACCTCATTTTTGTCATGTCAGACTTGGATCATGCTAGGTGAAGCATGCGAAGTTGAGCCAGAGGAAGCTACAAATGGAAAAAAAAACAAATAAAAAGCCCAGCTAAACTCTTCTCTCAGCACCGCAAAGACCATCACATCGGTCTACGCAGCTTCCACTCAAGACGTTGACAAGGCCGTCAAAGCTGCGCGCGCCGCCTTGAACCACTCCAGCTGGCGTGATTTGCCGGGAACTGAGCGTGGCAAGTTGATGAATCGCCTGGCGCAGTTGATTGAGGATCACCGCGAGACGCTGGCCACCATCGAGACCTGCGACAATGGAAAGCCCTACACCGTGTCGCGAGACGACGACTTGACGGAAACGGCAGAGACGATCCGCTATTACAGTGGATACGCTGACAAGACCTTCGGTCAAGTCATGGGAACCACTCAGGATAAATTCGCTTATACGGTCCGTGAACCGATTGGCGTTTGTGGTCAGATCATTCCGTACGTTGCAACGACATCTCTGGGGCGCGAGTCACAGGTGTAAAGCCGTAGCCGTGTGAAACCCAAACGAAGGCAGACGCTGACTGTTCATACAAATCCTAGATGGAACTTTCCTCTCTCCATGGCCGCCTGGAAGCTGGGCCCTGCCCTTGCCTGTGGCAATACTGTCGTCTTGAAGCCCGCCGAGCAGACGCCCCTCTCAATTCTGTACCTGGCAAATCTCATTGTGGAAGCCGGCTTTCCTCCCGGTGTCGTGAACATTGTCAATGGCCACGGGGCCATCGCCGGCGCGGCTCTAGCCTCCCACCTGGACGTGGACAAGATCGCATTCACCGGCAGCACCGCCACAGCCAAGCACATCATGAAAATGGCCAGTGTGAACCTCAAGAACATTACCCTCGAGACAGGCGGCAAGAGTCCTCTGATTGTCTTTGATGACGCGGATCTCGAGCAAGCTGTCGAGTGGGCCCATATCGGCATCATGTACAACCAAGGCCAAATCTGCACCGCCACCTCCCGTGTTCTGGTCCAAGATACGATCTACGACAAGTTCCTGGCTGCATTCAAAGCCCAGGTGAAGAATGTCTCCAAAGTGGGTGATCCCTTTGATGAATCGACGTTCCAGGGCCCCCAAGTCACCCAGGCGCAATTCGATCGTATCATGTCTTACGTCGATATTGGCAAGTCCGAGAAAGCCACCCTCACCCTTGGCGGGAAACCATACAAGGGTGTTGGCGATGGCAAGGGATTCTTTGTCGAACCGACCATTTTCACCGATGTCTCCCCGAGCATGCGCATCTACCAGGAGGAGGTCTTTGGACCGTTTGTGGTCATTGCGCGCTTTTCCACGGAGGAACAGGCGATTGACATGGCCAACGATACCACGTATGGGTTGGGAAGTGCACTCTTCACGACAAATTTGACGCGCGCGCACCGTGTCGCTAAGAAGATTCAGGCGGGGATGGTCTGGATTAATTCCAGCAATGACAGTGACTGGAGGATTCCGTTTGGAGGTGTGAAGCAGAGCGGTATTGGTCGGGAGCTTGGTCAGGCGGGGCTGGACGCTTATTCGAATATTAAGGCGATCCACGTCAATATGAAATCGAAGTTGTAACAATAGAGCTTTCAATGGTGAATCTTGAAGAAATAGTCAAGCAAAATGTTCAGGTCTAATTTCGTTCATGCCGACTAACTATTCCAAATGATCAATTGCGATGTCAGTCGTCACTGGAAAAGACAAGCTAGTCTTCACTTCTCGGCGACCAATGTCGGAAAGTTGGAAAGATGAAAAAAAAAAGAGTGAATCGAAACAGAAGACCGTGTAGTCACGTGGTGGCTAGGGTTTTTGTGTGAGCACTGGACTGTGAACGGACTTTGACCAAGTCCTGATTTATCACGACGTCCATTCTTTCCCTCGCCCTCCGAAACGGTCCTGGTAACATTTTCACTAATGGACAACACCCGGCGAATCATTCGGATCAACTGTATTACATCATCATAATTGCCTCTCTGAGAACTTGATATATCGGTGGCGCACAAATCAATGAGAGCCGTGTTTGAAGTGATCACGTCAAACCCAAGCCTGCAGTGATTTGGATTGGTATTTCGAGGATCCCCCGATGATCTCCTAGCGGAGTCCAGTATGATTCGTACGCATTCAACGAGTGATAGACATATTGGCTAGAATATGAGATGCTCAGTCACTGTTGGAGAAATAGAGCAGCTCCCACAATTTACCTCCATACAAAAGGTACATCGATTTCAAGATGAAGGAGACTCGTGACCGAGAGCATTGTATCCTACTCGCTTGTTTATGGCACCAAGGGCAACGGATAATCAATTTGAGATAAACTTAGGATATTTGGCACATGTATCAAAGGCGTGAGACTCAAACACAGTAGGTATTTGAAATCAACTAGTTCCTTACTGTAGACCTTGATCCTAACCATGGACCGATCCAGAAGCAGAGAGTAGATTGACAGAACACTTCAACTGATCTACCTTATCAATTACTCACTCTCCACGTCTTGAGACATTCAATCGTCAAGGTCGGGAATTCAAATCATACCCATCCATCCGTTCCACCCGGCACACCCTATCCGACTTCGAACCCTTACTACAAGACCTCCCTGCAGCTAGTCATCCAACCCAGGGTCATCGACCTTTTCTGCAGGCCTCTAAGCTTGTCGTATTTCACCGATCACAACGCTCACACATACCTAAGTGACACAAGAAACACTAACCTATACCCATCTAGAAGTTATCTAAACATATGATGGCAAACCGTGACTGCTTGCACTCTATACTTCGTGGTAAATATATCTCATCGCCCGGTCCTCTCCCACCAGGAGTCACCCGCGGTCCAGTATAGGTAACCATGAGCAACATTTTCCCACGAGACCAAAAACACCAGCATAACCGTCGACACGACGGAACAGTCTCATGCACCTGCAGCCCCCTCTTGGACACTTGCCATATAGTGATTTCCTCTTGACTGTAGACGCAATGGCCTCGTGGTATAACATAGTGACATACCATATCCGACGAGAAAGAAAAGGTCTAAAAGTGCAACCAAAGAGGCATTTTCCAATCCCCAATATGGTGCTCAGTTTGCTCACACGTTCCGTTTCCCGCTACCCCAGAAACGGTCTAGAGCGCGCTATTTAATTGCGGCTGAGACGTTTGTTCGGCCAATTAAGGGAGGGAGCCCTGCTTCCGAGTGAGGTTTGGGGTTGCATAGATGGAGGATTTGTATTCGAGGTATTTGAGGGTGTATAAATTCCTGTAGATCAGTCACAGCTCTTCCACCTTCTTTTTTGTTTCCTCTTGGGCAATTTGGACTCGAAGTGAAAGGGAATCCTGAAAGAGCTCGTCGAGACGAGACGAAGAAAAGAAGTTATCCCACGAGAGACCGACCGACCTAGACGTGAAATTGCTCAAAACAACTTCAACTCTTCATTGCTTGCCAGTCGTGTCAAAGAGATTGGAAAGAGACACTCTTTACGACTTCCATCCACATCTCACACTCAAACAAAAAAGAGTCTGAAGTGAACGAACCCAATCTGTACCCCAAGACAGGTCTCAACTCTCTACTCTCAACATGCCACCCTCAACATCCCATCCCCACATCCAACGAAAAGACTCAACAACATCCAGCACCACCGGCACAACTAGCACAACCGCCACCAACAACCGCCACCGCTCCCACAAAGGCTGCTGGACCTGCAAACGCAAACGTATCCAATGCGACGAAGCACACCCCGCCTGCTCAAGATGCACTTCTCGCGGCGTCCTCTGCGAAGGTTACGAGATTCGACTTCGCTGGGGCGCAGGCATCGCGTCACGAGGCCGATTCAACGGAGCGGAAAAGCCCAGCGAGGAATCCATCCCGCCGCCGTCGAGGAGGAGGTGGGATTTGAGAGAGAAGAGTCGACGCGCGAGTGGAAGTGGATGTGGAGGGAACGAGATGAGTAAGAGTGGCAATGGACAGGGACAGCCGGTATTATTGGCGGTGGATACTGAGACAATATCGAGGTCGAGGTTGGAATCGGGCTCGGCTTCGTTTCCGTGTTTTGATCGGGCAGAGAAGGACAGAAGACGAGGTATGTATAAGATGTTGTACACTTTGTTGTGGGAGGGGCAGGCTTTTGCTCTTCAATCGGCAATGCCTCTCACGTTAGACTGAGAAGAAGCTGTCCTTGTTGACTTTGTCTTTTTGATCTTTTCTAGCCTCCTCATTCTCCGTCTCTCATCAAGAACAAGAACACTCACCCGACTCGTTACACTTTCTCTCCTATCCAGCCCAAATAACCCTATATAGCGAGCGCCGAACCGTCAATATTCTCAACGAGCCTGTAGGTGACTTTTCAGGCGACTTTCTCAACGTCACAAAACATTTCCAATTGCCTGTATCAACGAGGATAATCTCACAGTCCGCGACCGAACAACATCAACATCAACATCAACATCAACATCGATACCATCGGTGTCTGGAAGACCTTCAGCCAACACTGCACGTGGATGTGCATGCTACGAATCATCCTCCTAGTGCGTCTCTGGGCGGTGGCGGTGGAAGGCCCGGGATATTTGCTTGAGGGACGAGGTTCCGCTTTGAAGGCACCCCATGTTATTTCTGGTCTTGCTTTTTCAAAAGGGATGTTGAGGATACTGTTTTCGCGTCTTTGCGTTTTCTGTTTTCAATTTCATGCTTTTGAGCCCGGTTACGGAATGTCATGAGGTATGGACTGCGAGATTCGACTGCCAGATGCCTCTGTTGTCCTGGTGTCCTGTCTCTGGTCTGTCGTCTATGATGGACCTTGTGATCTTTTAGAAATGACGAGAGGTGTAAGGTATCTTTATTCCATTTGAGTCAGTGTAGGATGGAGTCACGAGTGGCGCTCGACCTCTCTCGAGCCAGACAAGAGAGGCCCGGGTTCCCAAGATCACCACCTACCTTGTGAACAGATCATATAATAAGAGGAGGGAATGTAATCGCCCTTTTGTCCTTTTCAAGTGGCCGGGGACGTTTGAAAAAAAAAAAAGATCCAAGGAATGAACCACATGGGTAGGTAGAGAGCCTCACCTGTAAGCTACAAGAAAATAATATGTGAGGGTGTGGCTATCAAATGCTTTCTACGACAGTCCCGTGTCAAATTAGAAGTCCAAGCGAGTCTTTCGATCTCGCAAAAGTACCTGATTGACTCACTCACTGAAGGGGTGCCGTGTGACCGTGTGACCGTGTGGCTATATCGAGGAGACTCCAGCTCGAGTTAATCATTTCATATCTCAAATGTGAAGTATTCGTGTACTCGTTGATTTCATTCAATCTGCCCAGTGCCCAAATAGGTGATAGATACAGTAAACCTTGATCAATGTTCAGTCACGACTCACCAGTGATCCACTGTCCAGACTCCAGTGTCCACTGCATGTGTGATTAAAGATGCATGAGCCCCCACACTTGCTCAACCCCGCAAACTCCCAAGTCCAAAGCAAGCAATCGTACACCAAGCCAGAATCGCCCTCATCTCTCGTGATGATAAGCCCCGGCCCCCTTGAAATTCGAATGGAGATGGTATAAATAATGATAGATATATCAAAAAAACAAACCATGAAAGAAATAGTCATCACCTCGTACACAGCTAGCGCCAGCACCATGATAAACATAGCACTTGGCGGATCACATCTCAGTTCCAAGAGACTTGGCGAAGCCTGTAAAAACACCTGATTAGCTCCATGTGCCGAAAGAAAGTGGACCAAAAACCGAATTGCTAAAAGCCTCGCAGACGCAAACTCGGAGCTCAAAACTTACAAAGCTTTCTCCGTCTTGGTCGACTCTCGCGCTTTCCGCATCTGTCGATCCGCCTTCTTCTGGTCAAACGGTCGGAGTAAATTGAAGTTGCACATCAGATCCGCCGAGACGGACATGCTGGCGCCACAATTGTCGAATTCCCCGCAGTACTGCAGAACCAATCATCAGCGTGCTGTTCCCCCAGCTCATCGGGTAGTGACGTCACCAATTCTCAGTTGCGGGCACGAAGAGTCGTAGATCTCTTGAAACAGAAAATGGGAATGAACCAAAAGTGGAAAGACCAAAGGAGTGAAAGTGGCAAGAGCCCAAGAGACGGATGAGATGGAGAAACTGACGTTTGGAGCGGAAAATATCGTGACTAACGACTTGTTACCAAAAAACTCATATCCCCCCTCGACCACCATATGCGATCGACAGACCAGGTCGAGATTGTGATGCTTCAAGAAATTGACAATCGGCTGCTTGCCAAAACACCAACTGACACCTCGGTCGTCATTCGGACCCCAGTCTCGAATATTCGCCGGGTCACTCCAGAGCAGATCATTCAATAGGCCGTACTCGGGGACTTCGACGGGCCGCGAGATCTTGCGGATATCATCCATGTCTGTCAGGTTAGGGGATAAGCCTCCGTGAACGCAAAAGATCTTTTCCGCGACGATCGCCGCAATGGGCAGACAGTTAAACACGTCGGTGAATGTCTTCCAGACTTTGATATTGCATCGACGCTTGCATTCGTCGTGGAAGCCGTAGATCCGGGTGATGTTTGCGCATTCGTGGTTGCCTCGGAGGATGAAGAAGTTTTCGGGATATTTGAGTTTGAAGCACAGCAACATCATCATGGTTTCGAGACTCTGCTTGCCGCGATCCACGTAGTCGCCCAGAAAGAGGTAATTGGTGGTGGGCGGGTAGCCACAGGTGTCGAAGAGACGTAGGAGGTCAGGGAATTGGCCGTGCAAGTCGCCGACAATTTGAATGGGAGCGTTCACTTCCAGTAAGATAGGCTGTGAGAGGAGGATGTTGCGTACGGATGAGCAGATCCCGGCAATCTCAACATTCGTCAAACAGAAGCTCTTGGAGGGTTTGGAGGAGCCCGCAGCGAGGAGGCGGGCAATCGCATCGTCGAGATCGACCGAGGACTTCATGTTTTGTCGATCTCTCACCGAGTCGTCCCAGATGATCGAGTCTAAATCAAAGGCGTTGCTCTTCTTCAAGATGGATACGGGGGGGTCCGTGACCACGGGCAAGGTCCGTGGCGGCGAGATGCTCATCGAGCGGCCCTGTTGAGGTGATTGCGGCGCACTTTCGACATGTTGTGGCGGACTGGCCTTGTCGGTCGGGGAGGTTGACAAACTCCGTGTGCCCGTAGAATGACCGTTGTCTTTGCTCGACCGGCGTAGATGCTGACCACTGCGCTTCAAGAGCGATAACCACGCCGAAGATTTGGGGGAGGTTGACTTGAAGGGGTTGCTGACCAGACTCGGACTGCGTGGGGTGCTGCAGGTGGAGGCCATTGTCTCGACTTGTCTTGGGAGCTCTTGGCTTCCTGCGACTCGGCAAGCTTTGATTTTTTTCTTTCTTCTTCTTCTTTTTCTTACTTTTTAATTGTTTATTTGCTGTTATCGTTCGTAGCAGAAGGTGGTAGTAAGGGTGATGGTGATGAGATGGTATAGACCCTGATGGGCGGTGCTGGGAATCAGTGTCACGAGAATTGACAATCAGACTAGAAAGGAGAGAGACTGAACACGATCGGACGGAAGCAGTGGGAGATGGGGGGGGGGGGGGGGGGAACACAAGGACTGTGAGACAGGTGAAGAGAGTGCAGTTGGGAGGATTGAACGTCAGACGAGGACTGTGGAATCGGAAATAACTTTTCAACACCAGAAGTGACCGACTCCAGGCCCTTTTAATCCGTCCAGGGTCCAACGAGCAGAGCGAGCAATGAGAGACGTTCATAGCAGAGAGCGAGAGAGAGAGGCAGACGTGAGTGGTGGAGCGGATCTCTGGCGTCAGCTACACTGAATCTGGCCATTCTCACTAATTCGAGCAATCGTTCAATTTGAATTTAGTTTAATTTAATTGTCCTTGGGCGGGGAGGGATCCAAATCCAAATGGGTTCAGTTGTCAAGGCTCACAATCGAAGGAGGGGCGACAGTTACTCAATTGGGCGGTACCAAGGATTAGTCCTACAGTACTGCCGCTACAGGGATTAATGTTACTCTACAGAAGCTCAGCGACTAGTAGGTCGGCCGTCGAGTAGTAAAGTAGTTTCAGGTGTCGGTGACTTATCCCACAGTGGTCTCGTAGGGACAGTTCGCGGTACACCTGACTTGAGGACGGTAGCGACTTGCCGAAGGCAAATCGACGATCGACATGGTCCCATGGGTGAGATTGACTGGAGGAGGAGAGACCATCGTATGATTGGGCGGAGGTTCCCTCTGGACGGCTTCACAGTCGAATCTTGAGTCACTCTCAGGGAGCATTGAGGGGATTCCATCCTATGACGGTCGTGAATGGGGTTTCCGCTCCTCCAGCGAGCTGCCGAAAGGGGATGTGCCAACCCTGCCAACATCCCGAGAAGGGGGAAGCTGTCCTGCACTTGGCTGCAGTGGAGGCAGTTGATGCACCGATACTTGGACGCACTGGCGAGAGTAGCCGAGCGTCAACGTCGGGTCCAGCCGATGAGAGAATGTCCGGGGAGGTTGGTTGGAAGAGGATGGACCGAGCGGGATTCTTCCTGGAGAGGGACCGCTCGTGACAGGCCTCGCGAGCCACAGTGGAAAAAGGGTATTTCAATGTATCCTCGGAGGAGGGAAAGAGAGACGCTTTTCGATTTTATGTTTGATATGTGTTTTCTCGGCCTGTTTTTTTTGCTTTTTCCAGGTTCCACGCTGTCAGCTGTTTATTCCTCTCAACTCTTGTCGCTGCGGAAGGAGGAGGAAGAACAGTCACGCTGGCCGGAAGCGGGGTTTTGGCTTTGGCTTCCAAGAGTCTAGTTTCCTTGGCATTCGCTTGGCAACAGCGAGGCCATCAAATGGGCCGATAAATTCACTCGAACTGTACGGCTGTACGGCTGTACAAGTCGTATAGCCCCCCTCCATGGAGGCTATACGATGGCACTCTGGCATTTGAAGATGGGGAGCATCTCATGGCACTCCGCCTGGGTTGACAATTACAGCATAGCAGGCACGAGACACGGTGCCATCGCAGGGCAGATGGTGTTCGACGGAGCAGATGGACTACCAACTGGACACAGACCACTCGATCGTCGATGATTGAGTGGCGATCGCCAAGTTCACGTGCCCATGTGGTGGTAATCATGACATGCCACTTCCTGAGGCTTGATCCTGCAAGTTGTGATCACCTCAACAACATTCACCAACCAATCTTCCACCCGACAAACATGATCGGAGATTCAGGTCCGATCTGCCCGTGTCCTTGTCGTGCTCGGTCGTGACTCGACCTCGCCTCCGCCGAGGGATGCCGGTGTGCCAATTTTTGCGCCATTGATCTTCTTATCTCACCCCAAGGGTGGGCGGATTTTCTGGTCCGTGGCAGCCTGACGGCCCCGATGCGATGATGACCGGGGCGGGACGCCCTTTCATCATCGACTCGGCTCAGCCTCGAAGCACCAGCACATCCGATGGGTGAGTGTAACCCCATACTCGTGTGGAGCCCTGCCGAGCTCTCCACAATCGAGTGTATCTCTCCCCAGTGATCGGCCACTTGCTCGTCTCCACTTGGATGCTCAAAGATGTCAAGGTGGAGACGATACCCAAAGACCAATCAGTGCAGAATCTGAGAGTGCAGACCCAATTTCTTCAGAAACAGAAGACTAAAGATCAGTCCTGCAGAGTGCAGAGTGCAGACTGCAAATTAATGGATCCGATGCCCCGGGGGTAGGACATGATCAATCAGTTAGAGGGAAGATTGACGAGATAATCCACCAGGTCCAGTAAGTACAGCGATGCCATGTATCCCTACTCTCCCACTGCCTAGCTCAGACCTGCCTGATGTCCCCTCAACCCTCACCATGAGGCCCAACAAGATAACGGTCGCGCCTAAGCGCAAAGCCCACCGGATCACTCCAGTTCCTCGAATAATTGACTTCTCTCCAAGAGACCTTGTCATCTGTGAGGAACTACATAGCTCGGACGAGTGAGATGATATGATTGATTTCGCCCCCCCCCCCCCCCCCTTCTTTTCCGTTCCCCTCGGGCCCCGCAGAGGTCGGACCCCGTGACCTCCATCGCGACCAGATAAGCGTGCAGATGCCGACGGCTGTACCGACTACGACTGGACGGGTAGGAGATGGGGATAGGAAAGAGGTCCACAGTACCAACGTTATCATTTCTATTGCTGCAGTACCACAGCACCTCAATAACATAACAGCCAACGGTCTCGAACAATAGCCATCGTCATGTGGTCTGGTCTCCGGTGCTGCTGTATCAGGTACGAAGTTACTCCCTTGAGCACCTCTATTTACCCTGGAACTCAGTCCCAGGGATTTGTACTCTCGCCTCCGATGGACTTCAGTTTGATGTAGGAGAGTCGTGTATGCCAGCGCATCGAAACACTTGTCCCACATTCCTTGAGACGCACGTCCTATACGCGAGTGACCCTATCCTTTTTCTTTCTCCAGAGGCAACGTGTTTCTGCAGTTTCCAGATTCTCAAAAGCTTTCATGGGACCGCAGGATGAGAGGATATTTCTCAAACGCGTTGTATAAAAAGAGCTACGTTCAACGCTGGTACTCACGCCCTTTCACTGTTTCATACCAGTGTCTCCTCCTAGGCTCCTTGTGGGTTTCGACTGAGCTATGGCCCCAACAACATTCCCCCACTGAATCATCCAAGCGGACGTAAGCGCCCTAAAGCATCAGCTCTAAACTACTACACGCAGTACTTTTACCTCGTCCAGAACGGGGATCACCGCCCCGTCCCGCCAAAACAATACCACCTTACTACACCCTTCCTAAGCCAACTCCACCAGGCAGCCGCCAAGCCGCCTTGGGTCGCAGGGTCCATGTGCGTGTAGGTGTAGACTTGGTGGGGACGGAGGCGGCCGAGACTCTTCAATGACAGCTGGAGGGCTGCATGGTCCTATCTACTTTAGTACGAGGGGGACACAGAAAATGTATAGTTTGTTCGTGGACTCTGCATGGAGAATTCACTCCGAGCAAGGGGGAGGGGGGTTTCAGTCGCTCGAGTATCGGCATACTACACTACCACTCTAGACTAATAAAATGGCGAAGATTCTCACATGAAGAGTTTCTGTTAATTCTACAAACACATCGGTATAGGGTCCAGAATCTTGTCGCTCTAAATCCTTGTCTCTATTGACGAGGATTATCTATTTCGCCGTATTCATCTAGCGGCCCCTTCAACCGGAGATCGTAGTCATGCAGTTTACAATGTTTTCGTGTTTGGCATGAAGATGTTGCCACATTGCCCGGTCAGAATTCAAGCTTCGGTGACCTTTTAGATCAGAGGAGGAACAATCAAAGCAGTACCACATATGGTAATGTGCATCAGTTGTTCCGAGGGGCCCGGGCCGTCCGATGCACGAAGCATGAGAACGGCGGAGATGCTCTATTGCCTCTTGTATATTGTAACTTTGGTCTTGATCATGGACGAGGCATTTGAAGGACGTCATTTGGAAATCTGTAGAGAATCTATTACCCGGTGGAATTTATCATAGTTCTTGCGGGATACTCAACGCAGCTTCAACTTCGTGGATTGCCGTGTGATACTCGATTCTCGATGCGCACTCCACTTCAAACTTGAATGGTCAAAAGAGCAGTGTCTTTCGCAGCAAATCACTCAGTGGTGACTGGGGAATAGCTCCTTCTCCATTCACAATGACGCAAGAAGATGCAACAGTCACGTCAGAGACCTTGGTGAGCGGCTTTTTCCGCCGAGGGCAACTCTCGGGTTCGAAATGTGTTCGTTGCCCCCATTGAGACGCCGCGGCCATTGCATTGCGCCCAGCTCGTTGGATTCCGTCCCGAGACAGTCGACTTATCACCAGCTTGGTGATGACTCGAGCGAAAAGTCCTGGTCCTTACCCCAGTCACACTGGATACATTTTCTGGAGATCTTGTCACTATCGCCGTATCGTATTTGATTTTATACCTCAAATATACATAGCTGGGGGCGTATTCTCGGTGATCCGTGACCTTTGCAGAGCTAGATGAATCACTCTCAGGTTTCCCAAAGAAGTCATGGGCCCGGCACCAGCTGCCATATCTGACAAAGAGCTAGAGGTTGGTCAAAGATACCGTCTAGGAAGTCTGGGCCTTTTCCGCAGAACAAATCAAGATCCATCTGTTCTTGCTGTATCATATAACCGCTATCTTGAATTGACCGTTGGGCCGTGGGAGCTCCAGAAGCTGCTTCGTAAATCAAATGTCTCGCGTCTTGATCATCCGGCAGTACAGCTGCTAGTGCCATGGCAATTCGCTTGGATTCCTTTAATTGAATGGACACAGTAAGGGCGTGTGATACTGGCCGTCGGATCCTGCGCTAGATCACTTTGAAGATTTCGTTTCAAGGATACAATTTGGTAATGGAAATTCCAATGTAATGAAGCAACAGCTAGTTTCAGCGCCTTTCAGTGTCTCATAATCTTTTAAATCCCGATAAATGAGATGTTATCGACCGTCGATGCATTAACCGGTAGAACCACGCAGAAAAGGAAATCGAGAGATACGGACGTCACCTTGCTTGCATACCTAGTCTCTCTGTCCATTTTGAGTCTAGCCACGCGCCCGAAAATCGTGCTCTCATTCACAACATGTAAGCTGTAGACACATTCTAAGAACTTTGGCTTTGGATTGTCGTCCGTCAGGGACACTAATCCTTGGACAATCTCCGCGTGTCTAAGAAGATGCAGGTGAGCGATTGCTGACATCAAAGTACACATGCCAGACGCTAGGTAACCTTCCATTGATTCGGCGCTATGAGACGAAGTATTCTGACACGGAAGCGATGGTCCAGTCTCAACTATAGAACATTTAGAAGCTATCTTCGCGATGAACGAGCGCTGACCCTCCTGCAGGTACTTCGGTCGTGATCTCAAAGCGCGTGCTGCGTTGACTGGCAGTGCCAGTCGTACATGTTCTATGGGGATATTCGGGGACCGACTATCCCCGGTATATGACATATGTACCAAGTATACCAATTTTGGGAGGACATGAAGAGGCCAGATCACCGAATCATTATGAAATTGATGAGAGAGGATAATTGAAACGTGGTGACGGGAGGTTAGGGGGGCTATGCTGTCGGTATCGGAGGGGGACCCCCGAGAAGCGAGAAGGATGATAGATGAGAAATAGATGGGCCATTTGATCAAAGCTATTGACTGGCAGAAACATCATCATGTTCATGTGCAGGTGGTGATAAATCCTAATCTCGAAATCAAAGAGAAGAGGGAATACCTGTAGAGGGCAGTTTGTATGGCATGTGATACTCTCAACTCACCGCAGTCCATAGCCTAGATAGAATCTCTCCCCCGTAGCAATCTCACACCTCATCTCTCTCACACATGGTGATGCTGCACCTATTGTGGCCACTTCCCAACAAGGACAAGGATATGAAAACTCTCAACTGGAAGCTGGCCCTAGCAGCTGACAGATTCCAGCATTCTTCAACCTACGACAGCCCCCTTGAAATAAACGAAAAAAAAAAACGTTGATTGTAATCAAGCTCAACGAGAGGGTATTGACTGTCTAGAGGACTGCCCAAAAGGCTCCCTGGAAGTCAAACGGGTCCGCTGATCAAATCAGGGTTTTTGACTATTACTTGATCAAGGTACCGCCGCACGGGGACATTGTGTGATGCATCGGCATTTACTAGCACACTACAAGAGGAGCGCACGAGACTTCGTAAGGCTCTAACGAACTCAGTGTTAAGTTCAATGTGCCGGTTCCCACACCTTATAGATCGAAAAATAACCCGTGAACAGATCGACATGATTAGAGAATAGTAATGGTAATCGACCACTGCTGCTTCCAGGATCCTTCTTGACCCCATGTTGATGCTCGACAGCCGCATTCCGGGGGCAGCCGATCCAGGCACGCGTCCCTCGATCAGATAAGGTGTGTCTTGGATTTTTCAAGGCAGCCACAAACTCAATCACGAACTACTGTACCAGTAAATATCACTCAGTGCGCTGTCGTTTGTTTCCCAACGGGCAGTTTTCAGATAACACTGACAGATCCCATCTACCGAATTCATCCTCTTCTTCCATGTACAAGTGTACATGCCTGTTGGTGCAGTTATCATCCAAAACACACGGACCCCCTACTTCCCCACGACTAACCCCAAAGGGGATGGCGGAGCGAGTGGATGCGCAACTGGTCAGATCGCGTGTCGAACACGATCAGATTTGCTGACTGCTGACTGCTGACTGCTGACATTCTGTGGTCTTCTCTTCTTCTTCTTCATGTCTTTGAATTGACTTTCGTTTGAGTGTATCTCCATGTCCATCGTGACATGACTGTCTCCGCGGCTCGTTGAAGGTTGCCCGCTGCTGTCCGACCCAACCCAATTCATCTATACAACATGTCAGCCACCACTCATTCAACGCCAATGACCTCCACCGATGGGGGCTCAACTCGCCAGCGCAAAGCCAGAACTTCAACGCATCCAACATCCAGCGGCCCAAATTCTTCCGAGACCTTAAAAAAGGAACATATACAGAGTCGGGTATGCTCCAAAAAGCCACGCTCATTCCTGCGGCGCCTCAAAAGACGCGCCATCAAACACACCTGGTCGATTCCGCTACTCCTCCTAGTCGCCATCGCTTCGCTGTACGCCCTCGACCCAACCGAGTCCAATATCGTCCACCACTTGATATTCCTCTCGTACGCGCAAGACCCGACGGATAGTGACAGCATCAGCTCCCTCGACAATAGGCCTGACCACAACAACCTCCCCATACAATATGGCAAAGGTCTCTGGGACATCGCGTTCGTCGCCTTCTACACCATCGTCCTCACATTTACCCGTGAATTCATCATGCAAGAGCTCCTCCGACCTCTCGCGCGCGCCTTAGGGATCAAGCGCGCCAAACAACTCCGCTTCATGGAACAAGCGTACACGGCCATTTACTTTGGCTTTTCAGGGCCCATGGGTCTCTATGTGATGCGCCGCACGCCAGTCTGGTACTTTCACACGCCCGGGATGTACGAGGGGTTTCCGCATCGAACACACGAGGCGGTGTTTAAATTCTACTATTTGTTCGAGGCGGCGTACTGGGCGCAGCAGGCGCTGGTGATGATATTGGGGATGGAGGCGCGCAGGAAGGATTTCAAAGAATTGGTGGCCCATCATATTGTCACCTTGGCGTTGATCGGACTGAGCTATCGGTTCCATTTCACGTATATTGGGATCGCGATCTACATCACCCATGATATCAGTGACTTTTTCCTCGCGGTGAGCCACCCCCCAACTTCACCTCATCATCCCCTTCCTCCACCTCCAGCCCCAGCTCCCTTACCCCCAAATTTGAAAAAAAAAAAAAAAATAAAATAAAATAAAACAGGTTCCCTTACTGATCAAACTCACACGCCGAACTAGATCTCCAAATCCTTCCACTACATCGACTCGGAACTCGTCATCCCCCTGTACGCCCTCAACGTAGCCACATGGATCTACTTACGCCACTACGTCAACCTCCGCATTCTCTACTCCATCCTGACCGAGTTCCGCACCGTCGGACCCTACGAGCTAGACTGGGAGACGCAGCAGTATAAATGCTGGATCTCGAATCTCATCACGTTTGCGCTTCTGGCGCTGCTGCAGAGTCTGAATCTGTTCTGGCTGTATTGTTTGATGAGGAGTGCGTGGAGGTTTGTGTCGACGGGGGAGAAGAAGGATGATAGGTCGGAGGAGGAAGGGGAGGAGGAGGTGCTTGTTCAAGAGAAGCTCGGTTCGGTTAATGCGAGGGAGGTCAGTCTTGTTGATGCCGCGGATGTGTGCATCGAGGTTGAGGAGGGTTGTCCGACAGGTGTGAGGGATTCGGAAGGTACCGATCGAACTGGGTCATGGTCATGATGTCTGAGTGTGATGGATCACACTGTGACTCCAATGTCGCAAATTGACGCGAACGAACCTACGTCTACGGTGTTTGGAGAGTTGGGTACGTCGTCCACACAAGAACGTGGTTCGTCCTTGCAAAACCCCATGTTCTAGACTAATTACCCGACTTCAAGTGATGATGCCTGTATGTACTTACTACTTACTCAGATACTATTTAATGTCTAATGAAAACCCGACGAAAGGATGATCTGCAACGGATTCGCTTTACTTGCACACTGCACGACAAAGCGTTGGATTTGCTCTCCACATTCAAGGAGGCTAGATTCTCAGGTTCATTTCGAGAAACTTTCCCCACATTCTCGATAAAGCAAGCCTGACCCCCGGAAAGGTGGTTCTCTCAAGCTAGATATCGAGAGAGGGTGATGTCTAATATCATTAAAGAGGCGAAAGACATGCGCGTGACCGATAGCGAGAAGCTATGCAGATGGTCTGGAAACTAGGGCGGCGCGAGAGAAATAAAGACAGCCAGATAGCAACGCAAGAAGGGAAGGAGAAACGCCAGAAGCCCATATGTACAAGCTGGTGGGATAGGAACTTGGAAAAAGGAATGAATAAGAAGCCCGACGCCAGTGTGCCGATGTATCCAAGAACGCCAAGTTTGTATGTGTCTCTCTCTTTCAACAAAGGAATGCGAAGCAAGAGGAGGAAAGAGTAGAGGGGGCTGGTAGGAGGAGCAGTAGGGGAGAAAAAAAAGGGGGGGCAAAGGTGGCCGAGGAAAAGGGAGAACCGAGGGGACTCGTCCCAGGACTGACTCGGGTGTGTGTATAGGTGAGGAAGAGGTAGATCGCGAAGTGAAGGATAGTGAGGCGGGTGATTAGGAGGACAGGGAGAGAAAAGATTCGATCAACGCGCAAGATTCTAGACTATACGCTCTTCGGAGTGAGGTTTCGTGTATGCTTGTGGTACGGACGTATCCGAGCCACTTGTTGAAACGGAAGGAAGTGTGGGCTGGGAAGAGCCCGTCAATCCTTGGTGTGGTGCTGGTGTGATATCGTCGTTGGAAGCCGATCGTGATGACGCGGGCTGCCACTCGTTCCCTTGCGAGACCGCATGACCGTCCTCAACCGCCAGATTCTTCTCCAAAGGTTCCAGTTCAGTGATCCGACGATCCTCGGTGAGGACGGTGGAGGATCGGTCTTGCGGCAGCGTGGTATATTTCACAGTGGGTTCTTTCAGGGTGATCACATTGTAGAACACCATCAGGAAGTAAACGAGGAGGGCGAGCATGAAGAGCGCATTGAGGATGAAGAAGATGACCTCCATAACACCGCTGACCAGCATGGGTAGGCCAAATACTTCAGTGAAGAAGAGGAAGAAGATGGCATTGAGGAAGTTGATGGCGGCGGTAGTGATGGCAAAGATATTGGCTGTCTTGCTCATGAACGGTCGAATCGCAGCTGTGGCGACGAGGAAGGCAATCTCAACAATCAGGAGCACAATGGCCTGGGCCAGAGGGCTCGACTGACCGAACGCGATGGTGGCTCCCTTGACTAAGGTGTAGAGGAACATCGGCACCATGAACCAGAAGGTACGTGCCCGGTAGTTCACATACAAAATGCCCCACCGCGTTAAGCAGACCGGGTCGGAGTAGAGCGTGTAGGCAGGGTCCTGTCGCAGTGTTCGAGAAAGTCGAGCACGCTGGAAGACCTTGAACATCGCCCAGCATAGAACCGCGGTCATGGTGAGCCACATGCAGATCGCCAAAACGATCTCTGCGGCGGAATCCTGATGAACAAGTTCCCACAGACCGAGGCAACACAGCTGAGAATATCCGAGAGCGGCCATCCAATAGAGATGACCACGCATAAAGTCCTTCCAATCTGACGTGTTTGTCACGGTCCGCTCCGGCTTCTCTCGCAAGGCAGTCTTCTTCAATCGGGGAAGGACCAGTTTGAGGGCCAGAACCACCAAGAGGAACACAACGGTCACAAAGTAGAAGAAGAGGTAACTCGTCATGAAAATGTTGGACGGTTCGATATTGATGCGAATCCCCACGCGCTCGATGCCCGAAACTTCGACTTCACCCCCATTTTTCGTCAAGTCGGTAGCCCGAGCGACCAGCGACCGGGCCACCATCGAACGCTTCTGCATAATCACCGAGTACTCATTCAATTGGGCCAGAATCTTGGACGGAGTACCGCCTGTGGAACGCTGGAACCATGTCGCGATTGTCTGCAAAGCCCGAGCACCCACCAACCCCATCGTCCACTGCCAGATTTGCGTCCATGATTGCACCAGCGGCCGATGCTTGATTGCCGTCAATCCCCAGATCGCTTGAATTTGCATAAAGCTGAGGAACAGCAAAGTACGGAAGGCGACATGACTTGCGAGATTGCCGCGGCCGAGAATCGACAAGACGACCGAGGTGAAAAGTCCAATGCCGATGAGAACGGCCATCGACCAGGCCACGCCCGCTTGATCCACCGTCACGCCATTGTTCACTTGGGCCTCCACACACGTCACCTTTTTGCCAGTATCGGAATTGATGATCTGTAATCGCACCACCGCGTCCAGGTCAGGCATAGTGTATGCGATACCTATATTGATCAAAGGGTGGGTAAACCCGTACCCCCTCCAGAGTCAGTCGCTGCGTCATTCTCAAGCAAGGGACGGATAGCTCGGCAAGACCCGAAAAGGGAAGTTAAAAGATGGGAACGCGGGAAAAATGGCTGCACCGACTGCACAGTGCATACCAGCCCGTGCGAGCTCGAGCGGTCGAGGACGCACGTGGACCAGCGAGAAAAATCAAAAGGGGAAAAGAAAAAAAAAAAAGAGAGAGAGAAAGAGAGATTAAAGGCAAAACGGATTGGCAAATGGACGGGGGGTTGTGCAACAACCGGGAGTCAGACTCACCTGGGATGATGGATAGATCAACTCCGTCAAGATTCAGCGGCACGTTGGTGATCTTCAAGGCCGTATCCTTCCGTAATGGACAGAGGGCGTCGACGTTCAAGGCACATGGGTTGAGGTTCTTCGTGGCAGCCTTGTACCCGTAGACGTAGAGAGCGATATCAATGTAGACATTGCCGGCGTAGTTGGCTTGCCCGTCGAAGCTCACCAGAGCACTATTGTTGCTGGGAGTGAAGACAATATCGAAGTGGTTGACCGAGATGATTCCGTCATTGGAACACGGGATGAGGGCGTGAGATTGTAATAACCGTTCCGCGGCCACGGGCGGAGCGAGACTGAAAGCGAAGACGCTCGCTGCCAGCCAGTGCGAGACCGAAAATCGCATGATCAGCTAGAGAACGGAGGCGGAGGGAAGGGGAGGGAGCGAGAGCAGAGGTCTGCAGCCCTGATGAGGGCGAAAGCGAAAGTGGGAGACGCTGGAAAGCTTGTGAGGGGATGGCGAAGATGGAGGAAGGAAGGTTGAACGTTGAGATTATGCGCAGAGTTGGAGATCGGCGGTAGTACGTTCACAGTTTGGGGGGGGGAGGGGCGGAAGATTTAGACTCGTCGGGCTGGGACAGGATTAGTTGGCGGAGTCGAATTATTGGGGGGCTGTCGACGACATGCATATGTAATAAATCATGGGGAAGGAGATAATCGAAAGAGGTGCCAGGCAGGGAACGTGGTCAAGAGAAGGGCCGCGTGAGGGGTTAGGCTGGGTTAAGGGGAGGAGTGTATGAGATCCACGCAGAGGGCAAAGGAGAGTAGCAGTCGTGAGGTCCACGACGCACAAGGCAACATCATAGATGGAGGGGGGATGTTGTGTCAGTATTACTGAGGTGTATTGCAGTATTGCACCAGGTTTTGGGGTTTGGCGACTGCAGGCTGAGCTGTCTGTTCCTAGCCTCTCAGCCCTGAAGCTAAGCGCTCAATACAAGAATACAAAGAGGATGGAGTTTGATGTATGTACATACAATTGTACATTAGGGACGAGCCTGAGTGTCCTGGTATCCGAGTATCCTCCGTATTTCATCGGCCAGGCTCCAGCAGACCACTCACGAGTCACGACTCACCAGATCTTGCGATGGTAATCATCGGTACAGCTGCTGAGCTGACGATGATTCATAGAATGGATCAGGACCATTGACCTGGCTTGGCCGTCTCGCGCGGATTCTTGAATTCTGCATTACCGAGTCCGTGATGTATGTACATGGTACTGAACATTGATTACGGCATCGACTGGCCAGCTTCCCGGTCCCCGGTGGCGCATCAACGCCGCAAGCAGACAAATGGAATCGCATGGGCCCTGGCTGGATCGGGTGTGGCGGAAGTCTGGTTGAGTTGGAGCGGCATGACCTCAGCACAAAGGAAAGTCAGTTGGGAAGAAAGCGCATTCACCTTTCATGCAACAGTCCCGATTCCCGACGCAGTTGTGTGAGGAGAGTCTAACCCTAAAAAGGAGCTTGCGAGGTGGAAGTCTCGGTAGGAATCCTCAAAGTCTGGTGGTAGCAGTAGTAGACTCATGTAGTAGTGGTATTTGCCGAGTCGGCATGCCACAGGAGACTCCGAGTCATGGGTAGAGTCGCTTTATCTGTATTCTCAGATGCTGTATATCGGTTCATGCTCTTCCAGTCTCCGTTCGGATGCATTCTCAGAGCGTCTGCGAGTCAGCGACCGTTCCAAGGTGCTTCCATTCATCTATTGTCTGCTGGTAGTCTGTACATCACCCGTCCGACTTCACCAATCAGTATTATGGAAGACTGCAAGAGTCCAGAGCCCAGAAGTCTTGATGGTTCACCAATAACAAACCCAATCTGTGGCAAACCGGTGGGAATGGTCTCGGCGGTCGAAGCTGTCTTTGAAAAGGGAGTCAATCTGAATCCAGCATACCACCATTGACCATACGGCATAGTCATACCGTACCGCATCACGCCCGGCTGTCTCTGGACCCACCGGCCCACTCAGGCGGCACTGCCACATAGTAATTTGCTCAAGTCAACAGCACCGGATGGTCGTGAATCATCACGTGATCCAAGTTCATCCTACAGTGCTGTCGGAGTCGTAGTGCTCCGAGTCAAGTGATACTATTCAGTATTCACTCCCTACTCCAGAACTGCTACTCTAGATAGTCCGAGCCATGAATCTCACTGCCAGTACCAGACGCAATCTCTTTCCCCTTCGAGCAGAGATCACTGGAGTCATGGTACGGTCGTATCGACCTGATCCATTCCACGGGGTTCAGGTCGTGCTTGATGGGTCCGGTCCTTCAATGTCACAGGCAGTTCAAATGGAAAGGGTCCCGGGGGTTCCTGACAGGTAGCTCCATCTGTCAGGAGAAAGCACTGCTTTCCCCCTTTAACTCGACCCAGACCGTCGCATGCTTTCCTATAGTGGTAATCTATGTTATACAAGAATTGAGCGCTAAGCGTTTAAAGCGACCCCTTTATGGATGATGGCTCATGTGTCACTGCAAATCAAAATGAGAAGTGGATCATGATTCGAGCGTCTGTGGAGTGTAGCTCAGTGATTATCTGCCATGCGTCCTCCAGTGAGTAGAGTGAGACACATGTTCATGAGATAAGATAACTGGCTATTGTATGTAATTCATCGCGGCCCCTGGGAGGCTGGGAGGCTGGGACAGGGTCACCTATGACCCTACAATCTGAATCATGTACAATTGGGTGTATATAGTCAAGCATTGTGGAATGTTGTATCGTATTTCTTTGTCTCGTTCGGGTAATCGGTATAACTGTCAGAAAGTCTGGGGTGCATTCACTTCATCACTCGAGCGGAACGAAGGTTACGTGATCGATCAATTAGCGGTCCCTCCAACCCTCATTTCTGGATGGAATACTCCCAGCCTGCTTCAATATGAGCTGCCAATCCTTGGCTCCAGGAAGACCGACCTCTCTGCTCCAGAAACGGCAACCTTCTCCCAGCTTGAACCTCTTGGACTGCGTCGTGGTGAGCTAATCAGAGCACATTTCCCAGTTTTCATGGCCTTCCCGAACTGCATTCTGCAAGCCACGGCGTGCAGGATGATGGAGCAGATCTAAAGGCTAAAATTTGCGTTCGTCGAGGCCAGTAGACTTTCAAGCGGTGGCCCGACCGGGGGCACAATGGGAAAAAAATGGCACTGCTGGATGCAAGAGGGGTTTAAGGCACAACAGCTGCGCAGCGACCTCGTGGACTACAACAGAAAACTCCGAGCACTACCCTTGACTGCTATGAACTCGTCAACAAGGTCAATCCATGATCCTACTAGTACAGTGACTCTATCCAAGGTTGTCTATGTCAGACGCCATGTGTTCATGCTGCAAGGTCACCAGATCTGATCGATATTCCCATGTTCCATAATACAGTAATACTGTACAAGATACAGTATGATACAATCCCCCCCCCCCCCCCCCCCTTTATCCGAGCTGATGTCATCTTCAGCATTACGCTAGACCGATCCACCCATCCATCCGTGGATCGGCGACGGCCACAGTCCACGGGTCCATACTACTACTGTCGCAGCATCAAAGGTGATTCGAAGGAACCATCCAGACAAAAACGACGATCTGTTCAAGAGGACGAAAGCAGTCGGGAGATAGGAGCCAAGGTGCGGAGCTCGACGCATCAGCTTTGTTACGGCACAAGTACATCGCACTTCCAGACTCCAATACCTCTACAACTACAAACCACGTTGTGCCTTCGAGGACGCACACTTCATGAGCATAGACTGCGTCACACTACAAATCCTTGATGCAAAGCGACCTTGATTGGAAAACCCTTCCCTGAAGTGTTTTTGTATTGTCGCATACTCTTGAAGAATGGTCTCACTCTAATGCCTCTGTTGATGAGCTGACAACGCAGAGTCGCAGACAATCACTAGTAAGTTGTAACTACCGGTTGATCTTTCGAGAACCCCTTCAAGCTGAGTAGAGTGTAGACTCAGTAGAATGACTAGAACGATAGGATCTCGCTTCCATCTTCAAGACTGGTAATGGATCAAATAAGTATTGAGTTGTACCTGCACAATACGGGATCCATACCGAACCACCGACTCGAAAAAAAAAAAAAAAAAAGGTCGACTCAACCGTTGGCGCCCGCGCACATCCGGTCTGGCAACCCCCTCAAGCCTCCGTGGACTCGCAATCTTCTCGTCTCCGGAAAGGACGGAGCCGAACGAGCCGCCAGGCCCAACCCAGCTTAGTCGCTGGGGGACGTGCAGTGAGCAGTCCAGCGCTTAATGGTTCCAGACCTGCCATTGGTGATGTCCCGGTCGATGTCTCTGCCTGACGCGGGCACCAAGAATCTTGGTCTTCGGTAGTTTGCATGGCAAAAGGTTCCGAGGGTTTAACTTGTCACTCATCAGGGAGTTAAGGACCATGGAGTCATGGGCGATATTAATAGATCCGGAAATCAACCTGTCTTGGTTCTCCTCACTTTTTCAAAGGCTGTCAATGTTAAACCTGTACTTGCACCGATTTTGTCTCTTGGCTGCTTTTGAACAAAAACACCAGAATCCTGTGTCGGCTCATCAATCAAGGGTCGGCCTGTCATAATGTCCCTGCGGCAGAGTGCGTCATGTCTTCCAATCTCTATCTCTGTCCTGGGTGGGATCGTGATACAATGCCAGTTTCCCCGATACACGTGGCCCTCTCCAACTCAAAGGCAAGTCACATGACCATGATCGTCGTGACACCGTAGACTTCCGGGAAAGATGTCATCGTACAGATCCATGGGTAATGTGGAAGGCTATTTCCTGGCATCCCTGCTGCATCAAGGTACGCTTCAACAGCCGCTGAGATCAACCTTGGGGGTCTGTGGTCCAACCAACCTTGAAGTGCGTATCAGGCCAACACGCAAGCCAAACATCATAGCCTCGGGCTCTGATTCAGGTTTATTCGTTGGAAGCGGCCAGGTCCGAGCCACCTTGGGGTTTTCATCGATGATGGATGGGTGTTAGGTGGTCTGCTCTTGGTATTGCTTCACATGGACTAGAGCTCATCCCAAAAAAATTGAAAGGACAGGGAAAGAAAAGAAAAGAAATCATCTCGTGGGGCAATAATGAGCCTCCGTGAGTAATAGTAGTTAGTAGTAGCTTAGTAGTTTACCGGTTACGCTAGAGCATCTTCCGAGTCCGACACGTGATTGTCACGGGAGCGAAGCGACGCCCTAGACGTGCACCTTTCACTTCCAGCAGAGTTCTGGATATTGGAGCAGCGATCGTTTACTCAAGGAAACCCGAGCTCATCACAGGTAATTCGCTTGAATCATGGAACCTCAAAGCACACGAAAAGCGCTCGATTACATACGCAAGTACTCCGTTCCAGCGACATCATTCCAGACATCTACTTCAAAGAAGACTCGGTCCGCTGGATAGGCCCCAGCGACTCGCCTGCAACATCGGACGGTCAGTGATCACCGCACATCTAAACACTCTTTCATCTCCTGTCGTAGGTACCGTCAAGACTGGGATCACTTGTCAACGATCAATCCGCAAACAGTCCGCATGGGCTCCAGCCGAGGATCCAGATCATCCCCCGGACCCCCAGTCCATCATCCAGTCCATCATCCAGTCCATCACCCAGTCCATCATCCAGTCCATCATCCAGTCCATCATCCAGTCACAGAACGTTCATCAGATAAATCCAAAGCTTGGCAGACTTTCCAGAGACGTAGTTATAGCCTCTTATAGACTGCTCTTGAATAATTGATCAACCGCTGGTGTTGTATCTATCAGTAGATAGCTCTTGCGAGGATGTTCTTGAGGATCTTTCCGTGGGTCTTCCAGAAATCGTCTTATTGTAGGTCTCGTTTGCATTTGTATAACGAGAGCCTGGTGTATGCCATCGAAACGAGACGCTAGGCGCTGGCGGGGAAGGGGAGAAGGGTGGATGGGACTGTAGGGTCCCCGGTGTGATTAAACGTTGAGACCTATTTCCAAAACCAAGGGATAGTGATACTGACCATCTCGGCGTAGATCAAACAGACGTGCACCTAGCTAGTGCGGAATCGTGAAATGAAGTCGTGGAATCGATAAATACCAGACTCTACAAGCGTCGACAACACGTCAGGGATGCAGATTGACTCATGATTGCATCAGTATCGCTATGCTAAAACACATCTCCCAACAACAATGTACAATCATGGCTGTTTTTTTATGTCCATTGAAACCCTACCAGGGGCCAAGAAACCCCCAGGGTGTGTGTATCAACAACTTCACTCCACTTTAGAACTTGACCTTGGAATACCGTCCGTGACTCGCTCATGAGAATCTCAGCCCTTGGCTGGGATCCCACGTCCCAGGCTGCCCTCTCCCTGGCATCGCAGAGGGTCCACTATTCGCACCTGGAGGAACACCAGCCGAGTCGAACCGGATCCCCATTTCAGGCGACCACATGCCGGGGGTCGGGACACTGGGCGGAGGGACCGCGGCCCGTACGGGCTGTGGCGCGGTCATGGGTGCGCCAGTGGCTCCCGAGGAACGCGATGCGTGCATTTGCACTGGCAATGGGCTGGGGATTTGATGTTGGGAAGGTGCCTGTGAGGATGCGTGCACTTGAGTATGAGGCTCTGGTTGGCCTGTGGATAATCCTGAGTATGAGGCTGAAGAAGGTTGGTGATGAGTGCCACCTGTCTGGGGAGATGCTTGATGTAGATGGGGTTGGGTGAGACGCAAGGAGGACATGGCGGCTACGTTCGAAATGTCCCTGCGATAGTTGGAATCCGAGTTAGTGGTCACGGCGACCTTCGCGTGCATGCTGTACAAAGGAAAAGTAACGACTGTGGAGAAAAAACGGTACGTACGCTTCCAACTGACTCGCCTCCATGCGACGCTGATGCACAAAGGCCTTTGCATCATCGCGAAATCTGCTCACGATCTTGGCAAGATCATTGTAGAATTTGCGACCAACCTCCAGGTTAGAAATAATCTCCTTATACTTCAAGTACCCATTCTCCAGTTCCTGCAGAGCGCTCTCGCGCTCCCGGGTAGAGGCGTCCCCAGTATGAGCACGATTGAAGGCTTGGTTAGCCTCGCGCACCTGCCGGGAGATCTGCTCTTGCTCCTGCCTCTCCTGTGCCAGCATCTCGTGGTCCGTATCATAGAGACGCAGGTGATCTTCAAACAAATCCTCGAATTGGCTGGCTTGGATGGCCTGCATGGGGAATTCCCGTTCAAGACGAGCGGTCTCCTTCAACAAAGCGGGATCTGCGGTTCGACAAATAGTTAGAAATTGAAGGCTCGCAAGCTGCTAGGGATCTAATCATCTAAAATGGATGTAGGGAAAGACATACGAATATCGTCCGCACGGGCCTTGTCCTTGAGAGCCTGGATGCGCCTGCGGCGGCGATTCTCCATCCGACTCACGTCGCTCAGGCAACTTCTCAATTTAGACGCCTCCCGTTCGACCTCGGGGGGAATCGATGCAGTGCGACTGCTTGGAACATAGGACTCAAGATCCCGATTCGTTCCTGTCAGAACACGGAGCACACCCTCGGAGTCGTGCAGCTTGCGCTCGACAAGGTCGTCGCTATTTTGGGCAGAGCTGAAGTAGCCACTGATCTCTTTCGAGGTGTTGTAGAGTTTAGACGCAGCTTCCTCAGACTTCGCGCGAGCCCAACGATCAGTGCCATACTTTCGTCTGGCGGCATCATCCTCGGCCTTTTCAGCCGCTAGTAGCTCAACGCCTTCATTGTATATCAGTCGGTCATTGTTCTTAACCTTCGCGGTGTCCTCCACTGAGCGTCTGAGGCGATTCAAACCGTCTTGTTGGCGCATCTCCTCTGCGTGAGAGATGACTGTTCCTGGTAGACCCAGGGGCTTCTCCAAAGCTTGCAATGACCCGGGCAAGTTCAAGGAGGTAAGAAGACTAGCGAACAAGTGTTAGTGTAGACTCAGTAACAGTACTTTGCAAGTTCAAAAGATCGGGCTTGACATACTCTCTCAGCTTGTCCGTCATAGACTCTAGTTCCCCAATAAGCGACTCATTAATAAGCCGGTCTCGGCGGTCCGAGTAAATGCTGGCCGCAATATGCACAGCGTAGGGCACCAATTTGGAGAACAAAGGCTGGCCCAGAGGGCCCTTGTCGCCTAGCATGGAAATGGCATCAGTCACCTGCGACGGTGCCTTGGGTGCAACCATGCTAGCCCGGTCCAGGCTCCTGAGCTCGGATTTTGGTGGGACTGGACTTAGATAGATGATATCGTTGTCTTTCTCCGCGCGCTTCAAATCCTCCGCAACACGACTTTTGAGCCCATTGAGATCACCGAGCACAGTCTTGCTGATCCATCGGGACTCCTTCAGCCCCTCGTTCACACAGTTCAGACTGTCGCGTAGTCGTGCTACCTCTTCTCCGTATTTGCGCTTCTCAAGACAGTCCAGCGACTGTCGATATTGTGCTGCAGCGGCAAAATGATGGTGCTTTGCAGTCATGTGATGAATCCACTCTGTGCTGATCGCATTTGACTTGACAGCAAAGTCACCAGCATCGGCGTAAAAATCAGAGACCTTGGCTGCCAACCGGGCGATCGACGCATCTTTGAGACCGTCCTTCACGGCTTTTTGCCAGAAACATTCCTGGCCCTGCGCAAGTAGGAGCTGCTCCAGACTTTGCAGTGTCATCTCATCCATGTCTTCAGGTGGCGACGATCGAAGATCGGGAATGATATCGGTTCGAAGGTGAGCCAAGACGCCAGCTGCTTGGCAAAGATAATTACAGGCTTGCTTCAAGCCGTCGGCGGTGGTTCGATTGAGCGCAAATGCAAGCTGAGAATACAGAGCCGCGAGATTGAAGAGAATGTTGGCCAGTTCGAATCGCAGATTGTTCTGGGTCACTTGAAACCGTCAACAACAGCCAGTACATCTCCGTTGGGTTGCAGGATTCGGATCTTCTGGAAACATACCTGGCTGCGCTGTGTTGAACCCTAGCGAAGGATACCATGAGAAGTCCACTCCCACCTAGTATCAAAGAGATCATCAGCACCAATCAATCGAATTCTCGTGTAGACCTTGGGCGTGGACATCGTCGTACATCAATTGGAAATTTTCCCCCGAGCCATTTTAGTTGGGCCGCATAGGTCACCAGTCGGCTAATTCCACTGATATGCGGCTCTTGAACATGGATAGCTTCGCTTCGTAGCCGATCTATGATCATCAGATCGTCTGTGAACATATCAGGGCGTTGGTCATATTTAGACGAAATATACTGCGTAATCGCATCGGCCAACGAAACGGAGTGAGACCGCCGAAACGGGAGCTGTAGGATATTACTGGACCGCGGGTTGTCATTCTCAGCTCATCGCCAGGGAATTTCGGACAAGTCTTTCTAGCAGAGAACTCACGATGTCATTTTCAATGTTGGTGGGGTCGAAGAGAAAAGGGTGAGGGGTTGGATAAGATTGCCCGAGCAAAAAGCGAGTGCTCTTTTGTTGACTCGGAGACGCTGCGGGCAGCCCCCGCTGGGCAACAGGAATGACGTGTTGACAGCCTGAGGCAGCCAGACACATATATCTAATTTCAGTCAATCATGCTGCAGATACGACAATACTGCTTAGCCAGTAGGCGCCTAAGCACATCAGCGATAGCTACAGACCTCAAACAGAATACTAGGTTCTTGCTAAAAAGAAGGTCTCATCTAAGAGGCTCGTCCCATTCTCATATTTGCTGATGAGCGTTGCAAGTTCGCCCGGGAGGTATTTACTTGAACAGGAAAAAACGCCAAACGCTGGACACCGAGCCCTAACTATGCAAGGCCAAATTTGGCCACTCCATTTTCATGGGTTGCTAACTAAATACCCCTCAACCCGACGCCCCAGGAGCCGTCCAACATGATCTTTAGTTGGGTAGCTCATCAATTTGAGCCTTGATATACTCGAAGAGACTAAGAAGGATCATGTTGTTGACCCCTGTTCGGACCAGGATGATGGAGATGCCCTTGTACATGCTGGACTTGGCGACCGCTACCGAGGCTTCGCCAATCTCCTTTGTCTTTCCCAGCAGCACACTCTGGGCTCGAGTCTTTCGGGTGTCGAGGGGGTACGTCTGTAAGGTAGTCCAATTTGATCATGTTAGCCCTCCGTCACTTTGCGTTCTCTGTTAATCTCTATCGCGCGGGAAGTGCGAGGGAAGTGCGAGGGAAGTGCGAGGGAAGTGCGAGGGAAGTGCGAGGGAAGTACGAGGGAAGTGCGAGGGAAGTACGAGGGAAGTGAGAGGGAAGTGAGCGGGGGATGACGGGGAGGTGAACGGGGGGTGACCGGGAATTGAGCGCAAAGTAAGTGAAAAATACGTACAGCAAACCATGGGAGTGTGCTACAAATGGCGCCAGCAATAGCGGGTGCGCCAAGGGGAGATTGGTCAGAGCCCATCTCTTTCGCGGCCACCTGCTTCACGGTCTCGTAGATCCCGAAGTACATGGCTGTGCCCACCGTATCACGCAAAGCGTGAAGGCGGAAGCCAGTGTACAGACCGCGGAAACCGTGTCGCTGGACGATCTGCTTGGCAGCCTCGATCGTGCCGATGCGGGGTTTTCGTCTGAGAGATGGGTCGTGAGCCGCACCCGGTGACGCCAGAGCTCGGTTGGATACCAGCACAGATGTCTGGACCACGTTCTTGGCGAGCTCAAAGGGGCCTGCGATATATGTCAGCGGATCATCAGAGTAAAGCTAGAAGACCCTTATATAGGAACTGATCTTACATGCGATAGGAGCTGCTACCAGTCCGGCAAAGCCACCAGCAAGGGAGTATGTCATCACTCCAAGCAAAGTAGGACCTCTAGATGACTTCTCCATCTCAGCCAGTGGAGAAGTACCGGTGACACGCTTGACGATATCGGCAATGCCCTCTTTAGCATAGTTGTAAGACGTGAAGTTCAGTACCCGTACTGCGGTCACGCTAGCTAGCGGAGGGAGGGCACCTGGCTCATAACATGCATTAGTCTTGCGATTGACACGGAGCACATATATGTCAATCTGGGCAACACCCCTTTCATTCGAGCGAAAGGGTTTGAGATGAGAAATGGGCCAACGAAACCTACCCGCCACATAGCCACGGGGTCCTTCGGATCGCCAAAGGTATCGGGCACATTGAAAGATGTTCTTGAAATTGTGTCTATAGCGTCAATTAGTTCGCTTGTTCAGAGGGGAAAATAAGCCTTTTCAATATCAGGACGGATGCTTACGTTTGCATGCGAGTCTTGACATTTTCAAGAGGAGTCTGTGGGGAAGCGGCAAGTCAGTATCAGTCTTTGAAGTACGTTGCCGCTGGATGCATCAAAAGCTTAAGACCTCAACATACCACCGCTAAGGTTGCGCAGACAGTAGAAACTGCCGAAGCAACCTGAGTTTTGTATTTCTTGAAAAGCTTGTTGCGAGTTGATTCATCCATGATCCAGGCGTTGCTGGTTGGTATGATCGGGGGAGCGGAGTTGGGAGTTGGGGGAAAAGGAGCATGTTCAGTTCGTTTACCAACAGTCATCCCTTAAATATGATCCATGAAACGTAATATAAAAATCAGATGAGTGGACGAGGCGGCTCCTCGTCAGTATAATTTCAGTACGCTGAGCGTGCCGGCCACTCACGTCGCGGGATGGCGTTTGATTCTGTGGTCGTGTGTGTCGCCGTATGTTTGGCGCGGCGCCGAGAGATACTGGAACAGCACGACTAATCCTCGCCGAGAGGTTCAAGTAGACGATTCCGGAAGAGCGAAGGATATGTGAGAACGCAAACCGGCCTCTCTCGCGAAGCAATCCGGAGCAGACTGTTCGGCGTCCCGCAATCCACCATCTATTGACCCGGCGGTCAAGATTGCACAGCTTTGACAATTCCTTCCTCTTCGTGCTTGTGAGATGATATTGCCCAAGTGATGGAGATAATGCGATATTGGATCCGTGGCTGACGATTCGACAGTGCGACGAGTTCTTGCGAGGCAGATCAATCGATCCACAAGGCGTTCGGCTTTGAAGATCGGGCGCCGGCTACGGCAGATAGATCGGAACTCGCCCCGCGTTGATGGTCGCAGAAAGCAATGCGCAAGGACAATTGTTCACTATGTTCAAGGATATACAAATCGAGTTGAAGGACAGCCCCAAGGCTCCTGTGCCAGACAGAAGAGATTCGTTTGATTGAGGTCGATTGAACGGCGACGAAGATGGTCTCCTTTGCAGAGGGAGGGTCATTGATGATCGAAAAGAAGCTGGAAAGCCGATCGTTAGCGTCTGACTCGGCGCATCAAGTGGTCCGATCTGCTCCGTGACCCACTCAACTGCAGAAGCAGCACCCGCAAAGTGTTTTCTCACTTGAACCCATTCGATATCCAGTAACCTGATTTCCCTTGCTATAAGACGCCCAATCACCCACTCGTTCAGAGTCGATGAGAGAGAGGGAGAGAGGAAAAGAGGAGCTCCCGATGGCATGTGGACCGAGCTTAACAGACAGTCTCGAACGGGTTTAGGGTCAAACCCAGTGACGTCGTCCTGGATTTGGGCTGGGCGACCCCACCAAATCTCGACACAGCGCTGTCCAACTGCTACCTTATCCCTATTCCTACTATGGCTGGTCCAGGATCGATCGCTCTGGGCCAGGTTTGGGGGTATTGCTGTTCGATCGGTGATTTGGGCAGGGAAAAGGTGCAAGGCAGGGCTTCTCTCGTCTGAGCCACCACTTTTTAGCTTCCTTCAACCCTATTCCTTCCTGCGACGCTCATCTTGCTCCCGTGCTCATGCCCAAAAGAGAGCGCGTGAGAATTGTACATGAGGAATATACACTTTCGCTCGGTCGCATGCCGCAACGGTAACCGGTTTTGGATGTGTACTCGACGACCAGCCAAACAAAAGTCGAATCAGTCGGTTCATCAGGTAATAAGCTGCAGCTTGCAAAGCACCAACAGCACCGACGACAAAATGATCTCTAGCCGAAAAGAGGAGCACACAGCAGAGTACTGGCTCTAGCCCCGCTACCTTGAGCAGCGATTGCCGGTCAAGACAAGATTTGCAAGCCCATGGGCCGTACAGAAGCCAGTTGTTTCACCAGAGCTTTCGAGAGTTAGAGTGTTTTCTGTGACGACGCAGTGGGAGGACAGTCCTCCGACCATGCAATCGGAGACGAACGAGCAGGATAGCAAACCACGGCGCAGGATCGACCTTCGGAGTCGGGGTAAGCCGCCTGCCAATTACCACGAGTATGTACGGCTGCCGAGCTACAAACCCTTCCAGAGTAACGGCCCGGCATGGATTAGCAAAGAATGCCTCTCTGGAAGGTACGACGGCGCAGGCCCAAGCTGCTTCATTTAGATCTGAAAGGCAGCCTCTACCTAACGTAGGAGCAGGTAGTTGACAACATAATACTAGATAGTCTGCAGAAAATACAAACTAGACACTGAACACAGCACAGTGCCCGTCAAAACGAACTGTATCTCCTTGGCGAACTTAATGAAGCCTCAAATCCTGTGGTTCTCTCGGTACACCAGTAAGCTGGCATGGATGCATTACCAGCGATGCTAGCTTGAGGGGGTTAGCCACATCGATGATTCATCATCGATCCTTCTGGACTCCAAGGCCGTTCTTTGAGTCCTTCGCTACTGATTCTTAATAGAGCATGTGCTACCGTACTTCATCTAAGTGCATTTGCGCGCGATCGAAAGACTTCACGTACGACTTAGAGAGCAGCAAATACTGAACCCCCCGAAAACCGGAAACATGGGATGCGGGCTAACATTTGGAGTGTATACGCCGATCGCTCGAGTCCCAAGTCAGACAAAACTGTAGCTTATGCATTTCCGTGAGGAAGCAGGCCTCGAGTACATGAGGTTGAACACGCCGAGATCAACATGATTCATGCCGGCGACTCGGCCGCTGACACGTGCATGACCAACCGCTGTGTTTTATTGCGCCTATCCAGGGTCTGGGAGTAGGTACGTACAAAGCTGACTCCTACCCAGTGTTCGGCCAAGTAACCTTCAAGAATTATATCTTCAGTAAGAGGTGCGACTCCCCCATCTTAGGGATAACCGTACCCTTATGCACGGCGCTAGCTGTTGTGCAACATGAGAAAGAATGAAGAATAGGGAGTTTCAGCCCCCTCGGGACTGTCTTCCTCGGGACCTCGGTCCTCCCCGCAAAATCTCCACATCTGCTTGAGCCTTTTCCCCCCACTCGTGGCATGAATTAGACCCCCTTCCGGAAGCAACGCGGCTTTAAAGACTCCCCAGACAATATACGTTTGACTCTGCGACTACCACGCCGCGGACCTTCAAGTCTCTTTTTCATTCTCAGTCTTCTCTATCATTTCTCACCAGATATCCATCATGGTCAAGAAGCAGACAAGTCCCGCCTACGTCCTGGGCGTGGGCATGACCAAGTTCATCAAACCGCGCGGCAAGGTCGACTACAATGAGCTTGGATACGAGGCCGGCATCAAGGCGATGCTCGACGCCAAGATCACTTACGATGATGTGGATCAGGGTGTAGCCTGCTATGTGTATGGTGACAGCACCTGCGGTCAACGCGTCTTCTACCAGTTTGGCTTGACCAATATTCCCATTTATAATGTGAACAACAACTGTTCCACAGGGAGCACGGGACTGGCCATGGCCCGCACGATGGTCTCGCATGGAGCAGCCGACTGTGTTCTTGTGGTGGGCTTTGAAAAGATGAACCCGGGTAGTTTGCAATCCATGTACAACGACCGTGCCAACCCTACCGGTCTCTTCGGTACCATGATGGCCGAGACTCGCGGTGTCACCAACGCTCCCGGGGCTGCTCAGATGTTTGGCAATGCCGGTCGGGAATATAAGGAGAAGTACGTTCAATCCAAGTTTGCACTGCCACGTGTATTTGATGTAGCATACTGATCCGATCTTGTCTTTCTTACAGATACGGTGCCACAAACGAGGACTTTGCCGAGATCGCCCGCATCAACCATGAACACTCCAAACGCAACCCGTACTCGCAATTCCAGGATGAATATACTTTGGAACAGATCATGAAGGCGCCCATGATTCATGAGCCCCTGACGAAACTGCAATGTTGCCCAACGTCCGACGGTGGTGCTGCTGCTGTCGTTGTCTCGCAAGAGTTCCTCGACGCCCGCCCACATCTGAAGTCTCAAGCCATTATCATCGCTGGCCAATGTCTTGCAACCGATTCCGACTCGGTCTATAGCAAGAGTTCCATCGACTTGATGGGTTTCGGTATGAGCCGCCACGCCGCACGCACCGCTGCGGCCGAGGCTGGAATCAATATCAAAGATGTCAAGGTCTGCGAATTGCACGATTGCTTCTCGGCGAACGAGATGATCACTATCGATGCGTTGGAGCTGTGTGAGCCCGGCAAAGCTCACGAGATGGTTCGCCGTGGGGACATCACTTACGGTGGTAAGATGGTCATCAACCCGTCCGGCGGGTTGATCTCCAAGGGTCATCCCCTTGGCGCGACTGGCATTGCCCAATGTGCAGAGCTAGTCTGGCACCTACGTGGATGGGCGAACAACCGCCTGGTCAAGGGTACTGATGCTGCCCTGCAGCATAACCTGGGTCTTGGCGGTGCCGTTGTGGTGACAGTGTACAAGCGCGCTGATGGCAAGGCGGCAGAGGCTGTGCCTTCAGACGCTGTGGGTAAGATCAACGGTCTTGGTTATAACCCTGCGGTAGAGGCTCGGGGATTCACGGCCGAGCAGGCAAAGTCGGTTGTCAGCAAGAAGCACAGCAGCGACTGGGCCGTGGCGGACGCCCAAGAGCGTGTCCTTGCACGATTCTGAGGGTGGAGATGTGTCTGAAGAATTCCTTTAAAAATTGTATCTACCGCATCATGCATATCGTCCGAGATTATGAATCTGTTGATTTCAGATGGTATCATGCGCCAGGCACCAGGCCCGTGTAAGAAAAGCCAGATTCTCGTAATGAAAGTGCCACCTTTGATCGGATCATCCATGGGTGGCTTCCCAATTGTCAGGCAGTTGAAAGTTCTTCGGTATCTTATACTGACCAAGACATGTCTCGGGCCCGGGACACCTCAGATCGCACCGGCCATACAAACGGCAATAGCACTCCTTGGCGTCAGGGCACGCGTCACGATTCAATCTTTCCAGGTCCACCATGCCGTTCGCATCCGGCTTTGCGAACAAGATATGCCACATATAGGACAGTATACGTCCAGCGACCTTGTCATTCGAAGGCGCAGCCGGGTCATTCCTCGACCGCATCTTCCCACCGTCAGCGCCGCCGCTTCCATCTAGCAACCATTGCCTAAGCGCGATGTACTCATCCCGCGTATGCTGCCATATACGCTCTCTCGAAACCACAAACTGGGCACAGCACTGCGCACGTATCTTCTCCGTCCGTCCGAGTTCTGTCCTCCCAGTCAACGACCCCTCCTTGATGCCCGGACTGCCCCCTCCAAATATGGCCGTCAACGCCCGCGGTAAGCCCACGTCAGACGCAGTTCGCGCACTCCAGGGCGATGTGATTGACTGGAGCTGAAGCTCCAGCGAGCCCTGCGCCGGCGCAGACGCAAGGCAGGTACTCGTGCTCCAGTCACAGCGCAGATTATGATACCCAGACCCTGCCTCCAACGCTCGTTCAATGTTCAACGCCGCCAGCAGGGCCTTGTTGTCATAGTCCGGCGCATCGTTGTGCCACGCCCATCGTGAACCGTGCACGAAGACAGCGCCTGCAGCGGGAATATTCTCGTAGTTGTCGATCAGGAATGTCAGGTAGGCCATTGCCTCGTGGCCGCGGTTCGCAGGGACCTGTAGAGTCTCGGATGGTTTCTCGTTGGCACGGGGTCCGTCCACATCGTACAGACAGATGTGATAGCGATCTTGAAGCGAGGTGAGCCAGGATGTCTCACCGTCGGCGTCGACGTGGGATACGATCAGGGCTGGCTTCTTGCTTTTGGCAAGATGCGGGCATTTTCCGCGCACCGGGGGTAAGGAGGGTGCAGTTGTTCGATACCGGACTTTGGTCCAGGCAAAGGTCGGCGGCGAGCTTGAGGGTCGGTTTACGTAGAGGATCAGGAAGAAGACAATCAGGAAAAAGACCAGTTGGGTCAGCGATCGGGCGACTTTGCGCGGCATGGTCGCTGCGACGCTACGAGGATGCTAACTGGGGGAAAACTCCAATGGAATATGGATGGGTTTTGGAGGAGGACTGCCGATTTCCGACTCAGCTTCCGCCGGGTTCCTGGAAACTTTCAAACAGACCGGCATTGAAGCCGAACCACTGTATGCCGCAATAAGGTATGGTTCCACACATGCAGATGTTCTGCGAAATATCAGACCCTACACCCGACATACTCAGACTCCGTTCTGGTTCTTGAGAACCTCCATGTCATAATGAATATGAATAACAATCTAGCCTGTCAGCGATCAAACGTCTCAATCGAGCGGTACATAGATCCAAGCGCAATGCCAAGTACCCGGGCTAACCCCATTGAGCCAAGGGCACGTGGCCACAGCTCCCAAGTAAGCCTGTAAAATTCCGTTCTTTTTTGCCATCGGCGGCTCCACCGATTCTGCGCCATTTTTATGGTCTGCGCCGGGAAGTGACGGAATCCACGGGACTACGGGACTACGGGACTACGGGAGTCACGCCGCCCACCCAAAGCAAGTAGGTAAGCAACCGTCTTCTGCCTCAGGCACCCAGAGTGCCCAGATCTGGGCGTTCGAGGGTCCATGGGAGAAGGGTTGGTCTGCCAGATTACTTGAGTCACTTATCAACCGGTGGGCAAATGCGGGGTGGGTGTACGATTCTCTCCATGCAACCAGCTGAGGCAATATAACCCCCTCCTCCTAACCACCATCAGTCGCCGAAGGAGTTATCTGGCCATTCTGGAGACAAGCTCAAGGCTGCCGGCTGTCTTTCTCCCATCTCATCCAGTCCCAAATGGCAGAGGACTCTGCCAGCTTCAGCGATCCTAATGCGCTCAGTCCCCTCATCTGCCGGACAGAAAGTGACCCGCGCCCGGTAGTGGTGATGACCTGCGGAATTGCAGGTATGTGACTAGCTGATGCAAACGCACGCGATGGGTCGATTCGTCGGCGCGCGCTGCCCTTCGTACGGGAAAGGGGTCTGACGTCTGCGAAACCGCCGCAACAGGGTCGGGCAAATCATCTATTTCGAAGTGGATTCAGTCAAATCATCCATCCTTTCAACGCCTCTCCATCGACTCCTATATCTACAGCCATCACGGTCTCTACGGGGTAGATTTTCCGAAAGAAAAATACAACGACTATCAAGAAGAAGCCGCCACAGCGTTGCGCAGTGAACTCGCGCAGCTGGTGCAACAAGGATCCCGGGACGCCATTCTCGACTTCGCATTCGCCTTCCAAGAGACTCGCGATGAGTGGAAAGATCTGATCGAGGAATCAGGCGGGCGCTGGGTGCTCGTCTACCTGGACGTGGAACCGGACGAGTTGCGGCGTCGCGTGCGGGCCCGGAATCAGCTCGCGGTGAAGGATGGCGATTCGGCATTCTTGGTCACGGAAGAGACGCTGGAGAGCTTCATTCGCGGCTTTGAGAGGCCGATCGGGGAGGGCGAGGTCGTCTTATGTCTTAATGATTTATGAAGTTGGCATTCTGAAAGCGCTCATTCGGGTGATTCGGGATTTTAGATTTTTCTGGTCTTTTTGTCTTTTCGGAGATGGGAGTTGCACTTTTGAAATCGGTCATGATTATATGCAGCCTTCTTGAGCCTGATTTTCAACTTTAATCGACAGTGGCATACAACATCCAGCAGGTTTTGGGCCTCCCCCGATCCTGTTGCCCTCTACCCAAGCTTTTGAGTGACCTCTGTGTTAGGTGAGGTGTTGAAGTGGAGAGTTTTGAGCAAACGAAATCTCTATCGAGAAATCGAAGAAATCGAAGAGATCATTCTTGTAGTGGTGACGGAGGATTTATTGCGCCCCGCCATATTTAGTAGCGACCACAGCAGATGTTTCTTTACGGATCCTCGTTACAAAATATTTGACAAGTGAGATGCGAACGGAAACAGCCTGCCTCTTCGGTATCTTTAGCATTCGCTTCAGTATCGCCATATTGAAGGTGCCTGTAATTGTTCAAAGTAACCTGGCCTTGCTTGTCCATGGATATTCGGGAAATGCCGCCAACGATGAATATGTTTGGCGGTTGACTGGATGAAGCCTGCCTGAGACTCGGATACGTAGAGTGCACGAGAGTGCTGGTCAAACTTGAAACAGCTCGTGGTAAACTTGACAGGTTTATGTGTTCTGAGCTCTTCAAAGAAATCACGCTTGTCAGCTGTCGATCGCTTTCAACTATTTCCATCTGGGACGCTATGCCCGGAACATCGACGACCTTAATCCTTGAGCTGAGCTATAATGGCCGTACTGATTTCAATCGGGTCGATGACGGGATATATTTCGTACAACACCAGATACGCCGCAGGCAGTCTAATAGAATCCAGTATCCACCGCGTCCGTTAGTCAACACGAAGGACTCGGTGAGACAGCTACTTGCAATCATGAAGCACATTGACTAATGAGAATATAAGATCCGCAAACTGACAAAGTAACTCTGTACTTGTAGAGCCTCAATGTCAGGGCAGACGACGACTCGTCGATGGAAGCCGGTGGGGAAAGCTTCAGCGGCCACGTGACTGTGACCTGACATAAGCAAACATGAATTGGCGGGAGAATAAAAATCCCCGCAGCGCGTGTCCGCGAGGTTTTTCCTTTCTTCAACATATTCACGGTCTCCAACATACCCTTGTGCTTGGACTCAATTCCATCCGCAAATTTCAGAGTGAGACCCAGACCGATGCATGCTCGTTCTAATCCCGCCGTCTGCCTTTACGGTTGGTTTACCAACTTCAGTCGAGACGAACGGGTTCGCTTTTGAGCTCACATTTTGAGTCAGTCATGGCTGAGGCTTCGATTCTCTCGCAAGGGGGGCACAGGCACCTTTTGTTCTCCGCTTGAAAGCATGGCAAAGCACTGATGTTGATCTGTGTCACGAGTGCCTATGTCGGCAGTTGCTGGTCATTGCAAGCTCGTTTCTTGCCGGAATGCCACGATCAAATCATGAAAAATAATGTGTTTTCATGCGATCGATGGCACCGACAAGTCGCCCGGCAGAATTCCTGCATCACAATCGAGTACTAACAGACATAGGTCACTATCCCTTACCCTCGTAGAACTACACTGGCAGTCACTTCCTGATGCCTGATCCTCTTCCATCCCTGGCACTTTCGAAGTCTCGTCTCCTTCAGCTCTCCATGATATTCGAGGTCAAATTTGTGCCGATAGTGAGCTTTCACAGATCGACAAATGTCATTCTGGAAACTCCCTCGTGTTGCGTCCGCTTCTCTATATGGGGCTGTGCGTGTCAAAGTAGGGAGATACATTCCTTACTTGTTTAATCCATAATCTTTTACCCCTAGCCATGCACTCTTTAGGAGCAAAGAAATATGAAACATTTTGGAAAATTTATCATGATCATCATCATCTGCGAAACGCGCGTCCGTTACTTCTCCTTCGTAAAATCCATGCGGTTCAACAATTGTCTCCGTAACTCAGTCGTGAGCCCTCAGATTGCCCAGCGCTCTTGCTATTTGCCTTCTTGTTACCTGAGTAAATAGCAACATACCTACCTACTACACTAACTAGTAGTTGTTCAACAACCTTCCTTTACGGAAGCTAATGTCAGATCAACACTATTTCACTCAGCGGTTACGTACGGAAGGAGAATGAATTCGCATTCTGTTGCCCAAATAGAAGCACCAGGACGATGCTCAATGCCTATCACTCGACAAGGGGAAGGATGTGTCACACAATGACAGCAAGCAACCAACTGTGGTACTGTCCCAACATTGATGCCGTCTCCAGTGCAGCCAGAAAATCTCTCGTGTGGTGGTCCTCTGGAATGAAGGAGTATGAAACCCGATTCCTTTGAGACAATAATAAGGCTTAACCCAGCGATCTCGCGCAACCGCAAATCTGTTGATAGGCCGAACTTGCGGCCATTTCGACATCCCTTGTTTATTTCGATGTTGCTGGACTGCAATCCTTCATCATCTTGTCGAGATCATTAGGATGAGCACCTCCTGACATGGCAAATTTGATTGACAATCTCAAATGCTCTGGGAGGCCAATTAGGGTAATGAACAGCTGAACCGTGTCCTACCTGATTGCATCTGGGATGCATCGAGCGGGATTATTGCTCCAAGGTGCAGTGCTGCCAGATTAGCCACTGCCGCTGGTCCACACGTTTTCACCCTTTCTTCCCAAGCGGATCGTGTTTACGTCCATTCCATGGATCTACAATGACCTGTAAACAGACCATCGGAGAGAAGGGGTTCCGTATATAGCCCAGCCAGGTCCTCGACTCGATTCCGCTCCCCATTCCTGTCTACTTTTCTCCGAACAAAACACACTCCTTTGACTACTTTCAAGACACTCGTTCAAACCATCATCACCTGAAAGTCACCTTTCTACCTCCCACATTTTCAACCACTTCATTGCAATGGCTCGCTTCACTCTGTCCGTGTTTGCCGCTTTCTTCGCCCTGGCGGCATTCGCCACGGCCTTGCCCGCGATGCCCGCATTGCCAGGCCTTGGGAATGGACTGGGTCTTGGAAACGCCCTCTCCTCAGTACCGGTATGATTCTGATGCCCTTTGTGAGAACATGGACCATGATTAATATCTTCTCCTTCTCAGGTTGTTGGTTCATTGGCTGGTAACATGGACAAGAAGACTCCTGTCGATCAGCAGAAGCAGGCTCAAGACCAGGCGGCCAGCCGACAGACAGCAAAAGACAAGGCCCAGCAGGAAGTCGATCAGAAGTCCAGCTCTGCTGCGACACCGGCCGCCGCCACGCCCACTCAGACCGGTCTTTACTCTGGGAACTTTGTGACAGCCACCTCCACCCCCAGTCCTCATCCCAAGTCTCAGGCCAATGCTTTGGGTAGCATTCCTGTTCTGGGTGGCCTTCTCGGCGGCGCTGGAGGTGGCCCTCTGTAGGGCACCAAGGCAGTGGAGATCGATTACTGTCACAGGTCTCACTGGTCGATCGTCGATGGGAACGATGGGGAAAAGCCTGATGGAGTGTATGGGGTCTTGTTTAATGTTTCCCTTTTCTCAACTTCTGATCTACTTGTTTGGTTCTGAATGGGGCAGCTTCCACATTTTATTCTCTCACCATGATTTTTCTTCCAAAGTACATTAATAGAGAATCCATATGACCTTTTTCGGAGAACGATTCCCCGAAGACATCATCGCTTCATTGCGTATCTTCTCGCTTTCCGCAGAGAGCGTCTTGGCTGTTCCTGTATTTTGCTCTATCGGACATTCAAGCAGATTGAGCTCCTGACTCGCTCGAGAAGTAGACATTATCTCATTATTAGCGTTCTGACTGACTGCTTTGGTGTTGGCCTTCGTATAGACCAGTGTAGTATCCCGCAAAATACCAGGCCATCATCAGATTTCTTAGACCATCGTCTTGGACTGGAAGATCATTAGCTCCGACTAGCACAATAGAAGAAGGCTCAATTGTGCTTACCGTTGGGGAATCCAGCGCCAGGCATCGGCATGGGTCCAGGGCCTAAACTTTGGCCGGCGGCAGCTGGCGTATCATCGACCGAAGGTATTTGCGAACCCGTAGGCTGCTTCTGCTAAGTAATTTTAGTGAAATGTAAAAACTCACTTGTCTCGCATGAGCATACCGTTGTGGAAGGCAATGTTGTTTGATCCGAGACATCCTCGCTTTCAGCTTTAATGGCGTCATCATCGCCGACGTCTTGTATGCTTGGGTTGTCAAGTGTACCAGCATCGGCCACAGTATCATCTTGTGATTCCTTGGCAGCTGCCACCTCCGCTGCTTTCAACACATCATCAACGTTCTCGCCTTTTGCGTGAATGCTGTGATATAGCTATAGCCGGAGATTAGGATATACAACGAAAGGTCACGTGAACAGAACTGATTCTCAGCTGACCTTGTATTCCTCAACCGCATCATCCCATGATTGCACCAGAGCCGAATCATCCCATATTTCCTCATGAGTAAGGGCCTTGTCACTTTTATTTTTCCCCATTTTCAGCCCTGGTTGATCAGGGACGGCGTGGCAGCGGTTGTGATTGTGGTTGGGGCTGTCAGTGTCCGCTGGTCTGCGGAGACTCACCGCCCAGGCGTGCAGGGCCGCCGAAAAAAAAAAGATTTCCCGCAGTTGAGGAGGAAAGTCTTCAGAATTTCAAATCACATCAACTTGACAGAAAATGGCTCCTGATAAGAAGGGAAGCAAGCGCAAGGGTATGTGAATATACAGAATTATGTGACAAGCGAAAATGGAAGTCACTGACATTCCTTTCAGCCGCACCTGTCGCCAGCGACTCGCCCGCGAAAAAAACCAAAAAGGTCGAGCCCAAGACCACGGCCGCCAAACCCGCCAAAGCCGTTGAAGAGGCACCCCCCAAGCCTGCTCAGAAGAAGAAGAAGGAGACTGTCACTGTGAAAACCAAGGAGTCCAAGACTGAAATTGTTCCTAAGGCCAATGGTGCCTCCACTCGTCAGACTAAGCCCCGCAAGCGCGCTGCCGACTTTTTGAGTGATGAGGAGACTGAGAAGCCTGCTCCTGCTCCCACAAAGGCACCTGTGAACAAGAAGTCAAAGAAGGAGGAGAGCTCTACACAGACTGCCAAGAAGTCAGCCTCTGCTAAGATTGGCAAGCCCACGCCCAAGCCCAAGCAGATTGTGGAGGCTTCTGATGAGTCGGACGATGAGGACTTTGTGCTCAATGCATCTGCGTCTGAATCAGAGTCAAATGGCAGTGATCAGGAGATTGATGATGTTGAGGATGACCAGACCGCCGCTCTTATCAAGGGTTTCGAAAGCAGTGACGACGAGGACGATGTTGCCGACGAGGGCTACGATTCCAAGCAGCCCATTCCCAGAATTCCAGACACCAAGAAGGCCGAGAAGAAGTTGAAGAAGTTGCAACAGGGTGAGAACAAGGATGAGCCCGGTACTGTCTACGTTGGGTGAGTTTCAATATTCGACCATGCCTTGTTTTTCGTTCAATCACCCTTGAGTGTACACAACTAACGCGTCAATTCGATAGTCGCATTCCCCACGGTTTCTACGAGCACCAGATGCGCGCCTACTTCTCCCAATTCGGCGAGATCACTAAGCTCCGTCTTTCACGTAATCGTCTGACGGGACGTTCCAAGCACTACGCCTTCATTGAGTTTGCCTCTTCAACTGTCGCCAAGATTGTCGCCGAGACCATGGACAACTATTTGATGTACAGCCACATCCTGAAGTGCAAGTTTGTTCCACAAGACCAGCTGCACCCTGAGGTCTGGAAGGGTGCCAACCGCCGATTCAAGCGCACACCCTGGAATCAGATTGAGCGAAAGCGTTTGTTGAAGGGCAAGACTCGTGAGGAGTGGTCGAAGCGTATTGATAAGGAGCAGCGCAAGCGTCAAGCCAAGGCCGAGAAGATGAAGGCCCTTGGCTACGAATTCGATATGCCCCAGCTCAAGGCCGTTGAAGATGTGCCTGTACAGGTGCCGGAGGAGCCCAAGGCTGTCGAATCCGCTACTGCCGCCACCGAGGAGAAGGCCGAAGAGCAGCCTCTCAAGGCCATTGAAGCCCCGGCTCCTGCAGATGAGGCTCCGAAGAAGGCGAAGAAGGGCAAGAAGGTCGAACAGACCATTGTCCAGGAAGAGGTTACAGCTCCATCCCCGGCCACCAAGTCTGCTACCACAAAGACCAAGAAGGTTGTGAAGAAGACTACCAAGAAGGCCAAAGCGTAAGGGATGCTCAAAACTGTCATTTTCTATTTTTTAACGGAGTTTCAATTATTTTGTTATCTACTGTACATCGATAACCATGTCATGCATTACTGCGAAAATTTGAGACTGGCTTCGAGAGTATCTTTGGTCGAACAACAGCGACGCTTAGTAGAACACTAATTTGCTCAAGACGGGTAAGTCTCTGTATACTGAAATGCATTTACTCGCTTTCCCATGAGCCACAAGATAGCTCCCGATTCAATCACTGCAAAAATGAGTCCCTCTTACAGCCCGTGCCATAAATAGTCTACAGGCGAAACAATCTACAACAGGACCTTTACATTGTGAGTACTTACTACTTAGTAGGTAGTTACTGGTAGGTAGTTATCTGCTTAAACACTCCACTTCTGACCCACCACCAGCCGAACACGACCTAGCCAATTGATCACGTGATCTATCCATCGGCCACCATAAGTAGAGACCCACGCCGAAATCTCTTCCATCCCTCTCTTCTCTTCAACTCCTCGCTCAAAGAATCGCATTCAAAGCTTACACACAAAAAGAAGGAAGATATTTCCCTCTTTTTCAACATCTTATGCTTTGGGAGAAAGTCCCCGGACATCCTGCGCTCTGTTTCAGAGTTTTTCAAGTCAGGCATTGCGGAAACGCGCCGCCATAGAAGCAATTCGACAGCGGCTTACGCCCTATTCCCACCGGCTCTCGTGTTCGTCGTCCGACAGCTTCTGGCTGGTCACAATGGGGCGTGCGCTCGGGAGCCGGAGGGGAGAAGGGGGGATTTCGATCTTCCCTTGTATCGGGTTGCCTTTCGTCACAGTTCGATAGTCATGCGATTGCCTTTCGATCCTACTTTGGTGGGACTGGGAGGTAACTCAATGGGGCTCATTCTTGAGGCGAGGAGTTCCAAATCCTTTTTCTTTCTCTTTTCTTCCTCGAGTCTGTAGCTTATGGCAAAGCGGTGATGGAACTGGACTTGCATCTTCGTGGTCCATGTGTCCTCGCAGATGCCCTGTCAAAGGGGCCGGACTCTTCTTGGACCGATCTCGTTTCACCGAGGAAGGAAAAAGCAAGAAATGAGTGGACTGAAGTGTCCCCTTGACTCGAATGTGACTGCCATGAGCTCCGAGTGTTCGCGTGATGATATAACAATCATAGAGTCAAGCCCTGAGACTTCCTAGCTACGGCAGGACGTTCTTGACGAGAAACGATTTTCATTATCTGATGACACATCGAGTACTTTGTTGTTGTGTTTTTGGCCTGTCAGATCTGTTATGTTGGCATTGCAATGAAAGCAACTCCATTTTTCCCAATATAAATCTTCTTTTCCTCAGTCTTCGTACTTGATTCGCAAATTCGATAAATGGCTAGGTAGTCTCGGTGTCCAGATCAGACAACGCATGAATTCCATCTCGTTGAAGTGTTGAATTTGTTTCCACTTCCCAACGAAATCTCTTTGGCCATGTGCAGACTGCGGACAGCAGAGACATTTCCCTGGGCACGATCCACAGCTTCGTTCCCGCGCCTGTACGATAATGTACAAAGAAGGCCTGCCAATAGTATATGCCCGACTGATTCCCTAAAGAAGGTTCCAATGCTGTCGAAGGAAAAGCTATTTATAATGTAAGATCTCGAATAAGTGCAATTGCACCTCCAGGTAAAATAAGACTCCTTGTGCAGAAGTGCAGACAGATTGACGCCCCTACCTATAGCAATGATATCGAAATCCTCCCCGAGCCTCCAAGTCAAGATCGTCAAGAATTGGTCATGTACAAATGTCATATCGCCATTGTAGAAAAAAATGGGTAATCTCATCCATCACAGTTCCTTTTTGTTCTCTCCGTCCACGGCCACCGAAACTTTCTCCTTCGTCGTCGTTGTACTCGTCGCCTTCATGATCCGGACCAGAACGCCACCAATAAACTCGCCAAAGAAGACGACAGCCGTGGCGCACACGTTGTTCCACACCTGCACACTGACAGAGCCCAGGGGTGCGCGGGGGAAAGACAAGATCCATTCCACGTAGTAGGGGAACCAGCCAGGGGGGAGCGCGAACACGGGAGTCTTGGAGTACCAGAATTGGAGGAAGAGTTTGAGACCATTGGTGCTTAACCATCGGGCGCTTTTGACGCTCCAGTCGAAGGAGGTCTTTTGCGAAGAGATCTTTTTGTCTGGCGAGAGGTGGATTGCATATTAGCCCGAGATCACTTTCAAGTATAGATCAAATGCGTGCCCTGGATCAATGCTTGACACGTACTCAGCGCTTCATACTCCTCCACACTTTTATCATGTCTTCGGCGCAACTTTGCCCATTTCGCAAACTCGTCTTGCGAGCTGGTGCTGTTCATTTCGCGCTTGAGCTGAACGACTTCTCGTTTCTTGAGGTTTGCGGCGCGCGCATTTCGAGAGGTCGAGGTGGGGAGTTTCAGATATAAATGCCATACCTGGTGAGCGAGTGAGATGGATTAGCGTGAATGACAGAATGAGTGAGTTGTGGGACGTCAGTCGGAAGCTGATTTAGCTTGTTGTGTGGGAGGCCGAGGGCCACGTTGAACCTGAAGGAAGCATTGACTTCCGCGCAACACATACCAAAGCATCGATTGTTGCAGCACCGATCGTGTTGACGAGGTAGATCGCAATGTGCACGAACAAAATCGTGAGAACGAGGGACAGCATGGTGAGCGGGGGAGAGTGGCCAGGAGGGCCAGAAGCAAGCTTGGGTTTTGAGCGACGAGTGGAAAGCGAAGACAGGCCTCAAAATCCTCGTAGTTATGGTCGACTTTTTCTTCCAACCTGCCGGTGTTTAGGCACGCCGGTCTTATGATAATATGTACCCTTCCACAGTCGGATCGCAAGAGGTTTGAGGGTTGTCGAAATGGGTAAAGTGACGTGCGGCGATCTGGCTGGAATCGGCCCGAGCTCGCAGCTTTTGGTTCGCCGCCTCCACTTTGTCCGCCGAAGCTAAGGGCATGAAGCTTCGACCAGCCTGTAGATCTTATAAGATCGAAGCAGCATGGTTATGTTGCTCTTTGCGTGAGCTTGATTAGTCTTCTATCTACGTGGTGTCCTCTTCATTTACTCGAAATTCATGACTTCACCAGTGGATGCATTCGAGCAGTTGGTCGATCTTTTCGACCATCGCGGTGATCAAGTCCTCGAGATTGAGATCATACCGCCAAGTTTAGGCTCTTCGTTTCTGAAAGATGGATGCGCAATGGGCATCTCCAAGAAGGCGTTGATTCAAGCCTATATGGTTGCGCGACGAGTCTTCTTCGAGACTTGTACTTCCATGAGCAGTAATGAATTGGTTGCCGACCTACTGCGAGAGCAGTCGAGCTCTGTCGCCAACAAGGAGAAATTTGTCACCGAAATCATGCTCTTGTTTGACTGTGAACATTTGACTGCGGCTAATTGGCGCAAATGCCGAATACTTGCAGCTCTGGCGCAGCATGAGGGTCCCTCAAACCAGACGTCGCAACAGACGAGAATGTTGAAGACAGAGCTGACGCTTCTCCAGAGTTACCAGTGCTCTCCATTACCTCGACATACCAAGTCTCCGACCCTGTGGTCGCACCGGCTTTGGACGCTTGAGCACCTCATCAACTTGGTGGAATTGAGTGTAGACACTCTACTTGATTTGCAGCGCCACGAACTAGAAGTTGTTCTGCGTGCTGCGGAACTTCATCCGCGCAATTACTACGCTTTCACATATGCTCGTCATCTACGTTCTCTACTTGTCAGGACCGCCGCCACAATCACGACAGAAAGCATCTCCTGCTGGGAGTTGAGATTGGCGAAGGCGCTTCTGAGCCCCGTGCTGGATTGGTGTCTTGCTCATCCCCGCGACATCTCCGGCTGGTCTTTTGGCTTGCATGTACTCGGTCACTGTGAAGATCGGCAGAGTCATGAAGAAGCCGTCAAACGGGTCCTCCAATTTGCACTCGATGTAGGATGGGAGGGTGAGAGCCTGTGGACGTTTGTGGATCAGGCAGTACGCCGGTTTGACCTGGAGGACACTGTCGTTAACGAATGTCTTCCATTGCCACGGACGCTGGAAAGGCCCGGTGCTGTAGCTGAAGATCAGACAGCACAGGCGTCGTGGCGAGCTTGGTTGTCCAGGGCCCAGGCAAATTGGGCAGCTTGCAAGGCCGACCGGTCTTGACATTTGCGCACTGATACAACATCCTTTGTGTCCAGTCCTTCTTTCGTCCCTGGCAATCGTCAGATGACCGGCCTGGGAGGTGATGCATCTCCTGTGCGATTTCTCATCCAGTAGAGTACTTATCTACCATGCACATATATTACAGCGTCATGAAACCAAAAGACGGAAACCCTTTACCAAATCTGCAAAACGCCTCGCTAGACACCAGCACCCGCCGACTTAAAGAATGAGGCGGGAAGAAAAAATAGCTGGGGTATGGATCTATGCACATGTCTGCCAACACTCGCTACCAACAATCACATGTCCAGTTCTTTGTGTTCGACGCTCATGCTGGGGTCCATGGATACCTCCTTCCAGTGTAAGCCTCCCGAAATATGCAAGACGTAGCTACACTCCAGGCCCAGAGCGCGTGGGATGAATATGTACTACTGGATCGATAGAAGGGCAAAGAGCACAAGAAGGATCGGTGGGTAGGCACGACAGCTGAAGCACAGCAGGAATCTCATTTCTTTTTCCCTGCTGCTAAAGCCTCCGCCGCTCGTTTCTCGTCCGCTGGATAGAAGAAAACAGATCCTCGAGTTAGTCCACGTTGGCGCACATGGAGATGACCGACCGGCTAGCGGGTCCTGAGGGAATCCACATACCCTTGCGCTGCTTCTCACGCATAATCGCAGCCGCATCCTCCTTGGCGCGTTGGAACTCGGTGCCGCTCAAGGTGTTCTTAGATTTCTGCAGACACGAGTCAGCTCTTGTGACTTCCGAGAGGTGCATCCCTGCCCGACAGCTTATGTGACGCAGGCTTATGCGGTGGACAGTTGAGCGCAGAGGGGGGGGTACTCAGTATAGATCGAACGGGCCATGAGAAACTTACCGCCGAAGCCGCCTTCTTCTGGGCCTTGGCCCGATCGTGGTCACGCTGGTTGCCCCGGGTCATTTTTGCAAACGGTGAGAAGAGCAGGAGCAGAGCGGATGAATCAGGGCCAACAGAGAACGACCAGATCTCCCTTGAGGGCGCACCACAGCACGGGGTGGAGGGGAAGCAATGGAATTGAGAGTCGGTTTGGCCAGAAGGAGACAGAAAAAAGTCGAAGAAACCGGCGGGGCGCCTCCCTCGGCGTTTAAAAATTGCCTCGTCCAGCGAATCACCGCCGGGATTGGGACTATACCACTTGGAGGGTCGAGATTAAGAGGATTGAATGCGCCCAGTAAAGGTGACACAATCGCTCTTCTGGATTTTCTCCAGCTTGAAACTTATTACTGCTGTGACCATCTTGAAAAGTCAGAGCTTACGGGACTGAGAAGTGCTCGGTGATAGTCATTCTCTCGATCCTGTGCCGCATGATAGACAGGTCCGTCCTTCACAGTAGAGTGGAAGGATCTTAGACGTGGTAAGCAACTAAAAGACAGAATTTGCTCTCTACATTCTACATTAGCACGGTATGAGCGGCTACAGTGTCGACAGCACCTGATGAGTTGAGAGATTCCCGAGCCCAGCTGTCTGTGTGTGGCTAAACAGAGCATGAGGCTGTCTTCCATGGAGCTGTTTCAGCAGTACCAACCTGTCAACCCAAGTAGACATCTCGCATTCAGCAGATATTGCAAGAACCCGTCCTAATCGACTTCTGTTTGAATCGAGAGCTGTCAAGATCTTTTCTGTGAAGATGAAACAATTCGATCGGGGAAAGACCGGCAATTATAACACACTCGCAAATTGGGTCTTGAAGCATGTATCGAGCCTCACCTGCAGGCTGCAAGACCCATGATGATGAGGGAAACCGCAGTAGGTAGTAGGTACAAGGTGGTCAACAACCCAACCTAGGCGCTTATCCCGAGGCTCTCGTTTCAGCTACAAGCGATATGGAAAGCTCTCAGCCTATGCTTCCACAAGTTGAGGGTATGATCCATACAATGGCGCTTCGACCTCTCCTGCTCTTACCGATGCAAGCGAGCTCTTGGCGTGGAAGTTTGCCTGGAAGAAAAAAGCTGCTATTCCCGGAGCGAACAATACCCCAAGCTGGCCAGGCTACGCTGCACTTTGTCTGTTTGTTGCCTTTCGCAGCTTTTGCTTCATGATGACTGAGCTTTGTTCCTGGCGTTACCTGGAGCAGGCCTCCCGTCGTTTCAGATCCGGGCTATTCATAGTGAAGTTTGGCCCCTGCCAAAACATCTCGGCGCCTGCAGCCTGTGCGGAAGAGCATCAATGAATGATCTAGAACTTAGAAACAAGGCGATGGTTTCATCCGCCCTGCGCCTGTGGTCTATATTATTGTCGTGATCTTTTTTTCCACCGACATGACAAGACCTTTCAGTGATTCCGTCCATTCTTTCTTCATTCTTTCTTTGTGTTCTCGAGCTGATCTCCAGTAGATCCATCCTGATTTTTCCTCTTCTTTCCTTTCGAGGAACTCGGTTTCCTGCTGGCCAGTGACTACCTTCCTGCTTTCTCTCGATCGAGTTCCGGTCCAACCGGGTCTCTCTTGCTTTCTATCGCCCTAGTCCTCTCAGTTTCGACGAAGAGTCATTCTCTTTAGAAAAGAAAGATTGACCGCACTCTCGTTAGGTGGCAATCAACAGGCTAAACGAAACCATTCGCTCATCGAAGAGTCGTCAATTTCATCATGATGTCGAAGCTACAGAATTCTCTGGCTGGCCCAGGGTATGTGATTCTCAACGCCATTCGCGCGTTGAATATCATCACCTTCCTCGACATCATTGCATCCTGCGTAGTCATGTTGATCAAGATCGACAACTACAATGGGTTCTTCTTCTTCCAAGCAGTGACCCACGCCATCATGGCCCTGATCAGCAGTAAGTCATCCAACCCCGATAGTTCTTTCTCCGAAGGTTTTTGTATCTTGCTGCTTAGTTGTATGATCGTCTACTGACACTGTTGCCCACAGTCGCTCTCATTGTATCGGAATTGCCTGTCCTTCGGCGCTACGTCAATCGCCACTGGCCCATGTTTGGGGAGGACGCAGGATTCTTTGCCCTGGCGGTAATCATGATGATCCTTGGCGTTGCCGTACTGGGTTGCCTGAACACAAAAGCCATGTCTCAAGAGTCCCTCGGGCTGGCTTTCTGGAGAATCATCATCTCGGCCGGGATTCTCGCCATGGTCGTCAGTCTCGTCAACGTTTTGGCGGTAAGTTCATCTCCTCGAGCACAACCCCACCTAACCACCGCACAGCTGAGCTAACCATCTCTAGACCATCATCTTCACCGATCGTGCTCAGAGCGTCAGTGCCCGCCATGTCCGCCAATATGGAGCGGTGGCTTCACAGAAGGTTGTGGTGAGTCGCGCCAGCAGCCGATCTCTCTCGTCCGGGCTAAACTCGAAGCGTGAAGAAGATTCACTCCCGAGCTATTCCCCCGAGTCGGTCTCGAAACGTTTCTCGAAACCTATCACTGGTCGCTTCCCGGTAAAGATCTCGGGTCCCATGAATCCCACCAACAATGGAAAAAGCCTGCAGGCGCCATCGGTTAACGACGCTGCATCGTCAAGATACTCGCGTGACTCTGCGGGAGTTACTCTTCCTGACTTGGCGCATCATCCTGCTTATCAGTCAAGCATTGTTTGAGGGATTGGGGTGTTTGGTGGGAATCTGGTTCAATCAGCGTGGCGTTCTGGGGCATGGGCGTTGTTGAAAGTCGGGCGTCTGGCTTCTCACTCTTTGGGCCTTGACTTTCTTGTTATCGTTTTGAGCTTGTTTTTTGATCCTTCGAGAGGTATGGAATCTCTATAATTAAATGAGATACGACGAGGTTTGATATGTGTCAAATGCCGGCAACCAAGAGATGAGGTCGATGCTGTCCTAGTCAGACGGACATTCATCCAGTTCAAGATAGTTCACGGACATGCAAGCCACATGAAACATTCACTGTTATGTCGCAAATGATCCTGAATCCCGTATTGGTACTGCCCGATAAGCTTGACGATACCCGGCAAAGTAGGAAAGGAAAGCTTGGAGCTTGGGTACCTTAGAAGTGGGTGTTGACTGTTGAGGGTCAGTCCTGAGTATCCACTCCCCAGAGTCGACCGCTTTTGGTCCCGAGGTCGAATCAATCGCAGTGTGGTGGCCTTTTCATCACAAGTTCCACGTGTTTAGTCACACACTTCTTCGCGGTCCGGTCTCGATGGAATAGAGACTGGTCTCTATGCTAGCTTCATCATGGCTGGTTTCGGAATCTCATGGGAGACGTAAGTCGTCGTCGTCATTCCTCGAAATTACAGCACTTCAATTGCCGCATTCTTCTCCGCATACTACTAACCGAATGCGCGGTCTAACATTTGTCTCAGCATCAAATCTCTCCTTATCTTCTTTGGACCGATCCTCATCCCTCGTCTGATCACAGCCTACCGCGGCTTGCGAGTCTCTATTGCAAGCCGACCTGCAGCGCAACCGACTCCTGCTGGAGCGAGCCGTGCACTGAACGTGCTCTTCGCTAGCGTCGCGTTCTTCCTCGTCCTCAGCCTTCCTTTCAACCCCCATGCTCCCGAAGCCAATGTCTTTACTCTCACTCGATCTCGAATCAACACTCCCAGCGATGTGCTCTTCCATCGACTCTCACGACTCCGGGTCGACAATCTCCTGACAGACACCGATGTCCGGTTACGCGAAAAGCTCACCTCCCTCGGCGCTCGCAAGGTCTACCTCGCCTATGGTCCCGACGCATTGATCTCCTGCCAATACTGCTCCTACGAAAACCTCGACACTTACTTCCTTTACTACCTCCCCTTCCACATCCTCCTCCCGCACCTAGTTCACCTCGCCATCCTGGGCCTAGCCACATCCGCCCCCTTCGCCGGGCGCGAATCCGCCCGCTGGCGCACCAAATTCACTTTCGCCGGATTGGCGCTGGCCGCCCTGGACGTGTGGATCGTCTACTCGTATGACGCAGTCAACTCGGCCTCGCCCGCCGTCCGAGCCGGTCAAACACCCCCCGTCGGCCTGTATAACACGATCACCCTCCTCCGACCACTGGCATTGACCATTTTCGACACCCTCTGCGCCCTGATCATCTACCTCTCTTCGACCAACCGCTTCTTCTTCAAGCCTCCGTCCCAGAAGGACCAGGTGGACCAGGCCGTGTCGGCGGCCTTGACCCTGTTGACCGGTGCCAATAACAAGCTCCATGCGGCGAGCGTGGCTCGCAACGCGGTCGTCCGAGACAAGACGCTCAAGGCGCGCGATGACGTCTACTGGCGGACGATGGTGGCCGTGGAAACCCCGACTCGGGGCCCCGGAGCGGCCGAGCAGATCGATGGCGTGGATCGAGTGGACGTGGTGAACAATATTTGGCAGGAGGAGGAAGTCGCTCGAGCCATGTCGCGGGCGCTGGCCGGGCAAGGAGGGATTGATTTGGCGCAATTGGGGACGAGTGCGCACGATTTTGTGCGTAGTGTGACCGAGGGGATGGATTGACGCGGATTTATGTGGTAGATGTCTCGGCTATATGACAATTTAACCTACAGTATCTTTGATGCCTACAAGCGTACTGGTGGGGGTGACAGAGTCAGGATATACTATATTTCCCATCCAGATCGTTGTGAGAGTAGGAACCCCGTTTCAAAGGCCCTGCAGGTCAGGTACCTGAATTGTGTGTATGGAAAAATAAGGTTATTCTCCGGCTGCTTCAACGAGGACCTAAGGTACTGGGTAGAAGGTAGCAGGTACTAAGTGTACTCAGTACTGAAGCACTAGGTAGTAGGTCCTAGGTACCGTAGGTCGCAGGTAAGTAGTGTACAGTTCGACCATCAACCCTGCCATGACACAGCTTGCGCCCGTGGTTCCGTACACTGTACAGTACTAGCCTACTCGGTAGCCTTCGAGGAGTCAGGGCTTTCCAATGCCTTCCTCGAAGTCGGAAGCGACATGATCATAGTACTGACTCTACTGAGTCTACTACTGACTCGCTGAGTACATGGCGAAGCGGGTCTCCGCTACAGAACCTTATTTCGATTCAGGAGGCCATCCACGGGCATCTTGCTCGGTATACCAAATCCAATGCAAATGAGCGTCAGCTACCCATTGAGCAATTTATGTTGATATGGACTAGTGACCACTGATCAGTGCCACTGTGTCCTGTCCACAGTTCAAGCTTAAATTGGATCTTACAGTACATCGGATCCACTTGGGGATGCTGAGCTCTAAGAGATCGATAGTCCCCGTTTCCAAGTCATCTGACATGAACCGGAAAGAGGCCAAGTTGGTTTCTGCCGAGAATGTGACATTGGCGTCGCTTTGACCCGTGAATCGTCTTTCAGGTACCCGCGGTACCATCGAACCATGACTGAGCCGTCCATGGGGGCCTTTGGATTGTTTGTACTTCTGTACTGGTCCAACACTGAGATGGACAGGCTCAACGGCGTTGGCTGCTGATCACCTCATGGGATCAATCAGATTGGCAACTCTGTTGGCTCGACCTGCTGTCGGTTCACTCGAATGCACATCAAGGGGGGCGAGAATAGGTAGTTGAATAGATAAGATATCCCATATGACTGACTACCTGAGTACCTAGTAGGTACTAGTCGTACCTTGGTCGTCGAGTAGAACAGACGGCAAATACCTAATACAGTCTACAGGTACTACTGGCGCATATTGTACCACTGCTAGAGTACTCCTCTTGTTCAAGCCAGAGCCAACAAATTCTCCTGACTACCACTGAATAAGGTCTCTTTGCAGTCGTCTGGTCGGACGATGCACGATGCGGCTTAGCCACGGAAGGACCACCAAACATACCCCATAGTTCCACCACGTTCAGGGTCTGGACCTCCAGACTTGCCCCCGAGCACTCCTTTCTCTCGCACGATGCTCCTGCAGCTGATGCAAGCAGCATCAGCTGCACCGATCGTCATCCGTGTATCACTCTGCAAGTATTCCGAGCAGAAGCATCATGGATAGTCTCGCTGGATTCTCTGTTTCGCCGTCTTTGCGAATTGCATATTTGGGTCCCCGTCCCCTTCCATCCCCACCGTTTGCTGTGCGATTCGACGAGGCGGTGTGGAGGCGTCGATCATCGTGTGTTGAGAAAGTGCTTGAAACGAGCTCTCCCCCTCTCTCTCTCACCGTTTCCTGTCCGTCCCCTCCTGAGTTTAGTTCGATTCGTCTACTCTCACGGGGATTAGCCTTTTTTTGGGTCCTTCTCTATCCACCCGCTTCATTTGTTTTTTTTTTCCTCCCCCCCTCCTTCCCCTCGCCATCACACGGATTCTGGCAATCCTCTGCTGCATTGACCATCTCACAGTTGGTAACTTGGTCCTGACCCCTTGAAACCCAACACGCTGTCGAAAGGAGATAGTCCAAGCAACCAAGACAAAATCCCAAGAGGAAGCCAAGACCAAAAGAGAAGAGCTTCGTGTTCAAATAAAGTACCAGACCCAATTGCAAGCATCCGACTCGCTTTGACCGCGCGGCGGATCCGCCTATGAGCCTTCCAGACTTTCTGCTGCAGTCCCAGTCCGCGCGCTTCTCAACTTAATTGTGAGCGGGATTCAACCCTCGCTCCATTTTCCCTTGCCCCCCCCCCCCAGACCCGACTGCCACTTCACCCTTGCACGACAGACACACACACACACACCTCCACACCCACATCAGAGAGGAGATCAAACCCCCCTTTCCCCCCAAAAAAGAGTCTTGATTTGCCTGTCGTCTTCTTCAACAATCAACTGCGACCAATTCGTCTCGCCGCTGCAATGGCGAAAGAGACGACGATCGCGCCGCCGGTCGCGGAGCTCAATGTCTATGTGTCCAGTCCTAGCGGCCCGCGCCCAGCTAAGGAGACCACGTTCCGCGAGTGGGTGGTCTCCAATCAAATCGGTATGGAAATTCTTCCAAGCATCATCCTGATCTTTGTGCTCGTGCTGTGGTGTCGGTCGTAGACTTGTGCGTTCACCATGGGACCTCGGCGACGCAGAGCGACTCGGTGGCTGGACCGAACCGCATGACAACTGGAAGCCCGTCGTTGTCGAGTCAATCGCCTTCCGAGGTTCCTTTGGTGATGATCTCAATTTCTTGGAGAGGAAAGCCACCTAACATGTGCACCCCTTTCTTTGTGGGAACAAAAAAAGACCTCTTCTTGCGACAGACTGGCTGACTCGATTTCCGTAAATCTCTTTCTCACAGGGATATCATTGACCATCTTGGCTATGTTGCTGGCTCTGCATAACCTCTACCCGTCATTGCGCCCTTATACGCAACCCTTCTTCGAACTTTCCTACCACGACCCCGCCACGAATACTTATGTGCAGGGTTGGAACGATATCTATTTTGTCTTCAGCGCTACTTTGGCGCTGACTGCAGTTCGGGCCATTGTCATCGAATGGATTCTCCAGCCCGTCGGTCGCTCGTTGGGACTGAAGCGCAAGGCGGCGCTCCGCTTGGCCGAACAGGGCTGGCAGGTCCTGTACTACGGGTTCATCTGGTCTGTCGGGTTGGTACGTGTTTGACGATGACAATTCAAGGGAGCAAGGCAACGACAGTCGAAAGGGAAGGCATGCTGATGATTCTGGTTTGATGATAGTACCTGTGGAAGAACTCCAACTACTGGTGCGACTTTAGCACCATCTGGAACGACTGGCCCGCGCGGCCGGTAGACGGCCTCATGAAATGGTACATCCTGGTGGAGCTCGCGTTCTTGCTGCAGCAGATCTTTGTCATCCACGTGGAGGAGAAGCGCAAGGATCACTACCAAATGCTGTCGCACCACATTATTACGAGTACCCTCCTCGGATCGGCGTACATTTACGGCTTTTACAACGTTTCAAATGTCGTCCTGTGTCTCATGGATATTGTTGATGTTCTACTGCCCGTGCGTCCAATCTTCATCCTCCCCCCTCCGCCTTTTTTTTCCTTCTCATAACTGCTGTATTGTTGATTTGCTAACCACTTTGGAAACAGGCGGCCAAAGTCCTGAAATATTTGAAATTCCAAAATGCTTGCAACGTCGCTTTCGGCATCTTCATGGCAACCTGGGTCGTGACTCGCCACGTTCTGTATAACATGCTATGGTGGTCCATCTACAAGAACGTTCCGCAGCAAATGGCATACGGTTGTTACTCGGGAGAAACCGCCGAGATGATCAGCACCAATGGCTATCCAGATGCCTTTGCATACTTGTTTGGTCCATTCCTGAGCTTGAAGAACCCTATTTGCATGAACCGCACCATCAAATGGATCTTCCTCTCGTTTCTCCTGTCCATTCAGCTCCTTTCCATTGTCTGGTTCAGCATGATCGTGCGCGTCGCCTATCGTGTCGTGTGCAGTGGCGCTGCTGAAGATACTCGCAGCGATGAGGAGGACGAGGTTGAGATGGACGAGGATTCTACACACTCGGGCACTGTGCGGCTGGCCGCCAAGGAGAACGGAAACGCCGCTCCTGCCGTTGTCAATGAGAATGCTCCGGGTCTGGACCGCCGGCGGTCAAATGGCTCTGCTGCTGCGCGTGCTCGTGGCCGTGGCCGAGTGCCCTTCGACCAGAGTGACCGGAAAGCTTTGCTGGGACGCATTGGCTGCGACAAGCCCACTTGACGAGATTCCTAGGCTATTATTTCCACGACCTCAAGAGCGGCTAGACTTGTTTGAAAGAGTCTTTCATTTGTTTCAAGCTTTCTTCTTTTTTTCTTCTTACTTTCGAACTTTGGGATATGTCGAGACGACAGTATCTCCCGCTCCAGTCCAGGCGCATTTTCATGAAATGTTACACCCCGATTCCCGTGTTAAACTGGCATTACTTTTTGACTTTTGTCTCACGCGTTTTGCTCAACATCTACTATTCCCCGCATCTACTCCCGACACGCCGTGTATATGCATACGACCTTATACGCCAGCTAGATCGTGATTCCTCTCTGTTGATGAAATGAATTGCTAGAAGTACGATGAAATCGCAGTTTTGTTGCTCTCTTTTCAGGGTCTATCTCTCATTTCGGCCTGATAAAGCACTGGGAAAAGTTATTACTTGGCTGATCCGTCTTGTTTATCTTTATGAGTTTATCATACCCTTATAGTTGCCAAGTCTCGAGTTTGATCAACCACCTTTTTGGTCGGTTCGACACGTCAAGTTAAAGACACATCGGCTTCGTATGATGGCAGGGGCCTGACAGTTCGCACTATTCTGCGGCTTCGGCTGCCGTAAACATGAGCAGAATATCAGTATTATTTAGTAGATAGAAGAGACAGGTTCATAGAGACGATCCGACAGTGCACGGAGCGGGGACCGTTTGATACCGCTCGGTATGCTTCACGCTTCCCGTCCATGACATATGTAGCTCCAGCTTCTCCTACTCGACTTGACTAGCGGATAGAGTATAATGATTCATTCGTTCGAACTAGCTAAAGAAAGGAATGAAAGCGTACAATGGGACAAGGTCGAGTGATCCGATGCCGAGAACGAATCATCGGTGTTTCGCAAAAGACGAGAAAGAGCTACGGTAGTTTATGTAGAGAGGGAGTAGCCGAGCAGATTTCAAACAATCTCGCGATGCGTTGGTGATTCCGTCTTTGCTCGATTACGCACCTTTGACAGTGTGCATTGACACCTTTGAGTCAGTCGATTGAATGAACCAAACAATAGAAGAAGCCTGGGCGTGGCGCTCTATGGCAGTAGTACGTTTGATCTGTTTGCATCAGGCTTTCCGGCCCGTGACTAAGCTTTGTCGCATTTTCGACCGACCCTCCGACGGCAATGTGTTGCTATCATCACGTCAACTTTCTGAACGATTCTGCTTTTCCTCATTGCGACTCAAACCTCATACTTTGATATATTGACTCTCTCTGAAACAAATAGTCTGAATTCCAGCCAAGAAGGTTTCAAGACTCTGGTTTCGAATTCCCAATCCAACAAGTTCAGCCCTCTGAAAACAGGGCCTCTTGTTCCGGTGGCGCAGAACCAGCCGCTGCTCCAACAACTCATAAACTTCTCTTCTCTTCTCCCCGACAACTTTCCTCTCCTGTGCAACCTTCCGTCAACATGCTTCCTACAATCACACAAGACTCGCAACTTGCGACAGCCGTCGCCGATGTTGTCCGACCTAAGCTGGTGGAGATGGGCTGGAGCACGGATGACGGCCAGGAGTCCGCTCTGATTGAATATATCGTTCTGATGCTGGTCAATGGCAAGACCCAAGAACAGCTGGCCACTGAGCTTTCAAATGATTTCCTCGGGTTGGAAGAGGGTGATACACAGGCGTTGGAATTCTCAAGATGGCTCTTCGGTCAGGTCGAGATCCTCCATCAACAACTCAACGGCGCTGGTGCTGCGGCTGCCAACAACTCTGCTGCTCCTCAAACCGTTCTTTCGCCGAATGCTCCCGATTTCAACCCGCAAGGAAATGGTATGGATGCCGAAATGGAGCTTGGAGGAGATTCTGTGTAAGTTTTTCTTCAGCGGGTATCTGCCGCCAAGATATCAATGACTAATTCTTACAGCCCTACTGGACCCAGAGCCATGCGCACCCCGCGAGTTGGTGGTCAGCGTCGCATACTGAATCAGATTAACCGGAGCTTGGACCGACCAGGGGACGGCGCACTTCACCGCGTGCGCGGCCACCAAGGGAACGGGCGCATCGGCGGTCACAACAACCAGAATAACATGCGGAACAACCGCGGCGGCCGCGGAGGTCGGAACATGGGTGGAATGATGGGGCCGAATATAGGCGGCGGAGCTATGCAGATGAGCCCCGAGAATCAGATGCAGATTATGGCCATGCTGGAGGAGCAAGCTCGTATGATGTCTCAACTGATGCCTGGGTTTGTTCCTCCTGCAATCAACCCTGCCTTCCAAAACGGTGGACAGCAGGGCCGCTCACTCTTCGATCGTGTTGAGCCTCAAGGCCGACGAGGTGGACGTTTCCAAGGTCGTGGAGGACACCAACCGCATAAGGGACGTGGCGGGGAGAACGGCGATATCGAAATGGATACCGCCATGGATGGCGAACAGGACGAGAGCAACCCCAACAGCATCTGTCGATTCAATCTTCGCTGCACTCGTAAAGATTGTCCCTTCGCCCATCAATCACCCGTCGCCCCCGAGGGCACAGCAGTGGACGTATCAGACGTCTGCTCATTCGGCGCCGCTTGCAAGAACAGAAAATGCACCGGTCGTCATCCCTCTCCGGCTGTCAAATCCGCCCACCAAGCCGAGGAGATTTGCAGATTCTTCCCCAACTGCACAAACCCTCACTGTCACTTCAAACATCCCGACATGCCTCTCTGCCGGAACGGTGCGGATTGCAAGACCGAAGGCTGCAAATTCACGCATCTGCAAATCCCTTGCAAGTTCAACCCGTGCATGAACCCCCGCTGCACGTACAAGCATGTGGAGGGCCAACGTGGAAACTCTGGCGACAAAGTATGGGTGCCGGGAAACATCAGTGAGCGCAAGTTTGTGGCCGACGAGGGTGGCCCTGAAGAACTTGTCAAACCGGAGACTGAAGAGTCTTCAAAAACCGAGGGTCTGACTGCGTGACTACGCCTCAATTAACGTGGCGTCAGCCTCGGCATCGATCGATTCTCTTCGCTTTCGGGTGCTACCACACACTCTCTGGATGTTGGATGGGCCAAAAGGCATGAATGTTTGTGTTGTGTCTTCGTGCATCTATTTTCTGTTTCGTTCGAGACCGCAGACTTTCGCATTTTTTTTCATTGTAAATAGATTATTCCCCCCGCTTCACAAAATGAAGCAAGCAATGGCAGAAAGGAGTAGCCATGCGACGCAGTCTTGGTGCCAGATGACATAGGAGCTTTTGTCTTTTAGGTTCTTCAATTTAGATTCGAATTAGAGGCGATAGGCACACTAGAACTAAACGACAGAAGACAGGAAACACATGAGCTTGGTGGTTTTCAATCCAAGCACTGTATAAGTGTGTATACCATCGGCTTTACTAAATTTGGGCCAGATTGAACATTGAATGTTAGCATCACGACAGCCTTACGTCGAGAAATGTTGCAGATGAATATTGCTTTTGCATCATAACCAAGAGCTTCCCACTCTACGAGTTTATGTAATTTACCCAGTCAGCCAGAACTTCAGAAGTACATGTCCGGCATGGCGCCCTGGACCTGCGGGAATAGCTTAAGTAAGACTCGATCTGGCCGAGGCCGACCTGAGGTGCTCCCGTCCCGTCTCGATTAGGGTAGCTCCATCGGCATCGCGCCCAGCATCAAACCATCTCCGATCTACTCCACCGCAGCTCTCCGAATGAGTTCCATGAGCAACGCCAGTCCCGACTGACAACATGCGGCTCTTGTCTGCTTCCAAAGGCCTCCGGTCCACATCCAGGCCCCCTGTCTCGACTCTCAAATGCCAATATCGCGCCTATAATGCCGCCGTCATCGGGGCAGGCGTCACGGGCCTCACGGCGGCTTGGCAGCTAATCCAGGATTCCGAATGCTCGTCTGTGACTATTTATGAAAAGTCGAATCGACTCGGAGGCTGGCTTCAATCGGAGACGATACCTGTGGAAGGAGGGGAGGTGGTTTTCGAATATGGACCGCGGACTTTGAGGAGTGCGATGCCGGCTTCTTTGCCTTTGTTATATTTGGTAGGTCAGGCCAAGCGTGGGCTCGACGAGTACGAGGTTCTTTTTTTTTGAGAATGAAAGAGGATCTAGTTGCTGACTTGACGGCATTACGCGATTATAGACTTCGAATTTGGGTCTTTTTAATGAACTTATTACGACGTCGAAGCGCAGTCCTGCCGCGTTGAATCGATATATTTACTATCCGGACCATTTGGTCCGCCTGCCTACGCCAGATCCCCGTCTCTCATTCATGGAGAATGCAAACAATATCGTCAAGACAATCACGACGGAACCTCTCTTCGAAGGGTTCATCACCGGTCTGCTCTCCGAGCTCTTTAAACCCGGCGGATCGGAGCGGGTATGGGGCTCGGACGAAAGTATTACTGCCTTCATTAGCCGACGCTTCAACCGCAAGATCGCCGATAACCTCGTCTCCGCCGTGATGCATGGGATCTACGCAGGAAACATTGACGACATGAGTGCGCAGACGATCATGGGCTCCTTGCGCAATTTGGAAGAGACTGGCGTTCTTAAAACCTTACTGACTAGAGCCATTATGGGAACGAAGACAAGAACAATGGACGACTTTCTGGCAATCGATGCTATTGCGAAAACGCCCGAGACTTTGGAACGCAACGAGGAGATCCATCGTGTCGTCAAGAAGGCTAGCACTTTCACGTTCAAGCGAGGCACACAGCAGCTCATTGATGGGTTGATAGAGGCGCTTAGATGCTCGAACAAAGTCCGGCTTGTGATGGAGGCGGATATCTCGGGTATGGCACCACCACAAAATAAAGGACATAAAGTGCAGGTATGTCGCTGTCTATCCCTTCAAGTCCGGCTGTTCGGAAGGGAATACGCCTTGGTGTCCGATGTGATCCAAAGCTCATTCAATATTCCAGATTTTTAGCGGGATAAGAGGCCAGGAAGCATTTGATCACGTCATCTCTGCCGTCCCCGCGCCAGCCCTCGCACGTATACTGGACCCGAAAGTCGACCTCGACATTGAGAACTTCATCACTTACGACCATGAAGGCTTTGCGGAAAAGTGGCAGCAACGACGCGCAGGCCGTGCCAAGCCCAACGCAGCTTTGACTGCCGGACTTCAATTCTACGGCAGATCGACGACGGTAATGGTGGTGAACTTGTACTACAAAACCCCCAACCTCCTCCCCGTTGACGGATTTGGCTATCTCATCCCTCGCTCTGTCCCGTGGGAACAGAACCCCGAGTGCGGTCTAGGCGTGATCTTCGCCTCGGCCTCTAGCTCTGGTGAGAGCCCTGTGGCGCCATATCCAGAGGTCTCGCAGGATTCCGCGCCAGGCACAAAGCTCACCATCATGTTTGGCGGACATTATTGGGATGGATGGAGGAAAGAAGATTATCCGGACCACGGGACTGCGGTCCGTATGGCAAAGGACATGTTGGAAAGACACCTGGGGATCACTGAAGCCCCCGCGCTTGTTCGAACACAGTTACAGGAGAATGCCATCCCCAGGTACCAGCCATTCCATATGACCCACACCCATGCAGTGTCTGCTGTTGCGAGAGAGGAATACCACGGCCGGCTGGTTCTGGTGGGTAATTCTTTCACCGGCGTGGGAGTGGGTGACTGCGTGAGGCAGGGCATTTTGGCGGCGACTCATGGAGTGGGTCGTCATGAGCTTCCTGTGACTCCCCGGATGGAGCCTAGCGACTGGTGTCCCTGGAAAGAATTCCATTACCTGCGTTGGGATATGAAGGGCGGTATTCCTACGGCACCGGTGCGGTTATTCGATTCGGATATCTGAACAAGCTCTCCCGTTTCCATCAATTTCAAATCTTGAGCGTTGATTTTCCCCGCTCCGCCTCCACTCATGGGTTCATCTTCGCTCACGCCGACGGCGTCTCGCCCCGGTTTTTGTACCTTTCGAGACATTGTCGAGGGTTAAAAGACAGGAGGGTCGTTACATGTATAACATGACCAAAAGCACTGTATCATAATCCGATATTCTTGTATCTAGATGCTAGATGAATTGCACTAGAGCTGACTCGGGCCATACCGAATCAGGGGCGCTGGAATGATTGTCAAGATGGATGTTCAACTCCTTAAAAATGCAAAGACATGCAAAGTACTCCGAATGAACTCGTGCGGATTGTCTGGCAGGCCTGCATCGGGTGACGGGTACTTGGATCTCCCGCAGTCGTGGCGTGACGCAAAGGGAGCCTTGTGCGATGTATGATGTTCCGGAAGCTTGCTGGTGTTTGAGATAGCCGAGGCCAGATAGACACCCATGAGGTGGTTCGGTGAGCCCCCATGAACGCAGTGAAGCTTGGAGGATCGAAAGCGCCACACTGTTACAGATATGGTCATAAGGATAGTATGAATGGTCTTGATGATAGCATCGCTAATTCGGAGAGTGCGCACGGCATGGCGCAGGATGTTGGTCTGTATCGTCGTCGTTTGAAGAGGAGAGGAGAGGAGAGGAGAGGAGACGAAAAGGTCTCGTCCGGGAGACAAAACTCCTTGTCATCAGGCGTTCTCCGGGCTGGCATCGTCCTTCTTCTCGCCATTGGAATCGAATCCCAGCGCATCCAACTGACGAATTAGCTCCGGAATCTTGATCAGCTTGTCCAACTGTTCCGGAAGGAGCGCCTCGCCTTCATTCTTCTTGTCGCGCAAGTCCCGCGCCTGTCGCAGCTTCTTCTTCAGATTGCGGGCCTTCTTCTCCTTCTCGGCCTCCAGGTCAATGGCTGGCTCGGCCGGTTCCGCATCCTTCTTCACAGCGGGCACGCGCCAGTTATCCGAATCGGCGCCCTTCTTCTCGGTAGTAGTCCCTTCCGTTCCATCCGACTCCTTCGCCTTGCGTCTAGCCTCGCGGCGCTTAGCATTTTTATTGCTGGCTGCCGTGCTGGCCGCTTGGGCAGCAGACTTGTCGTCTTCGCTGCTCATCGTTTCCGCGCCAGGAACCCCACCTTTGCCGCGATTTTTCCACGCCGCTGCGGCGCGGTTGCGGTACAGCTCGATATCCTCTGGGGGCTTGTAGCCTGGGCGAACGCGGATTTCGCGACGCTTGGAACCATCGGGTCGGACGGAGGATGGGATGTAGCGCTCGCCGGTCTTAGCGTCCGTGGTAATGCCGGCGGAGGAAACGTCATTGGAGGAGGACATGGTGAGTCAGTGTGTAGATGGTCTCTCTCTTGTCTCTCTCTCTCTCTCTCTGGAGCTGGCGGGGTGAATTACCGAGGAGGGCTCTGCCGGAGAGGTGTTGAGGTCGTGGTGAGAGAATGACGCAAGAAAGAGGAATCGGAACGAGGAATGATGAAGTTGTGTTTGTTGATGTAGCAGAGTGTTTGCTTGAATCATGCAGTGACAGCAGTCAATTGAAGCGGTAGCTCGGTAAAAAAAAATTGCCAGGCTCCAGCATCTCATCCCGCCCGTTTCTGTTTCTGGCTGTAGAGGTTAACCACGGGATGTTGGGTATGTTCCATGTTGTAATGGATTTACAGTTACAGTTTACACATCTTCGTTTTTACGTGCAGTATCACAGTATCACTATCTGGCATATCTGCTATGGTGTTATGATTGCTATCATGCCCTATTTGACAAGCTGTGATGCGACACTCTAGTACCCTATACTTCATAAGTTCATAGTCATACTTTTACAGTACTCGATTTCTCGGAATTTCATTTTTACACCATATCCAGCACCAGGAATGATCACTCTATGAGGCTTATACCTAATTCCCTATCATGTACATATATCTACAAGCAAGAGAACGTGTTCACAGTTTGGAGCTGAATAAGGCGAACCTCATCGCAAGTTGCCAAGTACAGTGTTGAGTGTTCATGACGAGCCTCTGTCTCGTAAAGTATTGGAGCTGAGAGCCAACTTGCCGAGTCAGACTCACTACCTGCATCTGGGCACACAATCAATGTCTTCCAAGATGGGTCGGATGTTTTTGTCAAACACATTGTATCTCCGCTTCAAATGCACACAAGTCGAACTAAATTGGAGAAACACATGGGAATCACCAGTCACCACCTGAAAAGGCGTCCATCTGTGTAACTCTCACCGTTGTATTGTTCGGCTTAACAGCAAGTCTTGGGAGAAGCCGCCGGACTCCAGTGAACCAATCAGCAGCCCGAGAATTCCCGTGCTTTTCGCTGCGAACTTCGACCTTCCGATTCCAACGCATCCTTAACTTCCATCTCCGTCCTGTCTTCCGACCCCGTCCTCCAGTCGCCGTCGCACACCCTCCCAGTTTTCACAATGGCCGGTGTATGTTGCGTCCTCCCTGTTCCCGGGAATTGCTACTCTGTAGACTGCAAGAGCTTTATACTGACACCGATCGCACCTCCAGATCTCCAACGTTATCTACCAGCATGTCTCCCCACGCTCAATCCAATAGTCGCAATGGCACCCCCCAGAATCTAACGACCTCTTTCGCTTGATCTAGGACTATCATTCGCCGGAATGCCGTCTTCCTGACCACCATCTTCGCCGGTGCTTTCGCTTTCGAGCTGTGCGTTGAATCCGACCACTACCATGATGCCAAGTTATGGTGCTAACGCGCGGATCACTCTCCAGGTCTTTCGACACTGCCTCCAACAAGATCTGGGATACCTGGAACGCTGGCGTACGTCTCCCCGTTTCGTCTTCATCGTTGTGTCCCAAGTCGGACTTCCGGCGTCGCCCTCCAGAACGCCCTTCCCTCGAGTCATCATATCTCATACCAGGGTCATCTGCTGACATCTTTCTTCACATACAGCGTCAATGGAAGGACATCAAGCCCCGCTACCTGACTCAGGGCGACGAGGATGAGGAATAAACCTGTGCGATTCTGCTCGACTATGGTGGTATAGAGTCGTCGTCAAAGGGGCCTTTTGGAGTTGAAAAAAAGCAAAGCCGCAAGCCTTGCCACCACTCCATTTCTGTACTCATTCCAGCTACGGCATTGTATGTGATAGATCATGGAGACCTGAATTTGAATTGTTTCTATAAAAGTCGTTGTGTTCGCGGTGGTTGATTCCATTCGTAAATGTTACCTCAGTACGTGGTGCCTCGGAGCCTGAATTGCAGTGGCGTGCTAAGAGCGAGACCGCTCCGTCGATGTCATAGTCGAGAAACCGCAAAAAACGATTGCAACATCCATCTTCACTTGTTTGAGTCTCCCAGCTTCGCCTTACTTTCACTTCAGCCCAACCTTATCTGAGACTTAAGTCACAAGCGATAAGAAGCCGTTACCTCATCAAGACTTGGAAATATTCGTCGGTCGGTTAGGCTGTCCTATGAGTCGACCTCATCGGTCCACACCTCGCCTGTCGACTCTTTTCCCCCACCACGATCGATCTACGATCTCGAATAAAGAAACGGCAACTGCCCAGACAGCACCATCGGGTTCGGTCCCTTACTCGGCTGCTTTACTTCGCATAACTTTCCCTGTCGATCGGAGAGCTGTCCAACTTCGTCTAACGCTCCGATACCTCCAGAGTAACTGTTTGACGGTGAAGCCGGTCCGCGCGCCAACGGGCCTTTCCTCCCCCTCACACGCCGGTGACAAGTCGAGCGGCAACCTCCGTCTGGATCATCACAGGACATCTGAACCATGCACATGCTCTCAGAATGTGAAAAAATCCTCGGTGAAGGTCTCCTGCGTTTACCTGCGCAACACAATTATCGATATGGGCCCAAGGCCGAGCGGGACCTACTTGAGCTGCTATTTCGGTCGCTCGTAGGCCACAGCGAGGAGCTCCTGATCCATCTATTCCCCGATGGTACACCCAACGGGCCCTGGAAGTTGGCTGAAGCTCAGGGAGCGCGTGAGGGCGCCGAATATAGCGAGTCTGCGCGGGGCAAGCGATGCGGGCATATTTTCCGGGCGGGAGAGGCGACTTATCGCTGCGTCACCTGCGCGGCCGACGATACTTGTGTTCTCTGCAGCCGATGCTTTGACTCCTCAGACCACACCGGCCATCAATATCAAATCTCGCTATCGTCAGGGAACTGCGGCTGTTGTGACTGCGGTGACGACGAGGCCTGGCGGCTACCGCTCTTCTGCGCCATCCACACCGATAGTGGAAACGTCAAGAGCAAACAGCGCGCAGAGCGACAACTACCTGCAGAAGTGATAGATTCCATTCGTCTAACTATTTCACGGGTTCTCGATTACTTTTGTGATGTCATATCATGCTCCCCCGAGAATCTGCGTCTGCCGAAGACGATAGAAGGCATCAGGCAGGATGAAGAGGCATCCCGCCTGCGACCCGGCTGGTACGGATCGGGCGATCAGGAAGAGGATGAACCTGAATTCGCGCTGATGCTCTGGAATGATGAAAAGCATACCATTCGCGACGTAGCTCACCAAGTCACGCGAGCCTGTCGTGAGCGAGATAGCTTTGGTGTTGCACGGGCTCATGAGACAAATGACATCGGCCGCAGCGTAGTCAAGTATTCAAAAGACCTGCAGCGGTTGTTGGCAGTCTCGAAGATCATCGAGGAGATCAAGGTCACAGTGTCCGTTCGATCTGCCCGCGACACCTTCCGCGAGCAGATGTGCGGTGCGATTGTTGAGTGGTTGGCCGACATTGCTGGCTGCAGCATTCTGGATGACAATGAGATATTCCGCCAAATTATCTGTGAAGAATTGCTCAGTCCATGGCGTAAAGGCAGCGGCGCTTATAATGCCGACATAGGAATGAAGGGCATTGACGATCACCAAGAAACGGAGAACTACCTGCGGGGACCGACTGTCATGCTCACTCTTCCACCCCATGGTCAAATTGTACTTGCCACGACCGATGATGACGAAGATGGCGATGTCGACGATGAAAACGAACAGGACGAGGAAGAGGACTACGTCGAGGCCCACGATGACGCTGACGACGAGGATGACTTGATTGAAATGGAACTTGCCCGTCTCCAAGCCGAAACCACTAACGACGTAGACGAGGATATGGACATGGGTATTGACGAGGAGCTTGCAATGGCTGAACGCATTCTGGCCGGGCTTTCTCGCACACATCCCGTTGCTCCTCGCCCAGCTCCGCAGGCCAATGAGGAACAAGCCGAACAGGATGGACAAGCCGGTACCGCTTCTCATCATGAAGTCGAAAGTCAACCGCCAGTGGAGACATACGTATCAATTCCAAAGACTCCATCGGGTGCTGTCCGACCACCACCTGCGAGGACCGAAGGTCACTGGCAGGTTCGCCCTCCCGCACCAGCTCCTGGACAGAAGCTTGCACCTTATGAGGACTTGTGGCAGCGTACCCGTCTTGACTGGTTGGTTCTTTTCGATCTCCGGTTGTGGAAGAAGACCCGGACAGATTTGCGTGACCTCTATATCAGCACTGTCGTCAACGTGCCTCAGTTCAAACGCATCATGGGCTTAAGGTTGTCGGCTCTTTACACAGCTCTAGCACAGCTTTATCTAATTGCGGATCGAGAGCCGGACCACTCTATTGTGAATCTGTCCTTGCAACTTCTTACGACTCCCTCAATCACCGAGGAGATTGTGCTCCGCGGCAATTTCCTCACCAAGGTCATGGCCATTCTCTACACCTTCCTGACTACAAGACAAGTGGGCGAGCCTCAGGCAGTGAATCCGAATGCCACGCTCGCTTTTGATGCTGGATCTGTTACAAACAGACGACTTTACCACTTCTTCCTCGACCTCCGTTATCTGCTGCAGTCTGAGTACGTCCAGCATCGAGTCCGGACGGAGGAACAGTACTTGCCTCAATTCTTGGATTTAGTGAAACTATCTCAAGGCATCTGCCCCAACGTTCGTGCGGTTGGCGAGCACGTTGAGTACGAGACCGATGCCTGGATCAGTGCATCGATTCTGATGCGAGAAATCAATCGTCTCTGTCGACAACTTTGTGAATCTTTCCGAAACCCTGAATCCGATGGCGGTGACCATCTTTTGCGAGCCATCAAGACGAGCGCCTTGACTACGATCATTCATTCGGCTGGCGTGGAACGCAAGCGCTTCGATCAAGCCGAGATCAAAGAGGAAGTCAAATTCAAGACCTTGCAGCCATTTGATTTTGAGATCGGCTCATCTGGTGAGGTGCCCTGTCACCGTGTCGTCGAGTTTGCTGTCGAAAAGGGCTCAATCAGCTTCCATCACGCGCTACACTACACCCTGTCCTGGCTGATTGAATGCGGTCGGGGCATGAGCAGTGAAGTGGTGCGGGGAGCCCTGTTTGACGCTGCTCAAAGCGCCAGGGATGAGCTTCATGCGGCGAAATATGCTGGCAAGCCTATTGATGACAGTCTCCTTGCTCTTGGGCCCGAGGATCTTCTGTTGACAATGTTTGACTATCCATTGCGAGTTTGTGCCTGGCTGGCTCAGATGAAGGCCGCAATGTGGGTTCGAAACGGTCTCAGCCTTCGTCATCAAGCATCCCAATACCGCGGTGTCTCATCTCGAGACTTTGCATACTATCGCGACATCTTTTTGCTGCAAACGGCGCTGGTCACTTGTGATCCCAGCAGGGTTCTCGCATCCATCGCCCACCGATTTGGCATGGTCGATTGGATGTCACGGAACTATATGCCGCGCAGCGGCTTCGAGGACACGCAGATTGTCGATGTTGCCGAGGAATTTGTTCATCTCCTAGTCATCCTGTTGACTGATCGCACTTCCTTGACGGCCATCGATGACAGCTCTTATCTGACCAAGGAGAACATCAGTCGTGATATTGCTCATGTCCTTTGCTTCAAGCCTCTGTCATTCTCAGATCTTTCCACTCGTCTGAGTGACAAGCTGCTGGATTCCGACATGTTCCAGGATGTCCTTGAAGAGGTTGCCAACTTCCGCCCTCCTGAGGGTCTCAGTGATTCCGGAACCTTTGAACTGAAGTCGGAATACTTCGACCTCGTCGATCCTTACAGCGTGCACTATACCAAGAACCAGCGAGACGAAGCCGAGAACATTTACAAGGAATGGATGGCGAAGAAGACGGGCAAGAAGGCTTCTGACATTGTTTACGAGCCCAAGCTTCGGCCTATCACTTCCGGTGTCTTTTCGGATTTGCCTCGCTTCACGGGTACCATACTCTTCGCACAGCTTGTTCACCAGTGTCTTGAGTACATTGTGTCCTTCAAGGAGTGTACTCCTGCCATTCCGCCGACTCGAGTGGAGACCTTCCTTCAGGTCATCCTTCATCTTGTACTTGCTGCAGTGCTCGAGGACGACACTGAAGATGGCAGTATGGATAGGGAGCCAAGCCAATCCTTCAACTTGCATGCCATGTCCAAGACCCGTGAGATCAAGGCTGGAAACTTGACCATCGTCGGCCTTCTTGAGAGAATCTCCGTCACTCCGGAATTCTCTGCATGTGGCCCCAAGATTCGTCACATTCTCAAGCGTCTGTGGCAGAAGCGTCCTCAGACCTACACATCTGCAACAGCCTCCCTCAGATTCCCCTTCGACCGGATTGATACCAGTTCTCCCGCCATTGATAATGACAATGAAAAAGAAATCAAGAAGAAGGCGGCGTTGGAGCGCCAGGCGAGGGTAATGGCACAGTTCCAGCAGCAGCAACAGCAGTTTCTAAACACCCAAGGCGACATTGACTTTGGCGAGGAGGACTTTAGCGACTCGGAAACCGAGGTGCAGACTCCTCAAGAGTCAAAAGTATGGAAGTACCCCAGTGGTACCTGTATCTTCTGCCAGGATGAAACCAATGATTCAAGGCTGTACGGTACGTTTGCCTTGATTCAAGACAGCACGATCCTGCGGCAAACAGACATCCGGGACCCAGACAGGATTCGCGAAGCACTGAAGACTCCGACTAGTCTGGATAGATCCGCCGATCACGTTCGACCATCTGGTGTTTCTGGTGAGAATCGCACGACCATTCGACGGCTGGATTCCTCTGGGGGTGAGGTAATCAGCGAGAAGGTTGGCCTCAGCAAGGGATTTAACCCGAAGAGTACTTTGCGGGGCCCTGTGACAACTGGCTGCGGCCACATCATGCATTACTCGTGCTTTGACGTCTACTATACCGGCACACAAAGGCGACACAGTCAACAAATTGCTCGCCATCATCCAGAAAACATTGCGCTCAAAGAGTTTGTGTGCCCGCTGTGTAAGGCACTTGGCAACGCGTTCCTACCAATTACTTGGAAGGGCAAGGAAGAGTCCTACCCCGGTGCTTTAAACACCGCTCAGCCGTTCGATGAATGGATTGCTACAGGGCTGAAAAGCGCTTTGCACCAGACACAAAACTTCCCTGTTCTCATGGTAGAAAAGGAGAAAGCATACCCCCATCCATATGCGGAACTTTTCAACGACTACTTGTCGAAATCCCTCACGCCTCCCCTGTCTTCGAAGATCGGACAGCTCACTTTATCTCCGGTGCCTTCAACCGGGCCATCCCATCCATTAGCCTCGGTCTCACGCCTTGCTATGCCTGGAATTTACCCAGCTGGCGAGGAGATGGCACCGATCAGTCCTTTGCAGCAGGTATCCACACCATCGGATAGCCCGATGACGGAACTTCTCCAAATTTACAAACGCCTGAAGAAGACAATCAAACTCAACCACATCAGCTCAATTTTTAATAACAGTCCCGATACTGTGATCAGTGATGACTTGGTCCACATTGATTCGCTGATTCGAAGCTTTGGCTTCAGTATCTCCGCTGTCGAAATCGCGCAGCGCGGAGTCGAGTCCGAGCCCGGGTCAACTCTTCTGGACAAGATTCCATCGCTGACTTTGACCCATCTCCGTATATTGGCAGAATCAGCGATGACCTACGCAGCTGTGGGTTGTGTTCACTCCAATAGTGGCCCCAAGAGTCGTCCAGCCCTTGAATTTCAGGAAATGCATCGACAGAAGCTCTGCCAGCTGCTTGCCGGGCATCCTTGTTTGAGCGGGACGCCACTGCTCAATGATGTGAGAAACATTGAGCCTCTCCTCGCCATGGATACCTTTGTCTTCTTGGCAGAGTGCTCCCTCGCATTGTTGCCGGTCCTACGCATTGATGTGCGCCATCTCGTGCAAATGTGCTATGTGGCTGAGATTGTGAAGGTCGCTGTCACATTCATTCTGTGGCCCTTAGGTCTTAAGGAGGAACTGGCGAGCCAAGGTGAAGCGGATCTCGCCGGTGTTGACGTCTCTGACGATCGGTACAATGTGACGAGACATTTCTTTGATTCAATTGTCGCGGAACTCAAGGCCAATTCCGTCGGTCGTGCCGAAGGATCTTCATTCCCTGCCGAGAGTGGCTATGTGAAGGATGGTGAAGAATCCGCCACGCCCAATGTGATCGTCGCCCTTCGCCGACTCCTTGCTAGCTATGCTTTGACTTTCTTGCGAAAATCAGTGATCTTGCTGCATGTGCAGCACGGTGTTGATTTCCCCAACACGGGCTTTACTGATATGGGCTCTTCAGAGCTTGATCGGCTGACCAAGGCTCTCAGCTTGCCTACACTCGATGAGATCCTGATGTCTATCAGTCCAGCCAGGAAGACCAACAGTCCGTTTGACGCGGTTATCTCCGGATGGATCTTCCACTGGAATGCCTCGCGATCGGGTATTCGCTTCGAGGATCACCGACTATGGCCCAGTCTCCCTCATCCGAGTATCTTCGAGCTTGTCGGCCTACCAAAATACTTTGATAGTCTTATCGAGGAGGCCAACAAGAGGCGGTGTCCGAACTCGAAGAAGGAGCTCAGCGATCCAAGTATTTGCCTCTTCTGTGGTGACATCTTCTGCTCACAGGCGGTTTGCTGTATGCACAACAAGCTAGGCGGATGTAATCAGCACCTGCAAAAGTGAGAAATTTCACCCTTGAAAATTGCTCAGATCTTCGCTAATCTTTCTCTTTCTCACTTCAAACAGGTGCGGCAAGAACATCGGTCTATTCATCAACATTCGCAAGTGCACTGTGCTTTATCTGCACAATCACAACGGTTCATGGCACTACGCCCCTTACCTTGACCGCCATGGCGAAGTTGATCCTGGCCTGCGCCGAAACCGTCAGCTCATTTTGAACCAGAAGAGATACGATCGACTGCTACGTGACGTATGGCTGTCCCATTCTATTCCTGCTACGATTAGTCGCAAGCTTGAATCAGAAATGAACAACGGTGGTTGGGAAACCATCTGATGAACGATGTCGATGATGGAAAATCGTGTTTCTTTACATTTACGTTTCTTTGCACGTCTTGTACATTTCTTCTTTCACCCGATTGATTGAGCGTGCATTTGTATCTCGAGGGCGATTGCGAGCTTTCTGCGCCGGTCTATTGTACCTTGGTTTCATTTGTACATTGAATTCACTTACCATTCACTTTTTGTCTCGAAGAATACTAGGCCGTCTACCTCGACGGGTACATAATCATCTACCTGCTTGGTCTCCTACGGTGCTCGCAAGGTCTTGGCAGCATACGCAAAGAGTGCCTTCATAAAGAGCCCGAAAGGATTGACCGGTTTTTGAGGCCAAAACCGCGTGACCACTTTTTCGTTTATACCTGCTTTTTTGTAAACCTCTACACAACTCTAGTTGGAAATTCGGCAAAGTCTACTCCGGATGCTGACTCAGGCCCTGCGGGATTTCGTGTTAGGCCCATCTTGCATTCCTGGCTAGCGGTCGAGGTCGTGCCGAGGTTATTTTCAGTAAATCGTGCTGTCACTGTGATATCTGTGCTGCGGCGCAACTACCCGTCACTCCGGATGCGATAAGGTTATATCTTATCGGCCGCCAAGGCGGATATTCTCAGCTCAAAATTGACGTTGACATCAGCTGACCTTCTTGATACTTAACACAAGACAGCAGAACGCCATGAATAACGAACAATTTCGGCGACTTCTCGCCGACAACTTATCGGAATCCAAATCACAAGGTCAAAAAGACACGTCACCGCGAAATGCATCGAGGGGCGGTGCCACTCCGAGCGCGATGTTGGGATCGCGAATGCGCTCAAGCATCCCAATGACTCCGTACGTCAACCCTATCTCTACCTCAGCTGTCACGATACTAATCAGTTGCTTTCACAGGCGCTCTGTGTCCGGCGTGGACTTTGCCAAACAACTTGCGGAGCAGCGTCGGGAGAATGATCCTCATCCCGCAAAGCGATTCAAATCGTCTGCCGCGCCAAAGGGCAGCAAATTACCTTCCGGGTATCGGGACCGCGCACAGCTCCGGAATGCAGATGGAGATCAAGAGGAAGATTTACAAAAGCGGGTCAAGGCACTCGAGGAAATGGTGAAGCTCGGCCAAATCGACCAGGCCACTTTTGATAAGCTGTGCGCCGAGCTTGGAGTTGGTGGAAACACAGAGAGTACCCATATGGTCAAAGGACTTGACTGGACGCTATTAAAACGAGTCCGTGCTGGTGAGGATATCACAAAAGCGCCGGAGAAGCCGCAGCCTACTGTGACTGAGGAAGCTCCGTTTGCCGAGGAGGACATAGATGAAGCTTTCGAGAGGGTAACGGAGGAGAAAGGCCAGGAAGAGGTCAAAGTCGCACCTAAGGGGAAGAAGGAAAAGAAGGGAACCATGGCGCCACCTCCACCCCGTCCAAAGACGCGAGACGAAATATTGAGGGAGCTTAAGGCTAGTCGAGCCGCTGCTAAAGTGCCGCCGCCAGCCCCGGAGCCAGCACTGGGCTCCAAGTTCAAGAAGGTCGCCGATCGAAAGCCCGAGAAGAAACGATTCATAGAATCTGATGAGAACGGTCGACGACGAGAAGTACTCTTGATAACCGACGCCGACGGTAACACGAAGCGGAAAGTGCGTTGGCTCGATAAACCGAACAATCCGCGTGGCACGCCGTCATTGCCCATGCCAGACAAAGACGCTCAACCACTCGGAATGGAGGTCCCTGCCGAATTCGCCGTCCGGGCAGCTCCAGAGGAGGAAGACGACGATATCTTTGCCGGTGTGGGTGCAGACTACGACCCGCTTGCCGGTATCGAGCAAGAGGATGACTCCTCGTCTGATGAAGAGGGCGAGTCCGTATCTAAACCGTCTGCGCCAGCTGTCAAGGATTCCAAAGACACCGAATCAAGTGATCTGCAACCATCACGGCCACGCAATTACTTTGCAACCAGCACTTCCGCTACTGTCGACGAGGAAGTGGAGGACCGCTCCAATCCTCTCACGAGGGATCCAAACATATTGGCTGCTATCAAACGAGCCGCTGCTCTCCGGCAAACTTCTCCCTCGGGGAAGGCGACTCGGAGCTCTCCGCGGAAGCATCTCTTCGTCAGAAGAGGTTCCTCGAGGAAGCTCGTCGTCGGGACGCAATGGATGCTGCAGATATGGATATGGGATTCGGGGGGAGCCGTATTGAGGATGGCGAAGACGATGACAATTTGTTGTTGGACTTTGACGGTCAGGAACGCGGGGGTAATAAACGGAAACGCGGACCCAAGAAGAAGAAGGGTGACAAGAATAGTGTTAATGACGTGATGCGCGTGCTTGAGGGAAGGAAGAAGGATGGTGAATGAACAGCCAGACTGAGTGCCCGGTTATGCATCAGTCCAATCGAAATCTTCCTCGTCACCGATGGTCGATGGTTATCGTGCATCACAGTTTTTTGTAGACTCTGGACGTCATTATCCATAAAGGAGAAGCGTCTGGGTTGATTATCACGCAAGCTAGTCTATGAATGTCTTCGCAACGCCAGACTATCCATGCCTCTCATATGTAGTCGACTGCTTCCATAGAAGACTCCATTTTGAACTTTGGCGACTTCACGATGACTGCCTCAAAGCCCAGTATGCTGCCTCAATCCCGTTTCTGCTTGGTCTTATGTAAGTCTACAATGCTCATGATACCTTGAAGAGTTTCGATGGCCTGCACGCACTTCAGTGGATGGTCTCTCATGCTTGGGCTTCACAACATCCAAACAGAAAGAACCCTTGTAAACGAAACCTCCGTACCACATTTAGAAGCCTTCGTGAGAATGTCGTTGGAGACGCAATGATACTGGTTCCTCGTAGTCCCTCGCTCCTGGAAACCCCAGCTTGATCATCCAGCGTTGCTCTGTACTAGAACTGGCGACTTCAGGAGACTCTGCGGCTAAGAACACATCTGACATCAGGCAGCACGGCTTAATATAAGACTTCGTTTAAATCGCATTATTCCTATGCCAAATGTTGCCATAGACCTGTGCTGTGCAACTGGCAGCATGATACAATCTGATCATTCATGTTGTTTACCTGTCTCTGTTGATCAACAGTAAAACACGCTCACACGTGTAGATACCGTGGCTTCCCTTCAACATGGACTAGTCGTCCTAGGTAGCAGGCCCCAGCGTGAGGCCTGATATCCATATCCAGACTCGGCAGAATCGTACCTTCCACAAAATCATTGAAGAAATGTTTGCTCTAGCGTGTGTCACGCCCTCCCTGAGAGGTATAAATACTGCCTCTTCGCCCTCCTTCTTTTCTCTTTCTTCAACTTCTCTTCCTCATCTCACCTCACTTCACTTCATCCAACTTTCCCCTTCATCCTTCACCATTTTATTCCATCTCACCCATCCCTCGCCTTGGATGTCGACATCGCCTCACGATATGAATGTCTTCAACAGATGCAGCCTCTTGGGACAATCATCATGTCCAGTCCTTGACTGAAGGTAAGATGGCTTGTGCACCTTAGTGGTTGGCAGGTCGGACGGGGTCGCAGGTTTCCTTACCAGCATCGACGCGTAGTTTGTCAACATTGCTGACGTAGGTCTCTCCTACGCAGGTCTTCTTCGGTTCCAGCACATGTTGCCTGGCGGTGCAGCACACATCACCACATCACAAAAAGGTAAGATGGCTTGTGCACCTTAGCGGTTGGCAGGTCGGACGGGGTCGCAGGTTTCCTTACCAGCATCGACGCGTAGTTTGTCAACATTGCTGACGTAGGTTCTCTCCTACGCAGGTCTTCGCGATTTCGACTCGAGCATATTCTTCTTATGGCACGCCATCCATCATCATCTCACATCAAGGTAAGATGGCTTGTGCACCTTAGCGGTTGGCAGGTCGGACGGGGTCGTAGGTTTCCTTGCCAGCATTTTGACATGCAGTTGGTCACATTGCTGACGTAGGTTGATCTCCTGCGCATGTTCTCATCAGCTCAAGCATGTGCCATTAATCATGATACATCGCATTATGGGGAGCTGAGGTGTCCTGTGGACCTTGGCGGTTGGCCTGGTCAGACGTCGTCTCAGGTTTTCTCACTAACCTCGACGCGAATTTTGTCGTTTTGGTTGACGGATTGTCTTTTCGTACTCGGGTCTCGCTTGGTTAAAGTGCTTTCTTCAGAGCATGAAGCAACTATTGTGAGTGAACTCTCTCGGACAAAGGTGAGACGTTCCGGGTAGTTCGGTGGTTGATCTGTCGGACAGAAAGTTGGTCTCTCTGACCAGGTTCGCCTCATACGTTGCTAGTGTAGGGGTAGTTCTTTATTTGTGGGCATGCGATGCATGGCATCCTAGTCGATGTAGCGATGGAATCACGGCGTCTTCTGTTTCATTGGTCAGTATGGTTCAACTTGAATGACGAGGTCTGGTTGGCTTTCTCAATGGACATGTCAGAACAGGTCCATTGCACTTCACTAAGAGGCCTTCACCGGAAGATTTTGTAGACAGCGCATTCTTTTGCTGCCACGTGGGCTCCAATCCTATCATTGACCTTTTACGATGAAGGTTGCCAATGTGTGTGGGGTCCACTACCTATTCAGACTGAGTTCCGACTCTGAAAACGGAGACAGGTGTTTTGAAACTCTCATCGGTCAAAAAAACCCACATTAGTCTCCTATGAAAATTTGTTGTCTGGATGCTATGCAATTCTTGAGTCTGGACCCTGAATGAGTGGATGGTCCCGGAAAGGGTGGCTTGTTGGAATGCAAATGAGTGCTTCGGATATGGCATGACGGGATCACATGATTGACCCGTGTCAGTCCAACTGACTCCAATAGAGCTGGATCTACTATGATTATATCTAGAGTGCGATATTTGAATCAGTTCAGAGTCAAATTATAAAAATACCTGAGTAGATCTTTAATGATGAGGTAACCCTACCTACGAATTTTATGTCAATGTCTTGGCACATCGGGTGATGGAAACCCATCCGTGGCCTGCTTCACCTGTGATCCCCGGACGTGGGCGTGGGTTGATCAAATAGCTGTCATTGATACCGAGAACATCGATTATGAGGCCTTATGGCCGTTTACATGGGTTTCTGGGTACTCTACGCTCTTAGCGAATGGCACCTTCTTCAGGGGTACGTAAGATTGAGCCCTACACTGAAGCCCTTTGTTGATCAATACCTGTTTGCACCGCTGAGCTGGAAGTACAGCCCTGAGCCCATAGGGTCAGGAAGATAGTCAGGAATATTTTCTGAATGAAGTTCCTCGAATGACCATCTAAGGAGACTAATTAGATTGAAGGCCCGTCGGTGTTTTATGTAGACTGCCAAACCTGGAGTCCTGGACTCTTACCCCCAATAACCCTCCAGGCTGTTGTAGCTACAATGAAGCAAAGACAACAGCCCAGAGCGCTGGCTCTCTAAGCTTCCTGCATAAATGTCTCGAATACAATACCATCTTTTCTGGGTGCACTAAGGTTATTAGCCGCAGTACCATGTCTTGCCGAGAAAGATGCACAGAGGCAGTCGCGAATTGGACAACCTTTGTACCATTGTATGAGAAGTATATAATATCCAGGGACCAGGGACTGTTCGTACCTACCAGAGCTTCCGCGTGAGGCTTTCAAAAAGACGATTTGCTTAGATATATATCGGGCGGCGGAACCACCATCACTAGAAGGCTGGATGATTTCCCCACTGGAGTCAACACCAACCACATGGAGTAGAAACCTTGTTTCAATCCTCTGCTCTTTTCATTTCACCTACTGGGATCTACAGAAGATGTCCATGTACATAACATGTCTCGACGAAACTGCTCAAGTCATTTCCCAGCTACCGACAGTGGAAGGTTTCACAGGTAATAATCACCGCAATGCCCGGACAGGCGTATATCGAGGCGATCAGCACATTTTCGATGGGTTGTGACCTTGCCTGCTAGAAAATATGGTTTGACAACATAGCGCCAAGTTTTGGTGGGTGTATATCAATCAGTACCAAGTGGTCGAGCAGTAACTCGATTATCCTGTCTTCCTTGGTCTAGTGGTCATGATTTCCGCTTGTCACTACATCTGATAAGCGCGGGAGACCGGGGTTCGATTCCCCGAGGGAGAGATTCTTTTGTGGACGATGTGCTTTTTTTTGACGCCCGATTACGGTCGAAAGGTCTTGTTGGGAAACATCTTTTGACTCAGGATAATGAATGGCTGACTTCCGACAGAATCATTGAGATCACCCCCATAGATATATCTCATTCTGCGTTCACCCGTGCGGCGACACTGCTTGAGGGCTATCGACTCCCAGTCTGCCTTGGTATATTGTGACTAGCCTGGGAAATGTACCGTTTGTCCATCCAATCTAAGTACACAAACTCCAGGGATCTTATAGAGGCTCAATGCTTATGTCTATGTTTTCCTTCCTTTTCAATTCACCTTCACCAGGGCGTGACTATGCAATGGTCAGCGTCCTAGTCAACAAAGCCATGTGGTCCAGGCACGTGCCGTTATTCTACGTGTGATCCTTCAGTCCTCCCGTACTATGACTCTCCAGTGGTAAACAAATAACAGGTTCACCAGTGTAGATCGCATATTTTGAGGACTGGTTGCATCATGTTCAACTGTAGCTGACCTAAAGACGTGGCTATACTCGATATGGTCGATCAGACCGACAACGTCTAGCAGTCTACTATAGTCACACAGACCCTTCGTCTTATCACACGGAATGTGGAGTACAGCTACACGTGATACGGACCCCCTGACGCGCCATCAAGATGACGACGCATCTTGCCGCATTTCAATTGTAAGAGCTGGAGAGGCACTCGAGGTCTTCAGATCAACTCGTCTACCTGACACCTGGACAAACCAGCTCCTGCAGACCTGATCCAAGTCTCATCATCAAAAGTGAAACATTGCAAGGACGCAAGATTGAGCCCAGTCGGATGACGATCAGTCCGCGAGCCTATCGGCTGAACCGTGCGGAGACCCTTGCGGTTCCTGTTTAATGCTCCTGTAGGGTCAACGGCCGCCCCGAAGACCAAGCTTATCTGGCCCCCGCCAGCGGCAGCTCTGGTTCGACTCTTCTACATCCGACCCGCTCGTTGATCAGAATGGGGAATCTGGATGGACAGTCTGCCACGTCAGACAGATCGACTGTAGGGCGGTCATCATCAACTGAGCACCTGCAGGGAGCATTGACATCGGTTGATGGAAAAGAAGAGGCCGGGCCCGATGTGTTTGAAAGACGAGGCTCCGATGACACCGAGAATGGAGGCGATGCACAAGGCGAGGAGGGGTTTGTCCTCTCACGTAGTGTGCAAGACCCGTCAGAGGAGCTTCCGATTGAGCTCGTGAGCTTGACAGATCGGTCGGTCAAAGAAGAAGCACCTTCATGACACACTGGGTGATGCTGACGATGTTGCCTAGTTTCGTCAACTCTTTGAGTGCCAAAGTACACAACTCGCCTCCAACGATCGACAAAATATCCTCCATGTTCCAGGTCTTTTACAGCCGCGCAGAATCTCATATCGCTACCCATATCTCGACACTGGCCTCCCGCATCAATCGCGATCCACAACCCCGCCCTCAAATCAAGTCGAGAGGGAGTGCACTGTCGGTGTTGACCAGCAAACGCTCTCAAGATGACTTTGGACAAGCGACCAGTGGGCGCCAATTGCTGACCGCGGAAGAGGTAGCCCAGAGGCGAAAAGCACGCAAGGCCCTTGAATTCAAACGTGCGGCGCTGGAGGAGGCTGCGGAGCGGAGAGTGTGTGAGCAGGTATATGACAAGATCTGGAGACACAGAAGTACCCTTGACGATGTGCGGGATGAGAAGTTGCGCTCAAAGACAGCAGCGCTCATGCTTGTCGGAATCGATCTGAAGGACCTAGGCGTGGAGATTAATATGGATGCCATTGAGGAGAGGAAAAGACAGGAAGCCAATGATTTCCTGGCTCAGGCCAGGAATCATCTGACCCAGATGAATGAGCCCAAGTATCCCTTGGGAAAACTTCAGCAGTTGGCTGCCGCCCATAAGGCGATCGTCGATGCCCTCACGAAACTCCTTCCTTCGTCTTCGTCGGCAGATGAGATTTTACCGACGTTGATTTACTGTCTCATTACATGCCCGCCTGAAGGGATCGATATTGTTAGCAACCTGCTTTTCATGCAGCGATTTCGCTCTTCGACCAAGATAGACGGTGAAACCGCCTACTGTTTGACGAATTTGGAAGCCGCAATCAGCTTTTTAGAAAATGTTGAGTTATCCAGCCTGCGTGCAGACGAAACGCAAGAAGGGCCTACCAAAACTCCCAGTGAAGGTCCAACCCCGTCATCAGAGCGAATTGATCCGTTCCGACCAAAATCCGAACGTACTTCGGCGTCGGTGACGCCTGTTTCTGCCGTCTCCGAAATGGCGAAGCCCCAAGCAAAAGAGCCGGTCTCTTCTACTTTGCCTCGTCCCCCCCCCCCCTTGCCCCTCAGCAACGCCGCCTGAGTAACTTGTTCCAACCACCAGCCAGAGTGCTTGAGGCAGCGAATGATGCAGTCCGTAACACCGCCGATCAAAGCCTCAAAAACATTGGCGCTACTCTAGACAACAGCTTCAATTTTCTCTTCGGTCGTCTGAAGGAGATGCAGACCACATCTGGACCCAATGCCAATGGCTCCGAGTCACTCCTCCCCAAGACTCTTGCTGAAGCCCGCCGCTTAGTCGCGAATCCACCCGCGAATCCAAATCTTACACCGGAAGACATCGAGTCTCTCAACGCTCTTTCAAAGGAGGAGGCTGCTCGCAATACCTCACGTAGCGCAGGCCTGGCAAGTGGAGGAAGAACGCCCCGTGAACGAAGTACCGACAGTGCACGAACTCAAACAAGTGGCAGGAAATCAGTCTCTGGATCCGTTCGAGATGAGCAGGTGCAGACTCCAGCCGCAGCCTCTAGCCCCAACCCTCTGGACTCGATGCGCAACTTTGGCAACACACTGAATCCCCTCAATCACATCCCCGGAATGATCAAGAATTTCGGCCGGGCGACACCCGAGACCCCTAATCCACGTGCGCTGTCACCTGCCGCAATGGACCGCTTGAAGATCTCGCCAGCCTCGACAGACAATGCCGTCAGTCCCCTCGCAGGGTCTCCTTCCGTTCAAATTGATCCACCTATCCAGCGACTTCTTGATACTCGGGATGCGCGAGACCTACGTCTTGGGGATGTCGCAGCCCTACTGGAAGATTACAAGAGATTAGCGGCGGCGCTCACCCGTTTGAATGAGGCATCTCGCTGAGAGATTCCACGCTGGGCGCAACGGACCGATATGTCCTGTAAACCAGGCTTGAATTGTATTCCTATATTGTATGCTATACTTTGTGTCGAGCGACCTTTTCCAGGCCTGGTCTGTCTCTTATTTTTGGGATGATTAACACAATTCATTAAGGGCAATGCTTAGTGATACATCATGGCTTCTGAAACTGTACATATCATGAAGATCGAGAATTCATACCCTTCTAACCGTACGAGGCTCCATTCAGCGGTATCGGTATCCTGCACGAAAGAATAAAGAACCAAGAAGTTAGAATTCTCGTAGCCCAACAAGTTAAGGAAGTGCGATTTGACTAAGGGTATTCGACTTTTCGGAATGGACGTTTTCGGAGATATCATGGGAAGACTGGGGGGCCAAGAGCAGAACATGGTACGATTAAAGACTGAGCGCAGTAATCTCAAGATTGAGCCAAGGCGCGGACGATGGCTCAGAAAGAGAGGAACTCTGTAATTCAGGTGCTGCGACCACGTAAGACTTCAGCGCCTCCGGTTCTCATTTCATTCAATTTCTCCGATATCTCAGAGTCCTGAGCCTCGACAAGTTCATGGCGACGTCTGATCTCGGCTTCAAAGACCGCAGCGGTTTGTCGTCGTGCGCGTCGTAGCTTCCTCATCTCGGTGAGCAAGTGGCTGAATCGGTCGATCAGCTGGTCGCCGCAATCTTCCCACTCTTCAACAGACAATTGAGTCAAATAGGCCTGGCGCTCTTCGTCTGTGAGCCGAAGAAGTTGGAACAAAGCGTCGTCTGGTGAGTGGTTGTTGGATAAAAGGCTGGCGCCTGGAGGTAGTGAGGGCGACTTGGCGGGAGGGGAAGGGACGGGGGTTGGAGCCTTGTCGAATGGTTCGGCCTGGAGGTCGGTAAAAGATTTTTGATATAAAATCTGTGGGGGGTAATCCGCCTCGAGTTGGCGTTTTCGGGTCTTGATTACTGTATTTCTTCGACCCCGACTGGTTGAGGTATGTTGATTTGAATATGGGATATGAGTCATCTCTTCAACCTCCCGGTCCAGCTCGGATTGATCCAGGTCTGAGAAATTGGTCATATCATAGTCGTGGGGAGAGTGCGGACTATGTCTTCTGCTATCGATACTGTCGATGCGAATTGTTTCGTCTTCGCCGTGTGGAAGATGAGTGTCGTTCTCACTTGGATCAAGTGTGCGAAACGTGGAGGCCATGCTCGTCATTCGCCCACCTTGAGGCGGTGGCTCAGAGCCATGGCGTTGAGACTCTCTGCGAGTGGGAGATATGTCGAGTTGTTCTAGTAGGGAGGGCTTTGGTGGACTGAAGCGCGTTCTTGGAGTGCCCGAGTTGTTGCGTGGAAGAGTGATCTTCTTCGGACCGGGGGGTGGGAGCAAATGGCCCAGTTTGCGAGGTTGAGCATCAGCAACGTGGTTAGCATGCACTGGCTGACGAGCTACATGTTCCACTGGGCTTGAGACCTGTGTTGGTCTCTTACTTGCAGACCAAAACTGCTCAAGTCGCTTTCTCAATGGCTCCTCTCCAGCTTGATTTTTCTTTTGAGGAGGATACCATTCATTCGAATCTCTGGCCTCGTTTGCAGGCATCGTCTCTTGGGCTGCTGCTGGTTTTCCTTGCTCTGGAATGACATCGGTCATCTCATCGTCTCCTCCGATTGACGAAGTCAGTTGACTGGCTGTATCTTCACCGTCGTCAGAGGCGTCAAAACCAGCCTTCTTCAGAACTTTATCGCCGAGCCCCCCAAAGAAGGATGATCTTTCAGGACGGTGCGTTGGCCGTGGTAAATGCGAAGGCCGCGGCGACGCGGGGCCTGGGTTCCCATTGTTTGCTGTTACAGCTTGAGCCTGACGGTCATCAAGCCCAAATACGCTGGTCCCAGCAATGGTTGAGTCGTCAATGGCCTCGACATCAGTATCAAACGCATCCCGCTTGCCCCCTCCCTTCGATGCAGGTGGAGGTGCATTCCCAGCAAGATCGCGAGAAAAGTCTGAAGGTATGGGAGATGGCTGGAATCCACGGCCGAGACCTAGTCCATTGCCAGTCACTGCAGGTTCATTGAAGTAGTTTTGGGGTATCTCCACTTTTGCCTGTTCAGCCCGCAGTTGGCGTTGAGACGGGGGTAAGGCGCCCGCCACGCGAGGTTGGCCAACTTCCCTAGAGTGGACAAAGTCACCAACTCCCATGTCGGGCAAATGAGCGGAGGCCTTGCTCTCAATGCAGCTTGCAAGATCAGACTGCCACCACAAACTTCGGTCGTCAAATTGTTGAAAGGGTATTCCGTGCTGGATCCGATCACCGACGCGAGGGAATCACGTAGTCACGTGAGACTGTTGTTCATACATTCAACCGCATGTGCCCTGAAGAAACCACCCTTCACATTGGGACGAAGAGGATGACCTCGAGCGCGGAGATCTTCATTTTTTAATTCAAAATACTCTTTTCCCTCCTGCCAAAGCGAACCTTACACTAGCAGTCTAGCTCGGATGCGTATTACACTTGTCAGGTGAAATCCTCTGGTGGGCATTCAAAGCGCACTCGAACACTGAAGGTTGGTAAAGAGTACATAAATTGTCGACCTTGTCCTTGGAAATACTATGTGCAATGTGCATCACTGAAGGACAAGTGGGGAATGGCTGTGTCTCATCATCGTAAGGTCATTAAGCAGATTGCAAATCTTCTTCGAGGTGCAAATGTTCCAAATTGTAGGCGACTCCTCGAGCGCGCTTCTGTGACTTCTCAAGGAAGGCTTCTGCTTTCCTAATTTCCCTTTCTTTTTGTTCCAAAGAAATCCTGTGTTGATGACGTGCTTCAAACTCTGTCGGCAGATGATCTGTGAGCATGGCCTCTGGGTCGTCATGGTGTGGACTCTCTGGTAACGTCTCCAACGATGAGACGAGCAAGTCAGCTACCCAAAGCGACACCATGCCGCGCAACTCCAACAATTCTGCCGAGTCGGAATATGGAGGAGTACCAAGAAGCATGTCCATGCGAGTCGCGATTCTCTGCGCTTCTTCAAGCTCCCGCTTTCGTATTTCTGCGACGCGGGTGGCTTTCGTGTTCGATGTGCGATGATCAAGGTCAATAGACGAGGCCTCGTCTTCGGAGAGCTCGTCCGATGAATCGCCTGGTTCAGCGGCAACAATGTTCCTCGCCACCTGACTCTCTTCTTGACTGACGTAAATCCATAATCCAAACATTGCAGGATAGAAAGTCAAGGCAGACACAGCATGAGGGGCGCTTTTGGAATATGGGTGATTCAAGATCAGCCTCTCATAGTATTCTTTGGCTTCCTCGAAGCCTTGGCGGGTAAAAGAGAGCACTGGCCGTTCCGTGGTTGCAGATGCGGATGCGGTGTCCTGAATATTTGAATTTAACTGGGACAATTGCTGTTGTCCACGACGCAACAGGATCTCGGCTCCTACCCCCCACCGACCTTCGTTACGGACATCCATAGAAAGGCCATGGAACTGCTCTCTCAGAATCAAGCCCCACGCCCGACCGGCTCGAACGTAATCTCTTTGAAGGAGGCACTTGTGTAAGATGGCGGTCAAGACGGATAAATGCTGGAGCCGAATGGTGCCTTGGTGAGCCGCGGATTGGGGAGGGTACACGGGATCACGTAGTGTCGAAAGGGCGTGCAGATGATGGTTTAGCAGATTCTTGGAGTGCTTGGATGGTTGTTCCTCTCTTGCTGGTCCATGAGGGAAATTTCCCCCAGGCAATTCTTGGTCGAAAGTAAGTCCAGCGACCCGATATTGATGCGACTCGTTCGGTGTCAAGATCAGCGACGGACCCGCAGAAGCAGATTCTCCGGCCGAAGTTGCATCTGTTGCATATGCGTCTTCGCCATCCTCGTCGGTCCAGTCGATACTCTTCTTGCGTTTGCGACGATCATATTGCGCGACTCGAGTGCTCGTGGGCTGCAGCCAAGGCGGTAGGGGTAGCGAAAAGAAGGAGGCCGACAAGACCGGTGCCATGTAATCAGCAAGGCGCCCGTCACATGGAGGGCGCCTCAAGTATATTTCAAATTAGGACGTAGGACGTAGGAACTGTATCAGCTTGCGCTCTTGCCAGTGCCAGGCTGAGTAGTCGGAAAGCTTGATCACCGAGGAACGGAAAGTTTGCGGACTCTCCAGTCTTCTTTATCAAGCGTACTACCGCATAAAAACAGACACGGCGTTAATTTTGTGGAGAGTGATCCTCACAGTAGGAAGGCCTCCAGATGACCAAGAAAGCCCTCAGGGAGCTAAAGCTTCAGGTTGGGAACGACTTGCTCGTAGATCGGATTTTTCGGGAAGTGAAGCACGCAAACTTTCCCCACCCTCTTATCGTTATCTGTTATCGCTCGCGGCTCACATCGTTGGGTCTTCGATCTTCCGAGTAACTCCAGTTGATCATAGCGCTTGCCTCCCGCAACCCTCGACCAGGACGACCCCCCGCCTGCCTTCCTGAACGTGCGAACCTGATCACCCGCTTCATTGCAGATTTCTGACTCGGGTCGCTGCCGAAAAACCCTCGTGAAGAAAACGCCCGCTTCAGATCGATCCCCAAGAATCGCAGCTTGTGTTCTTCGCTGCGCCGATACCCCCGAATGTGGACGGTGCTGGACGATTGTCAGACAGTTTCGTGAATCTGCCGAGCGCAGAGCTTTTGCTGGGACTTTAGCGGCCACGAAAGCGTACGGCTTCACCTCCAGCTCATTCAACTCGGTGAAGAGGAAGTCTTCTGGCATTCGAAGATCTCCGTGTGTTTACCCGGCAGCCTTCGACTAATAAGACACGCCACAAGATCGAACAAGCGGTACACTCATTGCACGGAGCGGTGAAAATTTACTCTGTTCACGCACGCCGAGTCGAAAAAGCCCGGCTTGCATCGGATCGAAGGACATCGACCGATAGAGGTCGCACTTGGCGAGTGACCCCGACATTCTCATGGCAGTGTGCGGCCCCTAGAAGCTCTCTTTGTTCCCCATCATATTTGTCTTCTTCTGCTACTATGGGACAGTCGGCTTCTACGCCTCGGAATTTCTCAACCTCTGGACATCCAGACCACGCTCCTTTCGCGGTCAATCCCGAATCTGGCCCGAGGGATGCCGAAATGGACAACAGGCAGAATATTGACCCGAGTGGTGAGATCGGCCTGTCCACCGGAATGGATGCGAATACGCAGAGCAGTCAAAATCTACCATCGGAGGAGCTGCATCATCACCTGGGGTCCACACAACAGCCGACACGAAGTTCGGGGGGTTACTACCACCAAATGCGAAGCATCGAGGAAGAGGAAGGTTCAGAGAATGAAATGAGTTCACGAGAGCGTCGTTCGGCTGCACTCGCAAGAATGGCTGCCAGGAGGCAATCCACGATGTCACGCTTGGGGTCTAGAATATTGCCAAATTCTGTCATTCGAGGTCTTCTCAACAGTCAGGAAGAGACACCGGCGGAGGGACATGCTCACCGGCATGGGCTTGTCTCAAGGACTCAGCCCCGGTCGGATAGCGCTCACAGCAGTAGTCGCTTCAGTCCTTTCAGCGCTCTAGGCTCTAGAGGTGTGCTGCGTCGGCGGAACACTCGCGAGCCTTACTTCATTCCCCAGCGAGCCGAATCGGCAGCTCTCGCTGAAGGCACAGCGAACTCTTCCTCGCTTGACGCCTCTACGGATCCCCTACCTGAAGCCAGTCGTGCGTCTTGGCGCAGAGCTAGACTACAGCGTATGCGTCATTCGCTGTCGACTCCGATATCGCACATGTTTGGGCAATCTGCCACCGGTGGCTCTACAATGCATGAGAACGACGCGCCTATGTCACGACCGGCATCCTTAACGGATAGCATGGCCAGTACCATGGATACGCGCCTTGACTTCGGAGAGCCGCTACCTGAATTGGACTCAGGTGAAGTAGGTTTAGAAGCAGACCGACCACTTACTGCCAATACGAGTCCAGGTCTCTTGGGATCCCGCACGCTCCCTAGTCTGCTCAGGGCTCGGGCAGCCCGCGCTATGCGTCGAGAGGAGCAGACTCCTCTCTCTAGAGTTCTTCAGCTTGCAGCAGCAGCTATTGCAGCCCAGCTGTCAGGTACGCCTGGACCAGCCTTGCCAAATATTCAAGCCTTGGGAAACGACGGTCTTGATGGCTCGCTCGAGAATTTCATCCACAGTTTGCAAAGCGTAACATCACCTCAAGCGCCTTCATCACCGGCTGGTGATGGGATGACTCCGCCTGATCCCGAAGCTCCCCCGGCACCTGTCAATTTCCTGCGAGTTTTCCGTTTTGCCAATTCTGATTCTCCCCCCAGCACAGGGCCATCAGGGGAGCAAGGTACGGGCAATCCAGATGAGACTCGCTCTCGTTCTGAGAGAATGTCCATCGATGGGCCCCCGGAAGGCGTCGAAGCTCGAACGGTAACCCTCGTCGTTGTTGGGGTTCGATCTGTCCCTTCTGGCAATGGAGAACAAGGTCCTCCGGCTCCGGGTGCTGCAGGTTTGGATGCCTTGCTCGGATTGCCCTTCTTGCCCCCGAATATCTTACCCAACGCCCGCCCAGATGGCATCCCGGGTGATCCTCTCCATCGGCCAGACGCGCGATCGAGACTTCATGCGGCTCGTCCAGCTGGTTCGGATGGTCTAAACTCCAGTGCTCTCCGCCAGCCTGGGCAGACTTTACCGCGCAGGATGTCAGATGCGGGACCTCTTCGTCCAGTCCCCTTCCCCCCATCAGTACTTTCTGACAGTCCTCCTGGGCCGCGTCCACCGCCATCGACTCCTGCGGAACCTGGCAGGTCAGCCATCTCTTCGGGCACTACCACTCCGAATCGCCGGCCGTCCTCGGCGTCGGCCCTCTCCCCCAGCGACTTGCCCCATGTACACGAAGATCGACCTCTGCAATCCGCCGTTGAACCTGCCGAGGAGCCCACTCCGCCCAGCGCCGCCCGGCAGCGAAGACGGAGTGATTCGGAGTACGCCCGCCACCGGGCATTTGGATCGGGATCACTTCGTCGCAATGGCGTAGTTGAACCTGACCAGCCCCCTCCCAGTGGAGGTCGAAGCTGGTTGATATATGTCGTCGGCACCAACCTTTCGGAAAACCATCCGGCGCTGACAACCCCAAGCCTGTTCACCGACAACCCGACCTACGAGGACATGATCCTTCTCTCCTCGCTGCTTGGGCCTGCGAAACCCCCCGTTGCTTCCCAAAACGACGTCAACTCAGCTGGTGGGCTTTTCCGTCTTGTAGAGTACTCTGGCTCTCTGGTGGCCGAATCTGTCGATGGAGCCGGCAGTATCCACATACTTGAGGGCGAGCGTTGTCTCATTTGCCTGAGTGACTACGAAGTGGCCGAGGAAGTTCGGAAGTTGACACAATGCAAACATATGTTCCACAAGGATTGCATTGACCAAGTAAGTTGACCTAGTTGCCCCGAAGACCATATTTTGTGTATCTGACTTGTTGACTAACATGTATTGTCTTTGACATAGTGGTTGACTACCGGTCGAAACTCATGCCCGCTTTGTCGAGGGCAAGGTGTCAAGGAGACAGCTGCCGAGGACTCTACACCAGCAGCAGCTGAGCGTGACCCAATCCCTGCGGCGGGCCCGGCTATTTGAGACGAACGTCAAACTGCGGATCGTGACTACATATGGGCATGACTGCTTCTTCTCTGAACACGTCGGTCTACAAACACCGGCCTTCTCATTATTCATATTTGACCGTTAGCCTTCTAGCACATGTTTAGAGCCATCATGACTCTTTTCCTTGGATATCCCCACGGCGATTTCTGTTGTCTGTTTTTATTATTTTGTGGCCATTGGCTCCGACCGTTTTTGTGTCTTCCATTCTCCCCTATCATCTGCTGGATGGCGCCTCGTATGAATAGCATGCATTTTATTGCGGGTCCATATTGCATCTTGCAGTCACCACTGGAGTGAAGGGCACCTCTCCCTCTTACAGGCCTGGATCTAACTTCCGTGGAAGAGTTGGAGGAACGAAGTCAATCTGCCGGCAATAATATTAGACCTCAATTATTCTCGCTCTAGTTCCTCCCTCCTCAACGATTGGGCCTTCCTCATTCCTTGATGCCTTACTGCTCGTTTCTCCGGTTGTCGGAGCCATCGATAAAGTAGCACGTGACATCTACCGTGGCAGTCTGCACGTGGTACGCAAAGAAACCCATACTTTTATCAGGAGCCGGACCTCAAACAATAACGTCCTGTCCTTCAAGAATTGCTTGTCCATTCTCGATACACGTCTCTCTCTCGTCTAGTCTTGAGAAGAACTGATGGGTTGTGTTCCAGCCGCTTGGGCTTCGTAAGCCTGTCCGAATTGTACACCAAGCATTGCGAGCAGATCTCCCCGCAATTGCTCATCCTCCGGGCCCCCACCATTTCCGAAGGAAAAAAAAGAGCGATTAAACCACCGAGCTGTCTCTCAAGTTTGCAACATATCAGTTCTTCACAATGCCTTCACCCATCCGCACAACAGTTCTCATTTCCGGTAGCGGTACCAACCTGCAAGCCGTCATCGACAAGATCCAGACCGGCGAATTGAACGCCCAAATTATTCGTGTCCTCTCCAATCGCAAAGACGCCTACGGTCTCGAGCGCGCTCGGAAAGCCTCCATTCCGACCGAATACCACAATCTTGTCAAGTACAAGAAAGCACATCCCCCTACGCCCGAGGGAGTTCAAGCAGCACGTGAGGAGTATGATGCTGAACTCGCACGGCTGATCCTCGCGGACCAGCCAGAGTTGGTTGTCTGCCTTGGTTTCATGCACATCCTTTCGCCGCAATTCTTGTCCCCGCTGGAGAGGGCCAACGTGCGCATAATCAATTTGCACCCTGCTCTGCCGGGGGCATTCAATGGTGTGGTAAGTGGTTGCAAGTGACTGGAGATCTTACTTGAAGTTTAATTGTTCCTTGCGTGACACGTCTTGTTGATCTCTGACTGATTCGTTTTGTCTACACAATGCTATAGCATGCGATTGAACGTGCCCACGCGGCTTGGATGGAGGGCAGGATCGAAAAGACCGGCGTCATGATTCACAATGTCATTTCGGAGGTGGACATGGGCCAACCGATTCTCGTTCGAGAAATCCCCTTCATCAAAGGACAGGACGAGGATGTCGAGGCCTTTGAGAAGCGTGTCCACGAGATTGAATGGGGAACGGTTGTCGAGGGCGTCAAGATGGTCCTCGAGGAGCTCCAGTCTGCTCGCAAGCAATGAACCGAGACGAAGTCGACACAGTGTCACGAATGGGACAGCCGGTAGTACCGTTTTCCGTACAGTCAGCGGAAACGACGCAGGACCTGATAGAGGCAGTATAGACTTTGTCTTGCGTTCTCAGCGTTCGACTTTGCGAAGCACGGGCCCAGATCTGATGGATTTAATGATGATACGACTCGTTATAGCCGCGAGAGAGAAACAAGACAAAAATTTCCAAGTTCCCAAGTCATGGGAAGAGGCACTTATTAAGAATCCGTGCTTGCAGTTGAGAGCCTGGCTGGCTTCAAGATGGTCCATACCTTACACCTCAGACGATGTGCTGCCAATGCATGAGTGAAGGCGCACCAGGTAGAAATGCACACCGGCAAGGCGCGAGTCGTCAAATGGACGCAAGCCTGGCTTTGGCAAGGCAACATGAGTGAAATGAAGGCTTCCGATCGAATACAAAGCAGTTTGAATGCACATTACTCGGGCACAGCAACATTGAAGAGTCCATACAATACCCCTGAGATGGAATGATATGGCTTCGGCAAGTTCGATTAGCATCATCACGGAGTTTCTTATGCAAGCATTCGATCAACATCCATTTCCATGCCTGGCGTCTTCCACTCAATTATTTGCTTTTCGGAGCTATAAAGGCACCTTGCTCGATCTTTCCTCTGTGACAATCCATTCGATTGACACGTCTGACTGTCTCTCATGTTCACATATACGTCGAAAAAGGAATCATCAGGGGTGCTGCAGCCTCGATTCACCACTTTTTGATGTTTGAGCGAACAGGGTCTAACCTGTTGAATCTGAGGGACGACTCGATGAAGAGCCCTCTTCAATTGGTAATCTCTGTGCAAGACCACTGCAGCGAGGTCGAAAATTTTCTTGCCGGTGCTCCCTTCTTCCTCTCATGGATCCGTTCCTCTGTGTCTCTTCCTGCCTTCCTTGCACTTGTAGGGCCTCGAGTCTTCGCACGATTCAATACGAGGGACCGTTGCCAATACTCAAGTGGACTGCATCTAATCTACCCATTTCCGGTGCATATTTGAAACATATTCGTCTGACCACCCCACACCTACAGTAACAGTTGGTTTTCCACACACCTTCGCTGGTTGGCACTCAGATAAATACGTCCGGGAATGCCTTAGCGGCGCTTAGCTGAAAGGCCCGTCCAGTAGGGACTGCATCAGCATCGACTAGTGGCACCCAGATGCGCTAGAGCTTGACATGTCCTCCTTTTCCGGTCATACCCGGTCTAGTTTGATTCGTGGCACCTGTGGCTACACTGGCTAGGGACGAAGAAGCTTACGGGTCGTGATTATGTCTCGCCTCGTTCACCGAGCCGACAAATACTTCCTGTAGATGTGGCCGGCTTTCATTCTTCTTGGGGCGATTTGATAGAGCCCGAGACGGCATGTACGGCGTCGTTCCCACTTTAATGGAAAGCACAGATCTAAGTCGCTTGACAAAGGGTTTGTGTCTTTTTTGATCCCCGATTGACATGTCGGTCAGTGAAGGGAAATCAGTGGATGGCCCTCTCGTACGGTCCTGCACAGTGTACACTCAACACTGTACACTGTACAGTCCAGTGCATGGCCATGCAGCATTCACTTTCAAGGCGCCTCCTTGCAGCTATCACATGCAGGAAAGACACGAGATTCCTCGTGGGTTGGGCCACTGGAGCGCGAAAAGTAGATATCTTACAACCACCCTAACTAGAAGGGTGGGAGATATCCACTTATGTGTATAGTCAGGAGTCACTGAGTCAGTACTGCTACTCAGTAGTGAGCTATGAAAGGTTTGCGAAGCCTTGCATCCTGACAAATAATTCCTGTCACGACAGCGATGTTCCTATTCGATCCATACAGTTATGAATCCATACTCCATGTAGACAGTATTTGAGTTTGCATATAATGATCATATTGAAGAGAAGCTTCTCTGTCGCCAACAAGATGGGTTTATCGCTCGCTCACACAGAATACCGGCCGGCATCATAGCGCAGTAAGCGTTCCGTGTACTCTCAGACTCTGTGTGCTGCACAGTCCAGTCCCCCGTACTAGTTCACCTGCGAGCTCTCAAAAGAGGGCAGGGCAGGGCAGTGAACTTGAAAATCGACTCTAAAATAACTGTCATGAGCGCATAAGGCAGAAAAGAGCTGAAATTCAAACTTGGGTTAATTATCAGCTGAACCCCTGCAATTAAAACCAAGTGCCGGAGGGACTTGCAGATCGGTGCCAAAAGAGAAAGGAAGACCCCCAAAGAAACACACAATTCGATCAAGCTGATACGGAGTCTGCGAAAAAAAAGTCAAAATCATCATCGTAATGAAGAACAATCTACACTTGGCTCCATGACTGGTCCACTTGCCATGTCATTGCAGTTTGCAGTTTGCACTAATCAAGTTGTTTCCCCATCAAGTGCGCGCCCTCCGACTCTTCGGCGCCAACGGAAAGGTTAAAAAGTGGCGCGGGTGGTGTACTTTGGTGAACTACTTCTCGGCTACTCAATCATTTCGAGGGACAATGGGCCAGACATACACAGATGAGTCCAAGGTGAAGTGGTGTACAAGTGTACAGTCACTAGAGCGTACAGTCAACAGTGTACATTGTACAATATACAAGTGTACAGCGTGTCAGCGCATCACTAATGCACAATACACATTGTCATCGTATGATGTGAGATGTTGCCAAGCTTTGAACTTGGAGGGAATTTGATCGCCTCAGTCCAAAGAAACAAATTGTAGTACTTTGCGGGACCTATACTCAAAGAATTTAGGAGCTTTAGACAGACTGAGATGTAGAGCGCAAAACATGGTGTTTGCGTATATTGCAGGAGCACAATCTCGTCAGAGTTCCAATGGACTACTACGTTATGTGATGAGCATTGTTTAACTGACAGTCTGACCCCAAATGGACATAAGCCCTCATAAGCTGAGGCCCCTGCCCCTTAATATAAGCTTACCGGCAAAGAAGGGGAGCAAAGGCACAATTATCATTGAACGACGGACCAGTTGTTAAGATTAGAGGTGCTATGACCTCGTTTGTCTAGCTTGTCCACTTTTGCCAGTCTCGAATCTGCACGGGCAGTCCAACCCGGGGATCTGATACTGTACATTCACACATTGTATAGTGTCGAGCGATACATGACCGAATGATACGACCTTTAGAGACGAGATTTCTTTAATTTACGGTCTGCACTGATGCAGTAATGTGTATCTCTACGACATTACTGTACTATACGACTAATTTGCTGCAAAAGTAACTGAATCGGATCCTTGACGCAACTCCCAATTCATCCACTCACCTCAACTGGGAACAGATTGGCCGGCATGGACGTGGGGGCGAAAGCTGGATTTTCTTTTTTCCACTTCAGACATGACTCATGTATGGCAAATGAACTGATGCACATCACAGTCTTGCTTGAGATTGCCGTGTGTGTCACGGCCTGATTCTGATAGCCTATCCATCTCATGTTGGACAAGCTTTACAAGATAGTCCATGATCACGGACAAACTTCCAACCTCCAAATCAGCTTCACACAAACCCAAGCACTGACCCTCGTCGTTCTAGCGCAATCGAAAGAACGCCGATACAAAAAAAGCCCATGAGATCGCAAAAGCCCGGCATCGGCAGATCCAAGTTCGCACGACTGGCCCAGAAAAAAGAATTCAACGCCACTCGGCGCGGCCAAGACCCGTCCTGGCAAGGGTGTGACACGCACATCTGCAGACGCCATGGACGAAGTCAAAAGGATTGAAGCCCGTCTTGCGTGTCCAAATGGTCTTAGCACGTGGAGTCGCGTTGTCCCCTCATCCTGGCTGTAGGTCTGATTCGCTCGAATTCTTCCTGCTGGATGGCGACTGCACCTTCCCCCCTCCCTTCTCTGATGCCTGTCTTCTGGATGATCGCTCTGTGAATTGGATGGTTGGTATCGAGGCGAGGGGGGATCAGCCTGTCTGACTACTTATCGATATACTGTGAGCTTGTGGAAGCGTAGACACATTCATGTTCTATCTGTTTTATGTACAAGACGAGCTCGAAATCCCCGCCTGTTTAGGTGGACACGAGCTGTGTACAGTTTTACACTCTACAGTATGAGTCCAAAGTACCCACTTGCCAGAAGATGAATTGGCTTGTTACTTTGGATCTTGTGAATGGGTCAAGGGAAGTCCAGCCAGACTGTACCAATTTGACACAGTTGCAGGTACCGCTTCCGCACGGAAATTGCCAGGTGCCTCTGAACTATAAGCAGATCAAAAGGCGTACCAGGTAGGCCCGAGACCCTCTAGCTTGAGGACGTAATCTCTATGAGTATGATGGCACAGACACGACACGATGGTTCCAATTTGACATGCAATCCATACTTTGAGCTATCTTTCAAATCCGATAGATTGTCCCAATATGGTAGTCGTTCGCTCGCACGACAGCCTGTCCGAGAATGAACATAAACCCTCCGGCGGGCAAGACACAAGGACTCGTCGATCCCTGCATGTGTCTTCCACGGGCTGGACGTGACAGACTGGGTCCCTGCCATCCCTGTTCACAGGAATTTGACTGGATCGTGGCGTCTACCGCAATGCAAATCAAGGTAGATCACGGAAGTTTGCTGGTTCAAAAGCTTATGGAGTGCAGGCATCCATGATTCACCGGCGTACGCTTTTTGCTATGTACCTGCTTGGATGTTGCATTTCGTTTGGGCACGAGGTTTTCGAGTTCGGGTGAGCCACTCGAGATAGAAGATGTACTGCGTACCATGTACGTATGTTGGATCAGGTGTGAGACACACATTTATCTCACTCACGTAAGATCTACCAGTCCACTACTGGTAGGATCACTGCTATTACCACATCAACATGTTGAGTGCCTTAGGTTGACGATTTAGCTTGTAGCTAGTTAACTTAGTAGCTACTTACTAAGCTAGTACTGCTCGGTACAGACGCTACCTTCAGTGGCTCAGTCCGTGACTCGGCATTTCTACACCAGACAACACTTCTTACAGAATTCAACCATCTCATAGGCCCATACAAGTTCACCACCATTCTGAGCTAATCCTCATTTGACTCTCCCCAAACCTACTAGAACCAGGCTAGTTGCATCAGTCCGGGTGGATCACACACCACTGACCAGCGGTTTCCTCCTCATCTCCCGGGGCTCCGGGAACTCAGAACGACCAGAAGCTGTGCCATGGGGAGACGAACGGGGAGAGTAGTAAGGACGAAGAAAGAGGAGTCGGAAGTCGGGACAAAGATCTGAACCACGGAGATACTGCCTGATCCAGCAGCCCTCCAGGGTGCTATATAGAACTGTTCATCGGGGTGTCCAGTTTCCGCGCGGGATCCGCAGAGCGTCATGATCCCAGACTAGCGCATCGTGCCAAACACGGGCTCTTACGGTTACCAAGAAGGCACAAGCTACCTAATGTGATCATCAGCATTGCATCTGAGACATGGGGATCGACAAATAGGCGTTTCTTGCTTCTGGAAGGATTTGGAGTGATTCCGAGGACTTGGAGCTTTGAAAAAAACTATTGTCTCGGTGGACAGTAGTCTATGGCTTTCCCTTACTGGAAAGGGAAAGGGGTCACAAAACAAAATGGACCATGAAGGTCATACTAGCTCACTTCGAGAAGGACGAGGAGAACACTCAGGGGCAACCGTTCGGAGGGACCGACTTTGCTCAATCCACATTTCCGCACCAGAGTCCAGGAGACTTTCTTGAGTTCCGGAATCCGTACAGTGCAGCATTCGGGGGGGGGGGACTTTTCAGGGATCCACGTTTCTGTCAAGGAGAACATTTCCTCTGCATTTTCCTGGAGTCTTCGTGGACGAGCATTTTTTGCCATTCAGATGAAATGCGCTCCTTTTCCAATGGTGGAACTTGGCTGATCCACGCCAACCTAAAGAGATTGTCTGGGAGGGTCGGTGCGCGGTCGAGATGATGAAAGTGTGGCTGATACAAGGATGACAGATTGAAAATACCGATACCGTTGAGTTTGAATTATCTGGTGAAACACATTTTGCAGTCTTAGGGCAAAGAGGTACTGTACGTCTCCAGTAAAGACTGAACTTCTGTCTTTTTTGGCAAGGGAAAATAATGGATTTGATTGATTGTTGGTCTTCATAAATGCTGGACCGTACAGTAAACGTTCTAGAATGACGTTTATGGTCAAGCACCCCCAATTTAAACAAACAGGCTATACCGGGAAAATACAGAACAAACCAACGCTTGAGTGTTCAAATTTCAGTGTACAGTACCTCTTTTCCCCTTGATGCGACACACGGTACATAGTCACATACTGCATTAGAAGTTCATGTCATGGATAAGGAGATTTACAGCGCTTAGGACTTTGAGATACGGCTATATTGTCAGAAGTTCAGAACCCAGCCAACTATGTACAAGAGTGAATTTGACCTCTGATCAAGCAACAGTCTGATCAACAGTGAAATTCCGGAGAGGTCGCATGCACTACGTGGAAACACTGAGACAGTGATTCATTCCCCGTTTACATTATCTGGCCAGAAACATTCATGCCATGGTCGATTACAGATTGGTCTCGTCGTAGTCCAGACGCCAGTGGAAATCATTCCTCGCACTGTGCCGACCGGGATCGGATAGATTATTGTACTCGTGCCGGGTTTGGAGGATCAATAATTTTGGAGACTTCCAGAAAAGGAGGATTTGGCTCACAATGCAATGCAAGGATCACGGCTGCCTATGATTTGATGATAGTTTCTCGCGATTGTAGCTCTTTTCGTGCGGAGCTTTATGAGGGCATCGGTACTGCTATCCACGGTGGGGTCCTTCCTCCCCGATGTGTCTTTGCCAGTTCAGAAACTTGAGACAAATCCTGATCTGTGGATCAAGCCAGAGGGAAATGGGAGCCAGATTTTGATGCCTCTCGAGAGTTGGTACTTAATTACTGGCAATGCGATTCGATGTACATGTGAGACCTGAGACATCTGAATCGAGCCAATTCCAGGTCTGGTTGATAATGAGAATGTCAGAGTCATCCATGGAAAACGAGACACAGTCAGAAAATCACTCTTCAAGACAACCTCTCTGTTAGGTAGTGTTGGTGCTACAAGAGATCCCTAGGTAATCTATATTATTGATCAGCACTCCAGCAGCTGCTAGTCCACTCGAATACATCTCCTCTAATTATTGGCTCCGGGGCATGTGGTGGGGATCGCCATGTCCGAACTACATGATTCAAGCCGTCAACAATACAGTGTCTTGCCGAGTGAAAAGGTCAAGTGACAAGGTATTCTCATCTGCAAGAGGTTAAAATTTTACATGTACCCATTCAGGTGGTGCCGTGGCTCATGACTCATGAATCAAGGATTACTACTATTGAGGAATAATCGATGTAATAGACGTAGTACTGCCCTTGAGTGACTTTACGACTATGCAAAACTTAGGAAGAATGGCGGCACATCAGCTCTCAACCTCAAAAATCTCACAACCCCCCACTTCGTTAGTTCCAAAACTGACAGGCTGAATCCGTGGAATCAAACTGTGGCTGCATTTGAGGAACGCTCTCGTATGGGATCCATTAATTGGGTCCGAACCCTGTCATTCAAGGGACCTTCTCGGCAATTCCCGCGCAATGGTTGGACAATCCACTCCAGAGGCTTGAACTTTGCCGACGAGGCTGTCGAGTGTCGACTGGAGCTCTGGTCAAACGGACGATTAGGATTGTGCTGTAACTCTGATAGAGTGAAAGTATCATGACCGCGTGTAGTTTTTTGTTTTTGTTTTTTTTTTTTCCCACATGGGAAGTACGGTATGCCAGTATCAAGCTGCTAGATCTTTGCCACTATTCAATTTGTCACTCACTCTCCATCCAGCCTATATCATGAGAGCCAGGAGAGGCAGTAAAGTCATCCGGACCTCGCATTTCATCCACATCAGCCGAAAACATCACAAGTCTTGGCTTTTCACTTTGAAGTCATACCTCCGTGAACATCCATCCATTGTACAACTCCACTCCAACTAACCGTGGAGGCGGAATCTCCAAGGTCAATCGCTCCTAATCAGCTTAATTACACTATGATCAATAATAAGCGGGTCCATCCAATGCTGGCCATAACAGGCGTGGATCTGATTCATTCCATTTCTATCCGGCTTTTCTCACGGCTCAAGTTCTGTGGATCGAGGGACGACTTTCACTAACTCTGTGGTCAAGGTCCACTTCAAATCCCAAGATTGATTCTTTTGTTCTATTGAACTTCCCGAGCCTTTTTATCTTCGGGTTTGTCGATATCCTTTCCACTCTGGGAAAAGGCACGAAACGGATCCTATCGATTCCCGATTCGAACGCCTCGCCCCGAAGCTCCTCCTGGCCCATGATGAGACGAGTGGTCAGGATAGAACTCCGGCACATAAGCCCTCTATGGGCCGATTTGGGCAGATCTGATTCGTGTTCCCAGTGGATTTCGAACTTACGCGCTACGGGACCATGTCTGGCGGCTGTTCGTTGATGAAAAGCTTTTCACCTAACTAATCTTTACCTGGCTGACGTGCACAGGGCTCCATACGAGAAATAGCCATTGCTAGCCGTTGAGTGAAGACCCGGTACGCTATGTCAGAGCCGGATCTTCTTGATCTCGATTTCCGAATCGGGAGGGGACTCCAGGGGCCGGTTCTTACCCTTTTGGCCAAGGCATCGGACAGTCTGGGTGATCCGACATCGGATGTCGGCTCGTCAGACTACAGATTAAAGACTGCACGGGGCCAACAGTCGATCCTTAGCTCAGCTCCAAGTACTACAAGGTTATCATCTGGTGATGTGCTAAATGAACGTTCAAGTCTACATTCGGTGTATAATCAGAAAGCGTGGTCTTGGAAGTACGGTGGCATGTAGTATGTAGGGGTACTATATTTGGTTGTAACCGCTCTCCTCTCAAGATCTAGACTTAAAATCTTCTTCATCCAACGTGTGTGATGGGGCCGAGAGTTACAGGTGGGTGATTTCCTACAACTTAAAAGGACAATCGCTCAACTGACAGGAGAGTGTGTAAATGCGTAATTGCGTATGTCTGTTTTTACGTGACTGCTTCGAGAAACCATCACAGTCTCGGCAGAAGGAGAACAGACGGTAATTGAGGTGTGTCTGTAAAGATAATCCTAATCATGATGCTCTTACTCAAAGTGAAGTGGCTGGTTCCCATCATCGACCATGATGGACGTGATACCATCATTCTCCACTTCTCCAGTTGGACTTTGTCACTTTGGGCCGCCTGGCCATGAAGAATACAATACCGTACGGGTAAGTTTGAAAAGGAAGATTCGAAGGCGCAAGTCCGCGGCCGAAAGCTCAGGTGCCAAACATGACAAACTTCCCATTTCTGATCTGCGGTGCCTTGATGCCATCATCGACCCCACATCTCTAATCGCAACTTTTTCCCAGTCTGATTGGGCTGGTTCCACGTTGTCAATTCCGTGTTCAGCGTGTCAGATACTGAGTTTGAGGAGCTTTGGCCTGGCAATCGCGGCTTGGAACTGGTGGTCGCGGGAACGTCTCTAGACCTTCAACGCAGCCCAGGATTTCAACCGATCATCCCTCGAGACCAAGTACCTGCTGCCTGTGAGGGGAAGCGGGGCAACAAAGAATCGAGCCATGCTTCATTCGCGCCTGCGGCCAGCTCCCCGCCGCAATGCCATGCGACCCGTCACCACATCGGCAGTTCCAGCGCCTGACTTTCAGGACGAGGATGCAGAGGGCTCGGACGTAGAAGAGTCTGCGGAAGATCTGTTTGGTGCCTTTTTGCCTCATCTCTTCCCAGACGACGCGCCTTCATTCCACGGCGACCCGGGTCAAGTTCTCCTCTATTCCTCCCCGCGATATGGCGAGCTGGAGATCATGGTTCCGTCTTACCCCGGCCAGTCGGAGAAGAGGTCGGAGGAAATAGCAGCTGGTCTCAAGAGGAAGGAGGAGGAGCAGAATAATGGGAAGAGCGTGCGCAATCTGACCGAAGAGGGCAGGCAGCTGTTTGCGCACTTCTTATGGAGCGCGGGCATGGTCGTGGCGGATGGGGTAGAGACGGCGGATAGTCCTGCGACTGCTGACGAGAGTGCGGCACAAAGGGAAGCTCGGGAGATTTGGTTGGTGAAGGGGGAGACGGTGATGGAACTCGGTGCCGGTAAGTGATTCGGTCTCACTCGTTCGATTTCTTTCCTTCCAGTTGCTTGAATGGGCTCTTGCCTGGTCTTTGCTCGGTCATGCGTCGCTGGACACGGAAATGACATGGGATTGCTGATCACGCCGTACTATAATCTAAGGCGCCGCGCTTCCCTCCATCGTATGTGGCCTTGCAAACGCCTCCCTGGTCGCCGTGACCGATCACCCTGCATCGCCTGCGTTTGCCGGCGCAACTGGTGCTATCGCCTTCAATGTGAACCAAAACATCCTTGCGCGAGACCCACGGCCCGAGACGACGGTCATCACTCGGCCGCACGAATGGGGCAAATTGGACGACGCCTTCGCGGACTCGTACAGGGGAAAATTCACTCGGATCATCGCCGCAGACTGCTATTGGATGCGCGCACAGCATGAGAATCTTGTTCGGACGATGGCGTGGTTCTTGGCTCCGGGAGGAAAGGTCTGGTGCGTGGCGGGGTTCCACACCGGCCGAGCAATTGTGGCGAGCTTCTTCGAGACTGCTTCAGGGAATGGGTTTGAGATTGAGCGAATCTTTGAAAAGGATCTAGTCTCGAGGAACGAAGATGGAGGGGAGATTCGACGAGAATGGGTCCCTGAGCGCGAGGGCGAGAGTCCGGAGAACCGGAGCCGATGGTGTGTGGTTGCAGTATTACAAAGGAAAGCGTAACTTGCATTGAAGGGGTCGGGAGGACGAGGACAGAAGATACGATATCACATGTTATCGCTGCAGAAGAGAGACCAGTTCATGGAAAAAGTGGATGTTAGATACTAGACAGGAGACACCAGACACTGGATATTGGATCACGAGATGACAGTCACATGCGAGAAATATACATTCTCAATCTAGCGGACCCCGATGCAGTAGTCAGTAGTAGTAGAACTACAAACTCGAGATAGGACAGGAAGGTGTCAATGTGACAATGTCTCGAATCCAACACAATACATCCATGGATGTTTTCCAACGCCAGTAGTAGTACAATTAAGTAATTCACAATGTTACTGACTAGTACTGTGTACTGAATGGTCAATACTCAATACAGTACACGCCGGACTTTGTAAGGCCGTATTAATCCCGGTAAGCACTCATTCCTTGCCTAAAGTCGCAGAGCTCCAGGCCCGGCAGTTCGACTACATATCTTCCTCGTGGCAATTCCTGGCTGATGACGATGGCGTCAAGGGTTCTACCGTACTTCACAGTACATGGTCCATACACTTTGTGCATGATATAGTTACTTATATAGAGGTCCCAATTATGGTTGTAGAAATACTCACAAACTTCACTCCTACACATTTCAATCTTTATCGAGTAATCGAGAGATGGTGGACATTCCTGATATTTGACTCCCATCGTCCACCAGAACAGACCACGCGATTCCCAAGGCAGTTGGACCTCAGGGTCACATCGATCAAATCGAACCGTGGCACTCGACACTACCGTCAGTACAACTCGTCCCAGCTCTGTGCCCCGGTGCTGTCGTGAGGTAGTGACCGTGATTATTCCCGCTGTCTCCGAAGTCCGCCGTGGCGGACACCGGAACCACGGTCCAGAAAAACGTGCTATTTTAGCCCTTTTTTTCTTTTCCAATTTCCCGCCAGTCCGGTCTGGGTGGATTCCAGGTGGTCTGGGCTTTCTTACGTGCCCTTGCTCCTCTTGCTCGTCGGATTTGTTCGTGGCCGTGGCGGCGATCAAGGATCGCTGCGACCCGCAGGCTGGATCTGTGAGGGGCCATTCGGGGGGATGAAAGGATCTCATAGGGCGGTGGATATGGTTAAGAAAATGGAAGGTGAGGGTAAAAAAGGGATAAAAAAAAGAAAAAACACAATATGGAATGAGCTGGAAAGGAAGGAGAAATAAGGCAAGATAAAATGGACAAGGATGTCCAAACTACAAACAGGAGGTATACTGTAGGACAGTGAGGTAGGGACTCAGGAGTAAGGAACGGCAAAAGTGGATCGACGTCGGGTATGGATGGACTGTGAACTGTAGACGCCTACCTGGATTACGGACTGTTGTGAACCATATTTTGACTTGTTCTTGTCAAGTACAGAACTACAGATTCAGATTGAGCAGAAGGTTATGACAGGTCTCGTCCTTGGGCTTGGGAGAGCTGCCAAGTGGGCTACAAGCGCGTGTGCACTTCCCGTGCGGCGTGCAGTGTGCACGTACCACGACCAGGTGCTCCCCAAGCCCATGGAGATGGTCTGGCAGTCCCCGGAGCTGGAGGACTTATGCTACACTCCAATCTTGAAAAGAGCGATCGTGGAGTCAAGTTTCTCCGGGGGACTTTTGGTTTTCCATGCAGGTAAATAGCACGACTCGTGGGTGCCGATTGCTTGTGTCTACCGGCCACTCACCACTAGATACTTGGTGTACGTCACTCACAGAGTATGATAGTATAGTAGGGACTAGGGACTACAGAGTACGGACCATGATGATGGAACGCATGCTCCCAGAGTGGACAATCTCTCCCCAGGTTTGGCCTGCAACGCATGGATGTTCCTGTCTATCTCTCTGGAGTACCATGGCAACAGGGTACTGTTTTCCTTCTTCTCGGTGGACTATTGATCGTGTTCGCCAGTTGCGCTACGGCTTTATCTTCTCCCGCACGAACCGTCTTTCGAGTCCAAGTTCAGAAAGGAGTACTGCAAGGGGCATCTGTCACCAGTCACGACTCACCAGTCACCACTGGTGGAGTCACAAAGTAAAATGATGTAGCTATCTGTCAGTACCTCGGTCCTGGCAAAAGACGATGCTCCAGTTTCATCGAATGCTTCGGTGGTCCATAAGGTAATGCTCTTCTACGTGATCACAATTTCCTTGTTATGCACTCTCCCTGAGCCGCAAACCTGAGAGACGCGAAAAGATCGAGTCTTGAACTCATCGATGTCCTTGATCTTCTTCCTTAGTACTCGAAGTGACAGACCTTGCAACTAGACAGAATGTGCCATTGCTCCCCGAGGTTGTCAGTCGCACTTTTAGTATAACTGGGTGCGTAAGATCAGCCAGACTGGTAGACACAGCTGATCAACTGTCAGGTACGATGATGAGGATGAGCCACACCTTATGTGCGGTCAGGGTGACCCCTTAGATGTCACACGAATTTATCCATCAAATCGTGATATACATGAGCTCGGCGAGATCGCCGGCATGGGGACTGAACCTGTAAGGGCAAATGGTCCAGGTTGTTATTTCCCTTCCGAGAATACTAAGATTTCTGATGGAATTGAGGGGGGTTCCCATTCCCGGTGCACAGCGGGCTAGGCCCAATGGGGCTTAGCTCTGTACCGGCTGCAAGTTGCACCCCGTCCAAAATGCGATCGACATTCAATACGACCGTAAAAGGATTCCAAAAAGCAAAGAAAAATGAACCACACGAATAAGTCATGATAATAACAATAATCATAATAATCACAGAAAAAGGTATCTACATCTAATAGTCTTTTTGAGTGGATTATTTGTGAAGCCTAAAAAATCGAATAATTTGAATCAATTCAGAGTAACATTGTCATAAATAGGATGAGAAAATTAACCAGAGATGCTACTGTCTCACAGCAACACTTGCGATCCATTTCTTCGTATTCTACTGCCCTTCTGGCTATCATCTAGTACGTCCTGATTCAGACACGAGAATTTCATATGATCACAACCCATACCGTAGGAAAAAGGGTGTCATTTACAGTCCAGAGTCCAGACTATATCCCTGAAACCTTTTCTCATCTTCACTTTCAGACCGATCCTGCGCCAGTCACTAAATCACTGATCAGTGATCACTGGCCTGATGATCGCCCGCTCCGAACTAAATTCCCCCCCCCCCCAAACCCGAGCCATTTGCCATCATTCCATCCATCTGCCTCCAATCACCTGCCCCAAGTGGCCACCCCCCCATCATCTCCATCATCTCCATCCATCTGCGTCCACCTTCCCCACTCCCCGTCCTTTATTCTACACTGCGAGAACTGGACTAGACTGGCGCTGGAGCTGGAGCTGGAGCTGGAGCTCGAATTGAAATTGGCATTGGTGTTGGCATTGGAATTAGACAAGTCTTGCTCGTGCGCATCCGTAAAGACACTCCTTGGTTCCCTTCTCTGGTTCTTCCCTCCTCTTCACGCTTGATTCCTCACACTCGCTTTCCGACTTCACTCCCCGTCTCCTCTTCTCGAACTTGCCTATCCCATCCTCGATTGCAAGTTCCTTCCTCGGAGCTTGTATGACTATTCCATGGGCGACTCACGGCTCAAGACACAGAGAGTATATAGTGTGACCCGGTGAATCCATCCACCATTCACACGGGCAGTGCGAGAGAGGGAGCAAGCCCCAAAACATACAGAGTCACGGCTTCATTTGTCCCGACTCCTTCGCCCACCCTCGCAAGTCGCAAGGGTTGACTCTCCTTCTCCCTGGCACACGAGTGTTCGCCGCCAGTCTCCATCCAAATCAAGGTGTCTTTCTCTACAACCCATCTTCCCTCGTGGATTTGGATCGGCCAAGAATCTACGTGTGCTCCCTCAACCGCATCCGCATTAACCCCTCCCCCCCCCCCCCCCCCCCCCCCAAACAGACCCTTCCCTCGTCATGACGCAATCCTATCAACAGCCCCAAGCGGCCTTGGCCGGCTTTCTTGATTCAATGCACCAAGATAGTTCAATGTCCGCCTACAATTTATTCGGCCAGTATCCCGAGAGCGTCGCATTCTGGCACGATCCAACCGCGACGGTGCCACCCATCGGCCTTGCCGCTCCGTCATATCCACCCAAGCAATCAGCACACCTCCAGCCCGTCGGAGACCAGAAGAAACACAAGCGCACCCGAAGTGGCTGCTTCACATGTCGTGCGCGTCGCATCAAATGCGACGAGGCGCGACCCGTCTGTGAACGCTGTCGCAAGGGCAATCGGGACTGCGTTTACCCATCGCCGACAGCATCGTCCAGCAAGGGATCTCGCTCGTCCACAAAATCACGGGGCACACGCCCTCTGTCGCAGGGCAGCGAGTCCTCCAGCAAGCACGATACCGAGGAAATGAACCCGCTCGAACCAATCCTCGATGAGGAAGAACCGGAAGGAACGGATTTGGGCTCGGAGGCATCACCAAGGAGTGGCAGTGGTGCTGGTCACCCACGGCAGCAGCTCCATCGCACTCAGAGCGGCCATTCCTTACGGAAACGGAGTGTGAAGCAGCTATCCGAGGCAGGTTCGTCGCAGGTCGAGGCCGGTAGCTCTCCATCCACGGAATCGTCCCGGTACGAGTCCATGAGTGTTCGGTCGGGCAGTTTCAGCCATTCGATCCTCGACTTGATCAACAACAGTCGCCTAGCTGAGGATGTACGCTTCTATCTGGACTTTCACCAGCAGCATCTCTCGTACGACCATTTCTTTCTGCGATCTTCCAGCGCTCATTTCATCCATCATAGCATCCTCGAACTGGCGTTGGGGTATGATCCGCTGCTGTATGCTCTGGTCGGGTTTGCGGCCTACCACCACACCCTGCAGAGTGGGGGAAGCTCTACACATTCTTGAAGTACTATAATAAGGCGCTGGTTTTGTTACGGAAGTCGCTGGAGGCGGGCGAGGAGCACACAGAGGCAACGCTGTGTACTGTCCTCGTCCTCACAGTTTTCGAGGTACGAAGCGGCCTTCCCTTTTGGACACGCATCAAGATACCTTTTCTACACTTTTGACTGACACTGGACCGGTTCGCGATGGATAGGAATATATCGGAGACTGGGCCAATCTGGTTGATCATCATCAAGCTGCGCATGCCCTGATGCGGGAGTTGCTCACTCCGGACTCCTCCAACATGATCGACCTGCACACCAATATCTTCCTGTGGTACGCTCGATTTGATGTGGTGGCCGGCATTCTAGCTGGCACGGAGACCATTCTGAGCCGTGACTGGTATATCGCCAAGGAGCAATACGACGCCCAACAAGCCGCCCTCTACCCAGATGATCCAAACAAGCAGCTTGCCTACGTCGCTTCGATCAATCGCCGCTTCGGGCTGGACATGGCTTCTCTCTACGCCAAGCTTTCCCGGGGCTGATTCCGCTGGACGACTTTGTGGCTCAAAACGAACAGCTTGGGCTGACGATGGAGCGAGCAAAGGCAATTCTCCAGCAATACGAGGACAGTGAAGAGAAAGTGCGCTCCTATCCGGAACCGCTGCCCTTGACGGACGAAGATGTTGTGGACCCATACGAACCGGGCTGCATCTGGCAAGGTTCCTTGTGGGAAGCCAATTTTTTCAAGATCGATCTCCTTTCCACTGAACTGATGTTCAAATACCAGTCAATGCTCTCGCTGAAATTGCCTCTTCTGCCAGAGTTGCAGTCATTGGCTTTGCAACAATGCCAGCTCATCGAGACCATCTCGCGATACCCGCAGAGAGGCAATGGCTACTTCATGAACTTTAAGAATAGTATCGGTATTTCGAGCATGTTCCTGCCGAGAGAGGGGAACTTTCAGATGTGGTCGAGGCGCAAGATGGCTGTGATGGAGCAGAATGGGTGAGTCGGCCCTTTGAAAGGCACTGCTAGTGCACGTCACGATTGTATGATCAGTCCAAGGCTCATTAATGGCATGACTTACACAGATACATCATTGCTCCGAAGTTCCGCGCTGTCCTTGCTGCGATTTGGCAACTCCCCGAGGTCAACCACTGGTGGCTCCCCCACGACGAGGGCTTCACCGACATCATGCGCGCAATACGAACACTCTCGGAGGAGAAAAAGGATGAGCCACTGGATGGCTTCCGTGAGAATGTGCGGGATATGAAGTCGCTTTTCTGGAAACTCAGCGTCGATGATCCGGAGGACGAGCAAAGTCCGTCCAACAGTCACCACAGCCATACCTAGGGAACTTTGATGCCACGAAAGGGATCATCAACGACTTCTAGTCATGTCGCAAGGCCCTCGGCGAGCGCCTCTTGGAGCTAGGTCACCTATCTATGCCTTCTCAACGGCACCCCGTGGCTCCGGCAGAGTGGCAAAGGGGCCGCGTGTCTCTTCTTTGACACCCACAGTACTCGACCCCTGAAAACCCTGGCGTGTCAAACTCCAGGGGCCCCCGCGCCAATACCGGCGACATTTGATGGAGTGCGTGAGAGTCTCCCACAATGCTCACGTACGAATAGCCCTGTTTGGCAGACTCGAGTATAGAATCGCCACAGTTCCAGGCATTCATCTGATCGCCTCGCAGTCTATCCTCCGGCTGTAGACTCTCAACCTCTTTTCTCGCTGGGCAGTGTCTTTCGTCTGATGTGCTGGAAGACGGCGATGCACAGGCCCGAGAACTAATATATTATCATTTACGACTTGATTTATATGCCGCACGCCAAAATGTCCATATACCCTTTACTTTCTACGGCTTTCTTCCATCTGACTGGCATGCATTGGGTCCCTCCCTTCCACGAGATGAAAGAGTAAAGAAAAAGATACGTGATATCATAGAGGTGAAGATTGGAACATACATAGATGGTCACAATACACAGCGTCTGTTTGTCAAATATGATATCAAGGACATCCTTCAATCTCTATGTTCTGCATTATTTGGCTTCTGCAAATTATATCCACTTGGCTTGTAACCCAACCCTTTTTACATTAAACAAGGGAGTTGCCCGATAACTAATGCTCAAGATTACACAACACCCTTGACAGCATTGCAGTGACCACCCGTCGACGCCCCAGAAACTGAACCTGACCTGGACTCTTCGCTTCCACAGACCAACAAACAAATCAAATCCTATCAAACAAAGCCGCCCTCTGAGCGGTGGCAAACCCCAGCTGGTGCCTGCATATACTCAGTCTGACGGGAGCTCATTCAAGCATACAACTGAGCTGGCACGTCTTTCGCATCTTGAAAGACCAGCGGACATTCTTTGATCTGACTGTCCCTTTGAAAAAAAAAAACAATGACAGCGTGGTATGGTCCGATGCTTTGAACAGCCTCCAATTCCGGTCCATTGACGGGCACTCGATCTTCTACTGCTAAATGCTCTGCGATAGAAAGGTAGAAATGTCGCTCGCCTCCTTAGAAGTTCCAGAAGGCAATGCAACCTAACATTTCTGAAGCTCATCCCACTTCCACTGCCGCGGCTCTCTCTCTCTCTCTCTCTCAGTCCAGCTTTCCAACTTGAATTATCCCAAGTGGACCTCAGTACAAGCCCTGCAATCACAATGCCAAGTCTCATTCCAAGATGGAAGAAGAAACCCCCTTCCTCGTTCGAGAACCTATCTCCCTCGGATAGGGACTATCTCATCGACGTTCTCAGAGCCACCGCACCCTCTCCCCCAAGCAACAATAATCGCGCTGAAGAAAAGCGCTCGCATAGACCGGCACGGGGCAGCCTCCTACCAAAACAACCCTCAACGGCAGAACCTAACCCTCCAACCCCAGATACTGGCTCAATTTCCTCCTCCCCCCAGCAGACGCAGAAACAACCCCGATCTATACCCCTACAGACCATTCAGCAAACGCCAACGCAAACACGAACGCAACCGCAGCCCCAGCCTCAACCACAACAACAACCCTCGGACGAACCCACCCTCCAGCAATTCCTCCAAGCGGCCACCGATATCCTCAAAACCTGGGAATCCCCCGATCCATCAGCGCCTTCTTCTTCACCCCCAATCTCCAACCTAGACAAGCAGATTCTTGCCCGCAAGTTCTCTATCGGAGTGAGCTCCTGCATGAAAGACTACGCGGACAAGACTCGGCCTGTGACTGGGTCATCGCGGGGCCATATCCATCGTGTGCTGGAGCAATGCGTGCTTGTGAAGCGCAAGTTGAGGGAGATAGAGTTTGCGCTGAGAGAGAGGGATGGGGGGGAGGTTCTCAGTGAGGTGACGAGGCAGACTGTGGGGGATACTTGGCGAGTGATGGTTAGTCTTGGGAAGGATAGTTGGATTGATGTTGATTATGCTTTGAGGAATTGAGATTGATTGGATTAATTATGGTGATGGTGGTAGGGGAGAAGGAAGGAACATGTTGGTTGGTTTTCGATCAAAATAGCCGTGGTTTTTTTTTTTTTGGGTTTCATACAGGCAGAGAAGGAGAAAGCAAAAGGCTCATCCTGCACGTCACAAAGGCATATTGATCAGGATATCGTCAATGCGGCTTTAGCAGTTAAGCACTACAGTAGTACAGTACCCATAAAAGACGCTAATTGCTTGGCGCATTTGTATATATGTCCTGGTCACCTGACTGTAAACTACGGACCCTCCTATCACCTGACCTGCCAGCGGCACGGTCGCATCCTCACTGTGGATTGAGATTCAGGCTCTCAGACAGTCGTAACCCTCTAATCCTATACTTGTTTAAACAGACAACGATCAAATCATAGCAAAAAGCTGAGGAGCTCTGGTGGATTCCCATATCTTTATACAGTTACTGCTACTGTGAGCGTGCAGTTTATACACTGCGCACTGGTGCAGGGTACAGTGTATACTGTATTGGGTATGACACGAATGAGAAAGATTACTAGACCAGTCGGATACCCTGGAATTCTGAATAGCTTCAGTTTTGAAAGTCGCGGGAAAATGGACGGGCCGGAAGGTCGGTCGTTTGACCAAGGGACGAATGACCTAAGCTCGTGCTAAGTCAAGGTACACATGAAAAGGCTGAGTTGAGCAAGCTATCACATTCCCAGCACTGGCTCCAAGCGCTGCATCAAATCGCGTCCTCTCCTCGTGATGCGGAACTACATGCAATAAGTCATTCCTTGAGGTGTGATGCAATAATACGCCCGGGGAATGCAGAAGAACAGTGGATAAAATCATACAAGAAGCGAGTCGCTTCCAAGGAGGGATCTGGCCGAACAACAAAACAAAAAAAAGAATGGTCCCAGAGGGGGTCGAACCCTCGACTTTGGCGTTCCCGAATCTTTGTTTGATCCGTATTAGCACCACACTCTAACCAACTGAGTTATGGAACCCGGTTTCTTGTTATATGATTGAATTATTCTGCTACATATACAAAAAATATAATCGACCTGAGTAAGCCATCTTACATCACGTGCCTCGTCGGTGGAAGTTGTCACCTGCAGTGGTCAATCCGGTGGTAATCAGCCCGCGGGACTGGAGTTGCATGACTACTAGGTAGTAGTTACCTAATGCAAGTCAGGTCGTTTGTCATGTAGGGTTCAAGAGTCAATTTCAATGACTAGGTGCGCTGTCAAAATCTCCAGTAGATCTGGAAACAGCTCGGAAATATAGTCTCTTGAATCGATTCGATCATATCACTTTCAGCTACATTCCGTGAACGAGCACACCCGGATTCGAGAATATATCTCGTTCCACTGTACCCAGTTGCCCACACGCACCGATCACCTCACCCAAGGAAGTTAAGGTAACCTGTAACAATCCAGCAAACCGGGCAACTCTACAACCCAGCGGCTTTGAGGTTACAGTGAAAAGCCAGCGTCAAAACGAAGCTGTTGGATCTTGTCCCCTGCTTAATAGAGCCCTGCGAGAAGAGTCTTCGGTGGGGTGCTCTGTTTGTATTTGCTGATGTTCGCTCGATGCTTTTACATTTCCCCGTCGCGAAGAGCCGGGCCTCAGCCTGTCCGTATGAGCCTAGGCTGTACACTCTTCTGGTAAACAAGGGCGCCTAGAAGTCCGTGATTTGTCCACTCGATTTGGCTAAGCCAAGGCTCTGGACCCAAGAGTCGAAGTCAAGTGCAAAAAGAAACAGGAAAATGCTAAAGACAAACGGAAAAGCTGTGGTTCGTAGAGGGAGTGGCGTGAGATTGGCATCATGAAGAAGACGAAGTCAATTCCCCCCCCCCCCATGATTCGTACTCGTCGAGAGACTCACGAGTCCGCACTCTCTGCCGGCTCGCATCCTCGTTTCCAAGGAACATCCCTGGCCTTCACCACTGTCTCCCACCCTCCAGCCAACTCACGGCTGCCAGCCGTACCTGGATCTACAACCTCAACATCCTCGCCCCAGGGAAGAGCATCCACGTCAACTTCCCATCCCAGTAAACATCGAAGAATGACGCCCGCCCCTGCCTTGCTCATGACCGTATTCATGTCCTTGCATCTCTCATCGCAAACACATTCAATGCAACCCTGAGGCGAGAGACAAGGACATGCTTCAATACGAGCGACCGCCCGTCTGAGCAGCAACCCGATGAATTCAAAAGCCTTGCTCGCGATCCCAGACCCGCAAGACCCACCCTTTGCATCGTAGAAAGTCAAGCGGGCAGGACGTTGCCTCGAGGGCGGTTGGATTTGTTTCTCGAGCTCCTGTCGAGACTTGCCCAACTCGTTGGCGCGGCGAAGTCCCTTGCCGAGCTCCTTTTGCGCAATCTTACACTCTGTTCGGACGTCGCCGGCTGACGAGATCACGAAAGAAGGAAGCAGTGAGAGGACTCCATGCTCGGCGGCGTGAATAGCAGCTGCAACGTTGAGTCTGCGTGACTCGAGAATCTCAATCGCACGTGTTGGAACGTTAAGCCACATGCCCTTGGTGAAGAGATCGATGGGAGGGTTGTCGACTGCCACTGCGTCAAGGAGCCGACCGCGCTTGTCGATCTTGAAGAAGCCATATACAACCGCATGTATCTGCACCGCACCGAAGAAGGCTCGGCAGGCGTCAGGACCATTGCCAACCAGACGCATGGCTTCGGTCTCGATCGGGTCAATGTCTGTATAGTCTCGCTGCATTGTGCTCCAGTCGACATGCACCCGCAAGACCCGCGCAAGATGGCGTTCGACGTTGAGTTCCTTGACAATGAATGTCTGACCTTGATGAAGAAAAATACCTCCTTCATAGATTGTAAAGAACGCGCGCGAGGCTTCAACTTCCTCCAAAACGACATTGCGATTGTTGGTCGTGTCAATGACGGCGAAATGCGTGTCTTCAGTGTCACGGATGCTCACACATCGGGATGGCTGAGGCCGAAAGCGATCATGACAATGATAAAAGCCCATGCTATCTTTGATCAGCCGAGTGGCTGCGAGGGCAAAGAGCTGTTCGCCAAAGTAAACATGATCTTCGTCTGGCCGGATAGGCATTTCAAAGGCGGCACATTGAATATGGCCCTCTTGGATCAGCTCATTAGTCAGGTCAATCTGCAGCTCGCAGTTTGGCCGCGTGAAAATCTCATCCGGGTTTTGCATATAATGCTGATCCGTAGGGTATCGGTCACCGACCAGGACGGAGAGAGAGTCCTTGTTTCTTCGACCTGCACGACCACTTTGCTGCCGTAGATTGGAAATTGAGTATGGAAAGCCAAGGGTGACCACTGCATCCAGAGAGCCGATATCGACGCCCAGTTCCAATGCGTTGGTGGCCACGATACCCATCAATTTACCGTCAAACATCTCTTTTTCGATGCGCCGTCGATCCTGTGGACTGTACCCACCTCGGTAACCCATGACCATTTGGCCGACTTCAGGTCTTTCCAGGGTTTGAAACTCGTTGCGAACAGCCTTCAAGAGTGTTTCACAAAGCCGCCTGACGCGACAGAACGCAATCACGCGTACACCACGTAGTATCAATTGACAAACCAACCGAGCAGTCTCAGCAACGCTGTCACCGCGTCCTGAGCTTGGGTCAGCAGGATCTTTGAAGGGGGTGTTCCAGCAGATAAACTCCTTGCGACCAGATGGAGAGCCGTCAAAATCTACGAGCTTCACGTCCTTGACCCCAAAGATGGATTTCATGTGCTGCTCTGGATTTGCGACCGTTGCAGAGCATGATATGAACTTGACATGGCGGTTGCCAACTGCAGCACAGATGCGTCGAAGTCGCCGCATGATGTAGGCCACATGCGAACCGAACAGGCCGTTGTAGACGTGCAATTCATCCACCACCACGAATTTCAAGTTCTTCAAGAACGTGCGCCACGCGCTTTCCTGAGGAAGGATGGTGATATGTAGCATATCAGGATTAGTGAAAATGATACGAGCCTCATCACGAATCAGATTTCGACTCCCCATTGGCGTGTCGCCGTCGAAGGTTTCCACCATGATTTGCTGCAATCCATCCATGAACTGTAGCAGATCTGTCATGCTGCGCCGTTGGTCCTGTGCCAGAGCCTTGGTAGGAAATATATACATGCCACGGCTGTCAGGGTCTTTCTGTAGCTCGTGAAGCATGGGTATTTGGTAAATGAGCGATTTCCCCGAGCTAGTCGAGGTTGAGACAATCACATTATGGCCCTCATACAAGTAATTGATGGCTTCGGCTTGATGGGAGTAAAGCTGAGTGATGCCCTTGGTGTTGTAGAGCGCATCAACAAGCTCCTGAGATAGCTGAAACGACAAATCTCCGTAGACCGGTGACTGAGCATCGAAAACTCGGTGTCCTTCCGGCACGATTTGAGCGTGATACCACTCCATTTCACGAATCTGAGCAATGATTTCTGCGATACTTTCGCGTTCTTTCGGTATTGTTGCTGGAGGCTTTGCGAAGGCAGGAGTGTTCACCTCACTCGCCGGTGGCGTCGGGATAAATGCAGCCTTCTCTTCCTCCAGCGTTTGGACCGGGTCTAGCCCTTGATCTTCACAGCGCACAAGGAAAGCATCAATCGCATCGGTGAACTTGGTGTTTCTCTTCTCAATTAAACCAAGCATCTGTTTCTGACTGAAGACCGGCATCTTAAGATCCTCGTCCCTCATTCGGCGAAAAGGTTTCGATGGCTCCCCTGTCTTTGGATTTCTGACCTCGCGCTTCAAGTCACCATCCACAAACTCGAACAGGAGAACATTCCGAACAAAATTGTCGTCATCACCGGTGTAATTCGCGATCTCAGAAGCAGATATCATGCCCGCACCAGCGCGAGACTCATAGTCCGCACTTTCTCTATCCCCAACTGTCATGATCTCAAGTCGAGCTTCGTCGACATATTCGAATCGCACAGCTAACGGCACCAAGACCTTCACCCGAGCCACATCCTCTATCGTGAGCTCACGACCCTGACCCAGTTGTGCCTGAACCGCATTCTTGATATTTTCAAATGTCGTAATAAAGTGTTTACGCGTGCAACAAAAGGTGTAGACCAAATTCAGCGCACGATGGGTCTGCGATAGATGCTTGATTTCCTCAGGCCAAGGCTTGGAGGGTAGTCTCCTCGCTGGAGCTTTTACCTTTGTACCAGACGAAGTCCCTTTCTTGCCTGTACCTTTCCTTTTCTTGGCAGGCTTAATTTCGCCCTCAACTGTTTGCGAGTCGTGAACATCGTGAGCGGAGGTGTGAGACGCTTCGTCGGCAGCACTATCAGTGCCGGCTACCGATGACGCGCTTGATACGGTGATGTCCACATTCTGGCTCTGTTTGCGTTTCAGAGGGAGCTGAGTGTGATTATCCGAGGCGTGATTCATTGCGGTGCGCCATCATGCTCCATCCACAAGGCCTAGATCTGAATCACTCCAGTTATGGTTCGTCACGACCCTCGATGCAAGGAAACGCGAAGTCACGTGCATAGATCGAGATCTCAGTGTGGCAACGTCATGTGAGCCTGTTGGCAGCTTTCCCTTTCTGACGTCAACCACCACAATATTTACTCTGCCTGCGTAGCTCGAAGTCCATCGTAATTCCTGATTACAGTAATACATATCGCACATAGTCTAGTTTCAGGCTGTTATCAATTCATTTTACTGTCTCGTAATGCTCAACTCGGACCTTAAAAGTCCGATAATCGGCACCTCGAGGTCAAGAAATCAGTTTAGTTGACTGGGATGGTAGTCTCAAGTCTCACCACCCGAGAAAGCGTGCAGTTGTCATTGCGAATCAAGGGCTCAGCCAAAATTCTCCTGCGACCAATAGCCAGATCGTAGAAAACCTGTTGTTTTTTTCTTACGATCACTGATAGATAGCTGGGCACTTTTTAGGGCGGCGTAAGCATAGAAGCGAATCCTCCGGGATATCTCCGCATCGGCAGATTGGATGACTTCCCTATCATGTCTGACACAAGCCGTTAAGAGTATATTAGTCTTCAAATTGGCTCAGCCTCAACAAAGTTCCAATCGTAACTCTACATCATAAGCAGAATTCACCAAAGATGACCACTGTCCTCGAGTACTCATCTACCAGGTTACTTCGCTCATTCCTCAATGCCCGCATGACACGATTCTCAAAGCCCCAAGCCATGTCAACAGTATCCAAAACAGCTCAGGACTGGAGCGCAGCGCAATACCTCAAATTTGAAGATGAAAGAACACAGCCAGCACGGGATCTCCTGGCCCGCATACCTCTAAAAAGCCCCAAAACAGTCGTCGATCTGGGCTGTGGCCCCGGAAACTCGACCGCTGTGCTGGAGTCCCGATTCCCGGATGCGAATCTAATAGGGATAGATTCATCCCCAGACATGATTCGCAAGGCTCAATCCGCGCTTCCACATCGTGAATTCACGGTGGGCGATCTCAGGACTTACAGGCCACACGGACCAGTCGATCTTTTCTTCTCGAACGCAGTGTTCCAGTGGCTTGGTAAGGAGGAGCGATTCGTCATCGTCAAAAAGTTGTTGGAGACTCAGCCTTCAGGAGGCGTTTTCGCCCTCCAGGTTCCAGATAACCTTATGGAGCCGTCCCATGTGTTGATGCGCGAGACTGCCAAGAACGGACCGTGGGCATCTGCGCTTCAGAATGTCAGTCGGGATGTCTTTCAGACACCGCGGGAGATTTACGACCTGCTGAAGCCGATCTGTTCAACAGTGGAAATTTTCCATACGACCTACAACCACAGTCTGGAGAATCACGCCGCAATTGTTGAATGGGTCAAGGGAACGGGTCTAAGACCATATTTGGATCCATTGTCTTTTGACGAAAAGGAGGGGTTCCTTCGTGAATACCTGAAACACTTGGAGAAGGCATATATGGCGACGTATGATGGCCGCGTATTGCTTGCTTACCCGAGACTCTTCGTCGTTGCCGTGAAGAAGTAGTTGACCTCGTGTACAGCGGCCTCCACTGATGTTTTTCTTAATTTGATTATCTGAAAGACCTTGACTTCCTCCAGTAATGTCTACCGCAGCTCCTGCATTTAATCACTTACAGGCGCTCAAACTGGCAAAGGATCACATGGCTAACCTGCCACCTGTAATGCTAGATATGGTAGAGTAAGTTCATTCATTCGCTTTATATCCAGGTACGTATCAGAAGCGCGTAGAAATTCGATGGGACAATCAATGGATTTCGCAGAGTGAAAAAATCGCTAAAAAGCCGCAGCATGCTCACGATTAGTGGCATTGGGAACTCCGTATGCACCGATCCCATTTGTCTTCTGCGCTCTTACAAAAACAAATGCAAGAGCGGTAGTGTATGGTGGGTATTTCGTGGCTGTTCTCCTATGAAGAAAAGTCTGTACGCACTGATCACTCTTGTTCCCTTCCACAGACATGCGCAGCAGTCTATAGGGGTATCTCGTGCCTGTCGTTCATGTCTCTCACAGATCATTTATTATCATCATCATCACCAAGAAGGTTTTTGATAATACCATAAAGGTCCTTGGCAATATTTTCGTTTCCAACCTGAGAGCCAGACACTTGTCAGTAAAGATCGTAATAGCCGGTGGCGGTCGAGAGGTGGAACAACTTACGCGCAAGAGCAAGGGCACTGTGCGGCCTTCCTCGATGCTTGCGAGAAAGATCTGCTTCGATGATGGTTCCTGATTCTTGGCATCGCCACAGGTCATGCCCTTGAAGACAGGGCTGTTGAGCATGACGCGCAACGCGCCATCAGCGCGCATAATCATACGACCATGCTGCTTGCCATTATCGTCCCTGCGAACGTTGACCTTGAAAGTTCCCACACCACGCTCTTTCCACTCGCCGCTGAAATGGAAGAGCTTGCCTTTGCAAGAGAAGATATTCTCTTCCTCCTCCTCACCGGTGGACACTACAGCATGTGAGGTCAGTTTGAATGAACCACCGTAGGGTCGTATGTCATATGAAAAGAAAAGGTAATACGCACTTTTTTGTTCGTAAAAGCGTTCATCAGTCTTGTCAGCTTCAAAGGTATTAGTGCCTTCGCCTTCTTCGTTGTCGCTCCCATCACCCTCAGAGTCATCCGCGCCGATGGGCTTCGAAGCCGAAGACTTAGTGTCACCGCCCAGGGTTGCAGCGGCGTCGGGAGACGCAAAGTTTGACAGGCCGCCAGTCTTAGCAGCAGCAGCGAAGCCACCTCCAACACCTGCAAATCCATTCTTCAAGGAACCAAAGCCAGACGTGGAGGTTGAGCCGAATGCAGATGTGCCAGTGCTTGACTGGAACACGGAAGGTTTTGAGGAGCCGAATGAGCCAAATGGGGAAGTCTCCGAGCCCGCGAAGGACCCCAAAGCTGAAGAAGCAAAAGCGGATTTCGATGCAGGTTGTTCAGAGGCGGACGACGTGGTGGTTGTGGCTGGCTTTGAGCTACCAAGCGAAGCAAATGGAGAAGAGGAGACGGCACTGCCGAACGCACTCTGAGCGAAAGCCTGATGGGAGGGGGAGGGGGAGAAAGTCAGTGAATTACTCCCAAAATCACCAATTCCAAGTGATCGAACGTCAAAAAAGTGACTGAACAATGGCCACTTACATTGGCTTTTTGAGCCTCACGCTCTTGGGAATTATCCCGGTGACGTTTATTTTCTGTTTCCTCGGGCTTCTTTGCGCCCTCATCTTCGACTTGCTCCAGACTCCGTTTCTTGTTAAGTGCTTTAACTCCGTCGTCCTTCATTGTGTTGGTAGAGTCCAGGGTTTCAGTTGCGTCAGTTGCGTCCTGTGAAGTAGTGTTAATGTTATCATTCTTCGATAGGTGGGTGTCCTGGCCACAGGATGGTGATTCCGCTGGAAAATCCGTCGGGCGGTCAGTCCGCGCCTCAGAAGAAAGACTCGACTCGGGCGAAGACTCGGGCGAGGGTTTAAAATACTCTAACCACTCTTGCTCTACAGAGTCGAGGCTTCTCTCCCAAAAGACAGCGCCCGATGGAGACACGATAGTCTCGACAGACTCGGAATCTTCAGAGCCCAAATCGCACACTTCTTCCGCGCCAGCCGCTTCAACGGACTCGATCCAGTGCTCCGTGGCAATTTCCGACTCCGAGTCTGACGATATCACTGTCACCTCAGGGGACGCTCCGCGCGAAGTCTGTTCTACAAATAACAGACTGCGTTCTGACTCGTCGCTCGAGACGATGTTGTAGTACTCAATTTCCGGGTGGTCTGGAATTCCATGGGAGGACTCATCCGTGGCCAGTTCGGGAGGGGTGGCGCCTTCGGGGTCCTTAGGGGTCGCATCACTCACGTTTTTTCCCTCAGTGTCCTTCGCAGACTGCGGCGTAGCCTCGCGCGATCGCTTGCGCGGGCCCTCACTTGTGTCGGTACCTTCGTTCTTGTCGCGGGACTCCTCGAAAGACCGCTTGCGACCGCCAGATTGCTCCGTTCCGGAACCGATGGAGGCGCTATCAGCCGCATCATTCGCAGTATCGATGGACGTCTCCTTCAGTTGCTTGCGAACGGAGCTGTCTTCATGGTCAGAGGGCGGGGTGCGGACGTCTTCGCCGGTCGCTGATCGAGCGCGAGAATCGTCAGCTTTTTGCGTTTGTAAACGGACCTGAAACTTATCCCGGAAACCTCGTGTAGTCCACAGCTGTCACGCATCCATGGCCACCGAGTGTAAGAAGGCTGTTCAGACATCGTACACTCGGCTCGTCGACTCGAAGCCGTGATGTTGACGACTGGTCGCAGACATGAATTGCTCCATGTGTACGAAGTATCGCGGAATACTGGGAGTCAAGACTTGCGATAACTCACCCTCAGTAGGCTTTTTGGGCTCATCTGTCGCGGGGCCCATGGTGAACGCTATCTCGGCAGGTCAGGTAAGGGCGAGCGGGGATGTCAGAGCGTTAGCTGGTAGACTCGGCAAGCGTCAAGTCTTAACCAGAGAAGGAGCCGAAAAACTGTAATCGCAGCGAGTGTGCAATGTGTTTTGCGCCAAAGAAAAGGGTTGGGAAGAGAGAAAGATGCTGAGGACGAGAAGGGGGATGACGAAATGGTTGTAGGAGCTAGAGGGGGGATCGACGAAAGTGAGGCAGCGACTCGTCGAGTATGACTGCAAGGCTGTTGTTGTCCCGGTCACCGCTCCCGCCCCGCAGGCAATTGTAAGCCGCTGGCTGATAACCAAAGTCGCCTGCAGGAAAAGGGTTTCTCCAGAGATGTACCCAAAACCTGCCCTGGTAAGGTAAGCTTCTGCGAGTGGGTGCCCAGAGACAGAGACTCTCTCATCGACCCGGGGTCAAGAGAGCCTGCAGGAATTCCCGATCAGCGTACGTTCCTGTGACTGTTGTTTACTTCGGTATTGCCGATTGTGTCGAGTGAGGTCGTGCATCGGGCGAGGCGTTACTTTTGACTGCATGCAAGTAGTAGCCAACTAGCCACGAGGTACTGATGCGACATGATTCGGCGATCGAGAAGAACATTACAGCTAGCTTTGGATTGGAAAAGACACTCGGGACCATAAAACCTTTCATGATGTTGAATTTTGATAGAGAAGTGGCTACATGATCACTAAGCCCACTCCTAGACAGATTTAGCAGCAAAACAAGAAGCTGAAGCAGCTGGCAACGACGCTTAAAGTTTGGCCCCTTGACCAAAAGCTTGACCAGCATATTAGCCCTGAGGATAGCTGTGAGAATTGGAGATCACATACTCACCAAGCTCACTGTCGCGCGATATAAGTATGTATCTCGGGGGGGGGGGGGGGGGGAAGAAAAAATGAAATATGCCGGCACGCTTAACTAATGAAACAGAGACACCCGATTGCGATATAGAAAACGAATAGTGGATATACTGCGATGCCAACACGGTTGCGCAGCACGCCCGAGCCACCCAGGATGCTAACGCCAGCCGCCAGAGACCATGCCACCAAGACAAGGTAGACGGGGATTCTGGCAATTGTTGGTAGTCTGAGAGCGCTGAGAAGCGCCGCAATGACCAGAGGAAATAGTGTGTACCCAATGATGGAGATTGATTGGAAGAAGGATCTGGAAAGAGTAAACGGTCAGTATCTCGGCGGCAAGTATAGAGACTGCCGGGGCTGCGAAGACCGCAAGACTTACATCTTGCCCCCAAGCAGCTTGATCTGCAATGTAACAGCTGCTTCTCCTATCCAAACAATGCAGAAGACACCGGAGAAGACGTTAGACGCTTGATCACCCTTGGCGATAGAAAGGAACAAGCTCAAAATGAGACAAAAGACCAGCGGACCCCTAGAAAGTCGAGCCGTTAGCCCAGCACATTCCCCTCATCCCGACAGGAAACCTTCATGCCACTCCCGTAGACCTACCAAAGATCCCAGTCACGCAACCCTTCACTCATACCGCCTTGTAGTACCATATCCGCGTCAGGCCAGCGACCCACGAGCCCGCGCAGGTTACGACCAAACCCAGTCATTGCTTCACCTCGCTCCGCTGCATCGCCCATACCTCCACCACCGCGCTGCAACATGCCACCCAGCAGATACTTGGGCCAGAGCACCTGGCGCATTTTCTCCCAGACGGCGATCAAATCGCGCGAGAGTGTTTCCCAGACGCTTTCATCAATGGTGTTTTGAGTCGCTCGCCGATCTTCGCCGGGGATTGAGGAAGTGAGGTAATTGCCGTAGCCATCTGCGCGGGTGCCTTGAGAGCTCGACTCGGGAGCGATGTTGCCTCGTAAGGGAGCTGTGTCGGATGTGTGTAGGGGGTCGTCGGCCTCGATATCTAGAGTTGGAATTCGCGTTAGCAATATAGTCTACCGGCATTGGCCCAAGAGCTGTCTTTCACTCAAATGTAGAGCTAGCGTACCGTGGTCGGCTTCAATCAAGTCATCGTCCAGGAGTGATTCGTCGTCGAGCAGGTCGCCCTGAGAGTGACCAGGCTGCACACTAGCCATGATTTCAAAGTTTCTGCGAAAGAGATCCGATAATGAAAGGACTTTAGTGTTATAATATCATCACCTGTTCGAGCGAAGTAGACGTTTGACAGTCGAAGGCGCAATGTTGACCTCTCTGGATAGCCAAGCTACCTTACCTAACCCGGAGAGGCTAGAGTGGCATTACGCCGCGCAAGCTGGCGTCACCGCCCGCGGCGAAGAACGGACCTAACCTAACGCTAGAGGTATATATATGCATTGAATGGAAGGTGGTCGGGACTCGGCAGTGCCAACCGACATACCCTGTCTAGGACAGTAGTCAGTTACTCCACAAGATAGTTTGTTGACTTGAGTGTTTGCTGAGGCACTGATTGCATGCAGGAGCCATGCTTGTTTTGAGCGTCTCCGTGTTTGGAGTATTTGAGAGTTGCGAGGTGGGAAGTATGAATTAAAGAACATTACTGTTGCTGGGAACCGATTGCAACATTCAATCCCGATTCTATGAGTATGGTATTGTCCGATGCGCCGAGATGGAAAAGCGACACTGACCTCCCAGAAACAAGTCACGAAGACACCATAACATCGAAAAAACGTTCACCGACATGAGAAGAGAATCGACATGCTCCAGTCTACAAACAAGCAACCAAAACGCCGTTCATGTGGATGATATGCCTAATGTACAGTTTTATGCATGATTTTTCCCATACTCCAGGGGAAGCCCGACGTCCCACAAAGACATTTTGTGGTGAGCTTAGTCGCGTATATCTTTCTTCCCGTCTTCAGATGCCGTGGAAGCTGGGATTGATTCGGACCCCTCCGTTGGATGATCCTTCTCAGTCAAAGCTGGAGCCTCCTCCACCACTTGCACGTGTCGCTCCTGGAAGGCATTCTTCTGGTCGATGGTAGGATAGACTGACATCTGAACAAACTTCTTGATAGTCTCCTTGTCCGAATAGGTCTTCAGTGAATTGGAGTCCATCTGTAAGACCTTTCGATCTTCCTTTGACAGGACAGAGGCGTACTCTGCCTTTAGTAATTCGTCGATGACAGTGCGCACGCGAGCCATCACCTTGACAGCCAGAGATGCAGGTATATTGGCTGAGCCGTTCTTCAGGGCACTCCATCGAGACCCGCGTTCAGGCTTGCCACCTTGTAAGGCTTCATGAAGCTGAGAAACAGGAACACGCAAAGCGCCCATGGCAGCGACATGGAGGTCAACGTGAAGCTTCTTACCCAGAGCCTTGAGATCATTGATCTTCTTGCCACGACCCTCCTTAGGCAGGCCTCGCAAGTTGAGAAGGACGTGTGGAGCTTGAGCCAGTGACTGGACCAGCTCCAGATACGATTCGAGGACTCTTGGATCAGGCAGGATCAAAGCCTTGTGCATGACTTGCAAGAGCTCATTCGCATGCAGAAGAACCGAGGCATTGTTGCGATCACGACGACAGCACGCCATCGCAAGATGAAACAATTTCTCATTAGCAAGACCTGAGGGTAGTGCTTGATTTTGCATGACTTGAACAGCCCTCTTGCTGGCTCGGCCAGCGCGAAGGAGACGCATATATTGAGCCAGGGCAACCGCATCAGGCTCGAACCGCGTCTCCACCTCAATTGTCAAATAATCCCAGTAGGAATAGCCTGCAGCGAAACCTTGAGGGAGTCTATGACAGACATCCTCAATGAAAGTGAGCTCCTTGCTGCCGGGCTGAATGTAGGTCAACCCCTCGTTCTTGGGTAGGACGGGGTCGAATATCAAGTCGAAATTCTCAATCTCCTCTTCCTCTCCCTCTAGAAGTTCCTGTTTCTCAGACTTCTCAGGTTCTTCGCGCAAGGGACGGTTGTGCTCGTCCACAAATGGCACGTCCTCAGTGTGATCGGATTCTGCCGCCGACCGCCGCAAGAATGCCAGACGGAACATTGTGAACCGCGAGGCCTTTTGCGTCTCAGCTGGCTTTTTGGCAAAAATGGGAATTCCCATGGTTTGGTTGTAAAGCGCAAGAACATCGTAGTAATCTCGTTCTCGAGCACCCTCCAGGAGCAGACTAGCCATAGCATTGACAACATGATTGTCAATTTGCAACTGATCCTTGGTCCACCGGTACAGGACATCTGCCCAGATTCTCTTTCCTTCCATCACCATTTGATCTTTCCTTTCAACGATCTTATCTGTGTCTGCCGGGCTGATCTTCTCAAGGTCGTTGCGCGCTGAATACTGGAGAGCACCGAGAATGATCGTATAGGTGCGCATGTCGGGCGCCTGTGGACCCTCCTCGGGAAGTTCTCCAGCAATCCGCCACAATGAGTCCATATCGTGATGGCGGTCGCACACCGAAAGCATTGCATTCGTGTGGATTATACTGAGATCGACATCGGAATGCTCAATAGACCTGTAAATGGATTCGGCCATCTTGATGTTGGCGGGCGATTTGGGAGCATCGGCGAGACCTTTCAGCATCAACGTATATGTCACCGAGCTAGGCATTCGACCTCGTTTTTTCATCTATGCGAACGGAAAAAAAAATAGTAGTCAGCATCTCCTTCAGCGCTTCACACACGTATGAGCCAAGGGCTGCTGGCCCAATCAACGTCACTCACGTCATTATACAGCTTGAACGCGGCTTGCGGGAAACCCCGTTGCATGCAATAGCTCAGAAGATGATTCCAGGCCACGTCGCATCGCTTGCCATCTTTTTGTGCTTGACGGACCAGAGCTGCGGCCATGCCAGGATCGCCGCTGCGCAATAGACGAGCGACACGATCTGCTAGATCGCGAGGATCCTCCAGCCATTTCAACTCCATGCTGATGGTCTTGCGGGAATAGCTGGCACTGCGAATCTCGTCATTCATCTCGCCACTCTCAGGAGTCGATCCGCTAGCGATTGCCATCAGCAGGCGTTCTTCCTGTTTCCGCTTCTCCACGTCCAAGACGGGGCCATTATGACCAAATCTCCGATGCTTATGAGGGGCATTTCGATTGGATTTTGTGGATTTGCGAAGTGGTTCGGACGACGCTGCAGTCTCATTGCTAGGATGGGTCTCTTCAGACTCGGCGACCGCCTGCGAGTACGGCCGCAGGCCGAACAGGTGAGACTGCTCGGGGCTCGTTCTGGCGACGGTGACTCGCTCCAACACGGACGAGCTGCGTAGAGTTCTACGCAGCAAACATGCTGGAATCTGGAGAGACATGACACGTCCACACCACAACTCCACAACTAAGGAATATAAGAGGGAATAAAAAATGAAACAACGAAAACTCAAGGCGCGAAGAAGTGAGTGGTCTGTTGGCAAGGCGCGGAGGTCCGCAATAATTTCTCGGAGATCGGACTTGCTTCTAGCCTCTTTGGGGCTAGACGATGCTCCCCTAATCACTCAGGCATCCCAGCGACAATCGTGATGCATGCCTGAGGAATCCAGACTTCGAAGCCCACATGGGCTCGGAGACGCTACACCCGAACAAGTTTGGCGCTTCGATGGAGCTGCGGGCCGCTAGAGCATTCTGATATCGGGGCAACCTTTGACATGAGTACCCCGGTCTGCCACGGGAAAGCTAAGCCAGGTGCAGCATGCGGTACCTGAAAGTCTGACACACTGCGTGGTGCCCGGTGCTCTCGTGTATTGTCAGTCAGGTACCTACTGATCTCTTCAACTATACTTGCAGCGGCGGTAGTACGTAAGATACCTCCCAAGATCTTCAATTAGACTTTCGACTAGTAATTCCCGAGTGTCTGAATTTCGGTACACGGCTACACCGCCACAGGTTCAGTCCCAGGTTCCAGTTTCGCTTTAGTCTCGAAACTAGTCAGGCCTTGCATCCTGCAAGACTGTGGGGACATGACATGTCAAAGGCCCTGAAGCTTATTAGATGCGCAGTGCAGCACTGGATGTAGGTCCTGCAGAGTCATGCAGCCTTTCCCGTTTAACTCCAGTGCTGGAGATTTGACACACCGAGCCGAATGAAGGCGATGATGAAATGTCTCGATTTACTCTTGCTTTGGTAGGAGTTTTTCACTCAAGTATGTTAGCGGTGGAATGATGCTTTCACTTTATTTTTAGTTTGCCCTAGGCTCTCTTCTCTTGACTCCGTCTGTCCCACCACCGGAGAGGTAGTAATTACGGGCGAAGCGAGTGAGCGACTGGTGTCTCTAGTCTCGTACGCCAATACACAGTGCAGAGTTAGATGGAGTATCAAATCCATAAAACGTATTAGACTCGGTCGTAAGAAGCCGAGGCTGCAGTATAAACCCCCCCCTCCCTCCCCCAAAGTCCCTCCGAATCCCACAGCCTCAACCGCCCATGCCCCTAATATCCCGCCACACTCACCCCTTTAAAACAAAACAGAGCATTACTTTCTCGCCAGCCAGTCCTGTCTTGCAGCCTCCCCGCCCCAAACAATCTCCAAGCGGACCGGTATATCCGCAGGAACCGAGTAATTTATACCCACGAGCCACATGCTCTCAAATCAAGGAGAGAAGACCCTTGAGTAGATCAATCCGGCTCGAAAGAATGGTAGGTTCTGTACACGATTGCACCGATACATGCTGCCCGGAAAGCCAAGTCGTACATGCAGAAAAGGGCGGACCGGACGGGGCTGCCGCAGTGTAGAGTCCATGTTCGTGTGACCAAAGGAAAGGGTACACAACAAATGATGCTGACTTGTCCATTGTCGTCACAATTTGGTCCAGACGGCCCTACTGGCTTCTTCTTCTTCTTCTTCTTCTTCTTCTTCTTCTTCACCATACGTCCACGAATCGCAAAATTCCCACTAATTCCATTCACCATATACCGTGCGAGATGTAAAATTTACCTATGGAGCACTCGTGGCAAAAGAAAGTGGGATTTCTGCTCTAGAAAGTCCCCTTTGATTCTTAATGAGAAGCGTCCATCGCTCATAAAAAATCTAATACATGAGGTAATAGGGTCGTAACAAGTATACAGACCAGCCATGTGGATAAGTAGAGCACAGGAGGAGGGGAGCAAGAAGCACAGCACAAAGGAAGAACATAGGAAACTCATTCATCAACCAGGAACCACGGATGGAGGAAGAAAATTAGAGGCCTGCGAGAGGATGGTATCAAGAGCTGAGGACAAGGAACAGCAGACCCCAGATAAAAGCGATATCCGGAGCGGAAAACACAGAAGTAGATCTGGTGACAAGATGAAGCAGGCCAGACGCGGGGATATCGTTGTTGAAATACAGAGCGGGGAAAGAGAGAGAGAGAGAGGGGGGGGGGGGGGGGGATGAGAAAGCGATTTGGAAGGATACATTCCAATCAGGTCAGTAGCAAGCATGCAGGAAAAAGAGAGAAAAGACAAATCGAGAAAGCCACACAAAAGCCAAACATGTAAAAATGCAAGGTTCCAGTCCAGCATCGATAAGAGGAAATGACATCAAGGCATGGCTGAAATTTTCACGTCTCCCGTCAAGAAGGGAGTGGGAGTTCAATGCGAGAAGTTGTGGGGCGAAAGCGATTCTGGAAGAGCCGTAGCGAAGAGGGATCAGCCAACCGATTTTCGAAGAACGGAAGTCGAGCGGACGACTCATTGTCTTGGTAAAGATGACCGATAACAAGAAGAGCCCTTGGGATGGTGATGGAGAACAGAGGGCGGGAACGGGGTCCAGTTGATTGGCGATGGAAGCTTGGAGTGTCCTCGCTGGCGTGCTTCTTCTTTGATTCATCGGTGGTTTGCAATATGGTTACTCACGTTGCTGGTAGACAGGACCGCTCTGGTATGGGGAGTGAGGGTAGTTGGGAGGGTAGCCCATCTGGCCATTGCTCTGGTAGACCATGCCATTGCTTGGGCCGCCATACTGGCTCTGGACTTGACCATCGGCAGGCTGATATCCGATAGGAGGAAGTTGAGGGCGGACGCCATTCCCATATCCGGAGGAAGGACCGCCTTGTGAAGGGTCGGAAGAGCCAGGCGCGTCAACCTGACCGGCCTGGGCTGCTTGGGCTGCGGCTCGTTCCCGTTCCTCCGCAGCCTTGCGCTGAGATTCTTCTTCCTTCTTGCGGGCCTTCCATTCCTTCCGAATCTCCTTGAATTCTGTAGAGAAGAGATGAAGATCAGTATTTGCCCGACTCGTTTTGATGAGATAGATGGATTGATGGTGGGTTGTGAAGGGGGATACGAGGCGACGACGAGGTATGGGTGCAAGGTGCGGCAACAGGCTAGCGCGGGAGGGATAGACCAGGCAAGCTTTCCCATAACTTAACCTCCACGCCAACGGCGACACTACTGCGGCCCCGCGAAATCTAGTGTAACTCACTAGCGCGAGTAGCTGCCGGCGCTAACCCGATAGAGCGATTTGCGACAGAACGTCGAAGATCATCCAGTATGCTCCTCTGACGCCACGGGAACGGTGATGTTGGGAGGGGAAATGATAGACACGATCGGAGTGGGAGCGGGAGCGCGAGTCTTACCTTCAGGGGTTCGTTTGGCACCATGAGACTGCATTGTCACGTGTGCATTCAGATGGTTCAATGTGCCGTATGCCTTCTCGCAACCATTCCAACCACATTTGTACATGCGCTCGATCTCCTCGTATCGACGACGGGGTCGCTTGTGCTGCTGAGCACCAGGAATTGGGACGAAGGAGTAGACCTGTTAGAGTCAAGAGAGTCAGCCCCACCGGTCTCAAATCAAATGGAAGGAACAGGCAAAGTTCGAGGGCACAGTTTTCGACAGATTCCCCGGGGAGTGAAGAGAAGACTGCAATGCCCTGGATTGGTGAAATCCATCCGGACGCGTGTCGTGGAAGGAACGATAGCAAATCAAGAGCCAAAATCAGAGAGACAAAGGAATCGTTTGGACTTCCAGAGGAAAAAAAATTTTTCCCCTCTCCTTCTTCTCCCCGGTAGTGAATCACCAAAAAACATACCTGACCAGAGCGCGACCCTCCGGTCGCCACAGAGGAAGGGGAACTAACCGTGGTGGCCGCTGGTGAGGCATAAGGTCCGGGTAGACCGTGGTGTTGCTGACCATAGCCGTGTCCCCATTCCGGGCGCGCATACATCTGGTGCGGAGGGGGTGGGTGCCCCTGATACTGCGCCATCTCGTGTCCTTGTGGCTGATACGGAGAATAGGGAGGCGGATACGTTGGGCTGTTGGCCGGCAGCGACGGGTCTAGAGGGATAGCCGCGTCAGAGGTGAAGTTGTGAGAGGATGGCAACGAGGCAAGAGCAGCTTCGGGCTCCGGACTGCGCGGCGTCGCAATCGAGTCCGATGCCGACAGCGTGGCGGGCGGAGCAGAATGTGAAGAAGTCATGGGCAACGGGGCAGTAGTCGTGGGGGCAGAAACAGAAGAGGCAGAAGACGGGGTGGGATATGTGATGGGAGAATTGATGGTGGTGGTGGTGGTGGTAGTGGCAGTCATGGAGGCGGCAGAAGAGAAGGAGGGAGGGGTGGACTGGAACGGACTTGTTGCTTGAGCCATACCGGGCGCACCACCGGGTTGAGTGTTGGGAGCAAAAGATGGCGGCGGGCGCGGAAGGTAATCCTGGTGGTATGCCGGCGAACGAGTAGGCGGTGGGTTCAGCGCGTACTCGGGCTGGGGGTGTTGGACGAGGAAATGTTCGCGGGCCGGGCCTCGGGCTGCGGCGTGTGGGAGTACTGCGGGTTAGGGCGTGCTTCAGCTTGCGGCGTGTGAGGATAGTGAGGAGCCGCGGCAGTAGAGACGGAAGTCTGGTCTGTGATATATGAAATGTCCAACGAGGGTGACGATGATTAGATTGGTGGTGAGATAATAAATAAGAGATGTAGCAATTGATGGGGGTCGAGCGAACCTGACTGTGCGTACTCGGAGGTGGGTCGGTCCATATAAAAGTCGGGGATGCGGCGCGGCGCAGAAAAAGGTTTTCCTGATGCGTTCCGATCCTAATTGGGAGCGAGAGCCAGAAGGCGGAGGGGAGGGATTTCAGAGGAAAGAAAAGGAAAAAAAAGGTGATGGGTTGACAGAGGAGGAAAGAGTGGAAAAGAAGGAATAAAAATGGCCGATCTCTTCTTCTTGTTCTCTTCACATATACACCTTTTCGTTGCGGCCACTCTGCGTCTGTCTTTGTGGTCTTGGTTTTTTTTTTTTCCTTTCTTGCACGTTTCTTTAATTTCTCACTCTTTTTTTTTCCGACTTTCGCGTTGTTGTTATTTTTTCTCCGAACGCTGCAGACGCGTTAGACCGAATCGTCAGCAGGGAAAATCAGGAGGAATTGGAGAGAGAGAGGGGGGGGGGGGGGTGTATAGGCCAACGGAAGGGGGGGTGTGGATGGAAGAGGGGGTCGGCTAGACAAAAAGAGTCCAAGAGAACTTTCTTCCCGCAAGTCGAGAACCACCCGACAGCCGGCCAATGATCGAGTCGAGTATTTTTTTTTGGGAATTTCTTCTTTTTTTCTTTTTTTCCCAATTTCTTTTTTTTCCCTCTCCCCTTTCCACACTTTGTTCACGCTGCCTCTCCACTCCACCTAAACCCAAAAGGGCACTCATGCGAGCGAGAGAGACAGAGAAGAACAACAAGTGACAAGTCGGGCACGTTGCACGCAAGGGACTCAACGAAACAACCAGACTCACCACGTTCAGAATCGTGGCTTGCCTGGCTCCCGCTGTATCTCTCCAGAAGAGTGTATACTTCCGCGTACGTTGGTCGGCAAGGGAGAATGCCGACAACGATCAACGATGGGAGAAAGGGAGGTTGTGCAGTGAAGGGTAAACTGACCTTGGTGAGGATGGTAATGGGAAGTCCGCCCACGAGGGTACTACGAGGTACTGAAGGGTAGATATCAAGCTAATTGACCCAGGAAAGACCCCTGAGGCCACAGAGAATCACCAATGGTCGTCGAATTTGGCGGCTCGGTGGAGATCTGGCTTGGGGCGAGGCGAATCGATGCCTTCTCCAAGCGTGCGGAGGGCGGGACGAGCGTTCTTCTAGTTCCAGCAGGTCGACAAACGGCTTGCAGGATCTAAATTCGGGCCCGATACACCTTTGGCACAGATGTGATCGGAGCGGTCAGGATGATGGTAACAAAACTTAATCTTTCTTGCAACCACGATCCAGGAGAGAGAGAGCGCGGACGGTGGAGAGAGAGTTCGCGATGATACACAAGACCCAGATGAAAGTGAGCAAACACTCGAGAGATTCTAGGTCGCAGAGATCGGACAATCGTCCTTCGGTCTTGTTCGCTAGGGCAAGCCAAGGCAGAAAGGCAATGCGAGGGCACCAGATATCTCCGTGAGCTTCTTTCTAGTCGAACGAGGCGCGCAGGACTTAAACGAGTCTGGTAGCCCAGATTGTCCACTCAACAATGGAATCACGATCTGTCAAAAGGAAACAGGAAAATGATCAGGCAAGAGAAGACAGGATTGCAGTGAGTTGCATTAGAATTGCAAGAGCGTCACGGATGCAGCAGGGCCTTTGTACAAGACGGAGAGTCGCCGCAGGTCAAGTCTTCGGCAGGACCAGCTCTCTCGTTGCTCGTGGGATCCGAGGATGCAGTGGGGAATCGGGTGGAGCAGGTAATTTGGCTTCTTTCGTTTATTTCATTATTGATTTTATTTTTATTTTCTTCGTACTTTCTTTTTTATTTTCGGTATCCTTATTTCATCTTTCTCACAAATTGTCAACTACTTGTCCCTTGTGACCCCCTGGAACCGATCGGGTTTGCTCCGACGTTCATTACCATCTCGAACGGAAGTGAAGCCCAATTCGAGGAAACTCTGAAGATATCTCGGTAGAATTCTCACTCATCCTTACAAAGGCCCTACAGAACTGGATCGTCCAATATGAAGGAGATTGTATCTTTGTCGTGACTCGTCAGGGATGCAGGTCAATACAAAACAAGAACCGGGGGCGCACACCAGAATCTAGCAGGCATTTTACCCCATGCTCCCCAAACGATCAGACACGATGCCAATTTGGTGATAGCCTTGAGCCTTTGGATCGACAAGGCAAAGTTTGATTCAGACTTCTCAACCATTGCCAAGGCTCGGCTGTTCCTGATCCCTTCCATTGGCGTGGTTACTTATAACGGTCTCCGTTTATAGGGCGTCAACTTTGATGCCGCGACAGAGTGCTTTAGGATCGCCGGCAACAAGTAGCCCGCAAAGTACGATCCGTGCCGCCGTCTGTTGATCATCCAGAATCCAGACAGGTGTCGAGAATCGAGATGATTGCCAGGTAGGTATGAGACTCTTGCGGACGATGGTCGCGGTACATTGATCAATACTGTGGTACTGTAATGGAGATCCTGATAAGGAAGCTCCTCCGTGGGAGATAAGGCCGCTCGGGTGGCAGTAAAGACCAAAAGGGTGAATTGGAAGCAGTAGCTTGGTCTGAATCATTAATCATCCAGCATCTAGCATCTAGCATCAATGAGGGGATTGAATTCGCCATTGCCCACCCAGTCCACCGTAAGAGACGACGATCCTCGCCTGCTCGGGGCTCGATAGACCACACTAGGGCGAATCTCGACTGTCCGTCAAGGGACTTCCTTCATTAGGGTCTCGTGCATGAATCAGTCTTGATTCTTGTTTTGGATCCAGATCTCTGCATGGATTTATGTAGCGGGAGCTTCACAATGGATAACCGTGGTCTCAAAGGGACAGACAAGAGGTTTACAGACACAGGCGATCTCCATTTCCCGTTCCGTTGGTTCCTATCAGCCTCTTAGCTTGCCTCTCGGCTGATATGATTATGATTCGTGTCAATGCTTTATTACGTCCAGCCTGTTCACATGATAGCACAAGTTCCCCTCATGCTCGAAATGGGCCTTTTGTTGCCGATGAAGCGGATCTCTTTTCCTTCTTTGCTCCCCTGATTTCGTATCTTTGATACCCAGTTCGACAAGCGCGCATGTATGACTATAAAAAAGGGATAAATTGCACGCAGTCCACCACAACCAGTCACGTAGAGAGATTCTCCGCCTCGGTGAAGTTACTACATCCAGCCAATTTTCAGATTGCAAGATGGAGTTCAGATCAAACCCCAGGAACCGTACTGAATGGAAAATTGAAGATGCCACTGACTAGTGACCACACTGTTTTCTAGGATAAAATGGAATAGGGCAAGGAGCGGGCGGGCGAGCTTGGGCCTGGTGGATGGAGATTAAGCATAGTCCCAGGCTACCTTAGCCTCCGTCCCAAGACGTGTCACTGCTCGGTACTCCGTTCCTCGGACGGGGTTGAATCGTCCAGTCCCTGAGTCCACCGTTTGGAACACGTTCTGATCTGGGTTAGCTCCTCTTCTCCTCCTGAACTAGTCTACCCGCATTTTCTAGGCGCGCGTCCTTGGGCGTATATAAATGGGTGAACCAAGCGTTTAGTGGCCTGGCGGGGACATCGACGGAAATGGGTACTGAAATACCATTCCTGAGAGTCAATGGAAGATTGAGAGAAACTGGACAGAGTAGAGCAGGAGGGAGGAGGGGGGGGGGGGGTAAAGTATTGGAACAGGAGGGCAATTAGGGTGGTGTGTATGTGAGAGAACACATCGAGACAATGGCATGAAAGGAGTGAAATATTTCCGATAAATTGCATTCCTCTCTTTTTGCTTTGCGAAAGTGAGAAAAACGAAGAGAGAGAAGAGTTTCAGCAAAGAGCAGCATCAACTGCCGGTGGATCAATGCGAGAGGGGGCCACAACTGGACAAACCGCAGTGAGCCAATAAATCCAGACCGGAAGCAGGCAAATGGCATCTCATTCGTGGAGGGCGGAAGAGGAACCGACAGACCGCGAGACAGACAGAAAAGCGAGAGAGAGACGCGGAGATGGAGGAGCAAAAGGATGGTACGCGGTGGAAGCGAATCCCAATCTGGATTAGTTCTGACGCACCTGGTCCCGGCGGAGATATCGAGCCAACGACGATCCGGTAGTGAATCACTTTGGGTCCCGCGGGATGGTGGGAATGGTGGAATCGAGTAGTGGACTCCGAGAGTGACCCCCGAGCTACACCGAAAAGGGGGCTAGTGCAAGCTGGGGGAGCGGAGCAGATGGGCAAAACCGATGGTCGACTCGGGAAGACCAGGGCTAAAGAGGAAAAGGTCGCAGGACGAGGCCTAGAGCGGGGAATCCAGTCAGTGGTAAAGCGGAGTCTGCTGGTGGAGTGGATCCACCAGCTGATGGAGCTAATACCACTTTGGGGCTAGCAGACACAACCCGCTGGAGAAATCTTGAGAGCCAGGGCGGGTGCAGCCGGTACCTTCTATTCCGGGTATTGAAGGCCTCCAGTATCATTGGATGAATCCTCTTCCAGTTGGCACCCATGTGTGGTCGGAGAAATGCAGTGCTCTCTGTGATTGCATCCATTTTCATGACGACCGGCGATAGGGGGATAAGCCTGTGACATCACGTGCACGAAACGGTTGACTTGTGGTTCAAGGTTCAAGGTAGTCCATCAGGGCAGAGAAAGCCAGCTGGGTTTAAATCCGGCTTCCGTCCCTCTGTTCTCTCGACCTTGGAAAGCTCAGGATGACCAACAGATCGTTTTGTCTGAACCCGAACATTGATTGGGCCTTCCCTTGGGGGACAGGTCGGATCGAGAAATTCACTCGCGTTTCATAGGAGGACACGTGCGGGTCGGCGGAGAAGGCACGAAGTACAACGACAGACAACAATAATACTGTATGGGTACCATGCATGTGATGGGCGTCTCCATAGTGGGGGGTGGTACAGCTACGGTACCTCGCCTCACCCCGAGTCTCCTCTGTCTGCCTTCCGCCCGTGATACTGTGCTTATGTGCTATCATGGATGATATGAACCATTGAACACATATCGGCGACCCATCCTTGAATGTTCACCTGCACGAATTAAAGTCCCTACGAATGAGAGACCGACTATGTTTGCATACAGACAGAGTCGATCTGCCACATGTCCCCGGGCGGCCACGCCTGCCACGCCTGCCAACTCGCAAGGCTCCTGATAGAGTTTCCGTCATCAGGGTTAAGGTTTATTTCACGGCACGATCTGATACCGGGCTTGGTGCCTCTTGCTGTACATGGCCAATTATGTATAAATTGTACATCACTCTCTCTATCCGTACAGGACCCATCCGTGTGGACAGAACAGGCAACGGACTCTTCTGGTAGAGCCAACAATCATGTCAATCACGACATGATCATGACCTGCCTGCCCGGAGTGGACGTTTCCCCTCCGTCAGATGGTTCAATCAATTCACTGACTCGAGCGTCCATAGAGGGGGGCTGTCAACGGCGGATATCTGACCCACGCTGATAAGACTATGGAGCGCGCTGTGGACAACATTAGGGACACTAGGTTTCTCATCTCCTCTGAAAGGTCGGCTGTCGCGTAATCGAATGCTACCCAAACGGCCTATCGAGGGGACAGTCACAGTCTCTCGCGGGAACGTGCCTGGGAACACGTTGGTGGCATCCATGTGGGGCAGAACCATCAGCACCTCCCAACTAAGCCCTCTGTGGCCCCACTGTGATCGGAGGCTAGTTCGTCCGCCGCCCGCGTCATTTCCCAGCTCCTGGCCCCCTAGGCTCCTACTCTGGCTCTGGCGGCTTCGGTCATGAACACTTAGATCGGACTTTATCAAACCTGTCGAGTGTCGAGCGTGGCTTCTCTGGACACCGTGGAAAGCTCGCAGGTCCGGCCCAACTTCCTGGGGAAAGCGGTCAATTGCGTGCTCGCCCCATGGGTGGTACGTGGTACCGATCAAGAAGAGTACATCTTCGCTACCAAGTTGACCTCAAAGAAACCTCTGACCCTTACGGGAAAAGACGCGAGAGACAGATCCGAAAAGCCCGTCATCGCATTGAACAGACCATGACCTCGAAGTATTTCCTGGTGTCTCCTCCAATGGATTGAGGAACACCGCCAAGAAGCTTTCCAAGTGACCCCCGGACCCCCTATTCTCCTGCATACCGGTTCAACAGAGAGTATCTGACGCCAGGAACGGGTGTCAGGCCCGGATAACTGCTGGCACGAGAAAGACAAACTCCAGGGGCTCCACCCCACTTCCCCCTCCTTCTTTTTTAGCCGGTTGACCGACCGCAGGTCTCCCATTTTCCCCTTCGGGTTTGATGGCGATTCGGATTGCCTCTTAGGCTCCTCCTGGGCTCGCTCGGGGCTCCGTCTCCTCCATCGGGATATCTCGATCATGAGCATTTCGACCACCGCACTTCATTTGCCAAATTTCCCGATTTCTTCGAGTCCGTGAGGGACAGATCCCGTAGCTGTTGCCCAGATCAGAGGGCCCTGGCCCACAGGACCAATTCCTTATCGCCTGCAGCAGGGTTACATCTCATTTCCCAAGGGTTCTCTCGATTAGGAAATTTACCGCGTCCGCTCGTGCATGCGCGAGATGGGCCAACCAGAGTCAGATGAAATTACATGGGGGACTCTTTTTTTGACCGAGTCTCAGGTGGTGAAGTTGAAGAGAGTCAAGAGACCCTTGAGACGCGTTTTTCATACGGACTCTCATGAACATGCCATGCGACCGAGGCCATTTCCGCAGATGTCAACAATCAGACGATATCGCAGTGTCCGGCACTCTGGCGGGCCTCCGGACCGCATCTCAGACGTGGTCCAACTGATAAGCCACGACAAGTACAGAGTACAGTATGATTCGTACTAGGATCATGCTACAGCCCCTACACCTTCTTCCCTCTGGAGTACAATACCCAAGATCTATGTCTGCATTCATGCGAAGCGCCTGTCCGATGGGTAGACCCTGCATGGTGATTACCCATCGCCCACTCTGCACCCTACACATAAATTATAGGAATTCCACTTCTACTTTCGAAAGACGTACGCGGATGAGTAGTACTACTACAGTGCTACTGAGTCCACCGACAGCTCTTCTAGACTGTCGATGAGACACTGCGGATATGGGTTTGCACTAAATTTTGAGCCTCATGACTGACACACTACGTCAAGCTTCGTCATTAAAACCACAAAAGCACAGTCACGCCTAGGGACAAGACGAGGTATATCGGTCAAGCAACCGAGGGTTGAGTTTGGGGCGCGTTCTACATACAACACAACCTTTCGACCACATGCACACCGAGTTCCTTACTGGATAATCCCGCGGTGCCATTCAGCTGTGTCCTACCGCAGTGACAGAACGTGCCATGAGTATGGATCGAATAGGATCAAACGTGAGGCTGAATTACACACGCGCGCCTGACCAGCAGACCAGCCTCTTCTCAACTCAGATGGGACCAAGATGGAGCCAGAGTGATCGGAGACGGAAATTGTGGATCGGATGTTTCAACCCGGATAGGGGTCGGTTGAACATGAAGGCTCGGGTGTAACTATCAGAAAGCGTACTACTACTACTACTACTACTACTACTACTACTACTACTACTACTACTACTACTACTACTTCTACTACTACTACTACTACTGTGGTCCATTGGTCAAGTGGTTTCCCACTTCCCTGAGCGCCCACAGGCCCCGTACTGGACTCTCGGTGTTCCTCCACATCCCGCGGTGCCGTGATTTTCTCGAGTTCCACCTCGGGACTCCATTTCGTTATACCTTTTTCTCCGAAGTTTCTTTTTTCTTTGCTCGCCCTTGCGGCCCTTCTGGGTGACCTTCGTCCTCGTGAGATTCCGGGTCGGCGCTCTTGGCAGGCAGGAGGACCATGACAAATTGCCCAACGTTCACTTGGTATGCCCGATGACCAAGCTTCGAGTCGTCCCGGGGATGTTACCGGCGTGGAGAACTCATCGCCATCGCTAGGCATCGTCAACCGTGGGATCTGAATTCAGTTGCTGTCAAACAGTGCCATGATACATTCAATTGCCTGTGGGGTGCTTGTTCTAGCAGTAACTCAGAGCTCATCAGAGGAAGAGATGTGCTCCTGTTGCTAGTACATGAAAAATTATCCACTAACTTTGACAAGTACATCAAACATGATACAACTGTTAATGCGCCGGTTATAGTTGAATTTGATAGGTAGATCTTCAAATACATTTCATCGCCTTGACGCTGCAGTACTATAGAAGAACATCCATTAGACTGACATATACTCTACAGATGCACAGTATGTAGTAAAAGCTGAATACTACTTGGTATACGTACTACTTTAGTACTGAGAAAGTTAGTACTGAGTCTACTGAGTACTGACTATTGACTAGTCCACTCTTTATCTGTTCTTCGGAGATCACTGATAGCACTCGCAGCCCTGCTAGCGCTCGACCTCGGGCCTGATATTTCCCAGGTCGGCTACCGACGAGCCCCCCCAAAGGTCGAGCCACCCAATACAACGCATCCACAGTGCCGTGCTACTGCTAAGCACACACGCCGTTTCCTGAGTATCACGCCATGGCCAGAGTCCCACATCTCCTGCACGCCGGTTGTCGATCGAATCAGCTAAGACCATGACATCCAACATGATGCTTGGCACAAGTGGGAACCAGACATGACTGGCATCAATGTGCAGCAGATGCGAAGGAGACGAACAAGACAACGGCACTCTCCATGACCCCTCCCGTCTGCATTTCGGTGCCGCCCGGGGGAATTCCGCCTGTGATTTACACAAAAAAAAAGGGTTCAGTTTGACCGTCGGTTGCATTACATTGCCTGTTGTCATCTGATTTCTTCAGATATCTCTTTTATAGTGGCATCCAGAGTTCCAAACAAGGTCGAGGCTTGAAGGCAGACCAAAAGTCAAAATCCCTGGTACGAGGCGCTTTCCGCGGCTGTAGCTTAATGTTATGATGAGCACATTGCACATGCACCGATCTTTCAGGAAGGAGACTGTCACGTAAGCCCTGACGAGGGAAAGATATGGGGAAGAGGACAGGAAAGTCAAATTTCCGGGCGCAAATTCTGTACGGGATAGTGATACACTCAGATACAGTGTGTAACTTAAACTGTGTAAAATTGTACAATTACCCACTGCAGTCTGCAGTCTGCACATTAATTACACTGGTTTTGGTCCTTCGAGAATTCCCGCACCGGGGATGTAGCATGCACGTGTCACCTTCACAACACCATAGACTGGTCGAGGCACGGATGTCTCCCGGAGAAAAGGTCATATCGAGATGATCACCGTGCCCTCTCTCTCTGCTCTGGTGGGCCAGCGAGCTAGGGATGTGGATCAGCAAGAAGCATTTCCCGCGGAGTTGAATTTATCTTTTGGCGTTTAATCTGTTATTCATTAATCGTTCATTTACTATCGTTTTTTTCTTTTGTTTTTGGAATGGGTTGCCAAATAGGATTATTGATGGGTTCATGCTTCACTGGTTTTGAAGCTGATTTTCTTGTGAGCAGACAATAGCCAGAACGCGGCAGGTGTGAGACAAGGACAACAGCCAGAGGCCCTCCACAGCCGAAAGACCATGATGCTTTTCATTTACATTTACAGAAAGACGACACTGCTTTTCATTTACATTTACGGAAATGACAGACGGTCTGCAGATTGCCAGATACAATGTTATTGAGGTATCAGCGAGCCATGTCCTGCATGCAAAAAAAAAAAAAGACCTCCAAGCATACGCGCAAAGGTAATGGTACAGACGACGTTGTTCATGTACAACTGTCCAATACCAATTGTTCGTCTCGCATTCATAGCCTAACCAGAAATTCAATGGGGATCTCGCATCCTTGCCTAGCTCTTTGCTAGTGACGATCCCCCGAGAACGAAGTATCAAGAATTGGGATAGGCGACCGCTTCCAGAGCTGTCACGTAATTCTTTCGTCTCCAGCCTTGAAGAATCCATCACCTTGTCGTAATCATTTAATAGTGATTTCATGCCCACAATTGCATAATGTCAGGCATTTGATAGCATGCGGAATTGAATATGTGCCGCAGAGATAGGCATGTGATTATCGTGGACAACAACAGAAACAGTTCACAAATGGAAATGTTTCCTCCGAAAAGGGCAGCGCTGGGCCATCCCAAGGTGTCCACAATTGGTTAGGCAAACAAGCTCAGGTAATAAATCCAAGTCACCAAGTCCTTGTCCCAAGTCACAGTCCCGCCGATCCACCACCAGAGCGACCGCTAAGCTGAATGGGAAGAATAGGCACTCCTGTCAGGACATCAAAGCTACAAGTCCTAACTTCTTGTGGTTGCAATATGGCGGAGCCATAGAGACATGTTTGCTGTGCCTAAATAGATGCACAGATAGCATTCCGTCTGCTGCCCACTACTGCAATTGTACAAGACAACGAACGACCCATATGCCCTTTCCTTCAACTTCAAAAAAAAAAGCTGTCCACTTCCTCTGTCCACTTCGGCCGAAGGCTGACACAGAAAGCCCAGGACCAGCAATTTCGCTTTCCGGGTGGCAGCAAAAGTGGATTAACCGGAAGAGATTTATGGGCCTCTAGAGGAAGTTTGAGCAAGACCCGTTAGGCTTTATGGCCAGTGCGCACCCCCAAGGTTATGAGCTAACGGAAATACTACGCCGGACTCAGTAAGTCATCTCCGCCTCATCGTTCGGCAGATCTCGTTAGCTTGCCCCCGAATAAGCTCGGAGATCATGGCGACCATTATCGCCTCGTCCGTGGCTAGATCGACGCGACAGTCAGGATGTTTGACTACCTGTACGTTGAAATACCAGATATGTACGCGCTTCGTTGAACACGAATATAGGAAGCGCGAGATCGACCTTGTTTTTCTGAGAGGATTCAATTGAGCCAAACAATTCCAAAGTCAGATGGAACAAGAAAGAGGATAAAGTGGCAGTTTGAGTGGAGCATCATCCAGTGCTGCCATTTCACACAAGATGATTTGTATTTTCAACTTACTAGGCGCAGTCCCTCCGACAAAAGTACCGCGACTAGGGGGAACGGTGCGTCTTCCTTCAACGCCTTGCCAGCCACGATGTCGTAAAGGCTGCGATCGTACTGATGAAACAATCTCGGCCAATCGTTGTTCTGGCCAGAGACGGGATCGATGCCGAAAAACAGGGAATGGGGAAAAGGCAAGATATGCCATTCGTGGTACACCTACTGGACTAATTCCTTTCTGTCAAGGATTTGACTCCCGAGCCGGGACTGGACAGCAGAACGTTGGAGGGAATTTGCTGTGATTCCATTTTCAATTCACCCTGATAGAGTTCGGCCCAGATCTTCGGCGCCTCATAGGAAAGCGGCTCCTGATGTTACTACACAAAACGAATCATGATTGCAGATGGGCTATGCCGATGAAATTGGCAAGAAGCAAACATGCTGTTTCTTCAGATTGCCACGAGCTTCCGACATCTCGTTGTTGAGATTCGTAGCTAGGCCCTAACAGTAATGTGAATGATACGACTGATACTGTAGGATTTTCTATCGAGCAAAGGTACACACTACACACTACAGAGTTTAATTGTCCAGCTTGTGCTGCTATACAACTTGCGCGACGCGACCGCCCCGTGTGCTAACGTTTCGACTTCATGATGTCCCGCCCAGTAACCCAGGCTTGGCTGTAGGCTCCAGAACATATCTTATGTCTCAAATGCCTCGAAGGATGTTCGATGTTCAAATACCCATGACAGGCGTCTAGGACACATCTACAGGATTAATATGGTGGTTACGACAAAATTGAGTGAGGAAATAGAATCGACATGGATCAAACGTTGCAGATAAGCAGCAAGATCTCGCCTGTAGTCTTTCAAGGATTCAATCAATGACGCTAAGATGATGCTAACTAGGGTCGAAGGCACTCTCTCATTATAGCCGCTCTTCATGCATCAGCCTGGCGGGACCATGCTCTGCGGCTGCTGGTGTTGCCTCGTGCAGGCCTTGGTATGCGTCGCCGATCCGAGGAGATGTCATGGGGGAACGAAACTCTCCTTGGAAAGTTTAAAAGAAAAGCTCCTGTCAGGCTGAGCGTCCCCAGTCTTGAACCTGACCACATATTTCAGACACGTAGACGACAAAAGGCCTTCACGTTCAGTTGGTCGCTAGTGGCTGGTGAACACAACAAAGGCGTATCAGGCATCTTTTTGTAGCCTGATGACTGTGACTCGCATCATCGTAACTGAACCACAGGTCAATACGTAGTGAAAACGCTGATACACATAATATTCTCTAAAATTACGACTGAATTAGGGATCAACTATAATTCCGATATGGGTATCCAGCGATCATGTAACGTGTGAAATGACCGAAACGATGGCGAGTCGCCCCGGTCACTTCTGGCTCTGAGTCCTGACTCCTGACTAGCGCGTTTACTAGTGGCAATCTGTGGGCGGGGCTCCGCCGGCGGTCCCAGACTCCTGACCAGATACCACCAGTGGCTTCTTGAATCATGCCGGCTATCTGATTGTGGGGAATGCTGACTCTGAACTTCCCAGTCCCTTGGGAAAGCACAGCACGCGCGCCAATCATTGAAACCCAAAACGAGATATCATGATCCGATGCGTATGCCCACCAAGTACACGGCAAACAGAGTGGATTCTCATTGATGAGGAAGATCTTTGTGAGCAAAGGTAACGATGTTTGCGGGTGGACAATGTCTCCATAATCCTCACGGTGTTTACCATCGGTGTCGTGGTGACCCATCTTCATATGGAGGTTGGACGTCACCCAAGACTGATGACAGGATCAAACAGTGCTGACCCAGGCGAACCCTCAACCCTGTGTATCCTTCTGTATCGACAGCACAGACATATACCCAGCCTATGTATGTACCAATGACATTCCTCACTGGGGGTAACAGAGGCCATGCACTTCGCAAGGTTCCTCGCTTGGCCAACGAGCAAAGTACGAGAGGATCGTCGGAGGGGGTCAGAAACGGTCGAGACTCGAATCAAGAAGCACCAAAACACCATGATCCCTCGGAATTCGGCACCTCATACCTAGATAGGTACTTTTTAAAATGTTAGGCTCATGCAGGTATGCAGCATTGGCCTGGCGTGTCTTGTCGTTCTGGGAAATCTCACGCCGATTTGCGGGATTATCCATGGCAGAATACACCTCATTCAGTGAGATTATCTCGACTAGAGTACATGAATCTCACCAGCGCCAAGCGCTTTAATTTCGGAAGCCTGGCAAATCACCGCCAAGCCAGCTCGCACTGCTTGCCGTCATTGGGGGCGATTCGTGCCAAGTCAATTACCCTTGTACTACATACAACAGACATCCGTACTCTAACTAATCCCCAAGAGGGATGCCGAACAAAATTCTGCTTCACCTGCAATGACGACTCGAAAATGGTACCGAGGCAGGGACTTTTGATCCGATCGATCGCGTGCCTCACTGCTCGGGGCCATGGTTCTTCTTGGGAAAAAAAAACCAAAAAAAACCGGTAGGCCTCACCTGGAAGATAGCATAACTTGATGTCGCCACTGAATGTCCATCGAGATAATGGTTAGCAGTAGTACCAGGCTCAAGTGGATACTGTTTCACTGCATGAGATTGCCTTCTTGTGGCAGAGGCTATCGCCCGGGCTTCCTAGATCCCGCTTTGGCCCCAGCTCCTGGACTTTTAGCCTCTCTTTCTTGCATTTATCCAGCTAGTGCAGGGTTTGCCTAGGTGACACCACAGCAGCGATAATCTGCGCTTCACTGCTTACACATATGTACTCCAGCTACAGGAGATAATACCGGTGCCGGACAACACAGCGCATGTAAATTCACATCACCTAGACGCTTTGACGTTGCCCTATAGACGCTAAAGCCTGAAAGAAGAAGAGCTTGTGACCATGCTCAAATAAGAATCCCCACATCGCTCGGACCGATGCGGCTTTGCACAGACCGAGTCAGTATCAAAGTCCGATTTTTGGCTCCTTGAATCATGAATTCAGCGTACTAGACTCTAGAGCATTGACAATCCGGCGCTAGAAGGTAGGCAAGCTACTGCACCGTAGTTGTATAGTACTATAGTTGCCTTTACATGGGGTCTAGAGCTTTTTTTTTTTTTGATTCTTCGTCATAACCCGGGCGTTTCAGGGTCCAAACAGCTCTGGTGTGGAAGCTCTGGTGTGGACCAGCGCCGTGCATATTTGTGCCGAGTCGCACATCCGGGTTCGGCATTTTACCTATTTTCCATAGACATGAGATGCGATCCAAGCGGTGGTCCTTGTGCATGTTGCATGGGTGTACAGTGAAGCCGGCCGAGGAGCGTTCTCTCGATCTCGCAGCGCGTGGTAGTATGCTTTGCAGATCACATCAACAAACCGTTCCTGTCTGTTGCTTCCCTGCGTAGGAAATCAAGGCCTACTCCATGATGCGCAATCCATATCCTAGAAGCTCGAGCATCGTAGAATGCCATTTCAATACTCAACATGGCTGTCACACTTCCCCTCCATAGACAGGGCCATCACAGGTAGAACTACAGTATTAACAACGACGTACCCTATTCTAGAAATTCTTTCAGCGACGGCAGTGCACAAAAAGTCTCATCTTCGTGACTCGATTCACAATTTAACAGCCAGAATTTGTGTCGTATAATTTTCTATTCGCGACATTGATCTCATCCACCCTCAAACTTCAATTTACGAGCTTATCTTACCCCCCAACCCTACCCATCTGTGTTGGTTAGCTCTGCTTTTCACAATGATCTTAGCGGGCATCTCGATGTCTATAAGCCGTTGGATATGTGTTCCACAATTCAACCTCACTGAAGCTAATACCATTGGAAGCCTTCAAGTATATTCGAACAGGCAATCAACAGCGTCGCATTTGATAGTCATGTTGAAATAACACTCATCGGAAAGTATCAGCATTTTATCCACGACTATTATACTTCCAATGAGCCGGACATCTCTTTTATCGAGAGCGCAGTTAAGTCAGGGCAGTACCCATCATGTCTACATGACGCATACTCGATGCAGGGCATTCAAGCACTGATCCCGGCATGCTTCTTCTATTACGCAATCTACCTTCAGTCTCCGCTTATTTAATGATTGGAGCAACCCTGATCTAGTCAGTACAAGTACCTGTGAGTTAACGCTCGAAGGAGCCTTGTTTCCGAGGTACAACGGCAGTAGTGCAACGTGACTAGATGTTTTGAGGATGTGTGAGGGATGGCATGCTGGCAGCTGCCTTCTCAAATACATAACCCAAATGCAGAGGTGGGTTCCCTTCGCAAGAAGACTCTGTTACCTATCCGCGTTGCAGACAAGAACAAGGAAGGCTGTTGCTATCTACTTGCGCTACATTCAAGCATGCACAGGAGGTTGATGGAACTTTTGGCAGTTGATCATGGGATCTAACATTGATCTTAGAATATCAAAATGAGCTTGACGAATTGTCACTGCAAACAATAGGTTAACAAATTCCGCATCTTGAATGCGGAAAGTCATCACAAGGGGGGAAATCGTAGACAAGTAGGCCTATGGAAAAAAGAAAAAAAAAAAAACGCCGTCCGACCGAATTACGCAGGGAAGCCAAGAGAAACATGACGAGGTCTACCAGGGTCGCAAGGTCGTCCTGTTCAAACAAAATTGAAACAGGAGAACTCTTAGCCCAACAGGGCGTAGCTTGCCTTATAGTTTTGAGGTTTACCACCGGCGGGCGCCGCCGAGGGGAGCAGCATTGGAAGCCGTGACACCGCCGCCACCGCGACCTCGGCCTCCCCAGCCTCCGCGGCCACGACCACCCCAGCGACCACCGCCACCGCCGCCACCGCTGTATCGGACCATCTCAGCGAGACGGGGGTCAATCTGCTGCTTGGCCTCGGTAAGAATGGTGATGAGGTCACGAGCCTGCTTAGAGTCTGCAATGAGGAAGAACGGTTAGATTTTATTTCAGAATGGAAAGGGTTAGGTGTGTTCTCAGTGGGGACTTACTCTCAGTGGTGAAGAAAGTGATAGCGGTACCCTTGGCACCGGCACGGCCAGTACGACCGATGCGGTGGACATAGTCCTCCGAGTTGTTGGGGTAGTCATAGTTCAGGACATGAGTAATGTCACGCACATCTTTTGAAAGGTTGGTCAGGTTAGCAAAAGGCAAAGATTAGTGGGCAGGAGGGATTGTGGCCAAAGGATGGGCCCCTTTTATCACAGTCGTGAAAGATGTCGATGCATCATCACCGCTCTCGCCTCGGAACTTCTTTTCAGAGTCACCGAGGAAGCAAAGTCCATGAAACGGGCGGTAAAATCGTGGTCCTGGAGGAGACCTTGGAGGTGCAGCTTTTTTTTGAAACATCAAAACAAATGCCGAAAGAACAGGACTCCAACTCGCTTCAAAGTGGTTCCCAGCAAAGGGAGTTAGAGAGATCCTATCAGACCTGTTTTCTGAGACACTGCACTGGGTGTCCAAGGCCCTCTGTGGTCAAGAGAAACCATTTAAGATGACCCGACATTCCGCCTGGACGAAGTCGTGTTTATACCAACATGCTTCGGAGAGAGTTGAGCACCGTGCCGTTGAGTTCATCAACATCAACACGGGTGAGTGTTTTCAAGGGTCCCTTCAAGAGGAGATCACAAGAGGGGGAGGGAGGGAAGGGAAGGGGGGTTGTAATTTGATCATACCAATACCACGGGAAGCCACGTCAGTGGCCACCATGATGGGGCTCTTGCCCGACTTGAATTCGTTAAGAACCCAATCACGCTCTTGCTGCTGCTTGTCACCGTGGATAGCTAGGAAAGAAATGTTAATAAAGAGATTTCAGCTCGAAGGTGGTGATTGGAGTAGATTGAAAGGAACTTACAAAGCGCGGGCCATCCGTCTTGGCGGAGGAAGCGGGTGATTTCATCGGCGATGCGCTTGGTACCAGTGAAGATGATGATTTTGTTGGAACGATCCTCCATGATCTTCTCCATGTGCTTGATCATGCGGTCGCGCTTCTCAAACTCGGGGACGACCTCGACGATTTGGTGGATACGGTGGTTAGCCGACAGGTCCATGGAGCCAATGTTGACCTGGATGTAGTCATTGAGGAAGTCCTTGGCCAGCTGGCGGACTTCCTTGGGCCAAGTAGCAGACCACATGCAAGTTTGACGGTCGGGACGAATTTGACCGATGATCTTGCGAATTTGGGGCTCGAAACCCATGTCGAGCATGCGATCAGCCTCATCCAGAACCAAGTAAGTGACGCGACGAAGATTGGTGCGGCCGGCCTCAAGCATGTCAATCAGACGACCAGGAGTAGCAATGCAGACCTCAACACCGCGAGACAAGTCGCGAATCTGGGGACCCTTAGGGACACCACCATACACACAGGTGTTGCGAATGCGAGAAGATTTGCCAAACTTGCTGATTTCAGTTTGAATCTGGACAGCCAGCTCACGGGTGGGAGCCAAAATGAGGACGATGGGGCCATCGCCGGGAGCCAGCAGAGGCTGGGCGTTGATGTGAACGATGGCGGGGAGACAGTAGGACAGGGTCTTTCCGGAACCAGTCTCGGCAATACCGACAACATCACGTCCGGAGAGAGCCATGGGCCAACCCTGAGACTGAATTGCAGTGGGACGCTCGAAACCCTGAGCCTTGACCTCGGACAGGACATAGGCGGGGAAACCAGCCTCATCGAAGGTCTCGACGGGACGAGGCACGCCACGGCCCTGAACGACCATCTCCGACTTCTTGCGGAAGGCCTCAACCTCAGCGTCTGAGCGGGCGGAAACGTCAGGGTGTTCCTTGTAGAATGACTTCTCGAACTTGGGCATGTTGTTGAGATCTAGACAATCCAATGTTAGCAATTTTGGTCATCGTCACAAACACTCCACGTGGGACAACTCACCCCAATCCTGGGTCTTCAAACCAGCACCCAAGTTGCTCATACGATCACCACCAGCGCCGCCGCCATAGCCACCACCGCCGTAACCACCACCGCCGCCGCCGTAGCCTCCACGACCACCGCCGTAGCCACCAGCACCACCACCATAGCCACCGCCGCCACCACTGTAGCCGCCTCCGTTGGAATAACCGCCGCCGCCTGAGTAACCGTTGTCACCACCGCGAGAGCTGTGATGGAGAGAGTCAGAATTTGAGACCGGACAAGTTGCACGTTCTAGGCAGAAAAAAATGGGGTTTTAAGAAGGATGTTGGGCGACAGCGAGGGAACAGCGCCCCGTTCGTCCAGTAGCAACAGGGTGCTGCTGTGACAAATGACGCGATGATCCTAGAGACACCCGAAAAGACTGCCCCTGCAGCAAGAGGCACAATGAAACTATGCAGGCAAAGATTTGAAGGTGAAAGACTTACCGGTAAGAGTCGCCGCCGCGGGAGTTTCCACCGTAAGACATGATAGGCTTTTTGGTTGATTTTCTGTTCGAGATTCGTATGCAGACAAACAAAGGGTCAAACAAGTGAGGAAAGTAGTTTGAGACGTGAAGGGGAAAGGAAGGGGGGTATTTGCGAGAAAGAAAGGAGTGATAGGGTGATGGAAGGGACTCCTGGGAGTTTTTAAAGAACAAAAAAAAAGCAGTAGCCAGGGGAATGGCAAAAAAAATGGTAGGAGGCAAAAAAATCTCTATTCCCGATAAGGTTTAGCTTACACGTGATACGGCACGTGATACGCTAGATCGTTTGAAGGCTTCCAGAACCCGGACTACTACTACTGTACTTAATTCTCATTAAAGCTGCGGTTGAAGGTCACACTGTCCATAATCCTCCGACTTAATACAATCGTTCGAACATAAAACAATCAGCTCGCCTCCTCTTAGGATAAATATCGATACTCATGTAGTCTTCCGTCAGTATTCTCCATGTCAAGAGGCCAACCATGATCAGACGCTAAACTAATCCGCCAGTGAGTAAACGCTTCGTACACGTCATCTCGACCACCGCATTTCGAGGTCCAGTGTAATTTCTGTACGAATTAAGGTTTTTTCAGTTCACTTTTCCGGCGCTGATCCACGGCAAATGTGGAAGGAGCAACATCGTCTTTGACAAGCACCTTGGGTCTCGGCTCACACTTGTCAACAACGACACTAACTTATAAGTTAATGGTTGACTAAGAAGTAAATAACGGGCTCTTTGCCACCCGCAGTTCGAATGTTCATCACTTTTTTGAGATTACCATTCGGGTGTGCAATCCTTCAAGTCGCGAAGGATCTGCAACTTTAATCGAACCCGCTCATTGAATCGGCAGAAGTCACGCTTATTCTCTTAGTCTGTTGATTGAAGCTTGAGGCACTTTAGCGTCTTAGTCGCGATTCTGCAATTGAACATGGACTTGTAGTCTGCTAGCCTGAATATTCCTGGGGGTGGCACTGTAGATGGCTGTCCAGTGTTCACCGTAAATTGTTCTTTAAGTTACAAATTCTGGGGCTCTGGCTGCCCTCTAAAAATATCGAAAGCCTCTCATGTACACAGAAACTTCCAACATAAAACAATGGAGAGTAACGCTGTGTTCCATTTCACAAGGCGTGCCATCAAGACTTCTGGGAGCTCAATCCCATATCCCAGAAGCTAATCTCTAATTCGGTAGCCCGAATAAAGATACGAATCAATTCTTCCAAACGGGTGGGAGATACCTTTTGAACATGGTCCTCGAGCAGGGCTTGGACATCGGAGGCTCGTTAGACGACATCAATCAAAATCGCGGGGAAACACGCGTCTAGCTTACCTGAACCCAGGCGTACCGCCTCTGTATAGTCATCGGCAACGTAGTTCTCAATCCACTTCCAATACTGGTTGCCCTCTCGAAGGGTGTTCTTATCCGCGTGTAGGCGTCGGGCAATAGCACCATAGCCAATAAGACATGGAGCTAGAGCCATCTGGAGCGCGAGCCAATCTCCAGATTGACCCACGTCCAAGATGTATCGACTGTACGCGGTACATGCTGTACAATAAACGAATAGAAGGAAGAGATTAGCAGTCGTAAGGCAAGCAATTTCTGCATGGACAACTTACCGATCGTCTCGGGGTGACACTCCATCTCCTGTTTTGACAAGCCAAAGGAAGCGCAGTAGTCAAGGTGAAGAGACATCTCCCGTTGAATGTGAAGCACGATGCGAGCAGACTGTAAGTTGTTAGCCTCTGCTTTAGATTATTGAACCCAGACGGTACGAACTGCCGCTATTGAGTCCATATCTGAAGACTTGTAAGATGCGAGGGCATTACTCCGGGCGAATTGAACCTGTTTTCGGCACGTCAGATTGACCGTTTCCAGAAGCGCTAGCGTGCAAATTGTGAGACCTACTAAATAGAGATAGTCTTGCACAAGATACTCCTTGAATCGTTCAACTGGCAGTGTCCCTTGGCCCAGTCCCTCGACAAATTCATGCTTTGTGAACTTCTCCCACGTCCTGTGAACCTCAGGAAGGTCCAAGATATACTCCAAAAAGTGACCGCTGTATGAGGAGTTAGCGAACCTTGTTGGTCAGGTTCAGGAACAGAAGCTCCTCTGACTTGTGACTCACGGCGCAAATGGCATGGTATACATAGAGTGAAAATGATTGATGGGTCCACTGCCCCGACCAAGGTCTGAGCTTGTCTTGATACCAACTTCGACAAAGCGGACAGCACTGCGAACAGCTCGTCTCATGTCTTTACCCAAGGCCAGATTGGCTGCGATGGCTGAAGCAAGCGAGCAGCCGGTTCCATGGGTGTTTTTGGATATCAAATAGCCTGTCTGGGAAAGGGTCGATTCTGATGTCTCGCCATCATAAAGGACATCGACAACGATAGCAGATTCTTCCGAGTTTCGTGCGGTTTGATGGTCCTTTGTAAGAGGCAGATGACCACCCTTTAGCAAAACCGCTTTTGGACCAAGTGAGCAAATTCTTTTCGCCAGGTCGATCAAGTCATCGAGGTTCCTAGGCTCGGGAACCTCAAGACCTGCATCTTGGATGAGAAGTCGAGCTTCCGGGATGTTCGGAGTCAAGACGGTGGTCATCGGGAGCAGTCTGGTTCTAAGCTTTGCAATTGCTGCTTTCGGCAGAAGTTCAGCACCACTCGTTGAAATCATAACCTAGAGAGATGATTAACAGCATTCCTTGAAGGTGGATATTGGTTTAGAAACTGGTCTTTGTTACCGGATCGAGCACGATCGGAGGGACACTGTGGGCTTGTAATGTTTCTGCGATGACATCAATTGTCTCCGCCGATGAGAGCATTCCTTCAGAAAGCATGAGCGAACGCCTTAATCAAGTATCAGAGACATGACCGGTCTGACCTAGCTTGACTACATCGGCGCCGACGTCTTCAAGACCTGCGTTTATTTGCTTCCTCACAAATTCCGAAGGAACAACAAAGATGTCTTGCACGCCCAATGTATTCTGGGCGGTTAAGCCCGTTGTGGCCGTTAGTGCATAACAGCCATGAGCAGCTAGTACTCTTTGGTCTGCTTCCAACCCACTACAACTTCAATCAGCATCAAGGGCTTGAATATCACGAGACATTTTGGGTAAAAATTGGGGCAAAGGGCATGAGAGGTGGCTGACACTAAAAGTTGACATGTCCTGCACGGGCCCTGCTCAATGACCTTGGCTATCCGGCAATCAACTTACGCTCCACCAGAGCTGTCTGAGCCTGCGATGACCAGTACACGCTTGACAGCCATGTTCGAAAGAGTCACTCTGCGAGAGGGAAGAAGAGGACATGCGTCCGGAAGAGTGGGGGAACTGGGGGGACATAATTGATGATAAGCGCGATAAGCTGGGGGGTTTATGCGTCAACAATAGTGATCGGATATAAAGTTTCGCTTCAACTTGATTGATGCACTCGGGTTCGGATCATCAACTAGAAGTGCCGAGCCGACGGAGCTGGGCAAATTTCGCAACGAATCACGGCCGCATTATTATGGGTGAACTTTTCTGGGTGGTCTCGATGACTATGTTATTCATCCATGCTCCTGCGGTCGGGTGAATCGTTCAACCAGCAATGTCCGGAGATGGAGTGGAGGGGAGAAGTCAGTTTTTGTGTGACAATATGGATGTGCTTATATTATTTCTATTTGTGTTTTCTATCTTGCAGAAAAACGTCAATAATTCCATTCCAAAACCACCCTCACACATTGATACACTCTGCGTATCTTCCAAATGTCAATCAAAGTACAGCACGGAGTTCAAGTCAGCCTTCATCTCAAGTGTCAACCTTCTACTTTCCCTGCAAAGCATCAGGTATTTCAAAACTCATATCAAGTCCCTTGGCCAGATAGTAGATCGTCTCCAGCCTCGGACACTCCACTCCTCGACTCTGTGCGATTCTAAGTGCATTGCCCACAATACTTTCAATTTCCAAATGAGAACCAGCAAGAGCATCAGCCATCATACTCGGCTCCACCCCCGGAGGACCTCTTCCAGCAGAGATCCCCAGCTGACGGTCCACAACACTCTCATCCACTTCCTTGAAGCCTTCAGCCCGCGCAATACTGGCAATCTCACTCATGACTTTTCGTAGAAACGCGTGAGCACCGGTCGACGAGCCCAGAAATTGAACATCACGGAGTCGGGATAGTGCACAGATGGGGTTGTAGGCGCCATTGACGAGTAATTTCATCCACCGGGCTAACTGAACGTCCTTCTCGTGGACAGCGGTAGCACCACCGTGATTGAGCATCTCTGTCAATTGATCAACAGCGCTCAGATGCTCCGAGGGAGAGTTTGCTGGATAGGTGCCGAGCATGAACTTGGCGTAGTTTGTGTGAGAAACCACGCCGGGGGCTGTCTGTGTACAAGGCATATACACCACGATACTCGCGATCGGGTTGTCGGGGAAAATGTCCCTGTAGGGCTTCTCAATTCCAATGCCATTCTGAGCCAGACAAATCATTGTGCGAGAAGAGACCGCCGGTCTGATCATCTCGGCCTGAGATACATCCCCGTGGATTGCTTTGGTCGTGAGGCAAATGTAGTCGAAGCCATTTGGACAGACGTGGGCTGCCTCCTTCACTGATCGCACTGCAATTGGTTTGACATTAAGGCCTGTTCCATACACGGTGGAATCGATGGTGTAGCCATTCTGCGCGACAGAGTCATAGTTTGACCGACAGACGACGACAACATTGGAGATGTCGATCGCTTTGGAGAGGAGGTAGATAAGTACCGCGCCCACGCTCCCTCCACCAAACACGAGAATCTTCGAAGACGACATGACAACGATCTTGGGTGATTTTGAAAAGTATGTAGAGTTGGCTGGTCTATGTGCCGAGGTTGAGTCACAGTATCGCTCTGAAGCTCAAGCGAACATTGATCGGGTGTGCCCCGCCTCCCTCAATTGCTCGGCCGCTGTGCTCAACGCCAATGCGGATCACGCAAACCATGACGATGATGCCTTTCATTTCCGTGATCGGATATGTGAAATTGTCCTTACTTGATTCTTTGAATCTCACATTCTTCATATCAATTCTAGGCAGTAAATCAACTTGTCTTCAACTCAGCATCGCCATGTCTCCTTTCCTAATCCCGCTTCAACCCGATGCGTCCTGCGCGGCGAAGTCCAAGACCAGAGATAGCAGTACAAAGGATCATAAAAGCAAACATGGTCCAGAAACTTGCGCGGTATCCCTCCAGTCGAGCTTGGATCTCGCTCTCGCCAACCTTCTTCTCGGTGACGACCGACGAGATGACCTGGAGGATTGCAAATCCGAGAGCAGTGCCAAACTGGGCCGCCGTGTTGAACACAGCCCCTGCAAGTGCTTTGGTATCTTCTGGGAAGATGTCTGTGATGATAATGAGACCGACGGTGAACAGCGCGTTACAATTGATCGGTTGAAGAAGTTGAGCTACGAATGTGTTGGACCAGTACGACCATGAAGGCTGAGCTGTCGCCATGAGAAGAGGGGACAGCGAGCTCAGAACAGCCGTGAGCACCACGATCCAGATTGCAGGGACACGGTGGACGAAAAATCCTGCCGTGACCTGGACTAGAACGCCAACAACCAAGCTAGGGAAAATGCGAATGGACGCTTGGAGGGCAGACAGCTGTTGAACTTCTTGGAAACTAAAGCAAAGGTTAGCGAGTGTCTCACATTCTTTGGTAGATCATTCGACAGAACAACTTACAAGAGACTGGCAAAGAGCTCCATGGAGTTGATGACAGCAAAGGAGAGTGCAATGGTGGCACAAATACTGGAGAACGTGGCATTTTTCCAGAATGAATTGGGAATCAAGGCGGGTCTTCCTCGCTGCACCTGATAGTGAATCCATACGACGAACGAAGGCAAGGCAATTGCAGCAAGACAGAGTATGACAATACTTGCTGTCTCCTTGATGCGATAGATGTCCGAGCTGAGGATTCTAGGGTCTTTGTCAATAAACGACTCGACTCCCCCAAACGCAAAGGGGGAATACGTACGCGAGCAAATAGCAGAGAAGCGCCATGAAAGCGGAGGCCAGCAGTGCCCCGACCCAGTCGATCTTGAACTTCAAATCATGCAAGATGGTCTGCCATCTTTTCGGGTGTGGACTGCCCGGAAGCGCCCACAATCCTACCACGGAGAGGAACAAGGCTGCGCTGCCTGAAATATACCAACCCACCCGCCAGCCAACGGTGTCCACAAATACTCCGCCGAGAACAAGACCCAGACAGAAACCAAAAGGCTGAGACATGCCCAAGCAAGCAAATGCCATGTTCCGAGATTTGCCTTGCGGAAACACTTGTGTAGCAATGCCTACCGCAGACACGAGGTGAAGCGCAAGACCGACGCCCTGAATTGCTCGCATGGCCACAAGCTGTGTGCCTTCCTTGGCGAAGCCCATTCCTAGCATCAGCGCGCCGCTTGCAAACGTGCCCACCAGGTCAACCCAGCGTGGTCCAACAACATCAGCTAGCGATCCCGCAAGAAGCAACGTGGAGGCGGTCGATAGCCCCGATACAGAGACAGGCCAAAATGACAGCGACGGCGGTAAATTGAGATCTTTGGTGATTGTGGGAAGTCCCACGGTCACAAGACCGTTGATGATGCTCGAAAGCATAGTATTGCCACACATCTGGGACACTATGATTGCACTGCGCAATCTAGAGATCTCGGGAATTGACGGCTCATTTCTTGGATTTGCATCATCATCGCCTTGACGCGATTGTAATTCGATTGCCTCAAGACGAATGGTAGACTTCCGGCGTTCGCCAGGAATGGGTTCCGAGCCTGTGTGCTTGACCGTGAGAGTGTGTGTTACGGTCATCGTGCAGCGTAAATTCGAGATTTCTGCCACACAGATCTTCGCTGCAGGGTGACCGGCCATGCGATACCAAGGCCAAGTCTTGGTTTATGTAGTGTCGCCATGTTGTCAGTGTTGGGGAAAATGTGGTAATTCAATACCATGTCCGGTGGAGTAGACCATAAAATTTTCGAAGAAATGGCCAGCCCGAGAACCTCATAGGCTCGACGCAGAGTCATCCCGCATGGGTTGGAGCAACTGAGTTGAGGATGATGGATCTCCGTGGAAAAGTTCTACCGGGGTGATTGGATTCTGTACATAATACGGTGGAGCCACTGGGGCTACCGGAGGAAAGAGTCAAGGGCGTGGCATCGAACAGGTGGAGTCTGCAGGGCGTGCGCCATATTGCATCTGCATCTACATCATCAACACAGTACTATCGGGCTTTGGGAGAAGAATGTCGTGAAAAGTGTGATCTTCCGCAATCGTGAGAAGTATTTGCACCGGGTTAGGATCCGAAAACCATTTCTCTCGACGGGAATAACGGGAAGGGAAAGATGAAGGAAACAAACACAAAACATTACACGGATCTAAAGAGCACGAGGAATGTAAAAAGTCCAACATCCTTGTGAATTAAAGGTGAAGACTGGTAGTCATAAAACACATGCGAACGCGTGCTGCCTATTTACATGTCCCCAAAGTTCCTAATCCTGTGCCGCCGGTGCTATTGTGGTATCATAAAGCGGAATAGACTATCCATCTCAACCCATTGTCGACCACACTTTTTCAGGTAGCCATCTACCACGGTCTTGATCGTACCAAAGCGTGTTCGGTTAAATTCCGCAAGAGCCGCAACGCTGTCCTTCTTCTCTCCGGACTCCTTTACAGCCGCAGCTTTCGCTTTGTCGACATCCCAGAGACCAGAAAAGTACAGAAGCTGGTTGTAAATCTGCTTCTCGCTGTACTCGTAAGCCATCCGGCCCAAGCAGCCCTCAGCACGACCGCGTGGACCGAGACACCGATGACCATAGACACTTATCTGGCGAGTTCGATTTCCACAGGCAGAGTCATCACACACGAGCCACCCCTCGTAATAGCGCGCGGTTTGTTCACGGATCTGAGACTCCAGTTGAGCCACAATCGTCAACACGGAGAAAGATCGTTGGCAACTTTCATTGGGGCAGACGATGCCAGTCGCGGAACACATCTGAGGAGAATTTGCCAGCCCTTCGAACACGGACTGCTCCTTGCAAAAGCGACATTTGAGGGTGAAACGCGCCGCGTTGGCGAACCGGACTGAGTCTGGGATTTGAGATTCAAGAGGGTAGATCTCCGAGTCCTGCTGCTTCGTGGAGCTGGAGGTGTTGATCTGGTATTTGCGTGCGTCGAGGCCAAGACATTCCGCAAGACGAACAGCGTCAGTGCCAGGAATGGGGGCGCAGAGCCGCTCAATAGGGGGAAGATCTGCTTGAGCAAATAGAACTCCACGTCGGGCTTGAGCCCGGAAGAAGGCTTCAGCACATCTTGAGGAGTATAGGACCGTTTGGCGGGAGGCAAGGATGACGTCTCTGCGTCTCCGCTTGTGACAATGTAGGAGATGACATCTCCCGGTCGGATCGTCTTGCCTCGAGCAATATCCCGAAGAGCGACTTGCGCAGGAGGCATGGTCTCCTTGTTCGGATACTGATCGGGACTCTTAGATAACTTCGTATAGATGACGTATTTCTGAACGGGGACTGAAAAGTCCTTCATCTTCTCCGCAAGCTCACGTAGGTAGTCGTGAACCTTGTTGAGGACAACCTCTTGATCTTCACCCGACAGGATTTCGTTGAGAAGCCTTTGGGAGGCTTCCTTGGAAAGCGCACAGTATTCACGACGCTTCATGTCAAGACCCTTCACCTCGAGGGTCTCGATGTATTTGCCGTCGACTTCTGTCAGATTGACAGCGGCATACTTCTTCTTAGCATGCAGCAGAAGCCGGCGGAATATGTTGTCAATGTCAATCTCGAGCAGACGGTATCGCTCGTTGACTGTCCTTTTGAACTCCTCACCAACTTTGATAGCATCGCTGATAGTATCCATGTTGGTGTTGATCATCACGGAATCAGTATCACCGTAAATGACCCTGAGTTGCTTGCTTTCAGCAAGCTCCTTGGTGCTTCGAAGAATTTCACGTCCCTTGAAGGTGGTGAGCATGGCAAGTGGACGGGCATAGAATCGACTTTGCGTATAACCCAAGCATCCGTACATGGAGTTGGCCGTGAGCTTAAAAGCGAGCTGTTTGGTGTCCCACAGAGCAAGCTGTTCGGGTGTAGCACGTTTATCCTTCATAAGCTTCTTCACCTCACGTCGTCGACCAACCAAGGTTGCAATGAGTCGCGGCAGGATCCCCTGCTCTTGATCTGATGAAGGGATCTCCGGGACTGCTTCCTCATTCTCGTTCTCAGACTGTAGAGAAAAATTGTGAGCATGATATCGTTGATAGAATCAAAGGACCTTGGACTTACAGTGGCCTGTCGATCAACTGTCGTAAAGCAGATATTGTATTCTTGGATAATACTGGGATACAGACTGTTAAAGTCCATCACCAGAACGAATCTGTCGTAAAGGCCCTTCTCGGGCTCGAACACGAGACCACCTTTATACTTATCCTTTTTCTTCTTGTCGGCAACATCGTCATCATCGCCTTCGTGAAGTTTCTCCTCCGCTTTTTGCAAGCGAGAGGAGTACTTGTCAGGGCAGATATACTTGTTGCGATGGAATTCGTGCAACAGAATGTACTCATTACGCTCGGCACGCGTGCCGCTTAGCGTACGAGCCCACGAGTTACCGGCAATATTCGTCAACACTTTCGTGAGCGGAAGCATCTGCAGGCGTAGCACCAGAGCAGCGATGAAGTATGTATCGGTGTCACAGTGGCTCACCAGGTTCATTAGGCCGTCTTTAGATGAAGCCCACGTCTTCAGAGCGGCCTCAACATCGAGCTCCTGGCGGCTGTTTCCCTCTCCAAGGTAAAGCTGGCACATTTCGGATAAACTCCACGATTGACACTTCATCATGAGAGACTTGCCCATGTCGTTCGAGACGTCACAAAGCAATCGACCTGCGATAAGCTGTCTTTCAATGAAAAACCCACCTCCGCCCCTGTTGAGCTTGGGCCATTCGCCACGTCGGAGCCGTCCGATACGGTGCCACCCAGGTGTCTTCTTTTCCCGCATACGATTGAGAAGAATACCAAGATCGACATCCTGCAGCTGATGACCCATGATAACGTCGGGGTCCATCTTCTCGAACAAGGCCAAAAACTTGCTTAGCAAGAACTGTTCGCTCTTCTCCAGCATGAACGTGCCTCGCTGCTTCTTCGTCTCGGCCTCGAAATGAATAGGGTATGAGGGTCCTGCAGGACGCATGACAGTGAATGTCTTGCAGGGAAGCTTCTCTGTCGGAGTTGTATCCGTGAGCGAAACATTCTCGTATACTCTGGCACTAGCCATGAGAATCTCCTGCGTGTTGTCCTTCACATTCAACTGGTGACGGAATGACAGACTCATGAGGGTCAATGGTGGGGTGTCGAGATTTTCCGTTTCTGGGACTGGGGTGATCAGTGCTGGCTTGGAGGCCTGGCATTCAAACTTGCACCACGAGGCGTTGTGGACGGCAGAGAAGTCAGCCTCATCGATCTTGAGCCAACAAGGGCCCATAATATTTTTCCAGAGCACAAATTGCTCGAAGAGGGATGTGTTGGTGCCGAATACATGCGAGTACGTTTCACCCTTCGTTTCCATGGGCAGCGCAGGTTTGTCATAAGGGTACAGTAGTTTCAAGTATTCGGTTTCCCTTGGCACACCGGGCAATTCGAATGCATATTTGCGGGTGCAAGGCTTGATCTTGTGCATACCCACACGCATCCTTGACATCATTGCATCGACTTCTTCGTAGACTTCCTCCATACCGACCTCATCCTCTGTTTGCCTTCCTTGCTTGTGTCGGTACTCACGAGGAAGGAAATACAGCTTTCTCAAGATGTTGTCGATTTTCACAAAGGCGCTGACAAAAGAGCCGGTCGTCTTGTTCTTGACCTTACCGAACAGGCAAAGGCTGCCGTTGACCTCGGTATAATCGAGCCAGAACATGCGTAGACTGCCATCATCCTCAACCACGTCCTGAGCACGCAATTTTCCAAAGGATCTCACTTCGGGCGCAGGGCTGCTGACAACATTCAACTTGCTCTGAATATCGTTCCAAGAGGCATCCATGACCTCTGCTGCCATCTTGACGGGCGATGAGCTAGCTGGTGTTGGAAGGATTTCCTTTTTCAATTTGGGTGGGGGTCTGCTCCCAGTCATGTTCACACTGGAGGTCTTGATGCTGGAGGAGATTGTAGCCTCGGCAACATCCATCATGTCAACATCTTCATCGTCAGACTCCTCTTTCTTGATCGCAGTCGCGGTCGTCTTCCGCTCAATTGCCTTGCTGATTGGAGACGAGGGCATCGGGTCGCCCATTTCGATGTCGTCGTCATCTGCTTGAGGAAGGGGCCCGTCATCAAAATCGTCGGAGTGAAGGGCAGATTGGTCTTTCATTGGGGAGCTGGGAAGGTCGTTCTCGTTTGTATTTTCGATCTGGTCGCGGCGCCGTCTTTCGGAGATCGGAGGGGAGAGAACGCGGACTTTTCGACGAGTCTCTGATTTGACCAAATTCCTGGTGGGTATATTGTTTGAAATGATGTTCGTATCTACCTCACCGAGCAGGTCTTTCATGAAGGCATCGTCCTCGGCAGTCGCAACCGGCTAGACAATGTGACTTTAGCATTCACAACCGGCTGAGGTACTCGCAGTCCGCACAGTTCTTCTCACCTTGGGTTTTGGAGCAGATGCAGCCGCATTACCGCTGTTGAAGTATTTCGAGATTCCGTTATTGATCTTTTCCTGGCGTTCTTTCTCTTCCTCGCGTTTCCTCTTCGCGGCCTTGCCTCGGGCAGGTAATTCATCGCTTTCATCACTGTCGTAGTCGACAGTTCGTTCATTCCACACTTCTCGCCCGTCGTCGGCATATCCAGCCCCGTTGTCGTCTACCACGAAGTCATCCTGATCAAGACGGCTGCGAATCACTTTTTTGTATCCGTCGTCGTCGACCTCGTCGTAGATGTCGCCTTGATCTTCGATCTGGTATGTTGAGAGACGCTTTTTTCCGGCGGCACGGAGGGCTCTGAGCTCCGCTAGTTTCTCACGAGCGGACGACATCTTTGCATGAGAGTGTTATTGACAGAGGCCCGTCAATGGCACAGAGAATCAATGCACCAATTGGTGGGGAAAGGGAGAGAGAGCCGGATGTCAATTTCGCGCTCGGGGACGCTGTCGCGACTGGACGCGATCGGGACGCGTTAAAGTGGTTTAAGTGGGTCGCATGCCTCAGGCTTGCAAAACTGGAGCCAATCCGGCATTCAGGCATCTCGGTGGATGTACCTTACTACCTACAGTCTTGATCAAGTTTCCGAAAGAGGCAGTCCACAACAGTATTCCCTGGGATACAAACTACCTTCACCCTCAAGAGCACACTACTTTACAAGTACCCATCGCATTGCTTCTCAGCAGATCGGTACCACTTGACCCTTCAATTGCCGAACTAGGGTGTAATTAGATGACCGTCGTGGCTAAATTCAGAGTCTGCTATTGCCGGCCTGTTCGCTGACAAGACATGGCTCAAGATGGCCGCGAAACATCCCCAAGCCTTCTTGATCGATCTGGCGCCAAGCGTTGTTGGACTCCGGATCATTGTTTTGAAGGACTATCAATTCAAGCCCAGTGCTGCCAATGCGAGCAATACAAGAATCCCTCACGCTATCGCTGTCCGAGTGTTAAGGTCTCAGACGGATGCTGCGATTAGTCAACCGTATCAGCTGGATGGATGCTTGCCAGCTTCTCAGGACTTAATCCAGCTTTGTTCTTGAGCACCTATAAGGTTATGCTACTTTGATGGATAATGCATCGGAAATTTATGCCTGTGATTACTCGTTCATTCTCAGTCGGTCTAGTCTTAAGAGATGTTCAAATCAATCGTCGTCCGGTCCTTCACGACTCCGTGGGGTCTGCCAGCGTTGTTGATCAAAACCTCCTACTCACTTGTTTAATCGGTTGGACACATCGGTTGCTGCCTTGCGTCTAACTTCATAATCCCGATATCTAGGATGAATCTGCATTGAATGGACTCATGGAGCCCTGAATCTTCGAGGTCGAGTCCCTGAATGGGCCGCATTGATTTTCCATGCTTTCAGTGTGTAATTAATTGCTTTCGAGATTGACTGGCCTCATTCCTAAATTTCAAAGTTTACTTTCATAGGAGGATCAATCCTATTATTGACTTTCAGGTTAAGTTGGTAGGGTCATTGTCTCCAGAAAATGACATGGCTCGGGTATCCCAACAATCTTGCCAGCTTCTTCAACTCTACTATCTTGAGAGCAGATCTCAGAGCTAACAAGTCGCGCTCAGGACACCAAAGGCATCAGTGGAAACAGGGACCATTTGCGAGATCTCTGAGAGCCGAAGCAGCATCCAAGAGATGGCAAGCTTGCTACCTTCGCACTTCATTTACAATTAGGTACTACCGGCGAGTTTGACTGAGATTGAACAAACATGAAAACCCGGTGTAATTTGAGCAGATTTTCCTGGCCTATGCTAGGTGTATTTTCCAGCCGTACAAAACAGCGCCAGTGAAAAACAAAAAAAGGACAAGACAGGGGATATCAGAACAATCCCATCTGCCCCATCCCACATCATATCCAGTCAGCCCCGGCAACCGGGTTAAGAAAAACCGATTCTGACTGATTCTCCAACCGCTCATGACAACCACGACCATCATTCGTAATGGCCGCGACTTCCCAAACGCTGTCCTAAAACCCCCTTAACCCAGAAGAAATTTCCATGGAAAAAAGACAAGATTCGTGATGAAAGTGGATGTGCATAGAAATGTACATTCCAACTTCCAAGTTTTTGTATTCCCAATCCATGGAGCACCGTTTTTGCTTTCGAAATAAATTCCATTTTTTTGCTGATCTTCGAAGATAATAAAGAGCAAAGAAAGGAATTTAACGGTAAGACTTCTGGTAACGGGCACGGGCACCGCGACCACCGAACTTCTTGGGCTCAGCGCGACGGTTGTCGGCAACCAGGAGGGTACGGTCGTACTGGACGAAAGCCTGCTTGAGCTGGTTCTTGGAGTGCTCATCGACGTACTTCTGGTAGTAGGCGACGATGGACTTGGCGATAGCCTGACGGATGGCGTAGACCTGGGAAGTGTGACCACCACCAGTGACACGAACGCGGATATCGACACCGGCGAACTTGTCAGCACCGACAATCAAGAGGGGCTCGTAGACCTAGACAGGAGAGAGCGGTTAGGGCTATGGTCCTGTTGGTTGAAGGTGCTTTCCTTTCGAGCGACTGATTGGCCCAAGTATTTGTGTCGCAGAACAAAACATTACGGTCGTCGCGGCGCAAAGACGAGGAGCACGAGGATGTGGAACAATATGAGCGTACCTTGAAGCGGAGGATCTCGGGCTGGACCAGGGAGAGGGGCTGGCCGTTAACCTTGATGAGGCCCTTGCCTGCCTATAAAATCGAAATAGCTCAGTATGCCGTTTAGTCGAGAATGGTCCGAGTTCGCGAGATACGATCATTGCGTCATGTGGTGTTTCAATTTCCATATCGCCTGTCGCCAATTCCTGATTCCCCCAACGTGATTTTCGTGATCAAAGTCCCCAGCCGTGTGATGCGCATAATCCGCAATTCCGTCCCAGTCCTTCTTCCCCAGGCGATACATGTCCGTTGATCCAGATTCCAAAAGACGCAATGATCGTAAAGCAGAGAGTCGGATTGTTCAATTTTCTCATCGAGGATTTCGTGTCTCATACCTTGCAGTGGGCGACGGCGGTAGCTAAATGCAACAAGAATTCATCAGCATAAAACATCCTTCCGCTGACCTCAAATTCGTCCACCTAAAATTCCGCGCAAACTCACCCGTCTTCTTCTTGCCGAAGCATTGCACACTCGCGGTAGAAGCCATGGTGGGTGATATGGCCCTTGTCGGTGTCGATAGGGAGGGAGTGTGTTGTCGAAGGAGATGATGAGAAGTCGACCGCAAATTCCCACACTCCGGCGATTCGCCTGAATTGCCCTTCCACCGTGCGCGCTTCGCTTAGTGTGGGCTAGCCCAAAATGGGTTAGATCCAAAAAGCGGCTTAGGGCTCAGATCACGTGGGGCGGATGATCGAGGCGGAGATGGGTGGCAGGAAAGTTCGGGGTTGAGCGGGTCGGCAGGTCTTAGCAGGTATCGCGTGTTTTGTTGGACGTTGATCACCAGCTACGGCCTCTACCGATCTTGATCACCGCGGAACTTCAAGATGTCGCAGACGGTCGGAAAGGTATGTTTGCTACATTTTGAATGGAAATGTTGTCTCGATTGCGCTGCAGTCACAGACCATGGGTTTTTGCGCATCTATCACTCTTGTGACCCCATGCCTAACAACATCTCATGTCTAGACCCGTCTGGCCTATTCTCGGGCATGGCACTACGTCGACGCCGGTTCCGACTCTCGATCTCTCGGTCGACTGGCTTCGTCCATCGCTCTCGTCCTTATGGGCAAACATAAGCCGATCTATGACCCTTCGACGGATTGCGGCGACTACGTCGTTGTTGCCGGCTGCCACGATCTCCGAACCACCGGCAAAAAGCGTTTCCAAAAGAAATACTACACCCACACGACCCGCCCTGGTAGCTTGAAGAGCATGACAATGGATCAAATGTTCACGAAATGGGGCGGCGGTGAAGTCTTGCGCCGCGCAGTCAAGGGCATGTTGCCCAAGAACCGGCTGCAGGAGCCGCGGTTGGCCCGTCTGAAAAGTAAGTTGGAAGACATGGAAGGGGGGAGGTGGAAACGGGACTATGGTGGAAACGACCTTGGGGACATGTTGCATGTGCGGAGAATATGCTAACTTATTTGAACACAGCTTTCGAGGGCACTGCGCACCCCTACAAAGAGAACATTGTCAAGTTCGGAACCAAGTCGACCATGGACTACCCCGAGGTCCGAAGTGCATTTGAGGAAGCCAAGCCTACAGCATAAAGCAATGCAAACTCCGTCTCTTCCCGATCCGTCTATTTTCAATTCGTTCGCGTTTGAGCTTTGTTCAGCGCCAATCGATCCGTGTATATTATTTCTGCGTGATGAAACTAAACCGCAAGCGCATGGGTGTGGAGTCGACTATTTATTTGGGATCTGTCTTTTACTTTCACATTATATGTTCTATCACCCGATCAATCTACCAGTGCCTTATTCTATCCGCTTTGGTCCAGTGCCCCCAGGCTCCAGCTACTTCGTAGTCTACTGCCTACGTTCACCGCTTCAAAGATAGTAGCAAGCTAATCGGGAGAAAAAAAAAAGGCTCGTCCGACACTGGATTCGGGCTGCAGTGTAGCATGGCCCTATGGTATATATGGTAAAAAGCTTCGGTATGTACAAGAAAGGAACGGCCCCTAGAAGTTCCAAAGTTGGGCGCCCCCGTGACTCTGCGTCTCCACATGATCTAAAGGCGGGCCTTTTGACCGGAGCGGGCCACTGTGCACTTGATGAGACCGTTGGGTCCGGACTGAGGAGCGTACACCTCCGCATCCTTGCCCGTGTTCTTGAGGCCCTTGTGCCAGCTCAAGTCTGTACAATGAACAAAGTCAGAAAAGGAAAGGATACAAAAGCGACCTGGGATCGAGAAGGAACTTGGAGGGGGCGGGGAAATCGAGCCAGAGAACGTACCGATTTCAAAGTAATGGATGTTGGGCAAGGCATATTCGACGGTCTCCACCAGAGGGACGGCGGCCAAGATCTGCTCACTCATCTTGTACATGGTCGCCTGGACACTGGCCGAATTGTCCTCGGCGAACGTCTTCAACGTGGTGGTCCGGGCCGTCTCCCAGGCGCCATCGAATTTATGCGCATTTGACTTGACCTCCTGCAAGCTATTGAACCGGCGCCATTGCCATTTGGCATCGACCTGGGTGCTCAGGATGCGATCCCAAGTCTCCTTGAGCGTGGTGAACTCATCCCGGAGGAAGCCCCAGAATTGAGAGCCGGTGCTCTTCAAGACAGTCAGGCCATTGATGGAAGAGGCAATGTTAATACCTTTGCCCTCGGTGACATCCACCTGAACAGTGCGTGTCTCGGGGCTATCCTTGACAAATGAGTGAGGGTGGGCCTTGCCGTCAATGTTCATGCGCACCCATCGGTGGGTGATGATGTTGACGTGCGCAACGTGGATGTGGGGGTACTTTTCGATGAAGTGAGTGCCGAGGATGGAACCAAAGAGCTCTGGGGGCGTGACGGGCTGTTGCTTGGCGGTGATGTAGATGGTGTTCTTGATCGAGTCGGTGGCTACCACGACGCTGTTGTCGGCCTTGGTGTAGCTGTTACATGGAGCAAAGCTTAGGTTAGTTCTTGCATTGCGATCTCGCGAGACTGATCCCACGTCTTCCCTGGGGACAGAAGAAGCTCCTCCCCGGATCAACTTCCTGGACATTCGACCTACGAAGTTTCAATGTCACCCTCGAGCAGGACACAGACGGTCATCTCCACAACGGTCTGCACACCCGTCTTTTCATCTCGGTGGACTTTATACACGCGGACATTGTCCTTGCCGTAGCGAGCCGCTGCCAGAGAAGCCATAGTGTGGATTGACTGAGAAGATGGTCGGAGGAGCCGATAAGAGAGTACCTCGAGTATGTATGCGCTGGTAATGGAAGCTGTCGCAGACGGCTTCACAGAGAAAAAAAATTGAAGGGGGTAAAGAAGCAAGCGGAGGATGAAGAGCTATTATTCAAGACGAATGTCCACGTCTCGAAGGCGCCAGAGGGCTTCCTATTTAATGGGGGGGGAGGGGAGACGATTTCCTATTGCAGTTTTCCACGGAAGCACATGGGCTGATGGGCAACCAAAGATAGCGTTTGCGCATGAGGACCAAACGCCCCAGTCCACAGCTCCAGTCCAGCTCCACACGTCCTCTTCCTTTGCTCAGTACAGGAGCCAACCGCTGGAAGCTATCGGGCACCTCCGATGGCCGCGGCCGATCTCCACCGTTCGAACAACTTCCAGTCAAGTTCCGACTCTGACATGCGGCAAGTGCGAACGGTCTTGACTGGATCAGCAGGCAATGGCGGTTGTCGGATCGATCTGGAATCTGGATGATCAAAGACCTGTGCCTGAGACTCGGAGTCGGCAATGAGCTGTGGTAGAATTGAAGACAAGAGCAGTCCGTTCGGGGCATGCAGGAGCTTATCTTATCATGACCTTGACAGGTGCAGGTCACCTCTGGACTCAGACTGGTACAACTAACTTATGAGGACCACCACAGCTGTATTACAGTAGTAAGAGTACAACTTCGAACTCTGGTGAGTCTATACCGACTGCCACTCGACAAGCATTGAACGGACGTGTATCTCTAAAGCTCAGCTACTAGTAGGTACTAGGTACTAAGGTAGTGGACAGGTACTTATCTGCAATATTCACTACATGTAGTCATAGACTGCAACGGCATCGAAACACCCGAAATACCTTGGAATTGGTATGGTCAAGCCTGAAGAGGCCCTCGAAGTCCAAAGACTCGCAGATAGGCTCAACACTCTTCGACACACCCTCAACCAGTCTTCCCCACATTTTTCAAAGCTCGCCTCTCCAGGAGACAATCTAGAAAACAAAGCTGCGCTTGCAACCTCATCCACGTCCAACGTCTCCGTCTCAATACTCTTACTTTCCACTTGCCAGTTGCCACCCTTTGCTGCGCTCGAGCTGGAACTACTCACCCGCTCTATATGGTTTCCCCACGAGTGACAGATCAGCAGTGCTGTAAGTGCTGTCAGTACTAAGCACTAGGCATGACCATAAATCCTGATCGCATTCACTGCAAGGGGCGAGGGCCCCTTGATCCTCAAAAGTCAAGGACCAGTCGTCCAAAGAGACTCGTCGCAATGGGTTCTGCGTGCTTGAGCAGATCCCGAGTTGCACGGGGCTTGTGGCAGATCAGGCACGAGTCCCCATCTCCGGTCGGCGATCTCCACCGGGTCAGGGCTGTCCTGAGACGGGGCCTTGCGCTCCTCGATCAAGTAGTACTATATCTGCATGGCCATGTCTATACACTATACAGTGGTACACTGTACATTGTGCATTGGTACAATGCTCTCTGGGATCTGTCGTCATCCAAGTCACCCCGACTGCTCCGTTGATCAAAGTGGCCTCAAGCTGGCTGCATCTGTGCGTTGCCAACATATGGGCTTCCTAATCGAGTTGTCAGCTGACTTGTCAAGAAACTGATGTCTCGTTCAAGACAGGCACCACCAGATTGACTCGTTGCGTGCGGAGGGCGGTCATGTTCCTCCGAGAAGGTGGTTGCACACTTGCACAGTGATCCAATGTCTAGTAGCGATTTCCAGTGTTTTTGAATGTTTCCTGCTGCATTTCATTCAACAACTGGGGTTTTCGAGTTATCGCCCTGAACATGTGGTAATTCTGTCGCAGGGACTCCTTGACAAATCAGGGTGTATGCGCAACTAGCAGCGTCAAGCTTGGGTCTGATAGGCGAAGTTCCTTTTTCATGAAATGAAAGCAACATCGACGTAAGGCAGAGTGGGTAAGTCGTGGTGAGATTCTCATTCTAAAGTCACAATCTGCAGGTGACAACCTGTTCACACGTGCCACCGGAGAATGAAATAAATCATGGCAAGCGAGGAGGACGGTGGTCAATGACTCGTCAATTGAATGCAAGCAAAAGAACTTGTCTATCATTATGTGGACATGTCATGGAATTTAAGGTGTTCTGAAGCGAGACTCGCCACTGACTAATTCAAGAGTAACCCATTTGATTGATACTCGTTGCCCAATTCTTCGCGGCTAAGCATTGAAGCGATGAGCCCAGTGGCAGCATCTATCAACCTTACCAGTGGATCTCGATGATTCCCAGTCCATTTACCGCGTGCCGTTCGCCCAAAAAACAATCCACGAGAAGGTTCAGATGCCCTTCCTAAAGAGGCATTTTGTGGCTATGCCTTGACTGACTTTCGCTCCCTTCAAGTGATATGCTCGACGCCCACACTGTTAGAGGCACCAAGATGGACTGCTCGGGGCCCGCGGATCCCGAGACCTGCCTGTCCGAGAGCAATGCGAGCATCATCCGGCTCAGTCAAGTGGAGCCGCAATATGACGGCGGGGAGCTTATGGAGTCTGGAGGCAATGCGGAGAGCCGCGCAACATACAGTGATCAGGGATCAGTGATATCAGTTCGAGGGATTTGCGGGTACTGTACGATCCCGTCCAGCTAGCCTGGCAGTAAGATGCTAAACATGCGGGATAGGGCCCCCAGTCTCCACGCATACAGAGTTGAGGCGTTGATTGTATCACTATCTACCACGAGATCGAACTTGCTCCACAAGGATCTTCAAGTGGAGCAACACACAGCCCGCTGAGGTGACTGTAGTACTGTGATCCGCCAGCCTTCCAGGATTCACCCACCACACTTGGAAGCAGTGAGAGGACCATTGATTGAGCAATCGTGTGGTTATCGTCGCTTGGACTATCCCTTTGCGGCCATCGTGACGCAGATGTTCCAGACATAGTCCAGCAGTCAAGGGTATATAAGTATGCTTGTATCTTCACTCTCCTGACGAACGCATCGACCTATCGTCTATGGCTCGTCGACTACTAAGAACAAGTCGCGTCGAATACTCATTGGGCCTTAATCGAAGCATCCACCAGAGTTTATCCAATTGCTCTTCGGTTTGTCCCAACCTCTTGACCCGCGGCTGCATCAGCAGAGTATCATCACGGGGAGCAACGCTGACAGAGACAAGCAGATCCCAGTCAAGCATATTCCAAAAAGAGGAGGACCTGCCTCGTTCTCTGCAGTCGCTGTCACCACGCTCTCTAGTCGTCCTCTCTTTTTCCGGCTGTTGTCCAAGTTCCCGAACATGCCTCCAACCAACAACCTATGGCACGCTCAACGAAGAGCAAGTCTCCACACAGAAACCGATCCCACGAAAAGATACACCTATCTGGCCGAAACAACTCCCCATATCGCCACCATCCTCGGCTTCCCATCACGCTGTTCCACTTTCCCCAATCTGCACGACAAGACCTGCAGAGAGATTGTCGATCTTGCCGGAACAATTGCCATCTTCGAGCCTGTCCGTCTGCACGTCCGTCCAGAGGACATTCCCCGCGCACAGCAATTGATCAACGAGCGTATGGACGGTGCCCCGCCTGAGCAAAAAGCCCGCATCACGCTCCTCTCAGTGCCAATCAACCACTGCTGGGTGCGGGATACCGGCCCTGTGTATGTGCGTGCTGCCAACGCCGACGACTCTAGCAAGCGATATGCGATTGATTTCCGATTCTGTGAATGGGGCAACAAGTTCGCAGAGCGCATCTACAACGATACGGAGGACAAGATCGGGGCGTTGAAGGGAGAGGTTCAAGGTGGAGAACACAATTGGCCCACGATGACTGAGACCGAGAGGCGAGAAAACACCGAATTCGCGCAGCGAGTCCTTGAGCTCGATAACCGGGACTATCCCGGCCAGCCCGTGGTGCGAGTTGTTTCGAGCGTTCGTCTCGAGGGAGGAGGAATCGAGATGGATGGTGAAGGCACGTTCATGGCGATGGAGAGCAGTGTGGCGGTGGCGTCTCGCAACGAGGGTCTTTCACGCGAGGAGATCGAGACTGAACTGCGCCGTCTGCTGGATGCTCAGAAATTCATCTGGATCCCCGGTCGTGAGGGTCTAGATATCACCGACTATCACATCGACGCCGAGGCTCGGTTCATTCGGCCGGGCGTGGTGGTAGTCGGTAGACCACACCCGAAATGTCAGCCAGTATATTGGGATGTATACAATGAGATGCGGGAGATTCTGGACAACAGCACCGACGCCCAGGGTCGGAAGTTCGACGTTCACGAGATCGAGGAGCCCGATCCGGATGCTGTGAGAGGAGATGTGCCCGGTGAGGAGATGGAGCCGGCGGCTTCATATGTGAACTTTTATTTCACCAATGGCGGACTCGTAATTCCTGCTTTTGGCGATGCCGTGGCTGATGCAAAGGCGTTAGAGACCCTGACCAAATTGGTGCCTGAGCGACGAATCTGCCAGGTCAGTGTTAATGCGCTGCCCCGGACGGGAGGTGTTTTGCATTGTACAACCCAGCAAGTGATATAAGCTTGAGAAGAGCGTGGGAAGGGTTCATCATGTAAATCTCTTATTTGATATGAGAAACTTACAGCAAACTGCCTGACTTGAAAGATAACCGATATTCAACATTCTGCGTAAGGCGTGCCTGCCTGCACCAACTCTCTTTAAAGGTATCGTAAAGCACCGATACTTCGTACACACTCGTCTATCAGCCACCGTCCAGTCAACTTTCAACCAACACAAACGCCTCCAGATCCATCAAGAACTCACAACATCCGCAAATCGCTCTTCACACCATCCTCTTCAACAAGAAACACGTGGCACCCACGTGTCCAACATCCGGGACATCCATATCCGTCCTCAGCGCTACAGTCAAGCGCAGACGCGACGAGTGGCCGTCCAAAAAAACCTGTCATGTGCATCTTGCCATGTGCTACTAGAAGACCAAGGTACCTGGTCCAGTACCCCCTTTCTTCCCGTGTTTATCCGGAGGTGGAAGTCATCGGGATTCACATCGTCACGGGCATCGTCACATCTATCCAGGACCGTGAACTCGAGATCTTGTACTTCCAAACGCCATGTTACCTTCCAACTGCGTGGCATCAAAATCAAAATGGATATACCAGACATGTGGGAGAGCTTCGAGTTTTAGCCATGTACGATCTCGACGCGTGGGCTGGACGTAGCGTAGATTAGGTTCGGACGATCCACGTCAGGCCTGCGCTGGAAAAATAACGAATAGTCCCAACCTGAGCTCCTCCACGCAAACAGAAACAAATAGACATAACTTCAATGAAAAGAAGGAGCCTCGCACGATCGGATCTTCATGTACCTTACAAAGTCGAAGTTTGGTCCCTGCCTGTGTTGAAACACTCAATGAGAAGACCGATTCCGATTGTGAAGCCGGAACGAACTAGGGCGGCACATGTTCAACGAGTACTGCACGACCTTAGTCTCAGGGTAGATCTTCTCGACGGATGATCCAAGAGTGGTGAGAGGTAAGACTGGGTAAAGGTAGAGTGTGAACCTGGCCTATGGGTCTTGATAAATGTAGGTGCCAGCTGGAGGGTGTGGTCTATAGATAATAACTCGCTCTCTAATGGATCCGCTGGACCTCGAGTATGTCACCGGTAGAGTTTACAAGTAGGTAGCCTACTTGGCGGACGCTTCCTGGACACTGAAGATTTGCACATCTCTCTACCTACTAATTAAGAATGTATTGCTTGAGACTGATACCGCACATATCGAGTCCTCAAGACGAGGGACGTGGTGTGATATGCGTAGGGTGTGTGATTGTAGGAGATATGTTGTATCCAAGGACATCGAATAACTTGAGCCCGAGATCAGAGACCAAATTCTCATTTTCGAAATCCCATCAAAGCACTCTGCAGGACATTGGCAGGACTAAGAAGGTCTGATATACACGCGCCATCAGTCGGCAAACTGCCTCCCATCAACCCGCATCTCCATAATCTTCAAATCTCCCCAAAGCTCAGTCAAACAAGTGGAAAGTCATGCCCAACGCCACCGGGAGAATACGAATGTCACGTCCAGCGTGAAGTGCATGTTCTTTCTTGTAATTCTTTTGTTGTCTCCCGGACAGAAGAGGTATACTTTCCCGAACAGGCTTTCTCTTGGAATATCCCGTGATCCAGTCCGAGTCTTCCTTTTTCCCACGCAAAACCCACTCCGTGGCAAGAACAGGTTTAAGGTCGGTTTCAGAGCGCCCTCGGTTCTCTTCCTCCACCTCGTGAGATCATAAACTCAACTGATCAATACTCCCAACACGCCCGCCCCCTCCCAATCGACCACCTCCTTTGGTCACCATGCCCAGCCGATAAAATCGTTCTTCTCCCCCAGCCGACCGTCCCCCAATATACCACTTCTCTGGACCCAATGCATCCCGAAACCCACCCGAGCCAGATGAGGAATCACTCCCACGACGTTGGCGATCTGGCCCCCGCGAGATGGGGATTGGCGTAGATGTGGTCGGTGAGACCGCGGGTCCCGCCGTCGCCTGCGGCGGCTGGGTTGAAGTCAAGGTATCGGAGTAGTAGTGGTTGGTGGATGAGTAGGTGAGATTCGATGACGCCGAAGTTGAAGAGCCGGCCCCGGTGGCGGAGGCAGCCGCGGGAGCCGGCGTGGCTGTCGAGGTGTTGGTGGCGGATGAGTATTGTTGAGATTGATGTTGATGATGGGCGGGTTTGGAGGTTATTGTGCGCACGTTTGTCGAGATAGGTGCTGCAGACCGAGATGATGAGCTTGTAGGTTGTGGAGAGGCGGATTTCAGGGTCGACTGGGCGCGGAAAGCAGCCAGAAAATTGGCGAGAAAAGGACGGTTGGTGGACATGCTGGCGGGATTTCCAGAGGAATCCAGACTCTCCTTGAGGACGGGATGGTTTGAGAGGTGTTGAGGCTTCGAATTGGACGAGAAGTGGGGAGAACAGACAGTGGCGATCAGAAGGCAAAGTTGACGACTTAGATTACTTTCGCCGACTGGGTTCTCGGATACGTCGATGGAGGTTGAGAATCGAACCGGCCAAGGCTGATCCTGAGAATGAGTAGATGGGGATAAGCGGGGAAGGGGAACAGAGAGAAGAGTGAGAGCAGAAGCAGGATATAGAATAAGTTTGCGTGTGCTGTGTGGAGGGAGGGGGAGGGGAGGCCGTCAAGGCTGACTCGTCGGTATTTGTTCCCCGTTCACGAGCCAGACAGACAAATCGAGCCTACCACTTGATTCCCTTGGGCCGAGATGGAGGCTCTACTCCCATCGAGTGCACCACCACCTCATGAACGGCTGACCGTTCTCACGCACGGCGGTGGACCGGCGGGGAAAGGAGGGACAGAGCCAACACAAGATCAGGATCCGATCCGATCCGAACAGGGCTCCCGGGGGGGGGGGGGGGGGGTCGAACAGCAGATTCCGAGCTTCTCCTCCTGCAAGTCGCAGGGTAGCGGCAGGTGCGCCAATCGGTCAGAAGTCAAAAGTTGGGCGAGATGACGTCGATGAAAGAGGAAGGCCGGTAAAGCCAGAGAGCCCACGCGAGAGAGTCGTTCGAATTCAGGCAATGTCGCGAAAGAGACGGGAGGTATTCGGGGGAGTGAGTGTCAAGCTCCATCCATCAGTGAACACGGCGTATCGAGACTGGAGACAGGACATTATGACTGTGGGAATGGAGATCCTTTAGCGCCGGGCCCCGAAATCAAGGCGGGGAGAAGCCATGAATGGCACGTGGCAGAGGGACTCCCAAGTTCCAACTACGAAAAGAGATACTCTGCTGATCCCAGGCCCTCCCGTAGTCTCCCTACCGAGTCCAGAGTACTGAGTAGATCGGTAGTTGTACACTCGCCGCAGATTCCCTCTAAGCGGGCCAACCCTAGTCCTTGCATAGGCTTCAAGGAGTCTCCGTCTGACATTGCGCCAGGTCGATGGTAGTCTATCCTCTGGACCAAGTGTTGGATCTTCGCGCAAAGCAGTGGCCCAAGACAACAGCCATGCGAACAGTCAACGAGTCGAAAATCCCCCTTAATCCTTAAAGCAGACAGAGACGCATGAAAAAGCGATGGGCGACTTCATCCACTCCACACTCCACTGGACTGGCGACCCCTCAAAGACACTTCCGCTGGAAAGTGGAAACCACCTACTGTACTTTAAATGGGAATCTTAACGATAAGAGAGAGTGATCGGATGGGAAACTCCCCAGACAACCCACTTCAGGTGGATCAACTCCATCGGACCGCGCGATCTGCGCGGTGGACGTGTGGAGTGTGTAACTGTAGTCTGCTCGGCCATGTCAACAAGGGTACGGCGGGGTCGAAAAGAGCATCAGGAACGAATGGATTGTACCGTGCATATGCCCACACAGTAAGGTAGGCATTACGGTGGCTCTGGTCCTCTTGAGGTATAATCCCTCTAGAGAGCTACGCCGTACGTTCTACGAGTCTTTCGCATGGTCCTGTTGAACGGTGTTCACTGTTCAAGGGAGGATTTTGCGGGTCTCGTAGCTTTCTCAAAGTCGGCCCATGACGGTACACTGATACAGTGCTTGGTTCATTTGAATTCGTTCCCGGATGCTTCCGTCGGCCGCCGTAGAGAGGGTGAGGAGTGCTTCCCGAGAGTTTCTCACGGCTCGCGAGAGAATGGGAGGGTCGAGCTTTCCAAAAAGAGGCACAGGCCAGGGCTAGACCAACGACCGAACAACTCACGATCGCTTACACCTGTCCCGGCGGAGAGACAAGGAAGACCATTTCTACGCGGTGTAAGGCTCAAAGACTCATGCATGATCACAACGATTCATTGGGGTCTATTTCTAATAGATGCTTTTCGGCTTCAAGGACCATAAACAAGAAAAGTTCTGGCCGTGGGACCCCTCGCACCAGGAACACGATAATCAATAAAGCCAGTCAAACATAGAAAACAAGCGGAACACCCAAAATGACACTCGAAAGGGCTCGAAGCACACCTTATGTTAGTGTCATGCCAAACATACTTACACAAACGAGGCCATGCAAATGCACCGAAGTGAGACACTGAGAAACATTTCAAGTCTTGGATCCCGACTCTCTCGGGTCTCGAGACTCGAGACCCAGATCCAGATCGAGTCCAAACCCAGTCCGCAACGGTATGAACTGAAACAAGCAGAGAAGTAGGAAGAACAAGTAAGATAACAAAGCAACCCGGAATACAGTGCGGATTGCTCAAATGATGATAGAGAACAAGACACATACAGGGTGACCACGAGCGTCAAAGTCAAGCGAGGAAAGAAGAAGAGAGGAGGAAAAAGAAAACGGAAAAACTTCATGAAGCGATGCGGGAAATTTGATGATTGCAACAATGGCCGTCTGCCAATATAGGAGCTCCCTGCATCATCGAGGTCTCCGTCTTTTGCTGTTTTTTGGGGGGGGGGGGGGGGGGGGCTTCTCTCCTTGCACACGCGCGCAGGCTTTTTCCCTGTCGCGTTCGTTTTGCTCTTCTCCTTCTCCAGTACTGCTCTCGTTCGGTGGTCGGTCGATCGCGCAAAGATGAAAACACACATGCCCATGTCTATAAGTTTGTGGACGCCAAACAATAACCACCCCACCCAAAACCATCTACCCACGACGCAGCATGGGAGACAAGGAAAAATAGAGAAAAACGACAACCCAGACTTGCAATTCGACCATCAAATTGGGGAAGACAGTTTTCACCACAGCGGAAGAAGAGATGCTATCCCACGCCAGATGGGACCAGGAAAAAAATTGACGCATCGGAGAAGCCGGAGAGAACTAAGGACACAAGAGATAGATGAAAATATGAATCAGTGGGTGGAAAGCATAGGAGGTAAAGAATCCCATCAAGAATGCACGGTAAGGATGATAATGAAATCGACAAAGAGGGATGCAATGAGGCTTTTCTCGGAGATGCCACTTCCCTCGAGTGAGAGGAAACATAAGCGCGAGCGCGAGCAGAGAACCATTCCGGAAAGTGAGCATGAGAGTTGTGTTTTTGGAGTGTTTTCGTCCGCATGCGCTCTCGTTGCCTCCTCGCGTTTCATCGTATTACATTCTGATCAGACAACCCAGTTTTACTGCCGAGCAGCCTGGACGGAGCCTGTCCCATGAAAAAAATTCTCATTAGCAAACCACGCACGCCGGACTCACCCCCGAGATATCGAGATAGAGACTGTAGACTTCAAAACTTACCATCACCGCCCATGGTAGTCGAGGCCAGATACAGACCATTCATACCATTTTCAGGTCCGCCGTTCGTAGTGGCGGGATAGAACTTGCGGTCGCCATCGACGGGGGCGTGGATCGGCTCCTGGCCGGTTGCCATGGAGTGGGGGAAAACGGGGTTCATGTAACCGTGCTCGGCACCGTTCTGGAAGGCGGACCAGTCAACGCCAGGCTGATTCGAGGGGTGACCGGACATCACCGGGTATTTGTGGTCAGAAACGACCAGGGGCTTTACCTGTTCAAGAGGACGATCAACACTCAGTTGCTGGCCATGGGATTCGGCACCGGAATGATGCATGAGATAGGGATTCTGCTTGGGGCCAGCCATCCAGGAACCTCGATTGGCGGTCTGATCGGCGAACGCTTGGTCACCAGGACCTCGATTCATGCCGTTGGCCGACGCCATCGCGTATCCCAGATGTTGCTGGTCCGTGAATCCGGGACGGCCAGCGGCCATACCGTTGCCATTCACGGCTCCCTCGCCAAACTGCGCACTCATCATGCCATTGGGAGATGGGACGGGATTACTGACTTCATCCTGGAGAGGCTTCGCGGGGTTAGCCGCGGCCGAGGCAGCGGCCGCGGCGGCCTGCTGCTGTGAACGCTTCAAATGCGCGTGGGGGTGAGACAAGTGAGTCGCGCCGGTGGGGTTACCCCGACGGATCGAGCACTTCTGGAAGTGGCGTTTCAAGATGTCACTGCGGGAGAAAGTGTCCTTGCAAAGCACACACATGTAAGGGCGGTCACCGGTGTCTAGGGACAGAGAAAAACAAACGAGTCATGATTAGTTCTGGCCAACTTGAGGGCTTAGAAGAGGACTTACGGCGCAGCAGATGACGCTTGAGATGCTTCGCGTGGAGATAGGTCTTGTTGCAATGCGGGCAGGGGAACTTTCCATCCGCATCCTTGGCCGGGATGGTGGTGCTCTTCGCAGTACCGTTGACACCATTGGCGACTGGAGTCGCGCGGCCAGGAACACTGGGCAAGATGCCACGACGACCTTGAGAGCCCACGACCTGCGTACGAGTTTGGTCCTTGGGAGGTCCATAGGGCGAGCCATTGGCTCCGTTAACATCAGGGGTCATGCCCCAAGATTTGGTATCGGAATAGCTGAAGGCACCGGAGGGCATGCCATTGAAATCCCGGCGGTCACGAGGAGGCGCGGGGGCGATGGGCTGCGGATAACTCTGCGCGGCCGACGCGGGAGGCAGAACACTAGGGGGAGGAGGATAGGACTGGGTGTGGTGACCTTGGGGCTGGTGGTTGGGGTGCGCAAGGTAAGAAGGCGAGTGACCCCCCATGGTGGTGTGAGGCATGATGGGGGCTGAGGAGTTCCCGTAGACGTCGTGAGTCGACGCGGGGAAGCGCGACAGATCAGGGCGGTACGGCTGACCCATGTACGGGTGCGGCGCGGGCGACTGAGTATGATGCGGCTGGAGCGGAGGCAGGGTGTGAGGCTGAGGAGCCGCGTACCCTCCCTGCATCGAGTATTGAGGCATCGACATACTGGTGATGGGGGTTGAGGACATGGGCGTGGAGCCTTGAGGCAGACTGGTTGACGGCGGACGCGAAGGGTGCGAGCGAGGATCCATCGTGAGCTTTCTCGGTCCGAAAGGGTCAACGAGTGGAGAAAGGTTTCGCGGCAATGAAATGGGAGGACGAAGACTGAGATAGATGATGATGTGTCGAGATCACGCAGTAATCATCGAACACGTCGCGGTCGTGAAGGTGTAACTCTCGTGACGTGGAAATTTTTTTTCTTCCCGCTGGACTCAACAGGTGTGAAGGGTTCGCGTCGGAGGCCAACTGAATTTTTTTTCCCGAGGCAGGCAAGACAAAGGCTGACTGGGAGTCACGGACAGGAAGAGGCCTCAATTGCACAAAGATCTGACTCCACTGATTGATGAGATTGTCAGAAGGTTGGAGGTGTGAAGAAAGGAAGAGAGGCTTGATCGGAGTCAAGTCCCCACGGTCACCCACCAGGTCGAAGATGTGTGGAAACTTGGTGTTTTAACCGCACGTTGGTCACCGTCGATGGGTTCTCTGTATCCACCAGGGAAGCGGGCGTACAAGTGGGTCTCGCAGCACAACAACTCGTCAGATGTGTTCTGCGCGTCCAAACGAACTGATCAAGACAATGGACCAGGTTTTGACGAGAAAGAGAATTGCAGAGAGGGGGTGGATTTGTTCAGTCAAGACCAAGGCGAGGCAATGTGGTGCGAACGAGGTTTTGACGGGGAGGATGAAGAGAAGAAGGAGGAAGGGAAAAAAAAGTCGGGCAAGACGATTCGATCGTGGACGGGGAGAAGAAATTTGGGGGGGAAAGCGAAAGGGAGACCAAAAGGTGATTCTTTGGAGGCGCGGCCAAGGTTCAGGTAATGGAAAATTACGGGACAAGGGCAAAGAAGACCCAAACGGGAAAATTCAGAAAAAGGAACCGAAAGAAAGGGCCGGAAACCGTGAATGAGCCTGAGGAAACATAGGTTGATCAGAAAGAGACAATTGCGATACGGTGTGGGACTCCTGAGTAATGGAAATTTCAAGGTGGTAAAATGTGAGTTACTGCCTGAAAGTGGCTTATTAACAATTTCACGGGTACCTTACCTTACCAACCGGTCTGACGGAACTGTCTGGAAACTGAACCTTTCTGGCTACACTACGATAAGCCGGAGGCAAGAGGCGATAACCGGCCTCTTCAGGTTGGAGTATGAGCAATACTGGAGAATTGCAAATTTTGGGCTGCCGTTTCCATACAATACCGAGTCCCGGGAAACATAGCGCGGGTTCAAAAGTCAGAGCAATTACACATCAATACCGTCTCCCGGCGGCGGACTGTTCTCAGTTCACGGTTCACGGCTTACGTATGTTGTCCCGAGGCAGCCTACCAATGAATCCTCCATCACCCAAATAATGGAACTTTTCAAGCTGGGAACAGCCCAAGCGACTCGAACAATTTCCATTATGATTGGATTACAGTTTTCCAATGTTGGGAATATCCCGCATCATTTCGAATCCCGTGAGAATGCTGAACGGATATCGTCAAAAATCTGACAACATTGAAAATCATGTACTCTTTCTGGGCTGTAGTCGGGTATTTTCTGAGGTACGAGAGAACAAGTCCGTTGCGGTCAACTAACAATCGAAATTCAGCGACTAAGAGTAGCCCGACCGGGTCGAATGGGCCGACGTCGGCTGCTGGGGGAAGAGATGACGATATACCGTGCGGGCTTCCCTGCGTGCTTCCGAAGCCAGCCTCGGGGACAGCATAGGAAGGCCGCGAATGGCACTCCATTCGAATCGAAACCATCATTCCTTTTCATGAACAGCAGCCTCTGTCATGGGCCACATAGCTGTTGGCTGGCCATCCGGCGTCACCGATATGCACTCTCCATACTTTGTTGTGAGTTGTGACTATTTCTCAATTGTGGCTGGGAAGCAAAATGACACCCAGCCTCGGAGCTGAACTTGCTTCTTATTGTAGGTGCTATATCTGTCCATATTAGGCACTGGCATTGACAGCTGATCATGCCACCTTGATGCAGGATGGTAAGCGGGCGCGAGAGTCAGGCGTTACCTACCTGGTCGTGCATTCACTCGGGCGTGGAAAGGCACCAACAGAGCATCATCGCAGCACGCCCTGGGGCTTCCCTAAGGTTGTGGCAGTAGCTTGGACTTTTTTGCCAGAGTCACCGAGCTTCATCGATTATTAATCCAGATTACGGGCCATTCGTAGTACACCGTGACGACACAGAATTGATAGCGGAAGTACTGACCTTCAAAAGTACCCAGTTAAATAGTATAATTATATGTCCCCTTTACTTGCAGCTGCATAGTTTCCAATTATGATTATCATGAGCTCAGGATTGTGATACACACATTTCTGCGCATGGATGTTGACCGTTGTTAAGAGGACCACGCCGCGGGCGTCATCATGAATGATGGACCTTGTGGTTACAAAGGTATCAATAAGATACATAAAGCACTCTTCAACTCTGTACTAGGAATAGGCACATCCATTGCATGATTTCAAGTAATCGCTCCGTAGGCTCTCATGACCTCTAGATACGTCGGCATATGTAACAGTACCACCATATAAGTACATAATCCGTCAGTGACTGAGCGATAGACCTCGTCGTTGTCTGTGACGTTGAATTTAAGTATCGAAAGCACCGCTGGGGATGGACCACTGGACACTAAAGGAGCTGGGAATTTTGATCACTTACGAAGGTCCACCCGACCTTCATCCAGCCGTATCAGACTGGGGAGTATTATCTGATCAACTCTATACATGTAGGCATATCCACCCCGCCTCCCCTCCCACTCCCCCCGCACTGGAGCCCGTAGGCCATTTTAGGTGAGTGGGTTTGGTGGTCATCCCTGGGCTCAGCCTCTCGGTCCGCTTCGACGTCTATAGCGACTTGGGTCCGCAGTGGCTTGACAGCCCCGCAAATGGGCAGATGGGATCGGTTATGAGGTTGACAAGGTGGAAGCAGCAAGGGTCGGTCATGAAAGAATAGGTGATGCCCAAAATACGTATTATGTTGGAAGCAGTGCAATCGGGCTGGTTCCGATGACCCGCTACCTGCACGGCCGTAGCCTGCATGTTGTGTCGGGGGGGGAACATTGATCGGTCGAAGGCCGTGCAAAGATGGAAGATCGATTGCTTATTTCTCAGGCCTTTGCACGTACATCAGATGCTTTTCACTGGTGAGACTTCTTACACGAGATCAGCTCGTCGACTAGATACATGTGTATGTCACCTTTGGTCGCTATCATGGTGCGAGGTCAAGTCATGGTTGCTGTATCCATTTCGATCCCCTTCAGTGTTCTGTGTCCCATCAGGTCGAGTCCCAGTGTCGTTCACGGGATCAACGGCGATATGCCTCTTCATCGTCGATGAGATGAACTGAATTTGATCACACGTAATTCCAAGGTTGATGAAAGTAGTATTTATGAACTGAGAGCCGTCTGATTTACAAATTTTGAGGTGTTCTGCCAGTGCTAACTAGGTCCTCCCCTGGTCACATGCGTTCTATCTGAAGCTCACATTGAAGGTACCTTACCTATACACTCACATCGGGCGACGGCCCGAGCTCCGGCTGAATCCAGGAATGAATACGGATTCGCGCACGATTACTTTCTGCCCACTTGAATGCCCTACCCAAGTCAGAGTGATACTCTGCAGGTCAGATTTTAAATCAAAATAGTGGTAAAATGTTTCTCTAATTATAGAGGCAGACCATCCTCCACAATCAAGTCACAAAAGGACAGCCTGGCTCTGATAGACATATCGGACTCGATTCATAAAGCGGCCGTGATGGGCACTGGCTTTGGGTAGTTATTGCTCCCTTCAAATGAATTCTCCAAGACTCGAGTCTTTGTGACCAGACAGCGCGCTCACCTTTGCCGTTCAAGGGTGTTGTATCGCATCGAGTCATCGACGCACCCAACGGTCTCCTGCATACTTTCGCGGATGCGCCGTAGCCGCTCACGGACGTGCTGACGTCCTTGCGCGACAAAAGTACAGTTTGTTTTCTCGGCCTACCAAGGTACGGGATCCGCTTACAGCAGCATCTGGGTAAATCATATCTGCCTGCATAGGCTCATAGGGTAGTATTCAATCTCAGATCTCTTCCCCTCTTTCCTTCCTACCCAGATCTCACCTAAATACATTTTAGCGTGTCGAGCTAGACAATACAGGTGTCTTCCTATCAATTTCATGGCCTGTGCCCAGAATGAAGCGAGTGCCTAACTCATTCCCACCAATCTCCAGCTGCAATGTTGACTGAGCATCCCGGAGAAGGATGAGGAATGTAACGTACGATTAAGTGTCCAGCCACCTTTTCACAGACATCCTTCCGATTGGATGCCGCGTTGATGGCTGCAGCTTTGTATTCGCTGCTGACTGTCGGTTTTAGTGCAGACGCAGCATGAAAGTTTGTCCGTCTCATGCACTGCCCGTGAATAGGTGTGTTTCGCAACAAAAAACGAAGTACATAACGACCGTCTATGGGTACAGTACAACGACAAACTCGTCTTTTTGACGACTCGTGACGTGAGGTTTTCACATTTCGGGTCTTCATTTTCATTTCCCCCTTCATATCTCTGGAATTCCACTCATTTATCCGAGTCTCAGATTCTAGGGGTTATCGATAGATGCGGCACGAGGAGCGAGGGACGGGATATCATACCTGGTTGGAAAGGGGCTCTCTGCCCCCCAGCTCGGGTGAACTTCGGTCGGTCCGTAAATGCGCAATGGCAGGTAAGTTCACGCCATTCTGTCCAGGAGTGCTCAATGACTGTCCACCATGCCACTAGGGCTTGCTTCCATGAAATACATGCGTATATTGGGGGGGTTCTCCAAGATAAACTACGGCACACATCTCTATCTCGAGCATTCATCTCTGTCTTTCAGCATGACTTCTGTAGCCCCTCTATTCTCCACCATAGAAAGTCGCAACAGCTTCTCCCGCTTCGATTGTGGACCGCGTCGACCAGGGTTCTGCAGCGAAGCTAACGGGATCTTTGGAGTCTGACCACAGCCGGCGCGCGCGCGCGTCCGAGTCCTTTAAGTCCTCCACCGTACAAGTTTTGCAAAATATAAGCAAACTCTCATGTGGGAAACTTTCATGTGCGGCGTATTCGTGCAGTGCTCCCGTCGGCACCGATGACAACCGCGCTCTCGTCGCGTCGGGTCGGCTACTGTAAAAGTGTACAGGAATGAACTTTACACTTTTACAGTTCTAGAGCCGCTAGACGAATATGAAGTTCTTGAGCATCGCTGGGACTGACTAGACAGCGAAAATCGTCAAGTCCGTCACTGGGTGGTTATTTTTTTTCGGATCTCTACTTCAGACTCCCAATCTCTCTTACTGTTCATGTCCTGCATGCCAGTAAGGGCCTGGTAAACCCAGGTACAGGGTACCTGAGTACTGTAGTACCGTAATTGAGGAGGAATTGAGGATTCAGGATTGTTTTCTCAGGTTCCTGGGGACTTTCAGCGAGGACACCATAGCGGTCTAGGACCCCCTTCGGAAGATCTTCGCATAACCTTCCCTCACCCACCCCAGTAATGTTCCCTGGTCGGATATTGCCGGCGTCAACAGTCCCCAATGTGGCTGGCTTCATAGTTGTGAAGGCCGCTGCGAGAACGTAGAGGTCCTGTTTAGTGTTGACATGCTCAAAGTCCAGCATTGGAGTACTGATAGAATGGATAGGACTTTGGATCCATAGATTTGAATAAAAAAAAGTCTCTAAATGGGGGGTATCTTATGGACCATGCGGCATATACATCGTGAACATTGAACAATTACTAGCATTGAACCCGACACAGTCATGCACTGGTTACCTACTGTTTGTGTTACTGTCAGTGATGTCGTATGGTCACTTTGATTGTGATTTTTTGGGGCTATTCTTCATTCGTTTTTAAAAAAAAAATACACGGCTTCAGGGCTAGCGTGTAGCCGTGTACGTACAGTGGATTAATTCTGTAAGGCTAGTGGTCGGCAAAGGTGCCGGGAAATCCAGCATGATCCACTCTTGAAGGGGAAAACTAGCCACCAAAGGCCGCCGAAAAGAGAAAAAAAAAAAAAACCTTTTACGCCAAAATGGAGTCGAAGAAAAGAGTGTTGCATCCAAAATCTCGGAAAAGGTTCGGTCCTCAAACCAAGTGGCTTATCCTACAAAACTACGGTGAGCCGGATCAATTTTGTGCTCGAGGGGGGTAAAGGCTCAAAGAAGAGAGCCACGATCATTTCGATTGTTCGGAAGTGGAAAGGCCACGGCAGTGGGAGAGACTGCTCACCGAGCAAGCAATTAATGAATCATTGCGACATGGGTTCTCCGTAGTTTCACCGCACACCGGATGTCTGGAAAGTGTCGACTCGTCGAGACTCGGAGAGTCGTGCATAATGGATTGTTTTCTGTTCCCTCCCTGTTGATATCATCCCACTTCTTCGAGGCGGGATTCACCGTCGTCGGCTTTCGACCCGGCTCCTTTCCCGAGACTCGGCTTGCAAACCACGACCCTCGAGGTTTGAACCCGATCGATCACGTGTAATACCACGACCGTAATGGCAACAGTGCAGCACGGCGAAGGACCCAAGGCTTGATTGGAATTGGATTGCGGTCACGGGCGTTCAACATATTTACTTTCCACCCGTCCAAATATATTCATGTAGTGTTCGAACTTTCGAACACATGGCAACGATCATATATCCTTGAGAACAAATGTCCATCGAGGCATGCCGCTCTACACGTCTTCAGAGTCCAGTAGCTTGCCAAACTTGTCTTGTATTGCCTTTTAAAGAAAAACTGGGCCGCGCTAAGAGAGTGTACACTTTTAAGCTATCATGACTCAAGGAGACTAGCGAGTCGCGAGCAGCCGGTTCGCCCAAATGTGGCCTCGGGCTGCCCTGCCCGCCAGGCTGGCCATGAAATGTTGTCGTGCTCGGAAAAAAAGACGCCAGATCGCAGCGTCGATCATGCCCCTCTTTTCCTGTGTGAGAGGGGACTCCTGCCTGGTCTCTAAATTGCATTGCGGCGCAGTGAGCGCAGTCCGCGGATCCGGGGCTACATATGATCTGTTCCCCCTCTGTATCCACACCTCCAATGTGTCAAGTTGTCAACCACTGATTGTGGATTTTTATTTTACGTCCTCCCTTTGTGTTACGAATAACTAGACGAAAAATGAACAAAAACGGTTCTCAAGGCTTGTAGTGGCCCTGGGCCAAGCCTCTCCTGGTCTTCGCCGTGAATTATTGACGCCAGAGAGTGGCTCTGGATTGTCGATATCAAGTCAGAGATTGAGCGAAAATAGAAGGACATCACGAGGACATGAGCGGTAAGCCAAGATTATCGGCACGCTGCCTGGACAGCGGACAGCGGACCACTGGGAGTCTGGGACACTTCAGAATCAGATGATTTCGTGTACTGTACTAAGCAATTTGCATTGTACATTTATACAAGGTCGTGATACAAACGTACATTGTTATTGCAGTACAGTAAAATCTTACAGCAGGCGAGGAGGAAAATTTCCGAAAACATACCTAAATCTTGGAGGTAGCTCCGGACCGGATAATGCATCTCGCCCTCATAGGCAAGACGACGCGATCTCCTGCGCTGTGGTTCCCAACAATAATCGTGACCTGAATCATATCGAGTCCATCAACCATTCAATTTCTACTTATACCATTACCTACTTTCACTTCCAGCTAGTAGTCTACATTTTTACTGCAACAGGTCAAGACCATATAGATTATAAACCACTTCTGGGTTGCTAACAACCTTCCCCCACGCCCACAATGACACAGTCCCGGCAAAAACAGGTTGTAATTGCTCTAACTGAAGGACAGTATTCTTGAACTGAGGACCCTACGGTGAACGGACATGGCTCTCCTTCCGACATCTTTGCCAAAAAAGGACCAGAAACCATCGTCGTGGTTTTTTCCGAGGACCCGGCACAGACCGGAAAGCATTCAACGAAATCTACGCAGATTTTGGAGAGCCAAGTCCGGATCGCCGAGTTTCATGATGTGCTGTGGCCAATGAGAGTGGTCGCTAGGCACAAGCAGACAAGAGGATCGAAAGCGCCACTCACCTCATACTTTCTGGCGTCAGTGTTGATTCGAGTCTAGTTCGTCGTTTTGGGACAGACCGGACCAGATTCGGCTAGCGGCTTCTTTGTTGGCGTTCCCCAAGGTCCTTGACTCAGGGAAAATCGGGTTACATGCATACCGAGACGTGCATGTTTAGATAAATCGTACCAGCTTAGTAAGTAGGTTCATGTGGCCCGAAAGAATAGTAGTATCTTGAGGCAAATATAGTGATTTGCAAATCCATCACGTGTAGCTGGGATCCTTTGTTATGGGTTGTTCCTTTCATTGTGAGCGCTGAGCGACCCTCCGCGGTGCCTTGTCAGCGTCGTTGTCGGCCCTCTCCCGTTGTGTACATTGCGAGTACTGTACATGCTGGAGCCGACGCGACGGGCCCTGACAGCACAGCGGAGACCTTTTGTCTCCAGGTACGCGGTGTGAAAGTGGAGCGCGACCCGACATCGACAAATATTGAAGATGGCCCGAAGCACATATCGCTCGACTTTGAGCAGGTGACGGGACGTGTAGACGTCGGACGACTTCAGTACATTGTATCAAGAGGAGCATGACCATGTTAGGGAGCCGTGCTACTCACAGCGCCATGGAAAAGCCCACCAACTCACTATCCACGCAAAAGGAAGAATTCCTGCCGTCATCAGTTCTGGAAACTTCCTCTGACAAAAGTGCGGCCATGGTCGGCAACGGATATACGGCGTGCGGCGGACCGAGTCAGACTGCATTTTTCAGAATCTTTGCAAATAAAACGTTGACGATGCGCGGGTATCACCACAACATATCTGAACTTGTACAGCGTACAGTACATGCTTATTATTATACCCACAAATGATACAGATAAGACAAGACCAGGCTTCTTGGTCGAGTTCTTTTCTTCGAGGTGCCGGATATACATAAACAGCCGTATGCCTACTGTCCTCTCTATGATCGGGTCTGGTACATGGTAACATTACCGTGCCACCACGTAGCCGTCGGAACCATGGACTCGGAATCTGGCCCTGAGGCGAATGATGATTTTGGAACTTTGAACGAGGTCTATCATCTCAAGCAAGATTTTTTTTTCTTGTTCGATCTGAGGGCCATCTAGGGAGTTGCAACTCGCCATTATCATTGGCACAAGGCTTGATGTTTAATGCAGATTTGATCTTAGTCATGACGCACGATGAGATTGATTTGACGTAGAGAAAAAAGTGATATAGCGTGCTGAGTGGCCGAGTGCATTGTTCAGGTGGCCTACCTGTGTGGACTATGGACTGTGGACAACCCCTAGGATCATGGTCGACTCGTTGAAGGTTATTATTATTACTTTTATTATTATTGCAGCTTGAATACAGGACTTGTAGCACTGATCACCTGCCCAGACCTCCGACTTGTGTGTTGTGAGTAGGTCGAAAAGGAGACTAGAAAGGGGCAAATAAAAACCGAAAAGGGACACGAGCATTTTCATCGACGACCAAATTCCTACACCATCACAAGTGAAGGATCTGTCTTTGTGTCTGGCAGTCTGCCAAAGGGTCCCAAATTTGGAATCGGTAGGCTCATGTGACCGGATTCTCACCCACGAGAATTGATTTTTTTGTTTTCTAAAACTGGCGGCAGCTATGGTTCATAAAAAGCGCCGACCGTGGGCGGAGGGCTGTTTGCAGGAGAATTCTTACCAAATAGTTTCCATTTTCGGTGATCCTTGTAAATTTCCGTCAGAACGCCATGTGGTGAGACGGTTTTGCAAAAAGGTAAAACTACAGTAAGTCGCTCCGTAAAATAAAACATACCACATCAATACTGACATCGCCGTCATACTTGTAATTTAGGGATCCGGCAACATCATTCACAACCGCAGGCCTCCTGAAATGATATTGAAGATAAGGCGTTAGATGTCGCCATTGAAGCGAGTCACGGCAACTTCAGGGGTTCATCGAAAGAAGAGCAAATGTGATGACAAATTTTTCGTAATTTTTTGTCCTCCACAGGGTAGATCCAGGTACATTGCATGTAGACTCCCTTGCGAGATGGATTTGAATTGACGAACTAAGTTGGTTTCCATTCACTACTGAATTAGATCACCGTCCCAGTATTGATCTTGCAATCTATAGAGCAACAGGAAGATAGACATGCATATGGATGGAGAGCAGGCCCTTCCGGGTGTCCTTAAACTGTCTACTTCGCTAGGACCAGAACGGGAAGGTCGAGCTCTAGATCTCACGTGATTGTTCTGTCATTTTGTTTTGGTGTTATATATTCATCAAGAGACTGGACCCTTTTTTGCTACTCCTTACGGGCCCACCGATTTCCCGACCGTGAACACCAAAAACTCACTAAGAAGTTCTCTTTACCACAACACTTTGATCTATATAGCAATATTATATAGTTCCTTAAAACTTTAGAGGATTAGAGGAAGGTAAAGTTTTCGAAATTTTTCTAGAGGGGCGATGATTTATCTATGGAGGACGGGTAGATGCTAGATCGCGGACTCGGGAGAGAATTTGAAGTGTTGAGTCGGAACGCAAAGGCAGACCCGTATTTTATTTTCGAAGTCAAACACTTTCAAAACGACAAACGTAATAAATCCAAAGATTGACCTTACTATTTCTGTTCTAGCGAGGTGGACCGCCTAAGGACACCCGGCCCTTCCTTGTTCATAGGCTTGCCTAGTCCATTTCGAAGCGACAAGCGTGGACTCCAAACTCTGTGAAGCTGCTGCTTTTCATTTCTGTTCATCTGCAGGCGCGGTTCGAATATCGATCAGGAGCCAGCTAGACACCATCAATCAATGTATTTATCAAAGCTTTCAGCTTAACTAGAGTCGATTTTTATTTGAAGACGTCAAAATGGCCGATTTCACCACGCTACTAGATAGACGGAAGTCTTTTTTTCAAGGCAAACTCGTACAAGTGGCTGTAAAACCAAACCATGAATGTGTTGCCGCGCCTGACTGATTCTCGGAGACGCGCCGGAAAAAGACTCAACTCTGACGATCGCGGCGATACCTACTCAAGTCATCTCAGGAACCAGCGTGTCGTCCCTCGGGAGAACTTGCCTCGCATGGAACTTGGCGTCGATCAAGTGCGGCATGCTGCTGTATGCCATCGTAAATTAGATAGTATTACTATTTGTACCTACCGTCACTGATCAGTTCAGTGTTCACTGGTAAATAGATGCTCAAGTCACACACAGTATTCACATCGTCTTGCCATTTAAGTGTTTCGTCCGATAGATGAGAGCATTTTATTCGGGCACGAGATGAACGTTTATTGCTCAGGAGTCAGTAGTCTACTGTTAATGGTTTGATACGCCGCCACGGATGAAAGGAAATGCCGTGTCTAGCAACCGGAGTGGTCTGTGACTATTGACGGTATCACGGTAGTACCCTGGGACGATCTCGACCCCGGCGATTGGAGCTCGACCGAGTTTCATTCTCCGTCAGACGTCCTGTAGACCAAATGAACCCGGTCGTCATCTTCATTCTCGCGAGGCGCAACCACTGCCGTGGGTAGGCTGGTGGAATTATGCTTCGGGACATGGTTTCCCCTCAATTGAAGGACATCAGTATGGATCTAAGGAAGTGGACGAACAGAAGATTCTGTCTCGCGGAAACTTTCACATCCACATTGTTGGAATTTGTCGTGGAGTCAAGCCTCGAGGTTTAAACACAGTGAACCCTCATACCGCTGTAACCCAAGCTGTACAACACTCAAGTTTTCAACAGAGTCAACACTCAACAGTCAACACTGTATGGTGAACGTTTAGCTCGTTCTCTACGTTTGTCACGTCAGAACGTACGGACCATACTAGAGTCAAGACAAACACTTGAAACAGCCTCACCCGTTTTCGAGACGCGTGACTAAAGTCTGACAAGTACCAAAAATAAGTCAAGCCCCCTCTAGTCAGTATAGCCACTACGAGCAGACCATTCGTTTCATCGCCTACCATCTTTATATGCCACCAGGTAAGAACCGACCTATTAATCGACCCGTTCCGCCACAATCCACGGAGAATCCACCCCAGAAAAGGTCGGGCGAGTGGGCCTTGCCTCACCCCTTTCTCATGTCGTGCAATTGTGCCAAATCCAAACCCCTCCCCCTCTCCGAGCACCACGTCCCAAGATAGGAGCACCCGTCAGACAGGGGAAGTGGATGTCAGGGCAGGGGTGATCTATTCCACAATATCCAGAGTACGAGCCAGGGGGGGGTAGAGATGACTTGATCGGGCTGAGTGATGACGGGAGGAAAGAGGGGGCGGTCCTATCGAAGAGAACGCGGGGAGTCCATCATAATCAATACTCCAGTCGTATGTACCCGTACCTGTGTCCGGCCCTCCTTGCACTGGAAGTTAGATTAAGCATATCTTTGCGTCCCATCGGACTACCGCAAGGTCTCCATAGCATCCTTGTCAAAAGGGTGTCCCACCAGTCTGCTGCACCGCCAATTGGGGGGGGGGGGGGCTTCCCTTCTCTGGGCCTCAGGGCCACTCCATGCGGACAGTGGATCGAGTTGCCGCGGCCGGATTTGTTCGAAACGGCGCCCCAAGGGAGGGCCGTAGACAAGGATCATCGAGGTATAGTTGTAGATCCCAACAAGCGCGGTCCGGATAATCGATCGACAAAATTAGATCGGACCACAGAATACTACCTAAGTAGTGGTGACATTGGGTTTCAGCATCTTAGGAGAAGAAGGGGACGTGCGTGGCATGTTCGCGTTTACTTGTTTTAGAGCGTTTCATCATGATCTTTGCGTGGCGGCCTTTCTGGGCAGTGGATGGAGGCTGTGATGTGGTTGCAACAGAGCATGATTTGGAGTCAATATGTACAATGGTAATAGGACTCTCAAGATCACAAGGATCACGGATCACGGATCACGGATCACGAGAACGTAGAAAGTGTCGGCCCTCAAGGGACAGAGCTGTTATTTGACAAGAAGAGGCTTCCCTTCTTCCATGTCATGTCGAGCACTTCAATCCATCAGATACAGTCTCATTCATGAGGATGTACATAGGTCTCTATAACTTATCACCAGCATGTTTCGCTGAAGATGATAGATCATCTGCCTCAGCCTGCCCCTCAGGCTCAACACCTTCACTCAGAACTGCGTGGATGGAATGTTCGACATTCACCTTAGGCCCTGTGAACCAGTTCCGAGCATCGACAAACCACCAAACCAAAACCGCCAACATAGGCGCCCCGTACACCAGACATGTCCAGTTCATCGTGCTCGGCGTCAAGTCTCCCTTTGTCACACTAGGTAAACACAAAATGGGTACCATCAGAGCGACGAAAACCACACCCACTGCCCCAATGTACGGACCAAACGGACCCAGATGCCATGGTCCCTTACGGAAACGGTGACCCACGCAGAACACGCGGATGAAGATGGGAATGGCAAAGGCAACAAATTGGGCAATGGCACCGATGGAGAAGAGGGCTCCGATGGCTACACTGCCTGCAAGAATAAGGAGACACATCAGGATTCCCAAAGCGGCGTTGAGGATCACTGCATTGACGGGTGTCTGGGTGCGAGGATTGACTTGCTTCCAGAACCGGGAAAGTGGGAAACAGTCATCTCGGGCGTAGGCGTAAGTTACACGGGACGCAGCAACCATACATCCCTGGCCCATGGAGAATCCGCAGACAATGGTCAATCCGAGGATCCCAAGAGCCGCGCGTTGAGGGAGCACTTGCAGCAGATATGAAGCCCATGGTTGACCGAGTTCCGAGCCCAGAACGGCATTGATATCGACCACCGTGTAGGCGACCACTAACTGAAGAAACCAGCCCATCAGTCCACCGACGCCAGAGGTCAAGACGATGGCGCGTGGCGAGGCAATGTTGGCGTTGGAGCACTCTTCGCTCAAGTGGAATGGCGAGTCATAGCCGGACATCGTCCATATGACACCAACAAAGGTCATGAGCACAGCCACCCCGTCTGGAAAGTCAGTCTGATTGGAGATGGTCCCCCATACATCGTGTGAGGAGTTGAACTTGGGCTCGTTCTTGACCGCAGCGGGGATGACGATCAAAGTGACAATGAGCGCGATGATGTTGAAGCTTGACCCGTACGAATTGAATTGCGCAACTTGCTTTGTGGGCATACTGCTGATCGCTGCGTGCATGATCATAATCAGAGTGGTCAACAAGAATGTATGCCAATCGGTGGGGACGTAGTCCGGACTCGTGATGGACACTGCAGCCAAGATCATTGCAGATAAAGCATAGTTGACCGATGGTGCCGCGGTAATCTGCCCAATCCAGTTGGACCATCCGGTTATCCAGGCTGCGAGAGGCCCGTATCCGGGGGGTGCGAGAACAGCTGCAGCGTAATAGAGACCGCCACTAGTGGTCAAAATCAGATTCATGATCAGCACTCGCTTGGGGGGTTGGAACGTGAATGGGTCGGCCTGCACAGGAACCGTAATCACCACATACCTGGTGGGCATAGCTGAACATAGCTCCGCCATCGACATCGCTATACATTGAATGAAGATCATTGCAATGATCCACCCCCAGACCATACCCGCGGTGCCAGCGTAACCCATGCCTTGACCGAAAGAGTAAGTCATTTTGTTCTCATCCGACCATGAGCGTAGATTGAGGGCAACCTACCATAGTAAAGGGTACTGGCAAAAGAGGGCAACAAGCCCAGGACTGCAAAGCTGACACAGAAGGTTGTCCATAGCGAGAATTCACGCTTGAATTCTTGCTTGTAACCCAAGGCCACAATGACCCGCTCATCCTCGTCCATATCATGATCAGTGTATGGAACATCTCCATCAGCCAAAACTGACGTGACGGGGACATGGTTGGTGCCAGCATGTACGCGATCTTTGGAGATGCTGGGAGGTGCCATGTCGGTATGTGGGTTGTGACAGGTAGAACAGACAGACAGCAGTACCAATATAGACGGACAAAACAAATCGACACGACAGAGGTCACTGCTATGGGCAATGGCGGGTGCTCTTCGTTAACCGAGACTTGAGGCTAGTTTTCAAACTTGAAGGGCGCCTTGCCGGGAGGTTTAAGTACATCAAGCCGAGTGGGAGGATCAGACTCCGGTATAAAAACGAGAGTTCAGTTTATCTGGGGAGCAAGTAGAGTTTCCACCTGATGGAGGCACAGAGGCTCATGCACGAATGAAGTATCCTTTATCTTTCGTCGGCTGTCAGTCGTTTAGAACATCCCCTTTCGGTTCCATGACATGGATAGATGCACCATCTCAGAACCTAATCAAAAGGCACGGAGCCACCCGCGGGTTCTGCATTAGCTTCCATTGGGGTGGCATCGCTGGTATGTAGTATGCCCATTTCAAGTAGAGGATGGAGGATGTAGCACAAGAATCAATACCAGTGACTGTATCCGGTGAGTGACTCCAAAAGCCAAGAGGCCCTATCTCGAAAGCCAGATCGGAAGAAATGCGGAGAAAGTTTGGCTTGTGCCATGTATTACTCCGCAAGAAGAGCGTGGTGCAGCTGCGTCTGATAAGTAGTATGCCCATTTCAAGTAGAGGATGGAGGATGTAGCACAAGAATCAATACCAGTGACTGTATCCGGTGAGTGACTCCAAAAGCCAAGAGGCCCTATCTCGAAAGCCAGATCGGAAGAAATGCGGAGAAAGTTTGGCTTGTGCCATGTATTACTCCGCAAGAAGAGCGTGGTGCAGCTGCGTCTGATAAGCTATGGACACGGCAGTACCTTCCAAGTAAAGACGTGCAGCGTATGGCAGTTCAAGTCATCGCCAAGTCAAAGCGCTTCACTTTGAATTCACCAATGCTGCAACTCCGCGACCAGGTCCCCTGGACCCCAATGTTCATTCCTAGTTGATTTAGAACAGTACTTCGACCTGCTGTATCAGTACCATATAGCGATGCCCTCTCACCGGGATGGACGCACCGAGGCGAGTACAACCTGCAACAGCGTGCAGTCAGGCGCTGCCCGCGAATGTACAAATGCAGGGCCAAAATGGTGACCGTTATCTGTCTTATCATGGTAGACTGACTAGACTCCCCAAGGATGACAGAATACGTGTGAGATAAGCTGGAATTGGGTATTTCAACATTGGCAAGCCAAAGGACGTGCTGCAGAGATGTTGACCTCGACAATCATTGGGTCAAATAGCCAAGGTCCGGCGGACGGCTTATCTCTTGCATCCCGCCGAAGGGTAGACCTACCCAAGTGGGTTAAGTGTCTAAGCGCAATCAGTCCTGAAAATCAGTCCGGACCAGGCATGGCTTGACTACAGATACGATAGCACCGATATCGATAACAAGGTCGATGATGCTTGATCGTGACTCGTATCTTTTACTTGGCTCAGTTAGGCGTGTTACGTGAATATATACTTGCATGAATATGGTGCACGAGAACGTACGGCCGAGGTGTATCCAAGCCGGGGGTCTGACGCCGGGCGTAACCTTACTTATACTTGCAAGTGGCTAACAATAGAATGCTGCAGGGAACACCGTAGATTGGGTTTGCGAAGCAGCAATTGCCTCTATCTCTATGTGTGGCTTCAAAGAACAGAAAAAGACAATCTTCAACATTATTCTACATAAAGCCTCGACAAAACCTCCTCATGCATCGCCATGATCAAGATTGCTAGCAAGGACGCTCAAGGTAAGACCGCGGATAGTTTAGAAGGGCTAAAAAAATGTGTAAGTTGAGGATCCGAGAAGACGCAGTCAAGGGAGCGTCAAGGGTGACCATGACTTACGTTGTCCTCGGGGGCGATGGGACGGTCATAGTAGGAGTCCAGACCGGGAATCTTCTGCAGGATATCACGGCGCACACGGGGAATCTCGCCGAACATGAAGAGAGCAGCGGTACCAGCGAAGACACCGAAGGAGGCAGCGAGAGAGCCGCTATTATATCCGGTCAGCTGATGCGGCCTCTATTGAAATGGCCCACAACGAGGGAGGACACTTACGCCTGGATAGCAGAGGGGATGGTGAAGCCGGCAATCTTGGGAGGGATGGCGATCCTGGGACAGGCGTCACGTTAGTGCATAATTCTGGATGTCGGTGATTGTGACCGATATCGTATTCCGAGGCCGACCTGGCGCCACTTTGAACATTGGATGAGCCCGCACGAGGCCCGCGCATCTCGCTCAAGGACTGGACGAGAGACCGCGGTAACTGTCTAGCTTTCCTGCAATGGGATGCATCTCGTAGACGCACGGAAGGATATTTCATGGGCTGCGACGTATGCCAGGCCTCGCTCGAAACCGCGATCGACGGGGATTAGGAATTTGGGGCAGAGCTCACTTGGGGGCGAAGGCAGAGGAGGTGGCCTTAGCCGCGGCACGGCGGATGGTGGGAGTGAACATCTACTCAAACAAATTCATGAGTTAGCATGAAATCAAATCGTAAGACATGCGCAGATACGTATTTATGCTCGTCTTTAGTCCCATTGAATGCGAGTTCAGAAGGATGGCTCCCGCTGAGCGAGCCAGCCTACTGAAACCGCAATTGAGGGTGTCGAATCACATGGAAAGTGCACAGAACCACCTTCAAAGCACAATTCAAGCGTATATTGCAGATTGCACCTACCTTGAGGAGTGATGTGGGCGGTTGAGACAATTGCTTATGGAACGATTCGGAATGGCGCTGGTGACATCGGGGTCGACGAAAACCGGAGAATGTCACGTGATACAGCCAGGTTCGCGGTCAATCGGAAGCCACATGATTGGCTCGTTGATGCTGGCTTCGAAAGGTACAAACGGTAGCACTAAAGTCTTATAATATGACTACCTAATGCTACAGGTTGGCCGTACTGACGGTTGGGAGATATACCGGAGAAAAATCTTAGGAAGCTTCCCTACCAATAGCTGTCTTCTAAAATTGGTTGGAATTCGAATGAGGTGAAGATAGGGGAAAGGGAACTAAGGTATGTGCCTCAACAGTCCATGTTGACATGCAAAAGCTTCACCATGAAATCATCTGAAGCAAAAAAAAAGAGACCAGAGAACCATGGCGAGACAGAAGTAAAGAAAAGACGACAGCCTGGAAGCAAACAAATACAGGCGAAGAATTTATAATATCAGGTCCGAACACCAAAACTGTACATGCGTTTCATTAATCGACCTTCCCGGTAGAGCCTCCGTTCAACAGCCCCTCCTTACCATCCAAGTGGAAGAAACCTCCATTGCTATTACTGTTGCCAATAATACCCCCACGGGTGACTCGGCGAAGCAAACGACCCCGTCCAATGAAAGTCACAGCAGCCACCGAGAGACCCAAGAAGATGAAGAAGAGGATGGGATGGCTGCTGATGAAAGTGCGCGTAAAGAAGAAGAACGTCTCGATAGTACCGGTGGTGGACTTGGAGGACAGTTTGGGGGGCGAAGCGATGACAAGCGGGATAGTCTCCAAGATGGAGGTACGGGAAGCCATGATTGGTGCTCCGCTAGAAGCTGTGTCCCAGTAACGGCGGTTCTGCGGAGGGTCAGTTTCCGTGTCTTTCCCAAAAGCTTCAGAGAAGAGACTGCTAGACTTACATCTTCATCGTTGATGATCACGCGATCACCATGTTCGACGTCAATACCATACGTGGTTCGAAGCCAACGCTCCCAGAAGTCTCCATCTACCCAGGCAAAGGCGACCGGCTTCTTGTCATCCTCGCGGATGGTAATGCGCATATTCTTCGCGGCACGGAGAGCACGTTGATCATTACGGTCGTCTGCTTCTTCAATGCGCAGCTGCTTCGCATCCCGAAGTTCAGAGCGCTCAAGGCGGAAGAGCTGGATCTGCTTGTCCATCCACTCAAAGGCAGCCTCCTTCAACTCCCGCCGTGACTGCTTGAAGTCATCATTACGACGACGACTGAGGATACCAAGAACAACAAATTTGCCATCCATAATCTCACGGGCATTGGCAGCTGTCAGCTCAGGGACAATGGGAAGCCAGACACTTTGCATCCATGACAGGATTTGGCGGAAGTCGCGCATATCCTTGGGAGCCAGAGCGTTGTAGTAGTTTGGCCGACCATCGCGAACAACCAGAAGTCGAGGCCAAGTGGAGATCTTGAAGCGCTCAGCAAGGGCACCGCTGCTGGTCTTGACGATACGAGCATGTCCCACGAGGCTGAGAGTCAAGCGGTCCATGGCGCGGAAATCTTCAGAAGTCGTAGCCTCGTCGTAAAAGTACAAGAAGAGAACCTCTTCAGTCTCCTCAAGTTCCTTGAAGGTGGCCGCATCGACATCTTGAATCTCGGAGCCTGGACCGACGGCCTTCTTCGCGTAGGAGAGAAGATCGCCCAATCCACGCAAACCGGTGTACTCAACTCGCTGACCTCCACGGAAGAAATAGAGAGTGGGGAAGGCATTGACTCGGGCATCGGCACAGAGTCGAGTCTCAATTTCGCAATTGACCTCGCCAACGTTCAGAGTGTCCTTCATCTCCTTTGCCATTTGTCTCCAACTGGGGGCCATGGCCTGGCAATGACCACACCAAGGAGCGTAGAACTTGATAAACCATGGGTCGCGGGTAGTCGTCACCAGCTTTTGAAAGCTTTCTGCGGTCAACGGAACAGACATGCCTTGAGGATTGGGAGCAGGGCCGACTGGCTTCGTCTTCACGGTAGCTGGGCTATCTGGTTTGCTGCTCTCGACAGGCTTAGGCACTTCCTTATTCTTCTGCGCCGCTTCGTCATTGTGTTTTTCACCAGCCAGAGCGCCTGCTTTGGGATCTTTGTCCTTAGCGACGGGAGAATCCGGTTCGGCGGATGAGTCCACACTGGACGCACCAACCTCGGGCAATTTGATGCCCTGTGGTGGACGAGACCCAGGCTTGGTTGCCTCGAGCTTTTCTTCAATCAACTTGCTCAGGTCGGCGATTGACTTGGCACCGACGTGTGTATCCTTCTGAACGCCACCCTCATAGAAAGCGAAAGTCGGCCAAGCGGAGATACCAAGCTTGTTGCAGAAATCGCCATGGGCGAGACAGTTCATAGAGGCAAAGTGAAAATTGTAGTAACTCGTAAAGCCATTTAAGGATTTGGGATCAGGCGATTTCAGAGAGGAGGGAGAAATCGGATTAGAGGTCTAAGAGAGATTAGTTAGTGGTGGATTTGCATACTATGAGCTTTGAGCATGCGCACATAGTAGAACTCGTAGGTAGTCTGATAAGCGGGTGCGGCCTTTCTGCAATGCGCACAGGACGGTGAATAGTGCTTCACAAGCCTGTTTCAGGTTAGAACCATCCGAGAAGTGAATAACGAAGATCATCTAAACCGTATACACTCACCAAGTTCCATCCTTGGTACTCTCTTCAAAGTTCTCCGGTGTCAACTGGAACAATGGCGGTACGTCGAGGCCATTGAAGATTGAGGGATCCTCCGCATCGACGCCACGGTTGCTTCGTCGTTTTTCCAATCGGTTGTTGATGCTGGCCCCCAGGTCTGACAGTGAAGCTAGCGAGGGCACAGCCAAGAGTGAGATGAGGGACACCCCTAAAGAAGCGAACTTCATTTCGGCGGTTTTTTCGTGCAGACTTCAGAAGTCGCCTTTGTGAGAAGGTTCGGGACGGGTTCGGTGTTTGTTCAGGAAGACCTGAAGCAAAGAAACGAAGGACGTTGGTCGAAAGGGGAGTTGCGGCGGTGTCACCGGTTGCACATCGGACAGAGTGCGATAATGAACCACTTGAGCACTGGACAACCAGCCGAATATATAAAGAAATGGAAGCAACAGGGGAAGTAGTAGCGCTCCCTGAGCCCGGTGAGTAACACAAGAGTGGCTAACAAAAGATCCGAGCTGATCGGAACGTTTGCGCGAGTCTGTGGAGATTAGGGAGGAGAAGGCGGCCCCCTCTCCTTCTAGGCCAGGCCTGTCCCGAACCAGGGAGGCGACGTTTATCCGCTCCGGGCCGACTTCGACTTCCCTTCCCATCATCGACTCTGCGAGACAGCTCGTGCGCCGAATATCAGCCTCCCGAACACTCGACTTCACAATGCGGTCTACACTCCGGCTCTTGGCTAATGTCAAGCCTCGATACTTGGAGCCATTTACTCCCACCGGGTTGACCGGCCTTACCACCCACCCCAGCCCTCGCCCTACCCTAATCTATCTCTACACCACAACGCTTCAGAAGCTGTCCAGATTTCCCGAATCTTCCGCCTATCGCCAGTCAGTGGAAGCTTTGACTCGACACCGTCTCGAGATCGTCGAGTCCCAAAAGCCACCTGGATTTGAGCAATGGTTGGAGCGCGTCAAGAAGACTGTGGGCGCCGAGCCTGAGCGATTTGCTCAATTGCAGCGTTCCGATGGTACCTTCGCTTATGTCGGTTCGCAAGAGGCCAACGGCATGGACGATCCTCGCGGCCAGGAGTGGGATGGCGAGGGCGCCGCCATCATGCCCCAGGGTCCCGCGCGTACCCCACAAGAAGCTGCTGAGTTGGAGAAGATCATCGAGGAGTCCAGCTCGACCGCGGCAAAGACAGATGCGGACTACTACAAGACCGAGATGACTTGGGAGAACGAGCCTGCGCTCGAGGCTGAGCAGTAAGTGGGATATATTGACGTGGTACAGAAGTTGTCCTGTCGCTTCGAAACTAACTATTGCCCAGAGTTTCCCAGATCGAGCAGAAAATCGGTGCTGGTCTCATCGAGGAGGTCATTCAGGTTGCGGAGGCCGAGCTTAAGCTCACCGATGAGCTGTACAAGGCTAAGGTGTAAGTGCTAGCTAATTGGACTATTGATTCTCTGTTTCATAATTGGCTTACTAACATCATGAAACAGGTGGGAGGAGCTGGAGGAAAAGCCTGTCCCTGGCCAGTGGTCATACTTCGAGCGTGGCAACTGAGTCTATTCGATGAGAAGAAGGGCTCAAAAGCCTAGACACTGTATCTTACAAGGAAAGGCTGTTCCTGATTTCCAATGCATTTCCTTATTATGTTCCGCAGTGTACCATACACCTCGAAGTTCCTCATACCCTATGCAAAATTCCGTTCGACTCTATTTCATATCGTCATTCTCCGAGCCTTGAGCAATTGGCAGGCAGAAGTTCAGACCAATCTCAAGTACATGCTTGTTTCAGCTGCGATGAGATTGTTCAATATACCCGTAGTCCTTACAAGACCTTGCTCGTCGATCCCATTACAGCCCATGTTCACTCAGGAGCATTTTGATCAGGATTGCCGTGAATATCTCACAACGAACATCAACAAAAAGTCCTCCTCCTGTAGAAAGATTACTACGAGGCTCACCGCCTGTATTCAATGTCAGCCAGCAATACATAGTCCATCAATTTATCCACTACTCAAGTCCGAGACCTCCGCAATGGTGAAGATGGCCGCCCAACGGAGTCTCGAATCGCCCAGAAGGCGGTGAGAAGCGGCGGGAATCCCCTTGTGGACACATACATTGTCCCTGAATGACCCCAAGCTTCCTTCAATTCGGAGAACCCTGGGTGATCTCAAGATACTCTCCGTCCAATTTTGAGACTTCATTGCTGCTACCTCATTGGGCTGTCTGAGCGGCTCGTGGAATCGCCCACCGTTCACGCAGGCCTACTCCCGCGCTACGCATCATCCCTCCCTAACCCCACACAATATGCGATTAGACGTCAAGGTACGAAAACAAAGGCAGGCCAACGCGCCGCCCTCTGCAGCAAGCAGTGCTTGGTCACAGTGTGATTCATTCAAGCTTTGTGGCATCATAGCTGACTTATATGACGGATATAGAGGCAGCTCTTTGCCCGCTCTGAGCGGGTCAAGGGAATCGGTACGGTTATGACTTCGCCCCGCGCATAGCTCTGAGAGGCATCAATTGGACGCTGCTCTGATAAATCTTTACTCGCAGACTTCCACCCGACAGAACCATGGATCTTGACCACTCTCTACAGCGGTAAGTGCACGAAAAGGAAAAATTCCTCTTCGGCCGCAGGACGAGACGAGCTAAACATGCACAACAGGTCACGTCTACATCTGGTCGTACGAAACACAGGTAAGCCTCCTCTACGCTGCCCAACCGACAAAGCGGAGACTTATTTTCATCAGTCCATCATCAAAACCTTCGAACTCACCGACGTTCCTGTCCGAGCTGGTCGATTCATTGCACGGAAGAATTGGATTGTCTGTGGTTCCGATGATTTCCAGCTCCGCGTCTACAATTACAACACATCCGAGAAGATTACATCCTTCGAAGCGCATCCTGACTACATTCGATCGATTGCTGTTCACCCGACACAACCGTATGTGCTCACTGCAAGTGATGATATGACCATTCGTTTGTGGGATTGGGAGAAGGGCTGGAAATGTGTTCAAGTCTTCGAGGGTCATGGTCACTACGTGATGGGTATGGCTATTAACCCCAAGGATACGAACACCTTCGCAACCGCTTGTTTGGATCGGACTGTGAAGATCTGGAATCTCGGTTCCCCTCACGCAAACTTCACATTGGAGGCACATGAAACGAAAGGAGTGAACCACGTTGATTACTACCCTGGCTCAGACAAGCCGTATCTTCTGACCACCTCAGATGATAAGACAGTCAAGGTATGTAGAATCGACATCTGGTCAATAAATTGCCATACTAATGGGAATTCAATAGATCTGGGATTACACAACAAAGGCGCTTATCGCAACTTTGGAAGGACACACAAGCAATGTCTCTTTTGCTTGCTATCACCCGGAGCTTCCCGTGATCATCTCCGGTTCAGAAGATGGGACAGTCAAAATTTGGCACGCCAACACATATCGTCTTGAGCAGTCACTGAGCTACGGGCTGGAGCGAGCATGGTGTGTGTCTTACCAGCCGGGCCGACAGGGGATCGCAATGGGCTTCGATGATGGTGCTGTCGTTGTCAAGATGGGACGGGAAGAACCTGCTGTCTCCATGGACGGATCAGGAAAGGTCATCTATGCCAGGCATAGTGAAGTTGTGTCAACCGTCATCAAAGGAGATGTCAGCTTGAAGGACGGTGAGACGGTTATGCTCCCAACGAAGGATCTAGGGCAATGCGAGATCTACCCCCAAACGCTTTCCCACAATCCCAATGGTCGCTTCGTGTCAGTCTGCGGAGACGGTGAATACATCATCTACACTGCTCTTGCCTGGCGTAACAAGGCTTTCGGTTCTGCTCTCGACTTTGCCTGGGGGTCCAAGGACAACAGTAACGATTACGCTATCCGCGAGTCAGCTACGAGTGTGAAGGTTTTCAAGAACTTCAAGGAACAACCAGGTGGTCTTGACGTGGGATTCCAAGCTGAGGGTCTCAGTGACGGTGTTTTGCTTGGGGTCAAGGGGCAAGGGGGTATTGGTCTTTTCGACTGGGAGACCGGAAGCTTGGTCCGCCGAATTGAAGCTGATCCCAAATCTGTAAGTCTTTGGGAATGAATCCGCAAATTGACGGTTCTAACTTCTCTGTCATAGGTCCACTGGTCCGAGTCCGGCGAATTGGTCACTCTCGCTTGTGAGGATGCCTTCTACGTCCTTCGCTACTCTCGTGAAGCCTACATTGAAGGTGTGAACAATGGCGAGGCCGACGAAGACGGTGTGGAGGCTGCCATGGAGCTCGTAGCTACCATCAGTGAGACAGTCCGTACTGGCGAGTGGGTTGGTGACTGCTTCATCTACACCAACTCCGCAAACCGCCTCAACTACCTCGTTGGAGACCAAACCTACACGATCTCCCACTTTGATCAGCCCATGTACGTTCTGGGCTATCTGCCTCGTGATGGTCGGATTTACCTGGCCGATAAGGACGTTAATGTCGTCTCTTTCGCTCTTTCCCTCGCGGTCCTTCAATATGAGACACTCATCCTTCGAGGCGAGTCAGAGGCCGCGGAAGAGGTGCTTCGAGATGTCCCCGAGGATCAAATGAACAAGATTGCGCGCTTCCTGGAGGGACAAGGATACAAGGAGCAAGCTCTTCAAGTCGCGACAGATCCCGAGGTGAGTGAATACCCTACGTTTTCTGTTACTTTGCTTCTTGCATGCTAATCTTGTACTTCATCCAGCACCGATTCGACTTGGCCCTCTCTTTGAATGATCTGCAGACTGCTCTGGAAATCGCTCGTGCTGCTAACGTCGAGCACAAGTGGAAGGCCGTTGGCGACGCTGCGATGACCAGCTGGAATCTGTCCTTAGCGCAGGAATGCTTCTCTCAAGCCAAGGACGTTGGCTCGTTGCTGCTATTGCTTACGGCTTCCAATGACCGAACAGGTCTCCGTGCTCTTGCCGCCCAGGCTTCCGAGTCTGGTCTTCACAATGTTGCGTTTTCCACGCTTTGGTCTTTGGGTGACGTCGATGCTTGCATTGATCTCCTTGTGAAGACTGACCGCCTTGCCGAAGCTGTGCTTTTCGCACAGACCTACAAGCCCTCGCGCGCCCCCGCTCTTGTTGTGCAATGGAAGACCTCCCTGGAGGGAAGTGGCAAGACCAAGGTTGCCCGCCTGATCGGCGTTCCCCCCGGTGCTCCTGACATCATCTCAACTGACGATGACCTCTTCCCTGAGTGGGACGAGTTTATTCGCCTCGAGAAGGAGGGGGCCGTTCCCGAGCAACCTTCTTCCGAGTCCTTAATCGACATTACCGGTGAAGACGAGACGGAGATCGCCGCGAACGGTGCTCCCAAGGAGGAAGAAGACGAAGAAACCGACCCCGAACCCAAAGCCGACGCCGACGCCAAGGTTGACAGTGAAGGCGAGGATGATGAGTAAAATGATACGAAGCGGAAGAACGCGGGTTTTATTTGTATTCAGAGGGCAAATTAGAGCATCTTGTCTTCTACCTGTTTTATCCTGGTCGACTGCATCGTGGTGAAATTTCAAGCGGCGTCTTTTAACGTGTGTCCGCCAGTCAGGCCTTCTTGTTGTTCCCAGTTCCTCTTATCATTCTAATGTCAAACAACATGTACTGCTCTCGCCAAGATTTGATCATTTATAGCCTGTTTCATGGTATCCTCCCATGTACAGACTGCATGGCGTGTGCCTTGTGAACCTCGCACTGGAAAGGCATTGGGACTGGCACTAGGCGCTTCGTGTACTGGTAGCCGGATGTTACCAGCTTTTGGTGTTCGCTCGCAAGGGAAATGAGGTGTACTGACCCGTCTTTGTCAATTAACCCATTGATATCATTCAAGACAAGCGTAAAGGACCTTGTCTCTTTCGAGGTTGTGAATCAACTCACAATTCACGACGTGAAACCCTTCGAAGCGCAAGGCGACGTAGTGATGTGACTATAAACGCAGATATTACGGAAATAGCTTGACCAGCTGATGAGTACAAATAAACTGCCATTGCTTGAATGACTACTCCTAGAAGCTATGCTAGTGTCGTCGAAGAGGCAGCATCCCCATCATAATCGATATGAAGCTTTGTCGAACCCGAATGGTGTATCAAAAGGAAAAGGGGGCAAAAGTGGTCAGACGAGCAAAAGTCAAAAAGGTGCAAACCGGTCTGCTGCGGTTCGCCATAATGTAATCAAACGAAGCTGAGGGACCTGCCTATGAGAGAGTTGCCAACGCGCCGATGAGCATGCTGTAACGAAGCGGACAGTATCCATGAGACCAGGCAGATACTAGGTGAGTATGGAGCACGTCGCGTCTCACGGACTACTCGGAAGGATCACAGATAGTGGCCGAGAGGTAGAGCACGAGCTTGTCCTGAACGAAGCTGTGATTCCGTCTCTAGATCTCCGCACTCTGGACTCTTGAACACGAAACACGAAAGTAACGAAAGAAAGAACGAGGAAACAAGAAATTCCGAGACGATGGTATTGGCGCCAGACGAGCGAATGAAAGAACAGAACACAGTTCTGGAAGGCGGGGTTTTTTTCGTTTCGTGCGTTGTAGCCTCGAAAACGGCTCTGTCTTTCTCAAGGAACCTTCCCAACTAGCAAGTGTACCATTTGCGGCATTTACTCGGGAATGCTGCCAAAGGAGGGATCCTTGACACTACCACCTGCATCGCCCAGACCAGCCACCGGTCGATTGTAAGACCAACCGGCAAACTGCTGCTGCATGGTCTGGGACAGGGCGGGGCCGTCCACGTAGGAGTCCTGAGGCATCTCTCCGGTGAACTCCTTGTCAAAATTGTCCGTGTCACGGGCATCCACCTAGATAAAAATGATAAGCACTCGCGACAGTGACAGGTCAAGGGCAAACAGGGTACACATACCACGTTAGGACGGAAACTAGGCTCGTACTTGCGTTGGAGCAGCTTGCGCCAGTCAATGTTGGCGAAGAAGTGGTGTGACTTGATCTCCGCAGCCCCATTGGCGCCGAGGCGACGCTCAGGGTCGCGATCAAGCAGTCGTGTAAGCAGGTCCCGCGCTGCTGGAGGGACGATATCGCTGCTTGGGAATGTCAATGGCTCTTGTAAGATCTTGCGGTACATCTCGTTAGTGTTCTCGTCGTAGAATGGCGGCAGACCCGTCAACATCTCATAGAGCAAGACACCCAAGGTCCACCAGTCCACAGTCTTAGTGTAGCCATTTCCAAGAAGAAGTTCTGGAGCGAGATACTCCGGGGTACCGCAGAACGCTAGAATGAGACGAGTTAGTGTGTTTCAATCCCAATTACCCAGATGAGCTGAACCGCTGCAGGATCTGCGTGACCTACTGTTGGTGCGATCCTCGTCCTTCATATCCAACTTGCAGAGACCGAAATCACAGAGCGCAATGTGGCCAGTGTAATCGAGGAGAATGTTTTCCGGTTTCAAGTCACGGTAGATGACCTTGAACCCGTGCAAACATTCGAGAGCGCATAGCAGCTCTGCAGTGTAGAATCGAGCGCGGTTGATGTCAAATCGCTGCTCGCGCTGCAAGTGATGGAAGAGCTCTCCACCATTGACGAATGCAAGAACCAGGTACAACTTCTCCGGGGACTGGAATGAGAACTTGAGGGGAACGATGAATGGGTTGTTGATCTGTGCCAGCACGGATCGCTCTGCAAGGGTGTGCGTGACTTCGGAGCGAGAGATGATGTGGGCCTTGCGGATGGTCTTGAGGGCATAAATTCGACCGGTATCCTTCTTCCTATCGCCGTGAAGAGAATGTGGTTAGTCATTGAACACAGCATCGGTTCAACCAGGGAGAGGAGCGATTAAGAATCGAGGACAACATACATGACCTGCATGACTTTGCCGAAACTGCCCTTTCCAACGACCTTCAACAAGTCAAAATCTTCCATTTTGAGACTGCGTTGTCGGTTCTCGACAAAGGAGACACCGATCTTGATCGAGCCAGTTCCGAACTGCAGATCCAGCCACTCGGCACCTAGTTGACCCATGGTGCGCTCCTGTGCGGCGTGTGCCGCGGCCGCCTTCTGGTTGTCCTTTTTGCTCAACTTGGGGTCGTCCACGTAAGACTGGCCAGCTTCTTCGAAGCGCGGGTGCACCTTGGTGGCGCCCAGGAAGATGTCCTCGCTACGACCAGCGCCAGGACGAGCAGCAGGGTTTCGCAAGTACAACTGCACATTCAATTCGGTCTTACGGGACACATCAAACTTGAACGCAGTGCTATCGCCCGCCCAGAGAGGAGCATCCGGTGTGCCAGAAACAGCATCGACGAAGACCTGGTTTTTTTCGAAATCCAGGAGAGCATACGGCAGGTACTTGGTGGAGTAACGGCCATGAATGGTGGGGGCATTCAAGCCACCGCTGGTCGACTGCGGACGACTCGACTGCACAAAGGAGCCCGCCTGGCCGTGGGAGGAGTGCGACGAAGAGGAGGTGCTGGGTCGTAGGGATGACGGAGCATATGAGTTGTTTTGGAAGTGAGAATTGAAGATCTGCTGGTAGTGAGGGGACAAGGAGAAGCCTTGACCTTCGTGAAGTGTGACGATCAGGATACCGGGCTTGACGGGTGCTACAGGGGGTGAGACGAGAGACTCTGATGCAGCTGTGCGATCGGCAGTTCCCATGAAGGGAACACAACGTTAGTCATGAAATGCGACCAGACGATTGCGTTGCGGAATTTGGTGTCATACCGATGCCATTTGAGGACGTGGTTGGAGTGGTGCTGTTGTTGGCCTGAACGGAAGCCGGAGTCTCGTCGCCGCCATTGCTATGCGATTCATTCTTGATCGTGGAGGTCGACGATGAGCGACCAAATGTCGCCAGAGGCGCCAAATGCGTCTCCTTCAGCTCTGAAGTCGAAGGCAAACAGTCAGTAAGCTCATTCGGGCTACCCTGGCTTCGACGCTGTTATTGGGCAAGAGGGGTCGCTTCCCTTACTTGAGGAGGCAAGAGGGGATGTGGAACAGGAAACGATGAGATAAAGGAGAGGGGAGACCAACTCAACATACTTTTGGTGAGTTTCCAAGACATGATAGCGGTGTCAATGCCCAGGAACCGCGGGAGATCTGTCGCTCAAATGCCCACGAGACCGATGGATCGCAGTGCGTTGAGCCAGGGAGTCTGAACCGCGGACTAGTCAACATTGAAGGGCCCAAAAATTGGAGCCAAGAGGCCAGAGGATCCGCGCCCGGGATCCCGCGATGAAGCACCGCCGCAACTTACCTTGTTCACGAACGTATTCAAATTCCAGGCCGAGAAACAGGTTCAGGGTAGAACACGATGCGAGGGGGATGTGATGAAGAAGAGTAAAGGAGAGTAGAGGTTTGGTAAACAAAAGGAAGGGAGTTTGACCTTCAGGGTGATTGAAGTGAGAGAAGCCAGAATCACTCGGGGAGTCAGGAGGGGATGGGCTTCCCGTGTGGTGGGCAATTCCGTAATGTCACGGGTCATTACACAGCGATACAGTGGAGGCGGCGTCCGAGGACCACAGCTGATAAGGAAAGTTTGGGGAGGACTGATATATGTTACAATACTATACAGTAGATGTTTCGGCTTAGCGGGGCAGAGGGGGGGGCCCTGATTGTTCTCAATTCGTACCGATTGCGAGGAGAAGAATCATAGTTTGTAGTAAGCCTTCGATGACTTCGATCTTCTGCCTTCTACCTGCCGCATGAGATTGCTCCTGCGAGTCCGCTCATTGGTCATGAGGACTCAGTGTTTGTATCATCGCATCGCCTGTGGGTAGGTACTGGCTATTTGACGCACTGAGATGGGTACTCAGTAGAGTAGGTAGACTCAGTACCGTTAGTCTGCTGCTATACAAATTACAAAGTACAAAGTCAAGCAGTACAACTACACAGAAACAAACATTCTCTGGCGGTGGCCGCCTGCCAGGCTGGTGACACCAGCCACACTTTTCATGGGGCGGTGCAGATACTGTGCCACACTCCACTTGAGGCGTCGGAGCCTCTCTCTCTCTCTCTCTTTCTCCCTCTCTCGACGAAGGAGATACACGCATCAGACCGAAATAAGTCAGTTCTGATCACCATCAATAGCTCTACGACCTCATCGCAGTACACTCAAATCCGTCAAATTTCCTCTCTCGTGCAATCAAGATCAATACAACGCGATTGATCATCCTTTTGGAGGCTCAGCTTGTGCATCCGATCCCCGGAGCTTCTTTACCCCAGGATCGCACCTAACTCGGAAAGCGCCGCCCCCTCTTAATCCACCTGGCCCTCGATCTCCTTCCGGTGATTGCCCTCTCAGATCTCTGGGGGGCGAATTTGTGACTTCGCGACGACATTGGATTCAACGGAGGATGACCCAAGCCAAAGTTCGATGGGTGTAATACGAAAGAAGACCGCCTCGCGCGGCACGGAAGCTGGCACCAAGTTCCACTGCGATGTGTGCTCGGTCGATGTCACATCCACAGTAAGTCACCCTCACTTTGCTGGATTGCATACACCGCTGTCGCTGTCGCTGTTGCGAACCGTCACTGACAATTCCCTTCTCGCGCTGCTCTCTGCAGGTCCGAATCTCGTGTGCCCACCCCTCCTGCCATGAATACGACCTTTGCGTGCCCTGCTTCGCCGCTGGCGAGAGCTCCAAAAACCACGATCCAGCTACCCATCCCTTTCAAGTGATTGAGCAGAATTCTGTCCCCATCTTCCAGCCGGACTGGGGTGCTGACGAAGAGCTGCTGTTGTTGGAAGGGGCTGAGATCTATGGTCTTGGCTCATGGGCGGACATTGCGGATCACATTGGCGGATATCGCTCAAAGGATGAAGTCCGCGATCACTACATCGACACCTACATCAACAGTAAACACTTTCCTCTCCCCGACCGTGCCGATCCCGAAGATAAGAGTCTTCAAGAAGCAATTTCCAAGGAAGAGTTCCAGGCGCGTAAGAAGCGTCGCATTGAGGAGCGCAAAGAAGCTGCAAAGGCCGCGCCGCCCACAACACCAAAGCAGAAGCCAACAGCTAGTGTACCAGCTTGTCATGAAGTACAAGGGTACATGCCTGGACGTTTGGAGTTCGAGACGGAATTCCTCAACGATGCTGAAGAGGCCGTTCAGCACATGACCTTCGAGCCCGGGGCGGGCATAGGTCCCAATGGGGAGATGGATGCGGAGACCGAGCTCAAGATGACCGTGGTGGACATCTACAATTCCCGTCTGACCGCACGTACGGAACGGAAAAAGATCCTGTTTGAGCACAATCTTCTGGATTACCGAAAGAACATTGCGCTCGAAAAGAAGCGGACCAAGGAGGAGCGAGAACTGCTGCACAAAGCCAAGCCGTTGGCTCGTATGATGAACCATCAAGACTTCGAGGATCTCAATAGAGGCCTAGAATACGAGCACAATCTGCGCCTGGCTATCGGCCAATTACAAGAATGGAGGCAAATGGGGATTGGCGACCTCAAAGCGGGGGAAAAGTACGAGCAAGAGAAGCAGCAGCGTGCACAACGAATGGTACCGCAAGGCTCATTCGACCGCTTTGCCGCTCCACGTCCAAAGCAGACTCAAGTAGCTGAGCCACCATCCGCGGCGACTCAGCTTACCACACCAGAACTGCCCGCGCGACTTCAAAAGGCAGCCAATCCTCACAAGCCACCGGATAGTGCCAATGTGCCCTTGAATGACTTTGATCTGATGTTTGCGACCAATGGAGATGCACAACCTCCGGCGCCTGCGAAATCTAAATACGTTGTTCAGCCACTCAGTGGTGTTCCTCCATGGGAGCTTGACAGTGACCGCGCCGCGGATCTACATCTCCTCTCGCCTGAAGAGGTTGAAATGTGTAATATACTTCATATCATGCCCAAGCCGTATTTGGTCATCAAGGAGACCTTGATGAAGGAAGCGATGAAGCAAGGGGGTACATTGAAGAAGAAAGACGCTCGTGCCATTTGCAAGGTCAGTTCTTTTCGGTTTCCTTACACCGACAGTCGATCGTGCGCGTACTAATTCGATTATCAATTTAGATCGAGGGTACCAAGACGAGTCGTATCTTCGACTTTATGGTGCACAGTGGCTGGATCAATAAGGGCTAGTCAGGTTCCAGTTGAATTTCACGGCCTCATTGCGACCCTGGTCGCCCTTCTATCTTTATCTACGCCAGCGCTTCCCTATATGCAAGCCGTGGGGGGGGGGGGGGGGGGGGGTTGGCTCAGGGTTGGCCACGAGCCACAGTGACTGTTCCGGGTGTTCAAGTCGCCACCAAAATTGAAGCGCAAGCTTATTTATTACCGGTGTGAAAACACAACTATCAGGCTTAGTGTGTCTAGGCCGGTCGCGCATTGACTTGAGATTTCAATCGGCTGGTTCCGAATGAAGATTATTCCCTCCCGCAGCTCCATGTTTACCTTGTAGAGTTTCGCATTGGAATTGTCCGTGGTAGAGGCCTGTCAGATCAGTTGACCGAGGTCCAAGGCTAGTCCAGGAAATCCATCCACACAAGAGACCGGTCTAGCTTGGCTCAGGTAACTGCTATCGCTAGTCTGAACGTGCAGATTTACCTGCAGTCTTGATCACTTCGAAAGTCCCGCAAATAGTGAAAGGTAATGTGTCTTGGACATCGTGTCATTCGCATAATGAGCATATTTTGGTCGTCTGTCCCGGCCCGAATGGAGCTATCTACAATCGTCGACAATCGCGTGTCCTTGGACTCCGCATTGATCGGCCCTCGGCATCTCCGTCTCCAACTTTCTCCACATTCATCCATCATCGGCAGTAGCACTAACTTGACCATTGATCCAAAGCCAGCGCTCTCCTGGTCTCTGAGTCTACCCAGCTACTATCTATTCGTTCTCTCTATTTCTGGTTCCATTGTGACAACAAGCGTTTTACAACAAGAACTCACTGCACACAAGACCACTCAACACCTGCACAAGCCAACCGAATCCTTGATCCCTGGCCTCCGCAATGCCTCCTTTTGCCCGTCCGCCCCCAAGCACCCAGTATGCACAGCTGTCTTTTCCAAGCACGCACGTTCTACTGGTGACTCTCAATCGACCGCGCGATCTGAATTGTATCAACTCGCAGGGTCATGCAGAGTTGCACGATGTCTGGGAATGGATGGATGACGAACCGAGTCTGCGAGTCGGGATCTTGACCGGCAAGGGACGAGCTTTCTGTGCCGGGGCTGATCTGAAAGGTATATCACGTCTGATAATGAACCCCCCATCTCGAGCATCTCGCTCGGAAAGTTCCTCCTCGAGAAATCCACCTTTTTCCGTGTCCCCCCTTCTAGTTCCCATGAATATAGTTCAAGCTAAACCAATCGAATCCCCAGAATGGAACAACAGCGCTCAAGCATCCACCTCCAAATCCCCCATGCCAGTCTCCGGCTTCGGCGGCCTTTCTCGCCGCAAAGGCCGCAAGCCGATCATCTGCGCCATCAACGGCCTCTGTTTCGGCGGCGGCACCGAAATGATCATCAACGCAGATCTCGTCATTGCATCCTCGCTCGCCAAGATGGGTCTTCCCGAGGTGAAGCGAGGCGTTGTCGCGCTTGCGGGCGCTCTACCCCGTCTTATCCGGACGATCGGCCGACAGCGCGCCATGGAAATGGCGCTGACGGGCCGCGCGTATACGGCGGAGCAGGCGGAGCGGTGGGGGTTACTTAACGAGGTGGTTAGTGTTGGGGATTGTGTGGTGGACGGCAAGCCTGACGATGAGGCGGTGTCGGAGAGAGTAGTTGGCAGGGCGGTGCAGATTGCGATTGAGATTGCGGAGAATAGTCCCGATGCTGTGCTGGTGACGAGGGAGGGTGTCAAGTTGGGGTGGGAGGGGATTGGGGCTGAGGAGGCGACGGGCTTGTTGAACGAGACTTGGGTGCGGCGGTTGTATGAGGGGGAGAATATCAAGGAGGGACTGAAGGCCTTTGTGGAGAAGAGAAAGCCGAATTGGAGGGACAGTAAGTTGTAGGGTTGGATCCCATTATCAAGCTACCTTGTCATGCTGGCTTCTTACCTTGCTCCCTGATAGTGGAACTGGACCGATGCTTTAAGGATTCGGGTACAACATTGGAGAGCAGTGAATGGCGAACCGAGCGGCGTGAAACTCGTGTCCATCAAGCGATCTGCTATACACGCACGCTTCATCACATAAACACCAAGGGTAGATCGTAGTCTTGTAGCCCCAGCTATTTGATTTGACGTATACTCTATAAGTCGAGGTCCGCCAAAGACCAGCAGAGTCTCATCTCGTCCATGTACAGAGACCTACCAGTCGGTACATTCTGAACCTTGTGCAAGACTGATGCAGCCGCCCAAAAAAAAAAAACAATACTTTGGATGAACGGTGTAGCCTCGATACACAATGATCTCCAATATCCATAATCTCCGACACTCGTCCAATGACCAGCATCGAAGGGAAATGGCGATGTTGTCTCTCTCTCTCTCTCTCTCTCTCTCTCTCTCTCTCTCTCTCCGCGGGAGGGGGTATCAGGTAGCCTGGTACTACTGAACATAGACTGAAAATAGAGGTCAACTGAGGCCGTATGTTCAAGCCCATGACTCACATGCAGTAAACACCGAACAGTAAGCACTAAACACGAACAGACTAGCGCCACTTTCGGATCTTGTTGATCTCTCTGGAAGCGATCCGTGTATCCTGTAAGCGGAGTATGCTGTCAGGCCCCCAAGAGTCATCACAAGCCACCCTCCACTTGAAAGGGATGTCGAATGACTCACAAGGAGGTAGGCATGTAGAGAGAACCGCCGAGGATCAATTGGTGGATTAGTCCACTGCGATTTGGTCGACACTCGAGCTGGACAGAGGCATGTAAGCATGAAACTCCGAAGGTCCAAAGCGCCCCCATTCGGACGCGATCCCCCCCCCCCCCCCCCCCAATACGTACTTTCCGATTTAAAACGTGCACTAGTCAGTGACCACTGTCAACCTTTGAACCTGGTCCGACGGTCTACGAATCTATGCTCATCTGCATAAGAAGTTCAGTCCGCATCTATCACCCCTCGGAGTTGACTGGTCTGTTCCAAGTTTCAACCAAATACTTATACTCGTCCTCAGGCTAGAAGCTGCACAGCTACACTCCACTTGAACCCGCCGATACACCCAAGGTGTCCTTTCTTGAAACCGTCCAGGCCCTTTCTCACACCGGCCCAAACAAATCGAGCAGCGGATGTCTTGGGATGCCACGATGATGAGGAGCTTCGACAACTACTCCAACACATCAGCACCGGAATGTTGATCCCTCGAAAGGCGCAGAGTGGCAGAGCACCCGCTGGAATTACCCCGGACCTGGATTTTGGTGTTGAGACTTCTATCGAGGACCTCAAGAGCCTGAGCCAGAGTATCGAGTCTAATATAAGGACCCTTTATACTTCGCTTCGATCTCACGGTCTGGAGAGAGCTAGCTATCGATACCTTGTTACCAAACTGTATAGTTCTGATTGTTACGCCTCGGTAGACGCGGACTATATCGATGTTAGGGCAGCGTATCTGATTCTACCTTCACTGGATTGTTCTTGGATGAGCCACGCTCGGATCCTAAGTTCCCAACTTAGTCGGTCGATCGACTCAACCCGCGGCGAGAATATAGACACAGGTACCCACAGTTTTAAGGTTATTCCCCCGGCGCGAGTACTTTCTCGTTCTCCGCCGAATATCCTCCACCCCGACGTTGATCAATGTCGATGGGGATACTAGATTAGCCCCCACCCGGCCAAAAATCCCATTTAGTCTTGTAACAGCTAGCCTCAGACCCGGCCTATCTCTCATGTTCTCCATCTGTACGATGTGAAGCTGCTCCACATCTTCGGTGTCCGCAAAGCCCGACAAGTCCCGCTCGCACAGAGCGAACTGTCCTGAACCCGAGCTCCAGCATCCCATTTAAGTGAATCTGTTCCCCCGCCAAACAGCTGCAGCTTAGACAGTCGTATACGCAGTCACTCACACCATCAAGAGATCAGTCCCTACTACCTACCTCTCACTTCCCTCCCAACTCGTGAAGCTCTTCCACCAATTCAAACTCGATCGACCTCCCGCAACAATGACCACCCCATACACCTTCCACACCGGCAGCGTCAAAATCGCCCACAACCTCCTCCAATCCCTCTCCCACATCCTCCACAAAGCCTCCAATGCAGACAACGGAGCCTCCCCCACCAAGCCAGACACCACCACCCTCCTCAACGCCCGCCTCATCCAAGACATGTACCCGCTCAGCGACCAAATCCGCCTCGCCACGCAATACACCGAATTCATCGTCGCGCGCACCACCAACCGCGACCCCCTCACCTACTCCTCCCCGACCACCTTCGCCCAAGCCCACGAGATGATCGACGCGGTGGTCTCCGCGGCCGCGGCCGCCGATCCCGAGACGGTGAACCAGCAGGCGGACGTCGTCAAGATGTCGATGCTGGGCAAGGACTCCATGGCGGAGATGCGCACGGCGGAGTATGTGCATCTGGCGCTGTTGCCGAATCTGTATTTCCATGTGACGACGGCGTATGGGATTTTGCGGAAGGAGGGCGTCAAGTTGGAGAAGTGGGATTATTATGCGGGCTTTGTGGCGGATTTGAATCAGGCCAAGGAGAGTGCGAGTGCGAAGTCTGCGTAGGCAGAGCAGTCCGGAGCATCACAGGATGAACCACGATCGATAAGAGACATGCTCTGAACAGATTTAGAGTGCCACGCATCTTTCTCACCGCAAGAACAAGAGAGACTTACGTCCTAGACAGACTGAAGCTACCCCGAGTTGTTCGATGATCAAATGGTAATCAATTGGATTTCTGGTCATTCATGGTGCGTTCCGCACATCCAACAGTGATGGGTTCGTAATTCATATCCGTAACAAAAAAGAGTATCTAAAATGATACACAGAAGAAAAAGAAAGAAAACAGAATAAGAAACCAAAAAAAAAAAAAAAAAAAAAAGGCTCAGTCCCAGTCCATGCTACCAGACGTCCGTAATAATCCAATAGGGTTCGCCGAGTCCAATGCTCTGAAGGTCAAGATAAAACAGTTAAAAACACACAAAAGGTTCCGGCAGAATCAAGACGGGCCTCGTCTAGATACGGGGTTGACCAGTTTCCCTGCAGAGACGGGAGATGTTAGCATGTGTGAACGAAAAGTGCGGGAGCAACAGGGAGAAAACTGATCGAGAGACATACTTCGCCTCGGACTGCACTTGATCCACAACCTTGACAACGGCACCAAACAGAGGGTGAGTGCGCTCCAAGCCCGTCAGCTGAACGGTGGCATCGGCGGGCGAATTCTCCTTCAGAATCTTAGCCAGTTCGACACTCTCCTGGTCATCCTGGACGTTCTGGAAGCGCAGGGCCATCTCCACGGAACCCAACAGCGCATCGAACTTCATGCCACGCTCCGCCAACTGAGAAGCGGGGCCAATGAAACGCTCCTTGCGGCTCAGCTTGCGCATGGGAGCACGGCCCACACGCTCAACGCTGTCCTCCAGGTAAGGGTTGGAGATGCGGGCCACGATGGTGTCAACGTAGTCCTGCTGCTCCTGCGCATCAATGCCGTGCTTCTCCACGATCAAAGAGGCGGTCTCCTTGAGGACATCACGGACAACAGCACGGATATACGAATCAGCCATGGCCTCGGCGATGGTCTTCTTGCCGGCATAGCGGCCATAGTAGGCGGCAGTGGCGTGACTGGTGTTGACCGTGAACAACTTGCGCTCAATGTAAGGCTCCAAGTTGTCGACCCAGTGAATGGCGGGGATGTCGGGATGGCCGACACTGCCAAAGGGCTTCTTCTCCACGGCCCACTCGTAGAACTTCTCGATGCGGACGTTGAGGCCACTGTTGGGGGCCTGGGCGGGCACAATGCGGTCGATGGCGGAGTTGGCGTATTGCGCACGCTCGCCCATGGTCTTCAGACGCTCCGAGTCGGTGTGAGACTCGATGTGGCCTCGCAAAGTGTCGGTGGCACCGATGGCGTTCTCACAAGCAATCACGGCCAGGGGCTTGGGGGTGGACCGGATGTCGATCCCCTTGGCGATGACGGGAGCAATGAACTTGAGGATGTTGGGGCCCACGGCGCAGGTGACGACGTCGGCAGTGGAGATCTCATGGATGACGTCTTGCTCATGCGTCTTGGAGTTGATGGCCCGGTAGTTGGTGATGGTCTTGGTGTTCTCACCCTCTTCGCTGACCTCGGTGACCTGGTAGGACTTTGTGGTCTGCAGCTCATTGATGATATTGTCCATGACATCGATGAACACCACCTCGTAGCCAGCTGTGTGGAGGAACTCGGCGACGAAGCCACGGCCGATGTTACCACCGCCAAAGTGAATCGCTTTCAGACCCATGGTGAATCAAGGACGTTGAAGGTGATGGATGGGTGGGGGGACGGGGGTTCTCTCTTTTTTTTTTTTTTTTTATTCTTTGCTTTTGTTTTGGGGACCAGAGGATCACGGATGTCTAGATAGGGCTGAGATGTGTCAGAGCTGGGGTGGAGACCACGAAGGAAGAGGAAGAAGCAATGAGAGGCAGGCTGGGTAGATCAGAGATCTGTAGGGACAAAGATCTGGGGAAAGGGTCTGGTGACGTGCTAAGAGCGGGTGGCTGACCTTGCAGAGTGGAGGATGGCCAAGTGGATGGAGAAATGTGAATGGAGAGGATGATGGATGAGGAAGGGAAACAGAAACAAAGTCGAACCGGAATGGATGTGGGAAAGTGAAGTATTTAAATGCTCTCAGGAGATCCCCCAAGAAGAAGACCCAGCAAATGCACAGAGAACCGGACAGCAGGAGTCACCCGTCACCCGTGAAACTGTGGATGATCACAACGACGGAAGGAGGGGGGGGGGGGGGGCTTGGACCAGCAGACTTGGTTCCAGCTGAGAAGGAAAGCGCGATTATGGTTTCACCTGGATACAATTCCAGGTTCGTGTTTCCACGATACCTCATGGACGAGTATTCCAGGAGTCCACCGAGGGTCCACGGGAGATTGCCAGACTCCCAGGCCGAGATGAGATGAGGGCGGTTCCGCCATCATTCGTGGACCTCCATGGACAAGTTGACCGGTATGGAGGAGTGGGCCAATGAGTAAAGACTTGAAGTCACTCTAATCACCGGTGGAGCCGCTTGACGATGTACATTCGGCCATAGTAGTCTTCCTCCATAGTCCATACTCCATACATCCATGCGCCAGTCAGAGACTGTGCCAGGCCCAGTAGTGTCATACTATCTACATTCTCAGGACTCGTCATCCCCATGATTGGACTTGCCACAAGCGTGTATCCGTGTAGACTCAGAGACTCAGAGACTGTACCGAGTACGGGCTCTACTGAGGACAGTCAGTGCATCAAGATGCGGGCACTACTCCGTAGAGTCTGTACTCCGTAGACTCCGTACTGGTGGTTTCATGCGCCGGCTCGACTTTCGTTATGACCGGCTCCACTTGGGCCCAGCGTTAGCCCGGCATGACTTCATCGAGCTCGGGAGGCGCACGGAACCTGTCTCCGCCTTGTTTCTGCCCGCTGAGGACATCATGAATATGATCGTCCATCTCGTCCAGTCGGCCAAGCATCATTTTCGGAAGGGAAGCTCGACTGCGGTCATGGTTCTTTCCAGGTCATTCCTTCACAACTGCCCGCTCCGGCTCCAGCTCTTCCCTTGAGCCGTCATTCCCCCTCCTGCTTCGATCCTCTTTGATGGAATCGAACACTTCTCCGAAGATCACAGACCCCCCCCTCTCCCGTGTCACGCCTTTCCGCCGACGGTGGTGCTACCGCCGAACCCGATATCGACCAGGCGTCGTTCTGGTATAGTCCGGGGATCAGCAAATCACGCAGTCCGTTGCACGAGGCGATTGTGATCCTTGCGTCGGGAGCTAATCCTCATTCTGACCCGATGGTACCCTGAACACTGGACAGATTGGGCTAGTACGGTAATGACCGTATTTCATGAATTCATGCCGTCCGGAGGACCGAGGGTCCAGTCAATACCATACAAATGACCACAAGTCAACGGGTCAACGGGTCAACGGGTCAATGACTCCAGTCTTCAAGCTCACTTTACCGAGTTTACCCTATGACAGTCGCAAAGCAGAAGAGAAAACAACAACCCCCACAGGCACAGACTATGACTCCAGACAGAACTAAACACAGTATAATCACAACAGATTTCACCACCTCGGCTCAGCCTCAAGTCTTTACTCAAACGGTAGCCTCAACAGAACAGGTATGGTCTATTTGTAAAATGTGTATATTACACAGTTCGAGAGCCCTCAGTTCGAGTCTGCTAGGGCCGCTACAATACTGGTAGACTACAGTAGAGGGAGTAGACTGTTCGAAGTCAGTAATTTCTGTCTTCTTGTAGTACACTGTACAGTAGTACAGTAGTACAGTACAGTACTAGTAGTACCCCACTAACCACTAGCAGTGCAGCCCCATATCGGGTTGGACACCCCCACTGACGACCCACCAACAAAGCAATCAAATCCCTCTCCAGTCTCCACGCGTCTCGTCTCACACTTCCCGATGAATATGCGTCCCTGGCGGACACGGCCACCGCGGCGGTGCACCACGCGAAAAGGGAATAACCTCAACCTTACCTGCCCCCGATCACGAACGGAACCTTGCACCCAGCCCAATCTCCTATCCCGGCTCGACTCGGGTGACGGAGACTCTCTCTCGAAAGGAGGAAAGCTCACCGGGACACTAAACGAGGCGAGTTCTGGCACGGACCGAGTCGAGCCAGGAGCATCGGGCACGAGCTGAAGAGGGATGGAAACATTCCGAATCACGCACATAGGGCGCGCTACCAAGAAGGTTTGCGGGATTTGAGAGGTTGGAGAGCTGATAGTGTTGGATTGGGCTGCTGCCACGGGTGGATACTGGATACTGGATACTGATAGTATCTACTCGCGATACAAGGATCAGTTTAGACTATAGACAGTTGGACTATGTACAGTTAGACTATAGACAGTTAGACTATAGACAGTTAGACTATAGACAGTTAGAATATAGACAATTAGACAATTAGACAATAGACACTACATATGTAGTTTCATGACAAGTTACTAGTACTACTAATAACACGAGACTTCGTAGGTGTCAAGAAGTCGCCGAGTATCCTACTTTCGATCCCCAAAACCTCGCATGCTTGTCCCCTCTGATACTATTACAATCTCCTTCTAACTTTCTACGGTCTGATCGCAAGACGCAGTAACCTATCGTCAACCCCGTAAATTTTTGGTAGATGACATGATGGATTTGATCCCGAGAATAAAACTTCTGTATTTATCACTGACTCATATCCTTCGCGTCCACGATAACCCCCTGATCCTATGGACATTCCGTCGTTGCCTATCACATCAACACTCCGCATTCTCGCGCATGCATCTCCGGGCTGAAAAGCCTGAAACTAAAACCGTCCAGTTTCGGAACCCCCTCCATCCCACGTGCTGTCGGCCTCATCGGTCTATCCCGTTTGTGGGTTGACTTCCCCACGTCGCGATGCTGCGGAGGGTTCCCAGTATGGGTTCAGACTCGATGCCGGGCCATAAATGATGATGGTCACTGAGATTCCGTTGGAGACTCGTTTTAGTTACGGCCTGCCTTAATATGGACAACCCCTTCAGGTTACTGAGTCTCTGATACTCAAGTCATGAGGTGATTCACTTTCACGAGATATCTCACATGAGATCTGGACTGGGTGACCTTGCGCGACAAATCTATGGATCATCATGAATCACCTCTTAGATATTTGAGCATCTTAGCATGGATTCCCAGTAGGCTACAGAGTACAGAGTACAGAGCCTAGCACTCCATTCGATCTAGCCCCAAGTCCAATGAACCAATCCACGGTTCACCACGTCCAACCCTCCTGGCCAAGTTTGTCCACTCCCCAGTCATGATTGCACCAGTCCACTGAGTCCAGTAAGTCCAGTGAGTATGAGTGCTTCACTCGTGGACCGTGTGTAGAGTTAGTGTAGCAGCCTAGCAAGTGACTAACGTAGCAACCAACAAGCGTCATGCACATCATTGGACGAATGCACACCATCTGCCCCATGCCTCATGCCTCATTGCCTCAGTCCACGACCCATTCACACGCCGAGAGTTGACGCCGAGAATGCCCGCGCCCGCCCGCAGCGGCGCAGACACCACCGGAAAAGCATATCGTGAACCAGGACTTGCCCGTAAGGAAAGCCAAGCTGAGCCTCGACACGGAGAAACACAACACATACCCCAAGGCCACCCCCTCTTCTTGACTTGGACATCGATCCCCATTCCCCCCCTCTCTTCCCCTCCGGCTCGGACACCGGAGGACTGTGGTCCTAGATTGAGAGTGATCGGGTTCCGCAAACCTGGGGTTTACCGTTTACCGCAGGAGTTATCGTGATCTGATCCATAGTATCAGCCACATGGGCCTCCCGCGTTTTTCCCAATGCGGGGGTTTCTCCTTTTTCAACTCCATGTCTGCAGAGAGCGCAGACTGCAAGTGCTAAAGTAGTACTGTACAGGCCTATCGGGTCTGAGATTTGTGTGCCACTGCCACACAATGTGCGGTGGGTTGGTATGCGTAATACACTTGGTTTCACGTCGGTATGGTATTATCGTGAGATTGCTCGGTGATTCAGTGATGACTGACGAGTGATGAGGTGGAGGGGCAGGTGATAGATGGTCACCGTTGGGCGCCAAGCGCCCGCACGGGATCCATCATGTCTTTGGCTTGATTGAGAAGCTGTCGCATATCTGGTCGTGCAGGTTGTCGTTGAAGCGATGAATTTACTTGAATCGAATGTGATTGTAAGAGAGAGAGAGATGATCGAGAGATTCGAGACTCTCTCGAAATCCCATGTGGTTTTACAAACGCTTCTGGGTCAACATGATCTGTCCAGAGTCCAGAGACTCCAGAGCATCTAGACAATCGATCCATGGTCGTTGTAGATGGAAAGTCTGCCGAGAAAAATCTTCAGATGGCCAGTTCGTTGATTCCACCGTGACCAAGTCACAACTTTACATAATCCCGCCATGTCTGCAGTGCCTCCGAGTCACTGCCTACCTGCGCGAGTAAGGTCAGTAAGGTAAGTACTGAGTAGTAGTAGTGAATGTTCGACTCCCAAAGTTGAACATTCTTCAAACTTCTCCAGTCCACGAGTGCTCCATAACTGGTGACGTCGACGAACGGGTTGACAGGCCAAGACCCCGTTTTTTTTTTTTTTGGTGATATCCTCTCTCTCATTCTCTTTCCTTCCTTTCCCCCCTTCTCCATGATTCCATTCCCTCGCTTTCCATTCGACTATCCGGATATGGAAAAGCATCTCCCTAGTCTAAGCCTAAAAGAGCCTAGTCCCTTGATATACTGGGGCGGCGCCCCCGATGCCGAGGTTTCACTTCATAATTCTGTACGGGAATACTGAATTACATTTACAAAGCGTCCCAGGACACGCCCCACGCTACGCTTCAGGGACGCCTGGCATCAGCTCTCGTATCGTACAATGATATCGCTGTGCGGCTGTACCGGCTGGAGTGCTGTACAGAGTACTGTAAAAATGTAAATAATTGATCCATGTATCGCGTGGAATCCAGACGGGTCGACGATTTTCCATCGAGTTCGAAAGAATGATAGCATGCCTGGCTGATGGATGGAGGACCTTGTTCCTTGTTCCTTGATCCTTGTTCCCACTGTTCATTCGCATTCTTTTCATCTCCGTTCCTGGTCTGGCTAGTATGTTCGATGGAGATAATGGTTGTGGTTCAGGTTCCATCGGGGTTGTGGACTGTGGACTGGATCAGGGTGAGAGTTGTAGGTCAGAGTGAGATAGAGTCAGGGTCGAGGGGCAGGGTCCAGAGCAGGAGTGTGAGAGGCGAGGTGTGTCTTGTTCGATGCGCCAAATCGAGCGCTGCAACCTAAAGTATTGGACATATCTTCCACAGATACCTAAGGGTCCTGAGGGTAGTACTCCAGTCCGAACGCGATGAATGCGCTGTAGCGCTACAGTAGTCCTCTTATGCTGATACAAAGATAGGCGATCAACTGGATCTACATTTGACAGTCTTGTGGGTACGGAACATCCCGCCGTGTGACACGAGAGCACAGCACAAAGGATTCGAGTTCGAGTTCGAGCCCGAGCCCGCTGCAAGTGTGAACATACCATTCCCTACTCACCTAGTGCTCTCAAGTCACTGTTTCTCTTCAGTCCCGACTTGCTAGACTATCAGTCAGCCCCCCGTTTACAACAACATCACATCTGAATCTCAAGCCCAGATAGATCTCGGTGATGTGGGTGGACTCTTTGCGTAAACACATGCCCCTCCTCCTCCTCCTCCGCCGCCGCCGCCGCCGCCGCCGTGGCTTGCCAAAGAGGGGCTGATAATCTTGGTTATCGTCGGCCATGTTCCCGACGCCAAAGCCTTGACGTTGTTGGCTTTTGCGCCATTTATTTCCGACTCGTGGTCCGTGCGGGATCACGTCGGAGTAGGTCGTACCTGAGGAGTGAGGGCAAGTCTCGTCACTGGTAGGTACTGGTTGGAACGGTCGACTCGTCGAGCTCATAATAGAGAGGTGCATTGCATCGTCTGTAAGCGGGCAATCTGGACCACGATGGAGATAGTACATTCCTTCCTCGTCAGACAGTCTGCCAGGTACACAATGGCACTGTAACTGTGCCTGCACCTGCATCTGCATCTTGACCTGCCGCCCATTGACCTAGTACAGTATACTTGGTTACTTGCCACCGTACCTAGCGACCTACCAGGATCCTCCTCGGCCACCTCAGATCGACTCCTCAAGCTTCCCCCGCGATTCAAGATTCCAAGTTCCTGCCCGTCCCCGTCACAGACGAGATCCTGTACGAAACATTCCAATTCACCAGCAGCGAGGCAACTACCAAGATCCGCTACCTGGGCGTATCCATCCTCAGCTACAAGACATTTTCTCGTCCTCATTCTCATTCTGATTCCGGGCTTCAGGCCACCTCACTAGGCCTCAAGATTGGCACGAGGATGAGATCAGTCGAAGCATGCAAGATACGACACTCTTCATACGGAACAGGTTTTCCAACATGCCGACGCTGTTCGATGTTGCAGCACAAGCTGGACAGAGAAGTCGTCACTTGAAAAAAAAAAAAATTCGTCCTAGGTATCTAATTCCTGACTTGATTCGCGACTCTCGACGTTGACGCATGGCTCGTTGCGCTGCGTAGTGTAATTGGTGGTGTGTCGCGTGTGTTGAACACATCCACGTTTCACCCTTTTCTGGGGGATTAAGGATGCGTTCTTGAGTTGGGCACCTACTACCTACCTACCTACCTATCACCTGATCTAATCTCACCTCATCTTTTACGAAAATAGTAAGTCACTCGAGACTGGTAGTAGAGTCACGACGGTACAACTTACTATTCGGTGCATGTACGTACGACAGCCCAGGAGAGTCCAACGCATCGGGTGCTCCAGAGCCAGCAGACAGACGGTTGCAAATGGACTTGCATGTGATTCGGTATTCGGTGAATCATCTCCCGTTACCTCCTTCGACGCCCTCCCCCCCCCCCCGCGAGGGACATGAGATCGGCGACAAGTCCGTCTCGCCGAGTGCAGTCGGGAGGGGCCGAAGATGCGATCAGCTGGAGGAAGGACTACTGAGATGCAAGGCGGAACGGGGACTTGGAAATGCATCATGGAGGAACACGTGGGCAATGTTGATCTTGATCACGAGATCGTGTCCATTCTATTTAGTGTGTTTGCGCCAGTCGAGCGTGGAAGGGAACTGAGTAAGGTACCTGACCTCCCTGGGTACACTACGTACCGTCAGCCTCGGACCAAGGACAGTCACTCCAAAGAAATGAGCCTCGTGGACCGTATCTCGATCATTCTGGGATGAGAATAATCTCAAATGGTGAGTTCAAGCTGCTTGGTGTATGTACATATTGGACTTTTGTCTTGAGCCAAGACCCAGCACCTTCAACATTGTCTCAGGCATCTCCTCCAGAGTATACCACGGCAAGAGCACTGGCAGTGCCCTCTCGCCATAACAAACCTCCTCCCCTCTAACCCTCCTCCTCGTCCTTCGACGGCGCCAGCGCATGCTCTTCCGACGCCGGAGCCGGCTCCTGCCCTCGCGAAAACGCATTCGAGAAACTGAACCACGTCCCCAGGACCATCAACGCCGTAGACGCCCATGTCATGCCGAGAAATTTGCCCCCGTACTGCGCATACACGTTTGATCCGTCGCCGTGCGCATTGATCAGCTGCACCAGCTCAAAGGCGAGCACGTTGGCGATGACGGATGCGATTCCGATGCAGAGGGTGCTGAGCTGTGGGACATGTCAGTCATTCGGATATGAGGAAAAGGAAACAGGAAAAAAAATTAGTTGGGATGGAGTGTGAAGTGGTGAGGCCAGGTGAAGCAAGGACGGGAAGCAGAACGACGGCGGCAGAGTGTTGTAACTTGTCAGGGCTGTCCGCGTGATCATGGCCAGACCGCTCTTGATGCAGGAGGTCACGATGGTGAGGAGACACAAGTCATGGGAACACATCACTGCCTTGGCAAGACGCGTCGTGCAGGACTCGAGAGAAGCCAAGATGCGCAAGGAGATTGCCCACTTTCCAATGTTGACCCTTTTCCCCGGGTTGGAAAAAATAAAGACAGATGCTCTCATGGCCAAAAGGGAACTCTCCCCGAGGGGGGGGGGGGGGGGGCAAATAAGGGGAAGCAAAAAAAAAAAAAAAAGGCAAGTCCACTACAAAGCTGGACAACCGACACAAAAGAGCAAAGCAGAAGAAGACACAAATCTGCAACTCACCAGCATAAATCCCACATCAAACACCCCAAGCGGTAACCTCGGAACCGACAACGCCAGAATCTTCACCACCAGCACCGCACCAATCGCACCCACGCCCACACTATAAATCACCGCCATCGCCCGACTCGTCATCTGAAACGCGCGGAAATCATCACTAATCACCCGCGGCCACTGCAATTGCGCTCCGTGCGTGAGATTGCGAGGCCATGCAATCGTCGGATCGAACGAGAAGAGCACTGTCCGGTTCGAGCATGATCGGATGTCGAGCGAGCCGAAGGGGTCGGTGGTACCGGCGGGCATGGCGTTGATGATGCCTTGGCAGTAGGACATGACGTGGATGGAGTAGAAGTCGTGTGGTGAGGATATGGAGTTGCCTTCGGGGGTGTAGAGCTGGTGGAGGTGCGAGCGAAGAGGTTAGTGTTTACTTCTGAGACTCGGTCCGTCTGCGGGCTTGGACGGGTGAGAGCGCCCAGATGCAGGCGCTGACGTTCTGTGCTGAGATCATTTGCGTACATACCCTGAGGAGATTGACGCTGTCGAGAGCGCGTGGTGTTGTGCCCGCAAAGAGGCAGCAAAGTATGACGACAAAGGCAACAAACGCCAGAATCAATGAGGCGATGCCCTTGACGCGGCTCATGATGATGGATGTATGATTTTGAATGAGCGATGGTGTAGAGTGCGCCAATGATATCAAATATAGTCCGAGGCAAATGCTATGGCTCAATCACCAGCAGATCTTTGGATCTGTGGACGATTGACTTTTTCGGGAGTTTGATCTCTACAAGGATGCGATTAGAGTGATATCAGAACCAGTCCGAAACTCGTCCAGCAAGACCAATGAAAGGAGTACAAGTCGTCCGTACGTACCAGCGACGTCTAGCAAGACCAAGTGAAAGTCGGAACACTTCAAACCCACAGAGGAAACTCGTCGATGATGCAATGAAGAGAAAGAAAGTGTCGAGTAAGTTGATAGATTCAGAACTAAAAATCAAGATTCGTCTCACATACTCTCCAGCACTTCCCACCTCCAAGTCTTATACATATGCTCTAACACCAACAAGAGGAGCACCCACACACGTCCGTCACCGTGACGAAGCATCCGAAAATGGACATGTGCAAGAGAAACCCTCCCCTCATTCCTCCCGAGGGCTGTCGTCGGCCCGCTCAGGAATCGGGGCCCCATCTCGGCATCGGGAAGGGGACCAAGATGAACGGAAGTGGACATGACCAGCACTGTTCAAAGGTACAATCTCCCCCGGTCTGTCGCTTCTAGGGTCCACTTTGGCGCTTCAGGGGCTTATCTGGTGTGATCGCACAGAGCCTGATCGCGGAGCGTCATCATTATCGAGTCATTTTGCCGACAACGGGCAAGCATTGGGTGTCGTTAGTTGATATGCGCGATCAAGGGTGTTGGGTTTTCGATCTGATGATTGGGTCACCAGGCCGTTTATGGGTCGGATGGGGTCAAGATACCAGGCCTACAGTATTGGTTGGGTGGCTGGGGTTGAGGAATGTGAGGCTCAATTCCCCAGCCTCGGGTGGGCATGCCGATGGGGGAGATGGGGCTGGAGGGGGAGAGAGAGAAGCCGAGATGGAGCGCGGGATTTGCTTGTGTGTGTGGTATTAGCGGAATATCATATGAGAATCGCAGAGTGTATGGTAGATCCGAGATCATGGTATTATCGTCGATGCTTGATAAGGGTTGGAAATGGGCCACACGCCTGCCTCGTCTTGATCGGTTCAAGGGGCACGATCCATCGGCGTTGCGTGTTCGGGCGCCCCCCAATCTCTCCGTGATCTGACTACAGGAGAAGATGCATGCGGCGTGTATATGGAGGTTCTACGAGGACGAGCACCGAAGAAGAGACGTCAAATCTTGGCCTAAGGGGCAGTGGTGCAGATGCCGCTCGAATATAGGGGCGTAACGGAGGGGATACATCATCATGATGAAGAATGAGACTTTGGACGGAGTCTGGCTTCTCGTCCTCAGCAGATCATTTCGGCAAACATTGTGATGCTCGCCTGCTGCAATCCCACCTATCGTTGATGCTCTTGCGCTCCATGCAAAGGATGTCGCATCTTAACAGCTGCCTTCAAAGCTTGATCTGGCGAATGTGATATACCGGGGTTCAGAGAGAGAAACTAGAGCGTGTGCGGGGTTGCGTTGGGACAGGTTTGGGGTATTGAATTGCATACTCCATGAATCACAGCCGATAGCTGCGCCGCTCAGATGCAACCAAGTGCCACTTTCCCCGAGAGCAGGTCTTTCTCCCTACTTCCAACAAGTCGCTGCCACATATGCCGAGACGCAATCAGCCATGGCCACCATCTAAAGCAGGACTCCAAAATGTTTCCTCCCTCCACAACTCAACAGACCATCTCACTGTCTACAGAAGACGCGTCATGCTGAACGTGGACGACGTCAGCTTGGCTCAAACACCAAGATCGGACGCCAATGAAGGCCAGCCACTGATGAGCGTGCAGTAGCTTCGCCAATCTCGTCACCAAACGATACTCACGAGTGACGAGTTCTGGCCAAGACCTCCATCTGGGTCATCGATTCAACTACCTTTGTAGCAAATAACTCCCGGGGTCGAAGACGACCTGAATATGTTTGAACACAGCCAAGGATGGAACCCGTCGCCTCGTGTCCGCGGCGAACGCGATCGTTGGAGAACGAAGGTGAGAGTGTCGGGCGCAGGGCCCTTGATGACGACTGATGAAACATGCTTGGTGAGGCAAGCTTCTGAAGGGTTGCTTCAAGGAAGAAGAATCCTTGATCCTGGGCTTCGGAAGCAAAGACAGAGGAATGGCAAACCATCGACGGTAGGAAATCATGGCGCATGAAGGCGCTCCTGTGCATTCACGTCCGTCCACTGGTCCGGTCTCGTGGCCCGCTTGAACAGGGGGGACCATCGCCATCCACGTCAATGCCAATGCTTGCAGCTGCTGCTGCTGCTCGGCATGTCCAACATCGGCGCAAGCCGCCCAAGGATGCCGGGATCCGACTACGGGGCTGCAGGCTGCAGGCTGCAGGGCAAAGGCCACAGCCCCCGATCCTGCCAGATCGGTTGGGGGGTCTCTGCGGCCAAGACACCGACACCACTGGAGGGTCCCGGAAGCAAATAGGTCCGGGGATGGTCGCTTCATCGAGCCACGATCGACCGGTAGGTGGATGCCATGTCAACTTGCCTGCGGGCCGCACGCCAATAGGGTACAGGCATCCGGTAACAAGCTTCGGTGGCGCCGTAGGACAACGGTGTGCATCGAGCGTTCAAGGGGTCTCTCCAGCATGAAGTCTGCCATTGCTGTAGGGAGCATTCAAGATTGGATCTGATATCAGCCCGAAATACTCCGGACGAACCAGCAGCCGTAAATAGATAGGACCAAGAGAGTTCGTCACTGTCATGAACGTTTGGCGCATGAGTCTGAAGCATGACTCGGGTTCAAGTTCGCTCGGTATGTTCAAAAGGCAAGTTGGGGTGTGGACTGTGGACTCTCCCCGTCGACCAGCCAGCGCTGGCGGTCACCGCACGTGGCAGCTTCCATATGCCGTCTTGGGAAGGCCGCTCGCACTCGCACTGAACGATCTGCCAAGGTCTGGCCTGCACGGCCAAGACCCATCAAGCACCTTGAATTATCTGCGGGAATGATCCTCGCTCTGCACCGCGACGGAGGGAGGCGTGGTCAAGCACCGGAACCCTGTCACTCGGCCTTGTCCGAGCTGATCATGATTCTAGCCCCGTTGCCTCGTAGAGATAGTTTGCACTTAGAGCGGTTGTCGCAGAGAGAATGCCACAACGGCCTCTTTTCTGATCTGCACATCATGTGGACCCGCCATCCTCTAGTTGGAATTGTGATCGGTCTTGTCTGCCTTGCTGGATCCCATGGCTGCAAGGCGTGGTATTCTCGACGTCGAGGCAGATATCCTCTTCCTCTTTGGAAAGTCTAGGAGTCTCGACACTAGCCCCATCCGCCACAGCGAACTCCCAGAGGAAAATTTCCTTTTCTGATCGACACCCGTCGGAGACGCTAGTCGCAATTCGACATTGTCTCACGCGATCAAACGGACGCTTGAACACGGAGATTTCGCTAGCGGGACTTGGACAGCTCTCCCAGAGTCTGGTCGCCCAAGAGAGAGTGCTGTCACGCGACTCCGGCATTGTGGTTGGTGCACGGGGTAACATGGCTAAAGTGGCCGAACGGTGGACGTCCAAAGAAGCGTGCACATGGGCAAGAGGCCACATTTAACTGGTTCCTGGAAGGGAGGGGGAGGTGGATCGGTGGAGGGCCGATCTGTTAGCGCCCTTCTTGTCGGGGCGGGGGGAAAAGCAGTCGAGCGGTCTCTTGGCTGCATGGCTGCAAAACCCCCAAGCCACGCCTCCGCAGCCCGCAGTCCGCCGATCATCGTCGTAGCTCGCATGAGCGACGGAGCCACGCCTGGCCTCCTGCAGAGGACGGTTTTGCAGTGACCATTCGACCAGAGCTCATGAACGAGCGACGCTATTTGTTAGCGTTCATGGTCGATCCTCGTAGAGCGGGGCCACGTCCTGATCTACACATCGCAGGTACTGTAGATAGTAGGTCCCCCCGCTGGTCCTGTAGACCGTCATGGGCAGATTCGGTGATCAATCCATTTGGATGATTGATGCGAAAGAGAACCTTGTATCTCCTCCCTCTCAGTTCTCACCCACACCTCACGGGGCCAGACTTGACCTTGATTGAAGATGGAATGGCAAACTTTAAACCTCGCCGGATGGTCCCTTTGTTGAGTTGTGTTTGACATTCCACGCCTGACGAGACTAGACCTGTTTGGGATGGATGACCCCGAAGGGATGTGGAGGAGTCCAAGACGGCGGGTCGTGTCGGTCGTGTCGGTCGTCTCCGACCCGGCCGTTCTGGGCAGGCACGCACGTGTGCACCTTCCTGGAGTGGTCGGTGAGCGCGATCGTGGAAGGCGGTCTGACAAGCCACACGACTATTTTAACGTGTGAGCGTGTGCACTCCGTCGACTCCGTGTCCCTTGCCCGTTCAGGTGCATCTCGGCCGGTGCTGCCAAGACGTAGAGCCGCTCACCGAGGCAGACCGGCACCGGAGCACCTGAGCACCTCAGCGCACAAGCACAGAGAGTGGTACTCTACAGTCTATATTCTACACTCTACAGTCTTGAGTCTATAGTCTACAGTCTACAGTCTACAGTCTACAGTCTACAGTCTACAGTCTACAGTCTACAGTCTACAGTCTACAGTCTACAGTCTACAGTCTACAGTCTACACAAAGTGGGAGGTTTCACAGTACAAACTAATACTATAAACTATGGCAATGGTTACTATCGTCGTGATTCTACCTCTGACTATTTGACATCAATCATCTTGTCACGCTTGGCAGATCAGATCCCCGGGAATCGTGGGCTTATCTCATGGAATCTCATTGCACACATTCTTTGCGCTGGTGGTCAGTGGTCAGTGGTCCCCGATCAACGACGGCGCAACCAGCAAATTTGATCAACGAGGTGGTAGTGCGCGCACGACTCCTCCCTCCTCTGCTCGTGTGATACGATCCAGTCCCCGCTGGGGGATGATATCCGATCAAATGTGCCCGTCATTGCCATCTCCATCCCGCGATTAGTGAGTCGCCGGAGGTTAATTCCATGCGCACCCAATTCCGGCGCCGTCGATGAGTTTCGTTTCGAGTGCTACCGAAAGCTGCAGAAGGGGGTTACCTCAGACAGTCCACGTTCGACTTGTAATTCCCTCCATCGCCGAGCTATATAGCACACCGCGATCAGAAAACCCTTCGATGATATCTGCATCATGACGGTTCACTGACTGCAACATCCTCATCCCGGGTCCGGAGTCGAGGACTCGCTTGTCACAGGGCCGGGTGGCACATTGACGTGGTCTGCCCCTGTTTGGGCAGGCGGTCGCAGAGCCCCGCCACAGGTGACTCTCCCAGATTTCTCGGTGGAGTACTCGAGTTCAGTGAGTCGGAGACTCGGAGTAGTCTTCGCACTGTTTCTCCTCGAGGTGGTACTATCGTCCTTTTCAGTGTGGACTCGTGGAGTCCTTTCCACGCTCTTCGCTCGTCTAAATTCCACTCACTCCACTCTCGTCCCTCTGGTGCTGCGAGAGAAGACCGGATGGGGCCCACCGGGCGTCTTCCGGGCAGATCCCCAAAACTCAATGCGCACCCATCAGAGAAGCCTGCTGCTCGCACGTGCGCAATTGATTGGTCACGGCTATTCCCACCGTTCCTGCGAGCTTTTTTTTTCCTTCTTCCTCTTCTTCTTCTTCTTCTTGCCATGTCCTGACTCTTTTTTTTTTTCTTATTTTATCCGGCCACTTCGGGTTTTACCTTTTTTTTTTCAACCTGTCAGAAGCGTGAACATCGACGGTCTGGCCCCACTTCCACTGCTTTCGTCGCCGCATCATCACCACACACTTTCCATCCCGCCATCAGAAAGAGAAAGAGTGATGGACGGTGCAGCAACAGCGAAAAAAACCCACCCACTACGACGTGCGTCTGGAGACTACGTCCGGCTCTCATTTACCTGGTTCTTCCACTCCTTCGCGCTGCAACTTGCCCCAGACGGTCGTCAACTCGGCCTTGGCCCAGAAGAGTTCTCCTCCGCCCCCATCCCATGTTCCCACGGTGGACCGTCGACTACCATCTCTGGACTCTGGCCCACGCCGGCTTTTTCCACTGTGACTGTACACACAGATACACATTATTGAATCTTCTTCATTTTTTTTGCCTTTTCTCCCATTTCTCTTTTTCATTCTCTCCGTTCAGGTGGTTTCTTCTGCCGATAGAAAGTGCGACTCGTAGTAGTGGACCCCCGCCACTCAACTTATCAGCACCGAGCCTGCTCGCACGCTGCCATCTTCTCGCTTCTGATTGTCCTTCTTTCTTCCACCGTCATCCGGGACTCTTGAACTTTCCCATATAAACATCCCGAGCTCACTCCCCTTGGCTGAGAGCCACGTTCCTCTTTGGTCCTCCACGACACCTCTCTACCTGCTTTTATTCGGTAGAAGTTACCTCGCCGAGGTGGACGAGCCTCGCCGGTGAACTCTAAAGCGCACCACCTTCCGTGAGACCAGAGAGACCACAGAGACCACAGAGACCACACACGACCTAGTCTCCTTCCCTTTTTCCTCCCCGGAGAAGGTTCTCGTCGGCACAGACACAGATACACACAAAAGTCGCCATGGCTGACTACGGTCCTCGTGCCCCCCACGGGCCCGACATGTCGGGCACCCACAACCCGCTGGAGGATATGGATCCCCGCGAGAAGGGTGCCTTTGATCGCCTCATCCGTCCCGATGACAGCTACAATGAGCAGGGTGTCTACTGGGCGGATATGCCTCTGGGCGAGAAGATCAAGTTCGTCAGCTCCTACGATGCCAAGGAAGCTCGCTCCGAGCTGGCGAGCATCTGGTCCATGATGAAGAAGGACCCGCTCTCCCCCGTCTCCTACTACTTCCGTAACATGGTTCTCCCCGGTGCTGGTCTCGGTCTGGAAGGTTATGTGCTCTTCTCCATCGGCAACATCAAGCCCCTCTTCCAGAAGGCGTTTCCCGACTGCTGGGGAAGCCACAAGATCTGCGACAAGCAGTGGCTGAACGCCGTGGACTACCTCGAGATCATCGGTATCATTGTGGGTCAGATTCTGGTTGGTTTCATTGGTGATTGGTAAGTGCTCGAATAGCGCCACGATTCTCCTGCGCTTGCCCCGGCCCCAGAGCGAGAGCGAACCGCTCTCGATTGGCGCAGTTAGCCTCCCCTCCGGGCTCGGTCACATTCAACTAACGCGCGCTTACAGGATCGGTCGTCGTTGGGGTCTGATTCAAGATGCCACGATCATGTTCGTCGGTCTGCTCATGCTGACTGCCGCCTGGGGAGTGACCCAGAATGGTTGGGTCATTTGCTACGCCTGGTCTCTGTTCTTCTACTCGGTCGGTGTTGGTATGTGTCTCTTAAATGCTTCCTCCGGTTTCCTCGAAGCCTCTGAAGCGCGCGCGCGTCTCTAACTGAACTCGATAGGTGGTGAATATCCCATGACTGCCACCTCTGGCATGGAAAATGCGGTCGGTTCCGGAAAGATCTCGACCAAGGAGGATCGTCTCCACCGCGGTCGTAAGGTCACCAGTGCGTTCCTGATGCAGGGTTGGGGTCAATTTTTCAACCAGGTCATCCTGATCGTCCTGCTCTTGTGCTTCCACCACGGCAGCGGTAACAACCCGTACTCTACCGTGGCCGTGCAGTGGACCTATCGAATCTCTTTTGCCATCCCCGCCGTCGGCACGTTGTGGCTCATCTACTACCGTGCCTACCACATGAAGGCTGCCTCCAAGCAGCTTGTCGCCGCCAAGAAGAAGGCCTCCGTCACCGGCTACGATGTGGACTCGCTCCGCTTGACCTTCAAGTACTTTGGTCCCCGTCTCCTCGCCACCGCCGGTGGTTGGTTCGCCAACGATGTGTTCTTCTACGGCAACAAGCTCTTCCAGAGCGATTTCATCAAGGTGATTTCTCCCGAGTCCGAGTCAGTAATGCCCACGTGGCTGTGGAACTTGGTCAACGTCGGTGTCTCGCTGGTTGGCTACTACCTCGCCTCGTTCCTGATCGATAACAAATTGTACGGCCGAAAGTGGATGCAGACGGTGGGCTTCCTGATGTGCTTCATCCTCTTCGTCGTACCCGCATTCCACTACAAGTACTACAAGTCTGCCGCCCATATCCAGGAGTTCCAGGCCATGTACTTCCTCAGCTCCTTTTTCAACCAGTTCGGTCCCAACTGTGTCAGTTTCTTGGTTGCCGCCGAGGTCTTCCCCACGCCCATTCGTGCTACTGCTCACGGTATGTCGGCCGCGGCCGGTAAGGCAGGTGCCCTCCTGGCCTCTGTTCTCTACAACTACATCGACACACAGACCAAGTTCTACGTCGTCCCCTGGTTCGGTCTTATCGGTGTTTTCCTCACTCTGGCGTTCCTGCCTGACACCACCGGTCTCGACCTGAAGGAACAGGAGCGTCGCTGGCACTGCCTGCGCGAGGGCCGCGAGGAGGATTACCATGGCCCCGCCGTCCACCCTAAGCATCTTTCCTGGTATGAGCGCTTCGTCCTGAAGAAGGGTCGCTTCTACGATGCCGAGCTGGACTACCAACAAAAGGTGGAGGAGTATCGTGCTGAGTGGGAAGCGCTCATGGCTCAGCGTATCGCCGAGACGGAGAAGGGCGAGGATAACTTCGACACTGACGACACCTTGTTGGAGGGACACGTCCACACTTACTTCCACCGCACCAGCCCCATGTTCAAGGGCATGGAGTCTACAACCAACAAGCAGGACAACTTCCGTCTCCCTCCTGCCGCCGAGTCTGGCTCTGAGACCAGCATCTCCAACGAAAAGATTGCCAATCAGTCTCAGTCGGAGAAGAGATGAAAAACAAACAAACAAACCCACTAGAGCATCTTTGTTTCTTGTTTTTTTTTTTTTTGTTTTCGCAGTTGTCCGCCATGTTTTGACTAAAAAGAGGAGGCCTTTTGAGTCTCTGATGATTTCCCGTGTTCGCTCATGGATTGTTACGTCTACTCTGCATCTTTTGGGATTGGTCTTTTGCTTTTTTGATCCTGTCTTTTGTTTTTCTCCTGATACCACCCAGCGGCGTTACTTTCTGATCATGGCACGATTGGCTTGAGTTGCATGTGACAGGTCAATGTGACCTGTTTGTAATTAGAACGTTGATACCTGTTTGCATACCCCATTTGGAATGATGATACTCCTTACGATTTCAATTGTGATTTTTGTCTGCGACAGAAGCCTTGAATCGTCCTTGCATTGGCTAAGGTGATAGAGATTGGGAGCTTATGTGCACTTCAAACTTAAAGCAACGAATGTGCCAAGGAGCGGAGAAATATTGGTCTCTCGCGGTCATAGCCCGCATGTTACCGCTTGCTACCGCTTCATATAGGTTCATGATATTAACAGCCTGATACTACACAGGTACATAAGCATTCATGATCAAGTGCATTGTGCACGCAGTTGCTCTCGTCTTTGGTTCCATGAAACGTCACCCGACGCCCAAGGAGCTGCTCATCCTGCTTATTCATTCCTCCTTCAAACCCTCGGGCGATAAGGCTTGACATTCGCATCACACGCAACCTCCTGCTCCTCGGGCAAAACACCCTCCAAAACATACGCCTTGGCAATGCGGTCCGTACAAGCCGACGGATCCCGCCGCGAACTATGGCCGAACCCATGATGCACAATCAACCGCGCGTTCTTACCCATCTCGTTTAGCAGTCTACGTCCGTTCCGAAGCGGAGTCGCCGGGTCCCACGGCGAGGCGATCAGAAGAACGGGCGTCTTGAGCGTGTGGTTCAAATCGCCGCGGTACACCTCCGCCGGCTGGCCCCAGTATGTTTGGTAGTGGCGGCAGGGTAGGACGGCGAAGAAGCGCGAGTTGCCGGCCATCCAGCTTTGGGCGGTCATGTTGGCCCAGAGGGAGTCCCACCACTTCAGGCCGTTGTCCGGCATGGGGGCGTCGTGAGAGTCGGCGCAGATGACGAGGTAGTCGAGTTCGGTGGTGGATGGGGATGAGGTGGAGGGGGGAGCGGATTGTTGGCTCCAGGTTGAGTCGAGCCATCGGGCGGCGAGCGTGGCGTTGTTGTGTTCGAGGTCGTGGAGTAATTGGGCGACGAGGGCCCAATTGGCGGGTCGGTACATGGCTGGGTAGATGATGTGTTCGATGAGGGAGGAGTATGTGATGAGGGATGGGCCGCTGGATTCGGTGTATGCGGACTGGGGGCGGGTCTTGAGGGATTCCAGCAGCTGCATCATGCGGTTCTCGAGGTCGTTTAATGTGACGGGGCCATTTTGACTCCGGGGAGCTTTTGCCAGTGCACATGCGTCGGGACCGGCACGGATACATTCGCCCAGAAAGCCGTCGTGCCATGCGTCTGTCGCATTATCAAGCGAAGTCCAGCCAAATCCGCCGAGAAGACGATGATCCCTGACGTATTCGGTACCGTCAAGGATGATGCGGCCTGTACGTGCTGGAAACATGTTCACGTACGTTTGGCCGATCCCCGTTCCATAACTGACCAGATACCCAGTCACCTCGGGTTCGTTTAGAGCCTTTCGAATCTCATCCAGATCTCGAGCGACGGATGCCGTGCTGATGAAACGGCCAAGGTCGCCCAGTCGTTGTTGGCAGGCGAAGAAAGTAGCATTATGCATGGCATCCATCATCTCCAGTTGTCCCGGGGGTGCCTCTTCGCGATATTGCATGGTGAGCCGGGACCAGCGATCCCGGTGCGAATTCTGAGGGTAGCACGCCGCCGCGGGAAGAGAAGAGTTGACACCACGAGGATCCCAGCCTAAGACGTCGTACTGACCATCGCTGAAGCGTTCAGTCATCTCTTCGGCTGTTTCCCACAGGAAAGCGGTTCCGCTTCCCCCTGGACCGCCAGGCTCGATAATCAGCGTGCGTGCACTCTTAAAGCTGGATGACGCATCTCCGGTTGATGGAGCAGATCCGCCGGCACTGGCAGTGAGTTGGTTATCAAGCGGTAGCCCAGCAACCTGGTACTTTGTCACCGCAATTCGAGCAACACGGGTATCCGACTCATTGAGATAGTCCAGCGGAAGATCGAGATATCCACACATGTAGATACCACGACCATTGCTGCCCCAACTCCAATGGCTGGGATCCGGATCAAATAGAGCGGCCCACGATTGCCGTGGAGCTGGATCGTCGATTGACGGCAACAGACTTGCATTTGTGCAAGGCAAGAACTGGAAAGGATCATGTTCTAGTGGGAATCTTCCATACGGCGAGGTGTGGTTCTGAGAATGACCGCACCGCAGGTGACCAGGTTGATGCGGACTAGATCTGAGATTGGGCACAGGGAGAAATCCATGGTATCCTGCTAAAATCATGATACCGAGGCCTGTTACTGACCATATCACTTTGCTTGATGGGCCATTGCCGAGATCAGGAAGATCATTTGATTTCATTGCTGCCTACGATGACGGCACTTTGACCAACAATGGCACCTTGATATCGTGTTGGGGGGGGGGGGGGGGGGGGGGGACTTCGAGTTGCACTTGTTGAATAGGAATTACCTTTCGGCACCTGCTATACAAAAAGAAGTCTTGAAACAAAAAAAAAAATGGCACACAGGGGACGCGGTCTAGCTGAATCACGTGGAAATGGCAATAACCGGGCTCGGCCATCAACAGGCTCGCAATCAGCGCCAAACTTGACTCAACTCAATAGAAAGATTAGAAGTGTGCCTAGTCCTACTGCCTACTAGTGCTTACTGCTTACTACTTAGCGGCCTTGCGTGCTATCGGGCCAAGGGTTGTAACCTATCGATCCGGTGTCTTTTTTGTTTGGAAGGGGACCTCACTAGATGAATGTAATTTTTCATCGCAGTGATATGCGCGCGAATCATTTGTATCACTATAAATTTGATAATCTTCATCATCTGGGCAAGCTCAGGCACGTATGCTTGACAGATATCAGTTCGGCAGATGCTCGGCGATATCCCGGCAACCACGGCAAAGAGGCGGTTCGTCGGGCGGTGGTACGGGCCGAACGTTCACTTGAACGCTGCACCTCAGAATCAGATACTACAACTACTACTGACTCTAAGTACTGTAGTACTGTCAGTGTCGAATCTCGGGGCTCTAGCTCGCCATCGAGCTTCGTTGATATCCACTTCCGCTATCAAATTTCAAGAATCAGAACTTTGATCCCACTCCGATGAGGCTCTACGCATTTGGCTCAAACGGATCAGGCCAGCTAGGCATCGGCCACACGGAAGATGTCTCAGCACCCACGCAATGCCTGTTTGATGCCGGACTAGCTCCAGAGGATACAATTTCCCACCTTGTCGCAGGTGGAAACCACACTCTCCTCCTGACGCGGTTGGGTCGCGTGTATGTAGCTGGTTGTAACGCGGACGGTCGATGCGGTCCACTCTCAAGTGATGATTCAAAGCATATCGAGCAGAATTTGCTCAGGTTCAAAAGGGTGATTTTAACCGACTCTGCGACGGGGTGGAGCGTTGATACCTTCAGATGTGTGTCTGCGACGTGGGAAGGGAGTGTTCTTGTTGCTGCGGTGCCGAGTGGTCCAGAGAAGGACCTTTACGAGGATAAGGTCTTTGTCATGGGATCGAGTCCCAAGGGGGAACTGGGCGTTGAGACGGGCCCAGCCTGTCAGACGGTTGATCCTGGATGCTCAATTCCAAGCTTCCCGCCAAAAGGTACTGAGATTATCGCACTCGCAAGTGGAATGGGACATTCGATCGCTATTCTTTCAAATGGCCGGGTCTACGGCTGGGGTGGTTCACGAAAGGGCCAATTGGGTGATGGCCTCAAAGCGCAGAAACTTGTCTTCAGGCCGACAGAGATTCAAGGTGTCCCATTTGCTGCGCAGAGCGCCGTGTGCGGACGCGAATTTACTGTGATTTGTGGCGAGCGCAGCCAGGGCGAATTTGTGGTCCTTGGGGAAAAGACCAATCGCTGGGGGATCTTGAACGTGCCCTCGGGTCTACAGCTTCCTTCGACAGAGACACATGACCAGTTTCTTGTGCCATTTTCTGCTATTGGGGCGAGTTGGCACGGGATCTATGTACATACCACTTCCCAAGGTGCAGATCGCGCGGCGAACCGCGGTCGCTTGATTGCGTGGGGTCGAAATGATCGCGGTCAGCTTCCACCAGAGGGGCTGCCATCGATCGTCAAAATGGCGGTTGGGAGCGAGCATGTGCTGGTTCTGATGCATGATGGCACCGTTGCTGCATTTGGTTGGGGGGAGCATGGAAACTGCGGTCCCGAAACCGACGACCGAGGCAATGTTGCTGAGCGCTTCAGCCAGATTCCACTGGACACGGTCGTAGGTGGCGATAAACGAGTGGTTGGCCTTGGTGCTGGATGTGCAACAAGCTGGATATTAGTGGATTGATCCGCGCGGGAAGGGCCTTTTTTGGTCATAATGGTAAAACACGCAACATTGACCTCTAGTCGAAAATACCGAATCCACGGACCTGAGAGATCGTTAGTGGGAAAGGCCCATGGCGCCCTAACCGCTTCGCACGCACACAAATGCAATCCAGAAAAAACTCACCTGTGATATACGTTGCGTGGGCGGGATCCGCATGTCTTCGGTTTCGGCCTCATCCGTCTTGCTCTCATTCCTTGACAAGCCTGGTTCCTCATCTCTCAGTGTGGCCGCGAATGCATCCGCCCGACCACTTGCATCCCAGCCAAGGATGTCTTGGGGCTCCTCCTCTTCTTCCTCGTTCATCTCATCCCATTGTCGGTCATCATCCGCAGGTACGAAGAGACTGTCGAATTCCATCGAGAGTGATGAGGCCGTGGGCCGCTCGCTCGCCATCGAACGTGACAGATTTTCCTGGGTTGAACTACCCTGTAAAGGCTTGATCGAGCGAGCAGGCGGCGGAGGCGGTGGGGGCATCTGACCATTTTGAGTGGCTTCGCGGGATATACGGTCGCGCTGCACTGAGATGGGTGCACCAGGCGTCTGTCTTTGTGAGAGTTCTCGAATTCCGCTTCGTGACGAGTCTGGTGCAAAGTCTCCATCTACTTCACCTCGGGTCATGACCGTGAACTCCGCAGATACGCCCTCGAAGTCATATGTAAGCTGGAGCGGTTTGCACGGGTAAGTGTAGCGAGCTGTGATCGTGGCATTCGCAGTCTCAGCGTGAGCAATGGCCGCTTTGAAGTCTTTCAGATTGATAGCAATATGCATCTTGTCTTCGACGTTAAATTGTTCAAAGTCCCGCTTGTCCGTGGCAACAGAGGTATGCACGGGATGTTTGAGTACCTCTGGTTATGGTCAGTGTCTTGTTTCGAAAAAAAAATCAAGGGAGCCTCCTGCAGAATACTGCGAATTGGGTGAAGGAATAGAGACAGTCAAAAATGCGCACCTTTTCCATCCATCACTTTTGTCGTAAAGCTTGTGAACACGGCCTTTCCAGAATCTGAGTACATGTCAAGCTGTTCAGCAGAGAGACTGAAATGCTCGGTGATTTGCTTTAGAAATCGAGGGTCCACAGTCCACTGGTTGACAGCTCTGCTCTTATCAAAGACAGCGTGCTGGATTGAGGCAGGCTCATACGTGAGCTTATAGGATTTGATCACGCCTACACACGATCATTAGACCGAGCAAAAGTAGGTGGCGACCGCAACAGCAACAAGTTTCTTCACTCACCCAGACCACAGATCATCTTCACAGTCAGCCGACACTCTGCTTGCTGGGAATCTTCGTGAAGCTCCATTTCGCAGCGCTCAACGGCTGTATCCTTGTGTCGGTCGACTCTTCCGCGGAAGATCGACAGTAGTGCCTATTTGTCACATCAGATCGATCCAAATCATGGACTGGGCTTGCAAGAATTTTCTCTACCTTGATCAGGATCTGGCAATAAAATCGATCTGCTCCTGGGCCCATGGATCTCTGCCGCGTTGTGAATGAGTATTTCTCGAAAAACGATTCTCTCGCACAAGCAAACGACACAAATGCGGTCTTGGAAGAGTTGAGGGCACTGATTCGGAGCTGTTCCACCAAGTTAGCTCCAAGTGGTGTTCATAACATCGTGGAAACCAGTATCTACCAGATCATGTTCCGTTTCGATGGCGACTGTGTCGCTGAACTTCGACAAGCATATAAGCATATCGTGAAGCCGCACGATTGCCGGCGGAGCCAGCGATACGGAAAGAGTCGTCATTGTAGAGTCTTGAGTATCAAATCTCTTCCAATTATCATTTGGTCGAACCCATAAGCAGGAGAGGTGTTATGATTCAAGACTACGAAGCGTGTGACTCTTCGATGAAGCTGGTGCGCGACCTACCAATGAAATGAGCCGAGACGCGGTCCAGCAAAACGCGCATTACATAATCCACTCATCAAATGTCCCAATTGGGAAATGTGTGGTTATCGTATGAATCGCAAGCAAGTACATCGATGAAATAAGGTGGCCATATTTGGCTTACTTGTGAATGAGGTAGCTTACACCGAGCTTGTTACTTCCAGTTTGCGGATGTCTCTGTGGGAATTGATGATCAAGCCGCCAGAAAAGCATCATCTGAGACAATGCCACACCTCGGTCTTTTAATGGACGGTCATTGTTTCATGACATACCCAGGTGCCGTGTTAGAGACGCACCGAGTTCTCAATTACCAAGTCCTATATCATCTCTTCGTCCCATACCACTGCTTATCTGTAGCCGTCTGTTTGTCCGTATCCTCCTTCATCTTGGGAGGTACAGGAGTATCCTCACAGTCGACTTGAACGATCTCATGGTATATCTCGCTCTCTGAGATGATAATGACCAATGCGCTGAGCTGGAATCCGTATAGACACGCGCTGTCCAGTCCAATCGAGTAATTTCCCAACTGCAACCGCCGCTTGGCATCATGACCGAAGATCACAGTCGAGCGAGTCTCACACCTCTCTTGCCAACGGTCCCACTCTGCAGCCCACCCTTCTTCACCGAATTCCTCGAGTGATTCAAATCTAGAGCCTTCATCTCCTTCCATGCGTTTGAGGCTGCGCATGTGGATGATGTTGTAGGGATCCTGCTTTTCCAGTGCAACTCCTGGCACAAGCCCCGCATGCACAATCACCAGATTGTGTCCCAGGGTCGATGGCCGATCCAGCGGCAAATTCAGCCGCAACATCAGAGGCAATTTCGCCAGCCACTCCCGCTGGGACACTGATAGCTGAGACGCTGTGCGATAAGTCGTCTCACCATGCCGCGTCAGTGGACTTTTGGAAACAGGCTCCGCTCCATCCAGACCTTTCGGCAGATGACTCTCCATTGGCTCCTCGGACAGAGGAGCATCCGGCAAGGCAGACGGAGTCTTCAGGGCCGCTACTTGAGAGTGATCACCACAAGCGACAGCCAGCTCCGCCGCCGCATCCAGAACTGCGTTGTCATGATTTCCTCTGACTGCGCTGGCTTCCAGCTGGATGGCCAGATCCACCACGCCGGCACTATCTGGCCCTTTGTTGGTCATGTCGCCAACAAATATCAGATAGTCGCCTTGGATGTTGTCGAACTCCACTTTGGCGAGTAGCTTCTGCAGGGATCTTCTCATGCCATGCACGTCACCGACAATGATGAAGCGGTGTCGAGCTGTGTCACTTGTTCGCGACAGGGTTGACTGTCGCCGTAGACATGTTGTGTCGATGTCCGAGATCAGCGATTGAATGGGGTATATTGGTTTGCGAGGTTTGTCGGCGGTCATTCTCCAGCACTGTCAGCGAGACAATTGAATTGTCGTCGCCAAACGTTTTTCAAATCTTAGGCGTGGGCCGGGTGAACGGTGACCCAAGATTGCGACGCAGGGACCCGGTAACATGAAGTTAACTTAGTTGGACCTTGGATGATTCCGAGCCACCAAGGCAAATGGCGCCTTTGAGGCGCAACCGCATGACGGAGCCCGTGCGTTCATTGACTGGGGCCATGGGAGAAGACTTCATGCTCCTTCCGCCTTCAGTGGAGCCATCGCCTGAATCTCTGGCTATCTCTGTGGCTGTATGGGTTGGAGGTCTAGAAAGCAACCACTCAAATTGGATACGCATCCATTCGGGTATTGGATACGAATATCAATTACTCTATGATCTCATTCCGCCTTTCAGGTATCCATCGGCCAGTGCGGTGGATGTGAACCGATTAGGAGGGGCGGCCAAGTATCACTAGTGAGAGCTTGAGCGCTTGAGATTGACTATGGCCACTCTATTACCGCCATGAGGCTTAGTATGTCCAGGGAAGGCTAGCTATGTGTCTTCGAGTGGTTGAGGCTCAAGCTTCCGACGACGATCTTCCGCCATCGTCTGAAGGTGTAAGCCAAGACCGCTGATTCTTGAGGGGCGGAGGGTCTTCGGAGTGGCAGCGCATGTGGCGAAACCTTCTTCCACATCATTGCCTTTTTGGGAGCTTCAAATGAGTCCCCTGTCCCTCTGTAAGCGCTACAAAGCTCCCGAGATGGTTAGTCTGTGCATGTCAAATCGGTGGATTGACGTTGAGGCTGAATGTGGTTCAACATACTGTCACTTGAGGTACTGTAGATGGGTGCTACAATCTATGTAGTAGTATGACATGGTACACACTTGGATCCTACGGAAGAGGTCAAGGTTCCATACGCGCCACGGGGTGCTTATTGTACCAGATGCACACTCTTCGTATACCTATCGAAGATCATATCTAGCAACATATTGAGCGGAGCTAATGCTTATAAGGAGCCATATCATCTTGCCGTCCATCACAAACACAACTCAACACATCATCCAAGTCCTAGCTATCAGTTTAGAAGCAATGTACGCGACCAGCACATCCAACCCACATCCACTCGGGGCCATGCCTCCAACCCGCACCGTGTCAGTAGACCTGTCATGGCGAAAGCGCAAATTCCACATCCAAGATACACACAACTCCAATCCCTCCCCGCTATACACCATTCACTGCCACAGTCACAGCGACAAAGCACTGTCTATCCACTCCGCCACTGGCAGTTCCACCTACTAATTGTATGGCTACTACGGATCCATCCAGGCCGAGAAGCGAGCCAAGACATCCTACACCTTTCTGTCCAGGGCATATTCGACCTATCCCGGGACGCCGGTGCAGATGAGCTGGATCAGCCGGGGCGGTCTCAGGACCTGGGACTTTGTCTGCGTCAGTGATTGACATGAGACGGTCGCAAAGTTCACCGCCAACATGTGGGCTATGAAGAATGTGGGCACGATCGAAATGATGGGACCGAAGGCTTGGGATCGCACTGCGTGTGATGAGATTGTTGTGGTGGGCTTGACGTTGTACTATGGCTGGCTTATGTGTGTCACTGGGCTCCCCTCTGAGTCGATGGGTCTTCTTTGCTGTCAATGGAGAAGAAGAAGAAGAAGGACAAGTCGGGCAAGCAGGGCAAAACGTGCTATGAGGAGGTGGGAGAGGTGGGAGATGCAGTGGGTATTCTCAACGACCTTGGCCTCATTGGGTGAATGTTCGATTGAACTTCATATCCATCCCATGTGATAGTTGAGCCTCGTGGTCAACCTTAATTACGGGGTGACTTCATTGATTCCACCGATCTAGATGTTAGACTATACAGTCATACAGTGTACATCAGTGTGTCTTCGATCTCTCACTCAGATACAGTTTGGCACGGGTTTATCCAGCAAGCACAGATGTATATCTCCACCTGATGAAGGGAACCACGCCTCATGGAGTTTTCTCATCGTATACCTACACTTCCAACTACGCTCCTGGTACCTGCACTATACAAAGACCGAACAGCTACAGTAGATCGTGATAATACTACAATCAAGCTCCAAGCTCCCATAATTCCAGCTGAACTCCAAATCGTTCAGTCAACAACATTAATGTTGAAGCAACATGTTGAATGTCAATACAGGCGAAACCTGACAGCCTCAGGAATACATATGTGGCCTGGTGATGGAAGCTGCTGGCCAATCAACGCCCGCAAGATGGGAACTCGGTAGCGAGAACGAGCACCCACTTTATCTTGATTGATATTTCCAAAAACATCGTCTTCTCTCAACCAGCCCTGCCGGGCTAGCTCAATCGGTAGAGCGTGAGACTCTTAATCTCAAGGTTGCGGGTTCGACCCCCGCGTTCGGCTATTCCTACAAACAAACCTGAGATCCTTTCTTTTTGATTTATCCTTGGATTTTTTTGTGTATGGCTCACTTGCCTCGAGACAATGGTGCATGCGTTTTTTCTTTTACCATCTGAAAGGCCTACTTCACTAAGTAAAAGGTGGAGCTGTACAGCTGGGCCTAGAAACTCAGCGATTTCTCACATACGTGGGCTCTTTCGAAAGGCTTCGAGTTCTGGTGGTGTTCGCAGTCATGCCGACAACTGTACGGTTACTAGCAAGGCCTTTGCGTGCTGCCAATCCAATACGCTTCTGGGGTCGGGACGAGAGATTATAGTACTGCAATTTCAATGGCAAGGTCCGGAAGCAGAGATCGGTCATCTGTGATTGCTTAAATACATTTGGAATAAAAGTTTCAACACCAATCGTAATCTCGAGCCCGCGAAAATAACAAAAGTGGGATGGTCGAAAAGAAGATGACTGCAATGATAGTAATGACAGCGGGGGGAATGGTATATGAATAGCCAACCCTGGTAAAAAGAGAGCATCAGTGATTTCAAAGTGATAGGTTCCTATCTCAATGAGGCCGCTGTACTCGAGGCGGGGAGCCTGCCCTCCTCGGCGTTCATGCTAGATGCCCAGCCAACGGGACAGCTTATGGACCTCGAATGCGACCTCGATTGTTCGGTGGAAGGGGCTGGGGGAGATGTAGATCCATCAAGGGTCTTCGCCGTCGCTGACGCCCCCCTCGCACCAACTGTAGAGTGTTGACGCACAGCTGAGCGAGGAAGATGGCAAAGAAGGCCCCAATGACAATTTTGTGTGAAACATAAGTTTGATGAGCGGCTTCCGTTGAGGAAGGTGTATGGTGCTCGCGTTGAGCTGGACCCCTTTCCGGCGATGCCCGAGAACCACCGATAGAGAGCGAGATGGAAAACGAGATCGGGGTGAGCGACGTGAAGATATTGTTGAATACAGAAATCAGAAGAGTGGAGAATGGCCTGAAGACAAAATGCAGAAGGCAGATCAGAAACAGAGGAACGGCTAGTCATAAGACGGAACTGAACGATGAAGGGGTGGACCTGGAAGAAGACAGTGTGAGCAATGACCTCCAACCAAAGAGCCACGAAAAGTCATACCAATCCCGGGATCCCAGCTCCCGAGCCCATCGAGCGGATATCTTCAGTCGTTCTCGGACGCTGACTGCCGACAGCAGAGGGTACTTCTCCTCATCGGCTATGGGGAGGATGCTAGCGAACCACCATGGAAAGCGAGCTGCATCGGTCGGAACAGGTCCGTACGCGAGCATGACGCGCGGTTGCAGCCAAGGCGCACTGGCCAGTCGCTGCGTGCGAACAAACTCGCGAGAAAGCTCGAGAAGCTCCTGTGTAGATAGAGAGTCCAGGGGAGATTCAGCAACATGCGGGCCCGAAGGATCTTCCCCAATCCCGGCAATGGTGGTCTCTGTGGCTTCCAGTCTTTCTTCCTCGCCAACAGAGATGTCATCCACCCGCTCTGTCCTCGCAACAAGATACCCGTCCAGCTCACCTGCCTCAAGGATCTTGAAGCGCGAGATACCGGTGGCGATGACCAGACTGCGTCCGTCGGGCAGTAACTCATAGCGCTCAACACGCAACACAGTGCCATACTGCATGAAAATCGTGCTACCGAGATCGCCTTGCGGCTCCCCCCGTCTGTTATACATGACCATACCGAATTTGCTACTACCACTTTCCACAACTCGCCGGATCATCAGCCGGTACCGCGGCTCAAAGATGTGTAAGAACGTAGGCATAGTCGGAAAAGACAGTGTACAGACGAACAGAGGGAGGTCCTTCTCATGGTCCCCGCCCGATTCATCCTCGGCATCAGCCTGTCGTCGAGATGCCACGTGGTCCGGGAAGAAATAGTCGATAATCTGAGCGATTGTGCGATTTATTGGCTCCGATCGAACAGCAGCCGGTGTGCCCACCTTCCGACGACAGACCGGACACAGATCGGTGTGATCAAGAATTCGAGCGACGCACCTTCGGCAAAAGGTGTGGCCGCAGGGGGTGGTGAGAGGGTCCAAGATCAATGAATAGCACACCTGACAGTCTACCTCGCTGCGAACTCTGTCTTTGAGCCTTTCATAGCGGTTTTGGTCGTCCTGCTGGCATGCTTGTTCTTCAGCAAGCTCCTCCGATAGCTCATAGGTCACGTCGATCGCATGGCTGGAAAGGCGGCCTTCCCAGGCAAGTAGATACAGACCACATAGCCATCCTCGACGAGTAATACAGGCACTCTGGAGGGTCTCTGCATCGCCGCTCTCCTGGTCAAGTTTCCAGCTGACATTGCGTCCGCGATAGTCAGTCGCGTCTGCTTGCCCAACATTTTGAGTGGAGACGCCACCGAGTTCTTCTTGAAAGACGCCGAGTATATTGCTCAAAGCAACGTCAACTCCGCAGTCCTTCAGGCAGTGCTCGCCAACACAATTGTCAGTGCTTGCCCAGTAGCATGTGAAGCCTTCGTCACGACCTTCAGCGACGGGGTAGGTAATGCCCGTGCGAGGATGGACTGGAGGCAGACAGGATCGACAAATAGTGTTGCCGCATGGCAGCCGAATCGGCGTGTGCAAAGGTCGGGAGCAGTGTTGGCACTGAACTAGGCGCACGACGAGATGGGGATTCTCAAGAGCGGTCGGACTATCTGGACGAAGATGCTCCTCACCGTTCGACCCGTTGGAACTGGCGGCCGATGTCCGATCGGGATCGGCGTCGGCCAACTGCGGGGTGGATGATGGCGGCATATCTACATTCTCCATGACTCCAGAGGGTCCACAATGATGAACTGTCAAGCAGGAGATGCGGAGATCTGACTTCTGAAATACATTCGGAGCGATGGTTGAAGGAAAGAGAAAGACGAGGTCGAGGGGAGCGTCATCGGAGGTTTGAAGATCGGCGATCAGTTCGGGAGCGGGACCAACTTTAGATAATCGACAATCGTGAGAAATGCGTACAAAACTGGAAAAAAATGCCCAGCGGAACCATGACGGAAGCTGGCGGCCGTTCATAGAAAGTGGATCAAAGGGGGTAAAGCTTCTTGGGTGACATGCACAACTTGTGGGGACTGGGGACAAGCCCAGATTAACTATTCTGCAGTGCCGCGGTTGAGGGCCAAGTCCACGAGGATCTCATCCACCTTGACAGGGGAGACAACAGAAATACATCGAGGTTCCTGCCCTGCTGCGACCTCAACAAAAGTTGAAGCTTATGATTCAGTAATCGATGCTGCAAAGCGATCGGCCATAGTAGGTACTTTTTAGAGGCCAGGAGTCTTGGTTTCGGATAGTGTTGCAATACTCGATTTAAATGTTGTTTTTGATTGCCGTCCAAATACTAGTCTCAAATCTCGCTATTCTGCCTGGGCTTTTACTGTTACTACCTAACTTACTGCTGTTACTAAGAGAGCACAAAAGTGCAGATGGGGCTGAAGCTTCAGTGATTATATGGCGTCGAGTCCCTCAATAATCAACTCTAGCCGCGTGAGAGTTTCTATGCATCCGGGCATCCGAGTAATCTATCTTTACCTCAAAGTAGCGGACTAGCGGGATGTGTGTGACAGCGTAAAAGAAAAAAAAAGATCAAGAACAAGCTCTTACCAATCTTACGAGTGAAATTATCTAGCAAAATGATTGTGTCAGCCCGTTTCCACGCTCAGTCTTTGAGAAGTCTACAACAGATCTCGGGAAACGGGCTGACGAGGGACTCGGAACAAATTGGACCGACAAGTGCTCGCGAGGCTGAATGGAATATTCGAAAAGTTATGTCATTTGGTATCAATTCGTGTCTCGTTGCTGCAAAACCGACTCGCCGAAATGCCGATGAAGCTTGCCTGAAGAGATAAATAAAAAAGGAAACGGAAAGACAAGCTTGGATCTATGACAAGTGAAGGAGTACAGGCGCAGTAGCCTTTGATTGAAATACCCTGCTGCAGAGACCAGATACGGACAGAGTGGGTAGGAGAAGGATGGCAACTCGGCGGTGCTGTGAGAAGATAAGATGGATGAATGGGGTATATGTTGCTGACAGGGGTCGAGGTGGGCGGTTCATAACGGGTATCAAGAATCAATCATTCCAAGACTGAGGACTAGAGTGATTTATGTGGATGAGTCAGAATCTGATTCTGAGTCTTCTTCAAGCACGATTCGCCGCATCACACTTTTGTCGAAGAGATCCAGCGCAAAGCGACGAGCTGGTAAACGGTAGTGGTGACTTTCAAGAATAAACAAGGCTTTGCGAAAGAGTTGAACCTGGTGGAACCTTTCAGGCTGCTTGGATTTGAGACTGGCGGTAGAGCATGTCAGATGATGCCAGGAGAAAAGGTAAGAAAAGAGAGGGCAATGGAAGAAGCTGCATACCCGTGCAGGTCCGTCGCCGAACGCTTGGACAGAACAGTGTTCCCCATATCAACAATCTGCTTGAGAATCTTCTGATTGACCGGGTCTGAATCCGTCGTGGCTTGCTTGACTCTTGCCGATGGAGGACGCCGGGAATCAGCATAGAAGCCGGGAAATGAGATCTAGGTGTGTTAGCTTGGTGTGTAACTAAAATCATGAGATGCTTCAATGCGGGCCTCTAATCGTACCAAAAAGAGCTGACGGAAGTCAGCAGGCAGACAAAACCCTAGAGACTCGCCGTTCTGGTCGACAGCAGAATCCCATCCCAGGTGCCGAAGAACTTTCAATCCATGCTTGCTTCGCGAGATCAGACCCAAAACAAAGAAAGCGGTACCACGCATGGTGAGGACGCCGGCTTCTTGCGCAATTGAAACAATCCGCTGCACTATCTCAGATTCTAAGAACGCCGCGCCGAGCTCCATGGATCCAACATTTCCCACAGCCCAGAGACATCCCTTGACCTTGAGAAGAGCCTCATTATCCTCTTCCTCCATGCGAAAGTCACGGATGGTCCACGCGAATTCATTGAAATGGCCGGATTGCTCCAACAGCTTGCACCCTTCCGCAGTTCGCGCGAGTTCACGATAGAAATGCGGAGGCACCACCCCTACATCCTGAAGGTCGACAAGATCCTCAGGCGCAAAGCTATTGCGTCTCGGCTGATCAACATAGGCCCGAGACAAAGCTGCCTCGACAAGACCAACATATGTGTCATTCCGACCGAGGAACCAGTCATCCATCTCTTGAGTGATGTAGTCAAGACCATCCAAATAATGATAGCCGACTGACGTTGAGAGGAAGCGAAGTAGAAGGGGCGCGCCGATTTCACCAAGATGGTCGAGGGACGGACGACACTTGACCACAAATTCAAGGTAGTCGCGTTGATTACAGGCCTCCTCCAGAATTTTCACGGCGATCTGACAGACCGTGACATCTGGATCATAGAGCTGGGTGACAAGAAGTTTCACAACCCATTCTGCGTTGCTGATAGTCAATTGAGGTGACACACCGACCGTTCCAACTGCATATTTGCGGAGCAGCTTTGTGGCAAATATGCGAATATCTTTGGAGCCAATCGTGAGAGCCTTAGAAAGGATGACACGAAGGTGACTCGCCCGGCTATAGTCCATGTTACCAAGTAGAGTCTGAATGAGATCATTCCGATCTTGAAGCTCGATGATGTGGTAGAACATGTTCAGCATGTGCCATCTCTCCATCATGAGTAGACCCCGTGCATCAGCACTCAGCGCGCCCAACATCGCGAAGTAACCCCCGCTCAAGGTACTGGACATTTGCTCTCGAGAGAACAGCGGAGAAGCCGATGTCAATCCACTCATGCGGTCCAGTTGAGCCAAGCATTCCGCGACTTGTCGCAAGAACTTGTTCTCGGCCAGATACTTGATGCCCTCTGGAGTCGCAAGCAAAGTCCGCATAAGTGCGCAGCCAGTGCGTACGTATCTTTGATTTGGTTTTGTATTCGGGACCATGGCAAAGCGATATTTGAAGGGACGGTAGAATCCGAGGAGTCTCTTCATGAATTTGGAGCCTTTGATCGCTTCATCCATGCGCTTCGAGTTGGTCAAAGGACCCTCAACAAGACGGTGAATCAGATCCCATTTCCATTTCATGTAATTGACCGAATTCAAGACATGGGTCTCCAAAATCGCTGTTCGGAATGTCTGTTCGTCCATGGATGCACTCAGCTTGTCTTTGGCGTGTTCATTAGGGAGCAAACCAGGTACAGATAGATCTGGGTCCAAGTTGTATCTGCCCGTTCCGCTTGAATACCCGCCAGATCGCGCTAGCGTGCGGTTGATACTTTCAATCTGGAAAATGGTTGCCGTTGAGACATCGTGCTTCTCCGTGTCAAATTGAACAGCAGCCGGCAGAAGATGGGCAAGCACCTGCAAGTCTGCACTGGTCGTAGCGGGTAAGGAATGGTGGGCCATCTTGAGGACCTCGGTAAGGAGGAGAGTAGCTTTGCGTCGAAGTGATAGTTCCGTCTCATCTTCTATGAGTTCCGAAAGCGCCTGCGGCAAGCCGGCGGCGACCAAAGCTGCAAGGACCAATGTGGAGAAATGCGCTGTCAGATCGAATCGGTTCGCGCTACTCTCTTGATAAGCTCGAGAGCCTGCAAAGTCAGTCTCTGATCGCAAATTCGATACACGGCCGTATGTGGTTAATCTTCTGCCTGCCAAAAACGAAGATGACCACGAGGGAGGCTTGATTCGTAGGGCGTCAAAGAGTAATTCCAAAATCAGATCCCTAGCCTGCGTATCAGGATAATGAAGAGACTCGAGAAGGGAGCGAAGAGGTTTTGCGTCTTCTCTAGAAAGAACCACTAGGCCAGGCCAAGTCTTTAGCATCGCAGAGATGGCGCGCGCCGCGGTCTTTAGCCGACCAGTCTTCAAAGTATCGGCTAGAGAATCGGTGAACGGCGCTAGGACAGCCTCGAGTTCGTAACCCTGGAGGTATTTACGACTTCGAGGAGTATCGAGGACATGCAGAAAACAAGAAATGAGGCTTTCAGATGCACCAAACGTGCCTTCGGCCAGAGCATCGTGCAGGGCGCCCAGTCCGTTCACAGATGCTATCAATTCAGGATCCTTGACCAAGATCTCCGCTAAAGTCATTATTGAGATGTTTCGCAAGCGATCGTCGTGATGCTCAGCGATGGATACAATCGTGCGCACAATGGCGCCAGGGATCTCTTTAACACCGTCTTTAACATCAAGGAAAGCCCTCACAAATTTGAGAGCTTGCTCGCGCTCGATGCTTGCTTTGCTTTCCTTGACCAGCGACAAAATGACAAGCTCGTCAGTGTGGAGTGCTCGAATAGTCTGAAGTGATTTGCGATCAGCGATTGCGTATCGAGTTAATCGATAACCAGCTGCCACGACTTCTTTGCTGTCACTCAGAAGCATGACTTGTACCCGCAAGCCAAAGACAGGCCACGCGAGGTCATATTTGAGAGTCGGATGTCGTTTGAACAGCTCGACGAGGTTGTTGGCACGCTCGACATAGAAATCGGGAGACATGCCATCAACTTCGAGAGCCTGGAGCGTTTCTGAGAGCACGAATGTTGGCGATTCCGAATCGGCTTCGTCCTCCTGTAAATGGCCGTTTTCCTGTAAATCAGATCGTTCCTTTGGATTTCGAGATGGCGAGCGCACAGGGCTTGTACGGAACAGGCTCGACAGACGGCTTCGTGGGGGTGTTGTGGCGGGCGCTTGCGCACGAAGCAGCTCTTCTTCGAGCTCGTTCTGCAACTCGGCCAATTTCCGGTTAGACGAACTCAACTCTGACTCAATCTTCAATCGCTGTTCCTTGGTCTGCTTTGGTGGTTTCGACAAGAGAGCCTCAAGCATGTTTTCGGTACCGGTTTTGATCTTCATCTCCTTCGCAATCTTGTCCCGGATGATAGCCTGTCGCTCCTCAGTGGTAGGCATATCGTCTTCGCCCACTGATCGACTTGCTCGCCTTGCATATGTGCCGTCCGCTCGCGGGGTGACACTTCGGGAGGTCATGCTCCTCAGCTCCGCACTGAAGCTTCCCGGTCCACCAACAGACGGTGCCAACGAAGATGCCCCCCTTGTGCCGGTCGTTGCACTCCCACCAGAACCAGATCGACCGTTCCGCCCCGTCTTGTAAAGCCCATCGTTCCAGCTGCCTCCCACCGATCCACCATCTTGGCTAAGAGAGGAGCGGCCGTCACCCAACGCGCGGTGCTGGGTGGACGCGGAGAACGCTGAGTTGTATCCGGAAGCCATAAAGCTCCATTTAGCTACCAGAGCTGGGTATCACCTATCACGGGTATCTGGGCAGTCGAATGACTGCATTGGAGCCGAGCCAGGCCGTGAAGTCGCAGCGAAGTAATGACTCGGTGTCGAGGGTATGCGCCTTGATGGGGGGAAGCGTGCGGGAGGTGAGCAGGGAGAGAGGGAGGGGAAGTCCTCCGCGGCTTCACTCAAAAGATGCCAAACCCAGCTGAATCACAGAATAAGAATGACCATCACAACTGACCCGCAGTTGTTAGCCGAGGATCGCGAAATGGGGCAGAGTACTGGGCAAGACCTTTTCTACTGGACGTTTCCACACACTTGACCTGAGTACTTGGTTGAGTGTGAATTGCACACCTTGGATGACTAAGGCTTCACTGATCCCGCCGAAGTGGAGGGCGTGTCAACGAAGGGAATTACTTGCAGTTACAAGTTACAAGTTACAACAGGTTCCTCTCATCTTACGCATGTTTACTCTGTAAATGAAGATTTTCCAGGGACCAAGGATGGTATCTACAGTGCTTGACTGCTGGCAGAAGACATATTTTGGCCAGACATTCATCGTGTCGAATTGAACATTTTGCTGCTCATGGCACATTCCAGAGTATTTCAACATCATAGCATATTTGCGAAGATATGACGAAGACCTACTGACCCAATGCGATCTGACGATTGGCTATCATAACAAGCCAAGCTATCGGTGCTTCCTTTGTTGATCAGCTTGAGCCTTGTACTAGATCGTTTGCAGACCCTGACGTGGCCCACGAAACTGAAGGAAAGCGAACTGATATTGACCTCAATACCGATATCAAGGCTTCTGTTCTGTTTTCTCGAGGATGGTCTTCATCATCTCATCTCCAAGCTTGGCGGCCTCAGGGAATTGAGGCGCGAAGTATTGGGCAATCCGCTCGAAGCGATCCCGGTAGGACTCAAAGTCTCCGAATGAGACACAATCAGACCACGCCTGAGAAGTCGGTCAGTCGTATCAAACAAGAGTCTCGGGACATTAACATATTGACTTACCCGTGCCGCAAATGTGAACTCCAGGTCATCGGAGCGGAACGTGTTATCATCAATTGCAGTGTCAAGGGCCTCTTCAAGAAGGTCGGGGTTTCGGAACAAATACTCGGTCACTCCCAGCCACAAGCGGAAGAGCTGGGTTTGGTCAGCGGACTTTCGTCATGCGTCGAAGCGCCATTTCAAGAGAAACCTACCGGCGTGGAGCAGATCATATGGTCGTAGGGCACAATGCCAAGCTGCGACCAACAGTCCACAATTGCGAGCAGACTGAGGTGACTGTTGGGGGGTGATTTCTCACGTGTATGGTTCGACAAGGAAAAGCGATCAAGAACTTCATCGCTCAAGAGTAAATCTTGTGCCTCCGTTCCATCTTTGAAGACCGAGGCGCCTGCAGCTTTCACACGACGCTTCAGTTCCTCCCTTTGTCCACCGATCATGAGCTTATAAAGGTCAGTCACGGAGTCGGCATACTGGCGGATCTGCGCTTTGGCAGAAGGGTTCAGGATAGCAAGACCCGCGTACACGTGCCACTTATTCGAGTAAATGCGGAGAGTAATGTTAATCTTGACATTCTCGATTCCGCCGACCCATCGAGAGATCTCCCAAGGGAACTGCCGATTCGCCTGCCAGGCTGATCCCATACTCAAAAAGGCGGCGTGAGTAACGGCCTGTGTATCGGCAGTGATTCGATCGTGCATCTCTCCTGTGAGGTAGACATGTTGAGACCCAAATGACGAGAGGATCTCATTCACAAAGTTCAAAGCCTCATCGGATGCTCTGTGCTTGATCAGAACCTGCGGTTTCGTGTCAATATCACCATCGACGCAGGCTGTATATGAGCAGGGAAGGGATATGCTCACCAGTGGCTGGCCTTTGGGATTCACTTTGGGACCATGCAGCGAATGGCACGATACAATTTCTACATCGGAGGGCAAGTGTTTCTCGAAGGCGGCGAGCTCGGGCGCCTTGCATGAAGTTTGACCGCCGACAATGGCACCCTGCTTGGTTGCTTTGCATGTGGAATTGACACGTCAGAAAATCCGGAGCTGCCTGCATGAGGTCGAATCGCGACATCGAGGAACAAAGTCCAGTAACGGGGGGTGGAGATCACGGGCATGGACTTGATCGTGGACATACATGGACCATACTGTGCAACAACGCGGTCGATGACGCCAGCTTCTACACTGTAAAGGATAAAGTCGCTAATTCTCGAAACGAGATGGCCATTCGGAAACACGGTGACCAAGGGCTAGTATACGATGAGCATCAGGCTGGATGATGGTCCCAGCAGGAAACGTACTCGAGAAGCGAACTCTTCTTGAAGAGATGCAAAATTCTCAGGTCTATCACACGCATTGATTCTTTGAATAAAATAATATAGTACTTCGTTAGTGACCTCGCTCTAAAGAGCCCAAGCCGAAAGACGAGGGGACAGTTGACAGGGTATCTTGTAAGAGATTGCTAGCTTCAAAAGTCGTTAGTTAGCACATTGTCTGACCAAGTGAATTCAAACAACAGTTCAAGATGGGAGAAAATTCCACGATGTCAGACATGAAAAAATTAAGGTAGCGAGTATTTTACATCATCGACGACCCAGCGGGCACCCTCCAACCAGAATGGCGAGGAGGGTTCCGCCGAGTCATGCTCGAGCCAAATGCACTCAAGTCATCATTCGAGATTGGGGGGCAGGAAACGGTGGAGATTGCGAAAAGAGCAAGAGAAGGCTTACCATCAATCGTAAGTCGCCCACTGTCATGAAGGACAGTGAGCGAAAGTGGGTGGAATTTACCTCCAGCCGGCATCGCTCAGACGCTGGGCATACATTTTGCCCATATCGCCCATGCCGATGATGCCAATCGAGGCAGTCTCCCTGGTGCGTCCCATTTTGACGATTGATACTCTTAGGAATTGAGAATTTTCCAAAATCTTCACACAGAAGGATCGAATGCTAGTGGAAAAGGCTTGATGTTTGCTCCGCTTCAAATCAGCTGTGAGGTGAGGAAGGAAAGTGCGCCTGGAAAGATGGCCTGTCAGCTTATGTCGTAAGGATCAAACAGAAAAATTTAAGTACTTTCCATCTGACCGCCTAGTGACCCACATTTATGCCGCTTCGTGCCTCAGGCGGGTAGCCTGGACCATTCGCTTGCCTAGCAGTTTGCACCAATCAAAGTCGAGGAGCACGCGAGGGCACACACCCACTTTTTTCGATCTTTGATTCTGGCGGTTTGCGCTCTTTCCTCTCTCCCTCCTCCATATTCCATCCACGACAACTCCGTCCACACATTCGCAATGGCTCCCAAGAAGACTACCCCCGCCGCTAAGGAGAACGTCTCCCTCGGCCCCCTCGCTGGTGATGGTATGTTGGCGACACTTCCTGCTTCATGATGGGGTCATGTGAAAACTCCGCGGAAACCGAGACTAATTGGATTTGCGCACGGAATAGGCAAGCTCGTTTTCGGTGTTGCCCGCATCTTCGCCTCCTTCAACGACACCTTCGTTCACGTCACTGATCTTTCGTACGTTACTCCGCATCCGCATGTTCCTCAAGACTCTATTGCGCCTACCGCCTTTCGCCTCGGCCGTGTCGAACATGTGTGTACACGGAAAAGTGTGCCCTCGGGTTCAACCGCGACCAAGGTTCAAAGGCAGCATTGGGGCTATCATATGACAATCAAACGCAAGTTGCTGACCTGAGATTACTTACAGCGGCCGTGAAACCATCGTCCGTGTCACCGGTGGTATGAAGGTCAAGGCTGACCGTGACGAGTCCTCCCCCTACGCCGCCATGCTGGCTGCTCAGGACGTCGCTGTCCGCTGCAAGGAGCTCGGCATCAACGCCCTCCACATCAAGATCCGTGCCACTGGTGGTAACGGCACCAAGACCCCCGGTCCCGGTGCTCAGTCCGCCCTCCGCGCTCTTGCCCGTGCCGGCATGCGCATTGGTCGTATCGAGGACGTGACTCCCACTCCCTCCGACTCTACCCGCCGCAAGGGTGGTCGCCGTGGTCGTCGTCTGTAGACGTGTGCGGTCTCTTCTTTCTCCGACTGCGACTTTATTGCGTGGCTGGATTGGAGGTCTTCTGCAGGGTCTACTTGCATATGTGGATGGAATAAACGCGAAGAACGGCCCTTATTGCCTGGTCTTCAGATGTTCTCATGCCCTGAAAAGTTCATCTCAGTTATAGGAATTGAGTCTGAATGTCAGTCCTATATTGACATTTATCAATTGACTTTTTTCTGAGTACCTTATATTTGCCGTAGTGTAGAGCTTTCGTTGTCTCGACTGTCTCTCTTCCTTTTTCTCTATCTCTTCCCCCGCAGTAGCTTTGGAACCCATGGTATCAATTTGGTATAGCTGCGCATTTCATGAAATGTCAAACATCCCAGCTGATAGTCGAGACACAGATTACCCCGCTACCATAGTTTAAGCGATCAGATTTTCACCCGCGCACTGCATTGTCCGATTACGTTGGAGCAGCTACACATGCGCATGTGTTTCCATTAGGAGCAAGAGATTCCCCGCAGGCTGACTCTTTGTACATCCCCATCGCAAAAGCTTGTACGCCGCCTTCGTGAGTAGAGCAATCACAATTGGTGCGGAACACTGACATCAGCGACGTTCGGACCGGGGAATTCCCCCAATCGACAAATTTCGACGCTGCGCAAGCAGTTCTCAGAATTCACCGCTTTTTTTCTTTTTTTTATAACAGAAGTCGGGATAGTCGGAGATTCCCTGATCGATCGTCATGCTTCCATCTCATCACCCGTCACCGACGATCCTTCTCCCCCAGCTCCCTCCGAGAACCCTCGTGGGCATCGACCTCGTCGCATTCACCTCGACCGCAAACTTCCACGGCATCCGCGACTTACCTCCTGGGTGGCACTTTCTCTACACTGGTACAACGGAGAGCTTCTCGCTGCGATGTGGATCATGGTTTCACGTGAGCGACGTCAGCCATGCAGGGACATGCGACAATGAAACTGCGCTTGTACGGGCGCATGCGCAGCCCCCGCCACAAGTACTTTGGGCCGACATCTATATCTGGAAATGGAGTACAGAATCCGAGTCTCTTTCATGTCTCTCGGGGGAGAGCGATTCCGACCGCCAAGAGGCTATGGGCTACAAAGCTAATCTTGGTTCTCTCTGGCAAAGCGGTAGATTGTTCCGGTACAGGAGTCGTGTGTCTCCCGCCATGTTGTCGAATAAGCCTGGTTCAGCACCGCTTGAAGCGCGTCTGGCCGAGGAGAACGAGGAGGCCGAGGAAGAGGGGCGCAGGGATTGGCGACAACTTACAAATCGGTTATCGCCCGAGCTTCTGTCGCGCATTGTCGGGAGCCCGGAACAAGATGTAGACGGACATTTGCGTTGGACGGTGACTTCTGCGAGTACTTCCAATCGTGATGCAGATTATATTCCAGGTGTGGATTCGCCCTCGACAGAAGAGAAGGGGGACGACAGGACTGGAGCCAGACAGACGATCGAGCGGGAAAAGGAGTTCAACTTTCTTCCTGTGGATCTAAAGCGAACATGGCGAGAGGGCGCCATTGGACGTGAAAGAACGGAAGGTGCTCGAGACAAGACTTGGGCTTTGAGCGATCTTGTGCTGAGGAACTCGAGTCGTGTCGGGGGCGAAATCACCGTGGATGAGAGCACAGGAGAGGCCCAGATTCTGGGTGAATTGCAGTTCACGTTTGTGATGGTTCTAACCATGATGAACTTCTCTTGTTTACAGCAATGGAAGAGGTTACTGGAGCTCGTTTTGACTTCTCGACAGGCGATCGTTGAACGTGAATCGCTTGTGAGTGAAGTCATTCACATATTGTTGAAACAGCTCCAGAGATGCGACGATGTCGAAGGTGGGCTATTTGAGATGGATGGCGACGAGGGTGGACATTTCATACATGAGCTTCTCAAAAAGCTTCGCCGCTCGGTTGATGAGGTCGCACCGCAGGGAAGCAATTCAACGGTCAGGACCGAGCTTGGAAAACTGGAGAGTTGGGTTAAAGAGGAGTTCGACTGGGAGTTGAACCGTGAATCTGTTGTTCGACGAGGCATGCTCCAGTTGGAAGATGGCGAAGAGGTTGAGATGGAAATGGAGGATAACGATGCTGATGAAGAGACTGGCGAATATGCTCCAATGGTGGTTGATCTCGGGGAGCATCATACCCCAGTGGAAGAGGACGGTGATGAGGCCTCGGACCTTGGCGATGTACGATATTAATATCCATTTAGACAAATTGCACGATATTCCCAAGTACGATCATTGATATGACTCAAGTAGTTCTTTCCTATTCATGCACAAAATCTCAAATCGTATATACATTGACGAATGTACCAAAATTCGTCGAAATCATGATCTCTAGTCGCTAAACGGTAAAATGAACGGGGCCAACCTGGTTGGGGGACCTCACGGCAAAAAAGACCGTCTGTCTCAATCGTGAATCTACTGCTCTTCCTCAACGAGATACGCCCACTCGTGCTCCTCTTTGCCATACATGATGGCTTCGAGCCAGGACTTGATCTGAGCGGCGTAACCGGCAGGCTCGCCATCCTTGCCCAAAGTGCTGATGTCTTGGTCGTTGTTGCGGATCATGGCCACGGGAGTGATGAAGTACTATTGAAGATAAGTTAGTATTGTAGATCAAACAACTCTCACCAAAGCGATGGGGGATACAAAACTTACAGCAGTGCCTGAGACGAATGACTCCACAATACGGCCCTCTTGTGCGGCCTTCTCGATCTCACTGATCGTCAAGGTGCGCTCAACCACCTGCAGAGGAGCAAGCTTGCCAACGAAGTTCTCGGACAAACGTTCGCGGGCGAGCTCAAGAACACTACGACGTGTGACACCGGGCAAGATCAACTGGCTCTCAAGAGGAGCAGTCACCAGCTCGAGCCGGCCGGTGTCGGCGTTGTGCCAGATGATGAAGAAGTTGCTAGCGCCAGCCTCAGTGACCTGGCGGTCTTCGCCGAACAACCAGAGGATTTGATCGAAGCCCATGGCCTGAGCTTTGCCGTGGGACTGCAACGAGGGACCGTAGTTGGCACCCAGTTTGGCCCAACCGAAACCACCGGGCCAGGCACGGATGGAGTCGGGACTAGAAGCGAAGAGCTTCAGACCCTTGGACACAGTCTCGCCTTCCTTCTTCATCTTGGTGAAGTCTGGCCAGGGGACAGCGATGATGAACAGCAGTGCCTCCTTGGGGACCTGAACACCCAGATGGGGTCCGTTGCCGATCACAGTTGGGCGAATGTACAAGAACGAGCCGGGACGGTCCTTGGGAAGCCAGCCTGTGCGCAGAATCGGGATGTTAGTCAAAATGCTCTCAATCCAACTTCAATACAGAGTATATCACGTACGTGGGCCGTCAATCTCCATCAGCTTCGCAACAAGCTTCTTCACCTCATCAGCCTTGAAGCCTGGCAGAGAGGAGCGCTGCGAGGAAGTGTTCAGGCGCTGGCCGTTGAGGTCTGGACGGAAAAGACGCAGCTTGCCGTCGTAGCCACGGTAAACCTTCATGCCCTCGAAGCACTCGGTGGCGTAGTGCAAACAGGATGCAGTCGGCGGAACGCTGAGGTTCTGGTAGGGCTTCACCTCGGGAGTCTCCCAGCCATTGTTCACTGTCCATCGCACGGTGACCATGTGGTCAGTGCAATAGGAGTGACTCAGTTCCTCGGGAGAACCAGGGAGAGGCACATCTCGAAGGTTGGTGGAGCGGGTGATGTTGAATTTGGATGCGTCAAGCTCCGCGACGTTGGTAGCAATGGAGCCCATCTTGTATCTGAACGTGACGATTGAAGTGGTGGAAGATTGAAAGAGGGTTTGATGATCTCTGATTGAGAAAGGAGAGAGATTTTTTTGAAGGGTGAGTCACTGGGATCTCAAAGGTGAAATTGAACAGACAATGAACGGTGTCTGGTGGAGACGATTCGGCTCCTCAAAACTTGGCAGGAGAACGAGAGCTTGACCAATGTGTAGTCTTTCGATGGTGCTGCTTGCCGATACGAGACAGTAGCAGTGCGTCAGCGTGAGCACAATTTGTCAAGAAATTGAATTGCGGAAGTGCGGATGAATTTATCGAAATCGGCTTGCCCCGGCGAAACTGGATCCAAACTTTATCAAAGCCGAGCCGAGCAGCCCCCCCCAAAAACTTTTTTATGTTTTGCCGCTCGGGCATGACAGTCGCGACGACATCCTTATCGGCATCTAGATCCTCGAACCCTCTTTCTCTATCTGCGGGCTCCGCCTGTCATTCTCTTTCCGTTTTCACCCCTCCCTTTACAGACATTTGATACTGCAGTGTATCCATGCACGTGCAGCATCGATCTCGGCGATAGGATCCTCTTATCGCATGATTCGCATCCCACGACGGTAAGAGCGTGGATATCTTGTTGGAGGGTTAGCGTTCCGAACTGCCACACTAAGGTGTGCACGACTACACGCCTTTCGAGCGACAGCGGTGGAGACGCCTCCACTCTCCACCTATGAGCCGACGGTAGCCGGCAGGGGTCAACAGATCGACTGACGCAGGCCGCAAGGAGATTAAATCAATTCATCTTTCGACTAAACCGAGCTCGATCGTGGCTCTCAGATTCCGACATCATAGAAACAGGGCGATAGGAACACAGTTGGGAATGAAGGTGGGCGTATGTGCAACCTGCACGGATGCGCCTTACAACCACGTCGAGTTCAGAGGTCGGGCTCTGCAGATTGCCATCGTTTTTGAGGCATCGAAGACTTGGTAGTTTCCTCTTCCTCACTTTCGACTTCTTTGACGACTTCGGGGTTTCGGCACAATCGGCCGTAAAGTCTCAGCTTTTTTCATGCCGGACTATAAATATGACCGTATCTCCTTGTTGTCGGTGGCGTTCAGTGTTTTTCGGTTTCTACGACATCATGCTGTGCTTTTCCCAGCCGAGGAGGCAGACTGCCTTGGAGTGACCTCAAGCGCAGAAAGGTGATTGCAGCCCTAGTGCTGCCATGAAAAAAACACCGAGGACAATACCAAAGCAGAGCTGACGAGACCGAAGTCACTGAAGGATGGATGGACTTCTAGGTCACATTGATTGAATGGGGGAAGCTGCTTTCAGGCCAGCCAACCCGAGATTGATGCACAGTTCAGATTGATTGATTGTATAGCAGGGAATCACGGGAGACCGTGTCTGGAATCTATCAGTTGAGTCAAGTTCGATATGGGCACTCCAGTGCGTCGACAGATCGTCTGGCTCCCTCTCGACACTGAACACTCAAGCCATCAAGTTTGGGCTTCGAAAATCCTGAATACTGGAATCAAACGTCGGCGCAATGCCTTAGAGTTCGCAGCCGACGCGATAATTTCTAGGTTTGTTTACCACAATTCACCTCTTTCACCATATAGTTGGAGCTGGTATCGAGTCCAGAATCAGTCATTCTAGAATGTCTTCCGCCATGAAGGCGCAATTCGGTCGAGCTGTAACATCGGTCGAGCAACATGCCGAATCTTTTCAGATCATGAACGGTTCCTCTTCCGACGTCAGTTGAGCCCGAACGAGCCCTGCCTCGAGGGAAGTCTAGTACATTGTGACTTGGAAGTCCATCATCTTTCATCTCAGACTAGGTCATTTTATTTACTAGCGGGCCCAGTCTAGACGAGGCCGGACAATCCAATGTGCTGAAGAGGGCTTTGGAGGGTTTGTTTTGAGTACAGGTACTCGCTGGGTCATCGCGAGTCTTTGTGCAAAGCTCTTCAGCCCTTTTCGCCTGTGTGTCTGGAACAACTTGGTCTCTTACAGCGGTCGTGAACATGGCTTGAATTCTCTGAGTTCGCCAATGTGTCTAGCATGAGAAAATGACACCTTGGTGTTATGCTTCGCATTGTTGCCCGAGATTTGACGGATGTAAATAAGCCACTCGAGCGAAGCTTCTCAACCTCACCACAATAGACCCAGATCCCTTATGAGAGCTTGAAGACCTCCAAGCCTGTGGTATGAAATGCTTCCAGTTCAGCCAGGCCATTTCGACTTGCCCAAGGTGCTTGATTCTGGTGGGCTCAACATTATGTGATGGAGGCACTTGATCGGTAGGTTGATGCTTCAGGAGCGCAACCACAGTCAAATACCGCAGATCTCAGAAGACAGCTGCTCGGACTAGTGTGAATTTGGATTCATAGTCCAAGAAAAGTTGCTGCATAGTGCATGACTACATACCACCGAGCTGGGGCCGCATCCTAACGTGTGGTACCTGCTGGAGGTCCTTGCCGCACAACTTCCAACCTGGTGGAATGGTGGAAGCAGCATGAGCTGAGTCAGCATTCAACTTTATGCCCAGATAAGATAAGCACAACACCGAAGCGAAAACCCTCAAAATTCGACTTCTTTGGCAAATCGCACAGGCCGCTGCGGACGTGAACCCCCCACCACCACCACTACCATCACCTTCTCCTCCGCCCTTGCCGTCCTCCCTCGGCGCGAGTATCAACTAGAATTTACCATCACCCTCAATTCCGTGTTCCGGCTCGAAGTCTTTTAACGCCCACAATGTCCTACGACGACCGCGTGAATGCGCGCCCGAATCTGAACGATGAGTCTGATGTCGAGGAGGAGGCTCTGGTCAATGACTACCGTGAGCAGGTCAATTACGAGGATGGAATGAGCGACTTGGACCGCACAACATCCCTCGGTGGCTCGCAGACTCAGGACCTCCAGGCACAGTTGACTGCCGCTGCTACCCCGCTGGAATACCAGGCCACTCTTGAGACCAAGTTCGCCAGCTACGACAACTACTGCAGTCTTTTCCACTACATTCTGAACTCGGAAGGCCCTGTCGACCTTGAAGTTCCCTCAGTAGGTGATATCTCGCGCAGTTTCATTGTTCAAGTTCGAGCAAAACAATAAATGAAAACCTCAGGCTTGGCATTTCTGAAAAACCAGGCTGCAGCTTCAAAAATGACTCGAAAGCTAACCGCTGTATATTTGCTCACTCTAGTACTACTGGGCATGGGATGTTATAGATGAGTTCATCTACCAGTTCGAGTCCTTCTGCCGCTACCGCAACCGCGTCGCCCGTAGTGGTTCCTCCGAAGAGGAGGCTCAGCTGCTCCGTGAAAACCCCAACACCTGGGGCTGCTACTCCGTGCTGAACGTTCTCTACTCCCTCATTCAGCGCTCCCAGATCAATGAGCAGCTCGCTGCTATCAAGCGGGGCGAGGACCCCGTCACCGTCGCTGGAGAGTACGGCTCTCGTCCTCTGTACAAGATGCTGGGCTACTTCTCCATCATTGGCCTGCTTCGCGTGCACTGCCTGCTCGGTGACTTCAGCCTCGCCATCAAGACTCTCGACGATATTGAGATGAACAAGAAGGCCATGTTCGCCCGCGTGATGGCCGCCCACTTCACCACCTACTACTACGTCGGTTTCTCATACATGATGATGCGTCGTTATGCTGACGCCATCCGCATGTTCAGCCACATTCTGGTCTACGTCTCCCGGACGAAGAACTTCCAGAAGGGCGGCAACAGCTATGATGCTATCGCCAAGAAGAACGACCAGATGTACGCTTTAATCGCCATCTGCGTTGCTCTCCACCCCACTCGCCTGGACGACACCATCCACTCTGCCGTCCGCGAGAAGTACGGCGAGCAGTTCCACCGCATGCAGCAGGGTGGCCCCCAGGCTCTCCCTGTGTTTGAGGAGCTGTTCCGCTCTGCTTGCCCCAAGTTCATCAGCCCGACTCCTCCTGACTTCGACAACCCCGCGGTTAACGTTGACCCCGTTGACCACCACACCGCCATCTTCATGGATGAGGTCAAGAACACTCTGTTCAACCCCACTATCCGCTCCTACCTGAAGCTCTACACTACGATGGATCTGAAGAAGCTGGCTGGCTTCCTGGAGGTTGAGCCTGAGCAGCTCCGCTCGTGGCTCCTAGTCAACAAGCAGCGCAGCCGCCAAATCCGCTGGGTCGAGGGCGGTCTGCTCGAGGGCGAGGCCGTCATTTCCAACGATCTCGACTACGCCCTTGAGGACGATCTGATCCACGTCAGCGAGACCAAGGCCGGCCGCCGCCTGGTGGACTGGTACCTGCGCAACCTTGCCCGCGTCTACTAGAGATTGTCCTTCCCTCATTGAGGCAATCCGCCACTCATCCCAACCGGGTTGATTTCACAGCCCACGGCATGCCCTGCCGTTAGGCGGGATGAGTTAAAATATGGAGCGATCTGCTCCCCCTGGAGGAAAGAAATGGTACATGACACGAGATGAACTTTTCCTTCATAATCTTCGCATTGCTTCCACTTCCCCCTTTCTTCCCTATATTCCTCCTACTGTTTCTCCCTCCTCTGGTGCTGGTGTCTAACCGCCTTTTGTCTGGTTTCTCTTTTTTTTTTGGGTGCTCTTTTTTTTGCCCTGGTCATTGGTCCTCACTCTCAGAGGCCGGCGGGCCTGTTCCTGTGGACTCGAGATCAAGTCGGGTCATCGCAATATCTTAGGAGGGCGTACGATTGTCATTTCCCGCAGCCTGCGGCTCAGCTTCTTTTACACATGGGGATGTTGCACTCATGGCGAGTGTTTGTGGCGGTAGATGGAGAAAAAAGACTTGATGAAGCGCATAGATTAACAATCATATATTTCCCATGTAGACTCCCGAGGACCTGAACTCGCTCGTGATGTGATTTGAAAGCCGATGAAGCTCTAGTCAAAGTTTCCAGCTAGTAGTATGCGTCGTTATGGATCTAGACCTCCATCTGCCATCGGGCTGTAGTATTGCCGCGGCCGGCTCCTTGCCTTCGAAATCGCTTAATCAAGTTCTGATAATAGGCAGGTGTGTCTCCGCCAGTGAGCTACAATTTTTTTCCTTCAACTACAAGCCAATCTCTCCATGTTTGAAGTTTCAAAACAAAACACAGGAACCCCACCATCCAACAATGGAAATTCCACAAATCACCTCCAAACTCTCCACTCGACCTGTCCAATTCCCAGATTGCTGTCTCTCCATATCCACAACCCTACTCCATACCCTAGCAAGTCTGCTCCCCAGACAGCCCGGATTCACACTCTCCATAGGCAGCGGCTCAGGTCTCCTTGAAGCACTTGTCTCGCAGTCTGATCCTCAAATATCCATCGAGGGGGTCGAAGTGGCTTCGGATGTGAACCGGTACATTGCCGAGGAACATATGCATGTCGCAGGTGGTGCCTGGGATCTGTATGCTCGGGCGAAGCAGGCTAGTGCGTGGATGTTTGTCTATCCGCGGGAACCGAGATTGGTCTCGAGGTACATTGAGACCTATGGCAATGGGGATGAGAATGGGGATGGGAGGCCTGAAATGATTGTTTGGTTGGGGCCGAAGGTGGATTGGGTGGATTATGAGGTGTGTTTTCGGCAGTCAAGGTACTGTGAGTTATGGGTTTTGGGGGAGGAGGAAGGGTTGGCGCCTTATGAGAGTGCTGTTGTGGCCAGGCGTGTGTAGTTTGACATGATATTTCTAGCTGTGATATGTGGTCTCTTTGGGTGTTATACCTGCAATCTGCATTGTTGGACGAAATTTGTAGTATACTGTCTTGGCCACGACATTTCACTAGCAGTATCTTTGGAAGTAGGTCAAGTCTTCTTCGAGGCCGGCTACCATGCCGAGTGCAACCCATTCTATAGGTGAGGCGAATATGTATGTGCAGATGCTATAATAATACATGCAGGAGAGGGATATAAAGGTAGTGGAGTTCCAGGTTCAAATCACAAGCTTCGTACCGGATCAATCCATCACGTCGAAGCTGGTGCCGCACCCGCAGTTACTGGTAGCCCGGGGGTTGTCCACGATCTTGAATTGACTTCCAATCAATTCAGTCGTGTAATCGACCGTGCTTCCCGAAAGCAGCTCGAGCGAGGGTTCGTCCATAATGACCTTTGCTGTGCCAGCAGCCATCGGAGTATTTTCTGACGAATCCACCTCACCCTCGAAGATAGTGTCCTCCTCCGAATCGATCTTGTTCTCGGACTCCAGCGACATCAGGTATTGGAAGCCATGACAGCCACCGCTTGTGACGGTAATGCGAAGATGGTGGTAAGGGTTCTCTTTATTTGTCGCGGACGGTGAGACGGACGGGTCAGTGATCTCGCGAAGGCGCTGTTGAAAAGTATAGTCAGCGAATCGATGTTTGTCACAGCCGCATGTCTCTGTGTTAGAAGCAAAATGGAGAACAAAAGAACTGAGAACATATAACAAGCACATGTGGAAAACGACAAAACGTTGCTCATGCCTACAGCGAGGTCATTCGAAGACAAACTCTCGCGAAAAACAAAAACATACAACAGTCAGGATTCGCATGTGGTCACCCACCATACTACTAACTGACCGGCGTGTGGCTTAAGTACGGCTGAACGGACGGGAAGCCCTGTTCTCCACACCCTGTGGTCGTATGTGCTTAGGGAGTATGAGAACTGAACCAAACCGCTGTCAGAAGAATGGTCCCACCTTTCGACCGGGCCACCTGCAGCTTGAGTCCAAGTGATGACAAATGGCGCTGACGGTGTATCCGCCCTTTTCTGTCCTCTCTGCGCGGCTTCATATGCGACAGCCAAGGAAAGCGCAAACAAGTAAAGTCATGTACGTACCGTCACTGCCCGAGGCGAAATGTTGATCATGAGCGTTTCTCCATCGTCTCCAGTCCGGGGGTTTTGCGTCACCTTCGTAGCAAGCTGAACAGGTGATGTGGAGAACGCAGCTGCGGGAAATTGATGTTGTCCTCGGCGCGTCCGCTTTGATGTGGTCGATCGAGGTGCTGAGAACGCCGTGGGAGCTGTGGTGAATCGGCGGGTTGCGGCTTTGGTAACGAAGGAGGATGCGGAGATGCGCAGGGCTGGTCGAACGGACAAGAAAAGCTGTGATGGGGCTTGGGACAGTTGGCGCAGAGCGCAAGTGTGGATCGGAAATGACGGCGACAACATATCTAAGGCCTAGATAGTGTGTCACTCTGCCCCTAATTTCTCTTTGGAAAGGTAGTTGGCGTGTAACTACTCGACTGAGAGAGGTGATGACCGCTGAGTTGCAGTCAGAATCATGATGGCTCTCGTCAGTTGGCCGCGGGTTAGTCAGATAGTGGCGGCACCGGCCCGACATCACAGGTCGCTTTCGGGCGGAAGTCAGCGGCATTAACGATGACAGCGAGCAGCCCGCATAAGCGGGGAAGTGAGTGTGTCATGAGTACAGAACTAAAGATAGTTGTGAGCTTGGTATGTGTTCACTTTCGTGTTCGAATTAGATGTTCTAGGTAGCTAACTTTCGCTTCAGATAGAGTCTCGGAGTATTATTTGTTTCGACCTCAGCCTCGAGCAGGTTAAAGTTCATTCAACATGGGTTCTCGGCAACATCTCCGAGATATACAAACTGGACCCCCACTAGATTATCACGATGATATTAGAGCCAACTCCCGAGAGTATGCCGAAGCGCTCGACAAAGAAGACTCATTGCGTGGGTTTCGCAGTGAATTTATCATTCCGTCCAAGACGGACTTGAAGCGCAAGGTTTTGAGCGATGCACAAAGTATGTATATTGATATAGCCCACTGCTTGCAGTTCTTCAAGAATTAAGGCTCATGTCGTTTTGGCAGGCCTCGAGGACAATGCCGATGAAAGATGCATTTACTTGTGCGGTAACTCGCTCGGCGTGCAGCCGCGAAATACCCGGCAGTATATCGAGCGATATTTGCAAACATGGGCGAGAAAAGGTGTCTTTGGTCATTTTGTACCTCACAGCGACCAACTGCTACCTCCCTTTGTGGAAGTGGACTCTGCCGCGGCTAAGCTGATGGCACCCATCGTCGGTGCGTCTGAGAGTGAGGTTGCAGTGATGGGAACATTGACTGCCAATCTTCATCTCCTCATGGCCAGTTTTTATCAACCGACTACCGAGAAGTATAAGATTATTTTGGAAGGCAAAGCTTTCCCGAGCGACCATGTAGGAAATCCTGTGATCATGTACCTCTTACAAGGCACTATGCCCTCTCCTTAGCTGACGGCAGGTCACCACAGTATGCGATTGAGTCTCAGATCTTACACCACAAGCTCGACCCCAAGCAAGCCATGGTTCTGATCGAGCCTGAAAATCCGGACCGCCCAGTGCTCACCACGGACCAAATCATCAAGGTCATCGACGAGAATGCTTCCAGCACCGCCTTGATACTGTTGTCTGCCGTACAATTCTACACCGGCCAGTACTTTGACATTCAACGGATCACAACCCACGCTCATTCCAGGGGCATCTTGATTGGATGGGACTGTGCTCATGCTGCCGGCAATGTTGACCTGCGTCTTCACGAGTGGGATGTTGACTTTGCGGCATGGTGTACCTACAAATACCTGAACAGCGGACCGGGAGGGATGGCGGCAATTTTTGTACATGAACGACATGGCCAGGTAGACGAACAACAAAACTTCCGACCACGGCTTGCCGGCTGGTGGGGGAACGATCTTAAAACCCGATTCCAGATGAAAAATGGTAAGCTTGAGACAATCCTTGACCCATCGACGCTGATAATGACGGTGATACTAAGACTGTCGTCAGACTTCGTGCCTCAGCCTGGTGCTGCTGGATTCCAGCTTTCCAACCCATCGGTCTTGGATATCAACGCTGTAGTCGCTTCGCTCGAGATTTTCAAGCGTGCCGGCATGAAGTCGATCCGTGAGAAGTCATTACATTTGACCGGCTACTTGGAGCACCTCTTACTCACCTACCCGCTTGATTCATCTCCCGAGAGCAAGCCTTTCATCATGATCACACCTGCAAATCCCGCAGAGCGAGGTGCTCAGCTCAGCTTGCGGCTTCGACCCGGTCTGCTGGAAAAGGTTCTACCCTATCTAGAAGAACATGGCGTGGTGATTGACGAGAGGAAGCCTGACGTCATCCGAGTGGCTCCTGCTCCTCTCTACAATACGTATACTGATGTGTGGGAATTCTGTCAAGTCTTCTTTGCAGCTTGCCGAGAAGCCGTCCAGCCGTCAGCATGAATGTCACTCAAATGAGACAGAACTGGGGTGAAAGGGTAGAGCCTGATGCTCGAGTACGTCTTCTTGCATCACATGAGCTGTTGACAGGTCGTCAATTTTAGGTTCAAGGCGTCCTGAGTGCATGTCTACATCTGGTGTTCAATGTGGCCTGCATTGTGCAATAATAGTTGACATTTGGAGAATGTCAGGCTAGACTTGATAACCATAATGCCTTATCGGTAAAGGTGTTATTGCGAGCGGAAAGCTTGGCTGCATGTTAGACACACACCTAGGTATGATCTGATACATTCTATATTGATGTAGTCACTGGAGCGCGACCAGCTTCGGCAATGCTGATTAGACCATAGAGACGAAAATAATTACACCGTTACCAGAGCTCTGTGACTATGTAGTATCTACATAAGTATACCTATGTACTACTCTTGCTTGTAAGTTAACGTGCTTTTTCTTGTCAGGGTCGGAGTAGTCGGAGTTCTAGACGGTGGCGGTGAGGGTCTCGGTCCTGCCAGCCACTGATTTGATGGAGCCGTGAGGCGGATAATCGGCGGGCACGTTCTGAGTCGGAGTAAAGTCACTCTGCAACGGAGTAGATAGTCCGCTTTACATGAAGCAACCGGACTTAGTTATTTCCAATGCGATACGATACGCCCAGTGGCTAGAGGCGGGCTCAACCGCAGCCCAGACGATCGAGCGAGATCGTTCGGCATCTCGGCACAAAGTCACTGGATTTTCATGCTCCACAACACGGCGGAGATAAACCGGACTTTGCCAGGGCTGCGATGGATGCGATGATTTGACACCAATTAGGGACTGTACAGATGAAGATTAGTGACACGCGATGAGGGAAGGAAGACATGTGCGGGAGCGCTCATATCCCCCTACCATCCCACCTTTGACCATGTCTCTTACCAACGCGCTATCTCGATTCTCTTGTGTCGTTGGGTGAGCGACCTCGCCAAACAAATGCATGATGGGCACAGCACCTGCGAACGCGATCCCCACAGCCGCCGAAGCGGCGCAAGAAAAGGTTACAGGTGAAGGGACACAGAGTGACCGTGGCATCGAGAGAGATTATACAGTATTTTCGAGGAGCCAGCGCCGGTACATTGTGTTTATGGCCTCGTGGGCTGGATTCTTCTCTCCAGTCTCATCTCAGATCTATTTTCCCGCCTTAAACACCTTGGCAGAAGATCTTCATGTCTCAAATTCGTTGATCAATTTGACACTCACCAGTTACATGGTATGTGCACTTTATAGTCCTTTGTAACGACCAGATCTTTCAGGGCTAACACTCGATGGCAACAGATCTTTCAGGGCCTAGCGCCCATGTTCATCGGTGACTTTGCCGACAAAGCTGGCAGACGACCAGCGTATATCGTGTGCTTTACAATCTATATCGCTGCAAATGTGGGGCTCGCCCTGCAGAATAACTATGCGGCTCTTTTTGTTCTGCGATGCCTACAAAGTGCTGGGAGTAGTACCACCATCGCCCTGTCATCGGGGGTGGTCTCGGACGTGGCGACTGCCGCAGAACGAGGCTCATATATGGGCTTTGTGACGGCTGGCTCTTTACTTGGTCCCTCCGTTGGCCCGGTTGTTGGAGGATTGCTTGCTCAGTATCTTGGCTGGCGAGCTATCTTTTGGTTTCTGGTCATCTTTGCTGGGGCTTTCATGGTCCCATTCCTCATCACCTTTCCGGAAACTGCGCGGGATATTGTTGGTGATGGCTCAATACCGCCTCAAACGTGGAATATGTCCTTAGTTAGCTATCTCAAGGCCCGAAAAGCGAGCGAAGAAGGCATTGAGGCACCTGCCAATCCTACTCGACCCAAGCTTCGATTTCCAAATCCCTTGCAAACTCTGGCAATCGTCTTCCAGAAAGATACGAGTATTGTTCTCTTTTGCAACGCCATACTTTTTGCTGGGTTCTACGACGTCAGTGCCACCATTCCATCGATATACAACGAAATCTACGGCTTGAATGACCTTCAAATCGGATTATGTTATATCCCTTTTGGGCTCGGATCATGCATTGCATCAATTCTCAACGGCAAATTCCTAGACTTCAACTACCGTCGCATCGCAAAGGCAACAGGGTTCCCCCTCGTCAAGAACCGGCACACAGACCTCAGGAACTTTCCCATCGAGAAGGCTCGCCTGCAGATTGCTTTTCCGATGCTTGCGCTAGGTAGTCTTTCTATCTTGGCGTTTGGGTGGTGCCTGAATTTCCGAGTCCATTTGGCTGCACCAACAACCATTCTTTTTCTGATGGGGCTCACATTGACTGGAGCCTTCAATACTATCAGTACTATTCTGGTCGACTTTTATCCGAAACAGGCGGCGAAAGCTACAGCAGCCAACAACCTCTTTCGCTGCCTCATTGGAGCTGGAGCCACGGCCTTGATTGATCCAATGCTGGCTGCAATGGGCCGCGGATGGTGCTTCACATTCATAGCTCTGGTGATGCTCGCAACCTCCCCGCTGCTGGTTCTCATCATCCACAAGGGGCCACAGTGGCGAGAAGAACGCCGTGTGCGAGAAGAAGTCAAAAAAACACGAGAAAGAGGCGAGAACATATAACGGGGAATTGAGAGTCCTCGACTCGCGAGTATGAGGAGGCTTCCCTCTCCTGATTATTATCTTCTGTCTCCATCCTTGGACCTGTCACGTTGATATGATCTTGATTTAATTTTTGAGCGCATCTTCTTCTAGACTAAGACCGCTGTACTCTAATATTTGAAGATTTCAAGAAGCTCGCAGAGAATTTGTAACCGGCCAATTCAGCTTTATTTGATACTTCAATTATTTTGTCGGACTAGTGTTCATGACGCTCTGGACAAACCCACTCAAGATCCTTGGAATCATCCTTTCAGTGCAAAGAATGCTCGCTCCAAGGGCTGTCTCTCTGATTCCCAGGCAAGCCAGTCTGATCTCGTGGTTCTGCTCGAAGGGTTAGCTTTCAAAATCCTGCCCTGCGTGATTCAGGGTTGGACACATACGGCAGAAGTCCCATCGCGTTGACTTTCCAGATACCCAATGCTAGCAATAATAATTGCATCAAAATATAAACGAGCTTCACAGCCACCAGGCGCCCGCGCGTTGAAGGTGTCTCGTATCTGGCGAAAGCCTCATTGGTGCTGATCAAGCCTTGGATAGGGCCCTTGAACAGCATGAAGACCATCATGATACTGAAAATCTGGAGACTGTTGCCGGACATGTACATCATGATAGCGTTCATGGGAAGTTGTTTGGATGGAGCGATGGCAATCTCCCAAGCTTTCTTCATCTTCAGGGCGTCGGTGTCCTCAGCTTTCTTCGCGATCGGTTGCTGTTGCTGGCGCTGGTACCTGTCAGCTTCCTATCACATCTGATGACCTGCAAATCCAATTGCCAATCCTGTGATCGCTCACCTGTTTGCCTCCCCGACCGCTGGAGAAACCTGGTGGATCCGGAATACTAGAGGCGGCTTTGGTGGGACGCGGCAATGTCGAGTTCATCGCAACCACCCATTCTGGCGGCGGCGGTGGAGGGAGAGGTGAAGACATGACAGCCAGTTGGGATTATCGCAGATGCTGTCCTTATCAAGTTCTAGTCCCAATGAAGCGCGAGTTGGCTGAGTGTAGTAAAGGAGGGGGTTTGCAAGTGTGGGAAAGATGACGGGACCAGGAGGTTTCCTCCGCAGCTGTTCCACTTCCACTCCGCCTTGCGCCTGAGCTGGACTCTCCTTTCTCTCCGCGCCTGTGTTCAGCGTCCTTCTCGTCCTGTCCACGCCGCCTGTCCATTGCTCGAAGATCTTTGAGTAGTATGTCCAGTCGATGACTTTGACACCTTGCAAACCTGTCCAACGGGCCTGAATGGTGGTTCAGTGAACATCCTCCTATTCTCGATCTCCCGACCACTCCGCCCACCTCCCCTCCTCCTTTCTTCTCCAATATCGCGAATCTTACGGAGACCCCAGTGCGACGGCCTCTACGCCTTGCGTTCGATCTCACATACCTTCCTTCTGTCAGATCAAAACTATTGGAGTGGAATTACATGGTATAGAAGTGCACGCTCCGACTTTTGCATTCCTTCTCAAGAAAAGGAAACCTTTAACATAAATATTTGATTTGGCAACAAATATACATCATGAGCTCTGCAGGTGACGCGAAGCTCTTTGCGAGGGTATGTACCAAACAAGCTCTCCTAGTTCATATTTGGCTAGATGTCTCGGCGAGCGCACTGTGGCTTTGGCGCCTTCCCCGCATCGACTTATCAAAGCATGCGCCGGTCGTGTGAGATGCGACAAGGCGTCGCCGAGAGATTCAGTGTGTACCCTGGCCTTCTGCGCTCTGGTCGCAGTCCAGACTTTGCTCCTTTCATATACCCAAATTTGCAATCACAATGTTTGTCGGCTTTCCACATCACATATTACTTAGCTCACGCGATGTGCAAACCTCACAGGGCAAGGTCGCCGAGCTGCGACAAGAGCTCAACAGCGGCGGCAAGAAGGACAAGAACTACTCGGCCAAGAAAATCGCCTTGAAGAAGATTGTTGCCAACATGACCATGAGCAACAATGACATGGTTGCGCTCTTTACCGACGTGATCGAATGCATGACTCTGCCTAGTTTGGAAATCAAGAAGATGTACGTTTTGGATCAGACACACATGGTCCCTGGAGGGAACAAAGCTTTGAGGTGGACTAGGCTCATTGATATTGTGTCTTAGGTGCTTCCTCTTCTTGGTCAATTATTCGAGGCTGAAACCTGAGGTGGCGATGAAGGCCCTGCCGATTCTGGTTGATGTGCGTGTTGGACGCGATATACTCTATGATGAAAGAAGGGGATGATAATCTAACATGCCCACGCAGGATATGGATGATACAAACCCACTGGTGCGCGCTCTCGCTCTCAGGACAATCTCATACGTCCACGTGCGCGAATTTGTGGAAGCGACTTTCCAACCGTTGAAGCGACTCATGCAAGATAACGACCCTTATGTTCGCAAAACGGCTGCTTTCTGCGTCGCCAAGCTGTATGAGCACGACAAGAAGACCGTAGAGAATTCTGATCTGATCGACCGACTAAATCGCATGTTGAAAGATGAGAATCCAACAGTCGTGTCTAGCGTTCTGGCTGCTCTATGCGATATCTGGGGTCGCAGTGAATCGATCTCACTCACCATCGACTATGTCAGCGCCTCAAAACTGGTTTCAATATTGCCTGATTGCTCAGAGTATGTACAAACTCACTGGACACCTCCAGGCGATATGCTAAAATCTTGTGAATAGGTGGGGTCAAAGTTATATTCTCGAGGCACTGATGTCCTATGTCCCACAAGACACTGCTGAGGCCCTTTTGCTGGCCGAGCGAGTTGCGCCTCGGCTGTCCCATCAAAACTCTGCTGTCGTGCTCACTGCCTGTCGAGTCATTCTCTATCTCATGAACTATATCGCCGACGAGAAACACATCTCCTCTCTTTGTCGCAAGCTATCGCCGCCCCTGGTCACGCTACTTTCAAAGCCCCCTGAGATTCAGTATCTCGCTCTACGGAATGCCATTCTTATCCTACAGAAACGACCTGAGGTCCTTCGCAATGACATCAGAGTCTTCTTCTGCAATTACAATGACCCAATCTACGTGAAGGTGACAAAGCTTGAACTGATGTTCATGCTGACAACGAAAGAGAATATCTCTATTGTACTTGCAGAGCTCCGCGAGTGAGTAGAGGCTTCCTCGACCCCTGCATTGTCCTACAATCTTCTAACCAGTCCGCCACTAGGTATGCAACTGAGATTGATGTGCACTTTGTGCGCAAAGCAGTACGTGCCATCGGCAAATTGGCTATCAAGATCGAATCAGCTGCCAAGCAGTGCATTGATACTCTCCTCGAATTGGTCGATGCAAAGATCCCATACATTGTTCAGGAAGCGACAGTTGTCATTCGCAACATATTCCGCAAATACCCCAATCAGTATGAGAGTATCATCAGCAACGTGATCCGCAACATTGATGATCTTGATGAGCCTGAGGCCAAGGCGGCTATCATTTGGATCATTGGCCAGTACGCTGATCGTATTGAAAACTCCGACGCCCTGTTGCAGGACTACCTGGCAACATTCCACGATGAGCCCATCGAGGTACAACTCGCTCTACTAACTGCCACGGTCAAGTTGTTCATTCAGCGGCCAACCAAGGGGCAGCAACTTGTACCCCAGGTGCTCAAATGGTGCACAGAGGAGACCGATGACCCGGACCTCCGTGATCGGGGTTACATGTACTGGCGCCTGTTGTCCACAGACCCGGCCACCGCTAAGCAAGTTGTGATGGGTCAGAAACCTCCCATCACAGCAGAGAGCGAGAAGTTGGATCCCCGTACATTGGAGGAGCTCTGTCTCAACGTGGGTACACTAGCAACCGTGTATCTCAAGCCCATTCATCAGGTCTTCCGTGCCGCACGTCCTCGTCGGTTACAGCCCAGCCCAGCCCTTCAGAGCCCACCGCAGGAAGACGGCACGGCGGGTCTGCTCGAGTACAATCCTCCGGCTGCCAACCCAGGATCTAGCTCGACTAGCAACAGCGGCCTCGCGACAATCACAACGACAGGGAATCCCACCAGCCCGGTCTACCCTCCACCTCGTCCCGCATATGCCGTCGAACCCAACGCGGGCGGAAGTGCTGCCGGTGCCAATGCCATCAATGCGGCCGATCAATACTTTCAAGGCATCGGCTCTCAGCAGATGGCCGCTATGGACCTGGGAGGGCGTGAGGATGGTGGTGTAGGTGGTGGCGGAGCTCCCCAGTCACAGTATGTCGTGACACAAAATCAGCAGCAAGCATATCAACCACAGTATGCGGGTGGTGCCCCTACGGGCGAGCTGCTACTGTTGTAGTTGTTATCGCGGCTGTTGAATATGTAATTGTAAATATCCGAGTCCCAACAGAATTTATTTGAAACTGTGCTTTTATTTGCCAGTGTACGTACGTAACAGGTACTCGTTATTTTTAAGGGCGACAAAAGCTGCCCAGAATAAGCGTCATTGGAAGATCTCTGGCTAGGTATTCTTGATCCTATGTATGTCGCTTCTTCCTTGCAAATAGGATTAAAAGAACTTGGAAGGGTGTGAAGGTTGACGAATGGGTGATGTTCTTCTCCGCGGGAAGAAAGCGAGCGGCCTGGATGAGATGGGGCGAACAGCGAATGTGCGGGAGCAAAAAGAAATGGGACAAGCCAGGCTCGAACTGGCGACTTTACGATAACAGAGACAGAAGTTGTTCTTCAGTCGTACACTCTCCCAGCTGAGTTATTATCCCGTTTGATGAATAGAGATCTACTATTTGTTATCATGACCCAGATTGCAAGCAGGAAATGGAGCTGCTAGGTATATAAAACTTGAACGCAACTCCATTGATTAAAAAATAAATATTTGAAGGAGTTTTGTCTTTTTCAGATCGAGGATGTCATGTGCCATCGATAGCCCGTGCCATTGATGACTAGACTAGTAGACACTAGACACTAGATAGTAGACTGACATTGTGATAAGCGGATGTGCAACAGAGAGATTGACACGTGATCGCGTTATCGGGCGATATGCGCAACAGGCGGCGCTGGCCACTCAAAGAGGAAGGCCCGAGCAACTTTCTCCATGTCAACATCTTCGTCTTCACAACTTCGTGGCTAGCCTGTTGAAAGCATCACAAAATGGGTGGCGATCTAAACTTGAAGAAGTACGTGACCATGTCTTCCCATGGCACCCTTTTCACTATTCCTGCTACAGTCTTCAGGCGAAGCTATGCGATGCAGTACTAACTAATGTCGCAGATCATGGCACCCGTCGTTACTTCGCAACCAGGAGCGCGTATGGCAGCAGGAGAAGCGCGCTCTCGAGGAGCGTAAAAAGGTCGAGCAGCTTCGGCGTGAGCGAGAAGAGGAACGTCAGATCCAGGAACTCCAGCGTCTACAGGAAGCTTCAGGCAAATCTGCGCCGCAATCTCGAGTCGATTGGATGTACCAAGCGCCCTCGAGTTCCACGGGCCACTACTCCGAGGAAATGGAAGGCTATCTGCTGGGCAAGCGAAGAATTGACGGGATACTCTTGAAGAACGATACGGACAACCAGAAGCTCGAGAAGGGTGCAGACGTGGTCGGGGCTAACGCGGCGGCTGGTCCGTCGGTTGGCTCTGCGCGAGACACAATGACAAAGGTCCTCAACGATCCACTTCTTGAAGTCAAGAAGAGAGAACAGGCGGCATACGAGGCTGCTGTCATGGAGGCTGCCAGACGAAAGGAGAGAGAGGCCCGTCGCAAGGGCGGAAGTGGACGGGACAGGGATCGGGATCATCGCCACGGGGATCACGATTCGAGGCATCGACGATACAGCGATGATAAAGGCGATATTCGTCGACACAGACACCATCGCAGCGACCGCCGAAATCGCTCAAGATCACCTAGATCGCCTGAGCGATCGCACCGCAGACATCGAAGTGAGCGTGACCGCGACCACGACCGCGACCGACGCAGGGACGACAGGCGACGTGATGATGACAGAGATCGTCGCGACGGCCGATCTCGAGAGGACCGTGACCGTGACGAGTATTCCCCCCGCAGAGAGAGAAGGGACTCCTATTCAACACGTGCGGGAGATCGTGACTCAGGGTCGAAGCGTGACTACGATCGGGCGCCCGAGAGGTCCCGAGTTGATTCGCCTCCGCGTCGACGGTCACCTTCTCCGCCTCGAAATTCCAGACGCGAAGACCATGGGAACGACGACCGTCGAGAGCCTGTCCGTCAAGGTTACAACAGCCGTCCCGACTTCTCCAGGCGTGGTCGTGGCCCCTTATCAGGTCAGAATGGATCTAGCGGGCCCGATCCCAGGACACAAGAAGCAGAGCGCCTTCGTAAGCTCGCCGAGATGCAGTCGAATGCGAATGACCTGGAAAGTGAACGACGCCAACGCCTCGCGGATATCTCTGCAAAAGAAGAACAAGAACGAGAGGCAGATGATAAGCAGCGCTCGGATCGTGGTCGATTCATCTCCAAAGTCCACCAGCGGGCCCAAGAAGACAGCCTTGATGAGCGTATTCGACGCAGTCGTGGTGGACTTGCCAGGATGGATGAGGATTAAGGCTTTTTGAAATTCAATGTCCTGAGCCTTTGCAGTTGATCTATGCTTGAATATGCGTTGATCTGTTGCCCTCTACTCGGGCTAGATGATAAGCTTCTCTTCGATCAACGACGTTTCCGAATGATCTAGACCCAGCATAAGGCATGGGCCTGTCCACTCTCAGACATAGTACCACGCGTGCTGTTCGTGATGCTCACACCTTGCTCTACATAGTCATTGTACTGGCTATGGTTCTGGATACCGATGCCCGTGGTAGGCAGTACGTGCCTGGCTCGGTCATGACTATACCGTCAACACATCATGTCGCCCATGCCTAGACGCTACACTTCGTTTCGAGACTATCGATTCGCAGGGTAGTACCTTGATCAATTCGAATGTAGTAACGACTTGGCTATCAGTTTTAAGCAAAGGTTCTCCCCTATCATCGCCCAGTGCCGTTTACAAAAGTATTAGGTATTACTGGACAAAAGTAGTAACCTTATAAGTGGCAAGTGAGGAGCGGGCACCGATAATCATGAACACGCTCTACATAGGTGAAAACAATCACTAAGTCGTCTTGAACCATGCACGACAGACTCCAAAATGAAATTTCCTCCTTGTCACAAGGTCCAGTGCGTGTATGACACCGTCCACCAGTACTACATCTTTCTATCTTTTTAAACCCGATGTTTACAATAAAACTGGACGGTGATAAAATGTACGTATCCGTCGAGAAAGGGTGGCCACGCCCGAAAATGTTACTCCAGATTCAGTCACAATATAATTTATGATGTAAAAATTGGATTTCCTATTTCATCGAATGGGATAATAACTCAGCTGGGAGAGTGTACGACTGAAGAACAACTTCTGTCTCTGTTATCGTAAAGTCGCCAGTTCGAGCCTGGCTTGTCCCATTTCATTTTTGTTTTTGATTTCCTTCCAGAGCCCGGCCGCGGCTCGGGTTTCCCTGCGTATTGCAACATTTCAATAGGCCGTGGAGTACTACATCTTTTTGATGCGTCTAGCAGATGGTCTCTACTGCGTTCAATTTTGACACCGCAGGTACTGATTGGCGCACTGGATTGGTTTTCGGCTTCTTCGCGTATAGTTTGAGCCTGTCGAATGCAGAATCGTGATCTTCCATTTGGGTGATCTTAGACGGAATACATTCAAGAAATTCAGGGTTCCAGTCATCCGTACAGTTTGAATCAATGCAAAGCCTAGTCCTACACGTTCAACCGCATATCGATGGAATCCACACGGTCATGTTCCCATCATCTTGGGCATGCGGACATCAGATTGCGCATGATTCACCCAAATTTGGACAATCAAGACCGAAACTGAATACCAAGCTCTTCTAATTTGCAGGTCTTTAACTTTGGGGCCTCGCACACCGGGGCTATTTCTGCGTGACGCATCCGGCAGTCCCATATAGTCGACATGTATTCACTCGGCACTGGGCGGTATCGATGGGCATCTCTATCACCTCATCGTCCCGCGACATCCATTGACCTACAACCTTGTACTTCGCGGCCGATGTTCCGGTGACGGCCAGGGGTCCCTGAAACACCTTAGCAGGCCGAGTGTTTTGAGGGCAGATGCAATAGAATCAGGGGGTATCTTTAAAGACGAACAAACTCTACACAAGCATTATGATATCATACATATAGAGGGAAAATCTTGAATGCAAATCATACCACCATGGTCGTCAAGTGCTCGAGATCTCTCGTGCTGTGATGGTGTCATGATTTGAACCCTGCTGACTGCTGCAGATCGGACAGCCCACAGTATATTCACATTTGCTTCCTGACGCGAGGAAGGTTGACCTCTATTCCAGTTGAGGTGTTTGAAGGCGGATAACGTTACAGAATAGCTGACGTACGTCCCCTCTCCATAGACGCACGTATGCAGAGAATGTATGGGAAAATGTTCTCCAGTGCGCTTCTTCCATAGCTCAAGTACACACTCTTCGAGTTGATTTGCACTAAGATACAGCCTCTTATATTGGGGTTAAATGCATACATCGAAAATAGATACACAGGTGGGACAACACAGACAGGGAGAATTATGGATAGGTGGAAGGCATTGCTCCTATGTCTAGGACTCACTGCACACGAACCGGGGAAGCGTAGAGAAAAGACTGAGAATAAAAAACAGACGGTGCACGCTTGCTCATTTTCCAACCAGAGACAAAATGTCGTCCGGCTATTTCATGACCTCGTAAGCAGGAATCTCGTGGACGTAGAATGGACAGAAGGTGAATGGAGATATCAGGCAGAAAGATTGGTTGCAGGAACAAGCCGAGAGCGGGTAGGATCTGATGGCCAAAATCTGTGCGAGCAGCCCGATTATGTGTCATGCATAAATGAATCAACCCATACTCAAGTTCGCAGTTGCTCAGGCAATGTCGTTGATTCCGGGGCCATGCGGACCTGAAGCTCAACTTATTTTGCAGACTCCCAGCTGACCCAGCTGCGAGGCATCACTCGCCAGACCTTGCACTCGCCACTGCGAAGGTCATTGAGCTTGAAGCTCTCCATCTTCACCTTCTTACTTTCACGTCCTTGCTCCCACGCTCGAATCTTCTTTTTGGTACCATCCCAGTCAACCACGATTCCGACGTGGTCAGGTTTGCCAACCTCGGCACTATACTTCTGATGCATCGTGCCACGGTGGCCCTGGAAACGAGCATTGCGGAAACTGACAATGTCACCGGCGCGAATCTCATCGTTCTGTGTGACAGATGCGTTGGCCAGATTTGAATAGACCAAAGCTCCGTAGGCGCGGGTCCCAACCGGGAGAAGGGCTCCAGACAAGGGCTTCAAGAGATGCTGAATCAATCCAAACGGAGTTCCATCACCGACAGTCGAGTTTTGAATAGAGTTGACAGCCTCGGAGATGCGGGTTCCAATCTGGAAATGGGCCTGTTCTAGTTGGTCCTGACGAGGCTGATGAGGAGGCGGTTCCTGGCGCTGCTCCAAGTGCGCATCCGAAGGGTTCTTGCCATCGTACTGGACCGTCACCACAGTCTGCGAGTAGTCCATAAAGAGCACGTAAACATCTTTCGAGATAGTGGTTGAGCCACCGTTGTTTGGAACTGAGGACTCTTCAATCTCGTAGAGGACGTCCTTGCGGTTCTGGAAAATCGGGGGAATCGTGTTGGGCTGGCTCCACCACAAGGAGCCTTCCCCCAGGTCTACATCGGTAGCGATGAAGCTCTGATCAATCGAGGGACGGGAGATGTCCATAGAACGTCGCTGGTTACGCATCAGATCCATGGATGCTCGTCCACTTCGGGCAATGGACGGCGAAGGCATGGAAGGGGCTTGTGACTGCGGGGGGAGGGGGCGGTGCGAGAGATGGTCGTTTCTCAAGAAGCGACGTAGGACGTTCATGCACTGGACTCGTCATTGGGGACGCATCGTACGCATTGCCGTAACCCCCAGTTGCAGCCTGGAAAGTGGAGACGGGCGGAGCTTCAGGACGTCCGCTTGGGGGCGGAGGCGCATTTGATAGTCCATGTCGAGGAGCTGCGTAGTTGAATGGATCGTATTCCTCATCCTCGGACATTGCACTTGTACCCAGGGGAGCATCTCGAGAAGGCGGAAGAGGAGGTGGCCCACGAGGCGTGTCTATAGAGGCACGGCCAGTGCGGGGTGGTTGACTCGGTGGAGGAGGGGGAACACCGCGGGGGGCAGCAGTAGGAGGAAGCGGCGGCGGCAGGCGAGCGTCAGTGGGGCTTCGGGCCGAGTAAAGAGACTGGTCATCTGTGATGGTTCCTTCATCGATACTCGAGTCTCGCTCACGGGCCTTCAGTGCGTCCTTGTGCTTAGCCCCCGACGCTATATCAGTGTCGTAATCTCCATCGTACTCCGTCACTTCTCCTTCGATGTCATCACCGGCTTGCCTTGGAGCACTTGTATGGCTGTCAACGGTTGAAGGTCGACGCGGTGGGCCAGGTGGTGGGGGAGGAGGTGCACGGTTTTGTGCTGGAGGCAATGGTGGATTTGTTGGGACGGGAGGTGGTGCACGGCTTGCTCTCTTATCAGCTACCGAGGTCGCAGTCGATGGAGGGGATGAATCATATGTCGAGGGACGACGAGCATCCAGTCGGTCGGGGAGTGCTGGAGCCGGCACCTCAGTCATCTTGGCTGGCTCATTTATAGACAATCTCCCGGCATGCACCGAAAGCTCATCATCGGACTCATCACCAGTTGATGGTCTGGGAGGAGGCATTACAGGACGGCCTGGATTCCCGTCAAGGTCAGATTGTGCAAAACTATAAAGGAATAAGAAGAAATGTACGAACCTGTTGGGGCAGAAGGCGGCGACCCTGGTGCTTCGGATGGCACTGGAGGTGGTGGCACCGGACGTGATCCGGGGACCGGAGGCGCTGGAGCAGCAGAGCGCTCTTTTGAAACCTTGATTAGCAGACTAGGAGCTTTAAAGGGGAGGGGGGATTGAGTGAACGTACCACTACCACTAGGCTGGACAGGAAGAGGCTGATCGACCGATCGACGCTTGGTGACGGGTTTGTGAACCACGTCCTCAACATCTGGCACTTCCCGTGAAGCATGCTGCTCCGTAATCGGAGCCGCTGGGCGCTCCTCATCCTCCTGCAGCTCTTCCTCCTTTTCCACATTGGTAGAAGCCATTGGCGCAGTGTTCATACCTGGCAGAGGTACAGGAGGAGCGTGGAGTGGAGAGGTCGGCTCTGGTTCTGCGAGCCGTTTCTCGGAGTCTCCGGGCGTCTTGGGTTTGCGACTCGCTGGAGGAGGTCCCATACCGGGAAGACCGCCTGGAGGGCCGAAAAGTCCCATCATGCCCATGCCGCCGCTCATCTTGGCCATTCGTGCGCGCAGCTCCATCCTGCGTCTGGTCTCCGGATCGAGTTCCTCCTCCTCGTCCTCTTCTTCTGCTTCTGGTTCTACCGCATCCTCCTCGACATCTGCTTCCTCGCCTTGTTTCTCAACCGCATGTGTGGACTCCTTGCGAAGTCTCTCTTCATCTTCCTCCTTGCTTGCAGAAGTCTCGCCGGCATCCTCAGATGCAGAATAATCGGCGTCATTCGACTCACTTGCGACTTCTTCGGATGGCGAGAAAGGAGCTGGCTGGGGCGGAGGTGCTCGAGCCCGGACCGTCTCAACGCTGGGATCCCGAGCAGTGCCGGCAGTGTCGGTAGGCGAGGTTGCAAGAGCTGGCTCAGCATCGACGGGCTCCGACTGTTGCTCCACGGGCCTCTTGGCAACAGCCTTGGCCTTTTCTTTCCTTTGCGCCGCTTCTGCGTGACGCTGAGACTGCTCTAACTGCTGTTTCTGCAACAAGGCAATCCGCTCCTTCAGACTGGTGGGCTTCGGCTGATCCTCCGATCCTTCTTCGGATGTTGGCAAGGGCGCTGGGGCAGGTGGAGGCGGACGATTTTCCGAGACAGGTGGCTCACGCGCCAGCTGCTCTTTCACATCGGGATCTTCTTCCCTTCGGTACACTTTCGGCGCGGGCTCCCTCGGCGGGGCGACAAATGAATCTTTGCTTGGTGGCGGGGCCACGAATTGTTTCTTGATGAAGGAGGTCGACTGCTGGGAACCACCAGGCTTGAACGGCGCAACGGGTGCAGCAGCGGACTGATTAAAGGCGGCAATTCGATCCCTGAATGATGATCCAGAGGGCTTCTCCGCGACAGCGGGTGGTGGAGGCTTGCTGGATTTAGCTACCGGAGGTGGAGGAGCTGCGGCCGCTGTGGTGGAGGCTGCGGGAGCTGCAGCAGACCTAGCAGGCTGTGGCAGAGACTGATGTGACACATAGGATTCGGCCGCGGGACTTGACACTCCCTGGGGAGACTGAGGAGGTTCCGCTTCAATCTGCTTGGAAGCTGGCGGCTCGACCTCCGCCGGGGCGGACTCAGCAACCTCAGGCTCGGTCTGCGACCGACTTTCGGTCGTTGCGACTGGAGGTTCAACAGGCGCCGATTCCGCATCTTTCTTCGGGCGACTTGGTCGTGTCGGTCGTGGGGGCGCAGGCGGATCATATTTCTCCACGAAATTCTTGGGAAAAATACCCTCGTGCTTGGTCGCCGCACCGTCTGTATACTCGCCGTAATACCATTCGTCATCCTCCACCGCCGTGACGGTTATGATTTGGCCAATGGGAAAGCTAAGGTCTTCATCGTGGCCTGAAGCATATTCGAAGACCGCTCTGACCGTGAAAGGCGGATTGGACATTTGGCCAGAAGGTACCCAAGGTCGCCGGGGGGAGGGTGGGGATGGGGTTAAAGACCACCAGAACGCTCAACCACAAGAGATGAGGGGGGATAGGCTGGTGGCGATGGAGCTAGACAGATTGAAGAAGTGAGCGCAAATCACTTGGCGAGTGGTCAATGAGTGAGCTTGGGGGGTTTCTTGGATTCTGACTGTCCTCTCAATTGTTGCCCGAGGTACGGGGTGTTGACCCGAATGACGAAAGTGTTCCTCGGGGGTGGGTAGAGGGGAGATTGGTGCCTAAGAGCGATGAGGGGGGAAGGGAACGGGCAAGAGGGGCTGGCATCGAACTCACCCGAGTGAAGCAAATTGGGAAGGGAACGACGTTCTACCAGGTCCGCAAAGATCAAGAGAGAGTGGCACTGTGTGCGAGCAGCCGGTTGTCGCACAAGAGGACCGGATGGGTAAGAGGTGTGGGAGATTGCGGGATGAGAAGGTTGAAGTAGTGAGGTGGTCGTCACTAGTGAGGTGGGATGGGACAGAGAGACGCAGAGCGGTTGGCTCCACTGGCGATCGGCGGCTGCTGTCCAGGCTTAAGCACGACCAGTCTGCCACAGAGCAGGCGGATGACAGATGAGCACTATAAGCCTGGTATCTCCAGCGTGAACCGGATTCCCAACACAAGTCCAGAGGTAGCTGATGTCAGGGTTTGAAACTCGGATCTAACACAGGCTCACTGCTTGTCCCCCGGATGAAACGGGAGTGCTTCAACGGAGGTGGAGCGTCCCATGACAAGCCACGGTGAAGTCCTCCCTCATGAAGGACGCCCATCGTGGAACACCCCCCAGCTTTCAACCGTGGGAAGCAGTTCAGTCATGCTTCCAACCGTCGATTAAAACCTATACTTCCTTTCTGTCAGTCCAACGACAACTGCAGCTTGTATATCAATTTCATTGTATACTCTACAGTTGAGAGAGGGTGTAAATAACCAAGTATCATCTGTATTAAATGCATGGCCCCAGATGATTTCCCCACACGCTTACTGTATAGTGTATGCTCATTACCTACTGTGCTTCAGAGTTCAGACCGAGAAGCACATACTGGTACAAATACAGCCTAGAGCAAGCTGACTTTTTCCGACACGACTACTCTCACAGCCCTGAGACACGCAACAGGTCACAGAAGGACAGAATTTGGGAGTTGTCTCAGATTGCCTGGGTCTCAAACCCAACGTATGAGGGTTCGCTCATCCACGGATTTGGTACCCAAAATTAAGCATACAGTCACACAGTGTAGTTGATTTGTGTAGAATTGTAGACCGGTACTAAGGTCATATGACGATTGCGTGGTATTCCTCAAGTTAAATTTCACGAATCCCTTGATCTCTCATATGGGTTTGACGAAGAGGACCACAAACTCACTGGGAGGATGACGCTGTAAAGGAGGGCGAAGCTCTTGGACTCGAACTGTCGAGTCCAAGGAAATTTTGCCTCTTCCCGCTTTGCGCCTTCTGCCGACCGAACCCTCGTAAAATATCTGAGGCCCCTCATAGTTCTCCAGGCATTCCTCCCCCCGCTTTCAGTTTCACTGCAGTACTTTTGGAAGACCGGCCTCAGCCTCTCCACTGAAGTCATCCAAATCTTCAAGGCTCATAGATCTTGCCCGACCGCCGTCGAAAGTGATACTCCATGATGGCCTCACAGCAGCGTTCTTCAGGTTCCGCACTGAGGACGTCCCTTCCCTCCGCCTACGCCGACCAGCTTGTGAATGCATCTCCCCTCCCCTCCTCAGAGGAGCAAGAGAAGTACCTGTCTGGCCGACCACGCGCCACACCACACCATCTGAGCGTGGCTCTTCAACATGCTCATCAGATCCAAGCCCAGAAGGACACCGAAGACATGATCTTAGATCGCATCATCGACCTGCTGGAACTGCCTTCGTTTCCCCAAGCCGACCCAGCCAACCCTTCCCCCGAAGACGCCAAAGCTTTCAAATCCGCCATGGTGATCTTCCGCGCAAGTGACTACGACAGCCTCATTCTCGAACGCAACAACGAGGGCAATTGCGGCTACACCCTGTGTCCGCGGGAACATCGCCAAGAACGAGGCAAGAACCAACTGTTTCAATTCAAATGGGGAGCAAAAGGCAGTGGCCCTGGTGGCCGGGGCCGTAGCATGGACATTGTGCCCCGCGACAAGTTACAACAATGGTGTTCTGAAGAGTGCGCCGAGAGGGCTCTGTTCATCCGTGTGCAGTTGACGGAGTCGCCGGTCTGGGAGCGACGTGCAGGCGAGGGGCGTAGCGCAGGAATTGAACTTCTGGAAGAAGCCCGGGCCAAGCGACCCCGACGCCGAACGGACGCGGCGCCGTCTGCGGCAGCGGTAGCAGTCGAGCTTGGGAACATGAAGATTCGAGACTCCCAGCGCGCACATGAGCTTGCGATGGAGCGCGGAGACACGAGTCTGCCATACCGGGGAGGGCGCGTGGACGTCCAGATCAAAGAACAGAACAATGTGTATCAACCACGTGCGCCGCAATGGCGACCCGAGGATGCGCAGGGAGGCTCAATTGAGGGATATGTTCCCCAAGATCGACGGGACAATGACGCGATGGATCTGGACGACGGAGACCTGCTGGAACAGATCTAGTTGTCATGGCGCATGGACCTGGCATGGAACATTGGCGTTTTAGGGCTTGTTCTCTTACATATCAAATACCCTCGGAAAGCATATGATATCTTACAGCATACGCGATGTGATTACGGACCAATTCTACGCAAGATCTCCAGTCAGTCGTACAGCACGGCGGAGAATCGCTGTGGCCAGAGACACAGATATACCTCGCAGTAGTCTGCAGTAAGGATCCTCTGGAACATCCAAGCCGATCGGCGAGAGCTACAGGCAGAAAATCTCGGAGGGCCCAAACGTTCCTCTCACGAAGATCAAGTGCACAAGGGACAAATAATTGGCAATCAAGCGTCATCTCCGTAGGGAGAATCAGCGACACCTTTGTCAACGGGAATCATGGTTTTTCATTCCTCATCCGTAGATGGTCTCCGCAGGAGCTAACAACATAATAGCCAGGGTCGGGGACACGCCAGGAGTCGGCCGAAGACAAGACTTTTTTTGGGATTCGGGTATTCGAGTCCGCAAATTAAATTTAGCGGGGGCCGAAGCGGCGGGGGCGCTCAGCCTGCTGCTGCTGGGAGACAGTAACGACGTTGACCTTGAGGTTGTCGAACTGTGAAAGGGAACACATGTCAGAAATGGAACCACGCAATCTAATTGTGCGCATCGAGTGAAGGATTCAACTTACGCCGAGGGTCTTGAGGAGATCCTTGGTGTCGGCATCAACGTCGAGCTGGCCGGACTCGGTCTGGGAGACATCCAGAGCAGAGACCTCAGGAACGTACTGATCCTTGCGCTCACGCTCCTCCTCCTGAAGCTTGAAGGAGATACCGCGGACGGGACCACGCTGAATGCGCTTCATCAAGTGGGTGGTGTAACCGGCAATCTATCGAAGAAATAATTCAAGTCAGAATGGCGCTCGTCGTGGCATTTGTGGGCTCTTGGCTGTGGTGTTGCGTTGTCGTACCTTGTTGCGGAGACGCTTGGAGGCAATGATGGCGATCTCATCGCAAATGCGCTTGTTGGTCTCGAAGTCGAGGGTGAGCTTGGGGTAGTAACGCTCAATGATGACCTTGGCGGACCGCTTGACGGTCTTAGTACGGACGCGACCCATGTTGGCGGATGTTGTTGGCTGGACGGATGTTCAGTGGCAGGAATCTCAAATGTTGCCAATCTCGGTCTCATTAGACGTGCTTCGCTAATTCGTGTGCGGGTCCTTGCCCTAGTCTAGCCCTAGCTTGTCACGTGCACTCTATCGCGCTCGATCCGGCTTGAGGTCGCAGTCGTCATGTGGTCCGGGTGGGGCCTGGGGCTAACATCATTAAACAGTAGAACTAGACACTAGACCCAGAATGAACCCAGTCTAACGGAGAATGTATTATCCTGCCAGCAAGATCCGCGATCCACCAATGACCGATCTGCCATCTCTCAAAAGGGGTGCTGGACCCACTGCTCCACTTCGAACGCATCTGAAAGGGACCTCGACCTTTGATAGGTATCTACCTACATGCCTACGAAGCAGGAGAGCGCAGAGCCAGAGTGATGATCCATATAAATTTGCTGCAAATGTAAACAACTTTTCACTGAGACCTTTGGTTTTAGACTCATGTCGTCGTATGGAGTCAGAGAAGTCATCATGGACCGAGTGTTCTTCCAACGTCGCTAAGGATCTGTGAGGCACTCTGTACCGTTTTTTTACGCTCGTTCCATGACCACGTTCTTCAAACACGCATTCCCTCGTGATATTCCCGCCCAATATCCTTGCAAGTCCGCACTTCCCTTAGTTATGGATGCGATTATTTTCCTATTGGGCTCATAAGACTTAGGACTCATTCAGATCTTTGCCGGTCCTCGCAAATTCGTTGGAGAATCAAGCATAGTTCAATAAGGTAATCTACAGCACTGTTCGCAGGCAAAGGGCTTCCACTCATTCGTAATTATCAACGTGTAGCCGGGACAGGAGAGTACTTTTTGGGATCTGACGAGAAAAGGTTCCCGCGTATTCTCAACCCAGAGAGCCGTTGTTTGAGACTCTATAACATGCTAACCCATGTTCCCAACTGCATTCCCCGGTGGCTTTCGTTCTCACCTTCATCTTCTGAAGCATGTGGGCCGAAATTTCTAAAGCAAACAGCGCTCACTCTGTTCCCCAGTACAACAAGGCGCAAACCAGTCTAGCTAGCAATGTGAATCATACTTCTCACTACTAAGATGCCCGGGGCATTGTCAAGCGCTATTGCCCCGTGTCGCGCCATCTGCGAATAGAGCCAGATGCTTTTTCCGGTCTCCCTTTGCAGTGTTCTCTAACCATTGCTACAGAGCTTGAGCGGAACGAGTCATACAATGATCTTCCGAATGATACGAATCATATTTCCCATGGTCGTAACAGGTCGATCAAAATCATCATGTTTGTCAGGTGGCTGAAGCATGCAAGTAACTCAGCCAGCGAAGCTCTCGAACGTTGCAGAATTGACTAAGCAGGTGTACCAGGATGCACGCAGACTCATATCATTTTTCTCACCCCTTCCATCTGGTGACCCGCCTGGGGAACTTGATATCTGACGTTACAACCTGTCTCCTGTCCAGTCTCCTAGCGATTCAGGGGAGAATGGTTCCTTTGAAAGGTCGTCGCTGACGCTGTCATGCTTGAATCGCTTTTGACAGAGGAGGGGATATGCACTGCCCAGATACTGCGGTTTACCCTGTGTCAAGCTGGCTAGGTTGCACGCTGGGTTTGTGTAATTATGTGCGGAGTAGGCTTGGCTGTCGTGATGGACTAGTACCTTGGATCCAGTGGGACTAAGACGCACCTAGTCAGGAAGTATGTGCCCGTGCCAAGTATTGTACGAGGACAAGGAGGAACGAAGTAGAGGATGAGAAGGGAAATGCGAATTGACAACACTACTTAGGCAAGCTCAACTCTGATATTGACACCGAAATGAGAGAGAGCCACAAGTCAGGCGACGCTTGTTCCTTCAAAGACTCCGTCAGAGTATTCTCGCCCATCGATTCAACGACCACGTTTATTGGTGATCAGCACCGCTCTTGCGACCCATTCAATGATGGGACCTGTGTGGCGGGGGCAATTATTGTACGCTATGATGCGTGACGAGCACAAGTCAAACATGATCATTGAGAATCATGGCGGACATTACAAGGCCTAGAAAAGAATGTGATTGAGGCCACCAAGAATTTTGATAGTACAGTACATACATGGACTGGGCCGCTTTATATGACACATGTGAAGAAGGGCCCGGGAACCCTCGCCAAAGAAAAAGTCCAATCTAATCGTACAACATTCTGCGTGCTGACTCGATACATCAGAATGTGATATATCATGCGCTGCTATCCTTCTTTTGAGCACCCGCTCGAAGGTCATTCATCAGGAGGCGGGCAATGTCCTCTGTGCCCTTCATGGGCTGTCGGCCGGCCTGTGGCCGCTGTTGGTACCGTGGTCGGTCCAAGCGAGGTACCGTGTTGGTGTGGCGGTGGGCGGCATCAGTGATGCTGGCGGGACCAGGCTTCTTGTAATCCTCAATGCCATATGGGGCTTTGGAGGAAGCACCGGCGCGGTAAGATGACAGACCAATACGGCCATCTGAATCGACGGCGGCGCGAATCGGCGTGACCCAGTACTTCGCACCCCCAGGAATGGTGGCATCGAAGAAGGTCAAGCCAGGTGGCGAGCCTTGGTCCATGAAGGTCATGGCATTCAAGTCTTCGACAGCAATACCACCAATACCCGCAATGGCGCGCGACATGCGGCCACGGAATCGACCCTTTGGTCTCAGAATACGAGCCTCAACGGGACGTTGGTAGGCTTGAGGACCGTACTGAGGATGGTTGTATGTCAAGGCGTGTGATCTCGTGTAAGAAAGACCAGCAGATGGGTGTGTCTTGGGAGGGCCAGTCACAGCGTACTCAGCTGCAGACAGCTTGGTAGCGGGGGACTGGTAGTATTTGCGTCCAATGCGTTCACTGGGAACGGCCGGAGAGGACGGTAGGTCCAGCAAATCGAAGACAACAGGACCGAGTGAGAATGGATCATTTCGTAGGGTCTTGATGTATGTCTGGAATTCCTCGTCCGTGACTTGGGGCACCTGCAGGTTCTCCAAATCTTGGCCATTGTCCTGCGCCTGCTTGCGAGCCTCGGCCGTGCGTTTGGCCACAAGACGCTCTCGAAGCTTCTGTACCAACTCGGGCTTCTTTCTGGTGATCTGAGCGAGATAGGCCGCAAATTCCGCCTGGGTCATACCGGCCAACCACGGGCCGGAGTGACGGTATTGCTTCGCACCGGGCTCTCCAAGTCCGGTGCTGGTCTCGGTGTTATCGACATGCGTCTCGAAGGGGCTTTGATGACGAGGCACAATGCTTGTGGCATAGTTGACTTTGGCAGGCAGAGACATAGGCATGTGCAGCTCCTGGAATTTTTCGAGGGTCATAGTGTGGTCGGCCGCCGACTCGAAATCCGTGACATGTTCGTAGGTATCGAGCGCGAGTAGGCGAACAACGGGTCTCGATGATTTTTCCGACGTTGACTTGGCTGGAAGAGGACGTTTCAGGCCCCAATCGCCACGGGCAAGCGTCCTCTGGGGAGTTACGATCGAGGCCCGGATCGGGTGAGGAAGTGTCGCGGTTTCCGACTCGAACACCGCTTTGGATGAGGGAGGGTCTTGAGGAGGCTGTAAAGCTTTAGGAAGCGCGAAAAGACGCGACTTCCGGAGAAGATTCGCCGTTGGCGACAGCCGAGCGGTCGCCATGTTGCTAAGTGCCTAGTGAATGAGCCTCGTCAACAGACGGTAATGAGAAAAGTTGGCCGCGAGGCGGTCCGACTCGGTACGGTGGCCCGCACCAACCATTGACGCAGCATGCCCTGTCTGGGGAACCCATTTATCGCATTTCGGCTTTGCCTTTTTTCTGCTACGAAATGAGGAAGAGTAACCAGAGGACCGAACCGCGTTGCTATCTGTCTAGCTCCATAGATAAAATTATCTCGTGCTTTGATTTTAAGTTTGAAGAAGTCATAAGTGATGCTTTTTATGTATGTCACAACAAATCGGCTCACGTGGATGCGGTCAAGAGAAGATGATTAAGCTCCGACATCCTGCAACGATTTGACTGTGTCCGCCACAGTCGCCTTGAGTGGTCGGTATTCCATGCCCAAGATCTTCTTGGACTGCGAATTGTCGATCTCATATAGCTCGGACGGGAAGTCGTCCGGGTAGTCTTTGGAAGGCAGCTTAGATTCCAATTCTGGGTGGGTCTCACGGACTGCCTCCACAAGGACCTTGTTGGAGAAGAACCCAGCGGCAACCAGGAATCTCTTTCCGCCAGCCTCTGCCACCTCGATGGCACGGACATGGGCTAGCGCAACATCACGAACGTCCACAAAGAGCCACATACCCGTTGGAGGAATTGCATCCTTGAATTGACCCTGGACGATATTTCGCATCCGCTGGTTGGATGTGTTAATGGCGTCCAAGGAATTAAGGTAGCTCACGATGGGTCCAAAGACCAACGGCGGATTGATCGTGACAAGATCAAAATTGGGATTCTCTTTTTCCACAAAATCCCACGCGGCTTTTTCGGCAAATGTCTGAGGTACAGGTGCCACAATTAGCACAGTCGTCACTTCATAAGTTGAACCCTTGGTGATAAGTTTATTTACCTTACTAGCCCGGTATGTATTTGCGGGATCCATAGCTTCTTCCCATGTGACGGGGTTCCAACATTCCTCATTGTAGACCTTGGGGTGCTGCTTGCCATTAACAATGGCAGCAAACGATGATGTAACGACAACTCGCTTGACAGTGGGAGCATACGCCTTGATGGCTTTCAGGATACCGGTAGTGCCCTTGATGGCCGGGTCAAGGAAGTCTTTGACGGGATCCTGCACATTGAAGTGGAATGGTGAAGCTGTGTGGAGGACATAGTCGAAGGGAGGGTCGGACTTGATGGCCTATTCCGGCGTGGCAATACTTTAGCGACGGTCTCGGGAAGTTCACGGTCGAATCGATCACTGACCTCGTCAAAGGCGTCATCTTGAGCCACATCCTTGACAATCACATACGAGAGTCTTTCTTTGGGAGCGTCGGGATGATTCTCGAGAATTCGCTTGCCCTTTTCGTCTGAGCGTACTGTGAACACAGTGTCGAATCTGAAAGGCAATTCGATGAGCATGTCACGCAAGTCCTGCTCGGGGCCACGATCGTACGTACCCACGCTGCTGCAAGTAGTCGACAACGTGAGCAGCGATGAAGCCGCTGCCGCCTGAAGAATCGGTGAGCTACTGCTTATTCGGAGAGGTCAAAAGACTGAACACAGCCATGGCCTACCTGTAACAAGAACTTTGACCATTGTGAGAACTTGGAAAAATGAGGTTTGACGGGTTTCTGTTTCTCAGGTCACAAACGAGCCAGAAGTCGTCCTAGGAACTTTGGATGGGACAGTATTCGCACTTTATATAGGCTCTCGAGCAGAGACGGTCCATCGAACTCTCTGTCCGTGCCGTCATTGTTGCGCCCCGCTTCCCACACCGCAGAGAAGACCGATTTGACATCAGTGGAGTTAATCGGCAACACCTGCTCGGAGCTAGAGATGCGGGCGCACGCTAAGTGCGTGTTACGTCCGAGCAGCCGGTCAGCAATTTACAGATGACATACACTGCGAAATGCTAGTACTCAAGGTGAAGGAGGTAGTGTTGTGGTATAGCCCGATGAAGGTGGGTTCACCACCAGTGTTTTCCTGTCAATTCATGGCATCACTTGTTGATAATCGTCCAGTCTTCGCCTTCAGCGCTATTCCATCGAATGGCCTGCAAAATCGAATTTGGACGCTGGAATCAAGAAACGAGGTGAGATTGCCTTTCCCAACTCTGATTTCAATCTGCTGCCGAGTCTTCTTGATACCGTCGAGTAGCAAACACGTGCGCTGAATGTACTGTACTTCACACCGCTAGCCAGTCGGCTACTAGGCACGATTCAAAAACGGAGACGAAAAATGAAATCGAATTCCAAATCTTGACCTCGCCCATCGAATTGTATGCGCCTAGCTAGCCCGATCTACTCGTTTTATGCAATGTGCATACAAGAGCTGCCTAACTCGTTCCGCGGTTGTTGCAAGACTTACGTTGCCCCAGCCTTGGCCATCCATGTATTCCACAGATTTGAGTGCAAATATGTCGACTCAAAACGAGACCTGTATGCTGTGGAATTGACTAAAGAACAGAATCTGTCGTAGCATTGTACTGTATAGAGATTTTGTGACATGCATGCATCTGATCTATCAACTTCACCGAATCAATCTTGGTGTTGTCACATATGTGCTCCGTACTTACTGCTGTTTCCAATGTGGAGGGCCCACCAAAAGCGATCTCGACTCTCGAGTCCCGCCTACCCCGCCCTCAGAGCGGCATCGCCTGGAAACCCATCCCATCAATTGCATAATCCAACGCACGGGCCACCAACGACAGAAACAAGCATTGATGCCTCATTCATGCCTGACGGCTCGGGGTGTTGAAGAAAAACCATCCGTGAGCGGTAGGTTTCTGCCAATTAAATTGGTATATACAAATCATTAAGGACGTTTCTCACGTCCTTCGGGACATTTGGTCAAATGAAAATATACAGAGAAGATTAGCATGGCCCCTGCACTAAGGATGACACGCTCAATCAAAGAGAAGCTACCAGTTTTTTTTTCGTTACCGAAACATGGTTGAGGTAGGAGCGAGGTGCGAAGTTCATCTGCCTGTGTTCGATTCGCGATGTCGGCAGCTATTCGCCGAGTTTTTTTCGCCCTCAAGAATTCATTTTAAAGCGCGTGCAAACCGAGCAATTTGCGCAGCTACCCATGCGTGGTTCACGTGAGGCTCAACCACTGATAAGCTTAGTACATACATCAATGCAATGTACCTCGATTGATGGCCCAGTCCGGGTGTGACCTTACCTCGTTGGGACAGACTGTTGTGTAGAAAGGCAGTCCAAGTGGCGGTTCGGATGAGGTAGCATCACGAACGATCGACTTGGCATTGACTGTACACTTCTTAGCAGTGATTCTTGCGTACAAATCACGAGGTTTGCTTGAAACTTGAGAGCCTCGGTGCTATGGTTGTGCCAAACCCATAGGTATTACCACTTACCAGTCTACCACTGTACCACATAACAAGTCTCGCCAGAGATCCTGCCCTTAGAAGGCTGCCACTGGCTGCTTGTAGTAAATCGTGGCGCCCGAGCACCAGCAACACAGCACACATCGATGTGGTAGACCGTTAACGATTCGCGATGTAGGAAACCGTTAACGAGTCTCGATAATCTTTTTTTTTTTTTTAAAAAAAATATCCAGAAGAGGAACATTGACTAGGCATAGTTATCGCTCGGAGGATATTCTTCTCGTCGCACGCTTCACAGTACTCTAGACGGCTCCCACCAATAGTCAGATTCTTGTCAAGCGTTGGCTCATTAATCAAGCACGAGTGAGCTTGATCTCATGTCCGTGAGTGAGTTACTATCAAGTGGCTGTGGAGGGGACTTGGAGGGTGGCTGCCAGTTGGCTGGGCCACAAGTCTGGACAGTCGCGCCCATGCCCGCATCCCCCGTGTGGTCTCGTGGTCTGTGCTCCCCGGCCTCGACCTGAGGTTCATCAATCACACCCTCACACAGCTTTCACCTCTCTTCCTCCCGCCAAACCTGTCGTCTCTGCTTTGCAAATCGAAAGGCTGGCTTCCAATGTCCAGTCCGTGGGCTCGCTCGCAAATATGGCGCAAGCGAGTCCTATCAGCGACGTGACCCAGCGTCTTTTCAATGATCTCAAGTCGAAGAATGACGACGCTAAGGCCCGAGCTGCTTTTGAGCTTCACGACTACGTTGTGGCGGTCTCTCGAGGTGAGTGATGTGCTCTTTGATGTGATTCACTGTGAGATAGCTCCTTGCTAACACGGCGTCTTTGTGCTCCCCACAGATTGGCCTTCCGAGAAGTTCAACGAGTTCTACAATGCCGTCAGCCAGAGGATTGCGCAGCTCGTGGTAACCGGCAACGACGCCAGCGAGCGAGTTGGTGGTCTTCTCGCCCTTGACCGACTGATCGACTTCGACGGGGTAGATGCCGCCCAAAAAACCACCCGTTTTGCGAGCTACCTTCGTAGTGCTCTCCGAAGCAACGATAATGCAGTCTTGGTATGCGCGGCCCGATCGCTGGGGCGCTTGGCCAAACCGGGTGGTGCTCTCACGGCTGAGCTGGTAGAGAGTGAAATTCAGTCGGCTCTAGAGTGGCTTCAATCTGAGCGACAGGAGAGCCGACGGTTCGCAGCGGTTTTGGTGATTCGGGAACTAGCCAAAGGCTCCCCCACCTTGCTGTATGGGTTCGTGCCGCAGATATTCGAGCTTGTATGGGTTGCGCTTCGAGACCAAAAGGTTCTCATCCGAGAGACTGCTGCGCAAGCCGTTGGGGAATGCTTCGAAATCATTGTCGCGCGAGATTCGTCCGTCCGACAGTCCTGGTTCGCCAGAATCTATGAAGAAGCTCTGCTCGGCCTCAAGTCTCACAATGTGGATTGGATTCACGGATCTCTGTTGATTCTCAAGGAACTTTTTTTGAAGGGTACCATGTTCATGAAAGAGCACTACCGAAACGCTTGTGAAATAGTGCTTCGACTGAAGGATCATCGAGACGGCAAGATTCGTACTCAGGTCGTCGTCACGATTCCGATCCTCGCATCCTACGCACCCGCCGACTTTATCGAGTCGTATCTTCACAAATCTATGGTCTATCTCCAAGCTCAGCTCAAGAAAGAGAAGGAAAGGAATGCGGCTTTTGTCGCCATTGGCAAAATCGCCAATGCAGTTGGACCAGCGATCAGTGGTTATCTTGACGGAATCATCATTCACATCCGCGAGGGATTGGCGATGAAGGCGTGAGTGGCCCGCCAGATTCTCTGCTTTACAACGAACAGTGAGAATCTCAAGCTAACACTGAACAGGAGAAACCGAGCCGGAGTTGATGAGGCGCCCATGTTTGAATGTATTAGCATGCTCTCCCTGGCAGTCGGACAGACACTGAACAGCCACATGGAGCAGCTTCTCGATGCGATTTTCGCGTGTGGCCTCAGCAAATCACTCACTCAGGCCTTGGTCGACATGGCCCATTACATTCCTCCAATCAAGCCAACAATTCAGGACAAACTTCTCGATATGCTGAGCATTATTCTGTGTGGTACACCGTTCCGCCCGCTTGGATGCCCTGAAAACCGGCTACCCCCGATACCAGCTTTCGCGAGAGATTTCGGCCCTCGGGATAGCTATAACGATACAGAGATCGCGCTTGCTTTGCATACACTTGGCAGCTTCGACTTCTCTGGTCACATATTGAATGAGTTTGTCCGCGATGTTGCGATCAATTTCGTGGACAACGAGAACCCAGAGATTCGGAAAGCTTCGGCTCTGACATGTTGTCAGCTCTTCGTGCATGATCCAATTATCAACCAAACCAGCGGTCACTCAATACAGGTCGTAAGCGAGGTCATTGATAAATTGCTGACTGTTGGCATTGGTGACCCTGATTCTGAAATTCGTCGCACTGTGCTATGGTCCCTGGACCGCAAGTTCGATCGCCACCTGGCTCGCCCAGAAAACATTCGCTGCTTATTCTTGGCCGTGAATGATGAGGTCTTTGAGGTCAAGGAAGCTGCAATCTGCATCATAGGCCGCCTGTCTAGCGTCAATCCAGCTTATGTTTTCCCACCACTACGAAAGCTGCTGGTCAACTTACTCACTGGACTCGGATTCGCCAACACTGCTCGTCAAAAGGAAGAGACCGCCCAACTCATCAGTTTGTTTGTCTCGAATGCGACAAAGCTGATCAGGTCCTATGTGGATCCCATGGTCTCAGCCTTGCTCCCTAAGACTACCGACAACAATGCTGGTGTCGCCGCGACTACTCTCAAGGCAGTAGGAGAGCTTGCCAATGTGGGTGGCAATGAAATGCGAACCTATCTGCCGCAAATCATGCCAATCATTCTGGAGTCCCTCCAGGATCTGTCCTCTCACACTAAGCGTGAGGCTGCACTGCGAACCCTCGGTCAATTGGCTGGTAATGCTGGATACGTCATTGATCCATATCTTGAGTATCCGAATCTGCTTGACGTCCTGATCAACATCATCAAAACCGAGCAAACGGGATCTCTCCGCAAAGAGACGATCAAGCTTGTGGGTGTTCTTGGTGCTCTTGATCCCTACAAGTACCAACAAATCAGCGATGTTGAACCAGATGTCCACCATATTAACGAGGTGAAAAACCCGACAGATGTCGCGTTCATCATGCAGAGCATCACCCCGTCAAATGAGGAGTATTACCCTACAGTCGTGATACACACACTGTTGCACAACATCCTGAAGGAGAACTCTTTGGTGCAATACCACTCTGCCGTGATCGATGCCATTGTCACTATCTTCAAGACGCTGGGACTGAAGTGCGTTCCGTTCCTTGGACAAATCGTCCCTGCATTTATCGCGGTGATCAGGAGCTCTCCCGCCAGTCGCCTCGAATCATACTTCAACCAAATGGCGATCTTAGTCAACATCGTGCGCCAACACATTCGTGCCTTTTTGCCAGAAATCATTGATGTCATCCGAGAATTCTGGGATGCTTCGTATCAGGTCCAAGGCACGATTCTCTCTCTTGTGGAGGCCATCTCTAGATCTTTGGAGGGCGAATTCCGAAAGTATCTTGCAAAGCTAATTCCGCTCATGCTGGACACTCTCGAGAAGGATAACACACCTCGGCGCCAGCCGTCGGAAAAAATCCTTCACGCCTTTCTCATCTTTGGGTCTAGTGGTGAAGAGTACATGCACTTGATTATTCCTGCTATCGTGCGACTATATGAGCGACAACAGAACCCTCAAAGCATTCGCAAATCGGCCATTGACAGCTTGACAAAGCTTTCACGGCAGGTCAATGTCTCTGACTTTGCGTCTCTAATGGTCCATTCTCTTTCCCGAGTCGTTGCTAGTACTGACCGTATCCTACGCCAAGCCGCCATGGACTGCATCTGCGCACTGATCTTCCAGCTTGGCCAGGACTACACCCACTTCATCAACCTGCTGAGTAAGGTCTTGAAAACGCACAATATTGTTCATGTCAACTATCAGATCCTAGTGGCGAAGCTAGAGAAAGGTGATCCGCTGCCCCAGGATCTCAATCCCGAGGAAAGCTACTCCTTCCCTTCAGATGACACGAATTTCGCAGAGATTGGACAGAAGAAAATTGTTGTCAATCAACAGCATTTGAAGAACGCTTGGGACTCGTCGCAAAAGTCCACCCGCGAAGACTGGCAAGAATGGATTCGCCGATTCAGTGTCGAACTCCTGAAGGAATCACCCTCTCCCGCGCTGCGAGCTTGCGCGAGCTTGGCAGGTATCTACCAGCCTTTAGCGAGAGATCTGTTCAATGCTGCGTTCGTGTCATGCTGGACCGAGCTCTTCGATCAATACCAGGAAGAGTTGGTTCGGTCCATTGAGCGGGCTCTAATATCGCCAAACATTTCACCAGAAATCCTGCAAATACTCCTCAACTTAGCAGAGTTCATGGAGCACGACGATAAAGCTCTACCTATTGACATCCGCACCCTTGGGAAATACGCTGCCAAGTGTCATGCCTTTGCCAAGGCTCTCCATTACAAGGAACTTGAATTCGAACAAGACCAAAATTCTGGAGCCGTGGAAGCTTTGATCACGATCAACAATCAATTGCAGCAGTCTGACGCTGCTATCGGTATTCTTCGAAAAGCACAAGCATACCGTGACGTGGAGTTGAAGGAGACATGGTTTGAGAAGCTGCAGCGCTGGGACGAAGCCTTGGCTGCGTACAAACGGCGCGAAAAGACAGACCCTGACTCGTTTGGTATCACGATGGGTAAAATGCGCTGCTTGCATGCTTTGGGTGAGTGGAAGGTTCTCTCAGATCTCGCCCAAGAGAAGTGGAATCAGGCATCGTTGGAGCATCGCAGAGCTATTGCTCCTTTGGCTGCAGCTGCAGCATGGGGCCGTGGACAATGGGAACTGATGGACTCTTACTTGGGTGTCATGAAGGAACAGTCCCCTGATCGCTCATTCTTCGGTGCGATTTTGGCCATCCATCGCAACCAGTTTGAGGAAGCCAACATGTACATTGAGAAGGCACGTAACGGGCTCGATACGGAGCTTTCAGCATTGTTGGGAGAGTCATACAACCGCGCGTACAACGTGGTCGTGCGTGTTCAGATGCTCGCTGAGCTGGAAGAAATCATCACCTACAAGCAGCATGTGGGTGACCCTGAAAAGCAAGAGGCCATGCGACAGACTTGGAACAAGCGTCTACGTGGTTGTCAGCAGAACGTTGAAGTCTGGCAGCGTATGCTGAAGGTCAGGGCTTTGGTGACCGCGCCCCGAGAAAACCTTGATATGTCAATCAAGTTCGCAAACCTTTGCCGCAAGTCCAATCGGATGGGTCTGGCAGAGAGATCGCTCGCATCGTTGGAGATGGTTATCAGGGATGTCAATGGCACACGTGTCATTGTACACCCTGAGGTGACTTACGCCCGACTGAAATTCGGCTGGGCCAACGGCAGCCAGCCCGAAGCATTGGATGAGCTTAAGAGATTCAATATGGAGCTTAGCGAGGATCTTTCAAAGTTCAATAGCATTCTCGCCATTCAAAACGATAGCCACGCCATGAACGGTGTCAACGGGCTCGCGGACCCTAACCACCCGGACGCTGTAAGCCTCCGAGAACGCATTGGGGACATCGGCAAGGTCAAGAAGCTTCTCTCCAAGAGCTACTTGCGCCAGGGAGAATGGCAAAGGGCACTCCAAAGGGGCGAATGGAACGCAGATAACGGCCGCGAGGTTCTCGATGCCTACTTGGCTGCCACACAATACAATCGTGACTCTTACAAGGCCTGGCACGCCTGGGCCCTTGCGAACTTCGAGGCTGTTCAGACTATGGAAAGTGAAGCCAAGAAGGCCAACAAGGACAAGAAGAATCTGGCCTTGCCTCCCTCTCAGGGACTTATTGACCATGTCATACCTGCCATCCGCGGCTTCCTTAGGTCAATCGCGTTGTCGTCGGCTTCTTCACTTCAAGACACACTTCGATTGCTCACCCTGTGGTTCGCTCACGGCGGTGACCACGAGGTCAACACGGTTGTGACGGAGGGCTTCTCCACCATCAACATTGACACTTGGCTTTCTGTCACTCCTCAACTAATCGCCCGAATCAACCAACCAAACATTCGAGTTCGTGGTGCGGTTCACAGGCTACTTGCGGAAGTCGGCAAGGCCCACCCACAGGCACTTGTCTATCCTCTGACCGTAGCCATGAAATCCAACGTCGCTCGACGCTCTCAGTCGGCAAGCAACATCATGGAAAGCATGCGTCAACACAGCGCTAAACTCGTTGAACAGGCCGATGTCGTCAGTCACGAATTGATCAGAGTCGCGGTACTTTGGCATGAACTGTGGCATGAAGCTTTAGAGGAGGCTTCGCGTCTGTACTTCGGCGACCACAATGTCGAGGGCATGTTTGCGACACTAGCGCCACTTCACGACATGCTCGACAAGGGTGCAGAGACGCTAAGGGAGGTCTCCTTTGCCCAGGCCTTTGGACGTGACCTTGCCGAGGCCAAACACTACTGCATGCTCTACCGGCAGACTGAGGAGATTGGGGATCTGAACCAGGCCTGGGACCTCTACTACACCGTGTTCCGCAAGATCAGTCGCCAACTCCCGCAGTTGTCCGTTTTGGATCTTAAATATGTCTCTCCTCGCCTCAAGGATTGCTCCGCCCTGGACTTGGCAGTGCCTGGTACTTACCAAAGTGGTCGCCCCGTCATCTGTATTGTCGGCTTCGATCCAGTGCTTCACGTCCTTCAGACCAAGAAGCGTCCCCGACGCATGACCCTGACTGGAAGCAATGGGCTGTCCTACATGTACTGTGTAAAGGGCCACGAAGATATCCGACAAGACGAGCGAGTCATGCAGCTCTTCGGCCTGGTCAATACTCTTCTGGATAACGACAGTGAAAGCTTCAAGCGCCATCTCTCTGTGCAGCGCTTCCCCGCTATTCCGCTGTCTCAGAGTTCTGGTCTGCTTGGATGGGTGTGTAATAGTGACACATTACATGCCTTGATCAAGGAGTACCGTGAGAGCAGGCGGATCCTTCTAAATATTGAGCACCGTATTATGCTCCAGATGGCACCAGATTATGACAGTCTGACGCTGATGCAAAAGGTCGAGGTCTTTGGGTACGCTATGGACAACACTACGGGCAAAGATCTTTATCGGGTACTTTGGCTCAAGAGCAAGAGTTCCGAAGCTTGGCTCGAGCGACGAACCAACTACACTCGTTCCCTTGGAGTCATGTCCATGGTCGGATACATCCTTGGTCTTGGTGATCGTCATCCATCAAACTTATTGCTTGATCGCACGACTGGCCATGTTGTGCACATTGACTTTGGCGACTGCTTCGAAGTGGCCATGCATCGCGAGAAATACCCGGAGCGAGTTCCCTTCCGTTTGACGCGTATGTTGACATTCGCCATGGAAGTTAGCAATATCGAAGGAAGCTACCGTATCACATGCGAGGCTGTGATGCGGGTCCTGAGAGAGAACAAAGATTCTCTCATGGCTGTCCTTGAAGCTGTGAGTAGTCTTCCAGACTTTTGCTTTCGTTCCCCTTCGTTTTGAGTTTCTCACATCGCATTCTGGTCCCTGTTGCTGACTTGATCATTCTAGTTCATCCACGATCCTTTGATCAATTGGCGTTTGGGTGCGCAAGAGTCTCCCGACCGCACAACCCTAACTGCTGAACGTCGCCAGTCGCTGATTGAAGGGTTGAACTTCGAGCACGGTCTACAATCCAACAGTGTCGCTCGCCCGCGACGACCCTCTATTCTAGAGGGCGGCATCCTGGATGTCCAAGAGGGCGGCACTGAAGCTCGCGAAGCCCAAAATGCCCGCGCCCTCCAAGTTCTTGCTCGAGTCCGGGAGAAGTTGACGGGTACTGATTTCCGGCACAATGGCGAGCTAAACATCAGCGACCAGGTAGACAAACTTCTTGCACAGGCTACCAGTGTCGAGAACATCTGCCAACACTGGATCGGTTGGTGTAGTTTCTGGTAGATGGTCGATGTGCCTGCTTTGCTTTTTCTTTTTCACTTTGGTTTTTATTCTGCTGAAGCCCCTGTGGACCTGTGGGCTCTCCTCTTGATCTTCCTGAGGATTGCGGGTCTTTCCTCTACGTGGTACGACGATTATCGACCTTTGCCTAGTTCGTATGCAGCGTCATTTTCTGTTGCGGCAATCTTGTGTTTTGGATTTAGAGTAATTCCCCTTCGTGTTCGCGTGATAGTACCTTGAAATGCATGCAATGGGACCTTTGGGATTGAAGCATTGATCCCGGTCCTGATTCCTATCACATTTCCTTGATCCACAATGAAGGCTCTAGGTAGTAGATACTCTTCAATAGCCATTGTATGGGACGCTTTGTTTTCTTTTTGATACGCAATCAACATAAGTTCAACGAGGATACTCGACCATGTTGATACGATTAGCCTTTTTGTGGTACTGCGGGTTCTCATGTGATAACAGAGGACTAGGACTCGATGAAATAAGCCTCTTCCAGATGGTAAATCGATTTTGCACACACCCTTTGATCACAATTTGGTCAATGATATCCCGCAGTCGAGAGGAAGAAGGGTTGAGCCAATACAACTGAGACCTTTTAGAAAGGATTGCGGTGCGTAAATTGCGTACTACTTCAAGGTGTAATGAGCCCACCCGTCTTTTTTTTTTGTTTTTGCTGCGGCAGCCTCCTCGAATGTTTTTGCCGAGGTCAGCTTCTCCCCCCGATGAGGAGAAGCTCCCCGGACTTCACGTTCCCTGCAAGCTCGGGCCTCTTCTGACGACGTCTTCTGGTTTTACTCTTCACCTCAGCGTCTACTTTATAGACTCTCGTCACTATTACTCTCGGGCCATCTGATCATGGGCGACTGAAATTTGTTCATTAGAGTACCGCCAACATGTTAAACCCGGACACATCGTCTGCGAAAGTCGCCCCCGCGTCGGGCCCCGATAACACACCGAATGTTCATCCGTTGGTTCGTACGGCTTTGCGACTCAGCTTGAGCGCCAAAGAATACCGGGCGCTGTACAATCTAGTCGGAACTCGGGCGGCTGGAGTTCAAAGCAGACTTGTTTCGCCATCTCGCTATGATGCCATTGTTCACTCGAAGAACCGGCGCAATGAAGCCGCCGTGCGAACGTCGTTGCGGGTCTTTATTGGGACTGGGACCGCGCTGAAGCTGCTCGAAGTGATTGTCGGTCGGATACGCGGAGAAACACCGCAGTTAGTATACCTTGTCTTTGAGAACCGCGTTGCGGTGACGCGATCCTCTTTTCTTGGCCATCAGGCCCTCGTCTTTCACTTCCAGGGCACGGCCATCTTTCGCTGACAGCCTCGTAGAAAAAAAGTCCGTGGTCCGCTTCTCCAATCGCCCAAATTCCGCCTGTCACTTTCTCTTTCCCTTTTACTCCTGCTTCATCGTCTACTTTATCGTTTCCTCACCCGCATTCGCCTCAATCTCTGCACTGATGAGGCCGAGCCGTTCCGTCGGCGCAATCCGCGCATCGCGAGTGCCTTGACTTCGCGATTTGCTCCGGCTGTCGGAGCTAGTGTGGCAGGATTCGCCCTGGGCATATGCCCGCAAGATCAGCTCCGTCTGACCACTGCTATTTACACGGGAACCCGAAGCTTGGAGTTCCTCTACAATGTCATCGATGCTAAGGGATGGCTGGAAGGCCGCCCGAGGTGGTGCGGCAGCTGGCTACTGATGCCGATCTCGTGCGCACAGCTTTTCCACGCATTTGTTTTCGACCGGGAGAATACGCCGAAGGTCAGTTTGCGAGATTGACATGTTCGAGGTGTATTGAAAAAAGAAAACAAATATTGAGACGTGGGGAAATCTAGTGGCTCGGTAATCTCATCTTGAAGCTCTCCCCGAGCTACATCCCCGGCCGACCAGAGGGTCTGCCAAGTGACGTGTTCTGGCCAGAGAAGGAACAGATCGTCGACTCTCTCGCATCTATTGCTGATCTGCGGTGGCCGTAAGTACCTTGGCCAGTCTTATTCTCTCTATCATGAGGCGCAATGTCAGGAAGTCCTAAAGACTGACTTTGCATATAGGGCATATGTTTGTCCAACTCTGCATCCAGGTGACTCGAACACCCTGCCGTCGTCAGTCAAGGCTATCTCGCCCATCACTGGACCTGCGCACCCTGCGATCGCTCATCTTTCCTGCGCTCTGCTTCACCCCAGCGTACCCAGCTGTAGCACCGCGTTTGTGCACCATGTCCTGCTCTCGGTGCCATACCTGGCTCGTTTCCTCACAGCTATCAGCCTGGCTCTTAGCATTCCGAAACTGAAAAGTATCGTGGCCGAGCCGATCACGTCAATCAACAGTCTGTGCAAGAGAATCATCACTTTGACTGTCGTTCTATCTGCCGCAGTCGGGTCAGCATGGGGTAGTGTCTGTCTGTTCAACAATAGTCTGCCTCGCTCGACACTTCCCGTCAAGCGCTTCTTCCTCAGCGGTGCTATCGCCGGTCTTCCATTTGCGCTTTTGTCCAACAGCCGAAGCGTGTTCATGTACTTTTTCCGGGCAGCTGTGGACTCTGCGTGGAAGACGGGTGTCAAGCGCGGACTATGGAAGGGCGGGCGTGCGGTGGAGCTCTGGCTCTTTGTGCTCTCCTGGGCCTTGATGGGTTCGATTTTGGAGACCCACCCAGCTGCTGTTCAAGGGAGAGGTCTTCGCAAGGCATTGGCATGGTTGCGAGGCGATGGCTTTATTGACCTCGAGGAGGCGGAGAAGCGTAAAGCTCGACGGGCAGTGAAGAGCACGCAGCCCAAAGATGCATAAGGGATCCCTTGATGTGGTGGTCTATCTTACTGCTGTTGTTGATTTGCATTGTAATCCGCGATTTACCATAATAGCACCTATATGCAACGCACCGCAGTCTCCTACTGGTTCGTTCTCCCTTCCGGAAAGTCAGGACAAATTTCCACTCAATCAAATGAACAACACCTGACTCCCGTGCACTCCAAAAGAATCACATCTAGAAAAAGCGTCTCCTCAACAAAAACATCGCCACTGTCAAAAACCCCCCGCGAATCTCCGTGTAACAGGCGTCCTTCTGGGGGGGGGGGGACTTGCCATGGTCGGGACGGTGGTGTCCAATTGTCCAAGTGTCTATCACCTCAACTTCGATACAGAAGCTTAAAGAACCGCCGCCCACTGGTCCGTCGTGACTACCTTACCTACGCCACATTGATCATCGTGAAGAGCATTCCCGTGCCCATCCCGGCTGATCCATGTATTCAGGTCATCTTGACAGGTGCCATGCCACTATGGAGGAAAAGTATAGAGTTTTCGATTAACCACGTAAATGAAGCAAACTCCACTCTTCGACCACATACGTCAAAGATGTTTAAGTTTTGTCTGGGGCCGCTGTTGTCATTTGTTAGGGGAGTAGCTTACTAGCTAGTAGCTACGGCACCTAACTGACTATGTAGGATCCACATATCTAGTATCTACTTCTTTACGTGTCCGTTTTTGGGGAAAGGGGTTGATTTCTGAGGTAAGAAACGGAAATATAAGCACAAAGAAAGAAAAAGGACAAAACAGGGTTTTTTCTATGTCACCCTCGATTTTCCTAGTCACATACCCTAATCGAAAGGAAAGAGGCATATATTGAACAGTAAATACATGATATAATAATGTAGGAGAAGTCCCCCTACTTCCAATATCCTCCCTTGGTAATTAGAGCCAAGGCACAGCGGCACAGCGACACACTATTACCTCATCCGATCCCACCCTTATCATATAGACATATACGAGGTATCAGTAGTTCAGGATTCCAGGTAGATACTCGGCATTACTTCGGAGCAAATTCGACGCTCCGAATGCCAAAGACCTGGGCTTTTCTCGCAATTTCACGAGACGCCCCCCTCCCTTTTTTTTCCTTTTTTTTTTTTTGCTCCGAATACACAAAGACTTCCACCACTCAGAATTTCAAGTGAGAAAATGTCGTGACTTCTCTGTCATGCTGTCTCCGCCTATGTTGCGAGTTTTCATGATAAAAGAGTAAACTTTCCGGGTGACTAGTGGGGATGATGGGGAATTAGGAATGTATGGCTCCTGGGGATATGACGTCGGTGGGGCCCGTCTCCATAAGCCTTAATATAGTACTGAGTTAGGTAGTACCGTCGCGGCTGTAGATGCGACCAAAGAATTGATGGAGGGTTATGACTACGCCGGTCACTGTGGATCGTGCATGAGTTCCATTGAGGAAGCCGAGAGCTATCAGATATGGACATGGTGGGCCGTACGGTAGCAATCCGTCTCCTATAGAATGCTCGCATTATTTTGGCAATGTACACATCGTGGGTAAGAAGGAGAAAACTTGCCAGAGAAAGGATCAAATGGGTGGTCCGACGATGTACAGTACTGTATGGATGAGGGTATTCAAGTAAGAAAGACCCTTCTGTGGCGAAAGAACAGACGCCGGCTTAGTTTTTCGCCCTGGGAACATCAATTCTGTGGAATGGAAGACCTCTATAAGCTAGACTATGTACTTTTTATATTCGACCCATCAGTTTAGATAACTTTTGTTCAAAGAGCACATGCAGGAGGCGAGACAAAAGATGGCAAGTAGATAATAGTTTTCAAGGCAAACAATGTTCGAGAACGCTGAAGGACAAAGATGTGAAGAAGCCGCCGCACTAAGGGGTATATTTGCCGAGCACAGAAAAGAAGAAGAGGAAAGAAAGAAAAAACTCCTTTAAAGTAGAGGGAATGGAAAACGAAAAAAAAGAGGCAAAATGATGGTGAAATGTTCTGAAGAGATGCAGAGATGAGGCGTGAGTATGAGGTTGCCAGATGGAAGAAGAGCCAAAATGTCGGTTCAAGGATGTGAGAAATGAGAATTCCAGATCTCCAGTGGCTTAACCACAGACTCTCCTGATGAGGTTCGTCGATCACCAGAAACCAATCGTTCGGGGTCATGCAAAGACGGATTCGAGGGGCGATCGAATGTATGGATGCTGTCCAGACCTCGCACGAAGACATCTGGCTGTCCGTGTTCGGAAGAAGGATTGTGAAAGGAGCCAGCGGGTGTTTGAATGGCGGCCAAGAGGCTGTTCAGCACGATGAATTCCAGCAGCAACTTAATACTATACACCACGGGCTTGAACGTTGTTTGGACATCAAAGTGGTGAGTGAACTCGATCGTCACCAACGCGGCATCCAAGAGCACAGCGATGACGTTGACGAGCACGACATTGATAATGACTCTCGTGCCGCGGGGGCCCTTGAGGGACAGGAGCGGCCGCAGGGAAGTGGTGGTTTCCCAGACGTACAGGGCGCTGATAACGGTTTCCTGCAGGGCAAATCCAACAAGCTGAATCTGTTCGTAAATCGAAAATGGGTGCACAAAGTTCTCGACTCCGTTGTTGGCGCCCAGGAAAAGGATAGTGGTTGGAATGTGTAAGATGCAGAAGTTGACGATGATCATCACCAGCACCCAGCGCCGGTAATACTCATGTGTAGTGACGAGATGAAGTCGGGAATAGAGAACCACCGATTGACCGGTGACCATGGCATACCAGCCGAGACAAATGAGAAAGCACATGGGGAGATTGGGAGCGAGGGCGAAATAACGGAGAAAGCCCGTGACGGCGTGTAGTAGGATTCCGAACGTGGCGATGACCATACTCCAGAAGTACAGACCACGATAGCGACGAAAGGTGGTGAGGATGTAGAAGGAGATCTCGAGGACATTCCAACAAGAGAGGGTCAGCAGACCGGCCATCACCATGGCCATGGCCTGGGACAGATGGACGGGTCCCGTTTCACCTCTCATTGTCATGGAATTCTCGGACGGCGACAGGGGGGTTGAGAGTACACAATAGAGAGGTAAGAGAGATAAGGGATCAGCTCGACTGATTGATCATGCGAGAAGGAGGTGAGTAAGTAGATGGACGAGGGTAGTATCGATGGCCGACGATGTCATTGCCAGATTGAAGAGGTCTACGAGATCGGAAGACCATGCGGTTTCAGCCCCGGAGAGCTCTAGGCTGGCGGAGGAGTATGTGGACTGGATCGATGGCGAGATGTATCGACAGATGGGTTCATCCTGCCTTGACCATTGTGAAAGGTCTGCTAGCTATCGTCAAAGAGCTCATCTGAGGCAGAGACAGAGAGCGAAAAGGAGGAGGTAGAATCGCCCGAGACGTGGCGGAGGTGATGTGTGAAAAAGGCAAGGAATAATGGCAGGAAAGGAAGCAAGAAGACGCCAAGCCATCTGAAACCGGGGAACCTGATCAACATCAGCAACGGTCCAGTCGTCGTGAATGGGGTTCGTGGGGGACGTGGTCTGCAAAGTTACAGGTTTCCACCAACCGCCGAATTTGCGATGTCGCGACTCACGGACCTTGAACTCTGCCCGACCCAAGGAAGCGGATGATACGAGAAGCTCCCGAGTCACCGAGTGGAGGAGATTGAAGATGATTCAAAAGTGGAGGTGGGGCGAGGATCCGAAGATTGAGGGTTGGGAAGGCAGAGAGTAAAAGGAGGGAAGTGGATGCGTGTAAGTGAGCTGGTGGAGACGTCACTCTACCTGGGACTACGGTAGATCTAGAATGTAGATTCTAGAGCTTTAGGTAAGTTACCCATGGACACACTTTGGTGTTGGTGACCATCACCACGTTCAAATGGCCCGCCGGAATGACTGATGGCCTTGATATCAATACTGGGTAGTGCGTACAGTAAAGTGACCATTCAACATCTGTATGCAATGTCTCTCCCTTGGAATATGCAGCGCTCTCGATCCATCGATTGCCCCCATCAGCGTCAACTTGCCCGGTGGAGGCAATTTGCCTCTTGCCGTCGCGGGTGATTTTGAGCAGTTTGAATCTTTGGACATGTTCTTGGACCTTAGTCGAGAGAAGCACGAGCCTCGGGGGTTCAATCATTCTTGAGGTTATTGTTGCCTTTACTGGCATAGGGGAGCCTTTTGACCTTTACCTTTTCTTTTTCTCGTTCGTGTCTGGGCTGCTTTCGGGTCCGCGCGGAATTAGAGTTTTGGGTACATTCGGGTAGCGGTCCATCGTCCAAAGCAGTATGTACTATGTACTATGTAGTGTACTATGTCGTAGTGTAAAGCAGTCAAGGATCGCTGTCGAACAGGGATCCATGCGGATCTGCAGTCTGCAGTCTGCAGATAGCTGATACCCAGGACACAACCTGCAATGACTTCTACCAGTAGACAATGGTGGAGGAAACCCAAGATGACTCCAAAGTCAAGCCTGCATCACAGCACACAAAGTTCTTGTGACTGTGTACTCCATGCGAAGGGGGATTCTCTGGTTTCTGAATGGTCAGAAGATCGGGCAGAACTACCTGAAGTATGCTTTTGGCTTGTGATGGGAACGAGGCGGTCTTGTCTTTTCACCGCGCGAAGGGGAAGATGTCACTAGATGACCATGGTCGCGCGCAAGGACTTTGGTTCATCCGTACAATCATAACCACTGTAGATTTGCGCGAGTGCCCACCGAGTCCGCTCCGTGCTTTCGGCGAAACTTCGCCGTATCGTCTGGTGGCTCCGGCGTTCCGTTTGAAACTATGTCGGATGGGAAGTTGGGAACACCTCTCTTCCGGGACAGGGTCGAGGAAGCGAACGGAATCAGGTGAAGACGACAGCCCATCACTCGGCAAGGCAAAGGCAACAGAGTCAAGCTCGCGATTTTCCGAGAAGGAAAAACAAAAGGCTCAAAAAAAACCTTCTACCCATCGTCGTGGTAGTGGGCGGTCTGGGAAGAGGAATCATAGCCACTTGTTACCCTGCGGACCGCGCACTCTTCCTCTCGAGGGGTGCAGAAGGTAAGGTTGTCTATAGTCTGTAGGTTACTGTATAGTCGATACTGCAGAAATGCAAAGTCACTCAGGTACTGTAGTGTACTACTACTCAGTGGTGGTAGTCTTGACATCATGCACTCCGCCTCGACGAACCAAAAGGCGGCCCAACGGGTTGGGACGGGGGCAACGATGGGCCAAACCTTAACCAGAATAAGCAGAATAAATTGAATAAATTGAATAATCAAACTCCACCGCCTCCACTCGCCGAGCTCTCCACCTCCCGACAATTGGAATCAATCAATCTCACATGCGACTGACTGCACCTCGCAAGACTCAGTGCTATCACCACATCAGTAACACAATTGATAAGGTCGACGTCCTAGATTTCGAGAATTATAACTCTGGAGCTTTTTTTTACCACAATCTCGTAAAAGACGACGGGAAATTGACATACCAAGCGGAAAGCAGACAATGCCGCTTATTGTTCCTGTGCCAAGTCCGTCTCGATCTCGGGCGCAAACGGAATCATCATTGACGAAACAGTGTACTTAGTACTTACTACTTAGTACGTACAGTACTTAGTACATGCTATGATGCTACCTATAGTAGCTCTATACACAACACTTCATCTGTTCTCGTTGGCTTGAGCAAAGTCGCAGATCGCCGTGCACATCCACAGTAGAACGGGACCGACGAACGGACAAACACATACGAATGGAGCCCCTGCAGCAGCGCCAGGTGGATGTTCATCTCTCCTAGACTCCTACTACAGAAGTACAGAGTACAGTATTATTCTGGGTTGTCAATCTGAGACTAAGCGCAAACATCCATGTCTAGTCCAGCTTGGCGAGTACTAGTTCTTCCAAGCTTGGAGATCGCTAGCGCGGTCTCATTATTATTATTATTATTATTATTATTATTATTATTATTATTATTATTATTATTATTATTATTATTATTATTATCATCATCATTATTACGCGCCTTTTCCTCTCTCCTGGATCAAAGCTGCTGACTTCAGGACTCTCATGCTGATGTGCTTCCCCTGACCTGAGCGGACGCTTTTAGCTGCCCTTGGTCTAGTGCCTTCCGCGATCATGCAGCATACTCGCAGACCAAGTAGCATCGCATGACTAGCGTTCCTACGCATCCGAACCGTCGGGTTCGAGAGTTCATGGGGCTGGCGTGGCACACATGGGGCGTTCCACAGTACTGTATTTGCGTCCGCCATGCCTATTGCCTAATCCTATACCATGTCTCCACGAATAGATGGAGCTCCGTCGGTGTAGGGCCTAGGCTTAGTACTGTAGTAGTGCGTGCAATGCCAAGTTGGAGAACAATGAACATGGCTCGTTTACACTGAGGAGATGGAAAGATCGACAGTGCAGCAGCTAGTCTGATTCATGATACTATTGTGTCCCTAACTACCTACTATAATCGGCTAGTACAGTAGTGTAGCAATCCTAGCGCGACTTCTGCCGAGTAATTTCAAAGGAGCTTCCAGGACTGGACAATGGACTGACTCAATTACTCCGAAGTTCACCCCCGGACAGACCAAGTTCCCAAACCATGGAAGTTCAGCTTGGAAGGTAACCTGAGTCAATTCGCTCATCTCATCCATCTACCTTTTTTCTTCTCCAGAAAGACAATATGTTTGCACAAGGTGACGATCTCTTGGGGACTTCACATGCATCTCCGTCGCCCTTGCCCAAGACAATCAAACCAACAAGCACATTCATGCACGGCAGCATCCATCCATGCACGAGTCGAGTCGCAACCGACCTCGCCGGTCGATCGGTCGGCGGGAGTCCGCACCAGCGCGGGCCCGCCTCGAGGCTTGCGGCTCAGGGGGTGGAAGCGCCAACCTTGAATCCACCCATTTCCAAGTCCAAATGATCGTTCAAAGATGACTAGTATTACTCCACAAGTGTACAGACGTTCCAGTAGTACCTTGATTTATTAGTTGCCTAGGCACTAGTGACCTACCTACCTTAGTACCTGGAACTGTTAGTGTGCTTGGATTCAGTATCAAGGACGTGTGATCCCCAAATAATACAAGTCTCATAGAGGATCAGGAAGAAGCCTAAAAGCCCATTCCTACCACCGTCTCCACTTTGAGCGATCTGACACGATCATTGCGCGTTCAATGAGGCTGTAGTCCGCTAGTCTCGACTCTCGACTCTTCAGTCTTTACTACTGTAGCTGAGACCTGATCAACTCTCATGTCTCTCCCATGGCCACGAGCCTGGAACACGGTCGCCGACGAGGCAGCGAGAAGGATCGACGAGGGGTCCCCGTGCTCCCGAGTTTCAGATACAACTACGCTCTTTTTGGCAGGTGAGTTTGGGGCAAAGAGAGGATGTCTACAATCTACATACTACTACATGAGGACATTCATGCAGGATACAAAATTAAACATCACGGTACGGCCTGAAGTCAACTTCAGCAGTGCGGGTGCAGTGCGACTACCAGTCGCTCCTGAAAACGTCTTGTTGGATCGATCTTACCTTGCTGCCTGATCTGGTAGCTTAGGGGACTGTCCCAGGAGGTAACTATGGGCGGCATTTTAGTTTGTGGCTGATCTGCGTGCGGTCGATTTCTGTCGGAGGGAAGAGATAGATACTGGAGCGTGTAGAATGTACATGAATGTCATGGATCTATCGCTGTACTTCGAAAACAATTCCCACAGGGTCAAACCGAGCCGCGCTCAAGCTGGCGTAATGTAGTATCACTCGAGTTTCAGGGACGACATGAAGAGAAGCTTCATATACATGGATTCTCTGAATGGCAATGGAAAATGCACATTACGTGGCAAATCTAAGCATGAAGGGGGAAAAAAAGGAAGAAGGAATGTATGGTCGCTTGCTTGTGATGAGGCTTCTACACACTCAGGGCTTGAAGAAAATTGACGTTGAGATCGTATCAAGACGGCAAGTCCTTGATATGTCAGAGAAAGAAAACATTGGGGGGAATCATGTAAAACAGAAGAAAAGACCACTCTCCACGGTAGACATCAAGAGTGATGGGACGAAACCCAATAGAAAAAAAAAAAAAAAAAAAACAAGAATCCAAGCGTGAAGGCATCGTGCATCATCTCGTGTGACCATGGAGGTTGAATATCCTACCAGCGGATAACCCTGGTTGGGAAAAACTCGTCAATGAGCTCCATATAGTACGGTTTGAGTTCGTCTGCACTAGGGACGTCGTCACTCTTGCTGTACAGATCATAGGGATTGAACGCCTTGACGGCACGGAGCATCTCCCGATCATGATCATTCATCAACTCATGGTAGGCCCCCGCGTTGTGCCACGGGTAGAAAGAGTGATAGCGAATCATGGCAAGAGCCTCGTCGGGCAGCGTAGACTGCTCCTTGGCGATGTGATAGAGATACTCATCATGGCCCCAGGAAAGCATGACCTGATCGAGGCCGCAGCCGGGACTATAGATTCCAAACTTGGTATCGTAGATCGAGTGACCAAAGTCTTCATTGTCCTGGAAGGACTCGCGGCCATAGATGATGCGCTCGTCGAAGGCGCAGCCCACGGGGAAGGTGTCTCCCACCACATCCCATTGACCCTGCGCGTCAAAGAAGAAGAGCAATTTGCCAAGATCATGGATCAGACCAGTCAGTTGCATCCAGCGAGGCTTGCCGTCGCGGCGAATGGCCTCGGCCGATTGTAAGAGATGTTCGATTTGAGAGAGGCTAGTGTCGGGGTCGGACTCATCGATCAACGTGTTGAGCTTTTCCATGGCCTCCCAGACAGTCATGTGGGCGCGTGTCTTGCTGTGGAAATCGTGACGCGCCTTGAGGTTGTAGGCCACGGTCTGCTTGGTGTGTTGCTCCTTGTAGAAGTTCTTGACTCGGTCGCACGCATCCTCATACTGGCGGAAGGTGGTCTTGTCTTTGGATTTATCAAACTCGGACTCGTCGTACAGGCCCTTTTCTGTCGCTGAGGTGAGGGTGGTCTTGAGAACATTGACTTCATCGATGGCATCCGACAGTTCTTCAAGAGCGTGGCCATCTCGTTGCTTATTAAAAATAGGCGTGGCCGGGGCCTCGTTGGCAATCGCGACAGGAGCCATTATGGGGCACAGTGGTTGATGATGGAGGCTGGCTGATACGGGTACTTGCTAGTCTTTGCTTTTGACTTGCCAGTGTGCAAACTTCACAGCTTGATGATTCTGTGAAAGCAAAGTTGTTGGAGATGTTGTTTTTTTTTTTTTTTGGAATCGATGCCGAATATCAATCTTCAAAGATTCTGCTCCATCTTTATGTAATGTTCGCCCTGGTCTCCACGACTGACTCGACTCCAGGTCAATCCGCATCTCGATTTCCGAGATGGAGCACAGCATCATGTCTGTGATTCCACGCTGTTCATTATTTGTGCGCTCTCGCCATCAGCCCCAGCCACGCAGCATGATTTGCGGCAAGAACGGAGCGAAGAAGAGCATCGTGGAGCTTGTCACAAGGCCCAGGTCGGATTCTGGAATCCGTGCTGGAATTGAAATACCTTGTGAGGTGGATCCCCATCGGAGTAGCCAAAATCTGCGTGGTTGTAATTGGGTAAGCTTCTTTGAGGTGGATGTGGAACCGAAGAGTCATTCGACGATGCAAGATTGCCTCAGGTGGCCCGCAGCTGGCGGCCTGTTAGTCAGCCTGCATCATGGCCAGTCACGTGGCAGACCCTGGATTCTGGTTTCCGATCGGGTTGTGACTTGGAACCAGGATTCCTCATCGGCTTCATACTTGTACTGGGGGAGAGAGAGAGAGAGAGAGAGAGAGAGAGAGAGAGAGAGAGAGAGAGAGAGAGAGAGAGAGAGAGAGAGAGACTGGAAAGTGGGACTTTAGAGTGTAGTCCGATTCGAATCAGGTCATGCACAACATGCTTGTACACCACAAGGGGTGACTGACTGCTTCAAGGCACGGCAACATTGAGATCATGTCATGAGGCATCGAGGTCTTGTAATGAAAGATGAACTAAAGACAGGACAAGTACTCAACATAGTTGTCATTGTCTACCTGGGGAACAACCCCGTCCTTATCGCCGTACTCGATGTGCTTCCCGTAGACACGAGTCAGTCACGTAGTTCTTGGGAATTGCCACGTGTTTAATTTACTTTTGGGTGCGGAAACTCCAAATCTCTACGGTCAATCTGATGATCTGAGCGCCAGAGACCATTCAGCCTCGTCACGATTCTGATGCCACTCGTACTTTGCCTACCGATAATGAATGCCTAAAGTGTAATTCGGAGTAACTAACTTATAGCATGTCTGAAATGACAAAGGTGCTGTTTGTCCGGCTACGTCCCGTTTAACCGACAATGCGGGGCACCGCCTGCGTCATCGTGCCTAGATGTATCTTCCTGAGTCATGTACAACTCGGCCTTTCACTTGCGAGCCTTGGAGATTTTATCGAAGACAGCAGCTGCTCAAAGAGAAGGCCTGCAACAGCAACAGTTCCTACGCATCACAAAGACCTGGAATCGAACCACCTTGTAAACTAGCACATGTAGAAAAGGAAGCCGACAGCAGAACCACACGTGCGGACCGTGGTTCCCCTCACCCCCACGCGGGGTAATGTACCATCCCAATTGATGCCCTCTTTGCAATTGTACAGTCCCTGGGAACCACCTCGAGTGGAAATCGAGCCATGCCAATTGACAAAAGAATATCCACGAATCATCGGCCGTGAGTGGTATACGGTAGTCGGCCTCTTTCGTCTGTCGGAGGATCATCAGGTCGAGTAAACCGAAGCGATGAGCGAAGGAATGCCCCTCTTCCTCCTGTTGTCTGTTCCCGTCTACTCCAGTTCCGACTCGTGGGGGTTTGACTTCTTGCCCCGCGTGTCTGGACTCCTGACTCGCAAACTAGTGGGAACTGTGAACCTGTGAACACACCCGTCATCACGTCAGCTCTTCTCTTGAGTAGTTTCCGTCTCCCGTCCATTTTCCCCTCGACTCTCCCTTCCAAGTCACCTGTAACCTCACACAACCACCCTCTCACCCCTTTAAACCCTTCAAATCATGAAAATGGCCGCTGCAGACGTTCGCTTCCGATTGAACACCGGGGCGGAGATCCCCGCGCTCGGCTTGGGTACATGGCAATCTGCCCCCGGCGAGGTGGCTCGCGCCGTCTACCACGCCATCAAGGTCGGATACCGCCACATTGACGGCGCCATGTGCTACGGCAATGAGAACGAGGTCGGTCAGGGTATCAAGCAGGCTATCGACGAAGGCATTGTCACTCGCGAGGACCTCTTCGTCACCACAAAGCTGTGGTGTACCTATCACACTCGCGTTCAGGAAGGATTGGACGAGTCGCTCAAGAACCTTGGTCTTGACTATGTGGACCTGTATTTGATGCATTGGCCATTGGCCATGAATCCCAATGGTACGTTCGATTCTCCCGTCACTGAGACTTGGGACGGAGTGAGAAAGACAATCAGAGAATATCCTACAGCTTGACGGTCCCTCTACGGCAGTAGCATCGAGTACATCCGGTTGACAAGCCCTTTCTCCTCTAGGAAACCACCCCATGTTTCCCAAACTCGAGGATGGTTCGCGTGACGTTCTCCACGACCACAGCCACGTCACCACCTGGAAAAGCATGGAGAAGCTCGTCCCCTCCAGTAAGGTCCGCGCCATTGGTGTCTCCAACTACAGCGTCAAGTACCTCGAGGAACTCCTTCCCCAAGCCTCTGTCGTCCCCGCCGCCAACCAGATCGAGAACCATCCTTCCTTGCCCCAGCAAGACATCGTCGACTTCTGCAAAGACAAGGGCATTCACATTACCGCCTACAGCCCCCTCGGTAGCACTGGCAACGTCTTATTCAAGGCTAAGCCCATTGTCGAGGTCTCCGAGAAGCGTGGTGTCTCTCCTGCTTCTGTCTTGCTCAGCTGGCACAGTAAGCGACCCCCCCCCCCCCATCTCTCATTTCCTAACCGAGTTTGCTATTCTGTTTCTGTGGCTCGATTCCGAAGTGCACTAACCTTTTCTTTTGCTTGCAGTCGCCCGAGGATCGTCCGTCCTCGCCAAATCCGTCAACCCAGATCGCATCGAAGCCAACCGCAAGGATCTGATCCGCCTTGACGACGACGACATGGCCACCATCCAAAAGTACATTGATGAGCTGGCTGCCACCAACTCCTTCCAGCGCCTTGTTTTCCCTGCCTTTGGCAAGACTTTTGGATTCCCCGACAAAGAGTAGACATTGGAAGAGAAAAGTGAATGCCAGTATCTTGATGATTCTTCTAGATACAGAGCGGTTACATTGTGGGCAATTTAAAAATGTGCAGAAACTCAGCGACATTGACTACAGAGTTTGTTCATGCGAGACCCATAGAGGTACAAGACACATAGCTACCACTACACTTGTGATTTGTGATACCAACAAAATGAGAAACACGAGTTTATTCCAATTTGAAGCTCAGCCCTTATGTTGTGTGCTTTGAAGACTGGGATTCCGGGTCTTTCCAAACAAAAAGGAGTCGTAAAAACTTGGCTGACTAGCATATTCCTTCTACAAGAAATCAGCCAAGCGCCTTACCTGAGTCACACTGAAGCAATCTACACCGAAGATGTATCAACAGAAGAATATTAGATTATGCAATACTGCATTAATCGATTCGAGGCCCCAGTAGAGTGTGCTATGGTACATGTTTGGCCAAAGACTTGGGGGAGTACAAGAAGAAAATCAAAATCAAGACGCCAGACACACCAGACACGTCAGACACGCCAGACCACGTCTCATTAAATTCGCTTCGTCGTCGTCAGGTCATGTGCATCGAGATCGCATAATCGTACATATCGTGGTCGGGGCTTGTCAAGCGCCCAGTTTCCGCTCGCGTTGGGGGAATCATTTCGCTCAAAAAGAAGAAAAAGAAAAGAAAAAAAGTGCAAGCGCAAAGCCAGAAAGGAAAGAGTGTTATGGCTTTTAGTTCGATGGTGTTGAGCTGGCGTTGAGCCATGGGTATTAGAGAGAAAGGGGTCGTGTGACAACCATCTCCAGGATAGATGGCATGGGCCCAGAAGATAATGAGTGAGGAAGGGGCCGTATGACAACCATTCTAGCATAGATGGTATGGACCCAGAAGATAATAAGTAAAGAAGGGGCCGTACGACAACCATCTCCAGGATAGATGGCATGGGACCAGACGTAACGAGGACCGGTCTCAGATGCGAACTGATATCTCGGCGGAAGGAGAAGCAACTGAATAAGAGGGCCTTTCAAAGAACAAGAGAAAGCAGCAGGAACCTACGATTCTGGTTTCTCAGCCTCCTGGTTGCTAGTGTTCTCAACATTCTGAGTGTCCGTGTTCTTCTTGTCGCTGGTGTGGGTGCTTCCAGCCTTGGTGGTGGTCACAGGAGGTCGACAACCGGGAACTTCATGGCCAACCATGACGCGGCCAGGGTGAGGGCTATCAGCCCGCTGGAGATGGTAGTCTACAAATTCCTTGAAACCCAACTCGGCCCAGTCTTCAGATTTGACTTTGGCGTGTCCGTATCGAATAGCCTCACGCAGAGCCTGTAAGCGACGCTCTTCCCGTACCTTTATGACCTCCTCGAGAAGCTCGCTTGTCAAATTGCCTTGTTCTCTCATGATAGCGGCGGCAGTTCGAAGGACGTGGTATGGGAGAGTGATTAGCATGGCCGAAGGAACAAGGATTGCCGGGTCCTTAGGGCGAAGATCAGCGTAAGAGGGCATGCTACCAAACCGAATGTTCTCAAGACGGGAGTCTCTACACGCCGAATATGGAAGGGTGTGAAGAGGAGGCGGAATCCGGGTTGGAGTAAAGCGTGCCTGAGCACGGTGGTAGAGCTCAAAGTCCGGGGTGATTGCGCCAGTGATGAACTTGAGAGCCGCAGTCTGAGCCCGATTAGCCTGGACATGTTGGAAGTCGTCAAAGTGGTCAATCTTGACGACGGGAAAACCAGAAGAAGAAAGTGACAGAGTCACCGGAGAGAAGGATACTTCGGGGCATGTCACCATGTAATCGGCCGGGTTGATGCCGAAATTGAGGATGACCTCGGCTGTCTCCCAAGAAAGGTGTTCGAGAGCCATGTCGATGCCACGGTGGGTGATCTCGTGGTGGGCGAGGAACGCACCTGTAGCAGCGTAACATAGTGCGAAGTCGACCATCGCACGCTCCACTGAGAACGATGCGGTGATTTCGTCCTCTGAAAGAGCAAGCCCCTCCAGAGTCGCCGCTCGCAGGGTCGCGCTGCTCATCAAGGGAGTACCGTACAGGGTACGGAGGGCCATAACAAAGGCCGCCGAGGAGGCGAAGGAATGTCCGGTGAAAGCCCGGATGTCGTCAACCCGCCCTTCATGATAGCTTTTAGCTGCCATCACGCTGCGCAAGAACGGACTTGCTGCCAGAATCACCCTGTGTAAAGGGAAGGCAATCCCAGCAGAATCAGACTTGGGACTCAGGAAAAGCTGAATGTCCGCAAGCTCAGGATGGCCGAACATCGAATTGAGATGCCAGGTCAGGAAAGCCAGTGGATCAAAGAGCCCAGCCTCCTCGGACTGAACGAACTCGTTGGTCGCCTGGTCTTGTGATCCCAGAGTGCCAGTCTCAGCAGTCGTCTCCATTTGGGCGTCGAAATACAGGCTGGGAGACTGCATGTCGGCCTCTTCAACGGTCACTGAGCCCTCGTAGTCGATCAATGGCTCACTGACAGGCTCGCCCAAGCTCGACTCGGGGCCTGCCGACTCAGACATGCCACTGGCTTGTTCGATGAGGGCAGCTGGGAGAATACCCTGTTGGGCGGCGACGGAAGGGAAAGGAGCCACAGGGAAGAAAACGGGGGGGAGACCGTAGGGCCAAGGGCGGAAAGCCCCAGTGGCAGCGACAGGAAAGGCGGACGGCAGCTGACGATACTCAGTACTCGCTTCAATCTCCTGCGAGCGCTGAGAGTATCCCAATTGACCTTGCATCGGGATTGGAAAGTCGCTACTCTCACACATGTGCTCTGAGTGGGCAGTAGCACCACCAACGTTCACGGCGATCTCGAGCAAAGCGCCTGATTCCTGCGCCTTCTCCTTCTCTTTCTCTACCTCAGCCAGCTTGCGCTGGCGCCACGACTCCGTGTCCACGATACACGGCTCAACGTACTCCTTGACAGGAGCCGCCAAGTCCGTGCTTTGAGGCTCCGTGGATGCCTCAAGAAGAGCTGTGCCGACTGGCTCGGCATTGCGGACACTCTTCTTCTTCCACGCCCGCTTGTTCCTTTTCTTCTTGTTGTTGTTGCGGCGGCCTTGGGGAACGGTGGTCTGAGCCGCAGAAGATGCGACGGGGGACGCAACAGGCAAAGCAACGGGCAAAGCGACGGGCGACGCGACGGGTGACGCAACGGGGGAAGGACGGGGAGAAGGGGTACGAATAACGTCGTTCTCCGGCTTGTCGGTGGTCTCTGAAACGACCCCGGGAGCAACTAGGACGTTGCCCATCTTGCGCGCCTTTCTGTTCTTCTTCCTTTGCCGGGCGCTACGGCAACGAACCCGCTTGGTGGGCTCGGGAGAAGATCCAACGACGTTTGAAGGGATCGTCACCGAGGGAGCTGGGCCTGTTGGTATGGACCGTCAGTATATGCACGATTATAACATCAAAAGTGTGAAAAACTTACTACGGCCGCTGGCTTCAGGGACAAGCAAAGCGGAGCCCTCACGGACGGAGGGAGAGGCAGAAATACCACCAGAGACAGCAACAGGAGCGGGAGCAGGTTCAAACTCAGGCTCAGTTACCTGGTTCTCTTGGCCCAGGACGGCAGGCGCTGTGTAAAGACACCATATGTAAGCAGATGATACTAAAAGAACAGGAACGCTGGCTGAGATCACTTACTTGACTCACCAGCGTGAGCTGCTGGTCGGAGAGCCAGAAGAGAAGTGCCGATAGCCTGGTCCAGGTAGAAGTCAATCGACTCCACGGAGGTCAGGTCATTCTCCTCTTCAGATGAGGCCTGTAAAGCCTCAGTCTGCTCTTGGGCACCCTCTAGCAAGTGCACCAGCTGTCCCTCGACTTCGGTCTTCGGGGCAGGGATCCCAGGGTAAGCTGGTGGCGGACTGTTAGGTCCGGAGGGGCGAGGAGAGACAGACGGAAGAGGGAGGCAGTCATCCAAGCGTTCACCGCAGGAGTCCTGGCTGGAGCAGAGCAGCCGCGAGACAGGCGAGCTTCGCTCTGATGACGACTGAGTCTGCCGGTGAGGTGAAGCGGGCCGGAAATCAGACGAGCTAGGCTCGATTTCCCGGCCTGGAAGTTGTTCAAGATGCTCTGTTGATGCAACTTGAGAGGGGGACTTGTAAGGGGGCGGTTCGTAGGATGAAGAAGAGGAAAGAGAAGATGCAGGTCGAGCAGGGGCATCAGGATCAAAATTCGAGCGGGCGGCGGAGAGAGACACGGCAGAAGTGTTGTTGTGCTGCGATTTTTGCTCTCGGGATTCTCCAGGAATAAGGCCCCAATCCTGTCGTAGCTCATAGGGGAGTCTCTGTGTCCAGTGTGGCTGTGAGGCTCTTCTAAAACGACCAGCCACCACAAGGCGACGAACAACTTCACGTTCTTCACGTTCCTCACGCTCCCCACGTTCCTCAATTGGGGAAGACATGTCGATACACGTCAATTTGAATAACGAGGAGGCGAGTGATGAATCGAATATTTTCGAGTCTTGAAGGTCTTTGAATGGCCCTGTGCAATAAAGAAACGAATATTCAAGTGATCACGGGCTCGTGAAGTGCGTGGAAACAGGGTAGAAAAGGGCGTCTTGATAGATCAACGAGCTGATCTAGGAGCCAGGCGATGTATGAAATGCCTTCGAGTCCCTCCAAGACTGTGTGTGATAAAGAGATGAATATTCAAAGGGAACCTGGCGATCAAAGTGGATCACAAGATTATCAAGTGCGTGGAAGAATGGTAAAGCAAGCGTCTCAATAGAGTAATGAGAATTTGATGAAGAAAGAATGTAGCCAATGTTGACTATGGGCGTGGTGAGAAGGGAGCAGGGGCGTGGTGGAAGAAGAGTTCGGAATCACGAGGGAGGCTAAGGGGGGGTAGGCTTATATACTGGGAAAATCGCACTTGTGAGAGCAAACATTTTCTTGTTGCCACGACGAGATGACTGACACCACGCCGAGCTAATACTGAGCGTCAAAATTACTCTCTTTTCTCTTATGCGCCGCAAGGAATGAGGCGGAAGCCCCGTCAAGAGTAAGTATTTTCCTCTTTTCCCTTTTGGGTTCACGAACACGCCGGATCGAAGTCGAGAGTGAGTGTGCACGTCTTACCCCTTCTGTACGACTATTATACAACACCATGATTCAGTAAGCGTGTAGCTCCTCACTCATACAGGTCTCGATCAAAACCATCGTCATGAAGGTAGTCGGTGATCCGGTCAACCCACCTTGATGCTTCATGTTGATATTCAGCCTTCAGGGCTTGTACTCGCACGTGATTCAATTTCATATCACGTGCGCACTTTATCTTGACTCCACTCAAAATCGCCCCGGGTTGCGGAGTTCAGCACCACCGAATTTGTCCGTCGATGAACATGCGATATTTAAACTATTCCAGGCCACAAGAAATCCGTGTCAGCACAGGAGTAACAGACTTTTGGGTGCTGGAGCTTCAAGACAAGCGAGGTGGCTCGCTCACTTCTGCGTCACCTGACAGCCAGCTTTGAGTCTTTCAGGAAGGCTGGACTCGGGCGGTGACAAGGCCCCCAGGCAATAAACATGAATGTGATACATGTTGAAGAGATGTGAATTATATGATACATGGATCCGACGCAGCTGTGAACCTTAAATCTTTCGTGGATCGTCGGATCCATCAAATGTATTGGAGAGATTGCGAGCCCAACGAGGCTGAAGATGTACCGAGCTGTTGCCATATACCTAAATGTAATACATCATCTGTGTGTCGACTGTCTAGATTCCTGTAACAGCATATTCCCTGATTTATATACTCCTCTCAACCGAATTTTCGACCCATGAATACCTACCTTTCTCTACCAGCTTGGTCAAAAATATTGGTGGTGGGTCTGTGTGTTCTTTCAGTCTAGAAGAGCGCAGTCACGAACATGACACGCGTCCGACTACTTAGGTCCCTTCTAGGACATGATCTCGATGAGACACGCGAAAAAGAGATATTGTATGACTGCGATTCAACTGAGTGAATGGACGAAATGAAACATAAACTTAAACGTACTAGGCCTAATCCATTAAGATGAGGATGGTATTCGTATTCCAGACCGAATGAATTCAGACGAAAGTGTCGATGTGAGGTCCCATGAAGTAGAAACTCTGACGTCCTGCAATCTACACGCTGTGCAGGAAAGCTTTCATCAAGGGGGCGCACTTGATATGCAGCTTGCCGATTGCCAGTCCGGTGCAGCTCATCTTCGGCTCAAAGGGACGGTCGCCACCCCATGATCATACGAATATAGAAAACCTACCCATGAGTCTCTGGTAAAACCGGGGTCTCTGTTAAAATCGAGTTCAAAAGTCTACTACTATATGTCGGGGATTGTTTCATCACCATGAGTCTACGGAATCCGAGTGGCCATTCTTGTGATAGGTAATAGATTGAGAACAGAAGGATTCAACAAAATCCGGCAGTATGTATTGAACAAATCGAGACGCTCAAGGAATGCACCAGGTGGTATATAGTCGTAAAAAGTATGAAGAGAATGAATAAGACAATGGGCCCAGAAAAAGACAGTAAATAAAGAGCAAGCAGAGTGCATGTGAGGCTCGGGACAAACAGAGAGGGAAAGGTATGAAATCAAAGGACAGGGCAGTGGTGTTGACAAGGACTTCTTTCTAGAACATTCCACCATTGACAGGAATTGGAGGTGGGGGATTAGAAGGCAGCGCCGGAACTGGAACATCAGTCACTTCCTGGCGAGCTCTTGCATGAAGGCTGCCGGTCTCACTCGTGGATTTACGCAGGCGGTTGCGGGAACGCGGGCGCTTCTCGTCGTCGGGGAAAGAACTTTGCTCATCAAAGGCGCTGGGAACGGGAGATGATGCCCGGGAGTCATGCTTGTCTGATTTGAAAGCACTCAGGATTGTTTGAGTGCCCCGACGACGGCGAGGATTCATCGGTGGCAGCGGAGGAGGTGTGGCGCCTTGTTGCGAAGAAACAGAGGGAGTCGAGTTGCTAACCGGAAGACCGACTAGGGGCACATTGGAAGTCGAGGACACCAAGGTTGGCTCTGAGATGAGCTTCTTGTTGACGCTTCGCTTCTGGAGCAGGGTACTGCCTGGGGTTCGCTGTGACAGGGAATGAGCACTGCTGACAGTCGCAGTTGGGTTCCCAGCGGGAGACTGGTCTTCGACGAGGGGAGGAGTAGCGTTGGCCGAGTAGGCAGGGGCGGCAGGGGGTGGTCGCGGAGGGGCCCCGATCATTGACGAAGTCTGTGTTTGTTGGTATGCAAACGGCCGCTCAAATTGAAAACCTGGAGCCCCTGAACGACTGGTGCTACGGTACCGGCCCGATGCGGCGGAGGTGGAGCGATCATATGTCATTGCTTCGGCATCTTCAGACGTGCGAGTTGAGCTAGGAACCAAAGGGGGACGGTAATTCTCAGGAATGACAAAGGTCTCACTCGGTAATGAGCCTGCTTCGTTCACAGTCTCCAAGTCATCACGTTCACGATAGCGCGTGCGGCTCTTGGATCGGCCGGACGCGTCAGAACCGGAACGAGAGCGGAATCCACTATGAGGGGAGGGCCCGCGGCTACGACTCGATTCTCGGGATTCTTCATGACTGGGGCGGCCGACAGTTGGAACGCGGGACCGAAAGGCTCGCTCAGACCCGACATGGGGTGAGCTGAAGTTGGGGTGGCGACCAAAGTTTGGTCCAGGCCGATCTTCCTCACGCCATTGATCTTCGGAAACCAGAGCAGGAGTAGAGCCTGCATTGTTTCCATACATCATGCCTTTCAGATCGGCCTTACCCATACCCTGCTTAGCGGCCTTGTGCTTCAGAATGGAAAAAGCATTACCAGCTTTGATTCCGCCGATGTCAGGTGTAGATCGGCCAGGTGCGGGACTGGTAGACCTGCTTTCGCTCTCAGCGACGCTTCTCAACTTCTCCTGAACCTTGCGTCGACGCTCCGCCAGCTCGATCTCGAATTCTTCACGCTCTCTCTGGGTCTCAGTGCTGGCACCACGACGGTGTCCGTATTGAAGCTCATCCTTCCAGTTGGATACGTTTGAGTGCACGTATTCAACGCCATTTGCAGCGCTAGTGTTCGATGAATCACCACTGGAGCGATTGGCGGTGTGTTCTGAAGAGTGGTGCGAGGAGGGTTTGGGACTTGTTGGAGTCGTGTGATCGAGGCCCAGCAGCGCCTCGTCTGGGGTGGTGGCAGGAGTGCTCAGCTCAGAGGTAGCCTCGCCAGTTGTAAGGTAGTTTGAGGTCGACTCCGTCTGAGTGAGGCCTGGGGAAGGCGGAGGGCAAATGGAAGATTGATCGCTTACTTGGCGCAGATGAGAACGAATGAAGCCGTTCAGGCCGAATGTTGGTGAGTCTGGCCGCTGAGGAGTATCGAGGTCACCGTCGGCAGGTACGCTAGGCTCATTCGGAATTTCGTCTTCTTCGATCGGCTTGAGGTCGCCAAGATCGGAGTATCGAACCTCGGGAAGAGTGTCCATGGGCTCGTTGATCGGCGACGTCGGCTTGGGGCCAGAAGTGATCTGATGCAGAGAGTGACCGGCGTCCGTGGTCATGGTGGTCACAGACGAAAGGTCAAAAGAGTTGTGATCATTTATGTCTTCGGCAGAGTCACTGGCAGTCGAGTTCGCGTAAAAGGTGGTCAATCCAGGCTGGCCGGGGAGGCCTCGACACTAGATCGGCGGGATCGATCGACGCCGTTGCTGTAGTTGGAGGAGGCTGACTCGGCTCGAGACCGGTGACTAGATTTAGAGAAACCCCTAGTTCGGCCGGTCGGTTCCTGCGGCAAGGGACGGTTGGTAGGGGGTGGCCGTGGTGGCGGGAAGGAAGGGTTATGTCCTTGGTGCATCTGCAGCTGGCGGCGCATGAATTGTTGCTCATCAAATCCCGTAGCAGCACGATTGAAAAAGCCCATGGCCGTGGCTTTGCCGTGGTCCTCGGGACTGACAGCAGCTGCCAAAAGACGTTTTCCCTCGTCAACCTCACTGGATGGCGGACTGAGCGGAGGGACGGCTCCTGAGCTGTTGGTGAACGGCAAAGCGTGGTCGCTAGGGGTATTTTCTGCAATGGTAGGCGGTTTGGACGATGTTGCCGAGGACGGTGGACTCGCAGGCAGGGTGGATGTCGTGGTCTCCGTCGTGTTGAGCTTTTGGAGGCGATCGCGAAGACTGCCGACGGAACGCGAGAAATTGCGGTTCATGGGCACTGAATCTGTGGCTGGGGATCCACGCTGACGACTGAGGCTTTCAAGACGGTTCAAGGTAGAGGATTGCTGATTCTGGGCGGTTTGGTTGAGCCCTTGCCCGTACAATCGTTGAGAACGAACGGAACCATTTCGCGGATTCGACATGGCGGATGGTGAGCGAGTGTCGCTTGGAGCATCAGGGTGAATCGACGCCTGAGGAACGGCGTCTGGAGTTTCCTCAACCGAAGTCACGCCAGATGAAGCTGGCGGTTCGAGCGCAGAATCCGAGGCAGTCAAGGAATGAGTGGGATGCCTCGAAGAGAGGGAAGCGATGCCCTCTGATTCTTGTGTGGTCACATGTGGCGCGATGTTCGCATCTGTCCCTTCTTCAGCAAGCCGCCGCTGCTCTTCCTTCTCCTTGAGCCGCAATCTTTGGAACGCGGACAGATTGAGGTCATGTTCGTAGACGAATTTGCCCAATCCACGATTCGGTTCCGTGGACTCTGACCCTGTTCCGGTAGGCGTTCGAACAGGAATACGATAGACTTTCTGGCGACCGCCAAACAGGTTATTTCCTTCTGTTCGGCGAGCACGGCTCATGATGCTGCCGCCTGCGCCGCTCTGCGAGCGATCATCGTCGGTGCCATATCCTGCGTCAAATGCAGATGCGTCCGAATCGGCGCGTCCGAGAGCAATCGATGGGCGGCTCCCGTCGTTGGAGGAAATTTCATCGATGTCCGTCAATAGGCCGGCACTGTTACCAAATATGTTCACTCGCGAGGCTCGTTTGGGGAACAGAACGCTGTCGTCACTAGCTTTCCCAACCACCGTGTCTGGGTCATCCTGCTCTCTCAACATGCTGAATCGCGCCGACAGTTTGGGCATGAGGAGACTTGTGCGAAAGTCATCCGATGATGGCAGAGCGTCTGACAAGTCCAATTGAAATTGCGACTCCGCAGGCCCCTCCGTCTTTTTGGAGCTTTTCAGACTGAAAGGCGAACTTGAGGTGGATGATACTTTTCCCAACTCGTCCGAGGCATCCTTGCCCTTTTTGTTCTTTCGAAACCGATGCATTTTGGGGGGTGTATATAAGTTGTGTGGATGGGGGGTCCCGTTCCTCTCTGACGGATCACCCGCGGTTGTAGAGTGAGTGCCGATTATAAAACAAACGAGTGACTTGACTTTACACATTCAGCAGATGAGCACATTAGTCCTTCGACGAGCTGACTTTCGTTTTCGTGGATTCAATTCTTCCCCGAGTCGACTCACATAAAGATGTCCTTTTTTAGTTGAAAAGAGCGAACGGCATGGCCTGCACACGGATTGAACACGATGTGGAGTGCGGTCGACGTCGAAGTTGTAGTATACTGTCTTACTTGTTGACTAAGTCGACGGCGTCACGGAGACTTGAAAAGGAAGCTGCGGCGCACTGCAATTGTCTTGTCCGTGTTTCAGGATCTCTGCCACTTGTCGGCGGATGAGGTTTGTTCGGTCGCCGGTGAATGAGCTCCAATCAAGCGGATTTCACGCATCTGCCGGGGGTAGGGAGGAGGGGCGAGAAAATTGACCGATCACACGAAAGGAGACTCGAAAGGGAGTGTGAGGTGGCGGAGTCGACCTTGATGGGAGACGGGTCGAAATGGAGGGAATACAATGGGAGATGGGATGGCAGTAGTTGTTTGGAATTGAAGGTAAAGAGAGACTGGGCGACAAAGGGCCAAATTGAATTGAATGAGCGACGGGTAGAAGAGGTCAAAAGAAGGAGGAGAGAGAGAGAGAGAGAGAGAGAGAGAAACCTCGTTTAGGAATGCGATGCGTGCAAGAAAGCGCGGATTGGGGAAAAGGAAAAGCGCCCGAGCGTTGAGGGTGACGCTTAGCGTTGGGTCTTGGTATCGATGACTTTGGGGCCTGGGACGGGGCTAGCTTGGAAATGATCCATTCTCAGGGACCAAGAGAGGGGGGGGGGGGGGGGGAAACCGGTAGAGTGAATGGAGTCGCAGCATACATACTTCATGATGATGATGCTAAAGTTCAATTAAATTCTGATACAGTAGTAGTATCCGAGAAATTCTATTATGTAAATTGACAACGCTGGAATTGTTCCTTCCGTGCACATTCTTCATTGGGGATTCAATTTTGCGGGTGTCAACTTGTCAAGAGACCGAGAGAGGCAACGAGGAAAAAAGAATGAGTCAAAAAAGGGCCAAAAACGAATCAGCAGAAGAAGAAGGGGGAAAAAAAAGAAAAAAACGGGGCCGTCCCAGACCTAAAACAGACTAAATCGATTTAAAATTAAATGGACTGAAGCGTTCTGGATCTTTTGCGAGCCGGTTCGTCCTCTGTTGGTGTCCAGTGGTCCACTATCGCGGGTGCACCATTCAGGTGTTCGCTCACGAGCTGCAGGAGCCTCGAATGATGAAACTGAAACCGAAAAGAAGCATCTGAACGTGATACTGGGGGGAAGGAAAGTCATCAGTAGACCTGAAATAGAGCCTGTTTTTGTGGCATGCCAGTCTCTCCCACTCTGAGTGCCTGTCACCTGCGGAGCAATGCCCATGAGGTACAAGGGGCTTCCCGCGCTGCTTTCCACGGATGCCCACTGGGTGGTCCTGGTTCTGGTGGCCGAGAGCTCTGGACGGGATCTGCAATCGCAGGAGAGTCGGGTAACAAGTTACCAGGCACCGTATTGTCATATTTCATTGTCCCGTACGGCGTGTCGTACTGTGCCTGACAGGCTATCAGCCTGTCAGTAGACTCAGTACTACAACTCAGTACAGTAGTAGTATTCAGTATTGACTCATTGAGTAATGGGCATTGATTACGGTCATGTGATCTATCGCGCTCCATCATGTTCTTCACATTCTAATCCATAGGGCATTGAGGAATGACTCTAATGAGTACTAAGAGTACGAACGAGTTACTCAGTTGCTAACTACAGTACTACGAAGAGTAGGTAGTAACACCACTGCATGAGTAGTAGAGTACTGGCGCCATCAAATTCAACCGACTCCAATCGACCAGGATCGCATTGAGCGCGAGGAGCACAACCCCGTGTCTACTGTCTAGAGACCTAGTTCAACAATCAATCTCTAAACCGACTTGAAGCACGCAAGTTGCATCAGTGGGCAATCACCGTGTGTGTGTGCTTCCCTCGATCAGAATCCAAGCATGCAGAGCGTGCCGCCGTGCCCTGTCATGGCATGTGGACCCGAGGCTGGATAGCCACACAAACCACCACGGACAATGACCCACGATGCCCACCGAGGATTCTACTCCAGATTACTCTCCTGACTACGGTGTCTCTCAGAATTTGCACTCCACAAATCCAATCCTCCACCAGCACTCGATGCTACAAAAGAATGGTTTCACGAGCACGCAGTGCAGACTCAGAGTCATACCACCGTGGGGGGGCAGTTCTGACCGTGGCTGAAACTGGTGGAGTGTTTTGACCGTTCGGCATTGGCATGCTCAAGAATCAAGTCTTGAGGATCCTCGAATCCCGACAGGACACTGAGGACAGTCAGGACAGTCAGGACTGAGGACACTGACAGTGCCATTGTGAGGGAAGCAGCTGGATTAGAGGAGTAATGATACTGTACTTAGTCGTACAGTACTCAGGTACTGTATGTATGTATAGCCTTGTATTTGTGTGTCGCAGGGCTCTTGACCCCCCTCTGATCCTTCGAGGTCGAAAGACAAACGTTTGGATTCCTCTCCCTATCCAACTAACCGGTAATCTTCCACTAGCGCTTCCAAAGGCCCTCCTTGATCGTTCTAGTCGTTCCAGCATCGCGGAGACGAGACCCAGTCGAAACAAACTCGTTCATGATTGTACAGCGGGCGCAGATCAGGAAAAAAAAAACAAAGCCATATCACCGGGGCCAGAGTGCCGTTGTTTCTGGTCCCGAATTCCCACTTCTGGGAGTCATGCCCGGAAGATGATGGATCGCGGACATTAGCTTCTTCGGTTCCGTGGGCGAACGTTGTGGCTTCACTGGCTTGAGCTTTTCAGCTGCCTACCTGGGCAATCGACTCCGTTCCCGGCGGGCGCGACGGGTAGACGACACCACGGAAAGCCTTGACTTGCCAGGCTGGGGCGAATGAGACACGGCCGGCAATCCACTTGACTCTACTCATGACAGCCAAAATCAAGATTGATATCGGAGGGGCAACGGTCCCAAAAGGATCGAGTGACCGTGATCATTGGCCTTCTGGGGCAGCACTCATACCATCTAGATTACACCTCAGTGACCTTACAGTCTTCAAGTCTCGTATATGGTCTGCAGTCTGAGTCTGCAGTCTGCAGTCCGCACCCGATGATCAGATTCGATAATTGAATAATGCTCCTTGCATGGCCCGCGGAGGGCGACCTGCAGCATGATTGCAAAGAGGAATAATTATGGGCAATGAGCCACTGCCAAGACTTGAGGATTGTCAAAAAGAGTTGCACCGAGATGCATAGAATCATGCATATGCATGTCCATTGCCAATGTCCATCCTTCAGCTTCCGCCCGGCTACACTTACAGTGGGCACAGGGGGACACGGCAGCTCAAGGCAAAGTTGATCGATCCATGACTCGTAACAATGGCCGGAGATCTTGCATCGAGCCTGCTGCCGTACGAAGATGCCATAGCTGACGGACGCTATCCACTTCTTCATGTTATACGAACTCTCCTGCGTTGTGCGTGCTGTATGGGATCTGTTTGTAGTTCATCGAGTCGATCCATGATGACAATGATGACTCGCATTATGAACAACACATAAGACCCGTCCGAGATTGTCTAATACTGATCCACTGCCTGGCTCCGGATCTACCGCTCTTGTACAGATGAGAATGAAGCAGGGCTTGTCCTCCGTCATTCCCTCTAATGTGGTACACCTACCCATCGATGTGCTCCCAAGTAAATAAAGGAAACCATTGGGCTGAAGCCGGAGACATTGGCCACTTGCATCATACCTCTTGAATATATTGAATCCTGCAGGTCTTGGCTCGCCGGGGTCAGGTGAGAACACGCGATGAGATCATTCATATCTCGATGGGCACGAAAAGCACAGATCACAGCCACTGGGGCCGCAATCTGGAACAAATCTAACATGGGCTCGGGAGCTGGAGGTGCCCAAGAGGAAAGGCAATGATGGGTCGATAACACTGAATACCTAGGGCTATGTAAGCCCTCGGCCTAGTACAGTACATACTTGGGCACAAGGCCACAATGCATATTGAACCAAACGAGATTTGATTTGACGCCCCTTGTCGCAAACTCTGTTTTTTCGTTGCCGTGCAAATCCGGGACAACAAAACCGAGGCTTCGTGTCTCCAGAGATTGGTGGACAATTGACACAATGTGATGTACCGAGTAGGAAAAGGGATTAAGTTTTCTCGCACCCTCGGCGGGATGGAGTGTATTGATGATGTTTGGTCAAGCAATCCGATGAAGCTGGAACCTCATACCTTTTTACAAGGAGATCGATGGTGCTTCTACTGGGTATGTCTGATCAATCAACCTTGAAGCAAGAGGGTCTCCAGCTGACATCCATTATGTTGTTGAATAGGCGGGAGTCTATTCTCTACCGAGGTACTCGAAAGCTGTGCTTGAGCCAGATATCGAAAGTCTTCGTATTCATTTGACGAAAGGACATGAACTGATCAAGAGCCCTCCAATACTTCTGTAACATCCTCTCCATCTCATCTATGAAGAACCTTTCGTATTATCCAGTCTCTGAAGCATCCTTGATGATCAAGGACGTAGTTACGTAGTGATTGTTACCGGCCAACTACGGGTGAGACTTCCTTCAGCGGCTGGCGTTGGTAAGATATTGTACCTTAGTGATACAAGATTTTTCATCATACCGCTCTCGTCTTTCAGAACAATACACCGTTACACACAGTCTGAGCTCCGAAGACGGGTCATCTCCTTTGATCACACTTTTGTGGACCCACTCGAAGCTCACCAAGTTCCCCGTTTATTGTGATTGGCTTGACCCAGCGCGATGCCCCTGACTAAAGCCCTGGTTGTGGATGGGGCGCCTTGGCACTGTCATTTCAATGCCGCCCGAGGGGGAGAGATGGTGAAGAGTCAAGACTCAAGTCCTTCTGTCCGACTCGTACGGTATTATATACATACACTTTCACGATGGTTAGACATGTAGTATTTGCGTGCAGAGTTACTGTGCATCACGAGTTAATCGATGACTGATGCCCGAATCCGTGCCTCACTCGGTTCAGTGGATTCAGTGGATTCAGTGGATTCACTGGACTATGCTGTTATGTACCCCTGGGTGGGTTGGCTATCTGCCGAAGTGTGCTTGTCTGCTTGATGACTGCAGAACGGGTCCCGTGGACCCCCACCTAAGTCATCGAATTGGAGGGTACGGAGATGGAGAGTTATTGCTGTATGCTGATCCAGTGAAGATCTGCTCAATGCTCATCTCAACAGATTCAATACAAAACGCAGACTCGGTAGATTAGAAGCGCCCCCATTGGAAATAGTGAGATTGTCATTGTAGATGGGTTGAAAGTCTTGGTCTAGGGAGGGTAAACGTTCAGAGACTGTGGAAGCCTAGAGGGAGGACAAGCACTCATTAGAGGAGGCGTCGGGTCCACCAAACCACAACAGGCAAGTGAAAAAATGGTATCCAATTCTACGGCTTCCAAGGATCGTACTGTAACCGATCCAGATTCCTCATTCCAGGTGGCAGGCAGGTGCGGCACTGTCGCTGATACTAGCGCAGCAACGCTAGTCCTGATAGAGACCCGAACGTCGGGTCTCGGTGGAAGTCCGCAGCAGGGCCTTGAAGAAGATTCGCTTCTTCTACACATCACTCAGTGGTCGCTGGTCAGCAGTACAAGTGTACTTCTTTGCACGGATCGTTCAGTAGATGCGTTCTTGAGAAAGCGTTGGCAGTTGGAACCTATCATGCTTCAACCCCATGTGCAACAGCTAGAACGGTTCCCGCTCAGCCGTATTTTGCAGCACCTGAAACGCAGACACGGGAAGCCATGACATCGTTTCAGCTCAATCATCAGACATGCGCAAGGGGATGAGACAGGCTTCGGGGAAAAGAGAAAGAGTCACTGTGTTGATACAATAGGTTTGGGGGAGGAATTGCCGCGACGGAGTTCAACTCGGTCTCTGTCACCTAGACTGACGATATAGTGCAGAAAGCATATCACTTTCAGCTGATGGCACATGACCAAGTTGACGCAGCCCGCTGTAGTACGTCTGAGTAATATGGACACCATCTAGATCCAATGATCCATTGCCCTGCAAATCCAATGACTTGCAAAGCCATGCCAGTCCAAAGATCATTGGCCGGTCCCCCCACTGAGCCTTATCATCGAGATCTAGGCAGTGAATAGACGAATTTGGCGAAATTACTATGGACGCGCTCCGTTCTTGTTCTCCCCTCCCCGGTGGAGCACTTTTGAGGTTTCGTTCAATTTACACTTTGCAAGGTTGCTGGCACGGGCAAAGGAAGACCCAGGAACAGGTCAAACGACAGACGACCGGTTCTTTGGGACCGGTGGGGCCCGTTTATTAGGGTGCATCGCTGGAACCGGAATCTCGAATCTTTGAATCGCGAATCTCCTCCCGTCGCGGGTCTCCGTTTCCGCGGCTCGGGCTGTGTTTGTGTAGAACCGTAGACTCAAGACTGTGGATAAGGCAGCAGATACTGTGGGATACAATGATACATGCTCGACATCGAAGCTGCTCACCGACAGAACACAGAGCCCTTGAACACACGCTCATACTAGACTGCTGGCATCGAGATGACTGACATCCCCATGCCCATCAAGGACGCTTAGCGCCAAATTGGATCCACGTGGGTCCGCAAGATATTGATTGATCCATTCCTTCAGGCTTCAGCAGGTCAAGATTCAAGAAAAATAAAAAGTCTTGATGTCATCGCCGAGACATTTCATTTCCCAGAGCGCGGAGCTTAATAAGTCGTTCTAGAACGCCTGCTGAACCACGAGTAATGTCGCGGAAGGACCTGAGCAGTGAGCAGGCGGTTCGGGTGGGCTTAGACGAGAACCTCAACATGTTTATTGTGATGGAGCTTTCGGCGAGACCGACTCGGCTCTCGATCGCCGGACGTTCAAGCATCATCGACCCTTCACATGAGCAGCTCCGCACTGGACGGATGTCTCAAAGCGAGTCTGTTGTCGACAGATGGGAGCCGGCAGTTTGTCGCGCGTCTGAAATGCTAAAAGTGGCCTAGCTGAACGCCATGTGTGGGGGAACCAAAGTCCATGACAGCTGATACATACACCCGTGACCCGGAGGTTGCCGCTCGCTTGTTCTCGACAAAGGTCACAAGGTTGGCCGAGTTTTCATAACAAAAGTCTGCAACGATAGCGTAACCCTCCAGGCAGTCGCAGTCTGGTCGTTGGAGTTGAGATCAGGTATACTTCCTTTGCGCTGTGCTTGAGAGAACACTAACGCTTGGTACACATCTTCAATCATCTTTCTTGGCAATATCTTGGGCGGCCTTCTATTTTCATTCACCCATCGGCGCGACACTCTCGGAGTGACTTGTGCTGATTGTCCATGCACCTGAACCATGGAGAGGACATCATATTCGAAAAATCAGACCAGGAGATCTCTCCAGTCCGCATCATTCCTCATAGGAGCTCGATTACATTGTCCGAACAACGCGCTCTATCCTGTTCCCAGAGGTCTCCAATCATCGGCAGTTATTCGCATAGCCATTAGCGCAAACCTTTCAACAAAAGGCGATGGAGCCCGGGAGCCGCGCAATTCACGCTCGTTCCATGTTGGTCAGGCTTAGAATCTAAGTGAAGGGCCCTCCGCTTGGAAAGTCTTCTTCCCGGTTTGCTTTCAGACCTCAATCAAACTCCATCTTGTACAACAAGTTGACTGCCTGTAGTCTAATTGCGATGAATGAATCGCTCGAGAAAGATGGTGTCGCATGCGGGTGGACACTTGACAAGCAAAGCCGGTGTCAGTATACAACCCACGTGAAACTTTTCCACCGGTGCATCTAGGCGGACTACGTGGTCTATTGGATTTAGATGCTGTCCAAGAAGACCGGCCTGGCGAGGAGGGCCCCAGAGCAGAAGTGGAAGTCAGAATGTTAGACTATATCGCGAATCATACCGATATCCCCACCTCGAAGGTTCGCATGGACCTCTTAATCAGAGCCCCCAAAAATAGATATCGCCGATCAAGTCGTGGATATAAGAAGGAACCTGCTTCGATTCGTCACGCCAAAATCTATTCAGGGTATCGAGCAGAGCCCGGGCTTTGATCTATCCAAAAGTTGTAGGTTATTTTCCGACCTTAAGCCCCGTAGACCGTTTCCCTCTAACGAAGAGCTTTAGGATACGTTGGCCCTTAGCCTTTGCTCCCTTCCATAACTAATGATAGAGAGTCTAAGGAAGTAGCCACCAAGGTACAAACCCTACATACTTACTTATTACGACCTTAATCTAGGCAACAGCATAGCTCAAGACGGAAAGTCTGTCGATATACTTGACTGGGAACATGCTGCCTTCTTCCCTATCCGGTGTGAGTATGTTTCGGCGTCCTTTGGATTTACAGACATGGACGTGGAATTCAAGAGACTGCTTCGGCGCATGAAGATGCGAAGGCATTCTAGACGGATATGCGTAATCTAAGGGGAATGCGCAAATCAGGATGAAAAACGTCAAAAAATCTGAGTGAGACAATCCTAGAAGATACCATCAGCTATCCAGACTTCTCTGTAGTGTAAACTAGGTACAGGAGATTCAAGCATGAGGGAGCAATCAGATTAGTTACTCAGGCACTCGCATTGATCCTAGTGCCATCTTCGAACCCGTTCATACTCATATTGCCGCTCGGAGTAATCTCTCCATTCCGCCGAAGATTGAGAAGGCTCATCGGAGATTTTGCGAGCATAAAAGCCTACATCTTGGCCCATACAAGGGAAATCTGCGGCCCCCTCGAAGCTTACCAAGTTGTCGTCCTCGAATTCAATGGACCCTTCTTCGGGATCGAAATGAAGTTGGCCCTCCAGCTCTCGGCACTTCAGTCGCAGCCAATACTTGCGCGACGGGGTCTTTCTTGCCTTGCGCTGTTTGGGCTTTTTTGAGACTTGATTTCCAGATCCAGATGCCTTTCGCTTGGACCCTTGCTGAAAAGTTTCCACCTCCGACTCGCTGCTTTCTGTGGTGTCGTCCTCAAGTGAATCACTGTCGTCGAAGTCATCTTCGCGATCAGCCTCACGGCAATATTCATCAAGAGTCTCTTCATCATCACAAATCATCATAATCCCCTCAAGCACTCCGAAGTCAAAATCAGCTTGGAAGACTCCGGGGCGGTCAGTTTCTTGGATCTCGAGCGTGAGGTCGAATTTTCTCCCATCTGCGTAATGATCCTCAAAACAGGCGCTGTCGACAATATAGCTGCCCACAGGAGACCGATTCTTTGTAGCTTTAGAGCCGCCCCTTTTTCGAGTGAGCGTCTTGAGATAGTCATGATGCATTTTGTCTCGGGCTTGCTCTCGTTTTTCCGACGCCTCGGCCAGCTTCCGTGCGGCTTTGGCAGGATATTCCCTGGCTTCCTTCTTCACAGCTGCAGCATCCCATCCCATAAAGACCATTTTAGTCTCAGGTCCAACAGCCTTTTCATGGTTCAATCCGGGGACCTTGTTCGCAGCATCAATCAGGCATTGAATACCATATTCACTGCGAAGATGAAAAGGCAGACAGACGACGACAGTAGTCTTCGTGCGGTCAGGTTCGCCGGAAGTCAAAAAGTACTTTTCCATGGCCCAGGTGGGGTCTCTAGCGAGCTCAGTAGGAGAGAGTGTTTCCAGAAATTGCATGTGCATCTGCTCCTTCAGCTGTAGAATGTGCTCTGGTACCTTGTCGCATTTCCCAGCCTGAAGGACTCGCTTCATAAGCAACGTGCCCTGACCGGTGAGCTCCTTGTCCTCGAATTGCACACCGTAGTGCATTAATTGAGAGCGCACGAAGCCGCTATTTCTCAAAGCTTTTTGCCCTAGCGGTGTGAGTTTTGGCAGGAACATTTCCCGGAGCTCAGACCCTTCGACTCGCTCCAGCTGCCCTGGCTCAACCATAAAACGGCCATATTTAGAGACAAACTTGTACTCGCAAGTCTTGCCGAACATGGCGAGTACCTCTTGTTGATGGAGGAGAAGCTTTGTTGTCAGCAAGAGGGGCAGGAGGAAGGTAGGGCCTGGTGACTCTTGCGATTGGACCCCAGGATCCACGTCTGACTCATCATAAACTAGGGGGATTCATAGATAGATGGGTCATAGCGCGGTAACCCTAAGGATATAGTTAGATTTCTGATGGACTCCATGTGACGAGAGAGGAAAACACGTGTATGAGGGCGCTGGCTCGATGACTCGGAGGTTCTGCCCGAATGTCCTGCCTGTGGCCTCCACGTGCGTGAAGCCCCATACCTGCCAGTGTGAGTCGTGATAGTATTTCAGGACGCTAGTCCAAGAACGGTAAAACTAACCACATCTGATCTACAATTGCATCATCAATTCCCCTCGATATCAAACGATATCTCTCCCACACAATCCAACCTGTTTCCCCAAATCATCACCTCAGCGAAGATGCACGTTTTACTTCTCGGTGGCCACGGCAAAGTCGCCCTCCATCTCACTCCTCTTCTACTCAACCGGGGCTGGACCGTGACAAGTGTGGTCCGGAACCCCGACCATGAGAAAGAGATTCTGGACCTGGGCAAGGGTCGCAAGGGCAAATTGAGCGCTCTGATTTCCAGCTTGGCTGATATCAAAAGTGCTGCCGATGCACAAAATATCTTGCTCTCCACGAAGCCTGATTATGTCGTGTGGTCTGCCGGTATGTACTATAGCCCATACTATACTATGTGTTTGGATTTTCATACTGCCCCGCAATTCGCAAGCCACAGCCCGCATTGTCATGATAACCGTGTTGCGGGGGAAATTCATCAATTGGAGAGTCGAACTTAAAGCCGATCTTTGAAGATCCCTGTCCACTATGACTGATCATCTCATGATTGAATGTTACTAACTACATACTTGTTTCTCACGACACAGGTGCCGGCGGAAAAGGCGGACCATCCAACACCATCGCCATCGACCAAGAAGCCGCCAAACACTTCATGACCGCCTCCTTCGCATCCCCTAATGTCACCAAATTCCTCATGGTCTCCTACCTGGGCAGCCGCAAGAAGCAGCCTCAATGGATGCCCGATGAGGAATGGGCCGGCATTGTCCACGTCAACAATGAAGTCCTACCAACGTACGCCAAGGCGAAACAGGAAGCCGACGAATACATGACCGCGTTGGTGTTCAAGCACAAGCAGGAACCTGCTGCAACACAACCCTTTCAGGCGATCAACCTGCGGCCGGGAACGTTGACTGACGAGCCCGCTACGCGCAAGGTGGAACTTGGGAAGACGTCAAAGGGTAGGGGCACGGTGACGCGAGAGGATGTCGCGATTGTGGCTGATTTGTTGTTGGCGAGGGCGGACACGGATGGGTGGTACGACCTTGTCAATGGGGAGGAGGATGTTGAGCAGGCGGTGGAGAGAGTGGCTAAGGAGAAGCTGGATGCTGTCGAAGGAGAGGATGTGCAGGGAATGGTGAAGCGGTTCTTCCCTTGAGTTTCGGTGTAGTACATTCTACTAGGGGGAGGGTCTTGAAAAAGGACGCAGCATATCACGAAGGAATCTCATATGTATTGATGACTAGGTATGTAGTCTGATTCTGCGACAAATGTAAACCCATTTCATCGTTCAGTATATGTGCATGTGGTATCTATGAAACAATAGTACAACCGAATCTAAAGCTTCGCCTTTGGTCCTTTGGCTTCGTCCTTGAATTGTAGCTTGAGCACACGACGCAGGATTTTGCCGCTGGGATTCTTGGGAATGGAGTCCACAAAGCGAACCCCACCACGGAGACGCTTGTGAGGCGCAACCTTGCTGTCGAGCCATTTCACAATGTTGGCTGCCTCTTCGGTATCGCTGACACCGGAGGACTTGCTCTTGGCACTTCGTACGACGCAAGCCAAGGGCACTTCGGACCCGTGAGCCTCGCTTTCGATACCGATCACAGCCACGTCGTCGATGCCCACGTTGTCAACCAAGATACCCTCGAGCTCGGCGGGAGGGACCTGGAAGCCCTTATACTTGATGAGCTCCTTGACGCGATCGGTAATGTAAAAGTTACCCTTGGCATCTTGGTAGCCAACGTCACCTGTACGGAACCACCCATCCTCTGACAAACACTCTCGGGTGGCTTTGAGATTCTGATGGTACCCAAGGAAGACATTGGGACCACGTACCGACAACTCGCCAACTTCTCCCACGGCAACCTCACGTGGCTCAGATCCATCCTCAGGCATCGTCATGTATTTGGCTTCCATGTTCGGCATCAGCCGACCGACTGAGCCGATGTAGTCATGCCAATCCTCCCATCGTTGAGAATGAGTAGTGGGGCTCGTCTCGCTCAGTCCGTAGCCCTGTTTTATGCCGACCTTGATACGCTTGTACACGTTCTCCACCAATTCTTGTGTAAGCGGCGCAGCTCCCGAGTTCATCATGCGTAGACTTGATAGATCGTACTTGTCGACGGCGGGGTGTTTGCCCAGTTGAAGGACGACTGGAGGCACGATGTAGCTGAATGTCACTTTGAACTCTTGCACGTGGGAACACCATTTCTCAATCTCAAATTTTTTCATCACAATCAGATGGTAGCCTTTGTACAAGGCCTGGGTGAGCAGACAAGTGAGGCCTTCGAAGAATGGTTAATGCATTGCCTCAGCATGATAGGGTTCGCGAAGACAGCAACGAAAGCATACCGTAAATGTGATAGAATGGCAGGAAAGCCAGGAGACGATCGCCCTGGCCATCTGGCCCACCCTTCCAGCTCAAATGACCACCTTCAGCAACGGCTTGCTGCAAGACATTGGCAATGATATTTCGATGAGACAACATGACACCCTTTGGTACACCCGTGGTTCCCGATGAGTAGACCAAGAATGCAATATCCGTGCTGGCGTTGACCTTCGGCCGGCGGAACCGCGTAGCACCGGAAATGTTTCGAACAGATGTGAAGTGCTTGACTCGAGCACTCGGATCACGCTCCTCATCAAGCAGAATGATTCGGTCCTCGGGAATTCCGACCTTCTTCGCCGCCGCGGTTGCCACTGTCAGCGCGGAAACTTGCGTCGCAAGCGCTTTAGCACCGGAATTTTTCAATTGAAAGGCAAGCTCATCGACCGTGTAGGCTGGGTTGGCAGGCGAGATGATACCACCTGCCCAGAGGGTACCCCACATCACCACCGGGGTGTCGATGCTGTTCGGAGTGAACAGGGCCAATACATCGCCCTTGCGCCAGTCATAGATGGCCTTGAGACCTTTGGCGAAATCAAGAGATGCATTCTTCAACGTGGCGTAGGTATAGTACCTTTTTGTGTCGGCATCCTGGTAGAGGACTGGGATTTATGATGTATTAGCGTCCTAGCGGTGATGCGCTGGTCTCGACCGTTGGATAGTTGCCAATGTACTTACTCTTGTCATCTGGAAAGGGTCTGTCCTTGCGCTCAAAGAGAAAGGACCAAAGATCGACATCGGGTATGTCGACTGGCGGGTAAGTGGAGGAGACGGGCATATTGTAGGGGGCAGACAGACCCGTGCCGAGTGAAGTATGCAAGAGGGAAGTCGCTTGTCCAGTGTAAATGCGCGAGCCACGTAAGACCTCAGCAATGTGGATTGTGGAGTACTGATATTATGAGCGAGAAGTATCACAAAAAAGCACAGAGAAGAAGGAAATATATCAACTCTGCCAAGCAGAGAGGGCCCGCACAACTAAATAAGGCGGGGGGAGCTTTAAGTTCTCCGCACTGGAAATGCCGGTTCTCCAAGGAAGCGGGCAGCCTCGGCCCTCTGGTTGCGCTATGCCCACGCTAAGCCAATGATAACCGATGCCATATCTCGGCTTCAAGTCGCGCTGCTTCATACCAGCCAAGATCAAGATCGAGTGCTACATATATGCACGCCGGATTGACAAGTTGAGCATCTCTGATGGCCAGCAGCATTGTCTCGGATATTGTCCTTGACCGGCTTTTCCAAAACTGAGATGCAGCTTATACATACTTTACAGTCTGCGAGATCGCCTTATTCACGGGTGTCGGCTATTGCAATGGGGGTGGAGATACGAATGGTCGGCATTTTCGGCGCTGTCGGACCTCTCGGTCATGGTTGCTGATCACTTTGCTAGCACGGATATGGAGCGGTGCGCCGCAATATCTCCGAGATCTCGTTTCTCTCCGTGCTCATAGGCTCACACCCCTGACGGGCTTCTTTCCTCAGACTGGTACTGAGGTGTGGCCGCAACTCTGTCGACCTTCTCGATGCATTTGCTTCCGCAATTGCAACTATTCAGGATGCAGAGTCTTGCGCTTAATGCCCCAGCGCCCCGAAGATCCGATTTACATACATATCCATAGTCTGGCGCATCATTGATGTCTGAGAATATTACGTCCTCTTGTACTTGGATGATTCCACAATCGCGAGAGAAATTGAGATGAGAAAATTTCAGAAGATTGTAACAATATTTTGTCTACCTACCTAGGTAGTCGCCAAGTCGTTTTCATGTACCTAATGAGCTGATAACATCCATCCAGTGTGGGTGACGCTGGGAGAGAGCGACACAGAAAAAGATAAGTTACCTGTGATCTGGCGATCACGGCACCTATCGCATGCTTGATGGACTGGGGAGCCTGGTTGATGACGACATCTGAATCCCCGGATTGAGTCTCCCACGACGGTCAGGCACCAATTGCCGTGTCATCACATTCAACGGTCTGATGGTCTGATGATTTCTAGTCGATCTCAAACCACAGCGACCGAGGTGCGAAGTGAAGCTTAGACTTGTAGATAGAGCGATCGATTCACGACGCTCAATAGCCCGATGGGTAGGGACACCGTCATGCCGAGAGATGATCCTGCATCAAGGTGCAGATTAAGAAAGGGCATGTCTAGAAAGTCTGGGCGATGTCGTCGATAAGCCCAATCATTCTACGTGCAACCGCTGTAAAAACTTGTAATCATATCATAAAATTGAACTCCATTCCCTTGCACCGGAAAAAGCACCCAGGGACAAGAAGTCGTATCCGTTTGCTCTGTCTTACAATGACAAAGACTTGAAAGAGAGGCAAGGTCCCAAATGATTTTTTTTTCATGCCGACAAGCTCTTAATTTGAAATGGAAACAGCTGCTCCGCTCTGGATATACAAGCTGAATAGAGAGGATCCAGTTGGGACAGGACTGGCTCCCATTTTTTCCGATCCAAGCACCATCTCCACCACACGCCACTCCAAGGGGAATCGTTCGAATCGTTTACTTCAGGGGGATGAAACGGGAAGAGTGGGTGGCACCGATACCGGGACGACCGTGCTTGACGGGCTTGCTGAAGGGCTGTTAGATGAAGAACTTTGAAAACTTTGCAGACATGGCGGAACGTACTAGGAAATGGAGAACTCAGCCAGGTAGTGGCCGACCATCTCAGGCTTGATCTCGACCTGGTTGAACTCCTTGCCGGAGTAGATACCAATGACGGAACCGATCATCTCGGGGACGATGATCATGTCACGGAGGTGAGTCTTGACGAGATCGGGCTTCTCGTTGGGCTTAGCCTCCTGCTTGGCCTTGCGGAGCTTCTTGATGAGACCCATGGGCTTGCGCTTCAGACCGCGGTTGAAACGTCTGCGGGCACGGGCGTGGACAACATCACGAAGCTGCTCGGAGGAAAGGTCGAGGAGCCTATTAAACAACGAGTTAGGTCTATATGTTCTTTGCCGAGAGAGTCTGTGGAATGATGCAGGGCGCACGCAGCAACAGCCTTGACAGAACCGCCTGGTGCCAAACCAATATTTGAGCTCGACTCGCTTTCGCCCAAAAATCGGATCGCAGGTGGTGCCGGGCGCGTGCTGCAAGACACTGATGCAGATAAAATGGAGTATCAAACATACTGGTCGAGATCGATACCGCGGTAAGAGAACTTGCGGAACTGTCTTCTCTTCTTGATCTCTGTAGGGCGAGCAATCTGTCAGCGATGATCGTTCTCGATGGTCGGCCGGGTTATGTGTTCGTGAGGCGGTTTTGTGCGCATGGATGCTCCTCCAAGAATATTCCCAAATTCGTCGTTCGCTCTTCACCACCAGAGCCATTTGCCTGTTGCGCAGCATCGAAAGATTTGAAGGAATTTGGATTCGCGGATGGGTGCGGACACAATGGTATATTTGGAGCGAGTGGATGAAATCTGATATTGCAACGTACCGGCAGCCTCCTCGGCGTTCTATAATAGAAAGGATTAGTTACAGAAAAAGTGCGAAATTCAGCTCCAACATGGTCGACTTACGTATTCGATGTCGGCCATTTTGACGGTGTTTCCTTAGAGCGCGCTTTCCGAACGAATCTCGAAAAGCGAAGGAAGATGGGTTGTCGGGTGGGTTGTCGTGTCGCTCAGTGGCCGCCTAGTCCATCTGCCACTGGTGAGGTGGGCAGGGCTCGCCTAAGCGACGGGTAGGTCAAGCCCTAAGCACTAGACCGCTTTTGGGAAAAATTACCTGATCTTTTACAGCACGTAATTAATTCTTGTTTCTATCCAGGAAATCTGGGGTAAACACCCAATCACAATGTTCCTATTGTCTTCGATCGGGATAGAGACGGTAATTGAGATACCCTTTGAGCCTTAGACTACATTCTATGATTTTAGTGATTCTACCCTCTCCGGTACATGAGACAAAGTAATTAAGGCTCAAAGTTGAAGCCTGAAGCGTAACGTATATCCACGACGATCGCGTCGCGTGGCTGTAGCGTGTCGGAATAGTGATCATTACTCAGCCTGCACGATGCGGCGAAGCCTGTGAAAGTTTCTTGATGCAGAGATGGAAGATTTGGGCGAGGGGCATCAAAAAGGTCTGGGCCTCAGGCCTTCTGCGTTTAATTTGTCTACGAGCGAATCTACCGCAATGAAATTCGATGGGAGACAAGAGTGATCTGTATTGGCTAGGAGCCTTTTCAAGCCCGGATATGGAGAATTCGTAACTGCATCAGAACAGCCTGAATAATGCACGTGTGAGGAAGCAGCCGCGGAAGGAAACTCGCAAACTGTCCAGTCCATCCAGATGTCTGTTCCCCCGACTGGTCATTTTTGAGGCGCTGTTGAGGAAGGCATTTAGTCGAAAAGACCGAATCCCATGTCATCATCAGACTCCTCCTTCTCCTCCTCCTTGGCAGCCTCGGGGGCGGCCTCAGCGGCACCACCGGCGGCAGCACCACCAGCGGCGGGGGCAGCACCAGCACCGCCGGAGGGAACGGAGGCGAGCTTGGAAGAACCCTCAGAGATCAGCTGTTTATAGTTGTCAGTATATGCGAAGATCTTTATTATGTTTGTAGGGGCTGGCGAAACTGACGTCCTGGATGTTCTTGCCCTGAAGCTCAGCGACGACCTTCTCGAGGCGCTCGGAGTCAGCGTCGATGCCGACGGAGGAGAGGACCTCCTTGATGTCAGAGGCAGAGGGAGACTCGTTGCCAGCGAGGGCGAGGAGGAGGTAAGCTGCGAGGTGCTTCATTTTGATATGGCTGTTTCGCGGAGAAAAGAAACTTGAATGTCAGCGGTGAGCTTTAAATGAAGGACTTGGTGCGAAACAGCGCGCGCACGCCGAGAGTTACTGGCAGTGTCGGTGCTCGTATCAATATCAAAAGTCAAAAGGTCTGCGCGACATACTTTGAGTTGTTCTTGATAGGAACTGAGAAACAATCGATTTAACCGCAAATTGGGCGGAGACTGCAACGTCGAGTTCTGGTGGTGGTTGAGGAGCAAAAATAAGTCGCAAAGCACCAACTTCGTGGGAAAAGTGCGCTGCGGCTCCTGTGGCTGAGTCACCGCCTGGCAGAATATCTAAGCGAAAGTGGCGCGTGCTTGACTCACGTGATATATGTCCATCTTGTCCGTCTTGATATCCAACTTATACCTCGTCAGTCCCCGCTTCATCCTTGTGTCTTGCTACCCATTTTTGCGTGACCCCGTTTTACCATCGCACTCGTTTATCCGGGCGCCTTAATTTTGCGTATTTCAATCAGTCGCGGCGCTTCCCCGTCAAACGAAAGCTTGGGGGTGTTGCGCTCGGAGTCATGAAGTTACAAAGCCAGACCAACCATCGACGGTAACCAGTCATCCGAAACCATTTACATTCTCAGCACAGCATCCCTCACACGCTTCAATCTCACACTCCACTCCCAAAATGAGCGTACGTCCATCTGTCCACCCCAAACGAGGCCGTTCTAAACAGCCTTTCTGACAAGTTGCAGTTCCTCGACTCCGTCCTCACGTCCTTGGAAACGGGCAAGCCAGTTCCACTCTCTTCACCGGCCGCAGCTCCGAGGTCATCCGTGTCGGCTCAAGTGGGAAATCGGAAAGCGGATAGTGGTCATGTGGCTCAGGCAGCAGGCGCTTCGAGCTCTGGAATCAAGCGGAAGGCCGACGATCAGTTACCTCGACCGTCGAAACCGGAAGTTCCGCCATCGAGCCGGACCTTTCCTAGTCGCCCTGCAGCATTACCTACAGCTTCCAAGCCCAATGCTTCCACTTCTTCTCCACAAATGACCAACCAAGGTCTGTCCAACTCAACTTCGAGAAGCATCCCGTCCGCGCCCAGCTCGGCTCTCTCTGCGAAACCACTACCTTCGAAAGCGACACCCGCCAAAAGCGCAGCCCCGAGACCTAATCTCGCAAAAGTGCCATCTGCCCCAGCAGCTGCCCCGAGACCAGCGGTGACCAAGGCGACCCCAGTCTCATCGAAGCCGCCACCAAAGGGCTCTTTCGCAGCGCTCATGCAGCAAGCCAAGGCCATTCAAGAGAAGGCTCCTGCTCCAATTGGCATTGTCCGCCACCAGAAAGTTCAGAAAGAAAGGCTGAGCAAAGTTGAGCGGAGAAGACGACTTGAAGAGGCCAAGGCGCAGACGAAGGCTGCGCGCACAGGAAAGCGTACCGCACCTGCAGCTGCAGCTTCATCAAGTACCACTGCAGTAAAGCGTCGGACGCCGGAACCACTGTCTTACAAAGGGACGGCCAAGCCAGCATCGAATCCTGAGCCCATCGCGTACAAGGGAACAGCGGGTCGGCAATCTCAGCGAAGTAGTGTCGAACGACGGCCGGCAAAGCGCAGGATGGACGAATACCTCGCCACTGATGAAGAAGACGAGGGTGACTACGGTGGCTACGAGGATCAGGAGGATTACTACTCGGATGCATCATCCGACATGGAAGCTGGCTTTGATGATGTGCGAGAGGAAGAAGATGCGGCCTTGAAGTATGCGCGGAAGGAAGATGAGGAAGAGTTGCGACGAGAGATGGTCGCGAAGAAGGAGAAACTTGAGCGTCAGAAGAAACTCGAAGCTCTGGCAGCGTCCCGCAACAGGCGCTGATTGTTGGAATCACTTCAAGCGTAACAGTCAGCATTTGATTTCCTAGGAGGATGTGGTGTTTTTGTCTTACCCTGCGAGGAGCATCTTGAGCGTTTGCGGTGACCTTTTTATCTTTCACACATGGTGCATTTGTGTTCATTATTTCTATAAGCGGGAGTTGGTCAATACCAGATGAGCGTTTGCTTCGGTTTATTCTAAGCAGTGTCACCAATTATATTCCTCTAGATTACCGACTGCTCATCATTACTCCTTGGTTGTTCGTGGACCGGTGTAGACCAAGGCGAGCAGAGGACATGTCTCTGACCGGAGCTTTGTAACAGTGGTCTCTTTCTGTGTCTTGATGGTCGATCGAAAGAACGTTTCTGGCGACAATGAGAGCTTGGTCAATTTAAGACCATGAAGAAAAACTTACCTCACTGCTTGCCGATGCCTGTAAACAGGTCTGTCAACTGGTTGGCCCCACCCAATTGTGACATCACCCGCTTATCCGGCCTTTCTAGTATTTCTTGTCTCACAGTCACAGAGAGAATCTTTAGCTTTGCAACCTTCCTCGCTATTCGACATGAGTAAAATAGGCAATATGGAATCTATTCACCATGTCTCAACATCTTCCAAAATCCTGTTTGGCAAAGTCCGCAGGATGGTGCCGCCAATGCTAGAAAAGTTTCACAAAGGTAGGTCGGAGACGCACGCTGGAGGCACATGGATGGACTTCAATTTGAATTGCGCAGAATGAGGCTGATGGTGAAGCTCCTAGGGCAACATGGACGGGTTGCCGTCATTGGGGGTTGCGCTGAGTAGGTCATCTGATTTCTCATCAGGAAGGTCGTATTTACTGAGATGTTAAAGCTACACCGGGGCGCCTTACTTCTCTGCGATGGCATCGGCAAAGCTAGGTACGATCTCGATGAGTACCGCATCTGACGCACTCCATTCTAAATTGCTAACTATAACCTAGGCTGTGACATGGTATGATTTTGATGTAACCCATCTTTTGTCAAAGGAAGATCGAAATACTGATGTCCACCAGAGCCATGTTTTCTGTGAACGCTCCGCTGCACAGGTAAGCTCTCATACACTCTTGAGCTTGAACCCAGATAAGAAGGCTAACATTCATCAACAAGGTTGTCAAAACTTATTCGCCAAACTTGATGGTTCACCCCATTCTTCCAAGCTCAGATTCCGTCAAGGATCCCAAGTCCATCAATGCATCAGAGTTAGCAGGCCCCATTATTGGCATGCTTTCTCGGCTTCACGCACTGGTCATTGGTCCAGGTCTCGGGCGTGATGGAGTCACGCTTCAGGTCGTCGCTGAAGTGATCAAGGAGGCTCGAAAACAATCCATTCCCTTCGTCCTGGATGCAGACGGATTGCTCATCGTCACCCAAGATCCAGAGCTCATCAAGGGTTATAAAGAATGCATCTTAACACCTAACGTCGTTGAATTTGGGCGCTTGGCGAAGGCTTTGGGTATTCAGGTCAGCAGCCAGGCACAGGCAGAGTCGAAGAGCAGCGAAGATGAGAAGATCAGCAAGGAATCAGACGCCTGCGAGCAGCTGTCAAAGGCATTAGGTGGAGTGACTATCATTCAAAAAGGACCCCACGATGTCATTTCGAACGGAGTGACCAGTCTCATCTCAAATGTGCAGGGAGGTCTGAAGCGCAGCGGCGGCCAAGGCGACACATTGACGGGATCCCTCGGCACCATGTTGGCGTGGAGGGCAGCCTACCACGACAAGCTCTGGGATTCTGGCGAGAAGGACAATTCTCATGATGCGCAGAGCAAGGAGGATGTCCAAGTCGAGCTTGAGTCAGAGGGCAAGCGTATGTCGCCAGCGACAACACTGCTGCTTGCTGCATGGGCGGGAAGCTCCATTACGCGCGAATGCTCACGCCGGGCCTTTCAAAAGAAAGGTCGCAGTCTTCAAGCCAGCGACTTAACAGAAGAGGTTCATCCTAGCTTCCTCTCACTGATCGGTGAGCCTGAGGGTTCAAACACGCACCTTTAAACCGACTTTGTGGAGCAATGAGTGCATCTGTCATGTTTTCAGGCCTTTGAAGTCGATATTCTACCCTTGTCGCTTAATGACATTTGGGGTACTCGTCTGTACATTTGACCCGGCAGAGTAATAGAAATAAGTGTAGACGAAATTCATGCATTCAATTTCTGGATCACACCAAATGCCACTGGCCTTCTGTAGGCACAGCAACTTGGGCACCAGACAGGATGTAGCCCGAACAAAGTAGGTACGTGCCACCCAACCTGCGCTGTCCATGAAGGAAAATGTTCTCACTCAAATCGAGCTGATGTGAGCTGTACGAGAAACATGACCAGTAACCCCAAGAAAGTTTCAGTCATCATAGTAGCAAATAGGTAAACCAGGACTGATCTATATGGATCAGGCGACCATTTTCAATACCACGTGCATTTTTGAGACATTGAACGATGGCTTTCTGTCAAGTCAATCTTCTGCATACTCGGACAGCAACCCCATGTCTCACCCAGTGGAAGCTTCCAATCAAGAACCTTATCACTCTGCAGAGACTTTGGGACCTTAACAAAGCATTAACGAAACCATGAAAAAGGTGATAGCTTAGGTTTCACAGGGGCAGCGTGAGTCGGAGGGCTTAGCAAGGATAATCCACGATTGGGTACTGCAGGTTGAAATGGTTTCTCGTAGGTCAGTATACTGTACCACATGTTGCTGGTCGGTTCCTTTTGTCATATACTGACTATCTTTTTGCACGGATCCGTCCGATCGCGATTGCATTTGGTGTCCAGCTAAAGCACGGATGCTATTTCTCACGTTGCCATTATCCCATGCATCATTATAGGGCCTCGAGCATGAGCGCATGTGCTATGACTCGAGGACAGTATATCGCGCGAAGCGGTGTACACAGCGGCCACATGACAAGTGAAGCCAGCCGGGCAGCATATGCGTGTTTCCATTCTTCAACGCTCTTCGATCAATAGCACTGAGCCTCCCTTAGGGCCACCCACCGTAAGGCTGCCGACATTGAGGGCCAAATTGAAGACAGACCTTTCCGCAGGACACGAGCTGACCAGAAACATCCCACTCGTGGATAAGTTTGACTTTCTCAGCATGCGGACTGGAAGGCTATCGGAATATGTCATCCTCAAAAGGCATTGGTGATGTCTCGGTGCCATGTTCCAAACCTCGTGTCTACGCCCCGCGTAAGGTTGCAAGGTGCCAACCTTGGGAATGGGGCTGAGCTGGGCATGGGATGAACGATGTAGTCCCGGCATCAGAATGTATGAAGTCATCCAAGATAATGCGATTCGGAACATGCATGCAACGAGTTCCCTGTCCTTGTCGGACCCAAAAGGTCATGAATGCGATGAACGTCTGAGCACGCTGAATAGCTGATTGACTGGCAACAAAATCCTATCTTTAAATCGGCCAGGCGTTGTCTGACACAGATTCGAGTATAAAACTCTCGATATCTCCTGGGAAAATTGCGATCATTCCACCACCACCTCATACAGACTCGTCAACTCTCATATCGAACAACCCTCACTCGAGTCGCTGACTTTCCCACCCACTTTATACCATGTATCTCAGATCTCTGGCAATCCTCCTCGCCGTGGCCTCCTCGGCCTTGGCTAGCCCATATCCCACCTGCGGAACCTGCAATCCGCTCTCGGGTCAAAACAGCTGCGACGTGACTACTTCTTGCATCAACACCGGAACAACCTTCCATTGCGCGTGTCGGGCTGGCTACAAGGCCTCCCAGGCAGACAACGATATCACCAGTCAATTCCGTTTGAACATGCCAAACTACGAGTTCCTCGTCTTCGTGCCCGAAAATACTGTCTGCGAAACTCCTTGTGACGATCCGTATGCGGCTCCCTCGGAGCTATGCTGCGAGGTGGCACAGTACGATGGCTGCGCCGTCTGAGACTATTGCTCGGGTTCGTCGTCATCAACCTCGATCTCGCACGGTGGATGCTGCATTTAATCTATTGAAGTTTCGAAGTTGCCGTTTAGGGGGCAATAATCATTGGAATAAGATGAGTGGGGTTTGATAGAAAGATCAAGATCTACTATTCATCTTGTATGTGTCACGTAACTGACCGCAATCACACTCATTTACTGTTTATATTTGAAAGATGATGCAGGTTCTCACTCCTGTCCGGACTCAATGCAGTAAAGTAATGAAGTCTTGTAGATCGATTATTTTGTCTGTCCTGGCATATCTGCCATGCGCGAACTTCTCATCCCAGCAGCACCAAAGAAACGTTCAAACCCGACGCCTTAACACCCTTGGCCTTGGACGCGACCGGGTCCACCAAATGCATTCCAAATACGTAGAGGATTGACCCCAAGGCGAAAAACAGGAAGCGCAAGAATCAAGTATGGACCTCAGATTAGCCGTCCATCTCATCGTCTCCGTCAAGGAATACCAGGCGCGAGCCATTTCCGATAATTTGCCAGATCTATATTGAGAGATATTGGGGTCAGTCGGTGAATTCCAAACAGGAGTACGGGAAAAGTGAAAACGTACGCCCAGATTAGCATATTCCTCGAGTGTTGTAGTGAGTTGATCTTCGGTGAATCCCTTCGCCAGGACACGTTCCCGAATACGTCTCACGCTAAGCGCATTGTCTTCATCGTCACCAATAGCGGCAGCTCCACTCTCCCGCAAAGTGCGAATCAGAGTGTAGATCTTGCTGCTGGGGGTATGATCGGCAACAGACTCGCCATCGTTGTACAGAGAGGCCTTGCTAACCTCAATGAGGCGCAGAGCTTCGTCAACATCTTCGCGGACGACCTCCTCGCTGAAGCGAAGACGAGCCAAAGCCTGCGAGAGACGCACAATACCCAATAGCGTACGGGGTGTAACGTGGGAGAATTGCTGTTTGCGAGCCTCGTCCTTCTTCTGGCGCTTACGCATGGCGACGTATGCGCCGACCATGTAGTCGGACACGCTTGTGGGCACCACCGGCCGGTAGGTGCGAGCCTTGGCGATATACTGACGAACTTCATGAGGTGTGAACATGACACCTGCGTCCTCGCTCTCGGGGTGCTTGTTATGCATGTGGACGTAGGTGACGTGATTGGCGAGCTCCTCGTCTGTCTCGCGCGAAGGGGAGTCCAGCAGCAGGAACATAACATCAAAACGTGAGAGAAGAGCGGCTGGGAGGTTGATGTTCTCAACAGGGGAGATTCGAGGGTTATAGCGACCATAGAGTGGGTTGGCAGCCGCGAGGATGGAGGTACGTGCATTCAAAGTCGTGTTGATGCCTGCTTTGGAGATAGAGATGGTCTGTTGCTCCATGACTTCGTGGATAGCAGTTCGGTCCGAATCGTCCATCTTATCAAACTCGTCGATACAGCAAATTCCGTTATCCGCGAGAACCAGAGCACCACCTTCCAACATCATTTCATCGGTAACAGGGTCTCTCATCACCGCAGCAGTCAGACCAACACCACTACTACCACGACCGGTGGTGTACACACCGCGAGGCGCGACCTTGGTAATGTATCGGAGTAATTGAGATTTGGCAACACCAGGGTCACCCATTAGGCAGATGTTAATGTCACCACGAATGTGCATACCGTCACCCATCTCTTTAGTGACACCGCCGATCAACATGAGCAGCAAAGCCTTCTTGACATCAAGATGCCCAAAGATTTCGGGTGCAATCGAACGCGACAGATACTCGTACATGTTGCCGGAGTTGCGATACTGCTCGATTTTCTTCAGAGTGCGGGCATCCATACCAATCTCGTTGTACGCCTTCTTGTGCTGAGTGATATTCTGAGCTTCCAAGTATGTATCGGTCAAGAGACCGGCGCGAATGGCACGGAAACCCGTGTATGGAGTGGGCAAGAAGATTCCAGCGATATCAACCACGTCACCAGGGTTCAATTGGCGGGTCTGAGCTCCGTGGCAGTGAACAGTCATAGTGCGAGGGATATGTCCCACCGGCACTTGGTCGGCCATCTCTTGAATTTTGACTTCCTGGAAAGGTACAAACTTAGACGCCCGAGTCGACAGGAAGAGCTGGCCCTTGGTATTGTTCTTCTTGCAGTCTTCCGAAAGGCACTCTGACAGAGGCATGAATTGCTTGGTCGTCACAGGCTGGAAAACTTCACATCCACAGACATCGCAAGTGTAGGCATTGATCTGTACGGCAGGCTTGACATCGGAGACACGGGTGGTAATACCGCGAACGGTAATCAATGTGCCGAGGTGCTCACCACGGACATTTCGCACCGCCAATGCTTTGCCTGCACGGTCGCTGCTGGAGCTAGAGGGTGTGAGCGGCTTGAAATTGAGTGTGTATCGTCGAGTCAACTCAGGTGGGAACAATGAAGCGACGGGAGCGGCATCCATATCCGCCTCCGCCTGCATCTGTTGGGTCTCATTGCGCTTCTCACGTTGAGACATGATCACATCCAGCACATCGTCCTTGAACCTGGGAAAGTATTAGTGGTCAATGTTCCACTGTTCAGCAACTCTTGCACACATACGTAATCTCCTTGGTCTCCTTCGGCATGACTGCGTCCACGGCTTGTGAGAAAACATCAATGTACCGCTTCGTGTTCTTTTGGATAGAATCAACCAGCTTCAAGCTCTGCTGCATTTCCTCCGGCAAGGTCTTTTCATACTATAGATCGCATAGATTAGCCTTTTATGCCCCTCGTGAAGAGTGCGAGAGTGGACTCACAACATCCAAGTCGTCGAGCTCAATGAGAACGTTTGATGCGTCGCGATTGGCAATATCTTGCAGAATTTGCATGTACTTGAGCTTAGGCTCTCGGTGCCTCCTCGCTCCCCGTGTGGTTGCTCCCTCGTCGTCGGCATCGTCCATGAAATCATATTCGTCACTGGTCCGGTTCCCATCGATGTGCAAATCTTCCAAAGCTTCGGTCGCAGCAGCTTCTGAGGTGGACTGGAGGGTCTTAAAATGTTGCAAAAAATCCTTGAAGCCGTCGAGTTGCGCGGCGTAATCGACCGGCGCTTGGTATTGCAGCAAAGCCATCTTGGAATGGGGTGCACGAGGATGCGCTCAATCTGGTGCAAATGAGCGTAAAGAATTGTGAGATGGGGCAGCTGCGCGAACAAAGAGGTCCAAGCTAAGACCCCCTCCCTTCTGAGAATCTGAGCCGCTGGGCAGTGGAGCGAGACGCGCAACACGAAAAGACGCGCCAAATATGCTGCTAACTGAATTGGGAATGGTGTACCGTCCACGTGTAGCTGCCTCTTCGGAATAACAGTATCCCCCTCTCTCCGGTCACTCGGTCGAAGCCGCCCGCCGTGAGTCAGCAGATCGGCCACTTTGCCTCGGCTGCCCGGAGTTGGTCGACGCTAGTGGCCGGCGGGTGTGGGCTGCGGAGACGAGACAGTCCGGGGGAACCTTTGCTCACACGGTCAAACATCCCCTCTCCTTTGGTGTGTCAACTTACTCCTCTCTTTTCTGTGACTATTTAAAAAGAAAAGAGGTGTGCGCTGCAGCTATGGCGCCGAAGAAACCTTCTACCACAGCGGAGGTTGCGCTTGTACCCCTCAAGAATTGCCTTGTCAATCTTCCGCCGTCACTTGTCGCTTTGCTGGTCAATGCCAATACTGTGAGTTATCGAGGCGGGTCGAACCATGAAGTATGATCTGACTCACGCCCAAATCTCTTAGCCTGCGCAAAATGTCATTATTGAGCTGCAGTACAAGGCTGCTTCAGGCAAGGTCAATGGCGTTCCGCCCCAGCGGTCATGCTTCCTGGGCTGGACGGGCATGCCGAGCAAACGGAAGCTTGCGCCGGTAGTAGGCCGAGAAGGCATGAACGGAGGCTTCTCCAGAGAACAGGAGATCTCCACTGTCGAGCTCGACACAACATTCGGAAGGTTACTAGGTCTTACTGAGGGACAAAAGGTACAAATGACTTTTCCACCCATTGTCCGCTTTGGCGCAAGGGCTAAACTGACACCTTTATAGGTCGGTCTCCTGGTGCACCTCGATCCACCAGTCGCGCATACAATAAATATTGAGCCTTTGACACCAGAGGATTGGGAAAGTATGTTAAGCTAGTCTGTTGCAAAGTTACAGCCAATTTGCTCACTATTGCGCCATGGTCTAGTCATTGAACTCCACGCCACCTTCCTGGAACTCAACCTTCTCTCCCAGATCCGCGCACTACCAAATCCTTCCTACAATGCCGCACAGGCCGAGCATATGCATCCGCTTGCGCTACATCTTTCGCCCACCTCAACTGCCAATATCATTGTCACTTCTTTGACACCCGCTCCCGATGCCACCTCTCCATTTGCCAAGATCGCCGCGGACGCTGAGGTGATTGTCGCTCCTAAGGTACGGTCCAAGGCTGGCAAGTCGTCGCGTGAGGACAATCGCAGTAATGCCGGAAGCAGTAGAAGGAGCACTGGTGGTCGAAGCTCAGGTAGCACGGTCCGTCACAAGTCAAGCCGGTCTGACTCCAGAGGTGCATTGTTCTTGAGAGGAGTGGAGCGCACGGCAGCCGATGAGTACTTTGATCCAGAGATGGAGGAAGACGAGAACGAAGGTCTTCGAGTGTGGCTTGGACCAGAGCTCCTTGCTTCATCAGAGCTCCGAGGCGCCCACTGGGCATGCGTGTCCGTCGTTCAGCCGGCGGGATTGAAGCCTCCAGTTGATCCCCAACAACAACTTGCACAGCAAGAGCAGCAGAAGTCCCATGATGCAGGAACTCCTAGCAATAAAATTGTTGCTAGGCTTATACCCTGGGAGGAGGCACCAGATAGCAGACACGTGGCGATGTCTACGATGCTTTGTACGTCGCTCGGGGCGGAGAACATGGTTGGTGGGATCATTCGAGTCGAAGCTGCTGCGCCGCAGCTACATCGTTCAGCAGTCAAGACATTGAAAGTATATCCCTTCATGATGGAGGCTTCGAAGAAGAAGGACGGACTCAAATTCGGTGCCGACACGGTAGCAGCCAAGGACGCTTTAGCTGAGCGGCTGAAGGTTCTCTACGGCTCTACTGGCTCTGACACTGGCCTGTTTGCTGGACCACTGACCGATGGAATGATCCTTCCCAAGGTTCACAATCATCCTTCCGTTTCGCCTTTCGATGGGGCGCTATTACGCTTCGATCCTCCTCTCAAGGGCGCTCCAGAAGAAAGCAAGTCAATATTTGGGTGGCTCCTTGGTTCTGAAGCGAAGCTGAACGTGGAAGTGCAAGCTGAAATTCCTCCCTTCGCCGACTCGGCGTTATCTGCGCTACCGACAGAAGACTCAATTCCTGAAAGTGTCCCCAATTTGGTGGGGATCGACTCGATCATTTCTCAGGCAATGACAAATCTCACAAAGTCGTCATCTATTTTGTTGACGGGTGGCCTCGGAGCTGGCAAGACGACATTGGCACATTTACTGGCCCATCGGCTCCGCAAGGAGCATCTATATAACGTCAAGTATTTCTCGTGCCGCAAACTCGTCACTGACGAGACTCGAATCTCTAACATTAAAGAGACACTTAACCGCCTCTTCATGTCTGCTTCGTGGTGTGCACGCCTCGGTGGCCAAGCGGTTGTGATTCTGGATGATCTTGATAAGCTCTGTCCCGTGGAGACGGAGATGCAAGTTGGTAATGACAATGGCCGGAGCCGTCAAAACAGTGAAGTCATATGCACAATGGTACGAGAGTACTGCTCTATGAACTCTTCTGTAGTCTTGCTGGCTACGGCTCAGGCCAAGGAGTCATTGAACAACGTCATCATCGGCGGACATGTGGTTCGCGAGATTATCAACATGCGAGCACCTGACAAGGAGGGCCGGCGGAAGGTCTTGGAGAAGCTCACCAGTCAGGACAAGGCTACTACTGAGTCATTCAACGGCCGCGTTCGATCAACAAGCTCTTCCACACAACACACGCAAGATTCGTGGCTTGACCCTTCCAATCCCGGAAGCCGACCCAGTTCCTCTGGGGGTGATGGATTCCAGCTCAGCAGGGACGTGGATTTTCTTGAACTTGCTGGAAAGACTGATGGATATGCTCCTGGAGACTTGGTCCTTCTGGTTGCGCGTGCCCGCAATGAAGCTTTGATTCGCTCGGTGTCAGACCTATCATCCGAGTCCAAAATGATCACATTAGGAACCGAGGACTTTGACAGCGCGCTGAAGGGGTTCACTCCAGCCTCTCTGCGTAATGTCACTCTGACCTCATCTACGACGACCTTTTCTGCAATTGGCGGTCTATTTGAAACTCGGAAAATGCTATTGGAGACTTTGCAATACCCGACGAAGTATGCACCCATTTTTGCACAGTGCCCGCTGCGACTGCGCTCTGGTCTGCTTTTATATGGATACCCGGGTTGTGGTAAGACCCTTCTCGCAAGTGCAGTCGCCGGCGAGTGTGGTCTGAACTTTATCAGCGTCAAGGGTCCAGAAATCTTGAACAAGTACATTGGTGCCAGTGAGAAGAGTGTGCGAGATCTCTTCGAACGCGCTCAAGCTGCCAGACCCTGTGTTCTCTTCTTCGATGAGTTTGACAGTATCGCACCCAAGCGAGGTCATGACTCGACTGGTGTCACTGATCGTGTTGTCAACCAACTGTTAACTCAGATGGACGGTGCCGAGGGCCTCTCCGGTGTATACGTCTTGGCCGCCACATCCCGTCCGGACCTAATCGATCCGGCGCTTCTGCGGCCTGGCCGTCTCGACAAGTCCTTGCTATGTGATATGCCATCGCAGGCTGATCGTCTCGATATCATTCGAGCTGTGGGCGAGAAGCTGAAGATGAGCGACGAGGTCCGCTCCCGTCTAGACGAGGTCGCTGCACGGACGGAGGGACTTTCCGGCGCTGATCTCCAGGCCGTTGTATACAACGCACATTTGGAGGCTGTTCACGACGCTCTGGGCGATAGCTCCGCAGATAAGTCCGGGGCCACGAAGTCCGGTAGCGGTAAAAGCTCAACTGGCAGCACCACTTCGACCAAGTCATTTATCCAGTTCCTCTATTCTAGCTCCGAGGAAGCAGCTCGCTCGGTCACTCTCCCCCCTCCGGCCGTAGTCGCCGCCAAACTTGATGCGATCAAGAGTGCACGACGCCGTCAACGGCAACTGGAGAACGGCTCGGCCTCTGCGAGCTCAGCCCCTGCTGCCGCAACAGCGGCAAATGAGGCCGGTGTTGAGGCCGACGGGCTACGTGATGAAATTGTCGTGCGGTGGGAGCACATGGAGCGGTCGCTCAAGTCCACACGCCCGTCACTCAGTCCAGCGGAGCGAAGACGATTCCAGGGTATCTATCGAGAGTTTGTGGTCGGTCGCAATGGCGAGATGCCTAATGGCGAGGCGGCGAATGAGATTGGAGGCCGGTCGAGTTTAATGTGATCTGTCGTTTGAAGCGGGACATATATCGCGGTGCTTCATTCTTGTACATGTATATATTCGGAAATCCAATGGTACAGTACCCATCATATTCAATTTCAATCTTCGAATATGCTCACACTATGGCTAAAGCCCGACTTGAGGTTAATTCCAGGAGATGCTCCATAGGTCGTCCAGAATGGATGAAACGAGTTTGTGGGTGGGAAAGAGGCCGTCCAGTAGTCAATATCATTTACTCTTCGTTTCGCCTGCCCTAGTGAAGTGGAAGGCTAGGTACGAGATCGCGGCTCTAATCTTGTCGAGCTCTGGAACATGCTCTTCCCTTCAAGTTGCTCGTCTCATTGCAGACGAAAAAAGGAATAAAAAAAGATCAAGATGTGATCGAAGCCCAAAATCCCATTAGCTGGCTACTACTGTGCGACAGCTGCAAGAACTGACAGACCTAAAAAAGAAACTCTCCCTCGGGGAATCGAACCCCGGTCTCCCGCGCTTATCAGTTGTAGTGACAAGCGGAAATCATGACCACTAGACCAAGGAAGATGTGATGATCGAGTTACTGCTCGACCACTTGGTGTTGGTTAATAGCGAGACCCCCAAACTCAGTACTATGGACTAATTTAATGTTTTCGGGGCGCAGGCATCTTTCAACAGTCCAATTATTCTCACAGTAGGTACCACGACAGTACCTAACTTGAGGCTTGTTCTGGCGATAGTCTTTCGGTTGACTATCAAGAATAACTGAAACGGACCTTTTTTCAAACATCAAGAAAGGAGAAAGAGCAGTCTTGCTCGGGCAATGAGCCTCTATGTCCTGTGTTCGACAACCTGGCGAACTATAGGCAACGGCAAGATCAGATCTAGACATCAACTGCAAATACACGTATCGCAACAGGTGGCTCGAGCGTATGATCTAAGGCGTTTGTAAGGTTCAGAATGTATCATCCAATTGGGCCTCTGCTATTGATGCCTTTCCGTCTCCCGCTATTGAAGATCAAGTGCCATTCCCTAGACCAGAACACAGCCTTGGCCCAGACCTCTCAAACCTGATAGCAGCTCACTCTCGTTCGAGGTCAATCTTCCAGTCCACACTATGGCTCAGTCAGTACCTACTTCGGATATTCAAAACCAGAGCGATGTTGCACATGAGACAACCAGTCCCAACATCTTTCCTGGAAATACCCAGGTGGTGACCATTTACTAGGTTCCCAGCGTCGCACGCCGTGATAGACCACACACAGCATGCACAAGCACCGCGTCGATTCATCGACGACTCCACAAAGGCAGTCGTAACAGTGGACGTAGGGACGTCGGCCAGAGTAAGGAGCGAGCTAGGCGCGGTGAAGCAGAAGATTAGTTCCCTTATCAGAATGTCCGATGGATGTAGCCCTGGTCATTGTAGGAGTGCAGACCACAAAATTGGCATGGATGAAATCCTGGACAAGAGAGAGCTGAGAGAACGGGGGTACTTTGAACGTACTCGGTAGAGAGTGATGTACAGATCGTCCTCATATGAATAGGGAAAGTTGATGATGGGTGTCATTTCCATTCCTCGTCGGCTGTGGAGTGGTGGGAGCCACTCTCGAACTGGGGCGTACCGAAAGTAGGCAGTGAGAGGTTGGCTGAGGTCGTAGTGCTCATCATAGCCCTCATAGTTGAAGCTGCAGCTAGCAGATTGAGGACGAAGTTTGCTCATAGCTCGGTTTACCTTTTGTAGGGGTCGCTGCAGGAAGGCTTTGGCTCTATGAACGTTTTCTCGGAGACGGAAGGAATTCTGAAGGAATATGGGAGATCCGATCAGCCATCGAGTTCCGAAGACTTGATGAAGGGGAAAATCATGGGTCAGCGAGCTCATTTACCTTGAAGGCCATGTTCTTCACTTTCCACTGTTAACTGTTCAGTCAAAGAGGTTAGAGGTTGTCGTTGAAGGGTTGAGAGAAGAAAAATCGCACGGCAGAGAAGTAAAGGACAATCAAAAGTCGTGAGTGAAGCCTCATTGGAACTGCAAGTAGTGCTCGTCGAGCGACATGGCTAGCCTTCGCGATCTAGAAGATGCCCTCAACTTGACACGTCCTAGAAGTCGTGCTCTAGAGGCCCGGGCAAAACATTAAACTACCAAACAATCACCTATTGTTCTATACGAAGAGATAGGCTTGTGCCCATGCGAACGTGCCGCGATGATGATTTCCCGCCATCGCGGACTACTTGGATCAGGATGCTCGAGATCCCGACCTGGACAATTAATGGTAGGCCTCAGACTATCCAAGACTCCGCCACGTCTACGGCCTTGGAGATCTGGATGCGGGCGGAGCGTGCTGGAACTAGGTCCGATCCTACATAGAGAAAAATTCAGTGATGAAATGATCTGAATTCGCTGCCTTGAAAGTAAGTGAGCCACCTGGATTCAATGCGACGTCTGGGCGTCAAAACTTGAATGGAGAATAGCAGGCAGGCAGCAATCCCCTTCCGCCTGTTTCATTCTCTATCCAAGGCTATCTCAACCAGTCTCTCTAATTTCTTCCATTCTCCGCTCACAACCGCCTTTGACTTACTTGGATCTATCCCATTTGCCTTAAACTCATTGTGCACCTGTGCAAAATTGGCACTAACAAGCCTCTTGAAGCTGGGAACGGTACAGCTCTCACCTTGCCGACTGGTCAAATCTGCCAGCAGATACCATAGCACATAGTGGAAATTCATCTGTGATTCCTGGATCAACGCGGCTTCTCTGAACTCTGACTCAAACCCTTCTTGGGACAAGTAGATAGCAAGCTTGGCAAGCACCCAGCCGTGCAATTGACGGATGGGATGGCTGGGGCTGTAGATGACTGAATCAATGCGCAGGTATCTGATGGCAGCATGGAGAAAGGCTTTGCTGAAATTGTTGACGGAGAGAAGGGAGAGGATGAGCTGGTCCCGTAGTGAGGCATAGGGCTGGCGGGTGAGTGGCCAGTGTGAGGTTTTCTTGAGGATGTGCATGGCAGACTCCAAGGGTTTGATTTGTTCCTGGGGCTTGCTGTCCAAGTGTGTGGCCTCTTGCATCAGCTCCAGGGCCTCTTTCTCTGCAATTTCCAGGGCGGCTGTGTCCCATGGTGGTTTCATGAAATGATCTTCGGGTGTGTTGGTTCCCTTGGCACATTTAGTACATAGGCAGTTGAAGAAATACCGCTCAGAAAGCTCCTTGCGGCGGACTGCATAGGGTGTGGTGGTGTCAATGTAGGAGATGAAGATCTGCTCATCCTTTTTGATGGGACGAATGGCCTTCACATAGAGCTCTTCACCGTCAAACCCGACGGTGGCATTGTAGTCACAGCTGTGGTTGATCAGAGCAGCAAACGGATGTAGGTAGAGACCGATGCGGTCATACATGGCCGTAGTCAGATTGAATGAATTGATGTCCAACTGAGGAGGCACAAGTCAGTGTGAATTCTTTCATCAGGCCAACTCTGCTCTGAACAGATGATCGATCATAATCAGTCTTTTCACATACCCGTGCCGCATAGCCCATAATAACCTCCTGGCTAATATCCACATCCGAGTAGTTCTTGACCGCTTTAGATAACAGGTTCATGCGATCGAGATGGGCCTGACTCTCTGAGACCTCCTGGATATGAGTCTCAAGATTGGTGAACAGCTTCATCTCCTCAGGCGGACACTTGTTTTTGGAGGCACGAAGCACGATGCGTAATAGCGCCCGTCCATTGACGGGTAGAATCTGAGGCTTGAGATTCTGGAAGATTGCACACTCCAAAGAATGCCCAGATTTCCAGTCTTTGATTTGACAGGTCTGTGTTCCTTGTATTAGAGACGCTGCACATAGAAAGAATGGAGGACTTGGGTCATATTCAGGTGAGTGCAGGGGGTAGTCTGTGGAGCTGAGGTTCACGCCGGTTCCATGTTGGAGTCAGCAACATGGGCTCGAACCAAAATATGTTGGTACCGTACTTTGAGGTGACCTCAGCCAGGTAGAACTTCCATCATAATTCCATCGGGCATTCACTCATCTGTTTCCAGTCAACTGAAAGGAGGGAGAGAGAAAGAGAGAGCTAATAAGAGAGAATGCAGAAAAGGCAACACAAAGGGACAAAAGGAGAAATGGGGAAAAAAGATACCCTATCGCAATATCTCGCAATCCGACATATCGTACAAGCCTTCAATTCCGTCCCTGTCTCCATCTGCCGCTTCCCGAAGCAGCCCGAGCACGTATCCTCCAAGCGCGGCGTGTCCAGCACCGCTACCAGGGGTTGTTTTGCATGGACCACATTTTGGCCGATTGGAACATCTTTTGTGGCAAATAAGCCATTGCCCATGCCATTTGGTGCTGGACCAGGAGAGGCATTCGAGACCGTCGAAGAAATACCGTTCGGAGAGCTCCTTATGGCGGACTGCATGAGGGTATGTAGTAGTGTTAATGGGGGGGATAAGATTTGGATGAATAGCCTTCGTGTGACGTGGAGAGCTCTTTAGTCTTGACTGCTTAATCCAATGGTGGTATTAGGCAGTTTTAGCAAGAGTTTACCAAAAATTTATATATTATTACCCACGTGTCTACCGAGTCCCGACAGATAAACTCTGTATCCACTTTGACACCCTCAGGCAAATAAGGCATCAACATGGCCCCAAGGAGATCCTGAAAAGTTGAAGGCGCATCAGCTGACAGAGATCATGTGACTAAACAGCCCGAGATGGAGTTATGTAGAATGTAGATAAACAAGTCCACTGCGCGGCTTACACTATTACAACTAAAGTGATCCTCAAGAGTGGCACTAGACATATCAAGTCCGAGTCAAAGACGTGGATATTCCTCTAAGAACCTCCATATGTCCAATGCAGACAGCGATGGGCTCCCCTAGGGTTACGACTGGTTCTATTCGGAAGCGGCAGAAGAACAGACATGGTTCGAGACGCTCGTAGACTGTTTCAAGTGAACGTTGTCTTGCGTGGCCTGGGAGATCTGCGATCAATTCTGATTCGTAGAAACATGCAATAAAAATGAACTGGAGTACGCGAGACTTTTGGGCATCCGATTAATGTAGTATGCTCATTGCTCATTCATGGCTGGATTGTCCTCAACATGATGTCACAGCTTTGTTCTGAATTTTGACCAAGACGGAGACACAATACCTTGACCTCTATCCCCAGTGAGGATGAGATTCATGCCTGGTGCCCGGTTTTACTGTTTGCCATGAAATACCCAATTTCGTAAGAGATACACCGCCATCTCGCCCAGATCAGGGAGGGGATCGCTCGCGATCTGGCCAAGGCACAGGGCTTCAGTTGGCACAAGACGCTGGCTCATTTATTGTGGCAGATTGAGGATATCAATCTCAAACTTATATTAATCATGGATGAACCCAAGAGATTACCATCATGATACCACCTACAGATGGAAGATTGAAGAACAGTATCTGAAATCTCTTTGGGCGCTGAAAACACACTTGAACCAGATCCCAACAAACATCTTTGGAATGAAAAAGAAAAGCAACCATCACACATGAATATTACACAAGAAGACCAGGCCCCCGACAATGCCCTTTTTCTGCCAGGGAGGAAACTCTCAAAATCATCGCGACAACAGAGCACTCAAAATACTCTGCGTCTCCAAATTCGCCTTTGGTGTACCGCACCAAAAAAAAAAGAAAAGAATAGAAGATAAAGTAAAGGACCCAAAGCAACAACAAAAATTACAGAAGATGACAATCAGAGACGAACATCTAACTGCGAAGACAACAAATGGGAATATAAAGGAGCCTCCAATCACTAAACACTTTTGAACTGAATGTTGAACGGTTTGCGTTGAATGGCTTATAGAGCCTCCTTGCCACCGACAAACTCAGCCCAGGTGCGAACCTCGGAGGGGATTCCATCGGGGCGAGGAAGCTTCTCGTTCATGCATTGAGCGAAGAGAGTAGCGGTCTGAAGAGAAGACGGGGTTAGAATACTGTTGTTTGATATATCAAAAGGATTAAAGGTTAGTCAAACATACCTTGGGCTCCATGAACAAGGGCACGCTAAAGTCAACAGCATTGCGGCGCATAACATAGTCCTCGTCGAGCTGGGTCTTGCCACGAGTCTTGGCCAGGTTGAAGACTCCACGAATATCGTACTTCTGGAAGACCTCACGGAGGGCACGCTTGTTCTTCTTGGGGAACTCAATCACGGTGACAGTCACATTGTCCTTGCAGGTGGACTCGAGGTGAGCCTTGACCTCGGGGTTGGCAGCGTAGAACTTGTAGCCCAGAGGGCTCAGGTAGTTGACAATGGAAGTCAGGTAGGGCTGGGTGATATCACCACCGAGCAGGATACCCTCACCGGCCTCGGGCATGCGGAAGTTCATGGTTGATTGCAAAGAGGTCCAGTAGGCCTCGATCAGGTCCTTACCGAAGCAAGCCATCTCACCGGTACTGGCCATCTCCACACCCAGGAAAGGATCGGCACCAGCCAGACGAGTCCAGGAGAACTGAGGAACCTTGGTGGCAAGGTAGTCACGCTTCTGCACCATCAGGTCGACGGGCTCGGGAACATCACGACCCACAAGGGCCTTGGTAGCCACATCAATGAAGTTGGTACCAAGAACCTTGCTGACGAAGGGGAATGAACGGGAAGCGCGCAGGTTGCACTCAATGACCTTCAGCTGGGGCTCGGCACCTTCCTGATCGGCCTTGATGATCTGCATGTTGAAGGGACCGGTGATGTTCCAGGCCTTGGCAACCTTCTCGGCGATCTCCTTGACGCGGGCCATAACAGGCGCCTCCAAGTTGACCGGGGGAAGGACCAGGGTGGCATCGCCAGAGTGGACACCAGCGGGCTCAACGTGCTCGCTCACGGCGTGAACCAGGAGCTTACCGTTGGAAGCGACGGCGTCAACGTCAATCTCCTCGGCACCCTCGATGAACTTGGTGATCACGACGGGGTGGTCCGGTGAGACGGCGCTGGCGTTGAGAAGCTTCTCCTTGAGCTCATCGACACTGTAGATGACGTTCATGGCAGCACCGGACAGCACGTAGGAGGGACGAACCAAGACGGGGTAGCCCACGGACTCGGCGAACTTCTCGGCATCGGCGACGGAGGTGAGCTCCTTCCAGGCAGGCTGGTCCACACCAATGCTGTCCAGGATCTGCGAGAACTTGTGACGGTCCTCAGCCTTGTCAATGTCCTGAGGGTCGGTGCCGAGAATCTTGGCACCACCAGTCTCCTGCAGACGCAGAGCAATATTCTGGGGCAGCTGACCGCCGACAGAGACAACGACGCCGTTGGCGCTCTCCAACTCGTAGATATCCATCACACGCTCGTAGCTCAGCTCCTCGAAGTACAACTTGTCCGCGGTATCGAAGTCAGTGGAGTAGGTCTCGGGGTTGTAGTTGATCATCACGGTCTTCTTGCCCATCTTGCGCAAAGATAGGGTGGCGTTGACGGCACACCAATCGAATTCGACGGAGCTACCGATGCGGTACACACCGCTACCGAGGATCAGAGTGCCGTGATCATCGAAGGTGACATCGTGGGAGCTAGCATTATAGGTGGTGTATAGGTAGTTGGTGTCGGCAGGGAATTCGGCAGCCAGAGTGTCGATCTTCTTGACCCAGGGAGTGATACCAAAGGACTTACGGCGAGCGCGCACCTCGTCCTCGGAGGCACCGACAAGCAGGGAAATCTGCTTATCCGAGAAGCCGAGCTTCTTGGCCTTCAGCATAGTCTCCGCGGTAACACCGAAGAGGCTTCCGATTTCCTTCAGCTCGTTGTTGCAGTCAACGATATTCTGGATCTTATAGAGGAACCACTTATCAATCTTGCTAAGCTCGTGCACCTTGTCCACAGAGTAGCCCTCGTGCAGCATGGCCTGACCAACAGCCAGCCAGCGGCGGTCAGTAGGGTTCCGGAGGACCTCATCGATATCCTCGAAGTGGTCACCCTGCAGACCTAGGTACTTAGGATCGACTTGACGGATAGCCTTCTGCAGGGACTCTTCGAAAGTACGGCCAATAGCCATGACCTCTCCAACAGACTTCATAGCGCTGCCGATATCGCGGTTCACATGCTGGAACTTGCTCAGATCCCATCGAGGAATCTTGGTGACGATGTAGTCGAGACTGGGCTCGAAGTTAGCAGTGGTAGTCTTGGTCACAGCGTTGGGAAGCTCGGGCAGAGTGTGGCCGAGCGCGATCTTGGCGGCGGTATAGGCCAGAGGATAACCGGTAGCCTTGGATGCCAAGGCAGATGAACGCGACAGACGAGCGTTGACCTCGATGACACGGTAATCGAGACCGTCGGGCTGGAGAGAGTATTGCACATTGCACTCACCCACGACACCCAGGTGACGGACAATCTTGATGGCCGCGGTACGGAGCATGTGATACTCCTCGTCCGAGAGGGTCTGCGAGGGAGCCACCACGATACTGTCGCCGGTGTGCACACCGAGAGGATCAAAGTTCTCCATGTTGCAGACGGTGATACAGTTGTTGTCAGCGTCGCGGACGACTTCGTATTCGACCTCCTTCCAGCCCTTCAGTGACTTCTCGACGAGAATCTGGGGCGCCAGGGACAGCGAGCGGGAGGACAGATCGCGGAGCTCATCCGGGTTGGCGGCGAAGCCGGAACCGAGACCACCCAGCGCGTAGGCGGATCGGACGATAATGGGGTAGCCGACGGACTCGGCGGCCTTGAGCGCATCATCGACGGTGCTGACGGCGATGGACTCGGCGATGGGGATGTTGATCTCGTTCAGAGCCTGCGAGAACAGGTCACGATCCTCACTGGTCTCGAGGGTCTTGATGCTGGTACCCAGGACGCGCACTCCGTAGCGCTCGAAGATGCCCATGCGGTTCATCTGCACACCCAAGTTGAGGGCCGTCTGGCCACCAAAGGCCAGGAAAATACCGTCCGGTCGCTCACGCTCGATGACGTGGGTGACATATTCGGGGGTCACGGGGAGATAGTAGACCTCGTCGGCCAACTTGTGGTCTGTTTGGATCGTCGCGATGTTAGGGTTGATGAGCACCGATTTGACGCCGGCCTCTTTGAGAGCCTTGAGAGCTTGGGAACCTGTGCAATTGAAAAGAAGGAATCGTCAGTAAGCGGAAATATTTGATGGTTAAAATTTTTTTTGGGGCTTGTCCATTTTCTTTTTTTCTGTGGCAGCCAAGCAATGAGTGAAGAGGTGCACGTCAAGTTTGTAGTGTCAACGGGTATGGAGAACGACCGGGGGAAGACCGATCTCGCACGTCGCCGGATAGCTTGCCCGGAGGTGCCATCTTGAGTCATCATGGGGTCAAAAAGGTGCGCAAGGCCACCAATTGAACCCTGGAAGAGCTCCGATAAACTCAATTGTGCCACAATAAGACTATTTCTTCTCATTCGCAATCAATTAATGCATTGCACGTACCGGAATAATCAAACTCGCCCGCCTGACCGATACTCAAGCCACCGCTACCGATGACAAGGACCTTCTTCACATCGACCAGATTCCGGCCGGGCTTGACGACGCCGCTGGCCAGGTAGGCCTCTGAAGACGGAGCATCTTGAGCCGCGGCCAGACGGCTAATTGTGCTGGAAAAGGCACGCAGCTGCTGTGAGCGAGCGGCGGAGGGAATCTTCTGCAGGCGCAGCACAGAGGCCGTAGATCGAACGGAGGCATTAGAGGTGAAGGAGCGGAGGGAGAGGGCCGGACGAGCTTCAGCGAGACATCGCTGGCGCAGCAGCGTCGCCGCTTGGCCACAACGCGCAGCAAGAACCATAGCGCTGCTCAGGCGGGACTCTCAGAGATTTATGAGAGGGGGGTTCAATTCAATTGCAGGAATGGAAGGAGGAGGAGAGGAAGGGAATGGTTTCTCAAGTTGACGACGTTGGGGTTTCCTGGAACGTCGAGAGAGAGAGGATGGTTCGCCAGCGGGTGCTCCGAATTATCGGAGGCCTGGTCTTTTTTCCGCCGACTTTAATTGGTTTAGTCGGGCTGCCTTCACCGTCCACTCGGTTCCACTTTTTCCAGTTTTCCACACTCCGTTGAGAGACGGACCAGCCACAGAAATAAGAAGAGGTCAGAGTGGCAGAGCAGACGACAAGGAAGAGAGAGAGAGACAGATGAACCAGATGAAGCACTCAAGCTGGTAGGCAGACTGCAATTGAGGCTGGATCCGTTGTAGAGAGAAGAGAAGGGGTGAGTGAACAGGAAGGAACAAAGGCAAGAAAACTTTTTTTTGGTGAAGGACAAAGATAAGCTGATGATCGGCGACCAGGACCATTTAATCCATGCCTGTTGAGTCTCTGTTCAATGCGTGAGCCATCATCGACGATGAGTCACTGTCTTCCCACGAGTCATTGTGGTCCTCTCTCGATTGTTTCCCCCTCGTGGGACTGGAATCGGCCATCGTCGTCGCCAACAGGATCCGGTGGGTAAACTGGGGCCGTCCCCCATAAAGTTTGCATGCCGTCCATATCTACGCTCGGGCAGTCTGGGTGTCTCCGCAACCATTGCTCAATCCAAGAGGAAGAAATTCGGAGAGGTGACTCTCATGTTCTACCGTGAGGAAGATGTCATATACTCCCGTGGATATCGCCTCAATTGAGCTCTGGTCGAACAGACCTACACTCGGACAAACTCAATGGTGTTGACTCTTGCCAGAAGCCTTAAATTTTGACGGGATGGCCCCAAGAATTAAACGGGGGATCAATGCCGATGCCGGACGGTCGCCCTGAAGACGACTTGTTCGTTATCGCGACCACCGACCCACTGAGGATCGACGCTCGCTTTGGCGTTCGACAAATAAACGGGCCCCATTGTTGGCGAGCATCACGCAAAAGTGGGACGCTGGAAAAAAAGGAAAAGGAAAGGAAGTATGGTGCACCCACTGAGTCATAATTTACCTATTTCCTCTATGTAAGTTTCTCTGCATTTGATACCCATTTAGGTCGTAGTCCCGTTTGGAGGGACTGGGTAGTGGACCACTGGATATTGGATATTGATAATATGGGAACCTGCATCGATCTGTACAGAGTAACTACAGACTACGGTCTATACTCTATGTTATAGAGTCCATAGAAGAAGGAATAGAATGGAATCTCAAGAAAGACAAGGCTTCCATCTGATTGAGGTTGCATCCTGTCTATCTTCCAGATGTCCTATTTGAGACCTTGTTCAACTGCATTAGCCCGAGATGTGAACGCAAAACTATGTCCTGCTCGTCCCGAAATGCAGGGCAAACAGTAGTTTTGCCGAGTCGATCAATTGACATTCATGAGCACACACAATTGAATCTACCTTGTATAGGTAATTCTACTTCATCTTGGCATTGTACCTACTACCTAGTATCTACTACTATTAAAGTCATTACAGATTATACCGGCACAAAGGCTTAGTAGAATCAAACATTAATTGGCTGCTACTGCAGGAACAAAGGTTAGTAGGGTTTCCGAGCTGCTCGCGTGCAAAAAAACAGTAGGACGCGATGACTCTTCAATGGGTGCTCCCGTGACTCTTGTCTCCGATAAATCCTCCATGCTACGTCATAGGTATTACCCGATAGGGGTTTCCCCCCTGCCCCATATTGCAAACATGGACCAGTGGGCCAACACATACACTTTTTTCTCACTATCGTGGACCAATACGACCGATTATTGTTGTGTGTAATGAATCGCAACGAGGGTGTTCTCTGCAGATTCTAGAGCGATCCTTCCGAGAACCCTTGATGAAAGCTTGATCGTAAAATTAAGCTTGAACGTGACTGCTCAGAGAAGTGAAACGAGGTTTAGCATAGGTCATACCACAAGACTCGATCACTGGCTTCTATCTGTGGCAATTAGCCGGATCGCTGAACCTTGGCAAAAACCAAAATACTAAGATTATATTTATTGAGTGTAAATAGTCACTCAGCGTGATAAAGTCTCGAGTCTTGCTAGTCTCAAACACTTCCATCAAGACCACTCCAGGGTCCATGCGAGCCGTCATGATGAGCTATCCCGCAAGATGCTCTCGCTGATTCCCGAGAGATCCCTTTCAGATTGTCATTCTCATGCGGGCCCTGCTCCCAGTCTTGCTTTAGCATACTGTAGACATCCCGGAGTAGCTTTCGCGCGTCCCGGGCAACTTCCTTTCCTAGCGTCAGCCTTTGCTGCACATAGTCGCGCTCCTGCTGAGTTGCAGCCCCGGATGCGAAAGACCAGGCTTTGGCCATTTCAACCACCTCATCCGATGGAGTGGTGTCCACAGGCTGAGAAGCAAGACCGGATGCAAGTATCCCGCTGGCGAACTTGGATCGTGGTGGCTTAGCAGGCACGGGATGTTCGGGGAGGAGGTGGCTTTCGTCACACAGTCGATGCAAGACACGGAGAGTAGAGGATCTCTCTTTCGCGAGAAGTCCCGCCATGTAAGATCGCTGTAGCGCAAGAGCTCTCTGACTCTTGGATAGTGGCAGGAGAGCGTCAGTGGTAAGAGACAAGACTTCTAGTGGGTCGGGTCCCGGTGTCGATGCTGAAACCGTTTCAGATCTCGGTGCTGTTCGAAGGGGGCGCTCCCGGGTCACGGTCACAGGCTGACAAGCACGGGAAGCCGCGTCGAGCAAGTCTTGTCGCGCTTCAAGATATGCCGTGTACTGCTCATTGATTCGAGACTTTTGATCTCCCAATAATTCATTGACCTCTTCTAAGTCTTCAGGCGCGAGATCCTGCACCAAACTTCCGTCCGGATCCCCTTCGTTGAGCAGCCGTTGTTCTACCCACTGGACTAATTCATCACGAGTCCGCTGCAGTGCCATCGTTTTCACCTGTGGCGCGACAGCTCCCGTAGCATCACCATTTCCAGAGGTCTGTCGCGATTTAATCTTCTCAAAGAGATGCTTCTCGGTGTCTAGTTGCGAGCGAGCTCGAACAACCGCTCGCTCAAGCTGGTGCACTAGCTCCTCCAGGCTCGTCTTGTCACCTTCTTCGGCACGACCGGCAACGCTCGTACCAGAATCATCTTTGTATGGACTCAATGGATCCGACGATGCACTGGGTTGCTCCCCTTCCTCCAAGTTCCGCGGGATTCCCACATCTTTTGCTTTCAGCTCATCCAGGTATTGTTGGAATGTCTGTAGTTTGGTATATCGCCGACGATCACGCAAGAGCTGAAGGTAATCCTGGAGACCTGCGGCGGAATCCGGACGATCCCCGGACTGGACCGATGATTTGGGTGACGCTGTCTGACATCTCAGGGCCGCAATATCCTCAAAAGTCCGTTTGAACCCCTTTCGTGCGGCGACGTTGGCTTGCAGAGCTTTCAGGTAGTTCTTTCGAAGTCCCGACAAGTCGGCCGGGATACGCTTGACGTCGGTCACCGCCTCGGACGGAGTGCATTGAGGAAGAAAGCCGTGAGAGACCGTCGAGAGGCCCGTCCCTTCTCCGCAGACGATAAAGGAGCACAGATAGGCTGTCAAGGCCTGGCGAATGTGCAGCGCCTCTTGGCGGGATTTGATGTAAGGAGCGAGTGGTTTCGCGAACGGTGGAATGTCGGCGGGACTCTCAGTGGATGGGTCCATCATGACTTGCCATGATCTATTGGTAGATGGGGTGAGTTAGGGGAGATGTCGCGTGGAGAATGGGACAGCAAGAGAAAGTTGTAAAATACATTTGGGGGACTTGAAGCTGCCGGTCGAATGTCAAAGTCAAAGAGTCTCGAGGCACCAGTCTGTGTCGGCCTTCCCGTGATCAATTTCATGGACGATCGGAGTCTAGGGTGGGCTCGCTCGTTCTCCGCCTTTTGCTGCCCATGTTGCTAGTGGATGGATCCGTCCGATTCTATGACCACTCAGATCCCATGATCTGATTATGTTATCTCAACCTCTGGTCACCACTGTCCTTCAAACACCAGGCTGGTAGGGCCCAGTGCCTGAGTGCCTGGTTTGTTCCTCGAATTTCAACTGTTGTTGCAAGGTTACGAGTTTCGTTGCTGTGGAGATCCCCTTTGATGGACGCAAATGGCTGAATCGGAAGACGGGAGAGGGCCAGTCACCGCATGTCCAGAGGGCGGATGAGATCGAATATAGTAGTGCACCCTCGGTATCCATCTCCACGATCGGTACTTACTACGGTAGTATGAGCGGTTGCCCATGACTCGCTCCGATGCGAGGGATACTCGAAACTCATGCACGGCTGTCGGAACCTAGTAACCGCCATCTGACCTTGTCGTTCAAACTGGGTCGCACTGCTACGACTGTAGCGACCTGGTATCAGAGGTCCAGCATCATATACTATGTTGTGAGGGCCTGTGGTAGGTAGTTATCGCAACAATACTTAATCATCTAACTTAACTTCAATCCTAAGATACTATCTAGTACCTAATACTACCTTCTAGTACTTCTATTACCCCCTAAGGCAGCATCTCCCGACTGAACCAAATGAACATCCCTATGAGCTACTGTATGAGTGCAAGCGAATTAGATAGTGCAGGTGGGACTACCTACTCCTAAGAGCTGTATACGTTAGGGCCAACAGCACCGAGAATACGGAATCTCTGTTTTTTGCCGTAAAAAGTCAATCCTTTGGCATTTATCTGGAGCTACTGCATCGAGTGTAGGAACCTAGGAAGTAGCCAAGCTTGGAACCATAGTAGGTGTGATTAGCTGATGATGCCGCTGTCCGTGCAGGACTATTGACATTAATGATCCAGTGTACAGTAGTTGACTGTTCCCTTTGAGAAAGAGATTTGCTTTGGAGACTGGGTCCGAGCACTCCTTGAAATCATCCAATCCCGAAAAGGCCTCGAGGAGATTTTAGGATCTGCGGACTCGAGACAATCAGCAATGACTACTACCTAGGGCTCAATTGGCATAACTGAAAACGGAACCCGAGGTTGCTACCGTACAATATCTTGCAGAAGACAGCACATGCTGATACACATGCATTAGAAAGTACAACAGTATCTACCTAGTATGTACTATGTAGTAGTATCATGTATGTACTTTGTAGTTTGTACCACACAGCTGTGCTCAATACTCGCATGCCTACCTAGCTGGTCGTATAACTATGCACTATGAGTATGATCAATGCCGAAGTTATACACTATACAGTATAACCTAACTATACGATCGTCTTGTCCAATTTTACTCCTTTCCACATACCACCAGAAACCATCCAACCACCCGTCATGAACAGTCATTATAACATACAATAACTGCCTTTGATAAAGTAGGATGGAATCTTGGAATCCACAACAATTGAACTATGTGTCTCGACACACTAGATGCATGTGATCAAGCGGCATACGGTCCAATCGCGATGGTCGCCGCCAAACGGAGCACAGCCGCCGAAAGGAGCGATCAAGCACAGCTCATGCAGCGGCAGAGTGACTCCTCATCCGCCAGTGGATATTATTTCTTCGCTGCTTCAACTCTGTGCATGACCTTCTAGCTTGGTAGTCTCTGCAGCAACCGACACTTACTTGGTGCATGAATAATTGAGAGCGCTATTCGTCTGTTACATTGACAGCAAGTCCAGCGTCCGAACCCATAATCCCCGCTCTTAACCCTCCTTCAGCTTCCCCGTCCATCTCCGACTCCATACTACACAACACACGTACTCTATCCATCCGCCGCCGTCTGAGGTCAAATTCTGGATGTGCTTGTTGATCTACCCCGCCAGGACATCATACTCCTCCCCTCCCCCTTCGTACGGATTTGTTTTGATAAACATTCCTATCAAGGGGGCCGGTGTTTGGATCTTGCCACATTCATCCATCTGATTGCAGCAGTATTCCATGAGGACATAAAAGCTGTCGGAAGATCAGTTCAGAGCTATCCCCGCACTCATATGCCTTCGGCGGGCTCGGAGCGGCGTCATTTCTGATCTATCAACTTTGTTCAACTGACTCCCACGACTTGCTTCCGACACAATGGCGGCCGCACTGAAAGCTACTCCAAGCAGCCCCCGCCCTCGAGCGGCGACCACGATCATGCCGGCGATTGCATCACCTTCCCAACTAGCCCGCAAGAAATCAAGTTCTGCTCGCAGTCAACGAAGTCCAGTCTTGCATCAAGGGGATTCCACGTTGGAGGTGATGGGAGCTGAGATTATGAGCACGGTGCTGGAAGGTATGCGACTCCTGACCGGCAGATGTCACTTGTAGAGACAGAGAGAAGTGACTGACGTTGAATCTGTCATGCCGTCTATATAGGTCCACTTCGACATCCGAAACCAATGTCCCCTTCAGATCTTCACCTGGCGCTAGAGAGGGAACAGGAGGCAATGGTGAGCTTTGAAACAGATAGCAGTCATTAAAGACTACCCCCCGGCTCCGCTCAAGATCTCCGCTGACTGCGACTTCCTTACTCTCTTTCCATTCTTCAGGTAAACAGATTTACCCGAGAACTCTCTGTTCTCCGGCAGCAGACAGCCTCTGTCGCATCCACAGCCTCGTCATCTTCGACTATGAATGATCACTCCGACCCGCACCAAACCTCCCCCTTGCTGGGCAGCTTTGCCCATTTCCACACCTCCCGACGCCAGCGATCATGTTCCAGCCTCAGTGCATACACTGCTGCCCAGAGCTCGCAGAATGGCGGCGTCACAGGTATTGCGCCCTCACGTGAGTCATCCATGTCTCACTCTCGAGTGATGCGGAGCCGCGAACCTTCTCTCACCTCCCGCCGTCCCTCAATTGGGTCGATCACCTCCTATGCGCAGCAGCATAGCTATGGAGATCAATTGGTGAATCATGGTAAGCCACCCATTTACCGTCACCGCAGTGCGGGCTCGCAGACACAGCTGGCCGATGCGGCCTCATACAAGTCCGAATTGGAGAATGTCAAGCGAGAGAACGAACAGCTGCGCCGACGAATTCGAGATTTGGAGATCGCGATGAAGAAGCAGAAGAAGGAGGAATGAGGGGCGATGAGAGTGCTTTGATTCATTTCGCCTCATCTTTTCAGGTGACGGGTCTGTGATCTCGGGGGCAGATGGGCTGGTTTCAACCTTTGATTCTTTTACTGCCAGGCGCAGCCTATTTTTACACTGTGACTGGACGCCTGTGTAGACTATTTTTCTATTTCCGCCGTGTTGTCGCCATCATATCACGGCGTGATCACCGCAATTCAGCATGTGTCCCTTTACTTTCAAGACGATGGTCACCTTCTTCAACAGGACTCGATTAGCATTACAATCTAATAAATGCCATGCATGGGTCACTTCTACCAAACCATTTTGTGGGTGTGCCTTCAGCGACCTTGATCAGATACGGTCAGACAGGAACTCAGACGATGCTGGAAGGTTAGGCTCCTGTCATGCTGTCTTACAGAAAGAGAATTCTCTGGTTTCCAGTCGTTTTGATCGTAAAGCGTGAGGCGGATGATAGAATTTAGTCCGAACGCAGAAGTACTTTACTACTACTTGGTTCGAAGGCATCATGAAGCTCTCGACCAGAACCCCTCCCATCCGTCCTCGCCTTCAGTTGGTTTTGGCGTATGGCTTGACCGAGCCTCAAGCGACGACCTCAGGTACCGAAGGAAATAATCTCCTGCCCTGATCTACCTGCACTCAAAGCATGTGCACTAGGTTCTGGACTGTTCACATGTAAAGTCGCCACTGCCAGGCACCAGGCGGTGCAAGCCCCGCTTGTACGTCATGTGTGGCGCAAGCGTTGCTTAAATAGTGTGGACCGTCATCCCCAAACTATCATTCCACATAAACCAAACATCTTTTCCCCAGTCTACAGTCTTCACTTCTCTCAACTTCAACCACTTCTTCGCTCTCAAAAGATAATTTATCATTTGTCAAGATGTCTGAGGCTTCGACTATCCACGTTTCCAACATCTCCCCCGCCACCACCGAGAAGGAGGTGCGCGATTTCTTCAGTTTCTGGTAGGTTGCCCCGCACGAGGTCAAGGAGCTCGCAGTCGCAAGAGTCGTGCGAGTCTACATTCAAGAAGATCGCAATCACTGACAACATACATTACAGCGGAAAGATCACCAGTCTCTCTGTTACTCCCACCTCGTCCGAGGCCGAGGCGACCAAGTCGGCTACCGTGACCTTCGAGAAAGAAGCGTAAGTTACCCCGCACTCCAGTTGGTGCTGGTGTCATCACCTCCTCTCGTCACGTCGTCACGGGGGATCCCCCAAGTGATTTGATTTTTTTTTCACTTACACCATCTTTTTTCGTCTTTCTTGGAAACATACAGTGCCGCCAAGACTGCCCTTCTCCTCGATCAGACCCAATTGGGCTCATCTGCTGTGCACGTCGAAGCTGCCAAGAGCATCGGAACTTTAGCCCAGGAGTCCACCGCGGGCGCTACCGATGTCGAGTCCAAGGATGAGCACCACATCCCTCAAGAGGAGAAGCCTCGCTCGCGTATTTTCGCCGAGTACCTTGCCCATGGATACGTTGTGAGCGACAAGGCTCTCGAGAAGGCTCTCGAGTTGGACAACCAGCACGGTGTTTCCACCAAGTTCCAGAGCTACCTGACCAACTTGGACCAGAAGCTCGGCGCCACTTCTCGCGCGCGCGACCTCGACAACAACTACAAGATCTCCGATAAGGCCGTGAGCAGCTTTGGTGGTCTGGCATCTTACTTTGAGAAGGCCATTGGCACACCCTCCGGTCAGAAGCTCCGTGAATTCTACCAGAAGACCGAGAAGCAGGTGCTGGACATTCACGCCGAGGCTCGCCACCTGGCCAACCTCAAGCAGGGTAAGTCGAGTGAGGCCAAGACTGGCGAGTCGCAAGGTGTCGCTGCGTCTGCCAGCGAGGCCGCCGGCGTTGCCCCTGGAACCGTGCCCACTTCGGAGCCAGCTGGCACCACCGCCCCTGCTGAGCCTAAGGCTTAGAGAGTGTGAAAATGGCGATGATACTATTTACGATAGCGTGTTCTTGATATGATTTTCAAACCTTTCCTTAATCGACCGGTCATACTTAGTGGATGAGTTGGGTGTCTTTTTGCGACCGGGTCAGCCTCTTTCGATACTTTTGTTTTGTTATCCCACTTTATTGTTCCGAGCTTCTTATCATGAGCTTTCCAAATACGACCCCATTTATCCACTTAATTCCTCGCCGAGATCTTATCAATGCCGAAAACAAAGTTGAATACTTTTTCAAAACGGGCGCACACACACTCCCAACTTGACAACACACTTGGTTTGTGCCCAGACGGCAGGCCGCCAGCCATGATTCATGCTCGCATCCGAAAGTACATCCCTCTGAATCTGAACCGAACTGCACAAAAAATAACCACAATCTCGTTTTTCTCTCAAAAGACTCCATAAAAATAAGTCCAACAATTACAATCCATCTCTCTCCCACTAACCGAGTCTCGAATCAGATGCAGACACCGACCCTCTCACCCCCCGATCCAACCGTCGCCAAGTCCATCGACAGCCCGATCCCGCCTATTGCTTCTTGAACTTCTCCGCCTCGGCCTTCTCCAACGGGTGCGTGGGGTTACTCTCGAGAGAAGCGGGCTTGCTGTTGTCCTTTTCATGGGACAGTTCCGGAGCCTTGTTGTCGACCTTGCCGCTGGCGGGGGGCTCGTGCAACTGGGCGCCGGACTGGGTCTGGGGCTCGGGGGATTGGCGGCCTTCTTGAGCGGGCATGTTTGTGGATTCTGTTGTGGTTGGTGATAAAAAGGGTGGAGAGTTCGACTGGAGATTGGTGAGTGGGAGTTCTGGTAGGAGTAGAGTACTTGGAAGGAGAAATTGGAAATGGAGATGGGAGGGAGATTGGGGCCGATGCGATGCATTGATTTGAGTGCCTTGATAGAGTAGAGATAGGAACAGGGACAGGAATGGGACTGGAATGCAAGAGGTAGATAGGTAGATGAGACTGATATAATGGCTGTTCAGATGGACTCACCTGGATAGTCCTATGTGTGTAGGTGGTAGATGTGCAGATGGTTGTTGAAAGAAGGAATCGAGGGAAAAGAACGTGGATGATGGACTATAAAAGGCAGTACAATCGAGGTAGCTGGGTCAAGCGGGGCCAGGAGGGGGGAGAGCTACAAATCCCACGCCAAGTCATGTACGAAGCTGCCCCCCTAACCACTCAAACAACGTCTTAGAACGCTCCCTGCTACCTGCTACCTGCTACCTGCTACCTGCTATCTAGCAACTAAGACTTAGTCATTTCGTACCATTCAGTCAACACTAGCATAGACTGACGTGACAACCGAATCTCACCGCAGATGACCAGGTTAAACCTGCATGCCACCAATGCCCCGCCAGCGTCAGACAAAGACATGGAATGGCGGGGGAGGGAAGAAGATCTTCATCATCATGACGTTGGGAGTTTCTCTCTGGCTTCCGGGCCGCTGCGATCACCTCCACTGCCTTGAGAAAAAAGTGACCATATCCTTGGGCTCTGTAAAGGTCCATGGACTGAGTGATCTTTCGTCGGAAGACCAGTAATTGACCAGAAGATACTGCCAATGGAACTTGCTTCGACAGTCCCATGGATGGCGTTTGCAACTTGCGACGCTACAATCTTCGAAGGAGCATCTCGTAACGTAGGGAAGTTGAGTAGCCAAGTGGGCCACATGTGATGCGGCTGAGGGGATGACATCAACACGGGGACAGTCACGTGATATAAAATTTGATGGGGACGGTCGATGGCGAAGCACGACGCAAAGTCCCTAGCTTAATTGAGTACCTGATCAATGAGGAGAAACCAAAAACATTCCATGGCTAAGTAGGGGTTGTCAGTACAGATAGACAGTCACACTGGCATTACCACCACTGTAAGCAGGTGATGAAAAATACCCAAATTCAAGGGATCTTGTACAGCTATTGGATGAGATGAGCATTCTGAGCGCAATTCCATGGCATTGCGTCGCTGATGTACTATATGACGATGAGTCGAATGTCTCAAAACGGGGGAATCTGTGCAATCGAACATGGATTCCAGAAGAATGGAAACAGTTGAGGGGAAAAAAAAGGAGAAAGAACAGAATGGATATGGAGATATGGAAAGCATGAGATGGGTACTTTTTGAGGAGCACATCAACATTGGGGAGAGACGCGACAAAGCCGGGGGTGGGGGAATGAACAGAGTCACATTAAAAAAAAAACATCGAGGCAGGCAAGGGGGAGAAATAAGGGGGAAAGGCATGAATTGGTCTAAAGGATAGGAGGAGAAAAAGAAAAGACATGAACTGGGCATATGTCTCGTGAGAGCGAATGGGAGATCCACTGCATGGAAAAAAGTTTGGCAGTCGACTCCCACCACTGCTTTTTGTTTTGCTTCTTCGAATCTATTGGTTGCCGTTCGATTGCATGCCCGCAGCGGCGGCGGCCTCGGCGTTGGCAGCAGCCAGGGCCTTGGTGTCGGCCTCGTGGAATACAGATTGAAGAATCTGCTGCTCCTCGGGACCGAGAACCTTCGTCAAATTCTCGTAGAGTTGGGGCTGTTCGGATTGAAGACCTGAAGAAGCAAACAAGGCATGAGTACCATTCGACAGATAACAGCGTGAAATATAAGCGGGTGACTTACTCATGAAGACGTGTTTGAACATGCCGTAGGGCTCAAGCTTGTCCAGAGGGGTCTCGAGCAGGCTCTCCTCGTCAAGCTCGTCGTCATCATCGTCATCAGCAAAGTTGCTGAACTTCTGGGCTTCCTTATTGAGGAAGTCGAGGTACGCAGCGCTCTCATCAGCAATGTCGCCCTCAAGAGCCTCCTCCACCTCTTCTCCCTCGTTCCATTCGACTTCGCCATCCCAGTCATTGTCCTCGTCATCTTCCTCCTCATCATCGTCCAAAGTGAAGTCGGACTCGCGAGTCGCGTCCTCACGTGCTGGTCGAGGGTTAGTAAAATGAACCCTCAAGTCGTACAAGGAGAGGGGGTAGCCGGAATGACATACACTTGAGAGCAGCGGGCAAAGTCTGGAAGAGTCGAGTGACGCCTTGCAGCAGGCGGGGCCACCCTTGCTGAACGCTCACGGGAACGTCAGCAGCCTTCATGGTCAGCAATGAGCTGATCGCAGCAATGGATAGCTTCTTGTCGTGAACCCGACGGAACTGGTCAATGCTAGAGAACCAAGTGCTGAAGAACTTGTTGGTCCAGCCCTTGGCCTCAAGAACTTGCAGACTGAGGGCGGGGTTGTAGTAGATGGCGTTGATGATCATCTCCATCAAGTGAATACGGTAGGACCTGGTGCGAGCCTCGCCGGCATCGATCACAACCATGGCCAACTCAATGAAGAGAGGGATATACTGGTCGATGTGGCCACGAAGGTTGAGCATGAGAGTTTCGGCCAGCTTGCAGCCGCAGATACGGTCGACTCCACCGACTTTGTCGTCACGGAAGATGTCCTCGACCATGCCAACAATAGCGGCAAGGTAAGCAGGGTTCTGGACGAGCATGTCTGAGCCGTAAGAAACATAATTATCCAGAGCTGGAAGCATGTCCTCCAAGTAAAGCTCAGCACCAGCCTTGAAGGTCTTGTGGATGAGCTCAAAGGCTTGCCACATGGTGGGGGAAATGGCCTTGGATGCGAAAGTGCAGCTGTCAATGATCTCGAAGACCTCGTTGTACAGGTCGTACAGCTTATTCTCCAGAGTAATGCTAATGACAGGCATCAAGATGGTCTCAAGGTGCAGCAGCACATCGGGAGTGCTCTCAAGGGTCAGGATAAGAGTGCCAATAGTCTGCAGCACACCCAACGCAGTGATGCTCTTGTCATCCAAGAAATCTCCGTATCCCTCGTCATCACCAGCCTTGGTGGCGTTTCGCTCCAGGAGCTCACCGACAATACGCATGTAGGTATCGCGCAATTGCTCGCTCAAGGCGACGGCAAACGGTGTCAGCTCAGCAGAAAAGACCTCAACAAAGTCCTCCATAACATTAGCGAGCGCATCAACATCGACTTCATTGGCCAGCTTCAGCAGCTGTTGCATAATCTGGGGGATGTTCTGCTGCATGGAAGTACGGATGACATCGTGACGAATCAAAGGCTGCAGGGCAAGGGCAGCCTCAACACGGACAGGCAGCTCGGGGTCGGTCATGGATTCCAGGATGTTGCGGTAGATTGTCATAAGGTTGTTGGGATCCTTAAAGTCAAGCTGTTCAAACTTCTCGAGAGTATCGCAAGCGCGTGCGCGAAGGAAGCCGTGGGGACTGCGGAATTCGGGGAAAACGTGGCGGACGAAGAAATACTCCACTTGGTCAGCAATAGGGCTCTTCTTGCCCAAAATCACAGACGCGAGAGACCCGATCATTCGGAGAGCGCCCTCCTTCTCACGCGGCTGCTTCTGGTCGTCAGCAGCAGACTCGTACTTGCTGACAACGCTGTTGACAAACGTCAAGATAGAGAAGGTCTGCTTCTTGCGGTTCTTGGTCAAAGACACAAGGAAGTTTGTTGCGGCGACATCGGGAGCGGACACCTCCTCATAGAAATTGAGCTTGCGGTGGAGATACTCCGACGGATCGTCCTCGAAAAGCTCAATGTCTTCATCAGACTGGCACATGATAGGGAAGACGAAGTGCGCAATCAAGTTATCCATGTGCGGCTTCAGGTGATCCCACATAGCCTTCGGCTTGACGCACTCCTCCATAAACACCAGAGTATAAGACAGAGCCGCGTTGCTAAGCCATTGGGACTTGGAGACCCACTTGTCGATCTCCTGCAGGTAGCCCTTGAGGATTTCGGGCGCAAAGTTCGTGATGAATGTCTTGGCGTAAGGCGTGTAGTCGGGAATGGAAGATTTTGTGAGCGTGGTGGGATTGCCGTATCTGTAATATCCCAGAGATTTGGGGATCAGTTCTACTCCGTTGTGTCTCACGAGCCGCAAGAAATTTGAGATGCGCAACGTACCTGATGAAGAGACGGTTCAGGTTGGCGTATGACCACTTCTTGCACTTCCACCAGTGGTTCAGCTCACGCTCTTCCTTCGACTCTGCCATGGCACTAGCAGGAGGAGCCTTTGAGATAATTCGCAGGAACAGGGTACACCAGTCCACAGTCGCCTGATGAGTTTGGAGAGCCGGAGACAGCTCGAACTATAAGGCAGAACAGGTCAGCAGCGTGCAACCAAGTACGATGACCATCCTCTTTCGGCAAAAACGACCACCTACGTAAATAGCGTGCTTGTACGCCTTGACCACGATGCGCAACATCTCCGCACACTCGAGGCTCTCCTCATCGACTAGTCGCTGACCAATGCTGAGAAGCTGAGGGAAAGTGTGCTCCACGATCTTATCAAACTCCTCCCTCTTCTCGCCGGCCTTGAATCTGTAAACACGGCAAATGGCGAGCAAGCACTGCAGACCCGCATAGACTGTGTTTGCCTCATTTGTACCGAGAAGCTGGAGAGTGAGGTCGAGGAATCCAGGCCAACGCTCGGGGAAGTCGTTCTGAAGAATCTTCTGGAGGAGGGGCACCAGCTGGGCGCGAACATTGGGGGGTGTCGAAGCCATCGCAGGAATGAGTCGCTCCCGGAATGCCGGCTTCTCAGCTTCGGGAATAGGAGCCCGTTGAGGGTTATCTTCCACTGGCGCCCATCCTCGGCTGATACGGTTCTTCAGGTAAACACCGGCTACAATAGAACAAGGGAGGGCTGATTAGATTCCCGATCAAGTAGCGTATAAAAACGGTCTTTGTCGGGTCACTTACCAGAAAGCTGAACGGCGTTGTTCTGTTCAGTCTGAAGAATATCCAACAGCGCATTGATGAAGCCGGGCTGCGTTTCGGCCTGGAGAGGGGAAGAGTCCCCGAAAGGTCAGTCCCGCTAGCTGATCAAAGACCGAGTCAGGAACAGCCGATGGAACATACATATTTCAGATCGATCTCCGCCTGTTGACGATTACTTGTGTTCGCGTCCAAGGTCGCCTGAATACGGTCTCGAAGGGCCGAAACGTCCATGTTCGCAACGGCTGGGCACTTCGGCGCCAAAGATTACAAACAAGACACACAATAACACACACAAAAAGACAGCCTCCACGCGGTAAATTCCTGGAGGAAACGAGTCTGCACTGTTTGAACAACGAGTCGGTCAGAGAATGGGAAATTTTTTGGGACTGGCCCAGTAACTGCAAAGGACGAATTAGCCCAAAGCGAAGGTGGAGGTGGAGGTCGAAAAAAAGTGTAGAGGGGGAAGGATTTATTTCTCTGGTTTTTCGCGGGCGGTCACCCCGCAGCTAATCAGCACGGCACTGGCCGCACACCACTGGTTTTGAGGTTTACTTAGTCGCAACAGGTAACCAGTACTGTATGAACTTTGAACAGCAGCAAATCAATACTCGAGTGAACCGGATTTTTGCTTATGGGTCGGCGAAAAAGTCATAGCGTGCGGAGATTCTACATTGCGAAGCTACAACGTCCAAACATGTAATCTTAGTAATAGCTAGACAGAAAGCCTAACACGCTAGTCACTCAATTCGTGACCATGAGAGAGATCTATGACATTAACTCATACATGTCGCGTTTCACATAGCCCTGTAGCGCATGCGTGTCCAAATAACATGTTTCCATACAGTATGTAGTTGTACAACAAGATCACATGTACAGGGATGCTGCGAAGATGACGTCGCGCTTGATCAGTTCCTGCGCCTGCTGCATCTTCGTGTATAGGTTTGGATCGCCAACGAGCTTAGCCGCATTTTTCACCTCGCGACAAGTCTCGTCCAACCGAGTGATAGTCCGAACAATGGTTCCTTCCATGACGTCGGTGAGATCAGTGATGCGGTTGAACGACATTCCCTTAGCCCACTCATAGACCACTTCAGCAAGACCAAAGCGTGGACTACTGACGAAATCATTCGAGTCCTCAGTAGACTGAATGACTTGATGCAAGACTTGGAAGTTGTTCACTTTCTCAGCGATACGAACGATTGCCTCCTGACCCTTTTGAAGTCGTGGGGTCAAGGTTGGCTGGCTCTCGGTCTTTTCTTGGAAGACGAAGGCTGACAAGAGTGCAACGATCTCTTCCGGTTCATATTCGGCGAGAACATTTTCCAGAACCAGCTCAGTCAATACGAGCTCGTCGGCAGAGTGAATCTCGCACGCCACCTTGCCCTTAAGTTGCACACGAGATTGATCGTCAACAAATCCGAGTTCGCGCAGCACTTGGATTCGTTGTTCATAGTCCGGAAGAAGTTGAAGATTTTGATCTGACATCAATTGCTTCAATTGAGAAATATTCTCTTTGACTTGCCATTCATCATGTTGCATTTCGAACTGCGAATTGGGAACCGAATGATGGTTAGCAGACGCGTTGTGACTCGCTTTCAATGAAATGAGTATGGACTGACATGTTCAAGGAACTTCGGACATTCCATGCAGCGGCACGATTGAATGAGCTCTGCCTGAGCTCTTCGTTGATCGATGATATCTCGTGACTGCAACTCCTTGATGCGTACCCAATCGATCTCGTCCCATCGCGCACTAACCCAAGAAGAAGCCAACTGCGTTAGTTCCTTTTCCGCAAACTTGATAGCTTCTGTTCCAAAATGTTAGCTTGCTTATTCGAATACACCTAGAGAGCATGTCTTGCCTTTCTTTATATTTAAATACCAGATGGGTCCGCCAGCCTTGCATCGTGTAGTCGTAATACACTCCACGTCGGTCACGGGAATCTTGCATATCTTGAGATGCATTGATGCGGTCTTGGAGGGTAAGGCTTGGAGGTAAGGTCGGAATTTGGGGAGGAACGGTAGGACGTCACTAGGGTGGCGGCGATTGTCGAGGGTGCCAATCTCCAGCACAGTAATGCAGGGAACCGCTCCATTGGTGACACCCTCTTTAGTGATGACACCGGCAGTGCGAATTCCATCCTGTTGGGATTCATCAGTACACACTCCGTTCGATATCGCTCACCCGGGTCTTTTCTCGGGAGTGAAAGGGGAACGATACCTTTCGATACACCACCATTTTCTTGACCTCGAAGAGTCTTTTACCCGCAGGGGTCGTTGGCAGGCCACTGTAAAGCTCCGTAGTAAGTCTCTCATACTCCATCGCCGCGTCGTGACAGGCAGCAAGGTCTACATCGCAGATCTCGCAAGGTGGCCGCTTGATCTTTTCCAAACTGGCTTCTGAGAGCTGGACTTGCTTCTCATGTTCGGGCAACAAAGCTTGAGTGGCGTTCTCGCTGAAACTCCTCTTGATCATCTCTTCAATCTTGAGAGCCTCCACTCGAAGCAAATTGAGAATCATGTTGTAGGTAAGACGGAACTGCGAACGGAGCTTCGTCGGGTCACCAAGTATCATATTCTTCAGAGCGCCAGCAGGAGGAGCTTCATCTCGGCCGCTGTTGGTGATGAGCACATAGCCCACGGTATCAAGTCCTCTGCGACCAGCGCGGCCTGCCATTTGTGTGTACTCTCCCGGCAGCAGATCTCTGAAGCTCTTGCCGTCGTGCTTGCGGAAACCAGAGAAGACAACAGTCCGAGTGGGCAAGTTCAATCCCATTGCAAAAGTTTCCGTCGCAAACAGCACCTTAACCAGCGATCGCGCGAAAAGAATCTCGACAATCTCCTTCATGATCGGCAGCAGACCTCCGTGATGCACAGCAATACCACGACTGAGTAGCTCACGTAGCCGAAGAATCTGAGGCAATGTCCGATCCTCCGGTTTGAGTCGCGTCAGAGACTTCTCGATCATCATGTGAATCAAGCTCTTCTCTGTCGCATTGCAGAAGTCTTGATTGCTCAGAGAATCTGCATTCTCCTCGCACCGCTTCTTAGAAAAGACGAACACACAGGCCGGAAGCAAGTCCTCTTTGCGGAGGTGCGAAACGAGATGCACCCAAGTGTTCTTGTCCTGAGCAGCGGACTGTCTGCCTCCTCCACGGCCGGTGCGAGCAATATTGCCTGTTCCGCGGTTGGAGGGCTGACCCCGTCCTCCAGCTTGCCCTCTACCACCACCACCTCCGCGGGGTCCTCCGCCGCGTGCGCCGCCTCTCCCTACATCCTGCCCTCTTCCTCGTCCCCGTCCCTGAACTCCACCCCGTTGGGACTGTGCTTGGGCTTGAGCCTCGGCCTCTTTCTTGAGTCTAGCTTCTTTTCCTGACAGGACATCGTTCGCCTTCTTCCAGCCACCCTCGATGAATCGCTTGTTGGAGTCAACAATCTTGAACTTTTCTTTGCCAGCCCACAGATAGTGTTCAAGTGGAACAGGTCGCTTGGGAGTCGAAATAACGTAGATGTCTTTCTTCTTGGTACGGCCGACCCAGGATGCGAATTCGTACGTGTTGGGTACAGTAGCTGACAGAAGAATGAGGGTCACATGCTCTGGAAGCATGATAATGACTTCCTCCCACACAACGCCTCGCTCAAGGTCGTTGACATAGTGCACCTCGTCGAAAATGACAAACTCGACATCACGGATAAGATCTGCTCCACGGTAGAGCATACTGCGCAGAATCTCTGTCGTCATGATCACACAGCTGGCCTCGGGGTTGATTTGAACATCTCCAGTCAAAATACCAACATCATCAAATGTGGTTCGGAAGTCTCGATACTTCTGATTACTGAGTGCTTTGATGGGCGACGTGTAGATAGCCTTGGTCATGTGCTTATTGGCCAAGGCAATGGCATATTCTGCGACGACTGTTTTGCCAGCCGAGGTATGAGCTGCCACAAAGACCGAGTCGCCGTTTTCCAAGTGATACACTGCCTCCTTTTGGAAGGTATCCAGCTCGAATGGCCATTCCCTGGCCATATCGGGGACAAGATCATGGAAGTTTGTAATCTCTTTGTTCACATCAACCACATGGGCCCATTCTCTACCCTTGTCCTTCTGGATGCCAGTCAGAAGTTGATTGCGGGGCTCGAGTGCCGGGAATTCAACTGGCAGTAGTTCGTCAATATCTTCTTCGTCATCCTCGTCGTCACTGTCCGCTTCCTCGGCCGCACCCTCAGCGACTCCATTTGTCTCGGTTGCAACTTCAGAATCGACAGGCTCTGCGTTGGTTTCCTCCTGGAGAGCATTTTCCACCTCCTCATCACCCTCTGCAGCTTCCTTAGACTTAGCCTCAGCGAACGTCAACCCGCGGTCAAATCCAGGCGGAACGGTGAGAAGACCACCCTCGGTTCCAAAGTTGATAATCCGATCCAAGCCACCCTTTTTGCCACCGGATCGAGACTGCTCAGTCTGAGCATCTGCCTCCATTTCCGCCAGAGCCTCCACCGCATCTAAGCCACCTGGAGCAAAAGGGAAGAATCCTGCGGCACCGCGAACGAAATCTGCACGACCAGCCGGGCGCCGGAGGAGGGACGTTGAATTTTTTGCTGTCTCGCTTGTCGCTGGTATCGTAACTTCGCGGTATCCAGTGACGCGTCCTTCAAGACCCTCTCGAGTGAATCGGGTTACCGTTCGTGTTTGGGTTGGCGCGATCTCGAACAGATCCGTGATTTCTGCAGGTACGTCCCATCGTCTTAAGACATTGGTTCATCAGTTATTAGGGACAACACAGCAGTCAATAGTCGATAAGTCAATGGCGTACTTTTGAAGTTGATTGAGCCATGTCGTACTGAATCGGGGCGATGGCGTCAAAAGCTCATTCTCCAGCTCATTTAGCAATTCAGCCCCCGTTTTGAACGTCTGCTTGTGAGGCCTCGAAGCGTTGGCAGTTTGATTGTTGCCTTCCAGCGAAGTCTCCAGATGAGTCTGAACCTTCGACGGATCAACACTGCTCGCTGCCAGCCGCAGCTGCTCCATAGCAGAGGTAATTGATTCCGTCATTGCAGACCTGGCGAGCAATAGCGCCTCAGTTTGGGGGTTATCTTTCGCGGTTCTTGATTTCTGTCAACGCTGGAGAGGGTCTCCTCCGCGGTTGACTGTGGTGTGTGGATTGCGCGCGTCAGGTGCTCAAACCGGATTCCAGACAAATAATTGTCGATCCTCCGATGATGGCACTTTTGTCCAGGTCTCCCCGATGCTAAACCCAGCGCAGATTTATTTGAGACCTGGTGCTTTGCATGTTGATGGAGACTCCCCGCGATGAGCGAGCTTCGACGAGGCGGTACAGACCGGCAGTTTCGTCTTTAATGTGCTTTGAAGGCTGACGTAGTGTGGGGCCATTCAAGCCAAGATCTACGATGCGTTTGGAAATGAGGAAGGATGGCTTATATGAGCCACAGCTGACTTTGGCTCTCGGTAAAATACTTCTTGTGGTATTGGCGAGTAGATAGGGAGTCAGTCCTTCGTAGAACTGGAAATTTTAATGATTCCAAGCTTGACTTCTTCGTTCCCGGCACCAATTAGCTCTGATTGGCGATTTCTTCTCGTGATTCTACCTCTTACCTAAGTAGAGAAGCCTTTCATTGTAAAGTTGACAAACCGTCCACCACAGCGCGGTGCTATTATGGAAAATGAGCACTGAGCACTTGTTCTTCTACTGAAGTCATCCATGGACTATAGACATTCTAACTATGCGCGAGTGGTTTGTACGGAACAGAGCGCGGTTGGTATGTACACGACATGAAGCTCGCGAGTACAATATAGCAATCGGATGGCAGAGAGCAAATACTACACATTAATCAGCCCACTGACTGAGTCATGAGATGTCGCCCAGCGACGGCCCATGAGGGCTCAAGAACGCATTCATCATCGTGGAGGAAAGAAAATCAACAGAAAGTGGGTATTGACTGAAAGAGCGGCAAGATTAAAACACTGTAAGAACTCGATACACGACAGAGACAATATGCAAGAGCGGCCCATGTCATGACAAAGGCATGGCGAATTATAAGCTTGATGCTTTCGGTGCCTCGTGGACCATACCCAGCTCGTGGAGAAGTATCGTAAGGGTCGGGATGCTTCGCATAGACGGCGTGTCGGGTTCGTAACATCACGCATTATTGATCATTCAATCACTCACTGGCGGAGCCCAATCTGAGTTCCGCATTCTCCTTCCCTGGAGAATATTCATACTTGCGTTTCAAAGGTACAGACTGTTCCATGGACACCGGGGTGAGGCCTTGGGACAGAGACTCGGAAGAAGGCGCCGATGAAAGGGTCTCACGGCCCGAGCCGGAGTCTGGTGTGCGGTCAATGATAGAAGAGATGGATGGCTTATTCGAGCTACCCATCGTGAGTCGGGGTGGAACTGGAGACGCATTCTGCGACTCGGGAGTCCGTTGTCCATCGATCATGTGTCGCTCGGATGCCTCGGTCTTCATCCTGTACATCTCCTCGCGCGACTCCTCGCTGTCCTCGGGCTCCGACTCCATATCGGGATCGTGACCCTCGTCATCCAGACCCCCATCCAGTGGACTGTCTCCCATCGAGGCGCGGTTGGATGCCTGTACCGGAGGGAGCGGCGCATTGGGGTCGTAGATGAGGCCGCACATTTCGAGAGCCCGCGACTGGCTTCCCAAGGTCCGGTCTTTGTGCTTTTTCGTCAAATGACACATGAAGCCGTGCAAGGTGACAAAGTCCGATTTACCGCAGCCTTGGATTGGGCACGTCAAATACACCAGGCTTCCGTCCGAGGGCCGCTTCCAGAGCGCACGCCCGGAAGGGTCATGGGCTGCAGGACGACCATGGCGTTCCCCCCAGGCCTCGACGTTTTTGATCGTATATTTTTGTTTCCTTCGCACTGATCCTGCGCCATTCATTTGTTCATGAGAGTTGACAGAATGTTGGTGCTGGTGGTGTTGTTGAAGAGGTTGATGCTGTTGCGAGTGCTGATGAGAATGCGGGTGCGGGTGCGGGTGCGGGTGTGGATGCGGGTGATGGTGTTGCGCCTGGTGCTGGTGAGAAGGATGATGTTGGTGAGGATGCTGATGAGAGTGTTGGTGTTGATTCTGGCTTTGGGATGGATGGGCTTGCGAATGTGAATGCTGGGACGAAGAAGACTGCGATGGAGGCGCAGGTGGGCCTGTAGGGTGTTGAGGCTGAGGGTGCATCAGATGAGGCGGAGGCTGCGGTGTCCGTGAGATGGGTGGTAAAAGTGTCTGACGGGGTTCTGGAGGGCTTTGTTGCTTGAAAAAGGCCAGCGTTGTAGCCGCACTGGTTTCCGACAATCGGCGCGACGCTGTTGGACGCATGGGGGGAGAGTCGACTGTCTGATTCTGGCCCAGGCCCATGGACTCCCTCTTGATCTTCTTCCGTTGGCGCCGGAGATCCTGCGAATATAGGAGATGTGCGATTAGTTTGCTGCTTTGGTAAACCTCGGGCGATCAGGGTGCAAAGGGCTGGACGATGGCTTCAATGGCATACCTCCTCTTCAGCCTCGGCGCTTTCGGTCATTCTTCGAAACTCCTCGTCTTCGCGCTTGCGTATCGCCAGGAGATGTTGGCGCGCAGCCATGCGGTTCATTTCCTCGTGCTCCAGCTGACGCAAGCGCGCCTCGATCTGATCGAGCGAGGACAGGGCCGGCGCTGGGGGTGGAGGTGGGGGTCCTGAATGAGATTCGTGCACGGTAGGTGGCGGCGCATAGTGACGATAGTGAGGGTTCTGCACCATCTGCTCTGGCGGAGGCATGGCTGGGTGTGCAGGGGGGTTCGGATTCATCGCGATGGCTTGATATCGAGGCAGATTATGCGCGAGATGACCGGATGCACCATTGAGACCCTCTGGAGGAACGGCGTGAGACACAGGCGGTGCAGCAGTCATGTCGATGCCTCTTGGTTTGTGGTGATCTAATTGACGTTGAATATTCGCAGGTTCAAGAGTGGCAGGGTTGACGCCTGTTACCTCCGGCACGTGTCCCACTTGTTTACTCTTCTGCGAGGTATTCCGAGAGTGTTTCTTCGGCCTACAGCAATGACAATGACGGACTTGCACGGTCGAGGGACACCGTCGAGGAGTTGGGTGACTAAAGCTGAATCACACTTGGGGCCAGCGCTCTGCAAGAGTGGACGATGCCTGCTTTGGGACGAGACAGGAACAAGCAAAACCAGCGGCGCGAGGGGTGTTTGTGGTGAAGAGAAGAAGAGAAGCTGACCGTTTGGGGTGGGCATTGAGAAAGATTCGACGAAATGAAAAGCCCCATTTCTGATCTATGGGTCTCCTACAGCGTGAGAAAGTGGATTGACATTGAAGCGTCTTCGTCCAGAAGGGCATCCACTCAAATCAAGATACAGATACACTCCTCCACGCTTCGAAAGAGAAGAGTTTTTTTTTCTTTTTTTCTTTGACTTTGAATTCCGATTAATTGTAAACGGAAAAACCACAATAAAAGAAAAAGAAAAAAAAAGGCAAAAAAAGGTATCAAATCAGAAAATAAGGGAACGCCCGAAGAAGAAGTTCACGAATGACGAACCTCTACTTGTGACGAGCCCCAAGCCCTCGAGACGGCCACCTCGTTGTGGTGAAATTTTCCGCTCGTACAGGTTGGTAACGGCGCGGTAAGGAGGGTCAAGGAAGATCGAGGCCTCGCATCGTCGTGATGGTCGTGATTGCAGTCCTGGTCAGTCCCTCGACTCCACTCGATGGAGTCATGGGCAATTATGGTTATTGGCCGCCGATTCAGCTCGGCATAGCACTAAGCTCTTGAACCGGATTAGTCTGCGACAAGAGAGTCTTGTCCTGCATGGGACCTTTGCGGTCTGGTCGACCTGATACCAAAGTGGATCGGACAGAGAGATCGCATTAGGTAATTCCCGCTATTGACTTTAGTCGCACCGAGCTGAAAGCCTGAATCGTCGTCCTTTGGTATCCGTTCCACTCACATAGACAATTTAGACAAGAGTTTGGGGCCGGGGGCTCTGCGTCCTCACGTCTCCCGAGACACGACCATGGACCGTTGAGATCATTCGACACCGGCATATGTAGGTAGGTAGTTAGTTATGGACGGTTGTAATGCAATGCCCCGGGATACGAGCAGCCGACACGGTGTTGCAAGCTCATGAAATCCCACCCCTGTCGGGAATCATCGCTGCCAGAACTCGATTGAATCGTGCATGCATGCAATACGACGTGACTCTGCGATCTACCGTAGTCGGCAGAGAGGATGGATGTTGATTACGCAACACAAGGAATCTGGTGTTGATCAGGTTGGTAGTTCGTAGTGGTACTGGTACTACTTGGAACATCACAGATAATGAGCGAGCATATACATACTCATCCGACATCGACTACTGCCCGGGTCATCCGTTCAATTGCAATGAGCTGGCATCTGGCATCTACTACACACCTGAAGAGACCTGTCATTCGATTGTCTAGCCACGCCCATCTTCACGCGGGGCTACAAAATCGATTTCCATTCGTTTTCAAGGGATGTATGGAGGAAAGGTAGTCACCTCAGCACCTGTATCTTGCATGATTTACATGTGCTTTCGTGGATAGCATGAAGATGAATATCAGATCTCGTCTACCTTACCACTACTCTACGACTCTACTACTACCAGTGCCTGACAGCCTGTAGCTTGTTTCAGTCAGCTCCGTCATTGGTGGAGTTCACCTGGCCTATTTTCAGTGAACACTGGTGACTTTGCACTTTTCACTTGACGTCTTTACACACTTTAGTACTTTACCGTACACAACAAGTTTGACTGAGGATGGACCGGAAACGCCCTCGGAATCGATTCCATGGACTGGCTCCGCACTAGTGGCCCGATGTAATCAAATCAACAACAAGCACCTGATCGTGTTCCTTGGTGCACACTTTACAAGTTTGACAGGATGCGTCAATCTTTGCCGAAACGGTGCTAGGCTGGTGTTTGACTCTATGAACTTCGAGGTTGAGGTCGATTGATCGTTTGTTCCCGCCTTCGGGCTGCTGACTAGTGCGCGCTCTAGTGCTCGGCGTGAAAGGTTTAGTGTTGAGTAGTTTACTGCAGAATTGGACATACTTTGATCCACGTCCTGAACTGGAAGAGCTATTCAATGCACGTACATTTTGACATGTGTGCATTGCGCAACTGTGTCGGGTTTAAGTATGTGGTAGGGTCTGCATTCTGTCAAAGCATGGTTCTCGGCCTCGGCAAAAGACCAGGTCAACAACGGTCATGCAGCCCGCCCTGTGGCATGGAACGCTCACCGTGTTCTAGTAGTCGACGGGGGGGTTATGCTCCAAGTACGCAACGAGACCTGGTAGCCCTCGAAGCAGAAACCAGATCTTGTATGATGATGAAGTCTACCCACTAGGCTGGAAAGGACCTGCACGACTTGGAGATTGTACCTAGCAGAAGGAAATACATAGCAAACTTTGCAAATTGCAAAGTGCTTGTATACTTGTACAATACTACAATCATACAATGGCCGGGCAGTAGTACAGCAGTACTTTGCCCAGACGGAGAGAGAGAATACTCCACCAACATGTTCAATGTGAATCGCAATGAACAGGAACCTGAGCCACCACAAAAACGGTGTGAGGAAAATCTTGCGAACAGCGCACGCTTGGGTCCAAATAAATTAAAAAAAATCCCTAGTATGTACTAACGTACCCACTTGATGATCCACTTACATGTGCGCGCGCAAACCAACAATACCGATTGGAAAAGAAAACCAAGCAAAGCTGACTCTGTGGGGAATTGCCTTGAGTACTTCCAACGAAGTTGCGATAACTAAATAACACGGCTTAGAAGTCAGTTATGATCATGGGTCCAGAGTCCAGACTTCAGAGTCGAGACAGATGCAAGAATTGAATGAGAAAAAGTCATACTACGTAACTAGTACTTACTACTCAGTACTTACTACCTGGAGGCTTAAGGTAACTACTATCTTAGTCTTGGAATAATCGATCTGCTTACAAATGTTGTCTCTATTGTAAACTGGGGAAAACTGTTGTTCCACGTTCAACCCGCGTCTTGGTCGGACCCGATCACGACTCGAAGTGACGAGTCCCAAACAACCCCCCGGTTCGACCCTGCAAGCATATGGTTGTTCTGTGTGCCTATGTGGACTGTGGACTCAGGGACTGTGGTCACTGGTCAATGGTATGCTGCAATGGATTGGGCAGCCGGGCACAATGGAACGAATCACAACAAACAAGGAAAACAAAGAGACTTTCCACCAAATCGTGCGACTGGAAAGTCCACCACTCCACTGACTCGGGAGTCAGCACAGTCGAACTAGGACACATGTCAATGTTCTCGGACAAACGATGACTGTCCGGTATCTACAAAATGTCAAAGTGCCTAAGAGGGCTATACTCAGATACTGTGCCGGTCAGTGCCCAGCCCAGCTGATGGAAGTTGCGACACCACGCAACGACCTTGTCGTCTAGATCTACTAGTACCTGAACGCTGTCGACTCTAGAGTCTAGAGTAACGGCGCAAGCATCCATCCTGACCGTGAGACGTCACGAGATCTACTCACACGATAATTCTAGGACTACTACGTCGGTAGTCAGTACTGCTCTAAAAGGGCGGCTGCATGTCCCTGAGAGTGAGAAATCCGCCGAACTTCCCCCGGCTCCTTCAAGCGCACAATCTTGGAAAATCCCAGGGACCAAAAACAGCGAAGAGGAAAAAGAAAAAACGAGCTACACAGCAGGTCGGTGCTCAGGTCTGGGAGCTGCAGTCTGCAGCTTGGAGCCTTGGACCATGCGCGACCAAGTCCAACAGTTCAACGGGGAGTAAATTACCGGAGAGCGCCCGGGAGTGTAAAGAGGAGCCAGGGAGCCAGTATGACGATGATCGCTGATCCATCACTTGTTTTTCGGCGAGATGGAGAGGACGCTAGCGGGCTAGCGCTTCAGGATTTCAAGATTGGATCGGATGTTTTTTTTTTTTTTTTTTAAAAAACAAAGGTTTGTTTATTTTGAAGAAAAAATTCATTTCATTAGAGAACAAAAGACTGTTTCTTATCGTCAGCGGAGACGCTACTCCTCATGTACCAGTAGTCTGTACTCTGTTCACTTTGTACAATTTTATATGGGTCCACATTAAGCAGATGAAAACACGATGAAATGCAAAGTAGTAGTACAAAGCTGCTGATCCATTCTGACAGAGAAAGTACATACTAAATAGTCGTGGGTTGAGTTCATTCATTCTTCTGGACTATGGACTATGAACTATGGAGACCTTGGGCCCAGCGCCCGTCAGAGAGTATCTCGAGTCAAACGAGCAGTCCCATGCCGTGCCTCGTCCTTGGGAATGGCTCAAGTTTGATCGTGGATCGGCAGCGACGTGAGCACCTATTCCTAGCTCACCAGACTTTTAGATATTGGGGGTGGAATACAGTACTAGTTAGTAGTCACTACTAAAATAGGCAAGTTGGTGACTCGTGAGTAGACGGTGACACTGGATCTTGATAGACACGTTGTAACTGCTGCATGTACATCCACGTCTTTTCAATCAGATTGGTCTCTCGGTGGATTAATCCGCGAGCCCACGCCTCCCAACATGAAAAAGGGGCATCGGCCACTCAAACACTCCCGTCGTCCAGTGTTGTTCGCATTGGCTGCCGACGCCTTGCTATTCTCGTCTGTGCATTGGAAGGGGGCTGACCGCAAGAGTACTGTACATTGACACCACTGTACGATCCAATCGCAAGGCGCAGATCTACCCGCAGAGTTTTGTTATTGATTTTCTCATCTTGTCCCTCACCATCTAAACTGACCAATTGTGTTTTGTGAGACCCATGTACATGATTACCTGATTACATGTTGACTAATGGCCACAATCCTAAATACCATGTCATTCAGGGGCAGCATGGTAGCCGACCGAACGTGCTTCACGATCCTCGAATCAAGTTCGGCGCAAGTGCAGTTCCTAGCCGAAGCTGCTGGAATCGGTGGAGTCGCTCCAGTGTCATCCGGTGTGGACTATGGAGTCTATGGACAGAGTTTTGTACGCGACCCATGGATCGTCTGTCTCTCCGCTATAGTACTTACCCTACCAGAAGTACTCTGCCTACGTCAAAAGGTAAAAATAAGCATGGGAAGATTTGGTTCAGGGGTAAGGCGAGAACCACAGAAGGCACAGAACGGGATGGAGGAGTGAGAAGTTGACTAAATTAAGCACAGTATTCTAATCCAAGGAGTCAACAAACATATGGTCCAGAGTCCAGACATACTTGGATGGCTGATGCTGGGTTTGAGATTAAAGTCTAAAGCTACAGGAGTACAGGCTAGAATCATACTCATTATGGAAGAGGCTGCTAGCCTGCCCCAGCCTATAGTAGTACACTTGCCGATCCTGGGCTCTAGACCGGACAGCCCAACAGTCGGCGGAGGATGGGGAATTGTCTCAGATTGAAGAATCTCATGATGATTCAGGGAGTAATTTAGAGTGGACATATTCATCGTTGTATATTGATCTATCACTTTCTCTCTCTCCCTCTCTCTCTCTCCATTCACAGGCCTTTTTGATCGTTAGTTTCACCACGATGAGTATGATCGCAACGTCTCTCGTGCCCCTGAGCGGCAGGATGCATCGGTCCCGTACTATCTCAGGTTGGTTTTCTAAAGCTCTACAGTGGTAGATGAGTAGGTTATCCCTTGTCCAGCTGCCTACTTTCCACGGGCTCTTCAATTCTAGCACCATGAACATCATATTGTTCAATCCTGACAACCCAGCCAATAAAAGGTCCATACCGCACTGAGTTTGCAGACGGGAGCAACGACCTCTTCCTCCGAGCCAACACTTGGAAAAGGTTTCAAGATGCCAAGGTCGAGCAGGAGATGGACCAGGATTTCAGGCAGTGGCCTGTGACATTTGAAGGAAAATATTGTATTGGATTCTTCTTCCGCTTTTCCACGATAGGAACAAATAAACACATCGTCCCATACAGAGCTCACGCTAAGATGCCGAGAGTCTGCCGACTCTCACCAGACTCCAATCTGATCGACGAATGAATGCGGCATCCAGTTGAAGGGTGGATATTCTTGGACTCGACTCTTTATTTCCAACGAGGTCAGTGAGTCAACAACAAACCCGCCCCACGGACCAAAGTGAGCAAACAGAAGGCCTGAGCGTTGTTGAGAGACGAGACAACATGAAACACTACTCGATCAGATCACTAGACCGTCAAAAGCACATCAACAGATCCAAAGAGTGACATTCCATCCAAAGACATACTGTACCCGGGTTTGATATACTATGAATATGGAATATCTACATTCAACGATTGTAACTACAAATCTGGTCTAATAAGTGTACGTTATAAATCTCCCATCCAGCTTTCAAGTCGTGACGGTCAACCTGCATGAGCCCAGCTGGTCCCTGGATTCCTACTAGTAGAGAATCCGTTGGACCCCCTTCTCCTCAAGACAAAGTGCAAGGGTGCATCTGTATATGCAGTGATGCACAGGGTACACCAGACTCGACTGTCGCATGTTCATCGACGCCTGCAGGTGCCAGGTAGTGACCTTTCAAAAGCAATGAGACCCCACCACGCTGCACAATGATATGGGCATCTACAGCGATGATTCGCTGTCTGTTGCCACATGCATTTGAACATTCTGCATCTCACAGCCACTTATCCATGTCAGTGCTCTGTGTGCTCTCACTGACCTCGTCGGTGGGTATTCCAGTATGAAGAGTGAGCGGTCTAGGAAGTTAGGAACATTATCGGCCAGACTGCAAAGTGAGATAGTCGTCAGATAGAGACAGGTGGGGCGGCCTCATTGTCAGCCTCAAGAGTGAAGACCGGTTTTTTTGAAGTCATGGCCGTCGAGTCAAAAGTCCAGACAATTTTATCGAGGGACAGACATGTGACGAGATATTTGTCTGCATTGTCTGAATGCTAGGAGTGTATTTGGATTTTCCTGAGTGTACAGAGTACATTCAACACTGTACAGTAAATTGCCCAATGCCTACCCTGCCGGCATTAACTTGTGACAAGACGTTCGGTTCAGAAGCACAGTAGTAAGGAGTTAACACCTCTCCCGGAGTCCCGTGTGGACAACGACTCTTTCAGCGACTCGGCCGAGTTCAATTCACCAGCCGGCCCCTATGTCGGTGATCAAGGAAACCTACTGTAGGTTGCAACTTGAAGACAACTCCTCCTAGCCAATATGATCACAGAGCAAGACTCAACCGCCATCCATGATCCATGCATTGCAGACCAATGAGAGTACAAAGACCCGCGACATTGAACAGCTCTTTCATGCAGGTGGTCATTTGGACTCATGCCCCGAGTACTTCATAATGGGCTGTTTTATATGCGGTCGCTCGACTTGCCTGTTTCTTGTCTTGGCGATCCACATTGCGACGAGGTTATGGACAAGGGAAGTGACTAGTGGATAGCTAGGGGATACGCTGCTAAGCTCTGGCAGATTAAGGGCATGCGGTTTGGGTGACTGTCTGACGCTGGCAACTGACTCAAGTAGGTAAGGAAGCCAGGTGGATTACTACCGAGGAATACTATAGAGTCACAGAGTGTAGGTGAGTAGTCCTGTCGTTTGAAAGACTGGCTCTGTAAGGAATCGGGACCAGCCACATCAGAATGGATGGATGACTTGAGCCTGACCGTCTGCAGAAACAACCTTGTCCAGCACCCAAGCAAGAAACACTCCAGCGATATATCGCCTTGATTGGCCTGTACAATGCATTCAATTTTGAGTATCCGAGCCCTCGTCCTCCGCCCGCCAACCCCCTCGCCCTCCGTCTCCGTGCCAGGCTTACTGAACGGCTCATCAACCTGACAAGTGATAAGCTGAGAAGCTCGAACTCAAGCTCAAGCTCAATCTCAAGTTCGAGTCAGGATACCTTTTTCATACCACCCTCACTAGCTACTAGCTAGTGGTTACGCTTAGGAGCGACCGACACTGTCAGATTGAGATGAGCAAATGATCCTTTCAGCTCCTATTTAACCCCCAGCTATGCCACGAGGTAGGAGTAGAAAGTAGAAACTAATTGCACGCATCTCCAGTGGGTTTCGCAAGGTTCTCAATTTCCAAGATCCATCAAGCTTTACACACGTCCAGTGTCCACGCCGATGTATCATTGGCCGTGCATCCACTGCGTCGAGACCCGGGATGATCTGACGGCTTGTCTGATTGGCGATCGAACTCTGGATTCGATCGAATAGGGTCTTCCAAGATGAAGCTCAAAAGGAGGAAAGCGTCAGTAAGTAAAGAACAAGAAAAATAAAAATGGGAATAAATCTTGTTGGTAACTTGGCACCGCAGGAAGGTTAGGAGAGGAGGAGGCGGACGAGGGCACAGGGCAGCTGTTTGTCTTTGGGAGGATGTTTTGTGTTTCAACTTCCAGGTATTTCGGTCGCCCCGATGCTGTTCTGGACAGGGAGGGAGCCCTGGCGTCGGTACTTGGCCGGTCCCCTCCCATCTTGATTCGGGAGGGAGCAAAACAGGGATTCAGGGCCAGACTCGGTATCTGTCACCCTCGTCGCAGATTTTCCCTGGGGCTTGCAGAGCAGCATGCAGTCGGATCTGGAGCAGCCTTAGCCGCGCTATATAGTCTTGTTCGCTACATCCTCCGGAGAATTGTCATAACCACATGCAGGCTCATCGGGGCCTCGGGCACCAGTCCATCCAGCATCCAGCATCCAGCATCCAGCGATCTTTCGGCACGGGCTCTCCGCCAATGTAATGCCATCAGAAGTTGCCAATAACTACTGGCATGGGGGAACGACCGCGATTTCTCTTTGGGAGTCAAGACCAATGGGTTTGAATAAGTCAAAAGAAGAATTAAGATTTTGAATAGATCGAGGGGAGAAGGTCCGATTTCTATCGTCACATGCACCTAAAAGCCAAAATCCACATCCTTTTTTGTTGGCCCCCCCTTTTGCCGTCATGTCATTAAATACAGTTGTGGTAGACACGCCTCGGCATGACTGCCAAAGCGTGCAAGGCACCCGAAGAAGAACGGAAAGAAATGAGATAGTGGTCATACATGTTGTTAATCAAAGGAAACACCGGTACACCGAAACAGAACACAAAGGGGGGATAGGAACAGACGGTTAAAATATGTGTACAAATGCCGCGAAGCGAGGAAGGAAAAAAATGCGAAGGCATCAGCATGCTTGTGGCACACTGCGCAGAAACACAGGAGAATAGAGAATACACTGATCGCTCGAGAAGAGGTGATCAAAAGGTAAGAGGGCAGAGGCGAGGTCAGACCCAGGGATCACAAGCACCTTACTGCTTGTTCTCACCCTGCTCCTGGCTCTGCTGCTGCTGCTGCTCGTTCTGAGCCTTGTGCATCTTATCGAACAAGGTCAGGGAGGCGGTCTGGAGCTCATCAACCTTGGCCTTGAGCTCCTCGGCGGTAGCGGTGCCTTCACCAGACTGGCTCTTGGCGACAAACTCGCGGAGAGTGGCAATCTTCTCGCGGATGGACTCAGCCTCGGTCTTGTCAAGACGGTCCTCGAAGTCCTTAAGGGCCTTCTCGGTATCGTTCAGAACGCTGTCAGCGCGGTTGGCGGCCTCAATGGCAGCCTTGCGCTCCTTGTCAGCCTCGCCGTACTTCTCGGCCTCGTCGACCATGTTCTGGATCTCGGCATCAGAGAGACCAGAGCCGGAAGCGATGGTGATGGACTGGTCCTTGTTGGTGGACTTGTCCTTGGCGTGGACGTGGACGATGGAGTCGGCGTCAATGTCGAAGGTGACCTCGATCTGGGGAACACCACGGTGGGCAGGGGGAATACCAACGAGCTGGAAGTTACCGAGGAGCTTGTTGTCCTTGACGAGCTCACGCTCACCCTGGTAAACCTTGATCTCGACGGCGGTCTGCATGTCAGCAGCAGTGGAGAAAGTCTGGGACTTCTTGGTGGGGATGGTGGTGTTGCGGTTGATCAGACGGGTGAAGACACCACCGAGGGTCTCGATACCGAGGGACAGGGGGTAACATCGAGCAGGAGGACATCAGTAACCTCACCAGCCAGGACGGCACCCTGGACGGCGGCACCGATGGCGACGGCCTCATCGGGGTTGACGGACTTGGAGGGGTCACGGCCGAACATGGACTTGACGGACTCGGTGACCTTGGGCATACGGGTCATACCACCGACCAGGATGATGTCCTGAATGTCGCTAGACTTCAGGTTAGCATCCTTGAGGGCCTTGCGAACGGGCTCCTGAGTGCGGTTGATCAGGGGTTCAACGAGAGCCTCGAGCTGAGCACGGGTCATCTTCTGGTTGATGTGGAGAGCACCGCTGGGGCCAGCGGAGATGAAGGGAAGAGCTGTTTTGGGAGAAAAGGAGTTATTAGCATGTGTCAAAAGTCAAAACAAGAAGTAGGCTGCGCGCCGCAAGGCGTGCGATAGGGAGAGTACTCACAGATCTCGGTCTGGAGAGAGGAGGAAAGCTCAATCTTGGCCTTCTCAGCGGCCTCACGGATACGCTGAATGGCCATGCGGTCGTTGGACAAGTCGACACCGGACTCCTTCTTGAAGTTCTCAACGATGTTGCGAACAAGGGTGATATCGAAGTCCTCACCACCAAGGTGGGTGTCACCGTTGGTAGACTTGACCTCGAACACACCCTTCTGGATCTCGAGGACGGAGATATCGAAGGTACCACCACCCAGATCGTAGACAGCGACAACGCGGTCCTGCTCCTTCTCGAGACCGTAGGCAAGAGCGGCAGCGGTGGGCTCGTTCACGACACGGAGAACGTTCAGACCAGCAATCTGACCGGCGTCCTTGGTGGCCTGACGCTGAGAGTCATTGAAGTAGGCAGGAACAGTGACGACGGCGTTCTTGACAGACTTGCCAAGGTAGGCCTCGGCGGTCTCCTTCATCTTGTTGAGGACGAATCCACCAATCTGGGAAGGAGAGTATTTCTGGCCACGGGCCTCGACCCAGGCGTCACCGTTGGTGTGCTGGACGATCTTGTAGGGGACCTCCTTGATGTCGCGCTGGACCTCAGCATCGGTGAACTTGCGGCCGATGAGACGCTTGGTAGCGAAGAGGGTGTTCTCGGGGTTGACGACAGCCTGACGCTTGGCAGCAATACCGACAAGACGCTCACCGTCCTGGGCGAAACCGACAACAGAGGGGGTCGTGCGGGCACCTGCAAGTCAACAGTTAGCATTTACTCGGTTTCAAATGAATGGTGACGCGAAGGTCCCCTTGGGAGGAGGCACCTGTGCCTTTTTGGAAAGGGGGCAAAGGAGGTGCAAACAACAATGTATCGCGGCTATTTCACTTACCCTCAACGTTCTCAATGATCTTAGGGGTCTTGCCCTCCATGATGGCAACGGCAGAGTTAGTGGTACCTGGGGAAAACATTAGACAACGAGGTCGACCAGTTTCATGCTAGCGGTGAAATCACTTACCCAAATCAATACCGATGACCTGGCCCTTCACTTTCTCGCCTTCCGTTGAGTTCCATCGTCGGGCGACGGGGAATCTGGAAGCAGGAGAGCGAGCGAATGCCGCGCGAGGAAGCTGAGATGACAATGTGTTAGTTGAGGATGTTGCGACGCGCATGATGATGGAAATTTCCTCGGGTTTCCGTCAATTGGACAGGGAGCACTCACAGCGCGGGAGATGCGTGAAGAGAGCATTGTGATGTGAATTAATTAATACAGAAACAGAACAGGATGAGAACACTCCCACGAGTCAATCGTTGAGTGGAAGAGAGATGGATTTTGGAGGAAGAAGGATGAGATGATGAAGGTCACTTGGAGAGAAGGAGAAGAAGAAGGACAAATGGACGGGTAGAAATTGCACGGAGAGCTTCGGCCCGTCGTCGAACTTGCTCGAATCACGGGATGTAGCCAATCAACAAGCGTGGAGAGCCCGATCTCTCACCGCCCAGAGGTACCTCGTAATAGAACAGATGACGAGGATGGAGTGCTTCCAGATCAGTTCTTTGATGATCGCAACTTGACACTCATGCCGTTGATGGGCCTTTGAAAGGATTACAGTGAAGGATACTTCTAATTTCGCTAGTATCGCTTGACAATTGAATGAGGAAAATCCCTCAATATTACTGATTGAGCACGAGGTGACAATAACGCAGCCAAATTAGTGAGTCACTACGTTGGAAGAGTTCGATGCGTAGTGCCACCGCGATGGAATGAAAATGGGTTGCCGCCCGGGCAGGATTACCTTTTCTTGGTCGCCGGTTTGCCTCGGCCAACGGCATACTATTCCGAAGCATCCAGAATCAACGAGCAGCGACCACGTCCAGTCCGCAAGGTCATCGGCCACTGCATACCTACTGCTCAAAGGGTATCCGTCTACTATACATTCTCTGCTCAGTCATCTCCCCATGGGCTCGGCTCGTCATGAGAGAGGTATCAGATAACGAATCATTTCAGCAAGGCTCTAGCTGCAGTATGCACTACAGTGGCCAATGGTGTCGTGTGACTCGGGTCCGGAGTGCAGTAGAGGCAGACGGGAGGCCGTCCATAATTCAACAATAGAACACGACCTAGGAGGTAGTTATATAGGACCTCGGGCACTTATGCCGGACGCCTCGTCATCCATTATTGGACGTCGAAATGACAATCTACAAGATTGTTGATTGTCTTGGCGCTCGGGGAAAAGGGTCGTTACTCGGCGGTCCACATCTACTCGCCTGAACATGTCGTGGACACTCTGGACACGGATGCACCTGCATGTTCCAAGCTCCAAGTAGGATATATGCAACCTTGGAAGTGGAGGGGCGAGGACAATCTTGGGATTACCTTGTATCATGCGTGAATGGAGGCTACCTACCTACCTACATACCTACCTACCACCTACCTACTTACCTGTCCGACCTTTCAAGCACTGAGACCCCGGGCCAACTCTTCTTCAGGGCTTCCCTTCCATAGGGGTTGCTGTGTGAACTACATATAGGGTTGGTCGAGCCTCGCGAATAGGACGTTGACCGAGTCATGTCCGAAAACCGGGCATTGTTGACTCGAAGGTTTTCACACGACTGAAGAAGACAGTGACAGCCGTACGAATATTTCGACTGATATTGGATGCGCCGCAGTCCCTTTCGGACCGCCGAGCAAGCTTTATGCAACGCCGCCTTCAATTGACCCAATGTACTGTAGTGTGGATTTTGCCTGCCATGCTCCATTCCTCGACCGATAGCGGCCAGAGGCCGGCATGGAGTGCTGTTTGTGGCGACCAACTAAAATTTCAAGTTGGCTGTGGCTGGGCTGACTACCCAAATGCCGTTGTCCACTAGTAGCTCCAGGGCTGCCAGCACCAATAACAACACACATGTACATTAATGTGCCACTAAGGCATCCCATGCAAAAGTGCTGAGCCATATCCATGAAATACAATCAAAGCTAGCCGTCTCCCATGACACGTAGACTCCCGGAACCTTTTTTGCCTTTCTGGTTCCATAAGCGAGCCATAGAGGAGCCTAGGAGTCAGTCTCCTTCCTCTGCCTCGGTGGACAGACGGTTGGCGTAGGGTCCGTCTCTTCGACTTCATTCCATGATCATTGGCAAGTCAGTGCAACTGCCCGGTGGGTTACTCTACGAAGGTACCGTAGACCCAAGTTACGCTTCGATGTCAGGTAAAATGCCTGGGCGAAAGTTGCTCAGCTGGGCGGTGGCCGATAGCGGCCATCGTACCCCGGCTTTCACCTCCCGATCCACTCCAGAACGTCTTAAAATGTCTTACGTCATCCGTTTGCAAGCGCATGGGCATGATTAACCTGAGTAGAGGGTACGTACCTATTAGTCTATGGCTGACTCGGCATTAGCTCTACATTTTATTCTCTCCTCAACCCTCTTTCTGTCTGCTCGAAGCTCAAACTCAGGGTCGTTCATGTCCCTGCTTGCTCCAGCTTGTGCAGACAATAATGTCCACGTTGGCTTGACCTGCCATCATGACGTCGGACTCGACACTGTAAGTCGTTATCTGCAGCGCACGCTGCTTTCTCCGTGGCCTCACTCCAGCCCCCAGTGGAAGGGCCCACGTGCGGTCAGTTCAGTCGACTCACATTGCTCATCTCACTTTCATCTGTCAGTTACCGCCCAACCGAGTCCCTCATCCTTCCGAGTAAACGGCGTTTTATCCCCTTCCGCATCCCCAACTTGTGTGTATCCTCGCTCCCCGCTTTTTCTCAGGTGAGAGTTCACTACTAACGTTGACCGATCGATCGACCAGCCACACGCAACTGCGCCACTACATCAGCACTGCTGATCCGGATCGCATCTATGTGGTCGTAGAAAGAGTGGTCTATGCAATCCACATTTCTACACAAAAGAGGGAAAGCTTGGCTGTGATCCCTTTCGAGCCGCGATGCTTAGCGGCTGGTTATGGGTGGATCGCTGTGGGGGGCCCGGAACAGGGTGAATGCGCCTTCATTCGAACGAACGACGGAGACGGACAACTGCATGGCCAATCGAACTCGCACTCGGCCTCGGAGGTCGACAGTGCGCTCCCCCTCGACTTCGAGAACCTCCCAGGACTACCTTCTCCAGATGGCACAGACAGTGAAGCCACATCCTCGCGCCCTGCACCTCAGAGAGCGCTACCAGAGTTCGAGCTGCATAAGTTCGGAGGCAGTATTGTGAACTCTGTGACGATCCACCAGTTTCCCGGTGATCGCGAGGGGATTGCAAGTGAGGATGTGATGGTTGTCAGGTAAGAGCATTCCTCAACGTGACAATAAGCAGCCTCCCCACTAATTGGTGGGGTTTTGAACAGCAACAACGACCGAACCGTAACGCTCTACTCGTTGACACGAGCCAAGGTCTTGAAGGTCCTTCACCATTCGACATGCATGAACTATGCGATCCTCTCCCCCGACCACACAGTTCTCACAGCCGTGGGGGACGAGAACCGAATTTACTTCTACAATGTCGCTCGTGACTGGAGTTCGCTGACTACGATTGAGTCAGGTGCAAAGATGACCGGCTGGGACTTGGAGCTCCTGCGATGTGTTGAGATCAGCATTGGGTCACGCCCCGATGATGCCTGTTGTTTCACTGTCGCATTTTCGCAGTCCAGTCATCTCTGCGCAGTGGGCTCCCAGTCTGGTTTTGTGACCGTGCTTGACATGGACCGCGTTCGGGATCTGAAGGACGATGAGCCGGTGGTCAACCAATTTAGGTCCTCGAGATCCTACATTGAAGGTGGTGCTGTTCGATGTATGACATTTGCACCCGAGCCTTGGGATCTACTGGTGTGGCTCGAGGGTCATGGGAGGGCCGGCGTGGCCGATGTGCGACAGTCGTTTCTTCGTCGCCAGATTCTGGTCTTGGATGCCAACGATCCTGAACTTGAAGAGGTTCGAACCGTACCGATTCTTCCCAACTTCGATGATAGCACCTCAGACGATGACCTCGAAGTCTCCGCTCGCCTTGGATTTGACGCCGAAGAAGTCTCCAACACTCGAGATGGAGACAGTCATGGACGTCTTTCAGCACGGGAAAATTTGATAGGCGACCTGACGGCACGCGAGCGATTAATCATGCAGTTCCTCAATACGGCAAGATGGAACGCTAGAGAAGAAACTGGATCTAACGACAGAGGAGAAGCAACTTCGCGGGTTCCTTCACACCCACCTCATTCTTCGCAAAGCCGTAACTACAGCGCCACCGAGGAACTTGGGAATGGTCATCGCTATACGTCCACGTCCCGTCAGACCGATATACTGGGCGCTCCTCAAAGTAGCCACTACAGTCGGCCAAGCACCGCATATATCTCCCCACGCAGTGGTCGACGCAGCTCGATCGTACTCTCCCAAAGCAGTGGTTCGCCCGAGCTAGATGTTCCTAGCCACGAGAGTCGCAACCATGGGAGTGGCCTTGGCTGGAACTCATCACGGCTAGACCTGCATGGTGATACCGTCAACCGGTTCGCTGCTGATTCTGACTACGTTCTTCGCGAAATGGAAGGGCGTGGTATGCCTGCGCCTCAACCGCCTGAACCACTCACGCCTATCAGTATCGACATACGACGAACACGACCGCCACGGTCCAGTTCGATTCCTCGGCCAGTGGAGAGAGCACAGGCCAGGCAGATTTCGGGAGCTGATAGCAGGCCTGAAAATTCACGACCATTGAACTACGACATGAGAACCAACCTTGCGACTGAACGTCTACGTCGCCAACGCCAGATTGCCAATGAGATGCACAACCGTGCAATCATGGAACGTGGGCATCGAGAGCAGCGGATGCGGCAGCAAACTTTGGGGTTTGAGCAGAACCACTCTCCACGCTGGATACGTAATATCATCAACGATCTCCCCGACCGCAGCTTTGTCCATGGGATCCATGGACCCGGAGCTGAAGAGCCGGATGCCACAGCCGGCGTGGGCTGGGGCGCTGACGGACGAACACTGTAAGCACTATCCCGTTCTCATTTTCTACCTTATGGTGGGATTTCCCTTACTTATTCCGATTGCAGATACATCGCAACACTCGAAGGAATTTTCGAATTTCAACTGAATACCCATGATCGCAAAACTTTTCCAGCTTTCTCCTTCAGGTAACACTTTTGTTTGCTTCTTTTCTACAACATCACAACAGCAGAGAATTTGAGCGCTCTGCGGTCATTGCTCGATGATGCCCAAAGCCTCGAATGGAAAGTAATGGTCTTCGCGTTTACCTTGCTATATCATTATCAATTTTTTTTTTTCGTCTTGTGATTAACTTGGCGCGTGTGTTTTTGAAGATCGCTGCATATCCCTTGGGTGGTTAGGGGCGTCAATTGGGTTCTGGTTTGACTGATCCGGGCTGAGGGCTTGCACATCCCATTCAGGTACTTATTGCTTTTCGGAGGAACATTGGGTATGGCATGCCATTCGGATACGAAGTTTACACGCAGAATAACATGATGATCATCGTTCACGTCGTAGGCGTATACTGACGTAGATGTTGAGAAATGAAGTAGAGAAAACGAATCACTCGTACCTCAGGTTTACCGAAAGCCAGCTAATTGATCATTGAACTATGCGCGAGTCTTACGTCAAAGCCCTGAGTTGCGCCGGATGATGTCGGAACGTCATCGAGTCGCGCTCAATGTCTGCCCGTCTGATCTATTACCAAGCGACCTTCTCGCACAGAGCCGCAGCTCAATTGTCTGCTCTGGCAAGCAGCAAATGAACCAGATACCCCGTCCCTCCCTTCAGTCTATCACCCAGCACTTCATCACTCAGCCTCCACACCCGAAACTCGCGTAATGTCTCTCGCAACCATGTCTCAAACACATCCGGCGCTCGCTGCTGCTGCGCGACGATGCAAACCGTCGGTCGACCGGCCGCCTGCGGCCCTCGACTCCCCCAAGAATCGAAACACGGCCGCAGACGGCAGATCTCCGCACAAGTACGCACAAAGGGGGCAACAAGCGCATCGTTGTACACACAGTCACATGAAAGCAGAAGGTCGAAGCCGAGATCTTCGTCGTCGCCAACTTTTTCTCTTTCATCTCGGGCCGAGACACCACGACCCGTGGACTCGGAGCGAATACACGCTTTCAACCGCGCTGGCTGATCGTGCTCCCAGTCTAACGTGGTGAATGTGATATTACTGGCTGAGGGCTGAGCAATGGGTTTCCCCTTTGGAGGTGGTTTGCCGCTGTGTTTGGGTTTGGAGCCTTTGGACTTGCCTGCTGCTGCTGGGGTGACTCGTGAGACGGAGCTGTTAGCTTCGATGTTGGTTCGGAAGAGCCGTCGGACGTATTCCTGATCTGTGGCGAGGTAGTGATGTACAGAAGGGGAGAGGGCGAGGGCGACGAGTGCGGAGATGCCGCAGCCTAGTTCGGCGACGACCGAATGTTCGGAGAGAAGAGAATGCATCCAGAGAGGGTTGCTAGGGCTGGATATCCATTCTGCGAAGCATGGGGTGATTTTCCAAAGCACTGGAAAGGAAGGCAGAGGTCAGTATGGATGGGGGAGGGTTAACACCGCAGTGTAGCGAAACAGTGACGCGACGAATTGCACGTGAGAAAACGAGTCGAGATCTTGTTCAGCAGTACCGCGAGAATGACAACGGGCAGGGTACGGGTCTCAGTGGGAAGTGATTGATCGACCGGGAGCAGCCACCGGCCCGACCTTTGGGAAAAAAAGAGGGAGGAAGGTTAATCACAAGCGTCAGTAGGAATGATCGAGATCCGTGCAGCAAAGCCTCGGCCTACGGTAGCCGGGTCGATCTTCGGCGAGATGTATTATATCTCATTCCCTTGAGCCATGATCCTCTTGAAGCACGGTTGCATGGCAGTCTTTCCATGCGAGACTTCCCGTGCAGCAGGAGCAGGAGAAGCACAGGCACCGAAAGACATTCAACATAGGTTGAGTTCGTCGCCACATGCATTGTCTGCGTCATCTACGCAGGGTCCAACCTCAGCTGTCAGAGCTTGACCTCTGCGAACTGCTGAGCGGTGGTGGCAATTGCAGGCAACATGATGGACGTGCGCCAGATGGCTCAATAAGCAAGAGTTCGGGGGAATCGAGCCAAGCAATAGGTGTAGAAAAGAGACCAAAAGCAAGACGTCAAAACGGGGGGATCAACACGTGTGATCAACTTGAGCATCACGATATGGACTGACCGGCACCAGTAGTACCTCCGGCACGAGATGAGCTTAGTAGACTCGGCGATTGGTGAACTGTATACTCGTTGCCACCGATTTGTACGTCCAGGGTCGGAGCGCGCGAGTCTACGAACCCTAGATTGGGGGTCGAGATTTCTTGGCTGAATAGGTAAAAGGCCTCTAATGTATCTCATGAGCCACAAAGGGTTTGAAATTGGCAAGAGACGAAGCAAAGTATGCCGGTTCGTGGGAGATCGATGGCTGGTCCAGCAGGACTCTGTGTTCATGAGTTGTACACGACTTACCTTCTTCGACATCAACGACCTCTTCACTGGCCGTTCTGGCGAGAAACTCGGCAATGGCAGTATCCATGACCGCGGGCCGCTTTGAAGGGTTGATAAAAAAAGAGTCTCACGGATATTTGGAACTTGAATGAAATAATACGCTCCGCATGGCTTGACTTGAAAATTGGGTAGGTGCCGTTGCAGTCTCCAGTTCATTTGATTACAGTACATTTTAGCTTCTTGAGAGCCTCGCTGGGGACCTGATCTCCAAACAGCATTGATCACGGGATCGGAGAAATCAATCAACTGGTGAGTTTCCATGCATCCTCTGACAAAAGTCCATATTTCCGACGATTCTTCACCCAAAGGAAGATCGGCTGTCATGTGAGAATCAGAGTTTTCTTCCCAATGGAAAATAGTAACAGCAGCTTCTCATGCGTGATCAGTAGTGTGGTGTTCTTTTGGGTTGACACTCTAGTGTCCCTCCCCTTCGTGAGTCGGAACTCGCGCGAGTGGATCACGTGCAGTAGCGTGAGCAGAACCAATCCCGCCAAGACATGGGCGACAGGGAACCGAGGTCGCGACGCACCGCCGGTGGTCACAAGATGGCTGTGTTTGGTATCTCCAGTTGTCCACCGCTCCGGTGCGAATGCTAAGATTGTTGCTGTTTGGCTCTCAGACATCACGAGTACGTGGCTGTGGCGTGGGTCGCCTATTGCGAATCCAGCAGAAGACTGCTGCTCTCGCACGTTGGGCGGAAGTCTCCCCAACGGAATCGAGAGAATCCTGACCCAGTTACGACTGTTTGGACTCTTTTGGGGGATTGGCCGGGGGCTCACAGACAACTCTAATTTCGCGTTCCGAGAGCCGCCGCCGCTGCGCTAGACTCGAAAGTCCAGAGTACAGACGATCTACTTTTTGACTAGTTCACGAAGCGCCCCTCTGTAGTCTCTGTACATGTGATATAAGCAGGCGCTGCAGAATCTGGCTATGTGAACCCAGGCCGACATTACGACAGCTTGGTGTAATCGAAGAGCTCACTAATGAGTTCCGGGCTTAACGATAAATGGCTCGCCGAAGTCCTGGTGAGCCGTCGCTATCAGCTATAGGACACCACTGAGCACTCCGTAGTAGTCAATACTCAGTACTAGTAGTAGTGAGCGAACTGAGCTCCCTCACAGTATGCGGCTCGTCCTAAGGAGCACTTCCACTGCTCGGACATTGATCATCCCAGACATACTCCATCCGTCTGCTTTGGTACTCTTCTTTGGCCCGATCCGCCAGTGAGAGGCTTCGACTTCTTGGGACTTCGATGCAGGCTACATTGGGCACTCCGATTTCCAGAGGCAACCTGCATTTGCCCATTGAGCCTTTGCCTAGTAAGGTCCAACCGTGGGAGAGAAACCGAGAGGCCAACTCCTGGAAGTGATGTACCGCGGCAAGAGCAGAGGAGAAGAGGTCGAGATTGGCGCTCTCCAGAAGGTCCGTTCGTGGGCGAGAGTCTCGGCGCCGGGGCGCAGTGCCTTCCCTCCTCAGGAAGTAGAGCAGCCACCTGAGATGATAATCATGTACACAGTTCGATCGTTGGTGCCCATTGCGTTTAGCTTTGGAAGAGACTTTTGGTATTCCACAGTGGCCGGTGCTGTGATTCGGCCTCGATGGCAGTCCCTGGGCCTCTAGCGTGAATCCAGCCGGACGTGATCAGGTGCTTTTGCTGGGAATGGAGCTTCCTGTAAAAGGGTGCACTACTGCACTCCGACTCTACTACCAGTACGACTTCACTTACATAGTACCTACCTTGAGTTACCTACTACTACCTACCTATACCTACTCTACCTTCAAATTCTGGCACTGTGTATACTGTGTAGATATCAACTTTCCGCTCGGTGGTCCCCCAAGTGATTGTTGAATGTCATTCTGGAGGGCCGAGGCAGGCTCTCGCAAGACCGCTGGCTTCAGTCAGTATCACTAACAAGCGAGCTGCAGTCGTTTTCTCCATCCCAGTTGCCATCAGCATCTCTCACCGAGACCTCCTTCACCCAGTCCCGATCGAGCGCTCTCGGTCGTGTGTACCTCGTGCGTCATTTTCCCGCCCAGCCACAGACCCCCCCCTGCAACGCTGCCGGGAAGAGGGCGCCCCATTATTGAGCACCAGGCCCAGTAGCTGCAGCTGCAGCTGCAGCTCTTCGACTCTTCGACTCCTCCGCCACCCTCCACTTGGAACTCTGGTCGCTCCCCTTCCGCCATCACACCCGGGACATCCTCTTCACTCCTCTCACCTCTGTGCATCCGGTCCCCTCCCCCCGTGGTATCAACAGACTTCATCCCCCAGTCACAAGCTTTGAAAGGTAAGCTGGGACCTGAAGCTCTGGAGCTTCAGTCCAACGACCCTCGCCCCCGCTGGGCGGCAACCCGGCCATAGAAACCCGCTAACGTCACTCCGTCCCGACCCTAGTGGAATTCTTGCAGCCGGTCTGATTTCTAGGGTTGACCTCGGATCGCCTCGCACTGCAGCCCCGTCGAATCTCCTTTTCTCGGCATCCTCTTTCTTCCTCCTGATTCATTTCCCCTTCCTGCACCTTGGGACTGCATCTTCCCTGACCGTCGCCATGTCTAAACGCGACGTTCAATTTCAGCCGCGAATGGTCAAGAAGGGCCCATTCACCGTCGAAGCTCCCAATTACGAAAAGGTGGAGGGCGAGACGATTCCTCGTCGTCACCCCAATGCGAAGAACGGTCTGATTCTACGACCCTCCGAGGATGTTGCGACGACTTACGACAACATCCGCCGCTCCGCTCGCCTGTTCGGCAACAACAAGGCAGTGGGCACCCGCAAGTTGATCAAGACCCACGTCGAGAATAAGAAGATCAAGAAGATGGTGGATGGCGTGGAAAAGGAGGTGGACAAGCAATGGACCTACTTTGAGATGAGTGGGTACAGCTACATGACCTTCCTCGAGTACGAGCAGTTGTGTCTGCAACTGGGCGCGGGTCTGCGCAAGCTCGGCCTCGAGAGGGACGGTCGTCTGCACCTGTACGGTGCCACCAGCGCCCACTGGCTGGCCATGTCACATGGTGCTGCCTCGCAATCCATCACCATCGTCACCGCATATGACACACTGGGTGAGGAAGGTCTCAAGCACTCCCTTGTCCAAACCTCCTCGACGGCCATCTTCTTGGATCCCGGCCTGATCAAGTCTCTCACCCACGTGTTGGGAGATGTCTCCTCGATCAAGCATGTCATCTATAACACCGACACCGAGGTCAACCAGCAGGACCTGGAGAAGTTGAAGGCTGATTTCCCCCACGTCAATGTGCTCAGCTTCGAGGATCTGCGCAAGTCCGGCGAGGAGAACCCCGTGGAGCCCGTGCCTCCCAAGCCCGAGGATCTCTGCTGTATCATGTACACATCAGGTTCCACCGGCCCCCCTAAGGGTGTCCCCTTGACCCAGGCCAACGTGATCGCCGCCACTGCCGGTGTCAACGAGATTGTGGGCCCCTACATTGGCCCCAACGACTCACTCCTCACCTACTTGCCGCAGGCGCATATTTTGGAATTCATGTTCGAGAACCTGTGCTTGTTCTGGGGTGGCTGCATGGGATACGGCAACCCCCGCACATTGTCAGACACGTCCATGCGCAACTGCAAGGGTGACATTCGCGAGTTCAAGCCGACCATTTTGGTGGGTGTCCCCGCGGTGTGGGAGTCGGTGAAGAAGGGTGTGTTGGGCAACCTCAACAAGAACAGCTTCATCATCAAGGGCATGTTCTGGGGGGCCATGGCTGCCAAGAACTTCTTGTTGACCAATGGCTTCCCTGGAGCTGATATGGGGGCCTCCTTCCTGGATGCCATCGTGTTCAAGAAGCTGAAGGAGGCGACTGGTGGCCACCTTCGCATTATGATGAACGGCGGTGGTCCCGTGTCCAAGGACACCCAGCGATTCCTGTCCATGGCCATTGCTCCCATGATCAGTGGATACGGTCTGACCGAGACCTCCGCCATGGGTGCCCTGAACGACCCCTTGGCCTGGAACCCCAATGCTTTGGGTGAAATTCCCGCCTCGGTGGAGGTCAAGCTGGTCGATTTCCCCGATGCGGGCTACCTCACCAAGAACGACCCCCCTCAGGGTGAGATCTTCATTCGCGGCGGCAGTGTCACCTCCGGATACTTTGATAACGAGGCGGAGACCGAGAGTGCCCTGACCAAGGATGGTTGGTTCATGACCGGCGATATTGGTGAATTCGATAAGAACGGCCACCTGCGCATCATTGACCGTAAGAAGAACCTGGTCAAGACCCTCAATGGAGAGTACATTGCCCTAGAGAAGCTCGAGTCAATCTACCGATCCTCACCCGTGGTGGGCAACATCTGTGTCTTCGCCGCTGAGGATCAAGACAAGCCCGTTGCTATCATCGTTCCCGTCGAAGCTACCCTGAACAAGCTCGCCAGTGATAACAACATCCAGGGTGATTCCCTTGAGACCCTGGTGCACAATGAGAAGATTCAGCGTCTGGTCTTGGAGCAACTCCAGAGTGCCGGACGTGCCGGTGGCCTCAAGGGTATTGAGATCATCAGCGGTGTCGTCCTCTCAGACGAGGAATGGACCCCTCAAAATGTAAGTTTGCCCCCCCCCGATGACTGCCCAACACTAAACATTATGAGTCTACCGTATGTCTGACACGCTCCTCTAGGGCTACATGACTGCTGCGCAAAAGCTGCAACGAAAGAAGATTGTCAACAAGTACAAGGCCGACATTGACAAGGCTTACGGCAAGAAATGAAAAAAAAAGGGCCGCAGATTCAAAGAGTAAGAGAAAAGAGAAAAGAGAGAAAGAAGAGGCCATGACAGGATATGAAATTTCTCCATGTGTACTGCTATTGCTGTTTCCTACCCCCTGCCACGGTCTTTTCCCATATACTCCCAACTACGCATGTTCGAATAATGGGGTTGTTTTGTCGGATTCCTATCGTGCGTCCTTGCGATTCCATCAGCCCTGCTGTGTTTTTTTTGTTTGGGTTTAATTGATGAGATCATTGTTTTCCCCACTCCCCTGGGCCTGGCTGACTACTTAGGTATCATGAGTCTTGGCTTAGTAATGAATACAAAGATATGACTTGTATTCCGGCACTGGATCCATTTGCCTTCTTCTTGATATACTTGATATATCCTTGTAGAGACACTGAAAGCGGGGGCTCTCCATCTGGAGATATTGGGCTTCGAGAGTCAACCGGTCGTGCGCTGAAACTCCCTCGTGGAATGAAAGGGTATGAAGGGCTGTTATAGTTCCGACAGAGGCGATGTAGCTTGCAAGACTGGTATGCTCATTGCTCATGAACCTAGGCGCCTGCGTTATTGCCCTGTACAGCTAGATTTGAACCGTCATCGCCACAGCAGATTCACACCATGAGCGTTGTACGAACCTACTGTCCTCCAGTAAGATCATGCTGTCATGATAGCCAAATCACGTGACCTTCCGGTGACCAAGAACATGAGGCACACGTTCTCCCAAGTCCCAAATATTTAGGCGCAAAGACACACCAATATATCACTACAAGTACACTGTCCCTTCAACGATTCAACAACCCCAAATCCACCCAATTCAATCCCCAATGTCGTTGTGGAGGTACGCTGGTAGAACCCGCAGTCCCGAACTTACAATGCGCCCCGTATCTGACTCGTGATCCGTCCAATCTAGCACCTATCGATCACTGACCCCCAAGACCCGGGCCCTCTTCGGTGTCGGCGTCATGGCCTGGGCAACGATCGGACTCTGGACCACACCGCAGGTGGAAAACGCACTGGGGATGCAGGCTTCTCCGAGCGAGAAGGAGGAATTGGACCGACAACTTGCGGTGCGAATCTCGCGCGTCGGAGGGGATGGGAAGAGCGATGAGCGGGCGCATTGAGAATCCGCACCGGAGGAGCCTGATTGCCAGCTTGTAGAAGGATGTCGGAGGGGCAGACGCAGAAGGGCAAAAGGGATTTTTACTTGAGGAACTGGAGAAACCGAAAGGTTCATCCCATTTTTTTTTTTTTGGGATGGCATGTCTGGGTGCTCCTGAGTTCCTGCAGTATGCTATCTACGTGGACAGTCTGTTTGAGCCAGCCCATGCGCCAATTGCTCGAGTGCTTCGGGTGTCCGAATCACATGAGTAAGGCAGATGTGAATGTCTCATGTCTCATGTCGTTGTGGGCGGGATCTCGAAGCGCGTTTGCTGCGTCCGAAATCACCGAGGATCAGATATCATTCGAGGATTGAGGCTCGACCTACACTCCGTGTCTCAGTGGAACTGAAATTTGATACTGAAGAGTCAATAGTTTCTTTCTTTCGGAAAGACTGAGGAAGGCGGCGAGATCGGTTCTTTGCGATCTGATCTTGCTGGGGGGTCCACACTCCTGTTTGAGCTTGTGCGAGGGAAGAAGCCCGGTACAGATCAGATCAGATCAGATCATATGACCGGCGCCTCATTGATGAAACTGCTGCTGGTCTCAGGAAGATTGCAGGAGCCCACGATGGGATGTTGCAACGCACGAGACATTGGATCTGCAAGATGCAGGGAAATAAATTTTACCAAATGCTCGCGCTCGGCCTTGTCGAGGCGTCTGCTCTGCGCTGGCTGACTTTGGCTTTCATTACGACTGCAATCTCACTTCTGCATGCATGTCAAAAATACTTCAACCCCGACAGCGGCAGGCAATTTAGTCTGGATTGAGAGACTGTGAGTCAAGTGGCGAAGGATGGACTCTTATGTCGGGATGAGTGAGGCTGAACGATATTTCCATAGCAGTCGATGCCCTCCATGGCGAGATCGAGCCCGAATTCAGACCAAGTCAGGTCGAGCAGTGGAACTTGCAGCTCGGACCCCTAAATCGACGCGGGCTGGCATTCGAGAATCGCGTTTGAACGATGCATGCAATGATAATTCCATCTTGGGCTTCTCCTTCAATTCAAGATATCTTTAACCCCGGTTTTGGTCATCGTGGCTCCAGCATCGTCATATGGCGCAGGACCAAACAAGTCAAGACCATTAACGCAATGGACCAGAAATGAGCTCCCCCACAGTATCAATGTCATCATCTCAATTGCCAGGCAAAACACTTGTGCTTTCTTTGAGCCAGACCCAGCCTGCTGTTGGGGGTCCTCGAATTCCGAAAACCCCCGTTGATGTGTAACCATCTCCAACACCGGGTACCCGTACGCCACAGTACACACTAGACATTCGACCAAAGTACTGTCTCCGCTAGACAAAGAGCTTACAGAGCTCAAGTCGACATGTGCCCGCTAGTCCTAGACTGACCTGGCCCCGCTCTCTTCGTTTCTTGAGGGCGTTTGAATTCTAGTGGAATTTCAATCTGGTTAGAGTCCCAGTCTCCGAGTCACTCTTGAGAATCTGGCCAAACGGGGTGGGCTGGGGGAGGGTCGTGCGCCTGACTTTGGTTGTGTTTGTCTTTGTCTGTCTCTCGAGAGAGTTCCTGATCATGGTAATGAATGCTCCATTTTGAAGGAATTGTGATATGAATGGAGAGATGACACGAGGTGTATCGATGTTTGGCATGGCAAGAGAAGAGCCTTTCAACGTGAGTGTTTTCGCCTTCTCAGTGCCCGTTACCAGATCATTGTCTACTGAAAGTCTCCTTCTGCAACGGATATGTGAGATCGAGCAAGTACGTAGTTGGTCTGTCATTCTTGTCTTGAGGAACAGAGGAAAGGGCATGCTTACAGCGCATGCTCGCCATTAAGGCGATTTCTCCCAAAGCCCATAGACCAGAGTAGGGAAGATAGCCTCATCAACCACACGAGATTGAGGAATGTTTCTCATGACCTCTCTCAGTCAAAGCGGTACGATCCCAATGCCCAAGGTAGTGCAACTGCTCTCGTCGCACGGACAACCCAGGGTCCAGTGAGAATAGCTGGAGAACACCCCCCAAGCGCATGGGTCCGTGTCGGATATCCTCGAAAATCCGAACCCTAATACTCATGAGTCATCTTGCTCCCGGAAAAGAGGCGCGTTCATACCACCAGAAAACATCAATCCTGTAGAGTAGTCAGAAACGAGTAGGTGGAAGGAGGAACCACCAAGCCACTGAAAGCCAAAAGAAAAAAGTAAAAAAGCCCAATACCTTCAGGATTGGTACTTGGGAATCCGGATGTTCCTGTCGTGGAACAACGAAGCCCACCGCAACGGCCGGATCCTTGCAGGTTTCACTTTTGACTTCATGTTCGAAATTTCAGGCTCAAACAACGTGCGAGGCGACTGGCCAAGTGAGCTGTTGTCGTGTCCGGGTCCACTGGTTGGCGGCTAGTAGATCGGATTTGATGATGACTTTCATGGAGTCGTGGTGCCATGGGACCACAGATATTCTCAATATTGCGCTCGCTCTTTGGAAAGGGTCTTCGATTTATATTCTATGCGATGCATGTATGGGTGGTTTAGGTACACGAGTATGATTTCTCTGACCGGACAGGTGCTGAGAGGGTTAGAATCACAAGAGACATCCAAAGCAGTGGTATCGAAAAATGGATGTACTCTGCCAGGGTTTTTTTGAGGAAGACCACCGTGGTGGTCTTTTTCATCCAAGTCATGGTGTTCAAGACGGCTTAGGCTATATCATATCTCAGAGTATGGCGAGCCTCATCATCTCTGCATGGTCCATCATCGATGTCCAACAATGGCCATGCGAGCGCTGGATATAACTCGAAAGGCTTTTTCTTTCATTCACCTCACATTCCCTTGTTGGAAGCCGAATCGACTTTTCCAAGATGTTACCTGGTATGAGGGTCACTAGAAACAGTATGGAATGGCTCGAGCTCAAGGCTTTTCGCGAAGACTCAAAACCAAGTATGTGATGTGTCTTCATGTCTTGAAACAGGCCACGGATTCCATTAGTTCTTTCAAAGTGGGAACACTGACTAGTGAGGTGAGCTGATATAGAATGGAATGGAATGAACCCTGGAAGACAAGCCTACATCCAGATTGAAAAAAGAAGTGCCTAACTTGAACGATCCGTCTATCAGAATCCTTAAATACCAAGTCAAGTCTTCTTCCACTCCAGCCCACTAAGGACTCGCAAAGCACCTCGTAAGAGAAGTCTCCCTCTTTGAACACCCCCCCCCCCAAAGAGTAAACTGCAGCTCCTCAACTCCCCCCAATAGCACGGGTCGCTCATGGCTCCTTCCAAAACAGATCGCATGGAGGCCTTGGCTCAAGAAGACCAAAGGAGGACTGGAAAGTACACGGTGGAGAACTTCTGCAGTTCCCGTCATAGCTGCAGAGTCGGGCTGAGCTGAGATGCAGAACATGACGTGCGTAATGCACCGGCGATCCTGACTTGCGAGTGGATGCACTGATAGACTGAGTCCTCGTAGTCGATTAATTCTCTCAAGACTAGGGTTAAGCAGAACGCTTTTAATTATTTCCCCAGAATAGACTCGATTGAAGTGACCTGGATAAATGACATTAAGAATCATCACAACGCGAATCACCGAGATCTATTGATCAAGTCAATTACCTCCGATTATGATTTAATTGAAAAGAATCAGGCTCACTTAGACCCGGAACTTTAGTGGAAATGAAAAAGCAGTATGGAAGCCAACTTCTCCATGTGTTCTCCGAAAGTGATTCCCACGGTTTTCCAAGGAGCTTCCATTGTTAAAATTAGCAATGAGGCAATCAGTCTCGAATAGAATACCGCAACCAACCAGCCTGGAAACAACATCCATGAAGAGAATTCCAGAATCTCGGACAAATCGGAGATTTTTGAATTGTTTCGCAACGCTCAGATCCCCGCTTGACCAGATCAAGAACCCGACTCAAGTGAGCGATGCGAAAGACCCGAGACTGATTACGCACCGGAGCTTGCCGTTGATTATTCCACTTGGAGCTGGATAGGCGGAGAGGCGAAGACAGACCAGAGGCACGACCAGAGAAGGAAAAATATCACGGAGACTTCCAGACTCAAGTCCCATTTCCTCTCCATTTGTACCCAGTTGCGATCTTGCCAAAGGTCCCGACCTGCAGCTGGAACGGCCCGAACTTGAATCTTCTCCCGTCGCGGCCTGGGGAATCGGACCGCATGACATGGTATATCCGAGATCGATGCGCATGTCAAGGGAGGTGCAGTTGGGGGAATAGGGATGGAGTAGGAAATAAGATGGATTGAACGAAGGCGGGACGGAGTGATGAATACAATGCGGAAACTGTGAATGCCCGCTAAGATTGAACACTTCAGGAGTGATAAATGTAAGGAAAGCTTAAAGAGGACGTAGCATCTGGCTTATTATAAGTATCATATTGGTAGTCTTCGCCTATCATAAATCCAACCCTATGCTGTTCTGCATCTCCCGCGCTATGAACGAAAAGGCAATGAAAAGCAAACCGATGGGGCGGTGCTTCAAAAGCACAACCGGAATTGACATATCATCAACGTTGATAAAGAAGGAGAAGGGGAGAAAGAAGCGGGGTCAAAATAAAGCAAAGTACACGAAGAGAAGAGGGCGATGTGAAGGGCCGATGAACCCAGACCAAGGGTCTAGATGAAAGGCCCAGGAGGATCGAGAATGCGAAGCATCCAGCACAGTAGGACAAAAAAAAAGTACAAGAATAGAAGTGAAAAGAGACATACGTTGGTAGATATTGGTGACCCAAGATGTGTCCTCCTTCAGCCACGATTGTTCTGCATTCCGCTATATGTAGGAAACGATGAATAGACTGGATCGAACCCATTCCCAGCGGACCGTGGATGGCTAGAAACTCCAGGAAATGAATCCGGGACATCTTGGTATGGATCCAACGATGAGCCCGGTTTCAAAGTGTCTAGTGGATTCATCGTATCATTGCCCATGGCGTAGTCAAATCCCGACGATGAAGATGATGGGGCCAGTGGACTATCGCCAACGGGTGAATGCTCCATCGCGGGCATATGCCGATAATCCACCCGTGCATAGGTGTAGCTTCCCTGAGGAGAAGAATCATAGAGCATGGGCTGCTGCCGAGCTCCTGCACCGAGAGCCTGCGATGGAATCGAATTCACGCTCCCATCCCCGCCACGTCCGTCCGGACCCGACCCCGGTCCTGAACTCGCAGTGCTGTCTCGTCTGCCATCTCTGTAATGGCCGGGGGACCGACCTCGCACCACCAGTGACTCTGAGTGACGGCGGGCAATGAGAACTGACTGCGTTCTGCTCTCTAAGGAGCCAGACACTTCAGCATACAGCTCCACGACGAGGTTGTAGAATTGCTGCTGGGCGCGTCGTTTGCCATTATTTGCTGTGGCTTTTTGAAACTGGATTCGCTCAAACAGATGGGATTGCGGCGGTTGAGTAGCACCGGGGAAAGGACCATTGTAATCGAGGGAATGGGATCCCAGATGGAGACCGTGAACCCCGTTACCATTCGAAGAAGAAAGTGAGATCGGTGGTATTGGTTGTACGATCACCCTGGGTGGCGAATGCTCTGACTGCTTATCTCGCTTGGGAGTATGTTGTACGAGAGCCACGCGTTGCTCATAATTGCCATTGACGATGGCAGAGATACCCATGGAAAAGCTATGAATGGGCTCCAAGTCCCGGTCTCCATGCCGAAGATAGAGTGGCAGATTCGCAGCCCAGGGCTGAAGGCTAACGCTGCAAGTGACGGATAGATAGTTCCGTCGGTAGCATGTCCACTTGTCTTCGGAGGGAAATGGTCCGCGGACAAATTTTGCATGGATCTCCGGCTTGACGATCTGCTGGGTACCGCCAAAGTCTGCAATCAATTGCTTCAGCACACTGGTCTCTTCGAATGCAGGCTGTTCCACACCTGCGCTGTGTGATCGCTGAGAGGATTCCGGGGAGGATGGCTGTAACAGCACTGCCTGGTTTCTTTCGGGTATCTCGACTGCTTGAGGGGGGCCTGAGTATCCATGGCCCCGGGTGAGATCATTCATGCCGTTCAGCGGCATGTTCATGCTACGTTGAATGGTGAAAGGGGCCGAATAGACATGGTTGCGGCCCATGAGTGCGGCTGTATTGTTACCCATGGAATGAATTGGGCTTTGCATGTTTGTGGACATTGATGATGGAGGATGACTGCAGTTTCAATGGAAGAAAGTGTTAGAATGCTTTCCACCACAAATTCATAATCACTTTTGCTCACTTACAGTGGAGATACTCGCCGGTAGTCTGTCAGACGGTCAAACGAGTACTGTTGGTGAGGTACATGGGGATATAGAGAAGCCGGGTTGAGCGCGAATGGTTCTTCTCACCATTGTTAGAGGCGTTCTGTTCCAACCGTAAAGAAGACAGGAGGCTAAAGGAGTCTGGAAACATACCGGAGCAGGAATCAGAAGAGGCCATGGCAAGGGCAGACGGATTGGTGTAGCTAAAAAAGTCAAAATAGTCGGTATTAGTCAAGTACATCATCATCACCATCAAAGGAGAGCAGTGAAAGCAGTGACAGACAAGGCAGTGAAAAGGGAATTGAAGCCCATTGTCTCTGGAAAACAGGGCACTGATGGATGGAAATGAATGACAATGTGGGACTGTGGGATTTGACTCGCGCTTTGAATGGGCCAGCATGGGCACGGGGCGTAGCCTGACGAGCATTGAATCCAGTCAATCTGAAAGACATAGAGCGTAGCTGCACCTGTATAGAAGGTACAGATACAGACTGGACTGAAGTTCAAGCTGCCCGGACCCGGAACACAGACGCAACGAGCAAGGGAGAGACATCATTGTTTGGTGGAAAGAAGGCCACAGAACAAATGTCAAAGCCGTCCAGATTGAAATCCGTCTTGTATGGCCACCGTCGAGAGGGAAAACAAAAAGGAAAAAGAGAGAAACTTACTGCACATCCTGCAATGCAGGTTGCGGTGCGTGGTACCGAACGCCGTTGTTGACAGACATGATGGAAGCGAGCCCTCCGACTCGTTGATCACGGCCCTCTTCCTGATTGGCATATGTACTATTCTGGGTGCTCAGGTAGTTCCCATCAGTTGTGGCCGTGAAGGGCATATTGAAGGGATCGGACGAGAACGAAGCTGAGTCAAAGTCCCTTAGCAAGCGTTCCTTGTCCTCAGGGAGATGGTCGCCCGAATCATGCCATGATAGCCCTAATGGGGGACCATCATAGTGCGCCTGGCCGTTTGGGAACCACGTATAGCGCGGCAGGAGGCAAAGCATGTTTCTGAAAGAAAGACAAAAGGGGGGGGGGGGGGGGGGGGGGGCGGGGGCATTGCTCACAAGGATTCATGTTGGGAAAGGGTGAGATTGATGGGCGTGTGTGAATCTGAATAGAAGCCTTGGTGGCGCCTTTGTCGACAGTTTAGCGAGCTACAGGACGGCTGGAATGTCTAGATCAAAACATGCACGGTTTCATAGCATGAGTGACAGCCCAGATATCTCTGCTTGGAGATGATAACTCGGAGATCTCGCTCACCAACAGAACAATGCAAAGTAGGTCGAAGATTGAGCGCCTCCCGTGACAGCGAGCCCGATTTCGAGATATCGGCAGGTGAGCCCTGGAGGAGGATCGTGGGTCAATGTTGGGTGTGCGGCCAAGGTGAAGATGAAGAAGCGGTTGCAAAAACCTGAGACCAGAAGCAAGCAGAGACGTATTAGATCCCGAGAAGCAGATATATAAAAGTGCAGGGCATTTTCAAGACGTCAGCGTTCCTCATTTATACACGAGACCGCATATAGGTATGCTCGTGAGTCTAGAAGTGTAGACATGACAAAAGGGGCAAATGAAAAGCATGTTCGATCCAAAGAGCATTTCGAGAAATATTCCGACTGCTTAGTGCCGAAAGCACGTAACGACAGGAATGAGCGAATACTCGAGACGGGCCAAGTCATGTATTGCTCGGAGGCCTCACTTTCCAGCCTTGTAGCAGACCTAAGCAGATTGATGATCATCGGACAGAGGCATCCAGTAGTGATGGAGCGCGTCCTCAACCAAACCGGTAGGGAACCAAGCGCTGCGCCGGGAACTTCTGGAACTGTAGGCACTTGTATCAAATGCGCCGCAGAATAATGCGACAGAAGGTGATTGCAGGCCTTGACATTTTGCATCCCAGCTGGGAAACGGGGTTCTCACGAGTCCAATACCACACCAGAGACAAAGAAACCAATGCAAGCCACGATGGGTCATCGATGAATGCATGGGCGGAAAACCGTCAACTTACTGATTTATTGAGTGTAACCTCAATCAGCCAACCGGACAGGATGGTGTGGATAGAAGCCGTGACAAGGTATCAATTGCAATTGGCGACTTTCCAGAGACATTCACCAAGGGTTTCCAGTTTCCAAAATGGAAGGATAAAATCAAAAGAGAGAGGAAAAGAAAGAAAATAAAAGAACAAGTGACTTCTGCAATTTGACGAGGTTCTGTGAACGGAGGCAGGATTTGGTCCTCTGATCAGAGTGAATTCCGGCTGCCGCTGGCGGAGATTTTGTGGTTTTATTGTGTCCTGTTTCCGGTACTGATCGAGATTTCTTTAATCTGATGCCGGAGCATAGTTCAGACGTTTCGGTTCGAGAGGGCGTGTTCACATCGTCTTGCAAGGCTCCGAGGCTGAAGAGGTTGCAATCCGTCGCAGGCAGGCGAGAGCACCTATGGCCGGAGAGCTATGCCTGGTCGACTGCTCGCAAGATGATGATCAGGACAAATGATTGCAAGTAGGAATAACCACCGCCAAATTCTAGTAGTGTGATAAGGTCAACTTGGATATGAAGACCGGGAAACACTCCCTCGGAATCACGGCGGTTTGTGATTCCCATCAGGTGGTATCCGTCACCTGAATGAAGGTCATTTTCCAGTCGCGAGACAGCAATACAAGTAGTGTCTATCCTAGGCAGTTGTGCCTCTCCCCCCGAAGTGCGTAAGAGTCGATTAGATCAAGTGAACAACACGAATGGATCATGGAAATAAAAAGTTCCCGATACGCGCTAGTTCAGTAGATTAGTGAGTCGCTCGTAGGCTGTCGAGGGTTCTCCATCTCGAGTGGTCTTGTACGGGAAATTGAAGACAGCTGGAATCTGCCAGGGACAAGCAATGCACGTCGCATCCACTGCAAGTCGTCGGGGGAGACCAAGAGGCAGTGGACGTGGTTGTTGGGGGTGGTCGAATCCCACCTGAAGGATGTATTGTTCCAGAATCAGATTGGGAATAATATGATAATAGTTTCAATAAATCATGACAGGAAAATTAACAGAAAGTATTCACGCACGTACGGTATGGACCAAACGAAGAACTGTGAGGAGAAGACATGAAGCTTTGGGTTTTTACGGATTTTGATTTTCTTGCATGTGCTTGAACCCCCAGAAATTCTTCCTTTTTCCACTTTGGGATTTAAAGCGAGATCCACGAATTCGATTTCCGAAGCCCAGGTCTGACCTTGACAGCTCTCTGCTCAGTCGGCCACCGTGTCGTTCCTTCGAGAGCTGTTATGGCCACAGGTCTGATAATGAGAACCGCATTTACCCTTGGTATGGATGTTGGAATCTCTATACTAGTGTACTGCAAGCGAAAGGCCGCTCCGTCTGGTTGAGTGAGGGTCATAATGTCATTCCCACTCGACATAAATCACAGCGGACTGACAGGAACCAAGCGTGTTCCTGTTCGGAAAAAGCTTGTGCAGGAGCACCGGAAGGTTGAGAGGATGTCAAGTAGGCCTATGCGATATCCTCGAGGATCCTGGTCTGGTCTGCGGCATAAGCTGCATGGGCTCAGATGAGAACGAGGCATCGGGGAAACACCAGGGAAAGAAACGAAAGCAGTATTCACAGTGACGCTTATGCAGCACATGGAAGATGAATGCACCGCGAGAATGCTTACCATGGCTTCGGACTTGTCGATCTTCATTCCCACTACTATGATCAACCGGAAGCTCTGCCAATCCTTGAACTGTGACAAGGTTGGCGGAACCCATAAATACCCACTGGCTCTGACCATGCATCTGGCTTCAGCCGTTCAGAGCCCATGGATGGGACTTGCGCAGTTCTCCTTGTTGCCCTTGGACTGGAATTTTATGCAGGATCCAACTTCCACTGCCCGTGATCGATAGAATCATAGAACAAACCCCAGAAATAAGGTTCAAGTCGAGTGCAGGGTCAAGCTGAGCTTTCTCATTCGGCTCCGCAGGCTCGTTATTTCCAAGCCTGAAAGCTCCACACGGGACCCTCGGTAAGAAAAAAGGGTGAGCGCTGGTGTGTGAACTGTCGACTTCATACTGTAGATCGTGCTAAGTCTCGAGCCGCCGGGGGCCGACCCGAAGCCGCACGTTCGGACCTCCCGGTGTCAGAGACCAGAGAGAGACCGAACAAATCCGAACCCACGATCGAAGCAGATTCAACACTGACACCAATGAGAAGACTGCTCGTGGGGTCCATTCAGCAAGCAGCGTTGATCTTATGCGGCCGTGCACTAGTCAAGACCATCAGAGTGGTTTTGGTGCATGGCGATCTAATTCGATCCAGGCAAGAATCTCATCGGAGTGCGCAGTGATGGGCCTCTGCCGCGAGGAAGAATCAGCTTCCTTACTCACCAGCGTCCTCCTGTCATCGGGTCTGGGCTGAAGTCACAGTATATTGGAACCACGACTTGGCCAAAAGTTGACCTACCTGCATAAAGCTTATTGATAGTTGTGTTGCTTCGGAGTCATTGCAACCCCTGCTGATTTAGAAGTGGTGACGAGTCTGCAGCTCGAGCGCTGCATCAATTTCATACTTCTAAGGATCCCAGATTCCCCCATTCGGCCGTTGGCCCGTTGATCGATCGTGATACCATCTTGATCTTGGACGTGATGATTCCTAGGAGACTTGTGTTGTGCAGTTCGTTATCATATTGGTTTTTTTGCCCGGTGAATATTAGGTTGCGGGCCGATAATGAGGCCAACCTTCCCGGAAGTTAGTTAGCTCCATCGCTGATAGTGATCCTTCGTCGTCGATATTGGCCATGACAACCAACCGCCGGCGAGCGCCTAAAAGCGAGGCTTAAGTGAAGATCAGAAGCAAAGTTGGCGGTCTGCTTGCAGGCCGTGAATGTGCTGACACTAGCCAGGTCTGGACCACAGTACAGTCAACTCTGATCTTGCCTGGACCTGACTACTCCGACTGCGCACCTCTCTCTCTCTCTCTCTCTCTAAAATGGAAAGAATATTAACAGTCGGCTGAGAGCGCGGCACGTGTTGAAGATTGCGGTGAAAGGGCTCTCTCTCATTTCTCTGGTTTCTGCCTCCTTCTGGCAATTCAACCCCAAGAGTCAAAGCATAGGAAAGGGCCCCCATCGCGAGCATGACGCACAGATACTGACTCCTACTGTACACCGTACATTCGTCTCGGCGCCTGCACATCCTGATAGAAGGTTGATTGTTTTTCAGCACCGCCGCATTTGAGCGGAGGCGAGGCTTCAGGTGGCGTCGTGCAAAGACTGCTGAATTGTGGGGTAGCCCCTACTACTGATGATCCTGGCGTAGGAAAATCAAGCAGACATGATATCCACACACCAGGATGATCTGCGCCCCAATACTCACCACGAAGATCCCGGCGTCGTCGTCACGATGCAGTGCCATCTCGGGACTCCCTCGGTCTGCAGAGGGATATCATCCCTGTACCGATCGAGCCTATGCACTGAGCACCGTTCTCATAGGAGCAAGCTCCGGCCGCAAGACGCGGCTAGCATTGCTCAGAGAAGCTGCACCCTGTGATGCCGGCCCATGAAGGATAATGTGAATCCCTTGCGTTTCCAAGAGCCGATCCGCGCCCTCGGAGTGGTAACTCCCGCGAGCCTAGGCTCCACCTTTCCTCATTTGATACATCACAACTTCACAAATTCACAACCATCACACGGAGCAGCCGAGGTGCTGGACCGTCCAATCTGAACGACACAGATACCTGACTCGATCCGGAGGTTCACCATACTCTGACGGCTCAATCGGCTGACGAAGCGACAACACTTGCTTGGGTTTCAATTCGCCTTCTGGAATCAGTCTACGGATGGTGGAACTTGTTTCATTGGCTCTCAGTTCAGACGCGGCGGTAGGCTGCACTTTGCAACCATCAGTCCTCAAGTGTTCCAGGCTCGCACTTTGTCACAAGAGGACCAGCAAACCGTAAGCCAAATTTGTTGAGCTCTGTCCGAAGAGGCTCACTTCTGTTTCTTCGCCGTTTCAACCAGTCCGCTTCAGCCATCTCTGTCTTTACAGGCGCCGCATGTAGCAGGGACCAATGAGGGCCAGGATCTCCATCAACTTTTAGGCGGGGCGCTGAGAGGTCATTTCCAACCAGCAGCATGAGAGATTTCTTCATCCCAGGCATCGCTTTGACACGTGCCAGTTCTCGCCTTCTGGACTATCCCCTTAGGTGGTAGCACAGGCTCTGAGATTGAACCATGGGCATACCAAAGTAGCATGGAAGGAAGGGAGAGTTCCCCATTGGCCTATGGACCAGAGGAACAGCACCTCACTGAGGTTCTGTGAGACCTACAGTTTACCCTTGTGATACCTACCTGCCAGGCTCGAAGTGGGAACCTAAGTCTTCATCCCGGGAGTGAAACCGGCCGAATTCCCAGGTTGCTGACAGGGATTGATGTAATGACTCTTTGTCGTCATTCTCACGGAGGCTACTTTACAGCACAGTCGAGAACTGGACAGGAGTAATCTCCGACACTATTGAAGTCACCTTCCATGGGTCTGTATCCGCAAAGGGTCATCGGTCGGTGAGTTCGTAGGCCCAAACCGTCGTCTTCCCTGTCAGTTTCCACCCCAGTCGTACAACTTTCCGTTCCTATCTCGTGAGTTTCAAGATGGCTTTCTCAAAATCTCACAGTTTCGGAAAATCCCGCGCCGGGGGATCTCCGGCGCTTCCAACGGTCAAGTTTGATGCGTTTTAGGAAGACACCTCCCGTGTTCAGAGAGTCCATGTGTGGCTCGAAATCCGCTGAAATCAGAAACACTAAGGGAGAACATTACATGTCTGAGAGGTAGGAGCTGGACGTGTGGTACTTTGTCTTTCTATAGAGGTAGCACCGGTACTCATCCGCGTCTGCCTGTTCTCAACCATGGAATTCCAGAAGTATATGTGCAATTGAGTTCGAGACAGCACCGCTTCGCAGTCCCTCGGACAAGGAACAAAGGTACCATGCTTGTAGCCGCGCACAATGGCTTGCAGAGATGCGCAGGCAACAAAGTCCACGTGAGGGGCTAATAACGTCTCTATCTCGACAGCTTGAGAGCTCCGCCGACCAGTCGGCCATCTGATGGCAACCGGGTCGGATATTGCCATGAAGCTCATTTGATGAAAAGCCGATTTCAAGATGGCGTATCGAAGTTGTGATGGCGACCACTACATCTCACTAACCAAGAGAAGCTCCGAACGTGATGACCTCATCCACCATCTCGCCTTGTTCGGAGTGTCTTCGAGGCATGATCTACCTTGACAAAGCACATACGCCTGAAAGCGGCCGACATGCAGTTACCTATTAAAGTCGAGGCTCTTGCCCCTCGACTTTTTTTTCGTTATGGAGTATTCACAGAGACCTGTGAGGGAACTCTCAAAGACCCTTGGGACCCTTTCGTCACGAGGACAAAGCTATGGCAATGGTCTCGAGCCCCATGGAGTTGGTGGAAGAAATTGCCATGCGACCTAGGTTGAGACAATTTCCCCCATCGCTGGCGGGTTGTGATTCTACAACCCAGGAGACGAAAATTGGATGTTGCGAAATTGGGATCTTCCGGGAAGCCCCAGCATCGACATGTTCCACTGGAACGAGCAAAAGTCTAAATAACGTCGAAGCCATTTTGGACAGGGATCAAGCTGTCAAAGTGAAGCACTCGACACATTCACGTCGGGAATCCCCCATCAACGTCTATCGCGGTCGCGACATGTCTACTACTTCTCCGCCAAGAATTGATCGAACTACTTCGAAGAAGGTCATCCGGTTGTCACCTTTCTCGACCCGGATGCCCCCTAACCATCTTCATCCCCCCCCGGCAGTCGTTAAAACTCTATAACCTCTTTCCCCTCCATGGGAACCCCGGCAAGAGAGCCAGCCAGCGATATGGCAAGTTGCTGTCGTACAGTGAAAAACTCAAATCTCAAAATCTGCTCACCGGGAATACACCATCGAGTCTTGATTGGAAGCAGAGTTATTACTACTTATGGAAGACACCGTTTTTCTCTGCCCAAGTGGGTCTATCGCCAGTTGCTGCAACGTCTCCCTGCAATGCCACCGAGACTATCAAACGTCATATCTGACATTTTCCTACGCTTGTCATGTTACACTCCTATCCACCGGAACGCGGATGGAGGCTTGCGATGAAAAACTCTGATGTACGGGTGACACATGAGTACGTGCTCACGAGGCTTGAGACATGAGTTGATGCGCGCGAGGTCTGGAGCCTGCCTCGGAAAGAGCCCCAGACCCATCGAGGATTGACAGGAAGAAACCTACCGCAACCTTGTTCTCCATCTTCAGAAGTCCGGTCGCCTCCAAGATCACACTAATGACAATTATACGTTTAAGACTTAGGGCCCGGTTCGTCGATGCTACGTGATGCAACCTTATCAAAATACTTTTCTGGGTGAGATATGTACGTGCCCTTGGTGACACAGGTATACACACAGGGAGCATGGGCGAGACTCGCGCAAGATCTTGAGATCTACGCTGTTGCAATATTGCGATGGATATGCCCTACAGACAAGTTCTTAGCTTCAGTCATTGAATTGGCGGCAAACACCTGCAGATCATCAGGGCACCGGCAGACCCCTGCTCAAGGACCAGCTGATTCCTGTGTATGAACCTCACAAGCCCGTCGCAGATCTATGCAGAATGGACATGTCGGGATTGACCCAGATGAAACCAGATGAGGGCCCCAACAACAGGGTTGCCAAGTTGTCTGTATTGCTACTTCACGAAACTGAATGAGTCTCGATATGGAATGATCCGAACTCTAGTATGTTGCCGTCTGGAGTCCCTTGGGTATCCCGGGCTGCCCCTAGAGGCAACATGTTTCTGTCTAGTCAAAAAAAGGGTCCACATGATTCATGAGGTTGAAGACACATTCCCCATCATTGACAGGATTGGAAATTGAACATCCCGTTCCGTGTGGTAAGGGAGACACACGGCTTGGATGAGATACCGGCTGAGCATGAAACGGTCGGGTCCCAGGTCCGCATCGCTACGCCTGCCAGCGTTCGAGAGCAGACTCACATTCTGCGTGGATCTTGCAGCATGAGAGAAAGACTTTGTGATCTTAGCGCATCTCTAGAGGAAAAACACACTTCCATCCTGGGTGCTCTTTAAGCTCCGGGTACTAAGAAAGTCTAAGCCGGAGGTCGCGTGCACTTGTGTAAAGCACACGAGGACATCTATAACAAGGACAGCCCTGCTTGATTGAACTACTTGGATGTACTTGTGAGAAAGGGACCTGGAGTCCCTTGTCTCAAGCCCTCTGGGCAGGGTCCGGTGCAATTTCTCGTGGCAGGACAACTGGGCGATCTGCGATACTCGCACCCTTTGCGCCTAGGAATCATTGCGCTGTCATCGAATAAGCGGATCCTTTCAGTTGGCCGGACTCATGCATGAATCCGCATTGAGAGAGCATCTCCTCAGGCTTGCTGAAGAGTAAATTTCATTTTCGATAGGAAGACATGGCGGTTGATGCTCAAGTGTAGAATATCATGGACGACAATGTGCATAGCACCCTGTCGGGCATGTCTGGGTCCATACCGGCCGATTCTCCCTCAAATTATCTCATGTCTCATGAGTTATAGCTCAAAGGTCTAAACAAAGCCTCAAAAAAAGTCAAAGTCGGCCCACACTAAGACGCGAAATAGGATAGGCTGGAGAGGCCGAACGAATAGTTACATTTCGTAGCTGAAAGGGCTGATGTTGGAAACCTTTTCAAACATTACTAACACGTACTGATGAAGATCATGCCAGACTTGGTTGAAGATAAAAGCTCAACTAGACTAAAGTTTCTGAATATCAGTCTTGGAGTTCGAGCTTATTTCGCCTTTTTAGGGCTGTGAATTGCTTTGAGAGATCATCTATTTCCATGTCAAACATGGTCTCGCAAATCGATAATTTTCAAAGCATTTATCGGAATATACCCGCCATCTTAACAAAAAGCCTTGGTCAGGTGGGACATCTTCCAACTTAACGAGCTCGAGCTCATGACAAGTCTCATGGAAATTGCAGCCCGAAACCTCTCCATGAAGCCAGCCCATTGCTCATTTACAGGTCAAGAAGGTTACCTCCAAGCATAATTTCGGCCCCTTTGAAAGACCGCATATCTGTTATCGTGGCCTAGACTTTCAGACATCCATGTCCCTTCGCCTGAGCAAAAGTCGACGTCTCGGATGGCAAGTAAATTGGGGCCAAACGAGTACAGACATCCCTATTAGACCAATAACAAGGCGATACAGCGGTGTTCAAATATCTTAGATTGCGTAGAGCGCAGGCAACGGAAGCAAGATGATGATGGTCGTCCTCAATATCGCTGGTCCGTGATCTAGCGGGCTTGTTGTGAGCTGAGCACCACGAACATACCTAGTGTCCTCTGACTAGCTCGTGAGCGGAATCCAGGAGCCAGGTTGAGAGCAATGAAGCAGGTCTGGTCGATGATACTCACGGTACGGGCCTTCTTGGGCAGAATGGCCTGTTGATATTATAGAGCGTGTCTGTTCACTTGGGCTCCATACTAGATGAAGCCCGAGTTCATGGGTAGCACGCCGCCTGTATGCGCTGGGTTCATGTAAGAATAAATAAGTTGGAAGAACACCCCAGCAAATGAGACGTAGAGGGTTATGGTTATTCGTGATTATTGGTCTTTACATTCAGAAGCGGATTCTGGACTTTTAGTTTATGAGAGATTGGACCGGACACAAAGCGCATATTTGCCATCTGAAGCCACGTATCAATGATCGACAAGGCATCCATCGGGCTTCACGTTGACTAGGTGATGACCTTGAGCTTCCAGTCCATGGAATGGTTAGAAGCAGACAGCTTGAGAAAGGGTCAATACGGCCTTGGGAGCATGGAATCTTTGTTTGAGTGAAAATTATACGTGACCAAGGGGGGTTCACCCCAAACCAAACATGCAGAGAATCTCTAAACCATTGCTTTTGTACTGACTGACGAATGCAAGTAACTGACATGGTGGGTGTCTTTTTGGTAATCATCATTAACAATCAATCAATCATACATTTCAAAGGAAAAGAGCTTTCAGCACAGAGCCAGAGCCCGCCAGAAAGACAGAAAGAAAAGGAGTCCAGCCGGAAATGAGTCATGAGAGGGTAAAGCGAGTGAGCGAGTCTTAAGTAGAGCGCTTGGCAAATTCGACGCGGAGAATAAGGTGGCGGTAACCGACTGCAGTAGTGAGAGGTTTGGATTAGTTTGGTCGGCTTTCCAGGGCATCACGGGAATGTCGGAAAAGTGAGGGACAAAAACACTTACAGCCGTCCATCTTCTCGCAGGCGCGAGCGGCATCGCCACGATCCGCGTAACTGATGAAAGCAAAGCCCTTGGCCCGCTGGGTTTCGCGGTCCCGGGCAAGGAAAACTCTGGTGACCCGACCGAATCGCTCGAAAAGATCGCGCAATTCTTGTTCCTCTGCCAACTCGCTGACCTATAGAGATGAAAAGAACACTAGATCAGCACATTTCCCTCACGCATGAGATTCCCGGGTCAAGCTCACGTTTGTAACTCTGAGAGTGGCGAGGTCGTCCTTCTCGAACCGACCACCCATCTTTTCACCGGCGGCACCGCCAGCCTTTCCACGCAAGTGAGGAGGCACGTAGCTGGAAGAGCCAGCACCCAGACCGCCAGCAGCACCCTCGTCCGCACCCATATCGCCAGCACCAGTGGCCTCCTCGACGGGAGCCATGGTGTCCTTGAAGGGACAGCGGGCTGTGAAATGCTCGCCATTGCAAATACGACACTTGACCTTCTTGTCCTTGAGCTGGTCCTTCATGCTGCCCTGCTCCGGGTTCTTCTCCGCCTCGGCGGCCTGGGCCTTCCAGTTCGTGCTGGGACGGAAGATCATGTTCTCGCCCACGGAGGTCGTATCGAAGGAGGGGCCGGGCGCGTGGCCCTTCTCGAGGCCAAACTTATCCCACGACCGGCGCTCGGCCACCTGTGGGTTCACATGCTCGCGGACAACGGTGGACTTGATTCGGCGGGTGACCTTCACTTTCTTGTTCTCATCGTTGAAGCGGTAGGAGACAACCGTCTTGGTGCCGTCTTTGTTCTCGGTGATTTGGGTTGCGGGCAGCGCTGAGGGATCATCGTACTCGTCATCGTCGGCCCAGTCGGCGTTGCTGTAAATTTGAAACAAGAGGGCATTGTCAGTCATATGTTCCAGGATCACTTTGCGTGCAAAATCACTCACTTCCCGAGTCGAGACATGGTGTGTGTGTGGTTGTGTATTCCGGCAATTGCTCAATTTCGCGGATTTCTTCAAAGGCGAGTCCGTTGTGGATTTCATTATTCGCGGCGATTTTGCTGTGGCGCAGACAGTGTGGCTGGTACCTGACAAGATCACGTGCCCTCATCTGCCCCGCCGTGGGGGATCTTTCCGAATAGTGTGGCATCCAGGCGCCAACAAGCTCCCAGCCGCATTATCGGCTTTTCAAGGACAGAGACATCGATCATGCAAGTAAAATCACCGGTTTCAATGATTTCGAATCATTGCCCGGATTGAGGCATTGTAGCTCACTTTGTCATGGAGAAGCTCATGAATAGTGATGATTTAACTCACTGAACCAGTCATCTACCTTACAAATTTGCCTCACAACCAGCTTAGTGCGAAGTGAATGCGAATGCCAAAAAAAAAAAAAAAAACAAATGTAAAAAGAAAAAAGAAAAGAAAGAGGCCAAAAAGGATCCCCCCTTTCGACTTGCACACTCATGGCAAAAAGGTCTCAATTTCATAAATGACGGTGCCTGATCAAATAATCAGACCGGTTGCAAATTACCGTCTCTAACATGGCAAAATGCCCCGTCGTTCAATTTCAGAGATACGAAACTTTTACTTCTCCCTGCTGTCAGCCCTGATATCATAACGAGACAGAACAATGTGCAGATTAATAGGGCGCGTGGAACTTGAATTTGACCACATAGTCTTTCTCTCCATCATACCCAATCTCAATCGGAATCAATTGCTGAAGGTCAGCGTCGAGCTTGGCTTCAATTGTTGCATGCTGACGAACATCTAGAACCAGCATAAACAATGGTCAGCTCCTTCCCGCATGGCAGTACTACATGTCAGAAGCTATCGCTTACCTGAATTGAGATTTTGAGGAGGCTCTGGTGTGGCGGACCCTTAAAATATGACCTGGATCTCGGATGGCCGACCTTGTGATACAAGATACTCCATGTGCCACTCCGTAATCACAGGCTCAGTTTCGCTTATAGGTTGCCCCTAGGGTTGTGAACTGTTTGTATGTTGCTCTGACAAGTAGACGGCATTCAGACGCACCTTAACTATGCACCAATGCATGACATGAATCTGAAGCGCACCACGGTAGTCATTCCAGTACCTGCACTATCATTCAGCACTTTCCCTGATCTCTGAGTAAATCTTACATACGCTCGATTCCTCTCGTGAAGTAAAGGGTCGAATAAGGTGCGACGCAGATGACCGTGGTGTAGACGAGCGATGTGAGATGTGATGAGAATTCGAGGAATCGTGGGAGATGCTTGTGAAAGCACTTTAGCCAACGCACCGCGGACCACGGCAGACCAACCGTCAGGTGGAGCTAGCACTCTCATATCTTGTGAGATATTGTCCTGCAGTTAATTCCGAAGAAACTGGTTCTGTTCAAAATCGCCGACCAGCAGGGCAGCCTTGACATGTTCTTGGGAAAAGTCGATCTGTTGCTTTGCGAGCTTCAAGACCTGGGCAAGTACAGGTAGAAAGATATCGCCTATTTCTTGACCCGTGATTTGAAACTTTCCCCGACGAACGTTGAGATCTTCGTTGTCTGCAATTCCCGGGACGGGGAAGGTGAAGGTATCCGTCGTATCTCCAGTGAACCGCCTTTTCGCGAATAACTCGAATCGTTCCATAGCGTTGTCCCGTGAATCACTGTTCCAACCTATGTCAGACCTCAGTGTCTGGCGGACGAAGTCTTCGAAACGTCAGTTCAGGTAAGAGCTTCCGCGATAGGCATCAATACCGCTTGCTGCTTCTCGGAGCCGTAGGCAAGGTAGAAGCTGCTCAATTGTGAACGTGATCAGATCAACGGTGCCTGCACCAGCATCGATCAAGAGCACAGTATCTCCGACCTCAAGGTCATTAGGACTTGATGCCTGGAGAGCATGGATTGCCGCGGCCTCGGGCTCAGATATGATATGAATGGTAGAACCGTCACCAAAGCCAGCTTCCGTGGCACATGTTCGAAGACAAGCGCGCGCTTTATCGGACCACATCGCGGGAACGGTGATCACATTGACAAAGGTCAGGTGGTCAAACGCTGGCCCAACTTGACTTTTCAAAACGCTGTGCACATGGTTCAGAACCGCTCGGAGGTAATCTGTTGTGCCAAAGTCCAAGGCGAGGACTGTAGTGGTGCGGAGGGGGATCTCTGACATCTTGAGGAGGTGAAGAGGAAGCCACGGGGGGTAGTCTTCTTCAGAGGCAGACCGCTCACATGAATACTAAGATTTCATTGAGGTGGTATTTGGCTACTAGGCAAGTCACAAGAGATGATGGTACTGGGTGAAAACACGACAGTAGATCGTCTCCATTATATACGGCAAAAGAGTCATGGAGCTGAAATGACGGCATTTTTCGTGGAAATTGGCCGATTGCATCGACAGGGACAGCTGCCGCAGCATTATTTGAATGGATGAAGCATGAATCAGGTATCTACAATGTGAGGTCTGGCGGTCACACTCTTCTCTATCCGGCAAATTCCACATCCACGCAGTCAATTTCCGGAGTCATCCAGAGCGCCAAAGATCACTTCATCTCGGAAGATTTTCCCAGTCACTTTCACCTTGGACTCAATCTCACTTGGTTCAACGCACTAATAACTCTCACAGTCACACCAGTGACCTTTCTCCTTCGATCTCCTGAGCAGTCAAAACATGAATCATATGCTATTTCAAAGACAGAGAAGTACTGATTCTGACACCAACAAGCCAAGCACTTGTCTCACCAATCGACAACGGGTTCCCCGGGTGGCAGTGACAGTTATTTACTCACGAGGAGCCCTTTCCAAAGAGAATCTACGTCTATAAGACAGGAATAATGTATCTCCAATTAACGTCCCTGCCAATGTCACAGATCGCACCAAGGTCAAGACATGGACATCGAACGCAACAAATGCATGTGCGCTTTCCTAGACGTATCAATGTACGCTCAATGAACAGTGTAGCTCCCTCACGCGGCGACTGAGTAGGGTGCTCGGAATGGCGAGAGTACCCTGGAGTGCGGGTCCTTTAAATAAGCTTGGGAAGTTCTGTAGTTGGAATGTGCTGGCTTTGGCTGAGCTATGTGTCAAAATCCAGCGCTCTCCTCGACTTCTTGAATGGTACTGGCACCGCGATACGAGACCCCTGCGAGTGGAACTCTTTCAAGTGTTTGACATCATCGACTCCAAGACCCGCAGCACACTCAAGAGTGGCACAACCCAGCGTCTCTCCAACGACGCTGAAATTGAAGACTTTATTATAACCATTTACCCGTGTCTGTTCTGGGTGTAAGAGAAGATGAGTGGACCTCATGCCAAGCTTGTTGTTGCAAAGGGCACCATACTTGCGAGAATGCGCGAGGATCCACCACCTCCTCGTAAGAAGGCGAAGACTGTTCCTCTAGCCTGCCCAGACCGAATGGACCCGAACTCTGAGAGCTCGCAGGAGGCAGCACAGAAGGCAGCACATTCACTCATCAAGATGGAGCCGGAACCTTCTCTGAACAGTATGGATGAAGGCGAGGAACTGGCTGGCATGATGGACGGTAGCGAGGATTTTCTTAAATGTGTACCTGGGATCTGAGTGTGAGTGCAGTCAAGACTTGACCCTTCTCTTGTGGCGCAGTCTCCAATTGTCTTTCATTTGTGCTTTTTCATCATCTTTGTTTTTCTGTGTCGCCTCACTTTTGTTTGTCTTCCTTAGCTCTTTCAGCATCGAAGACTGCCGATGACCGAGTCGATAGGACTGCTTATTTCACTCGACATGCGTGCACTTTTAGCAAATCGCAATCCTGCAGTCTCAATGACAAGCCTTTCCATACCTCCTCAACCGCAAGTAATTATACGGCAGAGGAGCCAAATATCCAGCGCCGATTGACAACACAGCGGCTGCCCAAAATTTTGGATCCTCAAAAGCGATCACACCCCCCGTCAAATGGTAGTCGACCGCATTTTCTGCGATCTCCATGGCTACCATGGACACCATGCTCATGCCCATGGCCGTTCGTACAGCTCTGGACCAGGAAAGTTGATCTGCGCCTCGACGAAGCAGCACTGTTTCAAGGATGATGGAGGTTGTAATGCCGCAGCCCACTGCAAGTGATGGTTAGCGGGAGTGTGAGCTGGGATTAAAAGTCGTCAGAGCACGTGTACTATCTGTGCTCCTGTTTAAGTGGGACTCTTTCGTACTTACTCGATGCTAACATAATGGTATTCATACCCAACTCTGGATAGTACGATTGCAATGTCCACAACGCCGAGAAATCACCGATGGTGCATCCGACAAGACATCGTAGCGTGTTGATTCCTGCTCGTCTCCATGTGGAGCGACACGACCAGAAGGCTCTGGAAAATATCGGAACGGAACGAGTAGACGCAGAAGATGAAGTGGAAGTGGCTTGCTGATCCGATGTGGATGAGCAAGGAGATCGACTTTGTGGATTTGATTGGCAGATGCGCGTCGGCAAGGAGCTTGTGAAATGTCGACGGCCAAGGGATGTTGGCCATGCTAACGATCTCAGGGGCGATAGGCGGGAGGTTGTCGTGAGAAAGAACATCGCTAATGCTTTTCTAGTGATGAAGAGACGTTGAACTCGAGCCCGCAAACTGATGAGATGCGCTTGAGTCGTTTTCAGAGCTGAAGTCGGATGAAAGTTGGTGGGTCGGGCAAATTGCCAATTGAAGGGAGGCAAAACAGCCCTGTGGAAGCTAGCGCAGGTACAACCGCCTCATTGAACTATACTGGCGGATTACTTGACAGTCAAGCCGGCTTCTCGCAGATGGAGGGCTCAAATCAGCATCTCAGTCATAGAATATAGCGGTGAGCTCCATAAGACACTATTGAGGCAATACACTGGCGACTGCCCCAATGTGACGAATGACTGTGGTCATAGCCGTTGAAGGTTAATGGGAGACCAACCATTACGGAGAATGTGACGCGTGAAAGAACTGAAAAAAAAGGATCGCGACTTTGTTTTTGGGGTCTTTATTTCTTTGTTGAGCGATCGAATTATCTGTCCTTCGACTGTCTTCTTGCGTATGTTTCTATTCAACCATACGTGTCAGGTTGAAAAAATAACCTGGTCATCACTGATTGACTCTCTTTTCATATTCTCCTTGAGAGCAACACTTGAAGTTGTCGTCAGAAGACGTCAATTCAAGGACAAGCAACATTGACAAGTCGTCCAGCATTCTCCGTCAAGATGTTGAGACTTTCCCGAGTACAGCGACTAAGTGCCGTCATTGGGATATCATTCTGTTTCTTTGTCGCTGAAATTTCCAGTACGTTTGCCTGATGGCTGTGCTGACGATCGAGCAAATCCCCCTCGTTTCAGTATCTGGAACTTCCACCACGTGGAACCATGTAGATGATATGATCGACCAGATGGTTAATCGAATTTACCCATCTAGTCGGCTTCTATACACACTCACTCGCCCTCGTGGCAGATGCGTTTCACTACGTATGTTCCCACTATCTCCCAAGGCTGTGGAGGGGAATCAGACTCATGCTCATCCATATTCTACAGCTCAATGATCTCGTAGGCTTCATCATCGCTCTTGTCGCAGCCATCGTGAGTCCAGTCTTTCTGTCTATTGATCAGGACGACTCTTCTTTACCAGACACTCGTATTCACCTATTTATCCAAGGTCGCCAAGCGCACAGACGCTCCCCAAGCCCTCACGTTTGGCTGGCAGCGTATTCAACTGCTCGGCGCCTTTTTCAACGGAGTCCTGCTCTTCGGATTAGGGCTCAGTGTGTTTTTGCAGTCCATCGAGCGGTTTATTGACATGAAAGGTAAGTTCATGGAGGGTGATGGCTCTGACGATACGATTCCACATCATTCTGACAGCGCTTTAGAGATCGAAAATCCAAAGCTAGTCTTGATTGTGGGGTGTGTTGGGTTTACCTTGAACCTTGTCAGCGTGGTCTTTTTACATGGTATGTCGTTCTGCTCTCGTTGAAATCGGACTTGGGGTTCGATGTGCTGTCGTTGGAAGTAAGCTCACCTTGGCTGTAGACCACTCTCATTCCCATCATGGTCATGACCATGCCCATAGCCATACCCATAGTCATGCTCATAGTCATGATGACACCCAAAAGACCGAAAAAACTCACTGTCACGATCACCAAGACCATCACAGCACCATCACCAACCAACAAAGCGGCAAGCAGTCGTCCCCTATCACACCCTCAACGGCCTCAAAAGCAAGTCCAAACACCCCCAATCTCTCCCCCAACCCTCTTTGCCATCCCGACGTCGCCAGTCGTCATAGCGGAGACACAAAACTAACCCACTCTTGAATCCAAAAAACAGCACATCCACCACAGACACCACGTCAACGCCAAGACGCTCAAGTCCAAGCCGCATCGTGATCTCGCCATGATAGGTGTCTTGATCCATGTCATGGGCGACTGCGCAAACAATCTGGGCGTGATAATCGCAGCGGCGGTAATTTGGTTCGCTCATTACGGGGGCCGGTTCTATGCGGATCCGGCCGTGAGTATGGGGATCGCGATTATGATTCTGGCATCGTCGATTCCATTAAGTAAGTCCCACTTGATGATGCGCCCTGGCTTGGCTAGGTCTTGCCATCGGCCAAACAACCTCTCATTTCCCCCGGATTCGACTCCCGTCAAAGTTCGATCCTAATCAAGGGATTGTCGCAGTAAGATCCACCGGCCTCATCCTCCTCCAAAGCGCCCCCACCGGCGTCCACCACTCCGACGTCGCCCACGACCTCCAACGACTCCCGGGCGTCCTCGCCGTCCACGAGCTTCACATCTGGCAACTTAACCAGACCAAGTCGCTTGCGTCGGCGCATATTGTTCTGGACGGGAATGCGTCCGTGGCAGTGGACTTTGAGAGCTTGGCTGTGACGATTCGCGAGTGTTTTCATGCGTATGGGATTCACTCGGTCACCTTGCAGCCGGAGATTCATGGGGGGAGGTCTGATTCCGGTACGGAGGATGCTGGACTGGAGTCTGGGTCTGGTTCTGGGCGGAGTTCGGGGGTTGAGTGGGTTGGTGGTGGTGAAGTACGGGAGCGCATGGAGAGTGAAAAGGTGGTTATTGGGTGTAAGACGGGCTGTGGGAGTGTTTGTTTGGAGTTGACGTGCTGTAGTTGAGGGTTGAGATGGAGATAGTGAGGGAGATGATGAGGGAGGAGTGGTGGACGGGCGAGTGCATAATAATGTGGTCCAGGGAGCTCCCCATCTGATTTAGTCGATGGCATCTGCATGGGTATACAAGTTGGCTGAGAACTTTTAGCCCTACAGAGGAGGGAGGGAGGGAGAAAGAGAGGGAGAAAGAGAGAAAGAAGAAACAAGCTTTGCAAATCAGGCTCAATGTGAGAGCTATTTCTGATCAGATCCTAGATAAATTCATGCACATTCCATGCAAAAGAGCTACTTACATTAAATCCATATACATCGCCAGAGTTCCTCCCATATACCATATCATCCTCATATCGATCCAAAGACAAGCGATCCGTATTTACAAGACAATTCCCATCACAGATTGGAAGATCCCAAAAAAAGAGCCCGAAAAGGAAAACCAAAACCAAAAAACCAAAAAAAAAAAAAAAAAAAAAAAAAAAAAAAAAAAAAAGCGAGGTCCCGCTACTACCTCCGGAAGTAGTGAAGTTCCAACGGACGCAGAGCACAGTACGAAACAAATGAAAAGGCGAAGCCACATTCAAAGCCGACATCACCACCGTATGGCAATTCGCCCGCGTGCTTGGCAATCGGTCCAACGAACCAGGTCTGGCTCATCCCTGTGACCATACCGGCCACGCCAAAGCAGAACGCAATCGAGGCGGCAATACCCAAAGGCAGCTTGTCCGGCTGATCGTAAATTTCAGGACGATAGCCGCCGAAGCCGCGCTTGAAGAAAAAGTGGTCGGCAATGGCAATGCCCGAGTAGATGGCCAGCCAGTAGGCGATGAAGTTCATGAAGTTGTCGAGGACGCTCTCGAAGGAGGAGTAGCCGGGGATGGCGATGGCGAGGGAGACGCACGACGCGAGGAAGGTCCAAATGAAGCGGGGGACGCGCTGGGTGAATCGGCTCAGGACTTGCAGGGTCAGAGAGACGGAGTAGATGTTGGGGCAGTTGTTGGCGATGATGGACAGGGCCAGAATGACCAGGCAGAACTTGCCAAATCCACCCAGAGGCTCGAGGACGGCCCCGATAAGACCACCGTTTCCGGCGGCAGCATAGCCATCGGCATACTTGTTGTTTCCATCATTGAGGCTGGTGGCGGTCATCACGGCAATACCCAAAAACTCAGTGAAGAGGAGGGGTGGGATAAGACCCAACCACGTAGAGACAAACACCTTGCGGCGGCTGCGGTCAGACGGTTGGTAGACGGTATAGTCGGCAGCATAGCTGGTCCAGCCGGTGGCAAAGCCATACACAGTCGATCCAAAAGAAAGGCAGCCTCCCAGCTCGGAGGTGCCCACTTCCATGGGGATGTTGACAAAGTCCCCCGAATGGGCAAAGGTGCCCAGAACGATCAAGAAGACGATGAAGGTGGGGATCCAACTGTACTTTTCATACTTGTGGACGACCTTGTACCCAGCAAAGGTGATGATGAGGGTGCAGAAGGTGATGATGAGAATACCCGCGAAGCCGGGGACTGTGCCGTTGACGGCATTCAGCAGCTGCGCGCCCACGATCGCATTTGCGGCGGACCAGCCGATGCAAGCGAGCACGTTCAGGACGGCGACTTGAAGCAAGGGAGGAATGAAGTTAGCAGGGACATTCCTTCTTCATGAGGAGGAGGGGGCCACGGCCAATCCTGGCTCGCTCCACGGCGCGCAACAGATCCGTCAAGTACTTACTGATCTTCACAGGGACCCAGCCAAACCAGAAGCGGGACAGCACCATCTGGCGCAAGCCGAAGGCGGGACCAAAGCAGGAAAAGAAGCACACGGTCATGACACCGAGGAGGTTGAAGAACAGGCAGACGAGGATGGCATCCACGAAGCCCAGGTAAAAGAGCGACTTGCCGAGGACACCAATCGCGAACGAGCTGACGACCATGTTGGCTGCCAGCCACTGAACAGGAAAGAGAACATGGTCAGCCGCTTAGAGATTTTCCGGGTGGGAGTGTAAGCTTCTCCTCGGGCCATTCAAACCCCCCATCAATGCCCACGACCCCCGAAGGGTCCCTCGAGGGGGATTCAATTGATGAGAGCCCAATGGTCCTGAGGAGATCGCCCTCAAGGCCAACCCACCATGCTGCCAATATTGACGTAAGAGGTATCGGTCCGCTCAGCCTCCGGGACGCGTTCGATACCGCGCTGTTCGACATTGAACTTGCCGGCGATGCGCTGCAGGCGCGCATACAGCGAGTTGCCGTACTCGAAGCTTTCGCCGGGCACGGCGCCATCGCTGACATTGTCGCGCGTGGCGTTGCTGTTACTATCGTAGGCCAGGTTGTTGTCAACCTCGGGGCCCTTTTCGACATCGGCGCGCGAGCCTAATCCCAATTTGGCGAGCATAGTGACGGAGAGGCGGAGGTTTTTATCTTCGTTCGAGGAACCAGAAAAAACCGTGAAAAAAAAGTTCACGCAAATCTATTCCACAGAGGGAGGAGGGGGGAGGCGGATCGCGCACGGCAGACTCAAAGCTGATCTGGACAGATCGAGAGGATGGAAAGAGTTGAAGATTGAAGGGTTGGAAGAATGGGCGAAGCGTTCACATCATTCGATCTCTCTCTCTCTCTTTTTTTTTTTTTTTTTTCCTGGGCTCCACTGCGCGAACCAGGTGAAATATATAGCAGCTCCGAGCAGAATTCCCCGATTCCCGAGGGTGCCGAGTTGTGTCACGCCTCACCAGCGGCCACCAGATAAAGAGGAAAACAGTAAGTGGCTCACTGCTGGAGTCGCGTGTCGAGCCCCACTGCCGGACCTTCGCGACTACATGTGGGACTCGAGATTGTCACACAGTGGCGATGACTTGTTACCCGAACGGACCAGACGAAGATAGTCGGGAGTGGGACGGGCAGAGTTGCTCTGCGGGCGGTGCTTCGCCCTAACGGCTCTGGCCGTCGGAGAGACTCGGTGGTCGCGTGGAAGAGTGGACACTGGACTCAGAGAAGTGGAGGAGGTGGACGAGGGTGGACGAGGGTGGACGAGGGTGGACGAGTGGAGGAAAGTGGGCCCTCGAAAGGGAAGGAGGAAACTGCCGCCCATCAGCCAAACCGGGCGAAAACAAGGGCAGCCTTTGGGAGAGCGCAAGCAAAGGACAAGCGTCGCCAAAGGGCCAAAACTGGCACTTGCTCGATGGGGCCATCCAGACATCCGACAAGCAGCGTGCCAATCATGACCTCGGCTCGGCGCTGGCTCCACTCCGTGTCGACTGCGATACCAATCACGGGGACGAAGACAGCTTCCGCAGCTTATCGCCAGCCCCGGTTTCGTCGGTGCTGCCACGCCTCTCGCTTCCTCGTGGGCACCACAGGCGACCAAACCGCACGGCGCACGCACAAACCGGTCGAAAGCACCACCGGTCGGGGCGGCTGATGTCTCGATAAGGGCACCCCGTCCTCTCATTACCGATTGGGGAGGAGGAACTGGGACGAGATACGAGGGGAGATATGCTCTGATAGCGACGCGTCTCCGACGGGGTCGACGATCGTCGCAATTTGTCTGACTGGCTCTATTATCACACAGGATGGGTGACCCTCCCCCCCTGTTGCTACTACAGTACGGTGAGATTGTGAGCCGAACGAGTCCCTTTGACACATTCTTCACTACCTTTAGTTAGCCCCATAATTGAGTGATTGATAGTCGTACCCTGATTTCCTGAAGTGGGGAGTTGAATCGGCATTATTTGCGCTTCTCGTCTCATCCGGGATTCCCTCCCCCGCAAAGATACCCCGATAGCAGCTGTGCATCGGCTTCGAGCTTCCTCAAGCCTCGACGAGTTGAGGTGGCTGCATCTGTGATGCAATGATTAGTGCGGAGGCCGCCGACTAGCAAAGCTTGACTCGCGGGGGCTGCATGCATCACTAGACCTGTACCGAAGGACTCGCCATCATGTGCGGCACGACCTGAAAGATTCCCTGACATCCGTCCGCAGGCAAACTGTCTCCAGGGGGCCTGATGCCGCAACTCAATTTGCTGGGAACAGTCTGTCGTTGCGGGCACAAGTGATACTAAAGCGTTTTCTGATAGTGCTATCTGATACGATTAGGTACCTTGGTGTTGACTCATTGAGTACTACATGACTGACTTAGTAGATACTGTACCTTGGTATTGACTCATTAAGTACTACTAACTTACTACTAGGTAGGTACCTAAGTATTGACTACTGAGTACCTCGAGTACTTACTAAGTTACCAGTAGTAAGGTACCTTATTCAGTTGACTGACACACACGCACACAGCGTTGATTGGAGAAGTGCCCCTCGTACCTTGACAATTTGAGATGTACAGGTACACCCACCAAGGCCACGGTCGGTTTGGACTTTGGACCAGTGCGTTGGTGTCAAAGAAAGATGGTCGTAGGGTCAAATGGTCAATTGCGTCAGTCAAGGTACATGCGGAACTGACCGCCCAGACAGCCATCATGATCACCACAGCGGATGAACTACAGGACTACTATCCCCCAAAGAGCAGTTCTCAGCTCTCTCCCACAAGACATCAACAACGCTAGTCCTCCGCATCTCATCAACCCCGGATTCTCGCTGGAAGTTTGGGTGAGGTTCATGAGCCACGATGGCCCTTCTCCCCTCCCGGTCAACCTAATCCAAGGCGGGGATGTTCATCCGCACCGCCATTGGTGTGCATATCCTGCATGCCCAGACTTCCATGCAAGGCTAAAGTTCTGGCTGAAAGCTTGACCCAATCACTGTCATCCCGCATCTTGGACATACCTCATCGAGGCAACTGCGGGCCAGTGCGGAGATAGCGACCATCGTCCCTCGTTGCAAGGTCACTCTCGCGGCTCTTCACTCCTACTCTGCACGCTGCGGTCTCCATGCGATAAGCTCGGGACTGTACTCATCAGCCCGAAACTCGACGACGCGGGCAATCTCTCCTCAATCTGATTTGCTGCGGAGGTCTCCGAAAGCGCAGCTCTGCGTGACTCCTGTATCGGAGCTGACGGGCGAGACTTGCACTCGTGGATTCGCTTTTCAACCTTCATTGTTGGCACCTGGTCTCAAGGACTTGCAAGGGCGTGAGAGCGAGCCTATCATCTCGTTGGCTCTGTCTTTCTTCGTTCTCCCGTCTTCCTTGTGGTTTGGTGCACAATTCATCCACCATCCGTCTGTTCAGTGATGCATCTACCTCCGGTAGCGAGCCTTCATCCCTGAATGCAACGCCTCATCAGCAAAGTCAGAGGCCCAGAACCTAGTTTCCCTTTCAACCAAAGATGATTACCCTCGTCGTTACCGTCGCCGAGGTAGTCGACCACACGAGGAACAAGCATCCCAAGTGAGCAGCTGAGAGCAGCGGCTCGGTGGTCCAGCTCGTCCCCCTCCGACACCACTCACTCCTGGGTGTCGCGGGGAGCTATCTCCCAACAAGGACTGTTCTCCATCAAAGCCCAGCCATGAAAGCCCAGCCATGAAAGGCGCTCCAGACCGCAGAAGAGCGTCATCGACGTCTTGCGAGTCCGTCCTCCAGAGTCGATTCTCCCATATAGTCGAGTGTGTTGGCAGCTTCATGTAGAATCAGTCTTGCGAAGGAAAGACAGGGGTGTGCTTGATCCTGGTCATTGCGCGGCCTTATGCTGCCCCTCGGATCGCTTCGCCTCTTCTCAGAGATATGAATGTCGACCCCATTGTTGTCGGGTCGATGTCTTGCCCATAAACTGGTATGGTACTGTTGGTCTTGATGGCTTTGTCTCCGGAAATTCCAAGAAACTTATCGAGCCTCGCTAGAAGCTATCACGGGCATACGGCTCTCTGTCTCTTTCTCTAGTCTGGGCATCGTCTTGAATAACGCACATGCATCTTTTTTCCGACTGCTCATTCCACATGCGAGAACAGGTATCCATCGTAGAACAATAATCTTTCGCGTGAAATCTCCCGTCCGAGGTCAACTGCTTGGCTAGAAATCGACCTGGGGGCGCTAGGCTTCATATCGAGCCACGACTTCGACACTTGGAGAATACACACGCTACGTTGACCTTAGATGAGTGTAAGTGAGATACGATCAAGGTCCAGTTGGCAGTTTGACGTTGAGCTTCACCGTGCCCCAAAGCTGGTAATCCTGCCGCGTTCCAGAGGCCACCGTGGCTCACGATGGGGCAACTTCCGCAGTACATACTTAGGTGTCACCGTCTTCACGGTCAGATGATTTCGATTCGGACTCCGAGGATTCGCTCCATTCCTCGTCCTCGTCAGAGCTCGACTCGCGGGTGTTCGCATGGTACGCATCGCGAGAATGTCCGTTGCGGCGATTCTTTTTCTTCCGATCGTCATCTCATTTGGCTGGTCGTGTGGTGCGAGTTTATTGTATGCTGCTTGTGCCTGAGTAGTGTTTGTTGTCGCCTCAGGTAACCATGAGCCAAAATGATATGGCTGTTTTGATCGGGTTTGACCTCATCTCTCAATGGAATCTGTTGCATAATCGGTAGAATAAGCCTTGGGCAGTCCATTTATCAAGGAACTTATTACATCGAGATATAGTGTTAGGCTTCGGGAATTCCATTCTGGAATACCGGGCTCCAGGTGCTCGTGCAGTGCTCTCCCCGTTTATCTCCAGCGGCACTCCAAGCACAAATATATAACCGCACTCGTGCAGAAATTCCACCCAAAAGAGTATTTGTCTTCACAGACGGGATCCGTCATCAACTCCAGGTACCGGGTCTACAATTACAAAAGACAAGGAATCGGGTGGATAGCTCCCGCATCTCGCCATAAATTGTTCTTCTGTGTTTCCCGGGCTGATCCTTTGTCTGGGTTTCGTCCATGTATTGAGGCTCTACCCCCGTCTGTGGCGGGACACATTGCTGATAGATAGGATTTGACCGAGTCCGGATATATCAAAGGTCCAAAAGAACATGGATCCAGTATACTACACTACACGCTCGGTACACACTACATCACCAATAGCACCTTACGTTGCACTGGACGGCTACAGTACCTATCCCGTCCACGGGCTTCCATATTCGAGGCATGAGGAAACAGCCATCGGATGTTAAAATAGCGGCAACTTGATTAACCTAGTGGGTCCCCGAGCTTTTGACTGGAAGCTTTGCCATGTATCTACAGAGCCCCATACGTGCATTTTTTCGTCCCATGTCATTATGTACGCAACGAGTTAGGCATATCTCGAGGAAATTCACGCAGAATGAACCTATGGTATGTACGACAGTACAAGGCAGGTATGAGGAGATGAGTTGTCAGGTACTAGTTTATGGATTACGACGAGTGGGACAGCGTGTTGTAGCACGCAGCCAGGGCATCACAAATGGACTTGAGTGATGAATAGTCTACAGTAAATCGATGTTTCTGTATTTGAACCGATTTCTGGTATCTCTGATTAATACTGAGATCTTTATTCTGCGTGGCCTTGCAAATTGACTGTCTCATAAACATCGTCCAGATTGGTTCGATGTGGTGAGCCTTGTCATTCAATACTTCCTCGGCGCCAAGAGTCCAATATCAAAACCAGGTCTGCACGATACAACCGCCACGAAAGTAGGCTCACATATCACAATTTGCAAGTCTGTCTGTCTGATGTTAAGGTCTTCATGGCCCCAAGCCATGTCCCATCTGATGGGACCCTCCCGTCTCGCCCAATATCAGGGACACCGGCAGAATCAACAACAGAATCTTCCAGCGAGGCAAACACAATCACATGCTCCAGACACGTCCCAGGAGGCAGACACAAACAATTTCCTCTTCAGGATATCAACAACAATAGAAGCGAGAAGAAAGCAAACATCTCGCTTCTTCACTAGTGCAATTTCTGGCCTCTGGAAAAATTATAAATACTCCCTCCTCCCCCCCTTCTTCCTCTTCTTTTTCTTTTCCTCTTCATCACTCTCTTCACAACATCATCTCATCTTTCTATTGTATACATTCCTCTTCTTGCGCCTTTTACCTACTGCGCATCTTATCTTCCTACCTTCTTACCTCTTTGCGCCTCTTACCTCTTTGCGCCTCTTACCTCTTTGCGCCTCTTACCACTTGCGCCTCTTACCACTTACTCCTCTTACCACTCGCGCCTCTTACCACTTGCGCCTCTTACTTCTTGCGCCTCTTGCGCCTTTTCCACTTACTTCTTCTTCCTCTTCTTCCTTCTTCTTCTTTTTCTTTATCCTCTCCCTCCTCCTTCTTACGCCTTCTCTTCTTCTCTTACTCCGTCCACCCCTTCTTCCACTTCTCACCCTTTGTCTTCCTCAGTGAACAGGCGTCATGTACTCACGTACATGTCAGGACAAATTCACTGAGCCACGCACTGGGTGTCTCAACAACAACAACAACAACAACAACAACAACAACAACAACAACAACAACAACAACGACTACCTCCCACATACCTCCTCTTCCTCTTCCCACTCTTTGCCTTCCTCAGTGAACAGGCGTCATGTACTCACATACATGTCAGGACAAATTCACTGAGCTACGCACTGGGTGTCTCAACAACAATGACCTTCCAAACTACCTTCCGATTACTCGTTCGACCACTTCACCCTCTGCTTCCCTCTCTGAACAGGCGTCATGTATATCGATACGTGTCAGGACAAATTCAGTGAGAGGAGGATTGGGAGTTTCAATAACTACGTTCCGCTTCCTCGGTCATCCCGCCTCGATTACCACGCTCGTTCATTTCCACCATGGCACTCTTGACTTCATTCACTGAACAGGCGTTGTGTATTCACATACATATCAGGACAAATTCAGTGAGAGAAGGATTGAGTGTTTGAACAACAACCTTACGCTTCCTCAATATTCCCACCTCAATTACCACGCTCGTTCATTTCCACCATGGCACTCTTGACTTCTTTCTCTGAACAGGCGTTATGTAAACAATTACATATCAGGACAAATTCAGTGAGACAAAGATTGAGTGTTCCAACCACCACCTTACCTTTCCTTGTCGCTCCTACCTCGATCACTTCGCTCGTTCTTCTCCCCCACGACACCCTTTGCTTCCCCTCAGTAAACAGGCGTCATGTGCTCACATGTCAGGACAAATTTACTGAGCTACGCACTGGGTCTTTCAACAAGAACAACTACTACTACCACCTCCGATTTTCAACAACAACCACCTTCCAATTGCTCGTTTTACCGCTTCGCTCCCTACTTCTCTCTCTAAACAGGCGTCATGTATTCTCACACATGTCAGGACAAATTTTTTGAGAGAAGAATTGGGCATGTCGACAAGCACCTTACATTTCCTCATTACTCCTACCTCGATTCCGCACTTCAAATTCCACTACGTCAACTTTTGCTTCCCTCTTTGAACAGGCGTCATGTAGATCAACTACATGTCAGGACAAATTCAAGAAGGCAAGCATCAGTTGTCTCGAAAAAACCACGCTATCGATTCTTCACACTTTTTTCACCGCTCCTCGCCGGCGCTGTCAGCCCTCAACATTAATCATCTATCTATGATACAACCTTAAATCACCATAATACAACTTCAAACAACATCACACAATTCCAAACAACATTATACAACCTCAACCACCCTCATACAATTTCAAAATCATCATACAACCTCATCCACAATCAGACAACCTCAACCACCATCATACAACCTCAACCACCATCATACAATTTCAAAATCATCATACAACCTCAACCACCATCATACAATTTCAAAATCATCATACAACCTCATCCACAATCAGACAACCTCAACCACCATCACGTAACTTCAAACAACATCATACAGCCTCAACCACCATCATATAAGCTCAATCATCACATAAATCCAAACACCATCAAACAACTTCAACCACCATCATACAACTTCAAACAACATCATACAATCTCATCCACAATCAGACAACCTGATATCACCACCATACAACTTCAAACAACATCGCACAATTTCAAACAACATCATACAATCTCAACCACCATCACATCTCCAAATTTCGATTTCCGCGAAATAAAAAAGAAAAAGACAAGGAAGAAAAAGGCAGGAGAAAACATACAAAGCAGGCTTTCAAAAACAGAACAACAGCCTCACACCTCGTTGGCAACCTCAAGACCACATCAATCCTCTTCTGTATGAACATCTCGAGCCCCATGTCAGCCACAGCACCATTCACTCCGCAGGCTCCCGCGATTGAACGCCTTGCTCCAACTCAAATTCTCAAAAGAAACATCATCTGACTCCAGAAACAACATTCTCATGCTCACCACGAGTTCATCTCTTTGAACTCTGCGATCAATAAACAACGCTTTCCGCACTACTCCATTATTTCACCTGACCTTGCGCAAACTACAGCGCTTCACAATCACCATCTGAGATTCGACGTCAGGCACTTCTCGACACATTCAACCCTCTACTACTGTTTGACTGCCTTCTTTCACTTGCCTTTCGAATCCGATGTATCAATCATCCCCATTTTACATCTGAAAGAAACAACTTCATCTTCCATTGATCTCTCTGAAGCCGCAAGAACTCGCCACTTAGTTACACGCTCCTCAAATGCAACCTCATCCACTCTTCACTCATCTTCTTGTCGTCTCAATGGTGATCAACAACCATCTCGTTGACCGCATTGCAAATCTATGGCCGTTATTGAGCAGCACAGAGTCACTCCCACTATCCTGTGCCTTCACATTCAAGCTCAACCCCATAAGCTCCGCCCTCGACAAGACACTATGACAACATTTCCATTCCCCCAAGGCAGCCAATCATTCTTGGCCATCCACACGAGTCAGTCACACAACGAGATCCGACTTCATATTACTGAGAGCTTTGAGACTTTCCAGAAACATGATTCGATTATATTCATCATGCGACGTCACCTCCGCATAGTTGACTTCTCCGGCGGCTTTGAGAGGGTTCAATCCAAAGATTGAATCATGTATTGAGAATATCACGTCAGCTACCCAGATTCACGCAATTTCTTTTCTCGATGTTTCCGTTCTTTGATCGATCTAGATGAGTGTACATGTCTGTAATGTTTCTCGTGCGATGTAGTTGACAAGCGTTGAGATCCAGCTTGCCCCGCTTGTCTGCTTGACTCTAAATGCACAGTACTGATAGCATGTTTTACTGATTCTCCAGACTTATGCTTGACTTGCTCTTGAAAATTTTCCAATTGACGCCGCAAGGTGTATGCATCGCGGAAGAAGAACTAGATCAAATGGGGAACCGAACAGGGGAGGAAGGGGGGAATCATTATTTACAACTTGGCAACCATCTGGTTACCCTTCTTAATCAGAGCAGCGGCATCCGTGACAAGCTCGTCAACAATAGCCTTGGCCGACTTCTTCTCGTTCACAACAGCAGCAACCTTGCCCATCAGGAATGGACGGGCATTGTCGAGGGTCTCATCGTCAACATCATCGGGCAAGTTCTCAAAATCGTGCTCGACGGGAATGATACCCTGGGCAGTAAGCTTCTTAATCTCGTCTTGGCGGTTCTCCTCCCAGTTGCTGATATAAGCGTTCTTGCGAACACGCATGGGACGACCAGTGAAGATGATGGTACGGATGTTATCCTCAAACCCAGCAGTGCGGACAGCCTCCTGGTGAGCGACGGGGGCGCCGGCCTCCTCGGACAGAATGAAACGGGTACCGATCCAGACGGCGGAAGCACCCAGCATAAGGGCGGCCGCGACAGAGTTGCCGTTGTACAGACCGCCGGCGGCGACGACCTGGACGGGCTGGCCGGTCAGCGGGCTCTTGCGACCCTGGACCAGCTTGGCGACCGTGGGGATCAAGATGGTGGTGGGGACGTCGCCGGTGTGACCGCCGCCCTCACCACCCTGAGCGCAGATGATGTCGACGCCGACGTCGAGCGCCTTCTGCACGTGCTTGGGGTGACCGATCATGTTCATGCAGAGGATACCGGCGGCGTGGAGTCTCTCGACGACGGCCTTGGGGGGAACACCGACGGCGGAGACGAAGAGTTTGGCGTTGCTCTCGATGATGATGTCGACCAGCTCATTGAGCTTACCCTTGGTGTAGTCGTAGCTGAGGAAAGACGAGGAGAAAGAGGTGCCGTTAGCGTTACGGTCACTATTGATCCTCGTTCGGTGCGAGGCAGCATGGGAGTCTTCATTGTCACGTCACTTACTTGGTCTTGCGGGCACTGCCACCGACCTGGGGCAGCAAAAGATCCACACCGAAGGGGGCGTTCTTGTCGTTCAGGTAGCTCTTGAGCTCGGTAACCTGCTCGCGGAGCATCTCCGGGGTGTAACCGACACCACCAATGACACCGAGACCGCCGGCATTGGTGACGGCAGCGGCCAGCTTGGGACCAGCAGCCACGTTCATACCAGCCAGCAGAACTGGGTGGTTGATCTTGAGAAGATCAGTGATGGGAGTGCGAATAACCTCTGTCATACATTATGATCCATGTTAGCGCTGGTCATTGACAAAATGGAGGCCCAGATGGACCACAAATCGGGGGAGGAAGTCATGATCCTATCGGGGAGTGAACTCACGTGGAGAAGCCATGATGGTCTGCTATGGAGGGTTTGATATGGGTCAAATCAAGGGGAAGAGAAGGCCAAATCTGGGGAACAGATCGATCTCTAAATAACGGGCGGTCCTCGGCCTGTCACGGTGTCACAGACCTCTTTTGCAGTGTAATGCCTCGGCCCCGGCATGCCCAGAGTCGCAGCTCTCCTCTTGCCGGACACGCTTAACCCGGTTGGGCTTAGCAAGGGCGGGGTTCAGTTCCAGGTTTCAGCAAAAGGATGATCCAATTGTAACATAAGGCGGTCTGTCTCCTGAATTGTGAGGCAGTCAATTCACTTGGACAATGCGGGGAATGCGATCAATTGTCTAAATGAGGAAGTGGAAGTCGACTTATGCGTGTAGATAGCATGGATGAACTGCCGTACATCTTCTGTCCAATCCACTGCTTCATGTATGTGAACATGCGGTCATCACATTCTCAGAAATACCTTACTTTGATTGCAATGAGCTTCGGTGAGGCGACGCCCCGCCTCGACTCCTCGAAAATGATCACCTCAGCACCTGCCGCTGATCGAAGCCGGCACGTGTTCTGTAAGCCTGAGAATTGAGGCCATAAGATAGCCAGTTCTTCAGGCATCAAAGGACGTCAACCTTGCCGGAGACCTTCATCCGAGAGAGTGGTGCATGCGAGTGTTCCGAAGTACTCGTTCAACCTAGATCGAGAGAACAACTTTGTGTGAACATTGAGATCTTCTTCACCTCCGTACTAGTTGTCGTGATTCAGGGTCGTGAATTTACCGACGGCTCGAGGTTCAAGAATGTTCATCTCTGCTGGGGTGCGTTCGTCCAACTTATGGCGATCTGTGCGACCGGCGTGCTGCTTTCCGCCCTCTTCATTGTCTGCGGGAGCCTCGACGCTAAGTAGCCGGGCATTTTCTCGCTCAGAAGCAGGGAGGTAAGTGACAAATTATGTGCATTCATGGGAAATTCTTTCCTTGTTGGCCAGACATTGATGTTCCGCTCTGAAGTCTGTCCAGTTCATGTCCAGTCCCGAGTCCAAGTGAGTCAGTCCCGTTACTTTTTCCCCACGACCTTATCGATCATGTTATCGGCATGGCGTCAGGAAAAAAAAAAAGAAAAAAAAGGAAAAAAAAAATCGCCCCCGCGATCGTGTCTGGAGATTTGAGATTTTGAACCCCCGTGAGGATGTGCCAAGTGCAGAAATACTAAGTTAATACAGAAACCCTCCAGACGAGACGTATATTTTCTGCATCTGTTCTGGACAGGAATGCGAATCTAAGCTGTGTTCCTGCGCTGTCTAGATCTCAAGTACCCGCTCACACATTCTCCAGCGGAACGATGCCGCACCAAGAGTCCACGGCGTACCCAGTCCGTAATGGATGTCAAACCCACCGTGCATTTATTGCACTGGGAAGCAATATGGGTAACCGGGTCGAGATGATTGAAAAGGCATGTCTTGAACTGGATGAAGCAAATATCAAAGTCTTAAGAACGAGCTCGCTTTTTGAGACGACGCCAATGTATGTGCTGGATCAAGACACGTTCATCAATGGAGTCTGCGAGGTAAGAAGATCGATGTTGCATTTTCCCTCATATGCCCAAGCTCAGCGAACTGGAAAATAGGTCGAGACGCATCTCTCGCCGATGGAGCTTCTGGATGCAGTGCAATCCATCGAGAATGCACTGGGTCGAAAGAAGTTGATCGACAAGGGCCCACGCTCAATTGATCTGGATCTCTTATTGTACGACCGGGAAGTGTTCGAGAACGAACGACTGAGTATTCCACATAAGCTGATGCTGGAGAGAGACTTTGTCCTTCGGCCACTCTGCCAGTGCGTCTCCTCCCAGCTTTTCCCTCGAACAACAAGTCAATTTTTTTGCCCTAACCACCTGCAGATTGATCCCACATGAACGACCACCTCATTCAAAGTCTCACACGCCGACTTACTTGGAGCATTTGAAAGCTCTTCCGCCACCAGAGCCCACTCCTCACTCAACCACACCGATCTCGGCAAGCTTCCCTTCGCTCCATGCTACCGATCCCACTCGCAACACGCATGTGATGGCCATTCTCAATCTGACGCCTGACTCCTTCTCTGACGGAGGCGTCCATTCCCCAACTGACATGAGCAAACTGACCGAGACGGTCCGCAAGTTCATCGCGTCCGGTGCCACCATCATCGATGTCGGAGGCGAGAGCTCTCGCCCCGGTTCCACTCCCGTTGGCGCAGACGAGGAGATCGCCCGTGTAGTTCCAGTAATTGCCCACATCCGCAAAGCTATTCCAGAAGCTGCGAAGATTGCCATCAGCATAGACACCTACCGCGCGCGCGTAGCCGAGGCAGCCTGTGCCGCCGGCGCCGACATTATCAACGACATCTCCGGCGGCCTGTTAGACCCGGACATGCTCGCCACGGCTGCTCGTATCGGGAAATCCATCATTTTGATGCACATGCGCGGAACACCACAAACAATGACAGGCCTCGCATCATACCCTAACGGCGTGATCCCCGAAGTTACCGCCGAATTGCGAGAGCGTATCGCCGCTGCCGAAGCCGCCGGTATTCGGCGATGGAGAATCATCCTCGACCCGGGCCTGGGCTTTGCAAAGAACCAACCACATGATCTGGAGATTCTCCGCAAACTTGATCGACTGAAGACGGCAGAAGGTCTGGAATGCTTCCCGTGGCTGATGGGCCCCAGTCGGAAAAGATTCATCGGTCACATCACTGGAGTGAAGACGCCGAGGGAGCGCGTCTGGGGCACCGCTTCAACAGTCACGGCAAGTGTCGCTGGCGGTGCTGATATTGTGCGAGTTCACGATGTGCATGAGATGTGGCAGGTGACAAAGGTTGCTGATGCGATTTATCGAGCTTGAACGGGTCTCGCGCGTCCGTTTTTATGGTGGGAGTTGGCGTTCGTGTTGGCCTTTGGCTATCTTCATTTCGACTTCTTGGTTCGTCTATTCTTTATTTCAACATTGCATCATTGGGCGACTTTTCGTATTATATTCCATTTCATCATGGAGTTACTGGATGAACAGTCCATTTCTGGAGCTTCACTGCTGGAAACATGTGTTTGACTATCAAGCGGATTTTGGAAGTATTGTTGTCTATGGTAAATGATTCTTGTGGCAAGAGAAGCCTTGGAAATATTAATCGCTAACGTCCCAAGACTTCCATACAAATAAAGCGCTTGAATAAACACACCTGAAAACACTAGCGAAAGCTTTCGACGCGCATAATAAACTGATCGTATTCATAAATAAGAGGTGAAACTATAGTATAGCGAGCATTCAAATACAGATTATAGAGTTTTCAAAGGCGAAAGAGAACTGCTCGTTTTAAGTGTCCTGAGAGTTAAAGACGAAGGGAAAATCGGGAGCACTGAATGGAAACAGCTTCTTGTAACGAGTTTCTCATTACAGTAGGTGAGTAGGCAGCCAGTTGGCTTATGATGAGAAACTATGGTAGATATACCTACACCAACGCTTGCTCCGTCTGATCACTTTCCTTATCCGCCTTAACCACAGCACTTGATCCCAGCCAGAACAATCTCGTGACGAACTTGTTCAACTCTCGCAGATGTATAATCTCTGCCTTTGTCAGTTCGAGCATGGGCATTTTGCGTATCATGTTGCCAGTTGATGTCAGTACCTCGAGATCATCGCGTGATCGATGGTCTAGCGGGTGGATGACGATGTTGAGGAAGAGCGTCAGCGCAGCCACATGTGCGTAGCTCGTCACGTACCTTTGCATTCTGGTTAGTGAAAGCTCGCTTTTATCGGAAGACATACCCAATGAGGGGACCTGGTAAAGAGCTAGGGAAAGGGAGCTTACTGGAATGCGCCCTGGCCAACCCGATCGATCAAAAATTTCAAGCAGCGGATGATCGAGCGACTTGCTTCCAGGGATATGTCGAAGCTTGAGTGGACAACGGAGTGAAGATTGGGACTGTTCTCGCTGGTCGCATCTTTGCACTTTCGAACAGTCGTGTGCGTGACCGTCATCAGATGCAGATACTCTAATTGCAAAGCCGTGCGCCGAATCATGATCGGAACATCGCCACCAGCCTCATTCGGCAAAGTCTCATCAGAGACAGAAAGCACTGGACGATATTCTTCACGGAAAGAAAGGCGCCAGTCTTCAATGAGCTCATCTATTTCTCGGATATGTTGAAGAAGTTGATTATTTTTTGCACGATTTGCCGCACGCGAGAACAGTCTCTTATAGACTTCCTCTTTCAGTGGCGATATTTCAAGGTCACCAGGTAGATGAGCTCTGAAGAATTGAGAAGGCTTGGGTGGCAATGCCTTCAATGTACCAGTCTCTCGATCGATGATGTGAGCGCATGACTGGAACTCTTCCCAGGGCAGGTAATTGACAGGCACGGCCAAGTCACAGTAGATCTCAGCAAGATAAGGCGGCCTGCCCGTGAACAATGCGACGTTCTTGTCTATGATAAAGGATATCCAGAAGAGCAACTGCATGTGCTGCCAATTTCGGAATGCTTCAATATCGGGCATACCGACTATTATGGGTCGTAGATCACGAGTCCCGCCCAGCTCGCGAATGATGAGGAACGCGATGAGTCCATAGGACGATGCGCCGTGCCAGTGACCGCGAAGCATACTGAGTATTTGCTACGTTGTCAAGTTAGTTTTCAGCCTCTGAGCAGTTTCGCTTGAAGCAATCACTTACTAGCACAATTGCAGCCTCCAGAGTGGGATACGTCCCGTCCGATTTGATTGATTCCAAGAGATAATGTGCTTTTGCCGCATAAATATCCTCGTCTTCGGGCAGGCAGATACGCGGCGCGTTCAGATGAGACTTAAGGGCCAACATGCTGAAGACACATAAATTGGCTGAGACTTGAGCGGTCGAGTAGTGTGGTCCTTTTTGAGGCTCATACGCTTTCTCCACCTGTCTCTTAAACATGATCTCATCGAACACCGGGTACGCAAGCCTAAAAGAGGACTCAATGTAGGCTTTCAGGACATCGAGAACCACAGTCTTGTCCGGTAACTCGCAAAGCGCAGTCAGAGGGAGCGAGTCACCAGGCAATCCAGCAGACAGTTCCTCAATGGGAATGCTGAAATCAGCCGGTGAGACTGGCTGGCCCGTCCTTTGGGAGATCCATTCCAAGCCAGCCTCGGACGACATGGCTATGCCATTGAAATACCAATTGGGACCCCATCGGCATGTATACTGGCTTAGCTCACGCTGACGCGACTTAGCCTGAGAAGCTATCTCAGAATCGCTTCTCTGTTTATGGACAGGTGGAGAATCAGAATTATGAGAAGGATCGCTCTCCTCATCGCACCTGGAAGCTGTCGACTCGCGGTTGCTAATTGCTGATGATTCCTCAGCAGCAATGCAGGCCGACAAGGAACCCTCTAGCGTTTGCACACGCTGGAGGAGACTTTGTATATCACTATGTAGAAGTACAGAGGAAGACTTTAGCATCACCATGCTGGGCTCGAGCACGCCCGGTTTGAGCTCATCAGAGATATTGCTCACCTGCTACGTCTTTTTTTCCGCGGAGCTTCTCTGTCAAAGGTGCATTCAACTCCACGATTCTTGCACCATTGACAAGGGTCATCCGAGTTCTCGAGGATGCATTGGCCCTGTGTCAGATATTGAACATCTTGAAGCATACAGGACTGGGAGGCGAGAGCTTTCAATTCGGAAGGAAGGTAAGTTGACTACCTTTCTCTTATAGCATGCATCGCATGCCTTTTTCTGAGGCGGAGCCGTTTTCTGAGGTGGAGCCTTCTTTGAAGACGCTTTCCGTTTTGGTGGCATTGTGCCTGGACTGAATCCTCGGACGAAAGAATTGCAAGCCCTTTCTCTGGATGAAATGGTAAACAAGTACTGTGTATGTCTGGCGCGTTCCACGCATGTTGAGGCTTCGGAGGTTTCGGAGGCCGCTGTTGACTTCACATGAGAAGAGACGGCGCACGTCACGCGTGTGATTGGTCCCACGGTGGACTTTGGCGGGAAAGGCGATTTTCTTATGGCTCGTGCTCGGTCGACACTCCACTTCCTCAATCAATCTCACAATTTACGAATGCTACTGTTAGCGGACTATGGAACTTGGGAGTCGGGACTGCCGTAGCGAGGAGCTCGTACGGACAATCTTCGCAAGCGGCAATGTTTGATTCCAGCTTAGAATACCTCATACCCCCCGTCGAGTTTGAACAGGCACTTTTCGTCTGACACACCGCACTTTCTTACCGCTTTGAAGATCATGATCGACAGTCGAAGTGAGCAGGCGACTACCGAGGAATGCAGTCCTCTCATCGGAGAGCCCGAACAAGCTGAGGCTCTTATCTCACAGAGGAGCCGAGACTACGACGGCCACTATGGAAACGTTGCACCGAGCATAACATATCGTCTTTATGTGTCTCACTTTTTGTCGACATGGAATTCACGCGTGTTCGAATTCGGCGCGGTCTTGTACTTGGCCACCATCTACCCGGGGACGCTGCTGCCCATGTCTGTCTATGCACTGTCCCGTGGAATGGCAGCAATTGTTTTTGCGTCGGCAGTGGGTAACTACATCGACGTGGGCAATCGTTTGCAAGTCGTTCGATTGTCGATCGGTAAGTGACACGCCACACAGAGACATGTGATCGTAATCGACTGAGTGTTACATAGTGTTGCAGCGGCTTGTCGTTGCTGCCTCCTGCATAGTATTCTATGTTCTAGCAGTGGACACGTCTAAGTCTCAATTGGTCAATTTGTGCCTTCTTGCGATCCTCACAGTGTTGGCCTGCACTGAGAAACTGTGCTCGATCCTAAACATGGTATCCGTCGAAAAGGACTGGGTGAGTTGTCGTGAGAACTCGGCCTGCCAACGATCACTCATGTTTCTGTGCTAACTTCTTCCAACAGGTGGTTGTTATTGCGGGTGACAGCCACGGGGATCTCAGAGGTTCGTATGCTAAACTACCCCAATACTAAGTGTGTGGAAAGCTAACTTGGCCTCGGGCAAAGCTATGAACGCTCAGATGCGACGAATTGACCTCGTTTGCAAACTCCTCGGACCTCTATTCATAGCTCTATTGGACGGTGTCTCCGCGCAGACTGCTATTATCGTGAATTTTTCAATGAACCTGTGTTCAGTGGTTATTGAATACTACTCGATCGCCAAGGTAGCTGTTCAGTTCATTTCATATCTCAGCCGTGAAGCCTTCAAGGGTCATCTTTCTTACCGACTCATGCAGGTGTACTCCGAAGTACCGGAACTACAAGAGCCGAAGGACGCGTCGGTAAATCAACTGAGGACTCCGACACAGGCAAGCTCGAGTCTGCGTGCCGCCTGGGACTCAATTCGCAAGAGTTTTGGACAGTCTATGAAAGACATTACCTCCTACTTCAACCATCACCTTTTTCTCCCATCCTTTGCAAGTGCGCTCCTATACCTCACCGTCCTCTCCTTCTCTGGGCAAATGGTTACATGGCTCTTGTCCACAGGCTTTGATTCCACGCAGGTTGCTGTGGCGAGAACTGTGGCCGTCGCATTTGAGATGTTAGCCACATGGGTCGCTCCGTTCCTCATGGGAAGGATAGGGACGGTCCGCGCTGGCCTGTGGCTGGCAACCTGGCAGATAATTTGTCTAGCAGGCGGATTTGCGATCTTCTGGAGGTTTGCAAATCGGCCGACCGTTTCGGCATCTGGACTCGTGGGTGGCACCATTCTCAGCCGATTAGGCCTCCGGGGCTTTGATCTTTGCGCGCAGATATTGGTCCAGGAGGTAGGTTACTGAATTTCTGTGATGACTGTAATCTGGTACTGATTGGAATCATGTTTCTAGGGAATTGAGGCTGGCGAGAGAGGCTCATTCTCCTCGACCGAGGCTGCCTGGCAGAATCTTTTCGAAATATGCTCATACATTTCCACCATCATCTTCTCTCGGCCTGACCAGTTCGAATGGCCAGCGCTGATTAGCATCATAGCAGTGACTCTCGCTGGAATCTTCTATGCGCTCTATGTGCGTACGCAGCGAGGGCACCTGTTGCACCTCCCTGCCTGTTTGACTCCCGAGCGCCTCCAGAGATCAGGAGAAGGCGTTTTGAACAGAATTTCATCCAGCTCGGACATGTGATGTCTATAACTCTTCAATGAACATGTTTCAACGCAATGATAGTCCGCCTTGCTCAGTGTAATAAACGAACTTCGAACGAACTCGAACGTGGCCGTCCAATGTTTTGAGTAAACGTTTAGATGTATGACGGACTAATCATGTTCCGACCTGAAAATGGGATCTCGACCAGCTGCAGGATCCCTCGAATCGTACTCTTTCCAAAATAGACGGGTTTTCTTCCTTTTGTTCGCTAGGAACAAATATCTACAGCTGGAACCTTGTGAAAAATATTCAAGAGGCACATGCACTACATCGATGGAATATGCTTCTTTTCCAGGATTTGTGTTTTCATTCAAAAAAAAAGTGGTCTTCATAAATTGACAGATAGCTAGTCTATCGTGCACTGATTACACAAATTCCAATTTCCAGAGGTCGCCAAGCCGCTCATTTGACTCTCCCAGCCCACCATGAACAATGACCGCACTCGAGGACATGACATCGGCATCAAACCAGCCTCTGGCGACCGGAGACTTGGTGCCTTGCAGCTCCACGGTTTCCCAATTCTTTCTCTCAAGGTCAAATGCCCACACATCGCTCAACATCTTCCCAGCGCCCTGATGTCCAAGAGAGCTCGGATCCCGCTCTCCAAACAGAGTAACTAAGTACGAGCGACCTCGCACACTGATCGGAAGCAGAGCACTCACGCTCCGAGGCGACGGACCGTGCTCACCATCAGCAGAGTAGACATGTGTCTCCCAGGTGTTACTTTCTGGGGTGTAAATGTCTAGATTTCCGCCCTGCTCCGTCTTCCCATCAAACCCGTTCATCCTGTACAGTTTGCCGTTCGTGAATGCGATCGAGGTTCCGCCGCGAGGCGGCCCAGGCGCAGCTTCGCATTCTCTCCATTCTCTGCGTGAGACGCTGAAAGACCACAGGTCTGACAGTCGGCCTGATTCGGGACATCCGGCGTGGACGTAGAGTGTGTCTTTCCCGTCGCTTGCCATGCAATGATAGCTTCGGGCGGCGGGGACAGCAGTGGATCCGGTCATTGAGGGTTGGATCAGACACCAGCTCGTAGTCGAGGGATCATATTCCCAGATTGAACCCTGCTCGTCGATGGGAGCCATAGCGACGCCACCTCTTCCGGAGAAAAGGTACATTTTGCCATTGAGTGCTGCAGATGCGGTTCCCACGCGCGCAGAGGGCGAGAGGGAAGCTGCGGGCTGGGAAAGTATCTCCGCGGTAGCTGTAAAGTCGAAGTAATTAGCCTCATTCAGTCAATACGGACGTCCTTCTTTTCGGCTTGCATCGTACCATTGTCGTGCAACGTCACGGCGTGGACATCATTGTCTCTCGGCTCACGAGGCCGCAACTCTCCGCCAAAGACGTAGACTCGATCACCAATGACCGAAACCACCTGAGACGAGCGCTGCAGAATCTCGTCATCTTGAAGCTTGTGACACTTGGCAGGGATGGCCATTGCGAGAGACAGAAATAGTCCACTGTATGCTGGTGACCAAAGGGTGGAATGAGATCCTGCTCGTGCTGATTGACGAGAAGATGGTATTGATGTCTTAGCTGCGCGCAAAAGGCTTCCAACTAGGACAAAAAAAGATTGAAGAGGTGTTTTGAATTTGAAGACCTCACGTCCTAGACAAGCAACTCGGTCGCAATAAGTAGTACGCCGCAGCTCCCAGGGTCATCAAACCCACGGCCCATCAGCGTCCAAAGAAGTTGATGTGTATTTGTGGAGGCCTCGGGAGGGTCCAACTTGCAGCAGGTGGCGCGCTCAAGGGACCACTTAGAAAGAGGGAAATCAACTCGTATTCTGGGGTCAGTCGTACGCTAGTCCCAAAGGGGAAAGACCGTCGTTTTCCAAAGCAAAGAGCGGCCTCCGAAACCTCCGAAAGTCCTCAAAGTCAGCAATGACCGCTCAAAGCGATGACTTGAACGTTTTATGATGATCACAGGTTCTCTAACCATATCGACCTCGAATACTGAGATTTTTGCCAGGGCTGATGCCACCACATTCTCCCAGTCAAATCCGTCTGCGGCATCTTCATTGCCAAGTCATTGACGTGGGTGCTCATGTCAGGCAGCAGTCTTCCGCCGGTCTCGTCGACGATGTGAAGGAGAACTCGAGAACTATGCATCGCCGTCGTCAACAACATGCCGGAAGATATGGCTTCAAGAGTGGCCCTTGGAGAACAAGAGGGGTTGCAGTCATGCGGAAGCAACTACTTCAACTGACTGGCACTGCCGCGCTTCAAGTCTCTGTACAGTGGAAGGGAAGGGGAACTCGATTACAGTCCACAGGAACCCGCAAACAGACAGCTGGATGATTTCTGTCCTCGGTGTTATATCTGAGCAAAGAGGCCAGCAGCGGGCAGGTTCTGGTTGCGGTCTTTGAGGCTCAGTATCAGAATTTGTAATCGAGATTTCCTGGGGTGTTAACCTCCTGCTGCGGGTTAGGCATAATATCTTGTCTGACTATGTCCACTCGGTATTCTAGAACAGTGCAGAGGTCGGATGTACTATGTAATAAAAAAAGCAAAGATTCTTTTGGTTCGCACTCACTGGATACTCTTCCAGACCAACGCCGATTTCGAGGAAACTAGATCGGTCAGCTTCGGATATGCCTTGAGCTCATACCCTCTGCTACCCTGACGCTTACATGTCTACTAGCCCGTGTTGTTTGTGCTGTTCAAGGACAAGTTGAATATTGGGTATCTTAAAAGGCACATGCGAAAAAGCCCAATCGCTCTAGAAAGATCAACGGCGAAGTGCGTCATAGGGAGTAATTTGGAGGGGGATCCGAGAGCGATTCAACATTTCAATGCTCACATGACGATCTGTTGGCGACTGATCAATTCTGGCCAGCCGTATTGGATGTAAATATGCTCCTAGTCAGAAAGGCAAGAAGCAGTCATGTTTGGGATAAAGATCATATAGTGCTTCCATATCCAATCAGAAGGCGACTATTCTGCCAGAGGTGAGATCCTCGGGCTGGCGGTGTAATGGCATCTTCGTAATGATTCTCACAGGGAAATGAATCTAGGTGGTTTGATGTAGGTCAAAGACAGACACAAAATTATCATATCTACTTGTAATGTGCGCAATTTTCTTTGCTGACTTTGAGCGCATGACATCACTATATATCAACAATGTTTGTATGGTTTTAGGTACAGATTTTTCCAACAAGAATGCATGACATATCGCGCACGTGAGACTTTCTCCGCTTGCTATCGGCCTTATCGGGGGACCACCGAGTCCCGAATGTAACATGCAGCCAAGAAGAACATCTTCGTTCCAAAAGCAGCCACAATCCACATCCGACATGAACGCGCAGTGTCTACGAACGTTAAAGCCAGCGCTACAGAGCGCTCCGTTGGCATTGCGCCTTACAACACGGCGAGAGCTCGCTCGACACTATGCGACTCAAACTGGTCCACGGCCAAAGCGGAGAAATATCACGGTCTTGTCAGACGATGGTCGATACGAATGGGGTGAATTGAGCGGGCGGGAGAAGGTGTCGCGAGCAACACAGCAGTCCATCAACTTTGTTGTCGTGATTGCTGGTGCTGTTTTGACGGTATGAACACCCATTTTGTGCGCAGCCTTGACGAAGAAAGCAATGAGCTTTCGCGGAATCTTCTTCGACATGATCGCTGACAGGACCTGGAATGTTCTCAGGGCGGAGTATTCTATCTTTTCTGGACAGACGTGGTGTCTCCGAACAGCCGGACATGGCAGTACGAGAAGGCCGTCGAGCGCGTCAAAGAAGATCCCAGGTGTATACAACTTTTGGGCGACCGCAGAGAGATCAGAGCATTCGGAGAAACAACAAACAGCCGCTGGGCACGAAATAGGCCAATTGCGTGAGTTATACTAGAGATGAGACATCAGAAATCTCGGCGACTACATTTCGGGAGGGCGAGCTAATGACGGTGGGCAGTTCCACTATCGAGAAAGACCGGTTGGGCCGCGAGCATCTTCGGATGAACTTTAATGTGCGTATCACTTGCTCTGGTTCGTCTACGAACCCGCTCGATTAACCTCATTGTCTAGGTCGAGGGCCCATTGAATACCGGCGTCGTCTTCGTGCACCTGATGAAACCATTAGACAAGGATGAGTGGGAATATCAGCTTTTGGCGCTGGATGTGAAGGGACATTCCCGAATCATCTTGGAGAAAGCCGCAGAAAAGCCCGGTGTGGCCAGTTCACTGAAGCTTTTTGGTATTCAATGGCGTTGATGCGGGCTTCCATGCCAACATCTGCCGTGAAAGGGTGATTCAGTATTCCGGTTACCAGTTGCCCGTGCGATGGACCTTGCCCAAAGCTGGTGGCTCGACAGAGATGCTCTTCGGTTCTCGCTTTGGCGGGTCCTTTTAGGTGACGTTCGTCCTGTTCTCGGTCCTTGTCTGAGAGGACATGGAATTGTGAGCCTCGCTGGCTTTACTCCAGGCAAGAGTGACTGGCCGTTTCTATTGACGGTCGCTCTATGTTATTCTTCCATTAGCCTGCAATCGTGTCAAGTCGAAAGACAGACTCGCCATCTGCCTTTTCCACGTTGTCAACCGCCTTCAGGATGAAAAGAAATGTCTGAGTCTATCGACGATTCTTTACGTGGGAGCCCGCTAGGGTGCGACACCCCGTACGACGTTCATGCTTCAAGTTATTGTGGAACTTTACATATGCAAATTGTCTGTACGAAATTCGGCTTTGAACTCGGCTTTTCTAAGTCTCCGAGCGAGCGACCAAGGCTGGAAGAGGGTTCTCTCTAGTCCAGTCTCGCCCTGAATGAATCATTCCATCGCGAGAATGAGCTCTTTTGCTTCTAGAAATCCGTATTGCATCCAGATGGATAAAGTTCTCGGCATGAAATTGTAGGATTAGAAGGACCAGCTTTCAGCTTAATGGGTAATATTTAAGTACACATTTCATAGATACAGAATGTCATGTACCATCCTTTCAAACTTGGCTGGGTCTGCCGAGATGATCTCCACCGCCGAAGAGGGCGAGTGGCAGAAACGCAAATTGCCCAAGTGGGCTCTCGGTCCCTTGACAAGGACCACGTTCGCCGTTCCCGATAACTTCATCTCGGCTTCTTTGCTGGTTGCTCAGCTATACTTGCTCTCCACCCCCTTTTTGCCCCTTGTGACAAAGAAGCAATCATCCACCCACGATGAGTGCCTCCAAGGCGCAGTCTCAAAAGATTTTTGAGAAGCTGAAGCTCAAGCCTGCAAACAAGGTATGTGTCACCCCACCAACATCTTATCTGCTGCCCGAAGTCGCAGGTCGCTTGACTCCAATGTGGTCTGGTCACGATCCACTGACATCTTGTTGGCGAGTAGATTTGCTTTGACTGTGGCTCCAAAAATCCAACTTGGTCCTCAGTGCCATTCGGTATCTACCTCTGTCTTGACTGCTCGGCTCATCACCGCAACCTTGGTGTTCATATCTCCTTTGTTCGGTCCACGAACCTCGACCGTACGTCGAATCGGCTCTCACCGTTCCCCAAGTTGGCCACGAATCACTGCAAATTGACTGACTGCTGGATATGGCACAGAATGGCAATGGGAGCAACTTCGAGTGATGAAAGTCGGCGGTAATGAGTCTGCGACGAAGTACTTCCAGACTCACGGTGGGTCAGCGGCACTCTCGAGCAAGGATCCCAAGACCAAGTACACCTCCAATGCCGCGGTTAAGTATAAAGAGGAGTTGAAGCGTCGCGCTGCGCTTGACCAGCAACAGTCAGTTTCCCCCTCTCCTCTACGGGGTGGTATGTCGTGATAGGCGAGAATGTTGACCGTTGGCTTTAAACAGATACCCGGGCGAGGTCGTCATAACAGATATCCCCGCAGGAACTCCATCAGATGGCTCTGCGACACCCGCTGGTGATCAGGATGATGACTTCTTCTCTTCATGGGATAAACCCTCCATCAAGCGGCCCAGCAACCCTCCATCTCGCACCGGAACCCCACCTGTCGTGAGCCGCAACGGCTCCCCTTTCCTGAACGCCGGAACGGGCGCGAACGGTGCTCGCTCAAAGTCTCCCTTGTCCGCATCTGAAGAGAAAGTTGCCTCGCCTGCTCCGACCGCTATTCGCGCAAACTCGGCTGCCCGCAAGACCACCCCGGGCACTGCCGCGAAAAAGGGCAGCATTCTCGGGGCTAAGAAGGCGCCTAAGCTCGGCGCCAAGAAGGTGGTGGCAAGTGAGATTGACTTCGATGAGATGGAGCGCAAGGCCAAGGAGGAGGCCGAGCGCATTGAGAAGCTCGGTTACGACCCCGAAGCCGAGCAGGCTGAAGCCAAGGCGGCCGCCACACCAGCTATCACTGCCCCTACCCCCATTAGCCCGACTCGTGGTGGATTTGGAGCCACCAGCAAGTCGTCCCAAGAGCGTAACTCTGGCGATGTCGAGAGGTTGGGCATGGGAATGAGCAAGCTCGGTTTTGGTCAGGTATCGAAGCCCGCGGCTCCTAAGAAGCTTGGCTTTGGTGCCGTGGGCCCTGCCAAGTCCAACATGGATGGTATGAATCAGTTCTGGCATGAAAGTGCAGAAGGATCACGTGCTGACGTCAGAATAGAGGAAGAACTTGCCGAGGCGAAGAACCGCTTTGGCACTCAGAAGGGTATCTCGTCTGATGAATTCTTCGGCCGTGATCGTTTCGATCCTAAAGCCCAGGCGGAAGCTAAGCAGAGACTGGGTGAATTTGACGGTGCTACCTCCATTTCCAGCAATGCTTACTTCGGCCGACCGGAGGATGATTTGCCTGCAGGCGACGATGGCTATGGAGACCTGGAGAACGCTGCGAAGGACTTTGTCCGTCGATTCGGAATCACCGCTGGCGACGACCTCGAAAATCTGACCCAGCTGGTCGGTGAGGGAGCCACGAAACTCCAAGGAGCCATTCGCAGCTATCTCAACAGCTAAGTGAGAAGCCAAGCCATCCTCGGTCTATACCGGCTTTGGTTGTCTGTTTTCAATACATAGCATTTTTGACGGACCTGTCCCTTCCCGTTGGTCACTTCTCGATTATTCCCCGTGATGCATGATGAAAAATCTCGTGTTTTAGTTCCCAGCTCGCCTGCTTCAGCTACTACCTCTTATCTTCTTGTGCACCAGTATAAGATATGGGCACATGAAATGGACCAGGCAGCCAATTGCTTATTCCTTACACAGCTTTTGCCTCCTTCTATTCCCGCCTGTCCCATGACTTTCACAGGATCAATGGGGGGCGTAAAGTAAATCAGGATCTTCTTATCTTGGGTTTCTCAATTGCGGCTGTCACTGTCTGCTTGATATCATATATCTGATATATAAGGTTGACGATGTTTCTTCCCTTTGAAGCCGTCCACTTGGTTAAATCTGTGAGTTCTTTGCGGGATTGATTCACTGCATGGACGAGACCAAGGATAATTTATAAGCCTCTGATAAGTTCAACTTTCAATTTCTTCAATATTCTCGCCAGATATCAGCGACATAAGCCTCCGTCAATTGCTCATCGTCCCCGTACTTTTCCTGCCACTGAACGAAGCCACCCTCTAAAATGTAAATCTCTTGCTTCTTGCTTTCTTCCTCTCCAAGAGTGCGCTCACGCTCACGGGCATAACGCAGAGCTGCAGAGGGACCACGCTGCTGGCTGAGAGCACAATGGAAAACTACCTTGTCCATGTCCTTGAGGGTGCGAAGAAGCTCAGGAAGACGCACGTCCAAACTGGAGCTCGGTACCCATGTCGATAATTTGATATGTCCACCGATGTGATCTGAATGGTGTAATGAGTATTATAGCAAGACACGAGAGAGAGAGAGAGGACTATTTCTGTCTTTTATTATTGGAATGTTCATACCTGAATCCCGAACATCAACAATTGCTAGTTTGTCGGCTGGAGTCTTTGAGCGAAGGAGGGCCGAGAGGGCATCGCGGCTCATGCGTGGTAAAGTTGCGATGGATATGGAAGACATTGTTTATGTGCAATATTCAAATATATATGGGCTGACTGACGAACAATTTGTCTGTTCCTGGTTGCCCCGCTAAAATCCTATCAAAGCTATGCTCCGATGATATCCATGCATGCGACTCGACTCGATTGGGGGCACTGTGTACGTTCACGTGATCTCTAATTTCTCCCGATTTTCCCAGCAACCCGCCGGCGCTCCGCACGACCAGCATCTGTTTACGCGCAGTTCAACCTCAGATCTTGCGGAGCATTTTCTGAACCTGTTCAGCTCCCCTCCCTGCGCTCCTGTCAGCTTTCAAGTGCACTCATCAAGGGATTCGTCATATCCTGTTTCCTCTTCCCCAGAGAAGCAATGGACACCCGTCTCCTGGCACGAGGCCTCCGTGCCCGGCCAACACCATGGCTCCTCAGTGCTCACCAGCAACAGCAGCCCATCACCCTCACCACACTCCGCTACAATTCCTCCAACACTTCGCCACAAAAGACCACCCACCCAACATCCTCAGAAGCCTCCACCACCACTACGCACACAACACCCGCCGCGGTCGAAGACCAACCACCCGCCCCCAAGCCCGCACCCACCAAGACCGTCGCCTCCGACTTTGACGAAATCCTCAACAAGCTCGACCTCGGCAACCGCAACACTCTCAACGCCAAGGGCGAACCCCGCCGCATCTTCTCCGACGCGGTCTCGCGCTCCGTCGGCGGCGTCGGCTCGCAGGCGTTCAAGGACCGCGCCGCGCAGCAGCTTGCTTCTCGCAAGGTGGAGCTGAAGCTTGGGCCTACGCTGGGTCGTCAGGTCCATGTTGAGCCGGAGCGTGGATTGGATCTGCCGGCTGCGATTCGTCAGCTGGAAATCACTTGCAGTACGAATCAGATCAAGGCGGATTCACATAAGCAGAAGTTTCACAAGCGGAAGGGTGCGCTGCGGAAGGAGTTGCGTCGGACGAGGTGGAGGAAGCTTTTCCGTTTCTCGTTCCAGGAGACGGTGAAGAAGATCCAGCGGATGCAGGCGCAGGGATGGTAGAATCTCGAGGGAGAATGGGGATTTCCGAGACTCCGGACTATCCTTTTTGGTGGTCTGTATATGTATACATATATGTACACGGAAAATTTTTGTATGAGAGAGGGCGCTTGGCTGTGAATTGGGGGGTTCTTTTGAGGCTTCTCTTTCTCAGCAAGGCTGCTGCTTGGTTGCGCAAAACATGTATCACTACCGTTGGAAGCATTTGTCTATTTTTCCAGTTTCTGTCATCAGGGGGCTTCTTCTTATTTTTTTTTCCTTCCAAATAGAGTCTACTCCATTGAAGGGAAAGAGGTCTTTATATTCAAAAACTTTTGGTAATATACCAGTCACTTTCATGTCTAATGAAAAAGGCATACGTCCCAGTCAATCTTCCTTTGCGGAAACATGTCTTATATACAGCCAAGATTCGCCGCAAGTCAAGCTGTCTTTGCAGGAGCTCCTCAAATGCTCTCAGTCCCTCTTCCCTGTGGTAAACCCTCCATATCCGGAACCTCCTCCACCCCCGCTTGTAACGACTCCGTTGGACGGTCCAGCAGAGTACCCTCCATACCCATTCATCCGTCCGCCGTTGCCAAACGTGATCCCAGATCCCTTGCCTTTCGCCATGGGAGCTCCCAGAATTCCATCTCCACGCCACCCTGAACGACCGCGCAGCCGGTCACCATTGCGCTCCCAGTAGAGTGCCGCCATGGCCCCCAGCGAGGCGGCCAGCACAAAGAAGAACATGCGCGATAGAATCGAGCCAGCCGCGGAGCTACTGCGTCCAGCTCCACTCAGCTCCAAAAAGGACTTTGAAGCTGGACGTTCCGGCCACCCAATGCCCGCGCCACCTTCAATCCACGCAATATGGAAAGAGAACGTAAGCGGCTCCCCGCGAATGACCTTGGTCCCGTGGCCTGCCGTCCAAGGCTCCCGCGCAGCTTGGGCAATTTGTACAGCCGTCTCATTCTTGTCCGAGGAGGCCTTCTTGGGGGAGGCCTCGAACTCGGGCGTGGAGTAAGCTGTGCCTGCCACGGCGTATCCAGACTGGCCAGACAGTCCATTCTTTCTTCCCTTGCGCGACTGCGCCGCAGGATCCGAGGGAATGCTATGCATCAGCATGTTCATATCCGTCCAAATGTGCAGATGGCTGAGCTGCAGTGTTCCCTGCAGCGCAATGGTGACGGGTGTGAAAGGCGGGCCGTTTTCTTTCAACGCAGTGAGTGTACTGGCCTCGCCGGCCTCGGCATCGGGATTCGCATGGTCTTTCGGCGCGGTATTGGAGGGTCGTAAAGGTGCGGTTGGTACGCGGCAAGTCATGGGCACATCGGAGTGGACGTAGAACTCCAGCAGGTGGTAGAGAGAGTCGGATAGAGAAGCGAGGGTACAAGTTATGGTTTCGGAGACCCCGTAATGTATGGACAAGGGTCTTGTCGTCTCGCTGCATGTCACGAATGGGACCCATTGAAGTTTCCCTAATCCGTCGGTGATCTGTGACGCGTTTGGTCAGCAAGGCTCTCACGACGGGGTCGGACTCAGGAGTCGTTGGCTGCGCACATGTTCACCGTCCCTTGGAAATCGCAGGATTCGAAGTCAGAATGGATATTGGGATAGACTGAGGTCAGGAGCAAGACTAATTGACTCACATTGTTCGATTCAGACAAGATACTGGAATTTCCTCACCCAGGCTGTATCCCTCTGCGCCGCTGCGTGCAAGAGGTCTCCCCGCGCTGCATCCCGCAGGCAGGAACGCAAACACTAGAGGAAGCAACGCCGCTGTTGATGCAAACATTGTGGCCTGTTGCAGGATGAACTCTGTGAAGACTTTCCACAATTTGTCGGGTCCCAATGCTTCAAGGACGCCTCACGGTGGCGAGTGGAGGAGGGATGGACAGCAAGCGGCGTGCGGAGCAGACACGGAGGCCGCAGTGCCCGCTGTTTAAACATGCGCAGCCAGGGTTGCGGGGTCTGTGCGCGACCACTTGAAAAGGTCGGCACGACCGCCATTCATCCTCAAGCTTTTCTCAATCCTCACCAAGCCGAGACCTTCCTACGGGAATCCATTCATCGTCAATGTTGTTGACACTTTCCAGTATAGGAGTATGCATTATGCACTATGCAGTATATGCTTCTACGTGACCAGGTTACAAGGTAGCGGAACAGTAATTTTTCATTGACACTGCCACATGAATTTGACAGTGATGGGAGTATAGAGAATACGATAGACAAGTAAAAAATGATTCGTCGCTCATCAAAAGCTGCTGGGGAAATTTCGCCATGACTCGACGCAATGTCAAGTCATCTCATTAAGGCGGTCTTTTAGGACAGGTTGGCCCGAGACTTGAAGGCCATCAGCAGGCCACTGGTCGAGCTGTCGTGATCATTGCCCTCGCCAGCAGTCTCCAACTCCTTCTGGATCTTCTTGGCAAGAACCTTGCCCAGCTCGACTCCCCACTGGTCGAAGGAGTTGATGTTCCAGATGGCACCCTCGGTGAAGGTCAGGTGCTCGTAGTAGGTGATCAGAGCGCCAAGAGTGGCCGGGGTGATCTTCTGAGCGAGAATGGAAGTGGTGGGACGGTTGCCCAAGAAGGTCTTGTGAGGAACCAAGTTCTCGGGAGCGCCTTCGGCCTTGACCTGCTCGGGGGTCTTACCGACCATCAAGGCCTCGGACTGGGCGAGGAAGTTGGAAGCAAGCATGCGCTGGTGCTTGCCACCCTCGACGGGGTTGTGAGACTCGGCGGCCATCAGGAAGTCCGCGGGGATGAGCTTGGTGCCCTGGTGCAGCAGCTGGAAGAAGCTGTGCTGGGCATTGGTGGCGGGCTCACCGAACAGGATGGGACCAGTGGTGTACTTGACATAGTCACCCGAGCGGGTGATAGCCTTGCCGTTGCTCTCCATGGACAGCTGCTGCAGATAGGCGGGGAAGCGGTGCAGGTACTGGTCGAAGGGAGCGACGAGGTGAGTCTGCGCACCGAAGAAATCGCTGTACCAGACGCTAAGCAGACCACCAAGAACGGGGATGTTCTGCTCCAGAGGAGTCTCGCGGAAGTGCTTGTCCATGGCGTGGGCACCGGCGAGGAACTGGTGGAAGTTGTCATAGCCAATGTACAGGGCCACGGAAAGACCGATGGCACTCCAGACGGAGTAACGGCCACCCACCCAGGATTCGAAGCCGAACATGTTCTTGCTGTCAATGCCAAACTTGGTGACCTCAGGCTCGTTGGTCGAGAGCGCAACGAAGTGCTTCGCAATGTGGGACTCCTCCTTGGCGGTCTTCAGGAACCAGCTCTTGGCGGTGTTGGCGTTAGTGGTAGTCTCCGCGGTGGTGAAGGTCTTGGAGGCAATGAGGAAGAGAGTGGTCTCGGGGTCAGAGTGCTTGAGGGCCTCGGCAATGTGAGTGCCGTCAATGTTGGAGACGAAGTGGAGCTTCAGGTCGGGGTGACCATAAGGCTTGAGGGCCTCGGTGACCATGACGGGACCGCTTTGAGAAGAGTTCAGTCAGCTTGGGGAGTCATTTGCGGACTTGAACATCCTCGACATCGCGGGCTCGGCAGCACTTACAGGTCAGAACCACCAATGCCGATGTTGATGATGGTGTTGATCTTCTTGCCGGTGTAACCCTTCCACTCACCACTGCGGACCTGCTCGGAGAACTCCTTCATGTGCTCCAGGACCGAGTTGACATCCTCAACGACGCTCTGGCCATTGACCTGCATGGGCTCGTTGGAGGTGTTACGCAGGGCAACGTGGTAGACGGCACGGTCCTCGGTGAAGTTGATGTGGTCCCCGCGGAACATGGCATCACGGAGCTCCTCGACGCCGGCCTCCTTGGCCAGCTTGACGAGCAAGGACAGGGTCTCCTCGGTGAGGAAGTTCTTGGAGAAGTCGAACAGAATGTCGGCATTGTCGACCGTGTTGGTGAAGGTACGGCTGAACTTCTCAAAGCGCTTGGGGTCCTTCTGGAAGTACTCCTTCAGGACAATGTTGCGACCCACAGTGGTGTGGTGCTCCTGGAGCTCCTTCCAGGCATTGAGATCAGAAGCTTGAGAGAAACCAGGCATGGTGACGAGGGGTGCAATCTACACGACGTTCGGAGCAGGCCGGATTAGCGCGGGGTCACCAGCAGAAAAGTGACGGGCAGATGCTGGGCAGAGAGCACGGGAAGGGTCATGAAACACCTACCTGAAAATCAAACGGGGGAGGGGTATCACAATGGCTTTTGTTTTGGAGTCTTCTGCAGGGAGAAATGGAGGGGGATTTGAAGAAGAAAGAGAAAGTCCAGCAGACGAGGAAGGAAGAGGGTAGCGATGGAAACGGCCGGCGTATTGAGGTCCGGCAGAGGTGGGCGTGGGCGTGGGCGTGGGGCAACCCCCAAGCCCAGCAGCAGCAGCATCATCATCATTGCCGCATCTCCCGCCCAGCTGGTCCCCGAGCGGGTCGGCTTTGCTCATATTGCGCATCTGGCTTCACGAGCTCGGTCACTTGGTGGGGCGCATGCTCTTCCTGGCCGTGCCGGTTGGGAATTCGGACTGTTGCCAGTCCATAATGGAACTTTGACCAAATCAAAATGAGGTGATGGCGTTGCTACTCGAGGGTCGACCGAAGACCACAAAGGTACGTGCTGGACGGTTCCAATGTACTACCGGTAGTACCACCGTGCCACGAAGCTCCCAACTTTGGTACTCACGAACTTGTGTCGTAAAGTACCCTTTCAGACAGGTGGAATGGGCTTCTTTTTCCGCCCGTCGTTCCAGAACAGTTCCTCCGGCTAATAATCCCATGCGCTGCCTGCCCAGTGCCCACCGTTTTCGGGGGCTCGTCTGATTTAGCCGTGCACCGTCAACTCGATCGAGAGGCAAGGGATTGCCTTTGGCAACTCTATTGATCTCGCATGGGTAAACCCCCCCCCCCGGATTGCTGGTCTACGGCCAAGACCTCGGGAGATTCCACGACACTTGATCCGAGATCCCAAGCCGCCCGAACTCCGTACGGTAGATACAGTTACGACTCACTATAACATTGCAAGGACCTTGCGCCCTTCCCTTTCGTGTCAAACGGCTTTTATTGAAGCCTCAGTGGTTGTGAACAACACGATAAGTCATATAGTCATCAACAGGCACTAGATCTCTCATGCTGAGTGTGGATTACCCGCTGTTTACGTTTGCATGCATCATGCGCGACAGGCGCATGAGCAACCCTACAATAAGCACGTGTCTGAATCAGAGTGCCTTGATCTCAGTGGAGCCCACCTGGCATCAGTGATAAAGATCTTTCGGGTTGACTTGCATTTCGACCTTCGACACTTAGAGATTGATGACTGCTGCGAACCTTTTCTCCAACCCGTTCCCAGGTCGAGGCCACCTCTACGGGACCTTACTCCCCTTCTGCCCAACTGCTCACTGCTGAGGAAAAGCAATCAAATTGAATAATGTCAATCTAATTCAATGGACTGCTCGCGCTTTTCCAATCCGGTCGCTCCGGTATGGAAAGTGCCGAGCCAGATTGTAATAGCTCATCAGGGTGTCCGTCGGCCCTTGATTGGTATGGCTGGCTGTCAAGCCTAGTGTAGTCAGCTGCTGATGATTCGGATATATTGTCGATGTATTCGTGTGGGCGAAGTGCAGAATACTGCCTGAACAATATTCTGCTCCATCAAGTGAATGAGGCGTCGCAGGGTGGATATAAGGTATAAGCGAGGTAGTGTGTAGTTGGACTGTTGATCTGCAGAGAAAAATGTCATTCAACACTCCTCGGACCAATTCGGTCTTCCCGGCAGCCGAAGTATACTATATGTACCACGGACTTTGTCAGATCCCGCGACTAAACAACAATGACAGAGGGGATCAAATGTCTGCTTTGGAAAGGACTATCAGCAGAGCAGACATTAAAGTGTTTGTCAAGAATAGGAACAATCAAATCTGGGTGTATACTCCCTGCGTACCGTCGATACTTTTACCTGGTGGTGTAAGTAACTACTCTTGTTCGGTCCGGTCTATGGCTCCGCCCGAGAGTCCCGGCCACCAGCTGCCAAGACTCTGCGCACAGACCAGCATGGTCAACGGTATCAAGTCCGCCGCTAGCAACTTTCTTCGCTCCGCGGGCGCCAAAGAAGCTATCTCACGAACCTCCCACGTCTTCGACCCCGCGAAGCAATCAAAGCGCTTCAAGCTTCTCACTTAGAAAGCGCCTTACGAGATCCAGCATTCTTCTGCCATCCGCGGGAACAGTGCTTTTCGCGATGTACAATCCTTACCAACGTGAGTTTGCGCCCCGAGACGTCTGCCATTGGCACTCCCTTTCTGGATCGCGAAACTTTGCAATAACATGCTGACTCTGTTCATCAGCCCCGGGCATGTATGGAAGATCCGACTATGGGGCCTACCCAGGCGCGCCCCCAGGTATGGGTAAGTGAGCATCAAAACTTCTCTGATCCTCCGAAGCCTTCTCAAGCAGGATGACTGACCATTTAATAGCGCCCCCTCCAGGTATGGCTGCTCCTGGAACAGCAGCTCCCCCGGGGATGCAACAAAATAATCAGCAGCCGGGTCGCCCTGGCGGGTTCCCGGCCAACTTCCAACCGCCTCCGAACATGCCCAACATCAACTTCTCTGCACCTGTGATTCGCCTGGGCACCTCCGGACCCTCCAAGCCAGCTGCCCCCGAGACAGGTCGTGAACGAGGGTCCGATGGGCCCGGTCGTCGCCCGGGTCTGGGCTCGTCAAATACCGACGATCGACGCCCCCATGGCCGCGATTCCATGATGCAACTACAGCCACCGACTCGGGATGAGATTGTGCGCACATTGTTCGTCGGGGGTATCACGGAAGGCGCCGGGGGAGATGAGGGCATTGAGCGCATCTTACGGTCTGCCGGAAGTTTACGTCGTTGGATTCGGGCCACAGATGCGGACGAGAAGCCCTGCCGGTTTGGGTTTGCTGAGTTTGAAGACCCCGAGAGCCTGGAGGTCGCCGTGGAGGTGCTGAAGGACATTGAAGTGCCCGTCAAGCGCCAACTACCACGCACGGAGGACGAGGAGGAGCAGGAGGTGGAGAAGAGCTCTCTTTTGGTACGTACGATTTCACGATGAGACACTCGCTTGAGAGAACTAGTATCTAACTACCCCTCTAGGTCGTTGTCGACGAGAGCACCATGACCTACTTGGAGCAATTCGGCGCTACTCGTGGCGAGCGAGACCCCAAAGAGCTTCAGGCTCGCTACGACAAGGCCCGTGAGTCTCTCAAAAACGTCCTTTCCGAGCTTTCCCACCCAGTCACCCCCCGCAGAAGGAAGACGCGTCTGGCGTTGACGGAGAGGGCGACGTGGAGATGAAGGACGGCGAAGTTGTCAAGGATGGAGAAGTCGTGACGATCCCAATCACTGTCGAAGATGAGCTAGCGGACATTCCGCCCGAAATGCGCGAAAATGTGGCCAAGGAGATTGCAGCGTTCCGTGAGCGCAGCAACCGCCGAGATATCGAGCGATTGAAGCGCGAGGAAGAGATCGAGTCTATGGAGCGAGCTCGGAACTCTGGCTCGCGCATCAGTCGGCTTGGCTCGCCCCCTCCCTCAGCTCCCAGTGGTCCTGCAGGCGGTGCAAATGGCATTCCACTTGGGCCTCGAGGTGACCGCAATGTGCCCGGCGCTCCTTCCGGACCCAGAGGATTTGGCGTCCAGATCCCCAAGGACTACCAAAAGGGCGTCTCGTTTGTGAACGGTGGCGGCTTGAATGGCTCTCAAGAACATATCGACCGCGAAGACGAGGAGACCGACGCGAGTGATGAGGAGCTTGAACGTCGTCGTCAGGCCAAGCGGAACGCCGAACAGGAGAAGCAGTTCTTGGACCAGGAGCGTCGATGGCTCAATCGTGAGCGCAGCCGAACGGCCGCCTTAGAACGTGAAAAGAAGCGTGACAAGGAAGAAGATGGAAAATTACAGGCTGCACACGATGAGATGGAGAAACGTCTGATGGAGTGGGATGACAATGTCGAAGCGAGCCGTAAGACGAGCGAGTACTATGCTGACCGTGGCGCCTGGCTACGCAGCCGCGCTGCTTTCCGTGCTCGCGAGATCAGCATGGACGAGGCTGACCGTGCTGCCGAGGCACGGGAGCAGGCTCAATCCGCCAAGCAGCAGGAGCAAGCACGCGGGATGGCCGACGACTTCCTCGCCAAACAGGCCGAGGAGTTGGAGGCCCGGGCCCAAGCCCCAGCCCCCCAGGAAGAGGAGCCGCAGCGATTCAAGCTTTCCCTTGGCGCCGCCGCTCAGAAGGCCCAGGCCGCCAGCGGCCGTCGCACTGTTGCCGAAGTCGAAGGACTACTGGAGGACGAGGAGGAGCCTGCCGGCACGACCCGCCGGCAGCTTATTCCGATCAAGTTCGACTCTGCTGCCGAAGCTGCTGGTCTCTCGGACGAGGAGCGTGCCCAAGCCGCTCGTCAACTGGCCGCCGAGATCCCGGCCGACAAGGAGGGGCTCTGGAAGTGGGACATCAAGTGGGAGTTTGTGGACGAGGCCATCATCGCCGATCAAATCAAGCCCTTTGTCGAGAAAAAGATCGTCGAGTATCTGGGAATTCAGGAACAAATGCTGGTGGATGTGGTGGAGGAGCACGTCCGAAAACACGGGTCTCCTCAGGATCTGGTGGAGCAATTGGAGATGGTAAGCTGCCACCTGAATGTTCTTTTGACGGTCGCCAGTTCGGCTGCTAACAATCGCTTCTTCATAGGCGCTCGACGAAGAGGCCGAGGTGCTCGTTCGCAAGCTTTGGCGTATGCTAATCTTCTTCTCCGAGAGCGAAAAGCGAGGCCTGTCTGGATAGACGAATCAATCCCCCAGGAGCTCAGCATGAGCAAGTTTTTGACAGCTTTCATTGTGCACCTAGCAATTGAATTTGCTCTCCACGCGACAGTCACGTTAATTGACACTCGTCGCTCCTACAGCACCAGAGACCCTCCTTCATCATCTTATAGACACCTATGCCTGTACACTTGACTATCTGTAATTATACAGCTCATCGCAGTCATTGCGCTAAACGGCTCTAGGCTTGCGGCTCTATACCGAACATGGCTTCCGTATTAAGATCATCTGTCAAACTACGCTCAGGCAAAGTCAACTATTACCCGCCGCAGTCAACGTCACGCGGCCTCTGCAGAAACGCGGAGCAGCTCCGATCCTACCGTTCCCCTTGGCGAGAGCCCTTTGATTGGTGGAGTAACTTAATCCCTCGTCCGCCGCTCAGTTCCACCAACGAGAGGGCGTGGATCACGGCCGCAATGGAGGGGCGAGGGGAAAATGCGGGCAGCGCGGGGGTCACAGTCTCCCAAGAGGTTGTATACATGGGGGCAGTACCAGGGGGCAGTTTTTCCTGTTCTTCCGTGGAGGGTCTGCTCGTGATCATTGGGTTTCTCGATTTTCAGTTCTGGCGTGCTATTAAACTCCGTAGACCCCTCGAGCCCGATCCTTTTTTGGATTTTTCCAAATACTTTTCTCCTACCTCTGCGTCGCGCGTCAACGGTAATTTGACCCACTTGACTTTCTCAGTCTTTCTGAATTGACGACGACAAGGTTGTTGAAGACCTCACTCAAGTTTTTCCAAATTGTTGAAGTTTCCTTCTTACATTACCGTCCACAATGGTCAAAATCACCGGCTTCACCACACGGGACGTGCGGTTCCCAGTATGTCTCTTGCGCTCTGCTCCGGAGCCAGTCCATTCGGAGGGATCAATTGCGTATTCCAGAGAGCCATTGCTGACTTGATGTGACAGACCTCACTCGATAAGACGGGCTCTGATGCCATGAACGCAGCCGGCGACTATTCTGCCGCATACTGCATCCTCTCCACAGACTCCGAGTTCCAGGGCCACGGCATGGTACGTCTCCGATGCGTCACTTTTTTGTTTTGAGTGCTGTGAGTCAGGGGATCGGTCAGACTTGCTAACGCCGACAAACCTTCACTCCAGACATTCACCATTGGCCGCGGTAATGAGATTGTCTGCGCTGCCATCTCTCTTGTGGCTCCTCTCATCGAGGGCAAGGAGCTGGACGAGCTCACGGCAGACTGGGGCAAGACTTGGCGCTATCTGGTCTCTGACAGCCAGTTGCGTTGGATCGGACCTGAGAAAGGTGTGATTCATTTGGCTCTGGGCGCCGTTGTCAATGCCCTGTGGGACCTGTGGGCTAAGACCCTGGGCAAGCCCGTGTGGCGCATCGTCGCGGACATGACTCCCGAGGAGTTCGTGCGCTGCATTGACTTCCGTTATATCACTGATGCAATCACCCCCGAGGAGGCTCTGTCCATGTTGAAGGAGATCGAGGCCGGCAAGCAGGATCGTATCAAGGAGGCTGAGGCGAGCCAGGCTGTGCCTGCTTATACTACCAGTGCTGGCTGGTTGGGATACAGCGAGGAAAAGTTAAAGAAGCTGCTGGAGGAGAGCGTTGCCCAAGGGTACAAGCACTTCAAGTTGAAGGTTGGCGCCAATGTGGAGGATGATAAGCGACGTCTCAGAATTGCCCGTGAGGCTATTGGCTATGACAAGGGAAATATTCTGATGGTGGACGCCAACCAGGTATTTATTCAACCTCCCCACTTGCTTCAATTCCAGGTTCCCCGAAGGAGTACAGCAACTGATTGTTTCTTCTTTCTATCTTCAAGGTCTGGTCTGTCCCCGAGGCTATTACTTGGATGAATGAGCTTGCCGAGTTCAAGCCCTGGTTCATCGAAGAGCCCACCTCTCCCGATGACATCCTCGGCCACGCCGCCATTCGCAAAGCCCTCTCCAACACCCCCCACGGCGCTATCGGTGTCGCCACCGGAGAGATGTGCCAAAATCGTGTCGTCTTCAAGCAACTCCTACAAGCCGGTGCTCTGACCGTCCTCCAGGCTGATGCCTGCCGTGTCGGCGGTGTGAACGAGGTTCTTGCCATTCTGTTGCTGGCCCGCAAGTTCAACGTCCCCATTGTGCCTCACTCTGGCGGTGTCGGTCTTCCCGAGTACACGCAACATCTGAGCACCATTGACTATGTCGTGGTCTCGGGGAAGAAGAGTGTCTTGGAGTATGTCGACCACTTGCACGAGCACTTTGTCCACCCTTCGAGTGTCAAGGACGGTTACTACGTTACCCCCATGGAGCCTGGGTACAGTGTGGAGATGAAGCCTGAGAGCATGGACCAGTTCGCCTACCCCGGCGAGGAAGGTAAGAGTTGGTGGCGCTCACAGGAAGCTCGGGTGATCTTGGATGGTCCTCGTGTCGTGTAAGTGAGAGTGAGAGTGATGACGATCCTTGATGCCCTTTTTTTTTCCCAATGTCTTTCTATGTCTTTCTTCATGTCCATAGCTTTGCCCTATAAAATTTGATTTTTTTGACCTGTGATGCTCATTATTACTGCCAAAAGAGAGCAGTAAGTCGGATGTACCGTGGTATGTAGTATGTACTACTTCCATCCATTCCTTCCGCGGGTGACAAAGTCTGGTCCCTGGACTCAATTACACAAAGGTAAGGCTAGGTTAGTATACCCAGCCAACCTGTAATACGTACTGAGAAAACCATTCACGAGTACTTTGTTCCCGCACATCTTCACACACACATCTCACCCCTCTTTCCTTCAAGAACCTCCAGTTCTACAGCCCATCGACGACTTCACCCTCAACAATGACAGGTCTCTCTCATTCCGCAGCTCGATTGGCGACGATCAAAGTGTATTAAGGTGCTTGGCCCTGACCGTACGACAACGACTCTGTTCGAATATTGAGGAGATAGTGTGCATCATATTTGCACGGTCCGAAGGACCTAGATATCTGACTATGGCTGTTCACGTCCGGGAGACTGCTAGACCCCGATCTTGTACTCGAAACCCGAAGTCTCTTGGCTGGCGGATAATCATCTTCATCGTCTTCTCCGTGTCTTCGAGACAGGTGTTGGCCCGTCAGCGATCCGGTAGATTCGAGATGAGTATGCTGTGATCCGTGTGAGAGATGATTGACGTTGTTGATTTCAGTTCTTCTTTTTCTTTTCGAATTGTACCACTACCCTAGCAGAAGACCCATCATGAGAAGCTGAGTAGAGATTTGGAAACGTGAGAGAAGAAAGTAAGCAAAACAGCCTTGGGTACTGGATCGAAAACGAATATTGATCACATCTTCTTAGATTTGAGGCTGATCCGATATTCTCAGCTCACTTGCAATTGGACGTTCATCAAAGCATTCGCAACAGAGCTACTGACTGCCTGCCTAATAGATACCAGGGCTGTTGGACGCCAGCATGAGTAAGCAGCCACTTGAGTTGCTGGACCCCCAGGTTGGATCTGATTGTGATATCGGGTGAAACGAGGCTGAAATTATTCTACATCTATTTGCAGGCTCTCTGGTCTGGTGGGTCTATCCTGCTGAGGCTTCTAGGACTGACCAACAAAGTAGCTATTCTCCATCAGTATGCATATATCTCGCGGAGAGACCCGAGAATTTGAAAGTAGGCTCGCATCAAGACTTTGCCGAGTTTTCTTCGGGCATTACGACATAAGAACCTGGCACCAGCTTGAAGATGCAGGCCTTGATAGCTCTTGTTCTCTTCGAAGTCCGCCTGTGGTTGCTGGGTAATCAGCTTCTAGAAGCGCCGCTGAGACTAGACGTCTCAAAGTTGTTGTGTCCACGTACCTGGTAATAGAACTCTTGCGATCTTTCAAGAATTTTCCAACGTGACGAGGACGGCGTGATCACATGTAGTGATATCTCCGGGGTTGGAACTCTTCCGGAATCAAGACAGCCGGGGGTCAGCGTAACGGATCGTCTGGAGGGGATTCATGTCTCTGTGTGGAAGCTATCGGTAGTTGGAGAGTGTTAGAAGTGAGATATGCGTAGGAGATAGAAGAGGGGATCGAAGCTCGACGTGATGTACAGGTTACATGGCTCATTCTATACAAAGGAGTTTCTTTGTAAGCTACAGATTGCATTGCTGAAGAGTCCCACCGGTTTTCAGGACAATAACATTGATTTGAAGACTCCTCTGAATTCATTCGAGGAATGATATGCCCATTGAGTCCCCATAGGTCTTTTCCTTTTGAGCGGGAGCTACGCAATAGAACTGTGTCAAGATATGAGGTATACAATTGGTACGCCAAACAAGTCACAGCTATTGACTCACGGGGCTTCACACACAGAGACAGTATCCTTTTCTTGTAAAAGCTAGGTGAAGATATGATATGTCGTAAGACGACTTTCCCAATTAACCAAACTTCTCCCATGTTGACCCAGCGGTGGAATCCACTTCAACGCCTTCCGGTTCGGTCCCATGGGGTAAGTGGGTCTCGACCAACATGACATTTCACGAGGTTGACACCCTCCAGGAACATGAAGAACACCCACTCATCAACGATGGGAACCAGCTCCAAGTATGCGATGATCTCCTGTACCTGAGGAACCCGAAAGTCTCTGATCGGACCGGAAGTCAGACAACACGCTCAACCAGAAACGGTCACGTGCTCATACATGCTCCCAAACGTCCACGTCTGTCCAACATCCAGCAAAGCCGTGCACGGTCGGCAGTCTGACAGGGGATCTGATCTCGGATCCCAAACGAGACCAAGGATAAGTCTCAGGTTTCTTCCGAGACCACCTCTTCTCCCCCATCCCGCCCCCTCTTCTTCTCTCTCCCTCTCTCTCTTTTCACCGGGGGAGGGGCGCGCACGCACGCACACGCAGACGCATCGCACGATGGGCGACCGTGACATCAACTTCACATCGACGGGCGCACCATCAAACATTCCTGGGCTGGTACACATTCGCGACATCGCCATCGCAAGCGATGGCGGAAATTTATAACACAGACCGCTTTGCGGAACTCTACTTCCCTTCAAATACAGCGGACTTGCTGCAACTCGGCCTGGCGGCTAGATTCATTGCAAGTCTATTGGAGGCTCACCAGATCACGTATGCTTTCATTGGCGGCTGGGCGGTGTATTTGAGGGGAGGTAGACGCAGAACCCAGGATATTGATATCACTGTGGCCACGACGATGGATCATTTGAAACAGATTCTCGTCGCACATCCCCGGTACTGAATTGGATCACATTTTCCATTTGGCCTTTTGATGCCTCAATTCCTTTCCGAGCTCTTTCATCACACAAGGAGATCTCGTCTTGCGATGAGTTACATTGATGGACCAATTTCAACACCACTTATCATACAAGAGTTCGCTCTAATCGATCCTGCAGAATACATTTCCCTCTCACTCATGGCCGGACATCTGTCCAGGTCTTCATCGACACAGGACGAAGTGTGGACGGCGAGTTTCCGCACGTACCGGACTTGGCAGTCAGCATGGATATTGTGATCAGTGGTGAGTCGGGGACCATGTCTGGATGATGAAGAAAGCAATAACACATGGTTAATCTCTAGGACCATCCTTAGGACACTTGGGCACCCCCGAGGATCTCCAATCTTCCCGGGAGCCTATCAATCCGCGTAGACCGACGCCGTTGGGCTCCCCGTCCTGGTCCTAGGACTCGTCTTTCAGATATACGCCAAGCTGGATGCGTTCTTTCGACGAGGCGAACAGGGGAGCAAGGATTTCCTGGATCTGGAATTCTTGTTCACCCAGTATGCTGCGGACATCCCCACCTTTCGGGACTACTACGATCTGGAGCAACGCCGGTACTTCTGGACTCAGTACGCAGAGGCGTATGTGGCATTCCCGGAGCAAGTGGAGAGCATGCGGGTATTGCTTGGTGTTTGACCTCTGCGACTGGGTCAGGAAGCAAAGGCGCGCAGCTTGATGTGAAGTGGGAGCCGGTATGTGTACGAACATGGGAAAAGAACGGAACTGGGTCCGCTGGGTATGTTTTCATTTCATTAGTCGGTTCATTTACTTCATTATATGTAGATAAGTATTAACAAGACATGCGTTTCTGAGTCCACGGGTCAGGCGAGTCCTTGAGTCGAAAACGGGTTTCGAACAGACTGTCTGGCGTCGTCCAGCCGAGTCTGCCCTTTTTACTGCGTATCCTGGCCACCCATTTGTCGCGTTTGTTGATCGTTTGCGTGGGGAAGTAGTGAACGAAGAGCCATCCTTTCCCCTGTGCCGCTTCTTTGGCGACTTGATTCATCCGCGTCGTCCATTCCAGATCGTTGGTGCCTTCGAGGTCCAAATGTCGATATCCCCATTCTTCTGAGACATTGGTCCCGTCGATACAGTCACACAGAGAGACATCGTCATTCGTGTCCAGGAAGCTCTGCATGAGCACCGGAAGCGTGGGATACGGGAGACCATTTGGACTACGATCGATATGGAACGGACCGGACGGAATGTGAGCGTCATGAGCCGGCATCAGCACAAAGTAGAAATGGATGCCATTCCCCTTGAACCGATGGTAGGTGTGACTCAAGGAGAACGGATGTGAGGTTGAATGAGGCGGGACCGCGTGAATCTGGTCGGAAATCAATTTGGAGGAGAGAAGCGCCGCGGCTTCGGTGACTTTGTTGTCGGGAACACAGAGGTCCCACTCCTACATACCGGCGCAAGTCCAACCTGTCGTCAGCCTCGAAGCAAAAAGGGCAAATTGAAGCATAAAAGAAATCTTTTTCTTTTGCTTTTTCTTTCTTCTTCTTCTTCTTTTTTTGGGGGGTTGGCTTTTTGTTTTCAACGTCACATACATCTCGCACTCGACCCGCCCCGTAATAGATCAATGCCGAGACCCCGACAAGACAACACTCGATCCCATGCTCCTCGAGGAATCGAGTCACCGACAAAATCTCGAGTGTTCCATGGCCTCCGCACGAGGGAACTTCGTCGGGAGAGTAGTTTGATGTGTCCGGGGTGGGCAAGGATGACTGCACTGGAGGGGTGATGTGGATATTGGAAGCGAGCATTGTGAGATCCGTGAGAGCATTTCACTCCAAGACGAAGAATAGGGGCGATTAGTCAATGTACATCGAAAAAAGATGAACAATGATACTACCAAGCAGATGTTGAAGTTCGCGGGGAAGACCCCAAATGCCGTGGGCTCCACGTGATGTTCTTAGTCACTGGAATCTAGGCCTCGGGGACCCCCAGCTTGGATGAACCGGCCTTGGCACATTATCTGCACGTCCATCCAGGTCTCCTGCACGTTTTTTTGAGTCTTGAGCTCAAAAGCCCCATCGCATTAACCTTAACCTGCGTTCAACGGTCAACGGTATGTGAGAACTCACATGGAGACCTATTGGATGTCAAAGATGTGACACGTTCCGTGATTGAACTTGGGGGTTTTTTCTTTTCTTTTTTTTTTTTTCCTTTTTTTCCCCCACCTTTCTGTCTAACTTGACTGTATTCCTGTAATAGCCCTGTGGTATTATTACTACGCTACTCACTACTGTACCCTCTCGAGTACCTGCCCGGTTTATCAATAGCCAATCTTTGCTTCTGTCCCAGCATTGAAGAAAGCCAAAAGCGTCCTAGCAAGGAATGTGCCCCACTGCGGCTGCTTTGGTTTGCCCCTCCCGAGTCCCAGCTGCATCGGAGCCACAGCCAACGGCTTTGATACAGTTGAGCTGACCACTTCCCCCAGCTCACTGCGGTGACTGCACAGTGCACCCTGCACCCTCGCTCAATTGGCCCCGTCGTGATTGAGATACGTCGACTCCATGCGGTACACCTAATAAGTGACATAACGCACTACCGTGTACGTGCTGGCATGCTTCAGTGTCTCTCTGGTCACATGGGCTACGTCGAGGTCCAACCAGCAGCGATTTGCTTCCACGATCACAAACTTCGTGCGACCTGGGGTGCATCGATGTACTTCCCGATTCGAGACTCGACTGCAACCTCCCATATGCATGGAGCAAAAACGTTGCAGGGCGGTCGCTGGGCCCAATTACGGAGCCGCATGTGTCGCAGTCCAGTGACAGGGCTGCAAGGTCGAGCTGGCGTGAGACAAGATGGCCCGCCCCAATGATGCACTCACGCTCGCGATGTACGGCTCATCTCATACTGCACTTAGGGAATAGCGCGAATCTCCATCGAAAACACGGTCAGATTCTTGGGGTGTAATGATCCTTTGCCGGCCATCGTGTACTACGTTGAACTGTTCTTCAGATCTTCAAGTGCCTGTGAAATACATGGTCGAGATGAACGAGAGGAAAAAAGAACGCTTTTTCTCAAGCAGTACTAACCTATATTGACTAGGATCTCAAATCTCATGCACCGCAGACCCTTGATACCCTCAAACAAACATCCAATGCCGAAGTCACAAGTCCACACATAAAAGGTATATCATGAATCAGACCATTCCCTGACTCACTTGTTCTTGTCGCTCTTGCCAAACATTCTTTCCCGAACATGAGCACACCATCTTGTCATTATCCCACACACCCGCACTGCGGGCAATGACTCCTACAAGGGTGTTCTCATCATCGCGTGAGAACGGGCCCTCCTTGCTCTTTGCCACAACCATACTACGTCCAATCAATTCCCAGATTGCAATTGGCCGGTCGAGAAACACATTGCCGCGGCCCTTGTGATCGACCTCAACGCTGCCCAAGATACCGCGTGACTCTGTCTCGACCGCGGCTGCGTTCTCTGTACCGAGGACCGTCTTCTTCAGAGCCTCCCAGATACCGCCGGTGGATTCTGCGCCACGAGAGATATCGCCCGCCTCTCGGATGGTCGCGTAGTACGTCCCCGGGGAAAGACCATTGATGGTCAAGTCGACAAGAGTCATGTTGGAGGAGACCTGCACCATTCGGGCTAGGCCACGGATGCTGTTGGCGACCGATTTGGAGTGTGTCTCGAGGATGCAGACCGCAGAGCCTGTGGCGACGGTGAAGGTGCGTTAGCTGCGTGCTTTCAAAACAACGAAGCAAAATGAAAAAAAAAAAAAGAAATCCCGCATCACATACTGTCTGTAGTACCACTCCCACGAAGAATTGCATCCCGACCGGTATCTTGGATGGCGGTGACGATCGAGCTTGGTGGCGCGGTGCCCTCGACAAATACCAGCTGGTCTTGAAGATTGGCGTCGACTTTTTGCACTCCTGTAATTGTCTCGGTAAGAATGGATTATTCGGACGTGAGAGAATCACACCTCAGTCAGGTATAAGCCGTACCATCTAGTTTGTATAGAGACTCGGACACGCTCTTCACGCAGCCGCCGCAAGTCATGGGGACCGAGAAGGTCGTCTAAAGAGAGCGATTCCGTGTGAGATCCCTTTGAGTTACTGCAAAGCGCATCGGCATAGAGGTACAGAATCTCACCTGAAATGACTGGATCATGGCGGGAAAATAAAGTAGTGTTGCGGATAAATAATATTTGGAGATCGGATTCAGTATTCGTGATCAGGTATGTCTGATCTAACAGACCGCGGATCGAGTAGTGGCGAGCAATATACAACAGCAACGATATCGCTCTTGGAAAGAACGATCAATTGTACGTTGGGTGACTCAAAAGGAACCCCCTTGTCGAGGCTGCGGCGACGGCGGGGGGCCCGTTTTGGATTTCAAATCGGAGCTGTTCTTCGGCCCGCGTCTTTTCCCCAGAGAAACGCAAAAACGTCATCTGAACAGTTGGATTTAGCCTCTTCCGCACCGCCTTCGTCCCTTTCCCCCCCCCCCAATCGCACGACGTCCTCCGAGCCCGTGATCGTGGCAAGACACCATGTCGGCTTCCAAATCGCGCTGGGCAGAAGACGATCCAGAAACAGAAGCCATTGTCGCGCAGCGCAAGCGCGAGAAGGAGGAAAAGCGGCGCGCCAAGGCCGAGAAACAACGTCTGCTCGAGGAAGCCAGCAAAGCTCAAGCTCAAGCTCAAGCTCAAGCTCAAGCTGCCGCCACAACCCCTGCAGATCCGAAAAGCCCAAGTCAAGATATCAATGGAGATTCAGGTCCGCCAAAAAAGCGAAGGAGGTTATCGAATGACCCCGATGCGCCGTCCGGTGGAGGGGAGATCTCGACGAGCGAGGGTTCAAAGAAGCAGTCGAGCTTGTTGAGGTTTCCAGCTGGGGAATGGGGACCTTGTAGGCATGTCGACAACTTCGAACGACTGAATCATATCGAAGAAGGGTCTTACGGCTGGGTATCAAGGGCCAAAGACATCACCACGGGCGAGATTGTCGCGCTCAAGAAATTGAAGATCGAGAACGCACCTGATGGGTTTCCTGTTACGGGGTTACGAGAAATACAAACGCTGTTGGAAGCGCGACATCAAAATGTTGTCTATCTGCGGGAGGTCGTCATGGGCAACAAAATGGACGAGTAAGTGAATCGCATGGCTGAAAGATTTTTGACAACGCAGGTGGCTTACTCGATCTGGCAGCGTGTACTTGGTCATGGACTTCCTGGAACATGACCTCAAAACGCTCCTTGACGAAATGCGTGAACCTTTCTTACCCTCCGAAATCAAGACACTACTTCTGCAAGTCGTTGGCGGTCTCGAGTTCCTCCACTCTCAATGGATCATGCACCGTGATCTCAAAACATCCAACCTGCTTCTCAACAATCGCGGGGAGATCAAGATTGCTGATTTCGGTATGGCACGATACTATGGCGACCCACCACCAAAGTTGACACAGCTGGTCGTCACCCTTTGGTACCGGTCACCTGAGCTCCTACTCGGTGTCGACAAGTATGGCACGGAGATCGACATGTGGAGCATCGGTTGCATCTTCGGCGAGTTGCTCACCAAAGAACCCTTACTTCAAGGGAAGAACGAGGTCGACCAAGTCTCCAAAATCTTCGCCTTGACAGGCCCGCCCAATCAACAGATCTGGCCTGGCTTCCGCTCCCTACCCAACGCCAAATCCTTACGTCTGCCAGCCACGCCCGCGACATCTACGCGGAGCCCGCCCCTACTGCCTCGCTCTCGCTTTCCCTATCTCACAAACGCAGGCTTGGATCTGCTGTCCTCGCTGCTGGCACTGAATCCAGCCGTTCGCCCGACTGCGCAGCAATGCCTAGCACACCCTTACTTCCGAGAGGATCCCCGTCCCAAGCCAAAAGAGATGTTCCCGTCTTTCCCTTCCAAGGCTGGCCTGGAGAAGAGAAGACGTCATCACACACCCGAAGCACCTAAACATGGACAGGATGCTCCAGAGCTGGACTTTGCAGGCGTCTTTGGTGGCGCACCGGGGGGCGACGCCGGCGAAGCAGGTGCCGGTTTCTCCCTTCGCCTGGGATAAGCACATGAGCACTGAGAAGGCATAGAAGTCCAGCCAAGCTCAACTGTTTGGCCACGGCATTGCCCACAGAAAGCCCGATTTGATTGCATCATAAGCCATACTATACCCGTATCCTTTTTAAGCCTTGGCAAGACGGATCATCAACTAGCATAAGTTCCCTTCATCTCTGCAGATGAGAATGTCTGACCTTGCGAAGAAGGGTGTCCACCTACCATCACTGCGAAGACGTCGTCACGCGCGATTTGTTTGATATATATGTCAATAGAGACCCTTGTCCCGCGTCAGGGCCCTGCAAATCAGTCACTGAAACACTCGTGTCACTCATAGCCAAGATTTGTACTTGACTTTTCTTAGGGCTCAAATGGAGGCAAATTAATGATCACAAAAGCTAAACTCTATACGACTATCTGGACATAGCCGCCACTTCCACATACTGCTCGATGAGCTGGTCATCTCTATGCATTCGGGGGTTTTTCATATCTACCAACCTTGGAAATATGTGGTGATCGTTAATGATTCGTGGATATCTGACTTGCTGTTCCATCATGTCACTGGTTCCATCGGATCCAGCCAGCTATCTTCGTCAAGTTACGTGCGTTTCCAGCTGCTCCCTGCTGTCATAGTCAGGGACAATCCGTTTACCCCAGCGCAGATTCCATTGAAATGCATCCTTATCTCGATACGCAGGGAAAGCTCAGGAAGAAGATGCATATTGGACGTGGATAGTCCTTCATTTTCCAAGTCATTAAAATCTTTGTAAGCTATGACTAGGTGAGCATAAAACTGTCACAAGCAATGAGCAAGACGAGCAATTGAACAGAAAGAGCAATCACCCCAAGTGCCAGGGTGTTAGGTATGACAGAAGAGAGCGTGGCAACGTTGAAGCTAAGGTTTTAATGATGGTTCCCTCGCCCGAAAAATGCAGCCATAGGCGGAGCCAAAACTCTTGGGGTACAGGTATGGAAAGGAGTGAACATCACAAGTGTTCTCCCAACGCCGATAGTGCAGCACTGAAGCTGCACACAATCTCATCAGTGCTTTGACTGATCTTGCTCGCTCAAGATCTCTTTCTCTGTTCGTTTGGGTTTCAGAAAAACTTCACGCGAGAAACCTCCAACAGGTGATTCCGAGCTTTTCTCATTTGCGTGAGGAGACCGGGTGTGCTGGTGCTCAGAATTGAGAGAAAAGCCAGCATGTACATCCTCGTTCAGAAAAGAGTCGTCCTCCTGCCTGGCTGAAATCTCCAAGTTCTGGTCGTACGCACTCATATTTTCATCCGCGATTGACGATTCATCAGTGCCAGTCGCTTTGGACGCGGTTTCTTCGTCAAACCGGGAGTCCAGCAAAGACCAATGAGTAGCAGAAATCGGGATGGGCTGAGTTGGGGTAGAAGAATGACCAGAGATATCGTCATCATTGCTCTTGGAGATTGAGGAAGATTTCTCGTCGTAGCCGTCACCATAAGTCCACGGTCCGTGATCAACAGGTCTGAAAACCTTCCCAATCGGGAACTGAGACGCCTCCGAAAATCTTACTTTTTCGAGAAAGGCTGCCTGCGTACTCGCAGGTAACGATCTGGAATACTAGGAATGTTCTCAGTATGCATTACAGAGACCTCAACAATGGCTGGACTCACGTTTGAAGCAGCGACGGGATCCTGACCCTGTTCAGGTCGCATCGATGTCATATGAGCCGCGGGCGCCTCCCGGTTCCATCGGGCTTTATTGGCAGTCTCGAAGCTCTCACCTTCAGCGCGGGCCATGCCAGAGTGATCCAAGACAGCCTCATTGCCGCGGTACGCATGGTTCTCTCTGTCTCGGTCGCATAGTTCGCTCATCGAGCGAACTGAGGGCATGAGCTCACCCTCCCACACAATGCTGTCTTCGCTTACTGGGAATAACTCAATCTCAAGCCCTCGAGCTCGTTTTTCCCTAACCCATTGGTTGATCTCTTCGAGACCTTCGGGCCTGTTTGGAAATCTGAGTCCCAGCACAAGATGACTCTTTTCCTTCTTCGAAGTCTCATCATTGTTCTCACGGCTTCTTACATCCTCCATTGTCGCAGATTCGTACTGCAAAACCGAAGCTGTGTGCTTTTGCGTTTCCTCCATAGGCTCCATCGGTTGGTCAACTTCTGAGCCGGCTAGACTGGGAGTGTCATAGTCGGGCAGCGAGAAGGCCTCCTCAAACTCCTTCCATCTTTCTTTCATCTCGTTCCTGTCATCGAACACAATGCTCAATGCATCTCGATAATTTCTCAGTTTCTCCGGGCTCATTTCACGAAGCTCCTCGCGATCCATAAGAAGGTCATAGGACGAGCCATTTTTGCTGTAGATTCCCTTCTTGCCGTCCAGTATCAAAATTGGGAGCTCTTCAAAATTACGCACAGGAGATCCCGAATTATCGGAGGTACTCGACAAGGTATTACTGCGTTTTCTGGCAATTTCCGCACTAGTCGCGTCTGATCCTGCTTCTGAATGTGCTTCAGAGGAATGGTCACGCAGCTCGCTTATTTCACCTGGGAACTGGGGATCTGTCGATTCCTCATCGACCGGAGCCACTTGCTCGGGCTTTTGCAATTTCGATGGTCGCACTGGTCTCACCATAGTGCTGTTTTTTGAGAACGAGACTTTTCTCGGGACCGATGGAACAGAAGCATCTGAGTGCCCAGAGATAGGCTTAGGTTTTGGCAGAGACTTGATGTGATCTCGCTTGGCGGTTTCCAGATTGGTTTCGCCCTCTGGGCCCTCGTGCAAAGTATTCCCTGCGACCTCGTCGTCCATTGCCTCGGCCTCATGATGCGGGCCTTCACTGCTTGGACGAGACAGGCGATGTAACAGACCAGCTTTGATGGCTAGAACACCAGACTTTGCTTTTCTGAGAGACCTCTGCGACAGGGTCGGAGCTCGGAAAATGGGAGGTTCATGTTCGGGAGATGACTTGCGCGGCTCCGTGAGACTCTGCATTGTACGTAGCTGCGGCCTGTGTTGTGCGTTTCGAGAATCAAACACAGAGACAAAGGCTTCTCTGGAGACAAGTTGGTTTTCTGCAATGACGGGATCAGTCATGGTAGACGAAAGGGTTTAGTCAGGTTCTACATACAGGCTAGGCTTGGAAGATGGATGTGATGAGAGCAATGAAGAAATGACGGTCACTGTAGCCCAGAGACTTGGGATTGTTTTGTGTCAGGATTAGGGTAGAGCCTCTGGATTAAGTGAGCTCGTGAACTTGAAATGTAATCCGTATGAGAAATGAAGACTCCAGATCGGATGGCTTGATGAGAGCCGTTAACAAGGTCTTCGCGCCTCACGCCTAAAATAATAGAAGAGCGATGAGTGAATGATCGAACAAAATGTGTCCCGCGCAAGTCACAAGTGCAGAAGGAAATACTTCATGGTATGACGAGTACTTAGTACTTACCCAATTAGGCAAGTCCGCCCTCGCAAAGGTCCGGCGGACCATGTCCGTACAATGATCGTATGTATGTTCTGCCTGAGTCAACTACTAGCACATGTTTGTGGACGTTACAATGAGACTCGAGATTGCGGCGAGTTATGTAGATGATATCAAGAAATCAACAGAATTGATGATGACTCTTGTTTCACGTTTTGTCCTTAGTCCCTTTCTGATCTCATGATCTTGCTTCCCTTGCGGCTCGACACTTCCTCCGGCTGCATTTGTGAAGAGTCAACAAGCAGGCGCCGATCCCCGGACCCACCCAGCTGAGCTTCTTTTCTCCGTCCACAGCCTCCCTTGCCGCCCGCAACTTTCTTACTTGCACTCGCTTACCTCCGATGCGCTCCTGAGTCTAACGCTTGTCGCTCATCCCCCAGACAACTTTTCTTTGCGCAGTCACAAAATCATCACTAGATTATCCACAATGGCCAAAAAACAGCAACAACCGCAAGCAGCTGTCTCTTTTGATGCGATTATTCAGAATGGTAATTGATGCGTTGCCCTCAAGCTCTCTCCAGCGCGATGGTGAATCTGACGTGTTGTATCTCCCCCAGATCGCCGCAAGAAACAGAACGAGCAGCTCGCAAGCCAAATCCTGGGCAAGAACAGAATCGATAAAGGCCGACGAGCGAGCGCCCCTGGTCCAGGACAAATCAGCGAGACATCAAACACAAAGCCCGGAAGTCTCGCCAGTCGAATCGGAGCGCCAAAGGTGAGTACGAGCAGCTGTCAATCGGCATAACAAGATATGTTTTTGATCAGAAATAACACAAATCATGGATCGGAAGCGATCCGCCTCAGTCTCTGCTCGTCCCAAACAAACGAACAACAAAATCACCAAATCAAAATCCGCCCCTGCGCCAGCACAGTCGATGCGCAAGAATGCGAACTCTTCCAACCAGCGCCGAGTGAATGTAGAGCGTCTTCAAGCGGCTATCGAGTCTAGCAATCACCAAGCAGCCCTCCGTTCAGCCCCCGCAGGAATATCGATCAAGGGTTCATCCGGGCCATTTATGGTGGTCGGCAGCAACTTCGCCCCCGGGACTACAGCGGCGGACATTCAATCGGCAATTGAACCTGTTGCAGGCCCAATGTTGACTTGCAGAGTCATCTCACACCACCCTGGCGTCACTGCGGAGTTTGCGTTCGCAGAGAGATGGTGTGCTGAGAATGCTGTGGCGAATTTCCACAACCAAAGAGTAAGTACATGGCGCACTCTTGAGATTTGCCCTCGCGAGTTATTTGAACTTGCTGACTCGTAGAACAGGCCGATGGGAGAATTTTGACGCTCAAGTTACAGCCCGCCGGGACCCCGATTAGCACTCCTGGCACCTCTTTCAATGCTCTCCGCGAGCAAGCAGACCGCGAGCGTCGCTCGCGCCGGGCGGAACCCCAAGTACAAGACGGAAGATATGGATTTGATGAGGCGGGCGACGCGCTGAACACCGACACCGGACTCTACAGTGACCAAATGATGGTGGATCCTCCGTCTCAGAAGAATCACAATTGGCGAAAGAATCGACGGTGATCAGTCGAAGAGGATGAAAGCATACATGAAAGCTCTAATTGACAGAAGCCGACTATGCTACGCACGCTTTGTCTCGTTCGATTCTTGAGCTCGATGATTGCCACTTGTATCATTTTTTCATGAACTGTACGAATACGTAAACATTAAGCCAGAAAGTCAAAACATGAAACTATCCACGAATATCCCTATGCGCCGTGAGTTGACGTTAGCCGTTGATAAGGATCGGATCATATCACGTGGAGCGGAGCTTCTCCGAATTCCAAAATATTTGGAGATTCCCAGTAGAAGCGAATTACGCTCCCGGTGTGTAGTTGACTTGAACACAATCTATCAAGCCAATTCTACCTTATTATTCAATTGGCTGTTTATCAATAGCATCAGGGGAGATAATTCTGAACCTTACCAACATGAACGCCGCCGCTCGGCGCGCAGCGTTACACAGCCTGCGCACGTCTTCAAGGACACCGATTCGATGCAGATGGGGCTCTACACTCGCGGACAGGAAATGGTCAACACCTCTCGCCCGAACACTGGCGAGCGCAATGACGGTAACTCAATATTCCTGTCGGAAAAATCCAAACAAGCCTGGCATCACTGACAATCATTGGGCTCAATGCTAGGTCACTGGTCCCATTCCCATCGCCGCCTTCATGCGCCAGGTGTTGACCTCTCCAGAGGGAGGCTACTACACATCTCGCGAGGATGTCTTCGGTAAACGTGGTGACTTTGTTACATCACCGGAAATTTCCCAGGTGTTTGGAGAGCTGATCGGCATCTGGGCAATTGCGGAGTGGATGGCACAAGGGCGAAAGCGAAGCGGAGTTCAACTGATGGAGGTGGGACCGGGCAAAGGAACCTTAATGGATGATATGCTTCGGGTGAGTTGACAATTGGCAACGTGAAGGGGTCGGTTTCTACGTTGGTGATCAGTCCGACTGACCGTAGTCATGAACAGACATTTCGCAACTTCAAATCTTTCACTTCCAGTGTCGAGGCTATCTATCTTGTTGAGGCGAGCGCTACGTTAAGGGAAGTGCAAAAGCGCCTTTTATGTGGAGACGAAGCAGCCATGGAAGAGACTGACATCGGTCACCGAAGTACCTGCAAGTATTTCAATGTGCCTGTTGTCTGGGTGGAAGACATTCGGTTGCTACCACACGGTAAGTGTTCATGTCATGACTGAATTTTGTTCATGTTCAGAGCTGCCGCTGACGTACTTCCGTATGATTGCAGAGGAAGGGAAAACGCCATTCATTTTTGCACATGAATTCTTCGACGCTCTCCCTATCCACGCGTTCGAATCAGTACCTCCGGCTCCGGAAAACGAGGCGACGGAACAAGTTCAAGAAATCATGACACCTACAGGTCCCCAGAAACTTCTCAAGCCACTCAAAGTTGCCAATGTTCCACAATGGCGAGAGCTGCTGGTCACATTGAATCCTAAAGCAGTGGAAGAGAATATCGAGGGTGAGCCAGAATTCAAGCTCACAAAGGCGAAGGCCTCCACGCCCTCCTCGCTTGTTATCCCGGAGATCTCGGAGCGATACCGAAAGCTCAAGTCGCAACCAGGCTCCACCATTGAAGTGAGTCCCGAAAGCCGCATCTATGCCGCAGACTTTGCGCGTCGCATCGGTGGCGACACGACAACGACTCAAACTTCAAAGAAGAACTCTACCCCAGAAAATCCAAAGAAGACGACGCCATCCGGCGCGGCTTTGATCATGGACTATGGAACCATGTCTACGATACCTGTCAATTCCCTGCGTGGAATTCAACATCACAAAAATGTGGCGCCACTATCTTCACCGGGCCAAGTGGACGTCAGTGCCGATGTTGACTTCACTTCCTTGGCTGAAGCTGCCATTGAAGGAAGCGATGGTGTTGAGGTGCACGGACCCGTTGAGCAGGGCGATTTCCTTCAGGCTCTGGGCATCGAAGAGCGAATGCGCCAGTTGCTGAAGGGTGTCAAAGACGAAGAACATAGACACACCTTGGAGACAGGATGGAGGCGTCTTGTTGATAAGTCGAGTGGTTCCATGGGTCAGATCTACAAGGTGATGACCATTATTCCAGAAAATAGTGGCAAGAGACGGCCGGTGGGTTTCGGCGGTGGTGTACAAATGTAGAATGTCCCACAGCATGGGAGGGGATTCGATATTCCAGTCTGCTCCTGATCTCCGATCCGACAACCCTGATTTCAGGAGGGTTGTTCTGGCTTCCCACGAGATGTCACATTGTATATTAGTAACAACAGCATGCGCAAAGATCGAAGCTTTCTGTGACTTTCTCGATCCCATCATGGCGTTTGCGTCATTGGCATGCATAGCCACGCAATAACATAGGCAACGCTGGAACTCAGCAGAGCGTTTCACTTTTCAAAGAACGTCCCTCAGAGCACGTCACCGAATCTTGGAAAGACCTGATAAAGTCCTTGTATCTCATTATATCGTATGAGCAGCAAAGCAGTGCCATGAGGAGGTGACTGTACGGTCTGTGAGTTTCTCGGTTCTATTTGAGACAGAGATGATATAGCATGTTGATATCTTGTGCCCATCCACACCCAGACAATTCACCAGGCAGTCTCAGATATCAGCGTTAGAGTAAGCCTGAGGATAGGCTGGAGCCCACTTCTAGCCTCAGACTCTATGGGAACGACTGGAGGACATGCTCGCTCCCGTCTCACCTAACGACTTCCTAGTTGCCAGACTTCGCATAGCTACCCTACGTTTATGGTCAAGACAGATTCGCAGAAGAAACCCCTAGATAAGCTACACGACAGATCCCGCATGGGGGAGATGAGCTCAAGTCATCTTGAATGTCGAAGTTGTTGTCATGGCGCGTAGACGTCGTGCACCCAGCTCAACTTGAGATAGAATCTTTCGTTACTCGGCGGTCGTGAGTTGACTGCACTGCTAATCTAATCGGTCTTTACTCTCTCTCTTCATTTATTATGTCCACGGTGCACATGTGCTAAGTAGCATTAAAATAGCGAGATTGTTACATGAAACTTGATTCCATGGCGTGGTATGCCAATGTAAAAGTTATCATGACGGCGCTGAAAATGGTAGCTGCCGAGCATTTGTGAAACGATGATTCGATTAGCCTTGCATGAGCATCGCTTAGCTATGCCAGTGACAACTGGACTATTGTTGAGTTGATGATCCGATGCATCGTTAGGGATGGTTGATCTGACCAAATCATCTGAAATTAGTTGAAATTTCCGTTGAAGACCAGATTATAGGATACGTCCTGGAATTGGACTCGAATTCTGTACTCATTGACGACTATCTTCGACCTGACGAGTTTTACGAAATGCAAACGCTTGGCCGAGAGTTAGACACCTACAAATCCGCCATTTGGTCACTCACTCTGGCAGAATCGGTAATCAGATCACAAAATAGACGGTCGTGAACAATCAGCTGTGTATGGATTCACCGTCTGTTATGCAATTGAAAGACCCCGACGCCGTTACCTTACGTCTGGGTTGAGCCATGTGACCTTTCATCTTACCTGTTTCTGTTTCATTCTCGACCTTGCAAGGCCCAACACCTCATCGCAGCCTGCAATGACAGACTCGCCATTTTGGTTCCGACATATCCTTTCAGATATATGGGACGGTACGGTTCTCTACTTTGATACGTTGACCTGTTCAGGTTGGAAAAGTTTGAGAAGTTGTGAACTCGAAAGAAGGGTTTACTCCAGAGTCCACACGGAAGTAATCCTCCCCCACACTCCAAGGGAAAGTGATGAATCTAATAGCTGTAACTCCAGACAACCGTGAAGCGTGGAAGCTAAAGGATGCCGAATTTCGCTCTGAAGCTTACCCTGAGCTCCTATGTCCTGGTTCGTAACAATGAACCGCAATGGCCTACATGCGAGCTTCTCTTTAGAGCTCCCTTCAAAAGATTGAATCTTGACGATCCGCGCCCTAAAGGCAAACAAGCTGTACGAAGGCCCCGGAGATGCTTTGCGGAAATGTGCCTGGTCTGGCGCCGGTGTAATCAAAGGCTATATGCCCACCGTCTCCTGGTCGGAAACACCCGCGCGCCACGATCAAGGATTTTGTTGGCCACTTTGGTCACTTTCTGAAGGGTAGACTCAGCAGCACGGACGAGCTTGACCAAAAACCGATGTGTTTCGACCTCGCAGAGCCCCAACACGCCAACCCAGTCCAATGCATATCTTGCTTGTGCGTCATGCTCCCTAATGTGATCGACCGTAGCCCCGACTCTAATTGAAGCACAGCAAGCGCCGTGGAGGGGCTGTTGGCATCTTCTCCTACCAATAGCTGGCCATAATCATCGCTCCCCTGAGACGGGCCAACAACGCTAAATTGCCGTTGATCGGCTCTCTGCTTGATTTCGAATGGGCACTGACTACCGAGACTGTCAGCTAGAGGTGTGGCCCACGATGTGATGAGCAATGAGCATCAGTCTCTCGCACGGGCCAGCCAAGGGATACCATACTCACGTCTGAGAGCCTTCCCCAGAGTCCCTCCCCATGCGGCCCGTACGTTTCGACCGATTCCTCGGTTGGGTCAACGGGCAACCCTTCGGTTGGTCATGCTCGTTACACGATTGATTTGCTCTTTGCGCTGCAGCCCATACTCATTGGATTACAGCGGTGAAGCTGATGCCGACGATGGTCGAAGTGACCGCTTCCTGTCTGTATACCGATCATCGAAGATTGCCGAAGTGACATCCCCGAACGGAAAGACAGGCCGGGCCATTTGTCTCGCATAACTTCATGAAGAGATGACATTTAAGCCACCACCAACAATGACTGAGCTTCGTTCGGTTGCTGGCCTCGATTTGGCAAAAATCTCAGTACAGTAGAGAGTTAGAGACTAGATGCAGCGAGTCCATCCGACAGAACCGCAATCATGCCACTCTCCCAACATCTCACCTCGCCGTTACTCGGTCGGCCGCCCATCAGAAGTGGGTGACTGAGCTGCCCCGTGCGGCCCGATCGAGAGGCTGGAGACGTGGGAGACTTGGGAGTAACGAGTCAGTCCATCTCTACCAGCCAACAGCAGATCTCATGTCGCCCCAATTAGTCCGGATGATTGCCCTTTTGAAGCAAAACTGGCTCCTCAATACCCAAGCTGCCATGCGATCTAGTGTGCTCATTGCTCACTTGGCTTGCATGTTTGCTGCAGGTGCAATGCAAGTTATTTTTGGCTCATCACGTCTTCCGTCCTCCGGCGCTTCCCTCCTGACGAGCTCTGGGTGTTGAAGGGAGCGTGTCAGCAGCATCATGGCAGCATGGTCCAAGGACACGAATCACCTCTGGCAGGCTGGGGAAGGATCCATTTTTCCACCGTAGTCGTAACGGGTGGGAAATTCGCAACCAAAGTCTATTTGTTGATTGCGCACCGGAAGGCTGACCCAATCCCTGTCGCGCCATGCGTTTCTCTGCAAGATGCTCGTGCTGGTGCGCTTCGCTAGTGCCTCGCTCGGCTGTCATCTCTTCCCTGCTTTCGCAGCCCTTTGGAGATTGGATAGATCCATTTCGAGGCTCTTCCCCTGGATTCTCGGATCCTTTCAGGCTCTCTCTCCCTCGCTCGTCGAATCAGTCATGCCACCTGCATTTGTCGCGTCGCTGTGAGTGGAGCTTAAGCCTCGCGGCCTCGAATTCTCACGATCTTTGGTGAACTCTCCCAAGCGCATCTAAACTTCCGAAAGCCCTCCCCCAATACCTAACGAGGATCCACCGCCCGCAAAGCTGGGTTCGAAATTGATCCCCGCGTTCAACGTACAGTACTAATTCGATGGATGGTCACTGCGCCTATGATCTGTGTAATGATTCGCAGGTGATTCATGTAGTTCCATCTCGGCCGGGCTCATCGCTAGTGGGGAGTTGGTCGTTGCGCGCGCATTTGTGAATGATGACCGCCGAATCAAAGGTGATGACCAGCCACCTCATTCTACTTGAACGACAGGTCTGCTCTCTCGAACCTAGAGAGATTCACGGGATTCCAAAAATACATTTGCGACCGATCGTGGGCTTCGGGTCCTCCAGTGCCCATGCTCATCTCGGAGTCCCTGTTCACTTCCATCCATTCACCTGCTTTCATTGACATGCCCCGCCTGCCTGCAGCCCGCCACAGAACTCGCGAACTGCACAAGACTCTCATTCCTCCTGACCTACATACCTCTCATCTCAGTGTCTTCTCTCGAGGACCAAGACATCTCAAGACTGATCGTCTTCCATGCCCGTGTTCGACCTCGTGTAGCGCATCTTAACCTGCGGATCCGTATGAATTCCTACGATCACTGATGTACCCCTCGAATGACGCCGGGGCCTCGTCGTTGCTCACTCTTGACCGTGACTCCCTGCCTCCCCGCACTGGATTCCCGACTACTCATTCACAGAATCGAGGGGCATCCTAATTCTAAATTCGATAGCTCCGCCTTGGCATTCTTTCTTATCAACGGGCTGACGTTCAACATCCATATCAACGGGGCTTCGACCGAGGGATTCACGATCGTGCTATATTAAGAACCCGGTGGCCCTGACACGGTTTGCCCTGGCCGCGGCGTGACGTTCTTGATCCCGTCCTTGTTCAAACAGCGGTGTACCAGGGTTCATCGTGGGTTCGTCGTTCCGCTGGACAAATCCTCTCCCCAATCTCTCCTTTTTTGGGATCATTCTGGGAGGCGGCGACTGGCAAAGCAAGCTGTCATAACCGCATCGACATTTGCTACTACGCTTTGCTCAAACTGGGACCCCCCGTTGATTTCAATTGGCTCAACAGATCAATGTGGGAACAATGTCGTTGAAGCAGGTAGGTGATCACCAACACAGGTACCCGACTATCTCGAGAACATTGAGACCGAAGTTGACTGAATGCGAGGCAGGAAATAGAGACATGGGTGTTAGCCCTAGATGCCTACGACAATCAGGACTTCGAGGAATCTTTGCGACAATTTGATCAAATAGCAGATACCTCCAAGATTCTGTTCAATTGTGGAGTGATATATGCCACACTCGGCGAACATGAAAGAGCAGTATGTCCTCCTCCATTTCATTCGGTTTGAAAGTCGTAGGCTTGGCTTTGTCATGTTCATGCTTTTCTCTTTCCGTAGGTGGACTGTTATCAAAGGGCAGTTGGGCTCGATCGATATCTGGCAATCGCTTATTTCCAGCAAGGTGTATCCAACTTCTTACTCGGGGACTTTGAAGAGGCTCTAGCCAATTTCAATGACACGCTTCTCTATCTCCGCGGCAATACATCTATCGACTACGAGCAGCTGGGGCTCAACTTCCGTCTCTATTCATGTGAAGTCCTATTCAATCGTGGACTATGTTATGTCTACCTGCAGCAGATGACTCCCGGCATGCAGGACCTGTCATTTGCAGCGAAGGAGAAGGTCACATCTGATCATGATGTGATTGATGACGCGATACGCGAAAATGCAGATGTAGGCGGCCTCACTGGATGACCAACGTTCTCTCGAATCGAAGACTCGATGGCTAACTGGGAGGCAGGGATATACGGTGTTCTCTATTCCCGTCGGTGTCCTCTACCGGCCCAACGCGGCCAAGGTCAAGAATCTCAAGTCCAAGGACTATCTCGGTAAAGCTCGCTTGGTGGCTGCTTCGGATCGTTCTCAAGGTGCCGATCACCAATGGCGGCCAATGGTGATTGACAAAGGCGCTCTTGAAGACCGCGAGGGGGTCTCCTGGGCTGCCACAAATTTAGTTCACAAGGGCCTGTCAAGTCGCTCGCGGCAGCAATCCGAGCCTCCTTTGACACGAACTCTCTTCCCTCCAACTCCTCCACCAGATGACCGATCCACGAGCAATGGCTCTGTCGCAGGCTCGTCTCATCATCGGTCCGCTTCTCTCCGCGCCGGTCGACCACCCCGACTCGACCTTGAACGCACGGGAACCAGTCTTGATCATCGTTCGCCGAGTCAAGTGATCGCACCCGCCACTGAAAAGCCACGCATCGGTACCACACGCACCGCGTCCGAGCCGCGAGGGCCTGCAGCCAGATCGCAACCCTTGCGTAACATCGGAGAATCCGGTCGCAGCGGTTGGCCTCGAGGTCACCGAAGAAACCTCAGCGATGCTCCTCAGGGGTCAGGCGACAGTATCAACGTTGGCGAGCAAAGTTCACAGAACTATGCAGACGATTACACTTACACTAGTCCCGCGACTGTCTCCAGTTCGGGTTGGGGCCGCGGCCGGCCCCACCCACCCGACTTTATTGACGAAGCAGATGAATATGAACATGAGGAAAGCAGCATGCACCACGTCCAGGACATGTCTTTTGATTTTCTTGGCGCTCCTACAGGCAGTGGGGGATCCTCGAGCTATTCCAATTCTCAGCAGCGTCGAACCCGCTCGCCCGCGCGGCATTCACACCGGGCAAACTCACGTCGACCCGAGGTGCGGCGATTTCGTACCAAAGTCCATGCGCCTGATGATATCCGGTATATCATGATTGGACCGACGGTGGAGTTTGCGGAGTTTGAGGCTCGCATTCGAGAGAAATTCGGGTTCAGATGCGCCCTGAAGCTGAGAGTGCAGGACGATGGTGACATGATCACCATGGTCGATCAAGAAGATCTGGACTTGTTGCTCGCTAGCGCCAAGGAAGTTGCACGGAGGGAAGGAAGCGAGATGGGCAAGATGGAAGTAAGTCTTTCAGCTCTGGGGGAGAGTGAAGGAGATGGTTGGCTTTGAAAGGATTGAGACTCGATCAACTAACCACTTTGGCGCTGCAGGTCTGGGTTGAAGAACTTGCAATGATCTAACCCGCTACTGGGAACCGTCCTGAATCTTTTTTTTTCTCTCTTTTGGTCTTGTGGACGATGGACAATTGGACGGAGATGGAAATGGTGTCGGGTGGCAACTCGGAAAGGCATACAGGCATAATTGGCTTCTGCATGAGTGTTGTTCGTTGTGTGTTTGCTTTTGCTTCATTTTTGCTGGCTTTTGATTATACCCTTTTGGAGTGGCATGGAATGGATACCTACGATGAGGATTGAATTGTAGTATTTAAATACACTTTGTCACAGCAATGTAATGAACGGGTCGATATTCCGTCAGATGCAGTCATGCATATTACAACCTTGGTACTGTCACCCTAATCTTGCTGGTCGTCATCCACTTCCACCGATAAACACAACAGTTGTCCTTCTCCGCAGAAAAGTACGATGATGCTTGTTGACGGGCCCCACCGGCGGAAGTGTCCACCACGGCACCACCACCTCAAAACGGGTCCAAGACCACCGTGACCTTTTTCTCATTGCTGAGCCTCAACTTCCTCTGCAGACAGCATTACCTCATCTCGTCGCTACTGTACCTCCTGAGCTTGCGCATCTCGACTCTCCCCATAGTGTTCTATCAATGAAGGCAATCCCCAATTTCGCACCATGACCGACCTGACGCCCGCTCTCGACACAATCCTGTCGAGCAAACATGGCCGCTCGATCCCACCGCCAGCCACTCGAACTCCCTGTACCGAGGTCGCGGACGAGTTTCTCAAGGAAGCTTATCGCATAGTACGTTTCTGGACTGACGGAACTTATTTCTTGGTTTACCAAAGAGAAAGATTAACAGTACATGAAGCTTACGATTCCCTTCTATACCCGCAGAACTCTCATATAGCTTCCCTCCTCAAATACCTTCATTCAATACGCCACGCCTACCTGTCCACAGCAGCAGCATCAGCTTCTTCACGTCGACACCCGAACAAAGATCACCATGCCCATATAAGTCCAAGATCTCACTATTCTACCTCCTACTTTTCTCCTACCAGAACCCCGAACCCCTCAGCGCATCACACACACCTCACCGAACCCGAGCGCGATCAAATCGACTCTTCAACCGCTCTTCTCCTCCGCGACCTCGCAACCTCGATTGCGAACCTCTCCTCCGCGGAAACCCTCCGCCAAGAGACCTCTGCCTCGATTTTGCGCAAGAAATACGGCCACAGTGCCGCAGGTGCATTACTCTGGCGCTGGGCAGGCGGAGGCAGCGCACTCGATGAATCTAGCGCGCAGGAGGGTAAATCCGCCGAGCAGGTGGATGCGGAAGAGCGCGCAAAGACACTGGCGGGTGTACGGGAGGGGGTTCTGTGGTTTTTGAGAAGAGGCTTGGATCGGGTCGCAGGAGTGCAGAGGGAGATGGTGGAGAAGAGGATTGAGAGGGCGAGGGAAAAGGAGAAGAGTGTTTTGTATAAGAATGCTTCTGCCGCCGCCGCTGCTGCTGCTGCTGGCAATGGTAGTACTTGTCATACCTCTGATCCGTCTTCTTCTCCGACAAGCGGGCCAGCAGGATCATCGGCGCGTCAGTCGGCATATCAATCTTTGGATCCGTCTATACCAGCACCCGATGCGACGACTCTAAGTGAAGCCGAAACAGCACGGATCGAGGCTCAATTATCTCCGGAACAATTGCAACTGTTTGCCGAGGAGAATGATACCATGCTGAAGCACTACGAGGATACTTTGGGGAAAATCCAGTACGTTGCATTGAAATTCCCCCCCTCCCCAAAGTTGCTCCAATTCTTCTTCTCTTTGCCTCTATTTCCGAGACTAACCTCCAATCAAACAGAAACGCGGAGAAATCGCTATTGGAAATCTCATCGCTACAAGAAACCCTTGTCTCGCATCTCGCTACACAAGAAGAGTACATCTCCCAGTTGGTCAGCGATGTAGACACCACGCAGAGCAATGTCGGTCGTGGTAACAAGGAATTGAAGCGCGCGACTGAGCGTCGCAGTACTGCGCAAGCCGTCTTTTGGGGCACCGTGGGGTTGTGTACGTGGTTGGTGGTGTGGGATCTAGTTTTCTGAGGAGCAAAGAGATGCAGACGCATTGGGCTATACCAGGTACATAATGATGGCCTTTTTGGCCACAGCAAACTTACTGCACGTAGCTCGATCTTCATAGTTTCACCGTTGAGTTTTCTCGGGTTCCAGCACGGCGAAAAGTGCTATGACCAGCACGCAAATACAAAGAGTCAATATATCCATTCGGGACGGTGATGTGTATTGCATTTCTAGACTTGACATGGCTTCCCGGCGATGATACTCGAGTCCTGAACACACGGGTTCAGGCTTGGACCTCGCTTCAAGCACGATCATGTAATGGACATGACTGTGACCGTGGTCTCGACTTCCAACGGATGACCCGTAGCTTCAGCGCGCTGTTGCTCAACTCCTTCCTTTCCTCCTCAATACCTACAAAAGGGAGCAGGCGATGAGTCGATGACTTCAATAAAGCCGACATTCAATCCCACCCACACTGCATGACCGCAACGTCTCGGTCATCACCCGGTCTCCCATCTCATCTCACGATTCACCACCACCTCCACTTGAATCACTAGGGTGGCGATCTTTCCAATCGTCCTGATACCTTTGACGAACTTGATCCAGAGCAAAAACCCCACAATCAAGCGACAAGTCTTTCAATCGATACCCGTCTCCCTTTCTTCAACGAAAACAGAGCGACGGAACATTTCACTCGCGAAAGCATTCCCCCTGAACCATAGAACTACAAGACGTCTTATCGTCGAAATGTACTGGAAATACTGAACCTGGGGTGATGCGATCGTGTCGTTCCGGGAGATTCTCGCGAACAGCAAAATGTAAAACTACGTGGAATTCGCATCAACATCGGAAACAAGTTGACCATGTATCACATCAGGCACTAGCAGGCCACGGGCGTCCAGGGCACCTGCCCATGCCACTTTACAGACGAGGAAAAGAAAAGAGCCACGGTGTAGATGGAGAAGGTTGGAATCAAGTTTAGGACTTTTTCGATCGCGCGCAAGGCCTCGTGGAGAGGGATGGGTGGGACGCATCGGGAGGCGTACGATGCGACAAAAGGAGCAACAACTGTACTCTACGTCTTACGCTTGTCGGATATCTTGGGAACCCCGTCTTGAATGACGACAACCTTGGGGAAAAGGTGATGATTGCGCAATGATTTGAATTGTACGATATACTGCTAGAAGACGACAGAATGAAGAGAAAGCCCTGGTGGTGCGAAACGATTGAGATTGACTTGCAGAATGCAATTTGCTAGACTTCTATCAGAGTGTTTTGACACGAGACCCGATGTTTGAATATCAACAACGCCATGGCGAAAAAAAGAGGGACTTGTCATTAGATCGACATCAAGAACGCAAAGAGAATGCTCATTGCCGAAAAGAAAGTTTTTCATGAGGTCTCACGAACGACGCTGTCCACAGCCTCGGCAAAATAGTCCAAGTTATTCGTGTTGAGACCCGCCATCGAGATACGGCCATTCTTGGTCTATTATCGCGGGGAAAAAAAAAGACATGTTAGTATGTGGAGTTTGACAAATGACCGCATGCCGCTCATCGCGGTTCCCGAGGGAAAGATCGACTATCTTCAGTCTCTCCTTTGCCCCTTGTTGTTCCCTCGAAGACTGGGGGTGGGGGGACTTACCATATAGACATGCCACTTGTCCCGCAGGATCTTGACCTGGTTCTCGTTCAGCCCGGTGAAGCTGAACATGCCAATCTGAGAAGTGATATGCTCCCAGTTACCGGGAGTACCACGTTTCTCCAAGCGCTCCCGCAGACCCTGGCGCATTTCGACGATTCGTCCACTCATCGTGCGAAGATCATCCTCCCACTCGGCAAAGAGCTGAGGATCATTGAGGACCTTGCTGGCGATTCGGGCGCCATACGCAGGAGGGTTCGAGATCTCTGACCGCTGCAGGATGGCCAACTGACTGGCGATGTTTTGAATCGCCGTAGAGGCATCTGCACCCGGTGCAGAGACAAAATGGAAGGCACCCGTGCGCTCACCGTACAGACCAAAGTTCTTGGCAAAGGACTGCGCGACGCAGAGCTCAAAGCCCTGCTCGACAAAGTAGCGAATAGCCCAGGCATCACGGGTCAGGTCACCCGAGGCGAAGCCCTGGTAGGCAGTATCGAAGAAGGGGAACTGGTGACGCTCACGCATCACCGCAGCGATCTGCTTCCACTGCTCCTGCGTGGGATCCACCCCGGTGGGGTTGTGTGCACAGGCGTGGAGCAGGATGATGGAACCGGCGGGCGCTGCCTGCAGCGCACCGATCATGCCATCAAAGTCAAGGCCCTTGGTCTTGGCGGAGAAGTATGGATACGTCGCGATGGGAAGACCGACATTGGTGAAGATTTGGTTGTGATTGGCCCAGGTTGGGTTGGAGAGGTAGATGGTGGGCTTGGGCTGCGCCGGGTGGAATTTGGCGAGAAAGAGGCCACCCAAGTGGACGGCACCGGTGCCGGAAATGGTCTGCAGGGTACAGATCTGTTGAAACCCACGGCGAAGGGAGCATACGTTAGTTCAAGGCTGTCCCTTCCTGTGCGCGCCGGTCAGGCGGCGGGGCAAGGAACGAGACGGGGGGCGGGGGGGAAGGGGGAGAGAGGAAAGGGAGCTGAGATCCGAGCGCCACCGCTTCGGACGATGTCATTATGCATTATGCTGCTCCCATTGCCCCCTCCCCGCCCTCAAGCCCCCTCAAGGGACTGAATGGGCCAGAATTAACGTACCCGTTTCTCGCGAATCGCGGGACTGTCTGCGCCCACAATGAGCTTCTGTGCGGCCGAGGTGAACTCGGCGAGACCACTGATGGAGAGATACTCGTGATTCAAGGTGGGGTCATTGTGAATGGCGTGGTCGGCCTAGTTGACAGTAATCAACGTGTGATCAGTGTAGTGTCCTTGGTTTTTGATTTGAGATTCTTTCGATGCGAATGGTCATGGCTTGTTCGACAACAGACGCATCGCTTCATCGAGAAACCATGAAAAGGCACATGCGACATTGACACTTGAAGTCCATGATGGAGACGTACCTTTTTGACGACGGGAAGGACCCAGGGCTTTGCGTTGTTATCACGATAGGCGCCAATGCCCAGGTCGACCTTTTGGTCGGAGGGGTCCTCCCGATAAGCCTTCATGAGGCCGAAGAGGGGATCCTCGGGGGCCGCGGAGACGGCGGCCGGGGTGAAGACGGAAGCGGTGCCGTTGGAACCCATGATGTGCGACGAGAGGGAGGTGAGACGGTCACGAGCAGTGCCAGCGGAGGATGCGGAGGAGGTCGTGTTGGTGGGAGAGGTAGAAGGAGAGGAGGATGCAGAGGACGGAGAGGGGTTTTGATGTTGACGGGAGATGGTCATGATGGCCAGGTTGCGTTGCCTGATTCTGAGGGGGGCGGTTGAACGTAAGGGCAATTCCCGAAACGGGCAATTGACGTTTAATGGAAACCCCAAAAATGGTGGAAAGAAAATCCTGACCCCACGAATCCGATTGGGGAAGCGGTAAAAGAGACGTGAATGACTCGACACGAGCAGGTCGAGACTGCCCGGATACAGGGACTCCAGGTAGCAGTAGTAACTAGTAACTCCTCCTCTCCCAAAGATGATGATGATCGATCAAGTAATTGATAAATAGCCGGAATCTCTGGCGCGGATGGAAATGGCGTCTGCAGCTTTCCCTTTTTCCCGAGCCAAGAAACAATAGCCGTGATGCACCGACCTGGGGACTAGGTTGATTTCCGTTCCTAGTTTCTCTTCTGGTGGATACTAGGGATGACGATGATAATACCGATAAATCACCAGATAGACGAGCTGTTCAGAATCGGGCGATGTTTAGTCTCAGAGTCAATCCGAACTTCCTCGACGGGGAATGTTGCTGCTTGCGTTCACCGGATCGAGCAACCGGTCACCACACCAGAAACCCACGGGCAATCCCCCCCCCCCCCCCTAAATGCCCCAAAAAGAAAATGTGGGAAACGAAAAAAAACCCCCCCCCAAAAAAACCGGGGAAAGACGAGGGGAACATAAAGAAGGGGAATGAGGGGGTGGGGACAAGCGACTTTGGGGCAGAGCGCGGTTAATTCAGGCGTGCAGACTGACCAGTTGGTGAAGGTCGACTCGGGACGACCGTGTAAAACAGAGGGAGTGCACCCGAAAGATCCAGTAGTCCTGTCTCCAGCAGACTTCGCAAAGGTGAAACTGAGTGAGAAATCAGAACCAAGAATCCCAGAGACTCTTGTTACCTTCTGCAACTTATATAGAACCATGTGTCCACCCCCTAGTTCCCTGAACGGTCAACGGGAGTCGTTTGAATTGTCCCTCGGACATGCCCACGAGCCGAGGAAGTAAAACAGTTCCTCGCGAGTCGCATGACGCAGTGACGCACTCCCGCGAGATCGCCCGCGGTCACATGCTTCAAGGAACAGTCCTGGTGAGGCCGCGCCTGATTACGTACTCTATCGACCTCACCGTGTCTTCTATCTGACTTGCTCGCTGAATTTCCGTCTTGTAGACGCGTCTGCATTTGGTACACTGACTAGTAACTACAGAAGAATCTCAGACTCACGCCTACTGCCAAGATCCTCACTCGGCCTCTATGAGCCGCCGGAACTCTATGCTTATTCCCCAGGGGACCAGCAGTCGAGTCCCGGTCGGCCAGATCTTCAGGCCCTGACAGGCTCGTCACGCCGCTGGTGTGTCATCACGCCGAGCTGCGACCCTGACCTCTGGACTGGTCTCCATGTCCACTAGAGAACATGATCGCGCACCTCAAAAAATTTTAGTCAGAAAATAAAAACAAAACAACAAAACAACAGGCACAGCCCAAGGGAAGCCCAAGAGGGAGGAGGGGGGGGGGGGGGGGGGGGGGGGGAAAGTCAAAAAAGAAATCGAATTAAAAAAAGAACGCAGTGGAACCGTGCTTCCGGAAGATGGCTGCCAAGCGGGTCAACCCCGAGCATTTCTGCAGTGATGCAGCGTGTCGCAAAGTAGTCAGCAGCCGTGAGTCCGAATGAATAGGATGTCATCCGGGATGCAGATGGTGCAGAAACGCAGATGGCAGGCTGCCTGCTATGAAGATTCGAAAAAGGTCGAGGATATTTATGAGGAGAGCCAAGATCCATAGGGTGTAAAGGGAGGCGATAACAGCGGATCACTTGATAGTCTGACCTTGTACAGAGAATATAGACTATAAAGTATCCGAGTCCCCAAGTCGACAAGTCCATGCGATTCCATTACACAGCAAGCAGAGTGCAGCAGGACGAGGCATTTCTAAGTCGTGAATCAATCGGCGCTTGTGCAAATTCGATCGTCTTGAATTTCTATCAAGAGCGAGAAACTTGATGCTCAATAGACACTAGGAAAAGGACCTTAGAATCCAAAACTAAGCACCAAGCAGTAAGCACAATATGAGGACAAGGAAGAATCTAGCATAATACCATCTCATCAGACATGGGAACCAGTACGATACTTCACAGCTTGGTACCTCTTCACATAGACCGCGCAGACCGCAGACACGGTCCGCGAATTCCATGTTGCCCTTTCCACATTACCCCAACTCATCATTCTCGACTCTTGAACCACCGAATCCCGGGGTACGAGGGATGTCAGTGGATAAATAATCCCCACCCCAAGTGAGAACCCGTCGGCGATTCAACCGGACGGGAGCCTCTTCCAACGTGATCGAAAATCTTCCGACGCCAACCGTTTCCTTTTGTTTTTGGCCTCCATTCTGGACCTTGGCGACCTTACCTTTCCCGAGATGACAGTGACACAAGACCCGGCGGCTCTCCGGGCGCTCTCCGGGACGGGCCCGCTAAGGGTCTGCTCTACTTTCTACCTGGAAATATTGTCATCGGGTTCCGGTCTGTCTGTGGAGGCTGCTGTAGGGCTGGTGGGATTCTGGGATGTGGTTTTTTTTTTTTAATATTGGCAGTCGATCGCACGCTACGATATATATTTCCAGCTTCATTGACACCTCACGTCACGGGTATGCCTGTAAAAGTCACCATAAGCAAGATGCAGTCATTGATAGAATGTCCTCATAGCGACACACGCTCAGAAACCAGACGCCATGTTTTGCTCTCTGCATCATAGCGGTTGCGAAAGATCTCCAATGTCGGCGCCGAGGAACCATGCGCATCGTCGGTGGGTTGTCCAGTTCTTGCGGAAGAGCCCACATTCGGAGCGGGTATGATGTTGCAATAACATATGCGAGCCTCTTCAGGGATGTGAGAAGGGGTCCCACGCGTGGCAGAATCTTGTTTCGACGGAAAATGTGTCGGGGGGTGTGTCATTGAGACGCCTGAAGATGACGAAGTCGTGGAACCTTGCGATATCAATTGCGAATGGTTATAGTGTTCTTCCAAGTACATGCAAGTCTCTGCCACGAACGCGGCAGGAACAAACTTGAAAAAAGCTTGAATCGGGGGCGTTCGACGCAATAACCCCAAGGCCTTCCGCCGCAGGTATGGATCACGACACTTGAGAGCAGTCAGGTACAATGGGAGACCGAGCCCCATCTCAAAGGTGAAGGGCGGGTCGTCACCGCCTGGGCTGGTCGAAGCTTCCAGGACAAGAGCTTGGCTTGCATTTTCGACAATACTGGCGAACTCTGCCATGTAAGAGTCGTAGATCTCTTCTCGCTGGGACAGACACGTAGATACGTATAGTGATGCAGCGACATAGTAAATGAGGAGCCGAGATTCGGCTCGGGGACAGCGTTGACGGGAATGATTGTATGCTTGGAGCCATTGATCAAGTCGTGTTTGAAGGGATTGCTGCTTAGCGAGCAGATGTGCCCCGACGATACCATCCCGGACGGGCGCACTGCGAAATGGAAATGCCTCTCTGTCGAGGACTGTGGTCTCGGCGAATAGTACATGGATCGCAGTCCCTGCTGCGTCGAGAGACGAAACGGGGCAGTCTCGATTTCGTTGAGCCAAGGCGAATATCTGGCTGACTTGCACCGTTGGTATAGTCAATGAAACCGCACCCAATCGGAGAAAAAGCGGTATGAGAATCTTTTCCAAGGACAAGGCCTTGTGGGTAGAGAGGGTCCCAGCGGTGGCCTGCTGTTGTAAGGTCACAATCAGACCCACGCCTTGATCGTAAAGTTGCAGGGCTTCAGTCAGACGGCCTTGAATCGCCTCTATACATATAAAGAGTACGCAGCTGATCAGTGCGATATATGCATCAGCTGTACCGCGCACGATTTTGGTTTGTAGGCTGGATATCGAACGGGAGTACCAAAGCAGAGCCTCTTGCTGAACTTGCGTCAGTCGCCGCTTCTTCTGCGGCTGAAAGTTTACCAACGGCATATCCAAGCACTGATCGGGGTACTCGTACAAAGCACTGATGGAGATGATGGCATCCCATACGGCAGGCTCAGTACGGCAGATCTGTGGGGCCACATTCGTCCAGAATTCCAGGTTCATCCCGGCAGCGAGTCTCTTCGACGCATGTTGGACATAGTATTCAAAGGCGCGACGCTCAGTGTAATTACTCGCCGGGGTTATCGATCGATGGAAGCCAGGAGACAAGACTCTCGTCTGGAGGTCTCCGTATTCACATCTACGGCCCGTGCTGGAACATCGACGGCATGTTGGCTTCTCCTCGCCACATTTGACCTTGCGGATCCTGCACGATGAGCATCAACCTGAAGCGCCCTTGAGAAAGGAGGCAGAGGAGCATGAGAGCATAGAATTGCGTCAGAACTTACTTGCAAGTCTTACAGCCATCCCGGGATCTTCTAGCGCCGATCCGGTTGCTGCTGGAATCAGACGAGTTCATAGCTCTGGTAGCAGAATTGGCACATTGGCACAAACTCTAATGGCCCCGACGGTGGGCTCTACCGATCCCGGAAACCGTCTTTGTAATCTTTGTACACTCAGGACACGACCCTGATGCTTGATGCTTTGGACGGGGGAACAAATCCCGGTTGAACGGGTGCAACCCCAGAGTTCAAATGTTTGCTTAATCGCCTTATCACATAGACCCATCCTAGGCAAGTATGGCCGGCGGTCGAAAAACTGCCCAGCTGAGGCCTCGTGTCAATTATGTAAGCATAATACAGGTCATGAACCTTCGTAAACTAGGCACTTAACAGTGGAGTGGCACTGCACTCCTGGCTGGCGAGTGCCCGGGTGCCGAAAGAATACCCTTAGTGTAACTTTTCCCATGTCAAAATCAATACCTTGAAGATTCTAGCGTGATGACTTTCGTAATTTAGAGAGGTCGAAAGAGCAGAGATTGGAATGAATCTGTGCGACATCCGTTGGCATTCGACCGGATGTGCAGAGCGTGGTTATCCTACTGTCATAGAGCAAGTGTGGCATACTCATGAAATTCCTACTGTGAGAGATGTGCAAGCCAGTACTACCAAACTTGATAAGCCAAGAACACATCAAGGAAGAGCGATTCATGACGAGAGACTGTCCAGGGCGAGAAAGTCACTAGAAACGTACTGCCAAATAGCTATGCAGCATCAGATAGCATAGCTATAGAAGCAACTGTACCATAGCAGAACTGGGCTGCGCTCCAATGCGCCGGGCACCCCAGCCCCGGACGTCTGTACATTCCACGTGGAAATTGTTGTCAAGATCACCCGCCTCGTCTTCGCCCCTTGCGCACCATACCCGTCGCGACCAAAAAAAAAAAGCAACAACATTCGCTGAGAACATTGCTTCGTAAGGATCATAAAACGCCAATGGATCCGCAAAATTTGAACCTCCGCCGACCCTTGCCAAAACTCTATCAGCCATGAAAAAGGAAGAAAAAAGGAAAAAAAAAAAAAAAAAAAGAGGCGGAGGTGAAATTGGTGTAGCATCGTTCGAAAATAAGCAACACTTGATAAGATTCTCTAGTAAAGTTCATATCAAATGCACGGTAGAATTGAATTTGCCGTAAAAGGAGTGTCGTGAATCATGCATTTGGAAAGTCATTTTTGGCTCATCTGCCAAATTGGCATAAGCAAGAAAGCAAATAGGGCACCTGGCCCTGGTTAATGGGTAGTGTGCGCAGCGGGAGGTTCGGTGGGTGGTTCGAGCTCACCCCCCTCCTGGACGGGGTTGTCAACCCCATGTGAATGGGTGCGTATGCGGAATCGTTCGCGCAAACGAGTTGACAGTCGATTTCGATTGCGTTGAGAGGAGTCAAGATCGGCGGTGGCTCCACCTTGGTTGGCTTCTCGAACGCGACGCAGGGCATCCAGACGTTCTTCCACGGTAGCATTGCGCATTCTTCGAGCGTTGAGAGGACCGTGCAAATAGTTTGAGAGACGACGTGAATGTCGGTTCTGTTGCGCGCCTGCCGCGGCAGCGGGGCCATTGCTGCCGTCGGCTGGCGGCTCCGTAGTTTGCCCATCGGCATTCTCCGCCCCAGGTTCGGCATTCTCCTCCGGCTTGGGCGGATTTAGGTCAATGCGGCTAGAGTTCCACAGGTCAGTCACCTCGCCCCCTTCGAACATGCGAATCGTGTGATGTTGTGTCAAGACACGAGCAGAACACGGGGAGACTTACCAAAGAGGGCATGTGCCCGAGACATTCACGAGCCAAGGATCGATACATTCAGGGTGGAATTGGTGATTGCATGGCAGAACTCGCAAGTCCTGTCCGATGACAAAGTCATCCGTACAGATGGGACAGGAGAAGTTGCCGCTGTCCGGTGTCGCCGCAGGGCTAGACTCGGTCGCGGTATCCCGGGGGGAATGTTCAATCCCCTCAGAGTGAGTTGACGAGAGGTTGGTGCCAGGGGGGGACGTGGGTTGGATTTCGGACACGTTCTCCGAGCGGGAAGGCGAGCGGGAAGGCGAGTGGGTAGGATGATCCTCCGCATTCGCCATCTCCACATCACGCTTCGCAGCATCAACCTCATTCGAGTCGCCAAACTTGACGACAGGGATCGTGTCCAGCATCGCTTGCGCGATGCCCCTGGCGCGACTTTGCCGGGGACGACCCGCAACTCTGCGAGGCCCGTACCGCTCGGGGTGACGGTGAGCTCGAACAGCGCCCGTGATAATGATACCCAGGAACAAGGCGGTGATGATGCCCGTGATGCTGTAGAGGATGATCATCGCTAGAAGCACGGTCAGCCTCACCCATTCAACTTCCGTTCGATCAGTCAAGCTGGCAGTCCATACCTGTGTTGGGGCTATTGGTGGACCCGCCTCCGCTACTGCTGCCGCCGCCGCCGCTGCTGCCGCCACTGCTATCGACGTTGGACGTGGTACTCGTTGTGAAGGAGGACATGTTGGCTTGGATCTGCACCTTCTGGTCGGAGAAGGTGTGAAGGAGTTGATCTAGATAGCCGACGGCGTGAAAGTCCCGAAGAGTAAAGATGAAGCGATAGGCCTCGGCTTGATCGTCGGTGGTCAAGTTGCAATGCGAGGCCGAGGTGCTGTAGAGAATGACCGCCGCTGGTGGGTGAGCCGCCGTGATCACACTCTGGACGGTTTGATCAACACCCAACTCTCCCGGATAGTCGGCGGGAGAATTGTCGCAGGGGATGGCCGCGATGTCAGTGTTGTTGATACTCAGTGAGTTAGTGGCGGTGACTCGGACCAGTCGGCCTTGGAGATTCAGTGCCTGAGGAGGGAGCGCGGCAATGAATTAGCATGAAAATCGATGGGAGCCAATGCGCAGCGGGCCGGAGGACAGGGTGGAATCTTGATGTTGAAGGAGAAAATTGCGCAGCCAGAGAAATGAATAAATGAGAGACCATCAAAGAACTCCCATGACATGAAAGCACCAGCGGACTACCCGAAACGAGGATCTTACCTGGGCCTGGGTGGAAGATAAATTGACGAGGTAATGCGTCAATGGGGCGAGGCTCTGGTCACTGAGTGGCTTAGAGCTGTGGAGGCGGAAGTTCGCGGAGCTGGTCCAGGCCAGATCGCTGGTGTCGTTCGAGGGCGCGATCGAGATATGCGCCAACGCAGGAGTTGTGAGAATAGACAGGGTGAGGAAGGATAATAAGAATGCGAACAGCCCCATGATTATGATTGCTGCGCCGATTATTGCCCAGCGGGTCTTGAAGAGGATTTGGGGGGGAAGTCGGAGGTGCCGGTTGCCCGTACAGTCGTAGTCGTCGTCTCAGATTATTATTATTTCATACGGGATGCAGCAAGTGGGACTGCTGGAGCAACACTGTGGGGGGGGGGGGGGGAAAGGAAGATGGTAGGATCAGATCATCTGGGGATTCTGCAAGGTTACTTGTCCCCGGGGAATAGTCAATCGCCGTGATGATAATGGGGGTTGGTGACGAGGGACTGAAACCGGGCGAGGATCGCGAGAGCGTGGGAGAAGTGATGGAAGAAGGAGGGGCACGAAAATGATTTCCACTGAGCTGAGTGGGTTCTCGGTGGAGGGAAAAGTGGACGCGAAAGTGGCCTCGATGGAATGGTTTTTCGTTTTACGGTTTACGAGCGCGAGGAGGAGTCCGGAGGGGAAGAAGATTAGCGTGCGTGGGCGACATCGGACATGGGGAAGTGGGAATCAGAGATCACCACCGAAGCATCTCCTCTACGATGGGTGGGGATCATCATGATTACCATCAGACTACGACTATTGTTGTTGTTGTTGTTGTTGTTGTTGTTGTTGTTGTTGTTGCGGCTGCGGCTGCGGCTGCTGCTAGTAACTCCATAGTACATTACTACATACTACTGCAGCCAGTCCCGATGTAAATGCTAGCGACACCACAATCACAACGCCCAATATGATGATGATTCTCATGATCCATCCAAATTCCTTCTATCATCCTTCCGACAATCTGCCCTTGTGTGGAGGAAAAAGTGGAGTCGAAGGAAATGAAAACTCGGGGAAACAGGGAACCACATGTTGCGGACGTGGAGAGCCTGAGGCTGTACGCAGAACGCAGAACGCAGTCCGCAGAACGCAGTCCGCATCGACTGGATGCAGGATGGCAGGATGCACTCCATGAATCGATGGATCGTTATGCACTGACTGCATGGACGGTGTTACGACGATTGTACTACTGGTAGTTGACGCTACACCATATCGGCGTGTACGACGGTCATCCCTTGCAAACTCAATCGAGGCAAAGCCCTCACCACCGCTCCGGGCGAGATGCCGATCATGCATAGACTCGTCTGCCAGAGACTCAAGAACGGAGGAGGACCGGCGTCGGGCGCAGCCCGTCGTGTGACCCAAAACGGTTAAAGAAGACATCGATCGGGCTCTTCCCCCCACGCGCCATATGGAGAACGTCACGGGTGGGTGATCGGCCATGCGCCAGTCGTCAACAATGTGCCATGGTTTGATCACTTCCCTGACTGGGCGATCATGAAAGAAGGTCCTGCCCGAATTCATATACTATTGACAGATGACTTTCCGGCGAGTTTACACCGGTGTGTTCCCGTTGGCTCAGCTGTCTGAGGCAAAAGGGCAGCGGATCTCGCTTGATACGCCGAGAACGGATCGGACGGGACACGTCACGGAGCTCGGAGGCCGCAGGAGCCGGGCATCCGTCCGGGAAGTCAAGGCGGACAGGGCTGGTTCTTCGCTGCATCCATGACAATCACGACTCGAGCTCATTGAGAAGACGTGAAAGGTCCTGAGCTTGCGAGATCCACGACCTAGTACCGACTGACGCTGGAGATTCACCTTCGATGCATGGTAATGAATTCTGATCACTTCACGTCAACGTCCCCCAGGCGTAGGAGATCGTCTGGGACACGGAACACCGGGAACAGAGAGCACCAGACCATCAAAGTCGATACCTGGTTCGCTTCCAAGGTCGACACATTGCCCCCGCACCGCCCGCACGTCGATCCTCGCTGAACCCACCAGGGATGCAAAGTGCTGGCTACCTACACACGTACTCTACTGGACCTATCATTGTACCGAATCTACAACAGGCGTATCAATCTCAACTGTCACTCTCTTCATGAGTGGATGTTGGTGTCTCTTGCTTACCCGTGAGAAGGGCTTACACTCCCGGGGCCACCGCCTTTTGCGGGACAAGCCCACGGCCAATGAATAACCGCCTGTGGGCGAGGGGGAGAATCAGTTGGCCAGTTGAGGTTGGAAGTTGTGTTCAAATGGTGAAGCAAGAGGAAGCCCTACTTAGCTTCTACTCTACCTAACTAGGTACCTACTACCTACTACCTACCATCTTCAAGCGGGCGACGACTACGAGACAGAAGACAGGGCAAACATGCTAAAGTACAGGCAAAATCGCAATTTTGAGGTCTCGCGTGAACGGTGAGATCGCAAGGGGCGCGAACTTCTCTCGTGTTTGAGAACGAATGCCGCCAGACGCTGGACCAAAAATCCCTGGGCCTTGAGCTGGAGTGTATCCAGATCATGTCTGGAACATGACGCTTTCTATCGTGGGCAACTTTACCGCATTCTATGAGCCCTCGGCTGGCGGCGACGAGCTCGGACAGCCAGCTGGCCAGTCCAGAGGATGAGGAGGCTGATGGTCTTTACGAGGCATGTGGTCAACTCGAGTCTTGGGCTCGATCTCACCATCTCCATCAGGACAGGGCGGGATCTATTTTGCAAAGTCTCGCTATTCGTACTTACCCGCCAACGCGCATCCACCGACGGATCTGTTCATCGGTCTTTCTTCCATGCGAATGTCAGGTTTCGCTTTCAATGGATGCGGGCAAGACTCGTCACCGCCTTTAACAACAATAAACAATCTCCACCTCGGTCACTGATCGGCCCCGCAGCGTACTCACATTCAACATGGAAATCTATCTCAGCGATGACAACCTTGGAATATGAGACTTTCCAGGTCATTTAATCTGGAGAGCGTCATTGATACATGATGACCGTGGAGCAGATCGACCGTGATCTTGGTGGTCCAGTGACCTGCAAAAAGAAACACCGTATCCAACGTCAAAGATCCGACCTCCAAGCGTACAGATGGATGTCGTTGACCCATGTCGTTGGCGGTTGCCATGAGTTGCACGATATCACTCCAGGAACAGGAGGCAAGAGGCGGACCCATACCTCAAATTCATCATTCTCTCGTCAAGCCAGGTGTGTTTGTATATTAATTGAAATTACCATTTACCCTATCACGAGTTAGTCTTCATCCCTCCTGGGTACCAGCCTGTTCAGCCATTCGACCACCTGCATCACTCTCCCTCCTCATACTTCGCAGCGTTGTCATATCCCCGGTATTGACCACTTCATGTCTTCTCGCAAACAGATGCTGGATAGTAGACATGCTTGGACCTTACTCCTGCACACAGCCTCGGGAGCAGGCTCCAGCCAGCCTACCGATGATGAACAGTTCCCGCATCGTGATACCCCAATAAAAGCTTGATGACAACTTCGCTCTTGCATTGTAACCCTCGGCAGTGGTTACACAGGGGGGAGAAAAGTTCGAAATCTGCCACAGACGGAATCATCTGCTGTGTACGAGCGTGTCGGTGGGTAGATATCTCTGTTCAACTCTGCTCGCTGTATACTGTATAGTATTCGCCGGAAGGACCAGGCATCTTGATCACTCCAGTCCACACCAATGCGTCGCTCTACGCTCGGGAAATATCCCGGGCCGAAGCCATCCACTCAATTTCAGCCCATGCGGATCCCAGCCGACGCTCACTACAACACTAATCAGTCGACTGCAGCTCAGCTGGATCAGGTTGCCCGGGGCTGTCGAGTCAGGCAACTCGGCATCAATCTCAGCGTCCAGGCAGGCTTTGAGTAGTAGGGATGCGATTTGTCTCCACCTTCACCGGGCAACCCGACAGATGGAGGCCGAGCCCCAAGTAAGCAGCCACATTCCGGGTAGCTGGTGATCCGTAGCCCTGCATGCTTGATCTCGACTTGAGTGGCGAAGCTGACCCACGCGATTTGAATGCTGCGCTACTGACATGGCACCTGTGATCGCCGATACGAATGAACGTACACAGCGGGCAATCGGCAAAGTCATGAGGCTGGCTGCGACGTGAGCCGGCTCTTCTCCTTCCTATCCATGTGCTCTTTTGATTGTGACCACGTGGAGAATAGACCGGGGACGACTCCAAAGCGGCTAGAGAGTACAATTCTCGGGGGAATCTTCAGCTACCTAGGTTTTTTGCCTTCTGGCAAAGTATCTTCAGTGGCCGATCATCCGGAGTAGGTCCACCAGACAGACCGTCGTTACTATGCGAATTTGCTCTCTACTCCCACAGGGTCGTTTCCTATCCCCGGAAATTCGATACCCACATCGATCGCGACAAATCAAGCCACAGCATTATCAGCACGTTTGACATGAACCTTCAGGGCCGCTGAACCAGACGCAAAGATGCCACAATCACATGCACCTTTTGGACCGGTGCCTCTACAATATGACCGATTCTCCCCCTTTCCTTCACAAGGCAAAAGAGGGGTCTTCTTCAAAATCGAATCGTTGGCCCCGCAAGCGTCGACGAGGCAAGCGGCCATCGGTCATCCCAGCAGAGAAGCGCCCGGCGGGGATCGTCGATCCGCAGCAGTACCTTTGTAGAGTGAGTACTTAGTGAGTACCGAGTCCTGTATGCTGGAGTGGTCAATCCCTCCGAGTCTGTTGTCTATGGCGGAGCGGTCAGGTAGGAGGGTGTCCTGACGGGGTCGCCGCGGCAGCCACCAAGCCGATTTTCGACAAGCCTAGTATTTTGCCTGGTGAACTGAAAGCTGTCGGGCTGGAGGGCGGCTTAAGGGATCGACATGCTGGGGACTTGGGTTGTGGACAATTGTCCAGAGTCATACATACTGTAGTCTTTCTTGTCGTGACAATTGGATTGCAGGGTTGAATGATGCTCGAGTCTATGGTACGACATATGAAGTACCAGGGAGTTTTGAGGTCCCATGAGCATGCGTACTTGGCTCCTGTTTGGTGCTCCGCTGTCGCATTCTTCTGTCTTCTCCGCGCTAGCAATACCTCCCTTGAGAGGCCTGCTAGGGTATATATGCTGTCACGCTGTGTATACTGTATACAGGTACCTTACTAAACACTATATACTATATACTATATACTATACCCTATATAATGTGGAACTACCCTCCACGCACATGGCAGGGCGCCACTTTCTCAGATTTCTACCCATATACCGAACCACCAGCTCATGAACCCTGTGGGCGTGCTTATCAAGTCTCCCACGTCAAGTGACACCAATCACACCCGACGGATTCCTCTGCATCAGCAGTCTTCTCGATCGAAGATCCGGATGGAAGTGCCGAGGCCTCTTCGTAGTCTCTGACTATCTGCAGGTCACAGGGGACGGCGCTCGGTGAATATTGCTGGCCAGGCGTCTCGGTCGGTACTGTACGCGGCGTGGACAGTGGACGGGAGAGTGGACAATGGATAGACCACTGGGCCCTGGCACATGTGGTGGTCCCACGTCGAGTGTATTCGGGCACAGATTGAACATGGGGAAGGAACCGTGGAAGATAAGTCACTCTCAATGTATCATTCACTTCTATTGTATCATTCACTTCTAATGTACTAGGAATCATCTATGATTTTGGCCGTCAGTCGTCATATGTTGATGTTTTTTTCAAATCTCACCAGTTCGAGGTGTGAGATCTGGAGATGCTCTGCCACGGCTCAACCGAGAAACATCAAAGAGAGAAAGGGCCCCGCGGTCCGACGATTCGTGGATGAGGTGGAGATGGGGTTCCTGAGCGGAGCCATGTGATTTGTGGAGGTGCCCAGTGGGGAATCTCACGCTCACGGTCGAGGCTCTCGTAGAACCCGCTCCCGTGACCCAAAGTGGGAGAATTGAGAATACAGTTTGGACTTGGGAGGGTTGTCCGACCAGTCCTACTACCTACAGTACTCCTAGTAGGCTAGTACTAGTAGTGCTCTGTTTCTTATCTACCCAGAAGGTACTAGATTTCGATCACTACTATCGGAGTACTCTGATTTAAGGCCTACTCTATCGTCATCGTGCCTATCAGACAGGGTCGGAGAGGGGATCCTACGATTGAAGTACCAAAGTCAGTCCGTGATCCTATGTATCGGACGGTAGGATGGATCTATTTTCGAGATACGCGGTGGGAATTCAGACCCACATTGAAGAACAGGTGGACTCCCCCGGCGGTGCTCGGCCAATGCCAGGGCGGGCAGTCCCCGGTCGGAGAGGAGGTTCTCTGACCCTCGGGTGATCTGATCGTCCATCTGGTCTGGCCCGGTCGGGAGCGATCTCCCCTTCCATTAATAGCATCTTGCAGCGGTGTTTTTTTTCCCCCCTTCCCTTTTCCCCCTCTCGTCCATTGTATCTTTGGGGATTGGGGATTGGGGATTGGGGAATGGTCCCGTCGACGTTGCGGCGGATCAGGAATCACAGACCTCAAGTTGGTCGCTTTCTGCCACGATTTACACAGAGGTCACCACGACAGTCCTACTCAAATGCTACTAGGACCACTTGTATTATTTGTCCCCTCGTCTGATTGATAGCCGCCCGGGTGGCCTCCACCCGTGAACAACCACGCCCAGAGGTACGGGTACGTCGACCGCCAGCAAGAGGGAGTCCCTGAGTCCACTGATCCAGTACTACACATTACACAACACCGTCAAAGTTTTGTACCTTATTTCGGTGTCCCCCTCTCCCTCTCGCTTTCTCTCTCTCTCTTCTTCGCTCTCCCTCTCTCGTCAACTTACCCTCGTTGCTGACCAGCGAAACCTGAGCATTGACTACCCCCCTGGTCTGCTGTCAACACCGGTCTCTCCAGTCGAATTTCCACCTGGTTTGCCTCCCCTCCACGTCGGCAATCCCTCCGGACTTTGGGTCATCAGGATCGGACTTTTGGTGGATCTGCTTTCAGCGGCTACATCCGTTTCCCTCGACCTTTTTTTTTCTCTTCCTTGCTGTTCTCTGAATGCTACTACGGATTGGAGGAAAGTACTCTCGTCGACTTTCTGTTGACACCGCGGCCGCTCTCACACACAACCTTTCTCTCTCTCCCTCCCTCTCCATCTCTCTCTCTCCCTCTCTCTCTCTCTCTCTCTCTCTCTCTCTCTCTCTCTCTCTCTCTCTCTCTCTCTCTCTCTCTCACACACTCCCCCTCACTCTCACTCTCTTCCCTTCTGACTCCTCCCTACCGTACGGTTCCCATCGACCCGTCTACAACGACGATTCCTTCACGACCCTCACCGGTCTGCCCTTCTACTCTCGGCAACTCGTGCCCCGCCCTCCACAGCAACGACCATCGCGAATCACGTCGGAAACAACCGATCATCGGGCGTTCGTGTTAATGCCGACAACCGACCCTGGATCTTCCGCTGCCGCTTCCGCTTCGGCCTTCTCCCAGACTTTCGGTCCACTGTGAATGTCCATCCTCGTCGGCCCAAAAACGCGCCTCAGAGCTTTGAGCTTCCTCATCACTTTCCGCTCGTGATCGGGGCTTGTCCGACTGCTGGTCGACAGGCGAGGCATCATGCCCTCGAACCCGGCCGCTGAGGCTTTTTCCAAAGAGTGGGAACGATGCTTCGACAGGAAGCCGATTTCTGCGTAAGTTCGCCGTGACAACCCCCCTCCCACCGTGGTTCCCACCGGTGGCCGAGTGCCACAGAAAGAAGTCCGCTTCCTCTCTCTTCTTCCCCCCCTCACCCTCCGATGGTAGACCGCAATGGACATTGAATGGTCGGGGCTTAAATGGCTGGCCCGGTTTCCTTTTCATCTTGTTCTCTCAGCAAACTGTCGCTCCTCTTTCCTACTCCCCTCTTCTGACTCGTCCCCGCCGCTCACCTCATGCCATGTCCAGAAACCCGATCATTGCCGATCTCGATGTGGAACACAACGAGCTAGCGCAGACCTGGAAAACATTCAATCGCTTTCTGCCCCCCAGTAGCCGAACCCAACGTGGCGATCAGGCCCCCGGAATTGACGATCTGATTCTCCTCATTCGTGAGGTACAGAAGACATGGAAATCACACCCGCGCAAACGAGTCTTCGACCGCCCACTCGCTCTGTGCGACCAGCTGGTGCCGACCTTGTCCATCCATGACACACTGATGACTGTGCTGCCAGATAACAGTCTCTTTCACACTCCATTACTATACAGCGTACTCCAGACGGTGATCAAGGTGGGTCGGACAACCTCTGCTCCCAAACCCGCGCCGGCACTGCGATGTCCATACGAAGCAACATCGACAAGCTAACAATGGGTACTACAATCACAGGCCGCGTCGCTATACCCACCAGTCATTGAGATCTTCCTAAACGCGCTTCTGGAGATTCACCATGAACTCAGAGCCCCGGCAGAGCCGCTCTCTACCTCACTCCACCTCTTTCCGGTTGCGAATATCTATGCTCGATATTTCTTCTTCCTCACCGAATTCATGGACTGGTTCACCCGGCGTTCGACATGCGAGTTACTGAAAAGTCACAGCCATGATGGATACTCGGAATTCCATCACCTGATCACAGCGATCCAAGCGCAGGCGGGAGCCCTCGCGGAGTCGGCCGACTGCATGGATGTGGACGAAAAGGTGAACACAGCACACAGTCCGCGTGCCTTGTGGGTCGAATCTCAGCTCAGTCAGATCGGACGGGAGGGCACAGAACGACGCATTGCTGCGCAAAATACAATCACCCGTCGTCTCATCTGGGAGATCCAGCAAGACGCCGAGGAACGAGCTCGGATTCGACAGCAGAAGAGCCAGCTCTTGACGGAGATGCTGAGAAACGTGAATGCGCAGATTCGGCCTGTTGGTGACTCCGACAACCGAACACTTTGCATGGCCAGCGCTGCGCCGGATGTTGGTAAGTAGACAACGGGAGATCCACTCACTCTCCGTAATTCCCCCGTCAGGGCCTGGATGTGGGCGAGTGCTGATCGATATATGTGGCAGCATCCGCTTTCGAGTGGTTCCGCGTATCCAGGCGTCGTTTGGCTCGTCTGGAGCTGCAAAGTGCCTCCAAACACCTCGAGGCCTTCTTTGCCAGCGACGACCAAGTTCCCGACATCGACCCTACCGCTCAACTTCTCGTCGAGAGCAAGGTCGTTGCTACACTCCAAACATGGGCAACTACCCCGAGGTCACAGGCCCTAGCCCTTGGTGGCTCTGCCGGCAGCTTCTCCGGTCCGGCTCCGAACCCCGTGGCTCTCATCTCTGCCTGCTACGCATCCGCTGCCCGACACGCGCAGCTCCCGATTGTTTCCCACTTCTGTTCCCTCCCCGCGGACGAGAAGAAGGGCCTGACCTTACAGCAACAGGGTCTGATTGCACTCACCTACAGTCTCATTCGGCAACTGGTCAATTGCCTCCCCACCGTCGTCGATAGTGATTCGTTGCTCGATGTCAGTGCGGAGCGATTCCGCCAATTGGACGGTACAATCCACAGCTGGAAAGCGGCCTTGAGCTTGGTTGATACCCTGCTGCACTTTGTTCCTCCGTTGCTCGTGTGCGTGATCGACGGAATTGACATGATTCATGATTCCTCGACCGATGATGCGATTCGAGACCTCATCAGAATTCTCCTCACCCATACGGGGCATCGACTCCAGCCCGCAAATAGCGAATGCTCGACCCCCACTTTTTTGTTCAAGATCCTCTTCACCGTGACCGGGCGGTCCAGTGCGCTGGAAGAAGTCATGTCGGAGAACCACATTCCCACACGTGAGCCGACCCAGGCGACCGAGCACGCTGCCACGGAGCCAGTCCTTTCTTCCGACCTTGGAGCCGTCTTGATGAATGCTTGAATGATCCGGTCTCCTGCACGAGTATGCTTTCCCATTGGAGGCCGCTTCTTTGACGATCTTTCCTGCGTTCCTCATGATGAAGCCTTAGGCGAAATTTGAGTGTACAGTGGCCATCCTCTACCCTCAGAAGCATTGGGAGTGTTATGTTTCCGAAGCTCATGCAACCCGGCACCGTGCTTATCAATCGGTCATCTATCGACCACTCGAGCCAAGCAACGATGCATGCACGATTCCCCAAACGTGCAGAATTTGGCGGGGTGAGTCAGCGGGGACTCTTGCTATTATGAAATCCGGCGGCGGCCTGGATGTAAACCAACTTGCGGTGGTGTCAAAATGCCGCCTCTCATCACCTCCGGCGTTTCTCTCGCGCGCGTCCTCTTCTTTTCGTCGTTCCTCATGACTATCTTACTGAGCGTTCTTTTTGCTCTCTCCTGCATTTTCCCTCCCTGTTTCCTTCTTCCCCCCCCCCCCCCCCCCCCCCCCCACTTCTTCACGTCCTGACCTGATTCGTATTCAGAAAAATTGCTCTCTCGAGGCGTTCCTTGTTTGCCCATTGTTCGACTTGCCGCTTCCAGGCCGTTGGATGATCCCCCTCCCTTGCTTCCCGCCGCCTGCCAACCTTGATGAAACTTGCTTCTTTTCTGTTGTCTGTCTCTGCTTTGCATGACTCGTGGTACACCATGTATTTCTACTGCTGGCTTGCTGTGATACCCTTGTGTAGACGTTTGGTTTCTTCTCATTTCGATAATTCTTTGTTTCGCCACCCTTGATGATGATTACTACGTCCTTTTCTTTGTTTCGGAACTCCTTATGGGTCTATTCTATCGTTATCGAAGATGATGCTCTCACGAGCGATGGTCCAGATGATCTGCCAATGAGTTTCTATCAGTATCCTCGTAGAATTGATTTTCGTTCCCCCCATCGTCCCCGGAACCGTTCTTGCGTTCATCCTGTCGATGGTGCACAGTAACGCAACCCGAGATCGTATACAATCATCATGAAAGGTCGCGGCTCGTCGTCGAGAGGACCATCGGAGTAGTGCACACTGCATAGTCATCATGTGGTCTCACTGGCTTCTGAGTGTTATTTTAGTGAATGGTTGGTTCGCAATGAACTTGTATGGAGCGGTTGGACTCCGTTGAGTTACAGTACTGTAGATGGTCACAGTGATACAGAACTGCCAAAGGATAGTTCGTACATGACATAACTCCATCGTACATCCGAGTCCGACATACAGCTCCAGACTCGGTATGGTCCTGCGACTCCTGGCTGGCACCTGCTCACGCTGGCGTATGCCCCTTGGAAGCGAGCGCAGATCGTCCCGGGTGATTGGTGCGTCCGACGTGGGACCTGCATATCTCGAACGCCACGGCGGGGCAGACTCCAGCCCGTCTATCGGAATAAGGATGTTCCGTGTTCCGTGGTGTAACTGGGCTGTAGGCGGGATCTGAGTGTCGATGAACGGACAGATTGTAACTGGGCCATTGTACGGTCCTGATCGCGTCCAGTTCTGGCGCGGCGGACACATCTGCATCTGGATTGATCTTGGAGTTGGTATGCAATGGTCTCGATAGTAGATTTTGATATATCCGAGCTTAGGAGCCTAAGACCTATGAAGTCCACCAGATCTTAATCTAAGCTTCACCTTTTCTGGCTGATGGTAGTACATAAAAAGGTCCAGGTTGGAGTCTTCTCGTGAATCGTCCGGTGCTGGTCACGAGTCACAATTCATCGAAAGCAGATGAGCAAATTTTCCCACCCTGACGTTCATTCATGTCTCATACCTTTCGGAATTTCACAGGAATGTCGCTGTCATAGCAGTGGACACTTAACGGTTGGAATGCGATGGATGAAAGCTTGGACTGACCGGTCTCGCATTCTTGTATGGGGCGGTATGTCTTGACTGACTCTTCTATTCGACGTATCACGTTTTCCAATCGTCCAGAGCGGAGTTTCTGTTGACAATTGGGCCTGACGTCCGGTAGGCAGGTAAACGTAAACATGGTCCAGACTTGACCGCCCAAGGTAAACTACCTTCTACAGGGATGTTTGAGAATATGGAACCTCTTGTTGTACGTTCGGCAGAGTAGTCGCTGATGTCCCGGTGATCCTGTACTCCGGCATCAGGTGTAAAGACGAAAGTCAACAAGAACTATCCGGCAAGCGCGTGGAAACGTTGGTGAAACTACGTGGCTTACAATCAGGGTTGACAGGGCGTTCTGTTCTTCCATTTCTTTTCCTTTTTCTATTTTCCATTTCCACTGAAGGTTTGCCGTTGCGATCCAACGCCACTCGAAAGATTTTGGTGCCCTTACTACTGCAGTCCATGGGACATGCTGATCTCCGTCTACTTCGCGCGTGCCATTCGTAGCTTTTACATCATTTTCCGACGTCGGCTCTGCTGCACTCCAACTACCAACAAGGCTCGAGTTGAACACTCCACAGTTCACTGCCCACTGCCCACTGCCCACTGCCCACTGCCAGGCTGGGATTGTGTGAGGTAATCTTGACTTCGTGGAAAGTGGACACTCTGGAATTGCGTCTGTGTGAGATCTCACAAACGGCCTAATCCGCTCTGCTCTCCACCCGCTCTGCTTTTTTGGTCTCTCGGGGTCCAGCTTTTTCTCTCTTGAGCGTCCGCATCTCCATCCTCGCACTGCTGGGAATTGGCCAGTGTGTTCAGTTTCCATTCGAACGGACGAGACGCTCACGAGTCACGACTGTTGGAGTGATCGTCGACCACCGGCCCTTGATCTCTCTCTCGAGTCCCGACCATTATCGACTCATCGAGTCCTCCCCCGACGGGACTATCGAGTCCTCGAAAGCGCCCCTCGTTCTGACTCGTTCCTATCTTCAGCGGCGCTCCGCTCGGTTCATCCACTTTCTCGACTTGACTGGGTCGCTGGTCCATCGACTCCCTGCTCTTCAAGCAATCGTTTCTGATCGCTCATTCGTCCCGGCGGCTCCTGAACCCAAATACGCCCTCAGCGAGTTCCACAACGCCCGACGCTGCTGTTGATGCGTTGCCGACCTTGCCTCGGCCAGCGCCGATCGTAATTCTCCACCGTCTCCAACGGACCAACACACACCCACACCCACACACACACAACATCTTCAGATCTGCCTGTGCAGTGGCCAGCGCAGTGGGGGATCCTCAATTCCTCATCCACCTTGGAACTTCTCCCTCATTGGATGGAAACCTTCGTCCAGTGAAGGAGCCCCCGGCAAGAACTCAATCACCACCACAGAAGAAGAAGGAAATACGCCACCAGTTTCAAAGAACCGGTGGGTGAGGGACCGCAGTCAGGAACCCGCCCCCCCCGTGAGCCTCGACCATCGCACTGTGCGTTTGGGGACTGCTGTCAGACGTGTACAACGGTATAGATCGTTGCATACAACTAACTATACTGCAGAAGTGCAGAGTGCAGTCTACAGTCTACACACTCGAGCTGCGAGCAGCCTGTCAGCTAGTGACTGGTCCCGCGGATCTTGTTTCAGATCGCAGGGCTGCCAGATTGGAAAATTTTTTGAGAGACAAGCAGAAGCAGACTGCGTCAGAGGAAGAGCCAGGGCGGTCTTTCGTGTTTGAATGATTTTCTCCTTTCTTTCTATCTTATTTTTTTTTGGGCCCTTCCCCTCTTGAAGGGTTTCCATTTCCATCAACCTTGTCTTAGCCGTCTCCACTGCTAAAGGCTCTCTTGTCCTCCACTACGCACCCACTAACCCACATCCAATTAAACGCATCGGGAAAAGGGCTCTCGATCTATTCTACCTTTTCCATAAAAGGCACCACGACCCTAAGACCCTCCCGGCCGCTCTTTTCTTTGTTTTTTCCCTTGCGATGAAGCGTCCGATGGGGATCGCGACGCACCGGTTATCAGCGCATCGATTCCAGCAGATACCTGACCTCCCTCACGATCCTCACGACTCCCACTCCGTCATGTCGAATCCCAACGACATGACGATCGACATTCCTTTGACGGCAACCTTGAGCCGGGGCCAAGATGGTGCTCGCAAATGGGGCTCCCACTCCGGCTCAACAGCTCCCATCAATCACTCCTCGGACGGACGAGAGAAGGACGCCCTGAGCGGCCCCGGTCGTCGTCGCCGAAACAATACAGATATCAACGACTCCACGGGCAGGCCCTCGGAAGCACCTGAAGATGGCGCGGTCAACTATATGGGTCGCATCTACCAGGCCATCTACCATTTCTCGGTCGTCACTCGTTACATGATCTATGTCATTCCCTTCGGACTCTTACTGGCGATTCCGATTATCGTCGGTGCTACTGCCGCGCCCGATGCCAAGATCGGTGGTGTGCATCTCTATTGGTTCTTCACCTGGATCGAGGTCGTCTGGGTGAGCTTGTGGGCATGCAAGCTTTTTGCCAAACTGATTCCCTACATTTTTCAATTCCTATGTGGCATCGTCAGCGCCGGAACGCGCAAGTATGCACTTATTTTGCGGGCACTGGAGACGCCAATCTCCTTGGTGATGTGGTGCATTGTCTCCCTGGTGACTTTCCTGCCGGTATGTTAGATCTGGGATTCCTTTGTCAGCTTGATGGAAGGGCCCGAGAATATGGTTTCTAACCCTCCTTGCAGATCATGACCTTGAACCCTACGAAGCAATCCGCCCAAGATACTGGCGTCACGTCGTGGGAAAAGAGCGTCAAGAATATTCTTTTCGCTTTGCTGGTCTGCAGCCTCATCTTCCTGGGCGAAAAGGCGATCGTGCAGCTCATTTCGATCAGCTACCACCGCAAGCAGTTTGATGCCAAGATCAAACAGTCCAAGCGCAATGTCCACTTGGTTGGGCTGCTCTTCGAGGCGTCCCGCAACATGTTTCCCATGTACTGCCCCGAATTCAAGGACGAAGACGCAATCATCTTCGATTCGCTGCTCGCCTTGAACGGCGGAAAGGGCAGCAAGCGCAGCTCCATCATGCCTTTGCGCATGATGCAGCAGGTTGGTCACAATGTGGGGCGTATCGGCGACAAGGTCACCGCCGCTTTTGGTAATGTGGCGTCAGAGTTGACAGGAAAGCAAGTGTTCAACCCCACTGCGACTCGCTCCATTGTCACGGAGGCGTTCGAACGGAAGAAATCTGCTGCGGCGCTGGCTCGCCGTATCTGGATGTCTTTTGTTGTGGAGGGTCGTGATGCTCTCTATCTCGAGGACATTGTGGAGGTGCTTGGCCCTGATCACGAAGCCGACGCTGAAGAATGTTTCGCGGCTTTGGATCAAGATGGTAACGGCGATGTCAGCCTGGACGAGATGATCTTGACGATCAGTGAATTCGGTCGCATACGCAAGTCCTTGAACCACAGCATGCACGATGTCGATCAAGCCATCCATGTTCTTGACAACCTCCTTATGTCCGTGGCATTTGTGGTAGCAGTCCTTGTTTTCGTCTCCTTCGTCACTTCCGGCTTCGGGACTGTCATCGCGGCCGGTGCTACTTCTCTGCTCTCGCTGAGTTTCGTCTTCTCCACGACCGCCCAGGAAGTTCTCGGCTCTTGCATCTTCTTGTTTGTCAAGCATCCATTTGATATTGGCGACCGAGTGGACATTGGGGACAAGTCCTATATAGTCGAGCGTATCTCCCTGCTTTTCAGCGTTTTCCGCAGCGTCAACGACCATCGCGTGACGCAGGTCCCCAATAATATCTTGAACAATCTGTGGATTGACAACTTCACTCGCGCCAATGCCATGCATGAGCAGCTGACTGTGCCGGTGAGCTTCGACACTTCTTTTGCTGAGATCCAGGCTCTTCGTGATGAAATGGGTGTCTTTGTTCGCGATCCGGCAAACAGCCGTGACTTCCAGGCAGACTTTGAGATCGAGGTGGTTGGTCTGGGTGCCATGGACAAGCTGGAACTGCTCGTGGACATCCGTCACAAGTCGAATTGGTCGAATGAGACCGTCCGAGCTGCCCGTCGCTCCAAGTTCATGTGCGCTCTCGTCTTGGCAATGCGCAAGGTTCACATTCGCGCTCCCGGCGAAGCCGCCGCCGCCGAGGAAGAATCCGACGATGATAGTGACGATGCCAAGGGCAACGGCGCTCCTGGTTCTGATGAGAAGAAGGAGGCTCAGACCACTGTCGATGCTGATAGCAAGTTCGCCGCTGCTGCGGCGGCCAATGGCATGGTGACCTTGGATGCCAACACTACTGGCTTCAGTGCTAACCGCTCCCCTGGCTCCCTCACCCACCGTTTATCCACCGCGATCTCGCGAGAGGCTGAAATCGCAGAACGCCTCAACTCCCGCTCGCCCGCTTTGGCCGCTGTCGATCCAAGCCGCGACGGCGGCGAGGGGCTATACCGATCCACCACCAACGCATCAAATCAATTGACCGTTGATAACTATGCATCTCTCTCCCGGGGCCTCTCGACTGGTCACCGCAAGTCTGGCGTCCGCGCCTCATACACTGGCGAGGACTCTACGCATGCTGGGCCCCACGATACTGCCACCACATCCCATGGCGGCGTACCTATCCTTCAAACACCTGCACCTCCCAGCTCTCGTGGTAGCGCTCGTTACGAACCACCCACTGCCACCTCTCCCGGAGCATCCTCCAACCAGCCCAAACCCCAGCAACTGGGCTCTTTCACACAACCCTATTACGGTAATGAGAACCCATACGATTCTGTTCCTTTAAATTCCATCACTCCAGACCGGGCCACCGCCTCGTCGAGCCATTACGATGGAACGGAGCGGTACGATCCTATCTCTCCACCGTCAATCTACTCGCCAGTGCAGTCGCGGGCGGCTGCGTCCAACTCGAATACGAGAAAGGACCCGAATGATAGATCGCGATCGCCTTATGAGCCATGAGCGTTGTGATCTTTTCTTTTTTTTTTCCTCGGTCCTTTTTCTCTTCTTCACAATTCTCTCTTATTTTGGTATTGCTTCGTTCCATGCCATCATTTGATCTACCCTGATGATCAAGGGTCAAGTTTCTGGAGTGACTTCCGTCATGGACGTGGGACTTCCTTAGGCGGTCGGCTTCTTTAACGAATTTTGTTGTCATTTTGCTTCTCATTATCAACCTTTGGGTTCACGTCACCTCTTGTGTCTGAAAAGTGTTCCTGGCATTTGTGTTGGACTTGCGTCTTTATTTTTGTTTTCCCCTCATACTTCTCCGATCACGAGAGTACCTCAGGGATATTGTATGATATATCGAGTGTTGGGCCGGAAAAGGCTGGTTGAAATAGCATTTTAGGTCAATTTGAGTTCTTTGAACTATTTCCATCGTTTGCATCGTAGGCTCTTTTGACGGATCCCTCTCAAGCTTGGTATCATGCTTGTAGATACTAGATGTCGGACAGTAGATGGGAGATACTGCCTGCCTCCGCTTACTTGAATGATATGCCGTTTTAGCTCACGTAGGAGGCACACGCTGTATTCATCAATTGACTCTACACGACGATTTGCACGGCACGAGCAAACCCTCTCAATGACGATGGAGATCGGGACTCCGCTGTCAAGATCCGATGTCTGCTGCTCGTTGCAATCAGAAATCCAAACAACGAGGGGGTATATTCTGACGGTCCAGAAAAAAAGAAAAAAAGAAAAACCACGTAACATGACATGTAATGTCACCGTGAAAAAGAGACCACGATGAGACAAGACCCTCTTTCTACGATCCAAATCAAATGCCCCTTATCTCACAAATATCAAGCTCTTGGCCCGGCCCCGAGCTAATAATCGTCTATTTGCTCTCCTTCCAGGGATACCCAACCGGATCATCTTTTCGAGTCCAGATCTTCGACTTCTTCTTGCTGACCACATGTTCCACAAAGACCTCTCGCGCATACTTGGCTTTGTATTTCCGGATCCAGCGAGGATCCCAGAGTTCACTAGCGATGCCGAGGTCTTTACAGCACCGGACGAGGGCGTTGGAGCGGCATCCCTCAGTGGCGGTTGGGATGCCGTCTGGTGAGAAGTAGTCCTGTTCGCCGCGAGCCACGGAAACGAGGCTGCAAGATAGGGGGGAAAACAACGCCATGTTAGCTGCTGATCCAGAAAGCAGAAAGCAACTTATCTCACGAGGAAAATCGAAGGATAAAACGAAAAATGCCCCTCGGGACATGTATATCAACTCACCGACCATGACAAACAAGCGCATACTCCCTCGTCACCGTCTTCGGCGTAACAATACTCTCACTCCGCGGCACCAATCCCCAGCCCCCGGACCGAACGCCTTGTTCAAGATCCTCCGGTACTTGATCTCAGGAAGATAAACGATTCCATCGGGTTTGATCTCCACTTCTTCCGGTGCGGTTTCCGCGAGCAAGATATCAGCTGCTTCTTTGGGGAAAGGTTCGGCCGAAAGGCCGTGGAAAGACCTTGTCCAATCGATTTTCTCTTCGGGCGCGGTCTCGAGTTCGAGGGGTTTGTCGGCCAGGCCGCTCTTGGAGATATTTTCTGTGGTTGGGCGGTTGGGGGTTCCGGCTGCGACGCGTGATGCTTGTGAAGCGGTGGAAGAAGGTGAGGAGGGGGACGAGGGAGACGCTGAAGGAGTAGCTCGAGGTGAATGACTGCTAGCGGTGCTGCTGCTGGAGGAAGTGGTGGGAACGTTGCTCTTGCTGTTCGAGGTTTGGGAACGCGTTGAACTGTAGGTGATGCCTCGTTTGGGGGTCCAGGCGCATGACGGAATCGGACTTATTCTTGTTCGCGAAGCTTCAGGAAGCGCGGCTCTATTTTGTACGGTCTCCAGTGTTCGCCAGAGGCGATATCTCGTTATTGACATGATGCGGTCAAATTGAATGGTTATGAGGAAGCTCTGAGATGGTTCCGACGGAGCTGAATCTGATAAGAACAAATGTCATATCACGTGATTATCCAGCCGGGCGTCAAGCTACGAACGATCGATAGAGAGTCATTATGTGGAATGGGAATGAGGTACGTGTTCAGTTGTGGTCTGGTAGTTTATAGTACATATGGGTCTTGATCTACGTCAAGCACTTTTTTCAATTGTCCTTGGTTTCGGTTCGCTGGTCATTACCCTTGCGCTTCCAGCACTCACGGAAAGCTTCCATCTGTATTTATCGACTGTCAGCACCAATCTGAGGACATATCATGATGAATCAAAAAGCGTCTTTGCTTTCTAAGAAGTGATCGCAAAGCTTCATCGACATTCAAAGATGTATGTGACCATCCAGAGCCGCCACGAAGCACTTGATAGCCCAGAGCTGGCGCCCTTACCTCTTTGCTGCAAGCCCGCCAATCCTTCTTAACAAAGTAGCAATCGTTCATCTTATCTTGTTCGGCTTTTTTTTATTTCAAAAAAAGATCAGCTGTCGCTTTGGTATGGTATGGCTATTGCAGTTGCGAGAAATCGAACATACCATGACAACCTGTGCTATAAATGCGCTTATCCCTGCGGCAAAGTCAGTGATCGAAGGATTCGAATGAGTGGGACACTTCGTTCACATTACCAGTCACTTGGCTCATCGTCGTCCTCCAGGTCAATACTTGACTGTTGTTGTGCACTGTTTGACATCTTGTCCACTGGTAGCAATGTGAAGCTACTACGCAAGAAGATGGGGAAAGATCCGAAGTTGAAAGCAACTGCTCCAACTGATAATCCGGTTGGCCTCGGGGCCGCGAGTCTCTTTTCTTATCTTATCGGCCACCCTCTCCCCCCACACTCATGCGCTTTCCCAACCATTTCCATGACTGCGAGGTTCTGGGCTGGAGGCAGGACGATTGAAAAATGGCGACGCCTACTGGCAACAATGCCATTCTAACGGGCAAGAAACTAAATGTCCTGGTCTATTCTGGTTCGCTCACTACTTCCGCCTGGATGCGTAACCGTTCTCTGACCGACAATGGCTCGACAGGAACCGGAACCACTGTCGACTCTGTCCGTCACTGTCTCTACACCTTGCGCCGCTTGCTGGCACCCAACTATGCAGTCACACCCGTCACAGGCGATATGCTCTTGAAAGAGCCGTGGATGGCCACGTGTGCTCTTCTCGTCATCCCCGGTGGTGCAGATCTTGGCTATGCACGTACCTTGAACGGCGAGGGGAATCGGCGAATCACCCAGTTCGTGCGCCGAGGTGGAAAGTACCTCGGTCTCTGCGCAGGAGGTTACTATGGGTGCACGAGGTGTGAGTTTGAAGTTGGCGACAAGACGATGGAAGTTATTGGGGATCGAGAGCTGGGCTTTTACCCGGGAACTTGTCGAGGAGGCGCTTTTCCGGGATTTGTTTACCATAGCGAAGCCGGGGCAAAGGCAGCCCGACTGAGTGTCTCAAGGGAGGCATTGAGTATCGGTACATTGCCAACACAGTTTCGGTCCTACTACAATGGAGGAGGTGTATTCGTTGATGCTCCCCTTTTGAAAGACAAGGGCGTGGAGGTCTTAGCAAGCTATTCAGATGAGTTAAATGTGGATCCTGGAGAGGGCGCTGCGGCCGTTGTTTATTGCAAAGTCGGAGATGGTGCAGCTATATTGACTGGGCCTCATCCCGAGTATGTATTCCCAGGTCGTTGTTTTAACCAAGTTATGACTGACCTGATTGCCAGATTTGCAGCTGTCAACCTCGACCCTCAGGCCAATGGGCCCGAATATAAGGAAATCGTTGATGCGCTGGCTGCGGATGACAAGGAACGGACCGATTTTCTGAAAGCTTGTCTTTCCAAGTTGGGCTTGCAAGTCTCGCAGGACTCGACGGTTGTTCCGTCTTTATCGTCGTTGCATGTGTCTGGACTCGATACTGACGAGACGCTGGACATTCTTGCCTCGATGGCGCCGTCGCTCATCATTGAGAATCAGAAAGAGTACCTCAAGGATGAGAATGACACCTTCCGAATTGAACGCCCTGGCACTTGGAACTTGAATGACCTGGAAGATGCCCTGCCGGATGAATCCTCTTCCAACGAGGGTATCATTGATTATAAGGAGGTCGTGAAAAGACTGGTGTTCCATGATGAGATCCCTTCCTCCAAAATTACCCCATATTTCAACCATCACGCCTTCTACGCCAACCTTCGTCAATATCAATCCGACTCAAAAGAGGGCGCATCGGCCTTTGGGTCGAAATTGATGTACGCAGAGGTCATCACCAGTACAAACACAATACTCGAAAAGTGAGTCATGTAACCCAACGCTGCTAGCCTTGAGGTGCTAGCCTTGATCGTGGATTCTCATTCTCACGTTGGACAGAAATGTCAAACTTTTGCGACAACTCCCTCACGGGTTCACGGCTACCGCGACAGTTCAGGTCGCCGGGCGCGGTCGAGGGTCCAATGTATGGATTTCTCCAGCGGGTTCACTGATGTTCTCGACGATTGTGCGCCACCCCGTGGAGAAAATTCAGTCTGCCCCAGTCATTTTCATTCAATATCTATCTGCAATGGCAGTTGTAAAGGGCATCAAGAGCTACGCAAAGGGATACGAGAATCTTCCCGTCAAGCTCAAGTGGCCCAACGATATTTGTACGTACAACCACCAATTTCCTGGTTCAATTCGACAAAGCGGACTAAACCTTTCCCATCAGATGCGCTCGATCCGGAAGACCCAGAACAAAAACGATACACCAAGATCTGCGGCATTCTCATCAACTCCCATTTCATGTCCAACGAATACATCTCCGTCGTCGGAATCGGCCTCAACGCCACAAATGCGTCCCCGACCATCGCTCTCACGGCCCTCGCCGCCCGCTACGCTGCGTCCGGCGCTGCCGCCTCATCCCCCATCACACTGGAAAAACTTCTCGCTCGTGTTCTCACCACCTTTGAGGAACTTTACACCCGCTTCATGAGGACCGGATTTGATCGCACATTCGAAGCGATGTACTACGATGACTGGTTACATATGCACCAGATCGTGACTCTGGAAGAGGAAGGCGGTGCTCGAGCCCGTATTCAAGGTATCACGCGCGATTATGGATTACTGCTCGCCGAGGAACTGGGCTGGGATGACCGTCCGACCGGTCGAGTCTGGCAGTTGCAAAGTGACAGTAATAGCTTTGACTTTTTCCGCGGTTTGTTGAAGCGGAAGATCTGATCTCGGGTACATAAGCATAGGTCGGGCGCGTAGACTTTTATAACAATGTCGCTGAATCCCACGGGCGAGTTTCAAAGTCTCTCGCCATATAGAATCATCGATCACAAAGTCATTCTTGAGACTGGGTTCTCTTCGGGCTACCTGAAGGGAGGAGTTCAGGGAAGCGCTGGTTCAAGGCGGATAATGGTGACCGTGGCTTGTTGGACCGATCAAACAAGCTTCGCACATCCTTGGTAGACTCAAAGTCAATGTCAATTTAGAGTCGACATCTTCCAGGCTTTCTCCTCCGCCATCTGCTCAAGATTAAACGCTTCGTGATTCGGATGTGGACTGGAGGCGTTCACGGCAAATATGAGTCATTAAGGATGAGTCGTCCCGTCCGGGTCGTTCGTGCCATGATAGAAGCATACACGTCGCATCGATTAGATAGATGAAGCTTCGCTGGCAGTCTTCACAGTGCTCATTCTTGAGGGTTTGTGTTTATCGAATCTGTCTTCTACCGAGCCACTGCATGTCTCACAGCAACTATGGAGCACCGCCGAGATTCAGACAACCCCGTATACTTCTGGAAACCCGAAGGAGAAGTAGGATACCTAGGGCAATGGTGGCCCTCCCCATTCAAATGGGAGTACGAGGGTGAAATGTTCACCTATGCCAATGCAGAGCAGTTAGTTTCACATACTTTTCTTTTTTTTCTTCTTTTCTTTTCTTTTGCGCCCTGGCCGCCAGAGATCCCGATTCTCATCGTCTGTCCACTAATGCCGTCCACGTCAGGTACATGATGCATCGAAAAGCGCTGCTGTTCGCGGGCCCATCGCATCCCATTACGCACGAGATCCGCACCGGGTGGAAATTGCATCCGCGCGATCTACAGAATCTGGGCCGTAAGATCCCCAACTTCGACGATGAAGCATGGGAGCAGCATCGCTTTGGGATTGTGGTTGAGGGCAACTATCTCAAGTTTTCGCAGAATGAAGATCTAAGGCAGAAGTTGCTTGCAACGGGGGATCGTGAATTGATCGAGGCTAGTCCGCGAGATCGGGTCTGGGGGATAGGGTTTGGAGTGCGTAATGCGGGCGAAAATCGAAGCACTTGGGGACTCAATCTTCTAGGTCAGGCTCTGATGGAAGCAAGGTGCAGGATCCAGTTGGATAACTTGCAGTTATTGCGAGAGCCAAGATGGAAATAGAGCGAAATCGTGTTGATTTATCTAGCTTGTGATACGATGCTTGTAAATGTGGCAGCACAGATATACTAGGCTCGGCAAGGAGTGGTACTTGTTCGAAGGAGCAGCGAATGTATCCAAGTCCAAAGTTCCTTTCTCTGCCAATTTTTGTTGTAATTGCTATATAGACGGTCATTTAGCGCTCTCGAAGCCCAAGGGACTATGGGAGGCCCTGCTCCATCGGCAGACAATTGAGATATGATACAGAGAATTGACGGTATGTCGCAGCTCATGCTTAGATCCTCAAGCTCTCGATATTTGTCCGACATATTGCAAAGAAAAACCAGATCGTGAATCCTCCAAGACGAGGTGAGGATTCTCTTGAGTGTTTGGCTCGAGGCTCAAATATTTTCTCAATCGCCTATCACAAACGGGATTGCATTTCGAGGCCTTTTCGTGGACAGGAGTCAGACTGAACACCTTTCAAGTCCGTCATCTTCCTAGTGTCGATGAATCGGGATTGAAAGCCGTCTTGCATCTTTCTCGGATTCTCGGTGACAGGCCCAGCTCTGGCCATCCACGCTCATCATGGCTCACATCCCGTCTGCGTCTGGATGTGTGACACGTGGAAACCAAAAGGATTCCAATGACATTTTGACGATCAGCCCACTGTTTGACCGCGATACCGATCAATCACAATCATCCTTTCTGGCGTGGATGCGCTTTTGAGGGCGTTCAAAGCGTTCAGTCTGATCAGGTGAACCAACCGATTGAGCAAACTCAAGTGAGATAAAAGTTCGAGCATCGTCCATGACGAGGCAAGGGGCAGACGGAGCCCAAATGGGCCACGTTCAGTAACGCCTACCTAACTCAGATCAAGCCCATAACAGCCCAGTCGGCACCACAGCAGGAACGTTGATGTTTCAAGGAACGAGGCGCGGGCGCGGCATTTGCCTCAGGGCTCGTTGTTATTGTGGGACTGAAGTACAGGGTTCTCGTAGATAAGCCTGGGTAGCGCTTGCCAGTGCAGTTCGGGAGTGTTGTTGCTGCGTACGTAAGACAGGCGCAGGCGCAGTCGCTTGATCCACACAGTCTCAACACTCAACATCTCCGGCATGCACGTCAGCCCCGTGACCCCACCATCCGGTCAGGGAGGGTCCGCCAAGGGTCTTGGCACCAATCGGCCGGTACGAAGCTGTACGGCTAGGGCTGAGGGCCAGTCACGAGGCCCCATCGAGGCATCGACATCAACACGTACTGTATTGAACATTTGAAGCTTGTAAGTTACTTACCTCGACGACTCAGGTACGGGCATGGAGTCATGGACTACGTCGAATCTTGTACGTGACCTTCTGACTGTGGGCGTGACCACGGAGTGACCACTGACCACTGACTAGTATTCCTGACCCCCGTTGTATTGAAATGCTTGGGAGTTCCAGGGTCAGCCTCCAGCTGTCACGGGTGACGGCACAAGCTTCCACTTGAAACTCAGGAGGAAATCTCAGATCCTTCATGGGCACAGTACTTACTACTTTGTTACTTAGTACTTAGTACTTACTGTATAGTACTCAGTAGTTACTAGTTAGTACTTATTAGTTATGACCATAAAGATATATTTACATAATTTTTTTTATTTGTACCAATGACCCTCCACAGACAGTGCAGTATGAAAATGGACTGTCTGAGGAAATTCATGGTCAACTATGACTGGTGCCTGCAAGTAAATAAAAATAGTGTTTCATCCCGTAGATGCAATCTGAAGTAACCAAGAGATGGAACTGAGCCACCACAGTGACCACACTACCACAGCCCTACCAGTCATGTACGAGGGTGCCGTTTCCAAAATTCGAGGCTTGTCTTGCTCGACTTCGGGCTAAGCCTTGTTGCGGGGGCGGTGTATTACACGTCATCAAGCTGTACGACGACTCGGACACAATAACACAGTGCGCTATGTATTTTTGAGTATTCATGGTTTCGATGAGTTCTCAAAAGGGTTAGTTTTCTTGTTTCTGGCGGAACTCCGCCGCGGATTACCCGAGCCTGTTAGCGAGAGCCTGAAGGTGTCCGTAGGCAGCACCATTTTGGCTTTGTCTGCTGGGATTCTCTTCACCCGGCGACCGCTGGAATCCTGGTCTCCTGGTCGGCACAGTCAGCATCTAGTACTGCAGGAGGAAAGCTAATGCCTGCGCATACCGGCGCGTAGGAAACATCGACGGTCCAAGGTTGCCGATCATCGAAAGGATGAAGTCTATTCTTATTTTATTTTTTTTTCGCAGGTAAATATCATTAGAAATGGTCATTTGTCACCTGTTCAGATCAACACCGGCGTGAAACGTTCCCCGCAATAGAAAGTTAGAAACAACTTAACATGCAATGGATGGATACGTACAGTAGTAATTTAGTAACAGTACTACTACAGCCGATGCTTCAAAGGTACTCCGAACTTTCCGATGTAGGACGCTTCTTCAGGACCGTGGCGGTGTCTCGGACTGTCCGCTTTGTACTGGGCGTCTGTGGAAAGCGGACACGGGAAATGGGTACGGCTGTACAGCCTGTAAGGTTTAGTGTACCGGGACGGGGACTCTAATACTCTTCCGTATCAGTCCCCACTTTTCATGATTTACCATTTTTAGGTGCCTGATCGGCTCAGCCCTCCAGCTGATAGCCTCTTTCTCGATCCTTCCTACTTAAGGTTACCCTCCAGTCCTCCTTCTGCGTCCCAGTCTCTTCATTCTTCCCACGGCCTTCTCTCCACAGTCTTTCTTCCATCTACGATAAACCCTCCAGACCCTTGTTGCGCAAACCAGTCCACCACCTCCGCCATCTCCAAACTCTCTTTCCAATATCAACATGTTCAACTTCAACCTCTTCAAGTCCGCCCCCGCTGAGTCCCAGTCTCAGTCCCAGGAGGGCGCCTGGAACCCCAACACCGTTGCTATGCAGCAGCCTTCCAGCCCCGCGGCTCCTTCCGCGGACGGAAACGTTGTCTCCCAACAGCCTGTACGTGAATTTTACGTCCCCCTCTCCACTCCCGTCGGTCTTGGTCGACCTCGTTTCTACAAGGTACAATCCTGAAGCTGACATACGACATGATTATCAGACTGGCCAGGAGGAGATGTCGATGCAGCTCCGTGGTGGTGGTGGCGGTGGTCTCTGCTGTGGCATGTGAGTAGCGCAGCCCTTGTTTTTTTGACACTTTCAACCCTCTTACATCGGATTCACAATTAACCTCGTTTCTCCCCCACAGTTGCGCCGGTCTTGCCTGCTTCGAGTGCTGTGAAATTTGTTGCTAAAGGGCCCCGACCCTTTGACCAAACTTCCTGCTCTTGTCTCGTCCATGAGCCATGATGTGAAAAGGCACCCTCTGGACTTATCGTGATGTCTGATGGGATTCGAGTCGAGCCGAATTGTCATTCTCTCTCGGGAGATAACTCTCGGAGAAACGATCGCTGTCTACTAGTATCGCTGTTTTACTGCTTGTTTCCTATCCCTGTTTATTACCTTGTTAGATCATATTTTGTTCGCGATATACCCAATGGCAATCACGCAATTATACAGTGCATCGTCTTGTTCACCGTTTTGAGTAGAGCGCTATCATACTGAAGAAGCAGCGGAAATCAAGTTGGCTCTTCCCGTCTGATGCACCATCGAAGCTTACCTATCTTAGTTTTGCCCCGGGCGTACAATGGACCGTGACGAGGCGGATTGTTCACCGGTCATCTAGAACCTTGCCACTGCTCAATCAGAGACTCTCTATCTCCGGCAAATCTGTAGAGTCTCTCGACTCCCGAACCACCCACCTGCAGGCACCCAACACTCATGGAATCGATGAATCTGCACTACGCTCCATCAAACATCGACAAACAGCCCAGTCCCGTCCAGGTCAATCCCGAGTATCCACGTGGGAACCAAGCGATGGACGCGAGCTCAATCATATTCGCAGAGGCCCAGAGGCCGTGTCAACCTCGCGCCATTTGCCCAGGTGCAGGTCCCGTTGACGGACTTACGTGAGGACTAGTCAGGTGAGCAGAGCGAAACGACGGCCCGTGATCTTGCCCGAAGCGAATATGCTTTCGCAGACATCGGGGCCGGGGTTCGCTTTTCCGGTAGAAGTCGGCTCCTGATGGAGATAGTAGTGTACTTGGTTAGTAGGTAGTAGGTAGTAGGTAGTAGGTAGTAGGTAGTAAGTAGGTAGTAGGTAGTAGGTAGTAGGTAGTAGGTAGTAGGTAGTAGGTAGTAGGTAGTAGGTAGTAAGTAGGTAGTAGGTAGTAGGTAGTAGGTAGTAGGTACTAGGTACTAGGTGGCCGCTTCATGTGCTACGAGGATCCTTCCGAGAATCTAGCCACTACAGAGTACAGACAGTTTGGTGAAAACTTATTAGACTCGAGGATCAAGTCCGATGAACGTGGATTGAAATCGAAAAGACTGGTAGAAGGGAAGTGAAGAGGAAGGAAAGAAAGAAAGAATTGTGTACAAACTTCAAAGACCTTCCCCAAAGGAGAAGTCTTCTAGAAGAGAAGAAGGTAGAGAGGGAAGAAAAATAAGGAGTAATGTAAAAGGTTGGAGAAACTGAAAAAATATCCCCAAACCATAGGAATCAATCACGCTAGAATCTCATCAATCCGCTTGGCTTTTCTGTTGTTTCGTTCAAGATAAACACGAATTATAAAAAGCAACCCCAAGCTTTGTCTCTCGTCCGTCGGAAAGTCAAGTCGGGCTGGGGCTATTTCCCGCAGCGCTCTCGCTTACAGGCACTGGGAGTAGTAAGGATTCTGCACAACACACTTGAGGCCGCTCGCGCAGGTGGTGGAGCCGGTGTAGTGCATACCACCACACTGGTACCAGCGAGCGACAGTGTCGCCGCCGGTGGAGGCGGGCTGAGTGGCAGCGGGCTGGGTGGTAGCGGGCTCGGTGGCAGCAGGTGCAGTAGTAACGGGCTTAGCGCTGCAGGCGGACTTCTTGGGGGCGGGCTGGGTGGTCAAGGTTGAGGCGGCAGGAGCAGTGGTGGCAGAGGTGACAGAAGGAGCAGGGGCCGCATTCTGAGCCGGCTCGGTGGAGATGGGCTTGGAGATAGGGGCGGCGGTGGTGGTGATCTGGACGGGGGCCTTGGTGGTGGAGGGAGCAGAGGAGCCGGTGTTGTCAACGGAGGCAGCGGAACCGCTGGGGAAGTACTTCTTCAGGATAGGGAGGTAGGCAGCGTAGGCGGGACCATCGGTGGGCTCGAGGGAGTACATGTAGGATCCCCACCAGGGACCGGCAGACCACCAAGAAGCACCCATCCAGACATCGGAGTTCTCCTGCATGTAGGAGAGCATGTCACTGACGGCAGACTCGCAGACGGAGTTGGCACCACCGGCGAACTCGCCAACGAAACCCTTCTTGTTGTTGCTCTTGAGCCAAGCGGTGGCGGACTTGAGACGCTCGCTACCGATGGTGGCGCTGACACAGGACTCGGAGGTACCGGACTTGTCACCGTCAAGGTATTGGTGCATCTCGTAGACGATCTTGCCCTGAGGGTCGGTCAGACCCTTCATGTTGTCGTTGTTGTCAGTCCAAGACCAGGCACCGGTCCAGGCGTTACCCTCGACGAAGATGTACTGGGACTTGGCGCCGGCGGCACGGATACCGTCAATGGCGGCCTGGTTCAGGTTGAGGACGAGGGTCTGATCCATATCGTGGTACTCGTTGTCTAGAACCCGTGGTCAGTCGAACAATGCTCTCAGCAGGACATCATGCGTCGGGTCACGACTTACTGGTGTCGAAGATGACCTTGTCGTTAGAGACGAACTCGCCAGCAACCTTCTTCCACCAGGCCTTGAAGTCATCGGTGGAGGAAATGATGTTACCGCCACTGTTGATGAGAAGTTAGTATCTTGCGTTCACGAATACGTTGGAGGTTCACCACACATACTATCGGCCATAGTTGTGGGGGTCAAGGACAGCATAGGCACCGCTCTTGGTGACGGTCTCGACGGTCTAGACAAAACACGATTGATTAGCAGCTGTCTGGATGAACGTGGTTTGGGGGGGCCATTGCTCGAGATCTAATTACTCACAGACTTGAGAGAAGCCAAGTAAGTGGCGTCGAAGGAGCCAGTAATGCTGCCGGGCACGAGACGCTCCATCAGGAAGGGGATACGGAAGACGTTCATACCCGCGTCACGGAGGGTCTGGATCTTCGAAGCAACGGGCCAAGTGTAGTCCTTGCCGAGAGTTCCGGGGATGTTTCCAGGACCGAACTCCGCACCGGATTCGCTGACACCGAACCCTAGAGTTTGTTCCTGTCAACATGCCGCTCAAGCAGATGGTTCGGGGGTGTCGCTGGTGTGTATCTTAGGACTTACAGGTGAAGCCGTTGGCACGCTTCTCAACGCTACGCTTGGTAGTGCTGATCTCGCGGCCATTGGGAATAATCTCGCGGCCACTCGGGTAAGCGACGGCCATACCAGCAGCGCTGGCGGCCAGAACCATGTTGGTGAATTTCATCTTGAAGGGTATTTGGAAAGAGAGAGACTGATTGAGTTGGTCAAAAGAATGTATATGCAAACCTGACTGATGTCGAGATGCAAGAGAAAGCGAAGGAAAAGAAGGACTAGATCAAGAAACCGGTCTTGATACTGGAATGAAAGAGGGTGGGAGTGAATGAAAGAGGGAAAAAAAAAGAGGGCGCCATGAAACCACTTGGCCCTGCCGTATTATATAGTTCGACATGCTGGTCAGGTAAGATGAGAGGGGGGATGTCGGCGTCACACTGGGCTAGACAACAAGTTCGCCTCGGGCTAGCGAGACATCTGATACACGGAGTGGGTTTCTCGCTCAGCATTTCGTTCGTGAGCCCCGATGGAACAACCACCACCTGTTCTGGACCGTGATGGTAGGTCTCCAGGCACAAGCCTAGTCTTGCTGACACGCAAAGAACGGACGAGTCCGACTGCCTTTGGTCGGGTTGTCTGGTCGCCACGGAGCCACTGATTCCACTGATTCCAGCACGACGAGACCGGATGACCGGACCAGGCCAGTGGGACTGGATATGGTCCTGACCATCAACCATGATCAATCTAATTTTCCATCACCCAGTGTGCCCGATGGGGACTAGCCATGTCGCCGTTAAGCCATAGTTTAATACGCTAGTCTGGGGGGATCACGATAGTGGCGGGCGCACCGTTAAGGCATGAGCCTGTGATGATGAAGGACGGTGTGGAAAAGCGTGGACGGTGTGGACCCGACTGGTCTGCCCAGCACGCAGCTCCCAGGGGCTCCCAAACGATCTCACGATCAAACCCAGGGGGCCATGGCAGGACTGAAGTCACTAGCGGAAGAATGTCAGCCAAATTTTCTCCGGTTCATGGGAGCAAGAGTAGGAGCAAGAGTCGAGGTTTCGGTATCTCTTCCCAGACGGGTATTACCGAGCAGTCAAGAAATGATTCAGGGTGCGCCATAAATGAACGGACGTTCAAGCTGAAACGCGGCGGGTCCAGGAGCAGCGCGGTTGGTGAAGGGCGCTCTCACGCTTAGCCGGATACGTCTCGGAAGATTCCATGCGAGGGAAAATCAACTTCCAAGTCAAATTGGCAATCGATAGCCGGAATCAGATGGGGTCGGTCGTGAGCTGATTACACTTTACGGCGGGCACCAGCACGGAGAGCGGATAAAATCCAAGTCAATTGTGGAGTAGGCATCTGTACTGACTGAAGACTGTGGAGGAATTGGCAGCTAAGCCTCATCACTGCTGCTGGGCCCGTGAAAACGCAACCGATATGATGGTCTAATCAAACATCAAGCCTTAGAGACTAGACTGGCAGGTAATAATATCAGACTCCAAGAAGATCAATCTCATGCAAGATTCGTGATATCATCGTCATCATCATCATCATCATTATCATCATCATCATCATCATCATGTTGAATCTCTAAAGTTTGGACCAGGACCACTCTGTGATGGAGTCGACCTGGCCGGCTAATTGCTATTGCTCGATGTGAAACTCAAAGGACCGATCGCCCGTCCCGGTAGGCACGGCCTGTGCATTGTTGTCGTATAGAGTTCGCTCAAAGTACCGAACTCGACCATCGGGCCGAGCTAGCAGAATTGTCTGCTTCTGTGTCCCATACGGCCCGGACAGATAGTCCTGGACCCGAGGTTGTTTCGTTTCGTCTTCCACGCGGGCAGCAGCAACTCCTGCTGCTGGATCAATCTCGTCATCCTGCCCGAGCTTAGGGACGAAAATGCTGTGTCGGAGATGTGCAATGTACTCTTCGACGCTCGCTCCCTCCGGCAAGCGTGGCAGGGAGTCGGTACTCAACACTCCGAGAAGTCGTGACAAAAGGGCCTCTTCGTCCTCTTGGGCCTGCGCATGATCCTTGATGGCACGCTCCATAAGCTGCTCGCCATTGAGAATCTTCGGCCAAGTGCGGTCATCGAAGCTGGTGTTGCTAAGCCCCCGGGTTTGGTTCTTCTCGGCGGCAACCCAGGTGATTTGGTCCAAATCCGTGGACCGATTGGAGACAATCGCCAAAGGCTCACTCAGTCGGCCACAAAGCAGGCTGAACCCACCGACTTGCTTGGTGGCTGGGCTGGCGACCATGTCTCGCACAAAGTCGAGGGTGGTCTGGTTCTGCTCCGGGGCTCCGGTGAGCCAGCTGTTGACGATGCGACCGCGGCTTTGCACACCGACAGCCTGGGCACAGTGATCTTCGCGAAAATTGGTGAGCACCGCTACTTTGCCCTGTTTAGTGACGCCCATCCATGTGCCGTGGTCTTCTCGCGCCATGTCGCGCGACCCGAGGACAAACGAAGCCGGCTCTGGCCACCAATCGACCGATGAGGTCGGCCGTCGAAGGAATTCCTATCGATGGTCAGAACACGCAAGGTCGGCAGATACCAAGTTGCAACACATACATCACGGTTGTCAATCACAATGAGTGAATACGCAGGGTGTGCGGTCGAGACCAATGCGATACACATCTTCGGTAGATCCGAGGCTCTGTCGGTTGATCTCAGCGGATGCGGGGAAGTATGCAACGGTCGCAGGGGCTGGAGAGGGTGTGAGGGGAATGATTAATTGAAGGAAAGAAGTGATCTTGATCTCAATGCGATAAGCTTGAATGTCAGGTTGCAGTGGCGAGGAGGAAAGAGGACAAAAGTGTCGCCAAGTAAACAAGCGAGATTGAAAGAAATGGTGAATCACCACCCATACGTCTCGGCCGATGAATTGTTTTGGCCTAATGCTCCTGATGCCCAAGCCGCAGCCGGCTTATAGATGGTGTATGCAGCTCGCAGTCGAATCAGGAACCATGCAACACAATCTCGTGGTCCGCCCTCTTTGATTTCGAGGACCGAGGGCAACGACTGACTTTTCGTTCAGCGCCTTCATGGATCAATCCTCCACGAAGAACACTGCGGAGACGGGCCCGAGGAATAGCCCAGTCTCGTGACGTCAATACGAGCCGTGGACTCGCGGCCAGCAAGAAGCATGACCGTTCTCGGAATGGTTCCAGAAATGAATGGGACCTGATCGCAAAGTCTCCACCGCTCGGTCAGCTCGAGTACTGCCTATGCACTTGCCTCGGATGTGTTCTTTCATTCCACACACGTCCCATCGGTTCGACAAGGAGCGAAGGTCTCGATCACAGATCGCATGTTGGTCTGACAAGTGGGATACTCAAGCCGCTGCGTACCTCGTTTTGCGTTGCGGGTGGATCGCTGAGCTGGCTTATCGACCGCCGCACCGGATTGTCAAACCCCTCTGAAGCTCCGCTATCCCGCAAATTTTGAGCTTGAAGCTCGCAACCGCCCATCATGTTTGGCATATTTGCGGACTTGTTGTCGTGAGTCATTGACAATATCCCATACTAATAACAAAACACAGTTGAAGATACAACTCAACTTCTAAACACTTATTCCTGCGCAGCTCTGTGATCACAATCCTCTTCCCTATCTTCGCCTCCTACAAGGCATTACGCTCTGCGGATCCCTCCCAGTTAGCACCATGGCTGATGTACTGGGTGGTGCTGTCTGTCCTACTACTGGCCGAATCGTGGACAGTGTTCATTATCGGGTGGTACGACCTGAATCGCACAAGCGACTCCCCCAAAGGTTGTTTCCTACGGCTGACGCGGACTGACTGTCATCTATAGGTTCCCGTTCTATAGCTGGATTCGACTCATCTTCCTTTGTTATCTGGTCCTCCCCCAGACCCAGGGCGCTCGCATGTTATATCAAGAATACGTCGATCCGTTCCTGTTCCATCACGAACAGGAGATTGAGGAATTCATCGGTCGGTCGCACGAACAGGCCAAGGCGCTCGGGCTGCAGTATTTCTACAAAGCTATCGACTTGATTCGGGAGAAAGTCATGGGCCTCCCGCCTCAACAACCGGCGCCTCCACCACCACCACCAGCAGCTTCGGGCCCGGCGGCCTACGCGCAGTCCCTGTTGTCTCGTTTCAACCTCCCCACCGCTGGTGCTGCCTCCGCGGCCGGCACCCCGACGGGTGCATCGGCCCCATCTCACGACTGGTACTCGGTCCTCGGCGCGGCATTGGGATCGGTCACCGCTGCGGGCAAGCCCCGTGAAGTGCACGAGGAGCAGTTGTCGGCCAGTGGCACCCTGCTTCAACGGAAGTTGCAAACCATGTCCGGGGAGGAGAAGGCCAGTTATATATCGCGGCAACGGGAGGTCCTGGATTATCTGCGATCCACATTGAGCCGTGAAGAACAAGCACTGGGTCGCGAGGAGACCGAACACGATGGACTTGCCTACGGGGCACCTCTCCGAAAGAACCCTAGCGATACCTCCTTTGATGTGCTCGACGATGAAGACCTGGTGAACCGCCCAGGTGCTAGCCGGACCAGCAGTCGTTGGACATCGGGCTGGCTCGGTGGTGAGCGTGACTCGTCTGGCTCCTCCGGCGGACCTGATCACGCTCGTTCATCCGGGTACGAACGCTACTGAAATGGTGTCTTGGTCTTTTGACTGTGCAAACGGCTTCTGTACCTTAGAGAATGCAAATCAAATACGTTCAAGAATGACTGTCCCGGACATGGCGGTCGTCTCAATTTCAGTGTCCTGAGAGATGGACACACGGCGGCTCAGTCGCACTGAAGCACGTGCCAGGAACTATGGGTAGTACCAATAGTAAGTAAGCATCGTATTCAGTGTAGGGAGTGAGGCACTGCACGGGCGTGTGTACTCTGGATTATCAATGGCCTTGTGAGACGATATGCTTGTCAGTTACATCAGTCGTTGACCTCGAATATCTCCTTCCAGACTTGTCTTCGAATCTCCGCCCTTGCGCACACAGCCCATCTGATCTCTTACTCGTGTTTCCTCTGTTGAGCCGACCTGTGGCTCTTCTGACCTGTCCTGCTTACACGGAGATGGCAGAATGGGGGAACGCATGGGCATCTGCAAGGCGGGGGCATAGCCGGGACTGACTTGCAGAGACTACTATTCCAACTCTCTCAGTCCTGCACCCCTGGTTGAGCATGGAAGTAGGACAGACTGAGGGATTATCAACGTGATTTGCCTGTAGTTCCTGAACCAAACTCCTTGAGCCTTCATCATCCATTCTACTCTCCTTGGCGTTGCATGTTTGGGCAAGGGATACCGAATTATTGTCGTTCAACGCTCGGCATCCCTAGGATGAATAACTCGGAGGTGGGCGCTATGCAGGACCTTTGTTCATCCGCCACAGTGTCAGCAGCGTAGATTCATTGAGGAAGAGTATTGAACCTGTGTACGTGGTTCGCCGACATGCTCTGTTTGCCCGGGTTGGCCCCCATGGACAGGACTCGATTGGATTGACTCGGGCATCACGCATGCGGACCCTGGTTTGCCCGATGGTATATTCCCTTCTCTGAGTCAATTGCCTCCAGCTCCCGTCGCAGCTCCAAACAGTGGCGACACTGGCGAGAACCCCCCCCCCCCCCCCAATCCTCAGAGAGGAACATTGCAGGGGGAGCTCCGACGACAACTGAATGCGGTAAGATTTTACGACGTGGATCGTGGAAACAAATAGACGCAAGACCATGTTGAGTAAACATGAGATGTACACGAGATGGTAAGTTATCAAGTATGGTAGAAGCCACATAATGTAGTAGGACAGAGAAGCTGAGAGCTACCACTCCCAGTCTCCGCCATTCTTCAACGGATGGAAATCCGGGCAAATGGATCTGCAGTAGCACAGTACCAAGTGCCCAGCTTGGCTGAGCTCGCCAAAGATCCTGTCTGTTATTGGCAAACGATGACCGATAGCCACGGGAGCCGGATCTACAGGAGCAAGAAATTGTCCATGATTCGATGCATCCGATGGAAGACTGATGTAACCAGAGCCTCCAGTCATGTTGTGCAACGCACATCATGACTACTAATTACATACTCACGAGGCGAGTGAAGAGTCCTTGCTCCTTTCATCCTCAAGCCCCTAGCACGATGCGTGAATGGATGATGGTAAAGGCGGGTTTCAAACACGAGATATAGATATTGGATGATGGTCTTGAATGTCTTCTGCCTAGAATTCGATACCTCAGGTAGAGAGAGTTATGCGTAATTGCGTATCACTCGGCAGTGGCAAACCCGAGTCAGTGATACTTCGAATGAATCGTACCCGACGCTACAAAGGAGAGATACAAAGGACCGTGGGCCGTTCCACTGCTCGATTGTTTTCTGATTGTTCTCTCTCGAGAGTGTCTCTAGTGTCCAATCGCACACTGCACTTCGATCCAGCCCATAAATCAGGCATGGTAGGCGCTTTCGCTTTGACTGTGAATGCGCAAGGGTAGTCCCATCGCGAGAATCTCACTGTAGTAGTAACAATAACTGCCACTGCACCACAGCTTACAAGAAGACTCGATCCGACCTTGATGTTTAGATCGAGTGTCCGAAACGAAAGATCATCCTTCCGTGGTCTCAACTGTAAGATTGACAAACAACAACGTCAACAACAACAATAACAACGTTCCTGCAGGCTTAAACCATAGATCAAGTACTTAGACCAAAGCCGCCAGCTTCGTGTTAGGATCGAAAGTGCCTATGTCATGGTGGCGGCGATTGTTGGTTCGTTACTCGATACCGTACCCGTTCAATTGTAATCATCGTCTCTCCTTGGAACCCGCCCTCCTCCACCCTGGGCTGCCTCATCCTTTTCCTCTTGGGAAATCCCCCCCCCCCCCCCCCCCCATATCTTCTCCCAGTTGTCAACCTCGACTTCTGTTGCAAACAAGGTCTTGCTACCCTCACCTCCAGAAGACCTCTCTCTTCTCTTCCTCCCTCGGTAAGTGTGCGCTCCAGACCAGCCCGTTCGCGTGGCTTCTTCGATCGCCCCAAGTCTTCCCGGAATTCTACTGGAAACTTTTTTTTTGCCTTTCCCTCTGCCTACCCGAAACAACATTTTTCCAGCACTGTGGATTTTTTCCCCTTCCCACACATCCCCGAACTTGGAATTCTTCCACTTTCTCAACCCTCCCAACAACTCTACCCCGGTTCGCGCGCGCTGCATCTTCTTTGCTGCGCCCTCCGGTCTGGTCATTTCATTCACTTGAATTTGACGTCTTCTTGTCTCTAGCTCTGGGATTTCTCGTGATCTCCCCTTTCGCAGATCTCAAGGTTTGGATGTGGTCGCCTCAAGCTCCATCCGCAGCTTGACATCACCTCGTACCGTCACTTCTCCGTCGACTCGACCTTCCTCGCGCCGAGAAAAAGACGAGAACCTCACACCTTCAGGACTCGCCCTACCCGCCATTCCTGTTTAAAAGTTCTCCTTTGAAAGCCGCCTCTCTACGCATCTGCCGTGGATACCCACCCCTCTAATGACCTCGAACCCTCCTCAGTCGGGCGTTCAATCAGGACAGAGCACCGCTACCTCCGCCACTACGTCCGCGCCCGCCCCTGCGACTGCTCCTGCAGCCAAGTCGTACGCCAACGCGACGAAGAAGTCCACCACGGACTCCTCCTCCCCTCCCGTCACCGTGGGTGGCTCGACGCAACATGGGAAGTCGAGCTCGGTTTCTCCAGTGAACGGCAAACCCATGCAAAACCAATCGACTCCGCAGCAGGCTCAGTCTGGAGTGACCATCGTCAATGGCGCTCCTGCGGCCGCTGCTGCGAACGCTCAGAATGACCACTCCCGCAAACCCTCAGTGACCATCACATCTGCTGGTGCTTCTGGATACATCCCCAACGGTGGTGCGGCCAGCCGCGCGAACTCCCTGCAATTCGGATTTGCCAACCAACAGAGCTCTCCTCATATGGGAAACCCCGCCGTCCTGGCCCCCTCGCAGCCTCAGTCTGGTCTCGGCGCTCCTGCGACCAATCCCCGAGTGACTTCGCCCCAGACCTCCCCCTCACCCATCCCGCAGCCTGCCTCCAGTGGTGGACGTCCCCCTTCGACCTACCAGGCCCAGGGTAATGTGCCAAACTTTGGCAGCTTTGGAGAGAATGCCAGCGACAACAACGTAAGTCTTTTGTATCCTTTTCTCCTATTCTCCCAAGATCTTCACGTGTCAGGATGTTTGTCTTCGTGATTGCCCACGGAAGAACGAATGTCCGTCGCAGAGGAAGAGCACACAATCACGGAAAAAATAATCACGCGCCTAGAGATGCCGATGAGTGTAGCTCGCGCTCGTATTCCTCTCTTTCCTTTTCACACTCCCCAACCTTCTCGTCAGCTCACAGAAATGTCTCAGCAGGCTCCTCTGGGTCCTGGTCAACAGCATGTCCGTCGTGAATCTTCGCAGTCCACCCATAGCGATATGAGTGCCCACGTCAGCGGTGCATCCGGCCGTGGTGGCTACCCTCCCCAAGGTGGCCGTGGTCGTGGATACTCGCAGTCTGGTTATCAAGGAGGACAGATGCCTTACTCTCCCGGTCCCAGCTTCCGTCAGACTCCTAACCAGCCCCGTGGCGGTCCTAACATGGGCCCTCAGTTCCACGGTCCTAACCAAGGTCGTCCAATGCCTCCGTTCCCTAACTCGCCTCACCAAGCCAACCGCAGCCCGGCGCTCGCCAACGCACACCCTACTACGCCGCAAATGAATCAAGTCCCCATGGCCCACCCGCAGATGCCACCTCAGCCCTATCCCGGCTACGGACAGCATATGGGCCCCCAATCTGTGAGATTCCCACCTACCACCCAACTGCCCCCCAGACCTCCCCGGCCAGATGATCATGGCTTCCGCGGTTCCCAGCGCGGTCCCAATCGTGGCTGGCACAACCGTGGCGTCGACCGTGACTCTCGAGGCGGCGGCTTCAACTCTCGCGGCAGCCGTCGTCGAGTGGAAGATTTGCCCAGCTGGAGAAATACCCAAGTAACAACCCGAGAGAATGCCGCCGCGCTTACTATGTCCATGCCTAATTTGGCTCCAGAAAGTGGTCAATTTGAGCAATATCTAACAATGATTCGTGATCAGGGCTTCCCTCCTTACGACCCCAACTACTACAACTACCCTGGCTACAACATGCAGAACATGCAGTACATGACTCCCCCATCGCCTCAACCTCGCCCAGGCATGCCTTTCAATCCCCAGGCGCCGTACATGCAAGCACAGTATCCCGTGCAGCCTCCCCCTCAGTCGACCCCTCTTTCACGAACCCCCTCTCAGGTGTCAACTGAACGTCCTGGCTCCAGCCTGGGTCACGCTGCACCTGCGGGTCCCGCAGGAGCTGCTCATGCTCACACAGGCAGTCGATCTGCTAACAGCCCAGCTCCTGTGAAGCCACACTTCGTAATTCCCTCTGCTAAGCGCAGCCCTGTCATCATTAAGGACCCCAACAGCGGTAGCGTTAAGACCTTTGACAAGAATCCCGCCTCGCCTGCCCGTGCCACTCCTTCCCCTGTGAAGGTGGCTACTCCTGTCGCAACTCCTCCCCCTCGCACTGCCAGTGCCTCTGATCACTCTCGCACTGAGAGCAAGGCTGGTAATGCTCAAACGGATGAGGAGAAGAAGCAGGCCTTGAAGGACGCGGTCCGCCAGAAGATCTTGGATGACGAGGCGGCACAGAAGCGTAAGGAAGAAGAGGCATCCCGGAAGAGCGCGGAGCCCGCCAAGCCCGCCGTTGCAGAGCCCGCTGAGGTCATGGCCGCGGAGAAGCCTGCGGAGAAGCCCGCTGCAGAGACCAAGTCGGAGGAGCAGAAGATAGAGGACTCTGTCGCGTCCGCCCGTGCTGCTGTGGAGGACCTGAGTTTGAAAGAGAAGGCTGCGCCAGCTGAGGAGCCCAAGAAAGAGGCCGTCTCAGCCCCCGCCGCCGCTGCCGATGACGACGACGAGATCGACTACGATGCCATCGAGCGGGAGATGGCCGAGATCGAAGCCAAGGAGCGTGCAGCTGAAGAGGATTACAAGCGTAAAAAGCAGGCTCAAAAGGAGGAGGCGGAGCGCAAGCAGCGCGAGGAGCAAGAGCAGTACGAGATCAACATGAAGAAGGCCGAGCGGGAGGCTGAAGAGCGAGAGGCCGCGAAGGAGGCCGCCCGCGCCAAAGGTGACAACGCCGAGGATGAGGCTAACCGCAAAGAGCGTGAGGACTTGTTTGCGTCCCTCAAGAAGGGCGGATTCTCTGCTACTGAAATTTCCACCCCCGCCGACTCCGGTGTTGTGACTCCAGTTTCATCCGACATGGGTCCTCCTGCTAAGCCAGCCAGCGCAGCTGGTAAAAAAGCCGCTGGTCTCAAGATCGATACTCAGAAGGAAACTCCTCAACCTAGTGCCGCTATGAACTCCCTTCAGAATGCCAAGTTCCTCGAAGATCTCAGCAAGGTCACTTATCCCGCCTCCGTGAAGGCTCCCGATGCCTCCCTCAACGCCAACTCCCCCGCTGGCCGTCGCTTCCACTATGACCGGGAGTTCTTGCTCCAGTTCCAGTCTATTTACAAGGACAAGATTTCCGTTGACTGGGATGCTCGCATTCGTGACACCATCGGCGACAGCGAGTCCTCCTCTCGACCTCAGTCTGCCCGCACCCCCAGCATGGGTGGTCGCAATCCCTCCCACAAGGGGGGGCTTGGTGGTTTCCCTGCCATGATGGGTAGCTTCGCTCAGACCTCTCGCCCTGGTGTCTCCTCTGTGAACTCGTCCATGGGTAACCGCAACGCCTCTGCCTTTGGTTCTATGGGTCGTCCTGGTATGCCGGGCATGACAGGCTCCTTCCGTAATAACTCGTCTCCCATGCCTCCTCGTGTTCCCTCTAGCAAGGGTGGCCCTGGAAGCAAGCGTGGTAAGGGTGGCAAGAAGGAGGAAGACACCAACAAGGCCATGCCTCTGACTGCCGGTATGGAGCTCAAGGCTCTGCAGCAATCAGCCACTGGCTGGAAGCCTCGCAGCCTTGTTGCCCCCAATGCTGGTCCCGCCCCTGGTGGGGAGGGCCATATGGCTCCTGATGTTGTGCAACGTAAGGTGAAGGCTGCGCTGAACAAGATGACTCCTGAGAAATTCGACCGCATTTCCAGCCAGATTCTGGACATTGTGTCCCAATCCAAGGACGAGTCCGATGGTCGCACCCTTCGCCAGGTCATCCAGCTTACTTTCGAGAAAGCAACTGATGAGGCTCATTGGGCTCCTATGTACGCCAAGTTCTGCAAGAGCATGCTCGAGAGCATGAGCCCTGAGATCAAGGATGAGAATATTCGCGACAAGTTCGGCAATATCGGTACGCTTTACACATGTACCCCTTTTTTGACTCTATATTCAGAAGCAAACGCTAACTTTCCCTGTCAAAAATAGTCACCGGTGGCTCACTGTTCCGCAAATACCTTCTCAACCGTTGTCAAGAAGAGTTCGAACGCGGCTGGAAGGTCAACCTCCCGCCCAAGCCTGAGGGCTCCACCCAGGATGACGTCGCTATGCTGTCCGATGAGTACTACATCGCCGCTGCTGCCAAGCGTCGCGGTCTTGGTCTCGTCAAGTTCATCGGTGAGCTCTACAAGCTGGGCATGTTGACTGAGCGCATCATGCACGAGTGTACCAAGCGACTGCTCGACTTTGAAGGTGTGCCCGAGGAAGCTGAGGTCGAGTCTCTGTGCAACTTGCTGCGTACCATTGGTGCCAGTCTGGACGCATCCGAGAAGGGTCCTGCTATGATGGATGCCTACTTCGCCCGTATTAACCTCATGATGGAGATGCCGGGTCTGCCCAGCCGTCTCAAGTTCATGCTCATGGTATGTTGATTCCTCGTCAAAAATCTACCAAGTCGTCCGTCTACTTGCCGGAATTGCCAGCTAACCTCTTTTCTTCCCACTCTTCAGGATATTGTTGATCTGCGTTCCCAGCGATGGAAGTCCAAGGACGCCGATAAGGGTCCCAAGACCATCCAGCAGATTCGTGAGGAGGTACGTTCTGAACTTTTTCACCGATTTATGAATATAGTTTCTCAATCCCAATCATGGACTAACACGGTCTGCAGGCGGCTCGTGCGCAGGCCGAGGCTGAGCAAGAGCGCCAACGTCAACAAGCGAACCGTGGTGGCGGTGGTGGTCGCCCTGCTATGGGCCGTGGCGATGCCCGTGGCTTTGGTTACGGTAACCAGGCTCCTCCTCCTGACTTTGCTTCGAGCAAGGTTGGTAGTGACGACCTGCGCCGTCTGCGGGCCACCCGTAACACCAACCAGCCGATGTCCTTCGGCCCATCCAGTCTGCTTGGTTCCCGCAGCAGCAGCGGACGTAAGGGGCTTGGCCCTGGTGGCAACTTGGTTCGCGGTAGCGATGACAGCGCTGCCAGCAGCCGCACTGGTACTCCTCCTGCTGGCAAGAAGGAGGATAAGGAAGCCGCTTCCTCAATTAACGCCTTCAGGTAAGCCGTCTCTTCCAGATGTCTTTCCAGTGAGAAACGACTGCATTTTGCGATGCACTTTGGACGCCATGCTAACGTGGGGGATTTCCTTCCTTTCTCATGTAGTGCCCTTGCCAGCTTGGAAGATCGTGACAACATGGCAACATCGCCTCCTTCCAACCCGACTTCGCCTATGCTCACGAAGTCCCAGCCTGCTTCGTCCGAGCGCCGCCCCTCCAAGACTCCCACCGAGGGTGAAAACGCAGCATAGTTCCTGATACCTAGGTGCCTTTAATGATCAACGTTCTTCCAATGTTTTTCTTGTTCCACCCAAAAGATTTCTTGTTTCTCAGCCATGTCTCATCGACGTGCTTCTCGCTACGTCACATCCTCGCTTTTTCCCGGCCCCTCCTTCATGTTGCTCTCCCATTGCAGCTTCGGCCTTTTGTTCTTTCCCCCTCTTCCCATTCCACTTCATTTCCAGATAGCCGTCCTAAACTTGCATTCCCCCGACTGGTCGGTTGTTCGTGATGACTATTCTCCCAACCCACTTCCCATATTCTCCGTTCTCGATTATTCTACCAATCCCCCATTTCCGCGCTCCCCGCCTTTGCGGTCGAGCCGCTTTCAGTGTGTACAATCTTCAAACGACTTTATTTTCCAATGATCTCCTTCCTACTCTTCATTTTCCCTAAATACGTTCTGCCCAAACATCGAGTTGTAGGAGGGAATGGAGTCCAATGCCATGGTCAAGTCCCTGACGTAGCCTCCTCCTTATGGAACCCTTTGAAAAATTCGCACAAAGTTTGGAATGATTGCCATTTTCCGATGCCGGATTGAGGTTTATTTTCGGGCTGGTCCAAAACATGTGATTCAACAAGGACGTCTTCAAAAGTTTGAAAAGGCAAGATTAGAAAAAATTAAAAATTCAAGACGTTCCAACTGTAAATGCATAACTAGCTACTGTAGCTAACGTTCCAAATGGATGGGAAAAGTCTATTCACCCTATCTATATCGTACTAGGTACGTTGTACTCGCGGTGTGTCTTATGTTGTCGTAATGCAAAATTATGATACGAACATGATGCTTATGAACCTCAAGTCTGCCAGCGGTGTGAGCACTTCCTTTTATCTCCTTGATGGGCGAAATCTCGATGAATCGGGAATAAGTTCTTTTGGACGGCCTCGGTTACGCCCTTGAATATTGGGGTGGAGATACGATTTTGATTGATAGACGTGCAAGAAATGATATATGTAGGCATAAATGTGTTGGAGGACTCAAGAAAGACTCGATGCTGCCTCACCTGCGACACCTGACAGAATCTCAAAGATCAAACGCTAGCGACAAATATTTGGGGTATCTCTGATGTGATGTTGTGGATGGGTGCAACGGCATTTGAACACGAAAACGATACGGTAAGACAGCAGTCCATCAACAGCTCAGATGAGGATGCGAAGGGGATATGATAGCGGGGGAGCAAGTGAGAAGCAAATAACCCCCCCCCCCCCGGGGGCTAGTATGCAAAGGCGAAAGATGGCTTATCGAGATGTTGAAGCTAAAGCATCAATCCGCATTGACCTCTTGCCTCTCACCCGCTTCGTCGGAGATCTTCACCACGGGTATCGGTGGCACCTTGGTGTCCGTCTCGGTCTGAGAACTTTCCGAAACGGAGTTAATTTGGCCCTCATCTCTGCTTGGTGTCTCCGACTCTTCGGATGAGTCCGGTTCTGGAGACGAGGAGCGCGATCGCGGCTGTGGCCGCGGCGACGATGGCCGTCGCGGGGGTCTGCTATCTATCACATTCTCTTCAGAACTCGCAGGGCTACCACCCAAGGGGCTGCTCATGACGACTGAATCAAGAGAATAAGGGACCGGTGGTGAGGGCTCTGAATCATCGGTACTGAGACTGCTTCGATCAGACACAGAAAGGGAGCTTCTCGAATGATTGCGTGAATATGACGGTGGCAGTCCCAGCGCCTCGGCAACCGCAGCCTCCTCGTCTGGCAGCTTGAGAATGCCTCGATCTGTACTGGGACTGGGGTCGAAGACTCGAATACCGCGTTTTTGACTCAACTCCAAGAGGTGATTGTAGCTCCGGCGACCAGGATCCGCACGACGCTTCTTCTTTTTCTTCTCGCGCTTCAGGGACGGTCGAACGACAATGACCGGAATAGGGGAATGCTGGACACAGTACTTTGAAACAGAACCGGGAAGAAGACTATGAACGCCTTGGAGGTTTCGGCCTCGCGTTCCGACGATGAGCATCACAGGCGCATAGATCCGGATCTTCATGATGTCAGTGATCCGCTCGAAGGACAGCAAATTCAACAGCTTTGTCGCATGCTCACCATTCTTTGTATAATCTCCTCCACCTTTCCGACCACCAACTCCAAGACCAAACTGATCGCCTTTTCGTTCTGGCTGTTCTTCTGGATGACCTGCTCGAACAGTCGTTCTGCCTCTCGTCGATAGTTCCCCTCCTCAATTCCAGCATCACTCGCCATGCGGGAGTCTTTTTCTACCGCACGGAGACAAACAATTTCATCGCCATCATCAACCAACTCATCTACCAGCCAATTGAGAGCAAAGTCGGAGTAGTCATTCTGATCTGTTCCGCATAGAAAGGTTCGACTTCGTCGGGTGCTCTGATAGCCTTTGTGCTTATAGTTGAGGGTCAACGAAAAGTCCGCCGCATCCCGATTGTCAAACGTGTTGAATGAAACGCCTCGTTCGTAGGTCCTATCATGAGTCAGAAATTTTGAATTGCAGCGTCGCAAAAAGCCATCTCTTCTTGTGATGGTATTTGACATACTTTGGCGGTGGTGGTGAGGGCCCTCGACTAGCTGGTAAATGGCGCGATTCTCTTTCCACGTCCATGTCCCTCGCCGGCATTTCTCCGTAGAAAAGGCGCTTGCCCTTGGTGCTGCTGGAGCGGCTCGGTAGCTGTGTCTCTGCGTTGCTGACATTGAATTGGATGGATCGTCGGCGTGGGCTTTCGCTTCGTGCGTGAGTTCTGGAAGCGATACCCGGTTGGTGTGTAGGTGCAGCGACAGCGGTGGAGGAAGCTTGTGAGAGGTTCAAACTAAGGTCTGACCTCTGGTCGGAGCTGGTACTAGATCTGGGAGAGCTTTTTGCAGACATGGTTGCGATTGGGGCGAGCGGCTACCCAGTGGCTTCGGGATAAGAATCGGTGGCGATGGAGGCAAGAGATGCGGTACTGATGTCTCTCAAAGAATGCTCTGTTTAGTGATATGTTTGAGCAGAGGATATGTCGCAAGACTTGGGAGTCACATGCGCCCAGCACGCCAGCAGCGGGATGTTGAAGCAGACTTTCGATTTGTCGTCAGATCATGGACGATGGAAGCGAGGCTCAGAGCAAGAGGGAAGGAAAGCGGGGCACTTGAAAGCTAGTGATGCACAGACTTCAGGTACCACAAGCTGTAGTTCAGTTCATTTAATTTTGCAGGGGGTGGGATATCTCTCAGAATGTGATTACAGAAGCTTTGATCTGAGGCTCAGTTCAAAAAGATTGAGGTGTGAAGAGAAGCTACCGTAGATGATCAGACCAGTGACGCTTCCGGCGAGGGGACTGGACTCGAAGTCGTTGGCGGTCAAGATGTAAGGTTATCGATAGGGGCTGTCAGGTGATACGTGCCACAATCTTCACATGCTGTGCCTTGCAATCATTGGGCTCTGACTGCCCACTGAATTTTACGGCGGATGTGTCAGCCTCGTCGGGCGGTCAGATGCGGGACATGGTGGACCCCGTGCAGATCATTCTGATCCTCCGATAGTCGCCGATCAAGATGGATGAGTGAGCCCTTGGCTATCTCTGCTCCGCATCGGGTAAACGCCTGTATCCGGCGGTACGTGCTAGACTCATCAAGTCCTGTGGCTTTTTCAACAAGACCTACTAAATCAGAGGGAGGGGGGATCAAGGCAAAGAATGCAAGATCTTATGTTGCTGTGATGGAGAAGTGGCGACATACAGGCCAGTCGTGAGCGATTCAGTTATGCGACCTTATTCACAAGGTAACTTGGTCGCTTGTTCTATCTGGAAGGACCGCCGCGTATATGAAAAAAGACCGAGTCAATCTGCATCCTCCTTTACTGCAAACAGATTTCTTGATCATATGACTTCAACATTCCGATTCATAGTCGGGAGTGCCTATGAGTAACGTGCTCCATGGACTTCAATAGTTGTGATCTGGCTTCCTGTCAAAGGGTCACATTCTAGCCTCCGATCTTCCATCATGTGGCTGTCTATCTAAGAATCAGCTCATGAACAAATTCGCCTTTCATACAAATACAGAGGTATCGCTCACTTCCTCCATTCGCCTGGTACATAGTACATAGTTGCTTACTATCTGATTTGACAGGGCTCCAATCACAATCACTCGTAATCACCCGTGCGTAGGCTTAATGATCTATGCTCAGCAATGTTCATAAACTAGTATGATTTCCAAGGACAAGAAGAAGACATAACTCAATGTGGCTGCGGGTCTGAGAGGACCAAAAGACAAAACAAAATCTGCTACAGGCAATGCGCTATGATATCAATTGAAAAAAGAGACTTACAAGACGAGCTCTTATTGACTATCTTGTGTATGAACTCATAGACAGTAGTAATAGTAGTGCACAACTGCACAACTGCACATCGTACAGATTCTCGACTATCCCTCGACTGATCGACCTTTATTCCGAACTTCAACCGAACATGATCTCAGAACAGGTAGGGGGTACAGTCAGGCCGGCCTTGATGGTTTCTTCTTGCCCATTTACTAGCTCACAGCACTCGGAAGTGAGTCGTATCCATCTAGCCGAAGACACCCTCGACAATGAACCTCGCAGAGCAAGGCACAACTATCTCTGGTTGAGTCAACACCGGGCAAATAGACACACACCCTAACAACTCGTGGACAGACCCATCACTCACAAGAGTCGCAACCTACTCAATCCGGCTGGCTCCAGTTTTGCCGTCCCCACCAGGGCATCTCCAGTCCTGAATTCACAGTCCACATCCATTGCACATTAGAATACTCAGATAACTTGAGCTGGATGGTAGCGCTTGCCTTGAGAGCTTCTATACTTTCCACACCCCCACGACGAGCATCTTCTGAGCAAATCCCTCTAGCACGGGCCCTGCCCTGCACGCTCTGGTGGACACTCACAGTACCACCACTCGGCCTTGTCAGTATTCAGTGTTTACTGTTTACTACTAACTAGTGCCTACTTACTCCGCAGTACGTACAGTAGTGATATGCCCCGCACTAGTACGAGTGCGCCAAACTCTAGGAAGACGCAGGAGTTAGTGTGACTCCCCGAAACCGGCAATGAGCCATAGTAAATTGAGCACGCTGTACGTTAGCATGGAGCAGCTCAACCCACTACGGGCCGACTATGCCGATTTAGCCGCGATGATCAGCACGCACTATCGTTTCCTTTTGGAGGGGTCACCATGTCGACCTTGTTTTCATGCAGCCATGATAATCTAGCGGTCTGTCCGGCGCCGGGTTTGGAAATGTCCAGTCCATCCTCCACAGCGGGCGAGGTATCCGTGGACCGTCAGTACTTGTGGTTATGTATGACTTCGCTATCTTGAATTTTCGTATGGGCCATGGCTTGAACGAGAAAGCTCCCCTCAGTTCGCGTGCCTGTGATTTCTAAACGATTCGTCGCTGACCTCAGACCATTCCCTCAGCCGAGTGTATGTATTCGATACGCATAGTGCATAGTCATACAACCCAGGGAACCCCGCAAATATCAATTCTCCTCCTCTCTATGCTCATTACACAGTGATTGCAGAAGTGTACAAGGGTTCACCATGGAGCTACCTTGAAGAAATGGGGGTTTGGGCGCGACGAGACCATTCCAGAAAGAGGAGGGGAGGCGCTCGGGCCATTGATTCCACCATTGCTGAGCTGTAGTAATGGGTCACATGCGTCCGTATCGCGGGTTCGAAAGGTTGACATGGGGACTCCTCGGGGTCGGGAGGTGCATACGTTGGTACAGTGGTACACTGGTATAGTATTACAGGACTAAATTCTGGGATGTATTACTATCCACTATCGTAGTCGGTCAATGCCACATTCCCGTGCAAAGAGAGATAGTCAAGTCCGTTGGATTGTGTTCAGTAGTGTATTACCCAGTTGACGGCGAGTCTTTGGAGATTGTTGACTGGTTTTAAAAGTACGAATGCAATGCTGAGGCAGGGCGTTCCTGCATTGCACACATCTACCTTTCGATGCTCTTGACCTTCTAATCAAGAGAGCAGACTATACTCATTTTGCACAGTAGATGTTGATTATTGGAATTCATTGAATGTGTCTATATACATGGCATGCAAAGATCGGGTTCAGAGACGGGGATCTGCAGTCGAGGTCCCAATCGGGTAACCCGAGGAGTGGGTAGTCTCGACCAGCGCCTCACTCAACAGAGGGGGCGGAGAGAGCTGCCTTGGTGGCTATGCAAGAGCCACATCATTTCCCAGACTCATATTCAGGCAAAAAGGGAGTAAGGGCAAAATGAATTTATGAGAGAGATGAGATGGTGGACAGTTGATCATGATGCAAAGGCGGCGCCGATGGAAATATAAGCGCCGTGAAAAAAAGAAAAAAATTGGAGTAGTAGTAAGGATCCGGTTCGTAGTTGAGAAGATCAATTCGGTCGTAACAATCATGGGGTATCACAAGGATGGGAATAGAAGAAATCAAAATCGCTACAATGCAAACAAGTCACAGAGAATCAGACGAGATCCCACCTCAGTAGGCCTCGACAATGGTGCTCTGTTCTCGTGGATTGTAGAATCCTGATTCATATCGGTGGTCATCGGTCAAGGCAATCGCCTCAGCGGTAGACTCCTTGGCGTCAAAGGACTCCAGAGTAGGTTGTAGCGGCGAGGGCGGCATGCTCTCATCTTCTGAGGAATCATCGTCGGCCAATAACTCCGGAGGTGATTGACGAGATGGCGATCGGGTCAAAGTGAGCTCATTCAGATCCTCCGCATCGTCGTATTCAAAGTCCGAATCAGTCTCTTCGCCTTCATCATCCAGAAAGGCAGGCCCTGTGGCAGTGGCCAGGTGTTGTTGAGAGGAGATTGAGGCGGGTGGTGGAGAACGCAGGCGAACGGGAGTGGTGATGACAAAGTCATTCTCATCAAAGTCGGAGTCATCCTCCTCGTCGCTGTCACTCAAATCTGAATCCAGGTCGGACGCATCTTCCGGGTCCCAATCCTCCGTCTCGTCCTCTTCGGGCTCTTCAACCACGGTTGATGCCCATTGGATATGGCGAGACTTGTTCTCGCGGGTCGAGGTCTTTGCCGCTCCGTTGACGGTCTGGTTGAACCACCGTTCTTGCTCACGTTCGGCATCAGCAAGGTCTATCATCAAAGAGTCGAGCAGGTTGGCATGGCCCACCAAAAGGCGGAGATCGTGATCCGCCCGCGAAGCCTCCCGGGTAAGCTTCTTGCGGGCGGTGTGGGCGAGGTAGTATGTTTGCGTGATGCTCATTTTCTTTTGTTGGCGAGAGCGGAAGCGAGATTGAAGAAAGGGAGAGGCGACGGCGGCAAGAGAGGAGTCCGTGGACATATGCAGTGGGGAAATGGCCGGAGCAGAGATACTGGGGGAAATTTCCATAGTGGCTGATGAGGTACTTATGAGTACCCAGTGAGTTCAGATTGGGGGTTCCGAGATTATGACTCGTTCTGCCAAGGTAGGTGACTCAGGGCGTAGTGGCCGAGGCGGTGTACTAGTGAGATCCCCGGAGGCAGGGGATAGCGTTTTGGATCGATTCGATAGATCCACGATGGTTTTGAGTAGTGTGCCGATGCTGGGAATCTTTAAGAGAGATTTGAGACTTTGGGATGACGATTGACTGATGAGGATATTCGATGAAGCGGAGTGTTGTGGAGGCTGAGCAGATTTCCCTTTTTGTTAACTAGTGAAAAAAAAAAGATTCAATGCCAGGTAGTCCGGGGGTTCACAGAATGTTATAAAATAATTCACCTCGATGCCTGATGCAAGAATTAGTTGGGTGAATCGCATTTTGCTTACGATACTTCTGCTCATTTTGATTTAAAATCGGGTTTCATTTTTCCTAATTTCCATTATTTCGCTTTCCCTTACTGCCGTAGTCCCGTGTCTCCGTCCTGGCTCTAAAGTCCGGTATCCGATCGGAGGGATAAGTGATTATTCCCCACCCGAATTGTGCACAATCGCACTCTGGATGGATGCCCCGAGTCCGAGTGGTCCGCTGATTAATGCTTTCGGCTTGGCATTCATTAGACTCTTATGCGCACGGCTCAACATGGGGGGACTTCTGAATTGAAGTTTTTTTTTTTTTCGCACTCTCTTTTTTCCCGGTGCGTAGTTATTTCCTCTTTTGTCGTGATAATCAGGCGGGCGTCGAATTATCCTGCCACGACAGGGATCAGGTTACTTTAATTCTCTACACCGCATCCCCAGCTTTGCGACGTGTATCATGTAATGCGTTCGGTGCTGGCACGAGCCGCATAAGATGGCCCGCCCTTCGGTGCTAGTCGCTTAACTTCGAGCTCACTAAGGATGCACTAGCGAAGATCTCCTCGCGTGTTTCATCTGTAGAGTCATCGCATCGGGTCGGAGTTTCTCATCCTGCCATAGTGATTGATTGTTCCTCTTCTTCTTCGTCCTGCACGGACAGACGATGGAGCAATGCCCGTTGATTATGTCCGGTTCCTAATTTTCAGCCTTCTGGTACGAAATACTTTATGGACAGTTTTACCAATCAACATCATATCCATTCACCGAATTCGGATCCCGAGCAAAGGAAGTGCCCAAGCCCCACCAACGGGCACCCGTTCAGACGGACGATGATTCACTTGACAGACGGGTGAGGAAATTTTGGGTTCTTCAATGGAGTCGCCCTTGGTCATATTCATAACACTCTTTTTTTTAATGTATTCCAACCGAGATGAGCAAGAACAAGCTCGCGCTTATGGTAGGACAATGCGCAATTGCTGGCTTCCAGCCTACCTCGTAAGTTCGTAGAGCTTCGGCGCACCAAATGAAAAAGTCCGTCCGATGCGGACAAGGGCGGTTGAGGCCGACCGGCTCGTAGTTATGCCTGTCTCCGAGAACCGCACTAAAGTGGAAAGAGTTAGTAGTGACGAGAGTTCCATTGCTTGCTTATGGTTTCCAATCTTCCAGCAAAAAGGGCGTCCCATCATCCACGGGCCATGATTATTCATCGGTCAGGATGGACTCCCGCTCCGACCCGTCACTCTGTGTCAGCCTTGCGAATCTTCCGCTCATCGCCCACTGACTGCATCGTTTGGATGATTACTCGAATGATCTGCTCTCTGTGTGCGCGAAACCACGAGCTCCGTTTCCACGCGTCGATGATTCTCCCTTAATGATTACCATATACATGGTCACCTGAACGGGAAGCCGGCGACGGCACCCACAATTCCATCCAATTCCTTCACCTTCAACTCCTGAAATCAGAGACGGTCCCTGTGGAAAATCCTATTGATCTATCATGGTCAAGAAATTCCGGCCGAACAGCTCAAGTTCTGTCTGCAATAGGCTCATCAGGGGACATGAAACATAGCTTCGTCAAATTTTCGCCTATTAAGGAAACCGAAGAGGTTGGTGTCTACCAAAGTAGGTAAATTCTCTACCTAAAAGTAGGCTAGTCCAGCACGTAGCTTGGTTTTATCCAGCAGACGTATTTCTAATCACCGAATCCGGTAATCATGTACGATCCATGGACCATACGTGACTGCGATTAGTGATGCTCGATGCCATCCGTCGGTCAAGGGTCGATCCCACAGCCCGATCATACTTCCCCAATCAGTCATGCTTTGCGAAAATGGTCCAAAAAATTTTTCCTTTTTTTTCGTCGCCATTCTTCGTTGGTCTTCGCCTGTTCTAGAATCCCACCACCGACTGCCAAGCGTCATTGCGTCATCGACATTCGGTAATCACGTCGCTTTTCTTCCCCGCATTAGTAGGTTATCGGACGAAAGGACGATCCTGATCAACGGGCTGTCTTCATTTGGGCCATGCGATTTGCGATCAACGCACAGAGATTAACTGCTAGGTAGGTATGGATCTAGGCTCTGAGCATTGGTAATCTTGAGCTCATCGAGCTTGAAGTGATGGCAGTGACAGCAGTGATGGCGCCATAGATCAGATTGCGATCCCGAGACGGTCGGCTACCTGTTTGACTGATGTTGTTCGAGGATGGTCAGTATCGTGCTCGTAAGCAAGCTTTATCACCGTCTCACTGGATGCAAATACAAAGTCTACAAGAACTTTGCGTTCATCTGCTTCTGTCATTGATGATCTTCATATCTCCCTTTCTGCCATCGACTGTAGCGTGCTGGTGATAGCCACAGTGCTGCGCGTTCGAAGAGCCTCCAAATAGTGAGGCATGTACTGCGCCCACCAATCACTGTCCACATAAATGGGGAGGTTCGTAAACAAGGATGGACTTGGAACGCATGGACTGTCGTGTCAGCATTTGGCCTATTGGGAGTTCGGAACAATGATTCGATCATCTCTATCATTGCGTGCTCTCTGCTTTGTTCCCGGGATCTCGCGAGCACAGACTCTGACATACCACTATCTAATGGATGGGGGGACAGGGCATTTCTCTTCCATTCTGCCCAATGTTTACCATCGTCGATAAGCAGACTCGCCAGCCGAAGGTTGATCCCGGACATGCGCACTGCCTCTGCAATTCATACCATAGGCAACAGTAATCAGACCAAAAACATCAGTGCTGTCAGACAGCACGCATCCCTTCTGTCGTCGTCATCCAGGCAGCTATTTCAGCTCATCAAATTGGGTCCATTCAGGCAGAGTACGTGTGACATATCACGATTTACTGATGGGCTCCAGGTATTGAGGAGCCTTGTGTATTTCGCTTTGTTTGATCATGTATCTCCACCTTCAGTGAGAAACAAGACTACGCAGTTTGTTGAAACCCCTGCGTCTGTACAGTGTACCCAAGTCGGGGAATGAATATACTACTCAATGGTAAATAGAGAGTCCATTTCAGTATGGTGCTGTCCATGACTCAAGGACTCTCTCGGTTTCATGCACTAGTCCTAATCTGGATCCCGCCTGGAGTCAGCCCTCCCAAAGTGGCTGCTGCGCGTCGGCGTTAGCCGGGCTTTACTCCAAGGCACCGCAATACCTGTCCTCTTCCGGGTCAGATAGTTACACTACTAAGGTACGCATTACCCAGCCCAGCCCAGCCCATCCCATCGATAGTGGGGCCATACGAGCGAGTGATCAAGTCCGAGTTCCGAGTTCCGAGTTCCGAGTCTCGACACCCGAGTCATCTTTTCGCGTGTGGACGATCAAGGTTCCACAATTGGTCTGCGATTCTACAGGTATGAGGCTGAGAATCTGGGCGGGGTCAGCGTGTTGGGCTGTCGCGGTGCCGAGATGTCTCAGGAGGAGTTGTGCGATGACTCCTCCGGATGCGAGACCTTCCCTTTTTTTTTTTTTTTTTCGCGGAAACACGAAACGCCCTGGGGCACCAAGGTACTTGGGACCTAGGAGTCTACCTAGGACTAACTAGTAACTAGTAGTTACTAACTACTAGGTCAGAGTACATAGGTTGTGCCGAATTGGGTTTCGCTTGAAAGAGGCTCAGCTCGGCTGAGCACAGCCCGTTTCAGGCTCAGGTCTAGGGAAGTTGACTTCAAATGGTCTAACCGTGGCTTAGTTCAAGGGGTCGTGGATGTCCGGAGAAGCTTGCATCACTGCATCAGTGCATAACTTGATGATTTCCGGGCACATGTAACCTGATTGAACTCTCAGTTGAAGGGTTCAATTGATAGCTTGTGCTCACTGCTCACTGCTCACTGCTCACTGCTCAGGAAGAAGTTCCTCATGTTCAATCTCGCAGTATTCATTTCCCACGGCACAATAGCCAAGTGCATCTCTCACTCGGATCGCCGAGGTTATCATCACCGGTTTCCCACGGCCTCACCGGCCGCAGTGGGATGGTAGATGTGGATCGGCGTGGTCGCTGGCGCTCGGTTCATACCAGAATTTTACCAGTCGCAGTGGGGCTTTTTTCTGCCTCTCGCTCTCTCACACACACACAAACTCTTCTTTTTCTTCGCTTCCTCTTCTCTGACTCTCACTTTTCAACCTAATGGATCCATCACTACCACTCTTCCGGCGTTTTCTAGTAGTAATGAGCTCCCGAAGCAGAAATAAACAAGCGGATAGTTCCATCAGAGTACCCACTTTCGAAGAAAAAAGAAACTTCTCTTCCGTCGCCTCCTTCCGCACAGAGCATCCAACGGAGTATCCGAAACAGAATCTTTCTATCATCCATGGTTTGAATTCCCGTTCACCGTTAGCTTCAGCCGTACTCCAGAATAGGTAGGGTCGAGTAATGGGGCTCGTTGGGCTGAAAGAAAAAAAAAAAATTCTGCACGAGATTTGGAGCCTCATCGCGGCAGTCGATCCGAAGGGTCGTCGAATGCGACGGATGTTTACAGAGGCAATTTCTGGGTCGGACAAGATGAGTTGTTGGGAACTTCCAATTGGGAGGGTTTGTCGGCGGTTTAGGAAAAATGGCCGACAGGGCTGAGGATTTGGCGCGTCTTGATTGTTGTGGCGTTGAAAGGCTAGAACTTGTTGGACATCTACGCGACGGATGCATCTATGGAATTGTTGTGTTGTTTGATGTTGAATTCATATTGATCTGTTGTCGTCACAGTGTGTAGGGGAAGTGTCATTTCTACTATCGACTGGAGAGGACTGCACTGCTGCAGTACCGAGGGATCAATCACACTCGACCTCGATCAAGAGGCCAAGAGTCTGCCACGTCTCGGTAGCAGGGAATCGTGCCGATGTTACGTGGGACCAGTGATCCGCACAGTTGCGGAATATAAAGATCACTGCCAAGTGCTAACACGGGCTGGCTGTAGAATACTAGAGTACAGCACAAAGCACGCGAGAATAAAGGTGGACTATGACCTCAGAGCCACGAAGGCCAAGTTCGACCCTAGAGGCAATCTGTCGCTAGGTACTACTGTGTCGTTAAGCAATGGGCATAATGCAGCGTTGTTGAATTGCGATTGATTGAATCCAGTCTTGTCGTGTTCGTATACGAGGTTCATAACTTCATATGGCAATCCGTATCCAATACGCCTAGGCTTTGATCGGTCCTGATGTATTTCCCCACAGCACACCACCACGCCGAAACGCTCACTGCACACTCACAGTGCACACAGGAGCCCCGAATGAACTGCGCTACTAGGATCGACGTCGTCAATATCGCCGCCGATCAACAAGCAACCAACTTACCGATCTGAGTTGTGCGCGATCGGGTGGTCGACAGATCTGATATACTACTCCATCACATCAACAGAGCAACTGAGCGATGGTGTCTTGGCCCCCTGACCGGTGATCTCATTGGCGACATTGACGCGACTGCGGATCCACCGTGACAGGCTCATGATGTCAAGAAGACCCTCGAGTGCTTCAGATGGCGATATGCAGTTTGGCGTTCCCCCCCCTCCTACTACTATAGTCGTCATCTAGGTCCTAGATCGGATTTGGACACCCAACTTCCTCAATAGTAGATGAAGGCGAAAAAGTGATGCCCATCGAAGGAGTACCTCAGACGTATTTATGATTGCATGTTGCGGTGTACGTGGGACGTGCAGTATAAAATTGATGTTGTTTGAGATCTTGGCTAAAACCCTTTCGGTTGCTGTCAAGGGACGAGAATGTCCTCGCCGGGGATCAGACTGCTCTCGTCATCGACCTCTGTGCACCTGTACAGCGTATACAATACACACTACACTGCACTACTATGCAGTGTTTCTCGATGAATGTTTGGTGTTTACTACTGAAAGGCCTGTTGCTGAGCACCGATGCTAGGTTTCGGGCCCGGCTGATGGAGGAGCCGAGTCTCCGTGAGCTGACGGGATCTGCCACTTGCGGTTTCAAGGTTAGCTCTGCTCTCCGCGGTCGACCACGTGGGGTACAGTTACAAAGATCTAAGCGGGTTAGCGGCGCGGCTTCTCGAACTCATTGACACCAGGTCCCAGCTGACATATAACTCTCGTGCTGCTGTTACCTTGTCCAGGCCTGGCCGCTACTCACAGTAGAACGTAGGTAGGCATGTCACTTGGGAGTGTTCATACTCCATAGTTCTCAGTGCCTCCCCACCACTGCACAGTGCGTAGTCACACATGCACGTTTTGTAGATCTGGCCAGGCTGATCGTATCGCTGATGTCCCAGGTGGGCGACATCTTGACCCTTTGAGCCAGCCCCTCAGACTTTATTCAGTAGGAGACCCTCCTACTGAATCTAGAGTCCGGAGTCTGATGGCAATTTATTATGGCATGTTGAAATTCGATAAGAGCCACGTCTATGATGTTCTTGATAAGGATTACCTATAGGGGGATTAGTGTAACATGGGTGGGTTTACTGGGGCTTCGCATACCTCTATAGGATCCCTCTAGCTATTATGATCTCCCATTCATACCTACGAGCCATCAACATGGAAGCTTGACTGTAGCAGTACACATCGCAACTTCTGTTGTGTTGTCTCCCAACTGGAGCATAATCATGCCAGCTTTCATCCTCGTTTGAACAAGCATAGGTAAGGACCATTCCGTAAGAACCAACACCTTCAACCGGAACGGCTCCACGGACTCAAGGTTGACTCACATGGTCAAGGTCAGCGTGCAGCTTTACGCTATCCATTTCCATAGGTATTCCATCTCCTTCTTCCTCTTCCTCTTCCTCTTCCCCTTCCTCTTCCTCTTCCTCTCTCGTATTCCGGATCCAGGCTGAGAAACCAAAGACAAGGTCGATCCATCATCCATGAACTTGTGACCCTTCCGTCTCCACTTCCACTCGCACGCCCGGATGTCCGAATCCCGACCTCCGACGCTAAGACGCATACTCCCGCGTCAGGTTCTTTTCCAGCCACAATCATCGGCTAGAAAACAGGGGGGCCGCCTGTTGAAAAAGTGGAGATCAAGCCATTCCGTTCTAGAATTCCATGTGCGCTTGAGTCCGAATCTTATGGTGCTGCATAATTTCTTGACTCAAGGGACCACTGCAAGGGTGTAAGTCCCTGGGGAATGGTGGGTGCGGTAGGCTGGTTGGCTGGTCGTTTCCTCTAGATTGGTTTTTTTTTTTTTTTTTTTTTTTTTTTTTTTTTTGGGGGGTTTGTTTTCTGTTTTCTCCTCAGCCCTGTCGCAGGTCACGGATTTTCGGCTGTGGAGGTGATGTGATGAAAAGGTCCGAGATTCGGACTCACTCTATGACAGGGTCTTGAGTCGCGGGTTCGTTCGGGTACTGGAACAGTCATAGTGGATCCCTGGATTCTGATTTGGCGCGTTGTTGGTCTTCGATCCGATGTCCTTCGGACCTGTGCAGTAGTGACCTGCAGGAGTGAGTGCTAGGACTAGGTCTTGCAAGTATACCACGATTGCCCTGGACGTCGACTGTGTTGGGACTCGCAACCTCCAGCCCTCGAGAGTCGGTACTCGGTACTACCAGTTGAAGATCCTTCGGCCTTAGTGAAAGCGTTGTATGAACCAATGTGAATCCGAAACAGTCTCAACATTATAGAAAGTCGCGTGCCTTCTCCAATATGCGTAGATGATCACAAGTCCTGAACCTAACTGGAAGACACACAGTAGTACTACGAATTATGGCAAGTACTTTGCTCATCTCTCACACAGTAGTACCACTACCCACCAATGTACCATCCTCGCACTCGATCAGAAACCCAGACACAAACAAAAGGGGCACAACTATATCATGCACATCTCTCCTCCCCTTCCCTTCCGTATACCGCCGAAACCCCAACCGCAGAACCCTGTCCTTGCGCAACAAACCCCCGAACATTCCGCGTGGATGGTCACGCGCCATGTGCATGCCCGGATCAGATAGGGACCCCATGATTCAAACGGTGGAGATACAATTTCCTCAAAGTACGCCCGGACGAACCCGCTTGGCGGTATGTCGATCATATCCAGGTTGATCCCGGTCGTCGACTCACCGTATCAAATCTTGGATATACCGTGTGCCGGACGGAAGTTTACGGCCTGCACAAAGTTCGTACACACACGGAGGCTGTTGATGCAAGGATTTAGACAAAGTTGTGCATTTGAGTTGCTGACGGAGCTGGGACATGTGATGCTTGTTCTGAGGGGGCTGAATCACTGGCCCGGCTGTCGGAGGGTATCACGTGATTCAGTGAATCGTCGGGAATACTGGTAAGTCAGTACCACTAAGCTTGTAGGTAGAGTACCTGCTGAGTTCGAAAGATGCATATATCCAACTCACTCACTTGGTGGGTCCAGACCGCCGCTACGATGCAGGTGGATCATGAATGGTCTAGAACCCAAGCAAGTGCAGATTACAGACTAGAGACTACAGACTACAGAGCGCTAGATGAGGCTGGGAGTTCCGAAGAGAGCTTCATGAGTGATCAAGGGCAAGCTTCAAAGTCCAAATCATGTGTGTTCCTCATTCGAAAGTCCGTGTCTATGGTCTCTATGATTCATTCCCCATGCAATGTGATCTCGCAACACCCCAAACGCCAAAAGGGTTCATGTCCTCGTCCTCATGATAGAAAGCAGTAGAAAGAAAACCGAAAGTTGAGAAAGGAAAAAAAAAGGGCCATGGCGATGCAAATGTCGTGTCGATGCAATAGTCATGTTCGTTTTCAAGATGCTCATGACAAACGTCTTCATGCGCCGTGGGGTTTACCACCTCGACCACCACCACGACCACCACCGCGGCCACCACGGCCTCCACGGCCTCCGAATCCGCCACGAGAACCTCCGCGGCCACCTCCACGGTCACCACCGCCGCCGCCGCCAGCTCCTCCTCGGCCATTACGGTTCTTTTCGACCTGTCCTCGTCGGCCATTTTGTCCAGCACCGGGACTCAAGGAGTTGCGCTGCTTGGCGAGTGCGTTTCCATTCGCATGGCCATTGCCGTTGCCGTTGGCACGAGAGCGAGAAGGGGCCCGAGGGCGGTTCATCTCGCTACCGGTGGCATAATTGAATCCGGGAACACCCTTAAGGCCCATCTTACCGACAACCTTCTTGTCCATGGGAGGAGGCTCGGGGCAAGCCATACCCTTGATGGCCAGCTCGTTGGCCATCTGCACCAGGCCGGTCTTGTCGAGACGAACTTGTTTCAGGAGACCCGAGCCGGCAAAAAAGCCGATGTAGGATGAGTAGGCGCGCTGCTTGGTCTCTTCTTCGACGTTGTACATGGCCTGAGTGACCGGCTCTGCGCATGATGCGGCACTCTCGAGAATAGCGGCGGTGTCGGGATGGGGCTGAATCGGCAAGTGACGGTTGACTTTCATGAAGAATGATTCGGCTTGGGTCAGGAGGATGATAGCGCGACCATCGTTACCGGCCCGAGCGGTACGACCGACACGGTGAACGTATTGCTCGCCGTTGGAAGGGAGACCAACTTGGACGACGAGGTCGACGTTGGGGAAATCCATGCCGCGGCCGATGACATCCGAGGCGAACAGGATACCGGCCGAGATTTGCTTGAATTGCTCGGTAGTTCGTGTGCGAGCGCTTTGGCCGAGTCGTGAGTGAATTTCAAACACCTTCAAGGGGGTCAGACCCTGCGAAAAGACTCGGGCCATCAGAGCAACCATGTTTGCCGTCACGCCAAAGACGATGATCTTCGAGCACTTCTTGCTCTCCAGGTTCAGCAGTGCGGTCAGAGCGGTAAAGGTCTCCGTCACAGAGGGGATCACAACGTGATACTGAGGAACTCGCTCGTGGGTGGGTGTCTCGTTCTCCTGAATAGTCGAAATGCTAGTGTAGCCGGGGTTTAGAACCACATTGACCACGTCCTTGACCTTGGGTGGGATTGTCGCAGAAAAGCACATGCCTTGCCAGCCCTTCTCCTTTTTCGAAGGAATGAGGCGCAGAATCTGCTTCACATCGGCCAAAAAGCCGCTCTCCAGCATCGTATCAGCCTCGTCCAGCACGACGGTCTGCACATCCGCCAGCTTCTCGGCAGTGTACTCGTCTGACAGGTAGTCCTTCAGACGACCAGGGGTCGCCACCAATATCGAAGGGAGTCCATTGAGGAATCGCGTTAGAGCAGAAGCCCGAGACGTTCCTCCAACGGCGATATGACACTCCAGAGGTTGCGCCAACTGCGATGTCAGTTGATCACATGACTTGGCGATCTGCTGGGCCAGTTCACGAGTAGGAGTGATGATCAAAATAGCCACTTGGCCCTTGGGAGGAGCCGAACGAGCTTGCAAGAGGCAGTGGAGGGTAGGAAGCAAGAAAGCCAGTGTTTTACCCGTGCCTGTCTTGGCTTGGACAAGGCAGTCAGTGCGCCAGGTGGGCAGATCGGTCAACACACGCTGTTGGACAGGGGTCATAAACTCGAAGCCCATTACATCAAGGGCTTTCAACAGTCGTGCATCAAGCTTGCCAGCCATGCTGGAGTATGGTGTTGCGCCATCTTGGATCTGAAGTTCTGTCATTCTCTCTTGATCTTTCAAATTTTTTTTTTTCCGGAAGAAAACTGAAATCTTCCAAATTCCGGGGGTTGAAGATGTCTCCAAAAAGGTGTAAACTGGAAAATTTAAGTATCGGCGGACTGATAAGGCGTTAGGCCTAACTGGGGCAGGCTAACCACGTTGGGGACACAAACAAGTGGATCTCAAACAAACACAACGCAAATTGATTGGCTTGTTTGCACTCTGCATGGTTTGGAGAGGAAAGCAGTAAACTTCTGGAAGAATCTCAATGTAGTAGTGAACGGGCCAGAAGTAAATAAATCAAGAACGGATCAAGCCATTCATCGGGAGCTATCAAGTCAAGATCTCTCAACGCTGCGCTTGTGTTGATTCGATTGAAAGGCTGAATAATTCGATCCTACAGCCGAAACTAGGGAAGGACCTCCTGCTGATTAGACTCACCAGGCAAAGTGCAAATATTTTGAATAAAAATGTAGTTGTAGCGCAGGTCTACCCCATTACCATGGCGTCTACTCACCTCTTATCACGATCCGGATTTCAAAAATAGGATCCCCGAAAACGCATCGAGATAAATGGTTCAGAAGCACAAGTGAAATAGAAGTTTGATCAACCTCACTCCGAACACTTTCAGATATCCCTGGAACGCTCCTCACTCTCCAAGGAATATATTTGCATCAATCGGAAATTATGTACAAAGACAGCCATGTTCAACATCATGATCTCAACGCTCAGATCTTCGGCAAAGTGGCCCGGAGCACCCGGGGAGTAATACTGGTCACGCTTCCCGCTTCGTTGAAATTGAAGACAAATTCATCAATTCCAATGCCTCCGTAAATCTGCGCATCCATTGTAACCCAGGTCAGGCACTCGGAGGTAAAAGGTCCGTTACCCGCCGTTGAAAGTCTCGCTGGCAGTACTGCTCGGAATGCAATTTGGCCGGGACTGTCTAGCCCAGTGGGATAAAGTCGGACGCTGAAAGTGGAGGGATCTTGAGCGTTGCTCATGGTCATCAACGACTGAATCATGTCAGTTCCGTTGTTGACCCAGCTCGCAATTTGAAGACCTGGACCGTCGTCTGTCGTGATAGAAATGGTGGAATTCACACCCTCTGCTGAAGCGTAGTCGCCCCCAAATCTGGAGGCAGCTTGATCTTTAGCTGCGGCTTCAAGGCCCGGGAAAAGCTTGGCGGAAATTAAATCAGCGGCTAAAGCGACCTTGGCGTGGCCATCCGTTCCAGCAAAGAAAATCGTAAAACCAACGTCGTAGTCAGGCGACAGTGCAATCATGGAGGAGTAGGCTCCAATATCGCCTGCTTTGGAGTAGATGTCGATAGGGCGCCCGTTCTCAAGTGTGATGATCTCCCAGGGTGCACCAACAGAACTGTCGAGGGTCGATGTGTGCGAATGGGGTTTCATCCACCTTCTTGTGATGGAGGCTGGCAATAAGGAGCCGTTCAGAATGGCCTGGCCCAAAGCGGTCATGTCTCTTGTGCTTGAATAGATGCCTCCAGCACTGAGGGCGAGAGGGTTAGTACACATGAAGCCCGTGAAGATTCTGAAAATGTTTAAGAGAAAAGTTCAACGTACGGGCCCTCGTCGCCAAGGTCAAATGACCACCAGTGCTCTCCGTCCTCCGTGGGGATCACTCCCACTGACATGTCTGGCTTAAAATATGAAGTTGCTTCCAAGCCAAGCGGAACAACAATGTCTTCATGAAGTAGTCTTTCAAAGGATTCACCAGTCATGGCTTCCAATGCGTAGGCAAGTATTTGAAATGCGGCGTTGGAATAAACGGGTGTCGAAGATGTCGCCACAACGGGGTGCCGTTGTATCAAGCCCTTGAAGAACTCTGCAATCTCGTCATCAGCTGTGAACACACTTTTGCCCATGTCTGTCATGGAGTTGAGACAATAGGACAATGCTCACGCTCTCTGTTACATGGGTCAGGGTTGCCACAAGGGGGAACCTCTGATGGCGATAGTGCCGGGAAACCTAATTGCTCCATCAAGGCAGCCTGGCCGGACAGATCAAGTTCTCCATCTAGAAAATCGCCCAGGATCATTAGCGGCAAGTCCAGCCATGTCAGAAGGGTCAGGGAGGTCAAGTAATGGAGCAAAGAACACACAGTCTCTCGGAATGCCGGCCAGATGACTTGCAAGTTCTCCGATGGTGATTGATCCCCAATTCACATAATCAACGGCATCGCGTCTTCTGCGAGGATCCCATCGTAGTCTCTCTGCTGCTTCGCGTAACTCTGGGACATATTTCGCAATGGGCTCGGAGAAGGCCCATAGCCCTTCCTCCATCAACAGCAGCGTCACAGTGAATATCTTCGATACACTTCCCACCCGGAACACTGTGTTCTCGTCGACACTGCTGACGCCTAACGTCGTGTTGATATGCTCGGAGGTCGCCGCAAAGTAGGCGAGTGGCTTTGGATCACGGCCACTAAAGATCTGTACTGAGATTGAGTCGTTGTGAAGATCTCCATTGCTGCCCGTCACTTGATCCAGTGAAGAGAGGACTTCCTGAATTGCTGCGGTGAAGATTCGGTCATTGGACAAGCTTGACGGCGGTGGATAGTCTGGCCCCAGGGGAGGACAGTAATCCTGTGATGTCAGAGCACTTGCTGAACTAAGTAACGTCAACGAGAGACACGAGAGCAGCCACCCTGAGGTATACATTTTTCAATGTTGTGATGATTGACAGGAATGCAAATCTGTGCCATTGCTTTGCCTAGACCTCAGGCGCCTCTTATATGGAAGTTCCGTCTCCTGCGTTCGACTAGAGGGAATTGCACTAACACGCGCAGTCCCACCTAGCTTGGGGATCCAGCAAACACACCTTGCTCCGAACCCTGTCCACAGTCCACACCGGGGGGCCGATAGCCTTCGAAGGCATGCCCTTGTCATACCAGGCAAGTAATGTAACGCCTCGCATCCATGTGCCTGATCAGCTTCTCCTTCCCCATGCCGAGCGGGGTGCTCGCGATGGGAAATGAGATAAGGGATGAGAAGGCGTAGAAAGTACGACTTTCTTTGTTCCCATACCCGAGTCTATACCGAAAATGGTGACTTGACACTATCCACTCCTGCGACTCGCGACTCGCTACTACTGACGAGCGCGGAAAATAACGCAGACCCTGGTCGGTGTTTCTTTGTTCAGATCAGGCTCAATTGACGAAATCTTGGAATTGATCCCACGAGTGCGTGGAGAATGTGTTTCTCTGACTCGCGATCGAATACTCTGGAAGAGACAGGGTAAGGAGATGATGGCATACCCACCGGCGTTGGAATGGGGGTCGTCGGAGGTATTCAGGTACTTCCGCCCCTCTCTCGGGCCTCGAGGAGCAAAGGTACACACCCTTTTTGCGCCCTTTGAGTGTGTGCCGGGAGCGCATCTAGACTGCATGGAACCAGACGAGTCATGGAGAAATTGATGGAGTAGGATTTGAATTGACTTGAGAGGAGTGTCTGCGCGGAAGGAAAAGATGATCTTTTACTTGCAGAGGGTTGCACAAAAGCTAATGGACGGCACGAGACTCTCGGAAGCCCTACTACCCGTCGAAAGGGTTCCATGTCACCTTAACACATCTGACTCTGCATCTTCGCGGGATCTTCTTCCTCCGAGTCATTACTTCTGTAGTCGAGCCACTGTTAATGTCCGAAATCCAGTGAGGCCTGATGGTCTTCGTGGGCCAGGTTCGACAGGAAGACGGCAATCTGTCCCATTCCATCCAGAGGCTCAGTATCCCTTCCCGACCAGCCACCTGATTTTCGTACAAGTCAAGGAGAGCAGGAGGAACACTCCTGCCGAAAATCCTCTCAGATTCCAGCATCGGCGCTGACTGACGTTGCAAAGATGGAAGGTATCATCCTGTCATTGGGAGTCTTGATTTCATTATTCGATAATGGTTTATTCTCATGTTCGGACAATATCGCCCGTGAGTATCTCTGATTTTCTTCAGCACGTGGCTTCTGTGTAGAGCTCTGGCAACTGAAAGTCCTATCAACATTCGAAGGGAGCAGTGAAAGACCGGTCCCTGTGCTGTGCTTCTTTGGAAGGCGTTGCTTTTACGTAGACTTTGGGGAATCTGCTCTTGTATCGATAGTCGAAGGTAGTAATGAGAGACTGCTCACTGCAAGAAGATCTCCAATGTTGGTACTTCCATTCGGGGCAAGCCCACCACAGTCTTCGAAATCTTGTAAGACCTGATCGATCATCTCCATCTGACCGCTTAGATGTAAAAGTTTCTAATACGAGCGTGAATATCAAGAAGTCTAGGATCTGGAAGATCCCACCTGCCTTTGTGAACTCTGGAGTCGACAAGTCGACTGGTATTTAAATCGCGTACGGGCCCTGTAAACGTATCTCGAAAGGCCTTAATCTGATGTTGATGATTCAAAGACGAGTCTGAATTGACCAAATTCCTTGTGAACTCGAGGGGCCAGCATCAGCACGTTCTTTTTTTCGTATTGATTTGCTCCGAGGTAAAGGACATGATGTCAAGTGTTGGAAAATAGTGCCTTTGGTTAACCCAGATCGTCGCATGTCTGTCCACTGCCTCATGATTATTAGCCTGGAAGGCTCCTCGTGTATAAGAAGTGATGTGGGCCGCTTCACGCTCAACTGTTATTGCATCCATACTTCCTCGTTGCAACTTACCACACATCTGATCCCATCGCGTTCAACACAGTGACTCCGAACTTACGACTGAGGAGACCTAGTCATGGCCTCGATGCTGAGGCTCATGAGATTTTCGATTGAGTCTTCAAGGCCAAGACGCGGGTTTGGCGTGATCTCAGTGGGGATTTTGCCACCTTATGCTTTGATAGGAAACAACAATCCAGTTCTGGTGCGTTCAAACTTCAACCAGTTGTCGAAGCGCCTCGTCATTTTCGCAGCCCGAAACGTCTCCGGCCAAATTTCGTTTCCCGTCAGAAAACAAACTGTTGAAGAACCCACAAACGAAGATTCTTTTTCTTGTCCGTGCGATCGAGTGGTACGTAGCTATTGAGCTTGCGTTCCAGCTCCTAGCTTGAGATCAGTATGCAGAATACGAGAAGACATGGAGGGAATAACCGTTTTGGAAGTTGCAGCTCCAGTACAAGCAAGGCAGCCAAATCAGCTGTCGCAGACAAGACGAGAACTGATGGGAGATAGATAAGACTAGTTCAATTCTTGCAAAGGAGATGATTATGGAATGCAACCGGAGGAAGAGGATTGAGCTTGGAAGGGAGAGGGGAATAAAGAAGTGACTTGCTGGCCATCAACCCGTACTTGGGGGCGACGGGCTTGAAGTGGATGGCTAAGATATTGGGAGCTTCAACCCGACCGAGCGAGGCTCATTGCAAGGCGAAAGCCTTTAAACCCGGCCGGGGGCTCCAGGAAGAACGAACCAACTTGAGTCATGATGGGTGTCTTGTCAGGGGACAACTTTGTATGTAGGATCCAAAGAACATGCGTCAAGGAAACGTAGGACAGAGAATGGAGTCTACGGACTATGGACTGATGGAGTATGGAGTATGGACAGGTTCCCAGCCGACCTCTCAGCAAGTAGAGAATCCATCACTCGGCACGGAGCCAACACCACTTCCTGATTGCGACCCTTTCTTTCCGACCTTTCCCACCTGCAAACTCTCAATCGCTTTGGCCACGCATCTTTCCTCCTTACCATCTCTCCTCTGTCATCCATCATCCGTCTTATCCTTCTGTCATTTTGTCCACAAAAGCTGCATCGGCAACAATCGTTTTACTCCGTTCTCGCTCGACTCGAACTTCTCAAAGAAGGGACACGAGATCACTCCGTCATTGCTTCTTCGCGACCCGAGACCTAACCTCGAGCAATCCTAGCTAGCGGACACTCCGACTGAGGAAAAGAGATTTCTCGATCACCTCCATCGCCCAAGATGGCTGACGTTGAGCAGGCCCCCGTCGACGACTCCGTCGCCGCTTCGGAGGCGACGGAGGATCAATCTCACAGCGCGACAGTAAGCGCAACGGTCGGAACGAGACGTCAAGCCAATGGTACCATTGGCTCAGTCTATTCTGGCAACAAAATCCGACACCTGAAGAAGGAAGATGGCATTCCTTTGTGGCGGACAGACATTCAGTACCAGTTCCTCAAACTGGTCTTTGAGGATAAAACCCCTGTCTTCACACGATACCCTGATGGCAAGAAGAACTGCGACTTTGCCGATATATATATCGATGCGATGGCCCGAAGTAGTAAGACCAGCAAGATCTTGAAGGACAAGCTCCAGAATGACAAACCCGCCGCAATTAGCATGGCGATGGTCTGTCTGCTGGTCAATTTCGGTCGCATGAACACAACACTCAACTGTACGATCTTATTGATTCCTCTCTGTCTTTCAGACTCATCTCACCACGATTATGGAGCTAATCATTGATATGGTTAATCATGTTTACAGTCTTCCCCGAAATGCGCGCTCAATTACGTACCTACCATTCCATTCCCTCCTTACAAGCCTACCAGGATTCCAATGCCTACAAACAACTCCAGGATGCTCCTCGCCTCAAATCTATTCTGAAGGGCGCGTCTGAAGATGTAGACCAGCCCAACACTCTGGACAAAATTAAGCGCCAGGCGATTCCCCGGACCAATCCTGTGAATCTCATCTTCGTCCTGGCCCAGTACGCGCCAAAAGTCTCCGAGATTCACTTCTTCCCACCCCGCGACTTCTTCGATCTAGTCATGCGGTCAACCCTGAGCAGCAAGACCCGCGCCAAAGCTTTCTTGTGGTTAATGTGGTGGTATCTAGAGAGTGACTTCTCGGAAGATGCGGCGCTCAACAATCCATTTGGAGCGGGTCTCGAAGGCGAGGGCACCGGCGGCCTCCCCATCAAAGTCCCTGCTTTTGAGAGTTTGACGGAAGAACAGGCCAATTTGGAGAATGTGGACACACCCGAGGAACTGGAGTATGGTGAAGCCAAGAGATTAGAACGCAAGCGTGAGTGTCGACACCCTCGAAATGGTGGACTAGCGGGCTAACACAATCCAACAATAGGTATCCTGGAAGAGGACGAGCCGGTTTCTCGAGCTTCGAAGCGATCACGAAAAGGTGAAAATTTTTCCACTTCCCTATCATCGTACTTTTGACTCTAACAGTCGTACAGAATACAACGTTGACGAAGACTCATTCGTCGGAGATTACTCGGGTCTTGGGGGCCGCGGCTCCGCAATGTCAACCCCTATGCATGCCTCTGGAAAGCGTGGCTTGGAAGATGATGATGACGAGCTCACTCCTGGCTACTCGCGGCCTCGAAATAAACAAGCCAAGCGAGACTCATCGCTGAATCGCGTTGTTGGCCACCAACGACTGATTCTCAAGACGCGGATGGATCACACCCCCGACGCATCACCGGCACCTCCGGGCTCTGGCCATCCCGTTTTGAATCGCTTCATTGCCGAGCCATCCCTATCGCACGGCTCTGGTCGCCGACCACGGCCACTTACACAACACCAGATCGCTGTTGAACAGAATCGACGGCAGCGAATTGAGTATCTACTGGCTAAACGGAAAAGCAATGTCTACCGTGCCCTTCGACAGAAGCGGAACAATGAAATTCCATGTGTTCGCTACGGTCGCCTACTCCAGGGACTACCAGACGGTTACGATACGGAAGACGAGGAGAAGTCGTGGGGCAAGGGCGGACTACTTCCCAATCCAAAGGATGAGGATGACTATGGTGAATGTGCCAGTTTCTTTCTCTCAGTGGTCCGAAAAGCGTCCCGGCGGTTGGACCGATGGGATTACGAAGACGCCAATGGGCCAAGGAAGGATCGACAAAAGGAACGCGAAGAGCGTCAGAGGGCCAAAGCAGCCATTGAGGCTGACGTACGGGCCAGCAGTAACCGCGCTCGTCCACGCGTTCCGCGATCTGCTGCTGCGAAGCGCAAGTCTACCGGGCCAACGTCTACACCTAGCGCGGGCAGGAAAACAGCTGGTTCTCGTGGCAAGACTGCTTGTAATCGTCTTGCGACTGGAGGTCCAGAGACCCCCGTTGCTGTTACCCCAGACTGGGATGCTGAGAACGGCGTGGGAGATGAAGATCTCGAGGGTGAACTTGATGAGCTTGACCGCGAGCTCCTGGGTGAGGCGTCCGGTGAGGAGGACGGTGGTCCTCAAGATGGCGACGGAGAGGGTGAAGGAGAAGGTGATGGAGAAGGAGACGTGGATGGAGACTCTACGGATGAGTCCGGTGACGAGGACGGCGATGTGGACGTTGACGAGAATTCATCGACCTACGATGGCCCTAACGGATACGCACGGCATGGGAGCTCATCCCCTCCTCCTCAAGGCCTCCACGACGCCGAAGACGATATGGAGGAATAAGAAGATGTGTCGGTCACTATACTGCACCATGCTCGGAATTGATGGGATTGTTTTTTCTTCTTTCATTATGTTTTTTTACTATGTGAACTCGAGGCTGGACTGGCCTCGTCGACTTATTATGACCTAATAATTTATGTCTCGATCCATATCGCCAAGCCATTTGCTGCTTCAGATGCTGTTCCATACTCTCGAGGCTGACATTGACCATGCACGTCGGTCTTCTCTTTACCGAGGCCATTCTGTTCCTGAATAGCAGGAACACTTCTACGTCAGCTGTCAAGAGACATGGATCTGAGAGGGATACTGATTTCACCCGTAAGTAAGAGATCTGTGGTCTCGTGACCTTTCCATAGGTGATTTCATTCACCCATCGACGATATTAGCACGTCAAATACCTGTACGACTTCATCCTTTTCGTCCTTCGACAACTGCATCCGCTCTGTAAGAGTAAATCCTTCACGAAGCCGCGCATTCACAATCGCCTTGGGCGTCTTGGTCCGAAAGGCAGCTTCGATACTCCGAGATATTCCCTGGAGCGGATACGCTACTAGGCCAATCCCCGCTAGACACACACACACACACCACTGTCAGATCTCACAGACCACAAAAGTTCAAAAGATTCCCACTTACCTGACGGCATATATGTAGCCATCCCCATAGCCCCCTTGGCAAGACCCTTCATAGCCCCCGCTGGCCCTTCTTCCAGAAACCCCTTCACGGGATGTTTCAACATCCCCGTGATTCCAGTTGTCATACCTCCAACGAAATTCTTCCCACCGACCACCGCCCCGGATTTCCAGTCATGCACATTGCCATATTCCTTCGGCTGCTCGCCGGCTAATTGAGGGGCGCGCCGAAATCCCTCCGCGGCAGCGTAGGGTATGTCCACGATGGCCCCACGGAAGGATGTCGCGGTGAACTTGCCAAATCCTTGGAGTCCAGCGCCTGCCATTTTGGCAGCGGTCTCGAACGGGTCGCTGTTGGATCGCCGTGCAGAGGGTGTGGATGATGATGATTGCTGGTCTGAGAGGTTTCTCTCGGATCGTCGCTGGATTTGACTTGCTTTGTACTCTTTGTAAGGATTGTAGAACATTTCGCCTGTTGAGTAGAGCATGTTTGACCATGTTGACATGGCGGCTGATAAGACGCCTGTTAATGGATCCCAGCGCCGGTTCTCGATGATGATTGGGTTGATAGCGAAGCTGATGCAAATTGTAAGCATTGTTTTCTTTTCCTTTTCTTGAAAGTCATATCTTTGGTAAAAGTCGTCGGTGTCGGGAGGACCATTTCCACTTACCATTTGATATATTTAGGGTCGATCCGCTGGTACTCAACCAAGATGTTCATGGCTGCTTTGGAAAGAGTCAAGGGTTGCTTCTTTTTTGTATAAGCCCAGGCGGCGGGATTTCCTGGAATGATACTGCATCTCATCCTCTGTAATGGCAAGTGACGGTGGAATGAAGCCACCGCCGTCGTGACTCCCGACTCTGCTTTCATCTTTATGGCGATCTCTCTCGCAGCAGTGCTTGCCTCGGGTCTGAGACAGAAGCTGATTGCTTCAGCAAGATTTTGAGCGTTCAATATGGCGTGGGGGATGGGCGCGGGCCCAGCACCTGCGTTGGCGACCATGTCGCCCCAGAATGGTTGACTGACAGGCAGAAATAGGATCTTGTATTAGTGTGGTGCACAGCGAGTACACAAGTCCAAATTGAATGGGCTTGGCAAGATCAAAACTTGGAGGGATGTCTGTGTCAACTTACTCGCCGAAAAATGGAACAATCGCAGTCGGTTTCCCATTCAACAAGCCACATGCAGTTGTGCCAGCACCTCCGTGATGAACTACGGCGGCCACATGCTCAAAGAGCCAGCCATGAGGGCAGTCGCCGATGTAAAAGACGTTGGGATCCGGAGGGCCTGCCAACTCGCTCCAGCCTTTTGAGACGATAGCGCGCACGCCGGCCCTTGAGACGGCTTCCAGGACGGTGTTTATCAGCTTCTGCGGATCTTCCACGACGATACTGCCAAACCCGATGTAGACTGGGGCAGGGCCCGATTCCAGGAAATGGGACAATTCGGGCGGTGGTGTATAAGAAGGTGGATCGGAGAAGAAGAAGCCGCAGACGTCTGGGGAATATTGAGCGAGGTATCAAGTCAGCCTTGCGCTTCCTTCAGGTAGGAATTTGATTGCTCTCAGGATGTGTGCATACCAATGTGGGATGGCCAGTCTGTTGGTCTTGGAACCAATGCAGGCGACCAACAGTAGGTCATGGGTATTTTCAGGGCTTCCGCCAGACATGGTCCCTCTGTTCTGGGTACAGGTGCCAGGTCTATTGAAGATCGAAATTGATTGATCACGTCCCCCAGTCTGATAATGTGCCGTCAGAAATGTGGCCAGAAGCCATGCAACTCAAAGAGGAAAACTGGAGCACTGTACCCTTGCCATGTAAGCCATTCCACAATCGCATATGAAACCCAGTTTGCCGTCCCTGGGTTCTCCATGGAGCCATTCACCAAATTCGCCAGTGGATGAGGGAATGCCTTGGTACTACTCCAAGGCATGGTGAACATGAGGTGGACTGGAATGCCCAATGCTTGCGCACAGTGAATATGAGCAAAACTCGGTGGATTTGCAATGACCGCATCGGCCACAAAGGGCTCTTGCGTGACGGGATCATCTTCAATACATGATCTCCAGCATCCTTGAAGCATCTGACCCACCATGACCTGCTTCTTCTTGATTTCCCCATCGCGCAAGGTCTTCATCTGTGGGATCAGTCCTGGATTCTTCACCATGTAAGCCATCAGTTGAGCAGGATCTCCACCGATGGGAAAGAACTCCAGATGGGACTCCTTGACAAAGTTCTCAAAGACATCATGCGTCGCGATGCGAACTCGATGGCCGTGAGCCTGCAAGGCATTCCCCAGGGCAATGAAAGGCTGCACATCTCCACGGCTGCCGACGATTTGAATGACGATGTTGAGTTTGAGATCGATCCCCAAAGCATCTTCCTGGCGGGATCGACTTGGTGGCAGAAAGATGCCTTCTTCCTGCTGGTCGGCAATCTTGGCCAAGGACTTTGCAAGCTTAGAGTCAAGATGAACATCAATGCGACCGTCGGCTTTGGAACGGTTGTCTCGAATTAGTGATATGTTTGCTTGAAGGGTTGTTTTACCATGATGTGACGCCTTTCAAGAGGACCGCTACACTTACTGTATGCATTGGCGGACTCTGCTGTCAATTGAGGATCGAGATAGGGCATGTATGCTGGAGGAGCCTCGAGCGGGCCTCGTCCACCGTCTGGTGGAGGTGATTCGGGGTTCATCTTTGGACCGTGCTCGTGTCCATACACTGATTGCAGACTTTCAAGTGATGAATATGTATTTGCAGAGCAAAGAGAACAGAAGTTATCGTCTCCACAGGATTAAATGAGTGTTCCACAAGAGGAAATCGTCAAGGCTGCTGCAGGTGTGTGTTATTGATTTCCCTTTTATGCAGTCTCCACGACATCATTGGGGTTGTGGCGAAAGTCGTCCTTCCCGTGATTGTTCGTGCCTGGAGTGCCTTCTTGGCCATACAAGCCTTCCGTAGGCTACAGGATATTAATCGAGGACTTGTTGATCTCACTTGTGGATGAATCAAAGGGCTCACTGAACTCAGCCACGTATCTCACTGCCTCTCCCAATACCGCTGGTGGAGAAGCTCAATGGATCGAGCGTTTGGAAGAGAACTAAATCAAGACTCGACCCGTGGGCCGTGCGGTGTAGCAGCAACCAACTCTTCGACCCGACACTCATTGCACCGCTGACTACCTTAGTGCTACCGCGGTCAATGAATGAATATTGATAGCGACACGCAATATTCAATCCGAGTGGGCTCTCGTATTCTTACTGAGTTTTCTGTCTCATCTCTCCAAGAGTGAGTGTCCCTTGTGGTTCACTCTTACCACGTATTCGAGAGTGGAGAACTGGGGATAACCACGTCTCACGGTGTCTGTGGCTGTGCTCCTGACACCACCCCCAACGAGAAAGGAGATACGGATACGAGGACGTGGACAAGAATACCAGAGAGCTCAACTCCCGTGGACACGAAATGTCGAGTAGTCTCCAGATGATCTACGAATTCTAGTTGAGTTTCAACGCCCCATGCTCCGTCCTCTCCAACCAACGACGCGATAAACATCCTAGACCCGACATCATGGAGGGGACCCGACGCAGCGAGCATTTCCGTCACGTCGCATCCAGTACTTTGTCTTTGCCGCTTTGTCAAGACAAGAGACAACGCAGACTGCTCTTGATTTACATTCATGGATTCATGGGCTCCGAAGCCAGTTTTCATGACTTCCCCGCCCATGTCCATGATCTGCTAACGACGTTGCTGCACGACTCCCATGTGGTGTACACTCGGATTTATCCGCGGTACAAGTCGCAAGGTGAGATGCGAAAGGCAGTCAGCCAGTTCAGTAGCTGGTATGTGTAGTGCGATTGAAAGGGTCGAAGATCACAGAAAGAAAGGAACAAAGACCAGACGGCAGGGTGCGAATGAGCGTGTAATGAGTACTGATGGTTTGATTGCAGGTTATCACCTCATGAAGCTGACGACCTCGACGTGATTCTGCTCGGTCATAGTCTTGGGGGCATCCTAGCGGCAGACGTGGCTCTCTTGCGTGCGCAAGATGCAAGCCCACGACATCGAATCCTGGGACTGGTTAATTTTGACGTGCCCTTTCTGGGACTCCATCCTCGCGTCATACCAACTGGCATCTGGAGCTCAGTGGCCCAGAAAGAAGTCGCTCCGGAAGACCAGCTGGCAGACGAACAGGAGTCGTTGGGAATGGCACCGGCCTATGGACCAGTCACTCCTCATCCCAACTTTGATCCTCCTTTCCGGAATGACGTTCATCTGACCCAGCGGGGCTTCTTCAAAGGCTTGATGCACTTCATCAATAAGAATGCCAGCAATCTTGACACTTTGTCAAACTCGATTGTGGATCGACTTATGTCACCGATGAAACACGCCGGATGCGTGAACAATTACTCGGAGCTGCGTGAGCGGCATCAACGCTTAATTGGGCTCGAGAATGCAAGATCGAGCTCGGAGCGGGTTCGATTCATCAATTATTACACTGCCAGTACTGGGAGGATCAAGCCAGCTAAGCCACCCAAGCCAGAGAAGTCCAAAGCGGAGAAGCCAAAAAAGCCCAAGAAGTCTAAGAAGTCTACGAAAAAACAGTCAAAGGAGAGTTCAGACCGTATAGTCGAGTCGTTTCCCGGAGATGCGGAAGATGACTATGAACGTCTGTCCCAACCGCTGCCTCAGATTCAAATAGATGACAGTCAGCAGATCGGGAGCGTGGAAGACACCTATCCACGGTCACCTACAAGACAACCTCCAGAAATTCCCACAACTTTCCGTGGCTCAGAATCCTATTCATCGCTGGATGTCTCATCAACAGAAGCTCGAAGCAGCTTGACCTCTGTCTCAACAGAATCTCTGCTGCTAGATCAAAGCATCAGCTCGAGAACCAGTCAATCCTCGATCGAGACAAACTCCCTCAGCATTACCTCATCCGAGACTCTTGCTCCAGAAACCGTGAAGGCGAAGTCGCCCGACAATGTCTCGGCCACTAGTTCGCAATTTAATCTTCGCAACGACACTTCGCCGCAAAAGCTCCGCAAGTTCATTCTGCTTCCCTCGCACCATTGGAAGTGGAACGACGATTCACATTGGACTCCTGTGAGGATGCATGACATGACCGAGGTCACGGCTCATCAGTCAATGTTTGTTCCACGAGGGTCCAATTACGATTATCTAGTTGGGGATACGGTTGCACTTATTGAGACATGGATCCAGGATGATCTCAGTCGACGGCTAATGCAGGAGAGCCTCGATTGAGCGAAGTGCCCTTGGATGAGGCCATGACTTTTCTTAGCGACGGGTTGGTCAGTCTTCATGATTTGAAAAAAATTGAAAAAAGAGGTTTTGAAGCCTTCAAACAATCTCGCTGGACACTATTCGTCCCTCACGGCTCTTGCTGGGCCAGGACCGCAAGGACCCAGGCACACTATTCTATACAAAAACTATGACCGATTTCCCCACGCCTCCCTTGGAATCATACACCACTTGACACGCTTTCCGCACAGCCTCGGCATCCTTCACAGACACAACGTTGCCCACGACTGTGCGCAATTTTCCAGCATCAATCCATTCACGAAGCGAATCCAGATCTTGGGCGTTTGGTTCGAGAAAAATCGCTGAATACTCGACCCCGTAGCGCGAGGCACGGAAGGTCCGAATCCGATCTAATAGGTTCAATGTGACACGAACGGGAAACGGCACAATCGCCTTGTCATCTTTATCGGGCGAGCGTCGCATCAGGCCTGAATTCTGGAGGACATCCCCCGACGTGAGGATGGAGATTGTAACGATGGCCCCTTTGGGACGCATCAGCATGAGATAGTTCATGGAGTCGCCCATGGTGTCAAAGAGAAAGTCGATTGACTGGGAAGGGATGACGGTCTTTGGATCTTGTTTGGTGTAATCGATGACTAGAAAAAGCAGAACAAAGACCCCGCGGAAACGAGGGGGAGTTTGTCCGAGTCGGTCAGATTCAGGTGTGTCTGGATGGAAGACAGTGGCAGCGAGCTCGGATGCTGCTGGCGGAGGAGGGAAAGGGGAAGCATTTACTTTCGTCTACAACGCCATCGCCGAGAAGCTCGCTCACACGAGCGACTTTAGCGGTCGATACGGTTGTGACCACTCTGCCCGCCTTGAAGACGTTTTTGGCTAATTGACAGGCGAAAAGGCCGGTTCCGCTCACTAAGATTAAGATGACTTGTCAGTAACCGACCAGTGCGCTCGTCCAATGCCCAGAAGAATACACAATTCCCGGGAGAAAGAGGGGGGACCTTACGTCCAGCTGGAACAAACACGGTTTTCCCGGAAAGATCTCCTGGGTATCTGCGAAGAGCTTGCAAGGCAGTCATGGCCGCCAGAGGAATCGATGCTGCGTCCTCCATGGACAACGAGGTTGGCTTCAAGGCGACGAAATCCTCCGTCGTCTTTGCCAGCTCACTCCAAGCTCCTGAATATGGAAGAGAAGCCGCATGTATTAGCAAGCGAAAGCAAGCTTGAGCTCCCTGAGATATCGAATGTAAGATACACTCACTCACCTCGATGGCATTCCGGAAGTCGCGTATATACCTCATCGCCGACTTTGACTCGGGAGACCTGAGATCCAACTTCGACCACGGTCCCGGCACAGTCGTAGCCAATTTTATACGGAAAGCTGAATTGGACAGAACGTGTATCAGTATCTGACTGCGATGAGAAATTGATGAAATCCAACTATGATGAAAACATTCCCTTCCTTTGCGCGAGGAGGGTGACCCTTCTACCTACGTATCCTTCAACACGACTTTGGACGCGCCCGCTGCCTTTTTGACATCAATTGGATTCACGCTTGCCGCGTGAACTTTGATAATCACGTCTTGGGGGCTTTCCACGACCGGTGCAGCCAGTTCGCCCACCTCGTACTTTTCAGGGGTGGCGTAATCTGAGATCTGGATGGATAGCATATTGTCGTGTCTGTGACTCGGTGCTATATGCGACCGAGGGAGATTTCGTTATGTCTTGTCACAACAGGTCTTGTGCAGCAGTCACGAAGAGGGTTTTCAACAGGTCCTTTTCTCAGATTAAGACAATGTTCTTTCGAACTCAGCAGGGACTGAAATATGTATTTGCTGGGCTGGCGGCTGAGGAGCTTTTTTCATCTGGTAAATGCGTTGAATCGCACGTCGTCCTCGGGCAATTGAGTTGAGCCGACGGGATACAGCGGCCGGCGGCCGACAAGAGCAGAGCTCCCAAAAACCACGATTTATTTCTGTACGAATCGTACCCAACTAGCGGAGTACTTGGATTGACTGTTTATGCTGCTGCTGATAAAGCTGGTTCTCTCAACGGTCCTTTAATTTGGATACTCTCTTTCACATTCGGTGGGCTATCGGCGGGCTATTTGGTGACTGCTTGCTAGTCAACTACAGAATGGAGGAGCCTGGGGAAGGTTGAAATCGCCTTAAGCCCAGGTGACGCTCGGCAAATTTCCTCCCTCTCACTCTCAGTCTCGCTGCCTCTTCCACATTCTCGGTCTCTCTTACAGTACTGAGCGTTTCATTTCAAAATGATGAAAATTTATTTCGGTTCCAGCTTAGAACAAAAGTCTCTGCAGTTTACACCCACAGACTCTCCAGGTCCTTGTGGCGTCAAAAAAAAAAAAGATCGGGAGCTTGTACGGGCCGGATTATCAATCGGGGGGAATTCAGGACTTCGAGAGTCGGGCAGCCTACGTGAATGTAACTGTTCGCCAACTGATCCACATGCTATCCATACTCGATTCTGCATTTAGCTTTGGAAGTCTTTGTTGCGCGGTGGTGTCTTGCTATTCGAAGATACCGAGGTTGCGCGCAAGAATTGAGGGGAGGTCTGGTCGTCAGGAAAGGTGCCTTCTTCTTATGATACGTGTAGATAGTCCGGTCGTTTGGCCCATGTCAAGATGGATAGGATAGTCCGAGGCGTTTACCGACAGAGTATGTTATTTGAGGGACAGCCCAGAGCTGGAATAAGATTTAGCTGACCATAGATATGCGGCAGTATTTTCAGGCCATGTTATCATCATCGCAAGTAAGAAAGGACATCCGCTTAAGAATGTGGATTGGCGAGAACATAAACCTACTGATGAATCCCTGGTTCATTGAAATTGTAAGGGGAATCAATGTCTGAGCCCTTTCCTGTTGTCGCTAGAGGTCCTCACGAGGGCCATAACGAAAGAACTAAGGAAAGGAAATCCTCGATTTGACGTGCCAAATGAAACAATGAAAATCACTCTGGAACAAGCCATATCACTTCGCAGGCTTCTCCGAAGCCTTCCATATTCGAGGGACTCTCGCGAAGAAAAGGAGCGTTGAGCAGGGCTCCTGTTACCGTCTGAAAGAACGGCACCTCAAGCTGTCGCCACGCATCGAGGCATATAACTGGTAATGGTCCGACGACAATTCCCACTACAACACTGCTCGTCTCCTCCGCAAAAGTCTTCATCTTTGAAGCAAGACAATGCAACCGTCCGATGAGTGAGATGAGTCAGGTCCTTGGTCCTACTACACATCTTCTGCGTCCATCCAAAACCAACATCATTGCAAGAGAGTGGGCTCTCGCAGTCACTGTGGCTCGTACAAGCGAGTCCATACCCGTTATCCGATCGATCAAGACAGCGTAACTCGTTCTGGTGGTGTGAATCGCGACGGCACACCAAGCCCGAACTGCACTGGTTGTCGTCGGTGCAGCCAGCGCCAAAATGGCCGGGCCTGATACTGCAGCGGGACCGGCAATAGCCAGAGAAACAAGCATCGTCGGAGCGGCAGGTCTCTCCAATGAGAGCCTTCTGCATGCACTTGTTCTTCTCCGAGTTGCAGTACCAACGTTCCGATGGGCAGATACTCTTATCGTTCGCAATGCAGGTGAAGTCCTTGATCATGTTTGACATCATTGCTTCGGAGTGTCGGAAAGTCTCGGTCATCAACTCGTTGCCGTAGAGACTCAGAGGGATACGGTTATACCGGTAGTAATAAAGCGTGTCCGGGGGAATGACGGACTGTCCAACTTGCACAGGCGGAAAGACGCTTGGGAGGGCCAGAATTGCTGGAGCAAGGCCCAGAAACGAGAGTAACGCGTGATGCATGGATCAGACAAGTCACAGATGATGATATGAACTCGTTTCGAGGAGAATTGGAAGAGCGTTGTGATAGCAGATCATAAGCAGATCGTTACTGGTGCGGCGCGGAGGAAAGACCTTTATATAGAGCTTTCGCAAGACTACCGTCTGCTTGGTGATCGAACCATTGCTGGCGCCCACCTTCCACGAATTCGAATTCGGATGCCCGAGTTCCCCACGATCTCGTCCTTGGACTTCGGAAAGTCGTGAGTCAGCTTTGCCAACGCTGAAGGTTGCGGCACGAGTGGTTTGTTTGATCAGCCTTTGTCCACTGTGCAGGGGGCCAAGGTAACGTGTGTCTGCATGCCAAGTTGATCTGGAGAGTCAGGGATTCGCTCCGGGGTCCGGCTACTTGAGATGTGGTTTGCGATCTGGTGTCTTGTGTCATCCTTCGATATCAATTTGCGCTCAACAAGCATTCAGAACCGGACTGGGTTCAAGCAATAGCCATCCGGCTCCGCTCAGACGAAAGCCTGGCAGAGGACCTGTGTCGAATCCTCTCGTATCCTTTCCCCCCTAGTGACTACAACAGAACACTGCCGAACCCCCTTCTGGGGATAAGTGGGGATCACACGGCCGCATACCTCTCACGTGCCAGGCTCTCACGTACACAGAAGAGGTCCCAAGAATGACTACCACTGCCTTCGTCGACGTTGTCACTCTCACGATTGATGGCGTGTTCATCTTGCATGACACACAGAGCCGACAACTTCCAAGTCGCAAACAATGGAACGAAGCGGAAAGATAAGGCCTTGATCACATTGGGTTGTATAACACGGGATAGTCGATGCAGAGACCTGGCAGGGTTGCGATAGTCCCGTAGTCATGCATCAGTGATATTGACATATCTCACTCGAAGCTTTGGAGAAGCACATCGACACATATATGTGGTCAAATTGATTGGGTCAGATCCCGACGTGTCTTATACATACAGGGTTAAAGGACCAAGCTGCAGCCAGCAGATAGGAAAACGGGCAACGACATGCAGACAACAATCGCCTAGAGGCTGGACTGTCCTCGGGAATGCACCCCGGCCTATATAGATCAGTTGACAGCTGGACATGTGCTCAAGTTGAGGAGAAGCTATTGGCGATACGCGTATAACTGCAGGTGGGTCTCATCAGCAAAAGACGCCCACACAGTATTCTTGTGGCTTGGAAATCCACTCGTCCTTGTTCCCCCGCCGAGACACTACTCTGCGCCTGTTAGTAGACTGACACTCGCAGACCCCGCGCTCGCCCTTTGATTCTTTGCCCGTTTGGTCCATCGCAGGAATAGTCAAGACGTGGGTCTGTCGATGGATAGATGTGTCTCCAATGGGGCCAGACAGACGGGTCGCCCTGGTCAATGACCTCATAGCTGGAAGCCGTGACAGGTTCAATCCGATTGTCGTCCTTCGTCCCTATCGAGCTTGGATGTTGGACGCGCGTAGTCACCCCTCCTGACTCTTTCCAGCTTGTCCCCTGCTGGCCTGCTGTGTTGGATCAGCAAGGCACTGCTCCAGTTCGACACACTATCCAGATGGAGGTGATCAACATCGCTGCAGGTCTCTTGCTCACATCTCGCGGGGGTGGCGGTCCAGAAGAGCATCAGCCGGAGCATGTGACGGCCCCTCTTTTCTTTTTCTTTTCTTCCACTCACCACCTTGCTCGTGTCGGGCATGTGACGTTCTTCTTGGCGGGCACGTATCCGACGATCCGTAGTCCCCCCGTACGGCGTACAGTCAGTAGTACATGGCTACCTGAAGGCTGTCGATGGTATGGAGAGCACCACAATTGGCCATCAGTCTTGCACTCACGAAGAATCAGCTTGGTGTTCACTTGAGTAGTATGTGCGTGTGTGGACTTTCCCATGACAATAGCATTGACTACTCGTGGGAACGCCTTTATTAGCCACCTACTACATACACGGACAGTGTTGTAGGATAAGCAACGGGGCTGTCAGGCCTCACCCCAATAGACTCGTCGAGTTTAGCAGACAGATCACCAAACAAACACAATAATAGAGCTTAGATCATAGAACTAATAACGACTCCAAAGTGTGACGGGAATTACCTTAGAAGATGGTCCTATAGCCCTGTCTACCAGGTAGTAGGTACTAGGCAGTAGGCATTAGGTAGCGGGCACTAGGTGTACCTACAGTACTTACTATATCCTACTGTGGTCAGGTCTCTCTCGTACTTGAATCTCGTATCTACGGTATCGAGCTGAATCGAAAGCGCTTTGGTTAAGTATTTAAGTTCATAGTTTGGTACTACTACTACTGGGCTATTCATCCACACAGTAAGTATTATAGAGTCCGTTACACGTGCACGCCAGATAGTGACTGCACATTCTTCCATAATAATGTGTGCAAAAGAAAAGTGCAACCTTCAGACTCCAGTATGCACAAAGAGATTGTTCAATGCGAAGCTTCCGAATCGGGGGCGCCCCACGATGCCCTTTCACTGGCAGACCGAGCAACGGTCTGTTTCGACCTGCAAAAGGATCCGTCCTAAAGAATTGCCTGCAGGAGTCACTTGTCAAGCGCCTGCTGCTTTCGAATCATGTCCACGAGAAAACTCCATCCGCGGGGTCAATCATGCGGGACCGAAGTATATCCTCCACTCACCCTTGAGCTTGCAGCTTGGGGCGAGACACGGATCGACACAAGAATGCTCGTCTGCTCCGCCGAGCCGGGACGCTCACATGTCGACCTCGTCGCTTTGAAGTTCCAGTAGGTTGGGTTGGCACGCATGATTGTGGTGGTCAGCGACTCTTCCGTGTCCCATTCCAGTCGGAGGTACACATACTTCTCAACAAGTCATCAGTCAACACGCTCGACAGGCCACTGTCACCTGATCAGACCATTGACCACCGGCACTTTTGCCTTCAAATAAATCGAGCGTCCATGCGTTCCCCTTGACCTCATTATTTTCTCAATCGCCATCTCACCTCGACTTTCAAATCGCTGTCCGTCGGGATAAAGACTACGGCGCAAGATTCCGACCACCGCGCCGTAGCCACCGATCATTGGTAAGGAGGCAACCCTACTGGAGAAACCGAACGGAGTTCGCACCAAGCTAGTACCTCCGCTCCCGCTCCGGCGCCCTTTCGCCGAGAAATCCAATTGACAACCAAAGCTGTCGTCCGCGGGCTGTGTCAAGCCCAAAACTTCCGAAGCGATCCCTCGATTGATCCTGTCCTCGATTCTGTCTCGGATCGCTATTTTGGCAATTGTGCGATCCCACCCTCTACTTTGAACCAACCTCCGTCCGCTCGATTTCTGCGACCCGACTGCAATAACCTCGATTACATACATCAACTCCAGTCCTCTCCGCAGGATCTGAGGTTTCGTTCAGCGCGCGCTACGGCCCAGGAGTACCGCACATCCCTGGCACATTGAAAAAAAAAAAAAGGGAAAGCGCAACATTCAGAATCGAAGCACCATCTAGGACTGCTGCTCAAGATGCCCGAACAACCCCGAATTCTACAGCCACGGCCTCGCCGTATCTTTGAGGTGACCCCGGGGTCAGAAGAGCCCAGTGCGCCCCCTACGCCGGGCGAACCCTCAAACTCCGATTTTCTCAACCCTGCAGGTGCGGACACGGCAGCCAATTCGACCAGCGTGAGTCGAACGGGATCAGTTCTGAACCTCACCTCCTCAACCTTGTATGGCATCTATTCGCCTACCGCATTCGACAGCTTGCGAGATGAGTCCAGCCCCTGGGGCACCGAGTCCACCGATCCAGCCTCTCAGCATCTCCCCGAGCCCCTGCAGCGATCGGCCGAAAAAGCGGCGTTAGATCCTCGTCGAATGGCTCTGCGGCGGACACGCTCCCGGTTGAGTCAAGGCACATTCCGTGGGGTTCTCTTGCCGCAGCTGTTGAGCAGTGCTCTACTGTTTGGTTTCGGACTGGTGTATGGAGTCATTACCGTGCATTTGCACGACAATCACTGGATCACGCCCGTGAAGTTGGAGAACACTCACTATTACGATTCGTGGCAATACCTCGCATTTTGGGGGTTGGCTGGTATCGTGTTGGGAAACACTTTGCCATGGTTGGATAGCCGGCGCGAGAGCGATCTCATGGACGACGATACCAAGGAGGAGGAGGATGAAACAAACCGCACAACATCGTGGGTGACTGTAGCTCGCAGTGTAGGCGCGTTTGTCGGAATTGCTTTCGCAATGGTCAGTCAATTACCTATCCCCAGCATTGACCCAACATTGGCTGGGATTTTTGTTTTGTTGCTGTAGACCCTTCGCGCCGAGTGAGTTTGATCATTGTGAAGGCTAACGTTTGTCCTTGGTTTAGCGACGTCTTCCCTGGGAATCCACCACGCAAGCCTCCTTGACTTTGGCCATGGCCAACCCCGTCCTCTGGTATTTGATCGATCGTACCACCACTGGCTTCCTCCTCTCAACCACCGTCGGTCTAGCAGGCATGAGTCTTGTTCTGGGAATGAAGCCCGAGTTGATTCCTGCATCAACTGGACCGACCTTTGGCACGGCACTGTTGAACGGAACAAGGCTGGAGAACTCACTAGGAGGAGAGATCTCCCAAGAGAGCATCGCAGTCCGCACTTGGGTCGCCAGCGTGCTCTTCTGCGCCTGTGTCTGTTTTGGAAATATCGGCCGTCAATTGGCCATTGGCGCGCCTGTCGCTGAAAAGATCAAACGTTGAGGCATTAGCGCCGGCGCTACATCGAAACATCATTTTTTGACGGAACTGAGAATCAGGGGTGCCATATGTGGAATCGGCGGCAGGATTGCAAAGTAGCACGCAATTCTGCATTTATATAGTCAGGCCATCTCTGTTAAGCAAGCCACTGGTACATCTTCAACAAATGTATAATTTCTTATTATTCCATGATTGTGGTGCAGAAGATCTTAGGTCGACTTCGAGTTCGCTGATGGCGTGTGGCCTCCTGACGGTGGTCAAGTGGAAAATTACCAAATAGAGCCAGAGTCGATGCATCAAGATTTATAGAGAGAAGTTTCTGCCATTGTGGGTCACTACCTCTAAATCTTACAAGCACACAAAATCATTGTGTATGCAAATGGGTTGTAGAATCAATCATTGCAATTCCTACCACATGAACCCGAAGGCCAGGCAGGTACTGCACCCAAGATCGAACCTGTTCAGTCTAAGCTGAACTTGTTCTCCATTCTCTATGACGATTTCCTTACTTCCTTGGACATTGTCCTCGTAGGAACGCTTTTTGAGAAGAATGTTGTTATTTTGCGTTGTTCATATTGTGAAGAAAAAGAAAAACCAGAACGGCGGCCGACAAATTTTCGTTTATAACTAGGTTTTCACATCACGTGATGTTCTGACTCACCGTGGCGGGGCCCTACCCTGCGGTGGTGATTGGCCGCCGATGATGCACTTTAGCCGTCTGGTATTACTTTCAAGACGGCGGGGTCCTGGACTCCTGGAGAGCTCAATTGCTGGGGCGATAAGATTGTAATGAATGTATTCATCCCGTATCATAGTATGGGTCCCCCTCTTGTCCGAGAGCGGCCGAACCCCGCGGAGAACTGAATTGAATTCTTTTTTCCATTCCTCATTCAAGCTTCTTCAAGTCATTTGCTGCTTGAGTTTCTGTGAGTCAATTGGATTCTTCATTGGCCTTGAGCTTTACCGGGCAGCTGTCCGAGTGTTCTTGGGGGGTTGTTTTGCTGACTAGCTCTCTCTATTTAGACCAACGTCATGTCTCAAAAGTCTGGTATGGATGCTTGACCTTGACATTGTTCCCCGGACTGCTTGATGCATCACTCTGTTTTTCTTTTTGGGAGGCACAACCCCGGACCCAATGCTGACGTGCTTGCGGTCTCTTTGTAACAGCCATCGTCTCCGTCTATGACAAGACGGGATTGCTGGACCTGGCCAAGGGCCTTGTCAAGCAGAATGTCCGTCTTCTTGCATCTGGTGGTACCGCGAAGATGATTCGGGAGGCTGGCTTCCCCGTCGAGTAAGTTTTCTCATCTCCAGGTGCTCTGCAATGCCATTGTGTCTCCACAAAAGCGACCATTTAGCTTTTCATATGCCTGCAGAGGTAACGAAGCTGACATGTGATTTTTAGAGATGTCTCCGCCATCACCAAGGCCCCCGAGATGCTCGGTGGTCGTGTCAAGACCCTCCACCCCGCCGTGCACGGCGGTATCCTTGCACGGGACATCGAATCGGACGAAAAAGATCTTGCCGAACAGAAGATTGACAAAGTTGACTTCGTCGTCTGCAATCTGTACCCGTTCAAGGAGACCGTTGCCAAGGTCAACGTCACCATTGACGAGGCCGTCGAGGAGATCGATATCGGCGGTGTGACTCTGCTCCGTGCCGCGGCCAAGAACCACAAGCGTGTAACCATCCTGTCCGACCCTGCGGACTACCCAGAGTTCTTGAAGGAGCTCGAGGCGGGTGAGATTACCGAGGCCAGCCGCAAGCAATATGCTCTCAAGGCTTTCGAGCAGACTGCCGACTACGACTCCGCCATCTCTGGCTTTTTCCGTAAGGAGTATGCTGGCAACGGCCTCTCCCAGCTCTCTCTCCGCTACGGCACCAACCCCCATCAGAAGCCTGCTGCGGCCTGCATGATCCAGGGCAAGCTGCCCTTCAAGGTCCTCAATGGATCTCCCGGTTATGTCAACCTGCTTGATGCCCTCAACGCCTGGCCCCTGGTCAAGGAGCTCAAACAAGCTCTTGGCTACCCTGCCGCTGCCAGTTTCAAGCACGTCTCGCCCGCTGGTGCTGCTATCGGTGTCCCTCTGAACGAGAAGGAGCGTAAGGTCTACATGGTGGACGACATCAAGGGTATCGAGTCCTCTGGGCTGGCCCAGGCCTATGCCCGTGCTCGTGGTGCGGACCGCATGTCCAGCTTTGGCGATATCCTGGCTCTCAGTGACATTGTCGACACCCCTACTGCCAAGATCATCTCCCGTGAGGTGTCGGACGGTGTCATCGCCGCTGGTTACGAGCCCGAGGCCCTCGAGATTCTCTCCAAGAAGAAGGGTGGCAAGTACCTTGTTCTTCAGATGGATGAGAACTACACCCCGGCCCCCGAGGAGACCCGTACTCTGTACGGTGTCACTCTCACGCAGCACCGCAACGACGTGGTCATCTCCCCAAGCAAGACTTTCAACAACGTCATCACTCCCAAGGGTGCTTCTCTGTCTGAGTCTGCTCTTCGCGACATGACCGTTGCCACCATCGCCCTGAAGTATACCCAGTCTAATTCGGTCTGCTATGCTCTGAACGGTCAAATCATCGGTCTCGGTGCCGGCCAGCAGAGCCGTATCCACTGTACCCGTCTGGCCGGTGACAAGGCCGACAACTGGTGGATGCGCTTCCACGACCGAACCATCAACATCAAATGGAAGCAGGGCACCAAGCGTGCCGACAAGAGCAATGCCATTGACTTGCTTTGCTCCGGTCAGACCCCCTCGTACCGACGCTGAGAAGGCCGAGTACGAGCGCGTCTTCGAGGAGGTCCCCGCTCCCTTCACTCAAGAAGAGCGCGATGCCTGGCTGCAGAAGCTCGGCGAGGTGGTTGTCTCTTCGGATGCTTTCGTAAGTTCCTTGTATCTTTGGAGTGCTAATGTTCCTCTCGGTCAACTGGCCCACTAGTACACATACTGATCGCTTCTTTTAGTTCCCCTTCATTGACAACGTCTTCCGCGCTGCCCGCTCCGGCGTCAAGTACATCGCCGCTCCGACCGGCAGCCAGAACGACGCTCCCGTCTTCGAGACTGCCGAGAAATTGGGCATTACCTTTGTCGAGCAAGGTGTTCGCTTGTTCCACCACTAAGCCGATGATGCTTTGAATCTGGGAAAGAAGGGAATTGAATTCGTGGGGTGTACTACTTTGGGTTCCCAAAAAAAAATCAAGATCTCGTGTTATGATGATGAACATTTATCTCAATTTATGAATTATTTTAGAAGTCGATGCAATTATCAGTCGTATATGGCGCGTATCCCCTGTTGCATTTCTTCCTAGGACCAAAGGTGGATGAAGGCGGCTTACGCCATAAGATAAGGGGGTATACAGTATACACTATACCTTATACACCAGCTGTCGGGTCACCGAGATGAGATCTCAACCATCTCCATCTCCCAGATCCAGCTGCATTCTTAGTACCACCAAATAGCACGGGACCAACAAACTCAGTCCACACAACTACAGGCCCTCCCATCAATTGTACAATATAATCATTTATGCCTGGCTCTTGTCGCACTATTCACTCAACCAAGGTGCATATTAAGCGATGTGCTAATTTACGTTTGTTAGGGTCTCAGTTTCTCCATCCAAGCTATTCCTCCAGCGCAACCGAGAACCATTCTCTCCGTGACGTTGACCCAGGCGATCCACACATTCAGACAGACTGCGAAGTCCAACAATACATGGGACCTGAGCAGTCAAATCTGCATGATTACCTAGATCTGGCACAAATACCGTTTCCTTAATTTCAGTCATCGTATTGAACGGAGTCCATCAAGACTTGGGGCCCAGGCTTCTACATCTGGAATCAATCATTCAACTGTACAGTCAGAGTCAACAGTGTACACTCTACTACTGGAATACCAAACATCCAAGTGTCTTACTTGTCATATCTAGAAAAGCATCCCGAAGCGACCTTCAAGTTGAAACACTGTCCCCGCTAAATTTGCTTTGTTGTTTTGCTCCGCCACGAATGTGAACTGTCCGACTGGCAGGACTTTCAGGGGCAAATCGAGTTGGCCACAAGTAAGTAGTATCCCATGTGCAGGAGGTAACCAGACGCTGACTCCTCACCCCGCGGGCCCTCTCAGGAGAGAAGTTTTACGAAAAGATCATTTGGGACACGACATGCGTAGCGTACTTCCAAGTGGTCTCCTGATCTTGTGCAATTTACAATGCGTGGCTGAGGAGGAGCAGTGAAGCATGGAACACAGCATGCTCGTTGCAAAGGCTCCAAGTGCTATGCTGTTGATATGCCAAGCGGCGGTTGAAAATCGCCCAGTACAAGACACCCGGGGAATTCTTCACAGATACTGAATGGAGGCCACAATTACAATGGTTCCTCGTGAGCCTACGATGGGATGAATAAGAAGATGATGATAAAGTCTGTAAAATTGAGTACAGCAGTCCGCGGAAAGAGACACACGAGGGCTGGATCGCGATAGAACGGTCCGCCATTAGATACCGACGCTGTCAGGAGTCCATGCTGCAGATGCCCTGCCAATGCAGCTGAGAGGGTACCGCTGGAGAAGGGAATGCAGCGGTAGAGAAAAGCACTTTTTTCAGAGAGGGTGTACTCTCTGCTCGGCGCGCGTCATTCGAACGTGGTTCCCGAGCCATGGGAACGCTCGAACAAAATGGGGTATCTGATGAGAGACGGACAGAAAAGACAACGCATTCTATGATGTTCATGCAGCGCAGTTCACCAGATTGCTTCGAGGTGAGACATTCGGTGACAATCAACCCAAAGCAAAATGCAAACCAAGACTGCTCGAACGCCCCGTGTCTAAAAGCAATGCCGAATGTAGCCAAATGCAAAAAGCCGAGCCATGTAACAAGGCAGTAACAAGGCAGCAACATAAGCCGACACATAGAGTCAAAAAAAACAAAAGCAAAACAAAGTGGGACAAAAATGCGACAAAAAAGCGAGCATAGCAAGCGCACAGACGTAAATCTAAACAATGGAAACGCATAAGAGAGTCGTGGTAATCATGACAAAGCCTGTCCCCGAGGTACAGCAACATCGAACAAAAGCAAATCCAAACTCAGGGTACGTTCCAATCGTGTCAGTCAATGAAAGACAAAAGGAAATAAGAGGTGGGAGTCTGGCAGACTCGACGGCCTCGTCATCAGACCACGACTAATTTACCACCAAGAGGAGGGGCCAGTGGAGCCACCGGGGTTGCCGTAGCTGCCACCACCCATGCCGCCGCCGTAGCCAGCGCCGCCAGAGCCGCCATAGGAAGGAGCAGCACCGCCGTAGCCGCCAGAGCCACCGAACGAGGGAGCTCCGCCGTAGGCGTTACCTCCGAAGGAAGACTGACCACCCATGCCACCGCCGAAACGACGAACATCGCGAGTGGCGTTGGAGCTACCGCGACCACGGCCGCTGCGACCACCACGACCACCGAAGCCACTGCCCTCACGAGCAATACTCTCCAAGAAGGCGGGCACCTCCTGGTGAGCCTCCTTCAGGAGATCAATCAACTCGCGGACAACACCACGGTTGCCACGGTTGAAGAAGGCAGTCGCAATACCGGTGTTACCCGCACGACCAGTACGACCAATACGGTGGACATAGTCGTCAATGTCGGTGGGCAGGTCGTAGTTGATGACGTGGGTGACGTTGGGGATATCAAGACCACGAGCAGCGACAGCAGTGGCAACAAGAATTGGGCAACGACCGTTGCGGAACATCTCCAAGGCACGCTCACGCTCGCGCTGAGTACGGTCACCGTGAATGGCAGTGGCAGGGAATCGCTGATTGATCAAGAAATCGGAGAGCGAGTCGGCCATACGCTTGGTCTCGACGAAGATAAGAGTCAGACCAGTAGTGCCATGAGTGTGGAGAATGTCCAGCAGCACAGAGCGCTTGTCGGCGTCCTCGACGTACTCGATCTTCTGAGTGATGTTCTCAGAGGTGGAACCGACACGGCCAACGGAAAGGAAAATGTAGTCCTTCAGGAAGTCACGAGCAAGCATTTGAATGTCACGGGGGAAAGTGGCCGAGAACATGAGGGTCTGGCGGTCCTCAACGCGAGGCATATCCTCGCCCTCGACGATGCGGCGGATTTGAGGTTCGAAACCCATGTCCAACATACGATCAGCCTCGTCAAGGACGAGGTACTTGATGTTGACAAGGGAGATACGACCACGCTCAATCAAGTCGACAAGACGACCAGGGGTGGCAACCAGCAGATCACATCCCCGCTCGATCTGGCGCAGTTGGGAACCAATGTCGGCACCACCGTATACGACGCATGGGCGAACCCACGAGCGGTAGGCGAATTTACGGGCCTCGTCAAAGATCTGGGAAACCAACTCACGGGTAGGGGCGAGAATGAGCGAGGTAGGGTAGGCCTTGCGCTGACGACCGTAGAACTGACCGCCACCGCCGGCTTGCTGAGGAGCAGCGGAAGGACCAGTCTGGAAAGCCTGGGAAAGGATGGGGAAGAGGAAACCACCAGTCTTACCGGAACCGGTCTGGGCACAGGCCATCAGATCACGGCCGCCCATGACGATAGGAATGGAATATTTCTGGACAGGGGTAGGGGTGACATAGCTTGCAAGCTTGATGTTAGAGATCAGATGGTCGTCAAGAGGGGGGTTGGTGAAGGCGTTGACGGGCTCGGGCACGTCCTGTCCGGAAGCCTCAACGGGAATGTCGTCGTAGTTGGCAAAGTTGATACCAGTGTGTTGCTTGGAGGGGTCGTCCTGGCCCAGGCCGAAAAGTTCGCGTTCCAAGCGAGGGTTGGCAGGTCCTGGGATGTGCTTACCATCGCGCCACTGACCATCGCCAGAACCGCGCGCAGCACCACCGCCGCCACCACCTGAGAAGTTACCACCACCACTGTAAGAGCCTCCATGTCCTGGATGTCCGTAAGCTTTGGGATCGAATGACCGGCGTTGCACGTCTGGGTTCCAGTCGGTCTTACCGTTCGCGGGGCCGCGGGGGCTGAAGTTGGGAGCATTAGCGTTAGCCCAGTTACCGCCACGAGCATCTCTGCAAGATCGATTTCTGGTTAGGAAAACGGATTCTCCAAAATTCGATAACGCCACGGAGGAAGGGGGAAAAAAAGGTCACTTACCTGGGGCCAGAGAAGCCGGGACCAGCGGCGGGTGCAGAGTTGGGAGGAGGGCCTGCCATGCTGGCGCCAGCGTTGCGTCCACGGAGGTGAGGAGGAATGTAGGCAGCACGACCAGGGGGGCCGCCCTGAGGAGCGTGTTGAGAGTCCTGGAGGGACAGGTTGCCCATTTGGAGTCCGTCGGCCATGATTGTGGGTTTGGAAGTCTCTGTGTTGCCGTAAAGGGGCCTTCTGTTAGTTTTTGGAAGGAAAGATCGAAGGATTCGGATCCAGGCCCGTGGAAGATGCCAACAGACGACGACCGTTTTGAGGACAGCGATAGGGGAAAGGAGAACGAACAGTGTTTGTTTTTTTTTCCTTTTAAGCGTTCAAGGTTCACGAATAGCTTCGTGTGGAATTGAGGCAAGTGGTCTGAGTGTACAGAGAACTTGCGAAGAGAGCGTGAGAGAATGGGCCTTCAACAAAAAGAGAGGAGCGTGAGAAAGTAGGTTGTTGGTCTTCTGAAATTTTCCTTCCGCTTGATAGAAGGAAAAAAAAAGTAAAGTGGCAAACAACGGGTAGGGTGAGAGCAAACAACGAAACGGAAAACTCCCAATTCTAGACTCTAAGAGCACAACAGAACAGAGGAAAGTAGTGAGATGAGAATTTTACAAACAAGAGAATCGGTGAGGAGCCCAAGAAATATGGCAGAGGACAGCAGGTTTTCTGTGGGAAGGAGGCAAATCGAGACTTTCAAGGTACTTCCCTAAGTGTGTGCTTCTGTATGTGTGCTGTTGTACCTCAAATTACGGGTCAATTTTCTGTTCTGAAAGAAGCATTACCATATTACAGAATGCGATACGTAAGGCTCCGCATAGCGAAGGGTGGAATTTGCTTGCAATCGAGCGGGCTATCGACCGGCCAGTGCCACGGCCATCCATTAGCGAGTCAGCGACGCTATCGGTTGACGATACATGAAACGGTAAATTAAGATACGTAACAGTATCGTACTGATAAGCGTGGAATTGCTGTATCCAAACCATACAATCAACTTCATCAAGTGGCCACAAGCCGAACAAGGTTTTCTCCCTCCATCCCTACAGGACCACCGGGCGGTTCGTGACTTCCAGGACTTAACCCCAGAACTCGGCATGGCATCCTCGCCAGCCCTGTGGAGTCGTGAGCACCCGATCTCCGATGCGCGACGAGTCAGACTAAATGCACGTTTCAAGGGGAGACAGTCTTCGGAGGTCCTGCCACCTATTCCTGTGCATCCAGCTGGACATATACAAGATAAATCAGTAGGTATCCTTATTTGCATGAATGCTTTGTTCTACTCGTCATTCGAAATGCCCCTAGAAATCTTCCCGATCCGAATGCTTTCATAGCCACTCTGATAGGACATGCTGGATGTTGAATGCCGGGGCTGGCCTCAGAGGTAGGCTCGATAAGCCAAGCCGAGACATCAAGTTCATCAACTGCATCTTAGAAACTATTGCGTCACTAGGATCCGAATTTTCTCGAATAAACCTGCAACAAACCAACAATGGGCGGACTGTTTCGCCACTTGTACCGAGTCACCGACAGTAACTTACCGACTCGGACTTACCGCGTGTTCTTACCAACCAACATCCTTGGGCTGTCTCTACCTACCTCTCCCTGCAATATCTGATTACTCGTTTTAGCTGAAAGTCTGCGTTCTGACCGAGTGTATAAACCGATGTCCTGAAATGCTATTCTAGTAGATTAGAATGTTCTGAACACAGGGGTCCATACAAAGTACAAGAACATCTCCTCAAATCCATCTAGATGGTTTACAAGTAAACCATAGATAGGTGCGAGACAAATGATATAAATCCAGCGCTTGCTGCCACCGGGCTTCACCTTTGCGCTCCGTTCCTGTGCGGCTGCTCGGCCTTGGCTGAGACGAGTATTGATGCATGATGATTTGACGTAGGTACGTGCTTAAACCGAGAATGCGATAAGGGTGCCCGGCTGAAGCCAATATACGCATAAGTGGATACCTGGCATCAAGCACAAGGACTCGGTTACCATACAGTGGAAATTCTTATTTATAAAACGAGCTGTGTCTATCTATATGCTTTATCGAGGCGCTTTAAGCCTCGAATTGCTTCTCATCTTGCTGCTGCTGTTGGCTGCGACGGCGGGCAATGTAGAAGCCAATCACAGCAATAAGCACAACGAACATGAGCAGAGCCTGCAAAGAGTAGGAGGATTGGTCGGTTGCTGGTGATTCCTCAGGAGTTGGCGTAGGGACCGGCTGTTCGACGAGTTCTTTGTAAAGGCAAAACATCAATGATCAGTCACCCCTCTCGAAGAGCTGAAGAGCAGGATTTGGGACCGAAACCGGCCTTTAAAGCTCGTCGCGGCTACCTTTGTCCTCGGTTTCCGATTTCTCCATCTCGAGCTCACCGCTCTTGGCGATGGTAACGGGCTTCTCGGGCTTATCACCACGAGCCTTGGGGACGTTCTGAATCTTGTCAACAATATCGTAACCCTCAAGGACCTCGCCAAAGACGACGTGGCGTCCGTCGAGCCAGCTGCAAAACAAAATGCAATCAGTATGGAGTACCCCTGTTGAAGAATTGTCTCGGCCCGTCCGGGGTACACTCACGAGGTGATGACGGTGGTGATGAAGAACTGAGAGCCATTGGTGTTCTTGCCGGCATTAGCCATGCCTAGAAGTCATTGTTATTGGTTTTGTTCGGCTGAATATCATAGAGTGTTCAATGGCATACTCAGAAGGCCCTTCTTGGTGTGGCGAAGCTTGAAGTTCTCATCCTCGAACTTGTTGCCGTAGATGGACTTGCCGCCAGTGCCTGAAGTCAAGTGTCAGCAATTGCTACCGTCTGGTCTTGGTTATGTCACGAACCGTCATGGTTGGTGAAGTCACCACCCTGAATCATGAAGTCCTTGATGACACGGTGGAAGGTTGAGCCCTCGTAACCGAAGCCCTGCTCGCCAGTGGCCAAGACACTAATGAGAATTGTAAGTAATGCGAATAAGTCGGTCGAGAATCGCAGAATCATACCGGAAGTTTTCAGCGGTCTATGCAGAAAGATGTATCTGTAAGTACATGAGTCTCGAATATGCCGGTGGTCTTGTTTTGCTTACCTTGGGAACGGTCTTGCCGTAAAGTCCCATAACAATACGACCAAGAGACTCGTCGCCATGCTTGATATCAAAGTAGACCTGTTTGACCTCGTCAGCAATTCCTTTGACCCCATTTCCTGATTCCTTGCTGAAATTTACCTTGTGGGTGATCTTGGGGCCTCGAGGTTCCTTGGCGTCTTCAGCCTGGACCAAGGCAAAGCCTACGGCGAGGACCAGAAAGAGGGACAAGAATAGATTGCGGAAGTTCATCGTTGTGAGTTGATTCTGCGGTCGGGGGAAAGCAAGAGTCGCAGAAAGCTGAGTAGATGGACACACTCGATTGAGGGGAGGACAGCTTGCACTAGTGGTTAAGTATGGCGTGCGGAGAAGCTGGTGTCACGCTACAGTAACTTGCCGAGCACCAGGCCTTTGGTACCGCCATTTCAATGTAATTAATGCGTATTGCCATATCATTTTACATACATAGATTACCCGCTCCGGATCTTCATTCAACGCACCGGAATTAAGCACGGTGCCTATGCGCCGGAAAAACGTTCTTGCAGAATGATTTCTCCCGCGATCTCGGGATCATCAGCGGAGGAGAGTGTGAGGAGTCCGTGTATGCTTGACATAGCAAAAGCCCAACAAGATGGTGAGTTCATCGGACTCTACTTGACTTCGCAATCTGATACTGATTTTTCCCAGGTTTTCATTCTCGGTGTTAACTTCCCTGAACGGAACTTGCTGAAGGTTTGTTCCTACTACACTGACTCGAATGACTCGAAGAAACAAGTCTGCGCCATCGATTGATGCTAATGCAGGCTTCCCCAGAAATCCCTCGAGAGCTTCTTCGGCATCGGTGGACACACATCATCTCGCCTTCTGGCTCGCTTCAACATCCATCCTACCTGCCGTGTCGGCGAATTGGCCAACAAGCAAGTTCTCGACCTCACTGCCGTGTTGTCGGACATGAAGATTGAGAATGACTTGCGCCGAGAAGTCCTGAATGATATCAAGCGTTTGAAGGAGACTGGTACATACCGTGGTCGTCGTCACGCTCTTGGGTTGCCCGTTCGCGGACAGCACACGAGAACTCAGGTTAGTTCCATTTCCATCTTTCTGGGGACTCGGTCACTCTCCACACTCGAGTTGGCTTCCAGGGTCAACTGAATCATCCGTGTGGTTGGGCATAAATTCAAGTACTCTTGAAGCGCGCCAGGAAGAACGGATTGACTGATCTTCATTATTTTAGATCAAAACCGCTGTCAAGTTGAACCGCATGGAGCGCCGACTATAAAGCATTGACTTGTCTTGAAATTTCCGGCCCATATGCTAGTGTATCTTCTTTTGCGTGGGCGGCATAGGTTTGGCGTTATCTTTGAGAAAGCTGGTTCTTTGCCAACTTTGGGTCTGTACGAATACAATTTGAATCAAAAGGTGTCACGTACCTTTCAGGTATCGAGATTTACTACTAATCACAATTGGGGCTTCGGGGGAGAAAGCCTGAATAGGTCCAGGTCGGCGTAGCGGGCCCGTCTGTTATAATAAAATCCTCTCTTCTATCTCCTTCCGTTCAATTTCCACCCAGGCGACACGGCTCGTCAACATCGCTTGATTAGAGCAGACGGCCACAATCATACCTATACACCAGTTCAACAACCCTGATAAGGTAGCTCTTGCGTTCTCGGATAGGCAATTGAGTGGACTTACTCCAAGTTCGGAAGGATCCCCAAGTGTAATGTTTGTAATGGCTGAGTTCAACGCGAATCGAAAGCGCAGAACTTTGTGCCCATATTCACTAACATGTCTTCTGAACTTTGGTTTTGAAACTATTTGTTGGTTGAGTGAAACACCTCTTGGGACACGACTGAACTTTTATATATGAAACCACATCTCAGAGCGCCGAACCATTATGCGCAATCTACAGCCTGTTTGAAGACAAAACACCTTCGCCGCGGTTAATCTGGATCCTCTTGTCCTCACCCGCGCTTACAATGCCGACGGTCTGATCCCAGCACACGCTGAAGACCTTGACGCCCTCTCCACCCACACGCTTGCTATCCGCTTTGCCTTCCTCCTCGAGACTCTTGCGAGCGATGGAATATACACTTTCGCCAACAACGCCATCTTTGTCGTTCTTGGTAGACCGAATGTCCCAGATGCGGCATGTGCCATCGTGACTACCACTAATAAGGCCATAAGTGCTGGACGGATCACGAGCCAAGCTGACAACGGCATTGGTATGTCCACGAAGGGTCATAGCTGCAACTGTAGTAGCGGACGCTCTGGGATCGATCAGGGTAATGTGCCGAGCTGAGGTACCAGCAGCCAGAAGGTTGTGTTCCTGAATGTGCACCAGCGACAGAAGTGAATGAGCGGTTGTGCGGGTGTCGACAAGAGCGGAGGTGATCAGATCCCAGGTACGCAGAGAATGATCCCAGGAGGCCGAGTATCCAACTGTGGAATCCTTCCCGTCGAAAATGGCCGCGGACACTGGCCCAGTGTGCGCCGATAAGAGAGCCAGAGGCCCACGCTGCGGTGTGCTCACTGAAGTGTTCAACTTCCGTCGCTTCGACGTGCGCGCAGCATTGGGAAGCAAGCTCTCGGGGGCGGCGGGGGCATCTGCCTTTTTCGTTGACCAGAATCCAACAGTGTGATCAGCAGATCCAGTCAAAAGACGATTAGATGGCGCGTGTACAGCCAAGGATTCAATTCCGGACTTGTGTCCATACAGCTCCAGCTGTGGCGTAATCTTTCCTAAGAAGGCTTCGTCCTCGGTGTATTTCCACAGCCTCACGGTGCGGTCCAGACCAGCCGAGACGATCTGGTTTGGTGAGACAAATTTTGCAGCCTTGATTGAAGAGGTGTGGCCTCCGTCGGATGCCACAGGCGATGTGGCAATGGTCTCTGAAGACATATTCCAAACACGGAGAAGTCCGTCATAACTTCCAGACAAAATTCTTTCCTGGCCCTTTGAGAAAGTGGCGCCCGAGGCCCAAGATGCTGCAGGTGAAGTCGACGAGAGCACATCGGTGGCGCTGACCCAATCGTCGTGCTGGAAGGATGCGATGTGAAGAGGCGGGATCAGAGCGCGGACATACTCGATCTCAAGCGTCGTTTCGGCGGAAATGCCATTGTCGGTCAAATATTCATCAATCGAAGTTCTTAAGAATGTTCCGTTGATTAGAAATTCGAAAGGGACCGGCTTCTCGGTGCTCAGTAGATTGTTGACCAAGGTTGAAAGTGCATAACGCCGCAAAGCTGGTCACCAAGTAGATCAGTATTTTGGGCGATCGAGGAGGATTCTCAATGGGTTTGATTAGAACCTTACCAGTGGGAATAAGAATAGGACCAGTACTGTCGGGAAGAGCAATGTCTTCCTGCTGAGTGACCAGCTGCACACGAACCTGTCGTTGCGACGGCTCGGAAGAACTGTTTGTTTCACCGTCCATAGTGGCAGAGTTTCGTGAAACGAATGTGATTGTCTTCTCTATCTTCGAAGCCTGTCGCAAATGAACAGTCCGCAAAGATGAGAAAAAAAATACGGGAACCGGTGCGGCACACTAGCGCAAAGCGCGGGGATCGCCCCGCTACTAAGTACAATAATGATGAGGCCTACGATTAGTAAAGAAAGTACTATTACATCCATGTACAGTAGTAGCTCCTGAGACGAGATACGCTACTTCACAAGAGGGAGATCAAGAAGTGCTGTGTACATCTTTGCATTGCAATATGCGTGGTTGCTTTAATCCATGAACTTTGTGTTTCAATCTTAGGGAAGCTAGTTTCCTAGGCCTCGGGGAGCACGCTTGATTTCTGCGATCGCACGTCGGCGATGTTCAGATTCCGCGAACAGTGCCTCAATTAAATCCACCACTTCCTCGGTGGAAAATTCCAGTCCCAGTTCACCCTCAAGCCAGAGATACTTGATATCTGCCAGAGAGCTCTCAAGGATATTGATCAGATACTGGAAGCGGAGCCAATTGGCGACGTAAACCGCAGTGACAGGCAAAGGATCCGTATCCCCAACCGCATCGGGCGTGAAAAGATCCTCAAGTTGGGTGACCTGATTGCACAGCGCAACAAGCTGCTTTGACTGATCCTCGGAGATATCTCCTAAGTCTTCAACATCAACCACGATCTTGCTGATCACCGTAGACAGTAAAGACCCGATTGATTGAACGAGGGCAGAATGTGACAGGATAGGCTTCCACTCGGCATACACGTCACGAATGCGATCTGTAGCTGCGCTCACAGCGCTCTCGCATTCAGCCTTAAATGGCTGTTCCGAACATTGTGCAAAGCCTTGTGCACCGTCGAGGAGATCAGTGACAATCGTGCTTTGCGTCTGCATCTCCTTGCTATACGCGAGCTTGCCAAACTTCTCCAGCGCTTCCACATCAGAGCTGAGCCTGGCAAGGTCGTGCTCATCCATGAGCTCCCGGACTTGGCTGGCCAAATACAGACTGTCATTGTACAGATACATTTGACCAGACGCGAGTCTCAAAGAGTAGAACGAAGAAGCAGTAGCCTTGAACATGGCCAGGATCAGAGTTGGCAGCGCTAGTAGCCCATTGCCGGAGGATGCCACCCGTGACTCGGAATATCTGCGATGTACTCGTTAGAAAAAGCCATAATCAGTTCACAGAGATAGAGTCCACAGGACTTACGGATGGTCCATGATTCCCTTCGAGTCGTTGACTTGCTGGCGAATAATTTCGAGCATAGATTCCGGAATATCGGTAATTGTGTAGACCTCTCTCAAAGTCATTTCTCTAGATCCAGCGGATTGTATGGTTCCACAAGTTTCTTTCGATTGTCTTGGGTCGTCGGCAAGATGGTGGCCATGCTGATTCAGATCCTGATCCTCCACTTCTTCATCACCCCATCCCCATGCGTCATTGTCGGCATCGTCTGCTGTACCCAGGGTGTCCGGAATTGGCTTTCCTGATTCTTCATCGGCATCTTCGTCGTCATCGAGGCCCCAGGCGCTGACATCTTCTTCCTCCTCGATTCCAATAGTGTTGGCAGGCTTGGACAGGGCATCCTGCTCCTTCTCATCTTCGCCCTTATCATCGTCCCAGCTCGCATCCCAATCATCCGTGCCCGACTCGAGCAGAACCTCATCAGCCCGCGAGACTTGTTCTTTTTCCACGCGTTCAACTTGCTTGGTAGTCCCCTTACTGGCAGCAAGTGCCTTACGCACACTGTCAAGCGAGTCCACCCGGCGTCTCGTAAGCCATAGACGAGGCGCCTGATTGACCCATGAAGTAAGTTCTTCGGTACCCTGCCAGCCCCAGGATTGTACCTTCTGAGCAAAGATGTGGATATCCTCGAGAGTCTTTTCGAATTCTACTAGCCCGTCAAGAGTAGTAGGAATGGTGGGACCCAGCCACTTGACGATCAAGTTGGATACAATGAAAGGTATCAGGGATTCTGGTAGCTCGCTCAGTATTTCAGATGGAAGATTTTCCCGCAAAAATGCTAAAGCCTTCATCGTCTGACTCAAAACGGCTGCAACGCTTCCTTCTGAGTATCCCGGGGTCACCTTAAGCCCATTGCCGGTGGTGCTTAGCGTCCGGACCTTTCCATCATCCCGGGGCAGAATTAGCGAATCGAAAATTGTACTGCCAATGCTCTTTAACAGGTTCTTGCGCGCATGCTCAAGGACATTCAACTGTGACATGAACGATATCGTCTCGCCTAGCGAGCCTGTGTCAATGTCTCGCGCCACTTCGAAAGTGCCGCTCGATCGGTCTACCTTGAGCTGTTCGTTCCAGCGGGAAATCAACTTGTTTTCAACCTCTTCCCTGAATCGGGCGGTTTCAAGAGAAAAGATGCTCATGACATTGGTGTTCGTGAAGAAGGTGTCCTCTCCCATTGCTGATTGAGTAGAATCCAAAAGCTCAATTGCGCGACCCATATCACCAGCATCAAGCGCCTGCCGTCCATCGTCCAATTGATCGCAGAGTCGCTGGACATCCTCAAGAGTATCAGCGACTGCTTGATTGAAAGTGATCTCAGTCTCCATCAGGGACACTTTGGCAGTTGCATCTTCCACTTGTGATCGCAAAGGGCCTGTTTGCTCGTGCTGCGCAACGATTTCGCGTGCAGTCTGCCGCGACTTTTCGATATCATCATGTAGTTTTTTAGCTTGAACAATCCAGTCATCGGCGTCGAAACTTTGATTCTCGCGGCTGAGTGAGCTAATCTCGTTCTACAGTGATAATCATCATGTGTCAGCACATCAACAGTTGACAAACATGTTCCTAGAATGGAGAAATTAAGATCATCTGGAGCGTTTACCTCCACCTGTTCCCGTGCCTGGGAGATCAGCTCCAATTCCTTTGCAAGAGCTGATGCGGGGAACTCGGCCGCGACCAACGCTTCTTCGGGATAGATCCCATCGAGGACGAACCCCAGGACTGCCTGGCAAGTCTCCCTTTCTGACGGAGGCATCCTGTATTGCGATGCACAATATCGACTCCGGATCCAGAAGCTATCAGCTGTGGAGAACCGGCTGGGTGGAAGGAGGAGCGGCGTGTCAAGAAGCAGCTGTGAGTTCGGGCGTCACCGCCTCCGCCAAGGCTCTACTGTGAATAAGCCCATGTCAATTCACAGCTGCTGTGCAGATGCGTATGATACATGAAAGTGGGCATCTTGGGACAGAAAGTCATGAAATTTGGGAGCTCTCGTTCATTCTACTAGTTTTTCGTACGCACTATCCTCGACCTTTGTATTCTTCTTGCACCCAGTAGGTAGATGTTCAAGGCAAACGACTAATCGATCGCTTTGTAAGATCGCCAACTGCGTTTCCTACCCGCTTGGTTCCAGCTCCGCCTCGGCCAAGCTCACACGCTCATCTCACGCAGTTCTCACCGTGTCTCAATTCCTTTGGCGAGGCGTACTGAGAGCGAGACATTCTCCAATTGTGTAAGTGTAACTCAGCCGACTGCTTCTCACTTGTTCAAAAGGCGGCGTGTATAAAGATCAATCGCTCCCTGCCCCTCCAAAATCTGCCGCGACCCCACCATTACTCGGCCATGTCGGAGGTGTTATGAGATGCATTGCCATAGATTGGATGGCTGGCCAGTAATCGGGCTGACGGTGCTGTTTGCTCTTTTGATCTCATCATGGACACGGTGCATATACCTCTGAAGTGGTCTTGGTGTGTGGCTTCAAGGCGATTCCATTGAAGCTTCCATCCGGAGAAATGGTTCAGCGACTGTAGACCAGATTTCCGTTTCTACAGCCGCGCGAGCCTCCCAGCCATGTGGAGAATGACTGAAGCTGACTTGAAAATAGACTGTCAACTTTTCGACAGAACATATCCTTTGGGCTCGCCTCATTGCACAAGATGTCACCCGCTTTGCAGAAGGGCAACTTCAAGCTGCTCCAACAGTTCAAGCCTGACTACTCCGCCAGTGAATTCACCGAATATGAGTCTCAACGCACAGGAATGCGTGTTGTGGTCATTGACCAGAAGGGCCCTAAAGTAAACGGCTACTTTGTTCTTGCTACAGAAATCCACGACGACTCGGGCGCCCCCCACACGCTGGAGCATCTGTGTTTCATGGGCTCTCGCAACTATCGCTACAAGGGTTTCCTGGACAAGCTGGCTACTCGAGTGTACTCAAGCACAAATGCTTGGACTGCCACAGACCATACCGCGTACACCCTCGATACAGCGGGCTGGGAAGGATTTGCTCGAATCCTGCCTGTCTACTTGGAACATGTGATTGCCCCAACGCTCACAGACGAGGGCTGCTACACGGAAGTGCACCATATTGACGGCTCTGGAAATGATGCCGGCGTGGTATACTCCGAGATGCAAGGAGTGCAGAACAATGCTGCCGAACTGATCGACTTAGCAGCCCGACGTGCCACATATCCCCCAGGAGTCGGATTCCGATATGAGACTGGTGGTATGATGGAACAACTTCGTGTGCTGACCGCTGAAAGGATTCGTGAGTTCCATCGCGAGATGTATCAGCCCAAAAATCTCTGTCTCGTAATCACGGGTGAAGTCGATCAGGCCAACATGCTCGAGATTCTGGATAAATTCGAAGATACCATATTGGACGTGATTCCCAGCCCCGACGCCCCCTTCAAGAGGCCATGGGTGGACTCAAAGCAAGTTTTGTCACTTGAGAAGACGATTCTTCAGAAAGTTGAGTTCCCGGAAGAGGATGAGTCGTTTGGTGAAATCGAGATTCGCTTCCTCGGCCCAGACTGCAACGACTCAATGCAATGTACGTTCTCTGCTACCTACACTTTAAGCCATCAAACTCTCCATTCGCGTTGCTGACTCTACTTAGCTGGCGCTCTCAACGTCGCGCTCCTGTATCTGGCCGGATCGTCCGCGTCTTTGCTTGAAAACACCATTGTGGAGAAAGAGCAAATTGCCAGTGCGGTTTATTACGCCACAGAGGACCACCCCAGCATTGAGATTCGATTCACTTTGACCAGTGTTGAGACTGCGAAGCTTGAGAAGGTCGAGAAGAGGTTTTTCGAGATTCTCAAGGATGCGATGAAGAAGCCTCTTGACATGAAGTATCTTAGAGAGTGCATCGACCGTCAGCGCCGGACCTGGAAGTTCTCCACCGAGAACTCAGCCAACTCGTTCGCGGAGTACGTGATTACAGATTTCTTGTTTGGAAAGCGAGATGGCTCGACTTTGAGGGATGTTGCATCATTGAAGGAATACGATGCCCTCGAACACTGGAACGAGGAACAGTGGCGGTCTTTTATCAACAAGTGGATCGCTGACGCCAATCACGTTTCTGTCCTTGGATACCCATCCCAGAAGCTGTCGGGTAAGCTGAAGGCTGATGAAGAAGCGCGCGTGACCGCTCAAAAGGAGCGCCTTGGCGAGCAGGGATTGAAGGAGCTGGCAGAAAAGCTCGAGAAGGCAAAGGCCGAGAACGACAAGGAAATTCCTGAGGAGGTGCTTGCTCAATTTGCTATCCCGGGTACTGACTCGATTCATTTCATGAATACCACCACGGCCCGATCAGGTGCCGCACTCAAGGCTGGTCGCCCTGAGAATCAGGTCCAGAAAGTGGTTGATGCCGATGATGCCGGTCAGCCTCTTTTCATTCACTTTGAGCATATTCCAAGCAGCTTCGTGCAGCTGTCTGTTCTTATCTCTGCCGAATCGGTTCCACTACAGCTTCGCCCTTTGCTCTCCATCTACACTGAGGCGTTCTTCAATATTCCCGTCCTCCGCGATGGCAAGACAATCAATTTCGAGCAGGTCGTGGTGGAGCTGGAGAAGGACACAGTTGGTTACAACATGAGCACTGGAAGAGCACTTGGAAACTCGGAGATGCTGCGTCTGTCCTTCCAGGTGGAACGGGAGAAATACGAATCCGCCATTGCCTGGTTGCAGGAGCTGTGCTGGAACTCGATCTTTGATGCCGAAAGACTTCGTGCCATCACGACTCGTCTTCTAGCTGACGTCCCCGATTCCAAGCGTAGCGGCGATGATATGCTTGCAGCGGTCCATGTCATGGTTCATTATGACCAGGAGTCGATTGCCCGAGCCCGGTCTACTCTGGTCAAGGCTCGCTACTTGAAGCGCGTGAAACGTCTTCTGGCTGACAAGCCGGAAGAAGTCATTGAACGCATGGAGCAAATCCGCAAATCCCTGTTCCAGCCTGACAACATTCGAGTCATCGTGATTGCCGATCTCGAAAAGCTGGAGCGTCCCGTTTCCGCGTGGAAACCTTTCACCGAGCGTTTGGGAGTCAGCGAGACCCTGAAGCCTATCACTGATCGTCGCTCTCTCTTGAGCGAGGCTGGCAAGAAGATTGGAGGCCATTCTTACATTGTGCCCATGCCAACCGTGGACTCATCATATGCTTATGCAACTGCTCGGGGTCTTGATTCCTACGACCACCCCAAGCTGCCCGCCCTACTGGTGGCTATCGCATACATGAATGCCGTTGAAGGCCCGCTTTGGGTTGCTGTTCGTGGCAAGGGTCTTGCATACGGTACCAACTTCGCCTACAACATTGACACTGGATTCGTTAACTTTGACGTGTACCGATCGCCCAACGCCCACAAGGCCTTTGAATCGAGCAAGCAGATTGTTGAAGGGCTCTTGTCTGGTGCCAGTGCCTTTGATCCCCTCATGCTCGAGGGTGCGATCAGCAGCATTGTAGTGGGTTACGCCAACGAGCAGATGACCGCGGTCAGTGCGGCTCAAGGCAGCTTCATCCGTCAAGTTGTGCGCAACTTGCCCAGCGATTATAAGGAGAAGATGCTCAAGAAGGTGCGGGATATCAGCGTTGATGAGGTCAAGGGAGCTCTGCGGGAGATCATCTTGCCATTGTTTGACGCGAAGACTGCCAATCTTGTCGTGACTTGCGGCACTGTTCTTGAGGAGGTATGTTCTATTGGTTTTTGTGTTTTTAGAACCACTCTGGTGCATCCCATCATTTCCTTTGGCCGGACACTTCCGCTAACACATGCTTGTAGAATTTGCGAAAGGGCTTTGAGTCGGTAGGATTCACCCCGGTTGTCCAGCCTCTCAAGGACTTCGAGGATGACTACGGTCTGAAGCTCGGCGACGAGGACGAGGACGAGGAAGATGAGGATGATGAGGATGATGAGGATGACGACGAAGATGATGAATCTGGCTCCGAGGATGACAGTGATGAAGACGACGAATAAACTATTCCCAAAACCAGGTAGATAGACCAGCTCAAGTGACAGGTTTAGAAGTACGCTCAACTAGACCGCTACAAAACGATCAATCTCCATAGAGTCACTTTCAAGGTATTCACTTTGATGGGCAATGAAGGAGTTGCGAAGCCAACTCTATTCCGAATGAACCATTTCGACACAAAGTTTCACTATAATACAAATTTCGCAGGTAATTGTCCTGAGCTAAGCTTCTCGTAGTAAGTAGCTCCTCAAGTGCCTGTCCCAGCGCCAGGCAGCTTCTGCTCGACTGACTGCCACCTCTCCATCGACTTTACATCAACACACGCTTAGCCGAGATGGCTAGACTGTCCGACCCGAAACCATGCTTTATGCAATCCAAAGCCTCGGAATGCAATTTACCAACTCATAGCCCTCCGACCCTTCAGGCGTCGCCGAATAATAATCAATCGTCCTTTCCTGTCCGTATTCCGAGTCAGGAAGCCCGAACGACGCTTTTGCACCCGCCGTGAGGGCCGGAACGTGTTACGCTTGACGCCGAGAGCCGCTGTCGCCGAGAAAGCGCGAGTCTGAGAAGGAAGCAATGAGGAGATGGACGGAGTGAATGAAGTAGACGCTGAAGAAGTCCGCGAGAAGAGAGATTGATTTGGAAGGGCGCGGGTTGGCGATGAGAGAAGCGTGGAGGAGAAGAGACGAGCAGAGAGAATGGTCACGGGCGTCGTGAGACTTTGTGGAGTCAATTGAGAGACTCTGGATTATATTGATACCTTGTTAGCCCAGCCTGAAAAGCACATGTGGTTTGGGGAAAAATTGGGACATTGCGGTGGTCGACTCGGAGTTGACCATCTGGATGTCTTTACGCACCTGTGTGCGGGCATGCGCATGGCAGATGCAGCGCTTTGAACGAAGGGCAGGGCCCTGCAGCGGAGACAGGACATATCTAGTAACTCGTGCTTGAGACTCAGTGTCGAAGGAGAGAGTATGTTGTCGGGGTCAAGTGTGACCTATTTAGAGTATTGGGATGTGGAGCGGTCTGCTCGACGGCCTTGGCTTGAAGAGACGCGGCGGGTTCGGGAAGTTGGACCAAATTTTAAGCGCGGAGCCGCAGGCTCGGGCATGGTCGACTGAACGAAAAGAACACGAAGTGAACGCTGACTGTGTAGAAGGCAAAAGTAAAAACTAAAATGAATACACAAAAGTATTTCAAACTATTCCATGATACTCTTGACCGTTTGAATACGAATGAAGTACCAGGAGATCAATGGAGTTGTCTCTTGAGCCAGCGACTTCCATATGCTACTTGATTAGGACTAGCGTTCCAAAACTTTTTTGTCGCAGATGCGACAGCTACTCAGTCAATTCTTCCTCAACGACCACCACCATTCTGACTTTCTCGTGTACGACTATATCAATTGAGATCGGGCCCCAGTACACAGCAGCGATCAGTATACCACCTCCAATTCTGGCCGTTGACCCCCCTTCTGCCGAAACATGAGCGCCCAAGGCCCCGCGGCACTCCCGCCTACCACAGTGCTCAGCACCAAGCCCATCTCCCAGTCCGAGGCCCACGAATTCCTAGCCATGTACCTTGAGCGTGCGCGCACAGATGCATCGCTGCAACCCAATGCCAGCATCAACGAGAGCGGCCCCGTCTCCCGTACAACGTCTGCCGCTCCAAATTTGATCCTCCACAATCTGAAGCGTGTGCAGGCTGGTCTGGCCGGAGAAGTGCTTGGTCGAGACTTGACTGTGCAGAAGCAAAACCCCGGCGAGGACTATCTGGACATTCCCACGACAGAAGCGACACAAGATCAGGCCGAAAATGGGGAGGATGGCGAGAATAACGACTTGGAGATGAACGACGTGGAGATGGAAACAGAGGCCGAAGCCTTCGCCGAGCAGGAGGAAGAGCAGGCGAGCGTGGATAAGGAAGAGCGCAAGAGAAGGAAGAAGGAGCGCCGCTTGGCCGAGAAGAAGGCTAAAGCCAAGCAAGCAGATGACTCAGATTGATTACCACCTGTCTACTTTGCAAGGTCTTCAGACCACGGGGTGTTGCTGCATTGGGTCGGAGTTTCAAATTTGTTCTTTCTCCATCGTCTTGGAAGCGGCAATCAATATTGCAATAAAATCCGATGCTATCTTATGACGTTTGCAGTCGCTTGTTACGGGGGGAATTGATCCATTACGATGGGGCCGGGTACCAAACTGAAGAAATGAATACCGAGCGTCCTCGGTCTACGCTGTTGAAGCCGAGTTTTAAATTTCAATCCCTGAGTATGGAAGTTCCTAATGTTTTGTGCCCTAGTCATAACGGAACTGTGGAGAGAACACGGTTCGAAGTGATATGTACTCAAAGCTAGACAGGAACAACAGATAGCTGTTGGGACTTCAAGGTTGCCTACTAAGCGTAAGTCAAGATCAAAATCCTGAGTGTTGAGGTCACCCACACAATTTAAGTGATCTACGCTCGTCGTGTCTCAAGTCTCTCGAGTGTGACGCTCAAGTTTTCGAGAACACATCTCTTCCCCATCAGACTGTTCAACACTCGATCCCTCGCATATGTCGTTTCTAGATGAGGGCCACAAGGCAACTTGGCTCTTTTCAAGCATACTATGCCAAAGGAAGAGTCTTGATCAATTTCTACATTTCCGATGGACCTGGCCAGCTTTTCGTGTCAAGCAAGTCCAACAACAAATGTGCTTCTATGTTGTGTGTTGGGAAACTTGCGTCCATTTGGCTGTCAAAAAGCATCAATTTTTTTTTTCTTAAATAACAGCGGGTAGGGACAAAACCTTCTCCCAAGACAGGGAGACGTCCAAAGACGCTTTGCCGATTCCACTTGACTGTCGCAAAAAACGATTGCTTCTTTCACTTCTTTTCGCTTTTGCATCCCTTGACACTTATAGCTCGCGATCAGCAGCCTTGACGGGCTTCTCGCTATCGTCCTCCTTCAAACCAGTGACCTTACCCCCCTTCCAGCCGAGGGCAGCAAGGCGCTCGGTCAGGATAGGGTGTGAGTAGTGATAGCTAGCGTACATCCAGTCTGCATCCATGGTGCTGAGGTTCTGGATTTGCAACTTCATGAGCGAAGCGGCGAGTTCATCGGAGAATCCAAGTCCTTGGGCAAAGGAGTCTGCGAGAGGCGATTGTTAGATATTTATAGGTCCAATCATTATTCAGAAGTTGATTGTCTGACGTACCCGCTTCGAACTCGAATTTGCGGCTCAAAATGTTCATGCAGAGCTTCACAACGGCGTCCATCGGCGCAAGAGCGTCCGAGAATAGCAGGAAGCCGATCATGATAGGCTGCTCCCGGACAAATCCAAACGATTGGTACAGGGATCTGTTGTTGATAAAGACGGAGAAAAGGGCGAAGATGAAGAACATGTGAGACTATTCGGAAATTAGTGTTCTGTCGCAAAGTTGAGAGCAGAGCCTTCCGGTAAGTTGGCATACCTGGGCAATACCAAAAAGCTTGGTGGTGTGGTTCAACTTCCAATGACCAAGCTCATGACTCAGGACAGCGACAACCTCCTGGGGCTCGCTCTTCTCCAGCAAGGTATCGTAAATGACAATGTGCTTTTTCCAAGGTAGACCATAGAAATAGGCGTTGCTGTGCGCACTGCGCTTGCTACCATCGATAACATGCAACTCCGAAAGAGGGAACTTCAACTTCTTGGCGAGGTCCTCAACTCCGGTCTTGATTTCACCAGGTTGCAGAGGAGAAAGCTTGTTGAACAGTGGGAGAATGACAACTGGGTAGATGGTGATTGCGAACACCTGAACGAAGATCCCGAACAGCCAGAGACAGTAAAAGAAAGAGTTTCCGGTCTTCTGGATAATCTTGAGGACGGCACTGATGATGGGAGTACCGAGAACAATGCCGAGCATTTGACCCTTGAGCATATCCGTCACCCAAAGCTTGATAGTCTGCTTGTTGAAACCGAACTTCTCTTCCAGCACAAACGTGTTGTAGTATGAGACCGGGAGGGACAGAACAGTGCTGAGAACATTGAAACCGAAGATGAACAAAAGTGTTTGCGAAATCTCGCCCTGGAATCGATCTGGGAAGTACCGCGCCAATGCGAAACCTGCAACGGCCCAGAGCTTAGGAAGCACGTCGCCGTAGACGAAGACCACATTTTGGAGCTGACCATAGAGACTGGAAACGAAGCCGAACTTGGCCTTGGCACGGCCATACGCCTAGGATTCATCGAATTCGTAAGCTTCTTGTGAACGCTCACGCAGGTTCGTGGCGCATGATCCTTACCTGACTTTGATCAAAGACTTTCTGCGTTACCTCACCCTCAAGGACCTTCGGTGGTTTGGTCTTCTGAAGAACCTTGTACTGTCGAAGAGATAGAAGGCCTTCCAGGACAAATTGGCCCAAGGAGAAGCCTACGAGGACATTCTTCCATGGGAAGAGTGGCCTGTCAAGAAGACGCGCGAGTTGCTAGAAAAAAACAGCTGTCAGTACGGTGAGTTTTACCATTTTCTACCTTTCGGTATGTAGCTCTGAGCTTGGAAATCGCATTCAAATGACTCACCTCGAGAATCCACATGATGCAGATAAACGACGATTACCAAAGAAAAGACTCCAGGACGCCAAAGAAGCTACTCTGTTATTGCGGGCTGCCTTAGTCAGATGCCTGGACCGGGGCCGTGCCCGCCCCAACTTTACCGGCGATCAAACTGAACCAAAGGCGCCACTTCCTGGTGTGCTATATTTACCATGTTTCTCAAAGGGGGTCAAAGGCTGATTGACATTCACTCCATCAAGTTTTCCTTGGACCAACGAAATAGTGAAGATAGATACCTCCTTGACATGGTTCAATCAAGGGTTTGCACAACTGCACATAGCCTTCACAAATCACTATCTGTCTTCTCTTGCCAGCTATAGGTAAGAAATTACTGAAATTCCTCTCACAATCTTTGAATATTATGTGCAGAAAGAAGCCAAAGCATCTTTCTCTATATATACATAGCTATCGATAGGCCTAGTGTAGGCGAATCTCCGCCGTTTCGTGACCAATATGACTCCTACTTCTCTATCGCCGCCTATACATGAAACTGACTGTGTTCCCGCCTAACGTCACAATAATGAATCTAACAAAGGGATTTAGATGGTGAAGAGAACATGAAGAAGGCGATCTTGAGAACGGTCCATTCATTTCAACCGGGGATATCTGTAAATCTCATGCATTCGCCTTTTCCGACTAGTCGTAAACGTGAAGCTTTTGACGGCCTTAGACCGCGGAGCGCAATGCCCCAAGTGAGTGTGAAGGGTCGGAGCGCGATTGGCTGAGGGGTCAGCAAACGGAATCTGTGAAGCTGTCCTCTTGTGGTATATCTCCTTCCTTTTTCAAGTCGCCCAAGAACTGATTGTCAATTGGAACCGTGTTCTAGTGCGCGATGGGCTCAATGGTGTTACCCCTGTGGAGGAAAATGTATTGTTAGCTGGGAAACAGCATTTTCCGTGACAACGTAGAGGGTAGGGTACGTACGCAACAATATTGGCCCAACCGATCAGGCGCCAGTGCTTCTCGATTCTTCGGCTGATGGCAATCTTCTCGCCAATCTCGGTACAAGCAGGGCTTGTCAGGCTGAGCTTCGCAGCATCGGCCTTGACGCCGAGAACCTTCGCACCTGTGGCAGTGGAACCAATGTTCACCATCAGAACTTCATTCTTAGCCAACTTAGCAACCTTAGCCTGCTTGCCGTCCGCAGTCTTGACACCCAGGAGACGACGGAGCAAGAAGTAGTTGACCTCGATTTCCGTGTAGATGGCAGGAAGGCGGCCACGGTGGCCAAGCACGAAACCAACCAGACGGTCCGCACTAGTAGATTGATTAGCACCTTGGTAATATTTGCATGTATTTCTTAAGGGCGAAACCTACCGGCAGAGGGTAGGGTCAATACGGGTACCAACACCGATAAGACCACCAGGTGTAGCAAAGCGCAGGGGGTTGTTCTCAGCGAACAAGGACTCGATGCGAGAGAAGATAGGACGGCACTGGATGTTACCAGCCTCATCCTTCGTGACCAAACCGGGACGAATCTCAATCTCATCATTCTCCTTCAGAACACCCTGAAGAATGGAACCGCCGGCAACTGCAAAAAGAAGAGATCAATCAGTGTGGGCCTTAGACAAGAAGGGATCTCAGATCAGACTTTAGAAACACTTACCACCTCCCTTGAGCTCGTCAATTTCCGCACCAGGCTTGTTAACGTCGAAACTTCGGATCACCATAAGCTGAGGAGTCTCGTTATAATTCCTGATAGGCATGGGCAAAGATACAAGAGCCTCATTGACGGCATCGATGTTGTACTTCAGCTGAGCGGAGATGGGAATGACAGGAGAGCCATCGGCAACGGTTCCTCGGATGAACTTCAGAATAGACTGGTAGTGTTGCAGCGCACTCTCTTCGCGCAGCAGATCGACCTTGTTTTGCAGGATGACCATGTGGCTCAATTTCATGATCTCAATCGCAGCCAAGTGCTCAGATGTCTGAGGCTGAGGGCAAGTTTCGTTTCCGGCAATCAGAAGAAGGGCTGCGTCCATGACAGCGGCACCTGACAGCATGGTACTCATGAGAATGTCGTGACTGAGTACAGATGAAAATTCTATGTCAGCATATAGGACGGACGACAGAAAACATAAGCGCTCTACGACTTACCCAGGGCAATCAACGAAGGAAACATGACGAAGCAGACGGTAGGTTCCACCACAGCCCTCACGCTCGCAACGCGGGTCGATTTCTTTTGCGCTATTGTAGCTCTTGTAGCATGTCGGCCGAGGGCATTCCTCGTTGTCGCACTTGTAGATCTTCGCGTTCGCATAACCCAGCTTGATCGTACTAAACAAGACAGCCATCATGTTAGTTTCGAAGATGCACAATCTCGTCGGAATGGCGGGTGAAGCTCTCACATGTTACGCTCCAGCTCGTTCTTGAAGCGGACGGTCTGAACCTCTGAAATAGCCTTGACAACCGTACTCTTACCGTGAGCGACGTGACCTAGTAAACCAGATGACGTTAGTTACAGAGCGCCTTAATCGAGAGCCCACTTTTCATGCATCATACCGATAGTGCCAATGTTCTGAGTAGCTTGCCGGGCAATGACTTCAGGCGACAAAGGTGTCAATGAAGACAGGTCCAAGGTAGCCGGATCAGGTTGCTCGGGGAGCCAAGGACGCTTAGGAGCCTCGGGAGGCGGAGCAGCAGTCTTCTTCATTGCGGACTTCAGAGGCTTCTCATCAAGAGGCTCCTGGTCATCGAAGTCCTGGGCATTGGTGGCATCGAGGTTTGGGCTGCCGGGGAGTGAATCATCGGAGAAATCGCCGTTGGACGCCATGTTGAAAAAATCGATCGCGCGATCGGTAACACTCGTATGGTTTTTAGCTGTGATCACAAGACGATCTTGCTTCTTCGATGTGTGAAGGAAGCAAACGACAACAATTCAGATGGTGCCGCGGAGACAAAGAGGGAGGCAAGGTGAAAATTGCCGGTGGGCGACGATACGGTCGAATAAGGCAATAGTGGGGGAGGTTTTGTGCAGTGGAGAGTGAGCGGGCGGTGTCTGGCTCGACGGCCTCTTGTGTACGTCTAAACCCTCAGGACATTGAGCTAAACGCGTATTGCACTGTCTTTTGGGACCAAGTCAAAATGGGAAAAGCTAAGAATAATCTCCCTGACAGTGTCCCCGACCTTCTGAGCATTTTGGACCCTTTTTGGCAATTGCATTTGGTATTTGAATTCCTACAGGGGTCAATCCCAATAGTGAAGTACAATCACTAGGTCACAATGAACCACATCCTTTCGGCTACCAAAATGCGAGATACTTGAGGTAACCTCTGGCATCATTGAATATGTGGAATAAGTGGACGCATCGATGTTTAATGTATATAAATCCTGCAGTCTCACTTGGTTAGTACAGTATAAGCCAGGCGATGACCTTGATGCACTGTACGAGAATACAATCCCTGCGTAATTCGAATTTTGTTTTGAAATGCACAAGCCTGGTTATACAGTCCATTGGGTATATTAGATCGCTGGCCCCGGTAGAAACATGCTACTCTTCGTCCTCGTCGCTATCAGATTCCTCCTCCTCCTCCTCTTCAGACTCCTCATCTGCCGAGTCGAAAAGAGTCGAAACATCCTCGGCTGGAAGCATGACAAAGGCAGCGAGACAAGTGATTCGGTTCCCAGTTTCGTATGTTGTCAAAAGGCTCCCCGCCTGTCTGACCGTTTCGGTGGCGGCTTTGACGGCTTTCACGCTCTTGGTAGGAGCGAGAGACTTTCGATTGACAGTCCAGATACGAACCACGCCGTCGCTGTTTCCAGTGACTACGAGCAAGTTTTGGCTGATATTGGCCGCTTGGTTGTTCAGGTTCAGAACTTCGAAATCTTTGATTCTTCCGGGGAAGCCAGCTTGTTTCCCGCCAATCTGGGTAACCGCAGTGGCATGGGAAATTGTCGATTCGTCGCTGTCCTCTGGTTCTTGCAGCGTAGTGGTCGAGTAGAATACCACACGGCCATCCTCGGTAGACACAGCGAGAAGGTCGTTCGTTTCTTGGCCATCACCTGCCACAGACACATACTTCATTTCGTGGATTTTGCTTCGAGGACTAGGCAAGACTCGACATTTGGGCGTAGAATCCTGTATTGAATGGTAAGTTTAGGTCCCCAAATCAAGCCATTGAACGCTTGCACCTACAATACCAAATACAACCGCACCCCATTCAAATGCCACAGCGAACTCCTCGCCGGCAGTGTTCCATGCTAGGCGACGTCCTTCTCCACTGCTATACTTCCCCTCCTTGACGCTCTGCAGAATTTCGCGTCCGAAGTTCAACACACCGGCTTTTTTGCCCGTGACTAAGTTCCAGAGTCTCATACACTTCTCGCCTTTGCCAACACTCAACATCAATTTCATACTCGGGTGGACCGCGAAATGATTGACACCGGACGGGGCAGCTCCTGGTGGGGCAGTATCGCCGCTTGGGCGACCCTGAACCTTGGGGTGTGGCGCTTTAATAGTTGAGATAACCGACCAGTCACGAGTTTTGGAGATAGAGATTTCGTTGTCTTCGGCAGCTGCGAGGAGTTTGCTGCGAGAGGGGAAGCTTAAGGCAGTGATACTGGCAGAATGATGGAGAAGCGACCCGAGTTCGCGGTTCTTGGGGTTCTCAAGAATCTTGTTGCCAGCGAGGGTTGGCACCGATGGATATTCGTCGTTCACAGCCAAAGGTGCGGCAGCCAGCGAGTACAACTGAATCCTCTCGTCAGTCGACCCCGAGGCGAGGAAGACCTTCTGCGCATCCGGTGAGTCGGTGGGCTTGGGCAATGGGGACAACGCGAGGCAGCGAATGGCGGAGCCATGTGCCTCGAATAGAAAAGAGTCGACACATTGTATCGAGTTCTCATCGTTCTTTGAAGAGCCTCGTTCATTGAGAAAAGCAGACACGGGGATACCAGCTGTGAAGCCGTGCAGTACTCGTTCGTAAGAACCCGTCACAACCTGGACTGTAACGGCGGCATCAGGAGTTTCTGATGGAGTGGCTGCTGACTTGGCTGTCTTGGTAGATGATCCAGCAGTCACCGCCTCCTCCTTGATAGACTCGTTGCGCTTGCGTTTGACCATTGCTCTGGTGACACTTCAATGACGGTGAGCGAGGTGTGGGTGCGGCCGTCGAGGTCCTGAGCACGGTTATGCTATCTTGATATTTTTTTTCTGCCGGTTATCAATCAGGCTGATAAGGAAGTTGGTGCCCTGTTGCCTGGAATTGCTGGCGGAGAAGGTCTTGTCCGCCCGCTTACGTTGATCATGAAACGCCAGACTCGGAGCATCTGAGAGTCCCCAACGGTGCACCCGACCAATCAATGGAATAAAGAGAACTAATCACCGCTCTCATCGCAGCACGCATTAGGCCAACTCAATGTCCTGCTAACCTCTTTGATACCAGCATATCATTAGCCTTATCTGTAATTTTCGAGTTGTTACCTATGTCTGGGCTTGCGAAACAAGACTCCAAAAACAGTGGGTTGCCGACCTATTGGCATTGACCCCACGAGTGGATCACGGGACGTAAGGAACTACCTATTAGGCTAGCCGCTAGTATATATATTCAGGACTCAGCACCTCACTGGTGGTCAACTACCAGGACTATATCATGGGATTCGAGCACCACTTGACGGGACAAACATAAGGCAAATCTAGGCCTGGACCACCTGTTCCTTGATCGAGCAGGTCTCCGAGCCCTCCAGTCCCATAGTTGATACGCCGAAATCGTCGGAAACACCGGGGGTACCACAATATATAGATGGGAAGAGAACCTCCCATTCAAAAATAGAAATGGAATATACCTGGGAGACCGCCCCTTTCATGGGAAGCCCGCCGGAGACTGTTGGATATCAAGCTCACGCAAGGTATCCAATTCATATCGTAATGAAATATCGTACACACTAGGTTGCCTAGTTTGGCATTCAGCACATCGTATATACTTCCATGCCTCGTCAATATGTGGGCTTAGATGGATTTGCACCTAATTTTTTCGTACATGTCCGTTGCTCGGCGGGATTGGAGCAACCTTATCCAGCAGGTAGGACCGAATAGCCATTCAATGTAGTAGAAGCAGATTCAACCTGGGCTAACCATGTATTCTAACATACGGGTGGAAATTTGGTCACTGATATTGTATGTAACTACGTACATCATTCTAACATGTTTCCAGGCTACTTCAAGAATTACAGCTATGTAAGGTATGTAGTGAGACATGTACTGTATGTAATCCGAGACATCCACTAAGTTACTAACTATGCCTGACTCTGTGTCAAGTTCAACCGTCTTTTTGGGATAAGTAGGCTCTTCTATCGAGTCCATATGTAGTATCAATTCACTTGCAAGGCTTGCAAGAATGGTTCTAATGCATCTGACAACATTAAAGGCCGTTGTGGTGGTAGTAGATCAAGGCTTGAATGCCTAAGGTATCAACATATTCGCAAACGGCTTCCCTTAGCTGTCCACTGGTTCAGGAAGGGAATGCCAGTTCCATCCTTACGCACCACTGGAATTCACCTGAACCTTATGTACGCCTCCCATACGATACGGATTCACAAAACCCAGTTTTCGCCATACCACTATCAACTTATCAAGTCCAGCTGAGCACGGTGGTGTCTGGATCTCGATTGTGACATCCTCTCAAATACAATCTTGCTGTAACTAAGTTTCTGGGCAAGGACCGCATCGCAATGATCGCATTAGTATCTTAGCGTATTCTAATACGATTCACTGGTTTCCTTAGAATCGAGGATACGGATGAGGCAGATACCTGCTAACTGCGCGGTCCCTGCTGAGTGTCATCATGTCATGACTTTGGCGATGCTTGCCGACTCCCTTCGAAGCCCTTGGCAGATTCTGTTGCCGTAATTTTACCGTATTGTACCCTCACCATCACCCAACCTCCAGCGCTTCCCTTTTCTCCCGTGCCAACCCGTACAAAAAAGTCCTCCCTTCCAAGCCTCCCATCGCTTCACGCGACCACCTCTTCGGAATCCATCCATCAGAGCGATTTTTCTTGCCCGAATGACCGTGGTCAAGCAGCTATCTTTGTCCCCGCGTTAATCGGATGCCGTTTACCCAAGCTAGACCTCATGCTCCGTGACGAGCTCCTCCGGTCAAAGAACGATGAGATCGCGTACGTATAATTTAATAATAATTCCTAAAATTCAGGGATCGCACATTATGCTGCAAAAATCGTTGCGTTTGGGGCTAATTCATGGGTAGGAAATGTCTGTTGTCGCGCAAGCGAAAACTGACCGAGTTGTATTATGCGACCGTGGGCTTTGAGAGCGCGACCGCCGATGCCCTCTATTCCCAGAAAGAGCAGGCCTTCCTCGAGGCTAACGACCTCACCAGGTACGTCCATCATAACACTCTCTTGCGATCTTTGTTACCTTCACGCCTGCAATAGAGAGACTCAAGCTGCACTTGAGCAAGAAACTTACACATTAACCACCTCAGAGGTCGTTACTTTGACGAATCTACGCTCCCGCTGCCCTCCTACCCACGTTCGCAGTCTCCAACTCGGAGTGCCGTCGCATCAAACACCAATAACGATGTGAAGACTCTACAAAGCGATACTCGTCCATATACAGCGAGGGGTGCCAGCCTCTCGCCGAGCCAAAGTGCACGTGGGATTGCACCGCCGCCACCGATACCCGACAGTAAAGCCAATGCGCATCTATCGCCAACATCAACTCATCTGACTACCACCCTTCGACTTTCTTCAAATGCCCCGACCTCTACCGCTCATGTTGCATTTGATCCAGACGGGTCCTCGGTCTCAGACTCAAAGAAAGAAGGCCGACCAGTGACTGTCATCGACAAGGGCGACAAAGTGCTCACCAACCCAGCTAAATCACACGAGCCAACGGACGCCGATGTCCTGCCATCTTTGGCAATTCCTGCCCGCCAAGCACCGCGAAAGAGGTCGGACGCACGGCCTTTGCTCACTCTAGGCCCGTCAAATGGAGAGCAGCCTGTCTCTCCCGCTTCATCAATCGATCCGTGCTCTACCAATACGCCGATCGCTGTCGCCGCGTCGCCTGACACCAGCCCTGGCGAGGAGATTGGAGATGCAAGAAAACTCGATGCACGATCCGCACGCGACGTTCGCTCAGTCCTACCCCGTCCAACCACGATTCCGTCAACTCCGGATGAACAGCTTCGTCTGGAGGAGGCGCAGTCAATTTATCGTGCCACGGTTGACAGCGTACACGTACAGGGAGCGCGTGAGACTATGTCCAAGGATGCAACACGTGCGGACTTTGTCAAACAGACAGTCGATCTTGAGCAAGGGTCATCAATTCCACGTTCAGCGCAATCAACTTCCACCACCAAACCAAGTGCTGCTGAAGGGGAAGTGCTCTCTCCTCAAGAACAAATTTCCATCGAGGACTCAGCCAGAGAAATGTCAACGGAAGTGAAGAAGACCATCGCAATCCCCGCCGCCCAGCCGGATGTTTCTCAGCAGCGAATGACTACTCGTGTTTCATCTGGAGCAATTCGTCACAAATCCGTGTCAGAGATCCTGGGTGAGGTTCCACGTCAATTGAATCATGAGAAACCCTCTGCGAAGCCGGAACCACAAACGTCAGAGAGTTTGGCTCGCATGCGGTTCAAGGATCGCAAGATTCGGGAAAAGGAAAGAAGCCGCGTGTCTACGGTGGTCTTCCCCAAACAAGCGACCTCGTTGCCGGTGAAGAGCGATGCTACGGATCTTGTCAGCCAGGAATCGGTGGATGCAGTCGCCAAGTTGAATGAAGAGCAAGATTATCTTTTTACTCTGTTCTTAAATAGGGCTTACGCGCCCCCGCGAGGAACGAATCTCAATAGTCTTCTCGCATCAGCCCACAAAACATTGAGCACTGCCAACCATCTCCTTGAATACCAAGAGCAGATGGATTGTCGTACTCTTCGGCGAATTTACGCCTTGCAGAATGCCAATCGTTGGCCGTTACGACAGATGAAGCGGTCCGGCGAGCCCCATCGCTCCGCCAGCCATCGTGATGTGTTATTAGATCATATGAAGTGGATGCGAATTGATTTCCGCGAGGAGCGCAAGTGGAAGCTTGCCGCAGCAAAGAGCTGCGCTGAGTGGTGTGCTGAGTATGTTAACAGTGACGAAGAACACCGGTCATTGCTTCGGGTGGATGTCAAGAGACATTCGTCGAATGCCATAGCCTCAGATACTTCAAAACTTTGCTTGCCATCTTCGTCAGGATTCGTACGCGACACCACGCCAACGGCATCTCATCCGACCCCTGATCTAGTACCCTCCACGGAAGAGGAGTCAGTCAGTGACGGTTTCAACGAGGAGCACCGGCAAGATCTCCAGACCACTGTGGCGCCGGCGGCAATATTCTCACTGGGCTCTGACGAATTCAACTTTTCTCTCGACATGACGCCGTCTGCGGAGAAGATATTGGACGAACTACCGCTCTTTGAACCTGTTCGATTCAAGTTTGGAACTCAGGACCTCGCGTTCAAAGACAATCCAGACTCCTTGTGGAAGCTTGAACTTTTGCCAGTGACAAAGTTCGCCTCGACCAAGATCACTTTCCAGAAAGATGCTGAGCATCACCGCAAGGAGACCCGATACGACTATTCCAAGTACGCTTCTCCTTCTGGAAACTCATCAGTAGCAGATCTGCCCCCTGAGCAAACCAACGTTGCTCTATTCCGCCCTGAGAACAAACCAATTCGAGACCGCATCCATCCAGGCCATTCTTTTCGGCCACCCACAGAACACCCCATGCCTTCTGTTGGATTTTTCGAGTCCCGCCAATCTTCCCAATGGACAGCCACGGAAGATGAGGAGCTTCGCCGTCTTGTGAAAGAGTATACGTACAACTGGTCACTTGTCTCGAGCTGCCTCACTCCACCATCTCTTTTCACGTCTGGGGCTGAACGACGGACGCCTTGGGAATGTTTTGAACGCTGGGTGGGCTTAGAAGGTCTACCCGCGGATATGATGAAGACGCAGTATTTCAGGGTCTACCACCAGAGACTTGAATCCGCTCAACGCACGGTACTAGCACAGCAACAGGCCGCACAGCAGCAGCAGCAACAGCAAGCTGCCAGCAACGGACAGCAACCGCAGCCAATTAGGCGAAGAACCACGCAGCCGTTACGTGTTGACAGGCGAAGATCCTCGAAGCACTTGGCACTGCTTGATGCGATGCGAAAGTTGGCCAAGAAGCGCGAAACGATTCTGCAAAAGCAGCAGCATGCGTCTCAACTTGCTTCTCTTCGCAAAGCGAATGAAGCTAGCCAACCAAAACCTCCAATCTCTTCACCTGCGGAGTTCAGTCGCCTTAAGCACGAGCGTGAAACAAAACTCAATGAACGGCAAGAACAGTACCGCCAGCAGATGATGGCTCAGCAACGGGCAAGCCTGGCCGCCCAGCGTGTCGGGCAATTGCCTAGCCAGCAACAACAGCAAGCACCGCAGATGATGAACGGCCCAGGACGACCTGGTAACCTGCCTCCCAATATGCAGAACACAGGCATGGTGAACAACATGCCTAACGGAATCCCTTCTGGAATGCCAGGCAATGTTGCATTGAATCAAGCTCGTGCGCAACCCTTGCAAGGCGTGCCAGTTGGCGCAACCCCCCTCAATGGTCAGGTTCCAGCCAGCGCAATGCACTTGAAGATGATGCCTCAGGGCCAGTTGGCCAACGTGGCTTCTCGGTCCGGTATGCAAATGCAGGCGTCCCCAGACAATGCTCGAGTGATACGTGAAGCGAATCGTCTGCAAGAACAACAGCGTTTGCTACAGTCACGCCAACAACAAATTCCGCAGGGCCAGGTTCAAGGTCAGCAAGCGCCGCAGCAGTTCCATACCCAGCAATTTGCTCCACAAGGAGGACACTCTCCAAACATCAATATGTCCGGTGTCAATGGCGCCTCTAGCAATCCGGCGATGATTGCGGCTCTGCAAGCGCAAGCCGGTATTCAAAGCCCATCGCTACACAGCGGCACTCCGCAGGGCGTTTCGTCCCCCACGCCTCGTCTAGCTCAGCCTAGTACTCTCGCTGGTGGTGGTAACACGATCAGCGCTTTCCAGACCCAGCTTCAGCGAGCGCATCCCAATATGTCGGCCGAGCAGGTGAACAAGCTCGCCACTGAGCATCTGAACCAGTATCAGCAGCAGCGTCTCTCCCAGCAGGCCGCAATGAACGCGGCCGGTGGCGGTATGAGCAATGCTCAAGCGAAATATTCTGCCCCGCATGATAGCAAATTCCAGGGCCCTCAACAAGTCGCCTTGCCCAATGGAGGCGCTGCTATGCAGGTCCCTCAGAACCAAGGGTTTTCTCCAATGATGCGTGTCCCGCAAAGTACCCCTCAGAACAGAGCCAATGTTACCAGTTCGCCGGTCGTCAATGGTAGTGTACCTCAGCCGAGTCGAAGTGCCACACCGCAAACCCAGCGCAGTGGGAGTGCGCAGGCTGGTGCAGTATCGGGCCAAAATAAGAGCCCTCATCCAACCCCTGCGCAGACGACCAGCACCTAACGTCATGCTTGAGTCGGTGCACATTCTTATTCCTCCCATATCTTTCTTGAGTTGTACATAATTCCCCCTCTGACTTGGTGTTCTCTATTTGAAATGTGGTGGTGGCTGGAAAGAATTCCGACGCATCTTCACTTTCGTTTCTTTACCCCTCTATGCTACCTCTGGGCTTGACCTTTTCCGCTTTGGCGTTACCCACTTCCCTGCGCGACTTGCCCTCTCGCGTGTTAGCGTACACTGGCTTCTGATTACCAGTGTCTTCGAACTCTCTGTGGATTTGAGCATGTATCATCTCTTTTTCTGGGTGGACTTGCTTGTGCAACTTCTTACTAGACCCACTGACTCACGAGCACGAATTGTATGATTAGTTTTGAAAGCCCTTACTGTCCAGCGTGCGAGCATGCGATGGAGACCCGCAATGTCAGAATTGATTGACACATGCCTGAGGATATTAGATTCCCAGATCTTTATTGCCATTGCCCTACGATCTCTGCCAGTGAGCATTATTCCCACGACATGGAATGTTTGACTCAGTAAAGGTCAGTTGTAGTGCATAGCTGACACCTCTAGGATTTGCGGCGATCGATGAGCTTTAGGCTATCATCAATTTTGACCACCCGTGACTTTCTGCCAGACTCGTAGCGACACTCAATGCATTGGGCTTGATGAGGTGAGAATAACAATCTTGCTCTTATCCCTACACTCACAAAATTTTAATACTTTGCGATAACTACTGTACGAAAATACGAACATCCAATCAGAAGTAGCTAGAGCGCAGCTAGAAGTAGAAGACAAGGTTGGCATTGGACGAAACCATCAATTGCAGCGTCCGTCAACTGTTCGGTAGGTCATCGTTAGCCGCGCGTTTAAAGCCGAGTTTTGCCACCGCTTTCGTCACGAAGCTCTAGTTGAACTCATTAGTCTTGGATTGCAGATATCGTACCTTTCCTGCTTTTTGAAGTTGTGACTTTTGAACCTTCAGTGCGGAGAGAAATATCCGCCAAGGATCCCCCAAATCTGGACGGAATGTCATACAACCCTGGTGCTGCAGCCGCTGCCAAAAAGTCGGCCTTCTCGATACAGCCGCGTGGCTCATCCGATCATTTCGCTGGCAAGAGTCATTCACTTGCCCGTCGCCCGCATCGTCTTGGTCATGATGATGATAGTTCCGACGAAGAGCAGGCACCTGTTCATGAAGAAATTTCTGGATTTGACACGTTAACGGGTGCTCAGCTCACTGCTGACGGTAGAGCAGTGAGCGATTCAAATCAACCTCTCGTCATTCCTGTCACAAGCAAGAATAACTGGCGCGACCGCCCTGGAACCAACGTGCGAAAGAGCAAGAAGAACCTTCTCCCACCTGAAGTGCAGGCTTTGCAAGAAGCCCAGAAGAATGGACAAGCCCAGGCCGAAGGCGCCGTAGAAGTCGAGGGCCCGAGCATGGCTTATGGTCTAAGCTTTGCGCAAACAATGTCGAAGGAGGAAGGGAAACATATTGCCAACGGAGTTGAATCGAAAAGTGAAGTTCAAGTCGCCTCGACCGAGAAATCAAAGCCCATGACGGATGACCAACTGGCCTTACAAGCTCTGCTTCGTGAGACTACCGGCGAAGTTGAACGGCGAACCGACCTTGTCATCGAGTCATCAAAATTACAAGAAGATGAAACTACGGAGCCGCACCATGACGAGGCCAGTTCTTTCCGAGCTGATGTCGCGTCGCGGCCCGAACCCGCTTCCTTGGACCAATACAACGCTATCCCGGTGGAAGAGTTTGGGGCTGCGTTATTACGAGGCATGGGGTGGAAAGATGGACAATCGATTGGAAGAGGAAACTACAGTTCCTCATCCCCTGCACAAAAGACGAAAACGACGAATGTTCCTGCGCGACGCCCTGGTTTCCTCGGTATTGGGGCCAAAGATTCTGGCAAAGGTGCTGAAGTGGAACTGGGCGCATGGGGAAAATCTGCGATGCGCAAAGCCTCAAGAAAACAGGGCGAAGAGAATGCAGATGGGAATGTTGAGGGTGTTTACATGCCCGTGACCATGCGCAACAAGAGGACGGGGGAATACATTACGGAAGAGGAGTTGGCGGAACTCAAGAAGGAATCGTCCAAGCCCCAAATTGACAAAGAACGCTGGCGAGATCGCGGGGACCGGAACCTGGGATCGAGTGGTCGAGCAAAAGATGGACATTCTCGGGAGTACCGCGAGCGAAACTACAGCAACGAGCGTTCTGGTAGAAAGGGTGTTTCCTCCCGGCGGGAGCGAAGCTCCTCTGCTGGCCGTTACTCGTCCAGACGCTCAGGGCACCATGAGGATATTCACCGGAGGGATGAACGCTCCCATCGAGACCGCCAACGGGACTATGATCGGGATCGGGATAGAGGAAGTGCCCGCTTTGACAGCGATAGCAGGAGAGATCGTGATCGTGAGCGGGATAGAAAAAACCGAGAAGATCGCTATGAAAGCTCAAGACATTCTTCGCACTCGTCCAGGAAAGATGGAAGTGCTTACCGAAGCCGTCGATATGACTGAAGGTGGCCCAACTGCGGTGACAATTTACCTTGCCGTACGTGCGACTGGCCCTTTACTTTCCCGTCCGCGACCTGACAACAACGTTTTGTATGAGATGCTATTCAAAAAAGTGATACCCTGAACAAACGGAATGAATCTGAGAGACTCCGGCAAGGCCGAGTTCCTTGTGTCCGAGTCTACGAGACTGAATATAAATATAACAAGAACGTTCCGAATTTTGTAGAATCGAACCCAGCCAAAGACTCCGCAATGTATGCGCCGATGATTAAATGTACATGGAACTCTTAAGCCCCCAACATGATAACATCCTTCTCATTGCCATCCAAATCCACATTTGCGCTGTCAGATTCGATGTTCAAACGATCCAGACCACCGAGACCAACACCACCATCCATTTCGTTGAGGACCCACTCAACCAAATAGCTATCGTCGGCCAATTCTTCAATACGCTTGTAATGCCTCTCAGTGTAAGCAGTCAACGCCTGCATGATGTCCTTGAGACCACCTCCAGCCCGGCCTCCCTTTCCTCGCACCGATGTCGTAGCCAGTTCGACAAAGGTAGAAGCAGGGTATGAGCGGAACAAGGCGTACAGAATGCGCTGAGACACGCGGGAAGTGCGTGCATTCGTATTCCAGTCGCGGAGGCGCAACAGAAGTGTCCGCAAGTTGGAGGTGCCCAATGTCTGCAGAACCTCATCGATGGCCGGATTGCCAGTCAAGCTGTTCGCCGCGATAGCACGTTCCTCCTCGGTTCGGGTTGGGTCCTCGGCCGCGTTGATTGCAGACGTGAAAAGGGACAAGAGGCGGCCGGGGTGGTTAAGTTGTAGAGCAAGAGTGATCGCTTCGCGGTAATTACCGGCGCGGATGTGATTCTGCAGCTGTTGGTCTTGCTCAATTCGCTCAGACTCGGCATTCACAGCAGCTGAATATGTCGCTGAAGTTGTATCGGTCCAAAATGTGACAGTCGAGTCAGCAGAACCACTGACCAGAGCAAAAGGCGTGCTGTTGACTTTTGACGAGTTTGTCTTGGCGTCACTTCTAGACCCTGACGGTATGGGGCTTGCTAAAGCCCACACTCGGTCTGTATGATTGTCCAAAGTTGTCTCGGCTTCACCGCTGTAGGGATTCCAGATTTTGACCAGTCCATCGGCAGCGGCTGACGCCAGCAAGGGCCTCGTATAGATAGCATGTTTGCTGGCGGTCTCCTCGTCTTCGTCGTCTTCATTCTTCGAAATCTGCGGAGGGGGAAGCCAGATTATCTTAAGAACGCTATTCGTATGGCCTTCGAATGTCAAGAGACAAGTGTAGTCGGCTAGACTCCAAAGCTTCACCGTCTTGTCACCAGAAGCGGTGGCAACAATACCTCTGCTGGTACTAGTTCCGTCTTCGGTGTTCACTATCGGGGTATTCTTAGGTGCGAATCTGACCGACCAAACACCTCGCTTGTGCCCACGCAGAATACCCACGGCAGCTCCCTCTTCCGCGTCCCAGATTTTGACGGTTCGGTCCTGAGAGGCGGAAGCGAAGAGCGCAGACGTAGAGTCAACGTCCAGAGCGTTGATGTCTTTCTCGTGTGCTTTGCGGGTGTATACAGCCTTGGGCGAGTGAGGCTTGCCATTCTTCATTTGACCCAATTTTCCGGTATCCCAACGTTTGATAGTCCGATCCTGAGAACCAGTCACTAAGAAGGCTGGCGGGTGGTTGAGGGGATCGTTGTAAGCTGGTGTTCCAAAGGGAGGCGGTGCCCGCGGCAGAGCAATTGCACCTAGGGACTCAGCGTGTCCGGTCAAAACGGCAAACGCCTGGAAGGACGAAGTTGCGGGATCAAGGCGCCAAAGACGGGCTGTGTTATCCTTCGCGCCAGTTGCCAGCCAGTGTCCAGACCAATCTACGTCAAGACAGATGATGATATCGTCGTGACCTTCCAAATGCTGAACGTCGGCACCGAAGAATCCTTCGTCCTGTGACGACGGTCTGTGATCGGAGGAAGCCACGGAGACCAAGCGAATGCTTTCAGTATTCGTAGCGAGCGCCAGCAACGAGCGATCGGGTCCGGCAAAAGCAAGGTCAATATACTCGTCGTCGTTACCGGAAATTCGACGAATGACCTCCAATGGCTCGATCGTCGACCCTGGCTTGTAATCCGATAGCGCATCAAGGGAATGGAGACGGAGTGTCTGATCTGCATGGACAGACATCACGAAAGGCAGGCCACGTGAGTATTGAATAGCAATAATCATCTCGAAATCTTCTCCAGCTTCCTGCTCCTCAATAACCTCACTACCGCGATTGCAATCCCAGACTCGTACCTTGCCATTCTCGCCTCCGACCACAAACAATCCGCTATCGGCCAGGAAGGAAGCAGCTTCTACGCTCTCCAGCACTGGGATGATACGTCGGCTTTTCCATGTAGACGCATCCCAAATAATAACAGTCTTATCACGAGAAGCAGAAAGAAGGGCATTTTCTTGGGAAGAAAATGACAAACTGCGGACAAGAGACACATGTGACTCGAGGGTCGCAATTGCCTTTCTCTTGTGCAAATCCCACACACGGACCCTGCCCTCCTCAGATCCACTTGCGAGTCGGAAACCTGCCGTAGAGCCTCGAGCAACAGTGACTGGGTCTCCCATTTCTTCGTCTTCACCCCGCGATGCTTTCTTCTTGGGACCTTTCTGCACACCAGACTTTGGCTCTTCTGCAACAGCCGTTTCGAAAAAGGTGAGGGCAGACACAATGCCCCGGTCATTAAAGTTGTGTGTCACATATCCTCCACGTATGTCCCAGACTTTGATGCTTCCGTCAGATGCACCAGTGGCCAGAAGAGTGCTGGTTTGATCAATGGCAGTGGAGATCACTGGAGCAGTGTGAGGCTTCAAAGTTCGAACAAGATCCGCCTGAATTGTTTGGGAATCTTCGTCATAAGGTGAAAGTGAATATATGCGCATGGACATAGATCGAGAGCATACGACAGCGTGCGAAGCCGAGGGCGAGACTAAGTGGTAATGAGCAATTGGTCTTCAACGTGGCGGCGGAAACAAATTACTTACTGGCCAGACTTGTAATGATTTCGCCATCCTGTTCAAAGCAGGGACGTCAGTGTTGATACTCGCAATCAGATGAAGCCGAGAGAACTTACACCTTCCAGGCTAGCAAGCTGATCACCTGTCTCGAGATTCACAATCAAGGCATCCTCCCCGACACAAGTGAGCAAAATACGGCCACTGGAGTCCAGGGACGTGCTGCCACCGGTGTATATCGGGCGAAGCGTCCGCGACGCTTCGAACGTCGTCTTCACAATTGCCTTTGACATGATAGGTGTGGCAGCCTGTCGACTTTGCACGCCTTGACAGCCTAGTGGCACAAATTGAATCGCAAAATGCTCCGCCAACTTTTTTTGAAGTTTGCTCTGTTTGCAATCCGATAAGATACGGCACGTGCGTTGCGGCGCCGCTGCCGCCATTCGCGCGTGATCGCGGGCGGTGGCACAGGTCACTAGATCGTCTTATCGTAGCGTCTGATCAGGTGTTTCACTTACCTCTAGGTTAGAGTGCATGGCCACTGGCCAGTGACTTGTCTTTCGCAGATGGCGCTCACGTGAAGTTCACTGGCAATTATTCCGAAGCCTGGGGCTAACTTCCAATCGATTCTACAACCAGATAGTGTCAATTCGTCATTATGGGCAGACAAGCTTACCTCAACCGCCTTGCTTTGGTAAGTGCTCCCCTGCCGTTCATGATTGTTGTTAAGACAGAAATTCTGTTTCTGCAGATCGGGTAAAGACTGCCATCTTGAAAGATCTTGCATATCCCTTATCCATCATGTGTCCCTGGTATAAGCTTTAAGAAGGCTATTTGATCTCCATGGGAAGCATGATCGTTCACTCCTCAGCCACGGGCTTAAATGGAGCGATGGCAGGAGCCGCTCACTGCATCCTTATATCAGAAGAAGTGAGTTGATGGTTTTTTCTAGGGACGCTCGCCATGTGGGTTGCCAGAACCGGAAGCTGTAGACAGACCCAGCCTGAATGCACGTTCGTCTGAACTTCATGCGGACGGCTATGAACAGCAATATGATGCCCGAGGTCATCCAGCCAATCTTGAATCAAGGCGGTTTGGACGAGACCTTCGGAGAGCCAAAAATGACATCTTATCAACGATGGGTATCGTTGTGAGTGGCGAAGATCGCAAGTCCAGCTCCTCGGATGAGCAGCAAGCAATTGACGAGATTGCGGCCGAGAACGACTTTGGCTTGGTCATTACCACCCTTGATCAGCTCTTTGTCTTTTTCGGGACATGGTGGTCCTCTTCCTTGACTGGACGCATATATGTAAGGACAGTGCGCTCATTTGAAAATGCGGTTTCGGCATCAACAGCTAACACCAGCAGACTTTCCGACATTACACGCACGCCGCGTTGCTCGATGTGATTCGATCAGAGCGTGAAAATACGGGCGTCCTGGGCTTCTATTTTGCTGGAATACCAGCATGGACCATATCCAGCGGATTAGCTATCGCTAGAGACAACCCAATGAAGCGTGTCTTTGCCGCAGCTCGCGACTATGTGCTTGATCTCGCTGGTGCTGACAAACTTTCATTTGGAGTTCGATCATTGTTCGTCTTGACCTACTCAGTGTGAGTACTAGAGATGCCTTTTTCTAAAGCCGCTTGTCCTGACCAAATCCTGCAGCTTAAGAACGTCCCTTCTCCTAGTGTCTATTAAGACACATCTATACTCCCTGCTTCAATCCCTTGCTCTGGTTCCTTCAAATGCCATACCCACCGTCACAAGTCTCTTACCATTCGGCAACGGATCCTTGCTTTTTTTGCCGTCACTGCCTACCGAGGTATCAGGACATTCCATCTTTCATTTCGCCATGCGCGCGTTGACTTCTCCGGGGGTCTTGGCTTTTATACATGCATTTTATCTCCGTCCGAATCTCGAGGAACGGATATATCGACTGATTCGTCGCCAATTGCCTAAGCCTACCCCAGCAGATAAGCTTTCTGTCCGTGTTGCCTACGATGAAAACCTCATCGATTGGATTGTGCCCGCGCTTGGACGTCATTCCGAAGAAGAATCCCGCAGAGAGCAACTGACACTAATGGAAGATTTGAAGTACGAAGCACTTGTCTTCCGTGACTGGATTTTTTCCTTCCTCGGCTTTCATCCGCGCTCCTACGCGATTCGTCAGGCTTCGGGTAATCTCAATCAGGAAAGAATACGACAACTACGCCATTCAATAGAAGATCTGCAGCATCAATTGGAGGACGTTCAATCTCGCAATGCTTTCGTCGGAGGACTATCTAATAGCAGCATGGCGAATCGCGCACATTCCGCTGGTAACCACAACTCCGATGATGCGCACCCCTCTAGTTTGCAGACAATTAATGAGCACGAGCGAGTACCTGGAATGCAAATGGGCATCAACCAAGTCTTCACAAATGAAAATCGTATTTCCCAATCCCCGGGGGAAATGAGCAACGATTTTTTCTCTTCCGTGACTGGAGCACTGGGCGGTACGCCGGTGCATCCACCAACGTCCATATCAAGAACCCCAAGGCGCACTGCTCAAAGCAATGACAATGAAAATGGCATAATCAGAAGTCAGCTTCACTCTCGAACAAACACCTTGTCCTCGCGCCCATCATCGCCTGAAACATCCTCCCCGGCGTCGCCTCGGGTCAGAGCGTCGCTCATTCACCAAGGTTCCGATGTCATCACGATGCAGTTAGAGCTTCTGAGCAATCGTAATCATCACGGCCCGAACTCCGGACCCATTCCAATCTCATCCGCCTCGCACCCAGGTCATGTCAATGCTGGACTACACCCTTTGTCGACGACCGCGTCAGATCGCAGGTCGATCGCCGACTTTCTTGAATCTCTAATTATGAGTCGAGCACAGAGCCAACCCCCCCAGGCTTCATCCGCTGAAAATCATCAGGATATCGTTCCAGCCGCATCCACAGCACACAGCCTGGCGGCACAGGATGTGAGTGGTGTCGAGCACCCTCTGCGCCAACGATCAGAAGTCGTGACAACCGTTGATCAGGCCGCTCAGTTCAACCAAGACGACGATGTGGCGTCAAATGCCCCAACACTCCCCCTCCCGCCCGAAGAACGTGAGCGTTGGGTCGGTCGCCATTCTTCACAACCGGCCCCCCGAAATCAACGAATTGCGGCGGAGAATGGAGTCTTCGGTAACGCCCCTCCTCCACCTCAGAGATCCAGAGGTGTTGAACAAGCGAACTCGACCAATCCAAGTATCGCTCACCGAGTAACGCTGCTGTCTGCTCATCCCGTCGACTCACTCGCGTCCCATCTTGCGTCATTTATCGCGACTATGATTCTTTCCCCTCTCGAATCCTTATGCCTCAGGTCATTAGCATCCTCATATCTCGCTTCAAATCCATTGTCTCGAGATCGAGAGTCAGTCTATCCAATTGGACTCTGGTTTGGCGGTGATTCCTGGCCAGACATGTTTGCCTACAATGGCAGAATTATACTAATGCGGGGGATGCAAGCTGCAATTCGAGCTGGAATCTGGGGCTTCTTGGTCAGCTCAACGATGAGGATTGGGCGAAAGTTCTGTGGGTGGGGAAAATTATAGCTAGTATCATACGTAACTTTCGAGCGCAAAAAGCCGGTTTGAACTATCTTCCACACTTCTAGATCGCACCAGATGGACAAGTCTTGAGTGGCCTAGAAGCTTCGTACACGATTTTCTACGAGAGTCGCAGCCTGTAGGCGTGATCTATAAGATTGTGTCCGAGTAGCCACTCTCTGAAAGTTGCTAGAAGCAGAGGCAATTGTAATGCAGCAGGATTTCAGATGGAATTTCCGAAGACCACATTTGCATCTAAGAACACGTCATAATACCCAAAACCGCCGCAGATATTGGAGGAAAACATGGGGGCTTAACAGTACTCTTCATAAGAATGCACGAGCACGTCAATGGGCGCAACCAAAAGCGTTCCAATCAGAGATGTTCGTTAAGATCTGATTTATCATGTCTTAATTTTACAAAAAGCTTGATCATGGCCTATGACTTCGCTCGGCCCTTGGCTTTGGAGCTGGACGTTTTCCTTCGTTCCCAGACCATCAGATATCCTTCGCGTGTGAACAAGGTCTCTGTTTCAGCACGCTTGACAAAGAGGTCTTGAATTTCAAGCCATTCAGAGTTGCGCTGCTGCTGCTCAGCACCTCCTGTATGGTTTGCACTCTCAGCAGATACTGCTTTGTCATGCAACTGTACAAGCCACGAAACCTTTTCAGTGCCAGCTCCAGCTCCTGATGACGATCCGCCAGCGCCAGAGGCGGCGTTAACCCCCTTGTCAGCCGCGTCCTCTGTAGCACCGGGTGCAGCGATAGCAGGGTCGAGAATGATATTGGCAACAAGGTCATAGAGGATCGGTTCGCTCGGTGAGCAAATCGATGGGTTTGGCTCAACGTATGGAGACATATCCAGAGAGCGTGGGGAGGGGAAGGTCACAATCGTAGGGTTTCGCTCGCTCACGAAACGATTCTTGCTGAATCTTTTGATATGGAAAAGGAGATATGGTGGAAGCGGATGCAAGAGTCGATGTCGAACACGTTGTGCCATTTTCTCGGATGCGTCCCGACCGTTGTACTTGTTGAGCAGGTTGATCAGGGGTACTTGTGGAATAATTGATTCCCGATTCGCCGATTGGAAGAGGGGTGTTGGAGGAAGGTCGAGTGTGAGTATTTGGAAGGGCGTGATTTGGCTTTTTATGTCGCCGGATTCTGTGAAGACAAGGCGGGCATTCTGAGTATCTGAGTGCGCGGTGATTGCCTGGCTTTCAATGCGAAGCTGCCCTTGGAAAGAAGCCTGTATCACACTAGTCGGTGTTGGGGACGGCTTTTTGGATCCTCCGAGAGACAGATGTAGGTTGTTGAGGAACCATGAAAGGAACTCCACCGGGTCGGACTGGTTGGTGAGGGTGAACCGCTTCGAGGATCGCAGGGCGATCTCTTGGAGCAGCTCGTGAGGTGAAACATGCGACCTGAAAGCTTTGGGATTCCACAGCTTCCGTACAAGGGTGCTGAAGCGAAGGACGAGTTCCGGTGTCCCGGGCGTCGGAAACTGATGGAGAAGGAAGAAATTTCGAATCGGGTGAACATGTGCTAGAAGCTGAACAACTACATTGAGGTAATCGTTCGCTTTGATGTTATTCATTCCCACAAAACCTAGAAGGGAGAGTCAATGATTATCAATGCGTATCTGCTGCGACCGAGTAGTCACCCACCTGGTCGATACCGTGTTCCAGAGAGATCCCAAGCGTCGTGAACCTCTCTATCTAGCTTCGCGACCTCAGACTTTGTGTATACGGGATCAACCACGTATTTGATATCATCCAAGCTCTTGCTCTTCACTTCATACCCTTCCGGTAGGACGTAGACCTTCTTTGTCCCGATATTGATAAACACATGGTGGTTGTCATCGAGAGAATGGAAATATGCATGCGATTTCGGCCCCCGACCCTGGAAGTATTTGCCACAGACGAGACAAGCATACACGTTTATATTGGATAGACTGATAGAGCAGAGCTTCTCAAAGTCGAAATCCAGAACACCTCGGTTGACAGTATCGAGGTAAAGGTCATCGTAGCCCTCTTCAGGCCGTGCTTGACGCTTGGGAACGCTGAGGGCAGAAAGTTCTTCGTCAATGTCCGAAGTCTCCGAGACATCATCTCTTGAGTCAGTAAAAGTAAATTCCTGAACTTCTGACCCATTCTTGGTCAATGGCTGGTCGTTGCTGGGTTCATTCACGCCGTTCGTGTTATCGCTGGCTTCGTGCGCGGTCGCATTGCCGTTGCGGGATGTGCTTTCATAGTTTTCGTTGTCCACTCGCAGCTTCTTTGGTATTGGCGAACCAGGGAAATCCTCTTCCAAAGGCACGTCGGCTTGTCTCTTCGACATTGTGTTTGCAGTCGAGAAATTTACAGATGATGAGTTGCGATCATTGGCACTGTTCCGCGCGACAAGCAACAGACACTGCAAACTTGTCAAACACGGAATTGTGGATCCTTCCGGTCTGATTGTCAGTGCAGCGGAAGCGTCGTCGATGCCATCATTTCGGGAAGTGCTCCACTTGTAGCCTCGATTTGCCATCTTCAAGCATTGGCTTATTTATAACGAACCTCTGTGTGATACTAACAAGTTGGAATGGCTCTTAGTACGAAGCGTCTAATTCTAATTTTTGAGGTCCAGTGGTATATTGGAGTTGATCTTGTGATCAACAATAAAACGTCATAAGATATGATGCAGCAAAACGTCTGCTAGGATGGTTGACAATCACGCACTCCGAACGATCTTGTCATTATCGAAATCAGCCTCCTTCACACCGTCTTTCGTGATGATCTTGACGAGGACCTTTGAGACAGAAGAGTTAGTCACAGAATTTGTTGGAGAATTCATGGTACACATACACCCTTGTAATCGATCGGCAACCGTCGCTTAAGCTCATCTGTGCACATCTCCAAGAGCTTCATGCCCTGAGCAAGATCGATTTCGGGATTGTGGTGCTTGTCCAAAAGCGACAGGCAATAGTACCTGCGACGGATTAGTCTCATGAACCTGACTAGTGCGTGGGTGAGCTACAAAGCAGGCTGTTACGTACTGGGCATACCCATGGGCGGCGTATGGTACGCGAGCCAAGGACGCCAGATAGTCGATCCAGTAAAGGTGAGGTTGCTGAGTGTGAGGATCCATGCCCCCAAGGAGTAGATTGACTGTGTAAGGACTTCTCGACCGCAAGCTGGAAGCCAGCTCTCCCCGCACAAAGTTGGCCACGGCGGATGGGCTGAGCTCTGAATCGTTGCGCATCGAGTAAAGCTGAACGTTGGCTTGAATGAATTCGGCAAATTGGACTTGGCGAGAGACTCCGTCAGTGCGAGAGCTCAAGTGTGTACTGGGAAGTTGAGCCCTTCTCGGCTTGCAAGTTACTCACCGGTGTCACCGGCCTCTCCGCTGAAAGCCATCATGGTGTGTCGATTGAGCTGCCGCGTCTTGTCGTCCTGAGCCTTGATGATTGTTGGGCCTCGCATAATGGCCTTGGAGGCAGCCACAATGACGAAGTCCTTTCCGGTGATTCCCAAAAGAACCTCCCTTTGTAGCATGTTAGCAAATGCACGTGGACGGTGCAGTTTCCAGAGGGAAAGATTGCTCACATATTTGCAGTTGAGTGAGCTTGAGATTGGTATAGAGCGGTTGAAGCAGGGAAGGACAGGGGAATAATGATGAGTTCCGCAATGTGAGAGCTAGGACTTGGTGATGGATGACCGCGCGGCGAGCTTGCCGCCTGGACTGGCAGCGGGAGACGGGAGCTTCTGGGCGGGCTCAGCTCGCTGCTGACTCAGCCGCCGCCTAGCGCTTTTTTCTCCGAGAAAAAAAAGTTGTCCGCGCCATAGACGATTCATTGCGGCGACGATAAAGACAACACCTCTTTTTACAAGGATTGATACTAACGATCAAGTGGTCGATTGGATATTCCGAAAAAAGTGAAACATCTGAGTGGACACCATGCCATCTTTCTTCACCGTCCCCGCGTCGCAGCGCAAGAGAAAGAGAGATGACCGCGCTGCCGCTCCAGCAACGAAGAAGAGAGGCGTCGATGCCAAGAAGGACCAGGCAGGAGGTCGTCGAGCCCGGGAGCGAGAAGACTCTATATCTGGGAGCGACGAAGAGGAGGAGGCTGAAGTTTTGGGCTCTGGGATATCCGGGTCCGAGTCTGATTCGGACTCGGACGAGGGCGAAACCGCCGCAGACCGCAGGCTTAAACTCGCCGAGCGATATCTGGACAATGTTCGGGAAGACGTCGAGGAGACGATTGGATTTGATGCCGCTGAGATCGATCGAGATCTGATTGCTGAAAGATTGAAGGAGGATGTGGTACGTCAAATTGGACCTGGACATGGAAATTGCTTGCATCTGACGACTTACACGAATACCTGTACAGGACGAATTCAAGGGACGCACTTTCCGGCAGATCGCATCGCATCTTTCTTTCTCAGAACCTTCCTATTCATTCTTTCGCTCTGATACCCAGTCCACGACATCTGTTGCTCTGCATTCTCCATACGCCTATACGGTGTCGAAGGACAAAACGCTGATCAAGTGGGAACTGGCTACCCCGAGCGCATCAGCAGCGGCTGAGAATAAAGGTTCATCCACACGCCCGCCTCGTCCGCAGCGCAAGAAGCCTAAGCGTGTTAAGTACGCGAGAGGCATTCGCAAGATTGCAGAGACTGGAGAAGACTCCGGCCACATTGGCAGTATATTGACTGTCGCTGTATCGCCTTCCGGTAAATTCGTCGCAACAGGCGGTGCGGACAAGCGGCTCGTCATTTGGGATGCAGAGACATTGGTCCCCATGAGAACTTTCACGCAGCACCGCGATTCTGTCAGTAGTCTCGCTTTTGCGCGTCACATCTCCACTATGAGCTCTGGAGAACAACTCTTCTCCGGATCTTACGATCGGACACTGAAGACTTGGTCAATCAGCAATGCGGGTCACGCTTACGTTGAGACCCTTTTCGGCCACCAAGACCACGTCACAGGCGTTGCCGCCATGACAATTGACCAGTGTGTCTCCGTTGGGGCTAGAGACCGCACCGCCAGATTGTGGAAAGTTGTGGACGAGTCACAACTCGTTTTTCGTGGTGGTGCCTCTAAAAAGGCACCTTACATTGAAAGCAACATTGATTGCATTGCTCCACTTCCTCCCAGTCACTTCGTTACCGGCTCCGACTCAGGTTCTATCTCGTTGTGGTCCATGCACAAAAAGAAGCCACTTCACACCATTCCCTTGGCCCATGGTCTGGATCCGATGCCTCCTCTGGATGAGCTGTCCCCAGAAGTTGACCCGGAGACCGCGGCTCGTAATGCCCGCCATATGAGGCGTATGCCGCGCTGGATCACCGCCTTGGCAACTGTTCCTGGCACCGACGTCGTTCTCAGTGGTAGCTGGGACGGCTGGATTCGGGCGTGGCGCATCTCCGATGACAAAAAGACGCTTATTCCCCTAGGACCCGTTGGGGGTGGTATCATTGGACGGACCGCTCCTGACTCTCCTTCCAAGCAACTCAACACATCCCTCGCACTTCAGGCAAGCACTGATGTCGATGCAATGCAATCTGAAGAGAAGGTTGACGAGACACCAGAACTGCAGCCACTGATCAAGGGCGTGGTGAATGACATTGCTGTCTTCGAACGTCGCCCCGAAAGAGATGTTGATCCCTCCGCAAAGGCACCTAAGTCTGGAAAGGCATCCACTGCGGAGGCTCGAGGCCTCTGCATTGTCGCTGCGGTCGGAAAGGAACATCGCTTGGCACGATGGAAGTGCTACACCAACAATTACGATCAAGGACCTTCTCCTGACGGCCGAAATGGTGCAGTTGTATTTGAGGTGCCATTCGCCTCTACGGATGACATCGTGGAAACTGATGTTTGAAGGTGGTGGTCTAGGGCTGAGGGTTTGATGATATCTTTTCTTTCACAGCGTTGTAAAAAAGTGGTCCCGGAGTTTGGTGTTGCACTTGTACTCTACTATACATTACATCCGTATGGCTGCGAAGTTCGCCGAGAAGCCGTACGGCGTCGATACTTCCTGAAATGATCGAATTTCATGATCACCCGTCTGTAACGTGCCGTTGAAGTAATGTTCGTAGTCTGACCACTTGATGAAGGTCTACGAATCACGTGAGCGTCCAGCGCTATTCATGAACCGCTGTACTGGGGGTCGTAATTCTCAAAACAGCCCTTACATCTTTTGATGAGCAAGGTTTTTATTTGATCAAATGGCTGCAAAATCTAGTCTCATGACGAAATGAAAACTTCACGATACTCAAGTTCTCGACAAAAGTCATGTGATAGATGCTCATCGTCTAAAGCCAAGTGCGATCGCCGAACACCTTGTAAGCGATGCGCCAAACGAGGTTTGCCATGCGTCTACACAATTCCACCGAGTGATCCTCGCAAAAGGCCTCACGAGCACTTACTGCATGGGCGTATCGCTGAAGAGACCGACCGTGTTCACGACAGACCAAGTGAATGCTCAGAAAGAGGCCGTGTCTCGATTGCATTTGAGACGAATGATGCACGAGAGACCTCGTTGACCTTGGACCAGCTTGATTTGATTTGTCCCATTGACGTCGAGGATATCAGCAACCGCTGGCTCAGACCTTACATTCCTGGGCCAGATCAAGTCGTCAAGGCTTACCCAGCTGTGGTAGCAAATTATATTTGGCGAATCCTGAATTCGTATGCAGCCAGCGCTTGCCGAGGACGCGGCACACTCCCGTTTACTCATACTGCATTGTTAGCGTCTCAGGCCCCAAATTTACCCATGGCTACCTGCTTGAGTCTCATTCGCATCGCCGAAAACCCGCTCTCGGGAACCGAGAGCGTAGCCGCTCATGTTCTTCAACGGGAAATGGAGAGCATTGTCTCAGCAAGGGAAACCTTTGATGAGGTGGCGCTCCTCAGTGCATATCAAGCGTACCTGGTGTACACACTAGTCTTGTTCTTCCGATTGAAGCAAGGATCCTCTGCTTTCTTTCGTCAGGCAATGATGCATTTACAAGAACTGGCATGTATGACATGCCGTCAGGGATTGGTGTGTACTGCTGAGCGACTGCATCTCCGTCCCACGTGGGAAGAATGGATTGTCGCCGAGTCAAAGAGGCGCACCCTCTATATCATGTATCTTCTGGACAGCGTGCTTTCTGCTCAAGAAAGACTTCCCACATTTCTCGCCACAGAACTACGGGGTCTTCCAGCACCGTCAAGTAAGCTTCTGTGGCACGCACGAACACGAAGTCAGTGGGAGAAAGAATACAATTTATTTCTCACAGAGTGGACCAGCTCATTCTTCGCCATTGACGAGCTTTGGCCAATTCGAGGCGGGGCCAGCGAAGCTGATATCACAATCAGAGAAGACAGGACGAACCGCTGGCTTGAGAATCTGGATGAGTACGGAGTCATGTTCTTCGCTGTCACAAGCTACACACATGGCTGAGCGGCAATTCAATCTTTGATTGCGGAGCCAGACTTTCCTCTTCGCCTTCCCGAGAGCGCATAAGGAATGCCCAAAATTATGCAGTTTCTCTGCCGATCTTGTTGCTAAAGAACTGAAGCCATGAAATTGAGCTTCAGGGCAAATACCGCGGGAAGGGCCTCTACTAGCTTGGATTCCATGTTGCGTTGCCCATCATTGAAAGGTTCGGAGCGCCAAGTCACACAACGATCGAAAAGGGTTTGTCGATTGACAGTCAATGTTCCTAATGACGAAAGCAAATGTGGAACGATCAAGGAGCCGGCTGTCCTCTCAACCACCCATCTTGGAATGTCCAATGCATGCTGAAAATACATCAGATTCTAGTCTAAAATCCCGCGGGCATTGGCTGGACACCACTGCAATTGATTCCGTAATGGTTCTCCGAACAAAAGTCACTGACGCTGAGATGTCTCTTTCCGGGGTCGTCGGGGTCTGATTAGGTAGCAAGACTCGCAGGTCAATAACGTGATGGTACTAAAGTCAAAGGACTTTTCGAGCTAGGAGAGGAAAGTCTCGTTACAACATGGCACTACGCTCAGTGACTTCTTCACTGGGTCTACTGCACAGGTCCGGTCCATCACTGTTTGTGCCATGATCAATTCGATCAAGGGGATTTACACGGGTGTGAGCGTAGTTTACTTCTTCTCTCCGTTGCTGTTAGGGGACACTTATCCGATCACCCAGAAATATACCTCAAACTTCGTCACGTTCGACCAGGAGAGTGAACTTTACTTGAATTACCAATGCGAGGAGTAACGCAAAAGCTTTCCCCCTCGTTAACGAGAATCGAATACTCAAGGGGCTAGGCCATGTTCTCTCGGTAGCAGACAATCCCAGTGACAGGGAAATCTACTATCACGCGTCCAATTTGAAGCCGAGGGATGACTGTTGTAAGTACATTGGAAGTTGGCAATACATTAAGAGGATCACTAGCTGCTTTCGTTCGTAGAATAGTGAGAAAGGTACTGGATCGGATACTGATTGACGTATTTGTCTGTTAGAGTCAAGCTTGGACACAGGATTTACTAAGCCTCTAAGCTGCAGGTGTGTCTAAAGGAACTGCCCTTTCGAGGTCTGGCAAAGGGCAAAGCATTCTTCTGAATGTAGGTGTCGAAGATCTCTAAAGCGTACGTTTACTTCGTAAGAACACGGCATTCTGGTAAAACTGAAGTGTCAAGGATATTGACTGTTTTAATAACTAGAATATAGGGACCTGTGAAAACGACGCCGAAAATGATAGCCTCTGGCGCCAGAAACGGCCGCCTTTCGACCCGTAACTTTGTATAGCGGGCCGTCGCTGAACCTTGATCACAGGGTTCCCCGCTTACTCGATACCGTAGCTCAGGCCATACTGATGACAAGGATCAACCGCCCTCAGATCAATACAGACACCCCTTCCAGTTCGCTTTGTTCCATTCTCTCGCTGTCAGGATAGTTGCCCAGCGCAAATCTCATTCAAAGCTACACAAATCATCCCCGCTTGTTGCTGAGTTCATATCTCCGCGTCACGAGAAGGTATCGCATATTCCGCTCAATATCACCTAAGCGTCATTTCTGCCCTATCCCTCATCGATGTAATAAAGAGACGCATAGGTGCTTAAGTCGCCTATATTTGTTGCCGTCGTGTAAGACTTAATCGCTAACACTAATGATAAAACAGTGAGACTTGCCAGCAAAATGGCGGTTGCAGTGGAGAGTGCCATCTTGGATGCCCTCTATCTTTCAATAAAATCAAGACTTTCGAAGAACAAGAAAAGGAGGTGGACAAGGCGACCTTGAGAGCGATCGCGGACACATTTGTCAGGCACAGCATGCATATCAAGCTAGGAGCCGGGCTTCTCCATCGTCATGACACCCTTCAAGACGGAACTGCGATGTTCCACGAGGTTCAATCCCTGGAATCTGATATCTGCGTCCCAAAGGCTCTTTCAAGCATCGGCATGGACAACATCGCGCCGAACTCGTCGTTCGTCAACCAAAATGGACTGTTCCAGGCATTCGAGTATAGCGCCAGCGGCGAGGCAACTCAAATCGACGCAGCTTTCGCTTCAGACCTTGCCGAGTTTCTCAAAGCTCACAATTTTTTAGAGAAACGGATTTCAATCATCCCGAACCCTCCAGGCAAAGAAGACTTCATTGAGTTCACACATCCTAGTGGACGTGGCACCATCAGTGTCCCTCTTCGCCTCATCTCCGAACAAGAGATTGAGACGAGTGAACCTGTCATCACGGGATGGAGTTTCCATATCAATGAACATGGGGTTGTTGAGTGCAAAGGGAATAACGTCTGTACTTCTATGAACTCTGGCAACCACAAAGTGTTTCAGGACTCGAAGCCCTATACGGAGCATGTAGTCAAGGTTACGCCGCAGTTGGATGCTGCTGCAAAAGAGACTTAATTTTGCAAATCCTTGGAAATGTCCTCATTCTCCCCTCGTTAAGTTCCATCTTCCACCATGATGCCCCTCATGCATTCGTTTCGCTATATCTGCAGAAATAGAAATTGAGCACATACTCTACCACGTCCAAACTCCAATAACTTGATTTCTGTGAGAGGTCCGGTGTAATCAGTCCTTGTTATTTTTCTATTCCGTCGGAAGCAGACATGGCTTTTAATATCCTTTCGAGAATGCAAACCCCAAAACCCCACGCATCAAGCTCCCGTCTAGTACTGATCTAATCCGAGAACATGAACCCGGCCCGTAGAGTCATCGATAAGGTAATTGAATGGGGCGAGATCCTGGTGGGCAAGTGTGATGGGGAGGGTAGTGATATTGGGTACCTGTTGTAGGAGCTTGCTGATGCAAGCAGAAATTTTGTTTCTGAGGGTTGTATGTCGGAAAATTTAATTATTGACCGTACGACGGATTCTCTCAAGGGTAGATGTGAGGTCGGATAGAGCAGTGTCAAATATAGCAGTGTTCGTTCTGGCTCCCCGAGTAAGGAGGTCTGCAAGGTCCATGACGGTCGCCATCTTCTTCTGAAGTGGCAATTGAAAATCTTCAGAAGACATCAAGACACTGATGTGTGGTGTCCCTTCTGCAAAAGGCGATGTATACACAAAGAGCCCATCGTACATGCCCTGGTATGTTACCAGAGGTACAATAGGTCCATGAATGCGGCTAGCTTCGATGACTCCGAAAAGGTCTTGCTTGTCGCTTCGGAACTGGACGGCAAAGCGACAATTTGCGTCCGTGGAATGAGTATTTAATTTAACGGTATAGCTCATACTTCCCTGGAAAGGGCTGGGTTGAATATCTACCTTGCCGGTAGTGTTGGGAAGAAGAATTGGGGCAATGTGGCGCAAGGCGAACTGGTGACACGATTCCTGGGAGAGTTTTGGCAATGACTCGAAGAATTGAGCCACGACAAGGCACTGGTAATCGTCCACTGTCAGAGCCCACTAGGGATGGCATTTACCTATTCTGTCTGACATGAAGTGAGCAGTCTGAGTTTGGTGTGGATGCGGCTATATTGTCCCTATTTAAAGACGGGAACGACATATTGCCCGCTCCTAACAAAACATTGGGGAGGTCGAGACCTCGCCGGGATTGCATTGCGCATCATGATTCATCCGACGATCAGATCACGAGATCCCAGCTCCTTATGTATAAGGCCCTCAAAATAAGTTATTACTACGGGGCGTGAAGGCAAGTTACCTGGGACCCGCCATATCCTACATATCTAGACAGGAGAGATGGAATGGCTCGGTATTCACAATGGTTCTATTTTTAAAATACGGTAGGCTTCACCTTGACTTCCCTAGAGTTCTTCTGCAAACTGATCTCGTCACCCCCGGCCAGGCGTGATTCTGCTCTTTCGTTTCTGCGGACTGTGGTTAGCCTTGCTCATGTAAGGGGTGCGTTCTTAATTCGGAAAGCAGGAGCACTCCGAGGGACGTCTATCTAGACATGATACGATGCTGATGGCATTTTCCGCTGCTTGGATCTGCTCCTGGGAATACATGATCGTTCGGGATTGCGGAATAGATCATTCAAATGTTTGGAAGCCCTCTACCCAGGGTAAGGCCCCGAGCATCCACAGCTTGAGGTTGTTCACCAGTAATGACGGCAGGCTCCTGGCTCTAAGTCGCAGGATTCAAACCGGCGGATGGATGCTCAGTGCGAATCTCACATAGGTTGGACTTTGTCCTGGAAAGGATGCTAGCAAATACTAGCGCTTGATGTTGCGTGAAAAAGAGGACCTACAAAGACTTCGGGACGTTGTGATGGCGAGCACTCATAGGATTGGGACTGCGGCTAGGAAGAGGAATTGAAGGAGATTCGAACCCCACTTTTGCCATTTTTGGGGGAATTGCAGGCTCCTTTCTAGACGAAAATCGCCTGTGAGGCAGAATTCGCTTCTACCCGGCGCAGACGATCCCGAGCACGTCCTACAGTCCAGAGCATTACATCTTGAGGACGCGTGACCACGCCAGTTTCACAGCCCATAATCATCGGCTATAATTCGCCGACAGCAATTCCTGATAACCTCAGGGATGCAGCAGGCGTTGCATACCCACATTGCTCATCGGCTGGTTATTTGGTTTCGATAAACGATTGCGGGATGGAGGTACTGTTCTCGCAGTTGCATCTGGTAGTGGCCGCAGGATGCAACATTGACGGAGGTCAGAGGCGTGTACGCTATTTTCGCTATTGGCCTATAGCACCGGGGTGTGCTGTCAACTATTAAGAAAATGGGCGCGGAGGGACCGGAGAGACCGACGATGACGACCCATGAGCGCCTCGGTATTGGCACGAAAGCCATTCTGTGACTTTGGGACAGTGCAATGTAACCTCGATGGAGCGGACGGAGCGGGGCACGCCGCGTCGAGAGTATACCGACTCTTTGCAGATGTGAAGGAGGCTGGCAGGATCACTGCCGAACGAGGCTCACAGGAAGAGGGAGACCTAGATAGCTTCGTAGCATGGTGTACAGTCACTTCATTGAGGAAGGAGTAGGAGTATCGAGCCGAAGACAAAAGATGCCGCTGGGTGCCGGATCGTCCCCGTGGTTCTGTTCCTGTGCGACTGCCGTTCCAGCTCAAGGAGCGAGAACGAGCCTGGAGTCGGATCGAGCGGCATATCCGGTGAAATGGAAGGGGTAGTGCGTCGGGCTGAAAGCCAATGCGCAGTAGTCGGTGGGGGCCAAAGTGAAAGAAAGGCGGCGGCGATGAGTGCAAGGTAGAGGAGTTGACGGGAGGGAGAAGGACGAGATGAAGAGTTCGAAAGGGCGAGGTCGGGTCTTTTATGTTGGCGCAATGGAGGAAGAGGTTACATGACAGTGTATTGGGGCACTAGGCCGGGAGCGGCAAAACCAACCACATCTAGTAAATCACAGGTCCCAATATTACATTGCCTATTATTCAATTCGTCACGATGTCATGTCAAATACTGCTTCCACCAATCCTCCTTTCGCGTGTAGGATTCAAAGATCGCTTTTTTGCCGTGCCATCCGTGGCCCTCGCCTTCAAATTCAACGACCTCGGCCACTCTTCCCTTTGAATGCATGGCCTCCGCCATCATCCTGGCCTGGGCAATTGGAACAATCTTGTCCTCAGTTCCTTGCAACATCAACAAGGGGGCCTTCATCTGCTCTGCAAAATAGCATGGACTGCGGCTCTTGAGCTCTGTCTCCCATTCTTCAGGCTTGGTCTTGCTAAGGAGAAGACGATCCACATCTTGGCTCTCAAACTTGTAAGAGTCAGCCTGCAGAGCTTTCACATCGCTGATGCCATAGGAGCTGATCCCCGCCGCCCATGTTTCAGGGTACATGTGGAGTGCCCGAAGGGTCAAGTACCCTCCTGCACTGCCGCCATAGATTCCAATCCGGTTGCCGTCAATCAAACCTTTGTTTGCGAGAAACTCGACAGCACTGACTGCGTCGCCGACGTCGACCAGGCCCCAATAGCCAGATAACCGCTCTCGATATTCCCGCCCAAAGGCAACAGATCCAGTGTAATTGACAGCACATACAGCGAAGCCACGGGTAGTCCAGTATTGGATTTCGAGTGAGAGCGCCGGGGTCACGGCTCCGTTGGGGCCGCCGTGGACGTATGTCAAAAGAGGAGGCAGCGCGCCATCTTCGGCCTGATAGTCAGGATTTCGCGGCGCAAAAAAGAACATGTGCACCTCGCCGTCAGTAAGCGGGCCATACTTTTGGGGGGCTGTGTACTCTGTTGCGATCGAAACAAATTCGGGGCCCAGCTCGAATGATGCAGTGGATGTGAGAACTTTTCTGCTGACTTCAAGAGAAGAGTTGAATGAGACAAGCGACAGCTCCTGTGGTGAAGTCTTCGACGACCCAACAACCGCGAAACTGGTTGGCGATATACGAGTAATTGAGTCCACATCCACATAGGGGAGGTCAAGTTTCTGCGCCGAGCAGGTAGCAGTATCCACGAGTATAATCTTGCTTGTGGCGTGGGTGATCACGGTGGCAGCAATGATCTTCTCGTCGAGAGGTACATACGTGCATCTTCCAGCTGTTAGTCAAGAATTACATCTGTTTGCGGGAGGCGACCTTGGGACGTACTCTCCAACCAGCCATTCTGCAACGGCAAAGTCCGAATGTTCCATCCCACTGACTGTGATGGCTCGAGTCTGACAGCTTTCCATGTCATACGAGTACAATTGCCAAAACCCGGTCTTGTCGCTCGCGAAAAACAGGTTGCCGTCAAGACCCCACTTGGGTTGAGCGATGCTTTCCTCCTGTGCTTTGCCAGCGATTCGGGTGACATTGACAAGAGAGCACTCCTGCCATTCAGCGACGTAGAGTACAGTCCCTGTCCATGGCATGTCGGGATGAGTCCACTGTATCCAAGAAACGTACTTGCCGGAAGGATCAAACTTGGGATGAGAGTAGAAATCATCACCATGGGCGATTGTGATCTCCTTCTTCGGATCTTCTGGATCGAGTTTGACGTCAATAGCCACCAAAGTGTTGTGAACGTTGGTGGCCTGAGTTTCTGGGGTTGCTTCGCGATGATCTTCCTTAATGGCGATGACCCATCGCGGGTTTGTCGGATGCGACGAGAAATCGGCGTAGCGAATGCCCTTCTCTGCTGGCAGAACCAGGGCGACTTCGGATGATGTTGGGTCCAAAAGATAGATATTGCAAGATTCTTCATCGGAGAAAAGCACTTGGCCGTCTGGTCTCATCGCGATTGATCCGCCGCCCATCTCTTGGACTGTCGCGAGAGCACTGAGCTCTTTCGGGAGGACATCCTTGCTTTGACCTTCTTTGCCATGTCTTACTATCGCTGCCCGGCCGTCTTCAACTGGGCGACATTCCACAGAATAAATTGCCCCAGATGTCTCCTAGTATCGTGCGTCAGTGACTGCTGTCTACGGTTGTGTTGTGGTCATGACTTGTTACTAACATCGACAGCGACCTCGTTGAGCATGATGCTGCATGTTGCAAGACCCTCGGCAGTCAATGGACTCTTCCAATGGCCATACGGCGCGATACGATGTTGCGACATTGTGAAGTCCTCAGTGTACTCGAGGAGTCCTCTTGAATGAATCGTTCACGCACCTAGATCAATTCCCCACGTCAAAATTGGGCTAGTATGTCCTTTTTATGGTTGTTACGCGAAAGTGGGGAATGGAAGGTTCGCAGATTGTATCCAGTGGCTATCCACCAGTCCTGACTCATGACTGCAACAGGTACCGCCTTCTATTGGAAGGTCACTCAGCTCAGGATGCAACCAACTCTCATTAATTATAAGGCGTCTATACTTGGAACCCCACGTATGTACTTCGTCAAATTGACCACTGTCTAGCCTGTGCAATTAGAAAAATGATGCTATTAAGCCCCAAACACAACTGGACTGGTCGCCTCGAAGGAATAAGTACAATACCTTGTTTAGGGCACAATAGTCCCTGCGGCTGAAGTGCTGTTATCCTACCCAACAGTACGAAAGAAGGCAGCTGCAACCTCACCTGGAGGCCAAGGTGTGTTCATGAAAACATCCAAAAGTGGCGTGCTGAAAGTCTTCATAGTTGATTTGACGCGTGTCAGCGATCTCTACCAATACCTAGTACTTGCTATGTGGTGCCCGAGATTGACGGCTAGGTAGCATAAGCATCTTTTTCCCCATGTATTTGCAGGAATCTGGGACAAATATGATACCTACTAGTGTACGTACCTACAGTACCTGATTTTGGCTATTTCACTACCTATAGGTTGTAGGCAGAGATCCTCTACGAAGAGCGTGGCTCAATTTCTCAACCCTCGGTCGGTGAGAATGTCATTAAGGTTTTGAGAGATGCGTAGTCAATATGCCAATAAGAGATCTCTCGATACAATAAGGCTGGCGTCTACGTAGGATATCGGTAGAGGAGCGACGATGCGTTTTCACGGACTTTAGCCCATAACCTCCTCGCAGAGTCAATGGGTCTTTCACATGAACCTAGCGGCATGGCGAGATCTACATCGATAGGACGAGTAAAAAGATTGCTGATAGTGACGCTACCTTTTTGCCTATGCAGCTTATGATTGTTGTGTTACTTAGCAAGCACTTCTAGAACCTACCGTGCCATTGGGTTTAATAGAAAAGCTTTTGAGGAATCTGGGTGTCTCTTCCTCAAATTATGATTGTAGATAAGCAATGTATTCTGCATTCCCAGATATCTTGCATGGGGCAGTGCAAACCGACGCTGTTGGTGGCAGGGCGACAAGTCGCTGCCAAGAGAACCAGAAAAAAAAAACCTAAAGAATTCCAGGCTCGCTATGCTTTTAGAACGTCCAAGGACAGTAAGGGGGAAAAGGGGCCAAGTTTGCCGAAGAGAAAGGCTCGAGATTTCAAATTCGAGCGAACGTCTTGGTCATTCTTTCCACAAGCATATGGAATGGCTCAGAATGGGTGATCGCAACAAGGAAAAGGGGTGGGGGTATTTGTAAGTAAGAAGTCCCTGTGTAGACCAAGTGGAAGAGCAAGAAGTAATAGTCTTAAAGGCAAAGAGTGAGGCGATAGGACCTATCAAAAAGGCGCGCCGTCAAAGGCAAATACGAGACCGCATCAAAGGGTTCCATCCCATGGATTTAACGGCAAGAAGACGGAGAGCCCTTCATATCACGTACGGTATGTATCCAAGTCGATCTGGTTGGAACAGCCGTCATCAGTACGGCGAGTATCGTGCGCGACGCCTTTGTGCCGCCCTTCGTATGGGTCCGACCGGTTGCTCGTCATCGGAGTCAGCGATAGGAATGGCACTACGCGCTGATAAGCCAGCGAACATAGGCCCCATTACAGGCCTAGGGGACGGGCCGTCTGTGACTTCGCTTGCTTCTTCGTCGTCACTTGAAGCGGGAATTTCTTGTCGGCGATGGAATCGCCTTCGCTGATTTGGAAACTCGACGTCTTCCTCATCGTCCGTGTTGTCCTCATCTTGGCTTTCCCGATTGCTGTCACTGTCACTGTCACTGTCACTGTCACTCTCATAATTGTGCATGATATCATTGTGGGCTTCCTCCTCTGCATCGTCATCTTCGTCATCTTCCTCCGACACCTCATCGCTGGTGATAGAGAGTGTCGATGATGGTCGTGGACAGTGGTGTGCAGGGTGCCACGGATTGGGTGGGGGAGGAATCATGCGGCCTGGTCTCCGCATAGTTCCAGTTGAACGATTGTTCCCACGAAATGTTGATGGTTCCGTGGAATCGGTTTCGTCATTCTCGTCATCTTCATCATCCTCATCGGAAGAGTCGAGATTCACAACGGGCCGACCGTGTCGGTGAGCTGGAGACTCGCGAGTTCGACGGCGTGGATCTCCCACCACGGTGGAATGATCGGAGTCGTTTTGTTGGTACGCTTGGTTCTCTTCGTCGTCGATAAATGAGTCCATCTCATCGTACTCGTCTTCCTCATCGTTGAAGTCCATTTCACCTTCGTATTCGGAGTCAAATGGGTCATATCGTCCCTGCCTCAAGCGGTGGGGGTCGAAGATCATGTTGAATTGCCGTCCACCCAAAAATTGCCTAAGAGGATGAAAGAGATCCCCCCTGAAGTCTGCGTCGCCGACAGCGTAGTGTGGCCCGTACGGCGCATGACGTTCCTGGGACATGAGTTCCCTGTAGAATCTAAACACCTCCTCTTCCGGTTCTTCGTCCAACAAGGAATCAAAATCAGTGTCCTCATCGTAATCATCGTTGTCGGTTCCACTAAGATCAGTCATTTCACCGTCCGGTCGATAGGTCCAGCCACAACCCCCACAGGCATTCTCCTCAAGTTCCCACTGACACCGTGGGCAGCGAAGCACCCCGTCATCAGCGTCGATCAGAGGCTTCAGAGCCGGTCCTTTGGGTCTGAAGAGTCCTCCAAAGAGACCCCCGGTGTGAGGATTTGTATTGGCTTTATCCTGATCTAGTTTCTCCGTCTCCGCACGTCGATTGGCCAAGTGTTCATGCGTCGTTTCCCCCTTGTCCAATAGCTCTGCCCGACTAGTAAACATCTGCACAATCTCTCGAACCTAGCAGCAATCGCGAGTTAGAGACAAGGTCGCCTCCGAGCAATAATTCACTTGACTCACCAGATACGCCGGGGCGGGCTGGGTCTTGACTGCTGCCCGGCAGTCCGGACAAGTTCGTTTTGATCGGCCCCCGCTGAACCATTGGGCTAGGCACTTCAAGAAGTTAGCTCATTCAATCGAGACAAGGGGACAACATGGGCGAACACATACAGTGTAACAAAAGGTATGGCCACAAGCGAGACTGAATGGCTCATAAAGAGGTCGTATGCAGATCCCGCACTGTAAACGACTTCGAATATCGTCCACATGGCCTTGAAGGGTGTTGAAGAGCTGTGACCACGTCAGTTGACGTCGCGAAGTTGGGCTTTCGCCGGGGTTGTTCAATCTTACTCCTTGTATTTCGAACTCGGATCCACCGCCGCCCGCCATTTTGGCCGTGAAGAGTCGGACGATGTATTCGCGCAATCAGTGAGCCTGCTGGCCGAGTATTGTCGCGTGGTTGAGCTCGCAAGTCACGAAGGCGCGTGGCGCGCGGTTTGTGACCTCGAATGGGTGGGGGGAGTCTTCCAACGGGAGGTTTTCCACTTGAGGTTAACCTGGGCACGGCTCGAGAGAAGGGTAATGTCAAAATGCAGCGACAAGAGAGGGCTTGACTCCGGACCAAGAACTAGCGCAGTCAAAAAACCGAGAGACGATATGCGAAATTGAGGTCCAGAAGACCGAAAGTTTTCAGAGCCAGGGCAAGAGTATTTGTCGTCAAGAGCCTTAGGCACCCAGTTACATAAGGAATCTGTTGTCCGTTGCCCGTTCCCCGGCGCCGCGTCTACTGCAGATAAGTGGAACTAATTGAGGTACCTGCCGGTTTACTCTTAAGCGTGAGGTAAATGATCAGTCTCCCGATGATGATGCTTAGCGGATACTTGACACTCCATAGTCATGTAGGATCAAGGGTGGTTGATGAACTCGAAATCATGAGTGAGAGGAAACTCACCGATGGTCTCGCAGTGTTCCCTTACCTAGTTGTTGGTTGGAGTTCACATGTGTGTCCGAAAGATGCTAGAATGAAATAGAAATCTTAACTAGTACATCACCGAACAGTGTGGACTGTGGACTCGCGGAGTCTCCTCCAAGGGCAGCAGCTCCTCAAGAAAACTGCGTAAATCCTCGTTTCAAAAACTCCTGTTTGTCTTTCAGTGCACCATAACTCCAAATCTCTTTTGATGTCGTATACATGAGACTGGAAATATGGTCTCCGTCCACATAACTTAGTATGTAAGAGAGTGGTAATGGTGTGTTCATTGTTCACTACTCACTTACTCAGTACTCAGTACTCAGTACTCAGTACTCAGTACTCAGTCTTCTAAGAGATAAAGCAGCTTGGAAACATCATCTGCTATTCGGTACTGGCACTGCCATTGCACCTAAATCACTTCAACAGCTTTGTGATATCGGAAAATACAATCGCAGGTTCATGTATAATCGTGGCATCTGACGGAACATGCCGCAGGACTCGTGGATGGGTTGCCACCGAAGCTCCGTGACGCGCCAAGACTACGCTGCTGATCGTCCCGAGCAGCCGGGAAGAACCCGCAACAGTATCAATTCAGTCCTCATCTCATCCTTTTTGTCGGGTCGTCGAGTCCCGTTTTTGCGTGTAAAACCTTCGAGCCCTACTCTACACTGAACTTCACCTGAGCTGAGCTGTCCTCCCGTTGCTCCCAGAGCTCACTCGAGTCGAAATGTCGTCCGACACCCCGCAGAACGAACAGCACGGCAAGACTTGGGAGAAGGCTGAGCGCAAATTTACACAGTATGTCCGTTTTATTCCCTTGGTTTCCAAGAGAAAGCAGTGGCTTCTCCATTCGCTCGGATGGACACATGATGAAGCCCGCAGCTGTCAGCCCTGCGACACCGTCAGGAATGAACAACAGCGCTCCACCCCCTCCTCGGCTGCCCTGTGTCTTGCACACCTCACTCACAAATTCACTTCTACTTTGGAGAAAGTACGACTAATCCAAGTCCCTAGCAAACCCGCCAGCGAGTACTATGATCCTTGTCAGGACTTTGCGGATCGCAGTCTGAAGTGTATGAAACGTAATAACTTTGATCGGGAGATGTGTGGTGACTACTTCCAGTACGTATCACGTAAATCCCAGGTTTGTTATGCTTGGGTGTTGAGCCCCAGAGACGCCCGATTGGAGCCTCCGCCATGCTGCTTCTCGTCGCGTTGAGGTCAGTGACGGCGTACTGACATGACACAATCGGCAGGGCGTACCGTGACTGCAAGAAAAACTGGGTGAGTATTGCTCTGATGAAGATATTTCTTGGATTAAAGACAGCAACAAAGCTCATCCTCTTGCCGAAGCCTTCCTCGGAAATCGATGGCTAACAGTTCTGAAGCTTAATCAAAAGAAGTTTCCCGGAAATACTCAAAAATAGTCGGAGAAAAGTGCAGGGACGTCGTCGCCAACATGTCCTCAGGATCTCAAGTTGGACCAGATATATGATCCAATCCCTTCGCGTCCTTTGTGGCTCAAGATATGGAGAGCGTACAATTGCCGGGAGCAACCTTCACTCTGGCCGGTGCTGAGCCAAGCGACATTTCGGAGACGGCGTCAGGGACATTATGTATTTTTCGCAGCGATTCGCAGATATTCGCGCTTGCTAAACATACCTGTTTCGTCTCTTTCAATTCGAGGAGCGAGACCCGTAATTGTACGATATGAATTGACGGCAGAAAAGCTCACTAACCGTCGATTTTGCGTTGCAAGTACCTCTTACTTATTGATCTTCTTGTTTCGCCGTCGAGGACGGGCTCTCACATGCTTGTGGCATAAACGACCTTTGGGAAGACGTCGGGAAAGGCTCTTCTCCGTACTTAAAGTCTCCAGCCACAGATACCATGTTTTCGATTGATCTTGAACTGCAAGTGACCAAGGAGCCATATTTATCCTAGACCGAGGTCGCGCAAAGACGTGATACCTGAAGCTAGAAGTAAATGCACACGTTTGCTTGTGAGTTCAATGTGCACATCGGTCAGTCGTCAGTGGGTGTATAAGTTCGTAGTAGTGAAGTCACTGAGGTGCCGAACATCCTCCTCATGGCCCAGCCGAGGCTCAACGGACCCACTCAGGCACCTGCACCGCGGAGGGCTCCACGTCATACGCACTGACAAGAGTCGGCGCAACGCACCCAAGGTTCACCGCTTTCCGTATCTCGATCAATTGCTTCCCCACCAAAAAAAAAGGTCGCGGCAGCTATTTCCCCGCCGCTGGCACAGCACATTCCCCGGTGCGAACATACATATGTACTGTGCTGGTCGTAGACAACCGGAGACGGCAGAATACACCGAGTCCTCCGCGACAATCCACTTTCTCCTCCACTCACTATGGCACCGATCAGTGATGCTGTGTTCCTGCGCCGCAACAACCAAATCCAAGATGCAATTGACGGGCAGAATCTGAAGCAGGCCTTGCAGCTCATTGAGAAACGTATGAAGAAAGGTGAAGATACGCGGTTTTTGAAAGTATGCAGCTGAAAGGATATCTCCTCGCCAAGGTTGTCTTACATGTTGACAACAAATGTCTTCATAGGCTTGGAAAGCGCATGTACTCTGGCGCCATGCGGACGAGGCTCATCACAAGCGCGGCATTACGGAAACCCTCGAGCTGTGCAATGCGGAACCGCCAACAACTGACATTGACACTCTGGACATTCTTTTCAGAACGTTGCAAAAATTGGATGGCCATGAAGCGACGAGGAGTAACATGTGGGAAAGGGCGGCAAAAGTCAAACCTCAGGATTTAGAGATTCAAGGCCGTTGGTTCACGTACGCTTTTGAAAGCAACGATTGGAAATCGGCACAAAAAGTCTGTCACAATGCATAGCTGGGGCAATGGCTCGAGGTGGCCAAATTCTGGAGACTCAATGGCTGACGACCGAAACACCTCTTCCGTCTAGGCTGCCATGAGTCTACAAAAGAACTTCCCACGGGACCGCAAGTACTATTTCTGGGCCATTTTCCTCAGCCATTTGATAGCAACAGATGAGCGGAGCTCCGAGGCTGATCGAAAGCTTTTCGGTACCCTCGCGTATCGCATGATCTCTAAGGCTGCAGCAGATGTCCCTCAGAAGGTGAGCCGTACCCTGAAACCGACACTCATGGTGTGTCTGGCTGGGCAATTGGTTGGCTAATGCCAAGTGTAGGCTCAGGAATTAAGCCCGCCACGAGCGATTCAAACATCAGAGGAATTGCGTCTGCTTATCAAGATCTATGAAACTCAAGGAAGAAGTTCTGAAGTCGTCAAGATTCTGGACAGCGACAATCTCGGCCTCAAATCTCGCATCGTCCAAAACGATAATGCTTTCTTGGGCTTCAAAGCGGCCAATCTCATTGCAGCCCAGATGTGGGAAGAAGGAGTGGCATTTGTGAAGGGTCTTTATGGAGTTTCTGACAACCAGGAGAGGCTGAAGGCTCTTCGTGAGATCGACGACTGGAGTATTTGGAACCTTCTAGTCACAGCCACAAAGAACGCCAAAGATTCTGGGTTAGTGCTGAGAATCAACTGTATGTTTCTAAGTATGCTAACATTCAGCCTCCAAAAGAATCATCAGCGACTCGGTGAAATTTGCGGAAACCTTTTCACGGACAATGCCCAAGTCTCGCAATGCAGCTCTCGCTCGTCTCGATATTATTTCCCACGGGATCCAGACAGGCGAGGCTTCCGCCGATAGCTTACTTTCAGCCTCCCGCGAATATATTGACAACCACATTCACAAGTTGTACGCTTTCAACGATATCAGGAGGGTAATTGGTCCAAACAAGGATCATCTATCCACCTTGCTCGACTATATCAACAAACACCATGCTGGTGTAGAAAAGGTAACGATTATGATTCATCTAGGCTCAATGGACTTTGCTTCCATACTGACAAAAATGTAGACAAATGTCCCCGCTATCAATGCCCTCAAATTGGAGTACTGTTTGAACATCTCCGGGTCAGACAACCCTTCCTCTGAGCTCATGGAGAGCTTTGCTGTCAGGTGTCTCGAGATGTATGATAAAGCGTTCAAGGATGGTCAAATCAAGAAAGACCCCACGAAAGAGGCGTCCTCCACCATCGAGAGTCAGCCCATCGATGATCTCTGCATTCTTGCAGCCATGTGTCTCCTTCAGCCCACCGAGGAACGCGAAACGGGGTCAAAGGTCTCCAAGACCTCCTTGATCCGAGCGGCCGCTATTCTAGATCGCCTTTGTCGTGATTCTCCGCACAATTACGAGGCGCTCCTCCTTTTGGTCAGAATCTATCTTCTTCTTGGGGCAGGATCCCTCGCCTTGAGCACCTTCAGCAAATTGTCCGTCAAGCAGATTCAGTTCGATTCTGTGGCTCACATTCTACTCACTCGCCTTTCCACTATCCATCCCCACTCTGCACCCCCAGTTGAGGGAGCCGAGTATAAGGACTTTGATCCCTTGTCGGCCTATGTGCAAGGGCTCAATTTCTTCCGCACTTCAGAAGTCAACACGATGCGATACCGAACAGCTGGCTTGGATGAGGGCGCCTACGTGAACACTGAAGAAATCATCGAGCTGCGGCGACGCCTGTCCAATAGCTTTAACCGACGGTTGTATGCTCTGGAAGTACGTCGTACCCAAAGACTTGCGGGAGGCGACTCAATGGGCCGCTGCGATGAACTCGGTAAATGAATCAATTATTATTCACAAGGTTCTTCGAGGGAATTTGCTAACATGAATTCTCAACAGCGCGTGATGACTCCCCCTTTGTTGATTCACGGAAATTTGGTGCTTTCATGTCGTGCGAATTTGTTGACAAGCCACCTTTCGAAGAGAGAATCCGTCTAGGGCCGCTCCCGAAGGTTAGTCTTCACCTGGAAACCAGCTTTATCGTGCCAACTTTAGCTGACATCTTCTAGACTAATTGGCTGGCTTCAGCTCGTATCACGGATCGCCTCTTCAGCGTATTGAAGGGTATTTCTCTGCAAAGAACTCTAACTGCTGAGACCGAATTACCTTCTCTTGAGATGCTTTCAGTATCCGATGCTGATGACGACCAAACGTTAGCTGAAAAGGAATCATGTTTGATCCATACGGAAATGTTGAAGGTGGCCTTGTTCATGGCTGGCTCTAAACCGATCACTCTGCATCAGGTCGAAGGTGCTCTTGGCGAGGCCGAAAAATACCTCAAGGCGAAAAAAACGGAACTGACTGCGGATGAGAAGGCATCTTCGCCTTTGCTATCCTCCACGGCGTTGTATATTGGGTCTGAAACCCCAATTGGGCCGGCCTGGGATTATCTTCACAAATCCTACACCATACTGGAAACAACGAAAGCGCTTTGGCAACTCGTCACGCTGGCTGGCAAGAGGGGAGGCAAGTCGGCGAAATTGCCCAAAGAAAGCTTGGAGAGAGTGTCAGCGCTCGTGCCAGAAATCTACGATCTTGTCCGATCAAACGCACGGGCCTTGAAGCAGCGCGTTTCTGCGTCCGGAGTTCTTTCCTCCCTGATTGATTTGGTCATTCAAGGAGATCAGTCTGCCGAGACTCAAAAGTCTGCTCATCACATCCTCGAGGCTACACTGGACTCATCCCGCATTGAACTATTCTGTGGCGCTCTCATGGAGAGTTGGGAGGAGGCTCTTGATGGGCTTTTGCTTGTGAGACTATGAGGTTCAAAATTACACAACGAGGACACTGGGCTTTTGGTATGGCGCAAAGCCTGCTCAAAGCTTGCGAGCTTGCAATAAGCCATTTTTTAAAAAGTGTACTACCATTAGCATTGCACACGATTTTCGGTGATCGTATCTTCGAAGACATACTACCTGATCAAGTTAAGCTTGGTGCCTAAGGTTTAAAGTTTGCAAGGTCACATGTCCAGTGCCACATTTAACCAATTAAGGAAGTTACCCTAAGCCCTAAAGTTTCGCCTACGCACCAACGCCCGCGCCAAGACCCGCAGTGTGCGGTTGCCCGAAGCATTACGGGTTTTCCACACGTCTTCCTTCATTCCCCTTTCACGACAACTCCGCCAATCCCCCAAGACACCAACCGTCGCAATGGCGCAAGAACGCACCGGTATCGTGGTCGGCACCAACAAGGGCCACGTACGTTTTCCCTCTCACTCGTCGCTTCGTCTTTTCTCCGGATCTCTGTACATCTTCGATTTCTTCGACACGGCCGGGTTTAAGGCTGCGGCTTGGAGGCCAGCTTTCCCATCATCGATATGTGAATCGGACAGCGGATGCGACAGATTTTGTGGACGCGAATGGATCTGTAAAGGACACGAGCAGGAACAGCCAATACGATATGAAGATGAAAGACTCAAATCCCGACATTTGAATAGGTCTCCAATGACCCAGACCGGACCGTGATTCGAAAAGATCGACAAGATGAACAGAGATCACCGGAGAACGACGATCGGCAGATTCGGAATGTTATTAGTTACGGCCCGACTAACATTGAATCAACAGAAAACCACTCCCCTCAACACCCCCAAGAACAAGATTAGCCGCACCAAGGGCCAGTCTTCTCGCCGCACTGCGTTCGTCCGCGAGATTGCTCGTGAGGTTGTTGGCCTTGCCCCCTATGAGCGTCGTGTGATTGAGTTGCTCCGTAACGCTCAGGACAAGCGTGCCCGCAGTAAGTACACCCAGTCCTCAGTCCTCGTTGATCAAGACTTTTGCATGCTAACAGCATATCACAGAGCTCGCCAAGAAGCGCGTAAGTTTCCGACTCTTGAATTTTCCTTCTACGCTCCACCCACGAAGTCTTCTCTGTGTCTGCCGAATCTGCCGACAATCACCCCTGATATGCGGAACGTGTCACGGGCCTTTGACTTGCTGAGGCAACTCAAATGTCGCTTTGTGACCTACCTTCACGGTGGCACATCTGGCCACCTCCAGCAGATGCAGTTCCTTGACATTTCCCATCTACAATTCCAATCACTCGACCCCATATCCGCCGACCGCTTGTCGTTCATCACGCCATATTTTGCTAACTTATCATTCTACAGCTCGGTACCTTCACCCGTGGCAAGAGAAAGGTCGAGGACATGCAGAAGGTCATCGCCGAGGCCCGCCGTACCCAGGCTCACTAAGCGCTCCATTCCGTTACTCTTTTTTCTCCGTCGTTTAACGAATCCAAATACCTGGCGCGTGCAAGGGAACATGAAGAAAAATACGGTCGAAGCATGGTAGATCAGAGTTGAAGCAACCTCTCCGACTACCATCCAGCATACCGCTTCGAATCGGAACATGGGGTCTTCTGTGTGGCTCATTGGTGGTTACATGAGGATGGCAAAAGTGGAATCCCTTCCCTGCTTTTCGGAAGTGAAGCCATAATGAAAACAATTTTTGTTCAATATTCTTTTGTCTTGGGTGTAGAATTTGTGCGTAGATCGCAAATGGCTTCGTCCAGACCCCGTGAGAGACGCTCAGCTTGGAATTGGGAGAATTTGAGGGGTACTGGACCGCGAGCATGTCAGGTCCTGTCCTTTTTTGACCCTAAGAAGTTGCACTGGGCTCATGGACGTGGCGAGATTTATCAAGAGACTCGTAGTTTCAGATACGACTATTAATGTCAAAAACTTGAATACCAAAACTATATTGTCGAAGCTCTACCTGGATAATTTATATTGCACTTTCTCAGTCTTTAACAACCCACGAGGCACCTAGCACCTCATGATGAACCCAGGGATCTTCTCAAAAGACGGATCACACGAATACTTAAAACGAGTAGTTCTGAATTCATTGGTCGCTCATACCATGGCAATCCAGTCGCGGCCCACTCTTTCTCCAAAACTATGCATTCAGCATGAACAGATCAGATAAGTCCATTTTACAAAGTGCAGGTGGTCTCCATTTTATCTGTTGTCTACGCTAGCCATCCTTGTTTTTGTACGTCAACAACGGCGTCCACGTATTGCCAAAGGTTTCCCAGAGTTCTGTGAATCCACGAGGTCAATATAGATATACGACGTTGTTCCTAGTAAGAGTTGTTTGAATTGTAAAGGATAGGATTTCTATAATGCAATTATCATCACTCATCAAGCGTGTCCCCATCCCCATCAATTTCTGTCCGTCATTTCTTGCCCGGTAATTTCAACCACTTGGGAATACCACCACTCTTACGGCCGCCGCTGGGCTTTCCTGTATTCTGCGCAGCGCCTGCTTCCGACTTGGAGGAAAGAGATGTGGATGGCTCTTCGACGGACTCGGGGGGCTGCTCGACCTTTATCTCCCGAGCTTGACTGCGCAATTCAAGGCGCAAAAGATCTGTTCGACGCTGGCTAGCCAGGGACGCGTCACGCCATGAAAAATTGAGAAGAACTCGGCCAGCTAAGCCGAGGTGTTTGATTAATAAAGACTGATCCGAGTCCGGGATAGTGTTTGTATGCGCAGACCGGGCAGGTGATGGATGAGAAAAAGTAGTCAAGACGAAGTTTTCAGCTGCTAGCGCCGGTGCTAGGCAACTGCGAACAAAGGCATAGAGTGTTGAGCCAGAGTCTTGGGGTCCAAATTTAGCCACCACTTGGCTCTGATCTGGAAATCGAACCTTTACATCGACTTCACGAACATTTGCTCGCCGGGCCTCTTCCTCGGCGGCTTTTGCAGCCAATTCGGCGTCTGTGAAGAGCCGCTTGTTGCGCGATGCCTCGTTGAGAAGTCGCTGATGGGCCTTTGCGTGCTCGATTGACGGGATGTAGTCTTCTTCATTGTGTTTTATTTGTGCAGAAGAAGGGGTATCGCTGGTCGGTGGGGAGAAGACGGTTACGTACCGACCGGCAGTTAAGGTTGGAGCAGTAGGTTCACTAGGTTCAGAAGTCGACACGGTGGGTTCCTGGCCATCTCCAGAAGGAGCGTCGCTGACAGATTCTTGGCCCACCGAGCTTGTCGTTGAGCCCTGGGGCTCCTGTGGCTCATTCGTTTGTTCTGGCACGGCACTTGTCGTGGTACTCTGGGGAGGCACTGCGGCCGAGACCTCGTTCTCGGATGACTGGAAGTATTCCGCAATCTTGGTCATGGCCTCCTCCAGTGGTTCTTCGGTCTGCCGGAAACTGAGCCGCATGAGCACATTCCCATCATTGAGTCCTATCTGTGCAAGTGTCTTTTGCAGGTCCGTAAAGGTCGACAACTCTCGTCCAAGAACCTGTAGTACCGGAATCTCGTAGTATAAACGTCCAGCACCAGAGTTGCCTTCGGCATGCGGAACGCCGCGAGCTGTGAGATTTCTCAAAGGACCGCTTCCTGCGACACCGGCTTCGAACTTGCGCAGGACTAACCACAGCGTGGTTGTGCTCGGAAATTTGTCCATAATCCGCCCATTTGGAGCTCCGCGGGCCTCGGAGTCGGGAAGTTGAAGCGCGACCGTAACGACGGACGGTGACCGAGATAGTTGCACAAGCTCCAGCTTTGCGCCAGAAATTAGACCGGAGAGTCGAAAGGATAAGGATAAGTCTAGTTGCTTGCGATTGTACCTGCAGTGGCAGGGTGTGTCAGCTTGAGCGTTCTCGAGCGGGGCGCTGTATTGATCCTCATTGCGGCATACTTTAGACCATATTGGCTTGGATTATGACCAAGCTTGATGCAAGCTTCTTGCAGAATATCAGTCAAGTATTTTCCAGGCGTCGTTTTGATTGTGGCCCGCCTGGCAGTCGAGTCAATCACTACGACGTGGGCACTCATGGTGGTGGTGTTGTTGTTGCAAGAGCTATGGACGGGCGCGTCAAAATGCCGCTAGAATGCTATTCTTGAGAATTTGAAGGCGTTCGAAAGATTTGGAGTGTGTGTCAGAAATGCGAATGATTAAATGGAAATACGAGCAGCGAGTGGCGTGGGATGGTAGAGAGAAAGCTGTCGAAGACCGAGCCCGCACCAACGGTTCCCCAAAGTCCAGGCAGCGGCGGTGCGGCGTCATCCGAGCTTTGGCACCTCGCGTCCTTCACAGCTCCCCGACATCACCTCACTCTTCTCCATTCATCAGCAATCTCCATCCCACGCCTCACGCCTCCTATTGTCTGACTCAATATCTCAAACCCAAGCTTCTGAAGCTCTGTCTAGCGGTTGAGATCCCTGGAACGATCTGCAAATATGGTAGGAAAATGTGTCCATTGACTTGTTCACGAACCGCCAAAGGCCTTCTGCTGACCATCCCCGTCCTCCAGGGCTCACCCTTCGACATCAGTACGGTCAATCTCAGCACTACCATTCTTTCCTGACTCATGTACTAATCATCTTTCAGATGGCGGTGCCTGCGTCGCTATGGTGGGCAAGGACTGCGTCGCCATCGCCTGCGATCTCCGCTTGGGTATGCAAGCGTTGACCATTTCCAACAACTTCCCTAAGATTTTCAACTACGCTCCATCCACCTATCTCGGTCTCACTGGTCTCGCGACCGATGTCAACACTGTTTCCGATCTGTTTCGCTACAAGGTCAACATGTACCGGCTGCGTGAGGAACGCCATATCTCACCCCAGACTTTGGCCAACCTGGTGAGCTCATCGTTGTACGAAAAGCGCTTTGGGCCATTCTTCGTGAGCCCAGTGATCGCTGGAATCAATCACACAACTGGAAAACCTTTCATCTGTGGATTCGACAGCATTGGCTGCATTGATTTTGCCAAGGACTTCATTGTCAGCGGCACAGCGAGCGACCAGCTATTCGGTACCTGCGAGGGTCTTTGGGAGCCGGATCTTGTACGTGTCCTACATGTCTGCTTGTTTGCTTGGCTGACCATTCCTGACTAATTTGCTGTCAAATAGGGCCCGGAGGATCTGTTTGAGACCATCTCTCAAGCGCTCTTGAGTGCCGTCGATCGTGACGCCCTATCCGGTTGGGGCGCGCAGGTCTATATCATAGAGAAGGACAAGGTCACCCAGCGGTTACTGAAGGGACGCCAAGACTAAACTAGATGCGGATGATTCGCGATGATACTTTTTCCTTCTATCTCTCCATTGGCTTTTTTGAAGCGAGGGTGATTCCTGGCGTCGGCAACCTCTACGCAAGAACCAGGTCATGTCGAAGCGGTTTGTTGAGGACAAAGCACTACCAAGCAGCGCAGGCGTGGAAAATCTATACTATGAATGAAAGAAGGATTCGGGTCGCCTCGATATTGAGGATTTTCTCCGTCATGATCGTGCCTGAACCCTAATTCTGTGTTCTATGACCTCCTGGGTCACGTCTTTAACTCTTATTGTTGTAGCAATGACACTAGGCCTAGATATATATTAACAAATTTCACGTAGAGGTGTCCAGCGCTCGACTAAAGACACTCTATCATTGACCGTTATTCTTGCATGGAAGGAAGCAACCACTGGCTCCAGCGATGAAAGGTACCGTATTCCGGGCCTAGTATAGTTATACCACCACATACCATGTCGTGTGCACCCTTTCCACGTTTGCCTCATATCTCCTCTCATTCTGTCGCTTGAGCTGCTTCATCGCTGAAATAGACCCAATATTTCCCTTCTTCCCCGTATTCTAATTACTTGGCCCCTGCAAGACCGTGGCGCTTGCTCGCTCCACGTATACTCGGCGTCATAGGTACCTCACCGACCGCCCTCCATCCAGCGTCAACAGTAGCAGCGATATATCTCCGTTCCTGATGACCACTCTGAGATCCTACTACTATCGAGTGTATAGATCAATTGCGGATACAACATAGAGGTCCAGTCTGATACAGTAATTTCCGGTCCGCTCGATTATCCATCACATGCCTGTTTATGCCAGAACGCAAAATTATCCGCCGACTGGTCCTAGCATGGATAGCCTATACACTTGCCATTTATTGCATGGGTGCACGCTCAAACATATACATACTTCTGGGCCCTTAATCGGGAGGGCCCTCTAGAGCTCGTTATTTTTAGTGACGATCGTCCGTAGTATATTATATGCTTTTAGAATCATTTGGAGCTGGTCCCATATCGGTACCTGCCAATTTGCATGAATGATGGATCTCCATCTTCGAGATTCAGCCTTATCTTATCAACTCCAAGTGTTTACGTCCGATCACGCGGCTACAGCCTTACTGCAGCCTCGGCTTGGACTTGCTGGAGCTTTTCCCAAATGCCAACATCAAAATGGCATCCTTTCGGGCACTCCGTTCGCGGTATAACTCCTTACTCAAGCAATTCATCGCATCCAACAAGGAATTTGAAGTTCTAGCCACTATTTCTACCAGTAATGCGCCACCACCAGCCAGAAATCTCTACGTACTCGATTCCTCGTTCAATCCCCCCACATGCGCCCACCTGCGCATCGCCAGCTCCGCGCTACTAGAACAATCCGAGCCAGGATCTCGGCTTCTGTTACTCTTGGCGACTCAAAATGCCGACAAACCCTCCAAGCCAGCTTCATTTGAGGATCGTCTTGCGATGATGGAACTCTTCGCTCACGATGTACGATCTCACCTGGCAACCATCAAGTCGTCACAAACAGGTACTGCAGTCACAGAAGACGGCCCCGCCATCGATATTGCAGTCACCAAGAAACCGTACTTCATGGACAAGGCAGCAGCCATTGAAGCGTCTGGTATCTACCCGGAACAACTTGAGCAAGTGCATCTTACGGGCTTTGATACATTGATTCGTATCTTTGACCCCAAGTATTATCCTCCGAATCATGATCTACAGCCTCTCGGCCCGCTGTTCTCGCGACATCGTCTGCGGGTCACATTACGACCTGGTGACAACTGGGGCAGTCTGAACGAACAGGAAGAATTCATTGCCAGTATTGCTCGCGGGGATCGAGAGAATGAGGGTGGGAAGAGGGAATGGGCCCAGAAGATCCAACTCATCGAGGGCAGAAAGCCCGGAGCTCCGTCTGTCAGTTCCACCAGAGCGCGTGAGGCGTCGCAATCGGCCCCCGACGACTTGGAATGGTTAGTCCCTGACAATGTCCGACAATTCATTCGATCTGAAGAGCTGTACACGAGCAAGACTTCATAGCAGAAGACGAAAAAAGTGACGATTGTGCAGATCATGTACCTGAGTATGTAACATTAGCCGGCAACACGCAACACCCCCAAACTCCTCATGTATAGTACAAAGCTGGCGGTCATTTTTAAGTCTTGGAAGATAACCACAGCAGCTTCCAAGTCAACATGCCTTCTAACCCTTCCATACCCCAACAACGCCTCAAAATTGGCCTTGAAACGCCAGTCGTACATTTCAACTCTCTTTCGTGCTCACCAACAACCCTCATTCAGAAGCGAATCACAGGCCAACGATGGCTACATTTACTGCGTGGGCTTGGTCTCTTCCTCCTCTCGCTTTCCGAGGGTGTATGCCAATCCACCACCGATCATGTTGACGAGACAGAGACCCATGGTCGCTCCGCGCACAATGCCGCGAGCTCCGAACTTCTTCATGACCTGCTGGCGACGTCGACCTGCCAGCAGAAGATAGAGGCCAGACCAGGCAGCACTGATACCGGCCGTCTCGGTCTTGTAGCCCTGTAGATTGGCATAGCTGGTGAAAAGCAGAATAGGCGGGAACAGCATAGGGAAGAATTGGAAGGGACGTGCATGTTGCGCAAAGATGAGAGAAGCGAGCAAAGTCGGCGGGAATGAGTTTTCTGAGGAACAATCAGTCAATGCACAGGGGGGGGGTTTCAAGTGCAGTGAAGTGAAAAGGTCTGATCTAGACTGCTCGACATACCACCCCAAGCTCTGAAGCGCTGCACCAGAGTCTGCTGAGTTTCTTCAATCGCGGAATCCTTGGCCATGGTGACGTAGGTTGGGTTGCAGACGACTTTGGCAAAATGACGAGAGCAATATGTGTAGCTGATTAGTGATGAAGTTCGCAAAGTCAACACTGAAGGTATGGTGAAGCGAATTCAGAGTTAGCTCCTGCAAATATACGGCGGGAGCTTTGACAATGGAGGACTGTGGACTGTGGAGATGATGCGGAGGGACCGTCGGCGACGAAGTGGAAGCCGATGAGGACCGAAGCCGTTCTGCGAATAGCGTTCCCGCACTTGGCAAAGACACCTGGTGATTCTCGTCGGCATACTTTTTCCTTATCAAACACCTTCCCCCATACCACAACCCCTCGCTCACCATCAGCACTGTTGCCGGGCAATTCAGGACCCGTTCTACAATCTTCGAGTGTCTGAAGAGCCGTCCATCGGTGCGCCGTCCGTCACAGTGAGCGACCTGGACAGTCTCTCCTTTCTCCGCGGTCGTGCCCACCTGAAGCCGCCCGCATTGGCTTTTCGCCTGACTCTTTATCGCAACAAACGTTCATCTCCGCGCGCCAACAACGTTTCTACACCTAGTCGCAATGCCCTCTGCCACGGCGTCTGGCTCCGACGCCAAAGGTGGAAGTGCGAGGTCACGCGAACATAATCAAGGCAACCAGGATCGCGCATATACACCAGAACAGAAGGCTGCAGTGTTACGGATTCGAAAATGTGGTCCGACCGACTTTTACGAGATCCTGGCCATTGAGAAGACTGCGACAGATAGCGAGATCAAGAAGGCATACCGGAAATTGAGTTTGTTGACGCACCCGGATAAGAACTCTTATGATGGTGCGGATGAGGCATTCAAGAGTAAGCTAACAAACCTACGCTGTGCCCCTCCGCGCCGAGCGACTCGCTGACCTGTCCCTCGATTCTAGTGGTATCACGAGCTTTCCAGATTCTCTCAGACTCCGATAAAAAGTCTCGTTACGACCGGTTTGGAGGGGATCCCGAAAGTAGGTTCAACCCGGGACCGAGCGCCTCTAGCGGAGGCTCTCCATTCAGCGGATTCAATGGGGGTGGTGGCTTCCCTCGCTCAGCCGGGGGCGGAGCAGCCTTCGATGCAGAGATCTCACCAGAAGAGATGTTCAATCGGTTCTTTAACGGTGGCTTTGGCGGCGGCGGGTTTGGCCCATTCGGTAAGCATCGCCTCTTCGCCTTCTTGCTCCATACTTCACACGGGTCACACTGACAGTTCTCGCAGCTGGACCTCAATTTGTCTTTAACATGGGCGGCGGTCCTGGATTCCGTGTACACCAGTTCGGAGGCGGCGTGCCACGCCGCAGACCTCGTCCTACCGCTGGGAACAATAATAATGAGCCAGAAACCCCCATGGATGGCTGGGGCTTTGTTCGGCAATTATTGCCTCTGATTCTGCTTTTCGTCCTTCCTCTCCTCTCATCGCTTCTCACGGGCTCCTCGACTCCGGCCGGTCCGACATATCGTTTTGATTCTCCTGTCAGCCCCCATACTATGGGCCGTACTACGCCAAGACTCAACTTGAACTACTTTGTAAATCCCGTCGACGTTGAAGACTACAGTGCTCGCAAATTCCGGCAACTTGACCAGCGTGTTGAGGTGGATTATATTGCGAGGCTTCGACATGATTGTGAATCCGAGGTTCACATGCGAGAAAGGATGATTCAAGAAGCACAGGGGTGGTTCTTCCCGGACGTGGAAAAGATGAAAGAGGCCAGAGCGCTAGAGCTGAAGCACTGCCGGCGATTAGAGCAACTGAAGGGAAAATACTAAGGACCCCTTGAGCACCTGGGCTTTGGTATGGGGGGTCCTGGTGCGTGTTAACGAAGTTCGATCCTTTATCTGTCCATGCTTTGGGATGGTGAAGGCGTCTATATGGTCTAATTCTCATTTGTTTCATTCTCGTGTATAGTGCAGTCGTCCGAAATGCATTGAGCCAATGATGACCACAATGATACGCTTATATGATATTAATACAACTTTGATAGAGACTTAATCTAACTGGCACGTCGCTGTATGGATGTAAACCCTGTAATCATCTATAGGCATCATAATGAATCGTACTACGACCGTGTTTTGTCGTGTTTTAGACAAAAGTCTCCCGTCATATTAAACTCAACACTCCATGAATTATTCATCCAGAGCAAGTCAGCATGTGGGCTGGAGAAAGCCACTTCGGAGAGGAAGGCTTTATAGTCCTCCGTGCTCATTATTTCATGCGGTATTCAAGAAGAATTATCTGTGCTGTGGAATGGTATATGATCCGCTCATCCCCACAAGATCGGCCATTGAATGTAAGCGGACGAATCTCGGAGACTATCGCAGAATTACTCCAAGCAATCCACACCACTTTCACATTTCCTAGTTCTGCCCAGCTGTGACCGACTAGATTTGGAGACTACACTAGTACAGTACACTTTACACACTGCATCAGTGCATAGTAGTGTATTCATCCCACCACGCCTTGTTCTGTCGATACGTAGAACGAGCAAGACCATCCAGGGTGGTGGTGCTATGATATCTCACGCCGAGCATAACTCCGTCATTCGTACCGAGCCATCTCGTCCACCCCGCCCCGCGCCATTCATTCAACATAGTTGAGCCACTCATTCAAGACACCCAGGTCGCATTTCAGGCGCGCTCCAGCCGCGAGCAAAATCGCAGTGATGTCGGACACTCTCTCTGACGCGGAGAAGGTATGAAGATCAATCTCACTCCCCGTCGCCCTTCTTCTCCGCGACGCTTTGGCCAGTGTCTGGCTAACTAGTTGGTCTGTATCCTGCTGTAGATCCGGAACAAGCGCCTGGCAAAGCTTCAAGCACCCGCTGCGTCGACCGCACCAGCCGCTGAACCCTCCCACTCACCGTCATCGTCCACCAGCCCATCTCGAGCAAGTTCACCTGGACCGTCAAGTCAAAGTCATGACACGGTCTCAGAAGCTCCGGCCGCGGCACCGGGATCCCAAATGCCTGAAGGGAAGCGGATCAAGATCACTCCCACTACTTCAGCCGAGGTCGTCGAACGTGCACGATCCATACCTCAGTCACCTGCTAGGACTGCGTCTCCCGCCAGGATTAACTCCCCGGCGCGAGTCGACTCGCCCGCTCGGTCAATAGCCTTGAGTATTGATGAATTCGAACACCTCATCCTCGGGAGTTTCTTCAGCATCAACTTGAACGAGGAGACACGGGCCAGAAATAAGCACAGAGCCGATCTTCCAGGACTGCGAAGCGAGCTATTGGAAGATGGCAAGGAAGTACGGCTACACATTGGAATCCTGGACCAGGCCATTCTCGAAGCTGCGTCTCAAGCACAGCGACCACTTGACTACCTGCTGCCGTGCTGGAACAGAATTCAAGACAGAATGAGGAAGCCTGATACTGATACGAAGAGGTGGGACATCATATGCGAGGCAAAGAGACTGTGTCTAAGCTACTGCGTTTTTGCCATCACGATGCCAGAGATGTTTGGGTGAGACCTTCCCACCGAAAATGATGAAGAGACAATATGACTGACGACTGGTAGTGTCGAGTCCTCCAATGAATCTCCATTAGCTCGACAACTTTTACTGAGTCCCGATGACGGGATGCGGAGGGGCATTACGCCAGAGTTCCTCAGAGAGGTCAGTGGAAAGTTTGAAGACGATGACAGTCTCAAACCCGCTCTGATCTCGGCTGTGGAGGAGCTCAGCAGTCAGTTGGCACTCAAAGACGCCAACGGGGAGATTCAGCCTTACATGATGGTATGTTCACGTGATAATCACAACGCATTCAAGTATTAGCACTGATTGAACATGTAGGCTATGCGAAACTTGGTCGAGAACCCAGCCATCGCTGCAGCCATGACAGAGTCATCGTTGTTCAACGTGGCCGCAACTCCGCCCACTTTTGAAACGACCACTCTACTGGGACCGTGGTACCGACTCTCTCCGCTGCAGCCCAAAGTGACCATGTCGTATTTCTCGACCCCGAAAACTCGCGATCAAGGATTTATTGTGAACTCGCAAAGTTCGCTCCGCATGATGCAGAACATGATTCAAGGGGACCTGGACTATATTACTACCAAGATTCTGCGTGCATCACCCGAAGCAAAAAATCGGTTCCTGGACTGGGTAGCAACTGCACTCAATTTGAATCACAAACGACGTGCAATGCAGGTTAAGCCCGAAGAGGTCGCTTCGGATGGATTCATGTTCAATCTAACCTCCACATTGGACAAGCTTTGCGGACCCATCATGAATATCGACTTCCGCAAAATCCACACATTCCATGCGGAGTATTTCCAGCGGAACCCTCGAATTGATATGCGAGATGAGACCAAAATCAACGCTGATCAGCATGCGTCTGAGGCATTCTACTCGAAAACAATGGAAGGCAATTCCAATTTCAACAGCGAGCTTTTCTTCCTTACAATCGCAGCGCATCACTATGGCAGCGAATCTCTGACTTCGCGACTGGAGCAACTTGACAAGGATTTGCGACACATCGAATCATCGATAACCCGATTTGAGGCTGAGCGGCCACGCTGGGCGGCGAATCCAGCCCAGTTGCGGGTATATGAGCAGGCACTCAAAAAGTACCGTGACAAGCTTGATCTGGGACTAGCGTTGAAATACAGTCTTCAAGCTCTGTTGCTTGACGAACAGTGGCAGGTTCGTTCCATCGAAGTCATGCGCCACGTGGCCGTCTGGCTCCTGCGAGTGGCCTCAGGGAAGGATTTCCCACAAGAGAAGATCACACTTCCCCTTCCTGAGCAGCAACCCGAAGTATTCCAGAATTTGCCGGAATACTTCTTGGATGTCATCATCAGCAACTTCAAATTTGTGACGTGGGCTATGCCGCAGACTATCACCGCTGTTCTTGGGGAGGAACTGGTAATGCTTTGTATCACTTTCCTTGAAAGCTCAAGTTACATCAAAAACCCTTATCTGAAGGCTGGCCTGGTCTCCATGCTATTCCGCGGCACTTTGACTCGACCGGGAGGTCATCGTGGGGTTCTCGTTGATCTGCTGAATTCCATGCCATTCGCCAACGAGTACCTCTTGCATGCCATTATGAAATTCTACATCGAAGCCGAGCACACTGGAGCTCATACGCAATTCTTCGACAAATTCAACATCCGTTACGAGATTTTCCAGATCATCAAATGTATCTGGCCAAACACGCTGTACCGCAAGAAGTTGTCCAATCAGGCCACTCAGAATCAGGACTTCTTTGTCCAATTTGTGAATCTTCTGCTAAACGACGTGACCTATGTTCTGGGCGAGTCATTTAGCGCTTTCAAAACCATTCGCAGCATCCAGGAAGAACTCCGGCGTGAGGGCGAATCGATGGACCCCACTGCACGACAGGAAAAGGAAGAGCACCTGACATCGTCTCAGAGAAATGCCAAGTCATACATGCAACTGACCAATGAGACAATGGCCATGCTCAAGCTCTTCACTGCTGCTCTTGCTGATTCATTTACTATGCCAGAGATTGTTCAGCGTTTGGCAGACATGCTCAACTACAATCTCGATGCCATGGCTGGGCCGAAGAGCTCACAATTGAAAGTCGAAGGCAATGTACAACTGATGGTAGAGAAGTACGGATTCGATCCGAAGGTTCTGCTCAGCGACATTGCCAAGATCTATGTCAACCTGATGAATAAGCCAAACTTCATTACGGCTGTTGCTCGCGATGGACGTTCTTATAGACCGGAGCTTTTCAAACAGGCTTCTGACCTTCTGCGACAACACCAGCTCACACCTGAAGAGGATCTGCGTCGCTGGGACCGTCTGCGCAAAGAGGTGCAGGAAGCTAAAGAGGCCGATGATCAAGCAGAGGAAGACTTGGGCGAGATTCCAGATGATTTCCTGGGTATGTGCAAAATCTATCTCCCTGTGTCATGCACTTCGATCTACCTCACGGCGACATGCGCATATTCGTATTCATATTCGTACTGACACCTTTGCAGATCCTCTGATGTACACCCTTATGGAAGATCCCGTCATTCTTCCCAGCTCTAAGGTTTCCATTGACCGGTCTACTATCCGCTCGCACTTGCTCAGCGATCCTCACGACCCATTCAACCGCATGCCTTTAAAGATGGAGGATGTGCTTCCTGGTAAGTGTCCTCATCTTGGAATTCATTGCAAGCTGATGCTAATGTTCTCACTCAAGATACCGAGCTCAAAGCGAAGATCGAGGCTTTCAAGGCAGAGCGGAAGGGCATGAAAAAGACCATGAGCGATCAGATGGATACGACTGCGGACTAAACTCGCCAAGGGTGAGAAATTGCTATCGACAAATTCTATGAGTGTGTGTAGCAATTATCAGTGAACCTTTGGAAAACCTGAATCGCCGCTTGGACTTTTGACGTAGATCTATCGATCGGAATCTATCGATCGGATCTGTAGCTTAGTGTTGTCACGTTGTGTAGCTTAAATCAAGACCGCTTACCACATGGGGTAGGTTACATCATTCTGCCGTCTTGTGCAACGAAGGTACCAGTCGTCGCACTGTAGTTGTTTGCATGCCCGGCACATTAATTTATAAGCTGTGGCCCCCAGAGTCATATCGGTCAATTTCTGTCGCTCCTTTCAAGTTCAAAAGCGAATCTGAGATTCCATTCATCATGGGAAGTGTCCTATCTACGGCGTGGGCCAATCTGCCCTCCTTCATGGACTTCCATCCTCCCACCCCTGCCGCGTACACCACAGCTCTGGCTGTCTTCCAATACTTCCCTGTGGTCAGTAGATGAAAAGTCCCCGCGCAACACCCATAATTGTCGCCGTAACTGAATATGCCAAGCTGACGATAACACCAAGTTCACTCTCATCGAATGGGTGCTCTCATGGTACCCGGCGGGGAAAACATCCCTCAAGAGCTCGCCCTTCAATATACCAGGCCGACTTGCCTGGTTTGCAATGGAGATCGTAGGCCCAGTCAATCTGCTCTACAATCTTTCTCACACAACACCTTCTCTGGCTGAGCTGCCTATGATCAACAAGTTGATGGTAGCTCTTTACTGCACCCACTATGCCAACCGCGCCATCATATCACCATTCTTCTCTGCTCCGAGCATGTCGCCCATTCACGCCTTTGTCATGTGCAGCGCCATGCTCTTCAACTGGTTCAACTCATCCTGTCTATCTGGATGGCTAGCCGGCTACGAGATCCCAATCCAAGGGTACCGTACCAACGGCGCGCAGGTCATGAGCTCTTCCACCCCCTTTGTACCACCCACCCGACTCGTGGTCTTCATAATCGCCGGAACAATCATATTCTTCTACGGCATGGCGCAGAACATCCGCGCAGAAACCACCCTTTTCCGTCTTCGCAGAGAAGAGGCAGATCGACGCGCCTCCAAAAGATCCGACATTGACTCCCATGATCTTGATCGTGATCATCATCTCGATCTTCAGAAAAAGGACCGCAACGGCAACAAGTATCACAAAGTCTACGTGATTCCGCCCGCAAGCGGACTTTTCCGATACATCCTCTACCCCCACTTCGTCTTCGAGTGGTTAGAGTGGACTGGATTTGCTCTCGTCGGCCTTGCAGTTTTCCCTCTGACTCTCTCTATGAAGGTGGGCACTACTACGACCGCTAGTGCGGGCGTTGCGCCGGCGCTACAACCGGCTCCCTGGATTATTCCGGTGGCGTGGGCGGCGGACAAACTGGGTCTGCCGCTGCCTTTGCCGGCTGTGCTGTTTGTGATCAATGCAGTTGCGAACATGGTGCCACATGCGCGCTGGGGTCGAAAGTGGTATGTTGGAAAGTTTGGTGCAAAGGCGGTTGCGGGGAGAGGCGCGGTGGTGCCGTGCTGCGAGTTCTTGTAGGACACTTCACTTCATACGAGTAGCCGTTTCACTCCCCGGCTGGCGGATGAGAAAGTGAAATCTCTTAAAGCAGTCAGACTCTACTATGATAGTTGATTTTATGAATAAACGACAGCGAAATCCATGTTGTGCCTCGTCGGGATATGTCGTACTAGAATATGGGTAGAATCTTACAACATGAGTATAAGAACACTCAACCTTCATGCCCAGACCGAATCCTCGCTTCCATGTCCTCAACCATATCTGAAAAAACCGCCTAGTTCATTGCCGAGGCAACTTGAACTCTCGAGACCGTCGGCCTGAGTGAACAAAAATCGGGTAATGTATCAACGCCCGAGAGGTCAAATTTCAAGACCAATGGGGCCGGATCTAAAGATCAACAAATGAAATGCTTTCATCCTCAAGGTAGATAACTTATGTGCAGGTGGTCTGCCATATCCAATATCGACAAGTTGCTTGAGTGCGACGCCGTTACTATGGACGTTTGTAGTCTGTACTGAATAGGGAATGTTCCGTGGCTAAGGTTACACTGTTCAGAAGATTGGCAAGCCATGGACACCAACCAGTGAGGACGCCGGGCAAATAAATGTACCTTCATCGGGCATGCGACATGCAATGACCACCACAGGGTAGTGGTACAGTCAGATTATGATGCTCTATTCGTAGATTCTCGTACATCAATAGCAACATATAAGCGCCTGACACATTTGACTCCGGTACTCAATCAGTCGTCGCTACAAGTACACAGATCAACAAGAGTGTCATAGTATTATCGTCAAGCCGAAAGGCTTAAAGTATATGCACCACACTTGAGAGAGAAAAAGACGTTCATTGACAGCTAATTCTAACTCGAAACAAAAAAAAAAGGTTCCTCGTTCACCATAGTCCAAAGTGACAGCAACTGCTTCACTTGAACGGTAGAACAAAGCCATTGTTGAAATAATTGGCACCCTGAAAATTTTTGGCGGCACCCATGTTGAAATCGTTAGTCATGTTGAAACTCCGTTGAACCCGCTTTTTGATCGGTGCCCTCTAAACCACACACAAAACCCGCTGAAACCCATATGTTGAACTTTTGGTATCATCGTCATAAACTCATCATGAAAAATGCAAGACAAAACCATCAAAAACTTCCAGTGCAGGAGACGGCGCGGTTGAGAAAGCCGTCTCCATCAATTAGCACATTAGAAGGAAGTGAAACTGAAAAAACAAACACGAGAATGATGCAAGAGAGGGAGAAAATAAAAGACCCAAAGATACCTCAGAGACGGTTGAAAGTCTACTGGGAGTACTTCTGGCGGTAGTACTTGGCAGCAGCCACCATGGACTTGAGCTGGCCAATGCACTCATCCTCCTTACGGGTCTTGAGACCGCAGTCGGGGTTGATCCAGAGCTGGTCAGGGCGGAGGAACTGAAGCATCTCCTCAATACGGTCCTTCATCTCCTGCTCGCTGGGGACACGAGGAGAGTGGATGTCAAAGACACCAGGTCCGATCTGAGCACCGAACTTCTCATCAATGAAGACCTTGAGGAGCTTGGCATCAGACTTGCTGTTCTCAATGGACAGAACATCGGTATCCAGAGCAGCAATGGCGTGGAAGAAGTCCTGGAACTCAGAGTAACAGAAGTGGGAGTGGATCTGAGTCTCGTCACGGGCCACGGCAGTGGAGAGCTTGAAGGCGTTGACGGCCCACTTGACGTAAGCATCACGCTCAGAGCCCTTGCGGAGGGGAAGACCCTCACGGAGAGCGGGCTCGTCAACCTGGATGACCTTCACACCGGCAGCCTCAAGGTCAGCAACCTCGTCGCGGAGAGCGAGAGCGAGCTGCTGAGCCTGGACAGACTGGTGGACATCATCACGGGGGAAAGACCACCGCAGACAGGTGATGGGGCCAGTGAGCATACCCTTCATGGGCTTGGAGGTGAGAGAGACAGCGTACTTGGACTCCTTCACGGTCATGGGGGCCGGACGGGAAATGTCACCGACAATGATAGGGGGACGAACACAGCGAGAACCGTAGCTCTGCACCCAGGCCATGGTGGTGAAGGCATAACCGTCAAGACGCTCACCGAAGTACTGGACCATGTCATTACGCTCGGGCTCACCGTGGACGAGAACGTCGAGGTCAAGCTCCTCCTGCAACTTGACAACATCTTGGATCTCCTTCTCGATGAACTTCTCATACTCTTGAGAGGTAATCTCCCCCTTGGTGAACTTGTTACGGGTCACACGGATGTTCTGGGTCTGAGGGAAGGAACCGATGGTGGTGGTGGGGAAGAGAGGAAGCTTGATGAACTTGGTCTGCTCAGCGATGCGAGTAGCGAAGGGAGACTTGCGGTTGTGCATCTCCTCAGTGACGGCACCCTGACGGGCCTTGACCTTGGGGTCGTTGGTGCGGGCAGAAGTGGCACGGGAGTGCATAGACTTCGCGTTGGCCTCCAGCTCAGCGCTGACGGAGGAGGGGCCCTCGGTGACGGCCTTGGCAATGACGGCGACCTCGGTCAACTTCTCGACGGCGAAGCTGAACCAGTCAAGGACCTCGGGGTCGAGCTTCTTCTCGCTCTCGAGGGTGTGGGGGACGTGGAGAAGGGAGCTGGAAGTGGCAACGACGACGCGGTCCTTGCCGAGCTTCTGAATAGCAGCCTCGACCTTCTCAATGGCATTCTTGAAGTTGGTCTTCCAGATGTTACGACCGTCAACAACACCAGCAGACAGGGTTTGCTTGGGGCCAAGAGCACCAGCAACAGCCTCGAGCTGCTCGGGGTTGCGGACCAGGTCCACGTGAATGGCGTGGAGGTTCTGAAGGGAGGAGAGGACATCAATGTTGTGGACGATGTCACCGAAGTAGGTAGCGAGGGTGAGGCGGGGAGCCTTGTCACCGAGGCTGCCGAGGGCCTCGTACGCGGGCTTGAAGGCGGCCTTGGACTTCGAGGCCAGGTCGAAGACGAGGACGGGTTCATCAATCTGAACGTCCTCGGCACCAGCACTCTTGAGCTTGGACAGGAGCTCCACATAGAGGGGCAGCAGGTCGTTCAACTTGTCAATGGGGTCCACGGACTGGCCACGATCAGCCTTACCGAGGGTGAGGAAGGAGACAGGTCCCAGGATGACGGGGCGGGTGATCACACCCTGAGCCTTGGCCTCGAGGAATTCAGTCACGGGCTTGGGCTCGGTAGCGAGTGTGAAGACCTGGTTATCCTGCAGGGTAGGCTTGACGTAGTGATAGTTGGAGTCAAACCACTTCACCATCTCCAAAGCGGGAACATCAACACCCTCCTTCTGGAGACCACGGCCCATGGCGAAGTACTCATCGAGGGGGTGAAGCTTGTGCTTGGAGTAGCGCTCGGGAACAACGCCGAAGAGCTGGATGTGATCGAGAACCTGGTCTGAGAGAACATCAGCATCGTGAGTCTATGGTGCTCGGGCGGGAGACCTTGTCCCACTCCCGTCAAGACAGAAGAGGGAGGATTAGAGGAGGGGCATCTTACCGTAGAAAGCAAAGTCGTTGCTAGGAATGGAGTCAACGCCGGCCTTCTTGATCAGGCCCCAGTGCTCAGCACGGAGGCGCTTGCCCTCCGCGAGAAGGTCATCGCGGGAGAGCTTGCCACCCCAGTAGGCTTCCGTGGCTTTCTTCAGGTCACGGAGACGGCCCATACGAGGGAAACCGAGAACGGCGCTGGAGGAAGCAATCAGCATATGAAGCCCATCGTCTGGAGGTCACTGTGTTGGATGAGGTCTGTGAGGGAGCTGAACATACGATTGAACCATTCTGACGGATATGTGAGGAAGATGAAGGGGGGAAAGTAGGAAGCAGGCGGGGGGTTCTCAGAAAGGGTAGGATGATGCACAAGAAACCCAATTGCCTTTGAGAGAAGAAGAGGATGAAGAAAGAAAGAAGAATCGAGGAGGGGGGAGAAGACGAGTAGAAAAACGAAGGGAGGGGAAACGGGTCTAAACCTCAATGGGATAGAGGGGCAGATATGGCGACTTTGGCCTCTTGGAGTCAATCAACGATGACAGTAAGAATAGTGTGATGAAGGATGTCAATCATTGGCGGTGGAGATGGCTGGGACTGCCCTCCATCCTCCAATTGGCACCGTCAGCATTACCGCTTGGATTGAGTTCTGTAACGGACTCCATCTACCATCATTTTTGATGCACGATAGCGCTGATCATCTTCGTCCTCGCCGACTGGTTGAGAATTGGCTGGAAGTACCGTCCAGATAGCGATATGAAGCATCAGTACCTGTATTCAATTATCTACCCACATATGTAATTGTATCATGTACAGTTTGCATTTTGCAGTACATATGTAAAGACTGTATGTAAGATACAGGTATACCGTCGTGGCCTCGGGGGATGCAATCACGGCCATGTCGTGACCTTTACACATGCAATGAGTCAAACCCATAATCCGGGGACATTCTCGGCGGGGAGTGGTCCTACCGTCCGACAGAGTACTCTTACAGACTTACAGTACTGTCTTAGTAGTGTCGGGGAAGCTTTCCCGAGGAGCACCAAAGTGACCAAACGGCCCAAACGGACCAAACCGCCTTCCCTTACGATACCAGGTACCCGATGTAGCACCTCGATTACTGGATCAGGTAAGATCCCAATATTTACGATAAACTCATACGTCCTTGTGACCAGAGAACCCCTCAGGCCTCAGGACCAAGTTGGCAGGTACAGTTGAGGAAGTACTGGTTACGAGTGCTACACTCCAGTATCACGATTCACTACTACTGATTCAGAGTAGTAGCAGTGAACTGAGAAACTCAGTACTGAACCCTGAACGATGACCCTTTGGAGAGGTTCCGTGGTGGTCTAGAGTCTGCAACCCAATGGTGTCATTCTCAGAACCGGCGCTAACCCCGCTCCAGGCCCCATCCGGTCTCGAAAATACGGTCCTCCCCCCAGTGGCCGCTCCGGGATCGGCCAGCATAATAATAATCACGCCATCTCCAGTTGCATGGCCCGCGATAAGCTCGGATGATCAGGTCGCCCCTGGACAAGTTCGGTGGCATGGCATCGTGGGGCCGAGAGGCTATCAGTGGCGACTGGCGAGGAGAATGACCCGCGAGGGCCCATCAGATCCTCTGGAGCTTGACACTACTGGAGGGTGTTTTCTTCACGGAGCTCCTGGATGTGCAGGAGACAATCTACGGACTTTTTTTGTTCTTTTGGAGAGTCGCTGTGCTCTCTCTGAGGTTTGTTGCATTGTCATGCACTGTATTGAGACCAGTATCATATCAGATCATACGACACGAATACACACTTTACAGGACAAGACGCTTTATCTTCGATATCTGGAGTTCTGGACCTTTCCACACCGCTAGAGAGGAGAGTACTTGGTTGTCTGGGAGTTCAACGTGTCTCTTTGCATTTGGCGGCGACGAGAGAAAAGAGGTTGGACGCGCTAGGCTCCACTACCTAGATTCTTGACCAATGTCACACAGGGAGACCCACCTATTATACCCTGGAAAGCCAATGACTGCGGGTTCAAGTGTGGGTCTTGAACTCAAACTGCAATGCAACTGCACGTGAATCGACTACTGTTGCTCTTCTCTTGGGATCTACTCCTATCGGTAGAGTCAGTACTACTGAATCAGTAGGACTGGATCAGTAGGACTTCCATGAGGTACTACGAGTCAAAAGTGACTCAGGTACTATGCCCGCAAGACTTGCGAGGAAAGGCCTTTTGTTGCTGCACAAGATCCATCAAGCGAGGACAAAAAAAATCAATAATGTTGCTGTTGCAGATGATCTATCAGACACTCAAGACCCGACGCAATTAATGAGCATTGGAGACTGAATGGACTCCGTGGCAAATGTGCTAGTAGTGGTGGTCAACAATCCACACTCAACAGAGCTTCGCGGCCTTCGTCGTAACATAATCGAGTGGAGGCCTGTTGGACAATAGATTCAATACACCAGACCTGGCTCGAAGTCAATGCACAAGTCCTTCATGGTCCTCACAGTGGACGATCAGGATACAATTGTTCCACAAATGAATATGCCGGTGCTTTTAATTCTTGAGCCCTCCAGGTATCAAGAGACCGTGGCGACCTGATTGACGGACTCGCACTGTGTGAGGTGAGTGTGGCGCCCACATTGATCGTACTGATGCTAGACCCTTCAGCAGCCAGCTGCACTTGGCACGTGAGCTGTGCAGTCACGGAATCTCTCACTTCGACGACGGTTGCACTCCGTTGATATCCCGCCAGACCCAAGGCAATCTGATAAGATCTCTCTCTTCCTTCAACAGTCCTCCAAGATTCACAGTTGAGTCCCATCGTTACATTCCCCTTCAAAACCCCCACCATCCTCTCATATTATATCAGCAATATGAATGTTAGTGAACATTGTCATTGAGGGGACTATCCCAAGCATCTACTACCGAGTCCCGCAGTCACGATGGTTGAACAACCTTTGCCTCGAAACTAGAAGACCGAAACCTCTGATAAATGTTGCATTCCTTGAATTCAAGGACATGATTCATGTGGGCTGAGATCCCGTCGTAGCTTATCAAGTGATGAATCGCAATCGTCCTTGCCTGATGGCCACAGAGCTGAGGACATTGATCCGATGTGTGACGAGGAAGGAGCACCAAGCAACCTGGGCCGGGCCTCTCTGTCCCTTACCCCATCTTCCATCTAACCTTGATTACCATCGATCATCGTTACATGCTTTCTCTTGATAGATATCATCCTCAGTCAACGTCTGAATTATGTTCCTTCATTGTCCTCCCTGGCGAAAGCCTCGGCCTGAATCCCCCTCAGAGGTCGCTCGATCCTATCAAGAGAGCCCAACCCGTGTGCCTCAGACGCTGGAGCAAGGCCAGGGTAAGTGCTTCGAATCAATCTGTTCATACAATGGACCCCTTGCATCCCGGTAACAGACCCTCTTCTCACACATCACAGACATTCCTCACGAGCTGGAACATCCAGACTCTCACGCCAAGTTACACACAGGAAGCCTCTCCCGCATTATTCGACGTCGGCTTTCACGCGACTCCAGGGGATCCAGTGCCTGTCACGACAAGGGAAAAATCCCTTTCTCTTTTGCGCGCAAGTCTCCCAAGCCCACCCCCAAGCACTCGACGGAACTGGCAGCCTTGGCCGGCTACGGAAGCAGTCTTGTGAGCGAAAGTCGTTACGATAGTGATGCACAAGGTGTGGCAACACCGCAGCAAGAGTCTGCCCCATCGCCCTCATCGCCTCCTTCTAGGGTGAGACTCAGCGATGTGATCGAGAGGTCGCAAGAGCAACCTGACTCGGGGCAATGGGGTGTTGAAGTAGGCCAAAAGACTACTGAACCCCAGCAGTCGATCTGTGGGATGCGCTTTTTACAGACTCCCTCGCCCAGCCTGAACAGCCTCCAGTACTCCGACCTCAGGGAAAGTTGCCCGGAAGGTTGTCGCCCCTTAAGTCATGATCCCAATCATGTCGACGATCCTGCAAAGTCTGCGACAAGCACACACATGGCCGAGCAACCGGTGAGCGAATTTGAAGGCATTCCGCATCCCGATGCCTCGGCGACACTAGCTACAGCCGCAGAGGGATGGATCATGACCGCTTATCAAAGTCAGAATTGCGAATCAGAGTACGGTCGTGGCACAAGTCATGAAGATAGTCCCACACCTTCATTGTTGAGTACACCTACGAAGCTAACTGTGCCAAAACGGCGACAGCGAACGGATTCAGGTAGTGGGCTGGGTGATCACCGGTCTGTACATCTGGGTGATATGGGAATCTCCAGGCAACTTGCCTCTTCGCCCAATTCCTCTGTCGGAGACTCGCACCGGCCCTCGTCAGCCGAGCCAACCTCGCTCAAGCGACAGCAGGTCAGGATGTCAGCGAATATCCCGTCAAACCCTGTTCCAATGTCTCGCAGCCCAACAACTCACGTCAACTCAGACCTTGGATCCGAAGCTCCCTATCTCGAAATTCCAACAGGATTGTCATCCTGCCCGCAGGACTCGGCACCATTGATAGGGGACATGCTTGAAACGCCACCATCTCCGACAAGCTCCGTCGACGAACACGTTGGTACCATCCAGAGAAGCAAATACGACCCCACGGCTGAAGATATTCGTGAATACGAGAATGCCATGGCCGCAGCCAAGGGGTCCATTACAAGCAGATTCCAAGAGCATTGTGATAGTGAGGCCTCGCCTGAGCCCAAGGTGCTGACGCAGCCTTGCGAACCACTAGCTGAGGCTCCGCGCAAAGTGAGCATCGGATGGATGTCTGGTGGCCGGCGAATCGGTTATGGATATGCCCCAGTACCTAGCCCCGATGATGATCTCGTCAAACACGACAATGGCACATTGAACGGTAGCCAGTCCACTTTATCGTTGGCACGAGACCTAGTATTGCCAATTCCCTCACTGAGCACAGCCGTCCGGGATGATCAAGCTGGCAACGATTGGAACAAGGAATGCGACCCATACTTCACTGCACACTCGACCGTCTTCAAAGGGTCAGGTCTGACAGGCTCACTCACGCAACTTGAAAAGATTCAGCCAGCCACCTTGCCAAGAACAAAGAGGCCATTCAAACCCGATGCAGAAACTCTTCAGCACAACGGCTCCTTAGAAGGTCCGGCAAAGGTTGGTTCACGAGGACTTTGCACAGATTGCAGTCCACCAGCGCTCGCCCTAGGCGTTGGTTCTGACCCACATGTCAAGGGCGTGACCAAAACTCAACTTGACGCGTTAAGAGATCACCTTGCTAGTCTACGCACGTCGAACAATATGACGCCTCGTCCTGCACAAACCGCGGCAAGTCCAGAAACAGCCACCGTCAAGCTGCCACAACTCAAGAACTCACGTAGTGTCTCCGGGAGCAGCTACAAAGATGTGGACATTGATCCCGATTATCCGGGGATCGAGTGTCAGGCCGTGGCTCGTCGGCTTCGAGCAAATAGTGTACGGGACTCACCGATATCCCGAAGACTATCAAAATTTCGGGTGAGCAAAGGATACTCAAGTCCTTCTCCAAAAAAAGCTTCGCGGTCTTCACTTATCTTGGACCAAGCTCGTGCATCAGGTTGTCTGGAGCGGGGTGATTCTGTCAGGAGTTCTGGCGTAGATGCAGAAGCATTAGCCAGCATGTATCAAGAGTGCATCAATATGCCGGGATCCTTTGAGGGTAGTCGATGGGCAAGTCGGACCAGCCGGCTATTGCTCCATCGTGATATCAATCCTGATCGGTGAAGGACTAATCGAGGCAAGCCATCTTCGGTCTCTCATTCACGAGGATTTCGCACCGAGAAAGTCGAGCATTCATGTATTCATAACGAGATGCGCTTATTCATGTATCTATAACGAGATGCGCTTATTAATGTGTGATTATTGTTAAAGGAAGAGAGAAAAAGCGAGGCTTTAAAAGTGGGCCAAATCTTCACTGTAATTTCCATTGTCCGGTTGTCATTAATCATACAGAGGTATCCCTAAATTGCCTTCCATAGCGCCAGATACTAATACAGGATGTGTCAAAAACAATCAGTAATCTAATAAGGTCACAGCAGAGACGACAGAGATACTGGAGATCATCGTCGCTGCCGTTTGAAGCTCTTATCACTCGCATTGCTTAGAACACTGGCTGAGCGCTTGTGATTACCGTCCTCCTTGGCAGGCTGTTCCTCTGGAACCGCAGCTGATGCGTCGGCCGAAGCCTCCCTAGTCTTTTCTTGGGCACTCTCGCCATCCGTAGGAAGAGCCGTCGATGAGGCCGCGGCCGGAGCATCCGCGGCAGTTGAAGAGAGCATGCTGTTCCCAGCTTCATCCGCCTCTTTCTTCACTTCACGATGCTCGGGATCCTTGTCGGTGGACTCAGGCGCCTCCTTACGCTCGCGCTCTGCCTTGGCCGCTTCCAGAACGCGGATTTCGCTTTCGACTTTCTCGGCGACCTTGCGGGCGTCGAGCAGGAGATTGACAGACTGAATAAGTTTCTCAAAGTCCTTGCATACGCGCTCAGTGGGCATGAACAAGCGCACGGGAATCTCGAGCTCGGCCAATGCGCTGGCCAGCTTTTGCGTTTGCACGTTCGACTTGGCCTGGGTGAGCTTCTGGGCTCGGTCGCTGCGGAATTGGACGCCGCCTGTGAGTCGTTCGTGGTGTTGAACGCCGTAGCGAGTTTCCTCGGCTGGAGTGAGAGTTCGAAGCGAGGGCTGTGGCTGAGGTGCGGCCGAACCTTTCTTGGTGGTCTCTTTGGGTGCGGCGGTTGTGCTGGGCGTTTCGGCCCGGCCGGGGGCGGTGGTTTGGGTGGGTGTTTGTCCGGCAGGACTAGGGGCCACGGCCTCGGGACCAAGAATCGAGCGCCGCTTCTTGCTCTTGTCGGCTTGAAGGAGGGTCTGGAGCAGCTGGTGAAGACCCTGGCTGGTCTGGTACATTGTGGTGTTGCCGACACTGATGGGGACTTCGAGGCGGGAGTAGAGCTCGCGGCGTTCCGTGATGAAATTCTGCTCGTTGCTTGTGATGCGCTTGAGCTCTTCGAGAAGCATCGCCTCTTCTCGGACCTCATCGGCGGTGCGATTCAGTTGTAAAGCGGCCAGGTCTTTGCGATCACGCTCTCGGTCCGGATCGTACTTTAACATTTGTTCATGCAGGGCGAATTCCGCTTCTGACATCTCGGACGGAGGGTGCTCAATTGCTAGCATTGTCGCGGCAACGTAGTAATATCGGGCTTTCATCTGCTCCATCGTTCGATATTGTTTGGCCGGTACGATCGCGTTGGCTTCCGGTTCTGAGTCAAGATGCCTCTGGTAGTCGTATCGGTCTGCAATGATCACCCAACGCACGTCGTATTCAGCAACAAGATCCATCAGATAATCCGTTTCTTCTCGAGTCCAGTCATCGCTTTTGAGGTGGCGGTTGTATTCTTCGTCCGTGTATCGTCTTGGAACCCGAGCTTTGACGTTATATTTAGCGAATCGGTATTCTTTCTCTTGTGTTGATGTTCCTTCTGGTTTCTCTCCGTCCGCTGTCGTATCAACGTCCATCTGGGTGGCATCTGGTGCAGGGGGCCGAGTCGATTCATGTTCTCTCTGCCAGTGGTTCAACACCAGGCCGTCCGATCTCGCGTTGTTCGTGAAGGGTGTCATACACCTAGAATCAATCCAGTCAACTTGAGATTCTCAGGACTCTCAGGAGCATTGACGAACGAACCATTTCCTAACTCTCAACTTGTTCATGAACTTGGGGCGCCCCTTGTACTTGTTCTCATTGATCGCGATCGGTGGCGCCCGCTCCCCAAGCAGCGCGTACAGCTCACGCGTGATTCCCTCTGTAAATGTGATTAGTGAAGCTGCCATGCGAAGTGTTTCCAGGAACCCCCACAAACCTGGTCGCTTCTCGACAACTTTCTGTTTCTTCGACGGTCTGGACTGGCCCTCAGCGGGCAAATCTAGCATATCACGAACATCCGCGGCGGCAGCCATGATGGCTCAACAATGGCCTACGCAGCCCTGAAAGATGATGGAATATCGAGTGAAAGTCCACAGATATCTTGACAATGAAGAAGTGGGAGACAACAAAAGTCAAGTCATTTAAATGGCTTGACCCTTTGATAACGACGACGGCCGGCAGATCAAAATCGCGCTCGGTCATCGAGAGGGAGATATTTTGACCAAAGCGGAAGGCGGTACGAAACACCAATGGTGCCAGATGGTCAACACTCCGCCGTTGCTGTTGACAGCTTGACTTGGTAGCAGCAGCTTTCCTATTCAATTGCTCACACTCCTCTCGCTATGACTTTGCAGGCATTTTCGCCGTCATGGCTCGGTGCCGCTCTGGCGCTCCTGTCTATCTTCTCTTTACTTGTCCCTGCTAATGCCCTGTATTTCTACGTGGATGGCCGACAAACGAAGTGCTTCTTCGAGGATCTCCCGAAAGACACACTGGTAGCTGGTATGTACTGCAAATCCACATGACATTTTGGAATCGCATCACTAGGCTCGGTGTATGAATTAGAAGACTGACCAATGCGGCTCCATTTCTCATAATGCAGGCAAGTTCTCCGCTGAGGTGATCAACCCCAACACCAACACATATACTACCGATCACAACCTGCGCATTCAAATCACCGTGGACGAGACCTTCGACAATGACCACCGGGTTGTAAACAAGCGGGAGAACCACGCTGGTCGCTTCACCTTCTCCGCTGCTGATGCCGGCCAACACCGTATCTGTTTCACTGCCGAGACCGATCTTACCACTTCGGGTTGGATGTCCAGCGGCCAGGGCGCTGTTCGTTTCACCTTGGACATGGCCATTGGTGAGACAAGCAAGATTGAGACCGAGGACAAGGACAAGATGAAGGATATTGTTCAGCGTGTTCGTGATCTGAACAGCCGTCTACATGATATCCGTCGCGAGCAGGTCTATCAACGAGTACGTTTCTCTTCCCCGCGCTCATCGTTGTTGCTTGATGATATGCTAGGGTTGCCAGGACTTCAAGATATAGTTCATACGTGGCTAATTTTTGAATTTTGATATCACAGGAGCGTGAGGCCGAGTTCCGTGATCAATCCGAGACCACCAACTCCCGTGTCGTTCGCTGGGCCTTGATTCAAGTCGCGGTTTTGTCTGCGGCTTGTGCTTGGCAATTGTCCCATCTGCGCTCATTCTTCATCAAGCAGAAATTGACCTAGTCCGAAAGTTGTGGTCCTTGGTCTGCTTGGTAGACGAGTGTTTATTTATGCATTCAATGGGTTTTTGCATCTTGTCTGGGTTTCTTTGCGCTGCCCCCGTCTGTTTTATGCGTATTCGAGACAGGAACCATGCGACATCATGACTCTTTCGGCCTTCATCTCCATTAAAAAGGGCCGCAAACCAGCGATGTGTATCTCATGTGATGTCGAGAAAGCACGCCCAGTTTGCTGATTCAAAGACTATGAGATTAAAAAGAGGAGAGCAATAGCACTTGAGAACTGCATCTATATAGCGATGTTGATTTTGATAATGGATGTAATGAATTTCTCTTCCCCCATTAAGACCCATTTCGAAGGCACAACCATCTGCCTAGTATGGCCAGTCTTGGAGGACTTGAGCTTGAGTCTTGACAAGACTGCTCAGCTCAGGGATCTTAGTGTTTTGGTATCTGTTCGTCTCTGAGAAAAGTCCTGCCGAGGATAAAGATAGACCAGAATAGTTGCTCACTTGCTACTCATGATCGCCAGTTGAGAAACTCATGCGTCGTATGTCGTCATTTCTATCACTCCCCTTCTGATTAGCATCTTAATGGGTCAACTGTTAGAGCAGTACAGACTACAGACTGATACAAAGATCAGTACAGAGTACAGACCTCTGGTATTAGGTACAGGACCACAGTCTTCCACCTCCAATCGCACAGCCTGCCTACCTATACCTAGCTTAGCTGCCCGCGGTGATGCTTATAAGTTACTAACTCACCTGAATTTCACGACCTATACCTCCAGCGCTTGTCTGAGACCGTCTACTGATAAAATGTGCCCTAGCATGACTCCAAGTCGTTTTCAACTTGCAAACTGCAAAGTTTGCTGAAATTGTGTGAGCAGGGGAATCAAATGGTGTCGAGAAAGTCTCAATCAGTAAGGTATCCATTGGTGCCACGCATGCGTTGCAGAAGGATTGGGAGTTATGAATATACCGGATGAACCTCACTCATTTTACTTTAATGCCCGATAATGTATGATTTCTCCATGGGAATCGGAGGTAAGGTATGTGTTTGATTGCTAATGGATATATGCAAAGCTCCCGTCTTCTACCCTATAGAGAGAGGACTAGAATCAAGCGACACGGTCCAACTTTGAGCCGAACATAGATTAGATGTTGAATGAATATAGTTTTCTGAGAGCGAGGGTTTGTTTCCTTCGGAATCGATTTGAAATAGTGTGTTGGTCGGGTATACCGTATCTTTCAAACGTTGATAGTCAAGTTTCCCGTAGCTTGAATATAACTTGGGAGAAGACACTGAATACATGCAAAACCTGTGTATGTCTTATGAAGTAATCTTGAAGTTGAATGTGAAGAAACTCTTATGAATGAGATTGTATGCCTTGTGAATACCCAACCCGCTCATACCATCGTGATACTCTTCGAAGATGGCCTTGATCATTGTCCGTGGAATACATACTTGCATGGATTTGAGACTTGGACCGATGTACACGAGTATATCACCTTCTTCCTTGAATTGATCAGAAGATTGGTGTGTGTTCTTCAAGATTCATCTCATGACAAGGTCAATTTGGTATCTTCTACATAAGCGCTCGACGTATTCTGGATCAATGGAAGGTGAGTGGTGTGTAAAGTATACATCGACCACTTCGAGGACATGGGCGTCTCCTTGCGAGCCTGTGGTAGGTAAGCGTGATAGGGCATCCACCACCGTATTGAATTTGCCTGGTCGGGGTCGACTCTCAAGATCGCACTGGCTGGAGCAAGGTATTGCGATGCGCGGACCAGCTTTTTATTTGCTCTGTCCGCGGATGAGGATCCGAGATGAGTGTGCCCGGCGATTTACTTGGGTGATGCTTGATCTGTGTAGATCACTATATTCCGCGAGTTCTAGACCAGACGAGGTATCTTGCGTACTGTAAGGTCAACAGGGGCACGTTACTTCTATTCGGATGAGTAGTATGAAGTATCGTGACTCGGCTATGTATCATCGGCTGGATGATGATCCCAGTTATGACCATAGAGCGAAGCGATGTAGGGTCTATTTCTTGTTGAGATTTATTTATTTCCGCTTTAGCTTGAATGGATGGAATTTTATGGAGAGCCTACTCACTTTCCACTCACTTTCCACTCACTTTCCACTCACTTTTCACTCACTTTCGACTAATATTCAGGTCAGACCTTCTACTTTCTAGACATCACAGTCTTCTTCCAACTAAATCACGCCGTACATTCAGCGTTGGCCATAAATCTCTGCGTGGAGTGATTCCAAAGCCAGAAACATACTATCAGGACCTATTATCCGTGGGCAAGTGAAAAGGAGGCTTATGACCATGTCTCCCTTCCACGTCACGCATAGCGAGAAACAAGATCACCTACCCCAAGCCACAATCGTTTCTATGCGTATACGTATATCTCTTCACCGTCAAGTCTCACTTAGAAAAGGTCTTCCTCCAGGCAGCAGGACTTTCTTCCATCCCATCGATCCACCAACTATAAAGAATTCAGCTCAGCCCACCCATCCATCTACCATTCTTGCTCATCCTCCATCCTTCTTCATCCTGATGGGATCAATGACCGCAAATTCTCTCCGCCAATCATTCGTCTCGAAGCAGTCGACTGCTTCGATCAATGCCCGGACTGGGCGTCGCTGTATCGTCTTCAATTATCACGAGATGGTACCTCCTTCTGTCGAGGCGATTGATCTGGCAGAACTCCCACCCCCCTCCCCTCTTTCTGTCCCGGGGACGTCATCCTCGTCGAGATGTCAAGTGTTCTGCATATTGAAAATGACTGGCGCTTGAGAGCGACCAACAAGTGTCTACCGGCGGCCCATTCTTGCGCGCAAATTATCCATAGCATTATGGACAAGAATCGTCCATTAAGATACGCCTAGAGGAAATAGAAAGAACGAGAACAAGTGCGACAGTGAAGAACGGCGAGAAGGCCGCATCATGTCAAAAGAAGCGCATGCTACATCTGAATAATCCTCCGAACAACCAACCATCTCGGACTAACCGACCTCGGTCCGGGCACCGAGTTGTTCTATCGAAAGGAGGAGAGGACGAGAACACATATGTTTTTCTCGATGGTCATGAGAAGAAGGGAGAAGGACCAGGTGGCGGGTAGCCTACAGTGACCTCGCGATAGGTCGTGTCCGGATGGCTAACGGGCATTCTCCTTTCTCCGTCCGTAAGAGTCTGATTCATGACGGCCAACGCGATTGCCAACAAGGCAACTTCCCAACTCTCTTCTTACACGTTGAGCCAAACCAGATCACCACAGACCTCTCGTCTTTTGGCCAGGTACGAAACACCCACAATACCTGAAGCTGAGAGAGGAGCGCCCCGACAGGGATCGTCCAAATTTTCGTTTTTCATATGTGCCCTTCTGGATTTTTGAATCGTCCACTCCCTCCAAATAGGCCGGGATCGAGGCCAGTACGTGGCCATGACTCTCAGCCACAACTTCGATTCGCTGTGTTTGGCGAGACACACCCGACCAACTAGACGGGTTACGGAATGCACGCGCTTGATGCGGACCGATATCACACCAGAATTAAAAAAAAAAAAGGAAGAGCGTGTGCGTGTGGTGAATCCCCGACGCACGTTAGTATCAGTCGAGCAGTCTAGATCAATACGAGCAATGCGTTTCACCAGATCAGACGGCGAACCTCCCACTGGAATGTGCTATTAGCAGGCGCCGCAGGGGCAGAGAAGTGTTCACCGGCCTTGTCGTAGCACCGTGCACTGGAATGGTAGGGCTCCGGACGGAGAAAGGGCAAGATGTGGCGCGTTGGGCTGGGGAAACACCGCCATCGTCATCAGAGGCTTGGGCTGCGGCTCCGAGTCGATTGGGAGTTGTGCTCGGAGAGAGAGACTCAAGGGTCCAGATCGATACGAAGCGTCGTCTCGGAATATACGCGGGCAGTCTACCTGATCCGGGGAGGAATCGGCCTTTATCATGTCCGGTGTGGCCGGTGTCGGATTAGTATTCATGAGGTGTTTTGGACTAGATGGCACACTCTTCATCAAGCGACGCGGATGGTCATCTCATGGCGGATGTGGTGTCTGTTCCTGTGAGACATGTGCTCTCTTATTGGACTGCGTGTCCAGGGAAAGATTTGAGGTATAGAACAATATGACATTCGTAATGAATACATCCGCCTAATGAGACATATCGTCTGAACAAAACAGATAGTCATGCATCCTCCAAGGTTTTCCATCTTGGCGGAATCCCTATGCCCGTAACGTAACGCCCCCACCCAAGACATCCATGGTGCAGTAATAACTCGCTAACAAAATCTCACTCGTTGACTCATTCACTCGTTCACTGACTCGCTCATCACCTTCAACCATTCAGTCAATCATCGCATTCAACTCCGAATCCCAATCCCACCGTGGCGAACTTTCATCCTCCACCAACAACGGGGACATGGGAGACACAGGCCACTGGATCAGAATATCCGGGTCCGGGTCCGGGTCCGAGACCACGGCGTCATACAAGCCTTTGTGCTCAGACACGGGCATTTGAGGCATTGCGACTCCCAAGGTGATCACGCCCGCGGAATCGGGCGTGGATGGGGAGAGGGAGCTTTGTCGATCTGACGAGTCGAGGAGTTCGAGGTCAACGTCGGCATCGGCCTTGGAGTTGGCAGGCTTATCTTGCTGGTGGTTGTGCTGGGGGTGATGATCGAATGCAAAGGCGGGGGTTTGGGGATCCATCATGGCCCAGTAGTCGAGGACTGAACGGCAGATGGCGGTTTCGGTGGGTGTGAGCTCGTCGACGAGGGGGTGGTCACGGAGAAGAAGCGTGCTGTATCGGGTGCATTGGTGGGAGAAGAGTTTGAGGGCATTGACCTGTTTTGATGGGTTAGAGACTTGGGCCATAGAAAGAGAGGGCTTGGATCGAATTGTAATCACCCACCATTACATGTGCGTTGGTCCATAGTTCGGAAATGTCGCCGAGATAGTCGAGAGAAGCCTTGAGATACCCTGCTGAGCTTTGGCTGAGTGGTGCGTCATCGCTGGCTAAATGCAATGCCTGAATGGTCCCCGCCACCAGGATACAGTAACTGTACACCGAGGGCAAGGGCATGTATCCCGCTGCTTTGGCCTCCACCAGAACGGTGATCAAGGCTCCCGCATGAACGACACAGACCGCACGCGAATCTTTGAGCCAGCCACGCGGTGCGTGAGCGGACCCGGCGGAGCGCATCTTCAGACCCAGTAGATATGGGTGACTGAGGATGCAATGTGCCAGGTGATAAAGAGTGTGAGCCAGAACCATGTGCGCCACCCGTTCGCGATCACAGTCTTGCATCTGGCTCCGAGTTCGTGGCTGCTGTGCCCGATTTGTCGAGGCGGGGCTGTTGTTGACTGCCAGGACTTTCAAGTACTCCAGGTCGCGGTAGATTCGCTGATATTCAGATCCGGATCGCCATGGCTTTTCCGTGTCGTTCTCCGCATTCATCATATATCTGATCGTTCGACCGAGTACCGAGACCAGGGCGATGCTGATCCCGAACATGCCGGGTTGCACGGAGGTATCTCTTGCGCCTCCCTTCAACAACAGCCCCTTCAAAGTCAAGGCCCGCTCTCGCTTGCCTGAATCCCCGTAACTGGGCAGGTTCAACAAACAGTCGGTGTCTTTGATCGCCGGTGGTCGTTGAAACGAGCAACACACGAAACGGTCCAGTAAGTATAACGACCAGAACAGGTTTCGTCGTTCGTCCCGTTCCCAAGCGGGTAGATGGGAACTCGGCTCAAGCATTAATTGCAGATCCTGGCTGATTCGCACGGCCATTCCAATCTTCACCCAGGCACCGCGCCGCCGGCCAGCTGCACGCTTATCAGCATCCCGGTCTCTTGATTGGGGCACAAAGTCATCCCTCCTCGGCGTCATTCCAACCATCACTCACCAGTGGCATCAATGACTGCAAGCAGAGCAAGAGACTGAATGGTGGTCATATCGTCCGAGCCATCGAGTCCGTCTTGCGAGGACACAATGAGCTCCCACGAACATCGGGCATAACCGTCGATTGTGCTTTGTTTCCGGTCTCGCCATTGCGAGCATGAGGAATAGCGCGTGGCCGTTGCAATGAGGGCGAGTCGTAGATGAAGCGGGATCTGGTTCCGGGCCGCCTTTTGGTGAAACAGGTCGGCGTGGAAGAAACCATAGGGTTTGTTATGGCAATGGCGGAAGTAAATCTCGCATGCTTCCTGGAAGACCGTGTCGGAGGAAGATGCGGTGCTTTACGAACGCACAAGGATGATACGAGGTTAGCGAGGATGAACACACGGCGGGGATGACGGCAGAGGCGATGGTAGAATGATGCAAGGAATTGTCGACAATTGACGTTCGATCCAAAATCAAAAACACACCAAGAAAAAAAAAAAAAAGAAACATACCTAGCTGAGCGTTGACGAGGGTCAATGTAGTTGTTCGACGTGGAGATGGCCATTGGAAATCATCGACCCGCGAGGGATGTAGGAATTCCACAGGAGATGGTGTTCGAAGAAGAGGAAACATCGTGGTGGGCGCCGATCTGACATTTGAACCTTCTTTGTTTCCACCCCTTGATCTCTGACGTTTTTTTTTTTTTTTTTTTTTTCGATCATTTGATTTCCAATTCTTGAGTTTCCCAACTTATCGTCACTTTTCCCCACGTCGCATCGCCGGGGCAGACCAGGTGACCTGGCCCCCCAGCCGAAGATCCAAAGAAGGAAAGTTGCGGGATAAAACGAACAAACCCAAAGGACTCCAAGGCTGGGTGGACCCGCTTCTCCAGGGTTTCCAGGTTCCAATTTCCAGGGTTTGGTTTCTTTTTCCACTGTCCGAGTGCCTATCACTGTATCGACCTCTGATCGGTGTGTCAGAAGTGACGACTTACTAGTACTACTAACTAACAACCACTACTGCTAGGCTGCTCGCACTGCGGTACTATTTCGTTGGATGGTAGAGCAATGCATTACTCAATCGCCGTCCCCTGGTTTGTTCGTGGGTTCCCCGGCCGGGGTCGCGTGTGGAACTTTGGTGGAGAGCGTGCCAACTCGGCCCGGTGGTTGTGCTCATTGCCAATCGCTAACCCCGTTGACGATTACTACTACTACCTTGGTTACTACTACGACAACGACGAGGTCAACCTGGACTCTTCATAGATCTACGTTCCCCAAACAGAGGCGAAACACGGGTTCCTTTTGTTTTTTGTCGTTGTTCTGCGTCTGGTCCATCTTAGAGTACGGCTGCGGCTCCAACTTTGCCCACGCCAAGGTCCAATCGTACGTCTACCATATCGTTCGGGGTGGATCATTCGGGGGTCAGACGGACCCCGTTTGAGGTCCGTGGGAGAGACCGAGATGGGTTTTTAGTTCTTCCACTTGACCGGACTGTTTCGCTGGTACGTGGACATTCTCGAAGAATCATTGAGCGGCACTGAGATCATTGGCATCGAAGCCACAGTGGTTGATGAGTCGAGGACTCGATGTAGGCTGGAGGTCATGATCGAGTACTCGAAGTCGACGCACGTCCATTACACTTCATCGGTACGGTAGGAGTATACTATTGAGGAGTAGAGTACAGTCAGCCATCAGACTCACAGAGTCACCACTACTACTGGTGAGTCGTGACTGGTCCAGTGGTTAGGAATGTGCGTGGTGAAATGGTGAAAAGGCCGTGCACTACTGCGCCCCCCAAGCCTCAAAGAGATCTGGAAAGGGTCGAGTAGAACGAGTGTAGACGACTTTGGTCCAACGGCAGAGCACTTGAACTGCGTGACTTGACAACTTCCTGTCGTGCCTCTTCCGAGACTAACCGACCTTCCGCATTGGGCCTTGGGCAAAGGGTGACGATCATCGGGCCATGGCCAGCCCAGGGAGTCCAAGAGAACTTTTGGAGACAGCCCTGGCCGAGTCCGAGTCCGAATCCGAGTCCGAGTCTGAGTGGACGAGTGGTTCAATGCTCAATTGACACTCTCAGCAAATCGTTCTGGAAGGGTGTCAGTTTCCGGCCCGTTTCTTGGACGAACAACCCGCTTCAAGCTTGTAGCCTTGACGTGTCCTTAGGTTGTCCACCTCGCTAGGACCGAAACGGTAAGGTCAATTCATGCATTAACATATTACGGGCGTCGTTTCGAAAGTGTTTGACTCTCAAAAGTAAAATACCTTGCCGCCTTTACTTTCCGACTCAACACGTCAGATTCTCTTAGTTAGCTGTCTAGCACCGACCCATCCTCTGTAATTAAATCACTAGCCCTAGAAAGTTAGATCTTAAAGTCAGTCCTCAATGAATTCTGTTCGATCGCAATTAACTAGAAATTATTATAATAGTGCTGAAGGATAGAGAACGTTCGAATGGGTTTTTGGTGTTCTCGGTCGGGAAGTTAGCAGGCGGTAAGGAGTTGTAAAAAATGGTTCCGTCTCTTTGAGTTTGGCAAGTACAGCATCGATATAAGAGAACAGAATAGTCACGTGAAGAATAGAGTTTAGCCTTTCTACTCTGGTGATCTGGTCCTAGCGAGGTGGACAACCTAAAGATACCCTAAGCCTTAAAGGACTGACGCCGTTAATTAGGCACAAAGTCAATACTGGTTATCCGTAATTCTCCTATATCTTATGCTAATGCTAATAATGTGCTAATGAGTGAGATTGGAAATCTTATTTTATTCTGCTTTTTTTTTTAAAAAAAAAAAGTCCTACCCCGGACTTCAAGTGCCAAGATTGTGTGGAGATCAGTCAGATCACGTTGTCTTTTTGTCTCGTACCAGTCAAACTATTACGGTCGGGGACGATACGCAGGGTAATGGGAACTGGGAACTGGGAAGTAAGGGTAAGGGGAGTCCGAAAGAAAGGATCTTTTACTTCGATAACTCGACTACTTGCTGTACCCTAGGGTAGTCTGTAGGGTATAGATGCTATGATAGTAGGACTAGTAGACGACTCACGAGTCACTACTTACTATAATACTAGAGATTCCTCGATCAGGAATCCAATTCCAGGCGTGCCGATCTTGACTTTGATCAGGTGATGGGAATCAGTGGTTCTTTGTCCGTCTTCCCTGCATGAACAATCTCGAGGTGGCTCGCAAAAAGGTGTTATACAGTCCTCCGACGGTACCGGAGAGTACAAAGTTAAACTAGAAAGACCTGTTCTTTCTCACCTACACCTGCACGATGATGACATTGCTCGGGGGTGGATGGTAGAGCCTATTACCTATGATCTGGTGGTGAGTAGCCTTCCAAGTTACAGGCACTAAGGCACTAGTAGTAGTGGTAATCGGATTGCGCGGTCAAGTGACCATTCCCCCAACAAGGCCCCCGGCTGGATCAGGCACAGCAGTAGGAGTCGTTCGAGGGAGCTCTACCACGTAGTACGTAGTACGTAACTACCTAGTCCACTGATCCACTCTAGTACATACTACATCTAGTATTCTCCCCCATTCGGGCATCACACCGCGAGTTGCTAAAGGTACTGTCGTCACCCGGACGACCCGATCAAAAAGTCGACCGAGTGAAGGCTGATCCCCAAGGGAATCGTCTTATCCTCTTCCGTACATGGACTGAGGTTCTTAAAATCCACCGGCCGCATCACCCGTGAGAGGCCAGTGTCAGAAACATTCGCGGTACTTTCCGGCACAAATCGTTCTAGAAACGCTGGCAAGTGCTGGTCAAGGAACTGTCCATGACGAGGTGCAAAGTCGAGCTCGTCAATTGCACAGTCCTTCAACGCCCGAATACCTTGTCTGAGCGCGTGCACTCCGCCCTGAGCGCTGGAACCCAGACGCGTGCGGAGCGCGACGGCCTTGAGGAACAAAATAGAGGCGGAGAGAATGCATACACGGACATGGAGAGGCGCATATCTCAGCTTCCGGTCAAACTGGAGCGTGCAGGCGAGCTCAAGCCTCACGTCCTTCCCCTCTGAATATGCTTGGGATGCGCGAATGACTTCTGGAGCTCCCGGAGACGCGGCATCTGGATTCGGCTGTGTTCAGTGCATCTCCATTCAAGCCAAATGCGAATTGCGTCCTGGCTGTACATCTTGCACACGCTGTGTCCTGATGCAACAAGAATGCATCTTGGGCGACGAGACCGTCGACACAACCCCGGACCGTTCAAGACAATCAACACCGCATCCACCCCAGGAACGCAGATACTCATATAAAATGACCTACAAAAGGAATCGAAATCCGTGCATCAGATGCCGCTCCTCAAGGTGGCGCTGTTCAATGCCCAACGGACAAGCACCCTGCGAAAGGTGTGCAGCAACCGGGGAAAAATGTGTCCCCAAGTATCCCGGTGAGGCCAAGCGTAAGAGAGGACAAGCTCCTGGAGCATCCCGTGGGGCTCAATCTTCGAATGAGAATGTGCCCGCAATGCCAGTACAACATGGTCAACGTGATCACCATGCGCAGGAGTCGAATTCCTCAATGGTGCATCCTGCTCCTCAGCAACCTGCGACCGACAAATGTATAAGATGCGAAAGGCTTGGACTCGAGTGTCTGCCGGGCAATGGGATAGTGTGTGGAGAGTGTCGAGCAAGGTACACACGGTGTACTCGGGTAGCACTGCCTGTTGAGATGCCAGATCCGCCTGCCACCAAATCCCCTGAACGCGAAGAAATTGCATCTGTCGAGAGAGAAGCCGTCTCCGATGTGGAAGATACGTCGAGTGACACTGACTCTAGTTCGGACGAATCTTGCTTCATCAAGGCCGAGCCAGCTGAGAGTCCACGACTCAATGGTGGTGCGGACACGTTGGATGATGACACCCGTCGCTCTATCCACCCAGATGCTATGGACTGGTTGCTCCATGAGGGCTCATCTACACAAGAATCGAGATCGCGAGATCAACAAACGGACCCCACACGTTCAAATGTTTGTGCTGGACAGGGGTCTATCAATGCGCCTCTTTTCGAGAGCAATCAATCGGCCTTCTCCGTGGATCCCTTGTGCAAACAGGAACTGGTCGACATGTGGACAAAGTGCAAGTATGTGAGAGAGAGAGTTTGTTAAGTGCGCAAGAGATTGTCGCTTATTTGACTTGGTAAGAACTGCTATCCAGAGGCGAGGGCTTGCTTCATTATACATTGTCGTCTCCCGGTAGAGTCTCACTCGTGACAGGTTCTCTCAAACTTTGGCGCCACTGTCGAAGATCGTCGACCTTGATTTTGCCGCCCGCGATACTCATGAGCAACTGCTCAAAAGAGATCCAATGTTAGGATGCTCTCTCCTGGTTATATCCTCTCGTTTTATGAAACTTCCCGGTCCCGGCGGATTGCCACGCAGTCACTACATCCACGGCAAGCTGTGGAAGTATTGTGAGGAGTTCATTCAACACATTCGAGACTATGCCAAATCGCAATCTCGAGTCTTGGGTGCTATCGAGAGTTTGCTCTTATTGTCTGACTGGTTGCCTCGAGCTGCACAGGAAACAATTGATATTTCCGCCGAATGGAGCGGTGAACTAGTCTTTCCCGAGACCAGGAGTCCTGCACAGCACCAGGACGGTGAGAAATGGCGCCAGATCAAGTGGAGAGAAGAGATTTTTGACCCTGAGCAGCGGTCAGAGAGGATGTCCCGGCGATTGATCCGAGCTGCGGTCAACATTGCCCGAGTCTCGGGCGTCTTCATCGATAGCGCTCCACCATCCTCGGATGCTCAGCCCCGCCACACAGATAGAGTTTCTCGCGTGAGGGACATGCTCTCTATCTACCATCCCACAATCGCCAGCCATCGAGGTCCGCGTTTTCCGGAAGGTGGTCTGCAGATGGCGTTGTTCGGCTCGTCTGACGTCCGAAGTATCAAGCCGTTCCCCGATGTGGGTATACGTCTACGACAGGAGCTCACGAGAATCGTGGAATCCGCCTGTATGGCATTCTCCTCTCGATCATCTGATATGGAGCGAGTGCTGCAAGGGAAGTACGAGCGGCTCGAGTCACATTGGCTTTCAGCGTCGAGTCAATGGCATGAGCGATTCAACAAACAGGCTGCCGGTAAGTGCGGTGAAGTTCCTACGAGAACTTCTATCCGCTCGAGCGAGTGCTTCATCCAGTGACCTTTGGCTGACTCCGAAAAATAGTCCTTTCCCTTGAGCGAAGTCTCTTTCTTTTGATCGAATACCATCACATGCGGGCATGCGGGCATGCTTGCATGCTCTCACGATCCACGCCTTGGTACAAAGAGTGCTATCGCACGGCGGCAGTGCGAGACCCATCCGGTGCTCTGAATATATTGACGACTCGGTTGGGCTGTTCCCTGTGGGCCAGAACCACATCGATGAGGTGAAGTTCAATACCTCTCGCATCTTTGAACTCCTATTGTCTTCAAATGGGGCGCTTTGCGCTGGCCCGCCATTTGCGTTGGCAGTGGCCTCTTGCGGACGGCCTGCCACGTGAGATTCGGTCGTTGGAGGAATGCTTGACCTCTCATGCAAAGAATTTGAAGCTGGACCTTGACTCTGTCGGCTTCTCTTCGGTGTTGGCGCTTCGTCTCCAGAGCCCTCGGCATGCGGTCGGATGACTGAGTGTTCTGCAATCATCTTGAGCCTGGGCTAGCTTCGTCCACTGTACTCCAATTCGGCTGAGGAGCAAGCAAGGAGGGATTGCCCCGCGTCGGTGTATGCCAGCCCTCCGGCGAGCTGGGAGGTCAGATGAAAAGACCCTCGGTTACAAAGAAGAAAAAAAAATGAACAACAACCGTTTAAAGATCCAGACAATTCCTCGTTTGTATAGAGTCACGGGGCAGGTCTCGTTTGGATGATTTCAGCGAACTTATTCTGCCGCCTCACCACCGAGGGACCCACCAGCTCACAAGGTTTACAGAGTAGCTTAGCTAGTTTCGCTCCTCCTTCCTCCTTTCACCCAATCAAGGTGCGTTTCCCCTTTTTTCGTTTCCTTCCGTCGGGGATATCTACAGTGCGAAATTACCAATCGATCTTGTCATGGGCATGGGTGGCTAGTTACTAGGCGAGTGGCCACTGGCTAGCGAGCTCACTTTCTTTGTTGGACATGTGCAGATCGGGCGACCCCCCGGCCCGTACTTTTGACGGGAGCGCCTACCCGCAAAGGATCCCCTCGGCAACCACTGTCGATCTGATGGGGGACTCAGGATAAGTAGTATAGTCAATAGCAGTGGTCCGCATCAGCACGGTCTAGATTCAATTGAGTCCTGATTTCATCCTGACGATTTGATATCGGGTAACGCACAACCGGCATTTCATACCCAGAATTTCAGAAGATATCTGCTCAAAGCAGACCGTACTCAGGCACTGCGAGCTCTACCGAACCGACACGGCGCGAAAAGAGTTCCCATCTACGAAATCCCTCAGAGTCGGACCACGGTCCAAAGCAAGCAAAAGTCTCGATCAAGCTCTTTTTTTCACAACCCAAACACATCAATCAATAGGAGACCGCTAAGTGACCACCAGAAAAGCGGTCGACTTTCTATGTAGAAGACAAAAAAAAAAAATCAAAAAAAGGGGTTCAAGAACGAGTATCACCAACTCAGAACATGTTCATATCACCACGTAATCTAGATCGGATATTTTCACAAATTTCTGACTTACACGCAGTCCACCATCTCTATGGCTAAGTCTGAGACTTTAGACATAGAGGCGACGGAAGTTCTGCTGGACGGGACGTCCACTGGGAGTCACGGCGGCAGAGCTGCTGGGGAGGGGGGGCGAACCATCATGGAGCTGGTCGCGAAGCCCGAGGGCGTGGCCCGGGAGGAAGGAACACGGCTAGAGCTGGGAGTGGGGACAACCACAATGGTGGAGGTCTGGGCAGCGGTGCTCTGCTCGGTCTGGCTGTTGGCATTGTCACTGCTCTGCTGGTGGTGGTTCTGGGCAGGGACAGAGGTAGCGGCCGACTCGGCGCTCTGATTAGGAAAAGTCAGCCATGGGGGATGATGCGAGAGAAGAGCAGGGTACTGTTTAGCTGGAGGCACTTACGACAGTGACGGTCTGGGTGGCAGTCACGGTCACGGTGCCAGCGGCAGCAGCAGTGACGGTCACAGTCTGAGGGCTGCACTGGCTGGCGTTTCCGCTGCCATTGCCGCTACCGCTGCCGTTGGCATCAGCACCGCTGTTGCCGGTGGCAGTGGCGCGGCCTGCAGTGACTGTGCTGGTAGGGTGCTCGATCAGGGTCACGGTCTTGGTCGTGGTCGAGTGAAGAGTGGTCTTGGTCTCACTGCCGGACTGGTTGTGACCCTTGGCGTCGGGGGCCTGGGAGCTGAGGTTGACATCCGAGATCTGGTTGGTCGCATCGGGGACCTGGGTGTTGGTCTCAGGGGCCTGTCGAGTAAGACGGAGCCATTGTTAATCCACCATGCCTGATGTTTATATTTACTGAAGAAAGACATACCGCAGTCACGGTGTGATAATCGGTCATAGTGCGAGACACAGTGGTGGTGTAGACGCTAGTGGTGACCTCGGAACCGACAGTGTAGGTGACGGTCACCACGGTGGGGACGGCGCTGGTGCTGACGCTGGCAGGACCGGTAGGAATGACAACGACGCTGGAAGAACCATGTGCAGGATGGTGGGAGAGCACCACACTGGAGGAGATCGCACTGGACGACGCCTCGGCGGAGGGAGTGGCAATGTGGTTGGTGGGCGCGGCAGAGAGCACGACGGAGCCAGAGGACTGAGCAGGAGTGGCCGCGAAGCCAGAGGACACAACAGGAACCACGATAGAGCTGGAGGCCACCGTGGGAGCCACGGCAGAGCTGGACGACTGCACGGGAACCACGATGGAGGTGGAAGCCTCGGTGGGAATGACGACGGAGCTTGAAGGAGCTTCCACCGAGGTCACCGCAACGTTAGAGGACTCGACCGAGGTCAGAGTCGCAGACTCGGTCTCCGAGGCCGAAGAAGCCGAAGACAGCGTGGTGGTGGTGGTGGGCAGCGGAGCCGGGATGGTGGGGATCACGCTGCGCGGGACTCGATGGACTCGACGAGCATGACGCTCGGCCTGACCCGAGGCGGCCAGACCAGCGACCAGAACAAGGCTCAATTTGTTGAACAGCATCTTGATTTTGAATAGGGGGGGGGGGGGGAATGAGTGTATGTGTTTGTGCTACGGCGTTGAGTCTGTCTTCAAGGAAGTATGTGATTTTGATGTATCAGACAGTCAATGTCTTGCAAAATCGGCGAAGAGCGGAGGTCAACCGATGCTGGATCAGGATTTGGAAAGCAAAAAGAGTGGCAACGCTGCGAAATCGATTCGCAGGTAGAAGAGAGTGTCAACGTCTAGCGTGAAGGAACGTAAATGGATTCTATCAAAGAATCGCAAGCAAAGAGCGTCGGCTTAGGGGAGAATGGAGGAAGAAGAAGAAGAAGAAGAAGAAGAAGAAGAAGAAGAGAAGAATAGCGGAAGGGGGGAAGAAGATGGGCTGGACACGACGGAGAGCCACCAAGCGGCCCAGATTCGTGGACACTAAAACTTGAGGCGGGGCGATGAAATTGATCCAATTGGGGAAGGGATGAAAAGATCAAAAAGAAATTGGTCGATGGTCAAACGAGCAGAAGCCATCAGATTGCGTTTGCTGCAGGACTGCAATCAAACCTAGAATGTGTCATTTCGGGCGGTTCTATACTCCTTTGCATATGCAAATTTACTTACCCGCTACCTCCAGCGAGGACAGACATGGGCCTGGGATTCGCCCTGTGCGAGTATAGTCATTGCTGAGTGGACTGTTGTATGTATTTGGTTGCTCCGAATGCTGGTGTATAAGATTTGAGGAAGTCCACTGGTTACTCGGAACTGATCAAGTGTACTACTGACTCTACAGGGTAGCAAGTTAGTAGTAACTTAGCAGTTCCTGAGTCTACCGACTAGCCACTGTCCCAGAATCCCATGCGATGGAGTTGGGCAACCGTGTAATCACTGCAATATGCATGGACGATCACCTCTCACACCACGTCACTGGGTTACTCCCGAGAAGCGAGATGAAGCGAGATGAAACTGTCTACTCTCGACCATCCATTCTCTTCGTTTTCCTTCTTGCTGGGGCCTCCTGCTGAGTGGATGCCACGACTCGTGCGTGATGGGGGTTCAGTCTCCACGGAAGTACGCTGATTGGGGGCTATGCGTACCTGAGAGGGACCTGGTGCCATGGCTGGCAATCCTCCCCCCGGGAAGGGTACTCCACTGGTACCTCGTGGGTCATTGGGTGCTGGTAGTAGGTACCATGGCGGCCGTGATATCCGTGCTGATCCTCTGTGCCAACACCCGGTCGGCAAGTTGAACTCGTGCATCTAGATCTCAGCGTGACCGGAGGAGATACCGTCGATCTACTTCCAGTCTCCTCTGCATTGCAAACGGCCTGTCAGGCACCAGCCGGGGACTGGCTCAATTTCCGCCGCCACCAGGTGCGGCGTGCGGTGATGCGCTTTACCTTGTAACCCAATCAGGGCTTCGGATTGTGAGAGGAGCGCACCATCTCAGCGGCACAGCCTGCCGCTGCCAAGTCAGATCCGAGCCCTGCAGTCATCCAGGAACACGGCCTCCAGCGACAATCTCTTTGGGCGGGCATCCCGCCGTGGTACAGGTGGGAATTCAACCACGTCATGTCGAATGGTTGAAGACAACAATGCAGTCACGATCATGTTGAGAGTGACTGGACTGTCATAGCAGTAGTCCTGTCCGGTGAGTGAGTCCTGACTTTCTGACGGTGAGTGACCAGGAGTAGCAAAGAATTGAGAGGGTCAACCTGAAACACGCGCCCATCCCCGAGATGAGACAGTCGTGATACTGCACTGTCTGACCGCCTGGTGTGACATACTGCCAGTCATTTGATGCATGTAGAGCACTCAGCACTGCGGTTGTAAGAAAAGCCCTAAAAGCCCTCTTGAAAGCTGAAGAGAATCAAGAGACTACGTAATTTGACTTGCTCTGTCGCCTATGCAGACGTATCGCCAGCTGAACGAGATCGTGTCCTCGCACCAGGCATTGGTATCTTCGTTCAGGCACATGTTCGGACCGAGTGGAGTAGATACCACGGCCACCCACGGATCGGAAATCTGGGTGATGCCGCAGTTTGAGGTAACTTGGGGTCAACATAGAGAGCAGTGACGCTGATCGTGAGTCCTGAGTCCTGAGTCCTGAGTCCTGACCCTTTCTCTGCACCATTTGTGCAGGGGGTACGATACATGTCCACCAGATCTCTTCAGGTATTTTCCCGTCGTACGATTAAAAAAGACCGATCGAGAGCCGCTTTCCCCGTCCGTGTCTCCTCCTATCTCCAGTCTCCTCGTCCATGTCCTCCCCGTGCCGACCAAGACCACGCCACCGTTTCACCTAAATTAGTCCGGGGGCTACACTACGACGCTGCCCTCACCGCTCACACATGAGATCGATTTATCGATTTCTCAGGTCATATTGCATCATCTCCTCAAGTATCTCCTCAAGTCCTTATCCCTATATACCAAGTCTAGCCTGGCCCATGGTATGTTATTGTGGTCACTAGTCAACTAGTGCGAGAAGGTTAATCCATCATGTACTGCCGGGTGGCTGACGTGCGCGTGCGTCAGAAGAGGTCGGGTCGGGAGATGAAGTAATATGGACTGAGATGTCAAAATGGATGTCTCCGATGAATTGACTCAGACCAAAGGTGGTTGTGATCCGTTCACGCCGTGATGCCATACACGGGGCTTGATCACTTCTACCTCGGCTCGCCCTGTACTTTCCATTCTTGACTAGCGGTAGGAACTCGAGGGTGTGTGGGAACCATGAAACACCTGGTCTCAACTTGATGGAGTTTGGGAGATTGACCTTTCTCCAAGAAAAGCCGTGTGTCACCAACAAGATACAGTCAGAGTGTATGGCTCTCGGGGATGTCAAGGTAGTGGTACTAGGTCACATATAGTAGTACTCAGTCTCACTAGTGACTACCGACCACGTACCACTAGAGGCATTAGGCATTAGGCATACGGTTTCCAAGACAGGTTATAAAGTAGCCCTCCGATATAACTCCTTGAACATGACCTTATATATCATCAGTGATTATGGGTCGCTTCCAAGGCACTGGCAGCAACAGCATCTTACATCTATCTCCGAGCCCACTCATTGTTCAAATTTCCAAAGGTCTGTGAGTCCAATTTTGAAGCGCCACCTTTGAAGGTGAACAGACTCTCTCTGTTCAGTCTGTCCACCCATGACCATGACGGAGTGATGTACGTAGGCTTTCCAAGAACAGGGAGTAACCCATTGAATGGCAATCAGTCATTTGGCCTGGGCAGACTTCCAGACCTGGGTTTGGGAAGACTCAATTCACAGAACTTTCCGCCTGAGCCAACGCGGCTGCTACAGCAAGGGAGAAAAATTGCCATGTGCGACCTGAATATCTGAAATCCAGATTCATGAGAGTTTCTTCGTTCCTTGGTCTGTGGACTGGAGACGGTTGTGCATGATGATTTGGAGTTTGCAATACAGATAGGGTTGGGGAACAGCGGTGCTTCGACGCAAGAATGGCTGACCAAGCTATCCTGTCTGGTACCTCGGAGAGATTTGAGGTATGCTCGTAGCCGTTCATGTGACCATGTGCCCTTCGTGAACAGAGAAAGGTGTGTTCACAACCAGTCGTGGGTCAAGTGAATCAGCAATTGGTCTAGACTCCGCCCGGGCTCAGCTTATGTCTTGGTCATCCCCAATGCTTCAATCCCATCCCCATCCTGGACAAGACGGTCCCGCATGCGCTGCCACTCCAGCCAGGTCATCCCCTGCAAGAGACAGTCGGCCAGATCGTCCAGCTTGCCAATGTCTCTGCTGATTTCCAACGAGCTCGACACTTTCTTCTTCCGATTCTCCTTTGTGTTTCCTCCGCACCACTTGTACAAGTAAGCGTCGGCAGTCTGAAGCATCGACGACCGTCCTGCGGCCAGGCAGAGCTTGCTGTCCCCTGCAGCATGTAAATTCATACGCTGTCCCGTGGAAGCACCATGTACACAAGCAAAGTTCATAGTCTGGCGAGACTCTGCAATCCAGCGACCAACAAGATCAATCTTGGCTTTTTTGACTTCTCGCGCAGTCACTCTTCCTTGCCCAGGAATGCTCCTTGCTGCTTCCTTCTCCTTGTCTTTTTCAGTTGATCTCGCCTCTCTTTCTTCGCTCACTGCATGGTCTTCCCAGTAGCGAACCACTCGCTTTGGTTCAATGCCTTGTACTTGCAGATCCGAAAGTTCAATCCCGCGCTCTCGCCTCAACGCATTCAAGACTGCATACAACATGCCTTCGAAGACGCCGACTCGGAGCGTCCATTCTTGTACTGCACTGCCTCCCCCGGACCGGAAGCGCTGCCGCTCAATCAAGATGTGCGTCGGCCTATACGCCGATAAGATCGTCGTGACCAAAGTGTATGCCGACTCGGCGTAGACTTGAGGATCAAAGGATTCTTTCCAGCTCGCCGCGGGAGGAGATGTAGATGACGAGAGACTTGGGTTGGCAGATCCTTCCGATAGAGCTTGTATCATTTCCTCCGACGGCGCGGACGTACCGGAACCATGCGGTACTCGCCGCTTCTCCTTGCCCTCTAGATCCAGACCGCCAATGTCCGAAACTTTCATTCGACGCCATGCAGTGAGAACCGGTCTCATCCCTTGCCGCCCCATCTGATCATTTTGCTCTCGAACCCGAGGAACATGGAAATGGGCAAACGCCAGATTTTGAATCCCCATATCAATACTCAACAGGCTCCAGTCCGGCCTGCTGCTTTCATTCTCGAGCGCCAAGACATGGGAGTGATCAGATAACGTGCTCTCAATACGTTGTGTCAATTCCCTTTTCGTGCCCGAGGATTGAATCCCCGTTGCACGCGCGACACGTTGAAGCTGTACGACTTTGAGGCCCGTCAACCACGGGAATCGTGTTGGTGGTGCTGGAACGCGTGACGCGTGTAGAATCACGGTAGGACGCATGGTGTTCGTGCTCGTGGTCGCGTTGCCGTCATTTTGGAGTCCTTCACGGGAGGCTCCCTGCTTCGTTGCAGGTCTTGACTCTGCGAGATTAGGGGATTCTGCGCACTTGAAGGTTGGCAGGATCGATCCGCGGAACAATCGCACAAGGATGGCGACTTCTTGTTTTGCTTTTTCCTATTCCGGGTTGCAGACGGACCTCTTTATCGGGCAGTGAGTTGTTCCCCCAAGAAACGGCTAGACCAAGGAAATTCGACCAAAATTTGCCCTGTTGACATCCAATCTAGTTGATGAATTGATGTTGAGTTCCCCCGCCTTAGGTGTTTTTCCAGAACAACCAGGGCTGCTCACAACATGTCTGTTCTGGGACTCTGGGTGTCTTTTCAATTCAAATGTGATCCCGGCGAGATTCAGCTCACTCGGGATCCATCGTGACGCGGAATAAGCGTTACGACCGTGTACACGTGATACACACGTGACCCCATCCAGATCTACCGCTCAGAAGACCTCTAGGCAATTGACGATGTGCCTTATTGCAAATTAGAGTAAAACGAGAAGTTGCTTCTCATGTAAGTGCTTGGAATTGAATTCCTGTGCTCTGATTAGCTGGCCGTGGCAGGATTGACCGCCGGCTAGAGTTACCCTTCTAGATGATTGCTTCTGCCTCGTCCACGTGATCAGTCTTAGTCTCTCAAGCTCTCAATCGCTTAGATATAGTAGTAGGAAACTAGGGATAGCTATTCACTGGTCTATCTTAGATAGAATCCAATTGGTACTATACGAATATGTACCCAATTTCTGGGTCTTCGTCTGGACTCTGTAGTTTCTATTTGCGTATATCTCACCAAGACGTAAGAAGCTACACGTCCATGTCTGACTTCCACCAGCATGATACATCTATATCTGTCTCATTGACAGCGCGGTCAGCGGTCTACGAGCAGCAACACGTTTCCCGACAGTAATCTATGCTGTAATGCAGGGGTACCTTGATTTTCCTCGTTTCAAGGGGGTATAAAGAGGTCGTGTGATCATATATACAGCATGAAGTTCAAGTTGATTTCCACTTGGAACCTCGTATCAATGGAGCAGCATTTCCCGATGTTGCGGCCCCATACCTGAGCATGAAGTTTCTGGTCTCACAAAGACAACAGAATTCAGCTGTAGGACAGTCTCGATGAAAACGAATCGCCAAGTGTCCGATGGCAAAGAGCGCTCAGGGAAACTGTCGAGAATCCCAACTGCTGAAGCGAAAAGCCCAGACCAGGGCTTCTATTACCCCCGCCCCTGCTCGTCGAGCTTTACACAACTCCTGGCATACCTCTCTTGACACCAGGCTCGCCGAAACCAGGAACAACAAGAGGGCGTCTTTTCTCCGCAGGCGTGCGGACGATGGGGAAGAACTTGACGATAGAGCTCTTGCCAAAAGCCTCCTCGATCAGGTAAACGGTAACACGCCACCAAGCAAGAATGGAGCTGATGATCCAGAAATAAGCGGCAGCTTTCATCCCAGTCCCCACGCCCGAGCCATACGCAAACAGACAGCATGCGATGGTGGTGCCTATCGCGAGGAATGTCAATACCGCGCAGAGGACGAGGTCACGCGCGCTGGCGGCAATAGCCTAGAACCGGTTAGACCAAGGCTTTTCTCATACTTTGAAGGGAGAAATTCGTACCCCAGACCATGTGAAGAAGGTCAGAACAACCATCCAAGATGCCAGTTCTGGAAAGTGGACATTGATCGGATGTGGCGGAAGAGAACCAGTAGCCTGGGGGTATAGTCAGGAATCAACCTCAACGACAAGTAACAAAGAGAGAGAGACATGATCTTGATAAAACTCACAGTCAATAAGTAGAGCACACCAACACTCATCCAGAAGCTTCCCCAAAGCACATGAATCACTGTGACCAACGTGTCTCTCGCTGCATAACCGAATAAACCCGCAATAAATTGCCCTAGTCCACCCCAGAAAGCTACGAATGGGAAGAAGATTGTGGGGGAGTTTGCACTACCCCACCATTGTGCAATGTATGTAGAGGTGATGAAAGTTGAACCCGCAAAGCCCGCCAGACCTAAAGCTGCAGGGGCCGCAATTGGCTTCAAAAAGATGGTGACATTTGGGTCACGCTCAAGGATGCGCTCACACTTCCCGCGGTTGCCGGTTTCTAGAGACATGATGGCGATGATAATAGAGGAATTTGAGATGTGTTTGAGGAACTCTGAGCGTCTCGGACCTGTACTGGATGGCATGAATTTTATACCAGCGATCTCCAGGTCTTGTCACTCTTGTGTCGCTACGTCAACATACGGTCAGCTTTGACTAGGCTTCTGATCTCCTGTCACTCCGCGGATACGACGGAGATGTTTGTATCAGCATAGTACGGTGGATATTAACTTTCAGACGTGGCTACGAGCGGAGATCTTAGAGTTCAAGAACTTCAATGCCAAACCCTAGGGCATGTATAGCAAACATGGGCGGGGATGCTGAAGCCTGGGATCGAAATGGCAACTAAAGCCTGCGGGAGACTGGGACGAAAAGCAAAAAAGAATGTCCAAAGTCCAGAAATCGCTTCAGAATAGTCGAGATTCATTAATGTTGAACTCTGACATGATTGGGTCCTTGGTCCGCTAAGCTTCCACTCCACTTTACGCGGGAGGCCTCTATTCAAGGAAAAGGGACAAGCATGAACTGGGGGATCCTGGGATAGAGCCTCGTAAATGTCTGGATTCAGAATCAGGGTTCAGCCTGCACTAAAATTCCCTCAGACTGTCAACTGACACCACAGTTCACATAATCTTCGAGAGGGTTGATGTCACAGATTCGTCACCTTGCTGGTTCACCCGCTGTCAGTGTCAGCTATGATTCAGATGCGCATCATCCCTCGGAGGTACAACAATCAATACCTCAATTCTTACTCGTTGCAATACACTAAGGTAAGCCTTTCGCTCCTTTTCCCGGTACATGGTGTTTATCTTGCGAATCCGCCGGAAGATCCGAGGCAGCTGCGCTCACGAACCACACTCCAACATCTTGGCAAACCGAGCACATGGAAAGATCAGGATTTAGGGGGGTTTTTTCTTTCTTTTTTCCGTCCAGGTAGCAGCACAAAATAATCTCCAAGATACCTCGCCAAAGTTTGAGATACGTGATGCGGTTACTGTATCACAATATCATCATTACTCTCGGATTTCCTGTGCTGTGCCGTGCCGAGAATAGAGCTCAATAGAGCGACCGCCGACCAGACCGCATCCGGCCCGCGGAGACGATCGACGGGAGTGTACACTGTACAGCGCATCGAGTTGATCCTAGGTTGTGAAGAAACGAAAACCGACAAGAGGAGTTCAGTACTATTTCGTGCTCATCCCAGAGATATAGTAACACATAGAGGGAAAAAATTATAGCATGACTTGAATCGGTGCTGGTCAAAGAGCCCTAAAAAAGGCGAGTGTAGGTATTTGCTGGCTTACAGTATTCTCAAGATGAGACGCTTTGTCCGTAAGTAGAGGGAATACATCTACACACAGCATCAATACTAGGTTTATGCCATTCTGGGCGAAATCCATGACGAGCCGTTGGGCGAGCGAGAAGGGGGTTTCACACAAGAGTGTATTCAGTACAAGAAGTTGGGGTTCAAGCATGAATGACCTGGTTAGCTTGACATAGTAAAGAGCAGCAGTGACGAGAGTAAGGTTAAGAAAGTCAGGAGCATAATAAGCCTGTTCTATAATGACCAGAAACTCCCGGTCTGTTCGCTTTCCCATTTGCGCAAAAGTGCGGAGTGGAGGGCTGTTTGAGGATGATCAGGTCCGAAGTTTTGCTTCATCTTGGCCACGGAATCGCCTAGCAAGGGAATCGCACCCGCAGCGTTAACCGGAAGATTCTTGAATCAAGGCAAGATTGGCCATGGCCATCAATGTCAAGGGATTGCTCTCGCCGAGAATCATCTTCAAAGTCTCCGTCACCTCAATCTGGAGCACCTCAGCCTTCTTCCACCGGCCGGTTTTCCAGTACACCAAGGCCAGGTTGGATACGCTCCTTTGCGTGGACACGTGGGTCTTGCCGAATTTGATCTTTCTGATTTTTGCCACTTTTCGTAGGAGTGTCTCCGCGTTGTCCCACTGATTCTGGTCCTGGTATGATAAATGCGAGGTTGATCATGCTGATCAACGTTTCAGGATGGTCCTCGCCGAGCTTGGCCCGTCTGATCTCTAGCGTTTGCTCGTCGAGTCTCGCGGCCTCGTGCCACTGTGCCTATTTCCGACAGACGTTTGCTAGATTGCCCATACTGATCAACGTGTCGGGGTGGTCGTTGCCCATCGTGTGCTTGCAGGCCTCCATCTCCTGTACCTGAAGTATCACGGCGTCTGCCCATAGGCCCTGTTCCGAATATGACAAAGCAAGATTGGACATGGTCGTCAAGGTGGTCGGGTAGTACTCTCCAAGTTTACTCTTGCAGACCTCCAACAGCGAGACTTGGAGCTGCTCGGCCTCTTCCCACCGGCCCTGATTTGAATAAGATGACGCGAGGTTAGCCATGCTAATCAGCGTTTCCGGGTGGTCTACGCCGAGTTTGAGTTTTCTCGCTTCCAGGACCTGTAGCTCGAGCTCCTCAGCCTCATTCCACCGGCCTTGATCCGAGTACGTTGACACAAGGTTGTTCATACTCGTTAGGGTCTGAGGATGGTCCTTGCCGAGTTTAATCGTTATGATCCTGAGTACCCCTTTCTGGAGCTCCTCGGCTTGTTGGCACTGGCCCTGTTTCCAGTAAGTCAGGGCTAGGTTGGACATACTCGTTAAAGTAAGATTATGGTCCTCGCCAAGTAAGGTCTTGCGAATTTCCAACACCTGCAAATAGAGAATCTCGGCATCCTTCCACCTACCCTGGCAGCTATACGTCGTCGCCAGGTTATTCATGCTTATCAAGGGGTCAGAATGGTGCTTGCCAAGCTTCTTCTTGCGAGTCTCCAACACCTGTACCTGGATCTTCTCGGATTTTTCAAAGCGGCCTAGGTCCGACTAGGATAAAGCAAGATTGGCCAAGCTGGTCAACGTGGAGGGATGGTCCTGACTTAATTTGGCTCTGTAAATTTTCACAACCTGCTCGAACAGAGTTGTTGCTTTTTTCCACTCGCCAGCATTACGATATGCCAGCCCAAGAATTTCGTGGCTACTTAGCGTTTTGTCGTCCTCTGGTCCGAAAAGTGTTTGTGTTGCCTGCACAGCCATTTTTGCCATTCTGCGACTCTCAACGGCATTCCCCCGAGAGAGTGTAAAGGAGGCTCCTTCGAGAAGCAGTGACGCCCACTCTCCCAACGACGTTTCCGTATGTGGTCGTTGTGTAAGTGCGCATTGCAAGTGAGAAAATAGCAACTGGCATCTTGGCCAGTTCTCGAAGCTCGAAACCGGGAAATTGCTGTAAAGAATTCGAATGAACCGTTGTTTTCACCTCTCATGCTGATCATACCCTTCGAGCCACTTCTGCGTGGCTAGCTGGACCAAGCGATGCATCTCAAAGCCGGTGTTGTTTGCGCCAATGGATATCAACGAGTAGTCTCTCAGCAGCAAAACATCATCCTCAAATGTCCAGTCAACCACGCTGGACTCACTGGGGCTTTCACCGTCACTGTCATTGGTTGCCTCATCGATAGTTTCCGAAACCGGGCTTCCAGTGTGCAGCTTCACTGGCTTGCGTTCTCGAATCAGGGTATCGGGAATCCCTTGTCGGTCAAAGAAGCTCATGAGAGACAGCATGTCTGCTGCAGAGGACCTTATGTCCCGTATGTGATCAAATGATATTTGCCAGGTGACAAGGATGTAGCTTTGGGCTTGAGGGGGTCTCTGCGAAGATGTCCATTCTCGTAACCAAGGAGCGTGACCTTCTGGCTGTCACTCCTCCGAAACTCCATCAGATATTCTGGAACTGAAATTCGAGGTGCCAGTTGCTTGATGTACGACGCAGCTTGCACGATCGCAAGCGGCATGAAATCCAGTGCCTTGGTTAGGTCAATGATATCTTCCGCGTTGCCCTCCGCTCTGAATTTCTTCTTAAAGAGGTTTACAGCATCATCTTTCTGCATTAGGTCAACAGGTATGATGTCACGATCGTCGACTATGCTTGATACCACACGTCTGCTCCGGCTCGTGATTAGGATATTCCCTTTCAAGCTTCGGGGAAAATACTCCCAGATCGAACGACCCGGCTTGATGCTGTCGTCTTTGCCTTGAATGTCTTGCTGTACAGGTGGAACTTCATGGAGGAACTGATCATCATCCAGGTTGTCAAGGATGACAATCCACTTCCCATTTCTTTCATCCTGCAGCCAGTCGTGGAAGAGCTTGAATACGTTCGCCTGTGCATTTCGCCGGCCGTACATCTTTACACGGTCGGCAATATCTCGAATACTCTGTTCAAATCGAGCGGCGTTGTTCGCAAGGATCCAAAAAAACCCATGTCTCGGACGATTCGTCGCGAAGGCGATACGAGTATTCAATGGCAAGTTGCGATTTGCTTCCGCAGTCAGCATTGGAACATACATTGCTAAATGTTAGACTTGCCCTACGCCGCCTAAACCCACAAGGGCTATTCTGGACCCCAATTCGGAGCCTTTGATCTCGATTTGCTCCAGAAGTGTTCCATGGTTCACAAAATCCGGATCACGGTCAAATGGGACAGTCGACAGAGGCTCTGGTGGAGTTTCCGGTCGCTCTGTTTACTCGTGCTGTTAGTCAACGTGACTAGGCCAGCTTGGACGTCAAATTCCGATGAGACTCACCGGGGGGCCAGTAGAATTGCGAATTGTTGATCTCGCCATAATTGACAGCAACCTGGGCCCCAGAATTCGCCCCGTTAAACACAATCTCTGTCATGATCCCGGCGACTCAAGTCTCCGGCCAGTGGTTATCGGGAGAAAGCTACCAGGTAGATAAGCGAGGCGCCCGTATCTCGTACATTCCCATCATCAGGTGACTGGATGGCGCTACGTGGTGAAGGGCGTTCACCAAAAGACCAATTTACGTACTCTCATTCAGGGCTGTGGCGGCTGCGGCTGTGGGTTGATATCCCCGCTCTCGCATAGGGGGAAAATATCGTGGACGATAGACTTCTTTCGTTGGCAACGGCGAGAATTTCCGCCCGGGCCGAGCCTGGGCTTAGACTTTAATCAAATCATCGATAGATCTGAGTCTGTGGAAGTGTCCTCGGAGGACTTGGTAGTAGCGGCCTTGCAGATGGGTGTAGTGGTGTACATGTAAACACTTCGGCGGAACGGAATTTGTCGAGCCATGGAGTTGCGACTTACCTTTATTCTACCTAGTTACAGTACCTCGCTAATGCTCTATTCTTCCATGCAAATCACCAACTTGAATAAAGTCCGTGTCCGGCGAAGATGCTTTGTGAAATTGAAAAAGTCAAGAATGTGGAAAAAAAAGTAGAGACAACAATGAGAATTTTTGGAAGACGCCGTATACACTAACACCACCATGCAAAGCGCTGGAGAAACAAGGCAAATAATACCAGACAAACAACTTGAAGAGAAAACCAACTCTAATAAACTCCGAGTACAGCGCTAATATATTCCAAGAAAGTCGGCGCGATATAGAACCGCAATTAGAGAAGGTGATAACCTTCCTTATCAAGTTGACTACTGGAGACCCGGTCTAGGCGTCTCGTCCCTCAAGTAGAGTAGAGACGCCCAAACTCGCCAGTGTAGAACACCAATATGAGCAAGACGCATACCGATGCGTTCAATGTCATACTGCTGGGCTGACATTGACTGCGACGACTGCACGTTGCCAACAATTGGACAAATCGCGTCTGTGGTAGACGAGGCTGAGGTGTTAAGCGCACATTCACTCCCCCCGGTTGTGTGAGCATTGTGCGCTGGGATTCGCAAATGGCCAGTGGTGACAAAGGCAGGAATTTCTTCGCAAAGGAAATCGTTGCGGTCAGCACTTTTTCGCGCATGGTGTTTTGAAAATAGCGGAAGAGTTCCGATTCGTTCGACAAATGCCACAATAGCGCCTCCTCGATAGGAGCAATGACTTCGTCCGCAACCAGGGCATCCATGTGGCACGCGGCGCAGGCGAATCGTGCTATTTCCAAAGCGATTGATTTCATCTTTTCCATCCAGCGCTGACTACCCCGGTTGTCCGAGTTGCCACTCTCGCAAAGATCCCGGACATCGGAAATTGGGTCGTCTTCCATGAGCGACCAGATTCTCGTGCGGAAGGCGGAGTATGTCTCGTCGCGGGCCGAGAGGTATCTCTTCTGCGTGTGGACGTAGGATTCGAAAATGTACCACGCAATCTCCAAATTGATCAGATTGTGGATGGTCGAACGCAGTTGCCACAGTCGATCTGTATCAAAGATGAAGGTGTCTGGATAGTCTGCAGGAGGATGGAACTGAAGTAATTGGTCCGCAATACCCCGAAAGAGAACCTCAATGGGCTTCAACGCAGCGTCTGATTGTCCTTCGGTCAATTGACGAGCTTCATCTTCTTTTTGAGCACGTTCGCGTGCCTCGGCATACCATGACTTGGCCGGCTCGACCTGGAAGTTGCCACGGCTGATTTTGCCCTCGAGGTACTCTTGCAAGAACGGGACGGTATCCTCGATGAGCAAGACACGAAATGTGCGAATTTGATGATTGGCCACATCCTAGCAAATCTGTCAGTGAATGTGCACAACAAAAACGGACCGAATCCGGAAGAGGATCAAATGGGTGCGCACAAGTTTCATTGCCTCCAGGATAGCGAACAGCGTCTGCAATCCGTTGACAATCTCCTTTGTATTTTGGGACTGTGAGCCTTCAGTGATCTGGTCCACCATACGGTCTGCCCATTCGTCCCGCATGGGCGCGCAATGAGTCTTGAGGAGAGCCGCCATCCACTTGGCCAAAACAACCATGTCAAGCACTCCTTTGCGGACCTGCTGCATTAGCAGAGGAACTTCGAGGTTTTCCATTACAGCCGGATGGTCCCGTTCAGGCACTAGTGTTTTGATGACTTCTTGTAAAGTTTCGAACATGAGTGGAAGCCGCGGCTCGAAAGTACTTCTGGAGCTGGAACCTTGGCTCTCGGGCTGGTTTCCAGCGCCTTCCAGGTTTGCAGCTTCATATGCGTAGACAGTAATTTCCAGCGCCATGGAGTCCCAGTAGTCGGCGGCCTCTTTCCTCTTGCGTTTGCCCTTCTCGCCCTCCAGATCGGGCTTGAAGTGCAAGTCACGGTCAAAGTTGGCATCCATCCGGAGGTTGATATTGCTCATTATGCAAGGCAGATCGAGCTCGCTCAACGTCCGCTTCGTGACTGGAGGATGACGGCGAGCTTTGCAGAGCAGACGGTGATCGCGAGCAGTGAGCTCCAAGGCCTGTGGAATGCGGATGGCCTCGGGAGAGGGCGATGAGTCTCGCGGCTGACATGAAACGCTAATGGTCGATTTTGACTCCGAACGCGCGCTTACATGGAGTCGATTGGTACCAGGCGGATATTCGAAAGACGGTTGTGCACGCCGTAATGAAGTCACGGGAGAAGCTTTCTCATGGTCGTGAGAGTCTCGCCTTTCACTCTGACGAAAGTCGGAGGAACGGCCGTTACCCGCGAGCGACCCATCATTACCATCTTCCTGCGCACGAGCCTCTTTGGTTCCTTGGAGATCCATGGCTTAGGAAAAGGATAAAATATGCGTCCAGTCTGGGGACTTTCTTTTCCTATCCCTGTTTTGTGCTGCTTGCCATAGGGCGAAATGTTAGATCAATGTTCTTCTCATAAGATCAGACGAAGCAGACCGCTCTAGCCAAGCATGACATGTAGTAACTTTGCGCCGGCATGGTTGTCTCCTCGGTTCCGCGACAAGGCATCCAGCTGCCGCACAGGAACAATTTGGAGGAGAAAGCATAGCCGGCCATGGACGTGGGAGAGATGGATCTAGCTCATCATGTCTTGTTGAGTGACTGACCTCTATGCTTCTGACCTTCCCTTTCGCCCCCCTGTTTGCCTCAGGCAGGCAGCCAATCCCAGCTTGCCGACCAAAAGTGATGCAAATGAGCTGTCAAATCAGGTGGAGTCACCGATGTATGTGGGAATTTGCAGGCGACTGGACTCGCGGTCTTTGATAATGGGCAAGGCAGGGAACTACCAGATCACAACCGTTTGATCTGGATGCCAAAACCCAAATGCGAGAGGTGTTATTCACAGCTGAAAGCCACCAACAAAGCAGTAGATTCAGCAGAAAATCGAAACCCAAAGGTCAGTGGACCTTCTGCATCTACACACAGCCGAGCTGAAGCTAGGTGTATCGCGATGGCGATAGCACTAACTGTGGGCAGATGAAGTAGAAGGATTGGTCAAATCAGGATTCTGGGAGTCAAGATCGAACGACGACTGTTGCAGGTCAAGGAGAGCAAAAGAGCAAAAAGGCTAGGAGGAATTGAGGAAGCGACCGAGTTGAATTGATATAGGCGGATGATTACGGAGGATCTTCCCAAGGTGATCGTTGTAGCAGGCCTCTTTTTGTTTCGTAAACGGACGTTTTCGAATGACTGGATTCGGAGCTCACGAAAGCATCCAAGACACCCATGACTCCACAGGGGAAAGAGTTTGGACGGTTACCCTCGACAACTCGGAGGGAGGATCCGAACGAGTCTCCATGATTGAGAACACTATGACATTTGGGTGGTCAGGATCCCCAGGGTTCACATTCCGGGCATCCCAAGGAGAGACTTCTGGTACCCGTTTTGAGTGTAGCGCGGGTTTCGAGAACCATCACCGACCTGCAACAGAGGCTTCCACCCCGTCGAGGGCGCATCTCGGTTCCGTTCTATCGATCGTGAAGATCGTCGATCTCGCTGCTATTGCATCTCCTCCCGTTCTTTCTTCTCCCCTTCTGGGAGTCCATCCCCCCCCCCCCTTTTTTGGGGGGGGGGGGGCGTCCTGAGGGAAGCAATTCGAACATCTGAAGGGAGAGGGGGAGGAGGGCTGACCGACTTTGGAGCTCGCCCTTCTCGGTCATGAGCTGTTGGTTTGCAGCACGTTGGAACCCCCTTTCACGCCTCACTTTTGAAGCGCACTGGCCATGCGAGGTACTTTGTCCGTGTATCTGCTGCAAACTACTAGTAGTTCACAGGCAATGGATGAGACCCTGAAGCGACCATCCCACAGTCAAGACGGATCTGGCATTGACAATGGAAACATCGAGTTCCTCGAATGTGACGCCAGACTCGAGGGGGGCCCCAACCAGGTCGAATGGAGGATGTTGTCACCAAGTATGGACTCTGGAGTGCCGCAGAAAGTGGAACTGGGCAAGTCTTCAGAGCTCCACTTGTGGGAATGCGACCTGCGACGAGAACCACAAGTGTCCAAGTGGGAAAGGTGGGGCGACCAGGTCGAATGCGGTCGATGGAGCTCAGGGCTGAATCGGCGAGTGCCTTGATGCCTTGGATTTCGGGCAAGTAACGCTCGAGACAAGAGCGTGCTGTTGATTGCCATGTCGACATGGCATCATACCCGTGAACAAAGTGTCACGTGACTAGTCCGTCCCTGAGTGCCGGCAAGTGGGCCCTCGGCACTTGTGCAGTAGTAGTAGTATGCCGACTCCAGGGGAGACTGGCAGACTAGTACTGGTCTTGTAGTAGTCAGTACTACTACTAGTAAATCAGAGAGCAGGCAACATCGTCAGGCTGTCCCTTCACAAGCTGGAATACTCCTCCTCAGACAATCATTTCCTGCATTTGAAAGGACCAGACTCACTGTGTGGGGTTTGCCGTTGCTGGAAACACAAGGATCTTGGAACAGTTGCTGACTGACTGTGTTTTTGTCTCGGGGCCCCAAATCAGGTGGTTCAGCCTATGGCGCCAGGCGAGGATGGTCAGCCACCCGCTCTATTCAACCCCCAATGAGGAAATATCAAGTTCCGCTTGCCAATACTAGCCCCCAAGCCATGTTGACCCTCCAGAGATGAAATTAAATGCCTTGGAACCCATTCTGGACCTCTGTAAGATCACCGGGTCTGATGATATCTCTCAAACTTGATCACGGATATCACCCCAAATTACGACATTTCCAGGTCTGAATCGGCGAGGCTGGTGCTACTTACTACGCCTGAATTTCAGAAGCCCAGTGATCCTGGGTCGAAATGACGATGACTGCCGTCCTCTTCTTTGCTCAGATCTGGTGGTCTATCGCGGCTCGATTTTTTCCAAAATCGCCTTTCAATTCCCAATATCTGGTCCAGTCGTTACCTGAGGCTCCTCCTTTGCCCACCAGCTGGGCAGGGCGCTTGCCAGTACCTGGACGGGTTGAAGGGAACGATATCTTCTTTTGGCTGTTCGAATCAGAGAGTCCAGTCTATGATGAGAATCTGATTGGTGAGATACCCTTGATATTCCTCAAATGGCAGTATCAAGTTGGGTGGCACATTCGCGTACTGACCTGGCTGACCTTCACCACTAGTCTGGCTCAATGGCGGACCCGGTTGTTCATCCCTCGCAGGTCTACTTGGGGGCAATGGACCCATTTCATTCATTGGCAATTCCACCGCCGTGGAACGCAATCCTTACTCGTGGACACAGCTGGGCAATGTGCTCTACGTAGATCAGCCCGTTGGAGCAGGCTTCTCCACGGCGAGCTATCCCTACCCCGTTGGGAACAACGAGATGGTGGTCGCAGATTTCGTGGCGTGGCTGGACGGATTTCTCACACTGTTCCCGCACTTGATCTCAAAGAAGATACACCTGATGGGGGAGTCGTATGCAGGTATCTACATACCGTACTTTGCCCATGCTCTACTCAAGAGCAAGAACGTCTCCCGTTCACTCGATATCCGGTCAATGTCCCTTGGAGACGGATCCTGGGGTAACGCAGCGGCCATGTCTTCCGTAGGGATTGGAGCGTACATGCAGTCACAGGCGAGGATGCTGAAAGTTCCAAGAGGTATTCTCAATGCCTTTGCTGCAGCAGATCAGGTCTGCGGATTCGATGAGGTACTCGCCCAAGCGACCAACTTCCCACCCCCGGCAAAATCACCATCCCAGGTAACCCGGAGAACTTCAACTATCGTCGTCGTCGGCGTCGTGATATGAACAATGTCGTAGACTCGACATGCAGCATCTCACCCAAGACCGTCGCGGACATCGACCGCTCGATCTTTAATTCGAGCTGCTATGGTCCATGCGCCGTTTATTCCACCGCCATGGACTACATGGACACAGCTTCCTCTGCAGGATCGGGGATTCCCTGTTTCGATGTCTACGACATCCACCACGATTGCAGCGCCGTTCCGACAATGAGCCTGATGACTGCGTTCTTCAGCCGGCCGGACGTCCAAGATGCGCTTCACGTCAACGGAAGCGGAACATACAGTACCTGCAACTCCACCATCCTGAGCATATTACTCGGTGCACCCTCTGTCGTTCCACCGGCATATTCCATCCTGCCGGATCTGGTCACTGAGCACAATATCTCCTTGCACATCTACAACGGAGAATGGGACATGCTGTTGAATCACGTCGGCACTGAGCTAGCGATTCAAAACATGACGTGGCGTGGGGCACAGGGCTTTTCGACCGCGCCAAGACGTCCTTTCTTCCCTGACAACCCTATGCCTGAATGGAGTCTGTCTGGGCATCCCGGAGAGACTGGTGGGGTTGGTAAAGCAGCAGGGTACTGGGGCCAGGAGCGCGGGGTGTCGTATCATCTCTTTAATGGAGCCGGGCATAGTGTCTTTGCGAACAAGCCCCGCGAGATGTTCGCGTATGTGCGAGATGTCGTTGTGGGGGAGAAAGAAGTTGGTGGAGTCGAAGATGGGGGTCATTCATAAAGGGGTGTGTTTTTTCTCGACGGCCGTATGCGGATCTGGGGGTAGGGAGTCAGGATAGTTCATTTGTACATTAAGCTATCATGAGTGAGAGGGCCCAAGCATACTACCTGTACCTATTCACCTACTGACTTAGGTATATCTGGGCAGCTGCAGGGATTGACTAGGCGTGCAGGGAGACCTACTGCCGGGCCGCAGCGGCACATGACGGGAGTCAAGGGTTTGATTCTCTAGGATCATGACACAATGTTGCAACTTTCGCTACACGAGTTTGATCCCTGCACTTATTCTAGATATCTTCTGTAGGGGCTAACAAGTACATCACGGTCTTGAGTATCCTCACGTAGGCGCTGTAAAGGAGCCCATGTAACCATGTAACCTCAAATTAAGGACCCTTTGAACGAAATGGAATGGGCAAAGAGGCGAGAATTATAGCATGAATAAATACTGATGAGATGGAGAACCCCCAGATCAATTCAGATTCAGTCATCTAGGCGCTAAAATGATATCATTCATAACCGAACAGCCACCACACATGATGTTCATAGCACATGGGACCCCCCTCAAGTTAAAAGAGCGCACATAGACTCCGAAAAATAATCATGCAAGGAAATTTACGACAAGGCGACCAAAAATTTTGTAAGGTTCACACTTCGCAGTTCTCCGTCAACACTCAACAATGACAGCACATAGTGATACATGTCGACGATCTCTGTCTACCTACCAGACACAGACCGTACTAGCGACGGCTGAAGAAAGGTGCCTGATTCGGCATGGACAGCAGGGAATCAGCCCGCTGGAAGACATCACCCTCGAAGAATTTGTCGCTATAGGCACTGGCTGGAGTAGACGGCACAGTCGCCTGCGCAGCTGGCCCGAGTGCGGCACTTAGCGGGGTCGCAGGTACTGTGACTGATTGAGGGGACATGCTGGCCGCCAGGCCAAATGAGTTAGAGTGGGATCCAATGGCCGAGGTCGATACTGACGTGTGGTGTTGTGGATGCGTGTGAGGAAGTTGAAGTGGCGGCCCATACATATTGCTTGGCGGATGTGTAGAAGAAGCCATGTCGGCGAGATACGACCAGGGCGATGCCTCAATAAGGCGACCAGCCTCCCGACTGGCCTTCTGAACCGGACGCAAGATGATAATGACGTCTCCAGGGAGCAAGTGCATGTTCCGAACTTCTTTCATGTCTGTCACTAGGTCGACGAATGATTGCATGAAGGCCTTGCAAAGCTGCCAGAATTCGCGTTGATTCCGTAACCCGCCACCTGGTTCTTTGACTCTCATATTTGAAAGGCGCATTCCCAAGGCCTCCGATACTTCCAAGCAAAAGCGACAGCGACGGATCAAGTTGTTCCAGAGAACTTGTATTCCTTCAGATTCTCGTGACTGCTCTGCTACTTCAAGGCATCGGCTGAATTGACGCCGAGCCAAGGGAAGAGCTTGCAGAGCCGAGCTGTATGCAGAAGTGAGCTGGTGGAAGATTTTCTCGAATATTCTGTCCTCCTCAACTTCGTCCAGGCCAGTCAGCGGATTTATGCGAGGCCCACCACTTGCGGCGGGAATTGGAGGAAATGCCTCTCCGGATCGCGGAGTGGCCGAGGAGACTTGCAATGGAGTGTGAGTGAGATTTGATCGACTACTTGATCGACTCCGAGCATAATTGAATGACGGCGTCATGTTACCAGGTGATCCGACACCCGAATGACTTGCGACATTGAGTGACAAAGCAGGAGCCATCCCCATCGGAGGATGTTTTATCGTAGTACCACTCCTGTAGCGCCGTGTCTGGGACATTACTTCACGAGTTGGTGTGACATTTCGTCTTTGAGCTCGATCCGAAGGAGAAGGTCTTGTAGGTTCCATTGCAGCAGGCCTGGGAACGGGCGGGCCTCTGTGGGGATAACCTATCGGGACGTTTAGGGCAGCACAGGCATTCCTCAGTTCCACGAGGCTGCCATATATCATCAGCATTAAAGAGCGTACATATCGCGAGTCTCCATTCGCGACAATTTTAGCAGCGCTATTACGAAGCTGCGTGCCGACATGCGTGTAGGCCACGATGCAAGTTTCGCACTCGCGCTTCACTTTCTCTATGCTGACTTTGGCTGACTCGGGACTGTCGGACACCGAAGCTTCGGCTTTCTCCAACGCCTCGTTAAGACGATCAACGTGTGTGGAAGCGTTGTAGAACACAAGCTCAAGACTGTGCCGCCGCGTATCATCGCGATGTATCACGTTGATAAGTGTTGAGATGTGACTGTGGACCTGGACCAAAGCGAATAGGATACCTTTTGCACTCTCCAATATCGGACCGTCGGAGCTTCGCTCGCCTTTGTGCTCCGGAAGACTCGACATCCGGTTCACCCACCCATCTCGCGCGCGTCGCCTTGCTCCCGGACTGCTGGGGCTGGACGAACTGCTGCTATTGACAGGAGGTGGCGCAGCCGAGTGTGTACGAAGTACGGATCCATGACTGAGACCACGCAAATGACTGTTTCGGTATGGCCGAGTTTCGTCCAATGTTCCAAGATCGGTGTTCTTGCGTTTGACGAGCCCCATTCGTTTATTTCGCGCAGAGTACGATGCCTGAATTATACCCTCACTATTGCTTCGATTCCGTTCACTAATCGAATGAGGGGCAACACCAGGCCGCTGCAGTCCTGGCATATGATACCCGGCTGGCTGTTGGCCCGATGCTATTCGAAAATGTGACTTGGATGGAGCATGAGCAGGCCTAGATATTGATGGCGAACGGGATGACGATGCAGAGCCATCGCCTGTGCTTGGAATGACGGGAAACCGGCTGCTCAGTTTTCTTTTCACGGGGACAGGCTTGGGGGTATCGAACTTGAGGTCACTGGTCGATGAGGAGAATTGAGTTAACGTAGTTCAAATCGCATTGCATTCATCATCCTGACATACCTCATATCGCTACTACTCTCTAACTCCGGCGTCGTTGCTGGCTGTCGACTTTTTAAAAATCGCTTCAGCTCGGCAGTCACCGCGACTTCTTTCTCGTTGTCGGTCATGGCATGTGCCACTTCCGCCTCGGATGCCTCCAATACACGCCGCAGGGGATATCGCAGGGGATTGCCTGCTATTTTGAGAATCTGCAGTTTGTTCATACTGGACAGCCCCACGGGGAGGTCCTCCAAGCGGTTTTGCATGATGGACAACACGCGCAGTGATTTGAGTTTGCTGACTTCATCCGGTAGCACAGAGATTTTGTTCCGGCTCAGGTCAAGAATCTCCAAGAGCGGTAATTTATAGATCTTGTAAAATTTCAGTGTCCTTGATCTCTTGATCTCGAAAATTTTCCAGGAATTCTTCTGGACATACCCCTTTTGGAAATTCACGAAAGTGGTTGGCGCGTATGTTCAAGTACCGCAGATGGGAGCATTCGGCGAAGCGATAGGGAATATGGAAGAGATGGTTATTCGACAGGGAAAGCCTGGATGCCTCATCACGAGGTCCGAGTCAGCTTCTTTTGTTTCTTCTCACGCTAGATGTTCTTGAACCCGAGGCAGCTTATGCAGACTAACCTCTCTACCTCATCCTTGATAATATCCACGACGGGTTCCGGTATCCTCACAATATGGGAATGACCCAAGTCGATTGTGAGTTTGGGCTTCACCACATCCGTAACAGCCTCGCTCCCTGCCAGAGAGCGTTTGGTGTCCTGAATGCCAATCTCCACAGCGTGCCGGGCCAGCTCGATGGTATCCTCAGCGGACAGGTGCTTCGAGGTAGATGATTGCTTGCCACTACCACCCTGGTAGTCACTCATAGCTGTGCCTGGCCTAGATCCATCCTCTTCTGCGTGCGACGATCCATCAACGTGAAACAACGATGGCGGCACCAGAGAGTCAGTCGATCCCGTTTCTAGCTCGTCCCCCTCTGTGACTCCTCGGGAGGTGTACTGCGCTCGCATTGTATCGTCGGGGCGGATGGCACCAGAAAGCATCGTGTCAAAAGCTGTTCTGTGCTGTCATCGAGCACCCGCGGGCGAAACAATGGCGCGTGCTTTGACGACGGTTGAATGATTGCGCCGTCGATGAGCAAATGCGCGAAAGTTCTGGCCACTACCAAATGGATCTGTTCTTTCCACAGAACCTTACCATTGTCATATCATTCGTGGTCGAGCACAAGCAACTGGAGCTTTCTTCGGTCGTTCGGGGTGAAGGATGCGCCGTGGCAGAGGGCAGTACGACGGTTAAGCGCAGCAGCCGAAGTAGGACAGGTCTGAAGATACGAAAGCCTGGAAGACAGGCGACTATTGTGTACCAGGCTGCGTACCGTTCGTTTGGCTCACAGCGCGCTGAATGACGTCCGTTAAGTGTGCCTAAAAACAAACTCGTAGACTCGTTGAGGCGCGGAGATGATCGCGGGGAGGCCGTTGCGGAGGTCCGCCAGGTTGGGCCCAAAATTGTCGGAGTTGCGGGAATCAAGGGAGGTTGGCTTGATCGGCCACGTCGATGCAAGATGCTCGAAGACTGTAGACGCAGTGTTTGACCACCAATATCGAGCCCCTGCTGATGCTGAAAGTTGATCCGAATGTATGAGTTGTGATTGGGCGAGTCATAGCTTGGCCGAGTTTCGGTGGGATCGGCCGGATCAACGTCAAGCTTGGTTAAATTTGGGGTGCTTCGAGGTTGAAGTTCGGTCCGAGACGGGAGTCTCGCCGCTCAATAGAACAGTCCCCGAGGTTGAAACAATAGTCACAATGGTTACAATGGTCACAATAGTGAGGGTAGCCGCTGAGATGATCACTATATGGTCTGCCTGAGAGGCGCTTGAATGCCTAACAATTGATCATTCCTGCAATGGCTCAAATCTGTACCTGATTATGGGAGAGGCAAGTAATCTTGTTCATGCAGAACCTGTGAAAATATACAAAATGAGTGGCCACTGGCCAGTAGCCCAGGCTCGGGCGTTCTCACGACGGTCTACTTCAAGTTCGGTCTTTCACTTTGGTGATCAGTGAATGGAGAGTGTGCGAAAATCAAGCTACTATGGTAAGGGTCTTCTCTTCAGATGTGCGAAGTGTTTGAGCATGACCAGGAAGCGTGACTTGTTTTGAGGCTCAACGTAGCATACTCAAACACCGGAACACAAGCCTCAATGGGGCATCAACTCGAAAGGTAATAATGTACATGTCCAGCAGGGGAAAGAGAAAAGAACAAAAACACCAAGTAAAGCATGAGTCTAGAATTGCAAGTCACTAGAGTCTGATGCCAGTCGCTGGCACTATCCACCTAGAACGATAGGACGATAGGACGATGTGACTCAAACGGTAACAGCCTCCGGCGGCTCCGCAAAGGCCTCTTCTTGACTCTGCTGTTCAAGTGCCACCTCCGGAGCGCCAGAGAGGGCTGCCGTACGCTGATCAAATAGCTGTGCTTGCGTTTTCGCCCATGCTTTCCACTTCTCGTATTGCTGGTTCTCCAGTTCCATACCAACTTCCAAGTAAGAGGGACCGAATTGAGCACCCGTGGCTTCGGCCTCCTCAGCCGCCACTCGTCGCTGGATGTCTTCCTGCAGTCGAAGGCGGTAAAATTCCCGTCGAGCAATGTCATAGGCATTGCTCTTAGTCATATCAGGTACGTTGTTCAGCAGCCATAGTTGACGCTGGACAACACTATGGGAGAGTGAAAAGTCAGGTCAGTCACCAGGTCGAACATCCCCAGGTGCATGCCTTCACTCGGAATCACAAATCTACTGTCAGAAAAGCGACAAAGGGTTCACTAACCTCTCTCCGTCGAGTCGTTTCCCGGGTTGTGTGATGCGGCTCCAGTCGTAGTGCTCGTGGTCTTTGCCTGTGCTCTCGAGAAGCACGCGAGGCCGGGCAAGCTCCCAGGGGTGATCCCGGAAGAAAGTGTGTCGTAATTCGTCCTCCTCATACTTGAGCTCGACAGGCTGGAATAGTCGGCTGGGCTTCTTGGACTTGCGAGGCTTCTCCTGGACCTCAAAGACGACCTGCGGCTTGGATGATCCAGCAACGGTCTTCATGCGTTGGCGAACGAGCTGGTGTTGCGGGCTCGGAGTTCGAATCAAGGCCTCAGAGGGCGGGATTTGGCCAACGACATCAACCCATTGAGGGAGCTTGTTGATCTTTCCGCTAGCGAATTGGTTGAGCGCCGTCTTGCGCACGCGGAGCGCGGTCAGGTTGATCTTGCCCATCGTAGTAGGGAGATGTTTGGTTGGCCGTCGACAGCTTTGACTTGTTGGGAGCCCAGAGCTCAATGATCGATTGCGACGGCTTGGAGACCAAGTCCAGTGGAGCCTGAAGAGAAAGAGTGATTGAGGTTGGCGATGCCCTCTGAAGTGTTGAAGCGTCGGGTGGTTGATGCTGCGACTGCTGCGGGAACGAAAAAGATGGCCCTGGGCCCAAAGGGCGACGCCGATTGGCCCGAGCGGGTCCCGCTGCAAAGCCAGAAAGCCCGGCCGCTCTCGAGAAAAACACCCCAGCTTCACTACTTCGACGACACGCTTGGCTATGGGCTTCTAACGGCGTTGCTTCTTCTCTAGCTCTGTCACCACATCGCTCTTTCGGACGACCGTTTGGTCTCGTATCCGAGCAGCTGTCGACACTACTCTCTGCGATCGGCGCCGTCTCTCGCTGGATATGCTTGGCTAAGCCAATGTCACGATGTCTGCTCTCTCATGCCTCCTCCCAATAGGTTCTCCAGCTCACCGAGCCTGCGCCCACTTCCAAGGCAGGCCTCGGACGAGCTTCTATCTTCTCGATTTTTCATGTCTCAGCAAAGATCATCTTATTACCATGCTCCCGCCCGCCGATTCTCTTCCCGCCGCATACGACCTTTCGTCGCGTCAATAGCAGACATTTTCGTCGGATCGCTCGTCCTTGCAGGATTTTGCAGTGAGCATGCACCACAGCGCCGTCATTTTTCCATGGTCTCGTCGAGGGTATCGGAAGTGGAGCTGCGAAGACCACGCGCCAATGCGGTTCCGGGTCCTGGAAGGAGGCAGCTGGCTGCAGGAAAACGCTGGGGACATTTGGGTCCTGCCATGCAACCATCACGGTCTCGGTCCTGGGTCAGCGCGGCTCTCCTTCCAATAGAGGAAGACAGTCAATTACCCGAATCCGCACTCAGAGACTCGCCGTTTACGAAACAAAAAGGGGCGAAGGGCGAACCAGATGGGCGTGCTTCGAGGAGAATGACTGGTGAGGTGTCGTATTCTTCCAAATGGCCCCAGTTGCTCGACTCGATATTGGATCCCGAGAATACGACTGGCCAAGACAGGGATCTTACCCCAATCGCGCTCTCGGGGGATTCAGAAGTGCTTCCGGCCTCGGAGGACCAAGCAGGCCTATCATTTGACGAACGAAGGCATCGCATAAATTCCAACCTCTATCGTCGTATACTAGGCGATGACTACGAATGGACAGAGCCGATGGACGTTGTGTTTCCGAAGGAGCAGGTGCAAGCCAAACGAGAGGCGAAAGAACTGCTGGAGAATGAACTAGGCTCCCACAGACTCTCGGTCGCCAAGTTGATTCACGTCCTACACCACGAAAAGTCTCCATCCACTGCATACCTCTTTCGTCTGTACAGGGATCTTCCTGCGCCTGGAATCGCAAGTCTACCACGCAAGATCCGCGGACAACTTCTGCGTGTCTTCGCCAAAGCTCCAAATCGACGGTGGGCCGATGCACGGCGCTACCTTGCCCTTGTGCAGGACATGATCGCTTCAGATAAGAGCATGTCTCGATCAATGTGGACCTCTGCCGTGCATTTTGCGAGTCGTGGGAGTGGCAAGATCCAGAAACGTGATCTCGTGCGTGCGATCGGCGTCTGGCAGCAGATGGAGCATGTGGCGGGGATCGAGGCTGACGATGTGGTTTTCAATATCCTCTACGATGCAGCGATTAAAGCTGGCCAATTCACAGTGGCTGACAGGCTAGAGAACGAAATGAGGAGGCGCAATGTCAAGTTCACTCGGTTTGGCTTGGTCGCCAAGATTCATTCGGCTGGCGTGCGAAGAGATTTGGACGGCATTTCAAACCAATTCCAGAGTTTTATTCAGGCGGGAGATCTAGTCGACACTGTTGTACTGAACAGTTTGTGTTCCGCATTCATCAGAGCAGGGGATCCCTCGGCCGCAGAGCAACTCTATGGCCGTATGATCAGCGCGCAGCGGGCGAAGAAGAGCCCGAAACGTTCGCTGACGACCAACGCCAATCGCGTGGTATTCGAGCATTCGCTGTCCTCAGTCTTTTCCAAATACCGCACAGACAGTCGAGCATTCGGCGATTTCCTCAAGCGTTCGCAAGCTCTCATGCTTCAATCTCCAAAGCATCACCAGGCCTTGCAGGATTCAATCCCGATGACCCCCGATACTCGAACGTTCTACATCTTTCTTCGGTATTACGCGCGCCAAAGTGGTGAATTTGACAAGGTGGCAATGGTTCTCCGTGACATGGAGCACGCTTTTGACGTACCTCCCAATCAGATCGTCTACATGATGCTGTTCGAGGGGTTCGCAATCCATGGCCTTCACAAGAGCGCATGGTCACCTGAACGTCTGCGCCACGTCTGGCATGCTTATCTGCGGGCTTTGCGCACATCCAAGGCAAGACTGGACGCGCAACAGCGCAACCGTGTTCCGCGGAAAATGGAATGGGAGAATCCCCTCGCCAAGGCCATGCATTTGGAAGACGAGCTGGACGCGTCTGTGGCCAACAGCACAGATGAATTTTACACGAATCTGCCATCAGCGAGCGACGAGCCAGTGCCTGAACAGTCCAGTACATCCATGCCTCCAGATGAGACTGCCTCTGATGGCTTGGCTGAGCATGATCATCGATTGACCAAAGACAAGTCTGGATCATCCGGGCAGCTTGATCCTAATGATCTTAGCGAGACATCCACTGCAGCCTCTCGAGAAAGCATGTCAATCTCTGACATTGACCAACCCTTGCCGATCAGTCTCGGTTTGCACCACCATGACGATCTTGATAAGCATTTGGAGAATGGTGTTTTTGTGGGCCGCAAGATGATCGGGATTATCTTGCGCGCATTTGGTGCCTGTTTTGGCCCCAAGGAGGTCATGGAGGCTTGGCTGCAATTGGAACGTCTCTGGCACCCACACCACCGCAAGGCAGCCGATGTGATAGCTGTCAAGGAAGAGCTTGACAAGCAATTGTCTCGAGGACCGCGTCCGAAGCTGTAACATTATGAATTGGCGGAGAAGATATGGATGGACTGTCACTTATACCTGTACATTACACGCAACACTATCATACACCTACCCATTCAATTGGGCGAATTTGTTTTTAGCTTGCTTCGTGAAGGAAAAGTCGGTTCCTTGTCTGGTAGTGCGACTGGGTCTCACGTAAGAAAATAATTATTCTGACCATAACATTACTATCTCAATAATTCAGTCAAAGCGTATGAACACTATCTTCCCTGACGGCGACCTCACCTTGAGAGATTGCCCATCGGTCAATCAACGTGATCCAGAAATCCATACTATCATTCCACAATTACAGCACTTACAGTTGTTCGTCGACGGCGACGGCTAAATCAATATACAGGCACGTGATTTCGCGTCGACCCGGACGTGTCCACGAGCGCGTCAAGCTGAAAAGACCTCACTCAACCCAAGCAACTTTGAGTTCGCAGGTCACCATCTCGTATCTCCCAAACTTCTTTGACATGCTACCAAATGACTAGTGGGGGAGGTCTGCCACAGCGGAAGCCAGACCTGGACTTCTATCTGCACCGTGTGTTCCGCAAAAAGTCTTTCCGGTTAGCACTCCAAGAGTCCAAATGCCGTAGATCGCGTGTCCCACCTGACTTCTTTTTGGGGCCGAATTAACCGGGTCTAGTCCGCTTCAGCGAGAAGTGATCACTGCAGCCGTCGAGGGGCATGATGTTTTTCTGCAAGCGTCGACTTCGTTTGGGAAAAGCTTGTGCTTTCAGTTGCCTGCTGTAATTAGCAATGGGCGTAAGTTCCACGTCATTCTCAAAACCACCACGTTGTCGACGGGCATTCACGCTGACCAAACTATAGTAACAATCGTCATCTGCCCATTGCTGGCATTGATGGTGAGTTGAAAATTCCAACAAGAGCTGTGGCGGTCACGTTAACTAGTACTGGTGCAGACCGATCAGGTGAATGCCTTACGAGCCATTGGTATCCCGGTCCAGACGATCAATTCCAGCACAGCTCTAGCTGAAAGGCGCCTGATTATGGCCGATATGCTATCGGGTCATCCTCGCACGCGCCTACTTTATGTGACGCCCGAGTTATGTCAGACTGACAGCTTCCGTCGCAATCTCTCCATCGTGCATCAGCAGGGTCAGTTGACCCGAGTTGCTATTGACGAAGCTCATTGTATCAGTGAATGGGGCCACGATTTTCGCCCGGCATACCAAGAGTTGAGTTGGTTCAGAAAGAACCTAGACAATCCACCGGTTCCCATCACCGCGGTCACGGCAACTGCAACACCACGAGTTCGTGCGGACATCATCAATGTCTTGGGTCTCAGCTTTGCCAGGCTGAAGCTCTTTAATACTCCGTCGGCACGCCCCAATATCCACTACGAAGTACGTTATCTGGCCAACTATGATGAGGACGACGATTTCTCGCCTGAAGATATTCGCGTGGATGACTTGCTGGCATGGCTGAAGACTGTCAAAAGTCGTCAAGAAGCTCGCCTCGGCGGGCAGGCTTCAGCTTCACGAACCCCCATGTCCGGAATTGTCTATGTTGGTCTGCGTGCAACCTCTGAAGAGCTCGCCCACAGACTAGATTCCGATGAGTCCATATCAGCGGTAGCATATCATGCAGGTCTCAAACCCCAAGACCGCGTGCGCATCCAAGCGATGTGGACTGCGCCCCGGGTCCAAGTACAAAGGAATGGCGGCAAACCACCTCCCACCTTCTCGATAATAGTAGCCACCAATGCATTCGGCATGGGCATCGACAATCCGCACGTCCGATTCGTGGTCCATTGGACGCCGCCTCGCAGCTTTGAGGGATTTGTGCAGGAATCAGGCCGAGCAGGTCGCGACGGTCGGGCAGCAGCCTCAATCGTCTACTACAATACCCAAGAACGAGACCGCATCGCCGATCGTCTCAGCCGAGATGCAGAGAATGTGCGCAACCGAGGTGGCTCAAAGGCCTTTGTCGCCGGACTTCTGAAGAATCAAATGGCTCGGCGCGAAAGCTACGAGAAAGTGGTGCGCTACTGCGAGTCAGTCAGCAAATGTCGCCATGCTCTTATCAAGGATCTATTTGGAGACTACGAGCTAGAAGAAATGGGATCTCAACAGCCCTTGCCAGCCTACGGGGGTGGCAAGACTCAAGGGCTCGATCATACTACTTCCCCTTGCGACTTTGCTTGTGACTTTTGCAAGGATGGACCTTCGGCTCTGGCACGACGGAAGAGTAAGATGGATGTTGGCCAGGCGCTTTATGAGTTCATGGTTGATATGTCAATGGATTATTGAAAATTTTTCACTCTTGCCCATTGCCCGTATTTACGATTAGGCTCCCTCGCTACTTGCGAGGTCTTGGGAGTACAAGGGCTGTAGTAACTTCTGTCTTAGCTTAAAGGAAGATTACAATGAAGCGACAGAAATGTAATGAAGCGCTCGGGCTTCCTTTCGATAGATTCGCAGGAATTTAAGAGCTTGAGGAGCTTTGGCGCTTGGAGAACGGCAAGATGCGAAGATCTTTCAAATCGCCTTTTTGAAAAAGAAAAAAATAAGCATTGTACGGAGAGCCAATGGCGCACTTTTTGAGTCGCTCGTGATTTGTCAAATCTTGCTGTGTCTTTTTTGTGCTTTGCATGGTCAAATCAATCCTTGCTAGATGGTTCCTGTGCGTGACAGGCTTCACTTGGAGATCGTACTCCATGAAACGTCAGGAATGGCACCAAATCTACAGACCAGGTGGAGGTGGAACCTAGATCGGATGAACTGTTAGACGCGTCGATTGTTTACTCTGGGTATCGGAACGTACTGCACTGTAGCCACTGGCACCTGGCGGTGGAGGTGGTGGGGGAGCTTCTGAGCCAGGGGGGGGGAGGTGGAGGGGCCTCGTTAGAAGGAGGGGGTGGAGGTGGAGGAGTCTGGGTCTCGGTGGCTTGCTGCTGCTGTTGTTGAGCAGCAGCGGCTTGCTGGTAGTATTGGTAATATGCCACGTAGTTCTGGTAACCACCGTACGCAGCGTAGGGGTCAGCCGTTCCATAATACTGAGCATATGCGCTGTAGTCGGCTCCACCAGCGGCCGAGGCAGCGGGATCAACAGGACTAGCAGAAGGAGCCGGAGACTGGTGTTGGTGTTGTTGATGACGGTCGTTGTATCGATCTCTGTAGCCGCCACCGCCGCCTCGATCACCACCGTGATAGCGATCACCACCGCCGCCACCACCGCCGCCTCCGCGATAGCCTCCATAACTGTGCTGCGGGGGGTTGTCCTTGAAATTCTGATATTGCTCGCGAACATTGGCTAGAAGGTCCTCGCAGAGCTCCTTGGCAGCTTGCACATCATTCGGATCTGGGCCACTGAAAAAAAAAGACATAATTAATCGATTAGCATGTGACAGAACTAGAATGGAGAGCCTCAGGAAGCTTACGCGACATGCAAAAACATCGGCTCGTCGCTTTCTCGACCAGTGCTTGATTCGATAAAGCCGGAGCCACGTCCTTTGATCTGCACGCGGCAACGTGTTTTCTGCTGAATGTGCTTGACGTAGGCACCGCCTTGACCAACAACTTGAGCGCGCAGGTTAAAACCGGGAATGGGCTCAAGATCGATAGGAATGCGCTCGTCAGGCCATTTACGCTGTCATAAGTTAGCCTGGCTCGAAGTCTGGAAACATTGGTGGTGAGCGAGAGAGAACGTACACGGCCAAATTCATCTCGCTCAACTTGCTGCTCCGGTTCCCGTCGACGAAATCGGCGCTCGTCAACGAGGTTTGGAAGCTCCTTTTTCATGAGGTCATCAATGATCTGAACAGCCTTGTCAAGTCCTTCCTTGGTGGTGCTAGTGACGTGGAGATACAACGGGGGGTTCTGCGTCGATCATATCAGCACTTCGGTCTGGAGACAAGCCTTTCATGCCCAAAAAAACATCCTTACCGCAGCAGTCGCCATATTTTTGTCCGGGTAGTAGTTTCCGCGGGTGGTCACATCTTGAAAACGAGTAAGTGATGAGTTCGGCCATCCAAAAGTATGCACAAGGAGAAGGCGTACCAGCGCCAGTTTCATCTTTGATCTATATTCAGGCAGTTGATGTCAGCAGATGCCACAGAGGGGTTGTTAGATGCTACGGTTGAATTGATTGAGTAAGCTTCATCCCGCCACACGTCAGGTATATGAGAGCAACTGCTCGGAAAGGAAAGGGGCCAAACGCAAGCTTGGTCGCCAAACAAAAAAGCAAGATCTGAAGCATCAGCCAATGTCAACAGGGATCATTACCATTTTCTGAGTAGAGCCCTTGGTCAGGGTGTATCGGTTGCGCAAGTCGTTGATCTCGATGTCCTTGATGTAGTCTCCGTCGGCAACATAAACTTCGGTCTTGGACTTGCCATCTGCGCCGTCGGATTGCGCCCCAGGGCTGTCGGTCTGAAGAATTCATTAGTACATTGTTCTCAGTCTGCATCGACCAAGACCATTTTCCGATACCGAGCGAATTGGAGGAACATCGACGTGCTGAATGCCCTTCTTGGCCTGCAGTTGCGCATTGATCTTGGCCGCCGCCGCCGCTAGCAAAAGAGCCACCAACACGTGTTAGTGTTGCGCACTATTACGACATCCAAAAATTGTATCGCGACACTCACCAGCTGCTGCGGCCGGGTCCAATTTGCCCGAGACCTCTCCAGCGGGGCTTCGAGGCTCACGACTCAACGGACTACGAGTGCGTACAGATTCGGACTGTCGGGCGGACGGAGATCGTGAGCGGCGGTCGAAGCGAGAGCGACGAGGCTCTGGATCAGTCTGGTCAAAGCGCGAGCGCTTAGCTCGGCGATCATCGTCTGCCATGGCGTTCAATGTGGGCGAGACCGTGGATAATCAGCGTGGTAGGTTGGGGAAGTGAGCAGGAAAAGATAAATATTGAAGGCGGGAAGGATAGGTCAAGGGAGGCGGAGGTAGTGGAGTCAACGCGGAGCTCAGCAACCAGACTGATATTAAGGCAATGCGTCAAAGTGTCCCTAGCGGGGACTCGTTTGCTTTGAATCAAAAAAATAAAATATTCAAATTGAAGTGCTAAGTGAGGGTCGGAGAATATATGCTCTCAAACATTTCTCGTCGGAGTTCATGTGAACTAGATTGACAAGCATTGAAAATGTTCTCGATCACGTGTGACTGCAGACCACCTTGGCACATCCATACAGCACCGTTCCGTGAGTGGAACACTTTTATACTAGTCCCTAAATGGGAATTCAACAACTGTGAACCTTGTCGATGTCTGATCTAGTGTTGCTGCTCGTTTACGAAAAGGCAACTTAAACAAAGAAAATGGTCAAAATACGAGCCCCATTTTATAATCTCATAGGTACATGGGTCCAAGAAACCGCGTACTTATCGCTCATGGTCCTAAGGCAAACATGTTATAGATTCCAATCTATAAGGTTGCCTTGGTATCTGTAGCATAACAAAATACCCGGGCACCTCCGGACTGTATAGACACCGTGGCAGCGCGAACCTTGTATAGCACCATATAATCACCAGGACACTACCCAGTAGATGTGTACCTAGGTATGGAATGTGGATTAATGCTAGCGTAAAGTACTCTACATGTGAAAGTACTGAGAAGTTTACGTTTAAACGACAGATGAGATACCTCAATGGCTTCTGAGAAGTTGAATACCCAAGTCTATCCGCACGTATATATCGTGGCACATACACAGCACTGCGCATATCGAATTTTGCTGGTGAAGCCCTGGCTCTTCCTAATTATAGTAAACCCTAGCGATGTTGAGCTATTTCCACGCCGATATTGAGCTCAAATTAAGCATGTGTTTAAAGCATTAAATTCAGTCTGGATCTCATCTGAAACGAATAAAACTCTCAGGGAATAATAAGTCGATCACCCAAGACTCAAGAGTACCTAGTCATTCAACAAGTACATTCTGCGGTGAGACTCGGAGGCGGTTGACACCTCATGTAAGGTCATCCGCAGTGGAAGCCAGCTAGTCCCAAAGTGGCTAGCGTTCAGTGAGTCAGCTGCCCCGAGGTCGGAAGAGCAGCCCCGATCATCAACGAAAAAGAATCCAGAGGGTCCAGAGTGATTCATTGTTCATCTCTCGGTGCTCCTGAAATCCGTGATGGCCTTCAGACACCCACTGACGTTATCATCGGCGTCGGTGTCACTGCTCCGGCAGTCAACCGTCGCTGCTCGGTCTCGCGCCACCACATCTTCTCCCTTCAATGCGGTCCGCGCCTCATCCAGCAGCTCAACCTCTGCTCTGGCGTACAAGGCATTGCATCGCCGTTCCCCTCTTCCTCTTCCAGTGTCCGACGCTTCACCGCAGTGGGATGCTCCCACTGCGGTCTCCTCCATTCTCTACGAGACTCCCGTGCCTCCCAGCAATCCCCCGAAGCGCCATGTTCTGAACTGCTTGGTTCAGAACGAGCCTGGTGTGCTCTCCCGCGTTTCTGGCATCCTGGCTGCCCGTGGGTTCAACATCGACAGTCTGGTCGTGTGCAAGACCGAGGTGGATGATCTGTCTCGTATGACAATCGTGCTTCAGGGTCAGGATGGTGTTGTTGAGCAAGCGCGGCGCCAGCTCGACGACCTCGTCCCTGTCTGGGCGGTCCTGGACTACACCGAGTCCGCTCTTGTCCAACGTGAGCTGCTGCTTGCCAAGGTCTCTATTCTGGGCCCAGAGTTCTTCGAGGAGCTCCTGCAGCATCACCGCGAGATCACCACCCCTGCCGATTCCCTGAAGGAAGGCCAGGGTCACAACATCCAAGAGATTGAGTTCCACCCTCGCAATCTGCCTCCTAGCCAGGCTTTGCGCCACAAGCATGAGCATCTGGATGCCATCACCCGTCTGGCCCACCAATTCGGTGGTAAGGTCTTGGATATCAGCAACAACAACTGCATTGTCGAAGTGTACGTCCTCGAAGCAACCTCCCCGCTAAACCCCTGTTACATCGCTAACCAGTCAATTCACAATAGTTCCGCCAAGCCCAGCCGTATCGACTCATTCTTGAAGTTGATTGCTCCCTTTGGTATCCTTGAGTCGACCCGTACCGGTCTCATGGCTCTGCCTCGCTCCCCCTCTCCGAGCAGAGTGAAGAGCTCGAGAAGGATGCCGCGGACGTCGTTGATGCCAGCACCCTGCCCCCCGGCTAAGTGCTATTCTATATGCATAATATTTAAAAACGAATCATACCCAATGTTGATTTGGTCAATTTGCTGCAATTCATCACTTGTTTGTTCAGTTGGTCAATGGAGCCTTCCTTGTATCGCAGACTTGTTGCCGATGTGTTCTCGATCATCTTCTTCTATGAAAATTGTATTCACTGCTACACGGTGTCTAATAGTGAAATGTCCTAATTCAGATTACGATAGGAAGGATGTGATGACAAGAAATAGGTGGGCGACAAGTCAGAAGATTACTGGCATGCTTGACCCACAGTATCATCGACATCCCCGATACTTGAAGGCATAACAGTAGGCTTCCATTAAGGATAAGTAGACAAGTAATACCAAGAGCTCCTAATTCCCGGACGCCGTTCCACCAAGATTCATCAGTGATTGGAGAGGTTCAGATCACGTCAATCCGTAAACGATACTCAAACAAAATTCCCCCATCGCGTCTCTGTACCAAAAGACTTTATTTTTATCTTCAACATTTATATCTTCACCTTGGCTTCGATCCCCTTCGCCTGGTAATGAACCACATCTTCATAGTTCTTCACCCGCATCCCGACCTCGGCCACAGCATCCAGTAGGAGCTGCTGACCGAGAGCCTTTCGTAGAGCGTCGTACCCCACACCCCCAAGGTCAATCTGGACTGGAAGACGAGGGGATTGGGAGGTGCCAGGGGGGACATCGAATGCTTCGTCGTACTCGATGCGACCGAGAGGCTCATCTTCGTAGAAAGCTGTCGAGTCCATCGAGGTCACAGTGATGCTTGTGTCTGCCATGGGCGAGTAGACTGTGAATTCAACGGTCGAAGAGAAAAAGTGTAGCTTGTACGAGGAAACGTTGAAGGAATTAGCATTATGCTTCGAAACGTAGAGGATGCATCATATCATTTTCAGGCCGCAGCGGGAAGGCAGTGAGACTTGGCGGATCATCAGAACAAGACGGAAGAGATAGACATACAGTTGCGTCTTGGATAAACTTTGGCGGTTTTCCATCTTTATCACCGTCATCACCGGGTGCACGAGGAATTGACATATGGGGTACTGGTACGTCAAATGGAATGGTAGAGAGAGCCTTGCCTAGGCCCGGAAGCGTGGGAAATGTTCCTTCGTGAGTCTGTATTTGTAGCGTCATATTGGCACCTGGACGCAGGTCAGAGATGGCTCATTTGGATCGACTTCTGAACACTAAAGATCGCGCACCTGAGATATAGGAGGAGACAAATTTGCGTCCAGCTTTGACGCCAACAGACCCGCTCTCATCGAATGGAGCCCATAGCATCTGCACTGGGATGTTGGTGTTATTGCCTGACACAATCGATGTGTTTTGGACAATCAGACGGCCGATAGCTGTGTTGTTATACAACATCTTGACGTCGAAAAAGGGGATAGTGGCGGAGTGATTGGTCGGGTTTGTCACATTGACCAGAACGTTTACGGCCAACGATGTCTTGGTCGTGTCGCCTAGTTTCATAGATGCGACAGTCGGGTTCAGATGTCCGATCGATCGTCCCGCTGGAACTAGGAGGATGTCAACGAGTTGGTCTCACGGAAGAATGACTTGCTCAATTTCACTCTATTCTACTTCATAAAGATAGCGTAAACATACTGTTCACGGGGACATCGCCTTCCCCAGGGATCCCATGGATGGCAAACTGGCCCAATCCTGTCGCAACCTTTGCATCTACGGTTGCAGTGACATGCAGTATCACTCCCTTCTTACCAAACAGCATTTGCTGCACAATCTGTGCCAGCAAATCATTGTCTTTTACTTGTAACGGCGCATCTTTGATGGAAAACTCCACCAGCATGGCTGCGGACCCATCTTCGAGCTCCACTCTCGTTGACTTGGCGTCCTGCCATTTGTCGAGGTTCATGGTGCCTAATTGCTTGCCGTGATAGAACACGTTTGTATGCGCTCGGACGCTTGGAATGTCGACTGTTATGTTGACATGGTCTGGTAGACCGATAAGTACCTTGACAAGCGAAGAGACCGTTGGCTGCGCGTCTGGAGAGCCTGGTTCGGCGAACGGGTTGGGGAGCGAGAAGCGGGTTTCCGACATGGTGAAGTTCTTCATCATGTCGTCCAATGGGTCCCCTTCAAAAGGTAACGGTACAGTAACACTTCGGAGTATGTCAGCTATCCACGTTGGGGTATCGCTTGATGGTGAATCTGCACCCCGGACGTAGATAGTGGATGGGCGACCTTGCATGTAGTTTGAGACCAAAACATCGAGCGGCGACCCGTCGCCGCTTGGACAGGCGGTGGTCAACTCATCAGGCAATTGCTTGACTAGACCTTGCGCGCTGATTACAGTCGGGACACCCGGACGGACATTGATGGCATTAGTCCTTGAGTCCGCAACAAGAATATATGGATCGCCAGGCGAGCAATTTGGCACAAAGATGGAGAACTCGAGGGCGGGAATCATGAGAGCTACCGGAGACTTGATATTCGCTGATGCTGAAACATCAACCGCCAAGGCGCCATTAGCGGTGTCCCGCACATCCAGTTTTGTGACATCCACTTTGGGAAGAGGAGGAAGGTCACTGTCTATTATCGATGAATTAGTTCGGTTTCCTTGTTGGTATGGAAGCACTCGCACCATTGAACGTGACAGTGTCTGTCAAGGTCTGAGCTCCGAGGCCGATGATGCCTGAGCGCGGATGCACAGTTGCTTTGCCCCGTACGCTTAAGCTTCCCAGCCTTCCATCTATCCAGTCACGAGCGACATTATGTAGACCTTTGACATCCCCGGCGGTCAAATCGGCCATGAAGTCAACATGACTCTTATGCCCATTGCGTATATTCACTTTGATGGAAGGCAGGCGGGCGTTGCCCACCAAAATGTTGCCATACTCTGGAATGTAAACTTTCACGTCGGACTCCCCAGACTCCGCCTCGTGAGCAATCCAGGTCACGAAGCGACCAATATCGCGCATCGACTTCTTCTTCACGCGACTGGCGTCCATGACGAACTCGCCTTGAACTCGGGCTCGAACACCATCCGGAGTGGTGGAGTCTACTGAAAGCGCCGTGGGCTTGAAGACTGCAGCTTGCTGGGCGTATTCCTTGACTATCGCTGGCGTGGCGAAGGCAAAGATTAAGATTGCCAAGACCGCCGTGGTCAACACAGTAAGCGATATCACGGTGGGCCATCGTACTTGACTGCGCTTCTTCGGGACATCCTCGTCTATAAAATCGGATCCTGACGCTTGCCCTTCAGTTCCATAGTTGGGGAGATCGTCGTCGTGACGGTGCAGCAAAGGTGTTGATTCGGAGGATAGCTCGAATGACCGCCGAGGCTGGGATGGACGAATGGTGGTGTCGGAGGGCCCGGGGGAGGAGGGTCTGACTTCCTCTCCGTCCAGCAGTGGCCTGCTCTCCTCTTCAGCCATAATGGCTAGCGAGAGAGTACCGAGAAAAATAAATTCTTTAATCAATAGCCTCTAATAAGCCATACATAGACGTGGTCGATCGAGAGTGAGTGTTGAAAAGAGGGGAGGAGAGGCGATGATGATGACGATAAGCCGAAGATAACGGGGAAGTGGAGAATCCGGAAGTTTGGGGATGACACCTGATCCCTCAGGCAATAAGGGCCTCAGGCCGCCGAGCGCCCAGCCTGCAGTCCTGCACACTGTTTCTTATGCATTCACCAAGTGTGGAGCATCAGCGCTCTCGCTATCTTTCCGTTGTTGAGTGGAGGAGCTTCGAGTCATCAGTTAGAGTTGAGTCATTGCGGCCTCCACCCATTTATTAGGGCTCCGATCACCGGCCTCCCCTGCAACCTCTCATCCTTTCGTCTCTTCACAATTCGCACGTCACCCACTACTGTGCACCCCATTTGCATAGTTCCACCTTTTCTTCTTACCTCGGTCGCTAGATCAATTCCATTTCATTCTCTCCGCTCCGCTCAGGACTAACAATGGCGAGCGGTCTCAAAGCTGCCACCCGTTATGGCGCCCAAAGTGTAATTCAATTGGCTGGCTCCACCTCTTCCACGACTCGAACTCTTCAAGCTAATGGACTTCGACGATTTGCTCACCAGAGCCAAACCACGCCTCCTACATCCCCCTTTGCTCCTCGCCATCTTCTCTCCATTGCCGACTTAACACCTGCGGAATTTGCAACTCTGGTCCGCAATGCTGCTTCGCACAAACGAACCATCAAATCGGGAGCCATCCCACAGAGCCTGTTGGGGTCAATGTCGGGCAAAACCGTGGCCATGATGTTCAACAAACGAAGCACTCGCACCCGAGTGTCTACCGAGGCTGCTACGGTGCAGATGGGGGGTCACCCCATGTTCTTGGGCAAGGACGACATCCAGCTCGGTGTCAATGAGTCCGTCTATGACACTTCCGTTGTCATCTCGTCAATGGTCTCGTGCATTGTCGCGCGCGTCGCGAAGCACTCGGACGTGGCTGATCTGGCCAAGCACTCCTCGGTTCCCGTGATTAACGCTCTGTGTGACTCCTTCCATCCTCTGCAGATTATCGCCGACTTCCTCACCATCTACGAGAGCTTTACCCCGAAGGCACACGGCCTATCCAGTCTCGGTTTGGAGGGGCTGAAGATCGCGTGGGTGGGAGACGCGAACAACGTTCTGTTTGATCTGGCTATCGGTGCCACCAAGATGGGCGTTGACATGGCGGTCGCCACGCCCAAGGGATACGAGATCCCCAACGAGATGCTGGACATCATTCAGCGGGCGGGTGAGGGGGTTGCGGCTCCTGGCAAATTGACCCAAACCAACGTTCCTGAAGAGGCGGTCAAGGACGCGGACATCCTGGTCACCGACACTTGGGTGTCCATGGGCCAGGAGGAGGAGGCCAAGAAGCGCATGAAGGCCTTTGAGGGCTTCCAAATTACCACTGAGCTTGCCCAGCGAGGTGGAGCCAAGGAAAGCTGGAAATTCATGCACTGTCTGCCCCGACACCCCGAGGAAGTCAGTGATGAAGTCTTCTATAGCCCTCGTTCATTGGTGTTCCCTGAAGCGGAGAACCGCCTCTGGGCTGCGATTGCGGCGTTGGAAGGCTTTGTTGTGAACAAGGGTAAGATCGTGGAGTGAAGAGGCGGGGTTTTTGACGAGCCGTGCACGATCTGGACCAAAATCTTCTTCTTTTCGTTTGCGAATGGGATGCCCGTGGACGGGTTTCTTCGAGCATTGTGGGCTGGCTTAGCGGGGATGCAAATGTATATCAACCTGTCTTTCGAATCTTATGCATATAGGGCAATGCTAAATGAAAAAAACCCCCTCACAATCTTTCAACCACCAGAACAAGGAATCTATGTCTTTTTAAGAGGTGCCGCGGTCTAGTCATGAGCAGCAATACTACCTACCTAACCATGTAAGTAAGTAGTAAGGTTGTCACGGGAGACCTCTGCCGCCTCTTCGGATGGTCGAGTGCGGCTAAAGAGGGGCGTGACTTGGGGCCCCATACCAGTTGGAACTATGATAGCGGGGGATATATCGTATACATTTGCCCAGCATATTGGAAATTCTTTATATGGAAATAACCGCAAACTTCCCCCTCAGGTTTTATAAACGTGTAGTACAAGTGAAATGCCGGCACGATAAGCCGAATGTGTAACTCGGGATTGGGTGCGTTACATCACATCCCATCTCCCACTCTTTCCAGGCTTTCGATTCGATCCATTCCATCCCTGCGATCTTTCTTTACAGGGCAGGTGTAGAACATCGAGGGTACCTTACCGATCTTCACTCATATCGAAGACCAGCCAAGAGATGCACTCCTGATACACATGGATGGACCTGTAGAAATCTACTAGTAGCCATCAAGAATTGGAACAATGTACAAGGTAACCCTGGACTTTGAAGTAACTAAATCAAATCAGACATCGTGATAATGGATCCTAGCAGCAACGTAGGGGATGACGAGTATTTCACGCACTGTGCTATATCAGAAAGATTCAACGTCCCCGTATAACCAATTGCGTAGGTGATACATGCGGAGGCAAAAGATTGTCGGCAAGCATCTGGTGCCGAGTCAAGGTTACCCGACCCACGTCCGTGGACCATTACCTCGGACATGATCCGAAAGTACTAGATGTCCAAGGTTATTATATGAGAGTAAATCCTGGCCATATAGATGGAGGACTGAGACAGAGTACTTCAAGTGGATCCTCAACCCAGAGCATTATTTTCAAGGATTGTACCGTTTCACGCACCAAACTTCTGTATCACCCTGTATACCCTCTCTTCTCAGTCACTCGGCGCTGGACTCGAGATCTTTCACAGTTCCTCCTCTTCTTACCTCAACAATGGGCTTCTCAGAAAAGCACATTGCGGTCATTGGCGGCGGTCTTGGTGGCATGTCCTTTATGAACGCTGCCCTGTATACCGGCCTTGAACATGTTCAGCTCTATGAGCAGGCACCCCAATTCGCTGAAGTTGGCGCCGGCGTCAACATCACCTCGAACGCCAATCGAGTTCTCGATGCCTTCGGTCTGGAAGAGATAATCATGAGACGGTCGTCCCGCCAGCTGCCTTCTTATATGGAGTATCGTCAGTACAAGACTGGAGAGTACTTAGCCCAGATCAACGAATTCTCACGACCACCCGCTCGCCTCTTACACCGTGCGCATCTACTAGATGCGCTCAAAGAACGGGTACCCAGCTCCAAAATCAATCTCGGCAAGCGTCTCGTGTCGATTGAATGTGAAGCCGGGGCTCTTTCCGCACCATATACCCTCCACTTCGAGGACGGAAGTGTCGCTAATACAGATATTGTCATCGGATGTGATGGTATTAGGTCAAATGTACGCCAATATATGGGATTTGTGGATTCGCCAAAGTATTCAGGCCAGGTGGTATACCGGGGATTTGTCGATTATAAAGACTTGCCTGACGAAACGGCGCAATTACTTCGAAGAACGGTCAACTTCCGTGGCCCCAAGAAGCATGTGCTCGTGTTGCCGATCGGAAATCAAGAGACCCAGACGGATCGAGCGGCCATTATTGGATTCATGACCGAGTCGCTTGATTCGTGGGAGTCAGAAAGCTGGATGTCGCGCTCTGAGATATCGAGCTTCCAAGAGCACGTGCAGGACTGGTGCTTCCAGGTGCAGCATATTGTTGCAGGTCTGTGAAAGGCTTCTCCTGATGGACGGATGCTCAAGCAGGCGCTTTACGTGAGAGACCCATTGATGAAATGGTTTCAGGTCAAGCACGGCCAAAGGTCTTCAGGCGTCATCCTCCTGGGCGACTCTGCTCATTCCACATTACCACATCAAGGTCAGTCTCGAGATACCGACTTCATTCACGGTCAGCATTGGAACTGACACTGGTAAACGCGTTAAAGGGCAAGGCACATGTATGGCTATCGAGTCTGGTATTGCGCTGGCAATGATTCTCCGTCATTGGGCGGGTGAGGATATAGAGGCTGCTTTTCAGTTCTACCAAGACCTGCGGAAACCACGCACAGATCGGGTCACTCAAACGAGCCAAGAAGCCGGCAAGTTGGCTAGCTCAGATTCACCAAATGGCATGACCGAAGGATTCAGTCCTGAAGTCTTGACTGACCGAATGAGATGGATCATGGAATACGATATCCTGGAGGAACTGCGTCTCAAGGGTGCCGGAGTTCTTGAGTGCTCACGGTTCGACAAGCGTCGTGAGTCTCTGTCCAGTCTCTTGTAGGTTGCACTGAACAGGTGACGCAATCTTGTACATAATAAAATGAAACATCTTCCACGTTCTAGGGCGTGAAGGCATCTTGGTAATGCTGTCTCATATTTTTAAAACTCCTCGATCCAGGAGAATAGGATCGGCTCCTTCTACGGCCAGCACGACATGTTTGAAGTCCATGTTCCCACGAATGAAGGATTGAGGCTGTCGAGGAATCCAGGTGGAGGTCACATCCATAGATAGGAAGACCCATGTACTCATGAGTGACATGTCTATTGGGATATATTAGTACTCATGAGATGGATGGCGAAGCAAACGTCGACTGAATGACCGACCACCGCCGAAGCCGCACGAGCACTATCACATGCCGCCCCACACGGCGATTAACGCGTGTGGGTGACTCCGCATTTTCCCTGGCTCGCCGACCTCGTTCATTCTTCATCTTTCTTGCTGCTCGTCAAATTCAGCATGGATGTAAGTTGTGATTGCTCCAGGAGTGCACGTGTATCGCAATGAAAAAGCGTATGAACACAAGGATCTAACTCATATCCTCTCGCAGTTCACCAGCTCGGGCGGGGGGTTTCCTTCCCGACGTTCTCACCCCAATCTACACCATATTTCGCTGGCTCCACTTACACCTCGGTTCCCCATTGACGATGAAGTAGAATCTGAAGATTACTTCAACAGTGCTTATGGAAGTCGCGATCATGAAGCCGACCATCCCTTCAGTACCGAGTCCAAAATCCAGCCTCGTACATCTTATCTTTCCAGTGTCTCAGTACCCAGCACACCACCAATTCTCTCGCACTCACGCAGCTCTTCTCGTACCCGCCATGCGCGAAGCAAGAGCTCCACCCGGACCGGCCCATTGAGTGACACGAACCTCCACAGCAGGACCGTTGCCCTCCCATTGCACCATCACCAGTCTGCATACCAGAAACCTCAAAGCTCGCATGGGCGACACCAATTGAGCGATGCTTCTCATTCCGCGTCCGCCAAGTCCAACGCGGAATGGATACTTCGGGCAGGCATTGCGCTGGCCTCATCCACTCGCGAAGAGAAGGGCCAAAGCTGGCTAGCTAAGCGCGAGAGTTCCACCAGTCTAGTGGACTTGCCGTCCGTCGACGAGGCTACGAGCACACACTCCCACCGTCATCACCATCGCTCCAAATCAGGAACCCTGTCTCGCAGATCTCGCTCTGGCGCGTCCACACCCGCAGCGCGCTCCCGTGCGACCAGCCGACGTGGAAGTCGGGCCGGGTTGACCATGACCACCATGCCACCGCTCATGTCGGCGACAGACGTAACCGGGACTATGAGCCCTCTGCCGCGAGGAAGAGGCTCAGGCCTGGTTCCTGACTTTGTAGACGAGCAGATCCGAGCCGAAATGGCCTCGTTGCAGGGAGAGCGAGGCCTCCAAGATGACGAACCCGGGCGCTTCCAGGGCGATGACGACTTCGATTCTGAATGTGATTCGCTTTCTGAGAATTCAGAAGATGAATTTGACGAGGCTGATCTCCAGCAGCTCACGCGGGAACGTGGGTTTGGGCTGGGCAGCTGGATTGATCGACTGGTCGAATGGACACTGTTCGGAGTGGACGAGTGGCCTGCCCCTGGAGCGACTGCCAAGGCAGATGCCAATCGCATCGACTCGGCAGCTACGTCTACAAACGTCACATTTGCGGAATCTGCTGATGTTGTTGGGGAAGCAGGTGCTCATTCCGGCAAATCAGTAAGGTCGGGCTCTACGGATGAAGATTTGGAAGAGTCTCTCAGTCACTCAGATGAGGAGACTGTCAGCGGTGTTGAAAAGCCTGGTGCTCAAGGGGGCTGGGAAGATGCGAGCTGGCTTCTCAGGGTCATGAAACGTGCTCTAGTATAAGTGAACTTAGATTTGGCTTTAGCGGTGTTTCCAGAGATAACACCCTACGTAACTTGATTTTGTCAACCCAGTGGAGCTACAGGTGCCTCCCTTTGCTCGCAAGCCAAAGAAAATCCCGGCACTCTCGATCGAATGCACAGGACCGATAAATCCCAACTAACTGTATTTCGTCGGCGATTACGAGGTAGTAGCTCCCTTACCGCTCATTCAATGCCACTCTTGCGTGCAAAATGTTCCCTTAGAACACCAGAATATTTCGAGTGGTTGTGGAAGTGAACCCTGCGTGAAGGCACATGATGGAATTGATAACAGCTACTGCTACTCGAGATGTTCAAGACTGTAGCCAGGGAAAATCGGATAAATGAGTCCCCCCGAATAAGTTCATGCAGAATATGGGATGGAAGACCGAATGTGGTGAGAGAAGGAAAAAGAATGAAAATTTGGACAGACCTGGAAAGATGTACAAGACTCTAGAGGAGCGACACAAGGGCCAACAAAAGACGCCGTCCCATAAGAAATGATAAGATAAGATGAACAAATGAAATTGAACAGAAAAAGTGGAGCAAAGTTTGGGCGAAAGACAGTTGGTGTCACGAAAAAGTATCAAGAAAATGAAGACCAGAGACGTAAATGGAGGCGCAAAAAGAAACTATAAAGAGAGCATATTGATGATTGTACCTTTCGTCCGCTTCCTTCCTGCCTGAGAGTAGTCAATTTTGACTTTATGGCTCGACCAGGAGAGGCGTGAATGAGCGATTTGACCGTGACTGGCTTGCCAAGGGTTGCTGGGCGATAGTGGTATCCCAAAGCTGAGAAAAGAACGAACGTCACGTAAAGAAAGAGGAAGTTTCGTCTTAACCAATTCGCAATGAAGGACAATAACATGAAACGCCATATGAAGACCTGATTGATTCTCTATAGGTCATGCAAATAAGGTTCGTGATCATGGCATACGTCGGTGTTGATGCAAGCGTGCGAGCGGAATGTTTTCACCGAAACAGCCCATGGCGGAGCCTGAGGCTCGATGCAGCTAGGGATGACGCGGCTTTGGCGCGTCTGGTGTTGAAAGGTTTGCGGAAGGTTGAGCGAATTTTCCGAAGAGCTGCGAGTCATCCGGTTGATGAGTGGCAAAGCTCATGTTGACAGGGCGACTTGGCGGCGGGAAAAGGTGATTCAGGAGGATGTTCACCACGGACCGACCTTGACAGGTGTGCCTAAACCATAAGTTCCAGACAAAAGTTGGTCTCGAATCGATCCCATCTCATTGTTCCCAGATCCGTGATGAGCCGGAGAGTCCGGGCCGTTCATCCATCCGAGACTGAGTCCGAGTTCGTTGACGGCTGCCTGCATTTTCCCATCGGAGTTGTGATTATGTTTTGCCAGCTTTTGATCCCAGCCGCCGTATTGTAGTTGAATACCGCCGCCCCGTTTCGCGGCCTCACGAATCACCAAAATCCAGGCTTTGCAAATTTCGTCATATGCCGAATCACGTTCAATGTTGTTTTGCGGCGTGCTCCAGCGAGGCAGAGCGTGTATGATCTCAGTGGCCCCGTCCAGATAGCTCAGGGAAACAGATGGCTGTGTTTCGTTGGGCGGCAAGAAGGTCGGTGTGAAATCGCTCAAGGCTTCCAGTAGGTTTGTCAGAGGCTGTCGAACTCGATTATACGCATAGTCGGACTCGGTGTTCCCGCCGAGAGGAAACGAGGACTGGAGCACCGCTTGGTAATTTCGCAGGACATGTAAAGTCGAGGAGACGCTTGGTCGAGGCGACGTCTGGGCGACCTCATCAGCTAGCTGAGGATGGCGTTCACACATCGTCCGCACAACAGTCCGCAACGCATCGGTGTCAAGAGTCTCTAAAAGTCGAGGTAGAGCGAGTGGCCGGCCGGAGACATTGGGGCGAGACCGCTTGATGTTACGAACTGAGGGAAGCTGACGGGGGGTGAAAGCGGGTGAGTTGGTAGGCGAGGCGGACATGCGTCCATCGTGATCGGTACTATCGTCGTCGGCTTTCCGCTTTCGGCTGGTGTAAGATGAGGAAGGCGTCGACACTGTGATTGCAAATTGGCATCAGATACGAAGGAGCAGAAAGGGAAGTCATTTGTGCTTAATGGCAAAGCTGCAGAAGCGGGCGGTCGTACTGATACGAGAAGGCGAGAATCGAGGGTTCTCGTAGAAGTGAGGAGGGACAGGAGGCGTGGCCACCAGACTGTTCATATTGACAGCCGGATGGCGATCAGAGACCGGGACCTGGACTTGCAGGTTCTGTATAGCAGCTCACACGACAAAATCCACGCAGGGAAGAGAAAGACGTCGGGGCCAGGTGTATTAGGGAAGCCTTAGCAGGGATCAGAGGTGGGGAGAAAGAAGGGTAGAGAAGCCTAAGAAGCGGTGGAGAAAGAAAGGTCGTTGCGGGCGGCAACACAGTCCCGCTGCGCAGGATTTTGAATGACTCCTCCACGTTACTTTTTGGGAGGTAGTGGTACCGTAGTTGCAACCTCCAGCTTTGCGCTGAATTTTCCTGATCACCTAGTCTCCGGCCTTACATAAGAATGTTCATTGATGTCGGGTATCGATGGAAAGAATGAATAATAATAGAATGTTTCTTTATATAAGACATAAAAAGGGGCCTTCGCTCTTGCGGCAAGGTACTTCTGGTCTTCCTCCTATGAAAGTCAAAATTCCAGTCCTAACAATCCGACCTCCCGGCGGTGCTTCGAGAGGGTAAAAAGAGAGGAAGACAGCCAGTCGAAGATGACTACATACAATGAGGTAGTTCTGACAGCGTAATACTTGACTTGGAACAATGACCACTGGAAGAGAGTCACACTGTTTGCAGGCCCATCATGTGGGTTGTAGGTAACTACCTACCTACTTACCTACTACCTACTACCTAGTGGTAACCTACTAGTACTAACGTTACTTACTAACTTGGTAACTGGTTGGAGTCAGTTTACCGTCATTTTTACCAGATATGCAAAGTCAACTGATCTGGGAGCTAACGTCTCAAAAGGGGGAATAATCTTTATTCATACAATGCTTCGCTTTTAATCCGTTCATCAATCAAACAGAAAATAAACCAGTGAGGATAACGCCCATAACATCATATCTACAGATAGAGGGACTGAGCGGCCACAATGTCACGGCGGACCTTGGTCAGCGCCTCTTCGAACTTGATCTCCAGGTCCTCACTGCCCATTACCTTGGCACCCTGCGCCATCTGACGCAGGCACTCTTCCAGCCGGCGGAAGACACGGATAAGACTACCTTCGTAGACGTCCGTCATTTTGCTAAATACTAAGGTTAGCTTAGGTTCATATTGTTTCCCAAACGATTGCCGGGTAGTAAAAGCTTACCAAATCTCGGCGAAGGACTTTCCATGTGCCCAATCGTACACGACTTCCATCAACTCCCAGTGGAAGCTCTGGACGTATTCGTCCTCGTTGACAGCCATTTTTGACTCCTGGGATACCTTGGCGATGATTCGTGCTTGGGACTGAATCTCCTTGAGCGGCTTCGCAAGCTCGTCTTTGGTCAACGGAGGAGCTTCCTTAACTTTCTCCTCGAATACAAAGACGCTGATCACAGCTGCCACCTGCTCGGGGGTAAGATTGTTGAAGAAGCCGTTGAAAAGCAACTCAGCAAGCATCAGCTCATCACCAGTGCTAAGCTCACATGCGACACGAGCCTTCGGCTGAACAACTTCCGCCTCGTTGATGAAGCCGAACCGGCGAAGCACACGCTTGCGGCACTTCAACTCGTCCAATTGCATGATCGACATCGCCTCGCTAATCTTCTTCTTGGTCGACTTGATCTCATTCGTCAGATTAACTTTAGCCACGTATTGGTCATACAATTCGGGCAGTCGAGGGGAATGGTGGAGGGGATTTCCCAATAGGCGGGATTCTAGAACTTCGATTTTCTGTAGTAGAGTGTTAATCTTCATAGAATTCACACCTGCCATACAAAAGACAAGAAATATGTGAGAATGAGTCAGACTTACTCGCAGCAGCTTTTTGAACGAATCGTCCTTGATTTTCATGTCCTCTACGGGATCGATTGAAGGTAAGCCATCGGGGAATCGACGAAGAACTTCATCCACATGGTCACCCACACTCTTTCTGGAGTTGGTGCTCTTCATTTCCTTGGGCATGGAGATGGCAGCGGAACTGATGTTGTGGATGCAGGAAAGTACAACGGGAACCACCTCAAATCGGCTTGATTCTCCAGGTTGAGCTGGGTGGATGCCAGAGGGCAGGTCTTGGAAAGTCTTTGTGGCAACGGATTGTCCCTCTGCGATCTTTAAGAGAACGTCGACAACCCATTCCTTATGCGGCTCGATCGGCTCTTTGGAATTATTACCCGGTTTTCGTTGGGATGTTTTGACGACGGCGCCCCATCCGAAATCGCGGCCCTGGTACTTGATTTGAACCAGGCGACCGGGCTTCAGATATGGGCGGCAGTGGTCAGGATGAGTGAAAACGGCACGAACGTCATCGGCAAAGGTGTCGAGCTGGGTACGGAGGTCGTAATATTCCCTGATGGTGCCCTCGTCAGAGATGACCATTTGTGTCTTCTTGATCTCCATCTCACGAAGGGATGCCTCCAAGGAAGCAATGTCGCCTGTATTTTGGAATTGCTTGAAGCACCTCTCAAGCATGAACTCGGGAGAAATGCCTTCAACTCTCATGAGGTTGAGAATCATATTGTATCCCAGGTGGAAGGCCGAGTTCAATCGGTCTTGCTCACCACGCACAATCTCCTTGGCTACCGCAGGGTCCATCTCTTCACCAACCATCATAATGACAATGCCTCGATCGTCAAGACCTCTACGACCGGCGCGTCCTGACATCTGAATAAACTCTGATGGAGTGACCCATCGCTGGCTGGTACCGTCGAATTTGCGAACACTTGTAAAGACCACAGTTTTCGCAGGCATGTTCAAACCAATCGAGAAAGTCTCCGTGGCAAACAGTACTTTAATCAGACCTTCTTGGAAGAGAATCTCGATAGTCTCTTTGAGGATAGGAAGAAGACCGGAGTGGTGGATACCAACACCTCTGCGGAGCAAAGGCAAGAGATTGTTGATCTGAGGTAACATTCGGTCCTCTGGCGACAACATCTCCATGGCACTGTCGAAAACCTTTTGCACCATCTCCTTCTCCGAATCATCATTGAAGGCCAGGTTCTTCAACTGCAAAGCGCCACTTTCGCACTCTCTCTTGCTGAAGCTGAAGACAATAACTGGGTTCAACTTCTTCATGATGATCATTTTCACAATTTTGAAAATGTCAGACAGTTCTTTCTCCCCACCCTTGTTGATGGACTTGTCTTTCCCTTTGCCCTTCCGCTTCGCCAAAGCATTGGCGGGATCCTCACCCTTCTTGTCTGCGATAGAGCCCATGGCCTTTTGGAAATTCTCTTCGCGGAAGACGCCGTTCTCGTCAACGACAAGATGAATACCGTCAGCACCAGCCGGATGGAAGTAGTGCTGGAGTGGGGTTGGACGGTAATTTGTGTAGACGACGTGACAAGGTTGGTTGTGCATCTTGACGACCCATTCGGCAAATTGCATGGCATTGGGAATTGTGGCCGAGAGAAAGACATATCGAACCTTGTCAGGAAGTAGGATGATGGTCTCTTCCCAAACGACACCACGATTTAAATCGCGCATGTAGTGGATCTCATCGAAAACGACCCATCCAACTTCTCGCATGATTTCCGATCCACGATACAACATGGAGCGAAGGATCTCAGTCGTCATAACGAGACATGTGGCTGTTGGATTGATGGTAACGTCACCCGTCATGAGTCCGACGTCGCCAAATTCAGCAGCGAACTCGCGGTACTTCTGGTTACTCAGAGCCTTGATCGGACTGGTGTAAATGACACGCTGGTTCTTTTTCAGACTTTGCGCAATTGCATATTCTGCAACAACAGTTTTTCCGGCACTAGTGTGAGCCGATACCAACACACTCTCCTCGCGCTGGATGGCGTTAACCGCAAGTTGCTGAAATGGATCGAGTGTGAAGGACCATGTCTTCGCTGGTTCCTCAGGCTGCTTGTGTTGCGAAAGAGGAACGTAAGGGTAATCTGGTGGAATCGCCACTTGATGGCGCACTTGGTGGGACACTTTAATTGAGGTCTCATTTGGGCTGCCTTGGAGGCCGGCGGCGGCCGCGATTTCTTGCTCTTGTTCGGTTTCAAAAGAATCGGCGACAACGGGTTGCGGTGCTTCGTCAAGTCGAAGACGCTTTGTTTCAGGCTGGTCCTTATCGGCAGGAGGCGACGCGGGTGTGGGCGCTGGAGAGGCATTATCGGCACCAGGTGCCTCCGACATGGTCACATCCTCCATGGCTTCTGCCGCAACGCCGTTTTGCTTGACATCGCCATTAGCAGCACGCTTCTTCAATTTGTCTTTTTTGTCTTTTTTGACACGCTTCGGGGGCGCACCCGTGGCCGCGCCGGCCTTGGGCTGGTCGTCAAAGACGTCGAAAAGCTCGTCCATCACTGATGTCGAAAATGACGGCGGACCCAAAGAAGTCAAAGCATAGATGAAGCAGGTCTGGGACTTTTTTTTGCGCTGGGAAACTCGTTCCCCCCTTCAGGCAGGCGGTGTCGATGGAGACTTGCTTTGCTCGGCGGGCAAGCCCGCTCTCATGTGATTCTTCAATATCACGTGACTGAATCCCCATCCAAGCCGCACCTTACGATGGCTTTTGGCTTCGCCCGTCTAAATCCGGTTGCTCACTCACTACGTCTATCTCTCAAGGTATGCACCATTCTTTTCCACGGCTCAATTCATCGTCTCGCTCAATTACTGACTCGACCACTCGAAGATGTACGCCTCTTCAGTCGTCCGCGCCCGTATGGCCAACGTTGTTGCCCGTCGTGGCTTCTCCACCACTCGTGCTCAGCTCGGCAGCCCCTACCACTATGCTGAGGGTCCTCGCACCAACATTCCCTTCAACCCTCTGACCAAGCACTTCTTCTGGCGCTACTGGGCTTTCATGGGTACGTGGTCCATGAGTCCCCGGCAATAGGCTCGGCATCTTGATGTCCAGACTAACATACGATGTTCCCTAGTCACTGGCTTCGGTGCTCCTTTCGCTATCGCTGGTATGCTTCCATCTGGCCCCGTTAACCACGCAGCCGACTCTAACGATATGACACAATCTAGTCTGGCAGACCTACAAGACCAAATAAGCTGCTTCGCCGACATCCCTCCTCAGTTTCGCGGTCGATCGATGGCTGGGAAATCAGGCAGCAACTCCGAAATGCGGTTCAGTACTTGTGAAATTATATGTACAAAGCTAGAGGACAAATTCAGATCTCTTACACCCCAAATTGATTGATTCCCTTACTCTGTAGCCTTGTCAGGAGCGTAGTGCGTCGCGTTAACAAACGTGAAATTTGGATGAAGTCATTGGCCGGGCGGGCTGCGGAAAATCAAAAATCTTTGGTACATCGGGACATAATTTCACGGCTTTGCGGAGTCACCACCGCCGACGGACATGCGATCCACCGCGTGTCAATTTTCTCTTTGATCAAAGCGATAAGTGGAATTTTTGACGACCGCGGTGCACGTCGCACGATATCAAGGCTTTCGCAATTGGCACCTGTTGTTGCATGGCGGGGTAGACATTGCACAATTGGGTAAGAGTGAGAAAAAGTGATATCGGCCGCTCAAAATGCGTAACCTCAGAAATGTGCGCCTCGAGGAGACGCACATCGAAAGCGCCCTTCCTTTGACAGCTACCGCATGGGATACCGCATCGGAATCTATCATATGCACTTTTGGCCCAACAGCAGAAAACCCGGTCATCGAGCTGCGACGGAAGCGTCCTGAAGACACTTCTTCGCAGCCTTTGAGCCGTGATGCGCTAGAATGTATTGCATCGTGGGATGCACCATGCCCCTTGCCTGACCTCTCGTCCGATCGGGTGCTTTCTCTGCAATATTTTGCCGACAATTTGACGGCTTGTCTAGTTTTGGAGGGAGGTGACATTATTCTCGTCCGCGAGGAGCCTCTTCCCGGGGAGGACAAGATTGAAATTCTCGGCTCAGTTGATGTTGGGATCACCGCAGCGGCCTGGTCGCCCGACGAAGAACTCCTGGCTATCACCACAAGAGCTCGAACGCTCCTGTACATGACGCGAGAATTCGAGAATGTGGCTGAGATCACATTCTCCCCGGAGGATCTCAAAGCCTCACAGCATGTTTCTGTCGGGTGGGGAAAACGAGAAACTCAATTCCAGGGCAAACGAGCCAAGGCCATGCGAGACCCGACTGTTCCAGAAAAGGTGGACGAAGGCACGTTGAGCAGCAAAGATGATGGTCAGACCAACATCACCTGGCGAGGCGATGGTGCCTACGTTGCAGTGAACACCGTTGATGAAGGTGCTCGCCGCGTCATTCGTGTTTACTCCCCGCGAGGGCACGCTTGATAGTGTCAGTGAGCCTGTCAATGGACTTGAAGGGGCTTTGAGCTGGCGTCCTTCCGGAAACCTCATTGCGGGAATTCAGCGACTGGACGACCGCATTGACGTTGTCTTTTTTGAAAGAAACGGTCTTCGCCATGGGCAGTTTACTTTGCGGTTGACGACCGAAGAACGGGAAAGTTGGGCATCAAGTATTCATCTTTCCTGGAATATTGACTCCACCGTTCTTGCAGTCCGGTTCATCGATAGGGTTCAGCTCTGGACGACAGGAAACTACCATTGGTACCTCAAGCAGGATTTACCTCTGACGATTGATTCTGCCAGCCGTCTTCCGTTCTCGTTCAAGTGGCATCAGGAGAAGGCATTGCAACTGGTCGTCGGAACTTCACTGTCATTGCTAGACGTGGATTATGTGTTCGACATTCATCATGGCTCCACCACCGTTCCAGACGACGTCGGCGCCGTCGCAGTCATCGATGGAAAGACTTTGAAGCTTACTCCGCTCCGGTTAGCGGGTATTCCGCCCCCGATGGCGCATAACGAGCTCGAGCTGGACTCCAACGTGATTGACGTGGCTTTCAGTAAATCTGGCACACGCATGGCAGTTTTGATGGGCAACAGATTTTCTGTCTTCTTGTGGTCGTTGAAGACTCGTCCGGTGCCTATACCAATACTGGAATCAAGCCATCCGCTTTCAGATCTCACGCAAAGCCGCCCGCGACAGATTGCTTTTGTCAATGAGACTGAGGTTTTTGTTTTGTACAACTCCTCGGGAACCAGCTGTATTGCGCGCACGGCTCTTGAGACACGAGACACTCGAGTCATTTATCAGACTCAGGAAACCGAGGAGCTGCGCACTATTTTCGCTGGCTTGGGTCATCCTGCTCTTTGGTTCTCCCATTCCTCACGACCTGAGAACACTCTGAGCTATTCCGCCTTGAACATTGATCATCTAGACGACATCATGTCTGCTCGCTGGACAGAAAGTCCTTCGGCCGAAACGCATTGGGCTCGCGCCGTATCACTATCTTCCGGAAAGGTAAAGCTACTGACTTGGAAGATTTGTCGTCATCTCACTAATCATATTCGACAGAATCTCTTGGTATCTCTGACAAGGACCGGTGTATTGTATGCCAACAGGCGGGCGCTCGCAAAAAACTGTACTTCGTTCTTGCTCACGCCTACCCATCTGCTTTTCACCACTTCCCAGCATTTGTTAAAGTTTGTTCATCTCAAGAACGCGGAAGGTATGTTGCATCAACTCATGAATTACTGTCTCCGTGCTAACCGAGGTTGCAGGTATGGAGGTTCCGAAGGACACACCAGAAACTGACGAAAGATGTCGAAGCATAGAGCGTGGATCGAAGCTGGTCTGCGTGATGCCATCGATCTTTGCCGTCGTACTTCAAGCTCCCCGAGGCAACATTGAAACAGTCTTCCCGCGGGCATTGGTCCTGGCTGGTATTCGAACATTCATTGACCGAAAGAACTATCGAGCGGCGTTCCTTGCGTGTCGCAGTCAGATGGTAGACATGAACATCCTCCATGACTATGCCTCAGGACAGTTCATGGAGAGTATTCAGCTGTTTATCGAACAGGTCAAAAAGGTAGATTTCATCGACGACTTCCTCTCGCGTCTCAAGTAAGTCGGTCCAACGCCTTGCCATATTCACCACGGTGTACTGAATCGAGGCTGTAGGGAGGAGGATGTATCGCAAACACTCTACAAGGATACACTCAAGGTCTCCGAGCCTGAGTCTACAACCGCTCCTACAGCACTGTCTTCGCATCGCTCGGTTGGCAGATCTGGAAAAGTCAACGCGATCTGTGATGCGTTCCTTCAAGTTCTCCAGACTCGGGTTGACACTAATTTGCAAAATTTGGTGACCGCACATGTTTGCAAGGACCCGCCTGATCTTGAAGCCGGCTTGAAACTTGTTGCTAATCTTAGGAGTAAGTCTTTCTCGACATATGTTGAGAGTCCGGACTGCTGACATTCGACGCCAGCTCAAAACCTGGAGCAAGCGCAGGACGCCATCGAACATATGTGCTTTTTGACTGACGCAAACCATCTATACTCCCATGCTCTGGGCTTGTACGATCTGGAGCTTACCCTTCTGGTTGCTCAACAAGCTCAAATGGTAAGGTCGAATACGGCTGGCTCTTCCATTGAGAACTTACTCACAATTTACAGGACCCCCGGGAATACTTGCCTTTCCTTCGAAAGTTGCAAAATTTGCCAGAGACACGTCGTCAATTTGAGATTGATAATCACCTCTCGCGATTCGACAAGGCGCTCAAACATCTATTTGTTTTGGGTGCTCACGACGAGATCCGAGCTTTCACAACCAGACACAGCTTGTACAAAGAAGCTCTGGAAGTTTATAAGTACTCGCCCGAACAGCTGCGTGAGATTACTCGTATCTACGCGGACTACTTGCAAAATGACTCGAAGCACAAAGATGCGGCCATCGGTAAGTGTACCTTCACGTCTACATTTGCGAACAACCGTCTCTGACCGTTCCCTCAGCCTACGAGTCGCTCGGTGTCTATGAGGAGGCTTATAAATGCTATAACCTTGCCCATATGTGGCGCGAGTCTCTGTACTGCGCCATGTCGGCTTCATTGCCTGAAGAAGAGCTGAAAGCCTTTACCAACGAGTTGGCAACAGCCCTAGTTGATGAAGCTCGAGACTATGTCGCAGCCGCCACCATCTACGCAGAGCATCTGCATGACGTGCTGACTGCCGCTCAGCTTCTGTGCCGCGGGTCCAAGTTTGCCGACGCAGCCCGGCTACTGACCTTGCATGGCAAGCGTGAGATGGTCGAAGACATCGTGGACACTGGTCTCGCTGAGGCCATGGGCTCCATGACGGATCTCCTTGCCGACTGTAAGGCACAACTCAATGCTCAAGTGCCTCGAGTTCGTGAGTTGAGACAACTCCGTGCCGCTGATCCCTTGGCCTTCTTCGGAGGCGATCCCACCGGTGGCGAAGGCGGCGTCGACATTCCTGACAATGTGTCTCTTGCACCCACTGAGGCGACAACCTTGGCTGGCCGTACTATGTTCACCAGATACACTGGCAAGACGTCCTCGTCCCGCGTGACTTCGCGTACGCGCCGTCGCGAGGAACGCAAGCGTGCCAAGGGCAAAAAGGGCACCGTCTACGAAGAAGAATATCTCGTCAACAGCATCCGACGCCTTATCGAGCGTGTCAACTCAACCGTATCTGAAGCCGAGGCTTTGGTCGATGCGCTCTTGCGGCGTGGCATGCGTGAGCGTGCTGCCGCGGTCGAGAAAGCGCTTGCAGATGTGGTGACCTTGTGTGCGGATTGTCGCGACGATGTCTTCGAGGTGACTCAGGCTACTTCGAATCGGAACCACGAGACTGACGATCTCGCGGAGGAAGAAGCTAACCTGCCGCGGCCCACAGGAGGCTCAGCAGTTCTGGCCGAAAGCATTGGAATCACGCTGGGCGGAGCTGGACGCATGAAGGAACCTCCTACGGTCAAGCCCATAAGCAAGTCTTCTCTCCTAGTTTAGTTTACCCCAAATTGAGCTCGGGCCTCGCCAACACATAATACCTCCTGCACCGATATTCGGTCGAGCTCGTGACCCATTGTTATAATTGCAACAGCTCTCTTCTCCACCACAAGGTTTGATTCTCTTGTTCACGGATCCCTTGAGAGCAAATCTATTCAGCCGATCGCAGCCAACGAAATGTCTATGGAAAACTATGGCGAACAAAGGCTCATTCGCCGTGTACTCAGTGGCCTGTGGAAGCCCGTAGACGGTCAGTCGAAGAGGCACAGGGCTGATTCTCCCCTGGCTGGGCCCAAGCTGTGGCTCGATTTTTGAGATTATACTCCGATGTTCCATGCCCAGAAGGCCTGAATTGGCCTCCTAAATCGAGACATGTCTAATGCAACATCTGGGCTTTCATTTACCGCGGACTCCGGACTACCAGGGCTATTGCGAGATCCTCGTCTACCTTCAGACGAGCCCTTTGTTGATCCGTCGCCTGAATGTTAAGCTTTTCTTCGTAAATGCGACTTTGTCCAAGTTCTTCATATCTTCACCAATCAACATCCATAGCTAAGAGGAGCCAGTCGCTGGAATAACTTTATCACGGCATCCTAGCGTGCCCACAAGTTCTGATAGGAAACAACGCCCGTGACGAGCAACGATATACAGTCCAATTGCAGTAGTATCCATCTCCGCGGGTGTCCCGCTCCCGTCGGGCTTCCGCCTGAGACGGTATCGGTCTTCCGTGTCAATTGCCGAGTTGGGCAAGCTTGCGTTTCCCCCGCTCGCTCGCTCCTCCACGATAACACAGACCACGGTCTCATCCTTCGCAATGGCTGTAGGTTGCAACTGGAAGCATTTAAACTACGTTGCGAGCAGGGAGATTGATTGCCGATCCAACCAGGTGCATGCATACTGCCGCAAATCATATCCCCGGTCGAGCTGGTCATGAATTGTCAAGAGACATCTTGACAAGTTGACATAGTGCGCTGACCAGAGTGCTCAACAAGCCCGTGAACTCTAATGGTGAAATTGCCTTATCATCGGAACAATCCTCACGCCTTCGAAGACCCGCTTCAAATGAAGACAGTCCAATTTCCAAGTGGATATGTCTTCCTCGAAAGACATGCGCCCCGCATCCAAGTGCTTAGCTTGAATTGTTCCAGCGATGCGCCACGCATTAGTGCCGAATTGACGAGATGCTGCCGATACATGTACATGTGTATCGCATTGTGGGGATCTCAGAAAAGCCATTTCGTGACAAGGCCAATGACCTCGCGCGTCGGGAGATTGTCTGTTTCTCCTACGCGCACTGTAAGGGGATCAACATGTCCATGCACCATTTTGCAATTTGCTTGACACGATGCCGCTTGACCCGCAGGCTTTCTATTTCAAGCGGGCCATGCCCATGCTTGAGGTGCCGATCTACAGCAGTTCCTGTTTCGTTGCGAGATCGCTATGCTGCTACGCCAGGTGTACCTTACATTGGCAATTGCGGCCCTCTCTGAGGCCGTGCCGGCGCCTATCAAGCATGTCTTGCACGAGAAGCGAGACAAAGCTGCCCTGGACTGGGTGAAGGGTAATCGGGTGGAGAGCGATGCTGTCCTGCCAGTCCGCATTGGATTGTCCCAAAACAACTTGGACAGGGGGTATGACTACTTGATGGAGGTGTACGTATGCCGCTTCCTAGAGATGTGACAATGGATCATATGATTGACGGTATGGTGCAGGGCTCATCCAGATTCCGAGAAATATGGCAAGTATTGGACAGCCGAGGAAGTTCACGATGCCTTTGCGCCTTCGGCCGAGGCTGTGGACGCTGTCCGTGACTGGCTTCATGCTGCTGGCATTGATCCGTCACGGATTGTGCACTCGGACAACAAGGGCTGGCTTGCTTTCGATGCCTATGCTCACGAGGCGGAGAGTCTCTTTAAAACCAAATTCTTTGAGCACAACCACATGAGCAGTGAAAGCACGAAAATTGGTTGTGATGAGTGAGGATACCCTCCGAGAGATAAATCGCCTGCGCCTTCCCAGCTAAGTTATCACACAGGTACCATCTGCCGCAGCACCTTCGGGATCATGTCGACTATGTTACTCCGGGTGTCAAGCTCACCCCGGTGCTTAAGAAACACAAGAAAGCCAAGCGCGCCTCCCAACTCGGCAAAGTCAAGGCCAATGCCGTGGTTGCATCTGAGGTTCACGATGTCTTGATCTCGGAGAAGGCGAAGGGACTCTCTCCGGACCTGCAGCTGTGCGGATATAACATGACACCCACGTGTATCAAAGCACTGTACAAAATTCCCGACGCTACCAAGGCCAACAAGCACAATTCCCTTGGTCTGTATGAGCAGGGTGACTACTTTGCCAAGTCTGACCTAGATCTCTTCTACAAGGAGTATGCTCCATGGGTGCCTCAGGGTACCTACCCGATCCCTGCACTGATTGATGGCGCCAACTTCTCAGTTCCAGCTGGCAGTGCTCTCAATACCGGCGAGTCGGATATCGACATTGATCTGGCGTGAGTAACAAGATCTGATATATGATACGGCAGTCGACAAAGTCTCTAACAACGTGTCACGCACAGTACGGCTCTCATCTATCCACAGACCATCACGCTCTACCAAGTCGATGACCAACTCTATGAGCCGGAGGAAGTCGCTACCACCAACTTGTTCAATACGTTTCTTGATGCACTCGATGGTGTAAGTAGTCCTGAAGTCAGACTTGAATTTTGCAATGCTAATAGGACTAGTCCTACTGCACCTACAGCGCATACGGAGAGACTGGCGATGATCCTAAGATTGACCCTGTCTACCCTGACAATCGACCTGGCGGCTACAAAGGTCGGTTGACTTGAATCAAATGAGTTGAAGAACTTGCTAATCGCCATACCAGGCAAGCTGCAATGTGGAATCTACAAGCCAACCAATGTCATCAGTGCTTCGTATGGCCAGGCCGAAGCAGACCTGCCCCCCAACTACACCAAACGTCAATGCAACGAGTTTATGAAGCTTGGTCTGCAGGGTCACTCCATTCTCTTTGCATCAGGGGACTACGGTGTCGCCTCCTTTGCCGGAGACGGCGGTCCCAATGGTTGCTTGGGCCCCGACCACAAGATCTTCAGCCCGCAATATCCATCCAACTGCCCATACGTGACTTCCGTTGGGGGTACCATGATCTATCCAGACCAGACCGTCAAAGACCCCGAGAGCGTGATGCACGTCAATCTTGGGGGCACTGCATCGAACTTCAGCACTGCTGGTGGATTCTCAAACTATTTTCCGCAGCCTGAATACCAAAAGCGCGCGGTCGAGAAGTATTTCAAAAAGGCCAAGTTGGAATACCCCTATTACTCCGAATTCGAGGTCAACTTCAACACTACGAAGGGACTGTACAACCGCATTGGTCGTGCTTATCCCGATGTAGCGGCTAATGGTGCTCAATTCCGCGCCTACACCGATGGCTTCGATTATCATTACTACGGATCCAGTCTCGCGTCTCCACTGTTTGCCTCCGTCCTCAATCTGGTATGATCTCTCCGCCGCCTGATTCCTTTCTGTATTGTCTTCTTTTGACATGGCTATGGTACTAAATTTTATTACAACTTAGATCAATGAGGAGCGACTTGCAATTGGCAAGGGTCCAGTCGGCTTCGTCAACCCAGTGTTGTATGAGAATCCCCACGTTCTTCACGATATTAAGAATGGCACCAATGCGGGATGTGGCACCTACGGCTTCGCCGCCATTGAAGGATGGGACCCTGCCTCTGGACTTGGAACCCCTGACTACCCCAAGATGAAGAAGCTCTTCCTGGAATTGCCTTAGTCTAGGTGATGGGACTATTAGTTGATGTTTGAACGAGATGAGGTGGACTATCGTGAAGGTGGATTCATCAATGGCCCTCAAGTAGAGCTGCTCCGGTAGACGAGCAAATTTGATGAAACTTACTTGAGAGGTGATGTTACAGTTTCAGGAGAGAAGACCAAGACATACTTTTGTAAGCAACCGACCTGGTGGAAGCCAGTAGTTCTACCACAGTCAGTATGCGGTTCCAAGAGATATTCGTTCCTTCGCAGAACACCGCATCGATCAGGTATCAAGCCTGGTATTTTTGCTTTAAGGATCAACAAGATATTCGTAGCTAAGCCAATGAATCTCCAGGCCCCTTGTCATTCGTTTTGACCCGGTGCTGATCTGAACCCTCGTCTACATCAAAGTCCTTCATAGGGTTGAGCCATTCAAGATTTTGGGTGTTTGCCTGTTTTGTTCACGCACCTTATTACTTTCCTTTCCATCCCGTCCTTTCTGGCCTGCTAACATCAGTATGTATTGACAGATTGTGCGAACTCATCTTGTTCGACAATCACAGGTACTCATGCTTCCTTTTATTCTCACTTTGAGCCGGGCCGTCGACTCTTCTCACAGACCACGACATAGACTTCACCATCAGGACTTTTCCTGGCGCGAATCTCACGTATATCACGTATATCATACCATAACCCTCTTGAGGTCTACGGCATGAGCTCAGCTTGAAAAGCTCAAAGGAATGATACTAAGCGAAACTGTCGCTTTCCAAGGTATCCCAGCGCCTAATGGCCACCTCAATTCAAGTGAGCCACAGGTACAACGTATAAGATACCTGTCCAACCATCACCCTTTCCTTTTCTCGTCTTTATTGCTCTATTATTTTTGGCTCACCCGTTATGACTTGTCTTCCTGTCTCTAATCTTGCTAATCAATCTTTCCACGAAGAAGGTACCGTCAGTCCTCGAATAAATTGGAGCGATACAGGGAGTCTACAAAGAAGAAGAACCAGGGAAGACTGTGTCCAAACGGTCAGGGACAACATGAACGAAGACGCCCTGGCAGAGTCTTTCTACTGTACTGCGGAAGGTTCTTCGGTTACTAAAGATTCCATGCATTATCTCATACGGTTAATATGGAAGAAGACCGATCGAGTGAACACCCGACTCAGGGAGCGACGACACGTCAAGAGCTGGCAATTATCGAGGCAGAGCAGGCAAGAGTCGAGGCAGACTCTAAGAAATTTAGCAGAAGAGTCGCTCTGCTCGAATAATCGACAATCTTTTGTCGTGATGTCGAGTTTCGTGACCGTTCTCATTCCCTGGGAAGACGCACCTGCAGCGATGCAAAATGTCCTTTGAAGCACAAGGAGAAGGCTTTGGCGCAGGATTGAATGAAACAAGACTCTTAATCAGCGAGTTTATGATACCGACTCACCTGAGAATGAGGAACATTGAGCTTTCTTGGCGGTCGGCAAAAGATGAACTGAACTTGATTTCCGTCCACATTGACGAATTATAGGTGGAAAATCGGCCCCGTAGGTCTGGATTTCTCGAGATGACTTCAGAATACCCAGAGCTCTAAGCTCCAGCCCGTTTCTGAAACGTCGCTGGAAGCTCCTCCATCGAAGATTGCAGTGGGAGCCACAAAAGATGGCTTACTCGAGTTAGGGTGATGGCCGTGTTTAACCACGACGGGACTGGAATAGAATCAGATGAGTTGATGCCGAGCTTGCTGGAGGATTAGCACACTGTTCACACCCGGTAATTGCTATTCATTAACCTATCATCCCCTTGAGCTCTCTTGTTGACGCTCTGAAGAACGTAATATGTCTGGGTAACTCTCTAATACGATTTCACCTCCTGAAATACTTAGAACCGAACAAGGATGCAAGAGGTCTCAAAGCCACTCGGGAGCATCATGGACCTACCCGCCCCTTCTCAAAGCGACTCTGTTGAAACGATCTCGAGACCACGACTTGAAAAGATCGAACAGGCATAATCAGGATCGATGTATACAATTTTTCTGTTCTCATTCGCAATGCATTATCAGGAGGCGAGATCTATGGTCAAACTTTGAGAACTGCGCAGAGCTAATCCGAAGCTCGGAAAGGCGGCTCTGCTGAGGCCGACGCGGATGCGCCGCAAAGCCCGCAAAAGCCTTCGAACATCTCTCCTTTTCCTAACACCGACCGTCTCCGAGCTGTACGAACTAAACAAGCTTGTGGGGATGAAATTGAATGATTGTTTCCGGTGCTTCTCGGAGGATCACTCACCCGTTTTGCGCTTTGAGCTTAAACGGCCTCGAAGCTAGGGGCGTCAAAAATACATCTAGCGAAATTCGGTCCTCCTGCGGCATCTAGTCCAAAAAGTCCATGATGAGTCGTGACATACAGCATCCCGAATGTCACAGCACCAGGACCGACCTACTTTACCGACCTATCATCCAGTACAGGTACTTAGTTTCCAACTGCTCGGCAGTCTTCAAGGCAATCTTCAATGACAGAGGAGGATACCCACATGAATGTACTTCCATTCCAGTGCCATTTCCAGCCCAACTTTACCTTCCGAGTCAATGACTCCCGTCTGACGGGCACTGCAGTATTTATACGGCGCAAGATCTCGACCTTGTTCGAATTCTTGGTTTGATTCTGTTCAACCCTTCCTCCTTGCTTTCATTCCGCCTCACTTGGAGGACTTCGCCCAGCCTGGACATTGAGGATTGAAACGAGTCAACGATATCATCCACCATTTTCAACGATGGACTCCTCGGGCTCTCTCGGCCTTGGTTTGGCCCAGGCAATTGGTATCTCCGGTGCAGCGTGGTTATCAGGTAGGTGTAGACTTTTCCTAGTTTGACCTCACTCTCGCTGCTCTTCTTGCGCAATTCCATTCTGGCAGAGGGACGGGATGGCAGGACCCAGATGGAACGGAACCAAAACTCAAGATACCTACCTGTAGACACCCTTGCTAACTTCAAAGTCAGGCAATATCTTCGCATTGAGCATCAACACGGTCGCCGCTCTTCAAGAATCTATTCACGAAGACAAAGTCTCCCCCTCGATCATCGCCAAGCAATGGAGTAGAATGTACGCCAAGGGCAAGACCCAAAACCCGCCCATTGCAGCGGCAGTTGCAGCCTCGTTCTTCTATCTCGCTTGGTCCGCGCCATCAGACACTTTCCCTGCCAACCGGGCGACTCTTTCTCTGTCGGGACTCTACTCGTCCGCAGCGGTGGTCACGCTAGGAATTGTACCTTTCACGTTGCTTGCAATGGTCGGTACCAACAACAGTTTACATCGGCAGGCCAAGTCAGAAGTTGAGGTGCCCGAGGCCGAGACGATGGAGTTGCTAGGAAAGTGGTCGTATCTCAATGTCATACGGGGATGTTTTCCTCTCGTCGGTGCGGTGCTTGGTTTGATGACTCTAGCTTAATATCGAATAATCGGCTCGCAAGGTGGATGAGCATGGGTTGGCGAACTTGAATGTTGGTGGCCTACGAAGTGGTAGCTCGCATTTGATGCAGAGCTCGCTCGAAGGCACAGGATAGATGCGCGGCTGGTTTCATAATATCGTCTCAGGTCCATACCAGTGAAATAGTGAAAATATCTGATAATTGGAAGAAAAAAGACATTCAACCTGGGACCAAATGCATTTTAGCGCTAAGAGAAGCTGGAACAAGGGTATCTTTCGGCTGAATTGGGAACTATGACTATGTATATGTATTAATTGAGGTCGGAAAGCAGAAAATCTAGTTGATGATGGCTTCTCCCTTCTCGGTAACGAGGTGATCCTCAACAGTCACGGGACCCTCCCCAACGCCAGTCAAGATGACACGGCTCACGCCACTCTTCAGCACGTCCAGAACGCGAGTATCGATCTTGTCCAGGGCGACACCGGGAGTGTTCAGCTGGGCCAGAGGCTCGTAGAAAGGACCCTCCCAGCCACTAGCACTGGATCCGAGGATGGCCTTGACAGTACCAGCGACCAGCTCAGAATCCTTCTCCTCATAATAGATCACCGCGTTGGGGCCGGCATCGAATGTGTAGGCAGCCACAGTGCGGCCAACTGCGCGGTTGATGTCATGCACGAGGCGGACTGCCGCGCGAGAGACATCGTTCATATAGAAGATGGGGGGCCAGGAGTCCAGGCATGTGGCATGGAAGGTGTTCGAGTCACGCATAGTGATCTCGGCGAACTTGGGGAAGTCTCGGTCACGGATAGCGGCTTCAATGGCATCCATACGTTCAGGCACGACCGTCTGGGCACGGGTGGCGAAGAGGTCCGAGGTCGCGACGGTGGTCTGCATGCCCTCGGTGCTGGGCACATCCTTCTTCTCTGCGCTGACAACAAGGACCAGAGCCCGCATCTCCGGCCAGTGAGAGGCTGGAGCCACCTCCTCTGCCAAGCTGTCGCTCCCGTCGACTTGCTCGCCAGTGCGCCACGCAACGTAGCCGCCCATGAGCGAGCGGCAGGCAGAGCCTGAGCCTTGACGGGCGATACGGCTCAATTCTTGTGGCGACTGGGGGAGTTGGTAAAGGTTGGCCACTGCACGCACAAGGGCAGCAAACCCAGCAGCGGAACTGGCTAAGCCAGCAGCAGTAGGGAAGTTGTTTTCGGAAACAATTCGGAGGGGGAAGGTGGAAAGCTTGGGAAGCGAAGCGTCGGCATCTTCAAGGGCCTGACGAAGAGAACGTAGGCTTGACAGGCAGGCAAGTGTACGCTTAGAGGACTGGATATCTTGAGGTTTGCCATTCAGGGTCAAGGTATCCTCGGCGGGGTAATCTGCGCTGGCGGAAGCGGTGGTCAAAGTGCGCAGAGACTTTTGTGAGAGTGTCACGGAGAGGGAAGAGTTGGTTGGGAGGTTGAGAGTAGTATCACGCTTGCCCCAGTATCTAGAGACAATTGGAAACTGGTTAATCATTTATACACCAAGAAAAATAAGAGGATTGGAGGGGTAAGAAACGTGGTGAATCATACTTGATGACCGCGATGTTGACAGGAGCAGTGGTCGTGGCCCGGTAAATAGGCGATTGAGCAGCGGACGCCATCTTGACCAGCTAGTGATGTGCGAAGCAAATGGTGCTTTCAATTGAGTCTTCGTCAACAATGCAACAACGATAATAGGGGGGTGAATTACTATCTTTGGAAGGCGAGGCTTATAATGTGGGCCAGGCGGTGAGGGTAAATTGATCAGTCTCCGGATAAACTTCGCCTCGCCGATCAACACCATCGTCTCGATCTTTGGCGGGACATTGCCTGATCTGAGATTTTCTTCAATAAGATTCCACAATGGGCGCCAGCGCAAGTACTCCGTCTGCACCTGCAGAGCCTCCCGCGGCAACATGTCCGGTCGACCATAAAACCCGTGAAATTTGGCTGCAACAGAACGGCGGCAAAGCGCCGCATCCCGCGTCCTCTGCGCCGGCGCAAGACCAAGACTCAGATCAATTTCGACCAAAATCACAACGGCCTTTATCTACAGACCGAGAGATCAGCAGTATACCCCGGGCTGGCACTCCGGCCGCCGCCACAGCTTCTCCCGAAGCCAAGAAAGCATCGCCAACGCCCTACGAATCCTCTCCATATGCTGCCTCCCATGGCGCTCCGTCCAATGCCGAAGCCGAGACCGGTCACGACGAAGCCTCCGGCAATTGGATATATCCATCCGAAAAACAATTCTTCGACGCCTTGATGCGCAAGGGTAATACACCGGGCTCAACATCATCTCCGTCCGAGCTTGCGACATCTGTCGCATCTATTATCCCCATCCATAATGCGGTCAATGAGCGGGCGTGGCAACAGATTCTTGACTGGGAGAACAAGGCACCTTCAACAGACCCCGGTAGCAAGAAGTGCGGAGGTCCCAAACTATATTCCTTCCGAGGTCTCGGAGTTGATCCTCAATTCCTGAGTCCACGTGCTCGCATCAACGGGTGGCTTGGCTATCAGCTTCCATTTGATCGACACGACTGGGTAGTTGAGCGCTGTGGAGGAGAACGGGTCGAGTATGTGATCGACTTCTATCAAGGTAAAACAACCGCCGGTGCGGACAAGCCAGCAGGCCTTGCTGGAAATGCAGGCCCTGGCAAACTGAGCTTCTATCTTGACGTCCGACCGAAATTGAACACCTACGAGGGCTGGAGGATGAGAATGAACAAGTTTGTTGGTTTGTGATTGTGTCAAACCACTCAAGTTGTCGAGCATCAGGTCGAACCGACGAAAATGCCGACATTGTATATTAAATTCACAAAGATGTCAGATCTGACGGATGTACGATACTGTTTTGTGTTTGAATGTGGCAGCTCAAACCCCTAAGGAACAACCGCAACTCCTTATGATTCTGGATAGCGTCCTATGTAGGACACTGGAGGATAAAATAATCATGGAAACGGAAAGCCTCGAACAAGTTGTGAAGGATACAGGCATCGGGGATATCGTGCGTGAATATAGAAACAGCTGGCGGTGCCCTGCAATCAAAAGACAACGCCAAAACAAGTACAGATGATAGAATACCAAAGACATATTATCCAAGGACGACAGCGAGGACGATAATTGTCAAGATAACTGCAAGGATGATCAGCAAGCAGCAGGCCTTGTTGCGCGCATTCTTCTGATAGCGACTGGCACTGCGCAGCTCGGTATTGGCACCCGCTGTGTCTCGAGAAACGTTTTGGACGTTCTCGCTAATGATATCGAGTTGACCACCTTGCTCATGCACAATGTGAGCAACATCCCGGAACAGCTCATTGAGTTCACCAACAGATTGCTCGATATTGCGGATTTCGTTCTCCCGTTCAATGATGAGAGATTCTTGGAAATCGACTTCACTCTGGTTAGCCATTCGAGACTGCTCGAGTTGTTGCTGCTGAAGTTGTACACCCGCCTCATCTGTTGTGTGCTCCCCGTCTTCAATAGCAGAACGTGCTGCGACGGCCGAAGCACGTTGCTTCTCCATAGCTCGACGTTGTACGGTCTGGAACTCATCGAGGCTGGCTTTGAACTCGGATGACAGCTTCTGCTGGGTCCATTTTTGAGATGGCTAGGCGATGAATTGTTAGTCAAGCAAAGGCATGCAGATGAGTTTTGTATAACTCACGTTGACGTCCTCCCATTGCTGGATTTTCTTCAGTCCGTCGCCTACGTCCTTGAAACCTGCTCGCGTCTCCTCCAGGAGATTGTGAACACGCTCGCGCACCCGCTCTGTATCTCTCTTCGTTCCAAGAAGCGCAATCTGATTAGACAGACGAGATATGTTCGAGGTCAATGTAAATAGTTGATCGGATAAGGACTCGGCCAAATGATCGAAGCCGGGGTCGTCACGATAATGCGGGTCTTCGGACCGGCGCATATCAGTAGGCTGCGCTTCCAGAGAGTCCAAACGGTCGAAAGACATGATGGCGAAGCGATTCAGTCAGATAATCAGAGGAGTAGACACGTGGCTGGGGATTTCTTTGCGGACCCAGGTTATGCAGGGACGCCAGGCAGAGATGCACCTTTGGGATCTCCAAACAGCTCCTCACATGACGTACTAGCTGCCGCGCCTAGTCTCACCAGCCACATACCGCCTTGCAGAGCCACTCAGTCTCACGTGACCCAATGTGGCTGGTGTGTTTTGATGCTCAAATTATTTCCATCATGAATCGAGCTTGGTCGCAAGTACCGTCTTTCAAGCCCAGCGAAGCGCGTTCGGTTTCGGGAATCAACGAGGAGATCTCAATTTGGACGCCGACACTTCTGTGCACTCAGTTCTCCTGAGATGCTCGCCTTGAGAGTGCTTTGACCATTCCACCTTTCGTTCTCACCTGTCCTCTACCACATCCCAGCTCCGAAAATGGCTGTCGCATCACAAGTTCGGCCGTACAGGCGCATTCTTACCTCGGCACTGCACCGGCGATTTGTTCATGCATCTGCTCTTTCTCTTCTGGTTTGCTATGTTATCTCCATTGTGATTGGCGACAAGACATCGTGTAAGTGGCTTGCCCGATCTCCCATGAATCACTCACGTTGAATACCTTGAGACTGGCCAGCTAATCCATTGCCCTCCCAGTATTCTGGACATGGTTTCCCATCGGTGCCTGCGGACTGCGCGCAGTCATGATTTTCCTTTCGGTTTTAATGGTATTCGTGCTTCGAGTCAGTCAGATGCACCTAGGCTCGAGGACAACGTCATCTCCGCTCGAAACAGCTAAGCACCTGCTCCCTTTTCAAGTCGCCTACACTTTCGGCTGTTATCTATTCTCCGCTTGGTGGTTCACCGAGCTATATTTGTGGTCCTCTTCCAAGGAAGCGCAATTGGACATTGTGAAACGCGGCCGGTATGAGCAATCAGCCAAGTTGGGCCACCGGAGAAGTTGTCACTAATTCTGGAATCAGATCTCACGAGCGCCCGATCTTGAACGAGAGGCCAATTTACATCCACACATTCCACCTACTGCTAGCTTGTACCCAGGCTTACGTCCACCTCCTCTTCGATTACGACGAAATCTTCGTCCCTATCAGACTGCGATCTACTGACCCCGCCGATGAGCGCACCCACCCGGTGATACCAACATCCAAATACATCAGGAGCGCATTGCCCAGAAAGATAAGATTCGCTTTGGCTTACGCTCTGATGGTGTCGATTGTGGCTCCTTTGCTTTACCTCCTTGTCCTGCGCCAAAGCGCTTGGGCCTTGTCGCTTTACTTCGCGAAACTGTTCTGGAGCTTCTCGCGCTCGGCAGCTCACCCCGAGACTTTTTCCCCCCTGCATTCGGTGCTCTGATCGCGCGATGCTTTATGTCGGGCTTTCTACTGTGTGTTAGCTGGCAATCCGCAAATTTGTTCTTTTCCATTTTCCTGGGCAAGGAACCTTTGAAGCGCGGTCAGCCGCTCACAGCCGATGCGAAGGACCCCAACGCCAGCTTGTTGTCAGGTCTCAAAGCTAAGAAACATATCGTGAAGTCCTTTGCGCTTTGGGAACTGGGCCTCATCAGCCAGCGTCAGCCTGATCGCCGAAAGGCGATCTTTAGTGAAATTGATCGCGAGGGCGGTTCAACATGGAGCCAGATCTTGAGTTGCGCCCAGGAAGAGATTCTGGCCATTGTGAAACGAATTGATGGATACAAGGCGCCCAAGTCCGCGTCTCAGCCCGCTGCTCCGAAAACTGCATCCAAGCCCGAATTGCAAAGCCTGCCGCGATTGACGGATGCACCCCGTGACCAGAACGTCTTTGCAACAGCCCCGAAGGCGACCTCTCGACATGAAATGTTCGGTGAAGCTTTGGGTTCGACAGCGAAAGCGTACGGCCAGTCACCGGACTGGACACCCACTGCTCGGGCTCGTGCCCGTGATGTCTTTGATAAAGCCTCCACTGCCATGCTCAGCCCAGAGCGAAAACAGAAACTTCTTGCCTCCGCCCAAGAGTTGAAACGGCTCACTGGCGGTCCGTCCACCACCACCTATAGGCCCGAGGACGTGCATCCTCTCGTTGTCCAGGTGCTTCGGTGGTTCCCGGTGTTGAAACAGACATACGCTCGACGGGCAACCAGCATTGTTTGCGGATCTCCTGATTCCTCTCTTGGTTCAATTGTCGACGCTGTTGATTCCTTGACACGCTTGCTGATTGCCAGTCTCAACGAAGACCAGTATGGCAAAGTACAAGCTGATGTTCCGTCGGTGATTAATCTTTTCACCCAGACACTAATGACTCTCGACGCGTTCATCTACCAAGGAGGCCTGGACGCACACTGGACCGATATCGATTTCCCCCGTCAAGCAATCTTGAGGCACAGGTAGAAGCGCGGAAGGTCCCCGCAGTTGAATTGATCCTTAACACCTTGCAAAGTGGACTGAGGGACCTACTTGAAGCTTTCAGGCCGTATCTGCGTGATGTCGGTGTTACTGGAAAGAGCCTCCGCCTAGCGAGAGAAGCAGCCGGTATGGCAGAGGATGAGTTGTCTCAGTCGTAATCATTCTCCTCACGAATTTCCGTGATCTTTGGAGGTGGCTTTTCTCGTTCCTTGGTCCTTGTTCTTGTTCTGAGTACTACATATTTTCCCGTGGCGTTGGTCTCAAAAGGACTACGAGTGCATGGTTTGGCGTTGTCTCATTTCGAATCAAATATGAATACCCTTCAGTATCTGGAAAATCAGGCATCAAGTCCAATGCTCTGCTCCTTTAGAATCTTCCTCACAGACACTTTTGGAACAGCGTGTGATCTGGGCTCCGTAGGTTGATCACATGACCCTTCTCCCCCCCTCTCCACTCTCGCGGGAATACCCTCATATCGCAACAACACCGAGGACAGATAAGTTACAAGTTGAAACCCGACATTGAAAACCCGACCTTGTCCTCTAACCCAGAACTCACCCTCCTGCTCGATAGTCATGGCCTCCTTGACCAATGTATATCATTTACGTCGTGTCGCAGACACGTCTGCCAGGCCCTGTTTGATCTGCTATAAACCGTCGACCAGCGTATTGATCACACCCGACAATAAGGTATTGATAACTGTATCTCACTACTGGATTTGTCTAAAACTTTCTCAGATCTCCGTCATCGACGGGATATACTAATTCCGGGGTAGGATTTTTTCTATGTCTGTCCAAAACATCTCCAGGACCGCCACTTCTGTTCACCTATTATCGATGCTGAACGAGAAGCAGCACGCCTGAAGGAGCAGCAAATGGCTGAAGAAATTGAGAAAGTCAAGAAAGAGTACGAAGAGAAACAAAAACGCAAAAAGGAACGCGAGAAATCCAAAAAGGACGACAAGGACGATTCAAAAGACAAGGACGCAAAAGACTCCAAACAATCGAAGGAGTCCGAGGCAAACGAAGAAAAAGAACGCGATGAAAAGGTACGCCTTCTGAGCTGAACTGGAGATATGGCCCCGAGTCCTCTAATTTAGCATGTTCTAGATTGATGCCATCAAAAAGGGCAATGCGGCAAAGCCAGATGACAGTCAACGCGTCTTTGCACTTCACAAGTACGTTGAAATACCTAGACTCTCCGAATGCAAGCCATCTGACTATTGGTGCTTCAAGGACATTTTACCAAATGCGAATCGACAGGCTGAAAGGTATTGAGATGGCTAAACGAAATCAAGAACGAATGAAAAATCCGTCCTTGTTCCCTTCCGTTCCATCCAACGACCTTTGACCTGTTCCGATCAGGAACAGGACGAGAAAGGTGTTTGAAGCAGGCTGCTGCACTCTTCATCCGGTCCCACGAGTCTTAACGAGCCACATCGGCTCAGGCGTTGCTGGTGCATATTCGCCTGTTGGGCGTGATCCCAGCACAGATTACAGTGTTTCGGGGCTTTTTCGCTTCACTCTCCATGTGAAGGACGCCATATTGTGTAGTGTGCCCTGCACGCGTCCATTTACGTGCACCGTGTTCCGTGTCATCCGGAGACAAGCCTTTCTCGCGCTTGATCTCAAGATCAGCACGTGAAGCGAGCTGGGAGACGCTATACCAAACGAACCCAGTCGCCAGACTCATAGCAACGACTGGCAAATTTATAACAAGCGGAGCCACCGTTCCATCTGACTAATACCGGGTGTAAGGAGTGGAGGTATGGATTCTGTCTATATGGTTCTCCCAGAAGCTGTCTAGGCAAGCAGCCTACTGCATTAGCGCTCTGGTACTGGATTGACATGGGCGATGATATGACGGGAGCCAGGAAGTGAGCAGGATTGGTGAAAGCGGCTGCCTATCGCTCAATATCCCTCAGAAAGCCAAATGGCTGGAGCCTGATACGATTTCGATTTCAATTCAAAAGTTGAAATTGAGGCGACAATGCAAGCTTGGAAATTTCGCTCTAGGGAAGATTCCACCGTCCTCCAATGATCGACGTTACATCCGCCGATCCTGCCGATGCAGTGATCTCGGAATGTGTTGAAGGGTGAAATCCAATATGAATTGCCAGTCGTAGAATCGGAGTACACAGTTTCCCGTTCTACTTGTTGACAGGGCCTGACTGTACATGGATCAAGAGAGGGGTGAATATGGCTTGTAGAGCGTCACTAAGAGCTTGGCAAAATGTAAGCGCGACGGCTGGAAAAGGCTTGGGCAGATCGCCCATCACATTGCGAGTCCGTAAGCACTAAGACGCTGTCATGCAAGTCTCAGGTCCGAGGCAGAGGCAGTAGGTAGTAAGGTGCTAGGAGTAGGTAGTTGTTGGGCGTCGACTGTCGACTGTCGAGCGTTGAGACCCGAATGTATTGATAATTGCAGTATTTATTGCTGGAGCCTGTTTCGTGTTGTTTGATCTGAACTTTTACCTTGACTAGGGACACGTGCAAATACCCCCTTTGGGACTGGTTCCGTATGGATTTTCTTGACAGCGAGTACATTGCAGATTGAAATGCAGAGAATTCGTTCTGCCTGCGACGTTCGTTGACAACGATGGACTTCTCGTAGAGAGGGCGTTCAAGTTCGTATGCGTATTCATGACTCCATCTGGCCATGGAATCAACCTTCCTTTTCTCTCTCACATTCATTCTCAATCTCTTCGTATATTGAGCCAAGGCCCGGAAATCTGTATCACGAAGGGAAGGACATTCGAAAAGAAGGATTATGAAACAGAGTAACGGTGCAACACAATTTGCATGGTATCTACCATCCACTGTAGTATACTATATCACCACAGCGGAAATAGGCACGGTCATACTACTTCCACCCGACATGGGATGAAAGCGAGACACTAGACCCCCGTCTTCGTCCATACTTCCTCCTCTCCGGCCTTGCAAGGCTCCGGTTGAAACTGCCCCGATGAACGTGTGGAAGAGAGCACGGTGCATCACTGGATTTACTACTGCTTCACTGGATACCCACCTGTGCACACTGCTCTCTTGCCGCCCACACTGGCGCCAGCAAGCTCGGTACGAAGCGGATTGAGCTTCTCATTGTATAGGCCCGTACGGTCCTGAGTCCCTGGACCATGACATTATTTCTCATACGATCTACATCAACGCTCAAGCTTCTGCCGGCAATTAATGTTTGTAAAAGAATCCACGCCCCATTATTGTATGTGAAACTATGACCAAAGATTTGGATTCGTATTCAGATGAAGACCATGTAAAAAGACCATGTGGGAAGGCCTACGCGTCTGTTATATAGCCCACCCGACTAAACCTAGACTCATGCCTTCATGCCTTTGAGAACTATGGCTGCCTCATAGCGAGGCAAAGACTACAAGGTCAGGATATCACTTCTCTAAGCGTGCTATATGATCGAATCAAGTACGATCCATAGATTAAAGGCCCGTGAGCAAAAGTGTGTTTCACACAAGCGAAAGACTCCTGTAAGTACTGAAGTTGTCTGTGACTCTACGCAGTATGTGGTGTAGGTGACGAGGTGGAATGAGACAAACATTCCGACCAACTCACCCCATTTGAAACTTGCTTGTTGACTCGTGAGCAGCAGCACTTCACCAGTTGAAAGAGCCAACTGACTCTTTTGAGCACGTGAAGCTTGGGCTCTCTGCTTCGGGCCAAGGTCGGCGGCTCCAGAGTCCAGACATGAGAAAGTCAGGCAGGTGCTCGATAAAGTCACTTGTCAAGTTGTCAGTGTCCGCCGGTCCGGGAGTCGGGAGTGGACACTGGACAGACCACGGTATTGACGATACAGAGTCACGAAACAGAAACCGAACGTAATCGATGGACGTAAATACATTACATAACAATCTAATACAACTGCTGCGCAACCCTCACTCGGCCATGGAACTCCTGACACCAATCGGAAAGAGCAGGAAGCAGACCCGCTTTGCACAGCCTCCCTCGAGATGTGTGCGTCCACGACTGATTTTCCTTGTCCTCCTCATTTCCACTTATCCCCCGCCCCCTCCCCTGAAGCAACTGAAGGAAACTACAGAAGACTCGCGATGAGCAGGAGGAGCCTACGGTACTTCCCCAACTAGGGGTAGTGAGGGCAGGTCATTGCCGCAGTCGTCCCTATACCAGCGTCATCGGCGTCGTGGTCGGCGGTGATCCCTTCTTTTTGATAGTCCGCTTTGGGGGCCTCGTTTCAAGGTTGGCGCCGGTCGTAACTAAGCCCTGTAGGGTTGGCTGGGTCGAATGTTCCATTGGATGGTCATCGGAGGATTGGCCCAGCTTTGCCGTCAATTGGCGGCCGTTTCTTTACGCAGAGCCCGGATATGCAAAGTGGTCATTGCCGGGGTTGCAACTTGCAACCATTGCACAGATGCACTTATCGTCGCAGCTCCCAGGATTCCTACGAGCAGCTTCATATACTGGGATATGGAAGAGGTCATGACTGAATGGGCCAGCTCTGTGAATCATTCCAGTTCAAGGTTGTGTGGACTTGCATCGGTGGAGGCAGGCATAGACCGCCTCCAATTCCTGGATTACAGCCAATGCACACGCGAGTTCCCCCATCCGGTGGCGCGCTGACGGCGCGTTGGCGTTGGTGGGGCGAATCCTGCGTACCCGGATGGATACAAGGGAAAAGGCTTGAACCTGTTCGTCCAGAGCCTACTAAATGCTCAAAGTGCTGCCTGTAGAATAGGGGACATACGCAATAGTCCATTGAATGACCCGTTCACGGATCCCTAAGCTCACGACTGACTAGTGACTACCTCCACCTTGGCGGGTGTCTCTTTAGACTGCCGTTGGAAGTCGTTGATTTCGCTGTCCAGCAAAGCAAGCGAACGTGGTTATATCGACATACTAGAGAGCAACAAAGATCAAACAGATATCAAACAGATATCGGGACTCAAGTGCTCGCACCATCTCTCCAGCTGGCGTAAAGTCACTTGGATAATTCTTCCAGAGTGGACAATGGACATCAACATGGGGGGGAGACGACACGCGAATTGCTTATGGAGAAGTCCAACAAACAGCGACGCGGCGGTGACATAGCACGGTCTGTATTGTGCCAGACCGCCAGTAGTGACGTCCTGTAATTCGATAGCATGTGCAACTGTGCATGAAATTAGGAATCGGGAGCAGAACTGGGGTGATTTACGATGAGGGCACTCGTATCGAGATAACAGGGGACGTCAACCAAGCCGGAGGTGGTCTTCTTCTGCGAGACTATGTACTGTAGGAGTAGGACTAGGTCATAAGGTACTAAGGTAGTACAATACACCACTCCCGAATCCGATAACATCAGTGATCTTACAATGTATTGTGTTAGAGTGATTGAAGGGTCAAAACACGGAGTTAAGATCAAATTGCTGACCCAATCGATTAATCGCTCGACGGATAGAGGGTCTCCGCTACTGACAGACTGCTACTGTCCGAGTCCGTCGCCTTCCAGTGGAATCAAGCATGGCTGGTTTGGGGTAATTTATCGAAGACGCGCACGGGCTCCAAGGGTGCAATTTAAGTTTGGGTCGGGTGGTACTGTCACTACTGTGCCTGTCAAAGTGTCTAGTCTTTCGAGTCAGGAAGGCGTGGAATGGGTCTGAGATGCTGGTGACAAACGGGGACATTGGGGCACGACATGACTTGATTAACCTATCTAGTACTACTACCTAGTAACCTACTCCTGCCACCTACTCCTAGCCTCCTACTACCCACATAGTGTTGGTAAAGCTCTACTGTAACCCATGGACGGCATCATTGATGGCGCTTAACCGGGCTCGCATGTGATTCAGTCATCACATGGCACTGAAATTTCCCCTCCCGGAAAAACGATACAATAGCACTGAATTCAGTCGTAGTACCTTAGGTCGCACTGGAGTTAGTTCAACCTATAAAGCACCATGCGACAGATTAACAAGAAAGTAGGCCCCGGGTTGAAGTCTGCTGATAAAACTATTGAAGGCCCTCACAGGTTAAGGTTTGGCCTCAAGGCTTGATCTCGAGCGCCATGTATGAGCCTGACCAAAGACTGAGTACGATAATTAAGAATAAGTACTATGATTGCCTAACATTTGCTTGCATCCCCCCGCTGTCTAGTTCTTGTCCGTTTGTGGCAGCTCGAAGCAGGTCGGAAGAAGCCTCTTTTGCAGTAATACAGAGCCCCCACTATCGAACACATACCAAACTCGGCAATTAAATCCGTTAGCATCGTCGAGTGAGAGAATAATATGCGGGATAGGCTACCGCCATATCCACTTTCCGCTAGTACGAATGATAACTCCGAGCAAAAGTCAATTGGTGCGGATGCAAACTACAGCGTCATGGCCGAACTAGTGAAAGTGAAGGTGGAGATTCGTTCGAAGTCTCGAAAAAAGAAAAGGATCGCAATTTGCTTCCAGGAAGCATACAACACACTGAGAATATGTTCGTGGGATCATGTGGGTCGGTGACAAGTTCAGAAATAAGCTTTGTAGCCTGGAAGAACAGACCCTTGCTTACGACATGCCGTGTTCAGTGTTTGAGCCTCGACAAGGGCAGTGGAGGTCTTCCATTTACATTTGGCTCCTTCCAGATGGGGACAGAAACGGCGGAAGCAATGGAAGTCATGGTTGACACGAGTTTTACAGTACATGCCGCGCATAGCCGCGAATTCGTCATGCTCAATAATTGTTCAACAACTAGCCAGCCGCGTCATCATAGATTCCCACGTCCAGAGCCTGACTCTCCAGTTTCGGATGATCGCATCCCCGGAGGTAGACGGATGCCCATTGCCGGCGGGCCGCCAGATCCACGTGCTGCGGGAGTGACTCGATTCGCAATATCCACCCGGGCTTTGGCAAGCCCGATCGCAGGCACCACCCATCCGCCACAACTGCATTGCATGCCCTGCCAGGCAAACTTACCAATATTCGCACCGCAGCCGGAGTTAGGACACGTGAGGCGCCCCGATAAGGGAGCATCGACCGAATACTCGTCGTACGTCGAGTCCGCGTCCGGATCGGAGCCTTGCTGTACCGAGCCAGGGAAGAGACTGGGACGCATCCATTTGAGGGGATGCAAGAAAACATGAGCACATTCTGTGCTGGTTGGTTGTTTAGCGTAGCGCTGCGGCCCCCTCTCGTGTTTCTTGTGGTCGATGATGAATGGCGTTGTTGCGAGAGTGCGTCTGATGATGAGAATCAGTATCCGGTAATTTTGCGTATGCGTGTAGTCTTTACTCGTCCAGGAATAAAGAAAATGGGTCTTTGAAAGAGTTGAAAACATACCGGCACTTGCGGCACTTGATCTCCGCGGACCGACCACTATCGTTCGGCGTGGGCTGCACAGGCAGTTCATCCTCGAAGCGCACAGACTTGAGTTCGGGAGCACGTCCACAGGCAACGCTCTCTTCCACGTCCCGATGATACAGCCAGCGCTGATAGATCCGGTTCTCTGTGACATCGTCTGGACAGCCCATCTCATGGTAGAGCTCCAGTTGTCGCATGAAACCCTCGTTGGGTTCACAAAGTGGTCGAGACTGCCTGATGATGTCCAGAGCTGTTTGCGGTGTGAGGGCACCAGGCTGCTTGTGCATCATGTAGGCAATACACATCGTTGCTGACCGAGATTTTCCCATTGCACTGTATCAAAAGATCAGGCCCTGACTAGATAAAGGTAGTTCATCACGTTGCGTTGACTTCATCATGTACTCCCGCGCTCTCGAAAAAACAGAAGGTACTGTCCGAGGTTGTCAACAAGGACGTAGAGAGCGATGTATGTATATTGTATAATACACCTCACTCATCATGCGTGGGGCTGAAAAAAGGCGGACGAGCGTCAAAGGCATAGACTGAGCATCCTTGTGTATTCAAGCGGCGTGCCAGTCGTGACAGGCGTCAAGGTAAGAGGATAAGATCATGATGGGAAAGAGGCTTACCAATGTACCAAGACACCGCCGCCGCTGTCCAATCCAGCCTGAATGAACTTGATGGCAGCAGGGAAATGCTCCAATAAATTCTCATCCTCAACATCATCAGCATCTATTGAAAGATGCTGGAAAGAGGCAAACGTCTCTTCCGAAGGATTCAGTCTCAACACAGAAAGAACATGAGTAATGTCTGCTTTTGCCAGAGCAGCTTTGTTCTTGAGACAGAAGATCCTGTATAGGGACAAACAAGTCAGATCGATTGGTGTACATCAGAAAGCAAATAAGCTCAAAGATGCAGGTTTGAAGGCCCACTTTTCGAGCAATACTTCAAGCTGCAGTGTCATGCCTTTCACGACTACATAGTAATGCGTAGCTTACCCCCCAATGTAGATGTTATGGCCGGGAATCTGGTTCATAGCCATCGTGAAGATAGCAGTCAAATGATAGGTGCAACTTCAGGCTGGAATATATACAGGGTGTTGTTTGTGGTCAATGTTCAAAGCGGCACTGATCCTATGGCACGAGGAAAATGTTCGACCAAAGTTGTACAGCTGATGATCGATGTCCTCCCAATCGAGTAGCCGGAGATTTGCCCCAGGCCTCGGTCCCCACAAGCTGGATGAAACCCAAAATGGCAAGTAGGGTAAGGGTCACGCTTCTCAGGTGACCCAGGGACGTCCTTAGTGCCTGAGGCAGTAAGGACCCTCCCTGTAAGGCGTAAATAAACCTGATCAAAGCAACACCCGCTCATTGAACTAGATGGGACTTGGACACCGGCCTGACTCCTCAGAGTGTTCAGCCTCACACTAGATTGTGCCAATGCATCTCCATGAGGAAACACCAGATCGTCGAAGTAAAATTGACCCATCTTGTCATACCGTGCTACAGTCATGCATCGGTGGACTACGCTGTACGCGTCTTGTCGCAACTACGCCATTCGAAATGTCCATAATCCAACGTCCGCCAACATCTTCAGAAGGCACCGAGCCCGCCCGACTACCCTCGGGGAGAGCACAGTCCTAGTCATCAAAGAATATCGCAAATCCATATGAGGTCAAAGTGGGTTAGTATGGATGTGTATCCAGCAAGCAGCAGGGCATGGCTCATCCCAAGCTTGGAACTCGTATCCACACGATCGGCCATACCGGGCCATCCTGTTTCCAACCAATAAGACAAGCAAACAAAATCCTTCAGCCCTCACGCCCTTGGACAATTCATGCATGCTGCATACAGGGGCTGAGCATGACTCGCCACCCCTCGTCGTTCAGCTTGAAGTTGTTCGGCTTTCTCCTTTCTCCATTCAGCGCGGTGAAAGATGCACTTTGTTTTCCGTAACTCGAGACCCGCTGTGTCGATCGGAAGAGCCGGTAAACACATTCAAGCCTGACGGGGAGCTCACGTCCTGCGTCCAGTCTCATCCAGGAATTCAACGGCGAGGTCGTGGACATGTCTCTGACAAGCTTTGTACGAGGTCCACTCCGCGGCTGTCGACTGGATGATTGTTACGTTCCTTGTGAGAGTGGCCTTGGCACCTTCAGGAACCACTCTTTCACATGAGGCATTTAGACGTAATGAGAATAGGTGATGAGAATGATTCACCAAGTTTATCCACGATAAGGCACAAATCGCCGGTCGCCGGTCGCCGGTATCGATAATTGAGCCCATGAACCCTGGAACTCCAAAAGATACTAACTAGCCTGCCCTTCAAAAGCGAAATATACTAGATCCAGGCGGGCATACATCGTACGTATACCTCGATTGGGGACTGGCGTTCGCTCAATCAAGGTCAGGGCTCGATACAGTCGACAGTCTCGACACTGATTTTGGAGCATTACAGATGATATGTCCGTACAGTGACGTCGTTGTCCTTCGTCTTGTGACATTGTTTCCTTGGGATGTTTGTTCGCATAGCATTGCACCCGTCAGAGTCAACAAACTCAATGTACTGTTACCGATCTCTGCTTTGGATCCACCAGCAGAGCGAGGGTCAAGTGTTGCTCCTTGAACGTGTTCGACGGGTTCAGGTTAGTAGCTCGAGACCTCAAGTGATACGGGGAACTAAGCGCGGAAACTCAAACGTTTTGAGACCCTGCTAATACATCAGACTAGCGTGGCATAAACGATGTTAAGTAATGGGCCAGATCGTAATGGACCCTGAATCCTCTAAGCTTTATCGACCTACGGGCTTGAGTTCATCGTGCAATGAGAGTGCCTATAGACGTGAGATGACAATGATCTGATGACCATCCAATCCAGTCCATGGTGTCTGGCTTGACGTGTGATGAAGAAACAGGCATGAGTAGGCTCACTAATTTGAGGTGGAGAATTGACTAAATTACCACCAAGTTGGTACATCCAAGACAGGATACTATCCATCTCGAAAACCCTGGGCATTGATACGCGCACATTCAATACTGGACCCTGTCCCATAGGGCTGGCCGCCCGAGGTTATACGCCCAAGACCCTGGTCAAGGCTACCCGCAAAGTCGCCGTCACACCAATCGCTCTAAACCTCTGCGTCCCGACCTTCCGGTCCCATCCAATGATCCAGGGTCCCATGAAAATTTCTCTGCCACGCAGTGCCTCCGAAAGCATCATTAAAATCGACCTGGGAGTTGATCGTGAACAAACCTCCGGACTGATGTTCAAGCGACTCTTCAAGACCCAAACAGTGCAGATCGCAAACTGCATTTCACCCTGGCCTATCCTATTCTGTTCCTCTCCCGAGTATGGTGCGGACCGCCAGTGTGGCAGTGCATGCAAGACTGAGCACCAAGTGGAGCGCACTAGAACCCGGCGGGTCAACTTCCAATATCTCACGAATGGTGTTTGCTTCTACGTTGGTATGGCAAAAAATCAATCAACAGTTTAACGCTGTATCTTCTTTTAGACTGTCTTTTACCATATCCGTCGACCAACCGTTGCATCTTGAGTATCAAAGATAGGTATGTACTACGTCCGGTAATTTACAGTATCTGGACTCCGGACTGAGACTCAGAGACTCAGAGACTGAACCAGTGGACTCTGGACTCTGGAGTACTGTACTCAGTACTGTGAGATTCGTCAGGTGACGTGATGATATATGGAGTCGAAGATTGCCCTCACAAGCAGCCATGCCCAAGTCACAGTAGGAAATGGGTATGCGGTAGTAGTTAGGAACCGGTTCGGAGTTGGAGGTGTTGTATTGAAGTCAAACCAAAGTACACTAGCATGAAACCTAGCTCGGCATCACGCTTTTGGTTCATCTTAGGTAGAACGGGCAGTCTTCGATACAAACCGCGTGGAAGCAATCAGCAGGGCTCAGTTATTCATCATGCAACGCGTTCCATCACCGCTGCATTCCCTGCAGGCGACTCGATCAAAATTCCCGACAGACATTGTGGGGCTCCAGTGTATACATAAGGTGCAACAGTGAAATTGTGAATAGCGTGCCCTGTAAGGCTGAACATGTCATTTCCGGTAGAATTCATTCTCAGGCGATCAAAGCAATGGTCAGCCTTATGCCTCGTGCATTTTTTTCTTCGGTATTGTTCATTACCCAGAATACGTCATACGATGTAAAATCTGTATGTCTGTACCTCATTGATGAAATAGAAGGTGGTAAATTTCGATTGTTGGGACAACAAAACTTGCAAACACACGGTGATCATCATTCTGTACATCGGTCTAGGACTGCTACCCTTGTCAATAGGTACATACCTCACCTTGAGCCTGAGTTAGTCTAACGCTCTGCGCTAGCGCCACAGAGGTCCAATCAATCGGTTCCATGCATGATGATACGATCCTGTATACTGAGTCAAGTAAAGGCTGACTAGACCCTGCCAATCGCGACTACTGCAGGGCTTACTCCATAATTCTACTGGTTAAGCAATATCGAGGGTACCCCTTTAGGGCCACATCGTCTATGTCAGTGGTGGAAAAAGAGTTTATCTGCCACCATGCGGATGCCTGACGTGTTGTGTCATCCCGTTAGACCAGACAATTGTAACCGTGCTCAGAGAGTCAGTAGACTGAAGACCCAGTAGTCAGTACTGTCAGTACTGTACTCGTGTACTGGAGCGTACTTTACCAACATGTGATGGTAATCATGGTACGATACATATATGTATCTATCATACAGTCCCCACCACCCAGTGACCCACGGGCCACTGTCCAGTCACTTGGCCTTAGCCTTACCACCGCGGGAGTTCCGCTCAAGTTAATAATAATGACAAGAATATAATCGTCGATTATATTATTTTCCTCTTTCCCCTTTCGCCTTGTCAGTCTCAGCGCGGAATTATTTGGGGGTTTTTACAGAAATACCGAAACGATATTGTCATCAAATTTTCCCCTTCGAGATTCTCGTTTCACGTTCTTTGCCCCTCGCCGGCACATCGACGTGCTCCAGAATTTCCCCGTCACCGAAAGGCCCGCCGCTGCAGCTGTTGCCGACGAATTTCTGGGCCTTGGTCGTGTGTGTCGCACATCTGGTACGATTCAGTCCGTGACGCTATTTCCCCGACCCTGAATCTGGGGACTCGCAACTCCTTCGCCTCATCGCTCGGTGAGAATCGAACCACTCTGCTGGCTCGTGCCCAAGAGATTCTTGCGCTTACCCTGTCCTCAATCCACCGATCGACGGTCGTTTGGTCTACCTGACTGTCCTGACTGTCCTCGTCCCGTCCATACCTTGTAGGCTTGTACCTGCCCGAACTTCTTAGTATTACCAGGGTACTTACTTTCTTGCTACCTTACTAAGTTACTACTACCCATGACTATTTGACCACCACCACTTTCTTCCATTCGTCTTACTGCCATATCGATCATCGTGCCCACCTTCCACACACGTCGCCGTCTTCTCTTTTTTCCCCCTCCTTCCGACCCAGACTGTCATTCTGCCCATCTATTGTCCGGGCTTGACCGTGGTTCGGAACCGCTACGATCGTGTGAAGTGGAAGTGGAGACCGCTTGTCTTCACTTCGGTGCCCCGTGGTTCAGCTGCGTACATTCCTTTTTCATTCTCGCTGCGGCTGGAGACACCGGTTGTCTCGACCTTCTCTGGATCCAACGCTCAGGACGTCCTGAATAATCTACGAGGCGGGGGGTCTTGGCTCGAAACTCGTTCGTTACGCAAGTCGCGTACTCTTCCAGTCTGATTCAGTTCCCGACAGAAGACAGAAAAGGCGAAAAGGTACTTGTTCGGCGCTATTGCAAGTACGTCGACTCGGTCGACTCGGAGAGACTTGTCAATCCTCGTACATCATTCTTTCCGTTTCCCGCTCACTTCACAGCTCTTTTACTTCGTTGGGCGGGGAGGTTCTTTTTGAGAAAGCTCAGCACAGCACATCGCACCGTTCGACTGGCGGAAAGCTTCATGCGACAACTGCACAGAGCACGTGTGGTCGGATTACCAGTTCTGGTTGATTGATTTGAGGGTCCATGGAACACACTTCGGCTCCCGGAATAAGGCTGTGCTTGTGGCACTCGTGCGGCAAACGTTTCATCCCATGAGGCGAATCGCCGACCATGTAAGTCATCGATCCTTCAGCCCTACTCTCTTTGCGCTCGCATGGTCTGGCCATGCTTTCTCTGTCACATTCCCGCTACCGGACTTCTGTGCGCGTGGTCATTTTGTCTTCTCCGTCCTGTCCCCTATAGAGAGTCCTGGCATCGCGCATCGCCGGGACTTGAGGTCGCCTTCACTTCGCCTGGGTGGCCCCGCGTCCACCACCGCCGCCGCTATCCAAACGCTGGACTGTCTTACAGACCCCTGGCCGTGACCGGCGAAGTTCCTTTTTCTTCTTGCTTTTCGCCTTCTCATTCTTTATTCTTGTTATTTATTTATGTTATCCATTTTTGGGTTTCGATCCATGTGGCTAGTCTGACGTCTATTCAGCTTATACTTCCTCACTTTCTTGCGGCTGTGGAATCAACACCTGCTTGAGAATTTCGCCACTCCATACATAGTGTTATCAGGGTGTCCCGTGCCGTTGGGTTCAACCTGCTGACTGAAGCCAAGCTGGAATTATTCCCCGCACTTTTTGTTCTCTAGGCGAGAACCTGAGATAGCGTGACTTCTACGAGGCTTCACGCTTGGTGTCGCGGCTTGACCATCCAACTGGATTGGGTCGTCAGGTACTCAAACGTCTCTCACCGGCGTGTCTTCGCCACCCACCTCGGTCTTCAGCTCTTCCAAGTACGACGACAGCAACCTAGGGTCTCTTCATCTCGGTTCTTTACCGCCGGCCCGTACCGAGACTGGGGTACTACGTCGTGCTGCGACACTGCATTTGCTGCAAATCTTCATCTCTTTGATCGAGCTCTTGCTTTTCCATGACAGCTGTGTACTGAACATACCACTGCGAAACTCGCTCGAGGAGCATGGACCGAAGGACGTCACCGCCAACTTCTTTCAATAACTGGGATCAAAGAGAATGCCCACCTGATCAATCCCACAGAATGTCTCATTCATCGTTCACATTGCGGGGACCGTTGCCTATTCCTTCGCAACCTGTCATGCACACGGTTCCGCCACCTTTACCTCCACCGACGCATATCCGCGAGTTGGAAACTGGCTACGATGCGGGTTGGCGTTACGCTAACTCATCTCGTGCTACAACGCACCTTCCTCCGCTCAATTCAAATTCAAGTCTGCTCGGTGGTCATCGGCGGGCGGACGTTATACCCCACAGCGACTCAATGGATATTGATGAACTTGACGGACGGCAAAACAGAACACAATCGTCTCACAGCTCAGGAGCGCAAATTAGAGTCCAACCACCCCCGCTGACAAATGAGGGATTCCCAAATTCCATATCCGTCCTTCCAACAGGTGCTGTGTAAGTTGTTCGATCGAGGTTTGCCCGCAGCATTGCCGCTGTAATGCATGGCGCAAGTCGCACCTGAAAACAACGAATGAGCAAATTTGCTAATTTGGCGTCTAGTCTCAAAGGCGAGCAGAACTTTTCACTTAGGAGTGTCAAAGATTCGTCGAATGCGTACGATCAACACCTGCTTTCTAAGATTGGGAATTCCCTTTCGCCACGCAATTCCATAAGTCAAGGATCAGATCATCGTGGGTCAATATCAACATTGACCGTACCATCGATTTCCTCTCGCGCATCCAGTAATCTCCCCTCTCCGGGAGCTTTGGATGCAGGGTCTATCCTAGATCTGAAATGGTTGCCCAGTCCCCAAGCAGATGCGGTTTCCCCAAGGAGTAAATCACATTGGCTCGACCGCTTTGAAGGTCGAAGCCCTAGCGAGGACAGCAATACCCCGTCTGCCATCTTCGACCACGATGGTATGCGAGAAGGTGGTCGACGACGATACCAAGGAACGACGCCCTCTCGGGAGGACAGCATTAGCCTACCCAGCCACTCACATCGGGGCAGCTACGACCTAGGCGTCTTCTCAGACTACGAGAATGAATCCCAAGCGGATGAGTCCGCACGCCCGCGCCAGTTCATTCTCCGAGAGCCCACACCTCCGTTCCGCGATGGAACAAAGCTGGGTATGAAGCGAAGGGCGTCCTCACCCCCACGGGAACCAATGGGCGAGAGCCTTCATTTGATGACGAATAATGGGGACTTGTCACAGCGACGGACCAGCGGACAGCCTTTCGCCAACACTTTATCCGTGAATACCAGCTATCCTTCGAGCCGCCGCGCCCTCTCGGCGTCGTCATCACTCAGCATTCGAACTTCTGGTTCATACTCTTCTACTCTGTCAATCGGTGGGAGCAGCATGACCAGCCTGTCACCGTATGACCGGCTATCTCCCGGTGGACTTTCGTCTTGCTCTGATCTCGATGTCTATCACGAAAAATCAATTCTCAACACCAACCCTCCTGCGTCTCTCGTTCAAGCACTACCACGACCTATCAACATCCCGAGCTCGCTGGAGCCTCCGGTGATCGATTCGGCCGGGAAAGTGAATTTGCCCAACGTTTTCAGTGTACCCAGAATATCGCATGGATCAAAGATCAGTGGGCTGTACATTTGCGATTGTTGTCCGAAGAAACCCAAAAAGTTCGACAACCCAGAGGATCTTCGGTAATTACCCCCGGATGCCATCGAAGTCGCGTGGTTGCCGTCATTTTTGAAACCTGGATTCTAATTATCTCCCCTGCAGCTCTCACGAGATGGAAAAGCAGTACTCCTGTCAGTACTGCAACAACCGCTTCAAAAACAAGAACGAAGCAGAAAGACACCAGAACTCCCTCCATCTACGCCGTTACTCTTGGTCCTGCGCCGCTCTTCCCAGCTTTAAGGCGGCCTTTCGTGCGTCTTCGTCGCCATCGTGCCAAACCAGCGCTGGTCCCTCGCATGATTCATGCGGATATTGCGGCAAAGAGTTCTCCAACTTCCCGCGACCGGACTGGGATGGGCGGTTTGAGCATCTGACAACCTTGCACAAGTTTGGCGAATGTAATAATGCGAAGAAATTCTTCCGCGCAGATCATTTCCGCCAGCACTTGAAGCACAGTCACGCAGGAAGTAGTGGGAAATGGACCAACATTCTTGAAAATGCATGCATGAAAGAAGAACAACCACCTGAACCGAGAGACAAGGCGAGAAATGTATCCGGGTCACAAAAATCAGGGCCGTTACCTACGGATATTATTGACGAAGTCATTCGCGAAGAATGAATTCCTGCACATTCCCCACGATATATGCCATGCTGCATGCAGAGCATGACCGGAATGATAGGCTCTGTCTAGCAAGAGTGATGTTTCATCACCTGCCGCAGACTCGGCTCAATTTTGTCCGAAGCCCACATTTGCGCGATTCGGCTGAGTCACTGCGGGGAATTCTTGCGAAAGAATCAATCTCACGAAAAGCATAAAAGATACATTTCAGCATCCGGGACGAGATCATTGGCACAGTGTAAATATCTTGTGAAAAAGGAGGTCTTGTCATTCCTACAATGTTAGAACATTCTACGATTCCTGGTAGAGGTGCATACTCGGATTGATCAATCTACCCTAAGTGCTCGAACGACAAGCTTCATGATGATTGAAAATAATCACCTTACACTAGGGATCTCAAAAACTTGAAAGAATGTTCTTCAAATGGAACCAGATGGGAAGATTTTGAGTGAATGGAAAACAAATGAACCGTAGCTAACACGAACATAAGTGCTGAGTCCGAGACACAGTAATTGCTACCTACCTAGGTATCTCCGTCCCCGCAATTCAGGCTTGGAAGATATGCAGCACCCATGGATGCCTAATGCCTTTACAGCGGACGTCAATGTGGATCAGAGCACTCAGGATATCCTGTAAAATGAAAATTCGTCTAGCCTGGTCTCGCTAAATATTCGCTTATTCTTAAGGTAGCGATGCTAGCGCTAAGGTACAACGGCCTAGAAACCGTTCTATACTTGAAACCTTCAACCCAACCTTGGAACCAAGCCGGTGATGAGGATAACCGAAGCTGGAGCATGCTCGGCATCGTCGAGCCAATTATAAACATGGTAGAAAGAATCTATATAGTCGCGATCAAATGAGAGAGCGCATCAACTGCAGTCTTACCTCCTTCGCAATTCTCTCAATGCTCGACTCCCGTCTGCCGAGTTGAGCGCCGACTTGGACCCGGCAACAACAGCCGAGATATCGGAGATATCGTTATGATATATCTAGTCGTGCGCAAATGGGAGAGGTTGGAATGAGCCATGTCGAGAAGATGTTTAGCAATATGAAGGCATGAACAGGAATATGTTTGTATCTATGTACAGGAAAAACAACAACTGAAACAGCGGCTCGACCCGTCACGGCTCTGTTTTCGTCCGAGAGCAGTTTCAGGCGCTGCTCTCCATCACGGTTACAGCCATACAAACTACCACCGAGATCCGCCATATAAATGGCATTGCTGGCCAGATCCAGCTTCAAGCCAATGGTCTCATTGAGATTCCTGCTGAGAATGCGCTAGCCCACTCGCGACGAGCTTGGCCCAGGAAGAAGACCATGATGGTTCAGGTGAAGGCAGTTCAAGGAATTTCCGTTCGGCAGCTCTCCACGATCAGTCCAGTAGAGCGAGCGTGAGTCTTCGTCGATTTCGAGATCGATAAATTCAGGCAGATCACTCAGGACAAGTTGAATGTCGTCACGAGTTGTAGCGCACAGATCCTGAGAGATCGTGATATTGGCGCAGAAAATCCGACGTTGGCCGCTCTTCCGAGTGGCCCTTTTGGGTCCAGTAGAATTTGCCGAGACGCGGAGCGACCGCAATACTGGTACACTATTTGAGGCTATCCTGGGTGTCTTTGTCATCGCCAGTCTGGACGAGCACTTCAAAGGCAGATCCGTCGTAGTCGCAGCGGACCATGCGGAGGCCTTTGCGGTCGCAGAAGTAGATCTTCTGGGCATCTACGTTCTTGCCGGGAACACCCATGTTGGTCCAAAACATGCGCCTGGCAGTCGTGTCAACAGCAACTCCACCGGGGAGAAATTGGCTGGTAGCAAGGACTCTTTGAATCTTACCATCGAGCGAAAGTTGAAGCACCTGGCCAGCTGTGTAGCTAGGCTCTTTCGCCGATAGGCCAATGTCGAGAACACGGAGACTGCGATCATTTGGCTGTTGCGTGTGCTCGGCAGTGACTGGAGGGTAGAGGCCACCTTTGGAGCTTTTGTTGCCGAGTTTTCCCCTGGCTAAATATTTGGAATAGATGAAGTCGATGGTTTTGGTAGGAAAGAAGCCTCTCTCAGCAATATAGTGCTCTTCGATGAGGGCAATGGTATCGAGACCGACCTCTATAGGCATATCACAGTCAGACACTTCGTTACATCTTCAAGGAACCAGTCAATTCACTTACTATCCATTGATCTGTAAGGCAAAGAGCCCGCCTTGATGAATATCGCTGACCAGAGCGCATCGTTCTCATCGGGGGTAGAAATCTTCATCAGCGAGAACTGTCAGAGTCTCTTCGTTCCACTGCTGTCCACAAACGGTTGAAGATGAATCCTGTCGACCCTTTGCGCGCAACATATGGGTTCGTGGCGGCCTCCGTTGAGCGCTCGATGATGAATGGCAAGATAGCAGGATCCGTGAATCCGTCAGTCCTCACCGACCATGCCTTGAGGAGGCATATAGTGGTGCATGTTGAGAATGCGGGCTTTGGTTGAATCTGGCACCTTGTCGAGCATTTTCAGAGGACTTTTAAGAGGAGGAATTGGAAGCCGGAATACAGTCAACTGGGGGTTAGCTTGCCAAGTTGCTCGAACGTATCAATCCTCAACTGCAACTTCTCCGGCACAACTTCGATGGCCAGTCATGCCCTTTGCAGTGACTTTTCCAGGTCCTCGAATGTGGCAACCTGTCCAGGAGGAGATCCTGTAGGCTCGGTGTACGATGACACATTTTCGGTGACATACAGAAACCAAGCCTCCCCTGGCTCTGCGTTGGGGTCACGGATATTGACAACGTATCCTGCCGATGCCCAAATACAAAGCTTTGAGGTGCATCAATGCGTCAGCAATGGGAAACAGCTGAAGGTTCTCGGTCGAATGGACTTTGTGTGCGTACCGATGCAACGTCCTAGCACACCAACACCGGGGACAACGACAGGACGCTCAAGGGAGTCGTTCGGTGGCTGCCACTGGGGTTTCACTCTTGTGAGGGGATTGGAAAGTGTGCGGTTTGAGAACAAAGCCCGACAATGATAAAAACACAAACTGAGAATTTGTCAGATGTAGGTGTACTTACTCTTTCCCTCTGGGGGAACAATCAGCTTGAGTAAGAAGCGCGGCTTATGGACAGGCGACTTCCACCCTTCGTGGAAGATCCCCACCCACATCATTCATTCAATATACGGTTTCTCGGCATCCCGATCCACGGCTGGTCGGGAGCTTCCGGTGAATGTATGCTCGGAATAGAGCATCATTATAGTAGCACATAAAGTCTTAAGTCCCGAGGAAGTTCAAGCCTCGAAAATATCCGGAATTCAGGCGTCTGTCCAACAACGTGGGATGGACACGCCGCGGAGGCATTGAACCTCGGGAGGGCTCATGCTGTCGGCGTTGGCCACCCGCGGATCGACCGGGTAGAAACTTAATCACGAATCAAGAATTCCAGGTCAACTCTATTTTCACTCCCGTCTGGTGTCCAAGGTTGAGTGGATAAATTCATGCGAGATTTCATCATTGAAGCTCGATTGATTGTGGCGCGCTTCGCTGCTCCCGACGCTTTACGAGTGACATAATCTGCTCCTAAATGTGAGCCGCTATGGCGGCCGCTAACAGCACACGAGAATGAACGAATTATATGCATAGTACCAGTATGATATGCTTCAAGAAGTGCATAACGACTAAAGTAAGATAACGGACTGCCGAAGGTAGTCTGATCCTATGAGTGTCGCTGTTTTCTGAGGTTTATCATTCAAAGGCCTCTTTGGACGGCCTCATGGACGGTCTGTTCATCTTTTAGATACGGAAATCTTTCTTGAATTGATGGATGGAAGAACAGTTAGACTGTCAAAGAATCGACAAATTGCTATCGATAGCAGGGACGAGGTAAACCTTATGAAGATAGAACGATACAGTAAATCGAAAACAACCAGAGAATCCGACGACAAACCGTGACAAAGTCATCAATGCGGCTTGGAAGCAGTATACGTTTGGAATCGACGCCGCGCCTAAACAGTGAGGATCTGATCCGACATCTTCGAGATTGCACCGGGAGATTGGAGCCAAAGTCCAATCAACGCGTTCTTCGATGCATTCATCATACCAGGAGGTCCGCAAAATATCACTTTGGAATCAGCTGAGAAGAAGTTCGTCTCTCACGCATGACCGCAGGCATCATATAGCCATTGCCGTATTGCCTCTTCTGCGGTGGATGATCAAGCATGTACCAGACTCTCAGTGTCCTGGGAGAAGCTTCTACATAAGCTTCAGGCTCTGTTCGCAACAGGATACCTTCTTCCTTCCGATTTGCAAAGATGGGTGAAATCTCGGTAGTGTCTATCTCGTCTTCGCAGATTACGCGACTGAGCTGGCACATCGGCGCGATACCAGTTCCGCCAGCAATCATACCGAGCTTCTTGCCAAGTCCATTCTTGTATCGCGTGGAGCCCTTGGGTCCACGGAAAAGGACCTTGTCGCCTACCTCAAGCTTTGCCATGTATTTGCCTGTCAAGAAACCATCCTCGTAATACTTGATCACCAAATCCAATCGACCTAGCTTGAGGCTGTTGGTTCTTGGTGTGTACGACCGGCTAACAAACTGTCCATCGAAATTTGCCTTGATGACAACGTGTTGACCGAAAGGTAGACTGGTTACGTCGTGTGGATGTGGAAGTTGAAATACAAAGTGGTAGACATTGGGAGCAAAAGAGTCTTTTGCAATCACAGGCAGCGCCTTGAACCCCTTCGGTTGAAGAATACCCGGAGCGGGATGTAAGTTTAACTAATAGATGGTGCTGCATCTGATATGCGCAGGGTACTTGGTGAAGCCATTTTCAGTCTCCACGAGCTTGGAGAGACGAGATGTGACCACGCTCTTAAGTACCGTAGAGTAAGCGGCCTTTGCAAGAGCACCACTCACAATTTCATCATGAGGAAGTGAGTCGGACAATTTGCCGGTAACTACACGACCTAATTGGGGTAGGTGTCTGGAAAGCTCGCGAATATTGACCGATGACTCTTGAGAGAGCAATACGAGACGTAGGGACAGAGCTGTGCCAGCAGCGACACCGAGCTTGACCATACTGTCTGAATTATTTGATGCTTTGGGCGGGATAAGAGGATGCTGAACGAGTCGAACGCCTTCCCAACGCTTGAAATTCGTAGCATCTTTGAGTGTGTCAATAAGGTAAGACTCCAAAATCTCGTTGGCATCTTCAGAGTGGGCCACATCTTTGTATGCAGCAGTTGCGTCCTGGCCAGCGACATCAAGCAAGATGTCCAAACCTCCAGGGTGGTGGCTGGCGTATTCGGTCACAACGTACACTGTTCAGTCCATAGTAAGTGAGAGATGACTTCAAGCTGCTTCGACGCCTACATTTGCCTTGAATAGCAACCCACAGATCGGTCTTCTTCTTGTGGAGCTTTAGCTTCTCCGTGGTGAGTTCCTTCATTCTGACAATGCGCTTCCATTCACAGAGTTTGGGAGTCTAGATGGTTGTTAGGAACACAAGTTGTGAGTTCGAATTGAAAAAGTTTTCAGATCCGGGCAGATGCGAATATTGATTTGAGGTTCTGAAGAGCACAAGAACATTGTTACCGCGGAGGAGCACTCCACCTCTTGCAGACGCGACATTCTGACTATCAATATGTTGATCTGCGTCTTGCAGTTCTCCTCTGATGGCACCGTGTCTCCCCTGCTTCGGGACTTCGAGCACGTGGACAGATTCGAAAGGATTTCGGGCGTTCAGGCTTTCCGCGGCAACATTTCGGATGGGCACGCCAGCCGGACTTGGAATGCACGTCAACATCCATGTTTTGAACACAGTATGTAGGTCAGCATGATATTTCAAACTCAGAGTGAAAGACCCTTAAGTCTATCTGGAACTAACAGTTCGGTCAGGGTAGGATGACTCTCGTCACGCCCAGGGCTCCATGGGTTTACCCCAGTTTTTCTTTCTCCAGTCCTCGGTATTTATTGTGCATGATAAGCCGTAAGATACGCTGTTTGATAGCGTTCAGAGTCTTCAGACTCGTACCTGCAGCATTACGAAGCTACCGTAGGTACTTAGTGACCCATAGGAGGTAATAATTTCCATCACTTCAGCTCGGATTGGACTGAGGCACTTGTAAGCTTCTGCCAAAGTGCTGTTGTTACAGAAGGCTTCGCCTGGCTGCCCCAGGTGTGTGCCGCAACAGTCGTGAAATGGCTTTTTTATACCATAACACCCAACGTGACTACCTCGTGCTTCAACAGCGAAACGATTACACTACTAAGAAGGAAGCTGAGCGTACGCACAGGAAGTGAAGAGGAGGGTACGATTGAGTAGGTGATTTGCAAGGTGGGAAGAAACACATATCGAAGAGAGAGTGCGAGATGAGAGAGTTAGAGGAAAACCTGCAAAAGACAGCAGGGGGAAAAACCTCTAGTCTGTCACGCAAATCAACGGCCTGAATATAAAGGAGGTTGGTCTCCGTCAATCATCTTTCCTCCGCGCTAGCTCAAAGTAAAACTGCTTCGAACACCACGAGTAGTTCCAGAACGCAAAAAGTTGGGGATTCTCTACCAGAATCCGCCGCAGTGTGGACTCGCCTTTCCCAGAGCCAGGCCATTTGCCCTGCCATTCATGCGTGTAGGGCTCCATGATCTTCGAGACTTCCGACATCCACAATTTCACCCTCTCCGACTCGATGATGCTTGCACGTACCATGCGCTCTTCGAGGTCATCAAGAAACTCTGCTCTCGCGGCTTGGTCCTTTACTGTCGCCTGCATGATTGCCAGTAGGATATGCGATCGAACTGATAAGTCGAAATCACCGAGCGCGCTTTCTTTGTCGGAGAGACCAGCTGTTTCCTGACACGCGACAGCGGCTAGGAACTGGACCTCCTCCTCGCTTCCGATTTCTTCTTTCCATCCCCTATACGCGGCAAGCGCACTGGTTCCTCCGTCTGGCCATCCGGAAAAAAGGGATTTCTGAGGTTGAGTAAAATCTTGCCCTGTAACTTGGGCGACATACCGACCACTTAGCCAATGGATATTCCATAATCCCATTCCAACTAGTTCACCAAAGGCACAGGGACCAGGACCAAACGCTGGTACCACTTGGTCAAGCCAATAGCGCGCAAGAGGTTCAGAGTATGGTTGTACTCTTGGGTAGTCCCTATGAAGACTAGTGATTGTTGCTTCCAAGGTAGTCAAAGCCAGTGCTGTTATAGTCGTAGATGGTAAAAATTGTTGTTTTGCACGTGTGCATACAACAGTAAAAGCCCATCGCGGGACTTTGAGGAGTTGGGTTGGTTCCACCAAGAGATTTTCCGGCATGGGTTGATGGTCTTCAAAAAGCGAATGGGAAGAGCCAGGAAGGTCCCGAAGATCTGGTGGGCGAAAGAATCGCGTCGTTGCTTTCTGGGTCAAAAAAGACAAGGAGTAATATGAGCGCCAGACGGAGGGGCCCAAAATATCATAATGTTTTTGGTAGAAGGTGGGAAAATCGGAGAATGAAGGCGATTCGCACTCCTGTAGCGGATCCTCTCGATACATCGCCGCCATCAGCTGTGTAAAATAGAACACGTCTAAGGTACTACCGTAGTACCAAAGCCATATCAGTAAAAATATTTTTCGGACTTTTCTGAGGTTCGCTGCGGTAGTTTTCAAGACGTACCGATTGAAGCGTAGCTCATCCTCCCCGAAAGTGAAGCCAAGTGAATGAATCTTGTCTGTAGCCGTGAAAACATTGCCCCACCTTTCTAGGGCGTCGACGACATAGACGAACCCAAGTCGCATCAAGTCCTCATGGGAGACTATTGGCACAATACCCCCTTCAGCATCCGCACAAAACTGACTTGCATCCATCATGGATGTAGAAACAGGGCAGCGAATCCAATATAGAATACGCCGCAGAGCCAGAGCGGGAAGTTTGGGGGCGGAAGGTGTTCGTATATAGAAAGAATTCAACGATCCTGGATTGAATCCACGGCCAGAGCGAGGTAGAGTGCTGAGTGCTATGTGCTGATTTAAGTAGTCCTACTGTCCTAGTGGTTAGTAACAAAGTACTAGGTAGTTAGTTAGTAAGGTAACTTAGTAGGTACCAGTTAGTCACCAACTACCTCGGCAAATTAACGGGGCGCGCTACTCTTCAATCTGCCTAATTACGGGTAAGCTTAGGACCGAGCGCTGGTTTGTTTTTCTTTTCTTGTGCAACACGTTCGACCCAACTTTCAAGTCTTTCAAGCACACGTGAATGGGATTAGCATAAACTGTTTTATTCTTCGATGACGAGTCCCGATGTCAACTCTCAGTGAATTAATGTAACTCTCGGTGAATTTATGTAGGTCCCTCAGTACAGGTACATTCCATCTCTCTTTTGGGACTGTAACTCTGACCGCTCCATAAGCCTCCCGCTCTTTGATACCTAGTAGCCTAGTAGGTCGAGGCACAGGGGAAGACCCACTTGAACACCAAGAAAGACCATTAAATCATTCCAACTCGGAAATCCTCGAATAATAGCCATGCACAGATTTTCAACGAACACCGCATCAAGTAGCAGGAGGCAAAAGAGATACACTACCCACTCATATCAAACTGGTAACCCGAAAGAGACGCCCGCCCGTCCAGCTCTCAAGTCATTACGGGTAGTCACGCCACTGCATTATGATCCGTGACCTCGCCAAGTACACAAGTTTCTTGTACCACATTGCGTCCTATGACCGTAGGTATTACTGGGCCACTGGCACCTCTTGAAATCTTACGAGACAATAGCCGTTGAGGACGTTCCCTTCAGGCGCTTGTCCTCTGGAGCGTATATTCCCAAGCCTCAACTAGCGCCTATAGATTTTCTTTCTCCGGTGAGAATCAAGGCGCATTCTCCTTCCTCAGCTCCCTTCCTAGCTGGCCCAACAATAGCAATAAGAAGGCAAATTATAGAGGAGTATAGGACGCAAAGAGTACAAAATACAGTGTCCGCAACAACTTCTAAACACCTCCCCGGGTACCTACTGATGCTGCTCCCGAGGGTTTACTTGGGTGTAGGTCTTGATGTCCGTGCGTGCTGTGCTTTCTGCGGTTCCTGCATGATGATGGTATATGTTTGGAATGAAATTGGTCACCTTCCATGAGAGAGACAGTGATGGGCACGCGAGCGCCGAGGAAATCGGGCGTCGTGATTTGAACAAGGCTCATATAAAGGCTACGGTAATACCATGAGATGACCAGGGCTCCCTGGCTGGCTCAGATGCGCACGAGCGACGACTCTCGGCGTTGTGTGAGATTTGTGCTTTGAATGACCCCATGATGACAACTCTGCCGGTACAGCTGGCTTGGGTAGAATTTCTCACCCACATCAACCTCGGCATGATTTTCTCCCCTTGTTTGGCCCAGTCCTTAAGCCTGGCCTCCCTCGCCCAACTCAGGCTTCAAAGCCTAAGGGATTTTCCCTACGAGTTTCATTCTGGTGAGCATATGTCCCTTGAGTCCTCTAGAGACTCCATGTGCATGAATCTGATAGGACATAGAGCCCGTCAGATAAGGACGAGAAAGAAAGGCTGCACAGCTCATGTATCACCCTTCACGCAAGTCGGGCTTCAAACTTGGCGGATCCAACATGCATGAAATGTCTCGAGTACAACCATTTGTTCGAATGGCATATGATTCTGCCGCTCCCCACAGTCGATAGTTTAGGTAGGTAAAATCTCATTCCTCTCTCTCATTGTGCGACTACACCTAGTGGCCACCTAATATTGTAGCTGCATCTCATGACCGTTGGCAAGGACAGAAGCGATCGTGGCCAAGAAGAACAGCCTTACAAAAGTGTCCAGTTGATAAGCAGATCCCAGCTTCAAAATTACGATGATAGATATAGTCCACATATTGCCATGTGATTTCATGATACCACTCACAATGAGTTGCCCTCGCTACTTGAATCATCTTGTCAGAACTCCGGACATAGGTACTTCCTGAGCCGCGCTGACCTGCGCTACAGCTCCATGCTATGACCATGTGGCGACCAGTTGGTATACATGTACAATGGCTCGGTCTGCTTTTCGATCGCTTTGCCACCCGCAGCACCCCAACAATGCATATTCATGTAACGCAATCAATGGTTCAATGCCGATTATCACTGTGGCAGTTCAACTCCGAGACCCCAGCCCGGCAGCGATGTCAAATCCCATTCCGCGGTGCCAAATTCCACGCCAAGACGTTCGCTATCCTTTGCCAACCGCTCAGTACACGGCGTCAACCATATCTGATTCGTCTTAACCAGACCATCAGGAATATAGCACTGAGCTTTGTCGTTGTGGCTCACCACGTCGGAGAATATCACGGTGTTGTCAACGGTATAGGACGGGTCTAGGTACTGAAGAAACCGTGCGCGGTCTTTCTCTGAGTCATGAAAGCCGTCAGCTTCTGCAGGAGCACAGAGTGATGATGCAAATCACGATGTAAATAAGTCAATTCTTCTCGTACGTACTTTGAATTACCTTCATCCCGTACAAGTCTCTCGGCTTGCATGTCTGTGGATCCTTCTCTTTGTCTTCGGGAAATTCGAAAAAACGCGGAAGCCATATTTTGTTCCAGCCATTCCATACATCGCTGTCTATTGTCATAGCGCAGTCCCACATGGTCGATACTTCACGGTTCCACTGGCGAAAGCCCCGGAGTACATATATTCCTGCGCCGGTTTGCCGGCCGGCGTTTCCAGCTGGCACAACGGCCTTCTGCCCATTATTGTATATTCGCTCAGCTTCCTCCTGGAAATGAGTCAGCATGAACAACATCAGTTCGGGAATTTGACTTTGAGTCCAGAAAATAGCGATTGAGAAGACAAACTTTATCGACAACACGGTAACCGAGAAACAATCTTCCATTGTCCCGTTTCTGCAATTCGATCCTGAAGCCCCTTGATACCTCACATGCGACGAAATTGACGAGTAATAAGAGGGTTAAAATCTTCATACTGTAGACCTCTGGCACGAAGGATGATCAGTGAAGAGATAGCAAGGGCGAGGACTCAACGAAAAAATTGGAAGATAAAGTGTAAACCAGGATGAACCGGGGACCGTCTCACCAGATATAGGTGTACAAAAGGCTCCCTCTATCTGACTCGTCCCGAGATGCCCAAGGAGCTTGAACATTCAACGGTAGTAACGAGCCCACAAACTGTGCGGCAAAGCCGTGAACCCCATTTCGAACTACAAGAACACCCGGCAAGTGCACTATCTGAAAATGGCTTGTCCCCCGAGATCACAAATACTTCGGACTACCAATCGGATTACAGAGGCGATCCGTCTCAAAAGATAGCTTCAAATTGTTGGGGTCAAGTCACCGTCGCGAGCTAACGTAGCGTCACTTAGGCTTTCCACACACTCATTTACCAGGAAGTAGTTTAAGTATCAATGCATTGCCATGAGAAATTGGGGCTGTTCACGGGGGCGTAGGTATTGATTTTCGAGATTTCTTTCTTTTACGGACTCTGCTATATTAGGTCCGATTCAAATCAAACACCTATGGCTTCATTTTCTCTATGCGAGTTTTGAGCATTCTTCTCTTTTCAACTGGATGACAGGATGTACCTTCTCGCGAGACCATTTATTGACTTTTTATTCGCAAGTACTATGGACAACGTAAATTGGAACTGCCTGAACAAGATAGGTTGATGCGTATAAGTTAGAAATTGCGTGATAGATCATTGAGATCCAATTCCGAGCACGGTAACACATTATCGGAATGATCAGGGTGATGTGGGAGCTCTTACACAAGTACGAATAACGTTACGGTGCCACGGACCCCGCCTTGACTCTCTGTCTGCATGGGAACAACCAAAGCACTATATTCGCCACGAGAATCAGCCACTAGCCTTGAGAGTTGACAGTAGAACCGCATTCAAGGCCCGCTCGCTTAGACAAACAGCGGGTATCGTTGAGCTTAGCTCCGAAAGTAGCTAGAGCTGGAAGAAGATTCAGGAGATGTGGCGGATTGTCAGACTTTAGATTGCTTTGATCTCGCAAAATTCTTGGCGGGCAAGGGATCCGTAGCTCCCTGTCATGCGCAACAGGTTGTATGCATTGTGGATATTCAAGGCTACATAGGAACCACGAATATCGAATGAGCGATGTGAACTAGTAGAGAAATAGAGCGCCAAGAGTGGGCCGAGGACCGTCGGACCCTTGACCGGACCCGCAGGCTCGGCCCCTTTCTCGCCAAGAAGGCACAGCGCCAGCGTGCTCCGTAGAGCTACATATTGACCATTAGATGTAGCAAATGGGGGGTCAACTATCCCTCACGCTTGTAAATTAGCCTAATAGAGAAAGCAAATTCTACCGTTATGTATGCACGGGCTATATGTCGTGATCATACATTATGAGGCATTCATTCTCAAAGTATACGCAGAAGTACACGCAGTGGGGTACTTGCTTCCAACGTTCTGAAAGTAACCTTCTTATATCACGGCCCCAGATATGCATCGTGCCAAGCCGGGGATGATTCTTGGAGCCGGCTTCATTATTTTCCCCCGCCCGAGGGAGATCCGATCTTTTTCTATCGTGCAAACTAGTACACACTACACACTACACACTACACGCTACACACTACACGCTAACTACACACTACACACTTACACTTGTACCTATGTAGTGGGTACATGTACGGGTATTATAGCGGTATTTTAACCAACCCCCCTTGATCATATTATGCGATTAGCATGATTGAGATCAAACTCTTCGAAGGTGGAATTCAGCCACGCCAGGGCGGTTCTCTGTCTGAACGAGTCAATGTGCACTTTTTCAAGACCTGGCCGACAAGCCCACTATATCCCGTCTCAATCAGCCAATCAATATTTGACTGTAATCGGGCCCTAGCAGAGCCTCGGAGTCGACATACACTTTTGGCAATTCCAGGTTTTAATCCGCAATTGATGAGCAACACTTACCCGGCTTTGAACTTCTTAACTACTTAGGGCTTAGCATCTTGATATGTCCGTTGAGGATACCATGCGCATATTAAGTTGATAATCAAATCAGGTAATATAGCTCGCAAACTGGCCAGGCGACTCTAGGGATCTTGAGGGTAACGTATGAGTGGCTAAACAGAATACACGATACAACATGTAAAAGTGAGAACTGCTTGGCAGCCCAGGTAAGTTAAAGGCGGGCAAGCCGTTACCTCTTGCCTACGCATCGACAGTTCGAGCGGAATCATGGGGAACTACGGAGAGTCCCAACTGGCTAGCCCTGGCGAAATTTCACGAGCGAATATACGTAGTATTGTGCTTGTCGCAAATGACCCCTATTCTTCGACTGTATCGCTTACCGTGCAAGTTGAACTTTCATGTGATGATCAAACATTGTTGTAAATGTCAATCTTCTCTTGAAGTTCAATACGGACAGTGGAACTACACTCATCTAACGTGTCCCTAGAACAGAGCTTCGTGTACATATGCAGCATGGCAATCGACAAAGAAAACCTTCAAGTGCCTGGCTCTGTCCTATGCAGGCTAATCAGCCTAGCCTGTCGGGCACCGCGGGACAAAAATCGATCCCGGATAGTATGTTTTCGTTTCGGAGTATTTGAAACAAGTGGAATTTAGACTAATACGCATTAAAGATAGTCATGGATTCATTAGACCTTCCTGCTATGGTTTTCTCAAGGATAGACCGATGGCTAGAGTCTAGAGAGCACACTTTGAGAAAAAGCTCCCCGGAAGGAGTAGATCCCCGGTACACTTGACAACGAATTACAGCGGCTGCTACCTACCTACCTAAGTAGGTAAACCTTAGTCCTTGGCGAAACATAGGTGGGTTTACTAAATAGCCCATATCCCCAAGCAAGTACGATTCGCGGGAAAATTTCTGGATTGAGACCTGCCGCCGGGACTAATCACAGTTTCAATAGGCTCTGCAGGCGTAGATTTCCACTTGATTCAGAAATGACCGGACTGTGATGGAACCGTCTAATATATAGAATAAACTGTTGACGCTCTATCGCTCTCTAAATTTCAGATCTTGGCCTCTCCCGACGTACCCAACACCCACCTGCACATCAATGACTTTTACATACTTGCTTCTGCTTGCCATTGCTGCGTCTTTGAGAGTCAGCGAGGCATTGCCGGACTGTCAAAGTAATGTCTACAACGAGACGATTGCATATTTCAACAGCGCGCCCGTGACATTCAGCTACGAGCTCCAGACGGCCGCGAATTGTGAGGCCTGGTGCAAAACTATACCATTGTGCAAATCATGGATCTACGTTACCCAGGCAAATCAATGTGACCTTCATCGTTCGACGGCGTTGAGTGTCTCTCACAACGCTGGATTCGTCTTTGGTGGCTGCAAGCCGGTTGATGAGGAGACGTCCACGCCGCCCAGTCCATCATCGCATGCTATAGCGACCCCCTCTCCGGTCAGTTTGTGACCTACAGACCCCTCGCCTAGGTTACACTGCTTCCTGGATCCGCAGCTGATCAATTTTTTTTCGCAGAAACCCTCCGTCCAGCCAGCAAAAATCCACCATAAGCACAGAAGACATCACTAAATAGTCTTTGCACGATGGGAGATCACTATGATTATATAGGTGAACACTCACCATTGGCAAACGTTGTATGGTATCGTCCGGTTTAGCTGAGGAGCGGAGGATATATTCATCTATGTGTTGAAAGTCGTTTCGTTGCTCATTGACAATGATACTTGTGGGCTGTGGCTGCTAGAATTCCAGTACTGTCCTAGAAAAATCAGTGTTTGTATGGTATGGGATACTGCCGACTCACCATAGTCCATAGCCTATAGGTAGATAAAATCTCTCCCCCGTAGCAATCTCACACCTCATCCCTCTTACACATGATGATGCTGTACCTATTATAGCCACCTCCCAACAATCACCCTCGATGAATAAGGGCCCGAGAGACTAAATGGAGGGATGCATTAATTTCAACCTGCCTGCTTAGGTACTCATTCACGAATTTCGCACCCCTAGGGTACCGTTCGCAACCTCATACTTTAAAAAAGCATTCCTACACGGGTGCTCGGTTCATGAGATTGACCTAGTCGACACCTTCTGATATCTAGGTTACATTGACAGTGGAGCCTCAAGAGCTTGCAGTGGTTTCTTACCTTACTGTCCCACTTTATATGGGCCCAGTTTGTCATTTCCGATTCGATGGCAGGCTGAAAGCAGAAGGAAAGTCTTGTACTGTTGCAGTCTCTAAAGAGAGAACCACACAGATACAGGGGCTTCTTTTACCTGTCCAGCCGTCTAAAGGAGACTCTTGATAGTCTAACGTGTGATGATGGTTCACGCACCCTAGGTACTTGAGAAAATAATACCTCGAGGTTCGCATGAACTACGCTTCAAGGGTTGGTAGAGTGTATTATTGCACGAATTGGTATTACACAGTGGCTCGACTTCTTGTGTTCTCTAAGGGCACTGCGTGGGGTAGATTTCAGACCGTGCTATCTCTTGATCCTCCATCAGACGCATCTTAATGCCGTTCGGATTGGCAAGTGCCCAAGGATGTTCTCAGGTTCTAACGTGTACTATTTGCTTTTATTCCTGATTAGAATTTACCCGTACCCGGTGCCAAGACTCCACTAGCATACATAATTGTGGTCCCAACGAGACCCTCATTTCCATTAGCTCCACTGCTTAGCTGATGTTAGCTGTCCGTGCTAAGCGCTGTTCACAATGCTAGTAACGTGTCTTCGCCGAGATAATAGATCAAGTACGAGTGTTCCTACGGTGACACTTCCTCTCCCTCGGAAGGAACTGTGGAGTGAAGCAACTACTATATTTATGGAATCCGTTGGCCACTAGCGCAATTCTTCATGTTCTACAACGACCGTAACACTCTGGTGAAAGCAAAAACACACTGTAATTGAAGCCTGGAAACTCTTCAAAATTGGAGCTCGCGTGTTTTGGACAGGGAAAAGCAGCTAATTAATGACTAGGGAATCAGATCGAAGTGAGGTTTGGGACCCCCTAGGGTAAAAAAGTAAAACCGTTTTAAATCAGGATCATATATTTTGATACAGGGAGACTGATCGGATAGCAAAGATTCTGCCGGAGGCGAGAATTCGGCCCCAATTTAGCGTCTCTGCGCTCCACAATAAGCGGAACCCTGGAACTGTAGGTACTAGGTACTGCTAAGACAACCTATAAATGCGTTCTTGTTGTTCCTAGCTTGACATGATTCTGCTCGCTAATCGTTATAGCCCTGCGTTCATTTAGCCAGTGGACTCTAATTCTCATTCGGAACAAATCCATCTGAACTTTTCAACTAGCATTCACTCAGCCCACCTCGGTACTTTTGGTCGCATCAAACCCCTTGATCCTGCAGCTGCTTAGCAATCATTCAATATTAATACAAAACGCTAGACACAGAAAACAGGATAGTACAGTACATGGGAACGGCAGTTTTCTGGTGATTGTACAAGCAGGCGTATTCACGCGACATCTGTACGTGTCAAACCTCGTAGGTAGTAGGTAGTAGGTAATGGTATACTGGGACCTGAGTATAGTGATTAGTATCACTGGGTACGTAGTGGTACTGCACCAGTGCGCGGCTCCACGCTAACATTGAATAGATCATACACAACCCGTGCCGGCTACTGGAACTAGCCCGCTCTATGGATTTGAAGGATTATCCATTTTCTTTTGCTATGGCCCACGATGACTACACGGAACGTCGCCGGAGTGTGTCCGTTTTCGTGTGCAAGATTTCGTGCCCATCGTCCACCTGCACTAGTAATTTGAACATGTGGACGTAACTCTACCTTAGCTTATCGGTTAGGTATATCATGACCACTGTTTTGCCGAGGCACCCATGAAAATTCCGTGATCATATATTTCTGCTACCATCGCCTGAGGTGTTTCAACAAACATCATTTGAAAATTCATTTCCTGCTCGCAAGTGTGACAACAAGTCATATCTCTCATCAAACCTATACACCATGCGTTATGGCTGGGTGTGGGCAACAGCTTTGCTATTCGCCTGTCGAGTGGAAGCTGCGGCAGTTTTTGCTCATTTCATGGTCAGTGATGGAGGCCTCTCAGATATGGATCGTTGGGTTGTGACCACTGACACGAATACAAGGTAACCAACTCGGCCAACTACACCTCCGATGACTGGACAAAAGACATGGAGTTAGCGCAAGATGCGCATATTGATGCCTTTGCCTTGAACATGGCGTACGGAGACCCAACAAATACAGAAGCGCTCAAGGCTGCTTTCTCCGTGGCAGATTCTGTCGGCTTCAAATTGTTTTTTTCCTTCGATTATGCCGGCAACGGAGACTGGCCTATGATCGATGTGATTCACTTGATCAACCAGTATCGTGTCCACTCGTCATATTTCTTATACCGGGGAAAAGCGCTTGTCTCTACATTCGAGGGACCAGGCCGAGCCCAGGACTGGTCGACGATCAAAGATTCCACTGGGTGCTTCTTCATTCCAAGTTGGTCTTCTCTTGGCGCTAAGCCTGCAGTAGAGACTGGTGTCGTTGACGGCCTATTCAGCTGGGCTGCATGGCCCTAGGGCGGCGAAGACATGAGTACCTATATTGATGCATCTTATGTCCAGTACCTTGCTGGTAGACCCTTTATAATACCGGTTTCACCCTGGTTTTATACCAACTTACCTGGCTACAAGAAAAACTGGATGTGGCGAGGTGATCATCTTTGGCATGACCGCTGGCAAGAGGTGCTATACTTGCAACCCGAGTTTGTTCAAATCATTTCGTGGAACGACTACGGCGAGTCTCACTATATTGGACCCCTCTATAATAAGGCCATAGAAGCATTCAAAATTGGCAAGGCTCCGTTCAATTACGCGACTCATATGCCTCATGATGGCTGGCGCGCTACTCTGCCCTTTTGGATTGATCTCTACAAAACTGGGAAAGCGGAAGTGACTAAAGAGAGTCTTGTTACTTGGTACCGACTATCGCCTGCTGCTGCTTGTGGTAGTGGAGGGACTAGTGGTAACACCGCATTGCAGCTCCAGATTGAGTTCTCTCCGGCACAAATAGCCCAAGATCGAGTCTTCTTCTCCGCTATTCTGACGCGCTTTACTGAAGTTGTGGTCTCTATTGGTGGGGTTGCCAAGCAAGCAGCATGGTCAACCGTGCCTGATGATGACGTTGGTGCCTTCCATGGAAGTGTTACCTTTGATGGCCGGACTGGGCCAGTCGAGGTATACCTGATACGCGATGGCTCAATATACCTATCTATTTCGGGCGAAGCAATCTCTGAAACTTGCGAAAATGGAATTCAGAACTGGAATGCCTGGGTGGGTAGTACAACGTCAGCTCAAGGCAATGTCTTAGCAAAGACAAGTCTCTCTCTTACCAAACAAAAGTGTATGGCAGGAACAGGCGCGAATAACTTTTCGGGTCTTTGTCAGTTCGCCTGCAAGTATGGATACTGCTCTCTCGGAGCTTGCACATGTACGAAGATCGGACTCGGACATCTAAAGCCAAACTCAACAGGTGTGATAGGATTTCCTGTTGCGGGAGAAGGTGCAAGCTACAGTGGACTCTGCAACTTCGATTGCAATCTCGGATTCTGTCCTCCGTCGGCATGCGGGACCGTGGAGGTTCCGCTCTCAACGCCATCCGTGTCCCCATTCCTACCCCCAGCGTGTACCTCTGGAACCGGCATAGGAAATCTCGCCGGACTTTGTGATTTTGGCTGCGCACATGGTTTCTGCCCCATCAATGCTTGTACATGTACGGGGCAAGGTGCTTTGAATGTTTTGAGCCCAACAGTCGACGTCACTGGCCAGGCTGCACCAGGGCAAGATCCAGTGATATACGGCCCCCTGTGTGCATACACTTGTCAGAGAGGATACTGTCCTGACGGGGCCTGTGTCTCGCATAGTGGAAGCTCAACCGGGTCGGATTCAGGTCCCGGCCGTGATGGCAATGGTGCTATAGGGGATATTTTCGTCCCTGAATCCATTGCGGATCCCAACTCCAGTCCAAACATTGTGACAGGCAAGGCCCCAATAAACATCATTGTTGGCCCGACCATATTGCCAACACCGACTGTGTTTGTCATTGGCCCCGTGGTTATTCCTATTGAGGTGGTGAAGACAGTCACAACGACGGTGACAGTGTCTGGACAGACTTCTGTGACTTCTTCACTGAGTCGGACCGTCCAAAGCACCACACTCGCTGTTCCCGATCATACAGCACATGAGATTCCTTGGTGGAACTGGAATATCACAGACCCTGGCATCACACGAACCTCCACAACACTGTTTCCCAGCATCTCGATCGGACCAATTCCGTTTGGCGATCATCGCACTTTCTACCCTCCGCCTTGGCCTTGGTCAAACACTTCGTTGTCGCTGAGGGTCCCGACTCCCACAATCACGTTCATCCAGGGCGATCCTCCTGGTCCTACGTGCACATCTGGATGCGGAAAAAAGTGTACCTCTTTCTGCAACAAGCCGTGTCTGCTTAACTGTGATGAGCCCGAGCAGACCGACAGTTGGACGGACCCAGCAGACCCTGATCCACCAACTGGGCACACTAAGTGCTCAGGTCCAGATTGCGATAATAATGGTAACTGTACTGGGCCACATTGCATGAAGACAAGCTGTACCGGTTCTGATTGTGACACTGAACATCATGTTTGCCTCGGCCCAAACTGTCGGCAGACTGGATGTGCCGGTAGTGGCTGCGACGACGACGGGACATGTAAGATCCCTTTTTTTGCGTCACGTCAGGATGCATTGGTCCTGACTGCAATGCGAAACATCAATGTGTGGGCCCAAATTGCATCACCATCGGCTGTACTGGGATTGATTGTGAAGCCAGCACGGGCGACTGTGTCGGCTATCATTGCACAAAGGTCAGCTGTACAGGGCCAAACTGCAAGCCGGGAGGATGTATGGCTGAGAATGGCTGTGGAGATGAAGAATGTGACTCCCCCGCCACGGTCTCTGCCTGTACATACCTGGTGACTAGTTGGAGTTCGTGGTATTTAGCTTCTTCAACGACCGCCACAGAAGTAAGTTTACATCAGGCATGAAGATTTACGTGGCGATAAGATGACCAACACCTTATGCAGACACACTGTGCGACAAAAACGGCCTGCGACGGACAAGACACTGTGGTCACGAAGACAGCTGGTGCTCCGGAGTGCTCGGTCGACTCGGCTTACTGGAGCTCCATGTCCAAGGATGCCGAAAGCTATGATACGACTATCAACGGCAAAGCAATGCCAAAAGTCTATGTTCCGATAGATCGGCCGGGCTACGATGGATCGAAGTTTACCCTCACGGAGTTTGGATTCGCTGACGCCGCGACAACTTCGTCCGACCAAACAGAGACCACCGCATCCACAACGACCACAATGATCCATGTGAAGCCAACTTCCCAGCCTACGGACAGCGGGAGAATAGCGACCTTCTTTTTGACGGTATTTGAGTCGAGCGTGTCGTGGATATACCAATGGGACATCCTTGACCATATGGCGGGTCAGTCCTATGACCCATGCAAAACAAAGTCAAATTTTGTGGCGACTGCGAACACTGTTCCTCCTGGACCCGACTTTCCCAGCGAGGATCTCGGACCCTTCCAGTCGCATGGTATCTCAGGATGCATCTATACGGCAGGTAAAGATAATACTGTTGGCACGATGACCTGCCCAGGGGTGAATAGTATCACTTGTCAAAAGGATAGTGATTACGACTCGCACGTGGATTGTTTCCCTGCTTCCATGACTTATGTCCTTTCGTGTCGGTGGTAGATAGACACGCTTCGCTTCCCCAAGTCGCTATTGACAATCTCGCTGCCTTCCTGTTCATATAAACTGCGCCGTTTGATGGAAGCTCCCATTAAGTACTTACATATTTGAGAACCGCGTGTGATAGTGTACCGCCTTGCCATCCTAGGACCGAAATGATCTTAGGACTGAAAATGTGCCTCGTTAGAGGCTACAGCAACATTTGAAATCCTATACACCGAGTCAGTATCGTTCGTAGCTAGTGTCGTAGCCAGATTCGCACCAGCATCATAGCCACCATCGCACCAGGTAAAAGATGACGGAGATAACAGGGCCCGATAATCAGCTTTGATGGTAAGGCATGTGATTCTACCACTCACCATATACCATAAACTAGGTAGAATCTCTCCCCCGTAGCAACTTCACTCCTCATCCCTCTCTCACATTTTACGGCTGCACCTACTCCGGTTGCTGTAGATTATTATCCTCCAGCGACGGACCCCGATGACAACCCCCGTGAAATAATGTAGGTCCCTACGTACGTTCCATCTCTGTTCTGTGACTGTAACTCTGACCGCTCTATAAGCCTCCCGCTTTTTTTCTTGCGTGCTCGTGTATAACTATAATGAAGGCGAAGAGGTATGTTATGGGGGGAGGGGGTGTCGAGGTACTAAGATTATGGAGGCCACTGATAAGTGTAGTGTACGCCATATGGTAGTGCACTTCATTACTCCCAGTACCCAGTACCCACGACTCAAATCCCTGGGCACCGGATGGAATCAGAGTCTTCAATGATCCAGAAAAAATATTGAAGAGCCCAACAACCCAAAAAGTTGGTGAAAGAACAGACCTCCTGGGAATTATCAACGGTCAGATTCTGCTAGCTCGTGCAGCCGTGCTATATTAAATAGGAAGTTTGTGAGGGGTCTCACGAGTTATAGCCGTGTGATATACAGGGGGCCGTGTATGTACTTGGATGAAAGACATTAATTTAAAACACGTTGCTAAACCAACTGGAGCCTCACCAAGCCGGTGCGCTTATATTGATACTGAGTAGTGAGTACTGACTACTGAGGCCACCAGAACACTCGACTACCTTGATTGCTCTCCCAGATTATCTTTATAGATTTTCGTGCATGAGAATTAAGTACATACGACCATAGGGTGTGGAAAATAGGGCTTCCCGTCCGCTCAGCCGTACTCAAGCCACACGCCGGCCAGTTAGTAGTATGGTGGGTGACCACATGCGAATCCTGGCTGTTGTATGTTTTGAAATTTCTGTTTTAGACATGTCGAGGGCTGCCTCTTTTTGCCCTCGTCTCGTCTCAGAACGCCCGACGCTCTTGGAATGCGAAATCTACGGCGCACTTTGGTCCACGAACACCAAAGAGGAAAAGTTTCGCATTTTCGACGATACGCGCAAGTAATTGCTCGAAATCTTTGCCAAATTCGTTGATTCGGATAGTGTAAGGTGTTCAATCCCCAGCCAAGTGTGCCTTCGCTAACAATATCAAACGCGACCCTTGATGCCCAGCTACAAATGTCAGCCTCTCCAGAGACCAGGAGTTGCTGTCACTTGTCGGATGCTAAACCAAAGTCCCAAACATTCAACAGTTTCGTTGTATGGCTGTGGCGTAGTCTACTTTGGCCCTGGAGCCAGTATACAGACAAGCAGCCTCCAAGAGTCTAACACATCTACCTCGCGGATCCAGCAAGATGGATCTGGTTGTAGTTTGTACTATGCGAGGACATGCTCAGGGGCTCACCGCTTCCTCCAATATGGAGACAGCGTGTTTTCGAATACGCAGCACGCATGAACCTTACCCATGATGAGCTGGCACATTTCACGGGCGTCAACAAAGAGATGCCTTTTGTGAGTTTTTCCAATCGCTGGTTTGAAAACTCCAACGCAGTTCAGGTTTGACGGGCGCATCTGTGTATTTGTATGTTTGTTTGTGGTTGGCTGCTTGAACTCGTTCTCTGCGTGTCTCTGGCCCGACATCACCTGCGAAGATGCTAAGATGCTAAGAAGATGCACGTAGTGACAGGTGACGTTGCCTGTGTTGTTTCGAGCTTCGTGCATACCGATTACTTGAGGTATCGAAAACCATGTGAGAAATACTCAATCAAACAGCCTCTTTTTCTGAACTGAAGATTGCCATATCTCTTATATTAGAAGGAAAAGTTTGAAGATTCGTGATCAACATCATGGGAACAGGCTAGTATCCTCCAATAACTTTTCCATCACACTGGATCGCAAGTGCAAGGAAACATCCACCCCATGCTTATACCAAGGCTGAGCGTCATCTGGAGCAACACTTGTTCTAGCTTCGAAATCACGTGTTGATCCCTGTTTTATCTGAATGGTACCATCCATATCAGGCATAATAGCTTCGACATAACGAGGCACCAAGCCAGTTCCAAAGTCGGCAGTGTACACCTGGTTTTGAGCCCACGATGTCACCAGGATGTGTCTGTCACCCAGGAATGCCTGCCAGAGACGTTGAGGCGAGTCCTCATAAGCGATCGAATGCAGATGAGCTTTCAGTCCGTCGCGTGTGATCTTTGTCAATGTTGATCGAATCGCTGAAGCCAGTGGAGCGATATCAGTTTGCCGAGCAATTGAAGCCTCCATGGCCACGTCAAGCATGACGTGGGGACATCCCACAAAATCTGCACCTAGGCACAATCGGTCCCGTAGACCATACACCAAGTCGCAGTGTACGGGTCCATGGGCGATTCCCCGATCCGCGTGTCGAGCACGACTGATGCCGGACCAGATGTGCGCTAACACCGCGTCATGTGTGCTGATTTTGGGTGCGCCCTGAGACGAGGCTGCTGCGTGTAGGGTTTGCACCTGGGCTGGGGTGAAATGAAGGACGAAATGCGACACGGGAGCACTGACATCCCACTCTGACCAGGGCATTGGGTTTCCCGCGGGCTTGAGAGACTGGGACTTGAATGGGCCGGGCGGCTCGATGGGCCAGGGACATCCGTCCGCGGAAGTCCACCAGTCGTACCGATGGAGGGGGAGATTCAAAGCAGCTTGGATAATGTCCGAATCAGATTCGGGCTTCTTGACATCTCCTGCAGCCAGGGTGTCGAGGCGCGAGGGGTCAAACAGCGGAGATAGGTTTGGCAATGGCGAGTTCGCTGCAATGGCTCTGCTGACGCGAGCCCAGTCGTTCACAAAAGTCGCCAGAGTGTGGGCATCACCGAGGGGATGAGCCATCTTGACAGCAAGTACGGTCCCGCCACACGCCAATTGTGTCATTTGAACGGCCATTGCTGGTTTGATAGCGTTGGGGTCATCCCGCAATGGAGCCGCAAGCTCGGTTGGCGGCGTAAAGGCATTGAGCTCAAGTCGATGCATGTCCTTGTAGGGCGCATGACACAGATCCCTCGAGATCAAATCGTCCAAGGTATCATGACTTTCAGCGGTGAGAAAGTCCACTCCCGGATCTTGCAGGCAGTTGAAGCGTATCTGGAGTCTTCCAAATTGACGTCCCTCGTCATAGGGAACCAGCTCGAGCCGACCGGCACATTGTGGGTAAGATTTCAAAGTAATTGCTAATGCGCCTTTCAAGCGTTCATTGAGCTCGTGCCGATTGCCGTGGCCATCTTCCGCTTTCTCCAGAAACCATATCGCGCCTGTGACGGAGAAATTGGCGGTAGTTGCATCGAGCAGGGAGAGTGGCACGACCGTGTCTTCTTCAGGAGACAGCGGAGCGTTGTTGAGGGGGAAGATACGTTCTTCATGTTGACGTGTAACGACCACCATGATGAAATGTGCTTGACTATCAGGCAAGCTTCGCAGAACGGGCCCAAAGATGAATTGACAGAGATGGTAGTGAGTACGTCAAAGCCGGGGGGGATGTCGTTCCGTGGAGCTCTTATAATCTGACCTGGCCATATCTTTCAAATAGACACGAGACTGGTCAAAACGTGCCGAGGACGTTTTTAGTATTGTAACGCCCGCTGATAGACTGCCCCTCTTGATCCACTCGATCAATCTCCATCTGACAATCAAGTGAGTCTCTCCAATGTGACTGGATTTTCGTTTCGACTATTTTGGCACCACAGCCTCTGCTGTCTGGGGGCGAAACGCCCGTGCTGCGCTTATCCCCACATGGGACGGGCTGTGGAGAGTGGAGACTCTACTTTCTCCCGGTCCTCGGTGTTATCCTATTCGGGATCCCGACGAGCATATTCATTTTCTGACATGCTGCTTTAGCTCATTCTGAGAGGGGAGTCATGAGGCTGGGCGTGTGGATAACAGCAGACTACAGTCAATTGACTCTGCAATAGTCTGAATGACTCATGGCTTCGCTGCATTTATGAGCTCGATTGGTCAATTTCGAGGGGACCATGCCACTGTCACTGTTTGTTCAGCATGATTGAATCTTCCGTCGACCCCTCTGGCAGGTGTCGATTCTGCAGTGATGTAAGGTCACGAAGAGGCACACTTGAGATTTTATCAAGCTTAAGTAGAGGTGATCTCTTGACACTTCATTTACTGCGGCACTCACCTGTTTCTGGGTTCTGGAGACCCACCTCGTGTTGATAGCAGTGTCGCAGCAGAACACAGAAATGGCCTCTCTATGCGGGCTCTTGTTATTCATGATACTCGTGGTATTCGTTTCAGTCAAGTATAAGTCAAAGGTCGGGAATTGCAGCTCGGGGCATGCGCATATTCGGCTTCCACCTGGATTCTCCTTCTATATTGAACAAATTCTCTTCGTACAACGTAAACAAACAAAGTGACACCCGACCCACGACCCTCCTCCGGCGGACCTTCGCCCATCACTCCGTAACACTATCCTGAATACTCCTCAAGGTACTCGTCTTATGCGGCACAATCGCCGCCGAATTCTGCGCCCGACGCCTCGCATCCGTCCAAAGCATAAACTCCCCATACGTCTTGGGCATGACATGGATATCCCTCTCCACCAAAAACGTATAATTAAACATGCCCGTGGATTTTTTCGTCCCGTGCTCGACATCTCTCACTTTGGAGTCCACGCGCACCTGGACCTTGGTGTACTTGCCTTTTCCTCCCTCGCGCTCTTCGGGCTCGGTGTACGCCACGGTGGCGCGAAGGTACAGGACACTTCCGACGGGGACGGGGTTTTCAAACGTTGATGGGTCGAGGGCGAGGAAGTTGGGGCGGGTGTGGGAGAATGCGGCGGCGCAGCAGAATGCGAGCTCGAAGGTTTGTTTGAGCAGGAAGCCGCCGAAGATCATGAAGTTGTGACGATTACGGTCTTGAGGTTGCATGATCATGGCGGATTTGAGGACGGTATCGGCCATGGGGATTTGGTTGGCGGGACGAGATGCGGGGTTTTGGGGGTCTGGAGAAAGGGGAAAGTGTCAGTGAGAAGTCAATGTTGTATACGGGGAAGGATTGAAGGACTCGAGGTGGATGGACTGACTGATATACGACATCTCCTTGGCCCACATTGAATGAATCAAGTTGGACTCTTCCTCATCAGGGGCCTTTTCAAGCAGACTCCGTTTGCGAAGAGACTTTTTGGCAAGGTAGTTGGCCTCACCCTTCTTGAAAAGGGCCATCTCTTCATCGGTCTCGACTGTAAGCGCTGCCACAGGCACCGGTCTATCGAGTATCAATCAGCACGTCTGTTCAGAGAACAGGATCCGGAATTCGATACCCGAGCGACATACTTTTTCGTCGCTGGATCAAGAGAAACCATCGTGAAGGCGCATGTAATCAACACATCATCCGGCTGGGCAGGCTGGCCCTCGGGCCGCGCTTTGCAGACTTGCACCGAGACCTCCATACTAGATCGACCGGTGGCATATGTGACCTGACCACTAAGCTCGAGATCACAAATTTCCATCAAAGGATGCTCAATCGTGATTCGATCCACGGCGGCAGTGACCGTGCTGACGCCTTCACCGGTGTGCTTGTAGGCAATCACACCAGCCAGAGCGTCGAGATCCATGACAAGAGAGCCCAGCCTGGAGATGAGGAGAGAGTGGTTAGCGACCCTGTCACAACATCAATGAAAAGGGCGTGGATCAATTACCGAATATGTCCAGAAGCATTGAGATATGTGTCCAGGAGCCACTTGTCCTGGGCCAACGGAAGAATCTGGTAAAGACGCAGATTAGCTCATATTCCCGCGTCAAAAGTGACAAGATCTCTTTCCCACAGATACACATAAAACATACCGCGCTGTAATAACTGTCCGACATCTTCTTAGGCGTAAGGTCCGGCTTGACGGATGGTGCGGGCTGCGTCCCCTCTTCAGAGGCGCGTGCACTGTCACGCCTCTGACTCAAGGCTTCAATCCACGGCGTCTTCACCCGCATGGGCATCCACGTCTCTCTGGAAGCCGCATGGACTGCTGCTGTACGAAAGTCCCTCGTGTTCACATTCGGAGATCGACCTGCGGCCGCCGTTACAGTGCGGCTCGGCACTGGTGCACGCGCCAAGGATCTTGACCGAGCAGCCAGGAATCTCTTCCCTGCCAGACTGGACATTCTTATCTCGTATATTTCGCTAATTTCAAGTAGAGATGGATCAAATTAGGAGTGAATGAGCTCTTATAACTCGACCATGTCATTGTTGAGGGTGACCGAGTTTAAGGACCTCATTCGGTTAGCGCCCGGTACCCCGGAGATTCTCGGACTGCGTGCTCGCACTGCCGAAGCCCAGATCCGGGACCGGGACCGGGACATATGCGGTTAGACTTGCGATAAGAATGGGCAGACTGAAAGTTGATCTCTACCTCGAGGCTTCGACTTTTCCTACTTCAAATGCATCTTCCATGACTGTTCCAAGATACAGTATATTGATTGATTGAAATGTTCTTGGAGAGAAAAAGTAAAAGAAGAATGATGACAGCATCATCGAATGGAGGGTTCAGATCACAAGCTACTAATCCTTAGTACAGCCCGTTAAGCTCCCGAGAAAGAGTAAACCAAGAAATAACATCATATGTGCAGGGGCGACAGTAGCTCTGGATGCAAGAAAGAAAGATATTGACGACATGTGCCATCCCAGTTGCAGAGATTAAACGAAAAGTACGTGCGAAGAGGGGTATCGTTCAACATGAAAATCAAGAAGAAATGATGACAAAGGTCAAGACGGAACGGGTCTGGTCTGTGTATGTAGAGGACTGCCGAGGGTAATGATAGACAAGAATGTAGAGACGCCGAGATGAAAGATTGGAACGGGAGGGGTATGCATGGATTAGAATAATATGCACGGGTGAAATGGCAACGGAAAACGGAGCAAGTTTTTTTTTTTTTTTGTTTCGGCTGGCGCTGCACGGGTCAGGGAAGAATGAGAGACCAGACAACTCGCCAGCGCTCCCTGGCGAGGCAGGGTAGATGCATTTCATGCGTGAGGGAAGAAATGGGGTGGGCATTGAGAAGAGAAGATGAGAAATGGAAAATAGGCGGTGCGCAGGTTGGGTCAATCTTCTAGATGAAGAGGATGCCGGTGAGAGTTGCGATGAAGGAGAACCCAACACTATGAGTGATGCGAGTCGCAGCACCCGTGTGCATCACGGTATCGATTGTCGATGTTGCCGCGGCCGATGTATTTGAAGGGGGGCGAGAGGGGGCCCCAGCGACAGTAGTCATGGCGGCACCAGCAGACGCCGTCGCTGTGGGAATCACAGCAGTGCCGTTGCCAGTTGAGTTGGGGGAAGCGAGCGCTCCGAATCCAATATGTCCATTGTCAAAATCAAAGACTGAATAAACGTTCTTCAGGAACACATCGCCCACCAGCCAGTCGTTCGGTCCGGAGGACTCGTGGCCAACAATGGTTGCCACACATCCTCCGGTGCTGGATGCACCGATGTAGTCCTCTGGCAAGATGGAGTACTTGATGCCGGCGAAGGCGAATTCGATGGTGGCAGTGGAGTTGCAGGGAATGATAAAGTTTTCCCCTGAGCGATAGGAATTGGGGACGTGTGCGAACAGGGCTGCAGCATCGGCCGGAGGGATCAGAATATAAGTCGTACCCGTGTCGATGGTAGCAGCCCGGTTGGTGAGTCCTAGCGGTTTCCCGTCGACATAGGCGTCGTCCATGGGGATCGTCCACGTCTTGGTGCTGGTGGGGATGTAAGAAATGTTGCCATCGAATTTGGTCGTGTCCACTGCTCCAAAATTGACTTCCCCGTCATTCTTGTGGTCCTTGGCGCGCGACAGGCTGAAGCCGACAATGTTGGCCGGGAGCAATTTCTTGTCGGCGACGACATCCATAAACGAGGGAATTCCCCAGCCGCCGGTCCGCGAGCGCCCCAGACCCAGAATACCGTCGAAGGGATAGCTGGCAAATGTGTCGTTCGCAGAAGTTGCCGTGCCAAACGACAAGGTCACATCCATATCCGCCAAGCCAAAGGTGTCTGTTCCCAAATTCCCACTCACTGTACCGCTGCCGTAGCCGATGGTGAACACCGAGTCGGAGGAGCTGTAGGAGCTTGACTGTGATTTGTCAAATTTGTGGTGACGTTGGCAGACACTATCCCGGCACAGAGCGCTAAAGACCCAGCTGCTGGGTGATCCGGTATCCAAGGCCATCCACATCTGTTGCTTCTGAGACCCGACGTCCACCACGGCAAAGTAGGAAAAGTCTTCCCCATCTTGGTCGAGAGCAGCGCTGTTCTTCATGGTCGGTGTGTTGGACTTGACGATTGCATAGGTGTCACCGCGACGGGCGGGACCCTTCTTGATGCCGAGTGTGAAGGGTTGGGGGGGCGAGGCATCGTCGGCGGAGGCTTGCTCGACTAATCTCCAGGGGAAGAAGCGGGGAATGACCTTCTCCTCTGAGGGGGCACCGACGGTGGCACTGATTTTGATCTCATATGGATAAAAAGCGTGGACGCTGGTGGCGATACTCGACACGAGCAGAATTGGGGAGAAACGCATGGTCCCATACAGATCTGATGGGGGAAGATGCGGAGGGGATTAAATCGGCATGGAGTCTGGGTTGGAAAAGGGGCGATTCGGGACCTCTGACGTTGAGAGGTCAAATCACTAGAGAGAAGATGTTGAGACAGATGGGCTCGTGCTGTGAGGGAGGAGATGGATGTGTTGCGTTTTGAATCTCTGGGTGGGTTGGTGTGACTAGATATTAGGACGAGTCGATCTTCAGGGGGAGATCGGGATAGCCAGGCATATAGTCGAATGCAAACAGCGGGTGCGATTATGACTTCGAATTAGAGGTATTAGGGCAAACTTAAGAGTCGCAGTAGAATCCATGCAAAGAAAAGAAATCAAAGAGAGACAAGAATGAGGCACTCTAGTACCAGAATTAGGAAAGTAGATGGGTTGACCTCGACCGAGAGGGAGGTTGGAGGTCAAAGGGAAGAAAGAGAGCTCTGGGATGCAGATGAATGTGAGGGGAGGCGGGCTGGTTCGTAGTTCGACGCTCTGATTGTTCTTTGGGGGGGGGGGGTCCACTTTCTGGACTCCACGCGCTACCTCAGGACGGTACCTGTGGTCCGACGGTGGAGAAGGGTTCGAGTTCTTTTCCTTCACGAGGTACACAGGACTTTACTCTTTATTAAAAGGTAGTAACACTTACATTACTCACTCAGTGCCTACTTGAATCATCAGCAGATCGATGGCTCTCATTCCAGTACAAGTAGTTGATCAATGGGTATCTTGTATGGTAGAGCAGGAGACCTTGAGTTGACTCTGTTGGGTCCAATCGATGTCTTGGTGACCGGCATCTAGAACCATATAGCTCTGCATAGTGCATCACTGCATACTACTGCATAGTGCATACTATGATAGTACTGGGAGTTGACACTTGATGGTATGATAAAGATATACTGTACAATATACATGACGACCTGCATGAATTACATAAATTGTATGGCTCAATGTGTCTCGACTCTTGAGCAAAAAGGAACGAAATAAGAGATCTTCAAATGAACCTGGGAGATTCACTACTCCTACTCCTACTACCAGTCCATCATAATGGAGAAAATAGTGGTCCTGTATCTGATCGATTGATAGTCGTCCTATACTGCGCCAACTGATGATCGTAATCTTGGCCCCGTACCCAGCCTCAAGAATTTGGCTTATGAGGAGCTCCTCCTCTATGGGACCTGTCTCTTGACTACCACTACTACTCAGTAGTACTAGTACTCCCACTCTCATCATTCAGACATACTTCCCGTCAACTCTCTCGTCGCGCACTTTCCTGTTGCCCCTGAGCAAAAGAGAACCCGTGAACCGTGTGGCGTACGGTGCTCTGGAAAAAGAAGCCTCCAAGGAGACTCCTCCACCCGTAGATTGGCTGAGCCCAGCCATGGGGATCCACTTTACAGCATATGGTGGCTGCTATTGGTCTGCAGGGGGGGGGGGGGTATACTAGCCCTCCATTAGTGGCTAGCCCCGCTGCATGGACAGGAACGAGTGGCCGGTCGTCTCAATAGGAGCTTTTCTCGACAGTCCGGAGATGAAAGGAAATCAAGGAAGTGGGGGAGCTGCAATCGATGGTTGGGGATTTGGGTTGTTTGATCGACAGACGGAGCTACCGGACAAGTGTACTACAGTAGTAGTAGTACTACACTACTTAACTTACCAAGTTGGTCGTTAGTAGTGTTGGTGACTATGGATTGTTGTGTCCAGCATGTGCAGTTTTGAGGTTACTCACATTGCACGAAATGGGGTATCTGCTCCTACAACTCGAAGCGGACTTGATCGGTTCATTTCAGCCATATGTACTCCAGATGCACAGATTGTGTTTATCTGTCTATTTCTCATAGTTCTATTCTTATCTGGTCTAGTCAATACCGCGGTTCACCCCCCTTCACACCCACGGTGTTTTTTTTTCCAGGTCCATGTGCACGGAGCATATCGTGGCCAATGCATCGTGGGTCGACCACACTACCAGTGCCCAGAGGAGGAAGTACCTGGTTCCAGGGGCGTGACCTGACCCGATTGAGCTTAGGCAGTCGTGCCTCGGTTGCTCACATTCTGACTTTTCCCTTCAGCCTCTGCGACATTTTTGTGGGCGCCATCGGAGGGACATCCAGGCTCGAGGTCTAGGCTCTGCTGATTCCTGCGGAGGAGCCCTGTCTTCCATCTTCCATCTTCCATCTTCCACTGAAGGATTTTTCATCGTTCTGGACTCGTGATTTGAACGTCTCATTCTGAAAACGTGGCAGTAGTTTTTCAACTAAATTTGTACATGTGCCAAGTATAGCCCATTGCAGTCTGCACAAGCACTTCTACCCCCGATCTCTACAGACTGTCGATGATTTCAGAAATATTGGCAAGGTGTACATGACAATTGTCTGCAGCGCTGCACAGTACGAGTGGCGTCACCATAACATTCCCATCTTGCCTCTTTCTTCCCAAGGGCGTCGGATCTATTGATCACTGACAGAGGCAGCAGGTCGGAACTGCATACACTTGAAAAGAGACCTCAGCATATCCAAGTATATTCCACCGCGGTGAGAACAATTGGAGGCTCCAGCTTGAATCGAGCACGATATCCATACATGTACTGACCAGTACCTGAGTTACGCGTGTCATGATCTTCCTACCGGGTCTGCATGCCACAAAAGTCTGGGACCTTGGACTAAGTATGTGATGGACCTCGGCAAAAGGAGACCGAGCTTCGGGAATCGATCAGTCAGGCGGAATAGATAAGATGATGGTGTGGACTCGGTGGAGCACGAGATGTATCTACCTACCTACTTATCTACTACCTAGTACCTGCTATCTAGTACCTGCTACCTAGTACCTAGTAGGTCGCCCCGGAAGATGACCATCGTGATACAGTAGGACGAGTCAGAGATCAATTTGCTAGGAATGAGCAGATTGGGTTACTCGCTGGGTCCCGTCGCAGTGCAGGCATATTCATCAGTTGAGCCGACAACCTACTGCCTAGTACCACTTCCGCGAAGCTAGGTGCAGGTGGACGGGATCAATTCCCTGTTGCGTGCTGATTGAAATCTTCCTCTTCTAGAACATACGGTGCGATGGACAACGGGACCATTGGACAAGGATGTTAAATCATGGTTGCCCAAAAAAGAGAGAAGAAAAGAAAGATAGCAGAGCAATTCATTCTGCAAAACCATGTGCTCTCATCGTTGACGGTCAGGTCGACCAAACGCTTGGCAACTTATAAAGATGAATCATATGACAAGCCTGAAACACAGTCCCTCGAACTAGGGAAAAAAAACACGCCGTCACCGCGGGAAGAATCAAGACTCCTCACGCGATCCATGACCGATCAAATTATATATAAAAAGACAATGACAGCAGCTATCAACTACTAGCCATTGAGATCAGGCCCGACAGCCTTTACTTCCGAGCCGCGGTGTTCTTCGGACCGAGCACATCATCCAGGAACCCGGACCAGAGTTCCTTGACCAACCCCGGCTCTTTCCTTGACCCATTGGAGCGAGCCATCTCTTCGCCGATTCGACTGCGGCCCACAGCCTCGGTCAATGAGAATGGGTCAATTTCCACGGCGTGGTTATCCACCACTTCGCTCATTGGAGAAGGGGCACTGATGTCACCGCCGGAGACACTGTAGATCTGGGGTTTCATAGGTGGGGCACCCGAGGTGGATGGGCTGTCGTGATGAGAGTATAGATCGGGCAGGACCGGAACTCGCGGACCGGACGGACGAGAAGATGGAGCATCTAGGGTCGACACGATCGGCAAATGAATAAAATCGACGGTGGATGAGTCACCGACGGCCTTTTGGGCCCGGGAAGTGTTGAAGCCACGGACGGCAGGACTGAATGACAGGAAGAGGAATTTGTTAATTACCGAACGATGAGAATCGCCAAATGGAAGACAAGGAAGCCAAGAATATAGTCGATCACTCAGATAGTCGTGACTTACTCGGCAAAGGCATTACTGTTGATGCGGCGCATTGCAATGCTGAACGCACGACTTTGAAGGACATCGTGGTTGGAAAGACGCTCAATAAGCTAGAAGGAGCATTGGACGTTAGCTCACACAATCTTTCACAGCCAGTCATGCGAGACCGAGTTTGGGTTTTTCGAGCGAAGTGAAAGGGCATACCTCGGACTTGCTGCCAGCAGCACGGATCGAGCGACGCTGGCACTCCTGCTTCAAATCGGGCAGAGTACGAGCGGCATACATAGAGGCCCTGTCGGCGGGGTTGGCAGGTTGCGCGGACTGCACTCCGGTCATGTGAAGGCCGCGACGGACGACAGGGAGGGCCCTCTGATGCTGGGCAATCTGACGGAGAGCGCGAAGGGACGTTGAGTGAGGAGCGGCCATGGTGTGATGAGATGGATTGGATGGAATAGAGAAACAGGCGATTAACCAATCGGTCAATCGATGAGAGTCTCGAGTCGGTGAAGCTGAGATGCAGCAGCTCAATCGGGGCTTGAGAAGATTCCGGGGCCGTTGAGTATATGTTGAGAGGGAACAATGAGACTGGAATGTAGGAGCTGTTGGGCTGGAGAAGATGTAAACTTCTTTTGAGGTAGGACGTGAGAGTTCGAGGTCCCAGGACGTCAGCGGTGCGGAGAGCGTAATGGGATGAAATAGGGGAGAAGAACAGGAAAAAGAAGATAACCGGATCAAGGGCAGCGAGGGTATCGGAGGGGGGGACTTTATACTTTGGTACACCGTTAGAATTGAGGGGAGGTGTCGTCGTGACTCGTCAGTCTTTCGTACTCAACGATTAGAAGTATTTTTGGGTATTACTCCGCCCACTTCCTCTTGGAGGGTGGTACCCAATGTACTCATTGAGGGTGGCCTGGTGTCTTCTCCAGAACCACCAGGTACGACATGCGCTCAGTAGGGTACATACTGCTACTGTGGCACCTCGAACGTATCGGAATCGCTGCAGGCCGCGGAGTCGGGAAAATCGTTGGGGAGAGCTATGGGCAGATCCACCCTTGGCGAATGTGATCGATTAAAGGGGGATCCACTCTCCCCAGCGGGCTGGGAGCTTCTGGACTGCTACGTTGAAGCCCGTCCTGACGTCTTCTACTTTTTGCAACCATCTCACGCTCCAAGCCCGGAAACGGACCTGCACGAGCACTGGCACTTGGGAGGGGGAGATCTCCCACTCGGAATCGTAGAACAGACGACACTCGGCCACGGTGCTTTAGCTAGCACCACTTGACCACCAGGCACACAAAGTTCCGTCTTGCACGAGACCTTGAACCAGCGGAGCCATGATAGTAGTACAGGTACTTTCGGGGAGACAAAGATCTGGCCCCGTGACTCTGCTGATCCGCCCGGGTGGAGTTTGGGGACTTTTGATGATTGTCAAAGAGGTCCACAATCAACGCAGCTACCGGGGAAAGATTTGCGTAGATTACGTCGCTTTCGATAAGACTTGCGCGTAAAAACAGAGTACAGTGCATAAGCACATACCTAGATATAGTAGGGGGTTCTGATCACTATGTAGTATGTACCGATCAAGTACAATAAGTGGTATTCATGCCTATGAATGATTTACGTGAGCTTGATGAAGCAAGCGCCTTTTCTCCGAGCTACTGTACTTGACCAGGACAAGGGATCGCCGTCAACGTGGGACATAGTATTGACGAGGCGATAGTACCTTATCATGTCTCAACGACTGGTCAAAGGTTCGATCAACCATCTTCCCGGCACAGTAGAATGGATCACAGCTCAAGGTTGAAGGTCCACTACATCAACGGACCCAAATGTACTCAGTACCTCCACGTCCACACTTGACCGCCGGTCTGAGTACGCAGTTGCTAAGGTACCACTACAGGAAGCCTGAGTATAGTACGTAAGGTGCGTGTTCTGAATAATCTGCCACATTGTGTATAGTGTATAGTATATACTACATACACTTGACAGTAATACTCACCTCAGTAATTGACAATGTGACTGTAGTGTGCCAGTGAGTCTTTATCTCTTCGAAAGGGACCTCCTCTCCCTTTCATGTTCCTCACAAGGAGGCCGCCGGAGTGCTGATCTTCCTCCCGGCCCTCAACACACTCCAGTTGATCACCCAAGACACTACTGAGATACAGTCCACTATTAAGGGGTACTTGGTACATGCCAATCGAGAAGATGGCGGTCTCTCAGGACGAGCATAATAATAGTACCTGGCAGTGGCACCCCGTGACTCTCTACCAAGAGAGCCTAGTACGATGTATATGGCCCCGCCCCTCCTGAAAGTCAGGCAAATCAGAATCTCGTTGAGAAAATGATTGAATAAAGAAGAGAGGGAAAGTCCCCTAGTCTAAATTCTGAGCTTCTGAAGACCTCAAGCTCTGATACCATTCCCGAGGCGCGCTTCCAAAATCCGGGGAACCAGACGTGGCCCCAGTCATCAACCGAGTTTCTTCCCCGGTCATCCCGTCATTTCTCTGAGATGGGTAATTCGGCTGCTGGAGTAGGTATCGAAACTTGAACTTGGAAGTAATCCCCTCACTGGTCCTCGATCCGATTCTAGGTCATGGGTGGTTGTGAGACGATTATGAACTTATCCCCGTAGAATGAGTATCACGACGATTGAACAAGCTTGCTCTAGCCAAGTTAGCCTCGAGCACGATTAAACAGGGTTGACTTTAGCAGTGAACTCCAATATGGGAATCCCTCCAATCCTACCAGCTACCTGATTAGAGAAGGGTGGCATTTACTTTCATAGAATACACTATACAGTACGACCTTAGAAGTCCTGTGCCAGGTTGTACTTGGAAATGACTCCCACTCCGTGTATCATACTGCTGCTACAACTAGACTCTTCGTACTATTTCCAGCGTCAAGTCACTCAGGAGGACCCTTGGTCGCTCGGTCTGGCCCGACTGTTCGACGGGAGCCCCCGCCAAACTTGGAATGTACCGTCAGCCCCATTCACAGATGGAAATCCCCACGACCACCTGACCTGACCGTGCAAGCCGTGCACCCTTTGATCTCCACCTGCAGACAGAGAGGCCCGTTCTCCCGGACGGCGGTGAGGGGACTCTCAGGTCGGTTAGGAGGACGAGGTTGGATTCGTCAGCGCCAGCAACGGTCACGCCTCGAGGAGTTTCTGCGAGTCTCAGAGTTTCCAACCTACCTCCTACGTAGACCCTAGACAGTAGACACTAGATACTACGGGGCTAAGTAGTGACCAATGTACCTCCGACCGTCATAGTATGCGCTACCTCTTCGATCAAGTTGGATACATTCATGCTGGACGTAATAATAGGTATACCTCCGCTGAACTTCTCGCAGACCTCTCTCCGACGACCGGTCAACTGGAAGATTCTGTGGACGGGATTACGCAAGCCTGCGTGTCGGATGGTGTGGTGCAGCGCTCATGTATTTCGGATCACCTTGACACGTCCCGTCTTGCTCTTCGCTCTACACTCTACACTCTACACTCTACAGTACCACTACTGCCATCCCGGTGGACCACCAGGAGGATCTCAGTACGTATAAGTTATCACAAGTTCTCGTTGTACTAGGTATTCAGGCCTTTCCACCGCTTCCCAGGCACCAGCGAATCAGTGGCTAGTGGCCACAACTACTACCAGTAGGTAGGAGGTAACTGAGTACAGTAGCTAGTAGCTACATGTACTGTAGGACATGGACTTCAGGAGTCTAGGGCACTCTGCGTCCTGGTTACACTGCATCCGACGGAGTCGCACACCGGAGTCGTATATTCATGTTCAAGTGCAGGAGTCGGTTGGAGGTCGTGTGAGATATTCGGAAGTTTGTGGATAATCTTCACTCTGCTGTCTATACATTTGAAGAGACTACTCAATGACTCGGTGAGTAAATTAGAGTCTAAGATCGTGGTTCCCTCCGGTTGTCTTTGTAGGACGCGGCATTTCGTGTAGTGTTCGAGTGCAACTCCTTTATAGTGTGTATGTACGTGTCCCACGTCGTCGACAACCGATGCCGCACATCCAGCCATGGTGGAGGTCATAGCCCTCCGCCCAATCAAGCATGAAACCTCTCAGCTTTGTCAATGTTGTATTGCTTGATTCTTGGCATGATCTGGCTCGATGTGTTCGTGGCACTGAACGTGGGCCCTCACATTACAGGTATCCGATCATCTCTGGGGTTGCTTGAGCGTCAGGTTCCTTCAGACGGTTAGAGAGATTCCCGTGCATCCAGATGAATGCAGATATGATAACTGAGTAGTAGTGGGTACATGTGATTAAGCATCGCTTGAGGTCTGTTTGGGTAGGTATACCGTGTAAATGAGGTGACTGCACGAGACGCAGACTCGTAATAGAATGTCGAATGGTTCGGCGCAAAGTTCACCCAGCAGGCAGCGGCTGGGCGGATCTCCTCTCGAATCAATCCCGTCACCGCTCATATTGCCTCCTTCCAGATACCTGATCATGCAATTTTCATCTACAGCCGCGAAGTCACTCGTCGGCCTTTGGCTACGGCCCGAGCATAAGGGTGAGTACGGGATGACGGAACCAAGTGATCGATATCACCCGTGTGAACCAGATCAGGACATGCCTCCTCCAGCGATGTAATACCGACATTGCGCATGGCCGTTTCCAGTTCGTCTTGCATGACTTGAGAAATAAGAATAGGTGAGTTTCCTCAAAGGATCGACGGCAAACGCATATCAAAAGAAAATCTACTCAAGAAGGGATTAGACTTACTGTCAATGAGATGTTCCACGCCGTCTTGTCCATAATTCGTTGCAAACAACATACTACGGCCCATGCCCACCGCCGTCGCTCCCAGACAGATCGCTTTGAGAATATCGGTGCCCCGTCGAATCCCACTATCAACGTAGACCTCCATACGATCCAACACCTCGGGGCACCGCCTCTGAATCTCAAGTAGAGTGATGATGGACGGGGGACTGGTGTCCAGATTGCGGCCCCCATGATTGCTTAGTAAAATACCATCCAGACCTGCCTTCATGGCAAGCATCGCATCGTCTGCAGACATCACTCCTTTCAGACACACTGGTTTATGCGTGTGCTGTCGAACCCATCGCAGGTCCTCCCACGTCAGGCCGGGATCGATAAATCCCGCCATCACGCGGCCAAGACCGCCACCTTTCTTGTCATTTTGCGCTTTGGACGGTGACATGGGTACCGAGAGGCCCTCGTCGGCTTTGACTCGCTCGTCGGCTTCCCGCTTGCCTGGCCAAGCTGCGTCCACTGTGACGAAGATTGCCTTGATATTTGGATTGTCAGAGCATTGACGGAGTAATGCAGCAGACTTGGCTCGGTCGCGATTGACATAGAGTTGAAAGAAAAAGCTGGCTGTCGGCGCTGCCGATCGCAGTTCCTCCGAGGTATACGAGGAATTATTAGAAATCTAGAACAGTCAGAAATCGAGGAGTCAGCACGCCGAGTCGAGTGAGTTTCCGCAGCCAAGCTTCCCAAAACTCACGCCCTGCATGATCCCTTTCCTTTGACATGCCCGCGCAATCGCGCATTCCCCATCGGGATGGATCAACTTTGCCATTGCTGCCGGGCTCACAAACAGTGGAAGCTTGCAATTATGGCCCAGAATCTTGCTGTGGGTATTGACTGTCCGCACGTTTCTGAGCACGCGAGGTCGGAACCAGATTCGGTCAAAGCACGACTTGTTGGCATCTCGGGTGATCAGATCTGTAGCTGCGCTGGAGTAGAATGCCCACGTCTTGGGAGTAGCAGTCTTTGAAGCGACCACTTCGAAGTCATGGGCGTTGATTAAGGTCTCTAGTGGAGGCTTTTCGTGGCGTACCACGACTTGACGATTCTCGCTGGGTGGAGGCTTGAGCCAATCTTTGTCAATGGTGGATTCATCAAGTTCACCTTTGAGCAGCTCCGATGCAAGGTTGGATCGCAGGACACTCGGAGCATGTACTGTGGAGTAGGCCTCGGTTGCATCGCGGCCAGCATACTTGAGAATAACTGTGAATGAATGGATCAGTCAACGGCAAAACTATCTCATGTTGAAGATCTGGTGGCCGGGGCCATACTGTTGGCTCCGCCCGGGTGTTCGTCCAGGAAGTTCGTCACATCCCATATTTGCTTGTCGACCACGATCCAGCAATCCTCTGAGGTTCGGTGCTTAGAGACCTCATCCGTGGATATGATTCTCACTTTTGCCATTTCGAATTGAAGACGTGTTCAAGTAACCGTTCGATGCGCACTTCAATCCTCCAAATGCAAAAGTAGCCTATCCAATGTCCGAGGTAATATTTGCGGCAGCAACGCGCTTAATGAGGGCTTCAATATAAGCTCGAATGAAAGTCGAGGGTTCTAACAGAATGTCAAGACTGGCAATAGCAAGATTCGAGGCAATTGCAAGGTCTCCGGTTCGAACGATCGTCTGCAGCAGAGATGGGTCGTATATAATGAATAATCGCGGTGAACCTCCGTGAATGTATCGGGAGCAAGCGCAAGATGTCTCCACTGCCCCGGAGTTCCCCCCGAACTTGGTGGTAGGCTTAGTTCGAGTACAACGCCGGAGTACAGTACCGAAGTACGTTGAACATTGACAATCGAAGGCCGTCAGGTATCAGTCAAAGTGCACACTGCACACCGTTTTTCAGCCTGCGACCCTGTAGCTTTGATGAAACACTGTCTGTCTCGATCCTCACTGCGCAAACAAAATGCAAGTCGTCGGCCAAGAGGCACCACCTCGGGATAATCGTTCCCGACACAGCCATTCATGACTCGCCAGTCGAGGTCTGTTCTGTTTCTGCCCGCATATCGCCATGAACTTTCCCCGCATAGGATCCCATCTCACAAGGTATCACTCGATTGAGGGGTTTTCTTTTGACACTCAGATGTCCTCCTGACCTCGTTCGAGTCACGATGTTGAGGATGAGTGGCATCTATGAAGTGGCGTCTGGCTAATGGCTATACCCATCAGCCAGCCCGCCCGTCTAACACTCACACTCATCTGCGGCCGCGATGGGTGGGGGCTGCTCAGTGGATGGATGGACCTGACCCGCCCCGGAAATGCAAGGCTTACATAAACAAGTCAGGCTCCCGTCCGACGAGTCCGAGTCCAACCTACCAACTGCGCCACTTGCAAGCCACTACGGTGGCTGATCGCCACGTTGGAAGTGACTCAAGCCACCCGGTTGATGGAGCGACAAGTGCAAGTGACCTCATTCAGCTAGTCAAGTGGTACATCGGAGACAGACGTTTCCAAGGCTCAAAGACGATCTCCTTACTGTCTGATGAATATCATTCGTACTAGAATTAGCGCAGCGATCTACCACGACTGTTTGAGCCCTGCCGCGAGAAATTTCACCGGGACCAAGATCTTCAATCACGATCCTTGGCGCCAATTTTCAGGTACTTGCCAGTCTTACGTGCAGCATAAAGCAAAAGGTGAGACTGAATTTTCACCTCATCGCACGGCTCTCTCGACAAACCACGAGTGTCAGAAAGGTTCCCTGGATCTGACTCAAATCTTGGTATGAAAGAAAGCTGATTATCGAACAGTTTTTCAGACAAGAAACCACCCCGTTCCTTCGCGTTGTATATCCAGGCCTTTTAGCGAAGAGGAGGAGTATCCATCAAAAATGGAGACAGAAGTCAAAGTGGAAGAGTCAAGTAAACCTCTCCGATATGTTGATGTAGGTTGTCTTGCCTTGGATCTCGGTCTCCGGCCTGAAGTCGCCTCACGAAAGTGGCAACCCTGACCTGTGCTCGAGTCCAGATCGGTATCAACTTGAGCGATCCCATGTTCCGGGGTCACTATCACGGCAAGAAGGCTCACGATGATGACTTGGACGATGTCATTCAGCGAGCCAAGGATGTGGGATGCGCCAAGTTCATGGTCACCGGCTCGGATCTGGTCGAGTCGGAAGCAGCCGTGCAAATAGCCCGCGACCACCGTGAGTCTACTAGCAAGAACCACACATACGATTCATCGATTAACCTTTGTCTCCATAGCTGGCTTTTGCTACGCAACTGTGGGTGTACACCCTTGTCAGGCAAAGCTCTTTGATGAGTACCCCGGGGGCCCCGACAAGATGATCGAGGATCTAAAAAAGCTGGCCATCGAGTCCAAGGAGGCCGGGTTCACGGTTGCCTTTGGCGAGATCGGTCTCGATTATGATCGATTGTTTTTGAGCAAAAAGGAGCCCCAACTCAAGTACTTTGAGGCTCAACTAGATCTGGCCATCGAGATTGGACTTCCCTTATTCCTTCACTCCCGAGCTGCCAGCGAGGACTTTGAGCAACTGTTGAGTTCCAGACTCGATCGACTTCCAAAAGGTGGTCTTGTGCATAGTTTCACGGGCACCATGGAGGAGATGCAGCGGCTGGTAGCGCTGGGCTTGGACATTGGAGTCAACGGCTGCAGCATGAAAACCGAGGAGAATCTGCAAGTTGTCAAGGCCATTCCACTGGAACGACTGCAGATTGAAACAGACGGCCCCTGGGTGCGTCATACATTACTGGCAGAAGAAATATTGCCAGGTCGGTCTCTAACGAACGATTTCTCTAGTGCGAAATTCGACCATCCCATGCCTCAGCCAAACACCTGAACGGTGCTCCAGAGCTACCCAAATCAGTGAAGAAAGAGAAATGGCAGAAAGGATGCATGGTCAAGGGACGGAACGAACCCGTCGCTATTGCCCGTGTGGCGCACGTAATTGCAGCGGTGAAGGAAATCACTGTGGAGGAAGTGTGCGAAGCGTAAGATCCAGAATCGGCTTACCCGTTTGGGGGTTTTTTTTTTCAATCCGCTGACTTTGGTATTTGCAGGGCATGGAACAACTCAGTTCGGATGTTTGGACTTGGCGTGGAGACTCAGTAGCTCATGATCTTCTCGGTCAGTCGAGCTGTCGATGTCGTGACACGTTGTCCTGGGACTAATCCGCAAAGACTTACAGCATGTTCTGCTTCAAACATGCTGGGCTCTATACGTACGATAGACTCAACGTATGATAGATCCAGTCGCAGTGTCTTCTCTCTGTTTGACTAAATAACATACATCTTGCATTGAGCAGCAGACCTTCGAATGACCTGGTTAAGAATCTCGATACTTCCCGAGGATCCAGTGACCGAAAGTGCAATTTTGCCCCTGGAAGCAAAGGATCCTCATTTTTGGCAAAAGAAGGATGACTATCGTCAGGATGTCAATGCAGAAAACTTCGACTATCTTGGGTACTTGATGCGTGCACCTTCTGTCACCGGCTGAGAACGTACTACATGCTGCTCCTGGATATTTTTGCAAGCGATTAATTCTAAAAACGAGACGTTTGGATCTAGCAGCGCAGAACACTCATGCCGGGGTTGGCGTCAAGGGGAGATCAGTCATCGAGAATTCATCATAACAAACTAGAGGCACATCTGTCAATATACTGTCTGAGAGAGGAATTTCTGGAAGATCACTCCATTCGTAAAGCAGACAATCAGACGTCGGTTGGGGTTGTTCGATAGGATCTTGTGTTGTTCCAGTCATCTGTGTGGGGGAATAACCATCTCCGACACTAAGTATGCTGCTGTCTTCGGAAAGTAGCTCATGAAGTATGATACAGCTCTTTTGGCAAAAGGTTTGGCGGACCGGTGTCTCATGGTGAAGATTCTCATTTTCAGGCTCAGCAATTGGCTCCGAAGAGAAGGGCAGTATTATGTCGTCGTCAGATTGCAGAAACCGCTTCTCTGGTACACATTTCGGAAGCGAAGATGCTGCAGACGCACTGAAGTTCCACTTTCTTGACACTCTAAGCTGTGCAATCCTCCATAATGCTGTATCCAGAGTGGAACTTGAGATCTGGGTTTGCAGCTCCTCTGTTACGCCATGATGCTCCGAGGACATTGATGCCAGTCTTGAGTGAATGGACTTGTTTTTACTTCGCCGAAGCATAGGGGTAAGAGATCTGCTGACCGTCGAGAGTAGAGTCGCTCGTTGCTTCATCTCCTTGGCACAAGTCAGACCCTTTCTTGAAGCTGTGTCATACCAATTACTTACCTCACGGTACTTCATATTGAATACAGAGGGCATCAGTAGCGACAGACATTCAATTCTGTCTTCTCCCTGTATACGGAGATTGACACTTTTGTGGGCTCCGGGAAGGAACAGCGTCCAGAGACCGAACTCGAGCATTTCCTGTAGACGCGGGATGCTGTTCTCTCCAAAGGCCTTGAGCTGTTGAGCGGTGGAATGTGTTCTGCTGAGGCTCGCGCATGGACTGTAGATATTTTCTACAGGGCTCCTCCCAGGCACGTCGTTCTCTCCAATGCCAAGTACGTCGCTCTCTTCGATGTCACAAAGCGACTCCGGCTCAACCTGAATAGACATGTCTTGAGGACCAGTTTCTTTGGGGTGATGTCTTCTTTCCATGGAAGAAGCCTTCGCTAGTTTCTGAGCCTGATGACTGCTCAAAAGCCGAATGTTCAGATTGATGGATTTTATGCACACGCAAGGAATGTCGTGGGGTGCATGAGCTTCTGGTGGGTCTTGCAATGCCGGTGGAAGGCTACGACTCGTGAGACTTTTGAAAGGATGGGTGTTTCTGCACAAACCAAAGACAAGTTGCAGTGCTTGAACTTGTGATTCAACTTTTTGAGAACGCTTGGCGGAGATGGTGAATCCAAGCCTCGGGAAGATCTGCGTTCAAACTCCACAAGTCAGCTCTTTCCAGTCTTCACCCTGACGACTTGAATCTTAAGCCTCACCTTGGTATTACTGATGCTTTCTTCTATAGTTCGAGAGACCGAGATGTGGATATTCTCCAGAAGGGGGTCTAGTGCCGCAATTAAGCATAGCTCAAGCTCTGGAGCCTCTGTGATCCACAGCGACTGAAGATCATCCCGGGTTGTGGCAGGAGCGGTCGAACGCAGCGACGCAGACTTGAACTCTGGCGAGAATTCTGCGTTTACTTTCATGTGTAGCTGCATCTCTGATATCCTATCTTGAATAAGCATGCTACCAAATTCAATAAGCTGAGTTGGCTGCATCATGCCGTCGGGGATCTCAAAGTGACACCCTTTAGGTCAACGTGAAGGTTCAACCTGGCTTGACAGAACAATTTCGAGTCTGAGAGAAGGGGTGCAGGCTCTCTGGGCTCTGCTGAGTGCTTATTGTGCGAGCTAAGTCAGGAAAACCGAGACTACCCACAAGCACATGTCACGAGACTCTCTGGGTCATGGGACCGAAACATTGTTACCGGCATTTCCCTGTCAATATACTCATGTCTTAGATACAGTCAAACTAGCGACTACATAGTTCCAGCCCTTGACGAGTAGTGTAGTAACGGATAATGAGAGAGACACCGTGCCTCGTCTGTTCCTTTCGACGAAATCGTGTCTACTTGAAGCCGGTGTCCACGCTCAGCATACGACGGTATGACAGCTCCTTGGAGTCTACATGAAAGGAGAGAGGCAAAAGATAAATGCATCTGTAAAGACAGAACGGGATCAGAAAGACTGTCACAACGTTGAGTAATATCGGGCGTAGTTCAAATCGCTGCTAGGTAAAGAATGGATGACCAGATACTTAAGCTTCAAACACGGCACCCCTTACAGAGATACAAAACCTGACTATCAATCTTCCGTTTAGGTTGGTTAAGGTTGTAATTTATAGGATGCCACCAACCCCGGACGGGAGGTCGGCCTATACTTGTTTTCTGACCTTTACTCTTAAGGAAATCGACAGGCATTTAAAGGTTGCCCGGCTCTGATGCGTGAACTAGAGGCTGAACTGTACCGTAAAAGGATAATCCTGTTACACTGTTTCTATTCTCGTCGTGAGATGCCGGTGAACACATCGAATCCTTCTTTTAACCTAGCGAGCGGTATATTTTCTGTGCCACGATTTCACAACGCATGAGCCTAGCCCGCTCTCGAGCGCCGCAATATCTTTCAATCGCTCGTATTTTCAGGAGAATTTTCATCTTCGAGTTCCAAAAGTCGAAGAACATTTTCCGCTGTTGTCTGGTGGAATGAGGTGGTGATAGATGGGAAAAGGTATTCATGCAGTGTAGCCCTAAAAGCAGCCCTGGTGGACCCAGACATCAAGCCAGCCCCAGGTGGTCGTACTAATACCTAAACCAGCTAATTTCAAACCTACTGAGTCAACTCCCTTGAAGTTATGCATTGTATCTCTCGCGACAATGTCACATCTTTCACCCTTGGACATGACGGTCGACAATTCAAATATCATCGGATCCATTGAGGAATCCCTCTGCGAATTGAATATCGCGAGAACAACTTCGGTTACAGGCTGAAGAGTTCTTTACCACGAAGGTGCGGTTCATTGCTCAATATTACCTTCCTGATGAATCCCCAAACCTTCGTTCTCAAAGTTGGATCGGTGGCGATCTTCAATGGGACCTGGCAGATCAAGTGGGGCAATGGCTAAGCTAAAACAAAGAGCTCGTATCGATAAGCATCACGTGCCGTCTTATGCGGAGCTGGCCTCTTTGGCCTCTCCCGAACATCTGACTGAAGCATTGAGGTTAACAATGCCCGGAGATGAAAAGGGTCTTGATTTGATGAGTGATGGGGAAGGCCAGATTGACAATGCTACACAATCACTGTTGGCCTCGTCACCAGAGAATACCGAGGATAGGGCATCCCATTCGCCCGCAACTTTACCTTCAAACCAACCCGCATCTGATAGCCGCCCTGACGCGCAGCGCCAATCTTCCATAGTTCGTCCTCCTCCTGACGGACAACCCCGTACGCCCCGAACAACGAACAGAGTTCAGTTTGACCTGCACCCCGATGGAGGAGAGGACGATCAATCTTCCAACGGACGCGCCCACAGTCCCGACAGCGATACGCTATGGCTGGACGACGACGATTACGAGCTCGGCGATCGAGGCGGATCCGGGCTCCGGAATACAGGGCAAACCGTTCCCCTGTTGACCAACATTGAGGCTCCGAGTGTGACATTGGCCACTTCTGAGGACTTTTTCCCCGAGGACCACTTGGAGACTGCCCGGCCGAGGAGTGGAATGAATATGGCCTTCATGAATATGGCCAACAGTATCATCGGCGCTGGGATCATTGGACAACCGTATGCACTGCGCCAAGCTGGATTGGCTACGGGGATCCTGCTGCTTACGGTCCTGACCGTGACCGTGGATTGGACAATCCGTCTGATTGTCATCAACTCCAAAATGAGTGGAGCCGATTCTTTCCAAGCTACCATGCAACATTGCTTCGGAAGAAGTGGGTTAATCGCCATCTCCATTGCGCAATGGGCATTCGCATTCGGTGGCATGGTAGCCTTTTGTATCATTGTCGGAGATACAATTCCATATGTCCTGGGTGCCCTCTTTCCATCACTTCGGGAGATGACTTTTTTGTGGTTGCTGACGGACCGTCGCGCGGTAATCGTGCTGTTTGTCCTCGGCATTTCTTATCCTTTGTCTCTGTACAGAGACATTGCCAAGGTGGGTCCAACAACAAAAACAACATGCAATGTATACCGGGCTTCATGGCTTACAGGACTCATAGTTGGCAAAAGCTTCCGCACTGGCTTTAGTCAGTATGACCATTATTGTCATCACTGTTATCACCCAAGGCTTCCGCGTCCCATCGGAATCGCGGGGCGACATCAAAGATCACCTGATAATAGACTCGGGTTTTTTTCAAGCAGTGGGAGTAATATCCTTTGGTAGGAAGCAAATCTCGTCTAATGTGTATACATCATGTGCTGATTTGGACTTCTCCTGTAGCTTTTGTCTGCCGTAAGCTACCCTTGACATCCCGTATCCGACGTATATGTACTCAACTGATCGTTCGAAATTCTAGACCACAACAGCCTCCTAATCTACGGGTCACTCAAGAAGCCGACCCTTGACCGATTTGCGACTGTAACTCATTACTCTACGGGGGTGTCTTTGATAATGTGTCTAGCAATGGGGACTGCCGGATTTTTATCATTCGGTTCCAAAACGCAGGGAAACGTGCTGAACAACTTTCCGTCTGACAACATTCTGGTCAACATCGCTCGACTGTAAGGACCTTATCGCAATGCTACCTCGGCTTCGGGAGTGGGAGATTGCTAACCCTATCAAGTTGCTTTGGCCTCAACATGTTGACCACTCTCCCTCTCGAGGCTTTCGTGTGTCGCTCCGTGATGACCACATATTACTTTCCGGACGAGCCTTTCGACCCGCATCGGCACTTGATATTCACAACAGCCCTAGTTTTGACTTCTATGGCGCTCGCCTTGGTGACGTGCGACCTTGGTAGTGTATTTGAACTAATCGGTGCAACAAGCGCAGCCGCCCTCGCCTACATCTTCCCTCCGCTGTGTTATATCAAACTCAGCAGTGTCTCGCGGCGGGAAAAGATTCCAGCGTACGCATGTGTTGCTTTCGGACTCATTGTCATGGGCGTTAGTGTCTTGCAAGCTACTGCAAAATTAATTAGGAGTAAGTGAGCCATAACTGTCAAGCACACGTTTTTCGATTCTTCTCAGCTGATAATTCCTGCCAGATGACAGTGAAGGCGGATCATGCGGTGCTTAGTGTCTTTCAATCATAATGCAATGCATATAACCCCTTTGCTTCTTTTGGTGGCCGTATCAATGTAAAAGTACCGTATCCATGCAGGGAGTTGGCTGCATGATTGAAGGACCTTAATTCAGAGCCATTGCTGCAACCGATTCACCAACAGTCACGCCGAACCAAGAAAGACAACCGGATTGAAGGCACGTTTCTTTCTGATATTCAAGGATTAGCAGAGTACCATCAAACGGCCTGATTCTCCAACATCTTCGACATATTGTGGGCTCCGATCTAAATCGGCTTCAAAACAGCGTGGCTCAGCCCGCCCTGCGATGATACGTATTCCCAGAACTTGCTCGTATTCAAGCAATCGCAAATTTAAGTATCCATGAACGTGCTGACTCGCCCACAGTAGCGTATACTCCGATCCAATTCGGCTTCAAACGTCGTGGATCAACCCACCTTGCGGTGATACACGCTCCCAACATCTGCTCATCTTCAAGCAATCGCAAAGAACATCAGCGGACCTGCTGGCTCGTCGGTGCTCCGACCCAATTCGACATCAAAAGACGCGGGTCCGCCTTGCGCTGATACACACTCCCGTCATCCTACCCTTTCTCCCTCAAAATCTCTCTCCTCGTCCTCCCCAAACCTCTTCCCAAAAACATCTCTTCTCTCAACAGTCTCCGACTCTGCAACTTCTGCAACGCTGCTCTTCAAACTTCCAGTAAACCAAAGCTTTCTTTACTTCTTTCTTGTTCCGATTGAACATCTTCAAGCTTCTCCAACATGCCATCTCCTCCCGGCGGTGATGGGGATGCCGAAATGGAGAGACTTAATCAAATTCAGATGGTGAGCGCCTCCGACGTCTTCGGACGCCATTCTTTTTGATGACTCGCTGACGCATTCATGGTCTTATAACAGGCTGATCTTGGAACTGCTCGTCGAGAGCTCATCTCGACGTCCGATGAAACTGACTTCAGCGCCGCTGACCCCATGGTGATTGAACGTCACAGACGCTCCAACATCCCCGGTACTCGGGAATTCGAGCAGGCGCAGCGAAATCGTGAGGCACTGGATGGATGGAACAGTATGCATGCCCCTGGATGCATTTCGCTTTTCTTGACTGATGACTGATGAGCCACGATGAATATAGGTCTTCACGAGACTGTTGATGACACCGGCCACCTGGAGAACTTGGACAACCTCATGTATGGCCAGTCACACAGAGCTAGACTGACTGCATCCATTCATGGTCCCAATGCTCTGCCAGCTTATCAGTCTCGTGGAAACCACCCGTACCCAATTCGCTCACGCGGCCGTGGTGGAGGTGTCTCTGGCACTCGAGGACGGGGTAATGGTCTGTCCAATGGCCGGGATTCCAGCTCTTCGGCCTCGCCAAGTCAGGTGTCTCGCAGCCCACGGTCCAATTCTTCGTGGGGACGTAATGGCAGACAAATCCACGGTAACGGCAGACGATCTCGTGGAGGACGTGGCTGGGCTCATAGCCGCAGCACCAGCTTGGATAGCGAGTCCAGTTCCGGCTTCCAGGCCCCGATCCTCAGCCCCAACACGTAAGTGAACCGAAGGTGCATGCCCTTGATTGATCAGGACTAATCCTCATGCGATGATATAGCGAAAGCTGGTCCCATGAGAACCTGGCTTCCCCAGAGTCTTTCGCAGCATCGGTTCATCGAGCTTTCAGCACACCTTCGCCCCGACCAGCTGTCCCACTCATGAATGGGTCGGGCAGAGCCACGGGTATTCGAAATGCCGCCATGCTTGCCAATGCCAATGCGCCTCAGCCCGCCACGCCAGTGAACACACCCACGACTTTCTCATACCACACCGAATCCACTGAGAGCAGCACCCACCAGGCCCGCGGTGCCAGATCTTCGACTCAGCCCCCTCGGTTCTATGCTAACTTGGGCGCTCGTAGCAGGCTCCGTGATCCGGACCTGTCCCCCAGTCCACGCTCTTCGCGTTACGTCTCAAACTCCCACGAGATCGCACATATCAGACGCGACGAGCTGGCACGAGTTGAGGAGACTGGCGTGAATCAGCACGTAACCGGTCTGCCAGCCCGAACTGAGCGCGGCACTCAAACTGAGCAGAGCAATGAGCCTGCTCAAATGACCCTTATCCCCTCGGGTGATGATGAGGTTGTTCCTCTGACAGCTCGTCCTGCCACTACTGTGGCGTACTCTTCGAGTATGTCGGAACTTGCTGGTATTGTGTTCCCCTCGGACAATGAGATCGGACATGATAAGTCTGCAGAGCTCAATCCGATCAAGCTAGTTGGTAAGCATCTCTCCATAACCGAAACCTTGACCAAGAACGAGACTGACCTCAATTAGCATTTGTCGGCAAAGAACTGATGGAGTACCTCGGTTTTGCCTCAAGCAAACCAAAGAGCGATCTAGGCCATGAAGAGCCAAGCTTACCTCTGCTTTCCCAAGCGATGGAGAAAGCTCTTGTGTCCACAAGTGACCGCGACCTTGGTGTCTTCGTTAAGAAGACGATGATGGGCTGGCTGAATGACCATTCCTCTTTGTCTGATCAACGAGACGAGCTCAAACATGATGCCCCGAGTTCGGACTCAAATGCTGGACAGGATGGTCCAGGCTGGGATCCAAACGTTGATCTTGAATTTCATTCCACAACTTCGACTGCAGGTTTCACCACGGCTCCGGGATCACCTCTTCAATTGGAAACCGATCTTCCACTTGCAGCCCCGCTGCCCAAGCTTGATACCCTTGGCGCGGCACAGACTTCCGCTGCCGATGAAGAGACCCAGTCACCTGAACGTGTCTATGAGATTGGTGAAAGTTCCAAGCGTGCCCAGTCCCCCTCGCGCAGTGAGTTCTCAGGCACCACCAGCCTCTCTTGGAGCGCGGGATGGCAGCGCAACGTTGATGCATCCGGTCTGTCGCCAGCTCAAGACGCAGGGGCATCATCTGCAGTTCCGACTACGGGATTGCAGGCGTTGAGTGTCGCTGTGCACGACGACACGCATGATGGCGAGAGTGTTGGGGAAGGTAGGAAGTGGAAGGGCAAGGGTCGAGCTGAAGATGTAGCAAGCAACAACGCCCCACATTCAGCTGACGATTCGGGGGGCATGCGAGCCACCGACGCCGAGATACGTGCCAAACAGGTAAGCGACAAACAACGCTGCACGGTATGTTATTCCTCGTATCGTATTTTTCTTTCTATACCATCTCACCTAAGCTTGTTTCCGGAGCACCTGGCACAAATCACTCTTATATACTTCCCTGGGTATGACCAGATCTTGGAGGACCTGGACGCTGACGCTTTGTAGCTCTCGAAGACTCCGTGCGAGAACCGGTTCCCGGCATCTCATGTTTACCGAGCCGGTCCCCGCGAAAATGATGCCTTTGCAAAGAGAATGCGCGAGGCCAAAGGCACCGTGGTACGTTACACCCTTCCATGACTTCCTCCAGTGAATGACTACTGACAGTAACCAGCTTGATGAACCTGTCCCCGCGCACCGAGCCCGCGCACCACGATTCGAGCTCCGGATTGAGCCTCCCAATCCATCTCCATGGGTATCTTGCTCGGTGGCGCATGCCAGCCCTGTCGGCACCCAGGGCTCTCGTTCTGACAAGCCCAGTGCCATCGCTGGTGGTTTGGACTCCAGCAGATGGGCCCAGGATACTCAGGCACATCCTGTCAGCACCTTTACCCGGGCTGGCAATCAACGGATTGGCCAATCTGGCAAGAAGCGGGACATTGGATCCGCAAAGCCGGTGGGCATTGAGGCTGCTTCGGAGGATTGGGGTGAGGCTGACTCCTGGGGCGCACCCCAGAAGAAAAAGCCTGTCCCAACCAAGTCTGGTAGTTTGGGGGAGAGTTCATGGGCTGCTTCTCCACCAAAGGAGAGGCCTGCCGTCAAATCTGACGGGGCGATTGAGAGTTGCTGGGCTCAGTCGTCATCAAGGTCTTCCTCCCAGCAGGGGGCGGTCAAAACAAGCCCTGCCTCGCCGGATGCACGTCTTCTGAGAGGTGTGCACCGTACATTTGTGCCCCGCCAATCTGAATCCAGTCCGCCCACTGGATTCAAGAGTCTCGTCAAGATCAGCGGCCCCTTGCCCTATGTGCCATCGTCCGAATGAGATGGCACTTGGCCGGCTTTGAAGGATTAGATCGTGTTGTATGTATGTAGAAGTATTCAAAAACTCAAAAACAAAAAAAAACCATTACCCAGTCCAATCCATCCATCCTTCGGTGGAAGCTCGAAGCATTTAGCATTTACAATCAGTCATATCCATTCCCAGTTCTCGCGAATTTCCCGGTGCCGCGAGCACCCATGGATATGTTCCGTGGAGAGACGAGCAACCAAGCCACGCGCCCTACGTCTGTATGTATTTGAGGCGCTTCGCATTGACTGAGCGACCGAGTCGCGATCTCGTTTCGACGGCGCTATGCGAAGATATGTACTAGATCTCCTCTCTCGAGTGATAGCACGCCACTACCGTGCACATGATCATCTGGTGTCACGTTACTCCGACGTCACTTATGGCATGGTTTCAACGAAGCCTCATCTTCGAGTTTGGGTCTGATCCGTCATATTACGCGGACGGTCATGCACGTCGAGTCTAATTGGAGATGGGTGCAAAATTTCCAGGTAACTATGGACAAGGTGCGATTGGAATGCGATTCATGTTCACTGTTTAGATGGGGTTATGCGGGAAAGCGTGCATGCATCCGATTTGTGAACTTTCTAGTCCTCCTTTTTAAATACACCTGCCTCTATACATATGCTTTTCTAATAGTTTATATTCCTTATGCATTGCACTGCTTATGGTATTCGTACAGGCTCGGGTAGGTGAGATCACATCGGTAGACCTCGGACTGTAATGTTCAGTAGACAGAACTGACCTAGATACCCGGCCGACCTACCCACACTTATATGCTTTTCACGCGCTTGCGTATTTCATTCATGTTGATCTCTGCCAGTGACTCTATCCAAAATTAGATTATAGGCGTCTACGGGCAGTTTCAGTTCTCTGGTGTTGCCGAACAGCGGGCTAGTAGCCCAGACCCCGAGCCCTGAGTATATACCTGGAAGAAGTAGTCAAGTCCACCGTCATACTGTACCTAGTACGCCATGAGTCTCGACCTACTATGTTAAGTCCATGTGAATACGTGGTTGGAGTAGCCTTGATGCGCTTATTCTCGTTAGTGAATATTTCAAAGGTAGACCAATCCAGAGCTCAATTATAAACATAACCATCCTAACTTACTATAGAGAACTCTGTTTTGCGTCCTGAAGACTCAGTTGATGTTGCAAAGCGTGATGGTAGCGTGCTATGACTTGGAGGGTGATAATTGCAATAGTTTTCCTGCCTGACATGAAATGGGATAATAACTCAGCTGGGAGAGTGTACGACTGAAGAACAACTTCTGTCTCTGTTATCGTAAAGTCGCCAGTTCGAGCCTGGCTTGTCCCATTACATTTTTACGTTTTCTTTTTTGGGGAAGGCGGATCTTTGACTGCTAAGTACCGACATCGGTCACTCTAGTCTCCAAATTACTCGCTAGAGCCTCGAGTCTCTAGGTTACTACTACCAAGGACCCGCTACTCATCGAAACGAACGAGTCATAGTGATTACGTTTCCTACTTGACTACATAGTCAAATGACTCTTTTCTTCTACACAACTCTTGAACACACTAACACCAAACCACGAAGGATGTCATATTCGAAAACCATGGTAAAGAGCGAGCTGATCATGTTATGCTACATGTGTATGACTAGTTCGACACGATCGATTTGAAATTCGCTTCATGCATTGCCAAAAGATGCTCTCGTGCCATTTCCTTCATAGCCTATCTACCTCTTGGATATAAGAAAGCCAAACCCATTGACAATTCAATCATGAGTTGAATTAAACACCCATTTCACGATAGACTCAAAAGATCAGGTACTGATGTAGCCGAAAAATCTCTCGCACCATCAATTCGATCTCAGTGGAGCCCAGACTTCACCGACACTAAAGGGATCCATCTCCATGCCCATTGATTGATCTCCAACGAAAAAGAAGAAGACCAACCCACATCGAAGTGTACACAAAACCAAAAATGTAATGGGACAAGCCAGGCTCGAACTGGCGACTTTACGATAACAGAGACAGAAGTTGTTCTTCAGTCGTACACTCTCCCAGCTGAGTTATTATCCCATCGCATGTACTATCTCCAGAGCAATCTCTAATTATAAAACTAGCCCTGCATATCCACAACAAGTCCATTCAGAATTTATAGTTCCACGCCAACAACTTCCACATATGTCCTCTCTGATAGGTGGGATTTATCAATGGTGGTCTGAAATCACGATCGCGTCGGGTTTTTATGTCAGAGGGATAACGTCTTCTCTATTGATCATGGCAGAGCAGGACAGTTATCTGTGCTGAGTATCAAGTGCGACTCGTCATGCAAGGGTAGAAGAATTTCCGTCTTACTCAGACGAACATCCCGTCTTGAAGCTTGTAAAAGGGCGCAAAGTCTGCCAACAATAGCGTCGAATCACCTATCACGACATACCGAGAACCCAGCATGATGTAGCCTCTGGTGTCTTTCTTATAGCACTCGACGGCCGAATGAAACCTATGAATCGTCTACGACCGGGAGTTTGATTGGAATCACCCGCATGGGCGCCACCGAAAGAAGACAAACATTTGAAGTATGGTCATTTCATTATATCCCATTCATCGGGTCCAAATTTATTTGTAGCCCATTCTTCCTCGGGTCCATATGCAGCTATAAAATTACTATCCTTCACTTACAGAAGAGTCTTCATGTCTTCCATGTTTCGGATACCAGCCAAGTTGCCCGCCTTGACACGCTTCAGAGTCAAAGCCGCAATGAGGGCAGCACCCACACCGGAACCATCCTCAGCGGCCAAGATCTCCACCTTGTCCTTCTCGGTAGGAGCCCAGTCAAGGATCTGTCGCAGAGCCACGGCACCGCGGGCCTTGAAGTGAGGGTACTTGGTGAACACAGAGCCATCGGCACCAACGTGGCAAGACTCGATGTTCTTCTTGGTGCAAATGGCGGCAACACCGCAGGCAGACAGACGAGCAGCACGGGTACCAATCAGCTCGGCCAAACGACGGACCATCTCCAGCTCAGGTTGCGTAGGCAGGATGTTAAGCACGCGCTCAAAGAGCTCAACGGTCTCGGACAAGTTCTCGTAGGGGTCCTCCTCAATAGCAGCGAGGAACGAAGCATCGAGCAGGTAAGGCTTACGGAGTTTGGAGACATCCTGGCCGTTGAAAATCAGACCAGGCTTGTTGTCGATCAGGTCCAGTAGAGCCAGTCGGAAAATCTCGCCCAAGTAGAGACCGGCGGTCATCTTCTCAAAGGCCTGTTGGCCGGGACGAGGTGAGTCACGATCGATGATCTCATCGTACTTGGTGAGGGGGAGAACGACACGCTCGTTGTCAAAGGCACCATACTCGCAGTTGATGGCGATTGGGGTGTCGGGGGGAAGGTTCATGTGGGCAATCTTGGGCACCGAGCCCGCATTTTCCATGTAGGCGGCGTTCACACCGGTACCGAAGATGCAGCCAATCTTCATGGCAGCATCGGTGTAAGAGGAGGCAATGAGGGTACCGGTGGTGTCATTGATCAGGGCAGCAACCTTGATTGGGAGGCCCTGAAGGAAAAGAAAGGAAACGCATTAGTTGTCCGTCAACTCAGTACAGAGGTGGCTGCAGCTTCGTCACTCACTCGCTTCTTGAGAATGTTCTCGAGGGGAGGGACGACGTCCTGGCCCTCCACACCATCGATGTCGAAACCCTTGGTCCACCGCTGCAGGACACCGTGATCGATGTAGTCCTGAGTGGCCGGATAGGAAAAGGTGAAGCCCAGCGGCAATTTGCGCAGATCCTCGTTCTCGTGATGGAACTCAAGGAATTGCTGCAAACAGTCGGCAATGTACTCCCACAACTCCTCGGCGGTGCCGGTTCTCAACTCCTCAGGCATCTTGTATTTGGACTGGGTGATATCAAAGGCACCCTTCTCCTCAGTCAAGGTGATCTCACACACACGCAGGTTGGTGCCGCCCATGTCGAGGGCGAGGAAAGTGCCCTGCTCGTTGCCATCGGGGAAGCCCATCACCCAGGTCACGTTCATCGGCTGTGCAGCAATTGGTTCGTAAGCATTCTGTTTGCTAAAAAGTCTCGCGAGAGGAGGGTGAAGCGCACAATGTTACCGCCCTCGACAGTCAGACCTTGAACGCGGCGGAGAAAGCTGTCAGTACAGGATCAAATGGAGATGGTTGGCTAACATTCAACAATGTCTTCACGTACCTTTCTCGAGCTCCTTCACAAAGTGAGCCACAATCTCCTTCAGCTTCTTGCTGTCCACGGTGAATTGATCTTCAAAATCCTTGATGGGGCCCAGGAGATTCTGGGGCAGCTCGTGCCTCGAACCTACAACAGTCGAAGAAGGCATCGATTAGCATTCTGGTGAAGCTTGGCGAAGCTTGACAATGCTCGATGAAGCTCACCCTTGCGGGACGGAGGCTGCTTGGGACCAATTCCGACCATGATGAATGAGTTATGATGATACTTTGTACAGTGAGATGTTTGGGGGAGTCAACAGGGGAGAAAGAGAAGAAGTGTTTGTCGGAGGGGGAGGGAATGACGATATGAACGTGGGGCTGGAGGGGGATCCTCTTTACTGATTTTGGCTACGGTGGATCATCTCCTTCCTGTCCCCCTCAACCTCCAAAACATCCGCCCAGTCCGTCAATTCAACAGTTGGCACCTGGTGGATCGAATGATAAACGGTCTCGTATTACGCCCATGTGACATATTGTAACAGTAGATCATTCCTGATTTATTGACATAGTCTCCCGATGTCGTGATCTGGCCAAAGTCTGCCATTGTTGTAGGCATCAGGCAATGAACATAGCCTAGTCACTCATGGTGCTGCTACCCGTCTCATCCGGAGGGTTGAACTACATAACGACCCAGGCTGAATGTTAAGGTAGGCCTACTAACAATTAGTCATGGTGACAGCTTCAATTATCGAGAGTCGAGTTTGAGATGTCATTGTTCGTTATCTGACCCAGGGCGATCTGCCGAGCTCACCAGCATCGGATCAAAACACTCTTCCCTTAGTAGTACACTGAGGCTTGACCATGGTCCTTTGGAAAGGAGGGCACAAAATAAGACTCTAGCTTTATGGCTCTTCATTCACTCAGCTCATTGCCTGTGTCACTACAACAGTGCGCTTAGGAGCCCAAAGAGAATTTGGCAATCGACAGAATCTAGCGAATCTTCGGATCTCTGTTATCATGCAAGCACAAGTACCATAAGCAGGGAGCAAAAGTACGCCACTATACTAGGGAGCGGTGAGACATAGATTCGTGAAATTCATCTTTATGCATCTCTCGTTAAGAGCGTGCCCCTTGCATCAAGGTTCATCTATCGTAGCACACTGCACTCCATGACCTGGGTACATACATTGTACAATGTAGTGATGTACAGTAGTAGTTAGTTTCAGACGAACCGCAAACCGCGTCCTCATCGCCTCATCTCCGGGGACCGGGTAGCCGTCCACAGATTACTGTCGCGACTCCGGCGCTAAATGCGGGAAAACATGAGCCAACCCCTCTGAGGACTCAGTGCCCTCTGAAGAACTCGACATGGTGACGGTCTGGGAGCTCTTTGGCTCACCCAAGTGGTCGCGCACGCGCTGTTCATAGGCATTGGTGAGCTGCAGCGTGCGGTCCACATCTGATGTTAGTCGAGTAACTTCCTCGCGGAGCCGCTCGTCGCGTGTGGGAAGTGGCGCATTTTCAGCCTCGCGAGCCTGGGGGTCTGGATTGGTCTCCTCCCAGAGAGCCTCCAGCTCTTCTTCCCACCCCATGGCCTTGGCAAACTTGCGTACTCCAGCATCGCAGTCCCCCAGGAGGAGAACGTCGTCAGGACGAGATCCAAGGCCTCCAATGCGCTCCATGTTGATCAGCACACGGGGAACTCCTGGACTGCAGAGTTGTGGCAGGCTGGCAAAGGGCTGAACTGAGAGACTGGTGCCCATCACAATACAGAGATCAGCCTGCCCGGGCAAGTCCCGGCTGTCGTGAAAGCTCGATGGCAGGGGTTCGCCAAAGAAGACAATATCGGGCTTAACGAGCCCATTACATTGAGGATCGTTGCAGTACGGCACCTCCCCAGCTTGGACTTTCTTTTGCATCTCGTTGTCTGGGAATGGCGTCTTGCACTCGATGCATCGCTGGGTTGCAAAGCTTCCATGTGCTTCGATGATCTTATCTCCGGGTACGCCAGCTTGACGCTCAAGACAGTCAATGTTCTGTGTGAAATGTTTCAAGAGAAGACCCTTGTTGTGGAGCAATTTGACGAAGCAGTGAGCAATGGTTGGGCGATAGCGTCCTGGGTAGAGTTCACGTGCCAGCGCATAAAACGGCTTAGGGTTCTCACGAAAGAAGCTGATGTCAAAGACATCCTCTGGCTCTTCAAGATCAAGAAAGGCGAGATTAGCATAGAGTCCGGTATCTGGAGACCGAAAGTCTGGGATGCCAGCTGAAGTACTGATGCCAGCGCCGACCTGTGCCTTTATCATTAGCGGTTCGTTCACAGGCCATCGGCATGGGTAGATTCTGGGCAATCAGACCATCAAGACAATTTTGTTCACGTTGTGTTCCTTGATGTACTTGGCTACGGCTTGGACGGTCCGAGCTTCCAGTACTGAAGGATGCGCAGACTCATCCACCATGCTTGATTCTTCGTTACCCATGGCTCAAGAAGCGCCGAAGCGGATTGTGCTAAATAGACTGCACGGCGACTTTCCGACTTGGAGAGGACACGTGAGACAAGATTCAGTGTGCAGGACTCGGGTGCAAGGTAGCGATGGGTCGTGGAGGCTCGAAAGAGCGGAAATTTCAAACGGTGTTGCGCCGAGGGGAAAGATGACGTTGGGTTGGAATCAGTTCAGTTGTCGGCTTGCACGATTTAGATGCAGACCACAACTTTGCTGAGGCGGGTCCGATGGCAGAAGAGGTCGTGTGTACACTCGTGCGAACGTACATGGACTATTGTTCTTTCTATTCAAACATTGGATTGAACCAGCTATCCTACTATCAGACCCGCACCCGTCTCAATAAATGGCTTCAGTAGTATTCTTATCGTACTACGCGCGTTTAAAGGATGGGGAGAAAAAGAGCCGCCTGTCTCCTCCGCTTCACCGCCCCCACGCCGAACCGGCATCTCGACTGGCGACGCTGGCATCGACACAGGAAGCTCCGTACGCATTCCCAATTGTCGCAAAGAGTCGAAATTTCGCTGGGATTGAGATGGCGGCCCCTCAAACATCCAGCCAGGTCAACGGCCATCCTCCATCGTCGTCGCCATCCGCACCGTCAAGCTCAGCAAGCCCCACAATTGTCCCACCACAAAGCGATGTCTTCAATGCGAGCTCCATAGCTGAGATCAAGGCGGCATTGTCCCGCCTTTCGAGCCAGGAAGCGTCCGTGACAGCTCGGCTCGATGCCTTGGTTATGTCGCAGCAGGACCTGTCACGCGAGTTGGGTCGACTAGACCTCATGCGCGCTCACATCGGCACCCAAACGGGCACAACTCGGTCGATCAGCCACGGGATGCTGTCCGAAGCTGCCAGCACTGCGGAGCGCATATCCAGCGCGGTTCGACGCCTAGACAGTGAAAAAGAAAGGGTCAAGGCAACGCTGGAGGTCGTGGAGCAGGTCGCCGAGCTCAAGGCATGCACGTTGGGCGTGGCCGGGTCGATGGGTGCAACACAAGACTGGGAGACAGCAGCAAGCTATTTGCACCGCGCCGCCCAGATTCCTTCAGCAGTGGTCGATGGCGCTTTCGCGGCCGAAGTCGTTCCTACTGCGGAGGTTCCTGATGCGCCTAGTGTCACGTTGGACAATGCAGCGGAATCGCTCTGCGGACTATTCCTTCGCGAGTTTGACAAGGCCGTGAAGGAGAATGATGGGGCCAAAATCACTCGTTTCTTCAAGCTTTTCCCGCTTATTGGACGGTCTGAAGTTGGACTGGATGTATACGGACGCTACGTCTGCCAGGGAGTGGCCGCGCGGGCGCGCAGCAACCTGAACGCGGACTATGGATCACAGGCCAAAGATGGCTTCTTTTATGCCAATGCGTTGACAAAACTCTTTGAACATATTGCCCAGATTGTTGATGGTCATGGTGGGTTGGTGGAGCGTCACTATGGTCCTCGCAAGATGGGCCGAGTCATTGAGCGACTGCAGATTGAAGCCGATGTGCAGGGTGGTATCATTCTCGATACGTGGAGCGACGAGCGGCATGTGGATCGCAAGTTGATGGACGTCAAATCCTATGCTTTTACTTTCCTCGTGCAGAGCTTCCTGCCAGCGCAGAAAGCCGGTCAACCTCCTTCTGCTGGTGCGCCGGCTGCCTTGGAAGATGAGGGAGTTGACATGAAGGAGATTGACGGCATATTGAACGAGATGGCGATCATGCTCGGCCGTTGGTCGCTGTACTGTCGATTCTTAGCTGATACGTGCAATGTAGGTTTGGGAGAAAGGCTTTTCCTTTTGGGGCGAAACAATTTACTGACTATGATTGCAGGCCCCGGATGCTGACCAGGAAGGAGGGAACGATGACCAACGCTATGCCCTACCGGACTTTTTGCGCGAGTCAGCCCTCGCGAAAAAGATCAACGACAAATTAATATCTCCTTTCAACGCCATGACGACTTTCTTCTTCCGCCGTTCTGTTGAGAAGGCTTTCCAACTTGACGAAACTCCCACGGGGCTGACACTGAACCTCCAGCGTCCTCTCAAGGCCGACCCACCCCACATCACCTCCGCCGTGGACGACATTATGTACATTGTCAATAAAGTCCTTCAGCAATCTCTGGCAACCTCGCAAGAAGCCGTGGTAACCAACATTGTCCCTACGCTGTCCCGTGTGCTTGGCTCCGACTTTATCGGCATGACTCAACGCAAGATGCGAGACGAGTGCTACCCCCGCGCGCCAGCCCAGGGTGCGCAACCGCCTGACCAGACTGTCATTGCTTTCCTCGTTCAGATCAACAATCTTGACACCGGGACCGACTATATTCGTCGCATCGTTCAGAACAACACTGGCTCCAAGCAGCCGCTTCCGACCGCCGACAGCACACAAGGCGGCGGAAAGGTGCAGGTGACTGAACATCTTCAATCGCTGTTCCCGGCTCCCTCCTCTGCACTTCGCGTAGCCGGGACTCTGCACTCCCTGGCGACCTCCTTTGAAGCCAAGGTCGCCGATCTCTATTCGGACGGCATTCAGGTCGTCTTCAATAACGTGATCAAACACCGTCTTCGCCCCATCCTCGCCGATGCCTTCCGCGACATCGAGTATCAACCCTCTTCCGACCTGGCGGAAGCAGTCCCCACGGATGATCTGGACGGGTCTGGCGGTAGCAAGGAGCTTGTCCGGCCCCGGTTCGCCAGCGGCTGGAACGAGCTACTTCTGCCTTTGGCCCGGATTCTTACCACCACCGCCTTCGATCGTCTTCTTACAGTTACAGTGGCCTACTTTGCTCGACTTCTCGAGAAGCGTTTGTGGTCGTACCAAGGCCGGATCAATGCATTGGGCGCGACCCGGCTGGAGCGCGACGTCGCCGGTATTGTGAGTGCCGCCGCGGACGTAGGATATGGAGCTGCAGCCGGTGCACCAGGGCGGTATCGTCATCGTGATGCTTTCGCGCGTTGTGTCCAGATGACGCTTGTCATGGGCATGGACGAGGATGAATGGGACGATGTTGTGCGGGGTGGAGAGGCGGGCGAGGTGGTGGACAAGTTGAGTCGGGAGGAGCGGGCTCGAGTGAGGGCGATGGTGCGACGGGGCTAACGCCTGGGTCATGGACAGAAATCTCGCATATGATCTTGGAGATGGAACAATATGGACGATGATCTATTTAGGGATGCGAGAGCTACTTCCAAACACATTGTATACAAGACTACATACCCAGAGATGGCAAACGTTCCAAACTCGGATCGAGTTTGATAGTCTCGTTCATGCGGTCAACGACTGTGTGAATTGAACGTGAGACAAACAAATCAAATGGACCAGGCAATTGCTTGATCGAGGTTCTCCCTGGCAGCCTAGCTCATATTGCGTCTGGAATACCATGGACCCATACAGACTCAGATGGTAGATCTCTACCGAAACGCCCTGCCTTGACGGTCTTCAGCAGTTTGGGGTCCGCCCTCTCCCCCGCTCTTGGAACCTAAATAGCCGCGACTGAACCGCGTAACTTTCGTCAATTCTCTGTGGATGCTCGGTTACAACGACAGACATACTCGCAACCCCGCCAAGCCCTGCACCGATATGCACAACCAGGTGTGGCAGGATCCAGCGGTCTGGCACGACAACCCTGGAATGCCTCAGCGCCGCAGCCAACGCTCCAATCCGTCCCATCAGCGGGAGAGGTAAAGCCCGAGGGTCTGCAAGACGATCCCCAAGACACGGGAGAAGGCAGGCAAGAAAAGCAAATATGAGCTATCACAACATCCATGACCTGTTCACTCATCAATGTTCACGGTTCAGATACTGGCATTCGACAATCCGGACAATCCATGCTGATCGGGTTTTCGCACGGGAAGGACCACCTACTGTAGTTCCCCAATTGCCATCGAGGAGCTCCGTGCATCCATTCCATGGGTCTCGTTCTTGCTCCCCCTCTTCTCCTTGCGTTTTACCCCAGATCCATATTCATCGGACACGCGGGTCTTGCTCGGCAGTAGCGTGGGATGAAGAATTCCGGGCTGCGGTTGGGAATGAGAACGTCTTTGGGTCTGGATCAGCAGTAAGGGGGGAGGGGGAGGGTTGACTGAACCATGTCGTGGTGTGTGTAACATCACGCATGTATAGTAGATGGGCATGAAGCCAGGGATAGATGGATGACTATATCTACTGACTGGGGAGTGATCAGTGGCTACTAGCTAGTATCTAGTTCGTACAAGGTAGGTTGGTCGAGCATATACTCAATGGAGTAAATACTGCGATATGCAGTATGTATTGCGTCAACTGGAAGCGCTGTTTGATTGGGATCTTCCGCTACTGTTTCTATTCCTCTTTTGGTCTTCCTTGCCAGGTCAAGTGGACAGCTACCGTGATCCTTTGGCCATATATGTACAAAGTACGCACAGTGGATATCTCGAGAAGAGTGTATTGTGCCATGTTGTAGGCATAGATGATCAGACGCAAATGAACCATCGTCCCAGGCCCTGGGCCGAGGAGCGTTTCTTCCTTCAATCCACTGGACAGTGCCTACAGCTGAGATGAAGTCCGAACGAGACACCCTGTCAAATTGGTGGAAATCTTGCCAAGGACGCAGGTGTACTAGTATGTTTTCTAGTCATTCCGTGACAGGGATTTTGTTCTGTGTCCGATCTGCGATCTGCGATCTGCTTGGGACCCCCTTTCGGAGAATCGGCCCTGAATAGCCATGGGTCCAGTAGGTTGAGCATCTTGAAGATTAGTCCGGTATGTACAATGTAGTAATGTACCATAGTGTGCACCGCTATTACTTGTCAAAGTCTCGATCAACCTAACCTCGGACCAGTTCTGAGGGGGGGGGGGGGGGGTGACACAGAGTCGCTAGGTCTTTATCCAGTTACTGCTGTATGCACGCCGTTCTCGAAGAAGACAAGATGGGCATCCTGTTCGGAGCCGGGGCCGAGGAATGGTCGCTTCCTCAAAGTCATCCGGTCGTGCTGAAAGGTGGCTGGAGATCAACGCCGCCGATCCAGATGCCCTACCCCGACTCTGAGATATTGACGTCCATGGGATATATATTCACAGCCTCTCATGATAGCTCAGTCAACAATGAGCACCTTACTTTACGGACTTCCATCGAGAATAGGACATGGCACGTACGACTCACCGCAAGAAAGATCGAGTCAAATCACCACCTACTTCGTATAGCCAGGGCCAGCTAAGCGATCAGTTCGATCCAGGACGGAAGAACATCTCCATCTGGAGGAAGGTCGTGGGACAAGGTATGCTGACTAGGGCTATGTGCTGAATGCACGGAGTGGTATTGCGTCAAAATGCAGCTGCAGAACGCGTCTAGACTTTGGTTAGCGAGGTGATGTTCTGCGCGAGCCAATCGGTCGCGACCTTGAAGCACAATTATCAGAAAGTATCCGGGGAGAGAGGTCGAGGTCAAGGTGTCTTTTTGCAATTGGATTGGAACCCCCTCGGCAAGTAGTCCATACCCCACAGTCAACACAGAGATGAACCACCGTCTGAATGTGCACACCCTCGTCCCCCATCTCACTGGAGACTGACCGCGGGTCGCCAGGGGTCGTAACCCCTGCCTTGGGTCCAAGAACGACATCTTTCACGATGACGATGACAAGAGAGAATAGAAGGTGGGTTGAATTGTCCTTGTCCTGGAATTGGCTGCCTCTGCTGGTACAGGCAAAGTTCATGATACAATCTGACGGTGGTCAGACTCATGAATCACATGATGGTCCAAGAGCTACAGTGGGTGATCGAAGGGAGGAAGCATGGGATGATAGCACAGTCCAATGAGGCTCTGGCTCAGCAAGAGCACGAGAAGATGAGCCAGGAAGACTTTGACCGTCTACTGAGCTTGCTTTGATCAAGTCAGATCTCTTCACATGACTTTGTACATGGCTTAATAATGTCCTGTGTAGAAGCACTAAACAAAAAAGGTCGACACTCCTTTCATTTGCTGACTATGCACAGCTCCGTGGTAAGGTCTCGGTAGCGAATGCCGCGATCAGCACAAGCAAGCCTTGAGGCCCAACAGAGCTGTGGCTGATTGGGCCTACGAGCCCAAAATGGCATCATTAAACGATCACGAAGATGGATGACTGTCGATCGATTATCTCCGACATACGATTTCGTGCAGAACCGGCCACACACTCACCCCCTCCGGAGCAGCTGTGGTTGAAGCCGGTCTCTGGCTCCGTTCTTCACGAACCCAAGGGCACAAAGGAGCGATGAGGGGAAAAAGAGGAGGTCTGTGCGACGCCTGGATCTGATGAGGATTTGCCACGATGGAGCTCAGTCCTCAAGGTGACCTGGGACTGTAGATGGAAGGATTCAAGATGCCAAGCTCGGTGGATGGAGTCGAAGCGTCGGGGCGACCTTCCGCGATTCAGGGCTGGAAAGGGGGTAACATGTCACCGAATCCCAGGTCAAGGATGCGCTATCAAAAGGAAGCAACCTTGAAGCAAGCTGACAAGCCAGTGTGGTACGAGGCACAACCCGTAGTTGGAGGAAGAGCTCACCTCCAGACAGCTGGACTCCCCGTTGAACTTCATCCGACGGAGCCCAGTCCCCCTTCCGAGTGCTTGTTCTTGTTCTTGTTCTTGCTCAATGGGGCATGAGTGTCTGGCGTGTCTCACATCAGCCTCCAAGCGCCCGAAGCATTTCCCATCGGTATTTGCATCTTGTGCGGGTCTCAACCATAAGAACAAAGTTATCGGCCAGATGAGGCTTGACCCGGAGAAAGTTCGATCAATTCTCCTCCAGATGATCAAGAATGCAGGCGTGAAATGCGTGTTGAGTGTTGAGTGTTGACACCACTGGTCAGCGTAGTACCTATTCCATTCGAAAGGGGTTGTTGTTGTTGTTGTTGTTGTTGTTGTTGTTGTTGTTGTTGTTGTTGCAAGAGGTCTCACCTAAGCTGTATTGACTCTTGAATGGCAGAATCACATGCAAGATAGATCTCACCATAGAGTGCCTCACTCCAATCTGGCGCTGCATTCGGCATAGCCTCTCAACCTCTCCAACAGAGAAGTATATCGCAAAAGACCTCCGGGGTTGGGGTCCGTGTCACCGTGATGATGGTACCAGTATTTGCTGAACCCTAGGTCATCTCATCAATCAGGGCTCCGTGCGACCGTGCCGAATCGACCTGGTGGGGCCCAGGAATAACATAGCATTTTACTGTATAGTGAATAGTGTCGAGTTTTCACCTGGGCATCATAGACTCTATGAATGAGGTTCTTGTTGGAGACCAGAGTTTAGGCGGGCGGGACTTTGTCATCTCACGAGCTACTTTACGGAGATGACGACTCCGGAGGACCTGACTTGTATCACTAAAAGCAGGGTCCCAACAAGAGGCACAAAGGGCAAAAGTCCTGGACAGTCGCTGTACAACGAACTACTATACATGAGGAGTTGACTAAGGACTTACTCGACTCACTTGACTGTCTATGCACATCCTGATCTTGGTCCGCTAATGGCAGCAGAACCAGGCCAGGCCATTCCGCCAACCCAGCTCGGTTTCTGCACACATCCAAGGCAAACGCATCCTTCCACCACAACAAGGCTGAGGATCCAAGCGCCCAGATCCCCGGGCCTCTGTTTCCCGTCCTGCATGAGCAATCCGCAAGTCTTAACGCGTGGACACTGGACAGGGCTAAGCTGCAAGTGCCTCTTTCGGGCCCGAGGGTCTGGGACAGCGTCTGCGTCCGTAGCAGTGGGGGGGGGGGGGGTCTTTTTAGCGCGGGGCCAAACCCGCAGGTCTGACCGAGTGGTACCTACCGTATATTGACACACGACGAAGTTACTCACTGGAAAAAGTATGTAGAGATACGGTAAATTCCCTAGCGAGTGCTAGACCGCTAGCAGTGGCCTAGCACTGATGGGCAGTGCTGTATATATCAGACCAGCTGCCCCCATTCTCACGCAAAATGTACGATGCTACAAGGATCCTTCACCAGCAGTGGCACTTGGAGGACCACGGGATAAATAGGGCCGTAATTGATCGAGGAGAGCGTGGTTCATGCAGTAAACGGAGAACCCTTGACATGCCCATCTTCAATGATATACCGTTATAGAGGGAGAATCGATGCATCTGCCAGGGA